CTGTGCGCAGGAGGAACGACGACATAGCCGTCCAGGTAGCCCGTGTTCGAGTCGTCCACAGTAGCGGTGCAGACGAGCGCCCCAGCGCGGTAGAAGGCGACGCGCTTGTCCTTGATGCTGACCTCGTACCCCTTGTGCGCAGTAAGATGATAAATTGACAGGAGGTTCGAGGTAAGGAGAGGGACATGGAGGACATCAAAGAACACGATAGGCATAAGCGCTTTCTCCCCATCCACCGGCTGGTACTCCACCGACCCGATGCCCGCCGAGTAGACGATCGCGCCGTTCGCTAGGCGAACAGGAACGCGATGCGGCGAGTAGGTGACGAACCAATCTCGCCGCGGCGTCATGTGTAGAGACGCACCTGTGTCGGTGTTGAAGTTAGCCGCAGCCTTGGACTGGAGCCACTCCTTGAGAGCGGGGGAGGAAGTGAAAGCGCTTGCCTGGCCAGCAGACTCGACGCGCGCAGCAGCGGCGGAGGTGGACGCGGTAGAGGACGCGTCAGAGGGCGCAGAAGGCGCAGAGGACGCGCCGGACGCGTTGGCGCCGCCCTTGTTCTTCTTCTTCTGCTGGCGCTTCGAGGTAGAAGCGGCGGCGGCGGCCTCCTCCTCCTTCTTCCAGTCCGGCTTGAACTTCGGGCAGTCGCGGATGAGGTGCGGGCCCTTGCAGTTGTAGCACTCGGGCGTGTACCCGGCGCGGTTGGCGGCAAGGGGTGTGCCGTCCGCCGTCATCCGGTGCGAGGCAAACTCGCGCGCGATCATGTCCTTGACCGTCTCATAGGTGAGCGCCTTGTCGAGCAGGAGGGAGGTGTACATGTTGGCGTGCTGCGGGTTGGGGGAGGCGGCGAGCGCGCGCATGGTGACCATCGCCTTCAGCTCGAGGTCCATCGTGGCTAGGTCGTAGCCGGTCGAGGGGCGCAGGGACTGGACGCGCGTCATGGCCTCGTCGACGCGCGAGAGGAGGTCAGTGAGGGCGGTGGTGGCCTCGGTGTTGTCGCCCAGGTCGACGTCGAAGAAGTCCGAGAGCGCAGCAAAGCGTGTGCCGGCCTCCTGGATGTTGAAGGCGGTCTTCATCGCGTCGTAGAGGTCCTTGGGCGTGCTGCGCTTGTCCTTGAACTGCGGACGAAGCGGCTCCTCCATGGCGAGCCAAAGCTCGCCAGCAGCCTTCTCCAAGCGCTGCTCATACTCCTCCTGAGTGCGGTACTCCGCATCAGTGACCGCGCTGGCGTCCTTGGGCTTGGGCTTGGTGACAGTGCCCTTGGCATAGCGCCAGAGGCCCTTGGAGGACAGCCAGGGCTGGATCTCGCTGTCCCACCAGCTCCAGTTGAAGCGGGTGAGGATGGGGCGGCCGTCTGAGTCACGCTTCGACATGGCGCAAAGAGACGGTTGTTGGGGACGATCGAACCGGCGAAAGTGGACGAGAGTGGGGTCGACGTGTAGGGGAGAAGGCGGCGGAGTGACTGGAAATTGTTTGGAGAGGAACGGACGCGAACTGCGTGCGCAACGGCGAATATGAGGGAGGGCGAAAAATTGCGGTGATCGGAGGTGCTGGACTTCGCACGGCGATAGCGGCGGTACTGGCGATTTTCGCGGAGTGCGGCTCGGGCACAAGGTAGGGGAGGGTCTTGCGCGTCGAATGCCGCTCGAGCGGAGGGAATCGCAGCTGGTACGCGCGCACAACGGCGAGTTTGAGTCGGGGTGTCGATTTGGCTGATTGGGGCAGCTAGAGCGCGGGGCTCATAACCTGTCCGAGGCAGAATCGAGCCAGTGATTACACTAGAGCGACAGCAAACGAGTCAGGTGTATATTCAGTGGTACAGAACGCATAACTACGCACCTAGAGCGACAGCAAACGAGTCAGGAAGAGAAAAGACTCGGATGTGCCGCTCTAGGCAGGTGGGACCGGCAAATGCCGAGGAAATATGTGGCGCTCGGCAATAAGGCGCGAGCGCAGAGATATGACTGTAGGTAAGCGTACAGTACCGGGAAAAAGTCCGAAAAATCACAGAAAAATACCATAGGCGCTAGAGAGCGCGTAGACACCGATTCCAACAGTCCTCGCCTCCCATCTCAACAGGTTATGAGCCCCGCGCTCTAGTCTTTACCCGAAAACCCCCCAGACCTCTCAGAACTCGCTTTTTCCTCCAGAAAAACCCATTCTCTCATTCTCAAAAATTTTCACTCAATCGATTGGTCTTATCTGCACCATCCACCACTCATCATGTCTTCCCTCCCCTCCTATGCTGTCACTATCTTCCAGCAGTCGGAGAAGCTGCGAGGCGAGGCCAACTGGCACTCGTTTGCAGAGGCTTTCATCGACTTCTGCACTGGCGTTGGTGCTGACCACATTGTGGATGACTCTACGCTTGATTCGTCCAAGAAAGCGCTGGACAACGCCATCGGGTATGTCCTCTCTGGGATGCTGGAGAAGGATGTGAAGGATGGGGTGCCAGGGAAACGTGGTGGCCAGGACCTGTACAAGGCGCTGAAGGCGAAGTACACTGCCTCGACCAGGGCCCGGCGCGTTGCCGCATGCAAAGCGTTTTACCAATGCTCTTACGACTTCCCCACCCAGTCGCTTGAGCAGTTCATCGTCGAGGTGAGGGCCAAGGCGCAGGTCCTAAAGGATATGGGTACCGGCGTCTCGGACACCGAGATTCTGGACGTCATCCTCATGAACGTCCACCACGCCTTCATCACCACTACCACCATTCTCCTCGCGCAGACCACCGAGCCCAAGCTCGACGACGCTATCTCCATCCTGACGTCTTCCCCTGCGCTCAACGTTGACGTCGTCAAGAAGGAGGAGTACTCTCCCAGCCCGCTGCTGGCCGCAAATGCGGCACGAGGATCGCGCACACCGCGGCATCCTGATGGTCATTAGGCTGACCTGACTGGAGGATGGGTGGACGACAAGGGCTACCACTGGTGCAACGTCAACGGTGACGCCTGCCATCGGTGCGGGCGTGCAGGTCATATCGCCGCCTTCTGCATGTACAACATGCCTGAGGCCATCCGGCAGAAGATTTCGGACCGCGCGCATCTCAACGCGAACATGGTCAGTTCGCTCGCGGTCATGGAGGCAGAGGGCGAACACCAGCACCTCGCCCAGTCGGCTTTTGGTGTGTACACTATCCCAGCTCGTCGCTCGCCCTCCCCCGCTGCCTCTCGCTCGCCATCCCCGCCCCTGCCGTCTGCCGATGACGCCGACGATGATGCCTTCGACTTTTCCGGTGCCGGTGGATCGTGGGGAGGAGTCTCTAGGCTTTCACGAGCTAAAGAAGCGCAGGACGCGCAAGACCTCAGTCTTCCTGCTAGTGGAATAGCGACTGATATTCATACCTAAAGAAGCGCAGGATGCGCAAGACTAAAGTACAGTCAGTAAATAGTATGAGTATAGTAAGCGAGATAACATACCCTCAGTCTTCCTGCTAGTGGAATAGCGACTGAGGGAAAAGAGATGTACAGTAAGGATAAATACGGACGCCCCCGGAGCGGTGTGGGAAAGTTCTTCCCGAATAGGAAGGCGGACCAAAAGCGTGGACGCGAGGCAAACCGTCCGCCCATGGGAGGAGGCAGACTCGCCCCTCTATACCCTACTTTTGACATAGGCTGTACACGTGATGGTAGGATTTGGCTGGTTAGGTGGGAGTTGCTGGATTAGGTGGGAGTCTCTCTGCGGTCCGGCGCACAGGTGGGAGTGTTGGAGTTGGTGTGCTTGGACCGTCCCAAAGGGGATACTTACCTATAGTCACGTATCACGCTGTCACTTAACCTTGTCTTTGACTGTCATCTTGTGGTCTGTTGTTTGTGTCCTCGCCTCCCATCTCAACACTCAAACGAGCCGAGCTCAACGCGGGACACGCGTCTTGATGAAGGGGAGGGCGAGGGGTTATTCGGATGGCCGAGCGTGGTCTTGAAGTGCTGTCTGTCTCATTATACGCGTCGCGGGGAATGCCGCAGGACACAATATCTGGAAAAAGCAAGAAAGCTAAATGTCAGTGCACACCCAGGGCGTAGAGCATAGTCACGCACCTGTTTCGCATCCTTGTCGCGCACATAATGTGCTACGCGGTCAAGAGTCCCCCGCGCAGGGCGCTGGGCATTGCCCAATATGTAAGTCTTAGCCTTTGAAGGTGGACGTCCAATCGGAGTGGGCGCGACGATGAAGGCGGCGTGGGAAGCGAGCAGAAGGCATTCTGGGCCGCCAAGAATAGGCAAGGATAGACAAGGAGGGGGACGGGGGGACAGGTTGCGTGGAGATGGTGGTTGAAGATGAAGAGACGCGCGGCCATGGGCCTCGGATGACCGGTCCGGGCGCTCGGCCCGACATCCGCTCGCTGCCGTCGTTGTTATCGACGGCCTTGGAAACAGGCCGTGGCCCATCTAGTACTATGATCAACGCGGATTATATTCGTAGACATGTACAAGATGTGTTTTATAAAATATGGAAATGCCATGGGGTCTTGATCTCACCCAAATTGACATCGACTATCCCCACGGTTAAGTACAGAACAATCCATTTCTTGACTGTTGGTCTGCTTCCGCACCTTTTCGCGTCGTTCTCAACAACGCCGCAGCGGATGAGCGTCAGATAAGCTGCGCTAGGTAGGGGGGATCTGACACTATCTTGGCACGTATAGCGTACAATATCTGTGGCTCTGGATTGTATGCAGATGCATGAAGATTGCTTGTTTCTGCGTATTTTCGCAGTAATGCTGATGTTGACAAGCGATCTGTGCACAAAGAAGGGTCGAAACTGCGGGTGAATTTTGTTTCAGCGTCCCCCTTTGTCCTACAGAAGGTTTGGAAGGTTTTGGCCCCAATCCGCGTGCTCCCAAGGCCGTTTTCGACGGCGACAAGGCCTTTCGGACGTCCGGACCGGCTTCCGTGCGGTCCCAAGGCCCCATTCCTCCGACCCGAACATCTAGATGACTTTAACCACCTATATCTTACCTCCCCGCGCCCGCCCGACTTCGCTGACCCCTAAGTCGCAGCCTAATGCGATCTGGCATGCGTCCCCCAACCTCCCGCGCTCATTTTTTGCGCTTGGCCGTGCTCGACCTCGCGTGCGCGTGCCCGCAATCGGCGGCTTTGTCTTGCCTCCCACCATCACCCCCACGTCTGTATTCACCCACCGCCACCGCTCACCTCGCTCCCCTGGCATCCCCATACCACCTCACTCTTCGCTCTTGCGCCCTCCCCGAAGAGTTGCCCCCAATCGCCCGCGAGTACGCGTCTCCGCCCGCGCTCGTGCCGCCTGCCCCCAAATTCGACGCGCACCGACGGGAACGACGCTCGCGGGAGTGCAGCCTACCTCGCCGCGCCCTTCATTTCCTTACAAACCCTACCGCCACTCGACGCGCGCAAGAGAAGACGCTGGGCTCACCAACCAACCCCCTCCTCCTTTTCTCACCTGATCACCGACCACAACAAGCACGCATAAACGGAAGGCTTCGCATGCCACGCGCAGCGCGCACCTCCCCATCTACCAGCTCCCCCTTCCCCCCCTCCTCTGGCGCTCGCGCGCAGCCCCGCGAGTGTGCGCGGTGTGCATTGCATGCCGTGCCCGCGGCATCTGACCACCTAGACGACGGCCTATTGCCGTTGTCTGGGCTCCCTATCGTGCCCTCCCACCCCCATGGCTACCTTTGAGGACGCGTGTGCGTGTCTGCTTGCTTGCGCGAGCTGCACCACACGTGTCGCGGCGGCGAAAATTTTCGCTGTTGCTTTCCGTGCTTCTTTTCTTCATTTTGTGCATCCCCCTACCATTCTACCTACTTTCCATGTACATACTGTATATACACTTCATCTCTGCTGTACCTGCACGGACAGGGGGACGCGCGGCGGCGGTGGCGGCAACACGCGGCGCGACGTCGACGCGACGCGCTGACGTGGCTGTGCAGCCGCGCCAGCAGCGCATCAACGGCGGGCGGCGCGCGGGAGCCCCGACGGCGGCGGCATCACGCGCGACGGCCGACGCGTGCGGCGCGATCATCCGCGGCGGCGAGCCCGGAGGTTGCCTGCTGCATTGGGCGCAGCCCGGCGACGTCCCGGGCAGCTTCCGGGAGGCCGTGGCTGTGCAGGCAGGACATACGCACAGATTTTCAAAAGATTGGCGGACATATGTTGGGTACTTTTTAAAAAGTACTACTTCCACAGGTGCGAGCGACCTTGTAGGCAACAAGTGGGAAGCATCGTCGGACGAACCGCCACCATCGACTGTCCCGACCAGGCAGGACTGGGCCACAGCGAACACGAGCGCGTGGGAGGAGGACGAGGTCGACCCGTACCTGGACCCGAGGTTTGGAGCCCCAGAGGACAAAGCCCCACCCTCAGCAACGACGACTTTGTCAACGGCAGCTTCATCAGCAGCGGCCCGCAGGACAGCGGAAGGATCAACCCGAGCCCCAGCCGTGAGCAGCGGCCAGTCGTCCACGACCACGCCATCGACGCCTCCCACGGTGAACCCGCAAGCAAACTCAGCGGGCCGGTCAGGCCGCCCCTCTCGTGACCACCCTGCTCAGTCGAGAACGAGTCAGCTTTCGACGTCCTCGAGCCATCTACAACGGGAATGCGAAACAGCTGCGGAGGACCACCAACCGCCCGCGTGGGAATCGCAGAGCGCAGTGGCGAATGCGTACGCATCCAGGAATGCTACGTGAACGCCCGCGACGCGAACGCCGACAGAACCCAGGAGGGATCGGGTCACGGACTCAAGGGGTGAAAGTGCACGCGAGGGAGAAGGTCAAGCGGCTATACACGCCGACTCTCCAGTGGCTGCGTTGTCGAGGCCATCCATTGAACTCGCGAACCGGCGTGCCGCTCCAGGTACCAACCTGCGAGAGTCGAGAACGGGAAGCAACGAGTCGCAGGCCGGGCCAAGCTCAGTGGCGTCGAGCTCAGCCTTTGTCAGGATTCGACTGACGCTGTTGGCGCCCGCAGTGGACGTTGGAAGGCTAGCCGACCTCGCCACGGTCATGAATAGGGCGGGCATTACTCGTGATGCGCTCGTCCGCACTTCGCCAAATGGACGTGAGTTCGTCGCGCGTTTTGCCAACGCAGAGCAGTCAGCCCGCGCAGTAGCCCACCTCCCAACCCTGTCTACCGAGGAAGCCGAGATGGATGCTACGGTGATGCCAGCGACGGAAGCGGAGACGCTCATTGCCAGCGCAACAATCATTGGGGAGACAGGGCCCGCTGACCCCGACGCAATGGAGGTCGACGCTGGTTCACAATTGCCCGTCTTCCCAGAGCTCGCTCATCCATTCACCGCTGTGCCACCTTCCTCGGGAGGCGCGCCGATGGGAGGCTTCGCCCCGACGCCTTTCTTTGGCTCGTCCACGTTCCCCCCCCGCTGTGTCACTGCAATGGCCGACGATGCCTTGGGGTTTGCCGCCCCCACCTAATCCGTTCGCTGCACAACCCCCCGTCGCGCCTCCGAATTGGCACGCGGCATTCCCGCAACTGTTTTCGCTGCTGCAGCAAGCGCCGTGGCTGTTCGCCCCAGGGTGGGGGGCAGTCGTCCCTACTTTGCAGCCGCAGCCCATACAACTATCGGCGACAAGCACTGGCCCGCCAGGCAGCGAGCTAGTAAGCACGGCCACAGACCCTGTTGCCACCTCGACCGCCGCGACGAGCCCAACGCTTGCGCCCGGAGGCAGCAGCGTAGACCCACCCACTGCGCCCCGGGCCATGCGCAGCGCGAGGCCTGGCACGCTCAGCTCGCGCCCATTGCTGCACAGCCGGATTGCAGGCGCGCCGCCTGCTCACACGCTGGAGGACCGCCTGACGGATCTGACGCCTTCGCGCGCGGCCTCACTTCCGCCAGCGAAGCGCCCCGCTTCGTCCCTGCTGGACCGATTGGCCTCGGGCACGCCCAAACGCGCGAGGCCCTCGCCACCCTCCCCGCCACACGAGCCCACTTCCCCAACCCACCCACCCACCTCAGCCGTGGACACCCCGGGTGACGACAACGATGCGGCGAGCCGCAAGCGCGGCAGGCGGGGAGGCGGCGCCGGGAACAGGCGGCGCAGGAGGCGCAAGGCATGCAGGCTCACGCAGCAAGCGCAGGAGGGCGCGAGCACAGCTCGCAAGGACAACGACGATGAGGATGACTATGGCGACGCCGACTCTTTCGTACACCGACCGGACACCCCGGACTCGGGTGCCGCGATGTGATGGCTTACTTCTTGGATTGGACTGCTTGGGCACGTCCCGTCTCGCATGTGGGGGGCGTTGTGATATGGATGGACATACAAGGACGCGTAGAACTACACAAGGACCCATAATCGGACATGCGGGCCGGAACCCGCCGATAGAATAGACATACAACAGCTACAAACACTTACTTACTTCTAATCATCATCTTGTTTCTTGGATTCGGTCGCCCTCTCGGTCGCCCTAGCCGCGGTCGCCCGCAGGCTAGGGCGCTGGAACGTGTTTTGCCCGAGCCGCGGGAAGCCGCAGGCTAGGGCTCAGTTGCCCGACCGCCCTCGCCGCGGATCTTCCGTTGGCGAGGGCTCATTCGACTTCCAGCCTGAGTGAGCTCGTCAAGCTCCCTCAGCTGCTTATCAGATCCCGCCTACGCGGGCAGTCGGTCAGAGGCTCTTGTGGCCCTGTGCTACGCGCTGAGGCCACCGCCCGCCGACTCCCCCTCAGACGATCGGTCAGAGGCTTGGGCGGCCTCGCGCTATGCGCGGAGGCTGCCGCCCGCCGATCTCTTGACGGTCAGTCCAGTGGCTCTGGTGGCCCTGCACTACGCGCTGAGGCCGCTGCCCGCTGACCAACATTCCACCTGGCGCGACCCAGGGCGGCGACGGTGTACTCGGCGCTGCCTCGCGGCCAGCGACGGTACCCCGGCGCCTGCCCTGGGCCCGCAGCCTTATTATTCCTATCTAACAGTAGCTACGTTAAGTCCATGAACGCGGACTATCACGCCCGCATCACAGATCCCACCAAAGTGCGCCATGAGCCAGAACTGCCAGGAGGATGAGAAGTTGGACATGCTAGATAAGGCAATGATGCAATGGTGGGTGGCAGTTGGGGGTCAGGGAGGGCTACAAGGTAAGCCAATAGCATGGCATGTCACAAGAGCAAAGACACTGACACATACAGAAAGGCAGGAGCTGAACAGGACGCTAATCTGCGCACAGAGGAGCATGAGAAAGGGAAGAGGGATGGCAGAGAAAGGAGGTGTACAGGGAAGCATGGCTCAAAGGCGCACGGAAGGCACAGGGGGAAGATAATGGGATGAGAAGCCGTACAGCAGACATTGACACAAAGAGGGGCAGAAAATGATATTGGAGGCCTCATCTATAACTACGTGCAGTGGTGCCAAGAGCAAGCAACGGGATCAGAAAGATGAACGGGATTGAGGAGGGGTTTGAGGGACTCGTATGAGCCCCCCTTTCTTTGTTCTTCTCTCCACGTGTCCAGGAGAGGTTGTTGGACCATTGATCAGAAGGGGTGGGGTGGGAGGTGAGGTTGTGATCAGCGGCGCGATCACCACGATTGCTGCCCCATTTGCTTGCTGTGTGCAAAGGACTTGAACATGCAGAAAGGGAGGTGGGGATGGGAGAGATGAGAGGGGGAGCGAGCGAGCGGCGAGGAAAGCAAGGAGGGGGGAAGCGGTGGTGCGGCGCCAAAGTCACAATTTGGGACCGTTAAGTAGCGATTTGGGACTGGACCACGCCGCTGCTGCCATGCTCGGCAATACCTGCAGCCTGAACAAGCAGATTGTGAGTCTCCAAACCTTGCAGGATGTTGACTGAGATGGTATTTGCAGGGTGTTCTGAAGTCAAACAAATATTAGTAAGATTTTGTTTGCACTCATTTCATCCTGAAGACTACACTTTCAACAGGGATGTACATAGAGCAACATTTCTTGAGGGGACTGCATTAGTGAGGTGGGAATCCAAATAGAGTGTCATTTTGGCGATTTTGGCACTTTCTTTGTATATTTAGTACACCTTCCAGGCTTCCTATCGCTCCCAAACTTCATGCCATTTCTCATATACTACTACAGTATACTTTCCTACATTTTTAAAGCGTGAGAGGGAGTGAATTACTCGCGGATGGCGAGGGACCGCACGCGAACGCGTCCCATTTGACGCGACGCGTGACGTGATGTGACGTGTTCTGCTTTCCCTCCCACTGTGATATGGGATAGACATGGACACGTTAGATGGACTCTTACTTACTACTACTTACTACCATTACTATATCGATGTACTTACTCTTGTCACACGAGCCGGCGGCCCCGCGCCGCCGTTACCATCACGCACCTGTCACACGTGACAATACATCTTCTTGCACCCTACGCTCATTCTTGTCTGCTCAGACTTGTCCTCGCCTTACTGCCGCTCGCGGTGCAGCTCCTGCCTCACCTGCCAGCGGCTCACTTCCGCTGGGCCTTGCGTAGTACTCTACTATTGCGAGGCCCCTTTCACTATGAACTTACTCACAAATACACGTGTCATTGCGGCACGCACAACCAGCCACGCTTGGGCGTTACAGCACCACGTTGGCTATAACCCAGTACCCAACCCTTGGGTCAACAGCTAGCGCCCCTCTGGCATAGCCCGGCGACCCTCTCATCCACGATCGTCGAGTCACAGCCTGACTTGACCCTTGCTCTCCTATCCCTCTAGGCTCTGGCGTCTCAGCGCCGCCTTCGATGTCAGTAGGATAATGGTTTTGGTAAAAGGCGGGAAAAATAGCCGAGCGGTCGGCAATGGCCGCCAGCGCCACAATTGCACAAAATGGGCGGGCACGCCCGACGCACGTGGCGAAATCGAACGAGCTGTCAACAACGACGTAGCCATTGACTGCAAGAACTGCGCACTACGAGTGCGCAGTCGAGCGCAGTACCTCGAACGTTGAATGGGAGGGGAATACTTACAAACACTGCCTTCCGCAGTCCTGATTGACAGTAGAAAGTACAATAGATTATCTAGTAGCTTATGCGCAGTCAAGATGTCAAGGGAGCGGGGTAAAATTGGAACAACACTGAAAGGTATAAAAGCAGCCGCGTCCGGAGGACAAGGACAGTGACCACTCAGTAGCTGGCCCTCTCCAAAGTACGCAGCTGAAAGTGAAATAGGACTTTAGAAATATTGTACCTGATTTTAAAACCTGTCTGCACTCAAGTCGCAATTTCTCTGCCGCATCCGCCTGACCTCTGCTGCTCTTTCCACGTAATAAATCTGCTTTTCCATCTCTACAAAACTGTTGCCTGTAAAACCCCGGCCGACGACTGCTGCATCCGAAATCGTGCGCTCTCAGTACCTCAAAAACTGCTGTTCAACCGAGATAAGTCAGAAGTTTGCCTCAGTACTCTAAGCCGTATTAGAACGACGAAAGACAGGTACACCTTAACTCTTCTTTCCTTCTCTTCGTGCAAGTAAGAACGCGCACCTTGTTCTTGGAAAAATAGGGGACCAGTTGGCTCGCTTCCCTTGGACTCAAACAATATCTCACGTGAGCATTCGGAAGTTGCCAAAGTCCTCAGCAAGCGCGAGCTATACGGCCATCCTCCATTGGCATCGTTCCTCTCTCTCATGCGCTTTTGGAGGCTCGTGGATCTTTTCCATTATAAGAAAGAGCTCTAGTTTTTTGTAGGTAAAAAGCTTCGTGGTATAAAACCCCTTTCTAACAACAACTCAAGAGATTCTACTGATATAGGTAGATTCTCGCAAGGCCAAGTACTAACTACTTTTAGCCTGACATCATTGGAGCCCACCGCGAGGGGGAAGTTACCACCAGAAGCTTTTGTACACCCCGAACTCTCTTAGACCTCACCTTGCATCCCACTTAATTCATGTCGCACTCTCAATCCCCCGAGTCATTTGACCTTGGGAGTATGACCGTACTGACAGTGTCTGACAGCCGCACTCACTCAGATTCTCCACCCGCATCGCACATGTCTACGTTCCGGGACAACCCGACGTATGCAGTAACTGATAGCGAACTTGAAGGGGGAGTTGTGGTTCCAGAGGTGCCTATAGACACAGAAAATGAGGCCGACGACGAGAGCTGCGAGGAAGGACCGCCACAGAAGGAACATTACAAGGCAGGGGAAGAAGATGCGGCGATAGATGACCTAGCACGACTCTTTGAAGGCACGCGGGTGGCCCTAAGGGAGGATTGAGGAGATGATTTCAGCGAGTACGAGGAGGACGAAGGGATAAGAGTGTACCCTCAGAGCCCGTCCCCAACGACTGAAATAAGACCGTCGATACCCGAATTTGAAGGAGCAGCAAGTAACACGCCGGTCGCCCTGGGACCCGCCGCGTTACTCGCCGGCACTCACTACACTCCCCGAGCCTTCGTTGCTCCCCCTGCATTCCGCCCCGCTACCCCGGTGGGCACCTACGCGGGACGAGCGCAGGTGATCCTACCATCGCAGCTACTCGCAGCCACCTTTGGGGTACCGAGGGTGCACATCTTGCATCCATCGGGAACGGGAGGACGCTTAAGCAGAAGGGCATACTCAAGGTCCGAACGCTCCCCGCGGAGAAGCCATTGATCGCCGAGTCACAACAGATCACTGTCGCCCTCTCCACGACGATCACGAACCCCTGCAAAGAAAGGAGTATACAATATGCCACCGTTAGGAACACGATACGCACCTAGAAAGTTTACGGGCAAGGCAGAAGACATGGTGGCCTTCCTGGAACATTACAAGCACCTCCTCCACCAGTACAACGTAACGAACGGAAGAGACCGTTGCTACACTATTCTGCAGTACTGCTCGACACAGGTTAAGCAGTACATAAAGGGGTTGCGGGAGTACGCCGATTACGACTGGCGGGCGCTAAAGAAGAACCTGCTATTCTTCTACGACGCTGAAAAGGGGGAACATACATACAATGCCTGTGATGTGGTCGAGTTTGCCCAGAAATCGTGCGAGAAGCTCATCACCAACCTGGGCCTGTGGAAGAAATATTATAGGAGGCATATTCGTTGATCGGGGGCCCTCATAAACAGCGGTAAGATAACGGCGGAAGATGAGGTGTTTTACTTCTGGATGGGGGTTCACAAGGACCTTTGTACCCCGCTGGAAGCTTGTATACAGATGAAAAGACAACTGCACGGCGAGGATTCGGAATCAGAGGAGTCAGAAGATGATGAGGAGGCATACTCGGTGAAAGAGATCTGTGCTGCGGCCCACCATCACTTCTGCCGAAACAGGTTTGTAACTAGAAGGTTTGACGCGGACAGATCCGGTCAGAGACCAGGCAAAGAATCATCAGGTAGCAAGACGGATTCGGACGAGGACGACACCAGCGATGACTCCAATGCCGAGAAACTGAAGAAAAAGCTGAAGCTCGAGAAGCAGCATAAGGAGCTCCGGAAGGAGAAGAGGAAGGAGAAAAGGCAGATGGAACGCACCTCCAAAATGTCCGGATCCCCTGCAGATCTGACTCAGTTGGTAAAGCAGTTGAACCACATGAAGCCGGACCATGAGATGTACGCACCCATGTATCTTAAAGCAGTCATGATGGATACAACGGGGCGCGTTGAGGAATTTATTCACGCGCTCCCCGCGATAACGACGAATGGCCGAGAGGAGCGTGCAGCCAGATCAGTAAGGACCACAGAGCAATACCCAGGTACGTACCGAAGGGTCGAGCCACCTCGCCCAGCTCCACTCGCGCGCCCCTCGGGCAGCCCGCCACGCGCCTTGCCACCTCATATGGAATACCCTCCTCGTCGCGTCACCCTGGCGTCGGGGACCAACACGGTTCCACAAAGCCAGGATTGTTTTGGGTTCGGAGACCCGGCGCATCAAATAAGCGACTGCCCGCACATTAACCATCTAACTCGAGAACAGAAGATAAGAAGGGACCCACAGACACACCGACTGACTTTAGCAGACGGGAGCTTCATACGAAGACAGGCCGGCAAATCACTGGCTCAGGCGGTGGAACGGATGTCCGCTTCGGGAGTACAGGTCAACTACTACTACACATCAGAAGAAGAAGGAAGCATGCCTGGCGGTGTAGAAATGTATTTTGCGGGAATAGCGGATGATGACAGCAGTAGCTCCAGTGATTCCAAGGCAAGTTATGTGCAGGCTATCAATGACCGCAGACTACGCATCTACTATCAGGGCCTCCCGCCGCGCCTCGCTCAAAGCAGTTTTTGCTTTTCTACCACCAACATATCGGATTCGGAAGAAGGATCTATGGAGGAAGAAGGAAGCGCGTTCGAGCTTAGTGGGGCAAGGGTGTTTAACAGAACGTACCCCGCGAAGAATTGGCTGGAGAAGGAAGGAAATCCTGCCAGAGCGCGACGCGATGCCATTGAAGGTAAGCAACCAGGACTGCGCAGTCATGGTCCCCGCCAGGAGGTGCCCAGCAAGTTCCGGGACTTTACGAAACCTAGGGGAAAACAAGCAGTAGAGAAGCCACTTCCCCCTTCGCCAGAAGAAATACAGGACTCGCCCATGGACGTTTCAGCCGAACCAAGGGGCAACCCGTCAAAAGAAGACGCATTGATGGCGGGGCCTAGTGCTTTGCAGGGGGCAGTGTCAAAAGTGGTCGGTAGGGCGAGTCTGCCTTCACCCAGAGTCACATGACCGCTCCCAACTCCAGGAATCACTGTGTCACATTCCCAGAGTTGGTGTCACATGATCACATGACTTTTCCCCACGCTTTGCCCCGGTGGCCCCGTACATACGCGTGTATTCTTTCCTTCTTTTCCCTCAGTCGCTATCCTATACGCAGGAAGACTGAGGGTATGTCTTTTACTTACTTTACTCTTACTTATACTGACTGTACTTTAGTCTTGCGCTCTCTGCGCTTATTTAGGTATGAATTCAGTCGCTATCCTATACGCAGGAAGACTGAGGTCTTGCGCTCTCTGCGCTTATTTAGCTCGTGAAAGGTTATGAGCCCCGTGACCTAAATCGAGCAAGACTTCGATCTGCGACTCACTCTATCCCACTCTGCGCCATGGCTCCCAAGGACAGCAAGGTCCCAACGCTCACCGATGCGGCGGACTGGCCGCTCTGGCGCCTCCGGGTCACCGACGCCCTCAACAGGGACGATCTCACCTCCGTGGTGACTGGATCGGAGAAATCCCCTCCCCCTGAGATTGCGGTGACTCCACCGACGCCGACAATGTCCTCACCCCCGTCCACGTCACCCGGCGCTCCGGCGACCACCACCACATCCACAGGATCGGGCTCCTCCTCCACCACTCACCAAGTTGCGCGGAGGGAGACCTGGTCCTGGCGGAACGCCCGCGCCCTCTCCACCATCCGGGAGCACCTCTCAAATGACATTGCCCTCGAGCTCCACGAGTACCAGCACGCGAGCGAACTCTGGGAGAAACTCGTCGAGAAGTTCGAGCAGACCAACACCAGCAAGATGGCGGTCACCGAACTGATCAAGATCTTCCGCGCGAAGCTCGCCGACGCCGACGATGGAGACGTCTCCCGCGAGGCGATGAGTGCGGACATCCACCGCGTCCGGCAATCGGTCACCCAGCTCGCCACTCTTGGCTACCCCCTCAACGCCAACCTCGTCCCCCTCATCCTCCTCGCCTCCCTTCCCAGCTCAGAGAAGTGGAAGATCATCTCGTCCGGTATCTCGGCGGGCAGCTCCAAGGCCGCGCCCCTCACCCTCTCCTACGTCGAGGCGAAGCTGATGGCGCAGGTGACCAGCAAGGAGGACTCGGACGATGAGCAGGCATACGCCGCCTCCTCTTCTCGCGCGCCCCCACCGCGCAAGCCCAAGGACAAGGGCAAGAAGAAGGCCAAGGCGAAGGCGTCCTGCGTCATCCACGGCGAGGGGCACTCCACCGAGGAGTGCAAGACGATCATCGGGCAGAAGGAGAAGGCGCTGAAGAAGCGGAAGGAGCGGGCGGCAGAGAAGGCAAAGGCGAACAAGGTGAAGGACTCGGACTCGGATTTGGACTCAGACTCGGACTCGGATGTAGACGACACGCATGTAACCGTCTCGCGCCGCGCCTACAAGAAGATTTCCGCCTATGTCCAGTCTGATCCTAAGCGACCGCAGCGACACCAAGGTTCGCACATTGTCGACTCGGGTGCGTCAAAGACCATGACCCCCGACGAGCGCCTCTTCGACGACAGCACTTACCGTGTCCTTGACCCGCCGCGCAACATCTACCTCGGGAATGAGTCCGTCATCAAGGCAGTAGGCATTGGCACTGCCTGCTTCGCCTCTAAGACACCGGATGGTGTGCGCGCGCTGACCATTCGGAAGACACTACACGTCCCCGACCTTGCGTTGACGCTCATCTCGGTGCCCCAGATCACCAAGCGTGGTCTGCGCGTGTCCTTTAAGGACAACACCTGCACTATGCGCGACTCCTCTGGCAATATCGCCTGCGTCGCGACGCACAAACATGGTCTCTATCACGTCGACTGCCAGCCCATCGGCACGGACGAACGCGCCTTCACCGCCATTGACATCAACCGGCTGCACCAGATCATGGGCCATACGAACTTCGAGAGCCTGCGCAACATGGTCCGTCATGGTCAGCTTGGGGAGGTCGACACGCTCACCGGCATCCCGTCCTTCTGTGAGCCCTGCGTCATGGGCAAGATGAAGAAGCTCCCCTTCAAGCGGAGCACCACGCCCGCCTCGCGCCCGCTCCAGTTCGTCTCCTGCGACGTTGGTGGCCCCGTCGACCCTGCTGCGATTGGCGGCTATCTCTACTGGATCGTCATCGTCTGCCACTACTCCTCGGGCGTCTACACGCTCTTCACAAAGAAGAAGTCGGAGGTCTACAAGAAGCTCCGTCAGTGGCGCATCGACATGGAGCATCAGCATCGCGACTCTATCGAGCAGTGGGAGTGGCTCCCCGGCTGGGTCGAGTTCACCCGCACAGACGGCGGCGGCGAGTTCTGCTCGAACAAGATGGAGGCTGAGTTCCGCCGACGCGGTATCATCCATGAGACGACGGCGCCCTACACACCTGAGCAGAACGGCATAGCGGAGCGCATGAACCAGACGCTGGTCACCCGGGCGATCGCTAACCTCTGCGCGGCCAAGCTTCCCCGGAAGTACTGGATGTATGCGATGGAGTACGCCACCGACATGATCAACCTGTCGCCCGCTAGCCGCCAGAAGGGAGAACTGCCTATCAATCGCATGCGCAAGGTCAAGCGCCCTATTGACGTCCACGCCCTGCACCCCTTCGGTTGCCCCGCCTACCCGCTCATCCCAAAGAAAAGAGGATGCTCAAGGGAACATCGAGCGGTACAAGGTGCGCATCGTGGCGCGCGGCTTCACTCAGCAGGAAGGAGTTGACTACCAGGACACCTTTGCGCCCGTCGCAAGCCTGGAGTCCATCCGCATCATCCTTGCCCTCGCCGTCCGCCTCGGCCTCTACACTGACCAGATGGACGTGAACACCGCCTACCTCAATGGTGAGCTGCTACAGACGCTCTACATGCTTCCCCCGACCGGTGTGGACATCCGGGAGGGCTACTGCTGGCAACTCAAGAAGTCGGTCTACGGCCTCAAGCAGGCCGGTCGCGCGTGGAACCAGACGCTCCACAACAAGCTCGACAAGCTCGGGTTTGTGCGCCTCAACTCGGAGACTTGCCTATACGTCTTCCGGGACGGCAAGCAGGTCTGCTTCCTCGTTGTCTACGTCGACGACCTCCTCCTCGCCGCTACCTCGCGTCCTTTCATGGACAGCATCAAGAAGAAGCTCACGGCCTCCTTCAAGATGCGCGACTTGGGTCCCGCCAAGTACCTCCTGGGCATCGAGATCATCCGGCACCCGGGCAAGCGCACGATCTCCCTCTCTCAGAGGAAGTACATCGACACCGTGCTTGAGCGCTATGGCATGTCGGACTGCACGGGCGTCAGCACCCCCATGTCCACAAGCACTCGCATCTCCGCCGATGACCCGAACGACAACGAGGTGCGCACTCATATGGCCTTGGTCCCCGGAGGTCCCGTTGTCTCCTACCAGAGCGTCGTGGGCTCGCTCATGTACGGGATGATGGGTACCCGACCGGATACCGCCTACGTGGTGGGGGTTCTTGGCCGCTATAGCGCCGCCCCCAAGGCTTGCCATTGGGAACTGGCCAAGCGTGTCCTCCGGTACCTCAAGAAGACGCGCGACTGGTGCCTTGTCTACGATGGCGCTGACGCTGGCATGGATCTCGACTTCCATGGCTACACCGACGCTGACTGGGGCGGATGCAACGACACGTCCAAGTCTACCTCCGGCTTCGTGTTCATCTCAAGTCGGGGCGCCATTGGTTGGTCCAGCAAGCGGCAGTCTATGGTCTCTCTCTCGTCTACCGAGTCGGAGTACATTAGTCTTGCTAACGCTGGCCAGCACTTGGCTTGGCTCCGCTCGTTCTTTGAGGAGTTGGGACGTCCGCAGGCCGGTGCCACCGAGCTCAGGTGCGACAACCGTGCGGCCATTATCCTCAGCCAGGATGCTCAGTTCCGTGCCCGGACCAAGCACATCCAGCGGAAGTACCACTACATCCGAGATGGGCTGGTTGCCACCGGCGAGTGCGTCGTCCTCTGGTACCCCACGGACGAGATGGTCGCGGACATCTTCACCAAGGCACTACCTCATGAGAAGCATCTCAAGTTCTGCCAAGGTATGGGTTTACGGCCAGACTCGAGTGGGAGTGTCAAAAGTGGTCGGTAGGGCGAGTCTGCCTTCACCCGGAGTCACATGACCGCTCCCAACTCCAGGAATCACTGTGTCACATTCCCAGAGTTGGTGTCACATGATCACATGACTTTTCCCCACGCTTTGCCCCGGTGGCCCCGTACATACGCGTGTATTCTTTCCTTCTTTTCCCTCAGTCGCTATCCTATACGCAGGAAGACTGAGGGTATGTCTTTTACTTACTTTACTCTTACTTATACTGACTGTACTTTAGTCTTGCGCTCTCTGCGCTTATTTAGGTATGAATTCAGTCGCTATCCTATACGCAGGAAGACTGAGGTCTTGCGCTCTCTGCGCTTATTTAGCTCGTGAAAGGCAGCAGCTCCAGACTCCCTGGGAGTGGAAGGAGCTCGCATCCATCAAGCGCCAAGCGTGCCGCTCGACCGGATCCATTCGATAACCTCCCGCTCATAGTCCCAGTCAATGAGCGACAGGCAAGTGTACACTTCCCCGGAGAGGATCAACGACAGCGCGCAGCTCGATCTATGAGGGATCACATCTCTCGGGCTGACCCAGCCGCCAAGAAGGGAGAAGAAGCGGGGCATAGTGACACCGACGCTCCTGCACATCGAGGAAGGGGCCCCGCTAGGATAGCCCTGCTTGCAGGAGAAACACAGGCCAGCGAGGTGGTTGACAAAGACTGGACCACTCTTTGTTGGCTCCAGCTCAACTGGTGAGCAACCCCCATGGAGCTAAAAAGCCTCCACACTAGGGAATACTGGTGCCCAGGTGCAGTATATATAATTAATTGAATAGGAGATTTGGCCATTCTAGCTATACATATCTTGAATCATCCCACATTGCCTAAGCAACATATTGACCAGCAGCTTTCAAAGCATCATCAACTCGGTCCACATTGGTGCCAACACCCTGAGCAGAGTCTTCCTTGCCCCCAGCCTAAACAACAGTCAGAGAATATACAAACAGCAACTTGAAAGGCTTTTACCTTGCCACCAAGGACATCTGTCACCTTTGCAGCCCAGGTTTTGGCATCAAGGCCCTTCTCTCTCAGTGCAGGTGGCACAAAATTGACATGTGCCACCTTGGTGCCCTCGGGGTCAGGACTGAAAAGGTAGACAGCCTTGCCAGCCTTTCTTGCTTGTGCCACGACATTTTGCAGAAGCTGGGGATGTGGTTAATACAGGTGATCATATAAAGACTGCACGCGTACCTTTGCATTGCCGTCAACATGCAGAATGGAGACGAAAGCGGGGGCACCTGGTGTCTGCTCGAAGAAGGTCCGGAACTGGTCTAAGGCCTGATAGCGAGGTTACCATAATCGCCACCCTGAGGAAAGGTATGGTACGTACATCCTTGTTCAGAGCGGCCTCACGCTCCTTGACCTGCTTATCAAAGGCTTTTCGCACGGATGCTAGGCGATCCTTCAGCTGCGATTTCCTGATGATCGACGTGTCGGCCTGATTCAACGTCTACAAGAGAAGAGTAGTCAGAATACAGAGCGAAAGGGAACATACTTCGGGATGACGCACCACTGTGAAGGCCTTTATGGCCGCATCCGCTTCCTTGCCCGTCATCTTCTCGATCTGGTCGAGCTTGATCTGCAATGCGTCGGCTAGACGTGTCGCCTCCGCCGCTTCGTGCCCCGTAACGGCCACGATTCGACGAATGCCCTTCGCGATGCCCGACTCCTCGGTGATAACGAAATGCTTGATGTCGCCCGTCTTCGCAACGTGCCTAGGAAAGATCAGCACGGAACTACGACATGGACGCGCACAACTCACGTCCCACCACAGAACTCGATGCTGGTACTGCGCCACTTCGGGTTCTCGATATCCGCCGAGATCTCGTCGACGCTGAACTCTAATGACACGACGCGGACGGGATCTGGGTACGTCTCCCCAAACACTGCGCGCAGCCCAGGAATCTTCTGTGCGCTCTTCAAGTCCATGTCCTTGCCGTACACCTTGACGTTCTTCTTGATCCAGTCGACGCTCATGGACTCGATCTGCGTCAACTCGGGAAGCGGGATCTGCGCCTTGTGCGAGAAGTCGAAACGCAGCTTCGTTGGCGCGACGAGGGAACCCTTCTGGTCGATGTGGTCGCCGAGGACCTCGCGAAGACAGTAGTTGAGGATGTGTGTGGCAGTGTGATTATTTCTCAACGGCCAGCGGCGGAGCTGCACGCGAACATCAGTGGAAAGACCCGACGAGTCAACGAAGTATGCATACCTCGTCATAGGATGCGACTACCTCATTGCCGACCTCAAGATCACCATACTTCAAGTGCCCAACGTGCAGAACGTAGCCGTTGTACACCTGTACGTCCGTGACCTCGAACTCGGCAACACCGTCGATGACGATGCCTCCAGTGTCGTTCTCCTGACCACCCGACTCTGCATAGAAGTTCGTCCGGTCGAGGATGATCCCAAAGGACGTGGCCTCAGGGATATCGCTCGTCGAGTCGAGGAAAGCCTTGTTATGGAAGATCTTCTTCACCGTCGCCGTGATGTTGCCCTGGTCTGCGTCGTGCGTAAGATCCCTGCCATGAATCCCGACCTGAGCACTCACTGTACTTCGACGAGTCATCCGTCTTCGCGACATCGCCACCTTTCTCCAGCGCCGCGATATCGTGCACATCGAGCTTCACAACGGTTGCCGCGTCCTTGTTCTGGGTAGCCTTGCTCGCCTCCTTCGACCACGCCTGCGCATCCTCGAACTCCTTCTCGTTGATGCCCAAACCCAGTTCCTCTGCCATCAGCGTCGTAAGGTCCACCGGGAAGCCGTAGGTATCGTAGAGCCGCCAGACGTCCTTGCCATTAAGCTCTTTGAGGTTCTGCTCTTTGGCGCGCTTCGCGTACTGGTCGAAGAGCTTCTCGCCGCGGTCAAGCGTACGTGCGAATGATTCTTCCTCCTCGTCAAGAATCTCCTTGATCTCGGGTAGTTTCTTCGTGATCTCGGGGAAGACGTCGCCCTGTGAGGCTGTCAGGTCGCTGAAGTATTACAGCGAGCAGCGACGCACCATGTGCTCGACGACGACAGGCATCAAGGACGAGAAGAACGAGCCGATGGTGACACCTAGCTTCTTGCGTGCATACCGAGCGCCTCGCCTCAAAATGCGCCGAAGGACATAGCCACGCCCAACATTGTTAGGTACACCACCGTCACTAAGCGCGAAGGTGAGGGTGCGGACATGGTCTGCGACGACCCGGTACGCCGTGTCGATTCCATCCTTGTCATCTGGGCCGAAAAGGCCCTGATAAGGCCTGACTCCGGTCAGCTCCTGGACGCGCTGGAAGATGGGAGAGAAGACGTCGGTGTCATAGTTGGAGCGCTTGTCTTGTACAACGGAGACTAGGCGTTCGAAGCCCATGCCGGTGTCGACGTGCTTGGAAGGAAGAGGTTTCAACGAGCCGTCGTCCTCACGGTTGAATTGGATGAAGACGTTGTTCCAGATCTCGAGCACGTCCGGGTCGTCCTGGTTGACGAGATGTGCTGCGTTGCGGCCTCCGATACGGTCGTAGTGAATCTCACTGTAGACGATGAGAGAGGTGCGAGCCGGGTATATGGTCAACGCACCTGCAAGGCCCGCACGGGCCCGTCGCGCCCATCTCCCAGAAGTTGTCCTTCGCGTTGCCAGGCAGGATGTGGTCCTCGGGGACACCGATATCGAGCCAGTATTGCTTGGCCTCAAGATCCGGCTCAAGACCATTCTTCGGGTCGCCCTCGAAGTAGGAGACGTAAAGCCGGTCCTTTGGTAACTTGTAGACCTCCGTCAAGAGCTCCCAAGAGTATGCGATGGCTTCTTTCTACGCAGCGTAAGTGAGGGGCGAGGGGAGTACGAACAGCAGCGCACCTTGAAGTAGTCACCGAACGACCAGTTGCCCAGCATCTCAAAGAATGTGTGGTGGTACGAGTCCTTGCCAACATCGTCAAGGTCTGAGAAAGTCAGATAGGATATATACGCGTCGATAGCCACGCACCGTTGTGCTTCCCTCCTGCGCGAATGCACTTTTGGGAGTTGTACGCGCGCTTGAGCTTGGAAAGATCGGAGTGGGGATCGACGGTGCCAAGAAAGAGCGGCTTGAACTGGGGGCAGTTTAGTGTACGCTCGGTACCATGGAGTCGCTCATCGCACCTGGTTCATGCCAGCGTTGGCAAAGAGCAGCGTAGGGTCATCGTACGGGACGGTGGGAGAGGAGCGGACAAAGGTGTGGCCCTTGGACTGGAAGTAATCGAAGAAGTCCTGCCTGACCTGGCGGGAGGACCTGTGTGGGATGGCAGCCATGGTCGTCGAGAGGAAGCGGCGGCTGTATGCGCCATTTCTCACTCCCGCCCGAGTCAGTATCGATCCAAAGAGCATAGGTCACACTCCTCTCACGTGCTCTCCAATTCCCTCCGCCTCCGGTCCGCATTTCCCTGCTCTTTTCCCCGCCGTCGCCGCCGTCGTCCTCCTCGACACCGTCATCGACGACGCCACCGCCTCGATGCCGCGCATCCCGCACAACCTCCTCCGCCTGCTTGCGCGGCCCGTGCGTTCTGCAGCGCTGCCCGCACCGGCTCACGTTGTACCCGCTGCACCTGCCGCGTCTGCTGTCGCTGCGCGCGTTACCAGCCTCTCCTCGGCGCGTGCATTCCTCGCCCCGAGCCGTCCACAAGTGGCCACGACCCCCTCCGCTATGCTTGCCTCGCTCTCGCCCTCTCTCTCGGGCATGCAGCAGCTTCGCTTCCGGACATTCGGCACGGAGTACCAGCCGTCCCAGCGCGTCCGCAAGCGGAGGCACGGCTTCTTGTCCCGTCTACGCACCAAGAACGGGCGCAGGATACTCCAGCGTCGGTTGAAGAAGGGCAGGAGATATCTGTCCCACTGAGAAGTAGCGGGCGTGTGCGTTCGATTCCCTCTTCTTCTCAGGTGTCATGTCTGATAGTTCTCACAATAGTATCCTTTAAGTACGACCACAGCTCACGTCAAATGCGCGGTCGAGGATACCTACAGACAACCATATCAATGCAAGAGCGCTGGCTGGAGGATGCACGTCGTAGCAGTCGTCGATCATTCCGCACGAGTCATTGTTAGAATTAGCACACTCTTGTATTCGACCGTCATCACACCATGGATATCATAGACGACCGCTCACTGGTGTCCCGGGAGTTTCTCGCCGTCATCCTTTGTGGCTTTGGCAATGAGTGAGTGGGGCGACAGACCCTAGTGCACTCGATCGCTCAAGCCAACGACGATCGCAGATTGACGCCGCTAACGAGCAACAACGGCGATGAGTCCTGCCCCAAAGCACTGCTCCCTGTCGCAAACAAGGCGATCCTTGACTACGTTCTCGCGTGGGTAGAGCAAGCGCGCATCCAAGGTGCATATATATCTGCGCGCGCCTCAATTTCCTCGAGTACATCCCTCATCCCCCTCAGATGTCCTCGTTATTTGCCCCACTGCACACCGCACTGCCATCTCCCACCACATTGACTCCGACATCAGCTCCTCCTCCACCGGCCTGCGCATCGATGTCCAGACCTTCGACGAGTCGCAGGACAGTAGCATCGGCACCGGCACAGTCCTCCGTCACTTCGCCAGCCGCATTCAGTCCGACTTCATCCTCCTACCATGCGATTTCATCCCCCCGCCTTCACTTCCCCTTTCTACCCTGCTTGCCAAGTTCCGCACGGAGGCACTCGCGGACGGCGCGATCGCCACTACGTGTTGGTTCGCGGGTACGAAGAAGAACGAAAAGGACAAGTCAACCACGCCCGAGGAATGGGGTCCCTTCCCCGAACCCACCGTCATCGTGTGGGACGAGTCGACAGGCACGCTCCTACACGTCGACACCCCCGACGCGATCGATGAGAACGCGGACGAGATGGAGGTTCGCATGGCTCTGCTGGACAGGTATGTGGCGCGCGCCGCGCACCGATCGTGTCTCATAATTGACTAGATACCCCCACACAAAACTCTCTGCATCCTTCACGGACTCGCACGTCTACGTCTGCAAGCGCTCCGTCCTCGACGCACTAGTTGCGAAACCGCTACTTGAGTCCTTCCGCGAAGACTTCCTTCCCTGGCTATGCAAGGTCCAATACCAGCGTGCCAAGCGCCGAAAATGGGGCCAAAGTGCGTATATCGACTCTCCAACAATCTTATCCGTCGTATTCATCTCTTCGCACCTAGCTCTACACCCCAGTACCAGTGCGCTCACCCAAGATCTCGCGCTGAGCCACTCTACCCTCCGTATCAACCCAAATCAGGGCGACGACGACACTGAGGATTCGGATATGCAAGATACTCCAGCCAGCTTACGTGTAGGGGCTGTCCTTTACAAGTCCCCACGCCCCGAAGAATATATCGCGAGAATTAACAACATTCACTCGTTCTTCGAGGCTAATCGCCAGGTAGAATGCTCGATCTTATATGCGAGACCATCTGCTGATTCACACTGCGCAGTGTCTAACGACAGCCACCTGGTCACTTCCCACCGAGCCCAAAGCCCGCTCTCTCATCGACGCGAAGGCGCAAATTTCGACAGACTCAATCATCGGTAAGTCACTCATACTGTATCATCCCAAATATCCCAAACCTAATCTCTACATCCTACCCCTTAGGCACCTCTACTCAGGTCGGCGAGCGTGCCACCATAAAACGCAGCACTATCGGAAAGCACTGCAAGATCGGCAAAATGGCCAAGATCACTAGCTGCGTTCTGCTCGACCATTGTTCGGTGGATGATGGGTATGAATGTCCGTTATATATGCGGCCGTCTTCTCTTATGGTCGCCTTCCTTCACAGTGCTAAGCTAGAAGGATGCATTCTCGGCAAAAACACCAAGATCGGCGCAAAAGCTGATCTCTCGAAATGTGTAACGCAGGCTGGCTACGAAGTCGCTGCAGCTGGTCGGTCCACGTCCCTATAGCATACCGTACAATTGCTGATCTTGATCAGAAACCATCAAAAACGAGAAGCTTGATGTTTCCGACTGGACCGCAGTGTCCGACGACGAAGACGAGGGCTTCGCCGGCTCAGGAGACAGCAGCTCAGACGACTCGAGTGGCTCAAGCAGCGAGTAAATGTACCTCATTCGCCACAATGTATAGACATCAATCCAATCGCAGCACTGCTCGAGCATCGCGAATAAAATACAGTGACAACAACAACAGTGCTAGTACGATACAAGTGTGCGAAAAACGGTAGACTACGCATTCCTCTGCCCGCCACCCATCTGGTTGCCCAAGCCCTGCGCGAACCGACCGCGACCGCCCCGCGCACCTCCTCTCGCACCCCCGCGTGTCCGCTCGCCCCGCCCGCGCCTCTCGCCCTGCGCCTGCTCGCCACGCTTCTCGCCCTTCGCGCCGTCCCCGCGGTCGCCCCAGCCCGCGCCACCGCCGAGCTTGGTGTCGAGCGTCTTCTCATTCTGGTCGACCATGTTGCCGAGCTTGTCCGACAGCGTCTGCGCAAGCTGCTGCGTACGCGAGAGCTCGATCCGGTGGAACACGACGACGCCGCCAGACTGGTCGAGCGACGCCGAGAGCTCCTCGTTCCAGATCATCTTCGACACCGTCGAGGTAACCGTCCGCAACGGGAGCGAGAAGGTCTTGGCGAGGAGCGACAAGGAGAGCGTGCTGTAGTGTGGCGCGTAGGTGAAGAGGTAGGTGCGCAGACCCTGCTCTTGTATCCTCTGCGCGAGCATCTCCATGACGGCCGGCGCGCCGGGCATCAACGCCCAGATCTTGATGCTTTGGATGAGGTCGCGGCACTTCTCCCAGTCGCCGTCCTGGAGCGCCTTGCTCGCCTGCATGATATGGTCGCGCGTGCTCTCCGGTGGGCCAGTGAACACTTGGCGGTCGGCAAAGTCGAGCAAGCGGCGGAATGGCTTCGAGATCGCCTTGCGCTTGAGCTCGTCTGAGTCAATGCTCGCCAACAAGGGAATCTCGACGAGCATGCTGGAAACCAAGAACGCGGCCTCCAGCAGCTCCGTGTTGATGTGCATGTGGAAGGGTAGTTGACGCTGCTTCTCCGCCTTCTCTTGCTCGGGCGTAAGCGTCTGGTAGCGCTGCTGATGCACACCCTGCGCAAGCAGCTCCTTGACGCGCTGCGTCGTGAAGATGTCTTGCAATGTCGACTGCGCCTCCTTGATGAGACCTGAGCGGAAGGCGCAAAGACCAAGCTGAACAACAGTGCGGTTGTACAAGATCTGCGTGGCAATGTCGGCGGAATGGATCGACTCTTGCAAATGAGACATGAGAAGCATGTCGCGTGCAGTGTAGAAGTCGTTGTGGAGGGCGTAGTGGTAGATGTGGGAGAGCATGGCGCGCGTACGCAAGAGAGAGTTGCCAGACTTGTACAAGTGAACACAGAGCGCGTGTATCAGAGCGGATATTGAGCCAGCTGATGAGACGGTGATCTTGGGCTTGACATCGGATGACTCGGCGGCAGCCTCAAGCGCGGACACAACAGGGTCGGGCTGAAAAAAATGAGATGTTGAGAATAGAGAAGATAGAGAACACTGACCTTGGAGTAGATGTGCTCCAACCGCCGCATGATAACGCGACCGAGCGGGTCGTCCTGCTTAGAAGCCTCATAGAAGGCCTCCGCGCGGCAGATAGTGCTGTAGAGAACCTTCTCGTCCTTTAACCGCTCGACATACTCCGTACCATGCGGGTCAATGTTTTGCAGCCCCTTCGTGAACTCGTCGTCCAATCGGTCGACGAAGCTGATGACACTACCGCGAATGCGAACAATACCGTCCTTCTCCGTCTCGGGCGTGCGCTCGGCCATGTCGTCGTAGTCCTCGGTGATCTCCTGCACAGAGTACGCCGGCTGGGACGCGACGATGGAGATGAGCTGGTCGACTTCCTTCTGCGCAGCGGCCCATAGCTCCGTAGGCATGTAGTTGCTGACAGAGGAGTTGTAGTCAAGGCGGGCGGAGATGAGGACGAGGAGAATGCGAATGCGCTGGTATGTGGTGACGGCGACTTCGAGCAGCTTTTCCAAGATTCTGATCTGCTCGGCGCGATCGGTGTTCTACAAGATGATTAGCAGGCGTACTCGAAAAATAGCATGATACACAAACCTTTTTACCTCTTGCCTCCTGAATGGCTTGCAGGTTTTTGAAGATCGTCTCCGGGGAGAACTGCATGCCCTTGCCACCCTTGCCGACTTCGGTAAAGCCATCATCTTCTTCATCGTCAGCAGCAGCAGCAGCCTTATTGGCCGCGCGTGCAGGGCGGGGAGCGGTAGGGGGAGCGGTGTCGCGCGCGATGTGCGCCTGGTATTCGGCTTCGAAGGCCTCGGGGTCCTACGCAACATGAGCTATGGCGTATATGGGAAGCACGATACGTACCGCCTGGTATCGCTTGACCGCATCCTCCTGCTCCTTGATAGCTTTGCGGACCTTCTGCTTCATAGCAGTCAAAGCGCGGGCGTTGGTCGCGTTCATTTTCTTCTTGGCCTCCTTCTCCTTCGCCAGGGCCTTGTTGAGGTTGCCCTCGAGCTCGACAAGGGTGCGGATGTAGAAGGAGGGGATGGGCTCGGCGACATTGCTCTGACGCTGGACGAGACGGACGAGTTTGTCGAACTCTGAAGCTGTGATCAGTACTGATGGATAGGATCGACGGGGGGCGCACCATTCGATATCGCGACCCAGTCGTTGATCTTGAGCGCGTTCTCCATCGTCTTTCCGGTGGCCTCCATCTCGAGTAAGCGTTTCTCGGCTGCGCTGAGGATCTTGCCCTTGTGTTCGTCATCGGACTCTTCGTCGGAATCCTCAGAGTCGGATTTGGCGAAGGCGTTCATCCCCTTCCCCTTCTTGGGCGCATCGCTGTCGTCGTCTTCGTCCGAGTCAGAGTCGGAGTCGCTGGATGATGAGGAATCGGATGCGGCGCCCTTGAGGAAGCGGGACATGGCTGGCTTAGCCGCTGGCTTCGCGGCGGGTGCCTCCTCGTCGGAGGACATGAGCTCATCCTCGGACGACTCGGTGTCGGAGTCTGAGTCTCCTGCCTGTCTGAAGAAGCGCGACATGGTGTGCGGGTGTGCTGGTCGCCGGGGACGATGAGCTCGAAATTTTCAGGCGATGAGGCCGGACGGTGAAGGATTTCGGCGATTGCCGATCTGTGGCGGGGCGACGGCGCGGTCGCGTGGTGCACGTGAGCAGGCGAGTCCAACGCTCGCCGTGAACGTCGCCGCTGAACTCGACAATGGCCACCCCAGGACGTCCGCGCCTCTCTGCGATCCCCACCCCAGGCAGGGGCTCCGGCATCCCGACGCCGGGCACAAGATCGCGCTCGGCATCGACGAACGCGGGCCCGTACGCGACGCACACGCCCACCGCCGACGCGGACTATGTCAGTCGCAGCCTGGCCGACGCCATCAAGGCCAACAACCCGGCCCAGCACCGTCCGTCTCCCTCTGCTACCCCCTGCGCGCCCTGCTGACGTTACAACAGGCGGTCCGCCGCGTCCATCCTCGGTCGCGTCCTCTGTCTCCTCCGTCTCCGCATCCCAGCCAGTCCAACGCTCAAAGACGCCCACCTCGCGCCCAAAGAGCCGCACCTCTGACGTATTTACGCGCAGCCACAGTCGTGCGGGCAGTCGCTCCTTTGAAGTAGGCGACACCGTCAGGTACTTCCCCGTTGCTCCCCTCCCCACCCCCGCTGACCCTTCCCAGAATAGCATCTTTGGGTTATGAGGGCACTCTGCAGTACATCGGCGAGATTGATGGAAAGCCTGGACTATGGGCGGGTGTCGAGCTCGGCGGAGGCTTCTACGGCAAGGGCAAGAACGACGGCAGCGTCAATGGGTATGCGCCCACATACTTCCACACCACAGCGCTCACCTTTTCCCAGCAAACGCTACTTTGTATGCCCTCCGAACTGTGGCGTCTTCGTCTCTACCGCCAAACTCTCACAGCCCACAACCAACCGCCCTTCATCTGTCGCCTCTTCCTACAGCGGTCGCCAGACGCCATCCTTCTCTGGGCGTGTTACTCCCTCCTCCACTCATGCCATGTCCATGTCCTATGCCACGCCCACCCCCGCCGGTCGCGGTCGCATCACTCCCAGCGCGGGTCGTGTCACCCCAGGTACTACCCCTGGAACCCGCCCGCGCGTCCCAACCCTCCCCAAGTCCGCCGCTCGACCATCCCTCGCCACGCCAAAGGTCACGGAGGGCTCCCGCGCATCAAAGTACGCATCGATGACCGCCCAGCAACTCAGCTCCCGCAAGTCAGATGCTGGCTCAGCCCTCAGTCCCCCTCGCGAGCTAGGTAGCCCTGCTCGCCTTGCTTCTCCCTCCCAGAAGTCGCGTACATCCTCCCCTACACGACCTCCTGGGTCTCCTTTCGCGACGCCAAAACCTGGATTGCCAGGTCGCGGAATCCCTGCTTCGCCTTCTTCCAAGGGCCGTACAATGACTGCACCTCGACCTCGGCTACCCAGCGCCATCGCGATGCCTCCTCCAGCTTCACCGAGTTCCTCGACCCGCTCCGTGTCCCTCAACGATAACTCAACGTCAGGTCTTCTGCGAAATGGCCGTGCTCTGCAAGACAAGATGGCTGCCTTGCTGTCTACCGATCGCCACACACCATCTCCCTCGCCCCGGCCAGACTCATCAGCCTCTGCACACTCCTCTGTGATGAACGAAGAAGTTGAACGTCTGCAAGCGCGCATCGTCGCTCTGGAATACGAGAACGAACGCTTGCGGACCGCATCTCAGGACACTGAAGCCTCGGCTTCCCGCGTCAAGTCCTTACAGGAAGAGCTCACCGAGTCGGCCGCTCGCATCGCTGACCTCTCTGGCGACCTCAGCGAGGCGAAGCGCTCCCTCTCCGAGCAAACCTCCCTGGCCGAGAAGCACGCCCGCGAGCACCAGGATGTCGTGCGGCAGCTCGAAAGCCAAAAGAATTCCTCAGAGAGCACAATCTCGTCCCTCAAGGCACAAATGGAGGAGATGGAAAGTCTTGTCGCAACGCTCAAAGACGCGGTGAAGGAGAAGGAAGGTGTGGCCAGCGAGAACGACGCGACCATTCAAGCCAAGAACGCCGAAATCGCGGCGCTCGATGCGCGTCTCAAGCGTACGCAGATCGAGCTCCAGGATGAGCGCCGAGAGCTGTCCGCCCAGGTTGACGAGTTGCGGCAGGCTGGACAGGTAAGTCGCCTCCTCTTGCATGTCAGAGATCTCTTGTGACTAACTTCATTCAGGAAACCATCGCGCTCTACGAAGAACGCCTTAGCGCCATGGACACCGAGCGCTATGAGCTCGAGAACAAGATTTCCTCCCTTGAAGCCGCCCTCCGCCGCAGCACGTCTCCCTCGCTTGCCAAATCTCACGGACCCGCAACCACCGCGGCCGAAATTGACAACGAAGCCCTCCGCGAGCAGGTCGCGCATCTGCAGCAGAAGATCGCGGCCGGCGAGGACGCGCTGGAAGATGCGCGCGCGGCCGCGGAGCGCGACGAGGAAACGATTCGGGAGAAGATGCGGAAGATCAGGGAGAAGGAGGAGGCGATGCGGATAGAGCTGAGCGAGGGCCGAAAGGAGGTAGAGCAGATGATGAAGGCGGAGGAGGCGGCGAGGAGGAGGTTGGAGGAAGTGGAGGAGGCGTTCAGGGAGAGCACGGTCGCATTGGAGAATGCGCGGGCCGAGGTCGAGGGCTTGAGAGCTGAACTTGCTGTTCGTCATTTTGCCTCAGCTAACAGATTTGCTCCTGACACTGGCCTACAGAATGTCGACGCCCTTGTTGCCAGCGGTAACTCATTGATGGCCTCCCGAAGTGGTGGTAGCATCGCCGACCAGCAGAAGCTCCAAGACGAGGTCACACGTCTCAAGGGCCTACTAGAGGAAGCCAAAGCCAACAACCAAGCCTCCGACGAAGGTCTTGAAGACATGGTTACGAGCCTTACGACGGAGAACACTACTGTATGTATTCACCTGATGCAGTACATTCCCCGCACTCACACCACCCCCAGCTCCAGGAGACCGTCGAAGACCTTCAACGCCAGGTGTCCGACTTGCGGCAGACGCTCGAAGATCGCACCGCAGAGCTAGAAAGCGTCAAGAAGAAGGCCAACCGCGACACCGCGATCAACAACGGTGTGCAAGAGTCCTCTGCCAAGTCCTCGAAGGGCGAGTCTAGCAATGCCAGGGAGGAGATCACTGGCCTCAAGTATGTTTGCACTGCTCGCTATGAGGCTCAGACTGACAACATCCTAGACACATCGTGCAAGAGTTGCAGAAGGAAGGTGCTGCCGCTGCCCAGCGCCAGCGCGCGCTTGAGTCTGAGAACCAGCTTCTCACATCTGAGATCGAACAATTGCGCCAGGTTGATCGCGTCTTTCTTCTGGTGTGGCCTATTTTCTGACTTGCTTCGCAGGAAGTCGCCATTCTCGAAGACAACCTCGACAAGAGCGTCAACATGGATGAGACGCCGCTCAGCCCCTCGCTACAGGACGTTGCCGCATTGCAGAAGGCCCTACGCGAGCAGAAGACGAAGTTCGGGATCGAGATGGACCAGTTGCGCAAGCGCGCGACCGATGCAGAGATGAAAAACACGAGAGCCATACATGATGTGAGCCATACCCTAAGTAAACCTTCCCTTGACTTACTGTGTTTGCAGCTGAACAAGGAAATTGGCGAGCTGGAGAGCCTGATTGAATCGAAGGTAAGCTTGCATCTGTTTTGCTTGGCTCGCTCTCACCTTTGCAGATATACCGTGAGGACGAACTCGAGCAAGAGATTGAGCGTCTTAACAACAAGCTCGCGCGGCAGAAGAAGAAAACAAGCGACCGCCCGCCATCGACCGCTTCCACCGTGTCGGAGCCGGCGCAGCAGGTTTGCGAGATCTGCGAACGCCCTGGCCACGACATCTTCAGCTGCGACCTTCTGAAGGAAGACAGCGGACGGAGCTCGCGCGCCTCCACCGCTTCCACCGACTTGTTCTGCGAGGACTGCGAAGGCCATGGACACACCTCAGCGGAGTGCCCTCACTCCCAGGACGTGTTCTAACGACGATGTTTGTCCAGATCTTATGGCCTGTAATTACGCCCCCGCTTGTTTCGTTCCACTGTTGCGCTTGTGATTGATTGTCTGTCTGTTGTCTCCCTGCGGATCTGTGTACATATAGATAGTCGTTGTCCACTAGTACTAGCTACATGGCGTGTTCATACCCGGCTTGCTTGTGATATCCCCCACTTCACGTCGGACATGTGCGAAAGAAAGGCGTCGACAGGCATTATGTACGTGAGGTGGATGCCGACGCAATTACGGGTAACGTGTCAGTAAGGTATAACGCTACCGACCACTGAAGAGTCCGACGGGTAGCGGAGGGCGGGGGACATGGAAAACAGATGGACAACAACGGGGAAAGGATGGATAAGAAAACGTGAACATACCACGGGGAACGCCGAAGCGATCTGCCCGCGGCACCATGCGTCGCCAGGCTCGTGTGAGGCATAATGGGTACTCAAGAGTAAGGGTATTCAGATGCAGCTCTAGATCCAGAACAAAGTGACGGTCCGAGAGGGGAAGGGGAGGCATTTATGGCTGGCGCTTCTTGACGTTCTGCGACAGCCATTGGAGACCCTCGAAGAGACCCTCGCCGGTAGTAGCGCAACTGCAGGCGAACGTGAGCTAGCGAAGGGCCCGGACGCGCGAACGGACGTACCTCGGGTGGACGTACCACGACCGGTCCCGCATTCGGTGCAACCCGAGCTTCTCTGTCACCTCTGCCGGGGACATGGCTGGAGCGCGCGCGTGAGATAGAGACCAGGCACCGTGGAAAGGAGACACGCACCGCCCGGCAGATCCTGCTTGTTCGCAAAGACGAGCAAAAGGCAGTCCTTCATCTCCCTGTCGCTCAATATCCTATGCAGCTCCTGCTTCGCTTCGTCCACACGATCACGGTCTTGGCTGTCGACGACGAAGACGAGGCCCTGGGTGCCCGTGTAGTAGTGTCGCCAGAGCGGCCTGATCTTGTCCTGGCCGCCAACGTCCCAGACGTTAAACTTGACATTCTTGTAGGTGACGGTCTCGACATTGAATCCGACTGGGACGCGTCAGCGGGGCGGGAAACGGGGCAGGGAGTGGACAACGCACCAGTCGGGATGGTTGTGACCGACTGATTGAGCTTGAGCTTGTAGAGAATGGCTGGGGCGAGGTGAGCAGACGCTGCGGGCTGTGCGCTGGCACGTACTCGTCTTTCCGGCAGCGTCGAGGCCGAGCATGAGTAGACGCATCTCCTTGTTCCCGAACAGCTTGCCTGCGACGACGACGGTGAGCTTCGGGCTGACGCGCTCAACGGTGGCAACGCACCCAACGCCTTTGAAAGATTGGCACCCATGGCTTTGAATATGGAGGTAGAAGGCTAAAAGAGCGACGGGACGGCGGGAGACCGCGGCGAGCGAGAGTGGAGAAGAGAGCGACGCTCAGAGTGAACGCCAAACAAAATCAGCGGTCAACAACCCGTGACAGCACGCCCCGGACTCGGTCACACCCTATCGCCCGGATCCAAAATCCAGCAAGTCGCATATCGTGGTAGACTAGTGGGGGTATCCTAAGTTACTGATCCCTCAAGACACTGCCTGGCTCTGGCTGAACGCCTTCAGCCATCCATCGCCCATATCCTGCTTCAGCGCCTCTATCTTCCGCCGGTACGCTTCCCCATTCAGATCCTCCCCTTCCGCCGCCGCATCCTCGCCCCCGTCCTGCGTCGGCGGCTCAAAGACGGACGCACTCGCCCGCGCCCGCCGAGCTGCTGACCGCCCCGTCAACGTCTGCGTCCCGCGCTTCCTCGACTTCGACTCCACCACCCTAGGCTCCGCCGCCCTCTCCTCGTCCCACACTCCCACCACCTCCGTCTGGTGTCTCGAATGTCGAGTGCGCGGCTGGGGTCGTACCGGCGAAGGTGCCTTGCCGCGGGGCTCCACGTCGCTTTGCGTATCTGCCACCTCCGACTTTGTCCGCGAGTGCGACTGACCCCGCGCGCTCTCCGCATCGCTGCTCCTCTCCCCTTCCAGATCCACGATCCGCTTCGGCCTCTTCTTCCGCGCGCGACCCGCCACGGCTTGCAACTGCGGCGACTGCTGGCTTGACCCCGACGGCGATGATACGCCATTCAGTACGGGTGAAGCGACTGTCACCACAGGCGGCGAGGAAGCCACTGGCGCTGACCTCGACGAGGTCATCTGCTTCGCCGGCGAGGTCGTCAGGTTTCGCCGCTCGACGAAAGAGGGAGGAGTCCCATCCAGCGTTATCGTCTTCCCCTCCTTCCAGAAAAGGTCGAAGCACGCCGTCCGGTAGTTCTCCTCGTACTCCGTAAACGGGTTGCCCTCGATGGCGATGTCCTTGATGTGGGGCAGCGGCACCAGTCGACCGACCTCTGCGCTTTCCTCGAGCAGGTTCTCCCGCAGGTCGACGCGTTCCAGCGCGGGCAGACGCTCGAGTCCGCATAGCGACTCTAGCCTATTCCGGGAGAGATTAAGGTAGAGGACCTGGCCCAGATTCTGGTAGATATGCAGGACCGAGTCAATCATGTTATCCGCCAGATTGAGTGAGACCAGGTTGTAGAGCGCGCCAAGGCCAGTGGGTATCTGTACTAGCAGATTGGACGAGAGGTCGAGGTGTGTGAGGGATGTTAAATGCGGAAGTGAATCGGCAGGGAAGAAAGTGAGGTTGTTCTCCGCCAGGCAGAGGTGCTTCAAGAACGCCCACTTGAGCGATGACAGCTGCGGCTCCGGCGACGAAGAGTGTGGCACATCCCCTTCCTCCTCTTCCGCCGCCTCCGGGACGGACTCCGGCAGCTTCGTCGCAAACGACGGCTGCCGCGACGGGCCGCGGGGTATGCGCCGGTGTCGCTTGCGGCTGGTACTCCCCTCGCGCCGCGCCTGGTCGTCGATGACCGCGCCGATGAAGACGTCAGACGCATCCTCCAACCCACTCTTCCTGATTTTCAGACTGCGCAGGCTCTCCGCCAATCTGTCCCACCCCAGCAGCGAGCGCGGATCGACATCCGTGCATTCGAGGGAATACAAATTCTTGAATGCGTCGAGGGGTATGGCATTCGTATTCGGTGGTTCATTCGCCAGCTCCGCGATGACCTTGCGGCTGGGTGGGGTGATGGAGAGCGCGGGGAGCTTGGTGAAGCAGCTGTAGAGGTACTTGAGCTCCGCGTCGATGCTCGGCGGCTCTGCGCGCCCCCACCACCCCGGGCCGAGAGACAGACCGGACATGGCGGATAGGGACGAGCGGAAGGAGGCAAGGGACAGCGTGTCCGACTTGTCGGCGTCGGGGAAGAGGTTGATGTAGTTCATCGGCCGGGAGGGGTTATCGACCGCGACGTCGAGGTTCCCGACGTCGATACCAATCCCCTCGATGCGCATGAGGACGTAGAAGAGGTGGTGGATGTCGATCGCAAGCACGAGCGGGGCCGGGGCGGCGGGGTCTGGGGCGGCGGCAAACCATGTGAGGGGGTTGATGAGGGAGGACGAGGGCGGGGCGTCGACGGTGCGGCGGCGGGGGCGGCGGAAGAAGGGCGACTCTGCGAGGCGGCGCTCGTGTGTGCGTATGAAGGCGGCCGTGCGCCGTATGTAGTCGTCCCCGGGCTCCTGCTCCATGCTGGCTGGGTGAGAGGTGGCTGCCGCCAGTCAGCCCTGTGGCGGCAACCAAGCTTCCATGCGTCATCCCCGTTTGGCACCCACCACGGATGATCTCATCACAACCCAAATCAGGCAGGACCCACACCCTCGCACCCTGACCAGAGTCTTCTGAGATGTCTGCTCCCCATAGGAAACAGTCGCATCTCTTTCTCGCGCTCACTCAAAACTACTCAACAGTTTCTAAAGTGACGAGCAACGAATCTGAGCAACGGCTGGAGTAGAGCGCCGTTTGACGCCCGAGTCAGCCACCAGCATACGTGAAGGGCTGACAATTCGAGCCGACTTCGAGCGTTCATTTTCTCTACCGAAGTTTATAAGCTAATCTTCCATCTACCATGCGTCTACGGCTTCACGGATGGGCGTGAGACTCCGCAAGGCATCTCGCATTCATTGTTCATAGGAAATCGACCGTTACACAGGCCAACGACCACGCAGATCCATGATCCGTCGCTAAACATTCTACTCGGCCCTGCGCCAGTTTTCGCCCTCACCGCGTACCCAATATGTATTTAAGCCTCCGACTTTGGCGCAGAGACTCAGCGCCTGCTCACTCCTCGCCATGTTTCCCCAGCTGAAGGATTCCTTCGCTTTCCTCCTTCCTGCCTTCCAACCCATCTTCAACTTCACCAGTGTTTCTCCTGGGCCCACCGTTGATCTTGGGTACGCCACGTACGAAGGCGCCTTCGACAGCACGTTCAACATCACCGAGTTTCTCGGAGTTCGCTACGCCGCTCCTCCGATAGGCAATCTCCGCTGGCGGCCTCCTCACCCCCCTTCTCATGAAGATGGATTGCGGCAGGCCGCCAGTCAGCCTCCCATGTGTCCACAAGCTGGGTTCTACGGGCATGCAAAGTCCGCTCCCGCTTTCATGAGAGGCGAGAGGACGGTCGAGAAAGCGACCTTGCTCGAGTACGTTGGCCGCAATCCGATCATCTACTCCGCTCATATACTTTCCTCAGCGCATGCCCATTGCACGGTATCTGCCCACAGGACATGTCGAAACCCTCTCTAGCCGACGAGGATTGTCTTCTTCTCAAGTACCCCTCCTTTGATCCACGCATTGAACGGCGTCACTGATCCTACTCTCCAGTGTCTACACCCCTGGAGACCTCTCGTCATCATCCCAAACCCAACCCGTTCTTGTCTGGTTTCATGGAGGAGGTTACGCGGGTGGAAGTGCCACCGGCTTCTTTGGAGACGATAAGTATGACGGCAAATACCCACTCGTGCGTGCAAGGGGCGGCCTCGTCGTGGTTGTCGTGCAATACCGCCTCGGAATGTACGGCTTCCTTGCCGGGAAGGAGGTGCGAGATGCAGGGGCCGCGAATGCGGGACTATGTGAGTGTTTTCCCTTCACCCCGATCGTCTTCTAACCCCTTCGCGATAGTGGATCAGCAATTTGCCTTGCAATGGGTACAAGAACACGTCAGCATCCTTTCATCGATCGTTGACACTCCTTCTGAGCATCCTCCAGATCCACAAGTTCGGCGGTAATCCTTCCGATGTCACCATCTGGGGAGTTTCTGCTGGTGCCGGCTCCGTCTACCAGCATATCGTCGCCAACGGTGGGAACACTACCCCTCCGCTCTTCAATACCGCGATCACAAGCTCGAGTTTCCTGCCACAACAGTACGATGTCGACGATGATGTGCCCGAGGTATGCATCACATCCTTGCCGCCGTGCATAGCTACTGACCCCCGTCTCCGACCTCGGCAGGCCATCTACGAGGAAGTCCTGAAGCAGACGGGGTGAGCGACGTTTTTGTTTGTGCTGGCATCGGTTCCCAACATCCGCTCATGTTGTCCTTTCAGATGTAGCAACCTAGATTGCCTTCGGAAGATCGACACGCTCAAGCTCCAGCGCCTCAACGCTGACATGGGCGTCTCGGCCTTTGCCGGTACCTACACCTTCACGCCGGTCATCGACGGCAGCTTCATCCGAGAGGCACCTGGTCTAGCTATCGCACGCGGTCGGATACAGGGAGTACGTCACGGTGTTTGCGTGTGCAATCCATCGCCCTGCTCACCGGTCATCCGTAGGCCCATCTCCTCACGGTGACGAACGCCAACGAAGGGTTCATGTTCGTCGACGTATTCAAACCAGACGATACCCTTGATACCTCCTTCTACATTCGCAATGCATGGCCCAGGCTCGCAGACGAAGAAATTGCTCAAGCCATGGACCTCTACGCAGACCTTCCCCCGGTCGAACAAGCGAGCGCGATTTACGCCGACGTCGTGTTCGTCTGCCCGACCTATCGCCTCATGCGCGCTTTCGACGAGCCCTATCGAGTAATGTCCCATACATTGCTTTCAACTTAACATCCTCACCGACAGCATTCCAGGCCCAATTCGCCGTCGAAAACGCCCTCCACGGATTCGACGCGCCCTACTATTTCCCCGACATGGCCAACCTGTTCCCCAAACTCTACCACAACGCCGATTTCGAGACCGCCTTCGCATCCGCTTTCACCAACTTTGCGCTGTACAAGGACCCGAACCGCAAGGTTGCGGAGGATGTGACGCCGGCGTGGGCGCCTTGGAGTGACGAAGCTCCCTTCGAGATGGTCTATAACAAGACGGAGGATGGCACCCCCGAAGTGCGCATGGCCAGGACCGATGGCCGTGTTTTGGAGCGATGCAAGTGAGTAGGGCTCCAGGAATGACTTTAATAGATCTGACTGGGATGCAGTTTCTGGCAGACAGTCGCGCTTCATGTAGGGCAGTAGGTCAAGGCATGCCTTAGATGATGGGACTCGCGTCGTTATACTTTGCTTCCCTTGTTCTCTGTCATCCCACTCTCACTATCGCACTTTCATCTTCACCTTCAAGTCTGGCTGCCCCTCTCGCTTACCGCTTCTGTGCGAGCAATGAACGAGGTTACTCTGATTGAGCGAGTGGACCCACAACATCCACGTGAGGACCTCCGAAATGAACGCAAGATTATCGCCAGAAAAGGTAACAAAACGGTGCGTGTACCGGTATGACGCTGAGTCGAGGGTACTAACCCTCCAGTCATAGCTCGTCATCCGACCACGCTCCCGGCGCGCTCATAAGACAAGGCCAGCTCGGACGTAGGCTCACCTCCCTTCACTCCCGCCAAATGCTCTCCCAATTCAAGGACTCGCTCACCTTTCTCCTTCCATTCTTCCAACCCATATTCAACGCCACCAGTATCCCTGGCCCCATCATTGACCTCGGTTATGCAACTTACGAGGGCGCCTTCGACCCTGTGAGCAACGTCACCCGGTTCCTTGGTGTACGCTATGCTGCGCCCCCTACTGGCGAAAATCGCTGGCGGCCCCCGCAACCTCCTCTGCACCAAGAGGGAGTACTGAAGGCGACCGAGCCGACACGCATATGTCTGCAAGGCTCTTGGGGGAATGCGAAAACCGCTCCCTCTTTCGCAAGGGGCAAGAAAACGGCGGAGAAGGTGGACCTACTCCAGCAAGTCCATAACGGTTCGTCTCTGCATGTACGCTGAACTTCGATTGTGCTAGTGCAACCGATATGCACACCGCATTTACCACCGCGCCGGCCGACGAAGACTGCTTGTTTCTCAAGTAAGTTGCCACTTCCCTCTTGCATCACTCACTGAGTTCGGCTTATATTCCTTAGCGTCTATACTTCCGGCGATTTTGAGGCGCAGGCTCGCGAGCCTAAGCCTGTCCTGGTCTGGTTCCACGGCGGCGGCTACTTCAGCGGCAGTGCGATTGGATATCACGGCAACGATGGCTATGACGGCAAATATCCTCTGAAGCGCGCGAATGGAGGGCTTGTCGTGGTCGTTCCGCAATACCGACTGGGCATGTTTGGGTTCCTTCCGGGCAAGGAAGTGCATGACGCGGGCGCTGCAAATGCTGGTCTTCGTGAGTGGTTGGCATTGGTTCATGTCGTCCTGGTAGTCTGACTGCTGCATCAGTGGACCAACAATTTGCTCTACAGTGGGTACAAGACAACGTCAGTTTCTCTCTACCTACGATGCCATCATTTTATGACGTCCTTCTTTAGATCCATAAATTCGGCGGCAATAGACCGTATTTGCACCGAGATATATCGACGGGTTTTGCATGCAAATGCCATTGCTTTCAATGGGCAGTCGGTACAGAATCTGCTGATATATCCTGGTGCAAATACGGTCTAATCCCTCCGATGTGACTATCTGGGGCGAGTCGTCCGGCGGAGGCTCAGTATATCATCACGTCGTCGCCAACGGCGGGATGACAAGCCCTGCGCTCTTCGATACTGCCATCATCAGCTCGAGCTTTCATCCTCCGGAGTATCATGTTGACGACGATGTATCCGAGGTCGGCAACCTCCCCTTTCCTCACAACCATCACTCACGGCTAAGTAGGCCATCTACGACGAGGTTATGAAGCAAACTGGGTAGGTCGTGCATCTATCTCTTCTATTCGCCTTGCTAAGGGGTTTCAACAGATGCAGAAACTTGGACTGCCTACGAAAAATCGACGTTACTGTGCTACAGATGCTGAACCTGGACATGTGTGTTTTGGCCTTCAGCAACACGCATCCATGCGCTCCTGTCATCGACCGCACCTTCGTTCGAGAGGCTCCCAGTCAAGCTGTTGCTGAAGGCCGGGTCAACGGGGTAACTGTTACTTCGAAGACCCCCAACATATCGCTCTGATCCTGCCTTTCAGAAGTATCTAATGGCAGTGACCATCGCCAACGAAGGCGAGATGTTTATGACTGTATTCCGGCAGTCCAACGAAATCTTTGACATCCCCTTCTGGCTGCGCAATACATACCCCAAGACTACGGACGAGGACATTGAACGCGCCATATCCCTCTACGCCGACGTCGATCCCATCGACCAAGCGCAACTAATGTACGCTGATATCACCTTTATCTGCCCGACGTACAACATACTGCGTGCGTATGACAAGCCGTATCGGGTCCGTGTCTTCGCTGCCGTTACAGACGCCGTACTCACGCATTTACAGGCCCAATTTGCCGTCGATCCCGCCCTCCATGCTTTCGACATTGGCTACTACTTTCCCGACTTCTCCAACCTTTTTCCCAAGACCTACGACAACGATGAGTTCGAAAACGCCTTCGCTTCCATCTTCACCAACTTCGCGCTTGCGAAGGATCCGAATATAAAGGTCGCAGAGGACATCACGCCCGCCTGGGCACCATGGACCGAAGAGGAGCCTGTCGAGATGATATTTGGCGCGACAGAAGATGGCGCTCCCGACGTGCATGCTGCCACTACCGACAACCTCGTCCTTAAACGGTGCAGGTACGTTAATACCCAACTTGAGATGAACCTGGAAGTTGATTGTGGAGTAGCTTCTGGCAGAGCATCGCACCGCACGTCGGGCAGTAGTGTAGTATGGCCGTTACTTGCCAGGCAGGCAATGTAGCCACTTGACAGGGGTCTGAGGATTGATTTTTTGGATAGATAGCATTCCATGGTGATCCGTATGAGAAGGAAACGGTGAAGTACCGGCATACTCGGAAATGGTCAAGAGAGGCTAGTCATTGCATACATCCATATGGACCCATACAGTAACAAAGGGAGCCAGTCGGCAATCACCGGTCGTGCTTGGTCATCGACACCGACCACAAAGTTGACACCTTCGCTCTCCCGCGCGACGCTGACTCTCGACATCTCTGGTACTCTATCACGAACAATAGATACCCTTTGAACTCTGCCGAGGTTCATGCTGCTCGGAAAACCAAACCAACAAAACCTGGATACGCGATTGCTGAATAGGACGCCCTCTTCCGCGCTTCCGGCCACCTATGCTCAATCACCCAACTACGAAACGAGGACATCCAGCTCGCTTGAGCTTCATCTATCCCCCGGGAGGACCTGTCAGCCTGGCGCTCGGGCCCTCTTGACTGCTCACCGAGGTTTTTGCTCCGCGGCCCCGACACAACCTAAGCCTCTGTCACTGCTGACGGTCATCTCTCATCGTCATGGTATCTAATCATCGGATAGCCACGCTCAGAGCTGAACGCAGCTCGTCACGAGATCGCAGCGCGAGAAGTTCCAACGAGGTCGCAGACGCCGAGCGAAACGCCCGCGACTGCATTTTTCGAACATCTCCTACCTCTATTTCAGCGCCTATCGCTCAGAAGGCATGAAACGATGCTTTCACATCAGCAAACATAATTTAGTGCTATAATCGGGGACATCCGAACGCCTTCTGCAAGACGTATAATATCCTATCGAAGAATTCATGGATATTACACCCGGAGGCCCAGGGGGCATTTGCCGAGGGATCGCGGGGCACCCTGCGGGTGCCCGCCCCCATTCCATGTCTTTCCACTGTATTGCAGCTCGCTCATTGCACAGCTCAAGCATCGGCGATGAAGCCTCCTCCGCGCATTACTCAGCATTGCATGCTAGGCTGATTAACTGGCCATAGCGACAAGCAGACGCAATATCCCTCGACGAGTGACCGACTCGGGGACCCCTGATATATACCCAGAGCTCGCAATCGTCAATTAACTCCGGCAGTGCACCTCAAACCTTCTGCCGATCCATCAATGCTCTTTCAGTACTTCTCCCAAGTTGTCTTCGCTGCCTTTGCGCTCGCTCGGCCCACGGTCGACCTCGGATATGCCACTTATGAAGGTGTATGCGATGGCGACAGCAATACGACGCACTTCCTAAGCGTGCGCTACGCTGCTCCGCCGACGGGGGATCTGCGGTGGCGTCCCCCTCAGCCTCCGCTACTCCAGTCCGGAGTGCAGCAAGCGACTTCGCAGCCGCCGATGTGCGTACAGGACCCTCGGGGTCAAGCTACGTCTGCTCCGCCTTTCGCGCGTGGCGAGAAGACGGATAAGAATGACACCTTGCTTGAGTACGCCTTCTTCCTTGATTTTCTGAGTTTTCCTCCTGACCTAGCTATCTAGTGCATGCGCCTTGCAGGGGATCTGTCCATTGAACGATCCTACGCCACCCGCAGATAGTGAAGATTGTCTCTTCCTGAAGTAGGCCTGCCGGATCCGTCTCACTGAAGACATGCTCATCATGACCGCTCCAGCGTCTGGACTTCCGGCAACTTCGAGGCGCAGACGAACACCAGCAAGCCCGTCCTCGTTTGGATTCACGGCGGAGGCTACGGATCTGGAGGCGCAACAGGCCTCGCGGGCGTCGACGTCTTCGACGGGAAATACCCTATCCTTCGCGCTCAAGGCGATCTGGTGGTCGTCGTCATCCAATATCGTCTTGGGATGTACGGCTTCCTCGCGGGCTCAGACGTTCAGGCAGCAGGTGCCGCCAATGTTGGACTTCGTGAGTGCATATCCATGGCCGGTGAGCCCGTTACTCATTCGCGTACAGTCGACCAGCAGTTCGCCTTGCAATGGGTTCAGGAACACGTAGGTCGCCATTTCCGTGAATGAATGCCTCTTTAACTTGCGCGTAGATTCACAAATTCGGTGGCAACCCATCCGACGTGACCATCTGGGGCGAATCAGCCGGAGGTGGGTCTGTCTCCGAGCACGTCCTCGCCAACGGCGGAAAGACCTCTCCCCCGCTCTTCACAACGGCCATCACGAGCTCGGACTACTTGCCTCCGCACTACGACATTCAGGACCCTATCCCCGAGGTAAGCTTATACGGACGCAGTGTCATTGGATGAGCTATTCACGCGAGGCAGGCTATCTACGACGAGGTCATCAAGCAGGCTGGGTGCAAGTCGGAGGCCGACGCGCTCGAGTGTCTCCGCAAGACAGACGATGCCGTGTTGCGTCGTATCAACGCAGACGTCGCCATCTCTGCCTACTCGGATGTTTACATCTTCATGCCCGTCGTCGATCACACTTTCGTCCAGCAAGCACCGACGCAGGCGATTGCTCAGGGCAAAGTCAATGGCGTACGTGATCAGCATACTCGCAGACGCGTACATGCACTTACCGTCAGGCCAGAACCACCTCTTGTCGGTTAACAATGTGGACGAAGGAAGGATATTCATAAACGCAACCCGCCTCGGTGGCGATTCCTTCGATGCGGCAGAATGGCTTCAAAATACGTGGCCACGGCTTACAGACACCGAGATCGCGGGTGCCCTTGCGCTGTACTCCGAGCTTGCGCCTCTTGAGCAGGCCATCAAGATCGACGCCGATGTGGAATTCAACTGTCCTACCTTCTCCCTCATGCGTGCCTTTGACAAGCCGTACAAGGTATGCCCGTCAGCAACCCACCGCCGATTCTTGCGTTTGACTGAGCATTACAGGCTGAGTTTGCTATTGACAACGCGCTGCATGGCTACGACTTACCTTACTACTTCCCCGACGTTGGAAAGCTCTTCCCGAAGTCGTACAACAACACCGACTTCGACACCGCGTTCGCGTCCGCATTCACGAACTTCATCCTGGCGAAAGATCCGAATGTGAAGGTCGCTGCGGACATCACGCCCGCATGGCCGTCCTGGAGTGACGAGGCGCCGCTCGAGATGGTCTTCAACAAGACGGAGGATGGCGTCCCAGATATACAGGTCAAGAGTGTTGACTCGAAGCTCTTGGAGCGGTGCAGGTATGTCTATCCAGTGCTACCTGTACAAACACGATGCTGACGTCGAACAGTTACTGGCAGAGCATCGCGTCTTCGATTGGACAGTAGAGTATATGTTGTTGCATCTGTGGACTGGACAAGTTAGATAGTACTTGGTAATCAGAGGCTTTGCGTTGGACATGAGCGTGCGCCACATAAGAGTTGAGAGCAAGGATTGTGTTTGCGTGTGATTGCCAAATGATGTGACGCGCGTCAGGTCCAGCGGGGCAGTCAGCTTCTTGTCCACCAACCACCACCATGAAGATCACAGTAAAGACAACCCAGCAGAAGGTCTTCCAGGTATATACCCCGGGTGCTCTCCCTTGAGCGTACCTCATATCATCTCAGATCGATGTCGAGGGTCCCGAGACCGTCGGCGTGCTCAAGCAGAAGATCTCGGACGCGCATGGCCACCCAGTCGCGTCCCAGAAGATAATTTACTCCGGTAGGCTGAACAATTTCCTCCAGCAAGCATTCCTGATGGGCTGGCAGGTAAGATCTTGCCCGACGACAAGACTATCGAGTCGTGTGGGATCAAGGAGAAGGACTTCCTCGTGCTCATGGTATCAAAGGTGCGTACTCGATATGTCCGTACAGCTACTCATAGTGAATGTGCCCAAGCCCAAACCTACTCCCGCGCCAGCACCCGCGGCCGCTGCACCCTCCACTTCTACTCCTGCTGCTGCACCCGCCTCAACACCCGCTCAATCGACGCCGGCACCTGCTGCCGCACCCGCGGCTGCACCTGCGCCTCAGGCTGCCACCCCCGCTGCAAACGCACCTGCCTTCGGCGATATGAGCTCGTTCGTGACGGGTAATGTCCTCCAGGAAACTGTCAACAACATGACCGAAATGGGCTTCCCCCGCGAACAAGTGCTACGTGCCCTCAGGGCAAGCTTCAACAACCCCGATCGCGCAGTGGAGTACTTGATGAACGTGCGTCACGTTCGTCTCGTCATCTGCATACTTCTGATCTGCCTCCCAGGGTATCCCCGCACACCTTGAGGCCGAAGCCGCCGGCCCCGCTCGCGCTGCTCAGCCAGCACAGCCAGTAGCAGGCAATGCACCCGCTGCTGCCGCACCTGCCGCTGCCCCCACCTCTAACGCGCCACAAAACCTCTTCCAGCTCGCCCAGCAACAGCAGCAAAGTCAAGCCGCAGGTGCTGGTGCAGGCGCGGGTGCCGGTCTCGGTGCCGGTGCCGGAGCCGCCGCACCAGGACTGGACCTCGCCGCGCTGCAGAGCAACCCGCAGATCGCGCAGCTGCGTGAGCTTGTGCAACAAAACCCAGCGCTTGTGCAGCCTCTCGTCCAGCAGCTTGCGCAATCCAACCCTGCGATTGCCCAGGCGATCATTCAGCATCCTGAGGCTATCATGCAGCTGTTGGGTGTCGACGGTGATGACTTTGACGGCGACGATGACATGAACCCGCCGCCGGGTACTCACGTTATGCACGTTACGGAGGAGGAACAGGCCGCGATCCAAAGAGTATGTTCATCTTCACCGACTCATGCATATCTTCTGACGATCTGCAGCTGGAGGCTATGGGCTTCCCCCGTCAGAAGGTTATCGAGGCATACTTTGCCTGCGACAAGAACGAGGAGCTGGCGGCGAATTATCTATTCGACAATGGGTTCGAGGATGATGACTAGTTGATTAGCTGTAGGGAACTTGTATGTATAACCGCGAGTGTATTGTTGATAAACGCCAGCTGTACCATACACCGTTGAACCTCATCTTGCGTGATTATGATCCGTCTATATCGCCAGCAACCCAACGAGTTTGGTTCTACTGACTGCTAAACGAAGGGTATGCTCAATGATAGCGACGGCATGTATATATACAAGACAACAAAGCGCAGATGATAGATAGACAGTGAACCGCGGAGAATAGATAGACAATAGAGCACATCGAAAGCAGATGATAGCAGACATTCACAAGCGATGAGCAAACGCAAGAGTTTTCGGTCAGTCAAGCCTCAACTCGACTCGCACTTGTAGCACCTCCGCATCCAGCTCAGCTGAACCATGATGCAAATTTTCCTCAACCACATCCCGCATCCCTCACCCGATCCAATCCAATCCAATCCACTCAGCGACCAATCCACTCAACGACCCGGCGTTCCCGGCGGCGACGCAACATACAACACTAATGAAAACAATATCAATGAGCCAGCCTGTCCACAACGTTCTCCCCATCACTGCGACTCTCACCCTCGCCCTCGTTCGCCCTACTCGCCAGCGGCAGGCGCGCGACGCGCGTCATGTGCGTCTTCGGCCGGCCGTCGATGGGGACCATGACGGACTTGTAGCTGTCGAGCTCTTGCAGGAGCGCGGCGTGCTTGTTGAGGAAGGCCTCGCGCTCGGCGCGGAGGCGGGCGATTTCCTGAGGGGTGAGAGGTCAGCGGCGCGGACTTTGAGGTGGGAAGAGTTAGACTGACCTGTCGTGCACCGTGGAGCTCGTTCCGGATCTTGTCGACGTAGACGATGCGCTGGGAAGGATTGCCGTGCCCAAGGATGTCAGCGTTCGCCTTCATGAGCTGCCGTGCCTCAGCCTCCGCAATCTCATTGCGAGAGGCAAGAACATGCGCCTCCTCGACAAGTTGCTCATACGCATCCTTGTACTCGACGGCCTCCTCCAACTCAGCAGTAAGCCTGCCGACGTATCAGTACAACCCTCACACGACTCCCAAGAACCCCCACTCACGCATTGATCTTCGCCCTCAGCCCCTGCTCCGCCTGCCTCGTCTGCTGCAGCGACGTGTTCATCCGCTGCGTCACCTCCCTCTCCCGCGTCACCGCCTGCAACTGCCTCGCCGACGCCGCGCGCGCCTCCGCCTCCGCCACGACTAACCGCGACTCCGTCTCCGCCTGCGCCTGCACCAGCCGGCCAACCTCCGCCTCCACGGTGCGCACTTTCGAGGCCGCCTCGTCGCGCTCCTTGCGAACCTCCGAGAGGTCCTTGCGCAAGGCGAGGATGTCGACCTCGTCGATGTGCAGGATCATGGACTGCACGAGCGTCTCGCGGTCCGCCAGGGCGTAGGCTACGGCGGTCTCCTCGCGGAGGACCTTCTCGTAGGCGTGGAGGAGCTCGCGCGACTTGACATCGACCTCCGCGATGCAGCGCTGCGACTCGGCCTCCTCGTCTGCGATAGCTCGCATGACGGACGCGATATCTGCAGCCACCTCTGGGGTATATGAGGTCGCCCCAGCGTCTGCGAGAGATTGCTGCGTGAGGGAGATCTCGGCCTCCGCTTCCGCCACTTGAGCCTTGAGCATCGCATTGTCGGTCTTGACTTGTCGCACCAAGTACGCGAGCTCGATGACCTGGCCTTCGGAGTTGGCAAGCTTCCGTTGAAGGCGCTCAAACTGAAAGGCGGCGAACATAGCATCATGGCGCCGAGCATCCTCGATTTGCCGTTTCGCGCGCGCCAGACGGGCATACTCCTCGCTGACCCGCGCAACGAGGGCTTGATGCTGCTCGAGCTGCTCGAGGATGTCCTCTTCCCGAGCCTCGCACTCCTCGCGGACTTGTTCGGCGGATTCCTGCGCGGATTTCGCGTCGGCCTCCAGCTTCTGTCGCTCGGCCTGCAACGCCTTAGCCGTCGCTTGCGCAGCATCGCGCTCGCTCTCCGCCTTTCTCAAGGCCTCCTGAAGCTTGGCCTCCGCCGCGTCCCTCGCCTTCTTCTCTCGCGAAGCGGCCTTTTCCAGCTCCTCTATCCGCTCGTCGCGCTCGCGGATCTCCTGCTTTCGCCGAGTCTCCAGTGAGTGCAGCGCCTTCTTGAGCTCGCCCGCATCCCCTTGCCGTTGCGTGATCTGCTGCCGCTCGTGCTCGGACACACGCAAGCGCATGCGCAGCTCCTTGACCTCGGCGTGCTCGGCTAAGGATGCCTTTCGCTGGTCTTGAAGTTTGGCATCAAGGGCTTCGATCTGCTTCTTCTGTTTGTCAAGGCGTTCCGTGAGATCGTGATTGGCCTTGTTTGCGCGATGGAGTTCAGAGGCATGCTACAAGAAGGGTTAAGTTGACGTAGAAAGAACGATGTTGCAACGCACAGCCTTCTTCGAGTCCTGATGTAGCCTTTCTAGTTCTTCAAGCTTGCGTTGAAGTACCAGGAATCGGCCATCCGGAAGTGGTGTTGTTGTTCGCTTCATCGACTTTACTCGCTGTCGTGGGGGAGGCTCTTTCGTGCTGCTTGACAATGACGGTGGTATAGGTGGTAGCGGGGGTAGCTCTGTTCAGGCGTTAGACTCGATAGGAGGATTGAATGTATCACGACGCACCTGTGCCTTCAGGCTGATTCTCGTTGAAGCGATCCGTCTTTTCCAAGAAAGCGCCACGCTTATATCCGTCCAGTTTAGAATCTGCTCAGTGGTCAAAGGGTATCCGGCAAGAGTTCTTCGGAAAGCGCCACCTGTATCGACATTGTATGCGCCAGGGCCGGGAACTCCCGAATCTGTCGTCAAGGTCAGACACGAAAGGCGACAAAGAGCTTGCTGGCAAACCTTTGACATGCTCGAACCGTGCTCCTCTGGGGAACATGGTGAGCGTTGGGCGGGATAGGTGTAAAGGTGATCAACGTCAGGGTCAACCAACAGCGCGTTCTGTCACGTGGCCGTGCTGTTACAGGCGCCATCAAAAGTTCCGTGTTCAAGTTCGAATCCTTGCCCTCGACAACTCAGTTGTTCAAGCGATAGCAGACATAGTCACCAATGAGCAGCATAGAAATACATATACTTCAGATGGAGAGTTTTCTAATACATGAATAAGAGGTGTATATACGGCGAGTCCTTCAGTGTGCGATGTGCATGTGTCCATATTTTTGCGCTGCTCTCTACCTATGCTTACTGGCCAACAGAGGGCCCAATGCTCTGCCAGAAGCTACCTCACATCAGCTTCCTTTTCAACATAACGAGGAATGGCATACCACATACCTGCATCGCTCCAAAACCCGCTCGTCCGTACGCGATGCGCGCACATCAGGAACGTCGTTCTCCGTCTTGTTGAAGATCATCTCGACGGTGCATTCGTCGCTCCAGTGTGCCCACTCCGGCGTCAGATCCTCGCCGACCTTCACATTCGGATCTTTCGAGAGAGCAAAATTGCTAAATGCGGACGCGAAAGCGGTGTCGAAGTCGGTGTTGTTGTAGGCCTTGCCAAACAGATAAACGGTGTCGGGGAAATAATAAGGGAGATCACGACCGTGCCAGGCATTGTCAATGGCGAACTCAGCCTGATCGAGCTGTCAGTCTGCCTTCATTAGCCAAGCAGTACAGGGCGCACCTTGTACGGCTTCTCGAAGGCCCGCATGAGCGGGTAGCTTGGGCAGAGGAATATGATATCGCCCATTATCGTGGTAGCCTGGTCGACGGGCGCAAGATCGTGATACTGTGTGAGGGCTCTCGCAATGTTCGAATCCGTGAGCTTGGGCCAGGCGTTCTTCAGCCAAGAGGTTGTATTGAACGCGTCGGGGTCGCTGGTGTCGACGAACAGGCTGCCCTCGTCTGCGTTGTTTACCGCCAGAAGGTGATTCTACATGGGCCATGAGCATCTCCCTACGCGCGCCTAGATAGCGTTTACGTACCCCATTAACTCTGCCCTCCTCAAGTGCCTGGCTAGGAGCTTGCTGGATAAAACAGTGGTCGACGACTGGCACGAACAGGAACGTCCCGTAGAACGCAGACACGGCCATGTCCGCATTCACACGTCGCAAGACAGAAGCATCGGCATCTCGAAGACAGTCAAGCGCATCCGTCTCTGGCGCACACCTAAACGAAATCAGTATGCCACCACGTCGCAGCTAAGCTATATTTCGCACCCAGCCTGCTTCACGACCTCGTCGTATATCGCCTGCATGCGCGTAAGCGTTTACTACTTTCAGCCGTGCACGCTACGAAGACCAACGCGCCTCCGAGATAGGATCCTCCACATCGTATTGAGGCGGTAGATAGTTCGAGCTGACGATGGCCGTGTCGAAGAGGGCGGGCGATGTCTGTCCGTCGTTGGCTACGATATGCTGGTATACGGACCCCGCGCCTGCCGATAGGCCCCAGATGGTCACGTCTGAGGGGTCTCCGCCGAATTTGTGGATCTATGAGCAGTGTGAGTGAGATGCAAGAAGAAAGCAACAAGGAGCTACGTACATGCTTCTGGACCCATTGCAAGGCGAACTGCTGGTCCACTGGGCTCGTAGTCAGTAAGAGGAGTGGCTGGCTGTGATCATTGCTCACGCAGCCCAGCATTCGCAGCCCCCGCGTCTCGTGCGTCCGCTCCTGCCAAGAACCCATACATCCCCAGTCGATATTGAACCACGACCATGATCAATCCACCCTTCGCTCGTTGCAAGAAAAACCTCGCGTCGTTTGCGTCGGGGCCGCTCAAGCCTGTCCCACTTCCTTGAACGTAGCCACCGCCGTGTATGTAGACGAGCACGGGCTTGCGTTTACTTGAATGAGCCCTAAACTTGCCGGGAGTGTATACACTACAGTGGAGATGAGGCCTTCAACAAATGCACGAAGAGCGTAGCAGACGCACTCGAGAAAAAGACAATCCTCGTCATCTATGACCGGAGAAGTGCCATCGTTCGGGCATATACCTTGCAGAGCGCACGCACTGGTATGGACCATCGTCAAAGCTCAGCCAATGAATACAACCTCGCAAACAACTCACTCCAACAACGTCGCATTCTCCGCCGTCTTCTCCCCACGCATAAAAATTGGAGCCGCCGCCGCCAGCCCCACTGACCCCTGCACACACGCCAGAGGTGGTACTGTCGCTTGCTGTACCCCCAACTGCGGCACCGGTGGCTGTGGAGGCCGCCAGCGCAGCTCGCCTACAGGCGGCGCCGCATACCGCACGCCCAAGAACGACGTCGAGTCGCTCGCGCTGTCGTACGCGCCCTCGTAGGTGGCGTAGCCGAGGTGGACCGTCGGGCGAGTTGCGGAGACCGCAGTGAGGGTGAGTAGGAGGTTGGAGAGCAGTAGGATGAGCATGGGGTGATTGGAGGTGCTGAGCTCCGCCCTCAACCCGCCATTAGTTATACTGTCAGTGAGGCTACTATCCCGTGCAAGCGAGAAGCCGCTCTGGTATCCGGGTGGCAGGCCTCATCAACTTACGCGTCACATCGGTGGATATAGACGGCATGAGGGTACGGGTCCGACGGTAAAAGCTCTGCGATGGCAGGTCGTTGAGACTGAATGATGATTGCTCATCCGACAGCCTGGCGAGGATCCGGCCCCATTTTGTGCGACCCAAAATGAGCGTCGTACTGAGTAACGTATGGTCATTGCGGGAGCAAAGGGTAACACTGTAAGGGCCCTTGAAGCCTGCGGCAGCGCTCAGCGAACATTGACATGGGAAAGCACGTATAAGACATACAATGTCCATCGTGCATCGGCCTCGCGCCAATAGTGGTACCAATCCTGCATCATGACAAGGCGCACGATGAACGCGGGACCTATGCGCAGATGGTGCATGACGAGGGTGAGGAATTGAAGTAGAACACCAGAATCGCATGTCCGGCGCTGGAATGCTCGGAAGCGGAACCTGATGCTCACCTGCTAGTGCGCTAAGTGCGATCACAAAGGGAGTGCAGGAGCATAGAAGTCATTGTGTGTATTTGCATGTCGTGAATGGGGGATTGGTGTCTCCAGATATTAGCAACTATTATACAGCTGTAGGGTATTACCGGCCTCTTGCGCGCGCGCATCAGCCGGCCTTGGGCGCGTCGGGGGGCGGCGGTGCGTCTGCGGTTGGTGCAGGTCCGGATGGTGGTTGGCCAGCTTGACGCTCCGCCTCTATACGTTCCCGTGCACGGACGACCTTGGACTGGAGGTAGTGTGAATGGGAGGGCGGCGCCAGCTTCTTCCCGCGGACGGGCTTCTGCGGCTGCGCGGGGGCCTCCTTCGGAGAGTTCATCTTGAACAAGTGTTCGTAGTTCTGATGACGGGGTCAGTGAGCGCGAGCAACTTTCACGCCGAACCACGCACCTTCAAAACCTGTTCCATCTCCGCCTCTCGCTTGACATTGAGTATGAGCTCCGCCTCGTCCAGGGTCATGCGGTGTTGCCGCGTCAACTGGTCTGTTATTGACTGCGACGTTGCGTTCTTGAGACCCGCGACGTCCCCTCCAGCCACCGCCTCGGGTGTATATTTCGCATCTATCCGTCCCCGTCAGCACGAACGCGTCTGCACGGCAGAGTTGACGCACTTTTGATAGCCTGCTGCGCCCCAGCGCGTAGTGCCCTGCCAAAGATGACCGAGCCGCTGATGAGGATCTGAATGAGGGCCTTTGGGGATGACATGGACGGCGGCGGCTGGATGCGGGCGACGAGCGAGCGGACGTCGGGAAGACAGAGGGCGATCGATCACGTGGCCAACTTTCCAAAATTTCCGGGCCTGCTCGCCGACCTCGCACTTGTCCCCGCCGCCATGGCCCCCGCGACTGACAAGAAGCGCAAGCACGCCGCAGAAAATACCTCCCCACACAAAAAGGCGAAGAAGGATGAGCCACCCAAGAAGGACAAGGGCAAGGCGCGCGCCACTCCCGCCGACTCTGAGTTCCAAGTCGTCAAGGCTTCCCTCGTCATCTCCATCCCTCCCGCTTTCACTGCCGACCCTTCGCGAGGTGCGCTTGAGATGCTAGACTCGATGGTCATGAGGTGCGCTATCACCCATCCGCGTCGCGTCCACCCAGTCACCTCGATCTCACAGATACATACCAGCCTTCCAAGGCGTCGTCCTCTCTCACTCCCACCTCGAATTCCTCTCCCGCGCTGCCCAAATCCGTAATGAATGTCCCTTCCTCGTCTGCAAGATTGGCTTCAGCGCCACCGTGTGGCACCCGCATATAGGGCAGAAGCTAGGTTCGTCCGATCACACTGTGCGCGTCTATCCTGCTAACGGAAGCATAGTTGGCAAGATCAACCTGTCATCTCCCGACCACATATCCCTCCTCCTCCACCGCACCTTCAACGTCTCCATCCCACGTCGACATATACCCGAAGGCCAATGGGAGTTTGAGTACGGCGCTGCAGAGAACGATCCCGAATTTGGCCCCGCTGCTGCAGATGTAGAAGCGGACGAAGACGAGAAACCAGTCGAAAGTGACACGGGAGGCCGATGGGTGCATCATCTGACGCGCGAGCCATTGGGCGGAGACGCGAAGTATCTATCCTTCACCGTCATTGGGTACGTGGAACCTCGTTTGACCTTCAGCCTAATACTGATATCTTATAGCTTGACCATTGCAAACGACATGCTATCACTCATCGGCTCCATACAACCAGACCCTTTCGATCCTCGCCACGATGCCGCCCCTTCGCGATCACAAGAAGTCGAAGACGAGGAGGAGGATATTTCCGCGGCACCGTTACGCGCTTCCCCATCTGACGATGAGGACGCCGGCGTAGCGAAGGTGGACCGGGAAGAGGAGGAAGATGCCGAAGGTCTCTTACAGAAGCTGGGTCGGGAGGCCGACAAGGTCGCGGCCAAAGCAGCCAAGAAGGAGAAGAGAAAGAAGGACGGGGAGAGCAAGAAGGAGAAGAAGCGGAGACGCGAGACGGAGGCCGCACCAGAGGCAGCGCCTCAACCAGTTGAAGGGAAGAAGAAGCGGAGGAAAGGATCAGCCTTATGATTCTCTCCCTCATCATCCCTTTCATTGTCGTCTTACTGCTCGCTCTGCATTTCCCTACTATCTATCCTATCACGGCCTCACGTTCTCCTCCACATACGCCGCAAACTTCCGCGCAATACTGCCCTCGCTCCAATCCACCGTGCCCTTCTCCGTCGTACCCAGCGTGATCGCCTTCTTGTGCACGGTAACAAATTGGCGCTTCAGCCGCTGCAGCTCGGGGAGCGTTACGGTGCGAGGAGGCAGCCGTAATTCCACTTTGTCACTCAACCCTGGTATGGCGAGCGAGATCTTTCCCCCAAGACCGTCCACCACGCTCGGATGTGTTGAGATCGCCGACACGAGCGCCGTCGTGGTCTGTTCCAGCGCTTGCAACGCAGACGTTGGCGCTTTCACGACCTGCGTGAGCGTCAGCAAACCAATCTCCCACTCATCATTATGGTGCGCATTCACTCACCGCCTGCGTCCCCGCATTCGGTGGCTTCACATTCCCATGCGTCGCCGCGTCCCATATCCTATCCATCGGCAGCTCCTCGTCCGTCCAGGTAATCGTGAACAGAGGCGAGTCCCAGCGGACCATGGACGAGGGCTCCTCGAAGCGGGCGATCATGTTCTCGAGGCTGAAGTGGTGTAGAGTGTCAGTGGTTAGATCAGAACCCATTACGCAGAGGGGACGTACGTCTCAGGCGCGTAGCGCTGCTCCTCTTGCCGTGCTTCATTCCTTGATCGGCACACATCTGCAGTGGCCACCGTATAGAGCTACTTCTCGAGTGGGGTGTAAGCGTGGCTACTTGAGCAAGTGAAGGGGAAGCGTCGGTATTGCATGTGAGAAGAAAGAAGGATCCGTGGATGCAAGGATGGGTATAGTGATTAGAGGGGAGGGGAAGGGAGGCGCGAAGATCACAATGCTCAGAGACTACGCACAGTGCACACCCTCAACTTCGCCTCCCTTGCCGCGCAGTACATCTGGTACCGAAAGCCCTTGATGTAGTTCGGCGCGTCGACAATCAAGATCGTGTCCTGGTTCATATTCCGTTGCACAGCGGTCAGAAGCGCGCCACGCGCAGGCTTCTCCGAGCGGCTGTCTGTGAAGAGAACATGATTGAGGCGTGCCATGGAAGGTGTATGCAGGGGGAGAGGGCATAGGACTGTTCTTGTATACGGTAGGGGATGTATCTGGGCACCACTCACCATTATATGCGCTCCTCGGAATGCTCAGGCTCTCATCGGACACAATGACTACTCGCAGTGCTGGTCCCTTGTACTCCGGATCTTGTAGCCTGCGCTCGAAATCGTCCTTAACCTTCTGTGCTACTGTGCTCTTGCCTGAGCATGGGTAGCCTGAGATGGTGATGAAGGCCATGGATGTGGGAAAGATGAGTAGTGATCGGTGCCCGATCGCGACTGGCAAGGACGTTAGCGCCCATTATCCTCGAGCTCAACTTCGGTCAAGGATCCCTCCTTCATCGACCACCTCTAAGCAGCAGCTTGACTGGATAACTGAGTCGATCCAGACAGTCCGCCGCAAGGCAGGGCAGCTTTCTCAGCAAATCCATACTTGTCTTGCAGAGGCCGCTCAAGGATGGAAGCTTGATGTGACTCATCCACGACTTCCATTTCATTATGGTGCAAAATCCATTGTATTCTGCTACTCGACTGCACTATATACCAATCCCTCAGACGCGTCGTCTTCACTGGGCAGAGAAAAGAGATGAGGAGAGGGTGGGGGTTCCAAAAATTGCTGGAAGCCGAAGCAACCAGACGGGTCGGAAATTAATTTGCAATCAGCAAAAGACGCTACCTCAGTCGGAACTTCACTGGTGAGCGTACATGCCCGAGCACAAAGATGGGGATCCGGGATGCGTGGGCTTGGTCTATATATTGAGAAGTACGCCGCACGGACCAGGCGGCGGTCGGGCCGAAGCGCGGTGCGTCACAGTGACTCTACGGTCCGACTTCAACGTGAGCAACTTCAAGTTCAGCTCTGGTTCGGCTTGTCAAGGTCTTGTGCGCACACTCTCCTAGCATCGTGGGATCGATTGTACACGCTGTCAGCTCGCAAATAACCCAACAGCCGCTGATGTATGTCTTGGAAATAAGAGGACGCAAGAAGAGCGCCTCCGACCAGCGCGCCTGACGACTTAGTTGAAGTTCATGTGGGGATATCGGCATACTATGGACTTGAGCACACCAGTACGCTTGAGCGATTATATTCTAGGATGGCAGGGCTTTCAGCTACGCGGGAGATGTGCTGGCGAACTGAATGCGTCGGGCCCGCGTTGACATCTCATTTGCGAAGTGAAGACGTCTTCAGTTACGGCGTGGCGAAGCGAGGAGTGAAGCAGGCCGCGCTTAAACCAGGCACACGCGCCAGATGCGCGTACGGACGCAACAAGCGCCCGACAGCACCCCAGTAACCAGGAGCGCTCACAGCCAGCATCAAGGCGTGTACACTGGCAGCCCAGAAGGACGCGCTTGGACCCTTTGAATTGTGTTGTGGCGTATTTGTCGAACAATCGCGCCGGTGATATCGCCCACGTTCTGATTTGGGCAGACGACGACGGACGCGACGACGGCGGGAGCGCGGACGTTCACCTCACCTTGTCCTCCACCGTCATCTCCCCCACCAACACCGCCCTCCCTCCCTTGATCTCGCTCCTTACGCCCTTCGCGTTGCCGTCGCGCATACCAACCACAAGCAACTCCCTGCTGCGGGAATGCTTGCGACAATGAACGGTGCCACGCCCGCCCAACCCACCCACCTCGATCAGTCCGCCGTTCAAGACAGCGCGGCCCCCGACTATGCAGGGGACGACAGGCTCTGTCCAGGATGCGGCAACTCCGCCTTCACCGAGCAGGGCGGTCTCGTCGTCGCGTTTGGGTGCGTTCTTTCGCCGAGAATCTGTAATTGACGCGCCTGATGCGCCGTCCTTCCCCGCGTCAATCACCTCCCCTGTCAATCGCTAACCTCCCTCTCTCACAGTCAATCACTCTTCCATGTCGGCTGCTTCAAGTGCGCCAAATGCCATAACCAGGTTACCGCCGACACAAACCTACTTCTTCTCTCCGACGGCTCGCCCATATGCGCCAACTGTTCCTACAACTGCAGTCTCTGCCACCAGCCCATCCTCGATGAGGCCATCATGACCGGCGACGACTCCTTCCACGCCCACTGCTTCACCTGCAAAGTCTGCAAGAACAGGATCGACGACCTCGTATTCGCTAAGACCAGTCAAGGCATCTACTGCATGAAGTGTCATAACGACCGCATGATCAGAATCAGGAAGCATACCCAGCGCAAGGCAGAACGAGAGCGTGCAGCGGGAGGTAGTGGCAACTCCAAGTCGCGTGAGCGACAGTACCACAGGGAAGGACAAGTACGTGTCGAATAACACTGCGAAGCTCCAATACTGATACTCTTTCCAGACTCCCGTCTCTGCGACAGAGTCGTTCGATCGTCATCGACAGCAAACCGGGGACAGGTCGACACCCGTTACCCCATCGGTACCTTCATCAGCGAACCCGCTGTCTCGTCAAGACAGTGCTAATGCAGCGCCGCCCTCTGTCACTGTGGCCCCTCCTCAGGATCATGGAGAGCATCAGCCTGGCTTTCAACATCCGCCTATGCACCGTACCGCTTCGGCTTCGTCTGTGGAGACCTCGAGGAGCGATGTGAAGCGCAAAGCGTTGCCTGCCTACGCCGCCTTTGCTGAGCAAGAACAAGAGCGAGCAGGGTACGCGACCAAACCTTTGCATATACCGAACAAACCGAGCCGTGATCTTACTGTGTCTGAAAGCTCGAACAGCGGCTTGACTCCTACCGACGAGGCGCGGCGCAATAAGCGACGGTCTATCAACCCTGGGCTCAGCCTCACCAACCTCAACGGACCTGTTAGTCCGCCACAATCCTCCCCTTCGCTCTCGCCCCTCTCAGCGTCCTTCCCTGGGCGTCCTTCGACCTCTTCTCGGTCTCCGACACCTCCTTCTGTGCCCGACAATGGCAGCTCTTCTCGTACCCCTAGTCCATCGCCGAGTCAGTTCCATACGTCGCCGACAACTCCCAGCGAACGCACCTTACCACTTACGCCTGACGAAATGAACGGCCGGGCTGCTTCCCTGGATCGGCCTCCTCTTTTACACAGCGAGTCCTCGCCTGCTGCGCCGTACCCACACCATGGTCTTGACAACGCACGCTCTATGCCCGATGTCCGTGGTAAGGTGCAACAATTGTCGGACGATTCGCTTTCCGCAGGCGCCGGGTTGCGACCACAACGGTCGTTTGACGAGCGCTCTACTCGGGGGGCGTCACCAAACCCAGGACGCACTCGCTCTGGGAGTCATGCCGGTCGAGACGATCCTACGTCTCCTACGCATCGCGTCGACGTCCCCATGGGCATCGAGAGCGGTACGGATACGGAGGCCGAGGGGGATGGATCGACTCGCAGTGGTCAACCCAAGAGGAGCTTGGACCGCCGACCATCTGCGTCCGCGGAGGACCCCGTCTCGCCCGACAGTGCGTCAGAGGACCTGCACGAATCGACGCCCGTCGAGCGCACGTCTATCGCAACCTACATCGCCCCTGCCTTGCCACCCATCCGCTTTTCCATGAACACCGCCGACTTTTCCGAGCTCTTCTCAGGCATGAGCAAAGGCGGTTCTGGGTCGATGAGCTCCGCGGACATCCAGAAGAAGCTGGCCATGCTCGCGGAGAAGTCGGACAACAAGGACGCGGCGGCGAAGCTGGAGGCTCGCGCGAAGGCGGCCGCCGACTCCGCGGATGCGGGAGACGACGCGCTGACTCCGACGTCTGAGAAACCGAATGCGCTGCCCCAGAGGCCTTCAACGGCCCATGGGTCGGAGGGAAAGCATCATAAGGCGACGGCGAATGGTACATCATTGTGAGTGTTCGCATTCTTTCCAGAACGATAACTTTCTGACATCACAATGAGGCATATCCTGGGCAAGGGCGATCCTTCGATGCCTTTGCGTGCCCGTGCGATATCCGAGTCAACTGCCGGTCGCCCCAGTATGGAGAGAAACGTTCCTCCACGCATTGCTGTCTCGCAAACCGAGGGAGGGGTTCTACGGACGGAACAGTCTGAGGCCATCATGCAGCGGTTGCAGGACGCGCTTGTCGATGCCAGGGGCCGTGGGGCCCAAGACATGAAGCTGGATCGGGCATTCGTAGAAGCAATCTTGACTGCTTGGAACTCAAAGTCGGCAGAGGTCAATGAGCTCAGGTCGAAGTTTGACAGCGAGAAGGTCAGTCTCTCGGTGTTTTCATTCCACCTCGTTGCTCAAATGCTCGACAGCGCACCAGCAAGCAGTACATCGACGGCCTGTCTGTCGCCCAGACCGAATACGATCGTGAGCTGAAAGCTCGCCGCGAGGCTGAAGCAGAAGTTACTCGACTTCGTGTCCTGCTATCGGGCCAGGCCGCTAGGCTAACAGCGCTTTCGGGTGACAATCGGCGACAGGAAGTTCGTCAGAAGGCCACCCGGGAGATGGACGAGAGGTTATCGGGCTTGCAGCAAGACCTGTCGAAACTCAAGGTCGAGCGCGATATGACGCTAGCCGAGGTGGAGGAGTTGAACACTGCAAAGAGGTGCGGTTGATCTTCATAAGAGTCTTGCGGGTGTTGACGCAGCTTTCAGCCCCACCAATCCCGATCCACCTGCAAACCTCGGTCGTACCTTGTCTATGCGTCTGGACAACATCAAGTCCCAGTACCAGCACGATCTCGTTCCCTTGACGCAGCAGCGGGAAGCCCTGCAGCGCGAAATCGCCGAGCTCAAGGCCGTTCGTGATGTGTTCCTTGAAGAGACAACCACCCTCAACGCACGAAACGAGGAGCTCGCCCAGCTGAGCGCGCAGTACACCCGCAAGCTCGAGATGGCTCCCGAGACACCCCAGAAGCAGACCATGGGTCGCTCGGCCTCCCTGAGGAAGAAGCGTCCTACGACGCCCCAGCAAGCGCCCCCACCACCAGCGCCGCCCATCATCTCGGGCCCCATGAACCCAGTCATTCTGCCGCCTTCTGCCAGCGACGATAACCAGAATGCCATCCGGGTTGTCAGACTGGACGCTGATCTGACGCCAAACAAGGCGAAGTGGTTCAGGCCGAAAGCGAAGGAGGCACCCGTGCCAACTCCAGATGGCAAGGGAACGAAGGGCATCCAGGAGCACAACTTCCAGCAGCTCAGCATCTTGCGCTTCACTCGGTGCGACCACTGCGGCGACAAGATGTGGGGTTCGCAACTGCGTTGCACTGGTAAGTTGGCCATCTAATCACGACGAGAGGGTTGCTAACGTCTTGATAGTCTGCAATGTCGCTGTGCATGTACGCTGTCTGAACCTCGTGCAGACGTCTTGTGGTCAGCAGCACGGCTCAGGCAACCGCGACGAGTCGCATGGTCCTCTTCGTATGTCCACTCACTCGCTTGTGCTCTGCAGTAGTGCTAATACTACTTCAGCGCCGTCCATGTTCGGTCGTGACCTCGTAGAGCAGGTTCAAGCGGATGCTGCCAAGGCCGGGCAAGAGCGTCAAGTACCTGTCATCGTCGAGAAGTGCATCGACGCCGTAGAGGCATCCGCGCTCGACTACGAAGGTATCTACCGGAAGACTGGCGGGTCGAACCAGAGCAAGGCTATCACGCAGCTCTTTGAGCGTGGCGACTATCTGTCGTTCGATCTTCGGGACTCCGACCGGTTCAACGACATTTGCAGCGTGACGTCGGTCCTGAAGTCGTACTTCCGCTCCTTACCCAATCCCTTGCTCACCTTCGAGCTGCACGAGCAATTCATGTCGGCGGTGGAGATCAAGGACATTCCGACGAAGAATAAAGCTTTGTTGGACCTGGTCAACAGCCTTCCACCGCCTCATTACTACACCTTGCGAGTGCTCATGCTTCATTTGCATCGGTACGTTTCCTTGCAGCCCCAGTTATAGTTTTGCTGACAGGACTGCAGGATATTCGAGCGTGCGGAGCGGAACCTCATGAACGCGCGCAACCTTGGCGTGGTCTTTGGACGTGAGGAATTTCCTGCTTGCTCCCTTCTCGATATTGACGGCGCCTTATAGCCACGCTGATGCGCTCGTCGAACCCGGGAGCCGAGTTCAGCGATATGGCTGGTAAAGCGCTTACCATCGAATGGCTCGTCGAGAATGCGCCCTTCGTCTTCAAGGTTTCCTCATGAGAGCGTACCACGTCCGGCCGACTGGTTATTCATTATGTGATATCTTATGCATCGTCTATCTGTCGTTTGGACCCGACTTGCGACACACGCACACACTCGTTCTATATCTTCCTCGCGAACTTTGTCGGTTATGTCGTCGACCTATTCGTGTCTGGCTAAATCACGGAGGGTTCTTGTATTTATCGCGTTCCATCTATGATCCTGACGCGCCAGTATCGTTCTTTGGATCCCGGTCTCCTGCTCATATCCCTCATACTTCTTTCATCGTCATGGACTCCTACTATCTCGAGTTCTTCAGTGTAGCTTCTCTCTCATGTTGCTTTTCATTACGCGCTGCATATGGCAGGATACCGACCTTTTTACATGGGTTGTGTATGCCTATCACACGCTAATCGTAGAGTGTCAATGTAGATGACTCAGATAACCCCATTCCTGGCCGCGCGCGATTGCAAAGCCAGATGGATGCCCTTCCTGCTGTCACTGCCTTCTGCTTCTGCATAGACCACGCTTTTGATGAGGACGCAAGTGGTGAGAACTTATCGATTGAACTGAGTCCCACAAACTATGTAGAAGGATGACTACGGCAGAGAACAACACAACCAGCATAAGCATTGACAAACGCATAAGCCATACAAATTTATCGACCCTCCATACTTAGCCTAACCATCTACAGCTCGCCGCCCGTCGGGTATTCGTCCTTCGGGAACCGCACGCACTCGCCCTCGCCATAGCCGCCGCGCGGCGCGACGAACGGCGCGAGGAAGCGCTCCTCTCCCGGGTCGACGTACCCGCTGCAGAAAATCAACTGCGGGTCCTGGTTGCTCGCCTCCAGGTCCGCGTCGCGCGGGGTGGGAGCGCGCTCGTCAACGCTGGCACCGCGGTACATGCCGCTGAGCGCGCCGGCGGCGAGCTCCTGCTGGATGAACTTCTTGGCGCCATTGAAGAGCATGGCGTAGGTGGGCACGCCGCGCTTGTGGGCGACCTGAGGACATCGTGGTCAGCGGTTGGCTGATTGAAAGAAAGCAAAAAGCAGAGAAACAAGGCAGCCGTAGAAATGCACGAGGGAAACTCTTTTGTCTGGACTTGCAAGGATGTGAATGTCGATAGAGTACGACCTGCCCTCACCTGATAGTCTATCGTGCTCGCAATCGCAGACAACCAAGGGTCAAGCTTGCCGTCCTTGGTGCGCAGCGCCTTGTAGTTGAACTGCGTCTCGTGGCATCCGGCGAGGAGCACGCCAGCCGTGGCGCCCTCCGTGTTGAGCATCCCAGCGCCGACGCAGGCCGATGTAAGAATCGTCAGGTTCACGCCCGGCGCCAGATTCTGTGAGCGTGTCAGCCACATCGCAGCCGCGATCAGCCACGACGGCGTACCTCGCGAATCGTCTTCGACATCCAGTCGGCTGAGACGACCTCCTTCTGCAGTCCGCCGTCATCCTGGGCCATGGTCCAGCCCTCATCGATGTCAGTTGTCTTCGCAGGGCTGCCCCCGCCGGGATAGATGGTGCCGTGAGTGTCGACGTATACGAAGCGCACGGCCCCCGCGGTCGCGCCCGCTATCAGGTTGGTAAACTTCGCTCTGAAGTTCGACGCGGTGGGCGGCTCCTGCCCGTTTGCCAGCACGCCAGGCTGGTCCTTGGGCTCGGCGCTGAAGTACAACATCTCCACGTCATCGGGATCGAAGCCCAGGTTCTTCACGAGCATGTGGCGGGCGAGGAAGATGCCGTTGTCGTTGCCCGTCCCGAAGCGGACGATGAGCGCCTGCAAACAACGGAGAGCGGTCCACGGTCAGCGAAGAAAGAGAGGTATAACACGACGTTCTCGACGTACCCGCTTCTGATGGAGCTGCCTCCAGTCCATCTGCTGCACATCGAAGGCGGCGGTGCTGCCACCTGGGTTGCGCATATTGATTGTCGCGGTCTTGCTTTCATTGGCGACCGTGACTTCGTAGGTATAGTAGCCGTCATCGAACGTGGCCTTCGTCTTCCCGTCCGAGGACGTTACCTCGCGGAAGTGACTGTTTACGCACTTGTTGCGCTTGGGCTTCCCATCCGCATCCACGGTCCACTGGTGATACATTCCGACGGCCGCGCCGTCCGCGATGCCACCAGGCACGACGAGGGTGACCATCTCGTTCACAGCGTAGCTGAACCAGTTGAGTTTGCCGATGAAGACCTCGGTAGTAGGCACGCGGCACGCATCCGAGAGCTGCGCCTGCAGAATGAGCGCGGACGACGTGTCACCGGCGGGGTCGCGCATCGTCGCGGTAACGGACTTGAGGTCGGGGGCGACGGCGACCTCGAGTGAGTAGTATTCGAAAGAGAAGGCGACGCGGTACTCGTCGGCCGTCTTCGTGACGGAGTTGATGGCGCCGAGCTGGCTACAGCGTTAGCACAAGCTGCACGGTTCAGCGAGGGCGATGCTGCACGATACCTGATAAGTGTTGCGCTTCTTAACGCCCTTGTCGTCTACCGTCCACTGCCAGTATGCACAGACAGGGTCCTTCAGCGCGAAGCCGGAAGGAAAGACGAAAGTGATACACTCGGTCTTGGCATAGTCGTACCAGTCGAGCTTGCCGTTGTAGACGTACATGTTCTTTGAAGTTGCTTTGAACGCAGAGGGATTGCAGAGGAGTAAGTCGCTGGTCTGTGGGCGTTGTCCTCCGGGGTTTTTATATTCTGTTTCGTAGCTTCCCTGCACCCCTTCCGGATGACTTGCATTCACAGTGGTCGAGCATTTGACAGTCTTCTTGTCCGGCGGTAAGGGAGAGCCATGCAATAAAGCGCAAGGCGGTCGCGCATACCTTTCATGTGCGCTGTCGGGGACCATAGAGATGCAAGTTGTGCCTCATACTCGGTAAATGGTGGAACCATAGCCAATATCAGTCAAGGTCGGAGGTACGACGACGGATACTTCTTTGGACAGGCCTATGGTCAGCAGGACGTCAGAGATAGGACGCATGCAAGTCCGGGGGTGACAACAACTTTCCAGTCAAGCTGTCTTGTCATCGTCCGTGTTCTCAGACGCATAAGACTTTGCGCAGAGCGCAGAAATCCAATGTCCGTGGTTGAGTACCGCATCGACCTGCCACTGATTCTCACCTGGACGCCCTTTTTGCCACGGCTTGCTGACGGAATCTCGTGTTTTGGGAGTAAGTACCCTGGGTTAATGCGAAGCGAGGCCAGTCCTGACGATAAAGAGGTCGAAATCTGAGGTTCTCAGGCATGGTTGACCCAAGCTGCAAGACACACACTATCATCATGAGGACCGTTGCGGTCAAGTTTTTATGTGACAACGCAGGCGCGAGCAACGCCTTCCGGCAAATGCCGCTGAGCGCCCGACGGGCGGTCCGTCGCGAGTTGTACACTAGCCCACAGAACAATCCAGAGGGATGTGCCTACATCACTCTTGACGGTGCTCTTCCTAAGTATATGTATCGTTATACTTTGAGAGAACGATAGATAAGAAGAGGCATCTTGGCGATTGCAGAAAACGGTAGCATCTCACTGCGAAGGAAGAAAGTGAAGTGCCTTCCTCGCTTTGTGCAGAGATTTACGCTAGCGCCGCACCCAGGAAGAATGGCCCACGGGACATTGCTGCGGCCTGATGCATTGTTGTATTTCACGAGATATCACTCGAGGGAGGGGTGCAATCCTGCGTCCGACCTTCCTACTTCTGAGTGGTCAGCGCAAGGGTCAGAGCCTGAATCTAGAGTTTAGAACGTCAATTTGAAAACAGTAAGTGCCGTCAGCAAAGAGACACTTACAAGGAGTTGAGATGAACCGTGACATCACGCATGTGCGTGCCACGGTCGCGTCAGCTGCCCTCGGCAGCGGGCTGAAAGGGGTCTCTTAGTATGCAGAAAACGAATAGGCGCGAACAGGTAGTCTGCCAAGCACATAAGTGTTCCTTGTTACTCAAAGAAGGTATAACAGAGGAATAGATAAATAGTGGAGGGACTGGGCTTCAGAACACAACGGCAAACACAAGACTACGCTGCGCCACTGCCCACGTTCATCGCTGCAAATTGACCCTGCATGCCATGCACACCATCTTCTGCACCACCAGAGGCACTGCGCGGAGCACCACCCATCAAGCCTGTACCAGGTGTACGCTTAGGAAGGACCCACGACGGCGTCGATGCATGGTGAGCCTCCGCAGGTGCCGCCGACGAAGGGCTGGCCGCGCTGACCTCCGGCTGCGCCGCATGCGGGTTCGCGAGCTCGGGTCCAGCACTCGGCTGCACGGTCGCCGCGCTCATCATCGACGCGCCGCCTATCGAATTTGCGCGCACGGTAGACGCTCCTGCGCTCAGTACGGACGCGCCGCCGCTCGAGTCTGCCCGCTGCAGTGTCGATGCGTTATCGCCTCCTTGCGCTTGCGGCTGGCTAGTCTGCGGTGGCCCGTTCGGGTTGGGCAACTCTTCTGTGACGCTTGGCACGCTGAAGAAGTAGACAGCGCCAGCAGGGTCGCGACCGCCGTGAGCGTAGTAGTTCGCCCACGCCTGGACGTTCGGGTCCGCGTACTTCGCTTGCGGGTCGTACACGTATGGAGGTCCCTGCGTGATGGGTTGCTGCTCCTGCGCGATAGGTTGCTGAGCAAGCTGAGGCTGCTGCTGTACCGCTGGCTGCTGCTGTACTGCCGACTGAGGCTGCTGCTGAACCTGCTGGGGTTGTTGCTGGATAGGCTGCTGCTGTTGCTGGATCGGCTGCTGCTGCTGCTGCACCGGTTGCTGCTGCTGGGGTTCAGGCTGCTGCGGCGAAGTCTGGATATGCAATGATTGCTGCGACAGCGTAGCTTGAGGCTGAACATGCGGCTGAGGCGAACCAGCTTGCGCGGGATAGGGCGAAGCACCGTAAGGTTGAGTGGGTATGGGGTTCTCGTACGGCTGCGGTGCAGCAGCAGGCGAGCCGGTCGGCTCAGGATAGCCTGCAGGAGCCTGCTGAGGCTGCTGGAAGGGAGCGGGTCCCAAGGAGGGCTGCTTCTGGGGCGGAATGTTGGGGCTTTGTTGAGGTGGTGCTTGCGCGTGCGCCTGAGGGTCGGCCTGAGGCGGATACGACTGCGGGCCACCCTGTCCAGAGTATGCTGCCTGTTGCGGATAAGCACCCGGTGGCGAAGTGTACCCCTGGGGCGGGGGTTGCTGCGGGTATCCGTAAGGTCCGGGCTGTTGAGGGCCGTATGCAGGTGCACCCGCAGGTTGCTGGGGACCATAGGCCCCTTGAGGATATCCTGGGGTTGGCGGTACATAGGCGGCTCCCGGCGTCGGTGGCGGGTAGCCTTCATACCCCGCAGGAGATGGGTAGCCCGGCTGGGCATACGGTTGCGGTGGATATGCAGCATACTGGGCCGCCGCACGCGAGTCGGGACGCTGAGGGCCATAAGCAGTGTCTGGTCGCTGGCCGTAAGGGGAAGCGCCAGGCGCACTGTAGGGGCTCGGCTCGTATGCTAAGCAACGTTAGTGTGTGTCAGGTCACATAGAAGATAGACGCACTGTTGCGCTGCAAGCTATCCTCCATCATCCTGTCGAAGATGGTACGAGCGCGTACGAAGGCCTCGTTCATTGACACAAGGTCGGCTATAAGCGACAGCTGTGAATATCTTATACGAAAATAGGGAAGCATGGGACGCGTACCCCTCTTCTGGCTGTACTTGTCGATGAGCTTGACAATCTTCGGGCGAAGTGACATGCAAGAATGGTAGAGCTCCTGAGCAACATATCAATGTCCGCAGCGACGTGAGGCACGAATGAAACGGACCTGTATCTCCTCGTTGTCCGCCAAATTGTCGCGTGCAGGATCGAGCGACTTCAGCATATTGAGCAAGCGATCTACATTAACCGCTTGTGCGAAGACTGCGGCTTCCGCTTCCGCTTCGCGCGCGAGTTCAGCTGCTGACGGCTCCGGCAAGGGTTCCACGTAGTTGACAGGGAATATGCCCTACGTCGGGATCAGCCAGTGATCACAGAGTATCACACGGAATATGCGTACCGTACGGCCCTTGGATTGACCACGCCACCAATCCTTGTATCCGCGGTCTACGACCTGGATCACTCATCAGTTTACGGAGCGTAACAGTTTTCTTGACTATCTCACCTTGATAATGTCACCCTTCTCAAATGCCAGTTCACCCGGCTCGGTCGGTTCGAAGGAATATAATGCTCGCACACGGGTGATGATTCCGTTCCCTTGTCCAGGTGCAGGAGTTGCAGGAGAGCTCGTCGTAGTCGTCGCTCCCACGGATGATATGGACGATGAATATGCGGGCGTCGCGCTGTAAGGTGCAGGAGATGAGGTTACGTGCGATACGGCTGATTGGGGTGCAGAGTATGGTTGTGCAGCAGGTGCGGGAGCGGCAGCGGCAGCTGGGGCGGCGGCGGGTGCATACCCACCGCTGTATCCCCCGCCGCTGCCGAATGAGCCTGCCGTATCTCCGTTGGAGGTGAAGTCGGCTACGCTATCGTCAGCACATCATATCCTAGCAGACTATGGATTGGCACGCACACCATGCGCCGCGCCCCCCGCGATCTTGCATGCTCATCTCCAGGACGCGTTGCAGCTCCTCTTCTTCCCTCCGCCTAATCTCGTCATCGACCGCTGGAGGTGGTGGCTCATCCGGCGTTTCAAACTTGTAGTCTGGGCAAGTTCGTCAAGATCTATACCAGAGGTCGCAGTGCCGGACGTACTCTTCGCTTTCAGGGAATTGTAGCAATCCTCCATGATTCCGAGCGTCTCATCGTCCCGGAATTCATCCGTCCATTGCGCGATGAGGCTAAGAGCCCGCTTGCGGACCTTGTCATGGGTATTCCTGTCGGTGATGACCTTCTCCAATCCCTGTGTCCACGCGCGACTGGCGATCTCGCGATTGACCTCTACACCGCAGTTCTTGGACAACGCTTCCGCGACGGAGAGCGCGTAGAGCTGTACGTTGGGGTTCCTGTGCACGAGTCGCTTGAGGAGTGACGCCAGGGCGCTGCGTGCGCCTTCGGGGCCTTCATCGGTGACCTTGTCGCAGAGATTGAGGATGATCTCCCAGTTCTCGGATGTCAAGTTCTCGTCCGTCGCCTTATTGACGAGGTCGTCGTAGGGGTTCGTTCCAGAGCCGCCGAACATCGTTGGTGCTGTCCGCCGCGCTGAGGCGTAGGGTATCCGTCGGACTTGGTGACAGGCGCAGTCAAGCTCAGCAGCTGTACGAATGACGACGCACAGGGCCAAGTCGCCGTTCGGCATTTCCCTCCACGTCACGTGCCGAACCCGAACTGGACCCACAAGTCCGACGGCAAATCTGTTCCATGCAGCCCTGAAAGCAGGCCTAAGGACAAAAGCTACTCCTCATCTGACCGCATCACACCTTGATTAACAGTACATCAAAGTCCATGGCTATTGACCATCTTTCAACATTGTTCTCGGCCGTCGAGCAGTACGCACTTGCCGAGTCATGCAACGGAGTTCAACACGATGGCGATGGTCTTGCAGCACTACACAGCAAGCACAGAAGCTCTCGAATGTCATCTCTCGCTCCACCCCTCAGATATGCAGTATATCGAACCTTTGTATGCCGCCCCAAAAATCGGTTTGGACGATGTGATCCCTCACTACGGAGCTTCCCCAAACGTCCACCTACGGGAGCCTAAGACTCAAGGAGAGTTGAGAAACTATAGTTGTCCCCATTTTCCGGTGATGTACCCTCACTTGAGTGCGGGGTCGAAATGAGCGGAAATCGCAAATCTGCCTGTCCCGAACATCAGCAAAAAAGTTGGGACTGGTACACAGTCTATTCGACCTACGCGGCGCTATTCCGGGCTATATAGGCCGAGTAGGCCGAGTAGACAGTGTATCAAAGTCCCTCTACAGGGGCTGCGCGCTGCTACATAGCATTTGTAGCAGGATGTCATCTCAGATGCACCATTCGGATACATAAGAACAATCTCTCTTCACTGATGGAATCGGCCAGCCAGAGAGAAATAAAACAAGAGGTAGACAATCCACACATTGTAGTCTCGTATGTGCTATCGTTGAAGAGAGTACTCAACATATGGTGCAGAATGGGCTCTTTGGCCTACCGCATCGAACATACCGATGGAGCGGATGCAGGTCATTGTTACTGCTGCGAAAGCCTAAGGCCTGCTGCCCTTCATCAGCCTAGTCGTATTCAGAGACGCCCAGCGCAGTAACAAGAGAGTAACAGGAAGCTGGGAGTAAGAGTGCAAGACCATTCATCGGATTCAATCAACAGGGCCATTCAAAGTCAAGCAAGAGGTAGCGCGTCGGATAATCTGGCGGAGAAGACCCTTGCAAACTACACTGTGTCTCTGTGTCTCGATAGGCTGGCTCCTACATAGAGCCACACGAGACCAGATGTTGCACCGAATGAAAGTCGCCAGAGAAGCAGTTTAGGTCTTGCAGACATTGTGTATCAAAAACAACGGCGACGACCAGAAGCCACCAATTGAGTGCATTTTTGGGTGATAATAGGACGAGACTGAGGGGGACAAGGCTATCGCGGCCCAGCATGAGCCGAATCCTAGGTGATGGGCAGCGCAGAGTTGAAGTCCAACGCCTGGGCGGCGCGTGTCACAAAATTGTGACAAAGCGTGACGATTGCCCGAAGACGAAGTTTTGTGTCCTCCCCACGCCCGACGACCACCTCAGAGAGCTCACAGGTGAATATCGTTGCCCCTTCGCCGCTGGATGCGTTCCTCGCGATGCTCGCACCCGTCATGTCGTTCAAACGATACCATATGGACGCGATTTGAGCTGGATCGCATCCGGTGCCTCCGGATACCATCTTCCTGCCAATACCTTGTCTGACCAAATTCCCGCTTCCCCCAGGCCTCGCCCACCTTCAAGATGTCTCTCGTTGTTCCCGAGGCCCACCAGCAGTTCCAGGTGCGTACGATCGAATCCGCGCCAAGGAAAGACGTCTAACGACCCGTAGCACATTCTGCGTCTGCTCAACACCAATGTTGACGGCAAGCGCAAGATCATGTACGCCCTGACGGAGATCAAGGGTGTCGGTCGCCGCTACTCCAACATCGTCTGCAAGAAGGCCGATGTCGACCTCAACAAGCGGTGCGTCGCCAGCCATACTTCCCGATCACTCCTTTCTAACATGTCATTTCTCCCTCCTAGCGCCGGTGAACTCAACTCCGATGAGCTGGAGCGCATTGTCACGATCATGCAAAACCCGACGCAGTTCAAGATCCCCACCTGGTTCTTGAACAGGCAAAAGGACATCGTCGATGGCAAGGACTACCAGATCCTGTCCAACGGCATTGACTCCAAGCTCCGTGACGATCTTGAGCGGCTAAAGAAGATCCGTGCCCACCGTGGTCTCCGTCACTACTGGGGCCTCCGTGTCCGTGGCCAGCACACCAAGACGACTGGTGCGTCTGGATGCATCCTCCAAGCTCTGTTGTCTTACGTCTCGTGCAGGTCGTCGCGGCAAGACCGTCGGTGTGTCGAAGAAGCGTGGTTAAACGTTGGATTTTGTATGCATCTTACCTACTCTCATGCATCCTTATGTCATGCTTTCTATGCTCGCGGCCATTGGACGCTGCTCGGCGTCAGACTCAGAAAAAATAACATATGCAGTGCGCTACCTCTTGTCTTGGCCTGCGTTCAGTCAGAAGCTTCCCTCCTGCGTGAGTTGAAGGCTTGAGATGCCCGTCTGCGGAATTTCACGCTCGACATTCCATCGTAATGTCCAGCCGATATATTTGACCGTATAAAGTACGGTGCGAAGTCCCAATAGAGTATGATACAGGAAGGAATGCGGCCAAGAAACGGGCGTGCATACATGTTCAGTGCGTAAATATGATGATACATAACTGGTCCAGCCAGAGGGATACATAGCAGACGGCATAAGGGATAAGACGTGCAAGAGATCCAGATATTCCTCCAACCCGAGGCGCTGAGATACTGTACAACCATGAATCTCCTGCTCAGTAGCAACCGGCTGGATCATCACCGTCCGGGTCTACCATGGCAGATGGTGCGTTCCAGAGGTCGGCAGATGGGGTCACGTACTCGTCCGCACCGCCCGCATCGGAAATAGGCAGCGGCGACGAGGTGACAAAGCGGTCGAACATAAGCGTCGGCGCCTCTTCCCCCTGGTCAAGCGCGTCTGCGTCCACTGACCCAGACGAACCCCGCCGGTGGTGATGGTCGTGCTCGGGGTCCTCCCGAGAAGGGAAGACGAAGCGCGGGTACGAGGTGACGGAAGACGAGAAGAACGTGTACATGTATACATCGCCTTCACCGGGTGTGGTATTTTGGGAGACGGGAGCTTGATTGTAGTAGTCGGGGCCGGATGGGCAGGTGGGCATACTGCGCATAGCAGTTTGTCGTAATTTATGACCAGAATTTCGGGAGGGGGAGATGCTCGAGCTGAAGAGGCTGACTGCGGCTGATGCGCAAGGCTTGAAGCGAGTGCCCAGTGGGTTGCCACTGTAGACCAACTGGTTAGCCTCTATTGATCAGAAGGAAGTAAGACAACCCACCATAGGGCGCAACCAACACATTCGCGAACACAACCGCAAGGACTGTGTATAACCTTGGCGATAGCGCTGCTCTCGAAGTACTCCGGATCCATAGGAACCACTACGTCGGAAGCTTCACTCTTCGCTGTCCACACCCCCAGACGTTGCCGCGGGGCAGCATGTCCATGTATGAGCGCCCCGCAACTTGGAGCCGCGTTTGTCGGTGGCGATCGCGGTGACGCAGAACGCGGGGGCGTGGGGTAAAGGGGAAGCGGAGACGGTTCGTACGGCGACGGCGACCTCTCCAACCATTCGGGGTCCTCGTCAGTGCCTCCTTGAAGCTGGCAGCCATTACAGTAAAGCTGATATCGATACTCGTCCGCAGGTCCTACGGAGGAGTACCGCCGCAGAGGGTAGCGCTGCAGGTGCATAGGTTCGGTGGATGTGCCGCCGGTGGTGCCCTCGTCGATGTCGTCCGCCGGCGCCGCCGTCCGCGCCATAGCATGCGTATGCAGCCCATGGTCGAGACGCATGGCGCCGCGACGTCGTAACCGTGAATGCTCGCCCGTGCGAACGAGATCGGAGAGCACGATAGAATCGTCGGCGTCGATGAAGTTGTGAGTGGTGTGAGCGGCAGCGGTACGCCGCTGCTGACTTGATTCTGCGGAGTTGTAGACGATGGGCATGTTGGAAGATGGGAGTCGTGAACAAAGGTTGAGCGGGGGACGCAAGGTCGTCCGGCGCCGTGCCGCAATCTACATAATGCTCCCGGCGGCTGGAGCCCCACGTGGCTGTATCGCACAGCCACAGTTATCATTCATGTAATCTCGCGCAAGGCACCGCCGTCTCGACCGCGACAGACCTCACACTCGCCCTCCTCATGTTCACTGCTTACCTTCATATCGTGTTCATGGACGTCAAGCGAGCGCGAACGCATGCACGCGAAGCCATGGTGGAACAGGATTATCGCATCTAAGCACTGTCTACTACATGTCCTTGAGCGTTATGAGCATGACGCCCCCTTTTCGCCTCATTCATATCATCTCTACATCCATTGCATCGTCGTCTACAGGTTCCGTGGTATCCAATGGTATGGGGGAGCCCACGCTGGGGGTAGTACTTGTTTTTGGCGTCTTCGACGTCGAAGGTTCCTCGTCTTCATCTACGGGGTCGCGTGCCGCGGTCCATAGGGGTGGTGGGGGCTTGAACAGGACAAGCGCTTGGCTAGGTCCTGAAGAGGGAAGAGGGAGGGACGTTTGCTCAATCTGGCGCTGTCGTATACGCTGCAGGAGCGCGGGCGATACGCTGATACCAGCGGCGTCGAAGTCGGCTGCGTCCTCCGTCCTCGCTTCCTCTTCTTCGTCCGAGGACGAGTCGAGGTCGGTGATGATGACACCTGAGGGAAGAGTGAGTATATGCGGCCAATGCTCGATCATGGATGTACTCACGATCGCGCTCGGGTTCGTAAGAGTGCATGCCCTTCATGTGGATATCTGGCACAGGAGGGGAGGTCGAGGGGCTCTTCGATCCTGGCTCCTCCACGCTCGAGGGCTTGACCGTATAGGTGGGCACCGGACTAGGAATGGGGGTCGGGAAGGACGTGCTCGGGACTTCCGTACCCGGCGTGTCCAGTTCCATGGGCGTCGTTCCATCCGAGGAGATGGGTACGTCCGTGTGAGGGAGCTGAATCTCCGTGATATCCGGTTCATTGGAATGCGCGCTCGAAGACCCCGCGGAGGGGGAAGAGTTCCGCAGGGGGTCAGCGAGGCTGAGGCGCGAGAAGCCGCGCTCAAAGTTCGCATAGCGCCGGCGCTTAACCTGGCGTTCGTCGCTGGATTCGCTGTCGCTTGGGCTGGAGCTATGCTGGCGCTTCATGCACGGCTTCGCTATCCAGGGGTGTCGGAAGTGGGCGGTAAAGTCGTTGTAGGAAGGGGCGGCGTTCGGAGTAGAGAAAACGTTCATGGTAAGCAGATATATAGGACGATGAGGCAGAGGTTGGAGCTGTGTTGTGGCTGGCCTTGGTGGCAGAACGAGAAAAGACGCGAAAGCAGGCGCGACGTCGAATTTAATCCAGAACATTCGGGGAATCATGTGACCGATCTGACGCTCACGTGAGCCGGAAACTGCCGAAGTTGAAGTTCCACACGAGTTATCGAGGTCATCGCAGTCCTTTCCACGCGCATACGAATATGGAGCACCTTGTTTTCTCTTTCGAAGATCTCGTCGGTGCTCGAAACGCGTATCGCACATGTGGTTTGCCTCGGCTGACTGCGCTTGCCACGGGACTCCCACCGTAAGCCCGCCCCCATGAGGAACACACAGGGCGCTTTAGTTACAGCGATGAGCATATGTAGACCGTTCTATCCAGGAACCAAAGGATAGCACACGCATTCAATGCCTTGCGATTCATCACATTTCGCACCCTCACTCTTCTGATATCTCCCTTCTTCCGCTGGATCTCACGGCGGTGCACAAGTCGACTCTGTTGCGAAGCCCATCTTTACGCTACACTACTCATGCGGCCTACTCAGACGAAGAGACCTTTCAGGCCGCAAGTCCGAGGCAGACGCACAACACCCGCGCCCCCCGTATACTAGTGCGAGATCGAAAGGACCAAGATAGATAGAGTGCACGAGTAGATTACGATCTCTGAACCTTCATCGCTACCCTCGGCCTACCGAAGTGCCGTTCATCTTGCGCTTCAGAAGCGGCCAGCGAAAGAGCGATGTCTACTGAATGGCTGGCGCGTCGGAATGAGCCGCGACAGGGCCATCCAGACCGCGGACGTAGTCAGACAGATCCCTGAGACGTCCCGAACCAATAAGCAGTGCGCGCCCGTTCTGGACGGAACGTATTGCTGATGCTGGTCGACGTTTTGCGAGCCATACAAAGGTTATGTGTGCCATCGCACTGATAGATGGCGAAGGGGGCCAGATTTGACGACTGCGAGCAAGTCGGGAGTATAATTGACAGCATACCACGTCGGAACGTTCAGCTCTCTTCAAGTCAACCTGAAGGAGCCGTGTCGCGCATCCCCTTCACGGTTCTGAGGTGGCAGGTGCCGGTACGAATGAGGTCTGAGCGGGTGTAGGATGGGTGCCTGTCAGTAAGCAACAATGTGTACTGACATGACGGACGCAAAAGAAAACAAAGACCGTCCCATACAAGGACAAAAGACGTCTGTCTCCGGTGCCGACAGTGACAGTCCCTTGAAGTTCCTTGATGCTCCAACGGACTCACTGCCCGCTTCTCTGATGCCCCACTGCAGTTGATGTGAGGCGGGTGCCTGCAGATCGCGGGGCGGGAGCGGGCGAGGAACAGGGCGCGCAGATCCGTTGGGATTGAGGACATAGCATCGCCCCTGGTCGAGCGCGACAAGTCCAAGAAGTACGCTCGTTGGTCGGGAGGGAAAGTAAGGCTGGGTAAACAGGACTGACGGGGTGCTCAATCAATCAGTGATGAACTTACCCGGGCCGGTGTTGTTCTGATTCTGATATGGAGGACCGGGTGGACGCGTGAGTTGGAGGGTGGACGGGCGCCCTTTGAAGCTGACGGCAGGCTGACAGAGATTTCCGGGGAGGCTTCCGCTTTCTCGATGTCGAAAGATGTCGAGTCGTGAGATGAAACGTGGCGGGGGTCGAGGGCGCCCGTCGGAGGGGACTGTGTACGACCCCTTCTCGGCTGCCGTACGCAATAGAGCGCGAACAGGGATAGGACGCGTCGAGGATGCAGTCCCGGGAAGCACGGGATATGGCCGGAGAAACTTGCGATAGGTCTGGAGAGAGGCAGCTGAAGCGGTCGAGGCGTGCGGATCTAGTTGAACGGGCCCGAGGAGACGGGCGTCTGAGACGACTGTCTGCCTCCGTTGTCGTCTGACGCGAGGACGAGGCTCGCGGTGGTGGCAGAGCGCGTTAGGTGGAGGGCCCAGGCGCACAGCGAGCGTCGCTGGCGCCGGACGGGAGTGGATGGGAGGCGCGGGGGCTCGAGGCGGTGCGCCGATAGCCGGCTCATCAGCGGCAGAATGGCGCGCCACATGACTGGGGCCACGTGGGCTATTACCCCTGAGTGGCCAGGCACAGTTTTGCGCTTGCTTTTTCACAGCGGTCGTCAAAGTTCAGGCACTTCTTGTCCTCAACCTCGAATCCTCCGACCACAGCTAGGCACTCCCGACCCCTCCTCCTCGCCGTCTCAGGCACTCTCTACCGTCGACAAGCCCTCCCCCGCACCCCCGCGACCGTCGACGACGTCCGCGCGACAGCGAACACCCCCCGCCGTCGAATGGACGCCGCAGAGCACAACGATCAGGACGCTAATCAACAGCCAACTAGGTACGTGGCCTCCTCCATCCCGCTGGACAGCGATGCGTGTGCAGAGCGGCCCCTCCTGTGCTTTCCGATAAGCCGCAGCGGTCGCCCTAGCCCGTACTCCCTCCGGCCTTCGCCGCGACCACGAGCTGATCACCTCCCTCCAGCAACGGCAGCACAATGGCTGCAGCCGTACTCGCGTCGCCTAACATCAACGGCACAGGTCGGTACTTCATGATCGACCTCAGTTCCTCACCTATATACTCGCTCTTACCTCCGCGTTCCTGTCCCCCCTGGCCCCAGCATTCGTTCCTCACTCACCGTTAATACCCCCACACCCCGTGCCCACTCACAGCCTCCCTCGATCATATATGGACTGGCGTCCTAAACTTCCTCCCCCAGGTCCCCGCCCATCCGCAGCATCCGACTCTGGTGTCAACAAACGCTACCGCCCTGCTCCCGCAAAGACCTTCCAATGTCGAGGCTACGGAGATTGTCGGATGGTCTTCAGTCGCAGCGAGCACCTCGCCCGTCATATTAGGTGCGTATCTCGGGTCTGCTATGCCCGCCTCTTTCGCCTCGCTGTTCACCCCTCGTCTGACTCGACGACCTCCCAGGAAACACACCGGCGAACGTCCCTTCAGCTGCCATTGCGGGAAGCAGTTTTCTCGCCTAGACAACCTTCGCCAGCACGCGCAGACTGTCCATGCTGATAAGCAGGTTGGTAAAGATCAGTCAACGGTGGTTACGAGAGCTGACTTGGCGTCATTTCGCAGGAGCAAAATGAGCGTATGATGCGCGACTTGACGTCGCTGCACGCCAGTATGGTGGCAGCCAGCAAGGCGGGTTCTCGGGGCCGCCGTGGCGCGAAGAAATCTGCCCAGCAGCAGGACGCCGATGGCGAGGCGGATGATGATCGTGACGCCGATGGCGACGCCGATATGGAGGACGCCGATCCTTCCCTCAACCACGCGCACATCAAGACCGAGCAGATGCCGCACAGTTTGGGCCGTGGCCTCGGCGGTGGCGCTCGCCCGGAGACTAGCACCGGGTACGAGGGTATGGACTTCAATGCAAACGGGTTTCGCGGTCAAGACGCCTCCTTTCGGGGAGGCTCTCATTCCTTTCGGGGCTTTCGTGAATCGAGTACGCCGCGTTCTTGCGTTTGGCTATGTACAAATACTAACGCAGTTTCAGCAAGCTCGTCCTTTCTTGACTCAAGCCAGTCCTTTCAGGCCCGGACAGGTATGCTGCTGCAACACACTGCACAACTAGCTTGACTGAACATTCCGCATAGGGGAACAATCCTTTCGAGGGGACTTCTTTCGCGACTCATCCAGTAAGTTAAGAACACCGATTAGTTCGGAACACATTCCTGACCGTATCTTCAGGGGCGGGGCATTCCTTTCGAGGCCAACCCAGCGACTTTCAAGGCCAACAACTCGAGTCGTTTCGTGGGCAACAATTCGGCAGCTTTCGATCCCAATCCGGGGAATTTCGCAGCCAGCAATCCGGTGACTTTCGATCCCAGCAGGAATCAGTTCACGCCCTCTCCTCCTCATGGAATGCCAGTAGCCGACCTGGGACCTCATCTCGGTCAACAACGGGGCCAGGCTTTCCCGGGTCCGGGTCCAATGGATTTCCCGGACGGCCAGCTACCTCTGGGCTTCCTTCCCTCTCATCTCGGACAGTCTCATCGACAGGCCTCTCATCATCCCTCTCTCGGCCAACAACATCAGGCGGGCTACTCGCAGGGGATGGACGGCCACCTACGAGCGGTGGACGGCCTACCGCACCAGGGTTTTTCGCGTCAGCATCCTCAGGGGCGCGGCTTCCAGCCCTATCGCGACCTACGACAGCGTCAGGGGCCCTCGCAGAGGCTATCGCTACAGGACAACTTGCAGATAGGCTCGCAGCAGACGGGTTACGCTCCCGGGACAGCGAACTTCTCATCCGGGGATCCGCATCACGGCCAACAACGGCTGGCGGAACGGCGCTCCCTCCACTTGCGGCTGTCGTCTCCGCGATCTCTGGGCAATCTCCAGGCTCAGCGCCAGGGAGTGGCGTCGCCCTTCCGTCAATCGGGGCTGTCACCGGGGCAGCAGGGGGCCTTCACCTCCCCGGGCCATCCGGGCATACACTCCCACCACTCGATGGGCCAGGCGTCTCCGCATCAGGGGGCGTTTCCGTCTCCGGGTCATCAGCGGTCGCCCTTCCACCCCTCGTCGATGGGGGAGACCGCACTCTCCCACTTCCCCTTCCCAGCGTTTCCCGACCCGGCACAGGATATGCGGGCTCACGGCCAGGGACAGGGTTCGCAGGATATGCGTCGCGCCCCTCCACAGCGCCAACCACCCTCTACTTCGCAGGACAGGGACTGGGCATGGGAGCTCAATCTGCCGGATTCGGGGGCGATGCCGCAGGGTACGGAGCTGGATCAAATGGCGACTCGGCAGGGTACGAGAGGGACGATGAAGAGGGAGGACGATTCAGCGCACTTGCCGGCCTCGACGACCCCTCGCCGTTCTCCTTCCACCCTCCAACAGATGAGCGTGAGTCCCTCAGCCCAAGTGAGTCCTGGAGGACAAGTGCGCGGATGGGATTGATGCTGACGGTGTTTTAGCAGGTGCATCCCGCAAGTGTACCTTCGGCAGCCCAGATGGGCCAGACGACGGGGCAACCGTCGTTAACCAACGGCACTTCGCCAACGTCGAGTCAGAATCCCGCCCAGCTAGCAGACGGCTCTCCCTCATGGAACTCTGCGACAACGAGCCAAGGCCCGGGACCAGCGGCGGCGTCCGGCCCGGCACAGGCCTCGGCGGCTCAGTCAGTCGACCGGGGACAAGCAGGCGTGTCTCCCCAGGCAGCGTCGGGCGCATCTCTCCAGGTAACAACGGGCGCTCAGTTGTCCGACCCAACACAGGCAGCTTCGGGCTCAGTTCCCTCGCCCTCGACGACTACGAACGGGGCTCAATCTCCCCCAACAACGAGTCCTCCGCACAGCGCCGTTTCTCCTCAGACGGAAGCTTCGCCAGAGACAGCCGCGGCCGGGCTATCAGCGAGCACGTCTACAACGGCGGGGAGCCCATCGACGTCGACGAGCCGTCTGCAAGAGGATTCTCGCCGTCGCCATTCGTCAGCGAATCCCGTGATGTCGGCGTACGCGCAGGAGCTCATTCGGCAGCAGCAAGCGCAGATGCAGAACGTCATGTCGAAGCTTCGCGACGTCGGTTCCAGCCCTACGCCCGCGAGCGCGTCGAGCGCGCCGAGTCCGAGTTCGGCTTCGGGTCCAGTCGCCGATCTACCGGTGCGCGCGAGCAGCTCTATGGCATCGACGCGGGCCGCTACGCTCTCCCGTCCCCCAGCTCGAACTCGAGCTTCACGGGGTCGAGCGGCGAGCGCCGGTACGGCGGACATGTGGGAGACAGCGAACTTCCCTCCTCTTTCGGGCCCTCTAGGGCTGACGGTCACGGGCAATTACTATCCTGGGGCTCAGGCCGAGCGGCGTCGTCAGCATCTCCCCCAGGCCGCGCCATGGGACGAGCTCCGTCCTCTGACGACCGAACAACAGTATCCTCCCCCGTCTCCGCATATTCAGCCGGGACTGCAGCAGACGTTCGAATGGAATCAGTTTCCCCCCGACTTTCCGGTCCAGGCGCCAGCTCAGGCTCCAGCCCCGTACATGGGGGAGCAGCTGGGTATGATGCCATTCGAGCCGTCGTTTCCCCCGCTCTCGCAGCAGCAGCAGCAGCCCGACGGACCTCTTCTCCCCGATCCTCAATTCAGGCAGGACGGGCGGGGGTACGGTCACCTCCCGCCGCTGCTTGAGGGGCAGGCGCGCGCCGACGAGAACTGGATGATGGATCCGTATCTCGCGAATCAGCCATGGTCGCGAGAACAGTGAAGAGACGTTATCTCTCGCGTTGGAAGGACGGAAAAGGACTCCAAAAACCCAATCATTTACCGACCTGCCCCGGACTCTTTTGCTTTATATGAGGCTCATAGCTGTATGCGCGTTCTGCCACTTCGTTGCGCACGAACTCTGGGTTCTGGGGGAATCTTACTTACCTGTATCTCTGCCCTCTGTCTTTTCGTTCTTGTTTCCTTCGCGCTCTTGCTTGATTTTCTCCTCACTCGTCGCTCGTTATTGTTGGCACGGGCCATGCATGCATTGTTTTCAGGGATGCCGGATGGTGGCTGTATCTATGCGGAGTCAGCTCTGGTACCTTACTTATATACCTTTAACTTCTTATTGACTACTAACTATTGTCCTATGTACTCCGTGCACTGTCATTTGTGCCACCCAAGCTGGACCGTTCCTTACCTCTTAGTAGCAAGCATACACGAGATACTTCCTGTACATCGGTAGAATGCTTCAACAATGGACTTCACTTCACCTACGAATGCATTGTGATACTGTACTACCAGATTTCCTGCAATTTATAGTCGGACGCTCGCTCATCTCAGCGTGCAAAATCACACAGTTGCTTGCCTTCCTAAGTCGGTATCGATTAGGGGTGAAATCATCTCGTTGTGGCGAGTTGTAACTCCGAGAAGCCGCAGGTTCGAATCCTGCTACCGACATAATCTGGACAGTCGTCTTTTTTGTTTTCCGTTGAGCTCTATCTATTCATCTATTGCCACTGTATCGTGAGTGACTCAAGAACGCGCAAGCCTCACTTGCACGTGGGCGCGCGCAGTATTCCGATCCGTTGTGTTTTGTGATTGTTGAAGTTGGCTGTCTACGTCACGTCACCATGGTCAGTTGCGGCATGACGGTATGCGTTACGCGCAGGCTCATGAGAACCTATATGTGCCCCAGCATGCACATGTTGCCAAGGCGCGCAAACGGTGTGTATCCCCGCCCGCCTCTTGTCCTCCTCCTCCATACCGTGCTCGGATACAAAACCTCGCCCGACCGTCAACGAGGTAGCCCACCGCACCCATCCCCTCCGCCATGAGGTACCTCCACCTCGCTGTCCTCCCTGCGACGGTGGTCGCCGCGTCGCAGAACATCCTCTACAGCCCAAACAGCTACTCCTTCAATCCCTTGAAGCACCTGTCCGGCATCGCTCCCTACTTCTCCGCGCAGGACCCAGGACTCACCCCCAAGCCGCCTCAGGGCTGCAACGTGACGGGCGCGGCGTACCTCGTACGACATGCGGCAATCTACGCCAACGACTTCGACTACGAGTCGTACATCGAGCCATTCGTCGACAAGCTCGAGAACACGAGCGATGTCGACTGGACTACGACGTCTGGCACCGCGGCGCCACTTGCTTTCCTGAGCAACTGGAAGAGTCCCATTGAGGACCCTGACCTCGAGCAGCTCACGAAGATCGGCGTTCTGGAGAGCATGAGCCTGGGTATCGAGCTTGCTCGTCGATATCCCGCTCTTGCTCCTCCCAAGAAAGTCTGGACTAGCACGGCCGAGCGTACCGTCTTGAGCGCGAAGAGCCTCATCACCGGGCTCGACCGCTACTCCAACCAAACAGAGCTCGTGCAGGTCCCCGAAGGCGAAGAGGATGGCGCCGACTCCTTGACGCCGTACAAGGCCTGCCCAGCATACAGCTCCAGCCGCGGCGCAGAGCAGTCCTCCGCGTTCCGGGACAAATACACCAAGCCCATCGTCGCGCGCCTTCAGGCCACCGTCCCAGGCTTCAACTGGACCTCCGAGGACGTGTACGGCATGCAGCAGCTCTGCGGCTATGAGAGCGTCATCCGCGGCGAGTCGCACTTCTGCAGCCTCGACCTCTTCAAGCCGAACGAGTGGCTCGCCTTCGAGTACGCCAACGACCTCATGTACTTCCACAACACCGGCTACGGCAACGCGCTGAGCGGGACCATCGGCTACCCCTGGCTCAACGCGAGCGCGCAGGCGCTCCTGAACGGCGACGCCCTCCACGTCTCCTTCACGCACCGCGAGCTGCCGCCCACCGTCCTCGTCGCGCTCGGGCTCTTCAACAACACGGCCTTCAGCGGCGGCGACAACCAGAACGCGACAATGCCCACCGACACGATCAACCACCGCCGCGCGTGGCGCAGCAGCAGCATGCTCACCTTCCTCACCAACATCGCCATCGAGAAGCTGAGCTGCAGCAGCTACGGCTACGACGGCTCGGAGTTCTACCGCGTCCTCGTCAACGACAGCCCGCAGCCGCTGCAGGACTGCGACGATGGTCCGGGGGAGAGCTGTGCGCGGGACTCGTTCGAGAGCTGGGTCGCTGAGAGGGGGCAGCTCTTCGGGGGCTTCTCAGACGCTTGTGGTGTGGACTACGACAATTCGACCAACACCTTGACGATCTATGACCAGTAGAAAATGGGACGATCCCTCACGAACTTTGTACTCATATTATTTGTCAGTCTTTCCAGATCCGCATACCTCATCTTGTACGAGTAGATATAGGGCTCGTCGATATCGCTCGGACCACATCGCTTTGTATGTATACCCCCAGCAAAAGGTCATATCGTATTTTGGTGATATTTGACGATGAAGTGCGCACTGCATCCTGCAGACCTCCGCCATTGAGCTTGTATAGGGCTTGCAGAATAATGCGCAAGCGAGACGCGCTGCAACACACGTATATGCTGAGGATGTGACGGGACAAAAACGAATGTCGGTAGCAGGATTCGAACCTGCGGCTTCTCGGAGCTACAACTCGCCACAACGAGATGATTTCACCCCTAATCGATACCGACTTGCCAAGTTAGCTTTATTTGGCATCCATAAGATGCGTACGCCGGATGTTCTGATAAAAGGACAAACGCAGAACATCTAGTCCTTTGAGAGCTTCTCCAGAGAACAAAACAGCACATGCCTACGTATAGTACGACAAAATGAGTGATATACCTTGATCTATCAGTCCGTGTAACACGTCGCGTCCGCAAAAGTGACAGTCTCGATGTCCACCTCGGTCAGCCAGTCGCGAAACTCATCGGAAAAGGTCGCGTTCGGCGCGTGGACCCTCAGCCGCTTGAGGGACGATACACCCTCCTGAGGTACCCCGATGCGCGACATGACCATCTCCTTCACGGCGCCCTCGTCCTCGTCGTGCCAATAGAAATTGTCGTCGTCAATGTCCTTCATATCCGTGACGATCTCCAGCTCGGTGAGGCCCGGCAGCGCAATCTCATCCACGACGTCATCGTCTATCGTAAGAGAATCGAGTAGAGGGAAGTGGGTTGCGCAGGGTACGTTCTGGTGCAGGCGAAGACACTGCACGCTCGCCAGGTCCTTCAAGTTCGGTAGTGACGTGTGATGCATGTTTTGGAGCGTCAACGTTTTCAACGTCGGGAAGCTGCGTTTGAGGAGCATGGGCTCCGTAAAAAGCTCTTCCCCATGGTCCACGCAGAGGTCCTGCGCGTTTTCGGCCAAGAGGTAGGGTAGAATGCCCATGGCATTCCGATACGTATGCAGTTGCACTAGGCGCGGTAGATGAACTGTGTTTGCCTCGTAGTCGTCTGTGTCGTATGCATTGCGGAAGGCCTGATCGGGTCCCAATTGTAAGACCTCTAAGCTGGTGCACTGTCGCAGGATACGCAAGAGATCCCCGAAAAGCGCCCTCGTATCTCGAAGCGTGAGTTGACGCAAACCGCCCCAGTCGACGTCGAGCGATATCAGGTGTATGCGATCGATCCCCAGGGCGCGTAAGCACGGCGCAGAACTGCGAAGACGTAGGACAGATTTCTCGGCCGCCTCCAGTGACGAGGGTTCGAATGGGTTCCCCTGTGCGGCGACATGCAGAGTGGCCAGCAGAGGCAAGTTGGAGGGAAGGCGCACGGGCAAGTCCACCGTGGGCAACTGCAAGTGCAGGGACTCTAGCCGATGCGCCTCTCTGGCTATGAACGCCCAGACCGTAAAGCGCTGACGGGAGCACGAGTTCCACAAGTTCACGTTCGCACTGAGCGAACGAGTGCCTGCCCGCCGCGCGTATGTCTCCACCATTTCGAGGTATCCTTCTTTGTCCCCGCTGACGCGGATATGCGTCCACAGCCCCTGCGCTGCGAACGCGACCTCCCGCCATTCGTGGCAGACCTGGGAGCAGACGAGGACGTGCCAGCCGCTCTCGTCTTCGAACCAGCGGTTGAGAGCAGTGTATTCGCAGATGATACCCAGGATCTCGCGCGGCAGGCGCCGCACGGGTGCTGTGAGGGATGCGAGCTGCGCTCCGGCGTCTTCGAGAGTGGACTTTCGACGGCGAATGGCCCGCAGCGCGTCTTCCAAGCGGTGGATTTGGGCATCGTACGAGGCGACGTCGGCGTCTATCAGTGACAGGACGCCTCGAATGGATGCTGCCTCTGCGGGGGATGCAGAGTAATTCGACCGCACGTAGCTTGTCAGGTCCGTTGCTGCAAGAGGTGCCGGAGCTTCCGCCTCAAGGTCTAGCTCGACCTGACTGCATTGCGAACAGGGCGCAGGAGGGACATGACGCGCATAACTGAGGTTGAGGAGCATCTGCTGGTCCAAGGCGAGTGAGTGCTGTTCCGATGTCCAGGCGAGCGAAAGAAAAAAATGCGCGGTGAACGCAGGAAGCGAGATAGCTCGGCATATGCCGCGGAGCCAAACGCGCTTGCAGCCGAACAGATACTTCCGGGTTGCATGCTCCCGCCTTCTTTGCCAACAAGCTGAGTTCGCATCTGTCCTAAGTACATGTATGGGTAAGGAAATTCTCATGAGGCTAGTAGTAGAAGGAAGCTTAGAACGAATAAATAGCTCGAATGACAGGCGATAAATACACGAACAACTCCAGCGTCAAGCTGAACGTTTACTGGAAGTACATACGATTCTTTTGGGTCGCGTGCACCTGCTGGAACCCCGCTCGAAGACCAGCTTCCGTTGTCTGACCAGCAGTCGAAGAAGCCGTGTCAGACGTGGCAGAGAGATCGACGTCGGGACTGTAGTGAGTCTTCGCGCGTGAGCATACGATGTCTGCGTCTGTACGATAGTAGATCGTTAGCTGGGTGAAGCATCCGGTCAGCAGGACGGGAGACGCACAGTACGTCGGCGCCGGGATAGACACACTGCGGGTCGCCCTAGCATAGACGTGGCATAGGTTGTACGTGAATCGCTCCAAGGCCTCCGGTCTGCAGATGAATTAGGATAGCGCCTTTGAAGGCTTTGCTGGACTTACCGGAATCCGTTATCCTGTGATGACATATGGTCAGTCAGAACCACCGGTGCGAGCTCACTCTTGACTTACATCGTGGATAACCTGCAAAACAAGGGTCAGTCAGCTGCAGGGCCAGTACAACGGAACGCGTTTGCTAACCGTGTAATGCGCGGACCTGCTAGTCCCCTTGATGCCTGCGTGGCTCTGCAGGAACAGATCGTATTCGACTGGATGCGCGATGTCGGTGTCAATAACGCTGCCCGCGGGAGCATTCCCGCTCCTATCGGCGTCACGCAGAGGGTTCATCCGCATATGGTGCCGCTAGGGCACGGACAGTTCAGCTTTTGACAGGTTGGCCAGTCGTATCACGCACCTTTCCGACGATCTATGCATAGAACATGGAGTATCGGTGCTCAGAGACGATCTCAATGCACTCACAATGAACGTGATCTTGGCTTGGACGCCTAGCGCTTTGCATGCGGCTGGAGAGATTTACTTCAAGGGTAGTGGAGTGAAAGGCAATCTCACCTTGTAGCTTGTGGAGCTCTTCGGTGGGTTATAAGCCAGTGAACCGGCGAACCCTTGTGGTGACATACCCTGTTCCTTGACCTGTTTGAATTGTCCCTCGGATACGCCATCTAATCCACCTAAGTGAGATGACAACAGCCATTCCGCTACTACACGCACCACGATAGACTATGATCTTCGTGGGAGCGCGCGCAGGGCCGGTCACACCCTCGTCTAGGCCACAGTAGTTCATGTTTGCAGTGATCATCTCCTGCGAGCGAGTTCAAGATATCTTCTCGTGTGAAGACGAGCGAGGGACTTCGCACCTTTGCCATGTTCTCGAAGTCGTCGATGATCTCCTGTCGCGATGTCTGTGCCCGACTGGTGGCGCGGTACTTTGCTGCATGGCGGTCCATGCTTCCCACCATAGCGGTGAACGAAGGGCGCCCGACAGAGCCCTGTGCGCAATGGTTAGACAGTCGCATAGTCATGCTACACGTAGCACCCACTGGGCTTGGATGAATAACGTCCGCCCCCAGAACCAAGGTCCTCTCGTGAGGGTTCTTGAGCACGTCCGCAGCGATGTTCGTGGGGTCCTCTGGATCAACGATGGTGTTGATGCCCCCGAGCTTGCCGTTGATCCTGAAGGGAGATTCGATAAGTCGTGATTCACGCAAGAGAAACGATCTTCACTTCAGGCACACGTTCGCCCAATACTGGATGTTGGCGCGTTCGCACTTCTGCGCCTTCAAGCATTGCGTGGCCACACCGCGCTGGTGAAGAAGCGTTAAAGGCAGGTTGACAAGAACGAGGTATCAATGACGAACAAGGATATCGCCCCAACTGTGATGGTATCAGCTCACAGCTCTATAAGCGTAAAGTTAAATCGAATGCGTACTGCTTAGCCTCAGCCCAAATGGGATCGCTGTTGAAGGGCAGGACTATCACGAAGAGTTGTGGCGGCGCTACCTTCTTTTTGCGGAACTCGTTTTGCAATTCGTCCAGGAGCTGATATACGGGTCAATCAGATGAGCTGCGATGATACGAGCCGCTGACGTACCCGCGTAATACTCTGCTGAGCAGGTCGATAGCTGCAGCGGGTACATGTGAGTATAGTCGACGCTTACTTGGGATGTGACAAACCATTCCAGCATGGGATCAGTGACCGGTGTCATGCCTAAAACTTCGTGAGCCTTCCGGGTAGCTAGACGCCGGCCAACACATACCGCAAGCTTGCGCCGCATTCTTGAGGCCCGTAATCTGTACTAACATCAACACTGTCATTGACGAAATGCCGCGACATGTCACGAACCATGGAGCGTAGCGTTTGCGGTCTAAACCTGGTCTGCTGCTCGAGCACCATGACAGCCCACGAATTCAACGGCATCGGCTTGATGAAATGCTTGTTCGCCCTGCAAAGTACATGAGCGCGTTACGACGAACCGACGATACTTGAGTACATGTTCCAAGCGCCAAACTTGACCGACTGAAAGGCGCTTGTTAGCGCATCGCATCAAGCCAAAGAGGTTGCTTACCTCGCGCGACGATCCTCCATACAGCATAGTGGGCGGCGGCAGCGTACGAGACATTATTTGAAGCGGTGTAGTGTCGACTGACATGCCGAATTGCTGAACGTAATCGCTTTGCCCATGCCTCAAAAGCTGCTGGCCGTCAGCCAGGTCTACAGTGGAAGTACGTCGCCTCTTACACCGAGTGCCTCTTGTATACCAGCGAAGCGCTCCTGAGGCCTTTGCGCTGAGAAATCGACCATCTCGCGCGTCGCATCTGCAGTTACCGAGTAGTGAGTGTGAAGCCGGAAGACCCATAAAGCGCGCACATACCTGGCGGGACTTGCTTCTTCATGATCTGTCCAGGCGGCACAATGCATATTTCCAAGGGCAACAATGCACCTCCCCCGACCTATGGCTCAGATGAGACCTGTGCGTGATGCAACCATGCAACATACCTCGACGCATGGGAGATTCGGATAACTCAGTGGCCGATTGGTCACGGTCTGAAAGTAATGGGCGACAGTGATGTCGGTCTCGGGTTGTCCTTCCCTTCTCATGCGAAATGTGAGCTGATTAGCTGGTTTGGTTGACAAGTTCTTTATCTCGCGAGGCCGACGTTGGGTCGATTGACCACCTGCGAGTACCTTGAGGCCTACCAAGAACCGCTTGAGTGCCAGCCAGTCGCGGTTGCCGAGACGCGCAAGGACTGAAGGATCGTTGGAACGCCGCAAGAAGCTGCAGCACACCCCTATCAACGGGCCCGACTGGTACATAACGCCGGCGGACACGTCGACGTTGAGAAGGAGCTCTGAATAGCATGTCAGCATGACACCACACACAGAGCGATTGACACGTACTGCCCATAGCGGGGCGAACAGACTGGAAGTAGCTGCAGTCTCGAACTCAGCGAGAGCATCAACATAAACCAAAAGGGGGACATACCCTCGCCATAGCTCAATGCCGCCTGCAAGCACCCTCTTGCCTTCGGGCACGTAGAAGCTGCGCGAATTGAAAGGAAACCTTTGCGTAGGCTCCATACGCAAGACGATATTGAGAGCCTGAGAATCGCATAAGGAGAGCATGCTGACAGAAGCAATGAGTCTACCTGGAGAGCCGTTATAGCCTCTTCGTCATTTGACTGCTTGCCTTCGACGAAGCGGGTCAAAAGTCTAGAAAGGCCAATGTCAGACATCGCCAACAAGCTGATGAGTAGTAGCGCACTCAGAGTTGATCTTGCTTGCGTATTCAATTTTGATGCGATGGACGCGCGGTGGTTTGCTCGCGGTGCCGGCACCAATAGTAATCTGGAACTGCAAAAATTGAGTGCACATTTGAAGCCTAGTAAGCGGTCCCGTGCGGCATGCTACTTACCTCCTGGTAGTCGTTGGGTATGTCCAGACGATACGACGAGACCATGATCTTCCTTCCGTCATACGAGACTTTCCTCGGGAAGATATGTGGAGCGACCTCGTATTGAAGTTGCTTGAAAAGCTCCATGTTCCGACGAACAGGTAGCGTCTTGTCGCCAATCATGTCTACGACGCATGGATCAGGTCAGATGGGATCGTTCTTTCATGAGAGCCGGCCAGTCAGTCACGCACCGACTGAGAAGCACAGTCAGTATCAAGCATGTCGGAGGACTGGGTGACACTTACCGTCGTACTGGTAGATATACCCCGACGAAATCTCCATCTTGAACATATTGACCAGCACGGGTACTTCTTTGCCCACATTGCTGAAGCCCGGACGTCTGACTCCGATGGGCACGACGGACGCTGCAGACCATCAATATACAAGCGAGTCGCATGAAATATAGAAGACCACATACCGTCCGCGATCGTCGTCGCCTGTGACGCAACTTGGACGGTCTGACCGCGACCGCGACCTCGCCCCGTACCGCGATTGGCAGGATCAGGTCCGCCCCCGCGTCTCTGCCCAGCAGGTGCCGGTGCTGGCGAAGGAGGGTGCGGAGACCCGCCACGCTGCGGGCCACCGCGGCCACGTCCGCGGCCCCTGTCCCCTCGCGCATTCCCTCCTCGACCACGACCCCGGTCTCCGCGATTTCCTCTCGGCGGCATATTCAATAGTCTGTGTTTTGGAAGTCAATCAAAAGTAGCCACATTTTACACTAGTCCGGGCGTACCGAGCGCACAGTCAAAAGTGCGTGGTGGTCAGATGTTGGCGAGATGCTGGCGCACCCGCCCTTTTATGCGGAGCACGGGCGCCTAAAAGAATCAGAATATGTGGCTTTGGGGTGCTTGCGCAGGCTGACATCCGCATGTTTGCCTAGTACGCCAGAGGTTCAGTATGGTCCGAACGGCGTACTAGGTTTTCGAAGGCAACTTCAACTTCTTTCCGGTAGCTGTGCTGCTGCGTTGATCTTTGCTGCATTCGCGGTTATCGATGCGGAGGTCAGTCCACAGTAGGCACACCTTGCAGCCGCGTAAGCGATGGCGCAGAGATCATGGAGAGGTGCGTCAAGCGAGTTGACGTCCTTCGCCAGTCCACATCGATTTTACTGACCCATAGACTGTATAGGCGGGAACCAAACTCTTTATAGACACCCTGAGGGCACAGTAAGGGCCGTAAGACGGCGGGGAGAGTACCCAAGTCGCGGGGCAGCGCTGGTCCAGGACTTGCCAAGAACCCATTTCGCGACGACGTGCTATGGTTTGATTTGGCTGGCCCAGAGGCAATGCACCATCCTGATAACTTGGAAAGTGGAGGTAATGCATCGAGTTGACTTGCAAGCCTGCATTGGGAAGGGTCAAAGAGCGACGAGTTCGCGTAGCCCTCCTCTCGGCAAATTCCGACTGGCAACCCGAATTTGTTGCTCAAGCACCACTCGCTCAGCATATGGAAGTATTCCGCTGTTCTAGTTTTGAGTGAAGGGAAAGTTGTCGACTTCAGATTAGGATTTCTGGTATATCGCATCCCTAACACCGACGCAGGATTGAAGTGAAGAGCGCCGAGCCCATTGTCCGCAATGGGGTATAATATAGCAGCAAGCTCTCGTCAGCAGTGCTTGAATCCATCTAGATACAGATTTCCAGGAAGCATCGACAGGTCTTTTTCCAAACCGCTCTAATATATACGATATAGCGCCTTAATTAAGTCCACGTGTAACGACTGGGTGAATACACTGCTCTAGTGATCATTTCTTTGAGTAACGTACGGCATGCGATGAGATGCGACGAGGTCAGAGGTCGAGAGACTGGGGAATAAGTTACGGACAATGATGATAGTCGTACGCTCCCAACTATGGCTTGGCTGTGGACAGAGTTAGTTTGGTCCCTCCGAGCAGCTGGCGAGAACAACTTACAGAGCTGCTCCTTGCGGTAGAACCAGAAGTACCCCGCGACGATGATGAGCTGGCAGATTAGGGCTATCCAGAACAACGGCGACGCGATAGGGCTCCCTAAAAGAACGTTAGTTATTGCCAGCAGATCGGACGAGGAGCATACGTACCAGTAACACCTTCGCTCGGTTCCCACTTAGCGACATCAGGGAAGACGCCGGTCGCGCCAGTAGATGGTGGTGCGGTCGCGCGAGCGATCATCACAACGATCGAGCCAATGACTTGCGAGAATGCAAGCGTAGCGCAGACGTGCAAACGCGAGAGCGTCTGTAACACGTGTCAGTCGACAGCATCAGGATAACAACACGAAGGACATACCTGGAGCAGGATCATACCCAAGCCAACACCCTGGACGGCATCCAAAACACCGAGCCACAACCACAACGAGATGCCGAGATGGTAGCCGGCGTCGCCTGCCCATGGCAAGTAGAGACCCACGGACGACGTTCCCCACAGCATCTGACACCACCTAGGGGCGCCGAGACCGACAGCGAAGACGGGCAACAGCCAAGTGTGCGTCTTGGCGAAGTGGGTGAGAACGAACATGAGGAGGGCCCATACGAAGACGAAGAACACGATGACGAGGACGACCGTTTGCCAGACCGGAATCGGTACAGACCACAAGTATGTCCAGTTGCGTCCGTAAGGCTACATCAGAGTGTTAGCACGGGAAGACATCAGGCAAGTCCAAGACACTCACAACACTGAGCCAGTAGTCGCGCAGGATCTCTGAAGCCAAGAACCAAAGCACCAAGTGACGGCGGAACATCGTCTTGAGGAACTGCGGCACCTGAGGTGGCTTCTGGCGGTAGTACTCTGTCCAACAGTTAGCCATCAAGTCCGTCGAAACATTGAGGGTACATACCTGGTAGGCCGTGGTAGAGCAACCAGAAGAACAGGAAGCTCATCGCAGCCAGCGGGAACGCTATGCATGCAACCCACCAAGGTGCGCGGTATGCGTCGTCCTTGCCAGCGAGGTTGTGCCCCCAGTACCAGAGCGCGGCGACCCAGATTTGCTGAGAGCCCTGCACAATACACGCACGAAGCATCCACACCTCCGTCGCTGCGCCGGCCTCCTCACCGAAGTTGAGACCGAAGAACGCGAAGGAGCCCGCGGACGCGATAGCGTAGGCCCAGGTTGCACCGTTGGTGATGCCCTCGCGCGCGTCGTCCAAGGCCGAGATGGCATACGGCAAGCCGATGAGGAAGAACGCGATGCCGAAGAAGATCCAAGGGATGGATAGAATGTACACGGAGGGCTTGAGACGGAACATCGGGTACCACACCGCCGACGCGGCGAGGAAGACACCACCGATGATGTAGAACTGAGTGTCGTTCTGCCTGTTCGTGCCGCTGAGCAAGCCGATCTGGAAACTGGTTGCGCTGAGCATCTGAAGATCCGTTAGTGACGATGTTTATAGATAGACAACGACCCTTACTTGAGCGAGGGCCATCAAGATGGTATACAATGGCCAGCCGCCGAGCTCCCTCGACATGAAGATCTGGGTACGGTTCATGGGCACGATGTCCGGTTCGTCGGCCAGTGGTGCGTCGTCCGCGGATGAAGAGTATCTTGAAAGCGCGACGCTGCTCCGTTGACCCACTGTAGCCAGCATGTAAGTGTATGTTCATCAAAGCCGACCAGCCACTTACTCTCAGAAGCTGTGTAGACTGAACTGGGGCGAGAGTGCATTGTCGAAGCGCCGTCGTGCTTATGCGAGCGAAGACTGGCCGCAGTGCTCAGCTTGTCCTTGCGAACCTTCTCAAAGAAGGCCTCCTCGCTCTTCATGAGGTACTTCTCAATGGACAGCTCATGCTCCGAGTTCTTGGGGTTCAAGTCGCGCAGCTTCTGAACGAACTCCGCCGCGACGGCACCGTCCGCATCCGTGAACTGAGGGCGCGGTCAGTGAGTCGAAGAACATCATGCGAATACAAAGCAAACTTACCGAAGCAATGGCCTTGTTGAGAGGAGAGTCGGCCTTCTCGTCGACGATGGAGGCAATAGACTCTGCAGAGGACACGCGGGAGTACATCGTGAAGGGCCGGGCAGGCGCAGCACCGTCGAGGAATGGATCCGGAGCACCGCGCTGATTGTGGGCGATGGCTTTGTTGGCACGAGACAGGAAGTTTTGGAAGTCGCTAGAGCCGGGTTCGTACAATCTGCCGTCCTCAGAAACAGAGTCGCGGTTGTTGGGTTCCATGATCTGGGGACGCGCAGACAGGTAATCGTTTCCGACACCGCTATCGCCGTCCGAGGACAGAGGAGTCTGCGGAGTGCCAGGAGTGACGGGGCTCATGTAGCTGTTGCCACCGATACTTGACATGCTGTTCCTGCCCCAGTTGGGTTGCTGTGGTGGTGCAAGGGCTTCCGGGTTCCAGTCCTCGTTCTCCGGGATGGCGCCGAAGGTAGTGTGCTCGCCGCCGTCGCTCGGGCGCCATGCATCGCTCTCGGCCAGAGTCCTGCTTGTCGTGATACTGCGCTTGTGGAAGTCTTCCATGCGTTGACGCCATTCGACGACGGGGAAACGTTGGACAGCCGAGCGCGCGCGCAGGATAGCACGTTCCTCTTCAGTCGACTTCAACGCCATCTTGATCGTCTTGGTGAACTGCGAGATCATGTGCGCCGTCGAGCTGGATTCAACAGGGAACCACTGGGCGATAGTCAGTAGCTGAATGAGTACGAACGCACAAGAGGGCTTACCCAACCAGGCATGAGACCGAGACCACCGAGACGACTGCCAACACCGAGGGCACCCTTGCGACCGAACTCGACGGCGACGAGACCGAATGGCTCATCACGAGACGGAATGAGGGCAAAGTCGGCACCACTGAACAAGTAAGGCGGAAGAGCAGTGAACTCCGGCTTCGAGTACACCCTGTCGGGGTAAAGCTCCATTAATCGCGCGAGCTTTTCCGCAGCGAAGCGACCGTAAAGATCGATGACGGGACCGACACAAATGAGTTGAATAGACGGTTGTTTCTCGAGTCTGACAGAAGCATGAGGCTAAGAAGATATCTCAAGGACGAGAGCACTCACAGGCCAGTCATGACATCCGCGATAAGATCAACACCCTTCTGCTTGGACCAACGACCGACGAAGACGAACAGGTTCGCGTTCGGGTCCTGCTTGATGCCAGCCCATTCCTGCGCCTGCCTTTTGTTCTCCGGACGCTTCGCTTCGGCCTCCTGGTCGATCTGGATCTTGCGGACCTCCGTCGGGTTCTCGTCGAGGGCCTCGATATCCGTGGGATCGGGGTTCGGGAGCGAGTCGACATGCTTGAGAGCCCAAAGCGCAGGATAACGAGCCCAAGAGCGCTTGCCGTACTTGTCAGAGACACCGGCGACACCGACAGACTTTTGATGAACACTGATGAAGGAGGCAGCGGCGTGCAGCAAGTTAAACGTGTTGCCGAACTGGACGTATTTGGTGCAGTGCGCCTTGCTGATGTTGAACGCCGAGCAGACCTCCTTCATCTCCTCCTTCGTGCGCAGAGGCCACAAGCCCTGGAACTCGGCATTGTGAAGCGACAAGCAGACGGGGATGACCTTCGGGAGCAGGTAAATGGGAGCAAGAGCGCCGTGGTAGTCGTTTATATGGTAGATGTCAATGTCGGGATAGCGCCGGATGGTCGCCGCGATGGCCTGATTCCAAGTCGAGTAGAAGATGGCGGAACTCAAGTCGTCCATGCGCTGCGGGTACGGGTCGGCCTTGCTCTGCGCGCGGAAGACGGGGCTGTCGAGGATCACGTAGGTGATGTTGTCTACTACGTGCGTCTCGACCTCGACCTGGTACGCCTGCCCGAAGATGATGACCTCAATAGGCTCGGCGGGATCGCCAGGAGGGTACTCGAGGTCCTTGACCTTCGCTACGACCCAGACGAGATCGACGTCGGACATCGCCTTCCCCATCAGACTGGCCATGACACCGAGACCACCAATCTTGACCTTGAGTTTCCAATCGATGATCTCGTACTCCAGGGTGGCGATGAGGACCTTGCGGCGCTTGTTCTTGTCTTCGGGCCAGCCTATGATGTCGCCGTGGTACTTCTTGTGGCCACCAAAGAGACCGCCCGCGCCCTCGGGGTCGTGCAGGTCGCTCTTGGACTTGCCGAAGAGGTCCATGATCGGGAAGTACTTGCCCTTGTTCGACGGCTGCACACCGTAGCGGTTGTGCTTGATGCCGTAGAACGAGCGCATGAAGATAAGGACGGACGCGAGGGCAGTGATGAAGGGGATGGAGAGGAGCAGCGCGTACGTGATGATGCCGACGGACGCCTGACCACGGGGCTCGAGGTACCAGCGCATGGTGCTGTCGTCAACGGTGATACGGAAGGACAAGTGCTTGCCAGGCGGCGCGGAGATGTTAAGCTGACTGGGCGCGGCAGTGTTGGGCGGCAGACGGTCGAGAATACCGTCGTTGTCGACGTCGCCGTACCAGTAGTCGTTATAGTCGAAGACGTTAAGCTGAATCCAGGTCGGCCAGACAGCGGAAAGATCGAGCTGCCATAAACCCTCGTCGTTCAGCTTGAACTCGGACTCCACGGCCTTGTCGAAGCCGAAGTTGTTGAACTCGCCTCGCGCAAGGAAGCGCGGAACGCGGCGCGGGTGGTCATCGTAGTTGTAGTCCGCATGGGTGACGTGCGACGTCGACATCGTGAGCTCGCTCCAGTCTGCATGGAGTGTGAGCGACCAGCGATAACGAATGCAAAAAGACGAAGACTCACACTGCACCATGATATGGTAGCCGTCCCAGAAGTTGTCCTCGTCGTCGAACAACGTCGTGTTCACCTTCGTCTGCTGCTCGAAGTCCTTCCACTCGGTCCAGTTCTGGCCGAAGTTCCACGAGTAGCGGAACTTGTCGGCACCGTACGCGCGATGGTTGAAGACGAGATCGTCGCCAGACTTGACAAAGGCGGAGTTGTTGTAGTCGTTGTACGGGAAGACCATCACGTTGTCCTCCGTGCCCTTGCGCAGCAGAAGGTGGTCGGTCGCCTACGAACTGTTAGAATGCGAACAGAGGCAGAGATGGAATGCAACATACGTTGGTACCGTCACCGCCGTTAGACGAGGGGTCCTTGACCTCAATGCGGAGAACACCATCGGGCATACCGCTGAGGGTCGCCGACCACGCCCACGCGCTGGTATCGTCACCGGGGATGATGACCGGGTCCGGGTTGTCCACGCCGCCGCAGTTGACGTTCGAGATCGACGGCGCGTCACCTCCGCCCGACGAGGACATCGTCAGCGTGATCGAGTCCGTCACACTGTCGCAGTCCATCTCCGTGTTGAACTCGATAGAGACGTCGACGTCGTCCTTGCCGCCCTGGCTCGTGATGCGATGGTCGTGACCGGGCGTGAACTTCGTCATCGCCGGCAGCGGCGCCACCCACTGGTCGTCGGGGACGAGGGCCTTGAAGCCGTAGGGCTCGAAGGTGATCGACCCGAGACAGCCGAAGTACGGGTCCTTGCCGTCGTAATAGTACGGCTGGTCAGACTCCTCGAGGTCGTACGTCTCATACGGGGCGAACAGGTTCCGCAGCTTGACGTTGCTCTGGAAAGGCGAGAGAATCTGCTTCTTGCTGCCGCACTTGAAGTCGTAGGTCTGCGTCGTGTTCTCGTTGGTGTAGAAGAGCCACACGGGGTCGTTGTAGCGCCCATCGACGGTGTTGTGGTGCTCGAGCTTGTCGCGCTTGACCGCCCAGAGACCCTTCTCCGTCTGAATGTCGCCCGAGTACGGCATCTGGATGAAATAGGTCCAGTTGCCGGTCTGGGTGAGACTGAACCCGTCCTGGACGACACCGTAGACAGTGCGGAGGTAGTTGAAGTGCGCGAACATACGACGGGTGTTCGCCGTGGGGTCGAAGTGGTCCAGCGCGTTCCAGTCATCATAACAGCCGAGGTAGGCCTTCTCGATGTTCGCGACATAGTACTGGTCGAAGCCAAGGTGGTAGCACCCGTGGTTCTTCCAAGCAACGTTCCCCATCATACCCTGACGGCTGGAAGGGATATGAGTACATATTCAGGCTTCGAAGGAACGGAATAACGTACCCGAAGAGATAGTTGGACGCCGTGTTGTCGTGGATGTAGAAGTTCTGTTCCTCTCCGAAGAAGTACTGCAAATGATGTCAATACAAGAATGCTTGAGATGAGATGAGATGTCAACTTACCAGAGGCGTTCCGGGCATGATCATGGACGTGATGAAGGACGCGAGCACAGCACGCTGAGTACCGTTCTGTAGCGCCTGCCAGCGGAAGATATCGAAGTTGGACGTGCCATATAAGTGACGCGGGTCGAGGTCACCGGTGGCGGGGTTCAAAAAGTCGTTGTGGACCATGAGCTCGTTCCACTGGTTTGCGAAGTTGACATCGGTGTCGTACGCAGCCGTGAGCTGACCATCGAGGCCCATGAAGCGCGTGATGGCACGATGGGTCGAGTAGTGGAAAGCGACACCATCGAGCGCGTTCAGCGGGGCGTCGCGGAGGAAGTACTGGCTATCATCCAGCGTCGCATTCACAGCCGTAGCGAAGTCCTCCGGGTAGTTTTCTGGGGCACGGCCTCGACCACTGCACGTACGTCAGACACTAGAATCACCACTGCAAAGCGGATGCGACTCACATGTAGATCGAGCCAAAGTGATCACCACCAGTAACTTCACCGGGGATGAAGAAGTTGTCCTTCCCGAGGTCGTTGGCGCACTTGCGCAAGCTGGCCGACCACTCTGCGAGCGCGTCCACGGACACCTGCGTCGACTTATCGATACGAATCGCGTCGATATCGAGGCGGGTCACGACCATGCACGCGAAGACCTTGAGCTTCGCGAGGACGTGCGGCTGCCATTCGCGCAGACGGTCTTGCACGGACGAGAACTTCGTCAGCTGACGCTTGTACTCGGGGTGCACACCGAAAGCCTCGAGGTCTCCGTACTGGTCAAACTCGGAGGCCTTGCAGCCGTTCGCCGGGTTTTCGACCTGGTCGCGCTCGCCGTCGTCGCCCCAGAAGCGGGGGAGCACACATGAGGAGTTCCAGTCGTTGCTTGGCGTGAAGTCGGCATACTCGTCGAAGCCCCAGGGCATACGAGGAGGGTGCTTGTACACGTAGTCGTGCTCGGAGGTCATGAAGGGAGCTGACACGTTGAGGTAGCTGGATCACGTTTTGCAGTCAGCAGCGCTCTCGTATCGGAGGAAGTACACGTACCCCTTGAAGCCAATCAGATCACTCATGGTACCGACCGTCAAATCGGCCATGAAGTACATCCCGCGGTTATGGATCTCCTTGATGGTGTCCACCCAATCGTCGATGGTGCCCCAGTGAGGGTCAAGAACGGACATATCGAGCGGCGAGTAACCTGGGGACCAGATGTTAGCCAAGACCAGAGCAGGAAAATGCGAGAACGCACTGTCCGCCTGCCATATCATGTTGAGGAAGGGAGTACCCGAGATGAATATAACACGGATGCCCATGCCCTGTAGGTAGTCCAGCTTGGAGACGAGGCCCTTGAGGTCGCCTCCGTAGCGCATTTGCGTTTCCCGATAGTCCTGCTCGTACGGAGTGCCGAAAAAATCGTTGTTCGTGGGATCGCCGTCCGCGTACTTGTCCATGAGGATGGTGTACACGGGGAGTGCGCGCCAGTTGTCTGGCGATGGCATGTACGAGTCGAGCTTGTCGGTGCTGTAGTCGAGTGGGTCCGTGGCATCCTTGTTGGTGTTGATGTTGTATTTCTCGAGTTCCTCGCGATAGGGAGAGGCGGCGACGAGGAGGCCGAGGGCCGCGCTGAGCGCGCCCGTTAGCAGGGACCGCATGTCCGCTGCTCTCAGATGGAAGACGTCGACCGGGGGATAAGGACAAGACGAGGCGGGCGACGACGAGCAGCTAAAAGCCCGCGCTCGAGATGAGCGGAGGAGAACAGAGGAGAGAGCGTGACGGGATGGGACTATAGATATCCTGCCTGATGGGATAGCCAAATTGAATTGCCAAACAACACAAGGCCCGGACAGGCGCCCGCCCCGGTTCGTTTCGTCGCTCCATCTTTACCACAGCATCCTGCCTTCCTGGCGGTCTACCAGCCAGTGCTAGACATAGTGTCAAAAGCTATGCACAGCGACAAGCTTAGGAAGCCCAAGTCCGCCTCGCAAGCGGCGGCCGCGTGCGCAAAATAATTTACAGGCTGATCATGTACGCGTCCTTCGATACGTTCGAAACAGAAAATACATGTCCTGGCTGTGCGGCGAAAGTGCGGCGATGCAGCATTCTGGTAAGGGCCCAAAAGGACACGAACATCGGCCCCCGCCGCGCGCGCTAGCTGGCGGGTTCGCGCAGGGCTCGCCACCGTCTCGCGGCTTCAACGGGTCCTCTTCTCCGTCGCGTCGCGTCCCCAGAAGCGGAATCAAATTCGTCTGTCCGAACGACACGAGATCTCCCACGGTTCGACTTCCGTGACCGCCCAGATAGACCCTACCAGCGAGGTCTCCCAAATAACTATCCGCCTCCTCGGAATCCGCTCGTCTGCTTTCCTATCCTCGTCGTCGAGGGCGCTGGCCAAGCTCTGCCAACTCTGGTGGCATCATTGCCTCCTATCACCAAAACATGAGCTCTCCCCTGAAGCTATGCTCTCTTCTTCCGACTCAACGCTGCGAAGCTCTAACACCCGCCATTGCCACCTCCTGGTACCTCAGCCTCTCGCGTTTCTAACGGAGCGCACAGCGATTATCTCTATCGTCCATCGATGCCACTGCTCAATGTCCTCAGCGCCCAACGTCGGCGCCGTGATGATTAACCCAAGGCGCTTATTCCGCGCATCATACCGCCCAAGACAGGCGCGGCATAGCGCCATCCTCAAGGCGCTTTTCCTCTCCTCCCGGCTGCCTTCCGAAGGGCTGCCCCCGCCTCCGGGGCCTCGGAAGGCCTCCTTCTCGGCGTACGTACGCCAGCACGATTCCTGGGCATCTCAGCCCGAGCCCGCCTGCGCACCGTCCAAAATTTGTGGCCAGAATTACCGCGACTGCGGCAGGCTGGCGACCCTCGGACGGAGCTGCAGGGCGCACGTCCTATTCCGCACTAGCGCCGAACTATCTACTGGGCTGGTCAGTAGACCTCCACTCATCAGGCTATCATACGGTCGTAATCCGCCCGCACCTTCCCATCCTCCGAGCTCTTCGGTCGCGGGCTGACATACTCGTCGCCTCGGGCGCTTCGCTATACAGTAGCCCAACATGTCCAACATACCGACTACCGCAGTCCGACTGCGCACACGTTCGTCCGACTGGCTGGCGGGGCGATTTATCCTTGCAGCCGTTGTACTTACGATCGCGATATATCTCGTCACCTCCACCGATAGCGAACCCTCTTCGACACCCCTCCTTGGCCCAGCACGCAGATTGCGCCCACGGTTGCACTCTATCAGCCCTAACTTCGCGCACACAACCTCCCCTTCGCCATAACACCACCACAAATTCACCTCTATTCCGCCTTGTATGATCTAGTATTCCGCCTCAAATGAAAGTTAGCCTGACTTGTGGACCTTCAGCGCCTCATCCACAATCTCGCAGATCCCCAGTAACTCCTCCTCCCGGAACCGCCTCCCCGCAAGCTGTACGCACACCGGCGCGTCCCTGAACGTCTCCGGGCTGTACATCCCATATACCTTGGCCTCCAACTCGCTCTTCGGAGTGTATTCTTGGTCCTTGGCATCCAGCGCAGGGTCTACGCGCGTCACAGGGATAATGGCTGCCTATTCCTCGTGGTCAGACGCCCGGACTATAGACCCTTCCACCCGCAGCCAAAAATACGTCTCGCCACTCACCGGCAAGTCCACAAAGTTAAAGAACGACGTGTAGCCCGTATACCTAGATAGCAGCGTCACGTAACCATCCGAGCAGGCAGCTGACAGCCCCCACGTACTCGAACTGGGCGTGCGGCGGTGCCGCGCTCGGCGCCGCAGGGCACAGTAGCGCATCGATGGGGCGGCCAGTCCCTGCGATCGCGCGCCCCCGTCAGCTATCGGACGCGCGGAAGGGGGATTCCGGCTGAGCTAGCTGACCTGTTAGCTCCTTGGTGGCGATCCATTTATCGAGTATTTTCTTGCGCTAGGGGGACAAGGTGATAAGCAGGCGAGCAATGGCGAGGGTGTGGATCGTACGCACGAAGGCCTCCTTCTCGCGACTGAGTTGCCAGGCCTCCCAGACAGTAATACGAGGGTATGGTCTGTAAGGTATGCTTGGCCAGAGCGGCTGTAGCGAACATCAGAATCGCTATACAAATTTGGAGTTTTGCAAGTCCTTGACAGTCCTTGACAGTCCTTACCTCCCCAGCCTCGCTCATAATCCTGTCAAAATCTTCCCCATAATCAGAGTTGAAGATACGAGAAAGCATGTCGTAGGCGTAGCCATGTTGGTAAGGCTCCCATTTGATGACTGGAGCACAGTTAGCGAGGCTGCGTATCGAGCACCAACTGCGCGAGCACCTACCATTGTGGCCTGCCTTCTTCAAAGCATCGACGGTCATCTGTACAGCACGCCTTACAGGCGGGTGAGGCATAACGACCTCGTCGTTGTCGTAGTACGCGAAGCAGAGCTTGGTGCTGCGACCGCCGATACGCTGTAGCTGGTATAGCCTTCCAAAAGGTTAGTGATGGGGTGCATAAGGAGATGCGTGCGACCTACTCCTCGCGCCAGGGCATGTCCACCACCTTGGGGTCCACGTCCGACGGCTGATGCATATCGTTGGTGACTGCGCTGCGCGCGAAGATCATAGAAGCTGCTCACATTCCCATTCGTTACGGCCTTCACGAACTCGACCAGACCTCGTAGAGAGCGACTCATGGGTCCCAAAGAGCTACACGGTGCGTCAATTCCTCGTACGTAGCGCGCAAGGCAGACCCGTACCTCTCGACGGCCTCTGCGTGAAATGAGTGAGCACAGAAGTTGATGAACAGGCATAAGCTGGACACGAACCTTGGCCCAGATAGGTGTTCGACGCCCCATAGTATGGCAAGCGTCGCATAGTAGGCCGCACGCCGTATAGACCACAGAATGCGGACGGGATACGGATGGATCCTCCGATCTGCAGGCTCGTCAGCGTCAACCACCAAAACGACAAGGATGACCCTACGTCTGTCCCTACTCCCAACGGGCTTGAGGCAATATCAGCACCTTCACCGTAGACGCAGTGAATGAGAGAGATCATCACCTTCCCTTCAGCGCAATCAGCGCGCCCTCCCCTCCACTGCTTCCGCCCGCGGCCAAGGTACGGTTGTGCGGGTTCGTCGTCAGCCCGAACACCCAGTTGTCCGTCTCACCGCGCATCAGCGTCTGCGGGACGTTCGTGCGCACATATGGGATCGCGCCAGCGTTCTTCAGAACGGTGATCAGGGCGGCATCTGCCTCAGAGATACGTCCAAGCCAGCTTGCTATGCCCATTGTGCATTCCTTGCCAGCGACGTCGAATCTGTCAGGGGTTAGTCAGTTCGGGGACAGTTGAAAACGCACGACAATGTCGCTTACTGGTCCTTGAGCGAGATAGGCAGACCATGAAGCGGGCCAACAGGTCCCTGCTTCGCGAACAGGTCGTCAAGCTCGCGGGCGCGCTTCAGTGCGTCCTCGACCCAGATTTCCGTCAGGCAATTTGTCTTGCGCCATTCGTCAACTTTCCGCCTTACTGACACGGTGGAGACTACAGATGACTTACCAGCTGATGCGCAACGATCGCACGCTTGCAGAATGCAGTTGTCACGTCCACCGCCGACCAGACTCCGGTATGCAAGTTCTTCAAGATAACAGAGACGTCGTCCGTCTCGGTGATCTCGAGCTCATGCTGGCTGAGCAGGCCGCAAGCCCGCGGGAAGTCGAAAACGTTGTGCTGGTCTGCTGGAGGGAGCTCCGCGAGCAACCATTCCTTGGGGATGGACGCTGCCTGGCGCTCGCGTTTGTCGAAGATCTTCCCTATCAGGAGGTGAGCGAGGCAACTCAGAAACGCGGGAGCTGATACACACTCTCTAGCTCAACGAGCTTCCGACGCTGCTCCTCACTCTCTATCGGGACTGAGGAAAAGATGCGCAGAGGCTGGTCAGCGTCAGTCATGGTTGATGGAGAAGCGATTCGTATCTCGAGCTGGACAGCTGTCGGACGTGGCCCACGGGTTCTCAGGCAATGACGCATGCGCTTGTGCTATCGGTGAGAGAGTCGTCGGCATGGAAGGAGCCGCCCCAAGAGATATTCAGAGGCACCCATTACACAAAAGAGCTCTCAGAGCCACTGCCCAGGTTAGGCTGGTGACATCTATGTCGATGCTGTCGAGTGCCCAGTCATTGCTTGGACGGAACGATTAAAGCATCGTTCTGGGTGATGGGACATAATAATGCATCGCAAGAGAGTTTGAGAACAACGGGTCTGTAACGACGATGAAGGTGTAAGGCAAGGATTGTACTCAAGAAATGAGGAGGGTCGGAAGCAAGCAGCAACCAAACATATGGCTCCCACGTGGCGCACGGATGACTCGGGAAATGCCGGTATCGCACGCCACAAATCATGGCTTGATTCCTCCCTTGACTTTGTTCGCGTTTAGCCCGCACCAGCGAAGAGCCTCGAAGAATGGCGGGATATAGGGCAGCGGCTTTACGTGTTTGTGTCCTCCATACGTCATCTGCGATCCAAATCCTGGATTTCTTGAGCAACCGTGTTGATCAGCCCTTAGCCTCATTACTTGCTCGCAGAGTTTCATTCTCCTGCACCTGGGGCTGGAAGTCAGGAGGGGAGCTCTTATTTGAGACATGTCCGATGGCATTTGGTGCTACTGCCAGCCTATATCGAGCATTCTGTGCATGAGACTCTGCGCGCTTGTTTCCTCGCTCCGGCTGCGACTGCGATACCCATGCATACAGACACTGCACTCACCAACTCGCATTGAGCCCACCTACTCCAATCTCGGTCATTGTCGCTCGCCGGAGCCTCTCTATCGTGGAAGTCAATGACAATGGAGCGAACCTATCTCGCAAACCTTGTAAGCACCTTCGCCGGAAGTCTGCGAGATGCGCTACTTACAACAGGCTGACTTTCCTGGTCATTTCTGTACCAGGCGATTTCTTTCTAGCACTTCCATCTCTACAGCCGTTTGCCCTGCGTCCAGTTATCGTACTTCATGCATCGATGCATAGGTGCCTCTTGGTCGGCGAGAATAGATGTGGGATGCCGCGAGCCAAAGTCTTTCGTCAGCACAATCTGCCTCATGGATGCATTTGGACAGCTGCGTCAGGTCATCTGCTCGTCGGTAACATAAGAGTAAGTGAATGGCGCTCCCATTCACAGGTTATATATCACTGACCTTCTAACACCTACTCCCCCGTGCCCTTCATGACTGCTCCTGTTCCCACCTTGGCCGCCGCCGCGGCTTTGCTCGTCGCAGCTTGCCTGTATCTGCGCCGGAGGCATCGCTCGGGAATGTCGCTACCACCGGGGCCGTCAGGCCTACCCATTGTCGGAAATCTCTTCGACGTCCCCGTCGACTTTCAATGGCTCAAGTACGCTGAGTGGTCGAAGAAGTTCGGTACGTCTGAGCTGGCTCCTCGTGCCAAGCCATTGCTGACTTATAGCAAGGCTCCGATGTTATCCACCTCGACGTTGGCGGGATGCCAGTAGTCGTACTGCACTCGTTCGAGGCATGCTTTGACTTGCTTGAGAAACGATCAAGCGAGTACTCCAGTCGGTACGCGGCCTTTTCTGAACGCTCGACATTAATTCATTTCCCTTCAAAGCGCTGATACCCCAATGTTGGATCTCATGGGGTGGGAATTCCAGATCACGTCAATGAAGTACGGTAGGTAGCTTGTCGAGATAGCTTTTGATTATTTTACCTTAACTCTGCAAATCAGGGCCCCGGTGGTGCGTAGCTTCTTCGTCCAAAATCTGTGTTATGCTGAGGCATTCGAAGGCGCGAGCACAGACGTGCCCTCCATAGCTTCCTCAACATCGACACCGTCCGACGCTTTCGTCCTCGGCAGCAAAGGGCCACGCACACGTTTCTGCGACGCATGCTGGATGCTTCATCAGAAAATCTTCGCACAGAATTACGCTTGTGAGGGCTCCCTCTACAATGCCCTTCTCATGCGCGCCTGACTCACACAAGTATGCTTGCTTCTACCATCATGGATATCACCTACGGCATTGACGCCCTGCCCGAGAACGACCCATACACTCAGGTCGCAGACCGCGCCTTCAAGGCGGGCGCCATCGCAGCCGTTCCGAACTCATACTCGGTCAACATCTTCCCAGCCTTGATGCATTTGCCCGAGTGGATGCCCGGTAAGCCTTCGACTCGCTCGTCGCATAGAGACCGCTCAATTGTATGTGTACTCACAGGCTCAGGATTCAAAAAGCACGCTCGTAAATGGAAGCCGGTGACGGAGGAGATGGTGAATGCGCCCTTCGAAGAGACGTTGCGACAAATGGTGAGCCTCGTTGATGTGCTGTTATGGACCTCATCTCACGAGTTTTTCCAGGAGTCCGACTCTGCGCGAAGCTCCTTCGTTTCGTTGTCACTGGAGAAAGCACGCGCGAAAGATGATATTGCTCAAGAGGAGGTCGTCAAGAATACCGCCGCCATCATGTATATCGGTGCTATGGACACGGTTCGTGCGTGATCTCCCTTCGACATGCAGCGACTCAACCCACCTTGACTTCCAGACCGTGGCGACCCTGATCAGCTTCGTTCTTCATATGCTGGAGAATCCCGACATCGCAAGGCGCGCACAGCTCGAGCTTGACAGCGTGCTCGAGCCAGGCAAGCTACCCGAATTCGACGACGAGGAACGTCTGCCATACACTACCGCGGTCGTGAAGGAGACGATGCGGATGTATCCGGCTGCACCAGTGGTAAGGTCTCCGTTCGTTCGCGTATCCGACGATTCCTCACGCCTGCGTAGGCTGTACCTCATCAGCATACTGGAGAGACGGACGACGTTTATCGCGGGTTTGCCATCCCGAAAGGCAGCGTCGTGATACCTAACGTTTGGTGAGTATGATTTATCGGGACCATTCCGTCTTCTTATCTTCCGCCAGGGCCATGGCGCACGACGAGGTGTGTCTCGTCGACGAGCGCTCTCTTCCATCCTCACTCTGCACAGCTGGCGTACCCAGAGCCATATGTGTACAAGCCAGAGAGGTTTTTAAGCGAAGACGGAAAGCTCAACCCTGCAATCTGTGACCCCGCGTCTTTCGTTTTCGGGGTAAGTGCTCTAACCTCATACAGCAGCGGTCTTCCCCTAACACGTTCGCCAGTTCGGACGACGCATATGTCCAGGCAAACACATGGCGCTCGCGTCAACTTGGCTGACAATCGCTTCCACCTTGCGCGTGTATGACATCGAGAAAGCCAAGCGACCAGATGGGACGCCTATCGAGCCCAAGCGAGAATACAAGTCAGCTACCCTTCAGTACGTCTTCATCGCATAGAATAAAAGCCTGATAGCTCATTCCGTATAGATCCCCCGAAGCGTTCGAGTGCAACTTTGTACCGCGCAGTGAGGACGCCATTAGGATGATACGAGAAAGCGCAGAGCAAAATATATAGATATCATACGGACGAATTCCTAACCCCGTGATTCGTGGTTCCCCTTCGAAACTGTGGAAACTATAGCACTCTTCGCGTTGAAAATGGGACAGGTTTTTGGAAGTCTACGACGTTGTAAAAGCGACTGCAAGAAACCATCAACGTCAATCAGGCCGTAACAAGACGGTCACGCCTACCTTCCCGGTCATGGACCCATGTCTATGCCCTCGTCTCGTTGCTCTCATATCGACTCAGAGCATCAACCAGTCGTGCCCATCGCCCGCCATTGAGCACCTTCAGCTGGTTCCAGACTGGCGTACTGGCCTTGTTGATCCATTGAAACATGGCTGCAATGGCCAAATCCGCCTCGGTAGGCGTGTCGCCAAGCAGGAACAACTTGTCGTTACCATTTTCCTTGACTATTGTCTCCAGCCAGTCGAGTCCTTCTTTCACGTCCACCCATCCTTTCTCCACCGCGGCCTCCGCCCATATCTCCTCCAATTTCTTCCCGAATATCTCCTCCCGCGTCTCACGGAAATACGTCTGCGTCCGCTCCGACATGACCGCGTAGCAGCCCTTCAGCGCAATGGGAATGCTGGCAAAAACGACCCTGCTGATGAATTGCCCCACGAAGGCGTGCTGGAGACCAGCGGTGCCGTGAGGGAAGAGCATTGGACGGTCGGCGTACGTCTCGTCGAGGTAGCGGGCGATCTGGTGCGCATCAGAGACGTATCTATTGGTGAGAGAATCGAAGATGGCGGGGACGGTGTACTGTGGCTGTCCGTCAGGCCATGTGCCGGCGGGAGGTGCACCCGCGGCGCGTAATTCTCGTTCGACGTCGCACAGTTCGAGCCAGACTGTGGTGAATGGCAAGCCCTTGTAGTTGAGGGCGTATCTGACAATCGAAGCGTCAGCGTATGGCTCCAGTATGCAAGGCAAGACGTGCATACCTAGTACGCCAGGTGTTTGGGGAATAGGCCCCGACTTTGGTCGCCATATCGTACAGAATCATTCGATGTGCCATAGCAGAACGGGAAAGAGTCTGTTCTGGATGCGCAGTCGAGGAAGGCGTCTTATATACGCGGCCATTTTGAATGCTGGCATGGAGGTGGGTGTCGGCGAGTTGGCGAGGTCAACAGGTGACATAAGTGAGCGAGGTACCTAACGGTTGGCGCCAGGCGCTCTAGGCATCTTCGTACACCTTTCAGCTACGGCGAGTTCGAAGTAAGGATTATGAGAGCTAGCCTTGTGAGCGAAGTCAGTAGTTGATGATCAGTATCGATATCGTCGCAGAACCGCTCGAAGGATACGATTTGACGGCTCGTAGAGCCTGCAGCAGGTGGCAGAGCGCTGTATGGTATAATTGGGTGCATAAATTCGGGAACGCGCTATACCTGCATGACCTTATTGCGTGACGCTAGGAACTAACGCTCGGTGTGAGGGCAAGGTCGCAGTGCTTTACATTCAATTAGACAACTCCCGGGTGTTGCGAGACTATGGAAATTGTGAAGCATGTACGTGGTACTTTGTATCAGAGGTGTCGCATGCGACGCTGGAAGCCTTCATCAGTAATGGTCCTAGTTGCAAGGGAAATATGCGCTCACCACGAGGGCACGAAATGACTTCCTGTAGTGGACAAGGACAAGGCGTGAATGATGCCGAGGCACGGAGCATTGATCCGGGGGCATGTTGACGTGTGTTTGGGGCGTGTGCTATTGTGCGGATTCCGAATTGAGAATTAGTCCCGTCGTCCCGCCGTCACAGTCGGACGGTCGAGTCCCCAGAATCCTCTACGGCTGACGCGTTTGTGCGTCCCAACCGCCACAAATACGCGCTCTTCTCTCCTCCTCCCACCATGCCGTTGCCAGAAAACCAGCAGATCGCCGTCAAGCCCAACACGGCGGAGGTCAGAAACAAGCATGCAATCACCCTCAGGATGTCCGAGGACCTCATCGAGGCCCTCATGGCCAATCCCGGAAATCTATCCTTTGAGTTCAATACCCCGAACCAGGTGTGTCTGCATGTACCCTCGCTCAAGCGCCGACTTAATGCTGTACTAGGGTATCTACGTCAATGACCAGTGCTTCGGCCTCTCCCTGGCCAAGGAGCAGAGCCCGCACGAGCTCTTCATGCAAATGCCCCAGCATCGAGACAGGTCGCTCAAGCACTACGCGGATATCTCCCATCGCTTCACCGTTAGTGCGGCTAGTCTCGATGAAGCCGCCAAGAAACTCCGCGTAGCGACTGAGGAGGCCAACAAGCAGCGACAAGAGCGCAAGGTCGTCATGCTCGACGATCCCCCCTTGTCCACCAGCACGACTGCTGCGAAGAAGAAGCCCGCGGCGCGCAAGCAGGTTGCTTCATCATCCTCTGCACCTTCTCGACAGTCCGGCACTCAGCCTGCCCAACCTCCTCCCCCGCCTTCCCGCCCACTCTCGGCCATTGACCCTGGTCTACGTCATCGTGTCGTGCAGTGTCTTGCCAGCGCGGCGCGCACCGCCGACGAGCTCGTCAAGCTCGTGTGCGGTTCAGCGTCAGACGAAAGGAAGAGGGGCGACGTTCGCACCATCATGCAAGATGTTGCAGAGGCCAGGGATGGACTTTGGCGTCTCAGCAACAAGGGCTGGCTCGAAGTACAACCGTATAAGTGCCGCACCGAGGCCGATCGCCAGCAGGCGCTTCGCAAGGCGACTGCGGCGTTCAAAGCTCTGAAGATACCCGAAAGTGATCCCCGATGGGAGAATCTCTCGCCACCAAAACCGGCGCCAAAGCCTATGCCGCCTCCACCTCCTGCTCCAGCAGCATCGACGTCGGCTACAAGGCACCCTCTCCCCGCCAAGCCTCCAGCCCCGGAGGTCAAGCGGTCCACCGCCACAAAGGAAAAGAAGCCTCGCGCGAAGCCCGAGACAAAGGAGATCATGATGAAAGACGAGCGTCGTCCGCCTTCTGTTCCTAGCCCTGCAGGCCTTTCAAAGCCGAAAGAATTGCCGAAGTCTTCTGCGACGCCTCTTCCTGCGGAGCCTCCTCGCCCTGCGCGCGTGGAGGCTCTGTCAACCGCGACTGCCCGCAGACCGGGCTCTGGGTATAAAGCCCCGAAGAGCTTGACGCCTCCTCTGCGCGGATCAACTTCGACTTCGAGCGACAAACGCGACGAGCTACCTGCGGCCAGCCCTTCTATGCGAGCTTCGACGTCAAAGGCGCCGGCGGCTGCTCGTCCAAGCAGCGCCGACCCATCTCGGTCTTCCTCAGCGCATCATACACCGACGCCACAGCCTCGTGACCGCGAGCGGACGGCGTCCTCTTCCTCGCAGCCCGCTCGACCTCGCACTGACAGCAAGGAGAGAGCATCCGCGGCATCCAGCTCCAGTCGTCCGCGAGAGGCCGAGTCGAAGAAGCCGGCTGACGACGTCCGTCGGCACGCCATGAAGCGTGAAGAGGAGGAGACGCCGCCAAAGAAGCTCACCACCAAGCGCAAGGTTCCCGCACGCTACGACTACTCCGACTCAGACAGCGAGGACGAGCGGCTGCGCGCCAAGCGGCGCAAGGTCGCCGAAGGCTCCGCCCGCCCATCCACCTCGACCAAAAAGTCCGACTCGCCCGTAAAGATCAAGCGCAGCGACTCGCCCGTGCCCATCCCACCTCCTCCCGCGCGCTCCAGGAACCCCGAACGCGACGCCCTCGCCAACCTGGGGCGCATCCAGAAGAAGGAGCGCCCCGTGCCCCCCGCCCGCCTCGCCTCCGAGCAGAGCACGTCCTCGACCTCGTCGCACAAGCGCCGGCGCGCGTCCACCCCGCACTTCACCTCCTCGGAGGAAGAGGGTGAGGACCCGAGCGAGCGCGAGATGCAGCGGCCCGCGAAGAAGAAGAAGGCGCTCGCCAAGGAGAAGGAGCGCGAGCGAGAACGGGATCGTGAAAGGGATAGAGACAGGGATAGGGATAGCGCACGCCCCTCGACCAAACCGCGGAAGAGCCGGCCTCCAACCGCGGACGGCCTGCAGGAGGAGTACCAGGCGAAGTTCATGGAGTACTACCCGGTGGCGATGGCGGACCGCAAGCAGCGGGCGATCATCCAGCGCCTGCTCGACGCGGCGTCGGACGAGTCGGTGGACGAGGACGGGCTGCTGAGCGAGGGCGAGGGGAAGGCGCTGCATGCGAATCATCTGCGGTTGCGCAGTGAGCTGCTGGAGTTGGAGAAGCAGTATACCAAGCTGGCGCCTGCGGCTGCGTGAGGGGTGGGTGGATGGCGGGTGCGCCACGATGTATATTTGTTTTCTATCTCTGTTTTGCTCTCGACAAGGGATTGGATGGATCAGAGGTGGCAAAAGCCATCTCAATAATAATATTATGTTTGCATTGTCATCTATTGCGGCGTGACTACGGAATCGGAAACTGGTAATGATAATACGCCTTGCAGCGTGAGCGTCCGTGTCGTACATTTTGCATCGTGAGTGGCAGCATAGGTGAGGCAGGTATCAGGTATCGCAGTGGCAATTTAGGTAGCGCTCAGTCGAACTCGTTCTATACAGCGTTGGCGGGAACTTGAGTGAACGTAGGCGGGGCGCCATTGATGCCCGGCTGTATGACGAGCGCGGTGCCAGGCGCTGGCTCCATCATCTGTCCATAAGGCCACCCATCGGAAGCGTACGGCTGCTGTCGCTGTTGGTAGGCACTTTGTTGGGACTGATAGCCACCACCCATCGGTGGCATCCCCTGCGCGGCGGGGTTGTGGGTCGCGCCACTGGTGGGGTAGAGGCCTGGATATTCCCCGAACCATCCCAGTTCTGCAGAGCGCGAGTCAGCATCAGTATTCCGGGACAAGATGGACAGGCGAGGCAGCATGGGATTGAGAGTAGCGGGTTGCCAGTACGCACCACGAATAGGCGCAATCCACGCATCCGGACGACCAAACTGCTCCGCCTGCGAGACCAGGCGTAGGAGGATGTAGAACCCAATGGCGAAGAGGCAGAAGTTCATCCATGAAAATGCTTGCAATACTTTCATTTGGCAGCAATAGCCTTTGGCGCTGACTACGAATCGTTCAGCTTCCGGCGGAAACGCTCGAAGGATGAGTGGCGACGTACCGCTGCCCTTTCGTGTCTCAATCGTCTGCCCGCCCAGGCCGTCGCATTGAGTGTTTCCAATGGCATCTCTGCGACAGCGATTAGATGGATCACTCGCCCAATCGTTGACGATCAGACGTACGAAGTTGCCCAAGCGGCTTCAGCTAAAGGGGACGTTCAATAAATTGTGCACGCGCGATCTGAGGATGTAGACGAACCCAACCAGAAGCAACCAAGGATGAATAAGACGGGAACTTCGATCCGAGGTTGTGCCCACTGTAATCTATATCGTCGTTAGTGAAACGGGCGAAGGCGCACCGAAGGCAACATTCTGCAGATTCTCGACGACCTCGAGGAGGCCTTTTGGATACAGTACACGGCGGCAGCCGTCTGGCGGGCTGTGCGCAGCCGCCACATTCAGTTGGAATGCCGATACTTCCTATGGATGGTCATACATGGCGCCTACAGTATAGGGGAGAAGTGGCTTCGGGAAGACTACCCTCCGGAGAAACAGGAGCGCGCTTACTGTCGCGAATGCGGAGAAGTCGAAACCATGAACCACATCCTACTCGAATGCGAGTCGACGGAGTGTCAGGTTATATGGTCAATGGCGAGGTCGCTATGGCTACTCACCGGAGAGCAGTGGCACGAGCCAAGCATCGGCGTGATTGTCGGTGCGGCCTGCGCAGTCTTCAAAACGGAGAAGGGGCGTCCGAAACCGGGGCTGGGGAGGCTATGGACGATTGTAGAGTCCGAGTCTGCTCACCTTGTGTGGAAGCTCAGATGCGAGCGGGTCATCCAGAACGACGGTAAACCCTTTACACGCGCGGAGGTGGAAAACCGATGGAAGTCGGTGATTAACCAGCGGTTCGAGCTGGACAGGCGGCTAACGTACAGCCGGTACGGGAAGAAGGCTTTGAGCACCTCTCTGGTTGACGCGACGTGGATGTCGGTCATACGAGATTACAAGAACCTACCGCTGAATTGGGTCAGCGATTGCGGGGTTTTAGTGGGTATACGATTCGGCGAAGGGTAGGTGGAGAAGGCGCAGGCGGCGCTACCCTTCGCTAGTCGTGAGTCCCACACTGCGTGCGTAAGGCATTTCCTCGCTGTGGCACAAGGTTCTATCATTAACGGTTTTGGCTATGCTCCTCTCGGATTATGTTCACTATGCTCATCTGACATGCTGCCTGGGTCTCGTTCCCCGGGCTTCCCCTATGCGGGTCCAATGTTCTCTGTAGATGCTGATGAGGCGTCTTGAAGGGTTCACGGACTACTAACGCATCCACTAAAAAAAAAAAAAAAAAAAAAACGGGCGAAGGGTAGGACGGGCAGGAACGTACATGATCAGGAACACGAGTATCGTGAGCACTGGGACGATGATGGAGAAGATCGTGAAGTCATCTGAGGCGACTCAGTTTTTTCAGTCTTTGACGAAGCGTGTTAATAATTAAGGGGACTTACGATGAAGATCGGGAAGGAAGATCGAGGCGAAGTAGGCAGAGATTCCAAGTGCTACAGCTACAAGATGTCAGTCAAGTGGATATCGAGCTCGTTTCAAACGCACCTGAGAGTACCAGTATGGTGACTGTAGTTGCGTCGGATGTGGCAGTCGACGCGGTATAGGATGAGAGGCGGAGGACGGCATGCAGCGTACGCGAAGAGAAACAGTGAGATCAAGATGATAGATGCTCTTGTGGATCGCACCAAAGAAGGATAGCCTCCAGTTCGCAAATCGTACGGTCATAGCGGTCGTGAGCTACTCAGTTGCAAGTCGTCGAGGAAGGGTCGGGAACGGCAGTCGCGCTGCGGCCTTCATTACATGCGTTCCCTCTTTTGAACTCGCGCTGATGTTGCCGCAGCATTCTCCTATGACGACGTTGTGATACAGCTGGGATGACAAGTCTCTTCGGTGCCTTCCATTCATCCTGCCGCTCATTGACCGTCTCACACGGTCATGGGGCTGAAGCGTTTGCCGACGACCACGTCAAGATAGTTGCAGAGGGCGGCCCCGAGCCTAGCTGACACATTGCTGAAGCGGAAAGAAAAGGCTGGGAGGCAAGCGCTCTATAATTTGCTGAACGGCAGGCCTTGCATCCGGACGTCACCGAACTGAATATTGCTCGCGGATGCTCTGGATTATGTAGCTTGCAATTGGTTGATTCGAGGAATGTGCGTTGAAGGCACTCCAATGTTTCTTGTATTCCGTGCGGAGATACTGCGACGCTGCGCATTTGCTGAAAGAATGACCATGAAGTCAGGAGGCAAAGGGCTAAAGGCCGAATCTGGGTGCATCGCCGTCTGCGCTCGGAGATCACCGATGACACGTTCTTGCCTCTGCCCCACGACCAATCCTGGTTCGCCCTCACTCAGGATATGCAAGAGGCGCGTGCACCGGAACTCAGCTCGTCCGACTCCGACTTGCGCCAGATGACAGTCAGCCGAAAATTAAGGAAAGTGGGTGTATAAGTTGAGAAAACAGCGGTAAAACACTAGAGCGTAGAAAGGAGTGACAAAATACACACAAGAAACCCTAATAGCGAGAGGACACATCTTCGTAATAGTCGTAAGGGAACCGTAAGTCGTCAATATTGGTACAGGGGGAAAGGCACGAGCGACAAACCAAGAGATGCGCCGTATCGTACTCGACATGGCGCGGAGAAAAATCAGAAAGTATAAGGGGAGAAAAGGTAGGCATAATTGTGGGCCGGAGCCCACCCGAAGAGAAGAAACACTAGAACACGGAAGAAAAAAGAGAAATCAGCGAGTCCATACTCATGCGCGAGTGAGCGCGCTTTCGCAAGATACTTGATGGTGCCATAACGAACTTGGGCATCGCCCTGTCATCTAGTGGCCAGAGGACCTCCCCGATGCGTCCGAGCGCCTACAAAGTCAGAACTATATTGCGACTAATATCCATCGACACACCTCTGCGAAGAGCCGTGAGACGCACGGGATGAGCTATCGCTGGTCGCCGCGTTAATTTTGTCCCAACAGAAAAAGCCAAACGTACCCGTGACGAGCGGACGCGTGGGTTCCGTCGGAGCGCGTCGATCGGTGCGAGGGGTGGGAATGGATAGACTGAGGAGATTGGCCGGACTGACGAGAGTGGCCGGAGTCCGTCCTAGAAGAAGGATACGTGTGAGCTAGTACATCAACGTAGGACAGACGCTCGGGCATACGAATGAGCGCAGAAACTGACGATAAATGAGAAAGAGCACACTGTGAAATAGAGAAGAGATCTCACTCTTCCATTCCGCTTATGTACGACCGACCGCCCGAGGAGCTTGTACGGTCGACACTCGTGCGCGAGGCGTTTGCATGGGCGGAAGGAGGAAGACCACCAGCGAAGGCACTCTGAGTGGCGCGATGGCGGCGGCTAGTGTTAGTGTTGAAGGGAGCCTGAGACTGTGATGGTTCCCCATAGCCCCCCGAGAACCTGCAGGAAAATGTATCAGTGCATTCAGAGGTAAAGAAGGACACATACCCCGGCATAGTACTCGCTCGGCTGGGTCCCGCCGGCCTCGCGGGAGGAGGGGGGAGGCCACCAAGGGGTACATCGACGCTCACGCGAGGAGGTGGGCCATACGTGCTGTCGTATGATGGCAGAGTGCGATGACGCGCACTGTAGTGAATGGTAAGTAAGATGAGCGGCGCCAAAGACGACTGGAGAATCAAACCCATAACCAGGAGGCGCCTGTCCGGTGTATGCCTGTTGTTGCTGTACCTGACTCTCAAGCATCGTCCACGGCGCGATAGGCTGAGCAATGAGGATATTGCCTGGAGCAACACTTGGGCTTTGGTACGGAGCAACCGTCGGGGCTTGGGCCTCCTGTGGTGCACCCTGTTGCTCGTTCTGAGCACGACGCGCTTCATCTGAAAGGGACTGGTAGTGCTGTCAGTGTAAACCGAGCATGCATTGGCCACCCAACGTACTTGTACAGTATTGACTGCTATCTCTGCTTCTCGTAGTTTGCGCGCATGCTTATCAATGGCATCTTGCCCTTTCAGTGTCTCCTTCAGCTGCCATGCTACTTCCTTCCGACGGAGGCCGTCCTCCGGAAAATTCTTTCGAGCCCTAGTAGTGGTCAGCAGGGCACCAAACAGTGTGAAGCTGCACTCACTTATCAAGCGTAGGCTTCCACATGAGTCGCTCATGTTCCGGCAGTTCCTCGAGGAGCGGCTGCACTTGAGCGAGGCGCGTAGCGACGGTCCTCATCCGCTCCCGTCGTTGCGTGTGCTGTTGTTGGTCGTGCTGTTGCTGGCCGTGTGGCTGTTGGTCGTTTGGTGGCTGCGACATGTTGAGAGAGCTGGATGGTCTTTGAAGGAATGGTGCTCTGCCGGAAAAATGACATCCTTATATATTGAACACGGCGCTTAACTGCGTAGTCAAGAGGCGAAAGCCGTCCTGAAATGGAAATACCTGCACCGCTCGTCTGCACCTCAATCATGACTCATGTCAATCATTCAGAAGCATATAGTTTCAATAAGGTTTCGTACATGGACTCAACTAGCTCCCTAGATATGGATGACGGCCCCGCCGTTTTTTGAAACTACTTTGATGGACCGGCTCACATCCCAAGCAGCTGAGAGCCAATTCAAAGAATAGCTGTGCATAGCAAGAATACGGGCTCGGGTAAGTCTCAGAGGTGGTTCAAACAGCGGAGAAACGGTCAAGCTTGCCAAGGCCCAAGGGACGTCCGGCCAAAGTCACGCCGTGCAACGCAAATTGTCACGGCCACGTGTCGAACATCAACCGCGGCGCTTATGCCCGCTCTCTCTTCAGTCTCTCTCTCTGCTCTTTCGCGATGGGTGTCTCCAAGGTCTTACCGCACGAAACATTCTGGCAGGAGCACTACCACTTCTTAGAAAGTCGCGGCTATCGCCTCCGACCAAGATATAATCCTCTGCACGTCCCTTCTCGTGCATTCACACGCCGACGTTGGCATGACCTGTCGCATTTGTACCCTGAGGATGAGATAGCAATGCTGGTTCGTCGCTACTGCAATCCAGTTATGTCCTCTCTTGAATAGTATTACAGCGTGCTTCCGTTTTGGACGCAGTCCGCGTAAGCGACAATTCGACTGTCGTACTCCGCAGAGCGGCGACCTGGTCTGATGAGATACCCATTCTGCAATGTCTCGAGCGGCTGCGGTCGGATCCTCGCAACCGCGCACCACCACTGCTGGATATTATTCCTCTTTCCACTAGCGACGATGAACTACTAGTCGTCATACCCCTTCTTCGCGTGTACTACGATCCGCCATTCTCTTGTCCTCGACAGGTTTTGCATGCTGTAGTGCAGTTTCTGGAGGCAAGTTCTCGACGTCAATGTCAGACCGTCTATATTTACCTACGCCCCTTCCAGATGATGCAGTTTCTGCATGAGCATCGCATTGCCCATAGGTACGCCCAGCAATCGTCTAGTCGGCCACAATTGCAGCGCTAAATTGTGGCAGAGATTTTTGCACGTATAACCTCATGCTAGATCCCACAGACCTCTTTTCTGAGGGCTTTCATTTTGTGATGCCGGACTTCTCCGCAGACGGGCAGACAGTTGGACTCAACTATCGCGACCGAGTGGATGTTCCCGCTATACGCTATTTCGTCATTGACTTCGGGCTGTCTACACACGGTCAGGCGCTGGTGACCGGTGTGTATGGTGCGGACAAGACGGTCCCCGAACTATCTTGGGAGATACCCTACAACCCCTTTAAGGTCGACGTCTACCAGTTCGGACGTGTCATTATGCATGATATGGTCGAAGTGAGTGAGTTATGCACGTTATTTGGTCCCGCTAATCGCGTTCAGCTGTACAGTGGCCTCGAATGCCTGCGTACTCTGGCCGAGAGGATGACACAGCCGGACCCAAGCCGGCGCCCAACTGCTACCGAGGCACTCGAACATGTGCGATTCATGTTGGCGAACCTGGCTTCTACCGAGCTACAGCGCGAGATTTGGCCTACAACTTATTCTCGTCTCATCTTTACCGAACGCCCTCGACCACCTCGTCAGCGCTGCTGCTGATTTACTCCCAGTAGAGATGTATACCCCCTGCGTTAAATCATAGCAATGACATTATCTTCGATCTGCTTCACTGGTATGGGCATAGAAGCGCCACGGGAAGTGCTCTGGTATGTGGCCAGTAGCATTAATACAAGAACCCAGTAACGGTGCATCGCCCCATCGCGACTAAAGCAAGTCGCTGTCTTGTCGATGTGGCGCGCCTCCGGAGGCAAGGGCCAATAGACGCAAATACGGCCTTCAGGATATCTGGGGATAGGGAATAGGTTCCGCCTGATTTCGCTTTAGTTCCGCCCGTTATTGTCAAGCACGACTCGAACCAAGATTTATAGTTCGACCACGGCGCTTCCATTCGGATTTGTCTTGTCGACCTCATGTTGCTCTGATGGGTCCTGTGTGAATACATGCAGCGTCATCACATTGGCTGCAAATAGGTATATTTCGAACTCAGCGATTATGAACAGGGGCGAGGCAACGAGGCGCTAAGCGCAAGAAATTCAGTCAGGCCGCCCTACAGGACTGTTCCCTCCTTTGCAACCTCAGATCACCTACTAATAGGAAAGTCGTACATCAACGGTCTTCTCAATCGAGTCACGGATTTGGCGTAGAGACAACGACTAGAAGACAGCAAATAAGCGCTGGGGTGCTGGTCAGAATTGACGGTGATGGTCCTTCAACAGCTCGAAGCACGCCCACGCTGTATGGATGACGAGGCCCGGCGTGTTGGTTGTCGGACCCGCCTGTAAAGAAGGCCCTAGTGAGTCGGCCGGCGCGAAGTCAGGTACATGTGTAGCGCAAGTAACCAGTCCCCGCCGCCGAGAAGCCTTCCATCTGGGTAAGGACATCCCAGTGCAACTGACTTGCGCTGGCTCGCTTCGCGGGCGATGAAGCGTAATTGATAACAAGTAGATGAAAATCAATCAAGGATGCATGTACGGTAGACCCACTACCTAGTAGATCAGAAGAGCGTACAAATTTCGACCACTGGCGCGACCACACGCAGAGGCCAATAGCGGTCTTCTTCAGCTTTCCTTTCGCAGATGGTCGCGTCAGCATGCTGAAGAACATCGGTCAGCACGCCTCATAGGTCCAGCCACAATAGAACGGCGTACACGCTGAAAATCGACCTCGAAGCCCTCATGTGATTCGGTCTTTGCGAAGGCGACGTTCGGGACTATGTATCGGGGACGAAGAGCGCGCGTCAGAGCACAACTTGGCGGCCAGGTGAAAGGGGAAGCGTCCTTACATCTGGAGAGAGAGCTTGCGCGTGTCGCCTGAAAATCGGGATGTTTGTTCCGGTGGGGGCCGTCCGGGACATGTTGCCAGTGACTGTCTGAGAAAGTGTGCAGCACGTTCCGGGCAAGGTTTTACCCGGGAGCGGCGGAGGGCACGATTGACATGAGGCAAAAGGTCGCTGGGCGTGAAGAATACAGCCCGAACCGCCTGATCTGCCCTTATCGAAGGCTCACCTCCCAATAGGACAGCCTTCGACTCATGGTCGTTCAAGCCGAGTCATCAATGTAGCATGCAGGTAGCAATTAGAAGACCACGAACAAGCGCCAGGGTGCCGATTAGACCTTGGCGGTGACGTGTCCTCCACAGCTCGAAGCACGCTCGCGCCACTGTTGTGGTCAATGAGAGTCGTTGAGTTAGTCGTCGGAGCCGCATGGGCCTACAATGGAAGCGCCTACGGTGACTCGGCGCGAAGTCAGGTCTATGGGTAGCGCAAGTCGCCCACGCCGGAGGCAGAGGAGCCTTCCGTATAGGAAGGGACGTCCCATTGTGATTGAGGTGCGCTGGCTCGCTCGGCTCGAGGAGAAAAGAAGTCGACAACAATCAGAATAAGATACGCAAGCGTGTGCAGGGTAGACTCACCGTGACGAAGCGCTTGAGTGACGCACGCCTCGATTTCGTTCACGGCCACCCGCAGCAGGTACCAGCTGTCTTCTTGAAGTTACTTGTCACGATGGGCGCGCTGATGTGCTGGACGTCACCCTAGCTAGGCTCAAAGGTCCGCCCACAGAAAGGTTGGTGTTCAAGGGTTCGTCTTCAGTCGGCGCAAAACCGACATTCTTTATCAAGTACACAGAGGACATGATCATGGCGAATCACATGCCGGTCTGCATCTAAGGGGAGAGGGAGCAGAGAAGACCCTCGAGCACTGGGAGAGAGGAAACTTGCACACCGGCTGGTCAAAAGATGACAGTCGTGTCTACCTGTCAATGCTATCACGGCCACGACATCCAAAACGCTCACGTCAAGTTCACGGCATCTTGTAAAGGCCGTTGCCCTGGTGTAAGATTGAAATCGCGTTGGACGAGCTGACCGCGATCTCCCTCGCGAGATATCAGTCACGCCGGCGTAAGGGCCGCGTTCGCCCGTAGGATACTCGTTTCTGTCGTCCAGTGCATTTGTCTCCTCGCAATGGGCCGGGGAGCGTCTAGGACTCGGTACCCAGCGCTTGCCGTAGTAGTGGAAGCCAAATGCGGGTGTGGGCGCATCACCGGAGGCTGTCCTGTTTCGGAAATCGCCGGTAGCACGTGCTCGCTGGTCCCACGACTTCGGGCTAAACCTTACTTAAACTTGTTCATCGTCTTCGCCCGAAAATCCACCTGCTGCGCTACCTTGACTGTGTCGAAAGATACATCGCTCGCATATGAATGGAACTTGAGCGCTTGTCTATCGAGTAAGGAGCTCAGCCTACCTCAGGCATCGACTTCGGCCCCACGGCTTAACTCGGCCTGTGACGCTGCTTGCGTTGTGGCGCTCTAGCGCACCTCTTGCATAGGGCCAGGCAATCAGTGCCCTATGTCATCAGTATTTCCTACGTGCTTTACGCACCAGCCATGGTCGAACGATATCCAACAGGGATAGTATGGACCAGGTGAGCGCTTAGCCAACGACATTGAATAGCAAACTTACTCAATGCAACCTCCCAGTCTTCAATTAATGTGGTCCCCTCTCGGGCTTTACAGAAACGCCGTAGCCTCAGCCATGACCCGGGCGCCAACCTTGCGGCTACAAGCTCCCACCAGCTGACCGTCTGACCGCATTTTATCCACTGTCATCAGGTTCCTCGAGTGGAAGGGTTACTGCCAAAACGGGACACCGTGTGAATCAACCGCCCATCCTCCGATGAGTCGACGTCGCGCGACCCTGCTATCGATCCTGCATGTCCTCCCGCGCGACCTTGTCTCACTACACGCGCAGCAGCGGGGAGAGGACAGGTACCACCATGGTCGCCTCAACGACCGGTACCACCAACGCAAGGAGCGAGGCCGGTCGCGCGACCTCGCAGAGTCCTGTCGTCGAGCATTCAGCGAGTGGTCAGCAGGAAGGGAATACACCAGACAACCTTGGTTCGCGCCAAGCATCAGATCCCACAAACGATACGTTGCAGGCAGGAATCTCCACGCCGTCTTTGGGCGACATGAGCTCAGCGCTCGCGGCGTGGGAAGACCCGTCAATCCAGGGATGGGGATATGGGCCTCCAGAGGTGCGTACTACTAGTGCCTTGCACTGACCAACTCGATACCTACCGCCTTGATATCAATGCTAATATTTGTGCAGCCACACCAACCCTCGGGGTCGCCAGGAGAGACCAGTACAGGCTCTGCTGTGCTCAACAATACCTCCACATCCGCCACCCTAACTATCACTATCTTCGACGAGACGCTCTACTTCGACCCCCCGCAACCTCCAGTACACCTAGGGCCACCGCACGTGTGCCCTATCTGTGGGCGGCGATACATGAGGTACGTTCCTTCAAGATCAACATGCGGGGACGAAAAGCTTCGTGGAGTATACGCTGGTGCTGAGCACTTGAACTCAATCGCAGACCGAGCTGTCTCTCGACACACATGAATATTCATAGCACGAGTACGTTTGCACCGACGCCCTCGCGAAAATCGCTCACAAAGCGTCCGCGCAGGATATTCCTGCGGCAATCAGGGACGTACGCTGCGGTTCTGGCACCAGGAGGGCGCAGTGCGACACAGGTACCGTTATCAACCTTCTCGTACGTAGAGGATGTGGATGCGAGCCGGAAGCGGCCTTATCGTGTACCGCAGACCAATAACCCGACAGCGTTGAACTTGAGGGGCGATAAGTAGTGCCGCATGTAGACTTTCTGCTGAAAAATGTTGTTCAAAGTCTAGATGTTTGCGCTTGTCGCGTCCTTGTTTGGTCGTATATTTTGCAGTTGAGGACTGTGGGCGTCAGCGGACCTCAACCACGTGCCGCCATCATGACAGCCAGCTGCCGCGCATTGCCGCTACTTCCATTTTGGTTCCAAGTTGACCAGCACTGTCATCTCTTTGATCCAAGCAGCTATCCCGACCTCAGTTCTATGGCTCCTATCCTCTCCCCCTTCGAGAACCACGGACAAAGCCAAAGGCGGGGCGCGCACCACCTCCCGCGCGTGCTCGTCGACTCGAGATGGCCTCCTCTCCCAAACTCGGCTGAACGCTACGACGCGACCCCGGCTGAACGCTTCGACACAACCTCGGCTGAACGCGTCGACGACCTGCGCTCGCGGTCCCCCGCCTCCGTCGAATTACACCCAGCAAGCTACGCGTACTATTCTCCGGACTCGCGCGCCGAGGGGATGCCGCTGCCGCCCTTCCTCGACAGCCTCGGGCAGCCTCTGCAACTGACGCCCATCGGCATCGCTCTCATCGCGCTTGTCAGCTCGCTCACTATCGTCGTCGTCGCTGGACTGTGCTGGACTCAGTCTCCCAGGCTTCGCGATCTTGCGCACGATGCTCGCATCTCGATTCAGCTGGCAGCAAGGCGACTCGTCAAGACCAGCAACTCGACGATCTCGAGCTCTTCCTCCCCGCCAAAGTCGATCTTGAAATCATCTGCGCCGCTGGCTTCCGTCACACTCATACCATCTGCCGCTGAGCCTTCCTTCTTCTCTGTGGAGAAGCCGACGCCGACGCCCGCTTTCACGCGAGGGACTACGATACGCTGGGCAGACCTAGAAAAGGACATCTCCGCCGAACGCATCATCAACGAAGTCGGTCCTGAAGATGAAGTCTACGTTATCCGCGCGTCAGAGTCGGATCACAGCATGTTCTACGGCTCCGACTCGAACCTGCACAGTCTGCTCAACCAAGCCGGCCTCCAAAGCGTCAAGCGTCGGGCTTGGGCGGACGCTGAAGACACGCCTTCACGCTCATACTTCGCCGATTCTCGCGTCATCGTCTCCCCATCCACCTCGAACGAATCCTCTGTCTCCGGCACGTTCTCCAATGCGAGCGGCTCGTCCTCGTTCACCTCCATCGATAGCGCGTCGACCTCAAGCTCGGATACGGACAGCATCGCCAGCGCCGACATATACGAAGTTCGTCGGGCACAGACGCGGAGCATGGAGGTCAAGCGTGGGGTACTCGTGAACTGGCGCCTGTCCTCTGGCCCCGACCTCTCCGTCTTCGCCGCGGGCAAGGACATGCCGAAGCAGGACCTGTTCGCGCCAGCGCTGATCGTGACGGGACCCAGCTCGGAGACATTGAGCACCGTGACTACGAGCTCCTCTCTCGACCTGACCGATTTCCCTATCCCGCCTCCGATGATTTCGTCCGCGCTGGACGGGCTGATGGAGACCATATACAGCAGCGAGGAGAGCGATGGAGCGGAGGACGCGGCTGGAAGCGATCGTGACTCGCTGTCGATGGGGAAGGCGGACTTTCTGAAAAGGTCGACTGTGGATCAGTTCATCATGCTATATGGCGAGGTGTAAGGCGGACACGGTGGGCCAGCAGACTTAGATTCGCGTCCAGCTACTACATACATTTACATTCTAACGTACCCTTGCACACGCTTCTCTACCATGGCATACTATATGTTCCAAGCTTTCAAGGACCGCTCATGGCCTACATAAGCTTGATCCACCGCATGTCCTGAGTCTTTCGCGACCTCGACGCGCCCATGATGGTTCGCGTCACATCACGTGGCCGCTCCTAACCGCTCGCTATTGTTCGCCGTCTTTGCTATTGTTCTTTGTCTCGCAGTCACCAAGGGCCGGCCCCTTTGTACTCCTGCCCTCGACCACAGTCAGACACGCTCCCGACACGCCTGGACACTAGATGACTCCCTAAATCGCGCCGCTCGACTCCCTCACGACACCACATCATCGACCGCTACCCATTCACGACAGCCGCCATGCATACTATCATCCTCGCTCTGCTCACATCTCTGCTGCTCATTGTACTCTATGGAATATTCACTTTGTCTGTACGCCCGCGATTCAGCACTATACAACAGTTACCAGGACCACCGGTAGCGGGCGTATTCAAGAGCCATCTCCGCGCGCTGCTTGAGTACGTCGCACGCGAATACTTCCCTCCCCTTTCTGACCGTCCCTAGTCCTGCGATCTCCCCTCGCGTACATGATCTCATGGTCAGGAAGTATGGCCGGAACATCCGTATCCGTGGTGTAGGCCCCGTGCGTAACCTACGCCCTCCCCCCCCCCTTTCATGAATGCTCATATACGATCACCAGTGGGACGAACGCCTCCTTACCGTCGATCCCACCGCCCTCAACCATGTCCTCCGCAACGCAAGCATCTACCAGAAGCCTTGGCAATCGCGCGCATTCATCTCTTCCCTAATTGGCTGCGGCATCCTCGCCTCGGAGGGCCAGATGCACAAACGGCACCGACGCGTCGCCACCCCTGCGTTCTCTCCCCAGAATATGCGTGCTCTGGTACCCGTCGTCTTTGGAAAGGGAGAGGAGCTGAAGGATCGCTGGTTGTCCATTATGAAGGAGGACGGTCAAAGCAACTCGGGCGTGTTCGACGTTGCGCATTGGATCAGCCGTGCTACCTTTGATGTCTTCGGTGTCGCAGGTGCAAACTCTCTCGGTGAAGTACTCCTTACAGTACTGACCTCACATCCAGGCTTCGACTACAACTTCGAGGCGATCCAACACGAGGACAATGAGCTGCTCAATGCGTATAAAGACATGTTCGAACTGGCTGTGTCGCAAGGCAGCTTCTGGCAGACGATGACAACCATTTACGCGCCGTTCTTGCTACGCCTCTTCGTAAGTGTTGGTCGAACGAGACGGTCACTCGTTTGACATTGGTCTTCAGCCTACCCAGAAGCAGCGGACCGTGAAACGCTGCCGAGAAGTCATCCGGCGCGTCACGGGCGACATCATCCAGCACAAGAAGCGCAAGATCGAGGAGGGCATGCGCGACGGCAAACCCTACGAGGCCAAGGACATCCTCACCCTCCTGCTCAAGTCGAACATGTCCACCGACATCCCGCCCGACCAGCGCATCACCGACGCCGACCTCCTCGACAACATCAACACGCTCGCCTTCGCCGGGTCCGACACCTCGTCCCTCGCGCTCACCTGGACGCTCCACCTCCTCGCCGAGCACCCAGAGATCCAGACGCGCCTGCGCACCGAGCTGCTCGCGCTCCGCCCGCCCGCGACGACTACGCTCACGGCGGACGAGATCCACTCGCTGTACGACGTCGTCGCGGAGCAGCCGCTGCTGCACAACGTCATGCGCGAGGCGCTCCGGCTGATCCCGCCCATCCACTCCTCGCTGCGCGTGTGCACGCGGGACGACGTCGTGCCCACCAAGTACCCCGCCCGCGACCGCGACGGCAACGTCGTCGAGGGCAAGCACGACTTCTTCCTGCCCAAGGGCACCATGGTGCACGTGCCCATCGAGGCGTTCAACCTCGACAAGGAGGTCTGGGGCGAGGATGCCTGGGAGTTCAAGTGAGTCTTCGTCTTCGTCGGAGAACACCCCAGCGCCATCCTGACGTGACTTCTCAGACCGCAGCGCTGGGACGACTTGCCCGAGCTCGCCAAAGAACAACCGGGCGTCTTCCCAAGCATCCTCACCTTTTCTGGCGGTACACGGGTAAGGTTTCTCCAGATGTTCGCTGTTCTTCACTCACGCTTCTCTTACCTTCTCTCATCCTTCTCTGCTCCTCTCCCACCTTGCTCTGTTCTTCTCCCACCTTGCCCTATCCTTCCCTCGCCCCCCCTTCCTCTCCCTCAGTCCTGCATCGGCATGCGCTTCTCCGTCATCGAAATAAAGGCCGTCCTCTATACCCTCATCACGAACTTCGTCTTCGCTCCGACCGAAGACGAAGTCTTCAAGGCCAACGTGTACGTCGTTCATTCGTTATACCTTTCGAAACGCGCTGACCTGTGCTCTTCTCTAGCGTCCTGACGCGTCCCTACGTGGCAGGGAAGTTCAAGGAAGGCAGCCAGTGTCCGCTTCGGGTGACCGTGTACGAACCGTAGGCGGTGCGCGTTGATCTACTGGATTGTAAGTGTATTGTACTTGCGCTCTTAACTTTATCATTATTGGTATCGACCTCTCTTCTTCCTCTGCTCGCGGGGCCAGCTAGCGCTATCCATTGGGTCGGCTTTCCTGGAGCAAGGGATTCATGTGTCGTGGGCAGAAGAGCTGCGACGCTCAGGCTCTGGCAATTAACTGCAAGAGGCCAATCACATCTATCGATAGTGGCGATGTGGGCGCGCTTCGAGCTGTTGAGGACATCAGAGTGGGGCTTCCACCTGCGCCTCAGCGCCTATGGCCAGTCTTCTAGTTCCATTTCCGCGTCGCCTTCTTGACTCGAATGAGAAGACCGCCGGCCCCTACTGATGAACATGATTGAATCTGCTCGGAGCCGCCCCTCACTGACCTCTAGCCCCATCCCCCTCGTGCAAATTGTGCCTCCATATCGACACAAAACGCGCGCGCTGAGTCCAACGGCCAGTCAATTGTCGTCAATGCGATGCTGCTGACTTCGGGACAACAACAGTACCGACCACATGGGTACCCCAGTGGTGGTTCACGCTCTCCGTGCTTGTGCTCGGCTCGCATGTACACTCGATTCGCGAACCACGACTCACGTTGTGACTTGCTGTGACGGCCCACAATGCGCGGGACCAAAGCGGAATCAAGCGTACACGGGACCAATCTGTTATCCCCGGATAGTATCGCAAGGCGCCTGTCATCATAGGCGCCTACCCACTCAGTTTCCCGTGCTCTAGCTTGATATTTCGACAGGACGCTAACAATCATGTCTACAAGCATCATGTTATACAATGTAGTTTACTGGTTTCAACAACATCCCTGAGAGTCGCTTGCTTGATCGAAAACCTGATCTGACCGCCGAAAGGGTTCACAACCTGTATCGACTGGTTGAGGAAAGAAGAGGGTAAGCTCTTAAAAGTCTGTTCGAGCATTTGGAGGGCCTCTGAGCTAGTAGGCCGAGCTTGCGGATCGCGTTGGGTCATGCTCTCCGCAAGAGGACGCAGAAATTCCAGGCCGCTATAAATCTGGCAATTGGGGTATCGTGGATCAGCTTTACGTTCAAAAGCAAGATGAGATGGTTATGCACACCCCAAGCATGTTGTGCAGTATCACGTTGCCGAGTTGATAAATGTCGACCTTGAACGGGTTGTATGGAACATCCCAAGAGAGCTCCGGGACGGACTTGTCCTGTCCATACACGCCAGTAACCAGGTCTTCATTGGTCTGCAACTGTGCAGCCAGCCCCAAATCAATGACAAAGTACTGTACGGGGCTAACATAGGCACGATCGCGGAAGGCAAGAGCGGATCGACCGTCTGGTGCTTTGTACGGAGCTGCAAAATGATGTCCGCCAGGAAGTAGTTGAGACGCGTCCATCATCAGGTTGTAGGCGCAGAAATCTCTGTGCGTCAAGGTCAATACAAGCATTTTCAGAGCGGCATAGAGACGCGTACCGATGTGCGATATCGTGTTCGTGAAGATACCGTAGTGCCTGAGCAGGAAGCGTAGGTACAATGTGTTGGATTGACGAGCCATGCCCACTCACCTCAAGGAACTGCGATACACACCGCACGACTTGATCAACTCTGGAAAACGGGGGGTCATAGTACTCGCGAAGGAAGGGTAGAACCAAAAATGCGGCGCTGTCGGTGTCGGGCAGGAGTATCATGTCTAGGAGCGGAGCAAGTCGGTTTCGATCGTCTTTAGGAAGCCTTGCCAGTCGCTGGTAGATAGGCACCTCGTCCTTCCATGTTTCGGTTTTGCGGATAACGACCCGCCTGCCGTCGCTCATCCTGACTGCATCCAGTACACAAGGTGACTGAGATGAATGTCAGAGGACTGTTGTCGTCTCGAGCATAAAGAACGCACCCTGTTCTCCAGTTCATCTTCAGGTCTAAAGAATTGGTGAGGCAACCACCAGGGTTTCTTGCCTTGCTGTCGGGCGAGTGTGTGTGCCGGATTATATCTGCATCTCAGGCGATAACCACGACGCTCCAAGAACGCATAGTTGTTTACCCAAAACTGCTCATCGGGACTGATATTGCAAGCTGTCATGGGGGTGGCAAAGTGGGATGGGAGTTGGAGGCGAAGGATGGTGGGCGGTTGATCGGCGGCCAGCCTGCGCGCGCGCTCGCGCTCGATTCAGTCGGGCCGCTCAAATTCAAAGTCCAGCTCGGTTGCGACAACCAAGGTGCGAGTGATCAGTGTACTGCTGCCTCGCCGTAAGATGAACGCAAGAAGCAAGGTAGGGATATCATAGTATCGGACTGATCTGCCTGCCTGAACTCATGGTCGCCACATGCTGAGAAGTAAACCCAACCGTGCGCGATCTTGACAAGCGAACACAACACATCAAGCATCCTGAGTACCGCCTTCCAACTTCGGCTGGGATCATCGTCGGTCTCTCCAGGCTGCGACAAAAGCTACTAAAAGTGCCACAAGCGCACCAATGCCTATCCAGTTGGCGTTGCCCCACCCAGCAGCAATACCCTGCTCATCGAAGCGACTTCGAGCGGTACCAAATAGGACCATGGACAGCACCCACGCAGCCGACGCAAGAAGGAGCGCAAGACCCGCAAGGAGAGTCATGATGTTCGTCCCCGCGCGGCGGTTGTGGGTAGCGCCCACGCCCGCAACGAGCGCACAAGCGGAGATGCCAGTCGCTGAGTCAAGGAATATATGAGTACGGGCCGAGAACAATAGAGAGTCCACTTACCAATGGGATACAAGACCAGTGTATAAGTCAGCGCATGAAGATGGCTGCCCTCGATGGCCAGGTAACTGAAAATATGTCAGAACGGGCCGAGCGGGGGTCATTCCGAGGCACAAAGAGTAGAATACTTACTCGTAGCCGATGACGGGCACGAGGAAGTGGAAGCCGACGTGAACCTTCCCGCCCGAGAAGCCAAAGACGCCGAAGTGCGTCGTGCCGTAGTCGGTAGAGATATTAAGGAAGGATATGCTGTCCCACGTCGGGGAAGAGATCGTTACCTGAGAGTGGTCAGTTTGAGGCTAGTAGAGGCGCCGCGCATATCACTCACAAAAAGGAGAAGAACGAATGCCGTGAAGCAGAAGAACAGTGCCAGCATGGCGTCGCGCCGGAAGCGCTGCGACGTCGCTGAGGCTGGATCCACGGGCGCGCTCAAGTTAATAATCTCTGGCTACTGTCTGCGGTCGCTGGAAGCGCCGCGCAAATGGTCGCTCCATTGAGCGAGCGAGATTATATACGACCGTCAGAGGGCTGTACGGTCATGTTGGCCGCCCATGCATCTTCGGTCGCCGAATTGACCAGGATGTGTTCCGTCCCCATCCCTCGGCGATGATTGTCAGAGAATTACGTGGAGTCTCGGGTGATGTTGTTTGGGAAAGTACAGGCAGTGCTGAAGGCCGTGACGTTTCGAGGTTTTTGGACTCAGGTTGGTCCAAGTTGGTTGACCATGCGCTTTGATTCCTTCCGCCAGTACACTGAAGGCGTGCCGACAGAGATACAGCACAGATGCGTACACCGAATCGATGCTCGAGCAGCGAGGTTGTCGACGAGCGTCGGAGGAAGGCAGGAAGAGATGCCTGAGGGTGCGGTCGAAGTTGATGCCAATGATTAGCATGCGGCCCGGCGCGCCGAAGGTGTTAACGGGCACGGTGGACCCACAAAGGCGAACTGCCAACGAAGCTTTTCAGCCTTTCACCGGAATCAAAGCCAGCGACATGTCCGCCCGACGCCTCCTATGCCTCCTCGCCCGCTCCGCGCCTTGCCTCTCCCTCCCTCCTGCCCATACTGCCAACCTAGTCCGCAGCCATGCGCCTCGCCGCCTTAGTCTCCCTCCTCTTCGCCGCGTCCGCCCTCGCCCAGCAGGTGCAGTACTCCCTCACCGACGCCTTCTCCGGCACGCAGTTCTTCGACGCCTTCGTTTGGGAGACCTTCAACGACCCCACGCACGGCCGCGTGAACTACGTCGACATCAGCACCGCCATTAAGAGCAACCTCTCCTACGCGAGCGGCTCGAAATTCATTATGCGCGCGGACTCGACGAGCATCGTGCCGTCCTACGCGCGCGGGCGCGACAGCGTGCGCATCACGTCCAAGACCGCCTATACGGAAGGCCTCTACATCCTCGACCTCTCCCACATGCCGACGGGGTGCGCGACTTGGCCGGCGTGGTGGACGTTCAGCAGGAACGGACCGTGGCCATCTGGCGGAGAGATAGACATCATTGAGGGTACGCGGCGTCCTGGACGATTGTCGCGCGTCTCGCTGACTGTTTCCTGCCAGGCGTGAATCAGAACACCGCTAACCTCGCGTCCCTGCACACGACACCCAACTGCTCCATGCCCCCAATCCGGCAGCAAACTGGGTACGTCCGCACCATACTATATGACTAGAACTCACCTATCTCGCGCAGAGCGACCGTCTCGACCGACTGCGACACCAACGTTAACTACAACCAGGGCTGCGGGACCTCGTTCACGAAGGCGAATTCGTACGGCCCCGGCTTCAACGCGCAAGGCGGTACGCGGATTTCTCTTGAAAAGTTCTCTCTGTAGCTGAGCAACCCGCAGGCGGCCACTACGTCCTCCTGCGCACCAAGGACGAGATCTCCGTGTGGTTCTGGGCGCGCAGCGACCCTCTCACGCCTCCGGAGGTCCTCCTGTCTTCGCAGTCCACTCGCATGCCCAGTCCTAGCATAACGTGGGGTCCGCCCGACGCGAACTTTCCGCTCTCGAGCAACGGCGGGAACTGCGACTACGAGGCGCACTTCGACCCGCACCATATTATCTTCGACTTGACGCTCTGCGTGGGTGGAATTCATGTTCGCCGTGTCAGGACATCTCGGGCTGACATGTTGACCGCAGGGTGACTGGGCGGGCACAGCGTTCGCGACTTCGGGATGCGGACCAAGCACCTGCGAAGATTGTGAGTTAACTACCATGCACTTCGTCTTCGCACGCACCGTCCTGACCCATCGCCCAGTCGTAAACAACAACCCCGCGAGCTTCGCTGAAGCGTACTGGGAAATCAACTCGCTGCGGATCTACACCTGAGTCTCGTTGCAAAAGCATGTATATTGTGGACCATACGGACATGCACTACTACCACTGAACATACCTCTATTCGCCCCGTTCTTTCGTCGCCCGTCTCTGGATACCATAGAAGCTATAGATACCTTGCTAGATCGTCAAGTACAGCGCGCTGTTGCCATCGCATAAACGTTTCGTTGGACATGATTATGTTGACGGAGAAGTCTGATGTGGTCCTAGACCTAGGAAGGGAGTGACTGGGTTCCTGTAGGAGGTCGCGTATTCGTCGAGGGGCCAGTGAGGTTGCAGGATGAAGGCTACCAAGGCGACGAATATTTGCGAGTGTTTGACATTGCACCGGGAGGCGGGGCAACATGCGTGATGTGAGGGCGAGCACATTGGCGCGGCTTTATGGCCAGGACATCGACCATAAGGGACCTGGGATCGCGAGCGAGGAAATTCTGCAATGATAGAAGGCAGCTACTGCGCTGCTACGGTCAACCTCGAAGTCCTGAGTGAATCATGTATAGACTCACCGTCGACTATATGTCCTCCCAGTACTCTGGCCATGAGAGAGCCCGACAACTTGATGACCTCCAGGACGGGGGAGCCAGTAGACAAAGGACGCCTGGGCGAAGTGATCGGGAAGTACGGAGCTTTAAGGTTTGCAGCTAGCGTCCGGTCGTTGTTGAAGGGAGAGCGAGCAGAGAAATTTCCAAAGACGCCGCTATCCTCAAGAGCACGACCCCGTCTTCATGAGGCCCATCGAGGTCGACGTCAGCGCTCGCAGCGACCGGGGATAGTGGGCCTTTGATGGCCGTACTGGGCAGGGGTTTGTTGACACGTGTATGGCCACCAAGGCGTACTTCCTCATCCAGTCCCTTTGTTCTCGCCGCTGGATATTCCCCGTCCCTCTGTGGTGGTCTGTCTATCTTGTCTAAGGAGCGACTGCAGTACTCCGCGGGCCTTGGAAAAATGGACTGAAGTCTGAAGAAATTCGCTCCTCTGCGCCGCCGATCGTGGGAGGGAAGGGGGAAGAAAGGGCACGCCCGACGACCGACACAGCGAACTGCTGACGAGCAATGTATGGACACTATCAAGCGAAGAACTGTCGAGCGGCCTCGCGATTTTTTGCCCACCAGCTTCGCTCCCATGACGGCCACCACCGCGACGAGCCCCCGTCACATACGCCCTCCTCATCCCGCCGGCGGACTCCAATACGCGACCCAAGCACGAACAGACTCTCCTCCCCATACTCCCCACTCTATACGCGTATCCCAGATTCATGACGCGTGGGTTGAGGTGTCCGTAGCCCGCCGTCGTGGGATAGGTTAGTAGGTGCGCACCATGCTACCAGCGAAGTGCCTTGTCGCTGACGCCCCCACCCTCCCAGTATATGTCGACGCTTAGAAGAGAATATCAGTCCCATATGCCCCACCATTCGTGAATTGGACGTACCGTAACGCCCTACCCCACTTGACCGCGCGGGCATGACCACGGCGCAATCATCGCTTCGCAGCAGCACCGTCCTTGCCGAACTTAGAAAAGGATATAGACTGGCGGAAGGTCAGTAATGGGCGCGGGTTTGACTCGCTCACCGGAACAGGGATGTATGCGACGCGACGAAGCGTATTGGAATAGCTTGCCCAAGCAAATAGTCGTTGGCGCCTTAGGACAGCAGACACCCAGCCTGCAACGCAGCGAAGTCAGGATGAGTCGCGGCCAGCAATATCGAGCAGGTGGTGCTCGCCGTTGATCCTGTCATCCACAAGCCAGCGTCGCCGGGCGAGTCAAGGTCGCTCGCCTGAGCATACAGTCGTAGGTCTTGCGCGTCAGGCCGTCGAGCCACAGCCCGCAGCTAGACATCGCAAGGAGCGGTTAGGAGTGGTCGACAGATGGCGCTCGCCGTTCTTCCAGCTGTCCATAAGGACGATAGTGAAGGCACTTTGGGTAGGCTGTTCTTCATGGTGAGCACGAGACTGAAGCACAAGGAAGAACTAATCGACGCAGAGCTGACTTGTGAAGCCCTTCGAATTCTTCAGGGAACGCGAGTATCTGCGGGAAAAATGTCCCAGTGGATTTGCCACCGCTCTGAGGACCTACGGAACGTCAGCGATAGAGAACAAGGACGACAGACTCACCTTCTCGTCGAACCTCGCCAGACACGGCGAGAACCTGTGAAAGCAGGTGCCAACCAGTGAGTACAATCACTCGAGCGCCGAGATCTCATCGATCTGTAGCGTGCAGGTGTCTTCTATCGTGTTCTTGACGCGTCCTCTTCTACGGTTGCATGCTTATGATTAAGGAACAACGAAGGAGGTCCCCGGTCTTCAAATAAGGTTCCGCCGAAGCTTCAATTGAAGTGGCTGTGCAAGGTTCACCGAGTGGAATGGCCGGAGGTCGAGGACGACATTTTTCAGCCTCCAGTGCGCGAGAGCGCTGTGGCAATGTTAATGTGAGTTCGAGCTTGCTTTTTCTGCCGTCCAGACGTCGCATCACTGACCAGGCTATCGACAGTGTCTCTTGTTCTGTCTTGTTCAGACGCAAGGACCGTTCCCACGGGCCATTGTTGAATGCTTATGTCAGCATTGTGTCTTGTTTGGGAGACAATAGGTTGGACGCGCCGCATTTGTGTTTTTCGGTCGGACCTCCCGAACATTCAAACCCCGCCGCGACGCGCTTCCGGCCTGATCTTGACCACCACCGTCGTCTTACGCCCCAGACACCTGCCGTGCTTCCCGCTCGCGCTCTACCTCTCAACCTCTACTTTTCCACAATCACCGTTTCGACATGCAGACGAAGAACCAGAAGCACCACCCTCCGACCACTCCCGGCGCCGTCTACTATACCCATGGATACAGCATGGGCAGCGACGAGGTCGCATTGATGGAGACCATTATCGCAGTGCAGAAGAGGGCCGTCGAGTACCTCGACAGCAACGAGTCCAACAGCGACCCGCGTCTCAGGCTCGTCGCCTCACGCGTTGCCCAATGGCTCCCGGAATCGATTGAACATGAAGCGGAAAAGGCCAAAGCTGCAGTGTGCGTATCCTACCCTACTGCTCAACTCCCAACTGACAGATTTGCAGCCGGCGGATTGCAATCGAGCTCGACGACCTCTGGTAGTGCGTGCGCAGCGCCCGTCCTTGTTTTCGCTTACTAATCATGCCCGTAGCAACCACCGCGACACGATGGAGAAGCTCACCAAGGGCGACGAGGAGCTCGACCCCAAGGCGCTCGAGCGCGCCATGAGGCCCCGGGAGGAGGCGGAGGCGGCACACAAGGCGCCCTTGTTCGACATCACCGTCAAGCGCGACGGGCAGGAGATCTCCCTTGACAACGGGCCCATCGTCATCGCTCCTGGCTCTTCCAAAGTTGTCTTCACCTGCAAGCGCCGTCGCGCGCCGGCTGCGCAGCCCACTGCCAATGCCACTGCCGCGCCTCGTGTTGCCGCCGCTGACAAAGGGAAGGCGTCGGCCCATGCGGCACCCATCACCACCACCGCGCCCACCACCGACGACCCCGCCACTACTGAGCCCATATCCGCGGGGTCCAATGCCACGTCCGCTGCGCCGCGTTCGAAGACGCCTGCGTCGCGTCGCGCGGCGAATAAGGAAAAGGACGCGGGCGAGGGCGAAGGCACTGACAGCCCCAACATCCCCACTCCTATCCCGAGGGCAACACCGGAGAAGAAGCGCAAGCCTTCCTCCCGGATCGAGAAAGCCCAAATCCCTGCGCTCGACCTCTCGGGCGGTGCTGCAGAGGAGGAGGCGCCGGCGCCGCCTCAGGACGATGCTGCTGAGGGCGATGCCCCCGAGCCTGCGCCTGTCGCCGGGCCGTCGAAGCCGCGCAGGGCGTCGTCGCGCAAGGCCGCCTCCTCGAAGGCTCCTGAACCCAAAGCCGCTTCTCCCAAGCCTGCTAAAGCAAGGGCTGCTGCCAAGGCGGCTGCTACCAAGGCTGCTACCAAGGCCGCCACTACCAAGGCCGCCGCTACGAAGCCTGCCGCATCCAAGGCTGCTACGAAGCCTGCACCCTCCAAGGCCGCTGATAAGAAGCCCGTCGCTTCCAGGGCCCCCACTCCCAAGGCCCCGGAGCCTCAGGAGACAGCCGCTGGACCGTCGAAGCCTAGCGCTAACAAGCGCAAGCGCACCGAGGAGGTCGAGGAGGAGCCCACCGCTGCAGAGGAGGCCCGCCCCACGAAGGGCCGCAAGGCTACCAAGGCGCAGACTACCGTCGAGCCCGCCAGGCGCTCTACGCGCAGCAGGTCCACTGTCCCGCGCGACTAACTGAACGCGCCACTCTCGACGGACACTTATATCTCTCATCTGACCGCATGCATGTAATCATCTCGCCTGTACGTATCTGGCTGCCGCCCCCTTTCCCTGGCTGTTCCTCTAGTCACGGATACCCCCTTGCCACCGCATACCTCGAAGCTGGTTGAATTAGTACACACCGTTTCGTCGTTCCCTCTAGCGACACCTCCATAGCCACATACGTACAGGGTGATTTCCGCGATTTTCTGTGTAACTTACGCGTATCCTATTCTCTGTAGATTCCTGGGTTTTTCTGTCTTATCTCCATAATCGCATCTCGAGTCCATATCCTCGCTGCGCCTCTCCTCAAGTTACCTTGCTTGCAAGGTCTTACTCAGGTGCCTTTGGGCGGAACCTATTTCACAAATAAGTCCAAACATATGACGGTTGTCCTTGTTTCTCTCGTCTCCGAACAAGGTGACGATCTCTATCAGGGAATTTATGCAGTAAAAAGTCGATCAACGAATCAAGCGAAGCAGGCGCTGTGGACTTGCAGTAGCCGAGTGACGTCGCCGCGTCCGAAGGAATCGCGGCGACGGTCACGCCGGCGGCGAGCGCGTCGACCTCTGCGCTCTGCTTCCATCGGCTCGAGACTCCTGCAGCCATATTTCATTTGCCCGCCCTCCTCTTCCTCTCTCTCTCACTTGATAACGCTCTGACCTGCACGTATTCCACTCAGGCCCTTCTCCTGAGTCCTGGGACAGGACCTGCTGCCTGCTACAGTGCTCAGTCGGCCGGTCCGCGCGCATGTGGGCGGCTGGGGGCGCGCCCCACGTGCCCCACGTGATGCCGCCGGGGTCCTGCGAGCGGGACGCAGATATAAGTGGTTCTCAGATGAGTGGAGTTGTGTTGGCCCATTAACGGTGCCGCGCAACCTAATCTCGTGAGTAACGTGCGAGACGGCGACTCAACCCAGAACCATGCTCGCGTCTCGTGTCGCGATAAAGAGGAGGCAGATGAGGGTAAGAGGTGAAGAACAGTTGTATTTCTCGGCACGCGGCGCCATGTAGGACACTCGCTGTCGTGTACATGTAGTAATAGGTAAATAAGGGTGGTGCGAAGCATCCGCCCGTGTTTGTACATACAATGGTTGCCTTTTTGGGAAGTATTTACAAAGAGTAGATGAAACCCATATATGACTATCCACGTCTTTACGTCCAATAGCTAAGGGCCCGGAGGAGTCCTCCGTTTAGACTCTCCACACACCGACAGTAGTAACAAAAGCAGATGAGCAGTGGGTCAGAACAAACACTCGGATAGTTCGGTCGAAGCCTGAGGTAACAAGACTCGAAGCGAAGAGCAAGTTTGAGCGAGCCCGAATAAGTGAAAAAACAGAAGGCAGAGTATCATGAAGCCTTTTTACAAGACAGGATCAAGCTCTGAACATCGGCAAATATCTCTTGAGAAGGAACTATGGCCACCGCAGCGTGCGTGTCACATGCAAGCAAGGTCGTCGGGAGGCAGGGCCGACGCTTCTCTAGTTGAATAAACGCGTGACGTAGGCGGCGACGCGTCGCGAGCTGTCAAACGCGACATGTCACAAACGGTGACCTGTCACGCGCGTGTGTATAAAGCGGCGCTTCCCAGGCTCTCTTCTTCCGCCCTTCACCTCTGCCACCATCCTCCACTATCTAGACGTCCATCGCGCTGATCATTACTGTCTTGGAGCTCATCGGCTTCTACTAATCTTGTTACATCTCTTGCGTCTCCTCCTTTCCTCAGTACCTGTCCAAACAGTCCCGTATTGCCCAGCCTTGGCCTATTTGTGCGCGTCGCTGGCTTGCTTCACGTCTGTGCTATAACTTGTTTCGCTCCTTGCTATCCTCCCGTCTGTGCACTGCACTCAATGGATTTGCTCGCCACCACGCGCCTAAGGTGATTTAGTCTTCTCATTGCTGTTAACCGCGCTTACTGATCGTGCCTTCACAGATCCTCGTCGCCCTGCTCTCGCCTGGCCTCTCCTTCGTCTTCTTTATCCCTACTCGCTCTCTCTCTCTGGTTCAGTCTCGTCCATCCCTATCGCCACCCAACATCAGCCCTACTGAGGTTCTCACTGACTCTTTGACCCTGCTTGTGTGATTTCGTCTTTCTACACCACATGTCATGCCCATCTGCTCATCCCTGCTTTAATCTTCCCTGGCTGCTCATCGAGTTCCCTCTAATCTCCCCCTCCCCTCGCTTCCCTCTCCTGCACGCCCAGCCACCGTCAGTCGACGATGTGGCAAGCGCCAGGTGACGACCTAGCGAAGCACGTCTTACCAGGCTCCTAGCATTGCCGCACGCCTCGAATAGCCAGCTGACCTCTAGAAATATGTGGATACCCATAATATACAAGACCGTTACAGATGGTGTCTAATCCAGCACTGCGTACTTTTTCAAGTGGTCCGGGATCGCATCCTCGAGCCCCTTCGCTTTCAACCACGCCTTCGAGAAGAGGCGGCTCTGATACCTGTACGCGCCGTCGCACAGGAGCGTGACCACCTTCGAGCCTGAGAAGGAAAGGCGTCAATCCCCGGGTAGATGAGCATGCCAGGAACGGGGACACGTACCCTTCCCAAGCTTCTGTGCCACCTCGACCGCCGCGACGACGTTCAGTGCGGAACTGGCGCCGAGGTAGAGGCCCTCAGAGTCGAGGAGCTGGTAGAGCATGGCGATGCTCTTCGTGTCTGGGACGGTGAAGGCGCCGGTCACGTCCTTGATGATAGTCGCGGTGTTGTCAGTAATACGGCCCTGGCCAATGCCTAGAGGATTTCGTGAGCAAGCTGGACTGGAATCAGGGAGAGATCCTCGCACCCTCCGTGATCGAGCCGCCCTCGCGCTCCATGAGCTTGCCGCCGCTGCTGACATAGCTGGCAAGGACGGAGCCCGGCGGGTCTGCCAGCCAGATCTGCACGCGCCCATTGCTCTTCTCCCTCAAGTACCGCCCCGTCCCCGCCAACGACCCGCCCGTCCCCGTCGCGCACACAAACGCATCCAGCGTCCCCTCGGTCTGCGCCCAAATCTCCGGCCCCGTCGTCACATAGTGCGCCTGCGCGTTCGCCGTGTTGTCAAACTGATTCGTCCACACCGCGTTCGGCGTCGCCTCCGCGAACTCGCGCGCCTGGTGATTGTAGTTCGCCGGGTTCTCGTACGCGACCGCGGGCACGGGCCGCACGTCCGCGCCGAGCATGCGCAGGAGGTCGATCTTCTCCTGCGACTGCGTGTTGGGCATGTAGATGACGAGCTTATAGCCGCGCGCGCGGCAGACGTGCGCGAGGCCGATGCCCGTGTTGCCCGCGGTGCCCTCGACGACGGTCCCGCCGGGCTTGAGGCTGAGGGCGGGGCTCGATCAGCGTGGGGAAGGATGGGGAGCGACGATGATTACTCACAGACCCTTAGCCTCCGCATCGCGAACGATGCCTAACGCAGCGCGGTCCTTCACGCTACCACCCGGGTTCTGGAACTCCGCCTTCCCGAGGATAGTCGCACCGGTCAGCTCGGACAACGTCTTCAAGTGAATGAGGGGCGTGTTCCCGACAGCGCCATTGAAGCCATCGACCGGCGCATTCCTATGGAACGCGCGGGTCAGGCTGCGAGACGTAGCAGCACGGGGCGCAGCGGCGCGGAGGGCTCCCAACATCGTTAAGGAGGACAAGGTGAGTGCTGGTGAGAGAAAGCGCGCTGACTTTATTCACATCCGCGGCCGACTGGCACAGAAGGCTCATAATGTCGTGATGCACTCGCGCGTTTAGCGCCCGATCATTTGTCCGCAAAGGCCCGGGGCTGGACCCACAAGTTCGACTTCAACTTGTGTGCGTTCATGGCAAAATAGATTACAGGATAAATAGACAGCGGTTCGACTTCAATAACTAAGTGCAGGGTATCCAGCCCCTACTTCATGACTTGAAAGATCGTGATGCATTTAGAGCTTCACGCCCAGCTCGTCCGCGCACTGCTGGCAGCTGTCGGGCTGCAAAACTCTGGTCAGTCACATCGCCGCAGCGCAAAGTCCAACGTAACGTACGAAGTTCACACCAGCGTTCGCCGCGTTGGCCAGGCAGTTCACATCCGCGGCGGTGTCTACACATCCACGTCAGCCGTATTCCAGAACTCTGTGATGCTGGGAAACTCACCCCTCCCCAGCGTAGCTGCTGCAACCCCGCAGATGGCTGCCGCGGGCGCGAGCGCGGCCAGGCATTCCTGAAGAGGAGGATCAGTGGGGAGACCACGGGCTGGAAGAAGGGGGATACTCACGACAATGGGGCAAGAGAGCTGGGCCTCGCGCTGGACGGGCTGCGGCGCGGCAACCGCGGCGGTGGCGAGCGTGGCGAAGACGGCGACCAGGGAGAACTGCATGATGGCGGCAGAAGGTGGATCTGAAGGAACGGGAGGAAGAGAACGAAGGGAATGAGAAGTGTTGGGGGAAAGCGGATTGAACTGAGGAAAGCGACGACGCCCTGGAGTCCTTTTATATATCTGTCCTTCAGCACCAGAGCACCCTCGTTGACTCACCAACTGTGAAGACACAGTCCCCCCACCGTCGCCGACCACAAGCTCTATCATGTTTGGTGGTCCAGCACACTGAATACGAGTCTCCACAGCGCCTCTGTCGCAGGCAGGAGGCGCGTCGCAGTGCTGATCACGAGTGCGCGAAAACGATCAAGATAGGTGGAGTGCACAGTGCTTGAGGGTAGTGAAAGGTATAGCAAAGCGTCGCAGCGTATCCAAAGACTGAGGCGACGTCGCGCTCATCAACGGCCTCCTTATGCGCATGGATCTGGTGGGTTGAAGGCATTGAAAGTGCTGGAGAGCGCAGCAATTCCAGAGGAGTGCCGTGTCGCAAAAGCGCTCCGTATAGCCGATGGCGAGTCTGTTTTGGGCGGCGAAGTCACTATATCTCGAGGGATCGGACAGCGCAATGTCGTGGCATGAACGCCCGGCTCGAACCGCGAGGATACGCAGACCCTACAGGGAGTTCAAGTCGCTGCTGCCGTTGGCTACATTGTAGACAGGCAATCCGTGCTGGCGAGTCGAGTCGAGACGCTAAACACCCTCAATAGCTACAGACATGGGCTCAGCGAGATTGGTAAGAGTGCGCTGCTCTTCTGAGTTTCCTGCTGAGTCCAGGTAAGACGAACGGGCCAGGCAAACAGGCGGTCGCATCGTGTCGTAACAAAGTAAGCAAGGTTTCCGCGCGCGGTACTCGTGGTCATTGTTTAGTGCGAAGGTCGGACTCGCGAAGGGATTCCTGTTGTTGGTGATTTGCCGCCCTCCGCGGGCGTTTGGTAAGGGATGGACTGCGTCGCGTAAGCCAAGGACTCAGACGCGCGTCAGGTGTGCGTCCATGGCCTCGCCAGCACGCCGAAGAGATGAATACGTCGCTGGCCAAACATGCGACGTCGACCTCGTCCAGAGCGACGATGCGATGCTCGAGTCGGGAGAGGACTGATGTGAGCTGATAGATCCCCATAGATATGAAGGTGATTATGAGATACGGCCTCACCTCCAGCCTCATGGTGGTGCACTCAACACGAGGCATGGCAGACTCGACGGGCAAGCCGCATACCGAACTCATTTGTGCCACAGTCGAGGAGACTGGCAACTGAACAAAAGGGACGCCGGAGCCTCGTGGCGTGGTTCCTTTTAATTGTCAGCACAATTGTGTTCTGATGGGCTCCCTCGCAACGGGACGGGTCGTCGTCCGCGCGTCGTTCCTGCGGGCCACGTCATTCCCAGATCGAGACGTACGAGATCCAAGGGTCTGCACTCATTTTACCCTGCAGCACACCGTTCCGCAGACGATCCGGAAGATGGATGGCGGGGAGATGACTGATTGTGTTTGTTGACCGAGGCCGGAGCCATACGTGCGTGCCCCAAGGAAGTGGGCGTCGACCGACTCGTGTCGGGCAGTGTGGCCTCGTGCAAAAAAGTTTTCCTGTGCAGAAACATGCGGAAAGAGAGCTGCTCGCGCGAGGCGAGTAGATGCATCTTAAGAGAAGGCGAAGCAGCGATAATGGACTTCACATTCCACCAGAAGAACCCGACGGCTGCCCGAAAAGTCGAATTGTTTGTTGACGTCGATCGCGCGAGAATATTGACAGATGTTTGGCGGTGGCATCAGCGCGCGTGGGAGGAAAGTCAGGGCACGAGCCCGCGTTTTATTCCTCCTCAACTCGCCTCTCCTTCTACGCTCGCCGACGATGCCCGGCGCCGACGAGCTCAACGGAAACATCAAATCAAGCTCAAACGGCGTCGCCCACAACAACGACAACACACCCTCCACCAAGTCCAACAACGATCCTCCCCGCATGAACGGCGTCACACCATCCTCCCCGTCGCCCGCGGCTCCCTCGACCAGCACCGGCCAGGGCGCGGACCAACAGCCAGCAGCGGCGTCCGACGCTACGTCTAGCAACCCCAAGCCCGCGGCGACGGAGCAGGCTCAAGCACCGGTCGTCGCCTCCGCCCCGTCGAAGGGCAAGGCGTCGACGGAGAGCTCAGCGCCGTCTACCACCCTTCAAGGCTCCGGCTCCAAGTCGCGCTCCTCCCGACGCAGACACAACGCGTCCGCCGCCTTGGAGCGGGCCGCTGACGCGCCCAATGGCAAGACCAGCGCGTCGGTTCGCTCCAAGCGCTCCTTCCTGTCCCGGTTCCTGCGCAAGCTGGTGCCTTGCGCTGGACCCTCGCGCGCGCACGCTGTCGACCTCGATACCGGCGCCGCCCCGAAGGCGCCGGAGCCCGCCGCGGACGAGAAGAAGCCCTCGGCAGCGGAGGAGAAGCCGCTCAACGCGGCCGAGCCTCCGGCTCCCAAGCGCGAGGAAGAGCACGCGTCGGAGCCACAGCCGCCAACCGAGCAGAAGAAGGACACGCCAGCCGTGCCAGAGCCGCTCACCATACAGCCGCCAGCCGCCGCGGTCGAGATCGAGAAGGCCGTTCCCACCCCGACTCTACTGCCCGAGGAGGAGACAGAGGGCGTTACGTCCGGCGCCGTTCAGCCGCCGGGCTCCACAGGCGAGACGCCAGCTACCGATAAGACTGCCCAGAAGGATCTACCACCGCAGACCACAGCGTCTGCTCCGATTGGTGGCGACGAATCGGAGGGAACCAGCTTCGATGAGGACGACGATTTGGTAGAGGATGAGGATGAGGAGGACCGCCTGATCATGAATGGCGGTGCGGGCATACCTATAGGGCCTGTACGTCTACTCAACGTCTCACAACCCTTCACCTACTGACACGCTCCAGGATGGTATCCCAAGGCCGCTCTTGCCCCCCATCACCCCCGCGCATGCGGGGCGTAAGTGCTTAGTCTTGGACTTGGACGAGACTCTTGTGCATAGCAGTTTCAAGGTGCGCTCACTCCACTTCATCTCGTCGAGCATCGCCATTGACCCTCTTCATTAGGCAATACCCAACGCGGATTTCGTGGTTCCTGTGGAAATAGAATATCACTGGCACAACGTCTACGTGATCAAGCGGCCCGGCGTCGACAACTTCCTGAAGTTGATGGGTGAGATATACGAGGTCGTCGTGTTTACTGCGAGCTTGAGCAAGGTGCGTCGACTTGATACGAATCGTGCCTAGTTACTGACGACCTCTTGGTTCAGTACGCGGATCCTGTACTTGACAAGCTCGACATCCACAAAGTCGTCACCCATCGCTTGTTCCGGGAGAGTTGTTACAATCATAAGGGCAACTACGTCAAGGTGCGTAACAACCTTGCCTGTTTACACCTGGTCCTGACATCGCCCTGCAGGATTTGTCGCAGTTAGGACGGCCAATAGCGGACACCATCATCCTGGACAACTCACCTGCTTCATACATCTTCCACCCCAACAATGCCGTTCCCGTGTCTTCCTGGTTCAATGACCCTCACGACACCGAGCTTACCGATCTCATACCGTTCCTCTCGGACCTCACGGCGGTGGACGACGTCCGCGGCATCCTCGACGGCGCCCGATGATACCAGCGCCCCGCTGCTCCCATCTTGTCACCCAGGACATTCGGTACATATACATTCGATACCCCGCAATCCCGCACGCTTGTCTCAACGCACGCACACTGCACTATACGCACCCGCACATCGCACGCACTACCGTACCCCGCACACTATTCGCTGTTGATCGACGCTCTCGGCCCCGCTGGATGCACACGCGCGGCCAGCACCTATATAATGCGCTACCACTCGACTTTATACGTAACGTTACTGCGCTCACCCGGGCGCTCGCAGTCGTTCTCGTGTATATCTTTCAGTTATGGATTCCCGCCCGTCCAATCCTGGTGGCGCCTCACGCTCGTTAACAGAATAATGCTTTGCAGGTGTACTGGTACAGGGCTCGCCCGAACACGGCTCGGTCACCACTTCGAGCCTCTCCTCGTTCTTACCCTTTCTACCTAGATATTTATCCACTGCTTACGACCCGGGTACGAAGGTGCACGACGTTGATGACAATAAAATTTTTCTTGAGCATGATTGACACTTCTCTTTCCCTTTTTGAGAACAATGCCACACCGAGGAGGCGGAAAGGGTTAGCCTCCGCGATAGGCTTCGTGCCGCCAAGCAACAGCAATTTAGGGTCGTAAGAACGTTATATGCATAGATAATGGTAGCAAGGGTGCAACATGCGCCCCGCCCCGTACATTGCAACAATAATTGATATACACTTGGACCAGGGCCGCCAACCAGCCACCGACCTCTAAATCACACAACAAGCGGATTTATATCTCGACCAAGAACGTCCTTGGAATAACCCTTGCATTACCCCTCCCGCCTTCACTTCTCCGACACGACAGCTTTCTTCTCCGTCACCACATCCTCCTCATCGCCCCACGGGCTGAAATTGGGCTTCGGCGCGGGCGCCGCCGCGGGCGAGGACTGCATCCACGACGGGAGCATGCGGCGGAAGCCCGTCGCACTCGGCGGCGAGACGTCGCTCAGGCTCGGCAGGCGCTCGAGCGACGTGTTCGTGCTGCCGCCCAGCACGCGCTGCAGCGCTTGCCGCTCCTCCGCGCTCGGCGCGAACGCGCGGATCAGCTGCTCGCTGTCCGAGGACGGCACGAACGGCGTGCTCCCGAGCCCGTTCGGGTTCAGCGCGTCGAAGGACGGCTTCGAGGCGTGGCCGGGCGCGGTCTGCCCGCGGCGCGGCGGAAGGAGCGACGCGACGGCCTTCGCGGGGAAGCTGAATGCCTTCGCGTCTGGGTTGAGCCCCTTCTTTGCCTTGTCGCCGCGCGAGAGCGCGCGCATGAACGCGGAGGACGACTTGTCGGACCCGATGAAGGAGTCGGCCTTCTCCGAGGACGAGATGGACGATGCGGGGTCGGAAGGCGTGCGCTGGAGGGTGAGCGACGGGCCCAAGGACGCGTCGAGCAGGCTGCGGTCCGGCCCGGACGGTACGCGAACCTTGAACGGGTCAAAGCTATCCATTCCAGCGTCGCTCAGCGAGTCCGTGCGCAAGGAGATGGGCGACGACGCCAACCGCTCGTGGCTGCGGTTGCGCCACGCGCGGTCCAGGATCGGGTCGTCCGCCGACTGGAAGGAGCGCGAGAAGTGGTCCGTGTTGTCGATGGACGAAATGAGACCGGATGGGATCAGCGCGTGACTCGGTGAGAGGTGCCGGGACGAGGGTAAGCCGACGGGATCAGAGTCGAAGGGCGAAAACTTGATCGGCTGGCTTGGTGAGAGTCCGTCGTCGAACGGAGAGAACTGCTGACGAAGCGTGTCCAGCGCAGCTGAGCCACTGGTAGCACTAAAGTTGGAGAGGCTACCGAGCGACAGGTGCATAGGACGAGGGGACGGCTTCGTCGACATGGTCTCGTGCTCAAAGGGCGGGAGCAGATTGGGCTGCTCGCTGGAGGGCTCCGACAGCGTTGGCTCGTGCGAGGAGGTGCGGGTGCTTTCGCGACCGATGCTGTCCGTAAGCGGCGATCTACGAAACTGTCTGGCGCCCGCACGATCCTGCATGGACTTGAGCTTCGCGCGACCCTCCGCCAGCTTCTCCTCGAGCTCCTTGGCGCGTGTGTTCAGAGCAGCAACCACGTCCTCCGCGACGCTAACCTCGCGACGCCGCCTCTCAAGCGTCTGCTTGAGCTCAGCGGGCGGTTCAGGCGTCTCGGGAGTGGCTGCCTGCTCGTCAGAGAGCTGCTGTTGGAGGCTAGCGATCTCCTGGTCGAGATGATTGATGCGACGATTGGCATCGTCGCGAGCGGTCTGAGTAGCCTTGAGTTTCTTCTCGGCATCTCGTTTGTGTCCTTCGGCCGCTCGCTTCGAGTCGTCTAGTGCTTTGGTACGAGTCTTTAGCTCCTGCTTCGTGGCGTCCTCCTGGCGCTTCTTATCCCGCAGCGCATCGATTTCGCTCTGATACGCCGCGTGACCGTACGAGGAGGTGGATTGGAAGTCAGATAACTGGGTGCGGAGGTCGTGAACGGAGGCTTTCGTGTCAGCGATCTGCTGTAAAACTTGTAGAATATTTGGCGAGTGATCAAAGAGCGTCGAGGCCGAGGGGGATTTGACAATTGACGGTCGAAGTGGGTACTGGTCGATGGGGACGTACGGCTGTTGGGAAGAGAGAATTATACTCGTCTTCTCAGAAGTCGTTGACGGCCGCGATGCATGAAGAGGCAGAGATGCCGACTTGGGAAGCGGTGGAGGCGTAGAGCTGCGCACTGACGGCTGACTGCTTCGCTGAGATGGGCGATCGCGGTTTCGTAATCGCGGCGGGGCGCCACGTGCAGGTGCGAGTCGATCGACGGGCTTGTTCGTCAAAGGCAGAGCTGCGAAAATTATCAAGCATCGTACAGAGCAGAAGGACACTACACGTACCGTGCCGCTCTGGTCCTTTGATGGCCAAGATACCCGAGCTCCAGCTTTCCTCGTCGTTGGACCTCGCGACGACATCCTGGTACCAGGCGTCGAAAGGACCGCCCCTCCACCATCGCCCGAATGCACCGAGGTACCAGGAATCGGTAATCATCGATCCATCGTGATCGTTGGGAATGCATGATGCCTTGCCGCCCTTCGACACAGGGAGGATGGCGGCAATGGTGAAGATGCCAAAGCTATGAAAGACATGTTTCGGCGTGCGCAGAGATACGGACGCGCGATTAGCGAAATGGAAGAGTGAACGATTGTCTGGGGAAGTGCGGCGAACTTGACGTGTTTTGTCGATCGAGTGCAAGCTTTCCTCGTCGGTGGTATCATCCAGGCGACTGAGGTGCTGACGGAAAGACTGTTCGGTAAGATATGCCCTGAAGGACGTTTCAGACGGATTGGTGAGGTATGCTGTGTGTTCGCGTCAGCTACCGAAAGGGGGAGGGGATGGAGGGTGGCTGGCGGACGCGCGATGCGATGTGCGCGCGCGTCTGCCTAAGTCCCAGATGAGAATACTGACCGAGAATGATAAACACTATAACAAAGACGACGGCACAGACAAAGGTCCTGATGTCGCCATTGGCCCAGATAGTGCTGAAGAAGCGGGACAGCGGCTGACGCGAGACAGCGTATCCCAGGCCGCCAGCAAGAAGGCCCATGAGAAGGAACAAACCGTCTCTGGGTCTGTCCGGGGACAGTTCGCGTGCAGCAGCGCCCGGGGATGGGGATGGGCGCCGGTGCCGAGTCGACAGTTTTACGCCCGGGGAGCCAGCGCAAGCACCCCGAATCGTACAGCGCAGAGCCGTGTGAGTGAGAAAGAGAAGTGCGTGCGCGCCGGCGACGAGGACGACGAGGACGGTGGCGGCGACGGCGACAGCGATGGCGACGACGACGGTGGCGAAAAGAAGAATCGCTCCGTCCGCGAGCCAAGTTAGATGACGGATTTTCCCACGCATGTGTTATTTGATTTGGCCCTTTCCTATCCCGCCGGCTTACCCGTTTCACATTATTTTCCCGGCACGCGGAAATCTCCGGCGGCGGCGACGAGCACGCCCGCAGGTTCAGGTGGGGGGACGGTGGGGGGCTTATGAGGCGCGTACAGCTGCCGGCATCGATCTCACCGCATTCTCAAATCAGATTGCACGCTCGCTGCTTCGACTCCGAGGACGACGCGGCACGCGCGCAAGAAAACAATTTTACCCGTGTGGCACAACGAACGCCCTCCGCCAATGGAATTCTCTCCAAGTCACGAGGAGCGTGGCCCTCTGCACGCGACCGCGCCGCCCCCGCGCCCTCCATCGCGCTCGCGGAGTTAGCCTCTAGCGCCAACCTCCCTCTCCTCCGCAGCCTTCGCCTTCGCCGCCCGCCGTCGGCCGACAGCCAACAATACATCCCCTACCCCCTCCCAGGTAAGCCAGCTCCTCGCGTACTTCCCCTCGCCCGCATCGCGTTCGATCATGTCGAAGTCGATGGCCAACGATGCCAGGGGCGCGCCCTCGTCCACTTCCCCCCGCTTCCGCTTGCGATTCCCGGGCCTCGTCTCTGTGCCCGCATGGCCCTCCGTGCGCGCACGCTTCTCGGGCGGTTTGGATATCGATTGCGGCCCGGGGTCCGCCCTTCTCTTCCCTTTGTCGATAACCGCCGGCGTCTGGCTGGATTTCTGAAAGGACGGCGCTCGCCACGCCTCTGCGTCGTGGGGGACCAGCTGAGAAGCTCCCGCAGAGAATACGTCTTCGACGTGTTGGGGAAGGGCGGGACGTGGAGCAGAGGAGGGGCCCGCCTGCGGCTTGTGACCAAAGACGGGTTGGGGTATTTTCTCGCGGCTGGAATTTCCCGCACGCGCGAACAGCTTGCCGTCTGTTTGCTTATCGTCTTCATCCATATCCGATCTTGCATCGTTATGGGCTAGCATCGCACGGAGGGGGCCCTTAGTTGCGATCTGCGCCTGTCAACTTGCGTAAGCCCGAGTTGCCACAAATGACTATCTGCTCACCTGGCGATTACGGCTTGTTGTTGTCTTCTCTTCCGTCCTTGCAGAACGAGATGCTTGGTCATTGCGCTCTGCAGCCCGGCGACACGATTCTGGCGCAAGCTCAGCAGGTACTGGGGTCTGCTCATCGTCGAAGTGCACATTCTGAGAGTTCGACTTGACGTGCTTGTGACCACCGTCCGATGGCCTCAAGGTCGACTTTGAGCTCTGCTTCACTGCCGTGGATCCAAGCCGAGAGCTAGGTTTTGTCTGCTGCAAGGTGTCAACCCCGCGCTTCGAGTTCGGCTTCACCCCCTTCGAGGTGGGCTTCGTCCTCTGCGAGCCCGCTTCTTCCCGCTGCGAGCTTGGCTTCGTGCCACCACGCCTCGAGTTTGGTTTCCTCTGCGACGCCTCCCCAACCTCCTGCGATGGGCCGGGCGTTTTGCACCGCTGGAGGTTGATTTCGAGCTCGCCGTCGGAGAATATGGCAGCCCAGTCGTACGAGTCGTCCGACTCTTCGTCGCCCTCGTATTCCTCCTCGTCGCCTTCGAGGTCTTCGTCGCCGTCGCCTTCGGGTTCGTCGCCGTCTTCGACGGCTTCGTCGGCTTTAGAGCCTTCGTCGGCCTCGAGGTCTTCGTCGCCGTGCTCAGAGACGAGATCGACCACTTCAACATGCGCGTCGCCGTTATGATCGCCACCGTGAGGTCCCTCGTCCGCGCCACCCTGAGGCCGCTCGGTCGCACCAACCTTGGTCAACTGTCCATCACCGACCTTACCCGCGCCCGACCGCCTCTCGAGAAGACGCGCCCTCGCTGCCGCAAGACCTCCGGTCATCTTCACCTCCACCACGTCGTCCTCGCTTCCGCTGCTGTCACTAATCTCAATCACCTCGTGACCGGCACCTCGACCGCCTCCCGAGGGCTGCGATGGTTGAGGACGTGAGTTAGATGACTGACGGCGGGATGCAGACGGCCCGGGTTGCGATGACTGTTCGACTGAACGTGATGGCGGGCCTAACGGCTGTTTCGACGGGCGGCGGAGAGATGGCTGCGAAGGCTGCGTTGATGACTGAGAGCGTTGACCTGCTCCTTGCGAACGCGAGTTTGATGCGCGCAAGTGCGCCTGCGGCTGCTGTGATCCCTCCCCGCGCAGCGGTGAACCTCCCTCGTCTCGGGACTGAGAAACCTGCGAAGGCTGCAACGACTGCAAAACGTGCTCCGCCGGCTGCGGTTGAGACTGCGGTGACTGTGACCGAGGAGGCGCCAACTGTGACTGAGGCAGCGAAGATTGAGAGTTTGACTGCGACGCTTGGGTGTTTAGCTGCGACCGCTGAGAAGGTTGCGAACGAGGCGGTGGCATTTTCTGGCCTTGCGTCGCATCCTGCTCCTGCGGAGCCTTCCTCTCCTGAGACGCCTTCTGCTCGCGCGAACCCCTCCCCTCTTGCGACAACTCTTTCTCTTGCGACAACGTCTTCCCTTGCGACGCCCTCTGGCCCTGCGACGCCCTCTGCTCCTGCGACGGCTGCGAGTTCGAGTACGACACATCCGAGTCCGGCACCAGGACGCGAGGTTGACTCGAGCTCTCAGCCACGCGTGCCGCGGGTGGCTGCCCCGGCGGTGGCACGCGCCGCAGGAGTTGCGCGGACATGGCCTTCGCGCGCGACGGCTGTGGGCTGGGACGCATTGGCTGTGGGCCACCAAGCCAAGGCTGGCGCTTGCGAGGCGACGGCGCTGGGCTGGGAGGCGGTATCTGTGAGCTACGCGGCGACGGCTGCAGCGAGCGGAGGCTGCGAGGTGAAGGTTCGGCGCCTTGCGAAGGTCCCTGTGAAGCGCCAGCCTCCTCGCCAGAAGAGCCTTTCGTGCCACTAGGCGAGGGAACCCGGCTAAGCGACGCAGGGTCTTGTGGGCGCAGCGAAGGTTCACGCTCCAAAGAGTTGGCCTCTAGCGAAGAGGGGCCAGCTTTGGCTGGGGTTCCACCCGCCACTGCCACAGGCGTGCCACTCTGCCCGTCAGGACTCTGCATTGCACCCCACAGGTCGCGCAATGGCGCCATAGGACTGTCGACTCCCAGCATGTTCGGCGTTTGCGACTGCTTGCTCCCTTGCGTCCTGTTGGGCGTGCCGAATAGAAAGTCCGCCGCCGACGAGTTGTCAGTCGGGTCCTGCGTCGGAGGCCGTCCGCCCGTATCCTGGGAAGTCTCGCTCGGACGATATTTCGCAAGTTGGTTGAGGGGGAAGACTTTCGTCAGAGAGATGTCTCCCGCCGACGTCTGCGAGCCGTCATTGGCTACGCGCGAACTATCGAGCACTGCGGGCTGAGAACTGCCCATCGCTGCAGGTTGAGGATCTTGGGTTGTTGCAGGCTGAGAATTCTCAGCCGCTTGGCTGGAACCCTCTTCCTCCCCGTTTTCGCCGTCAAGTTCGCCTGGATCAGCATCCATCTCGTCAGGATCCATACCGCCTCTTGCTTCAGGTTCAGGCGTTGGCTCCCAGTTCGAGATTGGTCGATCGCTGCTAGCAGGACTTGCCGGGGCCGAGCTGATTTGCACTAAAGTGAACAGTTATTCGGGCGTGCTAGAGACTACAGTGTGCACTTACATGGGTCACCGATTCTCCTCCTCTTTAGAGGCGGTTCCTCAGGATTGACCTTGTCCTCGGCTTCGTTGGGGGCATTCGATTTAGCCACGCTTGCGAAATATTGTTTCACGAGGTCCAGGTCAGTCGCGGATAGTATGTAAGCATCTTCAATGGACTAATAAAGCAATTGAGCGTTGCCCAACGAGCATCATAGTGGAACCCACCGTTTGAGGCTTTGGTTGTTGCCGCGGAGTTTGCCGGGATGGTTCGGCCTTCCTGGGTGTCGTCGGTGCGGGCGGGACATTAGCGTCAGCTGAGTTCACCGCTGTCTTCTGCTCCGCCTCTTTGCGATCCTTTAGGAAGTTGCTGTTCGTGGTGTCAGAGCACGAACGGATAGAAGAAATAGTGCACCAACCCTTCTCCGCCATCCTTGCTCAGAGCCTTCTCCCATGCAGATATCTCCGTGTGTCGTCTCAATGGCTTGGGCCTGCCAAATATCTCCTCTCCGAAGCTGCCAATGAGGTGGAACTCGGTGCAGTCCAACGCCAGCCGCAAGTCGTGCGACACCCCCTTGCCATCGCCTAAAGGGACGTGCGTATGCATAGGCTTCACAGTCACGGTAGCGATAGCAGATATCTTGTCTTCCATATGTGCCCGAGTTCGTCTGCACGGAATGTAAGGTGAGGGGCCTCAAGAAGGATTTGGCGCGCACTTACAGACGGTAGGCAGCGACAGATTCCTTACTGAAGCGGATGGGCATCCGGTAGTCCTTGTCCGAGACTTCAGCCCAGACGAAAGAGTCCTCGTCATCATGTGCACGATCTTTGCGCTTGAACTGCATGAGAGGGAACGTCAACAATTCATCCTTGAAGCCAACTGCAAGCTTACCTCTATTATCTGAGCCTTCTTCTTGATGAGTGGTGCCTCCCATATCTTGACCCCGTGCACTTCCGCGATGCGAACTAAGTAACCCGCTATCCATGGGTACAGTGAGTTCGACATAGCGCCCACGGAGGTTGTGGGCGTCACGGCCAAGTCCAAAATGAAATTCGCACGCGTCGCGTGAAACCGTCACCGGGCACGTGCGTGTGACACCGCGTGCGCCGCGGTCACCAATCTTCTCCTCGACCCTCATTCTTATCTACCGATTGACTAGGATACTCTTCGTAGACTTCGTTTCTTCTGCTGTCATGCGATTATAGGACACCGAAGGCTATCTTTCAATGGCGACCACTCATAATTATCCATCTCGTTCACCTTCGGACGTCGAAGCCAAGGCCCGCCGCGGCCCGCACGATAAGTTCATCCCGAGTTCCCTCCGTCGAGCATGCACAACGTGCCGTGTGTCTGTCATGAGCAAGCAAACGTCCTCACGGCAACCTATTCCCGGTTGCCCTCCTCGTCCTCCGTCGGATCAACGCTTTGAACTCTCGCCACATGCGCTGTAGGTATGTAGAGCGGACTGGCCCACTATAAAGGGTCGGGCGGCAGCTACAGCGAAGTTAAAAAGTACCCTTCCTTTCCCCACCGACTCTCGTTTGTATCGACCCTCCCTGCCTAATCATGTCTGGTTTACGTTCGCTCTCTTCTCTTGTACTTGCGCTGGCGACCTGCGCGCCAGGCGCCCTAGCCGATTTCTTTGGCCCTAACTGGTTCCAGCAGGAAGGCGTCCATGTTCAGCGTAAGCGTTTTCGGGTCGTCCTCCAAAATCCAGCGCTGAGGTTATCGACAGGCCTCGTCGTGACCATGAAGGTGCCGGCTATCCCGGAGAAGCTCTCCGGCGAGACCCTCTTCATTTGGCCTGGCATCCAGCCCGGTAATGCCCTCCAGGAGGCTAACGGGGATCCCGCTGGCGTGGACAATGGGGTACGTTGCAACAATACGCACCTTGCGCCGTACTGACTGCGCAAAAAGGTGCTGCAGCCGGTTCTTACTTGGGGCCCATCGTAAGCATGCTGTCGAGCTCTGACTATTGATTTGTTCATTCGGCTTCAGCTGCGCTCCCGGTACCCAGCCATCTGACCAGTGGTGGATTAGCGGGCAATACGTCAACACCAATACCCAGAACTCCAAGTTCGCGGTAAGAAGAAGTTCTTCCAGCTTCGATAAGGCGCACTCACTGATTTCCTACTGTCCTTCTAGGGGTGCTTCGGTGGGGACATCATGGTGGGTGATACATCTCAGGTATAAGTCTGCACGCTCACACGACTATGCAGGCGCTGCAACCCGACGACCTCGTTGAGTGCACCATGGAGCTCACGAACGGTTCCACAAGCACCTGGGACCAGACATGCGTCAACCAGTCCAATGGCGAGAGCGTTTGTACGTGTTTTTGCTCTCGTTTACTTGCTGTATCTTGCTCATGCTCGGATAGCTTTCCAATTCGACCTCGCCGGTCAGCTTCAGGGCTGGACTGAGCTCATCGTCGAGACTACCACCGCAAGCTCGCAGCAGAAGTGGGACTTCCCCGTACGTTCTCTCTGATGACCTCTAGTTTATGAAGGTCCTAACACTTCGACGTACAGGCCTACTTCTACAACATGGAGTTCACCACCGACGCGCCCATGTCGCAGGACATCTGCGTCCTGCCAGAGTCTGGCGAGAACTACGTGTCCCAAGGCGGCGCGCTCAGCTCGGATGGCCTCACCTGCACACTCGCCAGCGCTGCCATCTTCAACCCAGCATTGTACGTCTTCTGTCTTTCCTGATGAATAGTGATAAGCGCTGACGCCTTGTATCCAGTGGCAAGCCTGACAACCTCGACTTGACGCCCCCCTCTGCTTGAGTGGTGGCATCAATCTGAAACGACGCACCCAAATTCTGTGGCGGCACAGCCCCTCCCCTCCCCCTCTACCTGTATATAATGGTTCTTTGAGCGGTCGCAGGCGGCCGTATAGTCTGGCTTTGAGGTCAATGGCAACGATACTTGCGCTGGTGATATGTCTGGTTCAACGTCGAACGTTCGACGTTGAACTTCGCCGTCCCCCTCAAGCACTGGCGGGACCGAGGAGGTGCGCAGATCACATGTTTCCAATTCCCCCGCCGCAATCACCATCAGTCATCGCGAGCCGTTTGAGTGTCCGAGGACGCTGATGGAAACCACTCCGAGAGTACCGCCCGCCGCAGGGGCCCTGCGGTATCCATTTGACAGCAGTGCATCTTTGCACAAGGGCGCGCCGCGGCCTCCTACCCTCTCGTCGACGGTGTATATAAACAGCCTCTCTGCGCGATGTGCGCCCATCGACCGCCCGCACTTCCTCTCATTTCCCCGCCCGTTTCTCTTTATCCGTTTCTCCTCACGATGTTTGGTCTCGCCCTCTTCGCCGCTTCCGCGCTTGTCCCAAGCGTGCTCGCGACCACATGGACCGGCCCGGGCTTCTTCCTGCCTGAGGGCACGCACATCAAGAGTGAGTACAACACAACTTCACTGTATCTCGCTTTTCATGGATTGACCTTGATATGCAGAGCTCACGACCACCATGAAGGTCCCGGCTATTCCGGCGAACGACCTCGATGGACAGACGCTCTTCATCTGGCCTGGTATCCAGCCCGGCAATGCGCTCAACGAGGCCAACGGCGACCCAGCTGGTGTTGGCAACGGCGTAAGTGTACTGAGTCTCCGAATCATATGTGTATTGACACTCAACCAGGTCCTGCAACCCGTCTTGACCTACGGCCCTTCGTACGCATCCATCCTTTGCCTTCTGGGAGACACAGCGCATGCTAACGTCCATGTAGCTGCGTCCCCGGTGACCATCCCGAGGACCAGTGGTACATCAGCGGTGTCTACGTCGGTGGTGGCGCCAACCCCGACTACGATGTCAGTCTGATTTCAGAATGCGCGAAGTAGAGAAAACTAACCTTCTTCCTAGGGTTGCTTCGGCGGCGACGTTATGGTTTGTATATACTTCGCCTTCATCAAGCGACAACTCACACTCGCATAATAGGAAGTCGACCCAGAGGACCTCGTCACCTGCATAATGGAACTCAAGGACGGGACGGTGTCTACCTGGGATCAGACCTGCATCAACTTGTCCAACAACAACCAGACCGTCAGTGAGTACCAAACGCCAAGCCTTTCAATACTTCAATTCTGATAATTTACAGCGTTCGAGAAGGACCTCGGCGGCCAATTGCAAAGCTGGGGCGAGCTGATCGTCGAGAACCCGACTGACCAGTCCCGCACGGATTGGACATTCCCCGTACGGCCGTCTCTATTGAAAACTACTCACCCCACTCACCTTGCTTGCGCAGGCCTTCTTCCACAACACCGAGCTCGTTTCCGACAAGCCCATGGACAGCTCCGTCTGCGTTATCCCCGAGACGGACAAGGCTTACAAGAGCAAGAACTCGGCTCTGAGCCAGGACGGCCTGTCATGCACTCTGGGTGGCATTGCTATCTTCAACCCCGACCTGTAAGTCCATAAGCGCTCTGAATTCAGCTTTCTCTGACCTCCGTGTCCATAGCCCGGCGCCGGAGATCAGCGACGACGACCTCACCCTCTAATGCGGTTGAAGACGGACGGACGAGGATGACCTAGCGAACTATTATTGGGCATATTTATCCTATTTATCGGGAAGCCTCGTGTATCTTCAATGCAGCATTCATTCTTGAGGCAGACGACTGCCGCGAGGGCGCCTTATACGGTTCCGCTAGGAACGTGAATAGTACCTCCATGGGGGGCGGCGCGCACGGCACCTTGTCATCCCAAGCTTATCATCACCTCTTCATGGCGCGCCTCCAATTTCTCCGTCTTTCCTACCGACATTGATTGAGGATAGCTTCGGACAGTCAGAAGGAACTAGAGGACTGGAACAGATGACCTGACACACTGAATATCAACTGTAAACGCGCAGTCGAGACAAGAGCTCCTCGGACTTCGCGTGTTCAGAGAATACGCCGCGACAGACCGCACCTTGCGGAACGATCTACGCCGGCTGCTAGCCGTCGCGCACAGCATCTGACGGCCGCCATCCCCCGGGTTTTTCGTCTAAACCAGCTAGCATTCGTCTATAATGTGAAAGGTACGTATACCCTACTAATAACCATGATAATACACATAATTGATACAGTGGCGGGGGGTCATCGAGCAAACATCATCAATCATTAGATCGGCATCCGTCTGGGATACACAGCACGTACGACCGAACATCGGCGACGGGGAGTAAAGCAACGGCATGGGCAATGTCCGCAAAGAGTGTGGGTGGGTGGGGAGAGGGAGCAGGACCGAGACAACAACAATCGACAGTGAAGTATGCAAGCAATGCGAGGGGCTGACGAAAGCTATATGCGAGGGCGAGGCGAGTCTGTATCCGGGGAATAAGCGGTATAGATCCATCCATATGCAGCGGGCGTAGCGCGCGGCGCACGCGTCTATGTTCTTGAGAGGATTATGCGTGGGTGGTACGCAGCCCGGTGGTGGAATCGTGGTCGTATGACTGCCTGCCATACATAGTCGACGAGGAATGGTACCGCGCGTGCGTTGGGGCCTGCTCGGTAGATGGTCGCCACCCGGACGTTGATGGTGAGGTCGCCGAAGGGGAGCTGGACTCTACACCCTTCTCGGAGTCGACGTACACCTGCTCTTTGGGTATGCTGTCTTCCCTCAACGTCGCCTGGTCCTCCGCGGTTTGCTCGCGTCTCCAGAAGCGGCTGTAGACGATGGCGTGCAGGAAGATGTTGATGGCCATGACCACAGTCGCCACACTGAAGATGAGGGCGATGATGATGCCGATGACCACACGCGGGATAGCGGCGACGTTCATGGACTCGACGAAGGCGATGAGCAAGCCGGTGCCCACTATACGAGATAGCGACAGGTAGCCTGCAAGCACGTCGGAGCCACGCGTCGGGTGCGGCTTGAGAGCGCACAACGCGACGAAGTAGATGATCTCCACGCCCAACAAAGCGCCGATCTGTGCCGGGCCACTTGCATGCGCGAACGCGATGAAGATAGCCTTGATCACGATGATGGAGAGAACGATGAGGAAGAAGTAAAACCGGGGTTCGCGATATGGACTATACAGCGGGCCCAGGCTCTGCGCGTGTTGTGGTGTCGAGTATAGCGCTGAAGGACGGGAGTGTTTGGCGATGCGAAGCGTGGAGAACACGGTGAAGCAGACACCCGCGAGAACGATGAGCAACAGAATGACAGACAGCAGGATGGATAGCCACGAGTCCTTCAACGTCCACTGGTTGAACGCGAAGATCAACACAGGGAAGAAGACGATAAGACCCTGTCAAAAGCGTCAGTACGACTGTCAAGCTAATCATGGCTAGAACATACCAGGCGAAGGCCCCATGCGCGTGCCCACAAGGGGAACATCTCCTGATGACGTGTTGCCCATGTTGAATTAGAGCGCGATAGTAGGAGGAGGATGCCGTACACCAGGGCGAAGACGCCGAGGGCGATGGCAGCGAGGATGAGTACAGAAATAAATACAGTCATGAACGCGTTGGCAGTGCCGACGTGCATCGAGTTGACGTAGATGGGTATGCCTCCAGTGAGCACATTCGCGGAATTGGCCGTGACGGTCTGCACGTCGCCAGCGGTCGACCGCTTGAAGTGGTTGACCGCAGTGACAGCCAATGATCTTGGTAGTGCGAGGAAGCTGCCGAAGTTGGAGGTGGAGAGGGATGTGCCGGAGCTGCCGGACGCATCCGCTGAACCCACAGTGGCCATCTCGTTGTACGGACTGAGCGCGCGGTTGACGAGGCTAATCGCGCTGCCAGTGCTAGAGTCCGCCATCTTGCCGCCAGTCTTGTGACGCATGCTGTCTATTGACGCCTGGACTGAATGGGAGCTCGAGCCCGCAAACAACCCGACGGCCCAGGCGAAGTTGAGGGCAAAGGAACGGTAGACAACCGGATAATTTAGGTTGAGGAGTCCGATGGAGACAATGACTTGGAATAGATAGATGAGGTCTAGGAGGCGCACGGCGGCGAGTGATGTTGAGGCCCAAGATTGCAGGAGGGCGGAGAGGAGTGCGAAGAGCGTGAGGCCCGCAGTCCCCCACTCCACGGCCACCTGATACATCGACCAGCCGTTCGACAGGGTGGCTTGGACGCATGCCTTGACCTCGTTGGTGTCGCGCTCTATGAGCTGGAGCTGCGCGTAGCCTTCGAGGTCAGGCACTTTGAAGGCGATGCCCGGAAGTTTGTCGTTGATATTGAGCTCCTCCGGAAGAGAGAGCCAATCCCAGCCGACGAAGTTGTATTGGGGTAATGGGCAGAGGGCACCACCAAGGACGTCGCAGAGGTCGATCGTAATGTTTATGGGCTTCATGCCATATGCGTTGACCAGGAGATTTGCCGATGCGTACAGGTTCTCCTCCTGGGAGAATAGTGAGGATCACGTCCAAGCGGGAGAGAGGGCCACGTACAACTGTGCTTGCAGAGACATTGAAAAATATTGTCGAGTTGTGCGCGATGTATTCAATGTCGAACTGCTGCACGTTGAGGGCGACAGGGTCGTCGCAGTACGAGACGGATGATGTGACTGCGCGCGGTCAGCAACGGGGGCGGCTTCTCCGAGTGTGGCGGGACTTACAGAGGGATTCATGGCGTGCGGATGCGAGAGGAATAAGGGATAGTGAGAGAGCTAGTGCCCACAACCTGGAGAGCAAGGACATGACTGGGGAAGGAGAGGATGAGAAAGGGCCACGGACCACGCGGACAAAATGGACGCACCTCCCAATTGTTCGCCTCTTTTAGCCGATGCCGGATCAGGATATCAATGGCAGTGGGGGCGGGCTGCGGGCACGGGCTTCGCGGTGTCGTCGACGACGGTGGCGACGATGGCAGACGTTATCCGACGGTTTTGCTGGGCTTGCGCGTTGTGGTGGGAGACAAGGTCGGATTTCCAAAGACAACCGGCAGGGCACTTTTATCGGTGGAACCCCTAAAGCGAGATTCAAAACACAGATCTGGCTCCATTTGATGACGTTCCGGTGCCGCGCCGTGCCGGTCTCGGCACCGACCGGAAACTGCCGGCGGCTGGGCACGAGTCTGGTTTCCCGAGCTTGGCCGAGCCGGACGCAAGCCAGCCATTTTCTTGTCACCGCCGTCAGCGACGCCGCCCAATGTTGCTCTCCGCCGCCTCCCGCTCGACGCTCGTTGCTCGTCCCCTTGGTGCCCGCCTGGCCCACTCGGCTATCGCTACCAAGTACTCCCAGGCGCTCTTCGGCGCTGCCCTCTCGCGTTCCCCGGACGCGCTCACCAAGGTGCACACCGAACTCAACACCATCGCAAAGTCGCTCCAGTCCACCCCGGGCGCGTCTGAGCTTATTGCCAACCCCACCATCTCTGCCCATGAGCGCGCAGCGGGCCTGTCCGCGTTCTTCGCGTCTGTCGAGAAGAAGTCCCCGATCTCCGACTTGACCAAGAACTTCTTCAGCGTCCTCTCGGAGAACGGTCGTCTCGGCGAGACGGAGGGTGTCATCGAGAGCTTCAACACCATCTTTGCGCAGCACAACGGCGAGGTCACTGTTACCGTCACGTCCGCCGCGCCCCTGCCCTCAAACCTGCAGTCGCGCCTTGAGTCTGTGCTCAAGCAGTCCGAGGTTGCGAAGAAGGCGAAGGTGCTTAAGGTTGAGAACAAGGTGCGTCCTACCGTCCCCCATTACACACTGCTTGCTCACTTGCATCGCAGGTCAACCCTTCCATCGTGGGCGGCCTCGTTGTTGACTTCGGTGACCGTACGATCGACCTCAGCGTGCAGTCGCGCGTTACGAAGCTCAACCAGGCTCTCCAGGGTATGCACCCTTCCACGCAACCCTAACACACATACTCACTCTTCTGCAGAGGCCGTCTAAGGGGTTGTTTGGGCAGCGGCGCCGTAGATCATGCATACCTACAAAATGGAATATTGACCATGTCCTGCATTAGACTCTGGGCAATCATCCGGCTAGCTGAGTTTGAACCTTCCGGTCTCGCGGACCAGTCCGATCGCCGCTTACGGGTCAAAATGCTTGCTGGTATGTGATGGACCGCTTTGGAACGGTCCTCACCGTGCATCTATCGCGATGCGTACAGGCTCGGACGTGCACGCACTCACGGCAGCCCCGTGCCTGATCATTGACTATGTTCAGCCGTGTCTCCCGCGCAAATGAGCCGTGTATAGCATCGATGCGCTGCAGCGGCTGCCGTCCCCCACGTCTGGAGTATGGAGAACGCGCACGGCGGACATGCATGAGACCAGCTCTCACGTACGCAACGGTCTGAGGCATGGCACGAAGGCTTGCAACGCCGACAAGCATCCCTTGAATCCCCAGTCCACCGATGATGAGTGCACGACCGACTGCAGTGTAGCTGATCTTGTACGTGCTGGGTCATTGAACTTTGGTAGAGTGCGATCACCGCAGAGGGGGCTCGAGACGAAAGCTGCGGAAAACGAACATGGGCACGTGCCGGCCATCCACCTTTGACCTTTCCAGTTCAGTTCGCCCAGCCGCCGCCAGCTCCCGATCCGCCAGAGCCTGACGGTTCCCAATGGCGAGCGATCCGCCGCTCGGATGGTCTGATGAAATTCCAGGCTCAGCAAGGCCGATGCATACCCAGAACTCCCAGGAATCGCGCCACACTCGACTGGCGCGCGCCCCACGCCAGACACGACGAAGACTGCTTTTACTATGATGCACGCCGATGATGATGCCTGCCCAGGTTACAAAGGCTGCGCTTGGAGACTTGCCCTCGTCGCGGCGCGCAGACGCCGCGCATACACAGACACGGGAGACTCAGATAGTGCACCCGAGGGCGTCAACGACGTCGATGATGTGTATGTTTGACATCACGGTGGAGAGCTCGCTGGACAGCGCGCTGGGCACAGGGGGGGCGGATAAACATCACAGCGAAGGGTGGGCAGCTGCTACGGGAGGAAGAGGCCGCATGAGCGGGACTGCGGGAGGAGCGCTCGGGGGCAAATGCGCGGGGGCGCCACCTACCCATCAGGCGGGGGCTTACTATCGGGCTCTGATCATGTTTTCGAAGTTTCTGACCGCGCGAAGCCTTCGGTTAGGCGCCTACGACGAATCGAGGAGCTGCATCACAGCATATGCATCGCCAAGAAATGAAAATAGGATGAATTTAGAAGACAGTGCCTACTTTAAGCAATGGCGGCCCTCTACTGGCCAACAGGTTGAAGTAGCTATTCTCAATATGCCCTACGATGGCGAAGGATTCCCAGACCCAGTTAGCAACGAGGATAACGCGCGATGGCGCACGAGGCGGCTCAGGCAGTTCATGATCGTGAAGTTGCGCATCTCAAGACGGGTGGCCTGTTGCACCAAGCCTCTCGGCGATGCGACCAAGTAGCGACCTGGGAACGCCTGGGCAGTCTCGTATGAATGACCGCTCGTGGAGATCTTGGCAAATGAGATTAGCAATACTGAAGGCAACCAATCGACAGCACACCGTCTTTCTGTCAATGACTTCACGATTGCCACAAGCCTCGTGCACGCACCGAATGAGCATCCCGAGCACAACGGACAGGTAGATCGTAGGCGATATGAGGAGAACTGAGATGTCGTCGTCGAGGGCCTTAATGAAAGTCACGTCGTCGACACCGAACTGTCAGGCTTCATGAAAACTGCGAATCTTCTCGCCTGTTTGCACGAAGATTCGGAAGTACCGATTCCGCCATCGGATTCTCCTCCTTGTGACGACGATCGCGTAGAATCGACGGCCTTGAGGGATGCGGACGTTCGGAATGACGGATATGACGACGGTAATGCTCTCTGCACCGAAGGTGAGGTTGGAAAATGACGGTGTGAATAGAAACATGCGTACCTCGCCGACGACTGCAAGCCTCGAATGAATCGCGGGCGCCTGACGACCGCCCTGGGACCCACTATTTTGTTCATCCTATGACCTGTTACAGAGTTGGCGTTACTGCACGAGTCGCGGACCGCGGCGCTGCAGACATGAAAGAAAGCAAGCAGAGAAAGTATAAGTGTGGCGGGGCGTGCACTGGTTCGTCCGTTTGAAGCAGTCTGTGCGATCGCGTGAGTTCCTTCCCGAACAGCAAGAGAAAGAAGCAGCACACGGAGGGAAATCCGTCACGGAACCGACGCACCCTTGTGCCGTAGCAACGCATGTAGAGACTCTACGTATCAGTGACTTCCAAGAGCTTGACAGTATCTCCTATGCACGCCGGAAACACGACTTTCACCCGCGACTGGAGGGAATCTTCGACGTATTTTTGACTCCACGGCCTCTGAGGGAAGATCCATCTTGTTAACGCATGTCCTGTCTGTCGGAGAGGAGAATGATTGATGTCGATGCGCTGAAGGGAAGCCTCCCGGAAGCATAAGATTCCGAGTAGAACATTGCACCTTCTCAGGGCAAGCTCTTACCGAGTGCGTTAATCGAAGTGAAGCGCCGTGCCCATGTTAACGATCCATTGGTAGAGGCTGGCCGTGAGGATCGCACGAATGGCATGCCGCGTGCAACGGACGCCAGGCACTGCGGAAGCGCGGCGGCAGGAAGCAGTCATGGCAAGAGAATCGGGAAAGTCGGACGGAGGAAAAAACCTCTGGGATCAGTGGCGGGCGGCGCCGTCACGGAAAATGGGCGTATCCGCGCAGCATGTAGACCTGCAAGGTCTTGAGGACCGCGGCTCCGTCAGATGTGGGCCCGAGCGAGGCGGACAGCGAACCAGGGCGTGGGGGCCAACAGCCATGAGCCGTCCACAGCCGGCCAGTATGCAGGCCCTCTTTACGTTATGACAGCGTCCCGCGGCAGAAGTCATGAAGAGTTGCAGCCACACGAGCCGCTGCGGATCTTATTGTGCAGCCTCCTTCGTTCGTCCGGTTTGCTGCGTCGCTGTGCTGCTATGAGCCGTGACGCGCCGGTCAGACAAACACCCTCCCTACCGCACGCACCGTCACATTGTGGCTGAAGAACCCCGTATAGCAAGTCGCCGTTGCTGTGAAACTTTCTCGCTCGGGGGCGACGGGCACATGTACAAACCCGTGCTTGGAGTGACTCTGGCAGCCGGGCTAGTATAAAGAGAGCGACGATTTGTCCTGTGGGATCCCGTCACCCTCCGTCAGCCTTTAAAAAGGCTCCTGCACATCGAATTGTTGCACTCACCGCTCCACCCTCCTCTGGTCACACCCATCGCCCGTGCTCTTCAGACCATGTCACCCATTGCGCTCGCCAAAATTCCCCTGCTGTTACTGGCGACAGCTGGCTTGCATATTGCAGTCACCCCGCCGCAGCCACCCCCGGACGAGACGGAGAAGGCCGCAGCTTCTCGAGTCGTCAGACTTGAGGCTATGCTGAAAACGCGCTCAGTCCCTGCTACGGTTAAGGTAAGCGGCGGAGACTTATCTTACCTTGATAATTCTGACGCTTCGCTTCAGACTCTTGTTTGGATCGCTTGCATATGCGAGATCCTGGCCATACTCGCGGCGACTATTCCGCAACTTGACGCCTCAAGCAACCTCGTATCCCTCCTTTCCGTCACTGGCAGCCCCGCCCGACAATGCACGTCCGGGATAGATATATCTCTAACCTTCGTTGTTTGCGGGCTCATGGCGGCGGTGGGGGGCTTCATCCGTTGGTGCTGCTACCGTGCCCTCGGCCGGATGTTCACGTTCGAGATGAGCATTCGCCAAGACCATAGGCTCGTCACGAATGGTCCGTACGCCTACGCGCGTCATCCGGGATACACCGCCATCCTGTTGACCGTAACGGGTATTGCGGGTATGCATGCCACTGAGGTGAGTCAGTGCGGCCAAAAGGTGATATAATGTGGCTGACCATGAGGACGAACTAGGGATCATGGATTCGCCAATGTGGGGTTGCTGGAACGCCAGAAGGCCTGCTCGCGGTAGCGACGTACCTTACGCTGGTGAGCGTGGTCACCGTAGGGTTGCTGAGACGCATGTCCGCGGAAGATGAGACGCTTAAGAAGGAGTTCGGAAGCGAATGGGACGAGTGGGCGGTTAGAGTTCCGTGGAAGCTTGTACCTCACGTTTACTGAGGGTGGTGAGGCAACTTTGGGGTTCGCTAAGGGTTCACCGCGGGACTTTCGAAGCTGAAAAGTATATATTAGACCTACGTAATACGAATCTACTACTTATCTGTAATATTCGCTAATATTCAAAGCTATGGGGTCAAACAGAGCACACGTACAATGGCGGTCGTAACGAAGTTGATTCCGTGGCCAAGCGTGACCCAACGTGTACGGCAATCACCGACAATTGATTGATGGCGTCATTACTCATATAGACGACTCACGTGCATCTGGGCGCTTGTTTTCAGCAGCTGTCATCTCGAGCGTCTAGCGTCCAACTTGAACAAAGCTGCCGAACGGCATCCTCCGTCCAAGCAAGGATATAGAGGCGCTGCGACCAAGATGTGGGAGCTACTCGAAGTCTGTGTTTCAGTCTATCTCCCGACACGCTCACCCACTCGCCGGTAAGGTAACCAAACCGGGGCTGGTGTACATCGTGGTAGGCGGATTCGTCGTTTTGGTGCGTCTCTACTCCTACCTGTATACATCCTCTGATATGTTCATCCGCCAGTTCTCCATGATATCTCTGCTGGTCAAAGAGAGGGCAAGTCCATCCTGATACTGCTCCATCTCCCCCGAATCGCCCTAACGCCACACTTTAGCTCTACATCAACGAAGTTGTCCTCGGTACTTCGTTTGGTATCCTCATGGGCCCGCATTGTGCCGGGATCTTCGACCCAAGGGACTGGGGCGAGATCACTAGCAGTGTCACGCTCGAATTCATGCGCATCGTACTTGCTACCGGTCTCTTCGCCATTGGCGTCGAGCTACCTCGCAATTACATGTGGAAGCACGCCAAGGGACTCTTGGTCATGGTCGTTCCAACTATGGCAATCGGCTGGGTCATTGTAGCAGGTGTGCTTTCGTGTCCCGACGTCGAGCAATGGCTAATGGGTTCCCTCTTCAGCCATATTGCACGGCCTGTTCCCTCGCCTAGATTACGTCTCCAGCCTTGCAATCGCGGCTTGCTTGACGCCGACTGACCCCATCATATCCGCTGCCATAGTCGGTACGTCGCGAGCCCCCAATGCTATATGCGACCACTGATGGCGAACCAGGCGGGAAGTTCGCCGTGAAGCACGTTCCGCTCAACTTGCGGCAGATAATCGCTGCCGAGTCTGCAGCAAATGATGGGCTTGCGTACCCTTTCTTGACCATCGGGATCTACTTGACTCTTGAGTCTTCAAAGGGTATCGCCTTCGAGAAATGGTTCATCATCGGATGGCTTTGTGCGTGCTCTACAAGATGTTTGTGAACGCAGGGCTGACACAGGCCTGTAGACCAAGTTTTCATGGGTGTCGCTATCGGTGCCATAATAGGTAGGCACCCACCCTCATCTTCATCCCAACCACTGACCTGTATTAGGTCGAGGGTTCGCCTACGTCATGAAGATCTCGCGCGCCAATGGGTTCATTGACCGAGAGTCTTATGTCGCACAATTTTTGGCCTTGTCCTTCCTCACTATCGGTGTAACAAGCGTTGTTGGCAGCGATGACTTACTTGCCGCATTCGCCGCCGGTCAGTAACTGCTTACGAGCTTGCGGAGCGGTCCTGATGTGTCATGCAGGTTCTGCGCTCTCATGGGACGGCGACTTCAACACCATGGTTGAAGGGGAGGTCTTCGCCTCTGTCATCGACCTTGTCTTGAACTGCGCCTGCTTCATCTACATCGGCGCCTGGCTACCTTTCAACTCTTACAACTCCCCTGAGCTGGGCATCGAGCCTTGGCGTCTTGTCCTTCTTTTCCTCGCCATCCTCGCCCTCCGGCGTATCCCCTCCATGATGGTCCTATTCAAGGCGGTGCCGGAAATCCGAACCTGGCGGGAGGCCCTTTTCTGCGGTCACTTCGGTCCCATGGGCGTCGGCGCCATATACGTTCAGCAGTTTGCCCTAGAGAAGTTGGGTGGTGAACCGGAAGGGACCCCTGAGACTCAAGCGGACTTCCTTGCCGCGAGCATCCAGCCAATTGTGTCGTTCGTCGTGCTAGGCTCTATCATCGTTCGTGCGTATCTCTGTGTTTGTATACACTATAGTCGAACTCACGTGCTCGCAGATGGTCTCTCCATCCCCTTCTTCTCCTTCAGCAGGAACCTGTCCCGTTCATTGACGATCACGCGTTCCCAGACGGACCAGTCTCAACGGGCCACTCGCACCCCTGACTGGCTTCTGGGCGCGCGACGCTTGAACGCGACCGCCCTGCCCACGCACATCGACAAGGACTCTGTCAGGGAGACATCTGTGCCCGTCTCTGCGGAATACCAGGGCCAGACCTTCGCCATGTCTGACCGTTCCCCCACCCTGTCGGTCGACCTGTCGCCCGCAGCCGTCGAGGAGGGCGCTTGTGTGCACGGTGCGCAGAGCCCGGGACAGTGTGGCTTGCGCGTGAGCCGTATGAACACGCCCTCTCCAGAGCCGCAGCGCTTCGATGGCTACCCAACCCGCGAGGGCACGTCGGGCCTTGCATCGGGCGCACAGACGCCGAAGTCCGTCAAGTTCCCCGAGCCCGCCGCGCTCGCAAAAGTCGTCGATGTACACAGGCACTTCCCGGAGCAGGTCATCGCCACCGCCGACGAGCGCGACGCGGCGGAGCGGGTGAAGGAGGAATCCCAATGACATTGGCTTGTCGTCCGCAGGGACACAAAGAGGCGCACCGGGCCGTACACAAAGGTCGCGGGGTGCATAGATCCAGTCCGTCAGCTGTGTAGTACAGTTTGCGTATCGTCCGGTGTATTACACGCGCGATGCTATATACTGGCTGCCCATAGAAGATGTGCAAAGGTCACAACAATGCAAGTCCGAGCTCAATAACAATACAGAACAGAGCGAGAGTAGGTGCTTCCGTGAAGTACAGGGTGGGTTTACTCATTGGGATTGGTACGGCCGGCCTAAGAGGGACGAAAGTCAGCGAGGTCAAGAGAAGCCATATACAACGACCGCGCACCTGTTGGTCCCCGCCGCGATCTGGACCCTCTCCACAGCCACACAGCCATTCGTGCCACCAGCGCGTCGCTATTACTGGTCCTTCCTCAACTTCAGAAGACCGACTGGAGGCGTTTATGGGAGTGATCGGGGTCGGCGGTGTGTGTATTGGCGGCGGCGTCCTCGGCGGTGGGAGATCTAGGGGCTTCGGCGTCGGAGCATGGCGCAGAGTAGATTCGCGACGCGCCAACAGCACAGGTCCGTCGGGCGTGGGACCAGCAGCAGTCGATGCGTCCGGCACCTCCGCGAGGGGCTCCATGACCGGACCGTTCTGGGCGGGGTCCGCGAAAGGGTCGTCGTCGGGCCTGCGCCGGTGCTCGTTGAGGGTCGGAGAGGGGGTAGGCGTGGCGATGTCGTCGAGCGGCAGGCTGGCGTCAAGCGAGTCTCGCGACTGAAGCGCACGATGATTGCCCAACGGGCCGCCGGTCGGCGGTCGTGGCGGCGAGCGGGTAGAAGAGCCGGAGAAGAGCATCGAAGCACGGCGGGCGACGGCGCTCACCAGCGAGGACCGATCCCCTGCACTGCCGTTGACAGACTCACGAGCTCTACGGCGGCGCTCGCGCTCGGCAAGCTCCCACTGGCGCAGCGTCTATACCACGCGTCAGACAGAGGATAGCGCGCAGGAAGTGATCGCTCACCTCTTCTACCCGTCGCGTCTCTGCCTCCTCATCGTTCATGGGCGGGTACGAGCTTCCAGACCCCGATCGCTCGAACTCGTCGTCATCGCCCTCTGTGTCGGTCGACGGACTGCGCTCCTTCCCCTTGCGCTTCGGCGAGACGTGCGCCTCCTCGGACTCTGTGTCTTCGTGCCAAGCATGCGCGCGCGAGAGATCCTCTTCTGCCGGCGAGGGTGGGACCTGCTTTCCTGCTGGAACTGAGGTCTGCTTTACTGGCGTCTGCAACTTCTGAGGCCCATCGCCGGCCGTGATGGTCTCCAATGACGATATGGAGGACATGAGAAGAGGAGAGCGACGCGGGCGACGCCGTCGTCGGGAAGGTGGGAGTTAGTGTTCAAGGGAGAATGCCATTTTGAGATCAATCCGGCTGTCGTCATCGTCATGATGGCAGCGCGGCGCTTGTCCCCGAGAATTGCTGTTTTTGGCAACAATTATGCGCGCATCCGGCCCTGGAAACCCTGATGGCATGGCGAACAGTTTGAGATGCGTTCAGTGAAAGGCATTCCAACATCGGGTATACAATACAGTAGCACAAGCAAAGCACATCTACCACTCAGCACGCCTTGGGGATTCCACAAATGTCTGCGACGACCCTTTATGGCGAAGGATGGGCGCATGCGAATCGTCCGAGTACGCCGTTCCTATCCCACTGATCTGCGACGCATTTGGACTTGCGAAAACCGTGTTGTTCTCCCTCATATACTTGAGTTCTTCGTGCAGGGCGCTCTGCATAAATTGTCAGCGCCTTATCCTACCCAAGTGGCGGGGCCAGTCGAGGATCATACCTGGTCCCTCCAATATTTCAAGCGTTTCTCGCGTTCAATTCGTCCCTGCTTACGATGCAACATGAAGAGGCCGAGAAGAATGCCCACAGTGACTAATGAGCGGGACAGTCAGTGGGCGCCAAGGGGAAACATGGCCGACACGTACTAGCAAGGGTACCCCCTCCAATAACGATGTACACCCACGAAGGAAGTTTGCGCAGGGCAGATGTCGGTTCTCCACATTTGCCATCTGCCAAGCAATTGTAGGATTCGCACCTGCGAAGTTGCATAGTAAGCGGGCGATGCAGAAGCACGAGGGCGAGCGCACTCTTTATCTGCTGTACAGCTTTCTCCGACGTCCTTCGTCTTCATACATATGAGTTGCTGCGAGTCGCAGTAAGATCCAATCTTGCAGTTGTCTCTGTTTGCCTGCGTCAGCGGCACCATCTCGAGTGCACGGCAAAGCACCGACCTTGAGACGATCTGCGCGAATTCTCCGCCAGCAGTATAGGCAATGTATGCCGTATTCTCGACAACGCACGTCTCCCCAATCGTTACATTCGCCCACCTTTCAGCAGCGCGTCAGTGCTTGCGACCAGTTCGACAAGCTGCGAGAATACGCACATACAGGTATTATGCAGGCATACTGTGCCGTTATGATTACGCCCCGAGCCGCTATGATCTGCGAGCTTCCTCCAATCTGGTGGTGCTTCGCATTGATCTACACGCCTTTTCAGTCCAAGTTGAATCGCTCAGGCAGAGCGTCGCCAGCATACCGTCGCGGTTGAGCTGACATCGGCTGTCTACCCTTAGTAGAGGCTGGCATGCGTCCTCCTCGTCCGGACAGAACATCGTGTGATTACACAACGGCGGAAAGGAATCCGGATCGTCATAGCTGTCCTTGTTCAAAGTCCAATTCGCGAAGTCCAATGGCGTTCACGTACCCAAGCGGGAAGATATCCCTCCTGCAACCCTTCGGCATACACGTCCCATTTGAGGCGCAGTACGTATGCGAGTTGCAGTCGCTATAGAACTGATACGTCCCAATCTGCAGTCGGTTGTTGCCTGTCGAGCAGGACTCCCATTTGTTCTGGCTTCCAGCTCGTGCGAGGGCGGCAAAAGCAAGCAAGAAGGCAGTGAAAGATGCCCTGTTCATGATTGTGAAGGGCAGGTATGGTGAGCGCGTGATGAGGTACGGCAGTTGCGTGGGGCGTGCGATCAAGGAGGAGGAGGGAAAAGGGAAGTGACAAAGAAAAGCCCTAACGGAGGTAATTTTAGTCCCGCGCCACAACCGGCAGATTCCGCTGGACCCGCATCTCATGGGGTTGAGGTACAGGCGGCTATGACAGGACCTACCCTGGGAAGTAGTACTTAGGGAGGCCGAGGAGGTGAAGGGAAGCTGTCGGCGTAGACCACAGGAGGGCTTGCTAATTGCTATGACACACAACAATGCACCACACCGCCGATTATAAGGCCAGATGACCGAGTGGTTAAGGTGATGCCCTGCTACGACCCGTAGCCTCAGCCCAGGCATTGTGCTTTGCACGCGGGTGTTCGAATCGCCCTCTGGTCGAATGTTTTTGTCCTTCCGCCACTCGGAAGATGTGACACAAACCCCGCGAATATCGCAAGGGCCCGATCACGCGGCACGCGACTCTTTCACCGCGACACTCATCTCAATGTGTCTACTGGATCTTCCCGTCGAGTTGCTTGCAGAGGCCCTCCAGCATCTGGATTACCGTCATATCCTTCTCATACGACAGGTGCGCATTCCCCCTCTTCAGTCGTTGCTGTGATCCTCATTGCGTCCCCCAGGTATGCCGCTCTCTCCGCAATGCGGTCGATCATACAGCCAGACTACGTTACGACCTGGAACTCGCGAGGGAAAGCATGCAAGATGGCAGCAGACATGACCTCGGATCTGCCGATCGCCTACAGAAGCTCAAGGAGTACAAGCAAGCTTGGCGCGCGCTCGACTGGTCCGCGAACAGGAGGGTCCTTCATGGAGGGGTCTTCGCGATCTCGGGGGACATCGTCGCCTGCTCTAAGCGTACCGAACCAATGCACATCACCTTCACTCGGATAGAGTCAAAGCTGAGGGGTGTGGAAGGGCACCAGTGGAAGATCGACGCGCCGACGGGGCTGCGAGACTTTGTCATTGAGCCTGTTCTGGATTTGGTCGTCGTGCTTGTTGACGGAAGGTGCGTCTTCAGTCCGGGCATTCTCATCTCACGGACTGATAGCGTAAAGGGATGCAACATTCGAGCTGCACTTGATCGCGATGTCGACTGGACAACCCCATCCCAGCGCCACCAAACCCATCATCCCTGTCCCCCTCACCTTTGTTGCCGCTGACTTCAAGCCCATGATCTACGAAGACCGACTTGGAGTGCTCTTCTCCTCCCACAGCCTCAGCTACACGTACTTCACCGTTTGGAACTGGCAGACGGGAGAGAAGTACAGGGTACGCTACTTCTCCCTACTTTGCTATTCCCATCTTCATCCCCCGCTCTAGCGCCCCTTCCGTACTCGCCGCGTCCCTTCCGCCACCTTCCTCACCCGAGACCTCGTCGCCATGCCCTACACCTGCTACAACATCGACGACCACACCATCAGCACCACCGCCCTCCTCGTCGCAGACATCTCCGACCCGCACAAGCCGCACCGCGTCTGCCGCCTCTTCCTCCCGCCCGCCGCGCCCGACAGCACCCTCTTCGCCGACTTCATCTGGGACCAGCCGCTCTCGCGGACCTCAGATCGTCCCCGCCCTGGCTGGTTCGCCTCCGCGTCGCTGGAGCGCGTCCTCGGGCTCAGCGTCAGCGGCTTCGACGTCGCTTTCGGGACCACGCCCCCGACATCCGCAATGTTCATCATCTCCGTCCCCCACGTCGTCGAGCGCATACAGCAGCGGCTTGCCTTGTCCGGGGCCAAGCGCGTCACGTTCGAGTGGGCGGAATGGGGCCCGGACTGCTCGCGCGTCTTCTCGCACAACTGTCCTGCGCTTTGGCTTTCTTTCATCCACGGTACGAAGTATGCGATTCTGGACGATGAAGCGGTACCTCCCACTGGCTATACGGTCTACGATTTCTCGCGCTCTGCCGTGGAAGATCCTCAAGGAGAGAACCCTGAGGCCAACGACTTCATCATCAAGGGAAGAGACCTCTTCGCCGAGCGAGGCGCTTTCGCAATACCCGTGGAGACCAGACTTCCCTATCGCTCTATGTGGCGTCCACTCGAACCAGAGGTGGTTGAATGGATTGGCAGGCTAGGGGGTGACACTGGCTCCGTCATGTTGATAGAAGACGGTGTTGTATTTTCTCCGGTATGTTGTTCCGCTCTGCCAACCGTTGTGTAGTATCTGACGCGCCTTTCAGGATGCTGGTGGTGAATATTGGGCGTGGACCGTGTAAGATCATCGTCTTCAATCAAGCCATCGCAACTGCTGCTTTCAAGTTCTCTGCTATCCACCTATGCTTTCGACAAAACCCCTCCTACTTATGCATCATAGCTCACAACTACTCTATTGGCTAGCCAGTAATCACTGTACTTCGCTGCAGTCTGGCGAAACCTCCTGCTTCTTTTGTGCCTTCGAACAATACTCATCCCGCACATAATGTATCCAACAGAACTACTAACATTAGATTCGATACTACTAAGATCAACGTCAGCCCCGCCAGGTATAACTTATTTACAGGGGGTTCAGAGAGCGGTGCTGCGAGATACGCATGTGAGTAGGCGAGGAGATCGCGTGAGTAAACGTGAGTAGACGACGAATAAATATGGACAGCGAAGAACAATGGATTGAGGTTAGGCGGCCAGGTGGTAGAGGGTAGACGGAAGAGAGGCAGGTGATGGAGATAGGATGCGGAGAGAGGGGTGGAAGGAGGTGTACGGAGGGGTAGCAAGTATGCAGAGCGAAGTATCTATATCATGAGGCCAAAGCTCGGCGTTAGGGTCATGTCATGTCGGGAAACACACTCGATTGGAAGCCCTAGGGTGATGTGGCACCTTCGTCGGGAACGCCGTCGCAGGAGTTGACCGTCCACCGTAATCGCGGAGCGCCTCGAGGCTGATATCGAGCAGCGAACGCCCTCCTAAAGGGGGTCCGTGCGACCGTGCGACCCCTCGCACGCCGCCAGCTCTCTATGTGAGATAGAGCACGGCAAACATCGTCGAAGCGGCGCCGAGGAGAAGCCCGCGTACTGAAGGCCACGACATAGTCGAGCTTCCCACATTCCAGAATCCGGCCGGGTCCTGATACGTTGCATTGCGGAAGAGCTATGAAAAGCGTCGTCAGCCCCGCACAAACGCAGCGAGTACAGCAAGGGGTAGATAGTGGGCAGGAGACAAAGGGGATAGAGAGAACCGAGGACGTACCCGTGTCAAGCCCGAGGGACTTCTTGTCATACCCTCGCAGTCGTGCGTGACGCCCTCGACAAAGTCGACCGTCGCGTTCGCCGGGAGGCTCCCGCCCGAGATGTTCTGCAGCATGTTGACGAAGTTGAGCCCACGCTGGTAGTGGGTCATGCCTTGAGTCTATAGAGCGAGAATAGTGTCAGCAAACATTGCCAGCGCAGATGGTGGAGTGAGAACGCTTGGGACAACTAGCGCGATAGCCAGCGAGCACCTTTCGGGATACTGTCCGCGCAAATTTCGAGGGTGGTCGTAAAGGTTGCACACGACTCACCTGCGCTTGGCATCGCGTATCGCCTGGCCCGTCGTCGCCGGTCCCCCACGCATAATGAATATTACGCGAGTTGTAGCGCTCGACGATGCCCTCCCTCTGCAGATGCTTGAGCGCGTACGCCCCATACGCCGGCACCCCATCTGACAGCCCGTACTTCCACCGATCGACGTTCGCGCAGCTGTCATTCGGCAGCGGGCGGTCCTCCGTCAGCCACAGCAAGCTCCCCGGGTTCGCCATCCAGTACACGATGCGGTCGTCGTCCTTGCGGCTCTTGCGCAGCGCGGCGTACCGCTGCGTGAGCTGCGCGCCTGCCGAGTGGCCCGCAATCACCACTTGCTACACGCGAAGGGAGGCATCAGTGCGTCGGCAGGTTTCGCATGGGTGTGGCGCGCACATCAAGATTCGGGAACACGGTCTTGTTGAGGTAGTAATCGACGAGGTCGTCCATCACGTCGTAGGAGCTGATGTTGGCGAAGGTGTCGGGCCCGATGTTGTAGTGCCCGGACATCCAGGTGGTGCCGTTCCAGAAGAGCGTGCCGTTAACACCGGCTGCAGCGCCTGCGTCGATGTCCATCTGGTTGAGGAAGCTGTTCGAACCATCAGTCGAGGGAATAGACGGCGGCACAAGCACGTACACGGGTGCCATGACAGATATAGCATTATAATCCACGTCGGGGTAGGTCCCCCACGCCTGGTAGAGCGCCTTGTCGAGCGCCCAGAAGTCTTGGACGATCACTCAGTCCTCCGTACCCAGCGCAAGCATGATCACTCACAATACCAGTTATCCCTGAGCTAGATGAGCAGTCAGTGATGCGCCTGCATGTGTTGTAGAGGTGCTCACCTTGCCTGGAAGTGAAATGACCGCCCTCGTGATGTTCTTGGGATCTCGGTTTGAAGACATGTACATGGGCTGGAAGCGAGTTAGTTGCCACCCTCGGCCCAAAGAAGCTACACGAGACGCACGATAGAAGCCCCTGGAGCCACCTTCAGCTGAAAGTCGAGAACGATGTCCGCGTTCAGGACGTTAGGGAACCCTGAGTACCCAGTGTCTGCTACTCCTATCGCCACTGGCTGCACGCTATAACCACTAGGGTCAGGAAACGGTGTTGGCGGCACATCTTGTCGTCGCTCAAGGCGTGCTGCTGCAGGAAGGTGGTGGCAAGCGAACAAGCAGAGGAGCGAGAGATAGGAGGGGAGGCGCATGTTGTCGAAGGATCAGTCCAGGGGCGGCTGGCTGGCGGCGACAGTTAAATACAATAGGCCGATTCCTTCACTCCCGACTTCCGAGGATTCTCGACGCGACTGCACGAGAAGGCCACCGCTTCCGTACAGCCTTCAGTAGGGGGAGAATAGGGACAGAGGCTCCGAGGCGCGACCGAGGGTGAACACAAGCCTCGAGATAGCTGTCGTAGCGTTTTATGCGGCCGCCATCTATCGATCATTCCGTGGGCAGTCCCAGGGTGTTGGAGTCGCCGTGCCGTCGCGCCGGAGCGGAGGTCGCGACCGTCAGTTCTGGTTGGCCGCTTGGCGCTGTGTTCAAACTGTTCCCCCGCATGCCACGAGAGAAGGAAGTGCCCAATTGATCGGTGCTGATCCGACCCATCACTCCAGGCACCCAGGCATTCGAGGCACCCGTTCGAGCACCGGACGCTTTCTCCTTGCTCATGACCGCCACTTGCTCTGCCCGTCCGCCAAGTATTCGCTCGCTAGCAAAGTCCGTTTTCCGCTGCGCTATGCTGCTGAGTTTGAACGATGTGGTTCTCAGCGGGTCTAGATAGTCATCTACAGCGGTAGATAAGAGACCATATGAGCCGAACCCGCATATCAGGCTGTCCATGCATCGGCTCCATTGTCTTCTTGTCTGGTAGGAATTGGTGTACAACACGCTGCTGACCAGGCTTAGAATGGGGGCGCCTGAACTTCGCTGGCACGAAGAATCGCTTTTCTGGTGTATTGGCCTGCGTATCTTCATCCATATATAGATAGACTGTATCCTGCGACGAATGCGCGACGCCCGACGAGCTGCAGTTGGAGCAGTACAAACGGCGCGGAATCAGAGTTCAACTTCAACAATTATTGATCCGTTTACACGTGATGGTGCGACAATGTGACATGCGCGCTTACGGCGCGTGACGTCTCGCGTCTGCGACGCGCTTACCCTCAGCCATTCATGTCGACGAAGCAGGAGGGAACGGGTGCGTGGAGCTGCTTTAGATTGTGTACGACGCACTGACACTGTAATAGTCAATTGGTGCGATCTAAGAAGTAGAGTCCGCGGTTTCACGCTGAATGAACCCCAGCCCCGTATGCAACGAACGAGTATCAGCAGATGATATCAATGAACACCTGGACAACAACTGCACCCTCCCAAAAACCAAGACTCCCGCGCCCTCAACCTCGATGCGCAAGTCAACCCAGGCCCCAAAGGCAACCCAGCCCGGCACAGGCAGCACCTCCAAAGTCGCACCCATCTTCGCTCCTCGCGCCAAGCCTGATCCCACCCCTTCCGCCACTACCTCTCATGCCGCTCCCTCTCAATCCCTCCAAACCCCGCACATAAGCAGAAAGCGCACGCAGGATGATACACCCTCTGGTCCTTCTGCGAAGCGAACGCGCACGGGCGTGTCGAACCTGCAAGCAGCTGCGCCGCTGGCGGAGAAGTTACGCCCGAGCACGCTGGCCGAGTTTGTTGGGCAGGCGCACCTCACTGCGTCGGATTCGCTGCTCATGAGCACGATCAGCAATGGTGCTGCAGGAAGTATGATCTTCTGGGGACCCCCTGGGTGCGTTGAACTTGCTGGCGATGAACAGCATATTTCCTAATTCTTACCATAGGTGTGGGAAGACCACGCTCGCTCGGCTAATAGCCAAGCATACGGGTTCGATATTCCGGGAGTTGAGTGCGACGGAAGCAGGGATCAAGGACGTCCGTGCAGTTTTCGAAGAGGCGAAGAACACCCTGATGCTCACTGGAAGGTACGCTACTCCCGTATGCCTATTACACGTCCCTTTATAGTCGTTCACACCTTCCTGCAGGAAAAGTGTCCTCTTCCTTGATGAGATTCATCGCTTCAACAAGGCACAGCAGGATATATTTCTACCCTACGTCGAGCAAGGCTACATTCAGGTAGGTCTTACTCTAGCTGACTGTCTTGATAAATACTGATCGTCCCTTCGAGTTGATAGGCGCTACGACAGAGAATCCTTCGTTCAAGCTGGTGTCGCCCTTGTTGAGCCGATGCAGGTGAGTTGATATTAGCTATGCCCTGGCGCATGAGACTCATTCATACAGGGTCTTCGTTCTGGAAAGGCTTACAGACGATGACATCAAGACGATAATCCATCATGCCATTCAGCGAGCGGCTAAAGACGATGAAGCATATTCGCAAACCCCAGACGAGCCGGATATGCTCGACTTAACGTCCTCGCAACCAGCATCGTCTTCGCAGACAGCTGTGCCTTCTCAGGCATCAATGAACGAAACTGCGTTGGCTGCCTTTCCCCACATCACGCCCAAAGTGACTTCGACAATCGTCGCGCTCGCCGGCGGTGATGCTCGGACCGCACTATCCCTCCTCGAGCTCGTATTGAGGGCGTCACCCAACAGCGAAGAGTCGACTCTCATCAACAACCTGCGCAAGTCCGTCGTCGTCTCGTACGACCGCACGGGCGAGTCGCACTACGACATGATCTCCGCCCTTCACAAGAGCGTGCGAGGCAGCGACGGCAACGCAGCCATGTACTGGCTCGCGCGCATGCTCACCGCGGGCGAGGACCCCATCTTCATCGCGCGACGGATGACGGTGTGCGCGTCAGAGGATATCGGGCTGGCGGACAACCACGCTCTGCCGCTGGCGATTGCGACGATGCAGGCCTGCCAGCTCATCGGGATGCCCGAGTGCCGCATCAATCTTGCGCACTTGGTAGCGTATCTGGCGGAGGCACCCAAGTCGACGCGGTCGTACGAGGCGTACAAGAGGGCGGAGCAGCTGGCGAAGGAGGAGCCGACGCTGCCGGTGCCGATGCAAGTGAGGAACGCACCGACGAAACTGATGAAGGAGCTGGGGTATGGGGACGAGTATCGGTATAACCCAGACTATGCGTATGTGGGGAGGTTGGTTTTGTGGACGCTGCTAACGCTCGGGCAGACATCCGGTAGTAAATACATACGTACCGTTGGAGGTGGAGGGTCAGGAAATTCTGAAAAAGGCAGGGGATCTGTCGGGCAAGGAGTGGGATGAGGAGGCGCTGCAGCGGTGGGAGAAGGAGGTGAACGGGGGCAAGGAATGGGAGGGGCGGACAATGAGGCGGGCGTGATGTCGGTTTGCTTGGTTGTGTTGTGATGGTTTGAAATGATCAGCCTCGTGTTCTATCCCGCTCCTGCTGCTCGCTGCGATGGCACAAACGACGGCCAAGTACCACTGCCTGGTGACCGCGTTCGGGGTGCGTCGCCCGTGAGCCGTGCTGGACCGCGACTGAGCGTCCCCTAGCCGTTCTATCGCTACACAGAGGACCACAATCCGGCCTGGTTAGCCGTCGAGCCGCTGACGAACAGCATCATCGAGGACGAGCAGAACAATGTGCGCCCCATACACGTATCGACCCTCCAGATCCCCGTCTCGTACCAGGCCGTGATGGACGTCGTGCCCCTCCTCCACCAGCACCCGCCCGTCTTCCACCCCTCGATCGCCGACCAGGCCGCCGCCAACCACGTCGCGCGCCCCCAGAAGGGTTACGACTTCATCCTTCACGTCGGCGTGGCTGGCCGTGGTGCCCTGCGCGTCGAGCGCGTCGCGCACAAGTTCGGGTACAACATGAAGGACATCTATGGCCGGCAAGCGCCCGTGGTGGAGACCGCGCCTGTCGCCGTTGAGCCGGATGACCCAGGAGACGTACCGGCCGGTGTCCTGCACATCGCCCCTCCGCAGGGCGAGTCGCCGCAGATCGAAGAACCGCCAGAGCCGCAGCCCGTCGAACCGATCCGCCCAAAACGCGGGTTTGGCCCCGGCTACGAGAACTTCCAGGAGGAGGTATACTCGGATGTGAACATCAACAATCTTATCAGGAATATGAAGCAGCAGGGCTTCGAGGACGTGCGTGTTCTAGCTTGGCGATGAGTGGTCATGCGCTGACGGGCTGTTGTTCGCAGGTGTACCTGTCCATGGACGCGGGGCACTACCTGCCTGACTTCATCTACTACTGCTCGTTGGCGGAGGTCATCCGCAGCGTCAAGCCATACGAGCGGCGGCGCGGGACGCAGGTCCTGGTCGTGCACGTCCCGCCGGTGGGCCAGCCGCTGACGAGCGAGCAAGTGACGACGGCGCTGAAGCTGATCATCACCTGGGTATGCAGCGAGCTGCAGAGCATCGACGATACGCTGGCGAAGGAGCGATTCCAGTGATCGCTCCGCTCGTTGTGAGTATACCCGTCTCTTGCGGCAGCGCACTGATGTCCTGACACGTCGGGCGCGCCACGTCTGTAGCCTGGAGTCCTTCTCATTTGGAATCGTCCGCTGTATCTATTACCTCCCCCTCTGCGTCCGTTGTACATACTTGTAATCCTCATCGTGACTTGGACAATCGCTGTTGCTGCCACGTTCGCCCGCTGTCCCCTCCTGCTGCCCCTGCTGGCGTCGCGGTCACATGTACTGCGAGGGCGCGTTAATAACGCCATCGTCGCGTGCTCATGTGCGCGGTGACTAATTCCGCGCCGCTTGTGGCCGTCCACAATTTCCCTCCGCTGGCGACTCGCGGGCGTCCTCTGCTTTTTGGGAATTCCTGGTCGACAGCGGTCCTGCCCACTATATAAACCGTCCCCTGCGGCCAGCGACATCCCATCAGCACCACCACTCGCCCCCCCTCTTCCCCCATGGCCACCAACATCACCTTCCACCCTGGTGAGCACCGATCGCACCGATCGGCGTTCCCCCCACTCACCGTAGCGCAGGCTCCGTGACCGCCGAGGAGCGCGTCAGCCTCTTGCAGCAGCGCGGCGCGACGATCTGGCTCACTGGCCTCAGCGCCAGCGGCAAGTCAACGATCGGCTGCGCGCTCGAGCAGCACCTCCTCCACCTCAAGAAGTTCACCTACCGCCTCGACGGCGACAACATCCGCTTCGGCCTCAACAACGACCTCGGTTTCGACGAGAAGAGCCGGAACGAGAACATCCGCCGGATCGGCGAGGTGCGCCTTGCCCCTATCTATTCACCTTTACCTTGCTGACCTCTTGTGCAGGTCGCGAAGCTCTTCACAGACGCATCGTGCATCACGATCACCGCGTTCATCTCCCCCTACCGCGCGGACCGCGACTCGGCCCGCCAGGCGCACGAAAAGTCCAATCTCCCCTTCATCGAGGTCTTCGTCGACGCCCCCCTCTCCGTCGTCGAGCAGCGCGACCCGAAGGGCCTCTACAAGCGCGCTCGCGCTGGCGAGATCAAGGGTATGCCTCTTGCACTTACGCACGGATCGCCCCCGCTCATCTCCGTACAGACTTTACCGGCATCTCCGCGCCTTACGAGGCTCCTGAGAAGCCCGAGATCCACATCCCGACGGACAAGTTGGACGTCCAGGAGGCGGTTAAGGTCATCACCGACTACCTCGTCGAGAACCACTACATCACGCTTTGAGGGACGAAGGCAATGCTGCATGTAGAATATTCATTATAGACCTATCTATTGACTGAAATCCATTGTTGTACACTGCAGATGGACGACGAGCATAACCTGAGCATCGAGCGAATGTAGACTGTCCTCCACGTAGGTGCTGGTCGCCAGTCTTGCTTCTTGTTCAGCGTTTGCGCAATGTGCCTAGGAATTGAGCCTGCGCCTCTTGGGACCACCACTTGACGTTGCTTTCGTACGTTTCCTCTTATTCGGCGGCGCGGCGGTTGAAGATTCGTCCGAGGTGAGCGTTCGATCAGGACCTTGAACCGTGTCGGGTGCTGGACCATGCGAAGAGGATTGAGCTCGTTGTAGCTCTGGCGATTGCTGGGCCACTATGTACTTGGCGATAATATCAAGCACATCCTCATGCGTCACGCAGTCCTTATCCTTTGGGCACCATATCGCTTGGCGCAGGTCACAAACGCAGTCCTTCAGGTCGTCGAAGTACGGGTGGAAGTTCTCGTCCAGAAAGACACGGAAGTCCTTTCGGGACTTGGCACATACGTCGTTCCACTTGCGCTGGCCGATCTCCTTCAAGTCGCCCTTGGACCACTGACCCACCAGGGAGTTGCGCCAGTCGTAGCCCCTGCGCCTCGTGCACGATGGGCCGGCGTAGTATGTACAGATCCACATCAGCACGTAGAAGAACGCTTCCAAATCATGGTGGGCAGCGTGTGGCGCGCTAGGGTCCGTTTGAAGGACCAACGACATGAATGGTGCTGTGCCCTGTGAAGCGTCAACCTCAAACCAGCGGCGCACACGAAGGACTCACTGTACGGTAGCCAATTGGCGCTGTACTTCGGGGTCCTCTGACGAAGGCCGCGCAGTCCCAGTCAATGAGAAGGCCTCGCCGTATCCGTTCGTCCGCGTTCTTCGATCGCAGCATGATATTTTGCTCGCTGATGTCGCAATGCAATGCTTTCTTCTCCGTAAATGACCTGTAGTGGGCTTCGGCGGTGGTCAGTGACACGATGGGAGACATTCGACGGGACTGACCTTCGACGGCATCGCGAAAACCAGACAAGAGCTCTTCCTTCGACGTGAAGTCGCACAGCGGCCTTGCGTATGGCTGGGTGACGAGACGATGCAAGTGCATGTATCCTATAGCCATAAGCTCATCTTTCCGTCCTTGACTGATCAGCCCCTGGCGAAAGCTGTCGGTCGAGATGTAAGTCTCTTCCTCGACATCGGTGACGACCTCATGCGCTATGAGACTGGGAATGCCGTCGATGTCACCTGCAAGTTTCAGGAAAGAAGCCTCACTCGAGCGCCCGGCGCGTCGCCAGCTGCTCTTGATGATGTAGTCCTCCTCTTCATCCGGCTTGCGACAACGCCAACAGATTGTACCGGCCCCGCGAACACATTTGCTGGAGAAAAGTTGCTCCACGATTTCGTACTCGACTTCGTCGACGGTGATGATACGCTTTCCTGCTTCGCGCAATTCTATAGTGGGGTCACGGCCTAGAGGTACGCCGTCCAGGAGCGATAGGGAGCAGAGGACGCGGACGAGGATCCCCGCCTGCCGGTGCACCTTGTAAACCAAGGATTGTACTCGGCCCGCGCGGTCATGTATGACCACAGAGTATTCGTCTCCAGCAAACGCGACGCCGACATGATAAAGACAGTTGTCTTGCGCAGCGAAGACGTTCGCTGCGCTCCTAGATAGGCGCCGCACGACGTCGGGCATGAGATTGGCAGTGTCGGCGACTTGAACGTCACAGAGGACGTTTTTCCAGCGCATATCAGAACCGACTTCGGTCAGGACAACACCGTAGACCGGAGCATATTTGCCATCAGGTAGGCGGCGCTTGCTTCGTGTCGTGTACCACCGCCGCTCTTCACGAGGTAGAGTAGCGCCTTCCCGCGCCATGGCTTTACGGTAGTAGTCGTATATTTCGTTCAAGAAAACAGCCACTTGATGTTCGCGTTGCCCGTCCGAGAGTGTACGTGCCATGCGAGGGTAGCGCGCCCATCGAAACGCTTTGTGATCGTAGAGTCTTCGCGGCATATTGAGGAAGGTGGAGTGCGGGTAGAGATTTCCATGAGAGGTGATGACACCAGTCACTCCAATAACACCCCATAGAGCCGTCTTCTCCAACTCCAAGGCGTCGTCCCCGTCGACCTCGATGGAATTGGCGATGTTGAGTATCGGAGCGGGGCAAATGGAGGAAAGATGGCGATGAAAGGCGGGACAGTAGGAGGAGTGGGATGAGGAGGTGGTGGCGCCAGGCGCAGTAGCGCGCTCTGCACGCCGTTTGGCAAGCAGTCTTGGGCTCCGGCGTGAGTGAGTGGCGTCCGGAGGATTCTTGTTCTTCACGATGTGGTCGCGCCATATCTCCTTGATCGACGGCATACTGTACGGGTACCACAGTAAGGATTTATCGATTAGAAGGACATAATGACACACTTGAAGGAGATGAAGGCAATCAGATTCCTTGCGGTATCAACGATGCAGAACGCGGGTGCGAAAAGCCAGTGGCACGTCCAAGGGGGGTCGGATGGTTGACTTGAGAGGCAGGATTAAGAAGAGTTGTTCGTATCCGCGAAGCCCAGAACGACGATGGTGGTGAAGAGTAACTACGGTCGCTTTGTTCAGTCCTTGGACAAGGGCGCGACGTGACAGATTATGCCTGTGACGTTTATTATGTGACAACACGGTGGTGGCCCAGTACTTGTAAGGATGACTTACGATCTTTACATGGTCGGTATACGATCATGCAGCAAACACATGAAGGATAGTAATAAACTCATAGAAACTTTCTATCTCTTTGACACGGATATCGTATCAGTGACTGTATGCCGCAACTTGTTTATTCGATTAATATATGCCGTCGTATAAGTATCCGCTGAAGGCTCTGCAAGCAATGCGTCTACTTAACGAGTACGTAGTAGTCCTTGCCTCCGACCTCGCTCTCGCCGAGATCACATTCATCATCGGAAGTCTCTTCGGTCAACGCCCGAGGTCCGAGAGGCAGGCGACCCCATTACTCATGTCGATTGCGGAGTAGAGGACGACGACGCTTGTCTGGTCGCTGAGCGCATGCATGTACCTCGAGGATATTGAGGATGTCTTTATGCGTGGCTCCCTCGTCGGTAAATAAGATAGCATGTCGTATCTCGCACACGCAGTCCTTTAGATCGTCGAAATAAGGATCGAAGGTGTTGTCCAGGAAGGCGCGAAACTGGGGCAGCGGCTGGAACATGATGTCCCGCTTGAGTTTTCCGACAGTCGTAGGGTCGCCCGAGAACCACTGGCCCATGGGAAATTGATATGGGTCGAAGCCAGGTTGTCTATCGCTCATGGGCCCCGCATAGCTCGTGCAGATCCACATGAGAACGTAGAGGAATGACTCGAGATCGTGTATGGGCCAGTGGGGAACGTTTGGGCAGAGCAAGAGTGTGAAGGACATGAACGGCAATGTACCCTATGCGATCGTCAGCCATTGCGATTGCATGAAGTAGGTCAAGCTCACGAGATGTTGGCCTGCGGCCGAAGTGCGTTGCGGTCCGTGGATGTCAGTGGCAGAGTCGAGGTCGATGAGGAGCCCGCGACGCAGCCGTCCCTGAGGCTGGGCACGCAGCATGACATTATATTCGCTGATATCGTTGTGGAGTATGCCTCGCTCTGCGAATAGAACGAGATGTGCTATCAGATCGTTAGCTCTTGAGCATGAGTCGGAGAGGATATGCTTACCTGCGACAGCATCTCGAATGGCGGAAAGTAGCTCCTCCTTCGAGCTGAAATCTGCCAAGGGAATGGCGAATGGTTGCATGACCAGTCGATGGAGATGGAGGACGTCGATATCGCGCAGCTCTTCTTGTCTACTCGGTCGGCGTAGAGTTGCTCGAAAGAGGTCTGTAGACCTGGCTTTCCCCTCCGCATCAACCACGACTTCGTGGTCGACAAGGGTGGGAATCCCATCAACGCCCTGAGCCTGCTCGAGGAACGTAATCTCGGTCTCCTCGCGTCTAATATCGACCCAGGTGCTCTTGATCACATAGTCATCGTCACTGCCCTGTTTGCGACAGCGCCAGCAGACAGTACCACGGCCTCGAAGGTGGTTGCTTATGAAGAGACGCTCCACGATCTCGTATTCGATCCCGTTGACGAAAAGAAGGCGTGTGCCATCAGGACGCGTGAGGATCGCAGGGTCTCGGCCAAGGCGTATCGAGTCCAGGAGCGTAAGGGCCACTACCATGCGAACGAGGAGGTGGCCATGCCTGTGCACGTGTCGCGTTTCGCACTGAACGCGGCCAGCACGATCGTGCATGACAACAGCAAAGGCGTCCCCGGCGAAAGCAAGACCGACGTAGTAGAGACAGTCGTCCTGAGTAGCGAAGACATAAGCAGCGGTGGTCGACAGTCTTCGCACAGCATCGGGGAGGGGATCTTCGCCGCTGGCTACCTGTACGTCGCACAAGACGTTGGACCACTCCACATCAGAGTTCGATTCGACAAGGACAGCCCCGAACATGGAAACCCTATCGCCATTGGATTGGGCGGGCAACGTACGTGTGGGAAGCCATCTGCGTTCTTCGACGCGGAGAGGCATGCCCTTCTCTGCCAGCGCCTCGCGACAATGGTCGTGGATACCATTCAGGAAGGCTGCAACCAGTCGCTCGCGCTCCCCGTCAGGGTATACGCGTGACGGGTCAGGGTACCCCGTCCAACGCCTCGTCTTCTTGTCGAAGTACTTCAGCGGCATATCTCGAAAGATAAGGCTAGGTGGGCTCGGGAATAGGGTCGGCGGAGTGAGAACATGGAAGAAGTTTGGAACATCGCGCAGGGCAGTTCGCTCCAAGTTTAGCGCATCATGCAGGTCGGCATTGGCGGGGGCCAATAGATCGTGGATATCCATAGGCTGATGAACAGGTGGCGGTGTAATGTTGGAGGTAGAAAGCGACGAGGAAGACAAGGATACGGACAGTGTATCATTTGGAGAGTCGTACGTGGCGACCTTCTCTGATTTCGACCTTTGCTTGAACCTGGGGCTTTTGCGAGGCTTATGAGGCATATAGCCGGTCTTGCTCTTCGTCGGCCAAACTTGCGCTAATTGATGCTTGGCCGGCATATATATAGCTATAGAGATGGTCAGAGTCTGATGTATAGATAGATGGCATGGTCACGCACCCCGTAGTCTGCAGTGGCGAGATTGATTTTGTCTGCGACCCTGCTCCCGGAGAATGAAGCGGGCGTGGTAGCTGAGGAGAGTAATCGTCGAGCCTGGATAAGAGGGTGATATTGTCGTGCCGCTGTGGCAATTAAGTTGCGAGACGATCTTTCCAAGAGGCGATGATGGAGGTCGAATCCAAGACGTGATGTGAGCGGGTTACAAAATCCACGCGTCGCAAAGCGTGGCTGTCACATGATCGTTTCAACCTTGTTGACAACGGTTTGCAATGCAACTGTGCACTGTTATATAGATGATATCTGCAGACACGATGCCGCTGCACCCCCATGTGTATCATATCCCGGAATGAATGCCAGGATCTCTCAGCTCGCAGCCGCCTGCAACGCTGCTAGTGTGCGCTGGTGATGCGACGAACCCGCATCGTCCGACAACATGTCTGGGCCGCTGCTGTCATTCGCTGTCGTCTCCAAGCTTTCATTGGATGTCGGCGACCTTGCCCTCCCCGCTCACTGCCGCTGAGGCTTCACATGAGTCGTAGCTAATAAGGGACTCGGGAAGCGAGCAGCGTTCCGAACGCCCGCATGACGAGCCTGCCTGGCCTTCGCAAAATCGCAAAATCGCAAAACTATAAGTCACAACTGTATCGCTGCAGTCACACGCTTGAAGATGTACTCATACACTAGAGCCCCCTTCACCTTCCCATACATACAAATGTATCTACTTATGCTGTCGTTTGACTTTTGGCTTCGACAGCGTGCCAGACGTATCCTCCGCCGCCTGACAATCAGGACAGAGCCAGTCGTCCGCAGCGTCTTCGACGGCCTCCGGCGGGGCACAGGACTTGCAGAGCAAACATATTGTCAGCAGCACAGGTCGGGAACTCAGACATCCAGGCGGTGAGCAGCATTCCGATTCGGCGGTGCACCGAATAGTCTTGGAGATGGGGAATTCTCGAGGCATACTTCGCAAGTATGCAGGCCATTGACGAGTATGGCGTCGAGCGAGGCATTCTGCGCTTCGTTCTTGCGTTTTCGCGATGGTAGACGGCGGGTCGCAGCCGGGGTGAATACGACCGCCAGTAAAGCTATGAGTACAGGTATTGCCTCTGCTGGCGTAGGTACAGCCGACGTAGTTGAGACGGTGCCAGAAGAACGACTCGAGAGTGTCTCGTTGGGTTGTCCGCGATTCGGTCCATTGTAAAGTACAGATGAGGGATACTGTCAAGCACACAATCTTCGTCTCTTCGGATCTTCCCATACCGTGTTCGTCGTTGACCGCCTCTTGCCCCGTTGACCGTCGCATGTATGGATTGATTCATCTAGGCCGCCGTACAAAATCCTGTTGAAGGGGGCCACCTTAGGTTGTACATGCGCCGTCGCGCCCCCGTGCGGCGAATCACTAGGTCGGCCGTTGCCGTCAATAACGTCATTCCCACTGAGTCGGGACTCAGCGTCGTCGCCGTGAGGACCGTCCAATGTCTCCTCGGACAGCGTCTGGATCGCCCACTTGGGGTCCGACGTCCACCAGGAGGGGGGCTCCTCCTCCTTCCGCGGCTGTTTGATTAACACAGGTCGGCGACGCTTGTCTTGCGGCTGCTGAGCGCAGGCGTGCAGCTCAAGGATATCGAGGATGTCTTCGTGCGTCGTATCCTCCGCGTTAAAGAGGATAGCGCGTCGGATCTCGCATACACAGTCCTTCAGATCGTCGAAGTAAGGATCGAAAGTGTCGTCCAGGAAGGCGCGGAATTTCGATGGTGGCTGGTACATAATCTCCTCTTTCAGTTTGCCAACTTCGGTGGGGTCGCCGGAGAACAGGCCCATGGGTGATTGGAATGGATCAAAGCCGGTCCGTCTAGCGCTCATGGGCCCTGCGTAGCTCGTGCAGATCCACATGAGAACATAGAGGAATGATTCGAGATCGTGGATAGGCAGGTGGGGCAGACCAGGATAGAGCAAGAGGGAGCAGGACATGAACGGCAATGTGCCCTGTGAGCTCGTTAGTCACTGAACTCCATGAACAGTAGGTCTAGCTCACGAGATGGTGACCGGCGCACGCCACACCTGACGGTTGACTGATGTAGGTAGCAGAATCGAGGTCGATAAGGAGCCCTCGACGGAGCCGTCCCGAAACTTGGGCGCGTAACATGATGTTGTTTTCACTGATGTCGTTGTGCAGTATACCCCTCTCATGGCAAAGGACCAGATGCGCTGCAACGTCGTCAGGTCCTGACTGCGCAGCGATTTGGATACACTTACCTGCGACGGCGTCTCGTATAGCGCTGAGCAATTCCTCCTTGGAACTGAAGTCTGATAAGGGACGAGCGAGCGGCTGCATGACTAGTCTTTGAAGTCGGAGAACGTCTATGCCGTGCAGCTCATGCTGCCTACTCGACCGTCGGAGCGATGCGCGGAATAGATCCGTAGACCTTGGTTTTCCTTGCGCGTCAACCACGAGTTCGTGGTCAACTAGCGTAGGAATCCCATCGACGCCCTGAGCTTGCTCGAGGAATGACACCTCCGATTCTTCGCAATTGACGTTGACCCATGTGCTCTTGACGACATATTCCTCGTCGCTACCTGGCCTACGACAACGCCAGCAGACAGTTCCACGGCCGCGGATAGGGTAGCTGTTGAACAGGCGTTCCAGAATCTCGTACTCGACGCCGTTGACGTGGAGCACACGCGTGCCTCCAGGACGCATGATGATCGCTGGATCACGGCCAAGGCGGGTCGTTGTCAGAGTCATGGCCAACACAAGGCGGACGAGGAGGACGCCATGCTTGTGCACATGACGCGTGTAGCACTGGACGCGACCAGCACGATCATGAACGACAACAGTGAATGAGTCGCCGGCGAATGCGAGGCCAACGTGGTAGATACAGTCATCCTGTGTGGCGAAGACGTATGCGGCGGTCGTCGACAACTTCCGCACGGCAGCAGGGATGAGATCGTCGCTGCCGGCTACCTGCAGGTCGCACATGACATTAGACCATGCGACACCCGAGCTCGACTCAACAAGGACAGCGCCGGTTATGGTTGGGCCGTCATTGGGGTTGGTAGGCGAGGTGCGCGTGGCAAACCACCTTCGTTCTTCATCGGGAAGACGAACACCTTGGTTTGTCAAAACCTCGCGACAGTGGTCGTGTATATCGTCCAGAAATGCTGCAACGAGTTGCTCGCGTTCGTCGTCGGGGTATGCACCAGACAGATCAGGATACCCTTTCCAACGTCTCTTTTGTGCGTCGTAAAGCCTTTGCGGTAGCTTGTAGAATATTCGGTTGGGAGGGAATGGAAGAGAGATCGGCGAAGCCAGGGCTTCGAAGAGGTCTCCAACGTCACGCAAGGCTGATCCTTCCAAGTCAAGGGCGTCATGTAGGTCGGCATTTGTGGGGGCTGAGAGAGCGCGCATGGGCATTGATCGATGACTGAGCGGCGGTGTTACGTGGGTGGCCGACGAGAACGAGGAAGACGAGGATGCAGATCCGGTATCGCTGGAGGAGCCATCCGCGGCGTCCTGCTTTGGCATCGACATGTTCTTGGGCCTGGCGCTTCGACGAGGTTGAGCAGACACAGAGCCGTCCTGAGTCTTCGTCGACCGTCCCTGTGCAGCCTGCTTTCTTTTTGGCAGGCTTTTCTGTAACGGTGTTCAGTGATGGAGGTCGATGCTAAAACGCGTCCATTGTCCATGCCTGTGTCACATGATGGCATTTGTCACGCATCGCGTGGTCTGACGTCACGCGACTATCCTCAAGGCGAATGGGAACCTCCGCTATTCACATATAGTATAGCAACTACGCCTTAGAAGATACGAATACTGCGAGCTCTCGATGCAACTGTGCGCTAATATACAAGTGATAACTGTCTAGTGTAAGTCAGAGACGGTACTACTGTACCGACATGGGTATCCTGTCCGGTGGTGAATGCCAAAACCTCTCAACTCGCAGCCGCCTGCAACGCTGCCAGTATGCGCTGGTGATGCGACGAACCCGCATCGTCCGACGACATGTCCGGGCCGCTACTGTCGTCCTCAGCCGCTTCCCAATCGCCACCTTCCTCTTCAATGATGTCCTCGAACGCGCTGTCCAGCACGTTACTCAGCCCCGTCTCTACCACCGACAGCCATTGCCCTAGCTCCTCAATCGTGCGCGCGAGCTCAGAGTGTGTGCTCCCATCTCGTACGAGCGCCGTGTAATCTAGCGGTCGTACTGGTGGACCATTACCGAGCGACTGGATGGAAGTGATGGATGAGTTTGATGGCCTATGTCCGTGTCGTCTGAATTCTGGCGGAGGCGAGCTCGTGCGAGGAAGACCAAGAGTGAATGAGGCGCCCGACGCGACTGCTGCTTCGCGAAAAGAATCGTAGCCCGCCGTAGCAACTGCGGTGCCTAGAGAACTAGCCGGGGGTGGTGCGTACGACCTTGAATTGCTCATGGCGGCGGAGGGCGATGGAGGCAGCAGATCTGATATGCCCAGTCGATGTTCTGACGAGAGGGACGGTATCTGGATCTCCGTCAGCATGGTCGAACAATCCTGCAAGGCAGTGCCCACCTTCAGAACATCCTTCAGTCCCGGCGTTCCAAGGGAGTCCTTCTGACTAGAATCGCTCCCACTCCTATTCCGGCCATTTGGCGTCGCTGCATACGGTCGCACAGGCGGCACCAACGGGATATCCTCCAGACTCGACTGCCCCATCAATAAAGGCTTCGGACCACTTTTCACAATAATATCCTGCGCCGCCGTCGCTGACCGCGTCCGTGCCATACTGGGTGGCGTTATCGGTGCCCCATCCCGCGCGCGTCGCAATGTGTCGAGCGAGTACGTCGCTTGATGCGCCCCGGGCGTAAGGCTGGCCGCACTATAGCTTGAGCTACTTGCACTCGCGCTCGCATGTGTAGGGCTCGTCCGCGCATGTTTCTGCAGCTGGAGAGGGGTGACCGCAGGTGCGCCGGCAGACAGAACCTTCTGCGCGGCGGGAAACTGAAAGGTCGCTGGTGCACCGAGGCCTTCGCCGGTGCTCTGCGAGCGCCGCCGGCGCATCGGTCGCGGTCCCACTACGGTGTCGCCTTTCGAAGGATCCGAATGGTTGCTGCTGGACCCTGATCCGGAGGGATCAGGGCTGCTGAGGTCGAGGGATTCGGACGACGACGGGATCTCAATGTTTGGAGGACCGCGAGCACGATGGTCTCGGAATGAGCGAGCTGTGACCGTCTGTCCCGAAGAAACTGATGTACGCGCGTCGTCGAAAGTGCCTACACTAGCGCGCTCTCCGCCATCTTCAGACAGCTGTCGCAGCCGAGAATGTGGTCTAGCAGTCGCGCCCGACGCAGCAGATGGGCCTTCCATCTCTTCCGGGCTTTCGGTCAACATCGAAGGCCGCGTGAGCTCCGGTACGCTTCCAAGCTTCGCGCGTCCTTTGGGAGGGAAAGAAAACTCGGCTGGTTTCGATAAAGCATCGGTGCGGACGTCAAGGGTTGCCGCTCGCTTCGCGCCGTGTCGTTCACGATGAGGGGGAGGGGTGGGTAGTGTTGGCGGTGGTGGCGGAGGGTCGGGGGTGTCATCGCCGAAGATGGCGCGCAAGGAAGATGGGACGGTGGAGGGCATAGGACGGACAGTCGGGTCTGCTTCAGGGATGGGCGCCATGACCACGGTATCCTCGTCGTTCGCTGACATGTACTGCGACATCCGTCCCCTGACGGTTTCGAATTCCCAAGCATTAGAATCTCTCGTAGCTCGGCCGAAGTTCTGAAGACTTGTGTATATTGTCAGTGACGAGGCTATGGCAGTCAGACAGGACATACTCCTCCTGCTCGGCGGCTTCCCATGCCATAGGTTGCGCCAAACTTTCGCGAGGCGCTGCGCGCTGCACGCGACCGAGTAACTCCTTGAGTATCGTCAAGGGCACCTTCTGCGTGGACTTGATCCACTTCGTCTTCAGGAGCTCTTCTGCCGTCGCGCGCTATAAGGAGCATAAATGTGTTGTCCTGATGTGCAGGATGGCCTACGCACCTCGCTCGGAACCTCCTTCAGGCACATAGCCATGAAGTCTCGCAGCTCCTTGCTCCCGTCACTCTCGGGCAGCGTGGGGGGCTTCACACGGGGGATGAGGTCCATCGCCTGGTGCGGATTGAGATGCGAATGAGGCGGGTGTCCCATTATCATCTCGTACACCATGATGCCCAGACTCCAGATGTCCGCCGTCGTATCGTAGCTCGCGACGCTTCCAAGCAGCTCCGGTGCCATGAAGAGGGGAGTGCCGATCATCGTGTTGCGCTTGCTATTCGCCGACTGCATGAGCGCAGACACGCCGAAATCGCAGATCATGACATTGCAGGCGGAGGTGATGAGCACGTTCGCAGCCTTGATGTCGCGGTGGATGACGGGGACGCGGTGGAGGTAGGCCAGGGCGATGAGGACCTCGCGGACGATGACGGCGACGAAGCGTTCCTCCAGTTTCTTGTCCTTGCTGGCCTGCATGATCGAGTACACCGACCCGCCCTCGGCGAGCTCCATGACAATCCAGGCGCGGGGCCCGTCCATATGGCAGCCATAGTACTTGGTGATGTTGGGAGCATCCCGAAGAGCGGTCAGCAGCGCGACCTCGCGCTGGATGTCGCCGATGTCGTCCTCGCCCTGTCCCTCGGCGGCCTCGAAGTCAATGATCTTGAGGGCTACGATGTTCCCGGTCGGTATATGGACTCCCTTGTACACCGCCCCATAGGCGCCCTTGCCCACCCGCTCGAGGCGCTTGTATAGCTGGTGCACGGACTGCTGCGGGGGCGGCATCGTCGTCGTCGTCGAACCCCCGTCGCCTCAGCTGGCGGTCTGATCACGTGGCAGATATTCGTATAAGTCACTGCGAACATGTCATGATCCCCCTCCCTGACAGTCTGCTTACCAGTCGCTCACCTTCGTTCTGACCAGAATACAGCCACTTTCAATGATTGTCCAGACCAGTGTCCCCTCGCTGGACAGTCCTACTTCTCGTCATATCCTCAGTGCCGCCTTTGCCCCTTATCAATCTCGCGTCAGCCTCGTCATGAGCCTGACGCGATGGAAGGTCATAAATACGGCAGCCCTCGGACATAACCCTCGCTGCCACCGCACTGTATGCAATTTCGCCTCTTCTCTGGTTTAACATCGCTTGCCATCGCTGTTACGCTGGCTGCTCTTGCTATCCTCATCAAACCATTCCCTAAGATCCCTTCACTGTTTACTCCCCCGCTCAAATCGAACATGGCGACAACTGGTACCGGGGATATCGCCACCATGCAGGCCAAATGGCGTGCACAACTGGACGCCCTTCCCAGCAACCCAGAGTCGATACCTGCATTTTTCTTCGGCCATGGCTCGCCAATGCTCGCATTTCCCGAGAACACGCGTGCCGTCTTCGGAGGTCCTACCATGTTTCAATGGGCGGGTCCTCGCGGTCCTCTAGCCGCGTTCCTCAAAGACTTTGGCCCGACCCTACTGAAGAAGTACAACCCGAAGGCGATCGTTGTCTTCAGTGCGCATTGGGAGACTTATGGCGAACGTCTAGGTGTGTATTCCTCAGTGTATATATTGTGCGCCCGTGGAAGACTCATCTCAGAGTAGTCACCGACTACGGCGATGAAAACCCACTACTCATGGATTACTATGGATTCCAGCCGGAACTGTACGAGCTGAAGTTCAAGTCGCGCGGTGATTCCACTCTTGCAGCACGGATAGTCGAGCTTTACACCAAGGTCGATCGCCTCTGTTCACGACCTTAGCTTTCATTACTGACGATGCCCATAGGCCGGTCAGAAAGCTCGCACGACACCCAAGGTGGAACCCCGCGGCGAGGATGGACGCGGTTATCCCGGCCCTGGTCTCGACCACGGCGTCTTCGTTCCCTTCCGCCTTATGTTCGGCGAACAGCTCGGTGTACCTGTCGTCCAGGTGTCCATTGACGGCAGCCTGAGTCCACAAAAGAACTGGGCCGTAGGCGAGGTAGTGTCCCAGCTCCGGCGCGAAGGCATCCTTGTCCTCTCTGGTGGCCTCACCGCGCACAACCTACGCGATATCGCCTCGTTCTCGCCACAGTCGGCGAAGCCAGTTCATCTCGAGTTCAATGAGGCGATACACAAGGCTGTCGGCATTACGGATGTGAGTCCTCGGACCTTCTGCGATGGAATGGCGCGTCTGAAACCCTTTTCAGCCCGAGCAGCGACGAAAGGCGATGATGAATCTTGTTAACCATCCGGGCTTCCGCGCGTCGCAACCTCGTGAGGATCACTTTGTGCCGCTATACGTTGCTGCTGGGGCTGGGGCGGATGAGGGTGCAGTGAGGGTGATAAGCGATATTTACGGGGCCCCTACCTTTGCTTTCGGGTCCCCTGCTTCTCTAGGGCTTAACTGACGGACAAGCACTTCTCGTTTGGCATGAACCAATATATGATGTACGAAAACGTAGAGAAAGACGGTGTGTTGCTTTGGCCGATACTGAGACGATGGCCGGGCGCGCTGCGGGAAGATGGGTATATTAGGTGTTCGGTATGAGCACTACGCCGAACGTCAGCGCCGTGGTTCGGGGCAGAGGCGAGTGTGACACGGAACGAAAGCAAGAGTTGTGTCACGTAAGCGTGACTTTCTTACTCAGCTTCTGACTAATCGTTCGGGGGCGCGTCCAGAGTAATGCTTGGATTTCAGCAGCAACCGCCGGCGAACCATGGCGTTCACCAACTCCCCACACATCCCGCACCGACAGACGACATGGGTCAGCAGCAACAACAGCCGCCACAGCCCGTAGTCGCGCACCAACAACAACCCCAGCCCACACCTTCCCAGCCTCCTCCTGCCCCCACGCGGGGACGGAAGCGCAAGTCCCCGCCGAGCAAGGATCAGGGCCAACAGCAGCCACCGCCACCCCCAGGCGCCGTCATGACCGCACCTATGCCTGTTCCCCTCCCACCACACATGATCGCCCATCTCCCCGGTCCCCTCCCTCCTGGCTTCGTCTATGCGCCCTCCGACTTTACGCCCGGCGGTATGCCGCAGCAGCAGAATGGCGCGTCCAGTCCAGAGGACGGATCGGTGCAGCTCGAGGTGCAGGTGGAGGTCCCGGTGGACGGGCAGCAGCAGAATCGCGCTCAAGGCCGCCAGCTCAGCACGAGCAAGCGGGCCGAGCAGAACCGCAAGGCCCAGCGCGCATTCCGCGAGCGCCGTGACCAGTGAGTGGGATGTATCGCGTTCCAATCTGTGCTAAACCTCCCGCCCAGACATGTCAAGGCACTTGAGTCCCGCTCGCAGCTCCTGGACGCTGCCCTCGCCTCCGCGGATGAGGCGAATCGCCGATGGGAGGAGTGTCGCACGCTCGTTGACCAACTGCGCGTGGAGAACGCTGCGTTGCGTGCCGCGCTGAGTCAGGCGCAAATGCTGCCGCCGGGCGCAACCATTGTCGTCGGACCGCACGACCAGCAGCAGCAACAGCAACAACATCCGCAGCAGCAGCCCCAGGACCCTCAGTCCGTAGCCCAGGACGAACAGGACAACGACCCTGTTATACGCTCGCAGCCGGTACGGGAGGATGGCGAGCATGCATGACCCGTTCTTCGCAATGTTGTACAATTAAGTTCAGTCTCGTGGATTGTTTGGCAGTCGAATGCAATGTTAGGGTTTCTTGTTCACCTCGCGTCTGCTTGACAAGTACATGAGATATCCAGGATCGCACTCGCAAGCTCGAGCCAGAGAGTCCCGCCGTACGTTCAGTCCGGTGAGTTGCCGTGCCGTTCGTCCTACGTCAGCGGTAATACTCAAAGCCAGACCTACTCGTGCCGGTGCGAATACGATGGTCTCCGGCCTGTATACAGTATATGGCAACAATCTCAAGCAACAATATCCAGCAAACGGAAGTCGGCATTCAGCGCCATACAGTTGCCGTTCGCGTTGCGCGTTCAAGAAGTTGCCGACCTCCGTCGTCGTACGGCGAGTCCTCTGCCAAATGTTCGCCACCGAGTAGACTGTGGGTATAAAAGCACACTCACCATGGCCACGAGCCACACCAAAGCCATCGTATCGTCTAATCGTTACAACTCCTTGAACAACATCTATGCCTGCAGTGGACGTCCTCATAGTAAGTCCCCTGTTATGGCGAAGGATGCACTCCCTAATCTTTCCTTTCTCCATAGGTTGGCGCCGGGCCTTCCGGTCTAGTTGCAGCGCTTGCACTAGCGCAGAACGGGATATCCGTGCGCATCATCGACAAGCTAGCTGAACCTCGCGTCGGCCAGAAAGGTCCCGCCATACAGGTGCGTATGCACCGTCTCCCGACTTCCTCCTTTCTCTTAGTATCGATTCAATGTTTATCCATGTCCCAGCCCCGAACGCTAGAGTTATACAAGCTCCTCGGCGTGCTCGACGACATTTTAGAGCGCGCTCGCTTCGCGCAGCCCATCGTTCACTACAAGCTCCCGGGTGGCACCGAAGTCGCACGCGAATTCAACATGTTCCCGTGGACAGACCCGACGCCTGATTGCCCCTACGTTAGTACCTCTGTCTCTCATGTGCTGCATATACTCACTTGACCCCTTGCCCTCGTAGCCCAACCCCCTCATGCTCGGCCAGGACCGCCACGAAGAAATCCTCCGCGCCCATCTCCAGCGCTACGGCATCGAAGTCGAGTGGGCTACGGAGCTCGTCGACTTCACGCAGGATGGCAGCAAGGTGCACGTCCGCATCTCCAAAGGCGACATCACAGGCATTTCGAAAGGCGGCATCACCGAGGAGCTGGATGTCAGCTACCTCGTCGGCGCGGACGGTGGGCACAGCAAAGTCCGCAAAACGCTCGGGCTGAACTTTGCGGGGGAAACTCGGGAGCTGGATAAGATGCTTGCTGGCGATATTGTTGTCAAGCCTCCTGGGCTTGCGCGCGATGTGAGTGGCCATATACTTGATCTCTCTCTCGACTGACCTCTCTCTGTCGATAGAAATGGCACGCCTGGGGCGATCCGCAGACCAAGGTGTAAGTATAGGACACCTTCAAGACTCTTCCCTTCATTGAAATCGACTTCCCGGCAGCCTTGGTCTGCGTCCTTGCGAATCCCCGGATGACGACAAACTCGCTATCCTCGTTACTGGCAAAGACGTCGACTACGGGAAGACCACCTGGAGCAGCGAAGACTTCGCCAAGCTGTTCCACGAGATCACTGGTCGAACCGATGTCCAATTCGGTGAAACCATCGGTCTGACTGTCTGGAGGTAAGACCGACTTCCGTGATGTATAGAACGCTAACGCTGAGTACTGCACAGGCCCAACATTCGCATGATTGACCAATTCAGCGTCGGACGGGTCTTCATCGTAGGAGGTTAGCCTCCAAGTTGACGCGCGGTCGCCTGCAAATGCTGACAAGCGAGTAGATGCGGCGCATACTCATAGCCCTACTGGAGGCCAGGGCATGAATTCTTCCGTACAGGACGCGGTATGAGCCTACCCTACTCATTTCTTGATAAACACTCAATCCCGATTTAGGCGAACCTTGCCTGGAAGCTCGCCCTCTTACTCCAGGGTCATGCATCCCCCACGCTCCTGGAGTCCTACCCCGCTGAGCGCGTCCCCGTCATCCGCGAAATGCTCGAACGCACGACTCGACTCCTCGATCGCACGATGCGGCCCGGCGAGGACACCGACGAAGCCTGGCACCGTCGCGGTCCGCTCCACATGCTCGGAATCCACTACCGCTGGAGCCACATCGTCGTGGACGAGCGCCGTATTCCTCCCTCTGTCGATGAGCGTCAGAGCGCGTATGCGGGAAGTGAAGGCTTGTGCGCAGGCGATCGCGCGCCTGATGCCCCCGTCGAGGGCGATGTGGCGCGACTTTTCGACCTGTTCAAGTTCACGCGCCATACCGCGCTGGTATTTTCTGCGGACCAGGATTTCATTGACAAGGTCATCGACGCTGTCGACAAGCTTCCCGCAGGCCTGTGCGATCTGGCCATCGTGCGTCCCCGGGGAATCTCGCCGGAGACATTCGCGAAGTACAAGGCAGCGAAGGTCTTTATGGACAAGGATGGCGAAGCGTACAGGGTCTACGAAGTATCAGACGGTAACCCCACGGTCTTTGTCGTCCGACCTGATGGAGTCGTCGGCGCTGTCGTCAAGAACGGGGAAGGCGTCGGGAAATACTTCAGCAAGCTGGTAAATGTTGTCGGTTGATGGACATGGCATCACCCTCGCAGTATTTCGCTTGGCAAGTCCTTCACAATATCCCGCGATGCGCGCGGGAGCACACTATGAATCGAAATATAAATCACTGCTCTTATCAACCTCGGGTGCTACTTAAAGCTGTGGACGGACATAAGTTCTCGAAGTTGAACATCGGAACATGCCGATGCACGTGAGGGCCATGCATGGGGCTTCGGATGACGGGCCGCGTGCCTTTGCACCCGCTCTCAACGGTCCGCTTCCTCCTCACTAGCGATGATCTATACGCTCGTCGAGCGAGATGCCATTCAGCACATGTATGGTGCGATCAGGCCGTCCGACTGTCTTCGCTGCACCGGAAGCAGCGTGGAAGAGAGATAGAACGCAGGTGAGACCATCATAGTCCGCGATAGACTAAGCTGATCATCGCACGCCACCTCCCCAGTGGTTCTCGCTCCCCTACCCTGACGGACGATAAGAATTGGATAAGGAGATGGACCGGCACCCCTTTTCTTGCGCGTCGGCTTGTCCTCGCACCACCATCGCCTCGCAGCGCACCCTCCAAGCCCTGACGCCTTCAAGATGCTGGACCTCGAGCGCCGCCAGTCCATCGTCTCCGACATCGCCGCGTCGGTCTACGACGGAGAGATCAGCAAGATGAAGGCGGAAGCGAGCATTGCCAGCGCGGCCAGCGCCGCTGCGGCGACGATCACGTCGCCCATCGTGTCCATCTTCCCCGTTACGCAGACGGTGGGCGGCAGCGTCGAAGTGGACGTCGCGACCGTGACCGTACGCCCTACGGCTTCGGGGACCAACGCGGCGTCCAGCAGTGCGCATCACGGACTGGACGGTGGCAAGAAGGCCGGTATCGCAGTTGGCTCCGCGGTGGGCGCGATCATCCTGGCGCTTCTTGTTCTACTGCTCTGGCGCAGGAAGGCAGTACGTTCGCCGGAGCACTGGCGCAACCGGGCGCACGCCTGGCAGAATCTGGAGGGGAAGCGCGCTGTTCCTACGCAAGGGAGCTCGAGCCCGTACCCCGTCGATATCAAGAAGCCTCTTGACCTCGAAATTGGGGAAGTGGCACCTCATCCCGACTTGAACCAGGCGCCCATCTTCATGAAGGTCCCTCGTCGCCCCGCGCCCTCGGCCGACGTGCCTTCCCATAGACGCAGCGATAGTGGTGCCTCCGCCGTAACCCTCACTAAAGAGGTCGTGTAAGGTCGTCTGTTGTTGGAATATGAAGGGTGAATATAGAATATCTCATCTTCCGGTGAGTCTCCTGTCTTCTTGAATTCCGAGACTGCTGCTGAATATGGCAACTCAAGGGAACATGACGCCTCAGTCTTGCTACGACCTATCACGTTTTCCTCCCCTCTTCTCTACCTGATCTGTGTGTATACTTTGGAATTCCTCGAGGTTATTGATGTCATTTATGTCCGGAAGTGGCCGAGAAGCAGCGAACTTAGCGGGATGACGCTTGCTTACTCTCTGTTGACAGCCTCGGGGTTCCGAGGCTTAGTGTCAAGCTGGCGTCCCGACGCGCAGTCACGCGTATAAAGGCAAGCAGCAGCGGATCTGCTTCATTCCCTTCTTTTCCCCTACTTTCATCTGCCTGGCGCAGCCTTTATCTTAATCCTAAAAATGTTGCCCGTCGCTTTCGTCCTGCTCTCGCTCTTGGCTGCTGGTCAGCCCTCGCTCGCCTCGCCTTTGCCTGGTCCTGCCCACGGTAATCCGCTCGCCCTCAGCCGCCGCGGTATGAGGCAATCCCCCGCCGGCAACACGACGAAGATTCCGCTGTTCGACGATCAGTTTGTGGTGCGTTCGACTACCTGCCCTCGGACCATCCAACTCACAACGATAGGCTCGAGAACTGCACAACGTGCTGTCCAAGTACAAGAAGGCCCCTGATGCCCTTCAAGGCATCAATCTCGCGCCCGAACGCAACCTCGACTCGCCGCTTGATGTCAGCGCAAACGTTACCGCGGGCACCACGAACATCGATCCCAATGCCGTTGGAGGTCCCAACGCCGATGCTCAGGAGGCGCCCCTTCTCTCTGGGCCGCAGCCTCCTGTCAACGTCGTCACAGGCTCCGCTACATCAGGACACCTTCCTCTCAAGGATTTTATGTCCGGGTCGCTCGACTTGCTTTACTACGGGCCCATCGGCATTGGCACGCCCGCTCAGAGGTTGACTGTCGATATCGATACCGGCTCTGCAGACCTCTGGGTCCCCGTCGACTGTGACAACTGCCAGGGAGGCGACTCTGCCCGACGCCAATTCGATAAGTCGGCGAGCTCGACGTACATTGCTGGGAACAATCAGGAAGTCACCATCAATTATGTGCGCTTCGTCTCACTCCTAAATGGAGGCCCAAGCTGACTGGAGGACAGGGCTCGGGTAGCGTCAGCGGCGTCGTTGCCTCTGACATGGTCACCATCGCCGGGCTCCACATCGAGAAGCAGACCTTTCTGGCTGTCAACTCGGAGTCTGATGACTTCAACTCGCTTCCAAGCGATGGACTCATCGGACTGGCGTTCCCCAGCATCGCGCAGACGAAGCAGCCGACAGTTCTCGAGAACTTGTATGTGCAAGGTCAGATTAAGACGCCCACGTTCAGCGTCCATCTTGAGCGTGGCCATGAGCAAGGATCAGAGGTATGTCGACGGTACATTACGCTCTGGCAAGTGGCTCACCTAATATCTCATCAAGCTCTGCCTCGGATGCTATGATTCCAGTAAAGCGACAGGTCCAACCACTTGGGTACCGATCAATACAAGGGTGCGCGCGTCGTCGTATCTCCCTTGCAATTCGCGCTGAATGTTGCGTATAGACGTACTGGACCGTACCGATGGACGGTATCGGTGCCAACACGGGGCACTCCACCCCAACGGACATCTATGCCGTGAGTCGGGTGGCTCTCGAACGCTCATGCTCTCCCTGACGCTCATCATTTCAAGGCCATCGACACCGGCACCACGCTGATTTACTTGCCCGGCGGTGTAGCCGCCAAGTTCTACGCAATGGTAAGCCTGACCGGACAGACGCTGTTCACGCGCTTATCACCTTTCAGATCAATGGGTCCAAGCCCGCACCCCAATACGGGCCAGGTAAGGACGCGCAACATATCCGGTTCACCGTCAGCACTAATGTATGCTTGCAGAATACTTCACGTATCCGTGCAACTCGAAGCTTGACATCAACTTCATCTTCAACGGCCAGAGCTTCTCGATGAATCAGTATGACTTCAACTTGGGTAAGTCGGACTGCAAGTCCCAGTTCGCTGCCTCCCTGACTTTCAGTAGGTCGTACAGGCGTGAACTCCCCGGATTGCGTTGGCGGTATCATCGCGATGGGCAGCGACTTCCCGTCGAATCTTGCCATCATCGGTGCGTTCACGTTCTGCAGGCTTAAAAATGGACTAACCAATTTGTGCAGGCGACGAGTTCCTCAAGTCATGTACGTTTGCCTACCGTATGTTTATTGCTGCATGCTGACGCGACCTTCAGGGTACACGACCTTCGATTTCTCCTCTCATGGGCGGGTGGGTTTCGCGCCCAGCATCAACAACCGGCATTAATACAGACGAGCGTGCCATAGGGCAATTATGCATTTATGAACACATTTCTACACGCTTCCTTTATGATCCTCTCATGCCCTATACTATGCGATAGTAATGTACTGTTAACCAAGACGTCGAATCATCATCGATGTGCTTTGTGACGCAGCCCTTAGTTATCCTTGAGTTTACGACCGCCGCCAAGCACCTTACGGCGCTGGCCCATCATGTACGTGAAGAGAACATACAACGCTGTACATGGGGTCAGATGCATGTTTTGCAGAGGCAAGGAAGCGCGTACCTGGTGCCCAGACGAGGACCATGATGCCTCGCAGGTAATCCATGAAGCCCCACGCTCCCTGGTACCATGATCGGAATCCCGGGACAGGAGAGGAGTTGGGCAAGGAGATCCAAGTCAAGAACCATTCCGAACCCGCCCCTATGGGGTAGAGGACGTAGAATGCGGAATACCGGATCCAGACGAGCCATTGGGGTGGCTGCAGGCCGAGGAGGTTGAACGTGTAGAAGGAGTAGCGGATGATCTCCGAGAACGACCACGCGATAATCATGGACGCGAACGCGGGATTAGCACGCGCCTGAAATGGAAAGGTGAAGCATTAGCGTGGATCTCGCGAACGCCAGCCACCACACGCACCGTCGCCGATTGCTCCACCACTGCCCACACGAGGAGCAGCCTGCTCGTCACTTGCATCGCGGTCGTCGGGAGCGAGCTGCGCACAAGGCCGAGCGCGACGTGCGCGACCTCGAGCACGGCGAAGGACTGCACAAGCGCAACCTGCGGGCCGACGCGTCCGTACACGGTGGCCATGCGCGCGACAGGCGCCTGCAGGAATCCAGGTAGCCACCACCGGCTGTGCGCCTTCGTCGCCGAGCTTGCGGATCGGAGGAATGACGCGGAGGACGAGAGAAGCTTGCCCACATAGGTCGACGCGGTGACGGGGCCGGAGGAGGCTACTTGCGCCGCGCGCCCGTCTATGTTGGTTATGTGGATGAGGGCGAAGACGAGAACATATGCCCACGCGAGCCCCGAGGCGACGTTGTAGAAAATAAGGTACTTGTTCGCAAGATCGTTCTTCGTGGCAGGGCCTAGGGGAAGGCGCGCCTTGGTAGGTACACGCACACGGTCCACAAACTTCTCTCACGCACTAGTTTTAGTGTTCCCCCTGGAAGAGGACGACCTGGTTGTCGCTTTAGAGGACATGGCCGGTCAGAGGGGAGGGGGGAGTCGGTTCGTGAAGTGTCGTGAACGTCGCGGAAAAGATGTCGGCCACCGTCACGAACGCGTTATTTGATGTGACCGACGCCTGATGGTTGCCATTTCCGCAAACAGAAAACAAAGGCCTCGGTGAGTCATAATGCCATTAATTTACAGTTCTATTGCAGGAGGAATACACGGCGGAAAGCTGTACGGAATGCTCTTCAGGTCATGCTGATTATCTTCTATTCATCACGAGGAAGAAGCGGCTGTGAACAGTTGTCTAACTTTGTCGATCCGGTCTCCTGCGAACGATGTGAGCTTGGATGCCAGAGACAAATGAACCCAGCTCACCAAGCAACGGTATGCTTCTTGATACAGGTTCTATGATCGCGAGCGCCGAGTGCATCAGCCTTGACAGCTCATCCGCTGCAGCTCTCTCGCTGCCACCCGCACGGCCGCGAGATGCCTCACGTAGTCGCATCAGCTCTCCGGCCACTACATACGCAGCAAGCAGCCATATAGACCCCATCATTGGATCTACGATGCGCATCTCGGATATCGCAAGCCGCGATGGGAAGGAGAAGATCTCCTTGGCGGCCATGAGCATCTTTTGTCCCGATTGTGGATTGGCCAGCGCAACAGGCCGATGCAGCTGGATGCAGGCTGCGTAGACGGTACCATGGGCAGCCAGCAGGGCGCGCTGCTCACCGAGATCCCTTGAGCCAAAGAAGGGTGGAAGGTCGCGCCGCGCAAGTCTGGCCATGATCGTGTCGAGGGAATTGAGGGTTGCCACAAAAGTCGCGAGTCGCTGCTGTGGCATATCTGAAGAACATGTCAGAAGAAAAATCAGGAGAGCAGTTTGTCGCCTACTTGGCCGATAGGATTTTCCGAGTAAGAAGGCCCTCTCCCATAGGATGGCCGCTTTGGCGTGCACGGTTAGAATGCTAGGCGATCGTGTACCATCGACGCCACGAAGAAAATTCTCCACTGTCAGGCTGCTAGTCATAGTGGGGAGAAGGCGACCCTGATTCAAACGCATGATGAGTATACGAGCGATGCTTACAGAACAAATGCCTCACTTGCGTGTAGTCACTCCTGCAGAGAGGCCATGGCGTATCAACTTGGCTTTCCGGTCTGTCGCTGGGAATAGGTAAACTTGATGATTCGCCCATGGCAACGGTCCATTCCTTGTCGCGGGAAACGATGGTCCAAAAAGCAATTATACGCTCTCCTTCTTCTACTGGATCAACTGCACATGGCATTCGCAGATCGCTGTTCCCAATAGTGGCGGGGCGCGACGTCCGTGTTTTATGTAGACCGCACGCTAAGATGACAGCGGCGACTGCACTGAGGCGTTGCCTAGCTTCTGAGGCAGAGTTAGCAAGGCGCTGGCGACGGGTTGGAAAGGCTTACCTAGGAATCGTCCGTTGATGATATAGTAATGCGCCAGAAGAATCTCCGCCTGGATGTAATGCATCACGTCTTGAGGTCGCCTACTAGCCAACGCGTGCGCTGTTTGCGACGTTGCACGAGAAAGCATATGGGGTACGAGGGGAAGAAGAGAGGAAACCCGCAGAGCGGAGGCGGCGCAAAGGCACATGCAGGTGATCAAGGCAGAGGATCGTCCGGCTTGTATATCCGGTAGGACAGCAGACCGAAAGCGGGACTCGTCGAGGAAGAAACCGAAGTTAGCGGCGTATGGCAGGAATGTATGAACCCTATCTGGTGTCAACGCCAATATGCATTCAGAATCAAAGCGACGTACAGATACTGCACCACGCTGGCAGGCGGTTCGTCCGACGCCCACCAATTCGAGGAAGAAGCACGATCTGTCCCAGAAAAATGAGCTTCTGACTGCGGAATATAATGGCGCAACTGACCAAGAATACGAGGATACCCGGGAGGGTTGGCAGCTGTCGCCGTTGCGTACGGATCGTGCAAGGTAATCTCCGCTGTCGGACCGGAGCGCGAGGACTGAAGCTGCTGCAGACGTTGCTCAAGCGCTTGGATATTCTGCTCAAGGACTCGCGCAGGCGATGGGCCCGAATCTGTATACTCGCATTCCTCAGACCTATTGTGGCGCTCGCATTGCGCGCAGATAGGACGGCGACCGTCGCATTTCTGAGAGCAGGTGATTCAGTACTACGATACGAGTGATTGAAGGGAGCGGGCGTACAATACGTCCTGGGTAAACATCGTCGTTAGCCTGGAGGGTGACAGGATATGGTATGGGAAGGAAACATACTTTGACGGCAGGTGAGGCAAGCGTGTCCTCTAGTACCTCTTCGCCCATCTCCAGGGAACATAGGACTACCGATGCGCTCGGGAGGTGGGTTAGGTGTACTAGGACGGCTCATGTTGAAAGGTTGGTATCAAGGTTGCCGCTCACCGTGTAGACCATATACTACTTATATGAGGCGGCCTATAACACAGTGCCGGCGTCTTTGTCGCGCGAAGGGCGCATCAATGCCAAAGTCAGCCATATGCGAAGAGCGACAGGCACACAGTCTGTGGCGTTGCATTCCTGCAAGCCGCGGAGCCGTCATGTAGGTATTCTTGCGATATTGCCAGGTGCTCCTCAGGCAAAGCGGTTACCAAGCGACCTGGGCTGTGAAGCATCAATAGAATTCCAAGATGAGGGGTGGGGCGAAGGTGGGTTGCCCCCCTTGCCGCGAGAGGTCCGAATGCACTGGACGGAAATCGCCCGCGACGTAGTTTGTGTTTCCGACTGCGCGCTATACTTCTCGCGCATCTTCTGCTCCAGTGAAGACGGAGGAGTTCCTCCTCCGATACTGTATAGTTGTACAGACCATAGCAGGTGTGTTGCAACACCATGGCGGTTCATCTTGCTGCCAGTTGGTCTCGACTTTGGAGCAAGTTGTTCCTGCGCAGAAAGCGCTCTCTTTTGAGACTCGTCATTGACTTTGGGAGAGACAGTAGAGCGGCAATGCGGGGAGAACGTCAAGTGTATCATGCGCTACGAATGAGCTGCCGGAACTGCGATGTGGTGGTGGTTGATGGTGCACTTGCATTTTCGGCCAGGTGGCCGCATGTGACATTTGCGTGACCTCACACTTCCCACGGTTGAACTTTAAACGAGCGGATGCCTGCAGTCTCTTCCCAGGAGCACGAAGCGAAGCAGGGACCATGTGCTGCTCGTGGTGAGGGGAGACGTAAAGGAACTGGGTGAAGTTCGCGCAAAGGTAGGTTCGTCAAGGTAACGAGCAATACAGGATCTCCGTAGGATACAGCAGGCAAAGTAATGTCCTTGAAGCATGCACGAGACACGGGAGGAAAGCCACGGGAGAGCCTTCACTTGCGCTCGACGTCATATTCTCGATCATTGTCGTAGTGAATGGTCTGCTCGACATTGATCTTGACAGGTCCGACCTTGGAGGCTATGCCGAAGGTCCCATTCGTCGTGCTCTCTTCTTGTCGCTGGCCGGAGGGGGGCTGCCTCCTGGACTCCAGTACTATGACGGGCCCAGAAGAAGACGTCGTCCGGCCATCGCGCACTATGAAGCGGGCATTCAAGCTGAGAATAGATGAGTCGCGGCCATGAATGATCATTCTTGTCGACTCACGTGGCTAAGAAGGTGTTTGCTGGCGCACGACGTTGAGACGAGGTGAAGTATGAGATCAATCCCAGGGGACATACCGTACACTGAAAGCAGGGTCAGCAACGGCATTGATGACGTGGTCTTGAATTGACTTACGCTTTCCAATGGCAAAGTGGAGGCCCAAGAAGATGAAGTTGTCATTCATGGCGACCCACTGGGGATATGAGCTGTGGCGCAGGTTGTGTTCGGAGAAAGACTCACGCAGATCATGGACACAACAGTCGCAATACTAAGCGCCGGGTTGAGTGACCAGACAGACTAGACCGCAGGTCCAGGACTCACCAAGTCAGAGAGCCGTTTTCGAAGGCGTACAAAATGAGTGAGTCGATAACAGCGTTGAGACTAACGAAGTTGAGTGTTCGGGTGACGTGACGTTAGATAGACCACTCACTGAGGCATGCCGTTGCGGCTTCTGTACAGCAGTACAAATAAAGACACCGTAATCGCAATGTCGACGATGGACGACAGCGCGAGGCCGAGCGAGAAAACCCACTTGCCCTACGAAGTCAGTGGTATACACAAATATGTGAGGCTAACTCACGAAGAAATGGGCCTTGAAGGCGGAGAACGTGCCGTAGTACACCCTAGATTGCGTGAGCGGTTGCGTATAGGCAAGTGAGATTTTTTGCGCTCACATCGTTCCAGTAGTCACTGCAATGAGGCGCGTCAGAGGTGAAGCAACGGTGAGGTTGTTCCGAGCTCACCGCATGCAGATACTGTCCAATGACGTTGGTCAAGAACCGCGCAACCTACAACGAGGTAAACTCACTGAGACGCAGAGCTGCAAGGGCAAACTAGGGTATTTGTAAGTATGGATGAAGAAGGGTAATGTCCACGAGACGCACGATTGGTCCTGCGATGTAGTAGTTCTTGCGGCTCACTGCGTTGAAGATGAGCGCTTCGAATTTTTCTATAGAAGGATTGGCACGCACATAGGAAGATACGTCGTGTGAGGAAGCTGAAGAGGTGAGATAATGTCTTTACGTGGACTGAATGGTGCTCACATGTGTACGGTGAATGTGGTAATTGCCTACTAACAATGTCAGCTACCGCATACATGGATGAATGCAAGAAAGGGGCGCTCACCGTGAACATGATGGTGATCTGCGCGGGTCAATAAGCATCAATAAGCGCGAATTGGCGGTAGCTTCCTCACCGCAATGCTCCTGAGAAAGAAGCCATCAGCTGCGCTGAGAACTCACGGAGAGCTTGGTTAACTCACCAGTGTATCCTGTCAATCGTTCCTTGCTGGTGCCCCAAATATCCGATGAGGTACCTCCACGCTGCCGTCCAAATCATGGCGCTATGGATGATATCCAAGGACCATATCATGCCGACCTATAATTTTGACGCGTCAGGGAGGCGTTTCTCAAGCGCAGGGTGCGTACTCACAAGCGACTTGACCTTCATGCTGTCCTTCGGGTATAACTTCCTATAGACGACGGCCTGCGCTGTCACCATTCCGCTCAACCTGTGACGGGCTTGTCAGCGAAGGTCGCAACCAGGAAATCCACCACGCACAGAGCCGCGAACAGCGAGCCCAGCAGGATGGCTCCAAAGGTCGTGTTGATGTCCGCTGAGACCGCCATATCGTCAGCGAAGGAAGGGAGAAGAGAAACTCGCCAGACGCGCGCAACGGGCGCATTTATAACATGGATGACGCACCGCTGGGCGCCCCTATGGCTACGCGCCGACAACTTTATTCCACAGGGGAACAATAGCACGCGGTTCGCGTCAGCCCACGCGTCCCGAATGCACCTCGCCTGTGCGCGGCGCTCGCACGCGCGACGCCGCGGCAGCCCTCTTGGGATCAAGCTGCCCGTCCCCCCGGACTCACCCCGCGTCTTCCATCTCATCAGTGGCGGCAGTCACCTCCTTTTTGCACAGGGTGACCGGGATGGAGAACTTCCACGATTCCTCGCAGACTCAGAAGAAGAACTTCGTTAATTGAAACTGCTGGAGGTCGCGACATGCTCGCCGCCTGCGACACCCGCGCGTGTTGGCCGGCAATGCGCGCTGGGTTGCGCATTCTACCTCGGCGGCCTCGAAGGCGTCGCATGAGATCTGTATGCTGACCTCGAAGATCATCCCTCAGCTGTGAATATCGCACTTCATCGAGCAGAAGGCGTACCTATAGCTCTTTCTACTAGTCGATCCACTCGCGCACGACCGTCAGCTGAGCGCGGGGACGTACCGTAACAGTTCCGTCGGTCTGCCGCTGTCTCCGTGCAATCTCCTCGCCATCACTGACGCGTACTAATCACATATTGACTAGCAAATCGGAAGAAACCCGACGGTGTTTTGATCTCAGCCACAGGACCATCCGTTGTTGGTCCACCGCTCGTCTGGCGCGGCAGATCACTGACGAGTCTGCGCTGTCGAAGGCTTTGTAATTGCTGACGAGACAGAGTGCTAGCTGTGTAGTGAAAGTCTCGATAGCGTTTCCTAGTGAATTGCCATTGATAGACCGTGCAGTGAAACTGAATGGTGGAAGTCGAAAGAAAGCTACGCCACATGGAAACTTCCAAATTCAGCCATCTCCGAGTTTCCCCACATCGCCACAATTGTCGCAGATCTCAGATCACATCTTCCCGTTCCCACCACCCCGTCGCCATGCTCACACGCGCACTCTAAGCATTCGTATGGTCTAGTCCATCCTTTGTAATCATAAAGTCCAGTCCAACCTTCCATCTGAATCGCTGCATTAGAAAGAGAGACAACAAATCGAGTATTACGGTCAACATCCAGCTAAATATACATCGCGACGACGAGCGCGTAACGTAGACACAACCAACATATCTCACCGCCCGGGGGGCGTACAGGGGACGAATAAATCAGAAGAACAAGAGCAGAAGGGTCCCAACGAGTAACAAACGATCGTCGCGCAACGGAGACCTTCCCATCCACAGCTTCCTGCGCACCGAGAGTTACTCTCGCCATCGAGCACCATACACAGAGTCCCGCGAGCTACTTGCTGCCTCCGCGGTCCGACGACGATTCTTCGTCATACTGCACCGTGCGCTGGACGTCGACGCTGATCTGCAGGGCATTCAAGGTCTTGCAACGGTGTTGTTCCAGGCTGTCGGCTTCGCGGTCGTGTCGCTCGAGCACGATGATGCCCGGCTGGCCGATGGAAGAGCTTCTTGACTCGCGTATCATATATCGCATGTTGAGCCTGAAGAGAACGACGAAGTCAGCGATTCGACGGCGGGCAGAAATGAGAAGGCTCACGTCGCGAGGAAGGTGTTCGCTGGATAAGGACAGTTAGCAGATAATTACCACGCAGGATGCCACGGCAGCGCAAGTACGCACCGTATACTGCAAGAGGAGAAGATGGTCAGCCTTGCGAGCAATCAAGGAAGGCGAGAAGAACATACGCTTCGCGATAACGAAGTGCAAGCCAAGGAAGATTAGGTTGTGGTTCATAGTAATCCACTACGATAAAGTGAGTTCACGAACCGAGCGTTCTTAAGAAGACATACACAAATCATGGAAACAATAGTGGCAAAACTACAGAAGCCGTAAGCGTCGTGTGATGATGTATAGACACCGTACGCACCAGGTTAGCGATCCGCTCTCAAATGCGTACAAAATCAGAGTGTCAATCATGTCGGTCAATCTGCTTAACGGTCAACGAAGAAATCACCAACGAAAGGCCTCTGCTAACCCAGGCATGCTCAACGGCGTGCTCTTCCTGCTTCGATGCAAAAGGACGAAAAGACAGCCCGTGATCAAGGCGTCAACTGCGGACGAAAGAGCGAGTCCCAGCGTGAAGACCCACTGCAAGATATGTCAGGATGCGTATGTTGGATGATTGAGGGGGACATACAGAGAAGTGCTCCTTGAAGTCAGCGAAGTTTCCATAGTAATCCTGCTCATGGGTAAGCGTCAAGAAGGATGGCTATCCAGTTGAACCGTACATGGTTCCGGTTGTGACTGAACATCGTCAGTACGCACGCGGTTGTCTACGCGAAAGAAGAGGACGCACCACAGGCAGAAGCTAGGACGCAGTGTCAGTCAAGGGTGGTCTTCTTCTCAACATGAACAACTCACCTAGTCGCAGGACCGCCAGGGCACTCTATAGCGAAGTCAGCTCACCACATGGAGGGACGGGATAAGCGATCAGCAACTCACGACCGCCGCGGTGAGATAGTAGTTCCCATGAGATACTACGCCGGCAAACGCATTAGCGCGGGAAGAGAAGATGCTGCCTGCCACCCACAAAGATGAATCCGCCGAGCAAGGAACCTGCCACACGCGACCGAAAATGTCAGCACTAAGCGCGAAACATGCGTAGTGGGACGCACAAGTGGACAAGGAAGGTGAGAGATGCCTAAATGGAATAACAATGAGATCGTGTCAACATCCAGAACGGGAAATAATTACCGTAAATACGACGGTCATCTGCGGACGAGTCATGATGAGCGGGGGTAAGATCAAGAAAGTATTCGCCAGGACTACGCACCGCGATGCTCCTGCGGGTGCGTCAATGACATGATCCTACGCGAGTACAATCTGCAACGCACCAAGGTATTTCTGCGATACCCTGCGTATCGCCGAAGCCATCTATGAGGTAGGTCCACCCCGCTGCCCATACTGCCATGCTGTGGAGTGCATCGAGCAACCTGCGAACGGCGGGTGAGCGGATGGACGAATATAGACGCGGTATGCGAGCGCTCACCACACCGCGCCGACCTGGTCAGGGAGTTAGCGGGCGCGTCGAGGCGACAGGGAGGCGACGCACCAAAGACTTCAGCCGTATGCTGTCCCTCTTCAAGTACAACTTGACATAGACGACGGTCTGCGCGGTGACCATCCCGCCTAGCCTGCATACCTGATCAGCCTAAGACGGACGGCCCGAACATACAAAACACACCACGCCGAAAACAATCCCCCCAGCAGAATCGCGCCATAGGTCCTTGGCACAAACTGCGCATCCGACATGATTAGGCGAGCACGGAGGGAAAGGCGTGAGCGAAAGAGCGGGAAGGGAGGAAACGCAAGGAGAGGTAATGGGGAAAGGGGAAGCACGAGGGAGGAGAAAAGGTGCCTCCGCCAGTCCGCCTGACTTATATGAGCGCCCCCTCAGGGACATACATAGAAACGTCAATCTGCCTTCCCTGACATTCAATCCGCCGCCGCGCCCGGCGCGGTAGGCGCGTGACATACAGTCGGGGCTGCGTCGTCGCTTCCGCGCGCTTCTTGCCACCAGTGTTGCGCTGACCCGGGGTCATGACCCCGGGTCAGGGGTCACTGACCTTTGGCCTCGTAGCTGACCTGACCTGACCCCATCCTAGGGAGGGGTCAGCCTCCAAAAATCGCATAAAAATCGCATAAATTCCAGGAAAATCTGGAATATATCCTGTCATCGTAAGGACGTCTCTCGACCCTGCTTTCGTGTCGACGGAAGGTATCGACTCATTCAGATGGCATTGGCAGCCTGCCTTGCTACGTCGTTGCTGCCTGTTCAGCAACCAATATATTTCACAACTTACTACCTCAAAGACTGCGTAAGCTGGTCCTTCGAACGTCGCGTGGTGGTGAATGCCTGCACCAGGACTCGACGCGAGCTGACCTCTTCGGGAATTGCCGGACACGGTGGCACACCCTCTATTTATGCTTCCCGTCCCCTCCTTACGTTGAGTGCATACCGAGAGCAGGACTGAGTTCGGAAACACACCGACTCAGATGCGAAACCATGTAACGGATGTAGGTGCGGATGTAGGCGCGGATGTAGACACGGTAGGGCGGACCGACCCCCCGAGGTCAACTGAGACAAACACGGGACGTATTGTTCCCCTAATTGTACCATTGGTCCCGCCCCTTCCCCTTTACTCCCTTTCCTCCTCCCCTCATCATCGTACACGACGTCCACGACGCGTCCTCCTATCAAATACATGCTTGGAATACCCGCCACCGCCTAGAATGGTGCGAGGATGCGAGGCTTCTGCAGGAATTTCATCGGTGCGTGGCAACACCTTGCTCGCTTGCTCATTCACGCTGACCCCCCTCATGTGCAGGGTCCCTGTCGACGCCCGCCCTCCCCCTCCCTGCCCTACCTTTATCCTTCCACCTCGCCCTCCTTTTCTCCCACTCACCACATCCCGCCGACTTTGATCATGGGCGAGGAGCGATTGAATCGGCGCTACCCCTATACAGCGCCCTGCGGAGTTTGCCAGCCTCGGGTAGCCTCCGGCGGCTGGGGGAAACCTACGTTTCCCCCCAGACCCCCTTCCCTTGCGCTGCGCGACGATCATGTGGGAGACGCGCAGTGGGGGAAACCTACGGTCTCCCCCACACCCCCTTCCCTTGCGCTACCGCGACGATCATGTGCCTCCCCCACGCAAGCGCTCGCCACGCATCGACGACGACCTGCTCGACCTTCCACTTCGGCTGCCTCGGTCGCGCGATGTGGCTTCGAAGATTGGATACGATGACCCGCGCTTGCGCGCAGTCATCGATCCAACTTCTTCGCCTCATCACTTGACCTTGGCAGTCGTGCGTGTCGATCGAGCATGACGACGTCGATGCTAGCTCGCGCCCTATATTGTGTTCAATATAGTAGTAGATAGCAATAGACTCTCCTCAATAAATAAGTTGTAAACCACCTCATCTCGCAAGTGGTTTTCGCCCAAATTGTCAACTCGCCGCTTTAGTTCAAGGCCAAAGAGGCTGCTGTCTGATCATTGTACTATGTCTCCACGCTGCTCTCCACTTTCCGACCAGCACGTAAATTGATTGTGGGGACTTCACACCTAACTAAAATACTTCTTATGAAAGATCTAAAGAGATGTCCACCCGCCGGACGTTCAGGCAAATGCGATGGAAATATAGGAAAGGAGATGCACGATACGCGGGTCTATAGGCCAACAATGAAGCGCGGACCATCAAGGCATATTGCGCTCGCTAGTAGCGTAGGAATGATATGCTGATGGAAGGTTAAGGAGTCTGGCTAGGCGAGAATGTAGAACATACTGCAGGCGTCGGTGGAGTATCCAGATGCGTCGAGTGCGAATAGAATAATCTGCAGTTCATAAGTTGTGACGCAACACGCCGAGTATGAAAACATTCACATAGCGTATTGTATAGATGCTGTAGTGTATAATAGAGGTGGCGAAAGTAGAAGAGGAAGAGGAACAGTGGTGGTATGAAAGCAGGAAGCAGCACGCGGGCGAGCGGGGGCCAAACACAACCAATTCCCACGACCTGTCCTTATATGTATCCATTGCCCCTATTCAGGTCTCGCGGCGGAAAGCAAGGGGCCGAGACAAATACGCAGCCATTCCGTCCCGAGACATATCGTTCCGCGTTGTCAAACCGAACTGTCTAACCCAGGTGAGATCTACATGGAAGGCTCCACAAACTACATGGAAACGGAGGGATTCCGTCGTGAAACCATGTAGTTCCCAACACAAGCTCTTACTGGACCTGGGGGGCGAACGCGTATGGTAGCTCACGTGATGTCGGCAATTCCCGTTGACCCCTTCTGACCAGGGGTCAGTCGCCCTCCGGCACGCTGACCTGACCTGACTGACCCCTTGACCCCGGGGTCAGGTCAGCGTCTCTGACCTGACCCCCCCAACACTGCTTGCCACGTGTGCTTACGACGAATGGTCGACGATCTGAGGGCGCGGGTGTCTGGGGAGGCCATGGGGTACTAGCGGTGTGTGGAGGAAGTACGACAGGGGTTGATGGCACAGGAGTCATGGACTTGCAGCGGTGCGGGAAGACGGACGAGGACGCACTGCTGCTATTGCTCGGCTGGAGCATTGAGGATTGACCAAAATATCACTGGCCGACCGCCGAGGTCGGGTAAGTCCAACTTGGCAGTGATCAATGCGGCCCGTATGCTGGCAAGTTGCAGGGTGCTGTACATCCTTGAATGGGACGAGTTTGGAACAAGGCGGCATGCCAGCATGGCGCGAGACTGGGCGCTCTGAACCTTTGCGGCGCACTGGAAGCCGGGAGTGTACTGGCCGAAAGCAACAAACTGGTACGGAAATTCTTCGAGTAACCATTCTCCAGGGCTTGACAGAGTAGTTCGCTTGCAATCGCCTCATCGACCTCTCACCTGGTTCACCAAGTAGGTCTATCTGTTCTTCAAAATAGGACCCTCACTTTGGAAATCGAACGGATCTTCGTCTTAACAAGACTCGAGCCTACATCATGCAGCCAGCCGCAGCGGAGACCATGATGGGGTTTGAGGACTCCGAATGCGTTGTAGACAACTTGTGGGCGCCAATCACTAGACGGGCCGGGAGCCGCACCTTGCTCCCGACCGTCATCAGTGATCAGCATGCATCTGGCTCTATGTATTCTGGACATACAGATCGCCATATTCGACTTATTGAGTGAGAAGCGAGACCTGCTCAGTGCGATCCTCGTTTGCAAGGACTGGCAGGATGTGGGCGAGACGCTGCTTTGGAAGGAACTGCCCAATCTGATCCCTCTGCTCATGCTCATGCCCAAGGATGCATGGCGGGTCAACAGATTCCCGCAGTCTATTGTGCTCCCTTACACTTTTGTGGGTGGTGTTTTCCTTGAATCCATGCAATTCGTATCTTATCTTCTTTACTTCAAGGCCTTCACTCGGAAAATCACCGAGGATGACTGGTCGCATGTGTATCGACGCGCTCGTCTCGTCCGAAGCATCACTTTCGAGCTGCTATCGCACTCCCCGAGTCTCCTGAAGGAAGTGGCGCGCCGTCCTCCCAAGCGACCGCTCTTTTCGCAGATCGACTGTCTCAACTTCCGTGGAACGCCTGGCGACCTACATACTCGGCCAGTCCCCGATGGGTTCATGGACGTCTTTTACCACACCAACACAATCGTGGATCTGGATTGTCATAAGATATCGCCCTTCTGCTTACCTGACGCGCACAGGCTGCATGCTGTCGGTGACGTTTGGATCGTCTGGGTGCCGAAGCATGGACCAGGACTCAGTGACGAGGCGGCATGTCGCGCGCATGCAATCTCCGTCGTCGATGCTTTCCTTGCGTGTCAGCCAGCCTCGCTGGTTTTGTCATTCATCAAAGTACCCTTCTCTACCACGCTCCTCCAGCGTCTTTACGGCTGCAAATCTCTGTGCGAATTGACCGTCGCTTACGATAACGCCTATGACGATGCCCAACTCAGTGCGCCATACCCTACAAAAGCGAGCCTACCAAATCTACGCAGCTTGAAAGTTCGGGAGGCCGCGACCGCGACGTGCACCGCAGCTGCGATCGCTGCAGCTTGCACCGCGCTCTCAGAGTTGGAGGTCGACTTTGGCGATCATGGGGACGACACTCACCTTCTGGACCTCGCATCAACGATCCACTCGCACCTCGATGCATCTATGCTGCAGGTCGTCGCCATCTCCTGGCAGGGTTGGGCGCTACAAATGGCACACCTCGCACCGTTGACCGCGGCTGAGAACCTCGAAACGCTGTTACTGCTTGGGGGGCGGGCATCGCAGAGCATGCTCGCGGACGCGGACTATGAGCGACTCTTCCCCCACTGGCCGCGGCTGCAGACGTTGTGCGTCGAGGCCGAGGATGCCGTGGGCAGGTGCACGCTGGCCACGCTCGGCGTTCTGGCGCAGTGCTGTCACTATATAGAACGGATCGACCTTCCTCTGGCGGATGCGACGGCCCCTGCTCCTCAGCTCACCCAGATCGGGCAACCACTGAGCTCTGTGGAGGTCAATGAAGCTGCGGTACGACTCACATTCAATTTGGTGTCCGAGTCGGACCCGGAGACCTTGGCTACATTTCTGTTGGGACTCTTTCCTCGACTGGAGCAAGTCGTAGCAGGGCGACAGGTTAGAGATATTGTTGAGAGACACCAGTGGTACCAAGTAGGGCAACGGATCAAGGAGATGCAGATGCGGCAAAGTGCGATGGATGTGCAACACTAGGGACGTGATGGCCACGCGCCGCAGTAGCACTTCAACTGGCTATATTGTACGAGCGAGGGCGTATTTCTACACATTGTATCTCGTATTTTGTAGACTCTGTAAACTGCTCTCAACGATTTGACGATTACCATAATGACGATCCCTATAGAGGGCCCTAGAGAGGACAATACCCACCGGAAGGGCATGGATAAACTGCTCGATGAGCTCGATCGCGTGGCGGGTGAATTATGGTGGTATGCTCGTGCAGGTCCCTGACAGTGGACTTTCGAAGTGGCGGCGTAGTCATGTAAGAGGGAAATGAAATCAGTCGCTGTTTCGGCCGCCTATCTCTGCTTCTGAGCAATCCTGAGGGTGCTTGCTTGTTTTGAACAAAAGGTCTGAAAGGCTGTCTTCCTGAGCACGGGAAAGGAGTTTGCACGAAGATTATGGTCATGTTGGGTGAAGTGCATGGCGTTCGGTGAACATCGAGGTTCAGGACAAGGACGATGCGGTCGACGGGATCGGCGGTGCGGCGGGGCCGAAATGCGATCAGGGGCGCTGATCAACAAGTGCAAGTATCGTTCGCTTGTCGCCGAGAAATAACTCACGCCCGCCATTGTCCCCGCCGTTCCCCCGCTCAGAGCGCCGGCCCTGCTGCTATGGCTGCGCCGCAAACCACCCCGTCATCGTCGCCGACGACGACGCGAAAGACATCTCTGCGGCAGCGCCTCTTTTCGACCTCGTCCCGCAACAAGGCAACGCAGAACGACAAGGCAGCCCCGGATGAGAAAGCGTCCGACAAGGCCGTAGCCGCACTCGAGCACCCGTCAGAGTCCACAGGCGGTACCGATCGTGCGTACAGGCTAGCGGATAGTCGCTCCCCGCCCCTAATGTGCCCCTGATAGGTACTTTGACTGGCTCCCCCGACGACGGGCTGGCCCCGAAGCAGCAGCCGTCGAGTACCGGGCATAGCCAGGCCGCCACGGACGCGACATCCCCCAGCCTGGAGGGGGACAAAGAGAAGGGATCCCTCAGCACGACCCTCACCGCCCCAAATGACAAGCGTTCCCCCTTCTATCGGCGCCGCCAAAATCAGTCCACCGCATCGCAGGGCGCGCCCTCATCCACCACCGTCGGCAAGCCGCGCGCTCGGGCAGAAAATGCGGCACGCAGGCCCTCCTCCCTCTCGCGCATCATGCGCAAGCTGGTCCCCTGCATGTCCGCCACAAACATCGCGGATGACGCTGCCGACCCGACAACAAAGGTGGCCCTCGCGCCATCAGGCAAACAAGCGGATATAGCCTCGGAACGCTCGAGCTCAGAGAAAGCGGCATCTACATCAAGTGATCCTTCACCTTCCCCCTTGGCAATTCCCCCCGTTGACACCGTTATGTCTACGCCAGTCAATGCAGAGATCATCATCCCCCCACCCACCGCGGTGCCCACCGACGAAGACCCAGATGGCGTCACATCAGGCGCCGTCCAGCCACCTGGGTCGACGGGCGACGTGCCTTTGACAAGAACGCACACGCGGGAGTCTGGCTCGGAGGGGGCTTACACGGAATACGACGCGGACGACCAACAATCTTACGACGAGCAAGCCGAGGAAGACCGGCTCATCAAGAACGGGGGCAATGGCATACCAATCGGTCCAGTAAGTGTGCTTCAACCTCGCCTCCGCGCTCGACGTTGACTCGCGCAGGATGGCAAACCTCGGCCTCTGCTCCCGCCGATCGCCCCTGAGCATGTAGGTAAGAAGTGTCTCGTCCTCGACCTGGACGAAACCCTGGTCCACAGCAGCTTTAAGGTGCGTCGCTAGCGATTCCGTTTGTCGTTGTATCTAATGTGGCAATGTATCAGCCGGTACCCCAAGTGGACTTTGTGGTTCCTGTCGAAATAGAGGCCCACTGGCACCACTTCCACGTACTCAAGCGACCAGGCGTGGACAACTTCCTCAAGAGAATGGGGGAGCTGTACGAGGTCGTTGTCTTTACGGCGAGTCTCAGCAAGGTATGACCATCTCATCAGTACATCTCCGCCGATACTGACTCGACATCTTAGTACGCGGATCCGGTACTTGACAAGCTGGACGTGCATCATGCCGTCGCGCACAGGCTGTTCCGCGAGAGCTGCTACAGCCATAGAGGCAACTACGTTAAGGTGAGATTCATACCTTCTCGTTTACCAATCGCGAGTACCAATTCCAACCGCCCAACCGCTAACACCACATCCAGGACCTCTCCCAACTGGGCCGTCCCGTCGCCGACACCATCATCCTCGACAACTCGCCCGCCTCGTACATCTTCCACCCCAACAACGCCGTCCCCGTCTCCTCATGGTTCAATGACCCTCATGACGCCGAGCTCACCGATCTCATCCCCTTCCTGGCCGATTTGACGGCTGTGGACGATGTGAGGGGCGTGCTGAGCTTCGATCGATGAGTGCGCGGGCGATTGCATAAGCCGCCGCGACGCTGCACGATCGGTCGTCGCGTCGCATGAGCCGTCTCGCGCGACCCGCCCCTTCATCATGCTGCACCCCTCCGAGCGCCACCAGCTTCTCCGTTTCCGCGTAGAGCATCGCCCTCCGCCCGTATAGCGTGTACACCAGCGATCGCCGTGTTTATACCCTCGGCCCCGTCCACCATACCTTCACACCTTCCCGTGCATATCTTTCTCCGTGCCTTCAGCCACGTCCTCATCTTTCTCCGCAATCTGTCTGTGCCTCTTACACCCATCCCGTCCGTGTTTATCCCGTCCCATCCGTGCTCTATCTCTGCTGCACATACCACGCTCGTTCACTCTTCACTTTCTCCCTCGCTCTTTGGGTCTCTGCCGCTCTCTCGGGGTGTACACATTGTCGGACTATGGACTATGCATCCTATATACACATTGCTGTGCATGATCCTACACATCGTCCTACAAAGGCGCGCCTCGTCCGTCCGGCGTGTACCACCCTCGTTTCCCGCTCTGACAAGTACATGGTGCCGGCTCTTACATACCTATACGCTATGCAATGCGCATACACTGCTATCTATCCATCGCTGTTGCATGCGCGTCGGTGTATCCCAGCAGGCGAAAGATTGATAGAGACAACCGCGCTGGTGGAGCGCGCGAGATTCGAGCTTTGGTGGAGCCGCACGTGGCGCTGCCTCTCAGAACATCTGAAAATTCATACCACTCTCCGGCAGCCAGAAAAGCTCGGGATTGCCTCGAAATGGTCCGTGAACCATACGCCGACAGGTAGGTGTCCGATTCTTGAGGAGGCCGGCCACAAGCCTATCCCTTGACTTCGTCGGTGCGGTGCTCCACAGGCACTCAGATCACGCGTGCTCCACCGACCACTTCGTCTCTAACGATCTTTCGCTTGCTGTCAGACCTGAGTCAGTAAGCTCACCTATCCTGGATTGACTCGACTCCACTGGCGGAGCTTTGGGAGATTTGTAGATGTCTGCAGCTGTCAATCTAGCGAGATCGGTCAAAAAGGTTCGTTCAGAGGGCGATTCGAACACCCGCGTGCAAAGCACAATGCCTGGGCTGAGACTACGGGTCGTAGCAGGGCATCACCTTAACCACTCGGTCATCTGAACTTGACAGCGGGACCAATCCAGACAGCCCAGATCGCTTCTGACTTCAAAAGAGTTGATCCCACTAACGCATGCATCAGTTCCGTAGTCAATCCTCTCAATGACTGGCGCCGGACTAGCCAGCAAGAGCGTACATTCATTGTTACATACAGGCCGTATGCGCTGCATATAGCCGGGGGCAGTGGTCCAGGAATAGTCCCTACATGATCAGGCAGCTCTCGCCTCCTCTGTCCAGCCTGCGCGTAATCTCGTCCGGGTCGACACCATGATGGTCTCCACCGCCAATCTGAACGATGAGCACGCCAGCATTATCCGGGTCGAGGTCGGCAGCAAGGTTGTGCCTACGACGTGGTTCAGGGAAAAGAGTAGGAGCAGAATGAGGGAGGCTACGCACTTCGCCATGAGCTGTTCAATAGCAGGCTTGATCCTAGCGGCCTTCCCGTTCGAATGCAGACCCTTACCTGAGGTGGGGTCAGCACTCCGACACTGCGGGACAACAGGGTAGCACGCACCGACGATGAGGTGAATCTCGCGATCACCGCGCCTCTTCGCGTCCTCGATGGCAATCTCGGTACGCTCGACGGCCTCCTTGACGTACAGTCCATGAAGGTCAACCTCGCCGGGTTTGGAGTCCTTAGGCCGCGGTCAGCGTTCCCCTCTTCGCCAAGCCCAGGCCGGGAGCTAGCCCACCTTGTTGTTCTCTGCAGAGTATCGTGAGCCGAGGAGCCATTGTCCAGAAGCAGTTTCCACGCACCGACAAAGATCCAGTCCGCGGCCTTCTTGTTGAACTCCTCCATCTGGCGCTGGTGCGCCTTTCCCTCGTTCGACAGCTCCTTTGCGCGCGCGCCATTGCCAGACGCGTACGCCGTGTGGCTCTCCTCAAACGCACGCGCCATCGCGTCGCCCTCCTTATTCGCGCGCGCGCGGAGGTCGAGGTAGTAGGGATCGGACTGGTTGACTAGATTCGGGTCCTGAAGCGGCACATACGGCGGTAAGCACAGCGTCCGACGCTGCGGCAGCGGGGCTCTACGCAGCGGGGGCCTCCATAGCGCGCGCAGGAGGCCGAGGATCATCCCATAGGGTGCGATGGATGGGGGAAGAGAACAAGGAGGTGCAGCACGCGACTTACGGTACGTTTGCCGCCATGATGCGGAGCTTCCTGGTGCTGGGGGCGCTGCTCCTGCGGCCGGTGTTGCTGCTGGGGCGGGTACTCTTGCCTTGGAGGACGTTGTTCGTGGGGTCTGTGCTGTTGCTGTTGTTGCTGTTGCTGCCACTGTTCTTGCTTCGGAGGGCGCTCATGCTGCGCGGCTTGATGTTGCTGCTGAGGCTTCGTCTCTTGCTCATTCGTGGAGGACCCGCATATTAGATGGTAGAGCGACTTGACGATGCTGCCCAACATGATGGACGTAGGGACCAAAGGCTACTGTGGTGCTTGCAACGCGGCAGTCGTCACGATTTAGCTCTGCCACCATGCTGCGGCCTACCGTCATCACACTGCAGGCACCTCAATACCACGCTCCCCTTGGATGTACGCAAAAGGTCATTGTCAAACACGATGAACTACGCAAGACGAGATTTTGGACGTAAACCGAAGTACCAGAGTAAAGACAGACAAGAAGGCGTAAGGCATGAGTAACATGGGGGCGTAGATCAAGCACTGCGTTGCCAACGATCCTACAACAGCGACATCGGATAGAAAGAACCTACAGACACGGGGTCCTTGGCTACGTCTCCAGACGACGATCAGCATATCGCGTTCGCTCTCAAGATACGTACTGCTGGATTAGATCTCCATTCCAACCATGACGAAGGCAGGGTCAACACGGAAGTCGGGCTTCGTGACGACCGTACCACCAACGTACATGAGGGAGTGCAGCAAGTCTCCAAGAGCAGGCGAGGCGCGCTCCAATACGATGATGAGCGCCTCACATCCCAGCCGCTCGTCCGCAAGGTCCAAAAGAGCAACGATGCTACGACATAGTCAGTGAAGAACCAGATGGCAGGACGATCGAGCATACCTCTCGCGAAGGCTAACGGACTGAGCATTCTTGCCGTCGACGTAGAGCGTCTTCGGTTTGCCTGGGAGAGAAAGTACAGCTCCATTAAACTCGGCGCCCATGTCGGGCGAGTTGATGGATACGCTCTTGGCGTAGGGCAGCGCCGAGAGACCGTCGTCGGGAAAGACTGTCATGAGGAAGTCAAGGGCGTCCTGGCGGTTGGCGTCGACATCGCTGTCGCTATCACTGTCACTGCCGGTATCCGGCGTCAGAGGCGGCGTCTGGAGTGCAGCAGAGTGCGAGCGGATCGGGATGCCGCGCGGGCTGTAGGGACTTTGAACGGTCGTAATAGGTGGTTTGTTGTGAGGATAGATGATAGACTTCGAAGAAGGCGAGGAGGAGAAAGAGGTATCGGACGCTGGGCTGCCTGTCACACAGTCCAACGACCCTCGGTCGGGAGGGCATTTTGCTTGGGGGATGTCAAAAACGCCACTACACAAAGTCAATACAATGGTTCCCATGTAGAAGATAAGAACATACCCCCGGCCCGCCAGAGAAGGTAGTAGAGTAGTAGTACATGTCGTCGCTGCCCTGCATGTGGCAGACGGCTAGCACACTTGGATCTGCGCCGAAAGGAAGTGAAGCCCCATCTCCAACGATCTGGCGACCGTTGCTGCACAGGTGAGTCAGCAATCGGGCCGCGCCACTTTGGCCATAGACTTACGTGGGGCAAAGACTAGATTGATAATTCGATAAATTCGACATTGTTTTCAGCGACATGAGGTGCCAACTTGGTGGGGGACTTTGATTCAGAGGGTTATTGACTTTGTGCACGGTGCAGCGATGTTGCAGAGGACAAGGAACGCTTGGCTCCACTGCGCCGAATTTCGGTCACCGGTGATGCCAAACATGTGCAAGCAGGGCCCCCTCCGCTCAGGACCGGACCCCCGGTCCACAGAAAGTTGTAAGGGTCCTCGACAGCAAGCCCGACGACGACCGCGACCTCAAAACTGTGAGTATGCCGTCCTGCTCGCCGTAGACAGGCCGAACGATGTACTCTCTTGCGAGGGGACACCGCTCAGGCGCTGGAATCGCTCGTTTTGCGCTGGATCGGTCGCACATCTGGCAGATGTACTGACTGCCGCGACAGAACTTCTCATCAAGATGGCTGACGCTCCCCGTGGTCGTGGCGGATTCGGACGTGGACGTGGTGATCGTGGCCGTGGGCGCCGCGGTCCCCGTCGCGGTGGTCGCAAGGACGAGGAGAAGGAGTGGTGCGTCGCAGTCAGTGATCGTGCGGCATCTGCTCATATTCCCCAAGGGTCCCCGTCACCAAGCTCGGCCGTCTTGTGAAGGATGGCAAGATCAAGTCAATGGAGGAGATCTACCTCTTCTCGCTCCCCGTCAAGGAGTTCCAGATCATCGACTTCTTCCTGCCGAAGCTCAAGGACGAGGTCATGAAGATTATGCCCGTCCAGAAGCAGACGCGTGCCGGCCAGCGCACCCGTTTCAAGGCGTTCGTTGCGATCGGTGACTTCGACGGCCATGTTGGTCTCGGTGTCAAGTGCGCGAAGGAAGTCGCGACCGCCATCCGTGGCGCCATCATCCTCGCCAAGCTGTCCGTCATCCCTGTCCGGAGAGGTTACTGGGGTGCTAGCCTCGGTGACCCGCACACGGTGCCCTCAAAAGTCAGCGGCAAGGTCGGCTCCGTCATGTGCCGTCTCATCCCGGCCCCTCGTGGTACTGGTATCGTCGCGGCGCCCGCTTCCAAGCGCTTGCTCCAGCTGGCTGGTGTTGAGGATTGCTACACCCAGTCCAAGGGCTCCACCGCCACGATGGGTAACTTCTTGAAGGCAACGTTCGCTGCCGTAAGTGTCTTCCGCTCAAGATTGTGACTATCTGCTCACAGAACATCCAGCTTACCAAAACCTACGCTTTCCTCACTCCGGATCTCTGGCGCGAGATTCCTTTGTCGAACCTGCCGTACGACGAGTACAGCGGTCACCTCCAGATGACGCAGCGCATCAAGTGAGGGATAGATATGCATTCTATGTTGTATGTACCATCGCATTAGGCCTATGGGATTTTTCTCGCATCCTCCGTCCTGAGAGAGCGTGTCCTGCACGAACTTGTCTCTCATACGCCGCACTTGGCTTCAGAAAGTGCTCTCGTGCTTTCGTGCACATTCGAAGATCGTGGGGATAGGTTGACAGTGGTAGGCAGGACCAGCCAGATGAATGTCACCTTCAATTGAGCTCAACTACTTCCCAGAGTCAACCCAGAACGACTTGACTTTGTATCCCCATCGGGATGGCCATATCACTGCATGCGGTAGTCCTTCGGAAGCAATCTACACGGCGGCGAGCATGAATGACAAGTCCGAGCACTCCTGAATTGATGCCGTACGCTGCTTTGCCTCACTCTTTCACTTTCCCATCGCGCATCCTGCAGCGAAGTTTTCCTTCCCGCCATTGATAACGGCTCTGTCAAAGGACTGAGCTATCCCCACCTCCTGCGCTGCCCTCCCTTCATTCTTCCCCAACCACAATGAATTCCTCTACGTCTGCCGATCAGTCTCGCTACGAGGCGGGTCCCCGATGCGCATCCTTCACCTCTGCAGAGTTTTCTTCGAACTCGCCTACGGTGAAACGGTCCCAGCTCAATCGCCAACGGCGATACGCGAATTTCTTCCCCTCGCACAGCTTCGACGCGCAGCTGGCGAACTTGAGCCTCCCTGATGAGAAGGACACGAATCCGGACGAGAATGCGACTAGGCGTCGCGCTCTTTCATCCTTCGAGTATGTCTGTGCATCATACAGCCTGCACGCATACTGACGTTCCTCGGCAGCTTGCCCTCACAAGCTATGGATGCCAACGAGTCTTGCATGCTCCGCCAACCACCCATCAGCCCACGACGTGCCCGCCGCTTTTGTACCGATTTCGGACTGAGTCGCATTGATCCCCCGCCCACTCTACCGCCGTCCACAGACCCTTCGGAATGCCCCAAGCCTTCACCGGCCGCCGGCGCCGTTGAGGCGAGCGATGAATTCAGCCTCACTAGCGCGAACACCACGCCGCTCGCGACACCCTCCTGCACGCTATCTGACGAATCATCTATGTATGACGGGAACATGGCGTTTCCCCAACCGCCATCCATCTCGCCACTCCTGCGACACATCCAGAGCAACCCCTCCTTGTCGACTCGCCACGTCGACGTCCGCGCGACATCCTGGCGTGCTGCGCCAGCGGCTGAGGATTGCATCGCCGTGCGGACAGTTCGCGCTGATGGAGGGTGGGCGAAACACACTCCGGAGATGGACGAGCCTTTCGATCCTCGGATCCCCGCCTCCAAGTCGCTGGTCGCACTGCTGGACAGTCTCACGTTCGACGATGAAGACATGCAAATGGCGGGCGAGGCGCTCGTGATGGCTGAGGATCCGCGTCATTTGGTCATCACCAGTCCTGCAGAGGAGCGACGGGTCCGCCCAACGCCGCCTCTTCCCTCCCTACCGCCTCCGTCGTTGGTCCCGTCGCCCCCATCTCCGCCCATCACGAGGACTCGCCGACGCTCGGCTACGCTCAGCCAGCTTGAGCAACTCCCTCGCGTCTCGGCACCGTCTCCTCCGCCTGCGTTGCCTACGCCTGCCGCGCCTCAAAAGGACGTCAAGGTCGGACGCGTTGTGCGCGCCATCCGCAAGGTTACCAGCATGAGCTTCCAGCCCCAGCCGGTAGCGGTGACCACTGCACCCGAGGTGTCGGCGCAGCGTCATTCAAGGATGAACGTCTTCGCCTCGACGTCGACGTCGGCGGCCCAGGAGTGGAATGCCAAGCTCAGGACGATGCCGACGCTGGCGTCTGAGCCTGTCATGAAGCTAAAGCATCGCTCGTACGCGCCACCTCCCTCCCAGAACACCTTCCTTCAGGCGCCGTTCACGCATCGGCCGTCGCGGAGCACGGGCGCCGCGACGCTGTTCCCGCCCCCGCCGGACGTGCACCCTCGCTCGTTCATGGACCTGACGCCCGAGCGGCGGCTGAAGCGGCAGCCGTCCATGTCGAAGGAGAAGATGAAGAAGTTCCTTGCGCGGGCCAGCGGGGTGCTTGGCTTGGGTCGCAAGAAGGCTTGACAGACTTTTATTTCGAACGCTGCGCTACGAAAAGTTGTTTACCAAAGTGTATTTGTATGTCCTCTGCCTCTGTATCTCCCCGGGTATCTAAGTATCTCTCGTTTTGTTGCGTCTCGTGCTGCCTGTATGTTCATTGGAAGTGTTTGCGTGTGGGTTCATGAGTGGACTTTCGACAATAAGCCCTGGAATCCCCAAAGTCCCCTACAGTAGTATACATATGTTACAGCGTCCATACGAATCGGAATGGTCATACATTTGTAGCAAAAAAGCGCGATGTTAGTGTGCGCGGCATTGGACAGAATAACAGCATCCTTTGAATTCGCCTTGAATGATGGGCCGTCCAAACGTATACGTTAAACCCAAGCATTGTCAAGTGTTGTCAGACCTTCACTGATCCTTCCACATGAGACCCGAAGACTGTCAGACGATCAGCTACGCGGAACAAACATGACAAGGGACAAAAGAGCATACCAATTCCTCAAAGTCGTCCGAAAATCGTAGCTCAGCAGTAGCGTGCACCGTCACATTAGCGCGTGCTGCCAGGTCCTTGTACACTTCGTCGAGGTAGTAGCGCGTGCCCTTGACGTCCCCGACGTACAGCTCGACGTTCTGTAGATGACGGGGTTCTAGGGACGCGAGATGTCCTGCGAGATGCATCGCGCGCGCTATCTCTTCTTCCTCGTCTTCGTCAGACAGCACCGGAGCCGGGGCTATCTTGAGGACCTCGAGTCCAGATAGCAACGCGGGCCGGGCATCCGCCAGAAGACTGAACAGATGCATGACCGAATCCTCCACCAGCGTAGCGAGCAACGCGAACTCGGGCGACTGCCGCAAGACGAGCGTGCGCAGATTTGGGCACGCCTGGATGATATTGAACGTCGACACCGGGCTCATGTCATAGTACACGCTCAGCGTCGTCACGTTCGCGCCGCCCGAGCGCTGGATGAAGGAGAACAGCGAGCCTGGGAGCGTGAACTCGGGCGCGGTTACGATGACCTTCTCGAGCGCGGGTGCGACGATGAAGGGGAGGCAGGTGTGCGGGTGGTGCCACGCGAGGCCGAGGACGCGCAGGCGGGGGAGCTCGTGCACCTCGAGGTCCTCGGTACCGTGGCGCATGCCGTTGCCCTGGAGGGCGCAAACCTCTAGATTGGGCATGAGGGAGAGGATAAGGGTGTTGCGGCAGGAGATCCCGGGTCCGGCGTAGTGGGTGATCTGCGACCATGGGAGGGCCAGGCGAGAGGGCCGCACCTCTCCTGCGAGGGTTAAGCGGTGCAGGTTGGGCGCAGGGAGAAATGGCAGGCGGGCGGTGATATCGTTGGACGAAGACACGAGCCAGTTGAATTGCTGAAGCATGGGGAAACCTGCATCGTCACCATCCCTCATCACGTCTTGCAGCATCTTCAACCCGACGCCCAAGAACGTGACGCTCTCCCATCGGTGACGCTCGGCCCATAGTCGCTTCAGTATGTGCTCCCAACCGTCCCAGGGATGAAGAGAGATCCGCAGATCGAGTGGCTGATCGTGCGAGCGGGCAAGGTAGGCGTCGAGCGTGAGGCGTGCCTCCAACATGCGGTCTATGGATTTGGATGGGTTCCTAGACGCGAATGTCGCCCTCGCAGGTGTGTATGTGTCTATCCTGTTCCAGAGGGTGGGCAGTTCGTGCGCAACACCGCGCCAGATGCGGCAGACCTTGAGTAGCGTCCAAATAGGGTCGGTATGCACGAGTCCGAGGCAGCGATCGCCTATGAATTGGGAGAAGATGAGGCGGAGAAGCTCTGGAGGAAGAGACTGGATGCACGAAGATGGCGTGTTCTCCTGCTCGTTGTCGTCATCTGATTTGGGCGTCGGTTCGCATTCATCGGCGAGTGCGTCTAGTGCGTCTGGGGCACAATGCCAAGGATCTACTCTGGTGGACGCGCTCTCTGGCATCGAGTAGAGGTCTATCTTGACGAGGCGCTTGCAAAGATCAATATCTGGAGTGCCGTTTCTGTAGATAACGTCCATGAAGAAGGAGCAACCTTCGCAAGGAGTCACGACGTACCTGAGGTTGAGGAGCTTAGGGTCCATGCCTGGCAGTTCCATCTATTGAAGAATAGTCTTGAGGTTATGGACAACGATGAGGGGTTAGGGAAAGCCCCCGCTGGGGATGGGGGGCGTATATGTAGCAAGCAGCGGAACGTAACGGTCGGAGATCTGAGGAATCTGGGCGCGTCGGGGGCATGTCGATTTCCCGGCCCGGAAAGCCGGATCTTGGCTTCAATACAGCGCCACGACCAATCGACAGCGGGGCGCGTACGCTCTCTTGACCTCGACCATCCGCGAGTCCCATGCATTGGGTCCGGTTGTACGTCGTTTAGGACGTGGGAGGGGGCGTATCGGTCAAGGAAGTGGTTAAGCATGCGCGTCGTAACGCTGATGGGTCCGCTTCTTTGTCCACCTAAATTGATTATTGAAGACTACCAGTACAGAGTCGACTCACTCGATTCGAACGGTGGGATCTTGAGAGGGGGAGGGAGACATGCGGTGGGTTCCAAAAAAGAACAATAGCACGGGGCCCCGGGCCGTCGCCCAGATGAATGCCAGCATCGAGGCTGGACTTGACGATCTTCTCTTCAGCACGCCCATCTTACTTCCCCCATGTTTTTGCTACTTTGGATGCAAAGCACAGAGCTCTGCAAGCCCCGAGCCCCGGTGTAACCTCCCAGGGCTACCGACAGTACCTGCTCAGTCAAAGCCGAATTCGGAATATTGTGTGATACGGCTATCTTATCGGCTCATGCGTCCGACTTGCGATAGCGTATATATACTCGACCGTGGTGGTACCTCGCCAGCGCCACGTCTCCCACCTTATATCCCACCACCACCACCATGGGCGCCGCATCTTCCAGACCCGAGACCGAGTCGAGCTCGTCGCAGTCCGACAAGTCGTACGAGAAGCAGCGCGTCGCCGTAGACTCCCTCCCCGCGCGCATGGGTGCCCTCTCGCTCGATGGCGCGCTCTCCCTGCAGAACCTGGAGTCCTGGGAGAGCGACGTGTCCGCGGACCCCAAGGCGCAGCTCGCACGCACTATCCTCGCGCACAACGACATCCGCACCGCGCTCATCTCGCGCAGCGCCAAGGTCGCCGACTCGCACGTCTTCAACACCCAGATCGACTTCAAGTCGGGGCCGGTCACGAACCAGAAGAGCTCCGGCCGCTGCTGGCTCTTCGCCACGACGAACGTGATCCGGTACGATGTGATGAAGAAGCTGAAGCTCAAGGATTTCCAGCTGTCTCAGGTGCGTCCCCCATTCACGTGTCCCCACAGGCGCGATAAGGCTGACAGACCCGCAGAGCTATCTGTTCTTCTACGACAAGCTGAACAAGTGCAACTACTACTTGGAGTCATCGATCGAGCTTGCGGACCGCCCGCTTGATGACAGGCTCGTCACTCACCTTGCTGGCGACCTCATCAGCGATGGTGGTCAGTGGGATATGGCTGTCAACATCCTCGAGACCTACGGCGTCGTCCCTCAAGCCGCCTACCCGGAGTCCTTCCACTCATCGCTCTCTTCGCCTTTGAACAACTTGCTCTGCAAGAAGCTCCGGGAGCATGCCCTCATCCTGCGCAGGCTCGTCGCGTCGCTTCGCGCCGACTCTAGCCTCAGCGAGTCGAGCATCCTTGCTGTCGTCCGCTCGAAGAAGGAGGAGCTCATGAAGGAGATTTACACCATCATGACTGCCACTTTGGGCGTCCCGCCCAAGCCGGATGACAAGATCTCATGGGATTACTACGATGAGGATGGCAAGGCTGGTCACTGGGAGGGTACCCCGAAGCAGTTCCTGAAGGCGTTCAGCTCGAAGGCATACCCCCCTGCCGAGTCCTTTTCGCTCATCAACGACCCGCGCAACCCGTACAGCAAGCTCTACACCGTCGACAGGCTCGGTAACGTTTGGGGCGGTCGTCCGGTGTCCTGTAGGTTCCTCGTCCCCCATCGACATATTCAACACTAACTCCTGCCAGACGTGAACACCGAGATCGAGCGCATGAAGGACGCCGTCGTCAAGATGATCAAGGCCGGCCAGCCCGTCTTCTTCGGCTGCGACGTCGGCCAGTCCTCCGAGCGCACCCAGGGCATCATGGATACCGCGCTCTTCGAATACGAGCACGCCTTCGACATCAAGCTCGGCCTCACCAAGGCCGAGCGCCTCCAGGTCGGCGAGTCCGCCATGACGCACGCCATGGTCATCTCCGCCGTGCACCTCGACCCCGCGGGCAAGCCCGTGCGCTACAAGGTCGAGAACTCGTGGGGCGACGCGGTCGGGGACAAGGGCTACTTCGTGATGACGGACGCGTGGTTCGAGGAGTATGTGTACCAGATTGTTGTGCCGAAGGCGCTGGCGCCGCGCGACCTCGTGGCCGTCTTTGAGGGCAAGGAGAAGACGGTGTTCCCGCCGTGGGACCCGATGGTGAGTGGGCAATCTATGAGCAGTGGCCTCTGTGAGACTGATAACATTGCAGGGCACCCTGGCGTGAGAGGTAGACCGCATGCAGATAAATACATATTATGGCAGTTCGGAACATGTATATATATAAACGGGTCATTCTTCACGTTCTGCATGCACGCTGTCGCTTTCCCGCAAGGCTTTCCAAAATCTATCGTGAACCGTTGACGAGACTTGTCGACCAATACTCCTGCTGACGCATTCCATGATTGCTTCTGGTGATGCTGGTGAATCCACTTGCCTTGTATAGCGTTCGAATTGTCAATGAGGAGGTCCTTTTCAAGGCGAGGACAACGGTGTGCGACAATCTATGCTCATCGGGGCCCTACTGGCTTGCGCGTGGCCTCGCGAATCCTCACAGATGCTGTGTGTGGTATAGGATGGCCATCCTTCCGTTTTCTCCCACTGGGCTCTCCCGTATTGTCCGGCAACCCCTCCGGCGCACCATCGCCCACGTAGTTGGGTAGCAGCTGCTGCACGCCCTCCTCCTCGTCCTCGTAGAAGACCCGCACCGGCGCAGCACCGCCGTCGCTATGCACAACGTAGATGTTGCGGCCACTGTCCTGCCTCCTGTCGCCGCGAGGCCGGCGAGCGGACTGGCTTCTTGCGGGATTCTCCGAGGAGGGAGGGCCGTTGGTGGTCGTCTCTAACTGCGTCTGTGATGCGGTACGCACCGAGGACGAGCCCGACCCAGTGTTCACACTTCCAGCAGGCGAAATGGCCTTTTTGAGGTGGCGACGTACGAGGAAGATCCACACGCCAAGAGCCCCGATGACGAAACCCAGGAGAGCAGCGCCAGCTCCGGTACTAGACATACGATGAGTATGCTATCCGGTCATCTCGATTCCAGGACAGACCCCGCAGCAGCTCCGACTGGCACGACGGTGCCCTGACTGGAAAGAAAAAGAAAAGGGTTCAATATGCATATACGAAGCGATGTTACTAAAAAAGCTCACTGTTTCGCCATGCAGGAGGTCGTCCCTTCCCCGCTATGTAGCAAGCCGTACGACCAGACGTTGCGCTCCGCGTCTGTGACCTTCAGGGCTATATTCAATGAATTCCATTACACACTCGAAGACTCAACGCACCGATACAAAGAAGGGGGTACCCCACGACAGAGAGACCGTCCAGTCTGCGCATGAAGCTCGAAGGGGCAGCGTTCAAAGTGCGCGCGTGGTTACTCACTGAAGCTGATTATCGAAGCAAAGGTCGCATTGTACGGAAGGTGTGAGGGCGGCGCCACCTGAGGACAAATGAGCTAGAATTTGCACAGGCCGAAGCTGGATACCCACTATGACCGTGTACGGGGCCGTCCCATTCTTCGGTGATATTTGAATGGCCGAGCACCGGAGTCTCGTGAGCATCGTTAGTTTATGCAGGAGATTGGGAGTACCTGTGGTATCCACCCCGTCCTGGATAGCGGCCCCGATACGATGTTGGCCTCGACGTCGAGGTTCTGGAGTTGGCTGAAGGTCTGATTCGTACATGATCCGCTAGGCTCCGTCGCGCTCGACACGATGCTGAGGAGAGAGCTGCAACCTCCGGTGTAACCGTTCGCATCGAACTGGCGACCTATGATGAGCACGACGCCAGAGAATACGCGAGTTATTGCACCGCACCATACATATCTGCATCTACAAACGGGGTCAGACTTGTTTTAAACCTCTGGGACGAATGCTTACCTGAGTGCCCGGCGGAAACGGTACCTCGAAGTCGTATCCAAACTCTGCATCACTGGGAAGATCGAGAATGAAGGGGACAGTGTATCTCCTGGGATCCGTCGAGGTCAATATGAGTGCGTGCGTTGGAGGTTTTGTTTGCGGTTGCATACGAGGTGTATACCAGGAGTGAATAAGGCGTCGTTGCGCTGGGTCTCTTCAACCGTGTTAGCTGAGATCGAGTCCAAAGGATCGAGTTACGTACCCTGTAGCCGTGCCACGATCCCACTTGAGGCGCATCGTCTCGCATTGTTCTGCATGTCAACGGCGACGTTGTAGCCGTGCGGGTGTGGACGTCGTGAAGAGGAGATTAAACGGCGAGTATGGAGCGACGAGGGAAACGGGTATGCAAGTAAGGCCACAAGCGAGGACATGTTCACCGATAAGCACGACGTCGCGCAGGTATACTGCACGCACCATAGACAGGAACTGTCTTGACTTGCCCATCTTCGGCGTACAGGTCGAACTCCCAGGACTGCTGGAATGAGCTGGCATACGAGGACCGCAAACGCGGACGCACCTGTTGCATAGGCTTCAGTACAATAGCCCGTACGCTCGCGCACATGAAGATACACGAAGTAGCAAACACCAAATGCATGACGGCGGGGGATGAGATATCCGACGTTTAGTGAGATCTGGAAGTGGACGCGAAGAAAGGGAAGGCAGAGAGATGTGGGGCTTGAGACGAGCCAGGACTTGGCCCTGCAAGTGAAGGCGGTGTCAGCACGGATCTCGTTCCTTAGTCCATCGAGTTGCGCAACTTCAGTGCAGCAGAAGTTATATCAGGCCATCTACAAGCATCAGACGCTAGACGAAGGTTTGCTGGCGCTCATTTGGCGAGATAAAAAAAGAGTAGCAGCACTGTAGCTTGTTGGTCATTTTGCTGACCTTCGCGTCGAGCACTCCCCTGTCTATTGTTCTCAGCAAGGGCAAACTTGCATGAACGGTTCACTCACAATTTCTTTACAAGTCGAAGAGGTAAGCACACCCTGCATTGCAAGAGGTCATTGCCGCAGCTAGTACGGCGCGGCTCGGAGCACATCGCAGCCCACGTACTTACATGAATGATACAGGCAAAGTAGAAGGAACTACGGAAGGCACGCGACCTCGCTCATGGTGCCAATGGGGCACGACAGTCATTACCTGATACTTCTGGAGGTGCACACAAAGGGTTGTGTTGTTCGCAGTCCCTCGTATACAGTTGTGCAACCATAGCTTTATGAGCAGTGGGGCTTATGGAATGTGAGAGACGGAAGGAAGGTTGTTCGGCAATAGCCGATTCCGTCACGGACCGCAATTCCGCTGTCGGCATTTGCCGAAGACCAAACAACGCGTCAACAAACCAGCGCCTGATCGCGTCTCCCGTCATCCTTGAGCGCCTATTTGGTAGATCAGCATGGCGACCTACTTTGGCATCCTACCAAATGGTACGCAATAGATACACTCAATGATGCTGAGAGAGTTCAACCTTTCCCAGAACTCATCGACTCCATCTCGGCGGCGCATGCGGACGGGCCCACGACGCGTCTCTTGCGGTTACCGCATCCACGAACAAGTAGGTGCACCATCCCCCTTGCACGCACACTTGCTGACATGACTAGGCATACCCTCTCTGTTTGCCCTCTATGCCACTGGAAACCAACTCGCCGAGGTGCAAGCAGTCGCCCCACCGAACGAGCGGTCATGGTTCCTAGGCGATAATGTGGTCGCAGGTGCGTTGCTCCCCAAACCCTCCCTTCCCCCATCTGATGAGTATCTCCGTCAGATGGCCGACTACTTGTCATGACCCCCATGGACCCCACTTTCCTCCTCATACCCCTCCTGTTGGCTTTGCAATCGGTGCGCCTACATGCGTCCCCTCGTCCTCCGGTCCCTTTAATTGACTCCCACACCAGCCAGACGGCTCACTCGGCCAACTACGCCCATGGGACGACATCGTCGAAGACATAGTCACCAAAGTCGCCACCGACCCCGCCGATCCCCCAAAGGACCGCTCCACCATACTCGACGCTGCTGACCTCTCGGCCTTCCTCGAGAGCCCATGTTGTCGCTCCGCGTTGCGCAATATATGTCAGTGTGAAGGTATGCTTGCCCTTTTCTGATGAGGATGAGAAAGCCTATTACTTGTCAAACCCCCTCCAGCCATAACACCCGAAATCACTGTCTACCGCTATTCCCCACCCATCCTCACCGCCTACCTCCAACGCAAAGTTGCCCGCCTCTCCGAATCCTCCTTGCAAGAGGGCTCGAAGACGGTGACGCGCAACCTCGCGAAAGACGGGCTCATGGAAGATGGCAAGGAGGAGCTACTGAAGCGTAAGTACGCGACCTCGATGAATGGGGTAACATTCCTGACGGTTTCCCCCCCTTTTGGATAGTCGGCCGCACGCGCGCTGCCTGCGACCTCGTTTCGCAGTACCTCCCTCGAGACATTTACAATGCCCTGAAAGCCACATATGAGTACGTCGCCATCTTTAGACGCTCTTCCATCCATCCAACCGCTGACCCCCCCCCCCCCTCCTCGACTCAGCTTCACCCCCCTCGAAGCACACCTTAAAACCCTGCACGAAGCCGACATCCTCACCGCTGCTGAAAATACCACGAAGGGGAAGAAGGGGGCGGCGAAGGGCAAAGGCGGGACGACCACCGCCGCAGATTCGAAGAAGCGGAAAGGTAAAGGCTCGCAGGGCGTAGAGAAGTTGAAGAAGGCGAACACGGAGGGCATGTCGAAGTTGTCTAGCTATTTCACGAAGAAGTGATCGAGATTCTTTCTCGTCACACAACGATGATATGGATGCCTGCCTTGCTACGAACTGTAGTCCAACAAGTTCAAGGTAGCATTGTTCGATATTGGTACAGATAATTTTGGTTGCAATTGTAGATGTACAATCCTTTCGTCAGCGTGACGATCTAGCGTCATGGCGCGCCTTTCACTGCTTGATAAAGAGCTCCGTGAACTTATCGACGGGCAGCTTCGCAAACGACGGTGCGTCCGTGACCGTATCCAGGATCCGCTTCTGCTGCTCGGTGTCGAAGTGGTGCGAGATATGCCTGCAAGGCGCGTTAGTCCAGTTCCCATAACATGAAGGTTGAGAACGTCGAGTGAAGGTCGAGAGGGTCGAGTGAGGGTTGAGAAAACCGAGCGGTGCCTACCTCTGGAACTTGTTCATGAGCAGCGGCGTGCCCTCCGCGCGGCGGCGCTTGTGGCCCACGGGGTACTCGATCTCGACCTCGTTGAGGACCGTGCCGTCGTTGAGCTCGACGAGGAGCGCGTTGCCGATGGACCGCTTCGCGGGGTCGTGGTAATCGACGCTGAACCGCTTGTCCTCGACGCAGAAAATCTTTGCGCGCAGCGCGTCGATGCGCGGGTCCGCGGCGGCTTCGTCGGTGCTGGAAAACGATCAGCACTTTGGACAAGCACATCGCAGGTATTGGATAATGATATACTCACTAGCTCTCCGACGTCAACTCGCCGAAAATCAGCGGGTACGCGACCATGTAGTTGATCGCGTGATCGCGGTCAGCGAAGTTGTCCAGCGGGCCCTGCTTGTCGATGATGCGCACCGCGGCCTCCTGCGTCCGAATGCGCACGGCCTTGATATCCTCCGCCGTCTTCCCGAGCACCTTCAGCCGCTCGTGCAAGATCAGCGCCGCCTCCACGGCCGTCTGCGCGTGGAACTCCGCCGGGAAGGAGATCTTGAACAGCACGTTCTCCATAATATACGACCCGAACGGCTGCTGGAACTCGAAGGCCCGGCCCTTGAACAGCACGTCGTAGAAGCCCCACGTCTTCGCGGTGAGCACCGAGGGCAGTCCCTTCTCGCCCTTCTGCACGAGCAGCGCGAGGTTGACGGCGCGCGAGCACGCGTCGCCGGCGGCCCAGGACTTGCGCGGGCCCGTGTTAGGCGCGTGCCGGTAGGTGCGGAGCGACTGGCCGTCGACGAAGGCCTGCGAGACGGCGTCGACGGTCTGGTCGCGCGTGAGGCCGAGCATCTTGGAAACGACGGCGGTGGAGGCGACCTTGACGAGCACGACGTGGTCGAGGCCGACACGGTTGAAGGAGTTGAGGAGCGCGAGGCCGCCTTGGATTTCGTGCGCCTTGATCATGGCCTCCTGGAGGTCGTGTACGGTGAAGGTCTTGCCCGAGCGCGTGAGCCAGTCCGCGACGGCGAGGATGGCGCCGAGGTTGTCAGATGGGTGACCCCCTGGGTGATGCAGTGAGTATAGAGCAGGAGTCAGTGATGCAGACGTACATTCAGCAGCGAGGAAACAGTCGTTGAAGTCCAGCCATCGGATGATCGTACCGATGTTAAACGCGCCGCGGATGGGATCCAGCTGGTAGTTGGTTCCAAAGACTTTGGTGCCTACGAAGTTCACGTTAGCGTTGCTCGCTCCATGCTCACAAGATAGCATACCATTGGGCACCACTGTCCCCTCCACCACAGGACCCAGCAACTTGGAGCACGCTGGGAATCGCAGGCCCTCCAATCCACACCCAATGGTGTCGATCAAGCACAGGCGTGCCGTCTCGTACGCAAGCTCAGAGTCAATCTTGTAGTTGTGCACATAGTCCGCAATGTCCTGCAGGACCTTGTCCGGCTGCGGCCGATGCGCCAGCTCGCCGTGAGTAGAAGACATCGCGCGCACGATCAGCGGGGAGAACGTCGAGGGCCGGGCGCGTGCAAGGGACCTAGCGGGGCTGAAGCTCGGGCGCAAGACGCGGGACAGCATATGCGGGCGTGGTGGTCGCGGACAACCTGCGGTCGTGGACGACGAGCGCGTGAAGTTAAGGCAGAGGCGACCACGGTTCGGCGACTCTCCTTCCCCGGTCCGTCGCTTCCCCACACTCCATACGGGGGTAACGGAACCCCGCATAGTACCCCAAATCGGCAAAGCCCGATGTTTATTTCCACCAAGCAGAATCTGAGCATCTCTCCCACTACTGGGTGCCGCGACAAGGCTAACACCGGCAGTCCCTTTGAACACCTGCTCTACTGCTTGAAAGGTCAGGCATGCCAAGTCTCTTCACGAGAATCTCTGCGCGACCGCTCGGACGCGCATGTGGCGGATCTACTTTGAGTCCCTCCAGCAGCGCGTAAGAACCAGCATGAGTCCTGCGTTGCGATGTTGAACAGAAGGCATGAAGCTAGGGAGGATTGGAATGACGATATGCATGTATGGACACTCGATACAGAGACTAATATATGAAGACAACAGACTTAGAGGAAATGACGACCAAAAGCCCTAAAACACCTAAAAAGAAATTAGGAACAGATCGCGTTTAGACAGTCGCCTTGAGAATGGATACTCGTAAGTGAGAGGTCATCAGGAAGAAGAAGTGAATCCTACTCACATTCACCATGGTCCATCCAACGACGATTTGCCAGACTCTTGCCTCTATCGCGTTGCTGCAACGAGGGCAGTCCATGTGTTCTTTCAGCTTCCCAAGTTTTTGTTGCAGTACGCTAGCGATGATGCCTTGGCACGATATCAGCGTCGAATGCAAATTACATAACGCGTAACAGCGTACCTGGATGGCCATCCACCAAAATCTCGTTCACAGTCGCCGACCACTCACGCGTCAGGATCTTCTGCGTCGCGAAACTGCACTCCCCCGTCTCCGCGTGAAACGTCGGCGGCACCTGGAGCAGCTCCTTCAATTTGTCCATCCGGCCGTGATGCAGCATCAACAACTTCTTGAAGTACACTGAGCCCATCTCGGCGGCGTTCTCGTCCGGGACACGATGTAGGGGCAAGGAGAGCAGGTACGCGGAGGCCACCTGCGCCAGCGCGAGGAGGTCGTGCGCGGCGGCGAGGCAGTACACCTTGAGAGGGGCAAGTGCAGCCTGCTGGCGCAGGGACTCGAAGAGCACGGTGCCTGGGGCGACGTAGGACGTGGGGTCCATGCCGTACGTGGACAGGCGTCGGACAGTATCCGCCAGCGTGTCAAAGGACAGCTTGAACTTAGATGGCGACGCGCCGTAGGCGATGTGCAGCAACATATTCAGCACATCTCCATTGTCGTCCACATACACGCGGATCGGCTGCCCGTCGTTGGGGTCAGGAGAGCCCGAAGCTTCCTGGAGTGTGCCTGCGAAGTCATTGCATGAGGCGCGATGGAGGACGCTGCTGTTGACGAAGAAGTGGACCGCGTCGGACGTGACGAGCTGGAAGTCGGGGGCTGGGGAGGAGGCGGGACTGGTCTTGTCGTTGAATGCGGTAGACACACAGTACATCGCTGACGAGGCGGGGGGATCCGGACTTTGCAGAGCGCTCGGAGGGGCCGTCTGGGGTGGATCCTCTGGGGATAGCGATGGTCCAACGACGCCGTAATCGTCCCAGTGAGCCACGCTCGAAAAAAATTCGGGCTCGAAAGACTGCAACTCGAGCGCCTGTGGCTCGAACTGCTCCTCGCAGCCAGCGTTGCAGTCGTACGAGTCACAATACATGTTGTCTTCCATGATCATTCGAGGCGGTCGGTCTGTGGGAGGTCGGTCAGCGCAAAGGTGAGCAGGATGACGGGCGTGACGCACAGGGCGCTGGCAACGGTTGATATGCAGCAAACCAATAAAGGAAAGAACTGGGGAAAGCTCCCACCGCAGGGCTTTAAGTACAATACTGCCTGTGCTCGGCTACCTCCTGGAGTGATAATCTTAGCAGGCGGCGGCTCCACCAAAGACCCATGATAAGGGAGCTAGGCAAGGCTATCCGAATGCTGCATGGGAGACGGAGCAGAGGCGGTCCTACATGACCAATGCGAAGACGGTCGCAGGCGTCAATGTCCGTATATAGAAGGTAGGCAAATCGTATTTTTCCATACTGGCGAGGCTGGTCATCGTCGGCGCTTTCGCCTTGCTGCAGGGGCGAGCACGCATGATCCTCCTGGATGCCACGCTTGTTAATGGGTGGCTTCGAGGCCGGTCAGCCCGTCGTAGCATTGGGCTTTGCAGGGCGGATGGCGTCCACGACGTTTGATTACGAAATTCTGTGTACTCTAGAGCGAGTTACTGCTTGGACGTCCTCTTCCTCCAATACTCACTCAAGATCGTGGGCTACGCGTATAGGCGCCTATGGGAGGTGTACTGTGCAAAAACCTCGAAGGCGAATTAACGACACAAGTCCCCGAGTTCGATGCAAATCGACGCACATTGTCGGTGAGTCCGGTCAATCGATGCATACGATCGAAGTGCTTCTCACAACCGAGCGCCGTGATAATACTGTCCCCGTGTCGGGGGTGACCTTGGCAGTAGCAGGCGGCGGGGATGTGTAGTCCGCAGGGACCGGACAGCTGTGAATTCTATGCTGATTATAACAAGAGCTCAGTTTTCCATGGTGAGGTCGCCCTTCCTGTGCCAGGAGCACCTCCCTTCTCACGTATCGGCTCGCAAGGGCGAACCAGGGCTGCGCACCGTGCCACTTCTAATAGGGGACAGCGAGCGATGGACGGAAAGCTAGACCCATCACACTACTATGGGCGGTATAGTGTGCAAAAACCTCAAACGAGGTATTTCGACGCACGTCGCCGCCGGGGTTTAAAACGACGCATGAGCTTGACGAACTAGTGAGATTGACGCAGATGATTGAGCGAGAGTGCGTGCTTACCTGTCGAGTAAGCTCTCGCCAGGCAGAACACCCGGCGGAAGGGGAACTTGGACGTCGCGGTTGCGTTGAGCCTGGCGAGTTCGGCTGTTGCCGGGCGTACTCCCGCGCTCACGTGGGTCAGTTGAACTTCGTTATGCTCGGCAGAATATTCGTTCTCAGGCTAGTAATTAGTCGCCCTGATGAGCCGGAGATATGTAGTATCGGTGGGCTGCGTGGGTGCGACTTAAGATATATGACTGAAGAGCAATGTCCGAGTCCGTGCTGACGTTGGGTCCGCACTCATATTCTCGAGTGGCCTACACCACGTCAGCCTTACCCCCAGCACCACGATCGGCAGAGGCGCGCGCATTGCACGGCTGCTATTTTCAGCGGGGTAGGCCGCATTGTGCCTGCTGAGCATAGGGATCTCGGGTGGAAATGAGGACAAGCAGCTCAAGGCGCCCCCGGTTGACCTTGTCGAGGACAACCAAGCTCACCGAGAGAAGAAGGGTTTCAGAGGATTTGATAAAGCATATGCATTTCTTAACATGGCTTGTACAGAGGCAAGCGAGGCGTGATGGACTGGAATGGACGGAGTCATTAGGCGGCGCGGCCTTATCCTCCGTCCCTTAGCGAGCGCCTCCACGCCGGGAAAAAACGGCTGGAAATTCACCGTAGGCCTTCAATTCAGCCACAGAACGAATATAAAATCGCTTACAAGCCATGTACACACCCATACATCGGTCGGCTAGGTCACGAAAGAGCTTGCCGGCTTTAGCGCCGGGCGCTTAATAGCAGGTCGGGGAACCCCGAGTTCGGGCCGTCCAAGCCACGCCACCCCTTCCCTCATCGCCCTTTCACTCCGATGTGGAACCGAGCACTGGGAGCTGCAATCACGGCATAGCTCGATCGCGTGCGTCGCTTTCGCAAGTTCATCAAAGTCGTGCGTCGATTTCGAGGCTCAGCGGCGGCAGGTGTTGAAGTACCTCGTTTGAGGTTTTTGCACACTATACCGCCCATACACTACTGGTCACGGTCACGGTCCCCGAACCTTGCATTTCTGCTCGACACCATGCCGCGGGCACCTTGTTCTATCACCCCCCTCTACCCCCTTGCGGAACGTCAATACTAATCCTAGGGTGGATCAATACCTGACGACGGCCCTCACGGTCGAAGTAATCCCCAGCGACCAAAGTTCAATATGTCACGTGGGGCTCGAGGAACTTGCCGCTCGTTGGACCGCCCACCAGCTGCCGCGGCCGGTCGTGCCTCGCCACAAGGATAAGCTGAGGACGATGGACTTATGCATCGTGAGCCTTGATCGCATGCGTAAACTGAGTGAACTCGCCAATACCGTGCGTCGTTTTCGAACACATCGGGGGACTTACGTCGTTAATTCGTTTCGAGGTTTTTTTACAGTATACCGCCCATACATTTGGTCATCGTCTCACAGACATTGGACGACTTCTTGGCCGAGCCCAAACTCAGCGCCTTAGACCACTCGGCCATCTCGATACGGGAGGGCGAAAGAACAGCCAATATATCAACGTGGAGTGATCCTCCTTACAAGCGCTACGGCCATTGAGCGAGCGCTCCATTACTCGTATCATTGGGTAAGCCAAAGATCTTTAAGTCATCTGCCGAATATCCTATCATAACTTTGATTTCTTCGCTTGCGACTGGAGACATCGGTGTATCGCCCCCGCTAATTCTTGTGGACTCGTTTGCACCACCTGAGAACAACTTGAGCATGCGTTGGCTGTGTACGCAGAAGCGCTTTACGTACGAGATGTCCGGCATTCTCAACGCGAGACAATGAGGCAAGGTACTGCACACCGCCTATCGCGTTGTTGATCACGTCGTCCTTGACGAAGGCAGGTCTTCCGCTCATTGTAAGAAAAAAACTCACAGAGGTGACAGTAGCAGAGCGAAGAATCGGGGACTTACAGATAGTCGTCCACGGCCCCGTAGATTATGTGCGTCGGAACACGTTTGACGCCGTGCTTCAAGAAACCGTATGCACGAGAGACGCCGAGAGGATCTTCGTAGGTCGCCTGAATCGCAGGTGTGAATGAGATCTTACGAGCTTATGAGAGTCTAAGTATCTCTTACAGCCTCCTGCCTCTTCACGCATGCCAAAGTGACGCCTTCAGTCTTGTCCGGGTACTCGAGCGTGGGCAGACTACGCAGACCGTGCTCCTACGCCGCTTAGACTAAGTCATCACGGATGGCTTGCAGGTATAAGATTGCGTACCACAAACAGTCGCACGACTCTATCGTCCCAGGTCTTCCAGCTGCGACTCTTCAAGAGGGTGTACGCTTCAGGCTTGCTCGGCCAAATATCACGTCGGTTGCGTGCGCTGTTGACCAAGAAATGATGAGGGCCAGCCGCGGCTTCGCGGTTCATGACCATCGGTTCGACCAGTATGAGAGAATCGTAGACCACACGCGGCGTATACGTGAGTGACAGCTCAAGCGCTACTGCACCCATCGACTGCCCGATACCGGCGAGGCGGCGCTGGCTAAAATCGACGTCGATGCCCTTACCCTGACCTGTCAGGACCAGATGCACTGAGCGCGCGTATTCACTCCAGCCAACTGAAAGTATGTGTATGTGCGTCAGAGCTTCTTCGACTGACAAGGTGAAGGTACGTACACATAGGCTCGTAGCCAAACTGCAGCTCGCGCTCGTTTAATGCGGCCGACGCGCCGTGGTTTGGGCACTCGATAGCCCACATGTCGTGTATCTTAAGGCCAGGTAACGCGTACAGATCCTCCATTGCGGGCTCGGAAATCTCATTGTGGAAGCCCGTCGCGTGAGTCCAGACGAGGGTGAGCGTGTCCGGCGCGTCCGATGATGTTTTCGGATCCCAGTAGCGCTTGACGGAGACCAGCAAGGGGTAGTCCGGGCGAGCGTCAAAGACGTACGAGCGTGAGTGGAGGACCATGGTGACAGGAGACAAGAAGGATACTTTCGTCTGAGTAGCTTCTGATTCTGAACATGTTGGTGCACTGTGATTGAGAACACCGGGCCGGTCGGTGTAACCGGCCATACTCGGCAAATGCCGCAGAATGAACATCCCTTTCTCCTTTGCCCGACGTCTCTCAAAGTTCATATCAAGCTGCTAGATCCTGCAAGTGATACAGATCCAGACTCGGGAGACTGAGGAATTTTGTGAATATATACTGCATGTCCCTTCATTTAAAGATATGTTTTCTTCGCAGTCTGGTGCCCAGGTTCAAGCAACCCCCGCAGAGAAACTGGATTGCCTAGTCATGGCAGTCATGTCCTTGTTGATCATGCCCTCGGGGGGCAAGCAAAGTCACTCGCAGTTGCAATCCTAGTCAGCACCTCTCCGATACTCGAGGTACCGTGGTTCGACCGCGGAACCTCCGGATGACACTCAGCGATTAGTCTCACGGGTCAGCCTCTTCTCACAAGACGACGGGGGGAAAGGTCAAGTGAGAAGAGTCTGATCAAGGCAACGGTTAGCATATGACGCGACGATTCGTGGGAAGTAATCTGTCACTTTCCTGACCGCGGAGATCACCGAAAGAGACCCAGCAGTGTGGGATTGTCCCAAACAGGCAGGAATGTGATCGTTCGCGCCCGCGTTCCGCGCGCTTGTTCCCTCCTTGTATCCCTATTCCTATGGGGTCCTCTTGCCCTTAGGCGCATTCTACATAATGTCGCATAATCCTACAGTCTCGTATGAGACCGATAATTCCACTCGTTCATCCATCAACAAATCACCTCAATGGGTCGAAAAGACGCTCTCAAAATACTTCGCTCTTGCTTCTGTGCGCGACTTTCAGCTCGAACGCGCTCGGCAGGTCATACAAGGACAAGATGTCCTTCTTATCACTGCTACTGGAAGTGGGAAGACTGTCGTGCTTCTTGCCGGTGCAGCAGCAGCCTGTGAACTCGGCGAAAATGCGATATGTGTGTACATCGCGCCAACAAAGGCCCTCGTCGAGCAACAGGTCAGTTGTCAATTCTAGAAATGAAGCGCTTTTGACTGATAGATGGTAGGCGCTATCCACACCGACGGCTCTCGATGCATTCGCCATTAACGAGGACACGTTGCGATGCGCGGAGGCAGAGGGTCGGGACCTCTTTCGAGAGCTTCAGGCCAGGAAGGGCACGCGCGTCGTCTTCATGACGCCTCAGATGTTCCTGGGTGCGCGCTTCCGGGGCCTCCTCAAGGACGCGAACTTCAAGCGCGCCATCAAGTTCGTGTCTATTGACGAAGCACATCTCGTGGATGATCTGCAAACTGGGCCGTTCTTCAAGACATACAACCTCATTTCGCCGATGCGAGATGTCCTGGATCCAGATGCTGTCTGGGCACTCGCCACAGGCTCTCTCACGGTCGCGCAGGAGGCGTTAGTAGCGCACAAGCTCACGCTGAAGCCGGGGAAGTACGTTCGCGCGCGTTATCCCGTTGACCGCCCGAATATCATGTACGACATCCGGTTCCTCCAGTACCCCTCATCCAACCGCCAGCACCTCGACCTGAGCTTCCTCATTCCTCCTCTCATGCACTCCGCCTCCGAAGTCGAGCCCACCATCGTCTTCTTCAGTACCTTCGCTCAAGGACAATCCGCCATGCGCGCGCTTGACTATCTCATCCCCCCAAACGTCCCAAATCGTGAAAAAATCGTCAAGCTTTACGGCTCGATTTTCTCACCGGATTACAAGGCTGCGGCTCTGCGCGACCTTGTGGATCCTTCCTCGCCCCTTCGTATTCTCATCGCAACAGACGCCGTGACTTTCGGAATGAACGTACACGGGATCCCGCGTGTTGTTCTGGCCGACACGACAAGTGGATCATTCAACACGCTGATGCAGCAGCTTGGGAGGATCCGGGGCGACCTTGCGGCGCGCGCCATTATCCTGGCGCCTCAATGGACGAAGATTATACCAGACGAGGAAGTGAAAACGAAGCAGCAGCAGGAGGATCGCGCAAGACGCGCGAAGTTGCCGCCAGACTTACTGCGCTTCCTGAACGCAGGGCGGACAGATGGATACCAGGACAAGGACTCCGACATCGTTTGCCCCCGCGCTCTGAACTGCAAGCTCAACAACGAGCCCTTCATTGAGCGCCCCCGCTGCTGTAATGTCCATGTTGACGACCCCGAGATGGACACCCTCCTTGCTCGTGAGCGCGCGGATATGGAGAACTGGGACCGCATTCTCAACGCGCCGCGCGATCCAAGCGGCGAAGACTTGCGTTCCGACAATACATACCGCTCGCTATCCCGCCATCCCGCAATGCAGAGGTCCCTTGCCTTCGTTCTCAACCGGTGGGGAGTTCAGTACTTTGTCAAGCATATCCGTACGGAGGCTATGGCGCACCTTCCCCCTACCTCTGTCCTTCCATCATCGCTCTTCGATGCCTTACCGGACAGGGCCCACCTTTGTACAACCTTGGAGCGCTTCCGTCGTGTGGTAAATAGCATCATGCCGCAGGGCTGGCCCGATTTTGACAAGTACGCGCCACCGCTGCTCAAGATTCTGCAAGAAGCGATGGCTGGCTACACTGCTATCATCAAGGAGTCCACAGAGAAGGCTTCCATCAAGCTGTAAGCACGAGTTTTGCCCTATGTTGTCTGCCTGCTCACGTCTTTATTATGTAGCACGAAGATGCGCCTGGATATACTTGTACATCTCTGTCGAGAACACAATATCGACACGACCGGCTTGAAATTGAAGGCGGAGTTCATGGACGTCCTCGTCGAGTTTTTCGTAAAGTGAGAGCTTCTTTCTTACTTCCCCATCTCTAGCGATACTTACTGATACGCAGAAATGAGCTGGACGAGCCGACACCTGAGGAACTCACGCAACTTCGTGCCAAACTTGATATGGTCAAGGAGGCAGACAAGGTGGCCAAGACAAAAGAGCGACCACGTCAAATGGATCAGGACAGTAATTGCATTGAGGGCGTAGGCGACCTTGCACCTACACCTGGCCCTGCATTGCCTCAGGCGTCACGAGATGACACCGCTCGCTCACCGCTGGTGCCCAAGAAGCGCCCTGCTTCCAGCCGGCCAAAACCTCGGCCTGTCAAGGCACGCAAGCTCGTGACTGCGGTCGGAGACAAGGAGAACAACGACGCGCGGTTCATTGTGAGCAGGAGTGGTGAGATGTAGGGGGCCATGACAATCCTCGAGAACAGTTTATACTCGAACGTACACCCGTTTTTAATCATCCTAATTTACTTACTATACTTCACTTGCTACTAGCACTCACTACAGCTCTGGTACTATACCACTTTACTTCTGAGTCTCCGATAACATCGTCATTTGTCAGCGCTGACCGCGGGCACAACCGTGACAACGTTCGCGGTGAGTGTCCTGAACTTCGGGAAACGATGATGTCATTTCCCGACGTTCAAGCTTATCACGTGGCAGGCATGTGATCGTCAGTTCAACTTTCCGTGATTCGTCTGTCGTGCTTCTACAAAGGTTGTCAAGCGCGGAACAGGCAGAAGTGCTTCCTTGATCAACCACATATCAATGCTATACTGTTATTTGATCCCCTACAAACTCCGAAGTAGTCAATCCAGCCCCCGAAGTGAATATAATGGGATTTGCTGGCAATGACGGCTGTAAGGGCATGTCGTCCTCCAGTACAGACTGCTCTGCTGCGCGAGCCATATCATCCATTACCCCAGCGCCGCCCTTGAGAGAAGTGCGCTCTACATATTCCGCAAACTTCCCCTTGTGCACCACTATATTGATCCCGGCACTGAACTCATCGAGGGTGAGCTTCTGCTCCTGCGCGCGGCCCTTCACAAAGGTTAAGGTGCGAGATCTGCGGTAGTAAGCCCCAAGTGTGTTGATATCGCTGATTTTGCTCGGGTCAGTGTGGGTGAAGGGTGAGCGCTTGATCCCGAACGCGCGAGGTATACTCGAGCGCAGATCACCAAGACCCTGTATATTGAGCGCGACCCTTTGCGAGAGATGCTGAGCATCAAATGAGATGGTCTTTGAGTTGAAGAGCCGCTTAATCCAGAAGTTGAAGTGCTCCTGCAGTAAGTCGAGCTCGAACCAACGGCCGGGCTGTCCAGATGGATTTACAAGATAGTTATCCAGTATTGCGTCGCGAAGATCATCCGGAAACTCAGCCATAAAGTTGCACGCCATTTCGAGGAGCTCGTTCCCGTAGCTTGTAGCACCGGCACCCCAGAAGGAGAAGCGGAGGAACTGTATGTAGATTAGCTCCGAGTACAGAAAATCGGCGAAAGCGCACCTTGATAATCTCGAATACACGTCCAATATCTCCTTCCGCAGTGGCGAGGCACATCTCGAGATACCATAGGGTGACTCGGAGGAAGTTGATCGAGTTCGCTAGGTGGCGATCCGCATCAGGTTGGTCTGCAGTTGCAGTACGCTTCGTGGATGACGCCGCAGGTGCGCTTTCTGTGCAGATATGAGGCTCGAAGGACATAGATTGATGTAAATACTAACTGGATGCTTCCTCAACGTCGGAAAGTTCCTCCTCCACGCACTCGACAGATTCCGGGTCGTTGTATATAGTCTGCGATCGCTCGACTATGCCCAAAGCATCGGTATACGCGGAGCTGGTCATGTAGCGGCGATACGCGATCTGCGCCCACTCCAGTAGCTCATGAAATGTGATGTCCTCTTTCACACCTCCAGGCGCAAAGTACCGGTCAAGCGCATCAATCAGAGGCCTGTCCACCGCTGTTCTTCGTGTTTTCTCTTCGCAAATGAGCCTGGCACGGTGATCAGTCAAAGAGCCGCTGATACGCAAGCCCCACGTACCTGAGGATCTCAAGCGCCATGGCCGAAAAGCGATCTTGCAAGATCGCATGCCCGGGATAGAAGTCGCATACCTTCGGGTTGAAAGCACCGCGCTTAATCCGATTACAATCTGAACGCAATCCAAATACACTCTTCCCGGTCTCCTCGTTGGCGTCCGTCCAGTGCATGCGGAAGATACACTTCATCCAGTTCCATTTCAGGTGCCATAGCTGCACGGTAGGTACAAGCCATTCATATCGCTCGAAGGGTGTGTTGGCTTTCATGGTGTAGAGCTTGACCTTGCGCTGGCGATCAACGGTCAAGAGATCGCCTCCGACCATCATCAACCACTTGAATGACGACTTGGCCATGGCAAGCTGCTCGAGGAGCAGGTTCCGCAGTAGCTGAACAGTGCCGACAGTTGTCGCCTCGTTGATACCCGATGTCTGCATCGGATAGATCTTCGATTTGCGTAGGCGTAGGCGGCGCTTCGCGTGAGTCTCGCGGAAGAGCTGCTCGACGTCCGAAGAGAAACGAGCGAGGGACGGGACATATTGGACCCATTCACGCAGAATATGGCCAGCTCCAATTCCAGCCAGATGCGCCCCATCGAGATCGTCAATGAGATCTTGGCCGGAAAGCTTCGTGCGCGCATCATCTGCAATATTCTTCAGCAGGTGGTCTGCTTCGAGCGCGCCAGGCTTGACATCCTCAAGCTCAATCAGAGTCGCAGCTGTGCCGCACAGCATCTCCCCAACGTTCGTTGCCGTCTGCTGCCACGCACGCTTGATTTTGTTGACGTTATCATAGACGATTTGAAAGGTAGGGGGTCGATTTTCTGCAGCGGCGGCGAGAGAGCGAAGGTGAGAAAGCTTGTCTTGCGCCAGCACACTCAAGGTCGCGAGAACCGTCGGATAAGAGATCGAGATGCCGAGGCAACATAGCAGCTGGATGAGATCACGGTTGGCACCACAAGCGAAGCAGTAAATGCCAAAGATGGTCGCGAAAACGAGGGCATATTGATTGCGCAGGCGTAGCATGACAATGATGAAGAGGGTGACAGCCTATTGAGAAGTTAGAGGGTGCTCGTGAAGTGAGCAAAGAGGCGTACCTGCCACGGATCGCGCTGCATCCCAGGCGGTACCCCAGGCGCTGTATCGCGACGGTGGCGCGGTGTGCTTGCACCCGCACCCGCACTGTCTCCCATCGTACGTGAAGCGCGATCACCCTGCATCTCGGACTCATCCGATTGAGTATCATCCCAACCATCCTCACTGGTCTCTTCCTCCATCTCCACATCCTCGGGCGGGCTCGCAGTGATATCGCAATTCAACCGTACGGTCTTGCTTGTTGCTGCTGTTGCCATAATCGCAAACAAGACCGGGGCCGTGTTGGCAACCTCCTCCTGCGCTCGCGTCATGTCCCAGCTGCGAAGCAAGTCCCAGGTAATGGACCCGATGGATTTCTTGCGCAGGAACATCGAGCCCTCGGATGACAGCAGGCTGTTCGCCTCCTCATCCACTCGCGCGAGAACAAGCGCGACTGCCCAGTCGAGAATCGCGTTGTGCTGCGTCGGATGAGGTGCATGTGTGAGTTGAGGGCGAAGGCGCTGCGAAGGCGGTAGAGCGTAGCGAGGGATGTGGAATGTGGGTGGTGGGATGCGGCGACCACCTTCGCGCCGGGTGCTCTTGTGGTGGTAGATGAGCTTGATAATTGACACGGGGTGCTCGCGCGCATCAGGCGACCGGCTATGGAGGAAGTAACTGAGAGCATTGCTGATTTCGGGGTGATTTGGATGCGACACGTCGGCGAACAAAGCAGCGAGGAATTTCCCGAGGGAGAATCCCGCGCGCTTGATGCACCTACAGACAACGGCCAGCTTCTCTTGGTCGCTTGCGTAGCTCGCGAAGGGCGCGTCCGCTGAGCTTGGCAGGACCGGAACAAGATGCTCGAATAGCCCAGCCGCAAACTTCGCCTCCCAGCTGTTCCGCACAGACACGAAGTCCCGTTGCCGGTCATCAGTTGGTATGTCGAATGTCTGAATAGGCGTGGACATATCTGCCATCGGAAACGACTGAGCAGCTTCCTCGCCGTACCCGACTGCCCCCGGTTGGCCATAGGTTGTGCGATGTCCGTGATCTTGACCGCGATGAAGAGTCGCATGCGAGACAGGTGTAGGCGGGAACATGGGGGAGTACGGGTCAGGTGGGGGAAACCCATGGTCATGAGGAGGTAGGGGGTACGCCGAGCCATAGCCATAGTGTGTGGGATACGGCATATGGGTCGTTTGACTCGCGAAGTGAGGCGGAGCGTCCGACATCTCTACGTCGCCGCTTAGATGAGATGAGAGATGGTAGTGAGACCGCGGTGGATTGCTCAGTGGGGGCGAGATTGAAGGGGCATAGTGTCGCGTATCCAAAATCTCTTCATTGGGCTCCATTGTGAGGTATAGGATGGTATAGTATAGAGATGGCGGTGGCGAGCGCGCTCGTGGTTGCCGTTTCGGGACAAGGAACAAATCGTCGGGTCCATCTCGGTGATCGCCGTCATCAAAATCCTGACATTTTATTCGCACGATTCGTCGCGTCATATGTTAAGCGTTGCCCTTCCCAGACTACTCAGCGATCATTGTGCAGCCGGAGGCTCTTCCCAATTTTCTTAATCGACTCGCGCATTGTTCTCTGCTCGTAAACGCGCTCGCCAGCATGCCCGACGCCTTCTTCGTCTCGAACAAGACGCGCAAGCGCAAGCGCTCCGGATCCGTCCCCGATGCGTCGGGCAAGTCGAAGAAGTTTGCCGAAAAGAAGGGGCGCGAGCCGTCATCCTCGAGCAAGCAGCCTTTGAAGAAGGCAAAGCGGAACGACGAGGAGCTCGATTCCGATCGACGGACGATGAGGGGAATATTGATGATCTGGACTTGAGGCAGTCAGATGGCGAGGAGAGGAGCGCGTCCGAGGATGAGAGCGAGACCCCTGCAGAGAAGAAGTTAAGACTAGCGAAGCTCTACCTTGAGAGTGTAAAGGAGGGGTTAGGTGCGTGCCATGCACTGTTTCCCTCGACCTGACTAACATCCTGCAGCCGAGGGGGAGTTTGACGCCGCGGATGTGGACATGGAACTCATCTCGGCGCACTTGAAGCAGAATGTGCTGGAGTACTCGGGCAAGATCCACCTGTTCGTCGCAGACTCTGTGCGTTTCCCCCTTCGCTGCCTTCTACTTGATTCTTAGAAATCCCAGTGAGACCTGTCCCAACAACCACAAGAAGTGCTGCGAACGCGCGGGCATCGACTTTCCGTCACATCTGCTGTCGCGTCCGAGTCTGGCGAATTTATGTACACCGCAGGCAAGGAGGGCTCGATCATAAAGTGGGTTCTGAAGAACGGCGCGAAGCAAAAGACAATATTCAAAGTACGGCCAGACGTCAAGGGAAAGGGCAAGGCAGTCCCGGACGCATCGCTACCAGGCCATACGGATGAGGTCCTCGCGCTCGCTTTCCAGCAGCGATGGGAAGTACGTCGCTTCCGCAGGCAAGGACAGGCGCGTATGCGTTTGAGATGCAGAAACGGGAGAGTGGATCAAGAGCTTCATCGGCCACCTTGGCCACAAGGACTCGATCTCGGTGCGTTCACTCTGTCTTGCCTTTGCGCCGATCTTTAGCTCATCCCTCCCTAGTGTCTTACGTTCCGCAAAGATTCTCATCAGCTATACAGCGGCTCCTTTGACAGCACGCTGAAGGTGTACGACCTCTCGCCCGACGTGATGGGCTACGTCGAGACACTCTTTGGACATCAAGACGTCGTGCTCTTGCTCGATGCCCTACGCGGCGAAACCTGCGTCAGCGTCGGTGGTCGCGACAAGACCGCGCGCTTCTGGGAAATCGTGAAGGAGACGCAGCTCGTCTTTCGTGGTGGCGTGCGCAGCCGCATACGCGACGTTCACGAAGGCGGCCTTCGGGGCGAGGATGTGGACGACGAGATGGATGCTGCAGCGAAGCGGAAGCATAAAGAGGAGAAGGACGCGAGATAGGTGGAGGGAAGCTTAGAGTGTGTGGCGATGGTTGATGAGACGACCTTCCTTACTAGAGGGGATAGCGGGTGAGTTGTTCGTGTATGTCACTGAACGACAATGCTAATTTCATTCCCTAGTTCGATCTGCTTGTGGTCGACACAGAAGAAGAAGCCGATATTCACGCAGCCCCTAGCTCATGGCTTGCACGAGACCCCATCAGAGACGGAAGGCATGGTGCAGACACCGCGCTGGATCAGGGCTCGGACCTGCCTTCATTACTCCGATCTCTTTGCGTCAGGTACGTCCCCACATCGTGGTTTCATACTGTTCTATACTCATTATACGTCCAGGCTCTTGGGACGGTACCATCCGTTTCTGGAAGCTCGACCCGAAGCTCAAGTCCTTCTCTCTCGTTACTGCGCACGTGTCCATCTCGCCCACTGCACTAGCTCCCAGGAAAACATGTCCTTATCCGAATGTGGATGACGCACTACAAGAAAATACAAGTACATTGGGAGGGTATGAGTCGACGAAGGTAATACAGGCAACCGAAAGTCAAGGCCCCCGAACAGCGCAGAGATAGGGGAGAAAGACGGAGAGATCATATGATAGCCTGGAGAGCTTTGGTGAGTGGCTTGTTGACGCGGTCGGAGTGCGTACTCACAGGCGTCATGGTCCAGCCAACGACGACTTGCCAGATCCTTGCATCAATGGCCGTCTGACACTCGTGACAGGGTACGACTCCTCTAAACTTGCCCAACTCGTGTTGAAGCGTGCTACTGATGATTCCTGAAAGCTCAGTCAGTCCTGGCTTATAAGACATATGTTGGGGCTTACCTCCAGCATCTAACATGACACGTCGAGTGGCCGCCGACCAACCACGCGCGACGCCTTTCTGCGCGGCGAACCTGCAGTCCGCCGTTTCTGCGTGGAACTCCGGGGGCCGATCCAACAGCTCCTTGAGGATGCGTATCCGGTTCTGGTGAAGTAAGAAGAGCCGCTTAAGGTACGTCGACCCCATGTCCTTCGCCTCCTGATCCGACAAGCTATGCAATGGGTAGGACAACAGATATGCGGAGGCCACCTGCGCCAGTCCGAGGAGGTCGTACGCCGACGCTAGCACATAGATCTTCATCGGCGCAAGTGCCGCTTGGCCCCGCAGGGTCTCAAAGAGCACGGTTCCAGGAAGGATGTACGTCTGCGGGTCCAGGCCGTATGTGAGCAGTCGCCTGACAGCGCTCTCCAGTGTCTCGAGCGACGGCTTGAAGCTCGATGGCGAGACGCTGTAGGCGGCGTGGACGAGGATGTTCAGCACGTCCGCGCCGTCGGCCACGTACACGCAGGGCAGCTCGTCACCCGGGGTCTGCGTGGCGCACGCAGCGATCTGCAGCGTGCCCGCGAACTCGTTACTGGAGGCGCGCCGAAGGAGGGCGGAACTGACGAAGAAGTGGACGCCGTCGGACGACACGAGCTTGACGTCGGGCGCGTGGTGGGGAGAGGGGTTGTTGTCGGCGTTGAAGGCGGTTGAGACGCAGTGCATCGCGTGTGGACGGTCGTATGGGGCGGGGAGGTCGGGTTCTGACAGTGCTCCCTGCGTTGGCGGGAGCGATGGCTCGACTTGCGCGAAGAATGGTCCGACGGCTTCATCCCAGTGCACCATACTCGCGAAGAATTCGGGGTCCAGCAGCTCCCGTCGACGGCGCTGTAGACGTGTTGGTACGTGGAAGAATCGTTGTCCATGCTGCTGAAGATCTGTTTTTGCAGGTCAGCGCGCGCTCGACGACGACAACGACAACGACGAACTCGACGTACCTGGGCTGCGGTAAGGTTGATATACGCTGAACTGATTTAGGAAGGAACATCGATTGCCTCGTCTCGCAGGCCTTAAGTACCCTCGCAGCGTGGACCCTGGCTGCCGGCAGCGACGATAGAGTAGGAGCAAGCCCTGAGAATGCACCACCCCAACTCCACTACGATAAGGGAAATATCGAGCACGACCAAGAGCTGCATTACTGACGCAGAAGAAGCGGATGAGGTGCGACCGACGCGTAAATGCCTATATCGGGAAAGCACGAAGATCCATTGCTCTTAAGCAAGAGACGACGAAAATCACCCATGACTTCTACTTACATCCCCAGGGTCAACCATGGACTGCCTTGAGCTGTCAGCGAGGTCTTAGTCTTCTGGCCTCCGGACACCCCCTGGCCATGGCGGACCGATTTCCTGCTCCCTACTGCCCGTAGAAAAATCTAGGATTTCTCGAGTCAGCGCATTACACTTTTCCTTGAGCAAGTCGCAAGAATTCCGAGAGCGTCCTGTAGGCAGCTCGCGCATTCTGCTACCAAGAAACCATGGGTTGCTGTGCAAGAAGGTGGCTCGAAGGTTCAACTCATGTCGGAGGTTGCCACAATCGTCTTCGGAGCCAATTCTCGCATGGAACCTAAGTGCGCGGACCCCGAGTGTTCGAGCCTGTCCTCGTTTCCCGTGAATCTCTTTAATCCGATACCGTGTCGAGGCTGTTGACAGCGCTGGAGAGCTTCAGAAATCCAACGCTGTGGGCGACACCAGCCAACCACCGAGGCAGCGAAGCGCGATCTCATGTCGCACATCTAAGCGGCGGCAGAGTCGCAAGAAGCTAGTCTGCGGCCGTGGCGCTCGCTGGGGAGAGCTTTGACGCTGTCTGCCCTGGCGTATTATTATCAGTATAGTGTACGTGCGGGTCACGGACACACCGTACTGATAAATTACCGTGCGCGTAGCGCCAGCGTCATCGCATCCAGCAGGTCTCGTCGACGAGTCTATTTCTGGTTACGAGTATAAACAGCGTACACGTATCCACATGCCTGGACCCAGCGGGGCCAGTGACTTCTGGCAGACCCGCGCCGTATTCGGGAGACTTCGAGGCCAAGAGCATGCCCAGTGAGACCAGAAATCGGTGTAGACGAGCAGATAAGCACGCAAGTCATGACGAGCTCCAAGTCAATAAGGTCCAATGTCCATGATGCGACGACAACGATATGCGTAGTAATACAGGGAGAGCACGATGGCGCCAACAAAGTACCCGGCGGTATAAGCAACGGACAATAGCGGATTATAACTGTAAACACGACTGTGTTGGTGGAAGGTCGAAGGGCAGCGGGTGAGGGGTAGGAGAGATGGAGGTAGGGGATGCGGTAGGATGAGGTGGGTGGAAGGAGGGAGAGGTAGGATAGGAGAAGTAAGTCCAGGTGCGGTGGTGGATGCGTAAAGTTCGGGTGCGGTGCGGTGGGGGAGGGAGGGTAGGCGGTAGCTGGTTAAATAACAAAGGCGACCAGCGTTCATGCGAAGAAGTGGTATAGCGCCACAGCAGCAGTCGCCCCAGCAAACGCGCGCCACGACACGCCGTGCCGCCGCGCGGCGTTGTAACCCGGCGGCACGCCCAGCTGCACGCTCTCCGAGGTCGACGTCGACGTGGTTACGTCGCCATGCTTGTCTGTGAGCGTCACGGTTGTTACTGTTGGCGCGGGAGAGATCGTTGGAATCGCGCTGAGGTTCCATGGGGCGGTCGCGTCGCCGAAGAGCGCGCTGTAGGTGCCCGTGGCAAGCCCGGAGGTGACGATGCCGCCTGTAGGCGCGGTGACGGTTGAGGCGAGCGCGTACGGCTGAATGGTGTCCGTCGGCGTGGGGAGGAGCGAATTGGGCAGCTCGGTGGCGTAGGTCGCGGACATGGAGGAAAAGAAGGAGGAGAGGTACTCGACATTTTGTGTCGAGTTGGTCGCGTTCGAAAGCGGGTAGAGGCCGATGAAAGGAGGCTCGACGCCATCGATGCCGTAGCTGTGGATGTAGGCGGTGAGTAGTGAGTCAGGATTATTGCGAAAAAGCACGAACCTCCAGATCGAGTAAACTGTCCTTAGAAAGGGCTGCCCAATTTGCCAGTCAATGCCAATGGCTGCAGGGGAGGCCGCTCTCGGCCACGTCAGGCATAGGCTCGGGTTGTTGGCCGTTGGGCCGATCAAGTAGTCAGAAGGCTGAAGCGTATAGTTGCGCTCGCCAAACGTAAGAGTCATTGGCTCGACCGTGTCGCAGGGAATGGCCCATTGACCAGCTGAGAGGCACATCAGCGTCTGAGGTACTGTCATGATGGACATTTACTTACCTTCGTCCACCAGCCTAGCACTATCAATCATGTTGAACAAGTTCTTGACCTGCAATATTGTCAGTGCTGCTTCAGCTTGGGTTGGCCTTATTACTCACGTCCTCAAACGGTCCGTAAATGCCATTGTTCCCGCTAGGTCATGTCAGAACGGTCACTTTGAATTGGACCAGGCGACTCACATATCAAACAGGGCCAGAGAAGTGTTGGCTGTGATGTCGGGGTAGCTTGGCTTGGTCGTTACCTGCGTGCCATTGACGCCGAAGGCGTGCATGGGAATCGCCCATTCTAAGTAGCTCGACTCATCACCCTTGCCCGGGGCTGGCGCAAACTCGACGACCTGGTTCCATCCGACCGCGGACATGTCCTTGACCACCGACGAATCGACAGCGCCGAGTGACAGCGTGCCGGAGTTGTTGTAAGTCAAGCTCAAGCCGAACAAGGGATAGGTCAGATTTCCCTGCTGCGCAAGTGTCGGGAAGAACGGTGTTGCTGGGGGTATATTTAGTGATTGGTCAAGGTGGTGAGACGGGGTGGCGCACAGTTCACCACCTTGCTGTTCGCGATGGTGGATAGGCGGGGGAAACCAAGACCCAGAAGGCCGCTGATGTCGTCCGTCATGCTGACATTACCATCGGTGATCATACCTATGGGTGGTCAACAGGTAGTAATGAACCGGAGATGAGCACGACGCACCGAACGCCTGATCGGGGACGGAAAAGTTGGCCACCTCGACCGTTTCCCTCGCTATGTACCCTGAAATTGCTGCAAGGATGTCAGGAGAAGGAAGATGAGGAGGATGCAGTCGGCGCACCAGTCCCGTCCGAGTACGCCGCACGAAATTCGGTCTCGTTGTCGTTGACCGCCGTGAACGTCTCGCTGGCGTAGCCAAGCGGATATCGCGGTACTGCCTGGCACTGATCGCTCGCGCATGCCGAAGAGAAGAGCCATAGGTCGGACGAGGCCGTGTCGAGCGCAACGCGAAAGGTGATCTCGCCCGTCTTGAGCTCGGTGTAGTACGAACTGCGCGGGCGGTCAGCTGGCTTCCCGCACGATGACCTGCGACGCACGTCTTGCCGCTGGAGAGCGACAGCCTCTGGATGCCCGCTCGGGGGGCGGTCGCATTGGCGGCTGCGGTGCCGTTGGCGTTGGCATTGCCGGCGCCGTCAGCGGCCTGGCGGGCGATCAAGGGGAGCGCGGCATGAACGCCGGCGACGAAGGCGGAGAGAAGAAATGGAAAGAACATGGGCCTAACACGGCATAGATGGTCGGAGTATAAGAAAACGAAGGAGCGACTCGGCCAGAGCGAGCCTCTGACCGCAATTCAGTGTGTGAGAAGAGCAACTGCCTTTGATTCCGTCCAGGTTTCGTCACAAGGACAGCCTCACTCGGTCCGATCACCGACGTTCAACTGGGCCAATACTCCTCCTCGAGCTCAGGTATTCGGCGCTGCAACTCGGGCAACGCTCACACAGCGACCACGACGACGGGGAGATAGAACGGCGATAGAGACAGCGACGATGAACTGACTTCAAAAACACGGCAGCTTCCCGAAGGCTGTCCATCCCGTAAGCTCCTATCCTCCTGAGCAGACGATACATTACAAAAACACAGCTCAACGCAAATACAAAGTGTTACATTACTTATAGATTTGGGCGCCAGTGACTCGCAGTAAGCGCCAGCGCGAGGAGCCGCGAAGCGGGATTCGACTCGCCTGTGCCGACTGCGCTGCTGCGCCCAGCAGGCGGCCTGGAAAGCCCTGCGCTGACGGCTGCGCAGGGGAACCCGAAGCGGGGCAGAGTGCCCTACGAAGCTCGGCGGGCACCCCGCGAAGCTCGGTATAGCCAGAGCGCATCAGATCCCATGGTGCGACCCCGGCTGCGAGGCCATCGTCGACAGATACACATCCCACGAATGCGTGCTGTAAACCCAGTCAGCCGATAGCTCGCTTCACCAAACCAGATGGCTGAGATCCGAGGACTGCATGGAACACTCACTCGAACGCGGACGGCGCACTATTCCACATCGCCATCATCTCGTCGTCGAGGACGATATCCGCAAAGGCCTCCCCGCCCACGCCGCCGTGCATGTAGGACGAGGCGTCCATGGATGCCAGGGAGGGTTCCGAAGCCGCAGGTCCTCCTTCAAGTGCGTCGAACTGCCCGCCCGGGATGGATTGGCTGCGCAAGGGTCCTCCAACGCCGCCATGATTTCCGAATCCGCCGCCATTCGATACCGGCGGACCCATGGTGGCGAGCTCGGAGTCCATTCCGGATCCCCAGCCGTCGCTCAGCGCGTTGACGCCCTTCCCCAGCGTGTCCTTCGTGCTCACGCTCGACATATAGTAATCCGACGCGGCTACCGGGGTGGAATACGGCGGGTCTTGGGAGAACGAGGTTCCGAAAGACTGATCTAGCGGCAACGATGACGGAGTCGATAACGAGGGTTGGGAGTGCACCAACGTATGCGACGAGGTGACAGAAGGATGCGACGCCGGCGCTGAGTGAGCCGATCCAGAGGACTGCGGCGAGGGCGTGTTGCCGGTTCCCCAATCTGTGGGCGGAGGCGCGGCGCCTGGATTGAACAGTCCCGGATGCACCGCTGCTGCAGGCCGCCACCCCGCGTCGAGATCTTCGAAGGCCCGTTGCTGCTTGTCCCGGTCGTCAAACGTCCGCTTCTTCGTCGGCGGCGCGGGCCCCTCCTTTGAGGCGAGGTAGCTAGGGCGCTCCCCGCATGGGCCGCCCGAATCCCCGGTCCCGGGTCTACAGGACCCGCTATTAGGCGGACAGGGCTTGACCTGCTCGTCCATGAGCGCCTGGCAATTGTCGCCAATGCACGCGAGCTCGCGCAGGAGGTCGTGGAATCTGCCCGGGATGTGGTGCCTAGGACGAAGTCAGTCAACTGGCTAGCAAGTACCTCCCGGACCTTTGGCAAGGCTGGATGTTATATGGAAAAGGGGACGCACGTCTTCTCACACACGGACAGGAAGTTCATACAGCTCCACACGTCGTGCATCTCTCGGTCTTGGTCTAAGGCGAGCCCCCTCTTGCGACCACCCCAGACGTTGATGAGGAGCACAATCCCCGCGCTGAACGCCGCGATCTGCAAGGTCGCAACCGTTAGCATCTCTTACCACTCCTCTGCGCCAACAATCCAACATAGAGGGCTGGCCACCCATCATGTGCCAGTTGAAATTGTTCCCTCGTTCTGCGGCCACCCATCCTTCGCGAAGAAAGACTAATGAGGAAAGAGAAAACTCACAAACATCTGCGGCGCGCGCAATATCCAACCCTTCTTCACCTGCGCCTCAAGCAGTCGCGCGCACGACCGAGCCGCATTGGTACAGATAGCGAGCGACGGGAACGCCAACGGGGAGTCCTTGTGAATGAACGGGCGATGAATCTGGATCTGAATGTAGTAATAGGAGCAATAAAGCATGGCGCTCTGCAAAAACAAGGTCTTGTCCGCTCGTGTGGGGTCCCAGCGTACTGCAAGGTGGTTAGTCGGTGGTTCGGAAAGCTGATGGTCTTGAAAGCTGATGGCACGAAAGACGGAAGGGAACACATGATATGGAGTGAGTCGGACGGCGTATACTCACGAAACTCTGGCACGCTGTCCATCCAGTTGTTCAACTCCGAATCGAGCTCAGAGACGATGCGCTGGTCCCAGGCTGGGCCATAGCGCCCGGCCTGCACGCGCGACTTGGCGGTGGTGTAGAGGTTGCGGAAGGCGATGGAGTGCAGATCGACCACCTTCGCGGAATGTGAGCTTAGACGCACATGCGAGATATAGCACCCGCGTGATTGGGTGGTGGCTAACCTTGAGATGGGTGTTGAAATATATCGGCGTGTGCGCGACCGTGCCCTCGGGTTGAGCGAACTTGACCTCGGGGTCGGAGGTTTCCCAATATTCATCGTCGCACTCGACTGGGTACTCGGCGTCAATGCTTGGAGAGAACCTCTTCAGTCTGGTGATGGGTCTGCAGTTAATTGGGCACATACTCATCGTGATGTATAGCAGATGGACGCCCGAGAAAAGCGCTTGTCATTCGATCCATGATTACCAAGCACCTTCGCTTGTGGTTAGGCCGTTGGGAGTTGTGATAGACCGTGAACTCACCAGAACACCCGCTTCCACTGCTCCGTCAACACAGTCTTCGCCGCGCCGTTACGCCGATGAACCCCGACCTCCTCGCAGAACCGCAGTGCAATACCAATGAGGTTCCATGCCCCCTGCGGCGTCGTCGTCCCGAAGATGTACATGATACACACCTAACCAAGTATATCGTGAGTCACAAAGGAGCTCGGCACCTGGCACGGCACCGAACGTACACAATAGCACTGAATCTCATAGAGGCTGGAAACCTCGAACAAGCTCTGCTTGCGCATGACCCGGATCTGATCAAAGTACATCCAGCCCGCGGAGAGCGGGTCGTCGTCCAACCACGTCGCAGGCTCATTGGCAAAGCGCGCGGCGACGGCACAGACGCCGAGCACGGTGGACCCGAAGAAGCGGTCGCGAAGGTGGAGGCCGTTCTTTAGCTCGCGCATGAAGGTGGGCTGGTGGAAGATGTTGAAGACGGGCTGTACTTCCTCGAAGAAGAGATTGACGAGGCGGTAAAGGAGGCTAAGCTGCGGGAAGACGAGCGGTTTGCGCTCGTCGTCGTCGGAGACTAAGCGGCGTTCCCACTGCGGATCTACTTGTGAGCGTGGTGATAGCCAGAAAGTGTACAGACGTACGGGCTCCAGTCTCCAGAACTTGTCTCGCCTGACGTCCGACTCAAAGAACTCGAGATTCATCTTCCCAATGAATTCCTCTTTGACATTAAGCGCGGACTTCATGAGCATGAAGCTGCTTGACTTTCCAAAGAAGCGGAGAGGAAGAGTGTGTATATCAAGCCTGGATAGCTTGTCGTTGAGCTCGTTCTGCGTCCGCTCGTCTTCGAGTTCGTCGATGATGTCCTCAGGCGAGTCGGCGTTAAAGAGATGGAAGGATTCGGGGGAGTTGGCGTCAGCAGGCGAGGATGAACCGTCTTTCTGAAGCTCCTTCGCGACGTCCATTCCTGGGTTGAGCTGCAGCCATGGTTCATTATGCAGTTGCTCGATCGTAAAGGGGTGGCGCACCTTTCGCAGAAGTTCCTCCATCTTGTTGATGCGGGCCTCAAGTTCCTCAACATATCGCTTCTGCGGTCCCCGTTTCTGCACGCTGCGATATTACATGGTATCCAGGGCCCGTAATTGATGTACGCACACGAACGGGGATGGTGTGCTGACACTCGAGGTTGAACGCGATGCAGTTCGAGCAACGATTGCCCGGCATCTGTGAGCTATCACCTGCGAGGCGCGTCAGAGGCCATGCAGTGTCTCATTGCACTACATGTCCGCACATTTCGCTGCAAAGTTGTTCATTCATTGCACTCTGGGGGAAGGGGGAGTGGCTCAACTCTTTCTCTTGCGACAGTGGTCGCAGGCGCGGGGGAGACGTTTCTGCTTCTTGTTCGATGGGTTGCTGGTGCTTGGTGCAAAGTCGCCTTCGTCGGAGGACATGGTGGGGGACGCGAAAAGGGGGAACTGCAACGCGAAGCGCCATCGAAGTGGGGCTGGGCAACGCCCGCCAGATGATCGGAGTTTGGCGATGTTTACAAGGGGTCCTCCCACGGCAAGAATCCAGTCCATGCAGTTTTCCGTTTCGCGCACTAGCCGGCTCGACATCGGCAAAGGTGAAATCGTGTCGGAAAGGCGCTACACAGGTTTTGTTGGGACGAATAATCAGACCGACAGATATTCGTTGATATAGAAGAAGAATCTCGACGATAACTTGTCGGCCGAGGAATTCCTCCCAACACAACCTAGGCATAGTGGTCAGGAAAATATTCCGTCTTGACCGATGAGATGCCAGGACCATCGCGCCACGCAAAACTGCAGGTGATGGGCAAGCCAAAGTCACGCTTTTGGCCATTCACGTGACGCGGCCAACGGCGCGGGCTCCGGTCCGCGACGCGTCCCAGCATTATTCTCTCTCCTTCATGCCTCAGAGCTTCGAGGGCTCGATTCTCTGTCATATACTCAAGAGATTCTCACCTGTGTGAGTCTATCTTAGTATCTAGCTATCTAATACCACATGAATGGGGTCCTAGGCTATTCACTGATGTTATGCTCTTGTGTCTTGTGTGCTACTGAACGTATGTGTCCCCAGCGCAAGCTCACTGATTGTTGCTCAAAATAATTCAGAGAGAGGTCCTTCAATACCAAAAGCAAGGGAGGAGACGGCTCGAGGATCATGCACACCAGTCAGCATAACCATGTTCACATCATTCCAATACAAGAGACAGCGTATTCCTAAGTAATATATCCTCTCTGACCAACTGAGTGACCTAACCCCAGCACTTGTTGGTTTCACCGGGCTTGATACAGGTGTACCACCATCGCCGGATCCGTGTTGGATCTTGTGGGCGCACCCGGCACCTGCCAAATGCGGTGTTCGGCGAGGTCGGGACGATGATGGGGGGTCTGCTTCCATCAAACCGATCGTTTGGCGGGCGTTGCCCAGCCCCAATCGAAGACATTCACTTCATGAGCGATCGTGATCCTCGGATGCGCCGGAGTGCGCATGCGTCATATGCTCGGCGACGCCGGGACCACGCGAGCAAGCCCGGAAGACCTCCGCTGGACCTGGCGCAAATCCCTCAAGCGACTTCTACCGTCAATCAGCGTAGGGTGGAAGGCGGAACCCAAGCACTTTAGTAGCTTGAACCTTTTGTGTTCGAAAAAGGGCGTCTTTTCTCAAGCGACACCGTGTCCGTCTCTCGTGGGATACTAGTCACGTGCCCCATAGTTCAACTTCGAATTGCTGACTCTTCGCTGACTCCCTCGGAAGCAAGGCCTCGTAGATCACGCACAGTATATCCTGTACACAAGATACTCTTCCAATGCTTACCTTTCATCAGTACCACCACCCGGAAAAGGGAGGAACAGTTCTGGAAAGACCTAACTCGTGATCCGTCGCCTCACGGGCAGTATGGAAAAACGGAGGTTTTCAAAGGGCTCTTAGAAGTGAGCCTCGCATACGCACTGCTACTAGCATGTTCTAACACACGAGCCGCGGTAGCGGACCGCGGCAGTGCGTCTTCCTTCAAATCTGTCAGCGGAGGTTCGCGATGCAGCGCGTCCGGGAGCGCGTCCGGGTAGTGACGACCTCACGGCGCAAAGCCAAACGCGTGGCGTGGAAAGGAACGTGATTCTGAGACACAAAGGCATGCCTGAAGGGCGTACATAGGGGGATCCGTGCTTCAGTGGTTCGTCCCGGCTAACTCCGGTGCCATCTGCAGTCGCCACAGTTCGAGCCGGACGCACCATGATTTGCGTCTGCATCAGGACCTCCTCCAACCCGAGGTCTGCTCGCGTTCGGGAAAGACAATGTATCCAACCTATCTGCCATGTATTTGATAGCCTGTACATAATTCTTACGAATTAAAGAGCGAGATGTTGAGAAGGAGTGTAGTAAATATGTACTGCACCACGCTACGCGCTGCCTGCAGGTCGCAGATGCAGATAAATAAGAGACCGCCTTACTAGTAGTGCCCGCTGCCGCGCCGGTTGTAAGGATTGTTCGGTGCGTGGCCGTACGGGAAGTGCGGCCCTCGTCCCTGACTGTCGCTGTAGCCTGATGCAGCGCCGTCCTGGGCCATAACGCCAAGGTATTGGTTCCACTGCGCGGAGCTGGAAGGAAGTCAGCCAGGTGCGTAGGAATACAACAAGGGAGAAAGAGTTGATGGCCAGGCAAGGAGGAAAAACGGAAAGGTAAATTAAACTTGGTGGTTGGCATAGATGACCTTCCGGCTAGATGCATTTCCGAGCTCGAAGTCCTCGTGAGGGAGATACGCAGGTAATGAAAGGTCCAGATCGACAACTCACTCAAACGAATTCGACGTCCCGTCAGCCATGCTCATCATATTCGTCCCCAGCGCAAACACACCCTGCGCCGTATCGTCGAGTCCGCCGCCCTGCATCAGCCGCGGGTCCTGCAGCGCCGCCTGGTAGTCCGCCATGCTCGGCATCTCGAACCCGGACTCCATGTTGAACGGGTACTGCGGGAAGCTGAAGGGCATCTCGAGGTCACCGCGCGCGCCATCTCTCGCCATTCTCCCATAGCCGGTCAACACACCGCGGAAGCCTTGCGGCGGGATGAGCGGGTGGTTAGAGAGCGCGGCGGGGTTGATGCGCGAGGGGAGGGTGGCCTGAGGAGTCGGATTGGGTGGGTACTGGAAGCCGGTCTCGTAGGCGAGCTCTTCTTGGATGTAGGTCATTCGCGCAAATTCGTTGTTAGAGGGGACGAAGGAGGCTTGAGAGTTGCCCTGAGAGAACAGGCCCTGCGACGTGTATGACGCGCCTTCAGAGAGCTGAGATGCGCCGCCAGACATTGAGGAGGCGCCGCCCGCCATCGGCTGGGCCTGAAGGTTCATTTGCCGCTGTGTTGTGACCATGTGCGGGGGCACCTGCTCGCCGAAAGATAAATCGTGGAGGGCGTTGCCTGGCACACGGAAAGGGTGCGGGTCGAGGAATGACTCTTGCCAATCGCTGTCCGCGCGCCTCGAAGAGACTTCTGGCGCAGATGGTACGGGAGTGGACTGGGACGGTCGGGCGCGTGATGTCGATGACCCAGCTTGCTGCGCCGACGACCCTTGGGCTGCAGAAGTCGACTGCGTTGAAGGCAGAGAGGAGCGCCGCTCGGGAGGCTGCTCGTAGTCGACGCGCGACCGTTTGCGCGCCGCCGAGGGCGCGGCGGTGGGAAATTCGGGGAAAGGCCCATCGCGCAAACTAGCGAGCTCCGTAAGGAGGTCGTGGAACCGCCCGGCTATATGCAAGAAGTTCTCGCAGGCGCGCAGATAATTCATGCATGCTTCCACGTCCTTTAGCTCGCGCGGGGGGTCGAGGACGAGGCCGGTCTTCGGGCCGGCCCATAAGTTCATGAGGAGTACGACGCCGGCGATGAAGGCGGAGACCTGTCAGATGCGTGATGAGGAGGGCTACTAGGGATCATGATAACTTGACTTACATTGAGTTGGGGCATTGGAAGAACCTGCTTCCGCTTGACCTGTACCTCCAGCAGACGCGCACAAGATCGCGCAGCGTTGCTACAGATAGCGAGTGATGGGAATGTCAGGGGAGAAGACTTGATGATGAAAGGGCGGTGTATCTGGATCTGCACATGATAGTAGGTGCAGTAGAGAAGTGATGCCTGAAAGAATTGGACGTTGTCCGTCGTCAGCGGGTCCCAGCGCACTGAAAGAGGTTAGCGGCGCAAGATGAGAGATAGGGATCACACACAGTGCTCTGGGAGCTCGTCAATCCACTTGTTCATGGCGGCATCCAGCTGGGCAGCTATCTTCTTCTCCCATTCCGGACCAACGTGTCCCATTGAGATCCTGGACCGCGCAGTGCAGTAGAGGTGCTTCAGCGCGAAGGTGAGGATTTCCAGGAGCCGCAGATTGAACACGGAGCAGGTGGCGAAGGACGGCTTGCCCTCTGGTTGCTTCCAAGACGTTTCGGGGTCCCCTGTATCCCAGTACTCATCATCGCACTCGACTGGGTATTCGCAGTCGATACTGGAAATAAAAGGGTGAGGGAAACTCTTTTGAACTTGCGATGGCACCCACTCGTCACGAGATAAAGCGCAAGGCCGACCGACGAAGGAGCTCACGGTGCTATCCATGGCGATTAGTGACCTGGTCGCTCGTCAGCCGACTTCTCCGTCTGATAGGCATGTACGTACCAAAATACGCGCTTCCACGACTCGCTTTCCACGCTGCGGGGCTGGCCTGTCTTCCTATGGATGCCGAGCTGCACACACATGCGTATGGCCATCCCCATGAGATTCCATGCCGCCTGAGGCGTGCTGGTACCCACTAGGTACGTAACGCAAATCTGAGGGGGGACGTGAGCACTCCAAGGACGGATCATTCGACCCACAGCGCACCGCGTAGCACTGCACCTCGTGCAGAGTAGCCAGTCGGAACAGGTTCGGCGACGGCAGCCTTTGTATTTGACTGAACCACCGCCAGCCTGCTGATAGACGGTCCCCTCCTTCGAGCAGGACACGGGGATCCTGCGAGTAGCGGGATGCGACAGCACAGATTGCGAGGATCGCGCAAGCGAAACCTCGGTCTCGGTGATGAAGACCTTCGCGCAGGTTTCGTAGGAAGGTCGGGCGATGGACGATCGGCACGACGCAGTGGGCGCGCGTCAGATACTGGTCGACCAGGTGGTTTAGTAAATCGGGCTCGGGAAAGTCAAAGTCGACCCTGTCATCCCCCTCGAGTCGATCAAGCTCCCACTAAAAACGTGCCACATGAGACCCGACCGGAGCTCAGTGGCACCAGGCTGGACGTACCGGTTCCAGCTGCCAGAATCTCGCTCGCCGTATGTGAGCGTCGAAGCTACCTGGTGTCGCTTTGCCGAGCAGCGTCTCCTTGAACGATAAGGCAGAGCGCATCAGCATGAACGCGGACGACTGGCCCATGAAGCCGCCGTGGTCAGCCATCCCTATGTTCAGCTGGTTGAGCTTGTCAGACAGGGCGGTCTGATTACGCTCTTCCCAGTCCTCGTCCTCGTCCGCCGTTGAGTCTGAAGGCGGGGTCGCACCACTGAGAGCAGGGAAGGAGGACTCGGAGGTCGGGCGGGTCTCCGGCGCTGGCTTGCTGGTGGACCCCGAAGGTGGCACGGGCATGTTTGCCAGCTCCTCCGCCAGATTTACGTTTGGATTCAGCTGAGAATGCGCAATGTTAGATGTCTATGAGGACGGGTGGGCTACGAATACGCACCCGATGTATAATCTCTTCTAGTTGCTTGACCTTGTCCTCAAGATCATCGACGTAGGTCCGTTTCTTTTGAGGCCCGCGCTTCTGCTCAAGGACTGAGACATAAATCAGCGGCGTAGAGGAGCAGGTAGCACCTTGACGGGCAGTGTATGCTCGCATTCCACTCCGAGCGTCGCACAACTCGTGCACTTGCCGGTCTCGGTTTGCGAGCTATCGCCTGCGGCGTCGTCGTCAACACCCCGACTGATGCGGGGAATAGATACCTACACTTCGCTGGAAGCCCGTGAGCGAGTCTCCTACACAGTACGAAGGAAGGTATAGTTACTCTTTCGCTTCCTGCAGTTATCGCAGGCGCGGGGAAGGCGACGTTTCTTCGATCCGGGGATAGGACCTACGCGGTCGAATTCGTCCTCAGAAGACAAGTCCATGGTCTGGAGAAAGACACGTCGCGCTGAGGTCCTCTACTTATATGTCTCGAGGAGTAAGTGGATCGAAGGAAAGCGGCAGATGGGTGCATGGTGTGCAATCAGTCGTAACGATGTTTAGGTGCCGGTGATGTGATGAACCCTCAGGCCTCCGGGGCGCTCTCCGCCGTATACTGCCCTGATCAGCTTCATAGTCATCAAATTCCCAACGACGATCTCGGAACTCTCCTGGGTCTCTAATCGGCAACCCGGGAATCGGGACGGCTCAATAAGCATCAAAACATCTTGGCAGATTAGAGAGACTGGATTTGGAAGCAAAGAGGACTGTTTATATACAACACTAGTGCTACGTACGTCGGGAGGTTTGAGTACAAAGGCGATTGCGCCTCTCAAGTATGATAAACTACTGGTAATACAAGTGATAAAAGCGAAGAAATTCCGACGAAATCAGGACCAAACAAGTAGAACAGCGCGACATAGAACGGAGCCTGAGACGGTGGGGAGGCGGAGTGCCGGAGAGGCAAAGGCCGGAGGGGGTATCACCTGTACGCTCTCCCGTTCGTCGTCTTTGACGCAACATGGCTATGCCCGTTCATCTTCCCACCGCTCGTCCCAGGCCCACTTAGCCGCGGCTTCTTGCTAGCGGAGGAAGAGTGGCCATTCGCAGGCGCAGACGCGCTCTCCGACTTGACGACCATCTTCGCGTGTATCTCCTCCAGTTTCGAGGCCTTCACTTTCTTTGGCCAGAACAGTGTTACGAACCTAAACACCCGGCGTCAGACACAGCGTCCACATGCAATGATGCCAGATCACTCACGTCCACAGATGTCGCCGCCATCTGACCGTATCCTCCCCTGCGGCAGCCTTCTGCGAGAGTACATGCTCGATCCGGCGTCCAATAGCGGCGAGGGAGTCCTTCAGTATAGCGACCTTCTCGTCCCGCGGCATCTCTTCGCCTGATAGCTTGAGTTGTTTCTGATCCCGAGCAATCAGCCACAGAATCAACGACTTCCAAGCGCAAGAACTTACCAGCTGCTTCTTCACAGGACGAAGCTCCTCCTTCGTTGCCGCCTCGTCCATCGATGGACACTCGTCAGAGCTCTCCGAGTCAGTGAACGTAGGCGTCGGTCGCCGTTTCCGCTTGCGGTTCGATGTGTCATCGATACTCGCCACAGCCTCACTCTCTGCCCGACGTCGCACGCTGTTCAGGTACGCGGAGGAAGAAGAGGACGCTACGGGTGGCGGTGGGCTCGTCGACGTCTTGTAGCGGGAAGTCTTGCTCTGGATATCGCGCACGTTCCGCGTGGCCTGCGCGCCGAACTGCTTCACCTTCTCGTCGTAATCGCGCAAGATGCTGAGCAAGAAATCGCCGCGTCGGACGAGGTGGATGGCGTTCGGGATGGGCCTGTTCGCTGAATCCTCGTTCTTCTTGCCTTCGTCCAAAAAGAATTTGCCCTCCAGCCCAAGCTTGGGATCCTTCTGGATCTGCTCCCAGTTGCCGAAGCCGTACAGGAACGCGCCCACGAGCAGCATGGCATCATCGATCTGATTCCAGCGGCCCGACCAGTTGAGCGTAGGGCGGATGTTGTCCACAGGCAGTCTCCACGCGTACTTCTGCTCATCGGTCAAGGGCGCCAACGTCTGATACAGCACGCGCAGATCACGGTTGCGCGAGATCACCGTCTCCGCGTTGATGTTGTTGACGCCGCGAACGGTGACGAGGACAGCCTTGGACTTCTGCGCGTTCGTCAACTGCTCGCCGGCGTCTGCCCTCTGCCGCCTCTCCTCCTCCGCGTGGCGGACAGCCTGAGTGCAGACGTCCAGGATCTCGTCGGCAACATCGAGTATCATGCCGCGGTTCTTCTCCGTCAGCTTCGCCTCCTGGGTCTACAGATAATATCAGCACCCGAACCGGTAGCGCGGGGATGAACGCAACACTCACGATGATATCGTAACGCTGCCGGATGTCGCCCCACCGCTGCATACTACGGATGAGCACGCGCACATCGCGCTCCTTCAGCTCCATCGCGCGCTGCGCGCCCGACTTTCGCTGCGGCGCCTTCGCCTTCTTCGGTGCCGGAGTCGGCGCGGGCTGGTCGACGTCCATGCCCTCGTACGACACCTGCGCGGCCTGGCGCTTGCGGTCCTTCGTGTCCTGCGCAGCGAGCTCCTCCTGCTTCTTCTCTTCCGCCTCACGCTCTGCCTTCTCGCGCTCGGACAGCGGGATGATGTCCTCCCAGTCCAGGTCGGCCTTCACGTCACTGACCTGGGCGAGCGACGCCATGAAGCCCTCGCCACCCATCGAGCGCCCGCCGTCGCCCGCGGCCTCGGTCTCGTGGTCCTCGGCGCGGTTGAGGATGTCGTCAAGGTCCATCTCGTCGAGCTTCTGGTTTTGCGACGATGCGTCCTTGTCGAACATCTTCTGCGCGCCGTACTTGAGCACGGCCGTCAACTCGTCCTTCGTGTAGCTATCCTTGTTGATTTGCTCCGGCTTCTTCTCCTTCGCGCCAAGATGCGCCTGGGTGGTGTCCATCTGGTTGATGATGGCGTACTCGAGGACCATCTTCGCCTTCGCCTTCTCGAGGATCTCCTCCTCGACGGTATCCTTGCTGACAAAGCGATAGACGCTCACGTGCGACTTCTGCCCAATACGGTGTGCACGCGCCATAGCCTGGAGGTCGTTCTGCGGGTTCCAGTCGCTCTGCGTTACAGTGAGCAACGTCCGATAGATAGACGAGGAAAGAAGCTCACATCGAAGATGATGACGGTGTCGGCCGTCTCGAGGTTGATACCGAGACCACCCGCACGCGTACTCAGCAAGAACGCGAAGTCGGGGCTGCCCGGCATGTTGAAGTGCGCCATGGCCTTCTTGCGCGCGTCGCTCGCGATGGTTCCGTCAAGGCGCTGGTGGATATAGCCACGAAGCGACATGTAGTCACTCAGGATGTCCAACATGCGCACCATCTGACTGAAGATGAGCACACGATGGCCGTCCTGGCGCAGGCGCGCGAGCAGCTTGTCGAGTAGAACCATCTTCCCGCTGTTCATGACAAGACCCTTGAGCGTCGCTTCGTTGTCGTCGCTGCGGAGCTCAGCGCCGTCGAATAGGAAGGGGTGATTGGCGGCCTTCTTCAACTCCATGACGATGTTAAGCAGAGAGATGTTGCTGTTGCCGTTGGCGCTCCTTACGAGGCCTTGGAAGTTCTAGGAAAATGTCAGTATCGGAAGGAGAAGCGTCAAGCTAGGCTTACCCTCGTCAGGATGTTCTTGTAGAACGTCGTCTGCAACGTGGACATCTCAACACGCAAGATACGTTCGCTCTTCGTCGGGAGGGAAGCAAGCACGTCCTTCTTAACGCGACGCAGGAGGAAGTTGCTGAGCTCCTTGTGGAGGTTCTGGATCTTCTCTTCGTGGTCCGCGTCGTTCAAGTCGAACTCGCTATCGAGGCTGAAGCGCTCGGGGTGCAAGAAGTGCATCAAGGCCAAAAGCTCTGCAGATGATGCGTTAGCCACACAAATCCTAGATTACGGCAAACATACTGACCCTTGACGTTGTTCTGCAACGGCGTACCCGTGATGAGCAACTTGTTCGCGCAGTTGAAGCTCATAAGCGTCTTGTACAGCTCGCTCTCGCTGTTCTTCAACCGATGCGCCTCGTCGACGAGCAGCGACTGCCACTTGATCTGGCCCAGGTAGTTCGCGTCCTTGAGCACCATCTCGTACGTCGTCAGGATCACGTTAACCTTCAGGCGCCGCGGGTCGAAGGTGATGACCGGCTGCCGTTTGTTATCGCTGTCCTTCGTGCGCATCGCCTGCTGCCGCTGCTCCGCGAAGAGCTTCTCCTCGGGAACCGGACCCGAGAACTCGTAGTTGCGGATGATCTGGCGCGAGGTGGCGTGCCCGATGTAGGGGATGACGCTGATGTCGGGCGCCCAGGATGCGAACTGCGCCTGCCAGGCAGTGATAGTCGACAGCGGAACGACCACAAGGAAAGGGCCGTAAACCTGCATGCTGTGAAAGAGCCACGAGATGTAGGACACGCTTTGCACGGTCTGCGAACGTCGTTAGATACGCCACATACGCCACTCAAGTATCAACGTACCTTTCCGAGACCCATCTCGTCGGCAAGGATGCCATTGAGGCCATGCGACCAGGTGAACGCCAGCCAGTTGAGGCCGGTCAGCTGGAAGTCCTTCAGCTCGCCACCATTCTCCTTGATGTAATCCGGATCGCGCGCGATCTTCTCGAACTTTGGGCGCTTGTTGACCGCGTACTGCTGACTCTTGTACGGGAAGTACGCGTCGCTCTCACGTTGCCGGTAGGCCTCGATGAGGTGCTTAGCGATGGGCGCAATTTCGGAGTGCGGCTCCCACGTGCAGTGCTCGTACGGGAGGTTCGTCCACTTGCAGAAATACTCAATCACGGTGTCGCCGTCCGGGTTGGTAATCTGCCGGTGAGACACGATGCGCTCGGGGATGCGGTAGGTCTCCAGCTCTTCCTTTTCGCGCTCTTTCTCCAGTACTAGCGCCTCAACCTCTTCAGGAGACGTATGTGGCGAATCCTTGCGCGCTTGCCAGATCTTGTACGCCTTGATGTAGTTATCGACGCGCTTGTTGCCCTTGAAGCGCTTCAAGAACTCGTACGTCTCGTCGGTGTTGTGCAAATGGGAGAAATTCTTCCATTTGATGTGAAAGCGCTGCAAGGTTTGGCTCAGTAATCCGAAATACATTAGTGGCGAAGTTGCGCACCATGTTCATTTGCCACTCGTCCTGCGGGTCGTCCAAATGCTGCTCATCTCGCGAGTGACCGAGGACGGCCTCAATCTCGTCCTCCTCGGCCAAGGCATACGCGTTCGGGTCGGGGTAGGCCTGCTCGTAGCCCATGTCCACGTCGGAATCCGCGCCAAGATGCTCATCGAGGTTCTGATCGTCGTAGTAGTTGACTCTGGTACGACCGCGACCGGACGAGCGCGTCTCTTCGTAGCGCGCCCGCTTCTTCTTCTTGCTGTGCGAGCCGTAATCTGAGTCGGAATCCGAGCCCGAAGCAGGATACGTGGCTGGGCCTGGGGTCAATGCGGGGCAGGAGGAGGGGTGATACAAGAACGTACGGCGCGACGGGCGCGGAGCAGCAGACGAGCGCTTCTTCTTGGGGGCCTTCTTCCGAGGGCGGGCATCGGCGCCATAGTCGCCGTCAGCATCGTCATCGACGTCGACACCCTCGTCGGCGTCACCTTCATATTCATGTTCATCGTAGCCCTGGCATGAAGGTTAGCATGGTAAAGCACAAGGGGGCATGGAGCAGGCGTACCGAGTCCTCTCCCTTTGGGCACAAAGTCAGCAGGAGGGAGGGGTAGAGGGGAAGTGGCACGTACTGAGTGACTCCTGGCGGAGGAGGCCATTGGTACATGCTGAAGCTGCATCGGGGCGGCCGGCGGCTCAGCCAGCTGGTCCTCCTCGTACTCTGCGTCTACGTCGCGGGGCGGGGAGTGGGGGCTGCTGACATCGGAATCAACCTGCATGCTATCGTCCGAGGCGTAGTTGATGTTGCTGAGCGCCGAAGCCATGGCGGGCTAGGCGGCGACAACGGCGACGACGACGGGCGGACGGTGGTGAGGATACGTGGTTCGGGACGAAAAGCGATGCGTGTGTTCGTCGTCAAATATCAAGATTCGCACGGTCGACATCGCGGGCAACGCCGGCGCGGCCGCGGACAGCGTCGAGGGACATGTATTTTTGGACGGTTCTCGGTCACGGGCCACTTTTCCAGGCCTCAAATAAATATTTGGGAGGATCCGGGCGCTGTCTACTGCATTTCTACTGCCATTTCTTCGCTGCTGGCCGCAATCCAGCGCGAGCTGGGAGCCGTGCGCGCGCTCGCCAACGGCGTGCCAAGCCTGTCACGCTGGCCGAAAAAATCTCACGCCATCACGGCCGTTGTTCTGGCCCGCCCAGGGCCTTGTCGTCATCGCCCGTTTCGAACTCGCCGCTGACGGCCACGTCGCCGCCGGTTCTCGTTGATCGCCCATCGATCCCGCGCACACAAACATGTTCTCCGTCGCGCTTTTTGCACCTCCCTTCCCCATCTCCCCCCTTATCGTCCTATCGTCGTCACCTTCGCCGTTGTCACAGCGCGGGGGTCCATTCCCTGTCTCGATGTCATGCGAGGTCCTCACGCAACGCACATGCCCGGCGGAATGCCGATGAGCGCCGCCATTGGTCGCCCCCGGCTCGCACCAGCCTGGGTCCTCCCGGCGCCATGTCACGACCTCCATGGTCGCCGGACGCGCGGCTCGCCCCTGCTCGCTCCCCGCTGACATGCTGGCGATCGCCCCGTGGCCTTCGAAACGTGCGATAGTCGAAACGTCCCTCATGGGTCCGTGCCCTTCGCCCATGATGACCTCTCTTTGTACGTCTTCGCCGCCGCTGCGCGCTGCCCTTTCATCCCACTCCACCCTTCTCGCAGTCTCGAGCGTTCCCTGCCTTTCTGTTCGTTGCCGTCCGGGATAGCGCTCTCGTGACGTAGTGTACGATACTGCGACTGCGCTGCGCTTGTTGGCCGGCGCTGCCGTGAGCACCTTCGCCTCCCTATCGCACCAGCCTGATCACCGCAAAGGCCTGAATTCGTCCTCATGAGTGTCACCATGCGGTTTGCGCTGGGAGTTGGCTCGAAGATTCCCGCTCTAGCGCCCGGCGTCGCCGGCGCTATCGGCAACAAGTGGCACGTACCCTTCAGTCGACGCGAGGTTTCCGCGACGGACGGCATCCCGCGGGTACCCTAGATCACGGTCGACGGCAGGTCCGCGAGCGACTGTGGGGACCGTGGGGTCGTGCCATACAAACCCTCGTCGACGGCGTGTCGAACTTAATGAACCGCCTCGCTGCTGTCGGCGTCGTCACCGCCTGCGGGCTCAGCTTTAGTTGTGGTCACGCAGGCTGCGTTTTCTTTGGTCGTGGACAGGGGACATAGGTTGTCGTGGAGTCGTTCACTCGCGACTTGCGCGTACCCCAGCCGGGGTAGGCGTAAAGGCGGGCGACCAGCGCGGGTCACGCCCTCGCACAAGTCCCCACATTTTGTATGGCCGGCAGCGTCGAACTTAGCAAAAAGCTGGTCGTCGCTGTCCTCTGACAGGAACGTTCTGACAACCTCTCATTGTTTGGAGACGGTGCTCGGGTGGAAGATCGGGAGCGAGGCGTTTGGTGGGTGGTCCTAACCGACATGAACAACCAGCGGAATTGATTTCTGCTACCTTGCGCGTAGAGTACTACGTCTTTGTTCTTTCTGCGCCGCAAATGCTAGGGTTGCTTTTTACATGGTAACGTGGTTCGGTCCGCTGTATGGCTCGCACTCTCAAGCGAAGTTTCTGCGGCAACGTTGTCAGCCATATCTTCGTCCTCTCGTGCCAACTCTGTCTTGCTGGGTTTACATCGAGGCATTGTCGCCTCTGCCTGGTTCCGTGCGTGCCGCTACCGTCTTTCCCATTTGGAACAATGTAAGGACAATTTGACCTATTGGTGCCAATCGCAACGCCTGTCTAGATTCGTGGACCTTCCTTGCGTCAGCTTCGCGGCGCGCCTCTGAGCTGCCTTCGCTCCATGTTGCAATCGAAGAATAGGGCCCCTTGACTGCCGACTCCTTTCAAACTTCTGCATTTGCGGACGGCACCAGTGACGGACACCGGACACCCATCAATATCGCGTATCAGCAGTCTCTAGTGTTGTCATGAATTGAGGTTCATTCCCTCTGCATACTTTTGCCACAATACGCAACAAAGTCAACGACGGATCAACTTCGAAATTGAACCGTGACATGGTGTTATCGTGACCTTCGGAGTTTGCCGAGGGTCAACATCTGATCTCGAACTTCGTTCTTCTCAATCATCGTCCGTTCTAGGTTTTGCGACGCTTTCTTCTGGTCTCAGGGTCAGCCTAGCCGAGGGGGTCCAGCATACCCAGCTGCATCTTGCCCGTCACTTCGACGAGGACTGCCTATCTATGCCTCTCTTCATCGCCGTACACGGCGGTGCTGGTTATCACGCCGCCGAGGATCAGAAAGCAACGAAACAGGCGCTGAAGACGTGAGTGGTATGAAGTTTGTCTACATTGGCTGGTAAACATGATCTCCAAGCAAAGTTCTGTTCGGACAGCGCTAGGATCAATCAAGACGACCGATTCAGAAGTCTCGGGAAGCGAGATAGTAAACGATCAGCAAGTTGATGCAGCAACGACAGAAACCGTCTCTGATGTCTCTCTTTATGCCGTCGAGACTGCCATCCGCGTTCTTGAAGACGATCCTATACTGAATGCCGGGTGTGGGTCAAACCTGACGGAACTGGGCACGGTCGAGTGCGATGCTGCTATAACGCTCGCGTATGACTCGGCCGGGTCGAGCGCCGTGAATGCCGAGTTCGGTAGCGTTGCTGCTGCACCAGGGATCAAGAATCCCATAAGCGCAGCACGCGCAGTGCTACAGAATGCACGGCGTGTCGATGTGCTGGGAAGGGTACCGCCACTGTGAGTTCTTGATCCATCTCCATTGTGATCCTCCTCAACGCATAATGTTGACTTGCACTGACATGTACAGGACGCTGTGCGGACACGGTGCTCGAGATTTCGCTCGGGCGCACGGGGCCCAAGTCGTGGCCGATGACCAGCTTGTCAGCGACAGAGCGCGCGCGGACTGGGAGTACTGGTCCGCGCAACTACGAAGGGAATCCTTAGTGGAGACGATGCCTCAGACTGGAGGACCTGCGTCGCAAAGTTCGGACGCGCACCAGGATACGGTGGGCGCTGTCTGCTTGCATTTCCCCTCTTCTGGGGCTCCCAGTGCGGCGGCGGGCGTGTCAAGGTGAGTGTTATATGTTCTCAAATATTTCTAGACGAGAAACTTAGCGAGAAATAGCGGTGGACTCTTGCTCAAGCATCCGGGGCGTATTGGGGAAGCGGCAGTCTACGGCGCAGGGTGCTGGGCGGGACCTATCGCGACGTCCGACGCGCAAAGTGGATCGACTCAGTGGTGGATGGCGTGCAGCATCTCTGGCAAGCAACACTCCAATCTTTTCGTTCGTTATCCTTCAATTATCCCTTGCAGGCACTGGTGAAGCCATCATACGCGCCAACCTCGCAAGGCGCATCTCGGAAGAGCTTGACCGCGCTTGGGATGCCCAGGGCCAGGGTCGCATCGTCACGACCGGCTCGGATGAAGAAGATGAAGACATCGACGTCATCGACAATGAACTGGACATACATCAGATCTTGTACGACGTGCTGAAGAAAGAGTTTCGGCATGGAGGGCAGGAGGTGGGCTGGGACGGGTGCGATAAGCCGACGGTGGGCGTGCTGGTTATAGTAGGGAATGGGGATACAGGTGAGAGCTCGCAGTACTACTGTGGAATCGGTCACGTTCTGAAGCCTTTCTCTGCCAGTGCGTTTGTATAGTGCATTCACCGCCGCGGGGATGGCAATCGCGTATGCTAAAGAGGATGTGAGTGTGTATTGTTTGTGACCGGCTCTTAGGCTGACATCAAAGTACAGAACGTACGGGCGCATATATTGTTGCAAGAAGGGGGATTTCCTGGGTCTATCATCGTCGAGACGCATACATTGTACTCGCGTTCCACAAATACGCAGTCGATTCAGTGATCGCGCCGAGCTCGTTTGGTGACCTTGGGTATCGATGAACGTCGGCATTGCCTGCAAGGTCGCGGATAGACGGACAACCCCAGACTATATCCGGTACGAACCAGTCCTCGTGCATGCGGGGAACTTCATTGCCTCGTCGTCCCCACTAGCCCGCCTGTTCGCCATCTTCAACGCCCGCCGACCCCCTTCATGAAGATATACAGTAGGTTCTTTTCTTTGGCCACCCTCGATCTGTCTATGAGCTTGACCGATATCCTACGAAACAATCCTGCGAAGGTCTGCGTGACCTGCTAGAGCCCTTCCTTATCCTAGTAGGATCAGGTCCATCTTAAGCGCGCCACCACGCCCACTGCACGCGTCTGTCAGCTTTATATATATGCTCGATAATCGCGCCGACACCCATCCCTCGCCGTCTGCCCATGAGAGTTCTGAGGTGCGCGCTCCCCGACTTCAGGTCCAAATTATGCCTCGTCGCTCATGAATTTGTCTTTCCAGGACCTTGCCCGCTCACAAATACCATGGCCGACAGCATACTATCCCTATTCGAGCTGTTTGCGATGTCGAACGACCTTACTCCTGAGAGCGGCGAGTACAATGTTGCGCAGGCAGGCTTCCTCACGAATGCTACGCATGACGCATATACGGCTTTCGAGGACTCCTTTGGCAGCGATGACAACGATCTAGACGCCTGGCGCAACATATGTAGGACAGGTGGGATTCGGAACGCGGAGAGCCTTCCCAGCATCACAGCTTGTAAGAAGGTGCGTGCACATTGCCTCGAGGGTTCCTATTTCATGCTGACAGTTCCAGTCAGGCCATCAGACAATCGAACATCAACATATATGACTTAGAAGACGCAATGAAATCGAATACGACTTGCAGTGGATATGCTACGCGGGCACAGTTGAGGCAGAGCATTCGCAAGGGAAAAAGGTATCCAAAGAAACGGGCGAAGGAGAATCGATTGCTCAAGGCCTTTCTCCTAGTTTCTGGAGAGGATTATTAGCTTGAACTCTCTGTACAGTATCGAATGAATCTGCTGCAATGGGGCTTGAGACTGCTTAGCGTCAAAAGTCGAACCGTGAGAAATGTTTATGCCTCCGCCCTGATGGTACATCAGCTTGCCCCATTCGACACTTCCCCGCCGATCGCGTCCAGCATGGCTTCTCACCTTTCCGTCATCCTCGACCTGAATGCGCACCAGTGGACGCAGCTCTCCACCGAGGAGCTCTCCCTCGCAAATGCTCTTCCTCAGCTCCTTGTCTTCTTACATGCTCATATTGCCGCTGCCGCCGAGAATACGCTCGCGGTCTATACAGCGGGGTCGGAGGGCCCGACGGAGCTCGCGTTCGATTCGCTGTCAAACGATGTAGAGCTTCCTGGCGCCCTCGATGGGAACAAGTATCCGCCGTTTAGGAGGCTAGACGTGTCTTTGACGGATGCGATACAAGCGGCTATGGATCGCCTAGCGGATGCGGACGAGGACATGAAAAGGACGGTAGGGACCAGCAGCGATCCTCACGCGACGTCCTTCACCAGCGCACTGACGCGCTCCCTATGTTGTGCGTGCACCTATCGCTCTATCTGAAGTACTTGCTAACGTTGCAGATAGATATCAATCGCCTTCAATCCCCCAGCTCGCGCATCCTTTTGTTGTCCGTGTCCCCCGACCGCGCCCAGGACTACGTACCCTTCATGAACGCGATATTCAGCGCGCAGAAACTCAAAGTGCCGATTGATACCCTGCAACTCGCCGCACACGACAGTGTCTTCTTGCAGCAGGCGACGTACCTCACTGGTGGCGCGTACGTGCGGTTGGGTGACGAGTCCGGAGAGGGCAAGAGAGGGGGACTCTTGCAATATCTGATGGTGTGTTCTCCCTGATAATGAATGGGAGACGTCGCTCATGAAGCCTAGATGTGCTTCCTGCCGCCACCAGCGCTCCGCCAGGTCATGGCAGTCCCCACTATGGATCAGGTCAACTTGAGAGCCGCATGTTTCTGTCACAAACGCATGACCGAGATAGGATTCGTGTGCAGTGTCTGCCTCAGTAGTACGTCAGTCCATCCTTCGTCTCGGACAGCTGCTCATTCGTGCCGTTTAGTCTTCTGCTCGCCTGTGCCAGTTTGCACCACTTGCAAGACCCGGTTCCCCATGAAGACGTTGCAGAGGTTGACAGCGTCGCGCATGCCATCTGCTACGTCAACGCCTGTGCAATCCCCAGCACCTTCACCTGCACCAACACCGACGCGAAGTAATGCGCCACCGCCTGCGGCAGCAGTACCTCCGGGCAGGCAAACTTCCCGCGGTGCTGCTTATCCGTTCCGAGGGAGGGGAAGAGGAGGCGGGGTTTCGCATAGCAATGGTCTGCCAAACTCGAACTCGATAGGGCAGAACGGTAGTAGATAGCAGTGTATGTAGAAGTAGCTTAGTGGGACAATGGACGTCCACGCGGACCCACAGATACATGAGGCAGCACGTGGGGGGTGCAGAAAGATGCAACATGCGCCTCGTGTTGAGGTTCTTCAACTTTTTATCTTACCGTCATATCTGGCTGGGTGTCTCCGTTTCCGTTAGCATGCAATGCCGTTCCCAATAGCGCCCGCGCTCCTCGTCGGCATCGGCGCGCGCATCCTCGTCGACGCCTTCTCCTCAGATCCCTCCTCCCCGCTCCGCTCGGCCCTTCTCCAGGGCGCCTGGCAGGGCATCGCACTCTCCCATGCAGTCCGCTCCTCCCCCGACCTCGCTCTCCCCGCCGTCCTGGCCCTTGGTGTCGGCGCGAAGGTCGTCTTCGACATCACCGCCGCCTCCACCGCCGAGCCCATCGACACGGAGGGCACCGGTGTCCTCGAGGGCGCCCTCGCTTCCTCCGGCACCGGCCGCGCCGTCGCAACCCTCATCGGCCTCGCGCTTGGGTTCGTCGGAGCCGACATGCTCGCCGCCATCATGGAGGACGCAGATGGTGAGAAGGACAAGGACAAAGACAAGAAGAAAGAGCGCGAGAAGGAGAAGGAGAAGGAACGCGACCGCCGCCGTTCCGGGCGCGAGAAGGAGCGGCACAAGGAGGACAGGCATCGCGAGGAGCGGCGCGAGCGGCACCGTGACACCGGGGACGAGCGCGCGGCCCCCGTGCGCAAGGAGCGCCAGCGCCGCGTCAGCGGGCCCATACCACCGATGCCCCGGCCACCAGCCCCGTACCCCAATCTCCCCTACGCCGACTCGACCCCGACTCCATCCACTACCTCCCAATCACACATATTCTCGAACAATGGCTACGAAGACATCACGACCGTCGACACGAACTCTACACTCATATCCTCCTCGCGAACCCCCCAAGAGCGCGAGATTGCCGCCCTGCGTGCCCGCGCGAGTCTCGCGGACAGTGAGCGGAGAAGGTGCGCAGGCTGAAAACGAGAAATCGACGTCCTCATTGACGCCCATGCAGATTCAAGGAAGAAAAGAAGTGGGCACTGGCTGCCGGCGACACTGCAAGGGCCTCACAGATGGCCTGGCAAGTGAAGCGCTACAAGGCGCTTATGCGCAGCTTCACGCGCGAGGCAGACGCCAAAGTCGTCGCACTCAACAGTAAGCATGGCCCCTTCTTCCCTCAACCGTTGACAAACCCGCCGTCCTAGCCGCCCCCACCTCCAAACCGCCACCCCCCGTCGCCGCCCTCCCGACACGCTCCTCCTCCCCCGAATCCTTCACGAAACCGATGCCCGCACCTCATCCCGCCCCCATCAAGACCGCTGCCGAGAACGTCTGGATCACGAACGGCGACAGCCGCCGCTCCGTCATCAGCGTCGACATCGCCAAGGCGCAGCAGCCCATACGTGTGAACGTGGTATAGGCCGGGGGAGAGGAGCAGTCCTCGGGCGACCAGTGCCTGCGGTACTGGCGCGTAGCGCCCTGGCGGCGCGGCGCGGCGCTCGCCCCCGCATCGACCGGCAGACCAGTGCCGCTGGGACGTGGCAGACGTCGCAGCGCACGTCCCTGCCCTCCCAGCGCGACCGGCAGCGTCCTCCGCCATCATCAAGAAGCGCTTGACGACCTTCACGACCTACTACTCACCTTCGGGACCGCCTAATCTACATACTCAAGGCTCACCCCCTCGCCCTGGGACAGGATGTGGCGCAGACGCAGGGTTTTCGGACGCTGTAGAGTATTTCACCGGTATCTTCTTATACTTACTTACGCCTGGGGATATGTATATACGACGTGTACAATTACAACAATACCGTAACCTTACAACAGGGTAGCGATTTGACTTTCTCTACAACCAACTTCGACTTTCACCACCGATACATGCGAAACCCCGACTGGTGCTGCACTGCGTCCAGGGTCGTAGTCGAGTACATGAGATATTTAAGAGCGTCCGGGTCTGGTTTAGACATGATCGTCGACTGATCTCGCCAGACTCTGAGTCGAGGTTACTCCAGCGTTCGGTGGCGGAAGCTAAACCAACTTGCCTTCTTATACCCTTGGCCAATCGTCCCACCTTGCTCCACCTTCTTCAATACGCGCTTAATAGCGTCCAAACCTGACACCGCTTAAGCCTCGAGCTCATTGTCCACCCACCTCACTTCACTCGCCCTACTCACCTCTATTCAGATCCTCCACCGGCGGTCCGAACGATAGCCTCACGAACGCATGGCACGGCGAGTGGAATAGATTCCTTCGATGCGCTGGGTTGATATCGAAGAAGATACCCGGCACGACGATGGTCTTCTCCTTCAACAACTCCTCGAAGAACGTCAAGCCGTTGTTAAGAGGCGGTGGCAGCGCGGAGAGGTCGAGCCAGATGTAGAAGGTGCTGGAGGGTGCAGCGTGCGCGGTGAGCCCGAGGGCGTTGAGCCGCCCGAGAACGTGGTCGCGCTTGGCTTTGAAGTGATTTTGAAGGGCGATTTTGTCCTGTTGGACGCGGGTGGGCTCGAGCATGGGGATGGCGGCGAGTTGAAGGCTGCAAATGTAGAGCGTCAGTTTGTGGCAAAGATGCACATTCACTTGTACTTACGGATGGTTAGCTCCGCCGTCGAGGAAGGATCCTGTTGGAGTTGGTGAGTAAAGTACGACATCATAGTCAAGGAGAATACTGACCAGACTGGGACAGAGCCGTGATAAGATTTTTCGGGCCCACTACCCAGCAGATGCGCCAGCCTGGAAGTCGCCAATTCTGGTAGATCATGAAGGGTCAGTCAGTGGTGCGGGATAGGGTTTTGAAATTGACTGACCTTTGTGAGTCCGTCTACAATTATGACAGAGTCCTGAGCAGCGTCAAAACGTATAGATATTTCCAGTATCTTGATCAGACGCACCTTGTCTACGTCCTCGATGAACTAAAGGTGTTCATCAATGAGTTGATAACACGGTGCTAGTGTGCTTATATTACCTCCGCCGATGACACAGACTGACCGAACTCCTCGCCTTCCTTCGGATAGACGTACCAGGAGTAAAACTATAGAGTGCATCAGCCCGGGCCGGCGCAACTCAGAGCTGACGAGCGCTTACCTCGTCGAGAATGAGCGTCGCACCGTCACGGCTGATTTCCACCAGTTCCTTCAGCTTGTCACCCCTTGAGGACAGTTAAAAGAAATCAGGCAGCATTGCTTCATCATGCGCACTTGATGACTTGACCAGTAGGATTTCTTGGGTTGGACATGAGCACGACCGAGAATCCTTGGCCTTCCACATCTCGCTGTGATCGGATAAGCGCGACGAAGATTGTCGCAAAGGTGGTGACGGCTCACCTTCAGTCGTTCGATGTCAAGCGCGTATTTGGCCTACATAGTCGATATTTTAGCAATAATGATACAACGGGTTGGCTGCTCTCAACGCACACCAGCGTCCAAGCTTAAAGGAGATCAGCAGCAATACTTGACGCCTGAGAAGGCGACTCACACAGTAGGCACTGGCACGAGTCGACGGAAGGATGCCAAGACTTGGTCGTATGCCGTGTAATCCGGGATTTGATACGACTAGGTGTGGAAAGAAGGTCTACCAATGAGACCGCGAAGGTCCAATCATGCGTGCTCACGGTGTACACATTGCCGATGACAGACGCAACGCGGGATAGTCCAGTCCGTCCTCCGGGTACGATGCAGACATTTTCGTGAGTGTACTGACTCGCCTTTCCTTTGCGGTACGTTTCGTTGTAGAGGTTCGCAACCGCGGCGCGCAGATCTGCGATGATTAGCTGGACTTCCAAGCTGAGGATAGAGGCATATGAGCTCGCCTCTCACGCCCGTAGTAGGAGCGTATTCCAGCGACTCTTCGGGAACGGGTATGGAGCCTGGGCGCTCGGAACCGCCAGGTATCGGCCCAGCTTCTGGAGCGCCTTGACCAAGGTTAGCCCACTCGTGCTTGGTGGCATAGCTGAACCCATTGACGGACGCTCGGTCGGAGCAATAAATCACGCCAGTGCTGCCTGGGTGTACGATTCCGGGGACTGTCTCTTCGTCCGGGTTTACCGTCTGTGGCATTACAGTCTTGGCTTGATGTCCCGCTGAGGAACGGAAGATCTGGGAGGATGTGTCAGACGACGAGTCCTGCAAGAATTAGGCGGAGAGAATTAGATACCTGATGCGCTTCCGACTCTGTCTCTGACTTCCAGTGATCCACCGCATTCTGTACCTGCACCCTTGAGTCAACGATGATGGATCGCACGGAGATACTGAGAAGCTCACGACGTTCCTGAGCTTTCCGCCCACTTCTGAGTTATTAGCCATGGTGCAGGGATCGACGAGGAAAGGCCACTATCTTCTCCATCGCAGTCACCCCTTTAAGCAGCTGAGACTAGTCCTGAAAATGACGACATACCTGACGCCCTGCACACGTGACCGCATTCCTATATCTGCGTTGTCGTCAACAGCCCGAGTGCAAAGTCCGTACAGAGGGTGCTTCACTTCTGATTCTCAGCTGCGTCAACTAAACAGATGTGAACAGATGTAACGCGTTCTCTAGAAATCCCACTGATTCCTCCTCACATTGCGAACACTGCCTAAACCAGGCCATTCACTGCAGCAAACTCATCGTCGTCAGCGCTGCGCGGACGCATCTCGATGTCATTTGCGACGAGGCGCGCTCCCTCTTCACCAATGAGTTGCTTGACGAGCGCATTCGCCATATCCATGCCTAGCCCCGAGGTCAGAAGACAGCGCCAGATGACCAGACGAGTAGAAGGAGACGCTCACCTGCGCTCACGCCCGACGCGGTCCAAAACTTGCCATCCACCACCCACCGCGCCTTCGGGACCCATTGAATGTTGTGCGAGGCGGTTGCCTCGGCAATCTTCTTGAACCAGGACTTGTTTGTCGTGGCGCGGCGCCCGTCAAGCAGGCCTGTGGCTGAGAGGATCCAAGAGCCTTAAGAGGAGTCTGAGAGGGAAGTTCGTCCACGATTCGTATGAAAGCACGCACCGGTGCACACGGTCAACATATATTTGACTCCTGGCACCTGACGGGCGAGAAAGTCCAAGAGGGACTTGGGAACAGCGTCCGGGTACCCAAGCACGCCTATAAACAGGGTCAAAGCAAAGCCTAGACGTAAATCGAACAGTACTTACCCCCAGGTATGACCAGGATATCGAACTGTTGCGTCGTCTCTGCGTAAGTCGCGTCGGGCAGCAGACGCGGGCCAGCCTCGCCTAAACACTCTGAGTTCCCTCACGCGCTGACGCCAAGATCGACTCACCCGAAAAACCCGGCTTCACAGGATCCAGAGTATCAGCCAGGTATGTTATCGGCGTGATCTCCGGTCCAGGAGCATCGGGCATAATACGGGCGCGCTGTTGCGCCGACAAGAGGCACAAATTCTCAACGACGCCCTGAAAGTCTAGGACGGTGAGCCCTTTGTATAAGCACACGCCTAGCGAGAAGGATTTGGTAGACGAGTCGGTCATGGTGCGCGATGAGCATCGATGGGGGCACTTCCGCTGCTTTTTATCTGGCTGGGTCACGTTGAGGTATCTGAGAGCTTCGCGAGAGACACCTCGGCCACATGTGCGTGCTTCGCTGCTTGTTGCCCGTGCTTGGTCGTTTCACTAGACGTCGCCGAGTACCGTTGGTGCGAAGGTCGAGATGACGCCGAGGAGTCTGATTTGAGCTTATCGTCTCAACGGTCTCGATGAGCGAGAGTGGTCTCTCATTACAGCAGAGAGCCACGCGCTGAGCATTTCTATCTAGGAGAGTAACTGCTGATGCAGCTGTGTCCTTCTAGCTGTTTAGTATGTCGAACCATGCGGAAGCGTGATGCGCACCTGAGTAATTTGTGTGCCCATGGAACAGGACCACTGCGTCCATACCAACCATGTATCGGATACTCGCCTCCCTTCGACAGCGACAATTCGAGCCAATACGCATTCACCGCGTCCGAATTTGTGTGTATTTCGACTTACACCCAAGCCGGAGTGGTGTAAGTCCACCTCGCATGAAGAACAGATCAGCACGACGGCCGAGCCCACGCTCGCTATGCTCGTCTACCCATTCAAAGCGTTATGTCGTTGGAAGGAAGTACGAATGGATGGCGGAACAGTCGGAACGAGGTGAGGAGGAGCGGGCTGTTTTGACCTGTCGCTAGAAGTTGGCCATGAACCTGGCTTCCCTACACTCGTTGGCGCGCGCAGATCAATTTATGCAGTGGTAGCTGACGCCCAGATTGCATTGTAAACTTTGACCAACCTGAAAGTGTGAGATGGAGGAAGGAAGCAAGCCGCTTTCGGTTGGATATCATTTCTGGAATCTCGGCAGTCGCCGCGACCAAATAATGACAATCAAACGTTCACTGCGCCACAATCTCTTGCGAGTAGTTTGCTGTAACGCCCCATTTTCGCTTTGATCCGGAAAGCTTCATCCAGCAACTACATCACGCCAGGCCATGAATCTCGGCAAATTCATCCTCGTCAGCCCCCCTCGCGCGCATCTCAATCACGTTCGCAATGATATGCGCAACGTCCGGACCCGCTAGATGCTTGGCGAACGCGTTTGCCATGTCCATGCCTACAGCTTCATGAGCGGCTATCATGGTCCCATCACATACCACATACCTGCGCTAACGCCTGAGCTAGTCCAGAACTTGCCGTCTACGACCCACCGCGCTTTCGCGATCCAGTCAATGTTGTGCGAAGCCGTGGCCTCGGCGGTACGCTTGAAGTAGTCCTTGTTGGTGGTCGCACGACGTCCATCGAGTGCTCCAATGGCGGAGAGGATCCAGGAACCTTGACGACGCGATAGTATGCTGGTTCTAACCGGGCCGAATCTCCCCATGCTACGCACCGGTACAGACGGTGAGCACATATGTTGCTCCTGCCACTTGACGATTCAGGAAATCGAGCAGGGATTTGGGTACCTCGTCTGGGGTCCCGGTGACACCTGCATAGACAATGAGCGGATCGTCGCAGGCGAACACTCCAACACGCTTACCGCCGCCTAAGAGGACAATGTCATATTGCTGAGTAGCCTCTGCATAGGTCACATCAGGAAGCAAGCGCGGACCGCCCTCGCCTGTATCCCATCAGCTTCGACTAAGTGAAACAAAGCATGTCACGCCTCCCGGCGCACCTGTATATCCTGACTTGATAGGTTCAAGCGTGTCTGCGAGGTAAACAATGGGCCCCAAGCATGGACCCGGAGCGGTAGGCAAGAACTTCGAGCGGTTGGCGGCTGTCAGGAGGCTGAGATTCTCGAGAGGTCCTTGTATGTCGAGCAAAGTCAGCCCTGGGTAGAGGCAGACGGCGAGCGAAAGAGCTTTGGGAGACGGGTCGGGCATGCTGAACAGGCGTAGGCGATGACGGCGGGGAGAGTTGGTCGTAGATCTTCACTGAGCTTCTGCCTTTTGTACACCGAAGAGGATGCAGTGCATGCGTGATGGGGATCCCTACCGACGTGCGCTGCGCCTGTGTCAAATCAGGATCAAGACTAACCTTACCGGAAACCCTGGGATAAGCGGCGTATACGTCTGAAGCAGATCAGCAGCAAGGGGGACAGGCTTCTTACCTCTCTGATGCTGGCGGGCGCTGTGGCCAAATCTTGCACGGGCACCGATCCCACCTCATGCGAAGAACAGCTCAGCCAACTCGCTTGACCAGTCCAAATAAGTACAAATAACGGTACTCCCCTCCTACCTCGGCGTCCCCGGCCTCGAGCCAGTCCCCGCCCCTCCCGGCCTCGCAGCCATCCGTGCCTTATGCACACTCAGCGCCCTCTCCACCGCATTCAGCACCGGCTGCAGCGCCACCCTCACCCGCTTGCCATCCGCGCCCATCTCCTCCGCCTGCCGCACCAATGCGTCCACCTTCTCCGGCGTCCGTGCGAGGAAGTTTGCCATCTTCGCCGCCTTCGCGGCGCGTTGGGCGGGGTTGGCATTACCAGCAGCTGGCTGGTCGCCTGCGCGTGGGTAGAGGGCGCCCCAGAATTGGCGGAGGAACTCGTTGGCGGCTGTCTGACAGGAGGCCATTTGGCGGAAGAGGTCGGGCGGGAAGTCGTCTGTACAGAGTTGGCGTCAGTCAGTGGATGGAAGCTGATAGGTGGTAATGCTAGCGTACTCTTCTGCGCCTTGACTGTTAGGCGTTGCATGACATTCTGTGTCATGGACATAAGCGCTGCGTCACTCGGCCCTCGCACAATTCGAAGCTGGTGTCCGGTGATTAGCAGACATACCCTATGTATGCGCGACACCCTCGACATACAGATGCCAACGAGTTCGACCAGTCCTGTATGCTAGCCGCAAGACCTCGCGGGTTCGCGCGCATTGGGGGAGTATCCTCTACAGCAGACTGACTAGCGATACCCTCATAGTATCGTTGTCGGTCCTGCATAGCAAGTGTGATGCCCTCGGATGTCTGCTCGTCTCGCAGATCGTCGAGCTCGATCTCAGCTTCGTACTCGTCCTGTAGAGACGGCATGAGAACGCTTATACGGTATTGACACTGCAACCCACGCATACCTGAGCGTTGTTCAATCTTCTTCGCTTTGCCTTGGGAAGCTCGCCCCTAGAAGCGGCAAGGTTACAGCAGGTGAGTGCAGTGCGCAGGTTCGGACGTACAAGGCGGCATTCAGTAATCTTTCTGAGTGGTCATTAAACTTCCGTATCAAGGGTATCGCGCCTTTCTGGCGACCGGCCTGCATGGTGATATCCTTCGTGGTTCCCGCCTAATGAGAAGATGTTAGCGGTCAATGCAACGAGGAAGGGATGATCAATGACGCACTTCGCCATGATCCTCGGAGGTAGTTGCGAGGTCGACGAGCATGCTGACAGTCTCTGTTCGCGGTCTGCGAGGCTCAAGACCTGAAAGTCGGTCAGCACGAGGTCCCACCTGACAATGGGAATGCAATTCATGAGCTGTCAGGTGAAGTATACGCACCGTCATCATCTTTCTCGAGGTACTTGTCGAATATTGGATCCTCCTTTGCCACAAACTGCGTTGCAGATGATCGAATAGACGCTTGGTGTGCATGGAAGAGTTTCGACGAGAAGTAGCGTTTCCAGAATTGAGCTTCGGTAAGCTGATGGAGGTCAGATAGTGAGCAAGGAATGGAGGTCAGTATGATGAACTGATGAAGATCAGGAGACGCGCACCTTGTCGGGCACGTTCTCCGCGTAGGCAGTCTGCACAATAGGGTATTCGTCGAAGATGTCGTGGACCAGCTGTGGTGTGATGACGATCTTGGCCTCGCCGTCGATCGTCTGAGGTCGTGGGTCGACCAGCTGGCCAGACTTCCCGCGCTTTTGACCCTGCATAGAGGCTTCGGCGTGAAGAAGGTGCTAATACGCAAGTCAGCTGGAGTCGGTTAAAGCACATTGCAGCTACGCACTTCCCGTCCTTCCCAAAACTCTGCTTCCGTGATTTGGCGCGTCATAACCAGCTCCCGGTGCAGCGCGGCGAGATCGGGGTTCGCGAGCAGGACCTTCTTGCGTATTCGAAAATCGACGGCGGGGTCATTTCCGACTATTACAGGGGTAGATGCGCGTTCCGTCCCATTGATAATGGATGCTGCGCGCGTGTGTATAGGCCCAGCCGCAAATTGGGAGGCGCGTGGGGTGGGGGGCGCAGACGAGGTGGGTGATGGTGCAGCAGAGATGGAAGAGCCTGCGAGGGCAGATACGGGGAGGGGAGCAGCAGATACTGGAGCTGCAGTAGCATGTGCATTCCTGTTGCGTGCGATAACTGCAGTCAACTCGGTCTTGAAGTGCTCGCGTTCGGCCACAGCATCGTCGTGGGGCAGTGTGAAGGTGAAGTTGTGTCCATCTCCTCCTGAGTAGAGCACCACCTTCAATCTCACTTGCGGCGAGCTCTCCTTCGAGCACAGGATTGCTACACACGGTCAACTCAGGTCCTTCACGCGCCTTGTCATCGAACTCACTGGATACGTCGCTGTTCGGTACGCGCACCGTTGGCGCTGAGGCGCCCTTGGGAGTAAACTTCAACGCGCCATTTCCGAATTCAAGCAGGCCTGGTGTCTTTTTGTAGGATACCTGTCCCTTGCACACCGGGGCTGGCATGGAGGATGAGGACAACTTACGAAATGAGAACAAAGCCCCGCGTGCCGGCCCGTCATCCGGCGCACGTGCGTGTTTCGGCCGACGCCGCCAGCATCGATCGTGATCGGGCGCCAGCCGCTCGCGTTCACCGCCGCCGGTCTCCGCCCGCGCACCTCCCCTACATATACTGCGCGCTTTCCTCTCCCTGTTCTCAGTTCGCCATGCCCGTCAACCGCCAGCTTGTCGTCTTTGACTTTGACTGGTCCCTCGCGGACCAGGATTCGGATCGCTGGATCTTCGAAGTCCTCGCGCCGGACCTCCGTCGCAAGATGCGCCAGGACAAGGATACGGTACAATGGACCGACTCCGTGTGAGAGCACCTCCTCCTGTAACAAGGGTTTATGCTCATGCTCTCGAAGTGCGGCATCCTTGCGTGAAGCCCACAAGCGCGGTATCACGCGCGAACAGATTGAGCAGGCGCTCATTAGCATGCCCTTCGTGCGTCAACATCTTCTTTTCCACTTTACTGAGGTTAACGTTCTGCCCTAGCACCCCGCTATGATACGCGCTGTCAAGGATCTTAAGGCTCAGGGAAAGACTACTTTCCTCTGCCTGTCTAACGCAAACGAGGTCTTCATCAAGACTATCCTCAAGGTACGGACGTCCTTCCAGTGCGAGTACATGTTTCTGAAGGCGTCCATTAGAGCAAAGGCCTTGAGGATCTCTTCGACGAGATCATCACCAACCGCGCCGAGTGGGACGAGAGCGGCCTTCTAAAGCTCCGCCGACGCGTCGACCCCAATGGCCCCCAGCATTCCTGCAAGGTCGGCTGCAGCCCGAACATGTGCAAGGGTGCGTCGAGTTGTGATTCTCGCTGACAGACCCTCCCTCTTGTATCGGTTGTTTCTCGGTAGCCGTCTAACTCTACGTCTCAGGCGAAGAACTCGAGGCATTCCTGGAGCGCCACCCTCCTCCGTTTGACCGTATTGTCTACATTGGCGACGGCTCGAACGATTTTTGCCCCATCCTCCGTCTCCGCCCTCAAGACCGCTGCCTGTGTCGGTCCTTCCGAGGGTTGCAAAAGCGCATCCTTAAGGAGGGCGAGCAGGCGGATCTGAAGTGCGAGATCAAGTACTGGGGCGGTGCATGGGAGGTAGAGGAGCTTTTCAAGGAGCTTGACTAGATTTGAACACCATGAATCTATCGAACGCGTTATGCAAGAGCGGAGGTCATGAATCGTTGCGCCTGAGATGTGGAATGTAGCGTAGTGGGTATGTAGAGTAGTCAGATGTGTTGTATAGTAGTGCATGGACCGTCGTCGAAACCTTCGGGGACTTTTGCTGTCGTTAAAACAAGACCGTCACACCGCATCTGGTCAAAAAGACCTTTGCATTTGTTTCGCAGACAAAGCGTGCTGCTCACATGCCTGGTTCGGGATCTGCCGAATCACAAACATAAAAGGAGATCGTCGGCCCAAAGGTTGCAACTCTTGCTTGACCCTCACTGATCTCTCCCTTTGTGACCCCAACTCCGTGCACTCTCTATCCTTACTCGACATGTCATTAGAGACATCCGATACGCCTTGGTTCCTCAAGCTTCCTGTCGAACTTCTCCAAAAGATCTGCCGCGGGCTTCAGGGCATCCGAGTCGACAAGGGTGAATCGGACAAACACTTGGCCCGCTTGGCGTTAACTTGCAGGGCGCTGTACCTCGTTGCGAATCCTATCCTGTGGGAGAGTCTTCCTGGTCTTGAGCCACTCCTCGATCTCATGCCTCCGGAAGCGTGGGATGGTGCGCCACTTGCTGTTCTTTTGCGTTGTCGGGGCCGCTGACCGTTACCACAGAGTCAGTAATCAAGGCCAGATATGAGACACCAAAGGTGAGATCAAACGTTTGAGGCGCATACCTACATACTGACGCAATTACAAGGGCTCAGCCTCGAAGGCCCGTCATTTGCCGGATTTTTGGGCGCCTGTCCGCAAGCTGGCCGACCTTGTCAGACACATCAGCATTTTTCCCATCCCTTCCAGGTACCAAACCATGATCATGCTGGCGCGCCCTTCGCAGAAGCTTCTGCCACGCGCGACCAGGGTCATTCTCGATCAAGACAGGAAGCGCAAACTGGAGTTCAAGAATGGCTCGATCGACCACTACCTCAAGTTCCTGAAATTCATCATACCATTCAGCGGCATTTTGGACCTCGACCTCAGCATGGATCACATTCACACACTCGCTTTGAGGCAAGCACGCTTTCCGCAACTCGAGTCACTCATATGTCACACCATCGACTTCGACATGTGGCCGGGAGCAGTCATCGATGCGTTCCAGCACAGAGATGCTCAGCTGGATCTCGCGCGAAGTGTCACTGGCCTCCAACATTTGCGACACCTCGACATGCTTTTCCCCTTCGGCCCCGATGCAGAATTATTTGAAGGTCTCGGACGCTTCCGGCATCTCTCCTGCCTCAGCGTCGTGTTCGAGCCCGTTGGTCAGACCGAACAGACAGTGTGGATCGGGCGTCGATCAAAATACCCTGCAGACGCCTTCCCCGCGCTCGAATCTCTCCAACTCGAGGGCGTATCTTTCACTGATGCGGCAGCGCTCCTGCAGAGCTGCGCCAAGCGGCCTAGCCTACGCTACATCGCTATAAGATCTGCCGGAATGGACACTCCTGCAGCTCTCCTCGCGCTGACGGAAACGATCAAACGGGTCTGCGATCCTGCCGTTCTCGCGGGCGTCCACCTCCGCCGATATCCCCTGTCAGTGATGAGGGACTTTGACGACTCCTCGTATGACTGGCTGCTTACCTTCGAGCACGTCGAGCCCCTCGCTGCGCTCTCCAGCCTCGAAACCGTAGTTTTCGGCGTATTTTGCGAGATGACAATAACGGAGGAACAATGGGCGCACCTGGAACGTTGCTGGCCGAATTTGCTCATCAGGGAGGTGCTGATTCTCTAAATCTACCGAGGGTTTCCGCTCGATTGCAACGCTCACCGCTCTCGCGACTCTGTGCACGGCGCTTGGGAGGATATCTTTTGAAGCGTCGAACATTCGCCATCCGCCGACTTCTCACAGAACTGGACACTAAGGATCGGGCCCAAAGATGTTGGGTATGTTGGGGCTGTCTACTCCTCTTAGTGCTTATGCAGGGGGGTGGGGGCGTCACCTTTGATCTGGGGTGCAGTACGAACAGGACGGAGGCGACGAAGACCTCCTGGCAAGCGCGATAGCAGGCGCATCTCATACAGAGGAATAAAGTATAGAAACGACCGTCGCGCTGCTAGACATCAATCAGAGGTATTCGTGCGCCGGACACCAGTAGTATATTATATTGGGTATCAACGCGATCTGGTCGTCCAGATTCTCTCTCTGTATGATGAATTCCTGGCGAGGCTTCCAGTACAACAACTAGTCGAGAATGCTCCGCGTACATGAATAACCCCGACCGCCTAAACTATCCTACCGGACGGTCCGAGGAGTGATTCTTCTGTACGTAGAACCCATCCTCATGCCCTCGAACACTCCCGCAGTGGTTCTTCATGGCAGTCCAATTCTCATACCCGTGGCGTGCCTTGCCCACATAGCGTCCGCACCATATGAGTGCTCCTTGGCAGGTGACGTCGCTTGTGGGATCTATTGCGCCTCTTTTCAGCTTCTTAGGCACCGATACAGACCATTGTTTCCTTCGGACATAAGTTCAACTTCGGTCTCGTGACCATTGTGTGCGTGTGTTTCTAGCCACGCGCTGTCGAATATATGACCTTCCTTGTTCGGACGACCACGTAGGAACCGCGACAACGAGCAAGTATGCGCTCTTCTCCTCGAGTACTCGACCGTGCTCAGCTATGCGTACGCATCGCACCTCTCAGGGGAAGATATTCGGCATCGGTCAGGTGCAGATCCAGAGTCCGGCGGCGGGAAAACCTCGGCTACCCCATCTCACCACGCCTCCCTTTATAAACGCCTCCGCAGTGCCACGAAGGGGCCCCTTCTCCCAAACCCCGCAACTTCACGCCGATATCAGGGCTGCGTTCAGTCAGACCACGGTCCCAAACAGTCATGCCTCCCTCCGACTTCAAAAACGCCGACATCGAGCAAGTTGTTGAGCAGCTCACGACTGACGAGTCGATCCTTCTCACTGCTGGAGTTGGCTTCTGGCACACGCACGCCGTTCCTCGACTTGGTATTCCCGCGATCAAGGTATGGATCTGCGCGAAGGCTCTCGCCTTCTAAGTATTCTGACATCGAACGCCTTCATAGGTCAGCGATGGGCCAAATGGTGTTCGCGGCAACCATTTCTGGAATGGCACGCCGGCTAAGTGTCTTCCTGTGCGTATTGTAGCGTAGGCAGATGTATACGCCGTCGTCTGAACCAGTTTTCTATCTAGTCTGCAACGGCGCTTGGCGCGACGTTCAATACAGAACTCGTCGAGGAAGTCGGGCTGAAGATCCTGTCCGAAGAAGCGAAGCGCATGTCTGTTTCGGCGCTTCTGGGGCCGACATGCAATATTCAACGGGTGCGTTCGACTTCAGAAGTATCGCGTATACCACTGAAACTAGCTCGTCAGAATCCATTGGGAGGACGTGTAAGTCTTCTCGACACACGATACTATCCGTCATACAAGCTCAAAACCATATCAGAGTTTCGAGAGCTTTTCCGAAGACCCTTACCTCTCTGGCCACATCGCCGCGGCGTATGTGCGAGGCGTGCAGGCAGGCGGTATCGCCACAACGATCAAACACTTCGTGTGAGTGGAAATTGACGAATCTCATACTTTACTCATCTGGTACAGAGGCAATGACAAAGAAGACGACCGCTTTGGGTCCGACTCCGTTATGAGCCAGCGCGCTTTACGCGAGATCTATCTTATGCCCTTCATGCTGGCGCAGAAGCACGCTCAGCCTTGGTCGTACATGACTGCGTACGTGCTTCCTATAACATTTGGTCTTATACTGATACTTCTGCCTAGATACAACCGTGTCAATGGTACCCATGCGTCTGAGAACCCCTTCCTCCTGAAGCGCATCCTTCGCGAGGAGTGGAGCTTCCGCGGCATGGTCATGAGCGATTGGTTCGGCGTTTCCTCGATTGACGCCAGCCTGAACGCTGGGCTGGACCTTGAGATGCCGGGCACGGATAAGTGGCGCACTCTGAACCTGGTCAACCGCGCGATCAACACGCGCAAGGTGACGAAGCGCACAGTCAAGGAGCGCGCAAGAGAGGTCCTAAAGTTTGTGAAGCGGTGCGCGGAGGAGGCGCCAGAGGTGAATCGCGCTTTGTCTATCGGTTAGGGGTACCTGACAACCGTATAGGTGCTCGATCGCGGAGACAAAGAGACGACGGAGACTAGCGAAGCAGACGTTGAGCTGATGCGACGCCTCGCGGGAGAGTCTATCGTGCTGCTCAAGAACGAGGGAAATCTTCTGCCCTTGCAGCCCAAGCAGCTGAAGAAAGTTGCGATCCTGGGCGGTAACGCGAAGGCCTTCGTCATCTCCGGCGGCGGCTCTGCCTCGCTCAAGCCGTCCTATTTTACTTCCCCATACGACGGCGTCGTAGCCGCGCTCAAGGCTGAGAACCCTGATGTCGAGGTCACATACTCTGAGGGCGCTACATGTGAGTCGCGTCAACTGCCCGCCGCTATAACTCATGTCTTAATCCCCGCCAGCATACCTCAAGATGCCCTCCCTCGACTACGACATGCTCACCGACTCCGGCGAGCGCGGCTGGACCGGCACCTGGTTCCAGCATACTGAGGAAGAGAGCATGACCCCCAAGGACACGCCCTTCCTCGAGCAGCACATCACGGAGACGAGCTGCTTCTTTAGCTTATCCGTGCCAAAGGGCCTTACGCGCATCTACTCGCTCAAGCTCGAGGGCGTCTTGAAACCACGACCGTACGACTGCACTTTCAAATTCGGCCTCATTTCGGCGGGGAGGGCGAAGGTGGGCATGCGATCTTGATGGAGATTTGAGCAGTGTGCTGATCATGGATCCTTCAGCTATTCGTCGACGGGAAGCAAGTCATTGACAACTGGACCCGCCAGCGGCGTGGGCAGCACTTCTTTACCAGCGGCAGCGAGGAAGAGTACGGCACCATCCAGGTGAAGGCGAATGCGAAGCATAAGATCCTCGTTGAGTTCTGCAATGTTCGCGCCCCGGCAGACGGCGATGAGGACGAGATGATCATGGACTTGTGAGTGACGCTTATGTTCGATTGCCGCCCCCTGACCGACCGTTTGTGAAGCAACGCTGCGGTGCGCTTGGGTGGCAGCGAGGTCGAGGATGCAGATGTACTACTTGAGAACGCCGTCAGCCTCGCGAAGGACGCGGACGTGGCCGTCGTTGTCGTCGGCACGAACGGCGACTGGGAGACCGAGGGCAATGACCGTACTTCGCTCGAGCTCCCTGGGCGCACCAACGAGCTCATTTCCCGCGTTGCTGCGGTAAACAAGAAGACCATCGTCGTGACCCAGTCGGTACGCCAGATGTCCCTGCGCAAATAGGATGTTGCATGCTGATGAATAACACTAGGGCTCTGTCGTCACTCTACCTTGGACGTCGCTTGTACCCAGCATGGTGCACGCGTGGTATTTGGGCAACGCGACGGGCGAGGCCATCGCCGACGTGCTTGTTGGGCGGCGGAACCCAAGCGGCAAGCTGTCGCTCACGTTCCCGGTGCGCGAGCAGGATGTGCCCTCGTACGGACATTTCCACACGGAGAACGGTGTCGTGCGTAACAAACGGGATACTCGCTAGCTGTGCTGATCTTCTGTGATAACGTAGGTGCGCTATGCTGAAGACCTCTACGTTGTAAGTTTATACAGCTTCTACTACAGCGCTAGGTGCCATTCTTACCATCCACAGGGCTACAAGCACTACGTTCATCGCGACATCAAGCCCCAATTTGCCTTTGGGTACGTCTTGAAAATCCTCCACCGAGACCCTGCCGCTCACCTCCGCAACCTCAGACACGGTTTATCCTACACGACCTTTGCCTTGAGCAACCTCAAGGTTGCCGAGCCGAAGGTAGACCCGCTTTCGGTCATCGTCACCGTGACGATTAAGAACACTGGCCGGATCGCGGGTTCCGAGGTTGCTCAGGTATACCTCTCCCATCCCACGGCCTCGACGTCCCTCAGTAAGTGTCTGCGTCCACATGCGCGGCCCCGGCCGACTGATCCTCTGCAGGTACCTTCGTCGATGTTACCCACCCGCCCGTGCAGCTTCGCGCGTTCTCGAAGGTCTTCCTTCAGCCCGGAGAGAGTAAAGAGGTGCGTTCTGGCACACTTCCATACCCAAGCATGAGCTCATCTGTGCTGCAGGTGTCCTTGACCCTTGATCGTCTCGCACTGTCCTACTGGCATGACATTTACGAGAAGTGGGTGGTTGAGAAGGGCGAGTACACAGTACGCGTCGGTACAGGGGTTGACAAGCTGGACCTCGAGGCACGCTTTACGGTGAACAGCAGGACAGAGTGGAGTGGTATATAAGATGAACGGGCGAACTTTAACTCGAAAGGCCTGCAAGTCCCAGTAGCGATATATTGAATTGTACTTGTACTACCAGCCACAAGCGATCATCTTGGCGACGAATGATCTTGACCACTACTCCGCGCCCTCCGCGCGTTTCTTCAGCCCCTCTGCCATCGCCTCGAACCCTGCCTGTAAACCACTCCCAACGAACCACTTGATGAGGTACCCCACGATCCCACCGAACACCTCAATCGTCTCGTACTTCGTCTTCCCTCCCTCGACCTCCGTCAGCATCTGCCACCGGTCTGCGTTCATCAGGTATGGCCGCAGAAACGCGGGCAGGGCCACGTTCTGCCACGCCGTGCGGTAGTTCTCGTGGTCGACGACGGTGATTATCTCGGACGCGCTGCTGACGCGCGTCGACTTGCTCGGCTCGCCAAGGCAAGGCGGAATATGCACAGGGTAGATGTAGAGGCTCTGCCCAGGACGAGGCGTCTGGTCTGGGAGTGGTTTCCCGGACGCGTCTACGACGGTCTGTCCCCGACTGGAAAGAAAGGTTAACGGCAGCCGGAAAGACAAACTTTCAGCAGTCCTTCACGCACACAAATGGGTTCCTACAGAGCGATGCGTTAGACGTATACCCCTGCAGGGCTTATGTGAATTCTCACCATTCCTTGTACCTCGGGAAGTCGCACAATATCTGCCAAACCTTCTCTCGAGGAGCGTCTATCACGCAGGACGCGGAAACAGCGAATACGCCGTCCTTGGCAGAAGGGGGAAGATATTCCTTCGAGGAGGTCATAAGTACTTGCTCGAGACGTGAAGCGCTACAGTGGTCGAGAATTCCGCTCACGACGTGGTGGCGGAAGCTGAGATTTCGAAGTTGACTGTCGGTGATGCCATGGTTCGGCAAGCTCCGACAGGCGCGGCCATTCACCCAAATGTTCTGCCCATGCTACAGATATGACCGAAACCCCGAATTGCTGAATTAGACTGCCGGAAGACCTGCCTCGGGAATGGATTAGACTGGACAAACGAACAATCTTGCAAGTGATGCTACTCCTATATGCGCGGTTTAACGTTCACAACTTAAAGCCTTACTATTTAATCAAATCATACAGTATCCTACATAGGACCCGCTCACTGCGCTCCAGAAAGGGCAGGGTTACCCTTGATGTACTCCTCGAACGTCGTGAGCGGCTCGTCGACGATCTAGGGGCAAGTCAGACGACAAGTGTGTAGATGCAGCAATGGATCACTCACCGACTGGCTCCAGTCGAGCTTCTCGCCTCCATAGTAGCCGAACTCATACACGAGGCGCATGTTCTGCAGCGTCTCCTCCTGAATGGCCGGCGGCATCCCCATTTGACCCAGCATCCCCTTGAACGCCTCATTCGGCACCCGCTGGAACGTCGCGTCCTTGCCCGATGTCGGGTACACCTTCTTGAACGCCTCGAGGATCTGCAGCGGGGTGGTGTAGCCAGAGGACGCATAAACGCGCTTGCCGAGCGTCTGCTCGCGCTTCATGAAGATCGCCTTGACGAACTTGCCGGTGTCGCGCTCGGCGGCGAAGAGGGGGATCGGGGCGTCCTCGGGCATCGGCATGCCGAGCGTCCACTTGCCCTCGGGCGAGGGGCGCAGGCTCATGCCGGGGATGTTCGCCATGTAGAAGCCGGGCAGGAAAAAGGTGGCGGGGATACCGAGCTCGCGGATGTAGTCCTCGACCTTGGCCTTGCTATCGAAGTGGTGAACTTCGGACAGGACGCCCTTGGTGACTGAGGAATGGTGAATGAAAGAAAGCTAAGATAGGACAGATGCGTACGCTTGGTGACATTGAGCAGACTGCTCCAGACTAGGTGCTGGACGTTCTCTTCCTGGTGGCACATAAGGCACAGCGTGGATACAATGTGGCAAGATGCGAACCTTGCAGATGTCGGCGATGTTCTTACCCTGGGCAATCTCCTTGTCGGCGCTCATGCTGTCCCAGAAGTTGGTGACCGCAAAGACGCCGTGCGCGCCCTTGATGGCTTTGCGCAGAGATTCCTTGTCGTCCATATCAGCCTATAGGTGCAAGTCAGCCCTCGGGTCTTCATACATCAGAGGTTTGAATCAACTCACAGCGACAACCTCAGCGCCCTGCGCTGCGAGCGCCTTAGCACTATCCTTATTCACATCGCGCGTCACCGCACGCAGAGCGAACTTGGATGACGCGGCAGAGTCTGCGAGGATGCTATTGATGACAGAGCCGCCCTGCTTGCCAGTAGCGCCCAGAACAGTGATGATCTGCTTGGCCATGACGAGGATATGTGCAGGAGGTGGAGGCGAAGACGAAGTGGGTGAAAGCAGATGGAAGACAATATCGCTCCTGTCCCTTCACATCCTTTATACTCCTGCTTCGCAGCGCGGATGTATATACTATACCCTCTGTCGCTGCCATGGGTAAATGAAAACCGCAAAGCTTACAGAGCAGCCTACGCGTCGACCTGCCGCGACCACATCCTCATGGAGTGTTTGCCAGCTTTAACCGCCCTCGTCAGCTCGAGGAGGCGAGAGTGTAGGCGTCGAGAGGGAGAATGCGGGTAAATTCGACTTGAGTGACCAACGTCCTTCAAGTTTGTGATTTCCACGTGCGCGGAGCAAGTGGGTCAACGCGTTACGATGAACCGTGACACGACGCGTTTTGGACATGTTTTCGGCCACCATCTGGCTCTGAAGGGCTACAACCTGAGCTCTACGTCTTCTGTTACTCTTCTGGTGCCATGTAGGTGGATCAGGCTCTCCTACTACTGCTCTTCGAAACAGTGAACCCATCAGCGAGCCGGACGGTAAGGCTTTGTAACCCGCTCCGTCGCTCCGTGTGGACGCAGAAGAGGAGGACGCGTGGTGTGGAGGGGCGGAAAGCTTCAATCTTCAGGAGAAGCACCACGATGCCGATCTGTCAGCTAGGCTGGCGCGTCGCTTATGCCGATGACCCCCCTGTCGATCTCAGTGCGGTACATAAGCCCATGCCGCGGTTGACATGAGCAGTCCATTATCCTTTACCCCTTCCCACTTTCGACACTCTCTTCCTGCTCCCCACCACGACAGCAGCTATGTCTGATAACTCTCGCGCTCCCAAGGAAGGCGAATGGCGCCCTCCCATCATCCGCGGCTTCTACGAACGCTCGCTCGCCGGCATCCTCCTCACCCTCGTCGGCCGTGCCGCGGACATCCCAATCCAATATCTGCTCTTCAAGAACGGTCACGCCGTCAACCTCCTCGTCCGCGTTGGCCTCATCTCGCAGCCCGCCGTTGCGCAAGCAGCCCTCACCACCGGCCCCGGCTTCGGTGGCCTTGGGCCCGTCCCGACGCTCCTGCTGGGCATCTACACGGTCACTTCGATGCGTCATATGTACTGGGTGACGATGACGAACACGATGTACTTTGGCCCGGCGGGCGCCGCGTTTGTATCGATATACAACGGGCTGCTGAACGCGGCGAACACCTTTGTGGCGGCGTACGGGGCATCGAACCTCGTGCAGGCGGCGGCGAACGCGACGAGCGCGGACTCGATCGTTGGGTGGGCGACTTCGCTTGGGTGGCAGCAGTGCGTAGTTTAATCTTTGCCCCTTATCTCAATTTCTTACCGATCTCTCTCTCAGGTGGACTGGCCTCGGTCTCTTCCTCTCCGGAATCGCCATTGAAATGCTCTCTGAAGAGTCGCGCAAGAAATTCAAGAGCGACCCGCGGAACAAGGGCAAGGTCGATGGCACGGGCCTCTTTGGCGTCGTGTAAGTGGTCGTGGGACTCTGCACCCTCATCTCCCGCTCACGCATCTGCAGCCGCCACCCCAACTATCTCGGCTACACGCTCTGGCGTACCGGCGCCACGCTCGCGACTGGATCGGTCCCTGCGGCGATTGTATCGCTGCTGTTCCAGGTCAACCAGTTCTCGAGGTCGATTCCGGGTCTGACGGAGTATATGGCGGATCGTAAGTTGCAGTGTACCAATTCGATGGGCGACATGCTCACATCTACCTCAGGGTACGGCCAGCAGTGGACGGAGTACGAGAAGCGCGTGCCTTACAAGATTATCCCTGGCTTGTACTAGCATTTGTATGCACGTTGAACCATAACTGCCTCACTTCTGTCCTGGCAGATTGCGGAGGCTTGTCTAGACTTCCGAAGCCTGTGGTAGTCAAACATAGTCAGACGTGCGGCCCTCCCATACAGCAACCATAGATACTGCAATTGTCCAAAGCGAGTGAAAGAGAACAGCCGATATAAGTATAACGCGCGTGTAGTCCTGTCCCCTACAGCCGCTGCGTCTGCTCCCCCGTCGCGCACTCATACGTCGTAAACATGACGAGGACATGCAGCGCGAGCGCATAGCATATAAAGAAAGTCCGCGTTCTCCTGTTGGCTAACACGGCTCGCGTGACAATGAGCACGCCCCGCTCGATGGGGTTCAGGTTCTGTACCGCGCGAGAGGCCTCCTGCACAGCCGGGACCGTTAGTTGTGACATGCATCGTCAAGTCTCGAGCGCCACTCACCCGCCCGCGGAACGCCTCAAAAGGATTTATCGAGCTTTCATACCGAGCCCGCCACTTGCCCATATCGTCACCACCGCCTGCAGACGCGCTCCCCGACCCCGGCAGCGGGTTCAATTGGCTCGTCGCCGTGTCCTCCCGATAGCTCTGCATATACCGTACCTTCTCGTACAGCTTGAGGTTGTCAGCTTGCAGCGTCTTGATCTCCGCGCGCAGATCCGTGATGATTTGGAACTGCCGGCGAAGTTCCTATAGTGCGCAGACAATCGTCAACTCTGAGTTGCATTCCCATATACACGTTGTACGCACCTCCTCCAGTTCCGCATTCCGTTGGCGGAAGCGGTCGCGCTGGCTGGTGACAATGGGCAAGATGGATGTGTCCGCCGAGGACTGCGCGAAGGGTATGGGTGTGCCCCGCGCGGGCGAGTCCGCCGCCGCCTTCTTTCCCCCTATATCCAGCCCTGCGAGCGCGTCGGCACCCTCGGCGGGCGTGTCGCGGCCACTGCGCTCCCCGCCGCCCTGATTCAAGGCAAGAAGATCGTCCTCGAGCTTCTCGTTCAGCGCACGCTGTTTTTCAAGCTCTTGCGACGTGCCCTCTAGGCGCGCCTGCACACTGTTGAGCGTGGTCTCGAGTTCGGCGTGGGTTATCTAGGAGCGGGATCGTGATGAGCTAGGAGACGGTTGGGAGTGAGAACATAGCGTACCCTGAACTTCGCGAGCTCGTCTAGTATGCGCTTATTCTTCGTAGCTAGCAGTACTTCCAGGCTCTTCCCGTGGCGCGCGTTCGCCTTGTCCGCATTGGGGTTCGGCAGGCTGAGATGCGAATCATCGCCATTGACCTGTGCGCCACCTTCCTCTGCTTCGTCCTCCTCTTCCATACCAGCAAACTCGACGTACTGCGTGGGAAACGGATAGGTGAACGAGCTCTGACAAAACGAGCGGGGTACTCACCTTCATGATCTCGAGCTCGCGCTTGATTTCGTCGTAGTCTGCGTATTGCTTGAGCTTATGTCTGATCTGGTCGATTTCTGCTGTCTGGGAGGTGTTAGACAGATATATAATGATCTATGAAGGTATCACTCACCCGCCTTGCTAGCTCTTTCGTATACTCCTCGTCCTTCTTCCTTAGCTGCGTCTCCGCCGCCTCAAGCTTTGTTTTGTACGAGTCCAGGGAGCGAGTAAGACGCTCGACCTCGGATTCCAAGTCGGAGATCTGGCTCTGGAGCTGTTTGACTCTGTGGGAACCTAATCAGACTCGAAGGTGAACCTAGCTGCTTTAAAACTCACCTATCAGACGAGTCCGCGCCGCTACGCAGTGCTTCAATGTCAGCTCGCAGTATCTCATTCCGTCTCTCGACGGTTGCGACGCGGCTGTTCGCGCGCTCCAGGTCCGCGACAATCATGTCCATTTCTGCGAGTTTCGCGACAACTTCTTGATCTAATGAAGTGTCAGCTGAGTGAGGGACCTGTACCGCGCAACGTACCTTGCCTCTGGCTGTGATCGAGGAGCTTGGCCTGGTTGTTCTCGTTCGACGCTCTTAGGTCCCGTAGCTGGTTCTTCGCTAGCGACACCTGCTTCTGGAGGTCCTGCTCCCTGCGATGGAGTAAGTCAGCTGAAGGAGTGTATACATGTAGCAGCCGCACCGCTCCTCATAGTTCCGTAGCCGCTCATCGTACGTCGCATGTAGCTCATTCTCCTTCTGCGCGACCTTGTCCTGGATCATGTCTTCCATCTAGAGCGGCGCGTGAGCAAGGTCTGCCTATGAACTATCGCAAGTCACACACCTTAGCCTCCAGCGTTTCTATCCTACCCTCCGCCTTCTTCTTCGCCGCCTCCAGCGCTGAGACCTCGTTCACGCGCTTGCGCAACTCCGCGTTCTCCTCTCTCAGCCGCGCGATCTGCGCCTCGAACTCGCGCGTTTCCGCGACCTTAACAGTCTGGTCCTACACATAGAGTACATCTTGTGAGAAGGGGGACGAAATGGAGGAGACGGCAGGATGACTGCACGTACGACCGCGGCTTCGAGGAGGGGATACGGGTCTGGGGCCTCGGCAAGGACCTTGTAGACATTCAGGAAGGCATTCTCTGCCGTCTTCGAGCGCTTGGTGAGGTTGTCGATCTCCGTTTGGTACGCTATGGGTCGTCTAAGTCAGTCATTGGCATGTATCGCAAGGCGCGGTCCACGCACCCTTCAACAAGCCCTTGTACGCCGCCAGCTTCTCCGCATCAGGTATTCGCTTGAATTCTGCCCAGCGGCGCATTAGCTTCTGCCACAGCCCACTCCCCTGAGCGCCACCGCCACGCACCCTTCGTCTTATCTGCTAGCGCTTTCCTCCCCACCACGCTCTCCTTCTGGTTGTCAACGATCTCGATGCCCTGCGCGTCGAGCTGCTTCTGGAGCTCGCTCAGGTTCACGTCTGTTCATGCCATTCATTTCATCAGTTGCGACGTTGCATTCCCCTCTGATGTATGACGGACCTCTCCATGTTGCGAGCGCGCCGGAGAAGTTATGTTCAGTGGATGCCATGACGGCGAGAGCGCAGTTGTCGACTTCAGACGTGGTGGGACGGGTCTCCGGTCCGTTGCTCCGCCACGGTGGCGCGGCGATAGTGAGCGACAAGCTTGGACTGGGATACTTCCTCAGGTTGTATTCCTCAATACCACTTAGAAGTCTCTTAACAACATAGGCGAGGGGAGGGAGGATGCAGTGAGTATGTATATGCAAGCATAACAGCAAGATGTAAGGTAAAGTATGGTAGACCACTCGTACATAGTTCAACGCTTGACCCAGGTGTACTGTGAAAGACGTTAGCTCTTGGCATAGTAATGAGAAACGCGGTTCACTCACACCCTTGCGAGCCTTCGCGCGACCAGGCTTCTTGCGCTCCACCATACGCGGGTCGCGACGGAGCAGTTGTGCTGGAGTGGTTTGAGAAAGATGTATCGAAGCAGCAATGCTACAAGCGCACCTTTTCTGAGGATTTGGTCGAGCTGGGGTTCGTGCACTACAAGACCCTTCGCGATACCATGCGCGATAGCGTCGCTCTGGCCTGTCGTTCCACCGCCGCGGACAAGCGTGAAGATGTTGTATGCGCCCAGAACACCCGCGACCTTGAGAGGCCTCGTAATGCGCTCACGATCGACAGGGAGGGGGAAGAACTCGGAGAGCGGCAAGTTGTTGACGAGGATCGTGCTGGTCGTGACAGGCGGCGCCTCGGTCTGAGCCTCCTCAACCGCATCCTCGCTCTGCTTGTGCACCGTCGGGATCATCCATACCCGCGCGGACGACGTCTTGCGGCGACCAACCGTGTACGACCGGCCGAGTGCATCGAGCGTCACCTCCCGCTTGCGCCGCGCCTCCGCACGGAGCTCTGACTTGCCGCTCTGGAACATGCCGAGCACCATGTCAATCCCCATCGCTAGGCGCGTGCACCCTGCGGTGTTCGCAACGCGCGAGTACAGCTCGAGCTCGTCGAGCGCGCGCACGACGCGGCGGTAGCGCGTGGAGCGCAGGCGCGTCTCGAACTGGCCCGACATCTCCTCCATGGTCTTCCAGACTATCGTGCTTGCCGGCAGGCTCTTGCGCGCGAACTCGGGCATCGGCAGCAGCTCGAGGCGGCGCAGAGCCGATCGCGCGGTCGCCACCGCGGTCTCGATCTGCGAGAGCTGGTCGTAATAGACAGGGCTGCGGGTGTAGAAGGCGAGGGAGTCTGGGGAGCGTTTTTCGAGGTCCTCTTCCTCGCCGCGCTGCTCGAGGCTCTTCGCAGAGTCGTCTTCGTCCTGTCCTCTCCGCCTGCGCTTGGGTCTGCCCTTGCCGCCTCGGCCCCCTGCTAGGGAATCGTTCCCGTCCTGTCCAAAACGAGGCGTAGCGCCTGTGCGAAGATTGGGGCCGCCGAAGCCACCACCGCGAGGACCCCCACGAGGGCCGTTCAGTCCGCCCCCGCGCAGGCCTCCCGGACGACCGAACCCTTCCGACCTGGGACCATCGCCGGCGTAAGTGCCGCCGTGCTGCCGTACGTCAGGTGGTGGTCCGGAGTTCCTGGCAGTTGATGAATGTAGAGGAGCAGCAGTAGTGGCGTAGCACCGCGCCAGGCGAGGGCGTAGGAGCCGCGCGACGTTCATTGAAGGAGGCCGAAGTCGCGGACGTCGACTTGTGCGCTCGCGACTCAAAATGCCGATCAGGTGACTGACTTTTCCGCGGCCACGTGCCTCTGAGCTCCAAGTTCAACTTGAGCTGTCGTAAGCCGCGCAGACTGACAGCTCGGCTATGAAGCTCTGTAGGGCACTTGCAAGATGATATATTGTGCTAGAGCAGCGGGTGGCGTAACGATGGAGCCCGATAGCTCGACTCGCGAATGACTATCCGTAAAGTCAGCCAGCCTTCGCACAGATTAGGTGTCATACAGTGCTACTGAGTGGGGACGCCACAGAACCTTGCTAACAACGTGCTTTGCTCCGCCAGCCGCCTCAATGGGTATATAAAGGCAGACCTTACTCGACTCAACCAACGCATAGCTATCTCATCACAAATCTCGTCCACCATGGTCCAGGACATTCAGTCGCTCGATGAGTTCAAGAAAATTGTGAGAGCCCGCCATTCCGAGTGGTCAAATAATCCTAACGCTTTCACGCACATCGCAGATCAACACTGACAGAGTTGTCATAATCGAGTGCTGGGCACCTTGGAGTGGCCCCAGCCAGATGATGTTCTCCGTTTTCGAGCTGCTGGGCAACACTTTTCCCGTCATCGATACGTACAAGGTCGACACCGTTAAGCAGCATGAAATTGCGGACGAGATCGGCGCTCGTGCGGTGCGTGTACCAGTGAGCAATAATACAGCTGCAGATGAGATTGATGACCGTACAGTTGCCCCATTTCGTCGCATACAAGAACGGCAACAAGCTTAGCGCGGTCATCGGCATGGACCCACCTGGTCTGACTGTACGTCTCCAAACTTTCCCTGTGCTGTTTTTGCTGATGTTGTACTGCGCAAAGGACATGTTCCAAGGGGCTTCAACCGCATAATAGCTCACATCTACTCCTCGTAACTCGCCTCCCAAGTCTTTCAAGTAGGCCTGCTCCGACATGGTCATCGTCCGCTGTAGCTCCGAGGCCGCACCCAAACGCCCTCAGTCCCATGTTATTTACAGCCTGTCACCCCAATACCTACGCTCTCACGCGCGCATATACTCGTCTGATAGATCCCTCCCATGCCCGAAAAGTCTCCACATCCCAGCACACCGACGGTCGTCCTTGTCATCAACGTCGACCGCAGTCACCTTGCCCTGAGACTGGATTACGGCCCGATGCTAGTGGTTGTGAGGAACCATCCAAAGGTCATCGAGGTGTAAATACGTACCAGCCCGAGAGAGACCTTGATCCCCGGAGGGCTCGGCGTATATGCCTCCAGCGGCTCTGGGGCGGAGGTGGGGTCTTCCTTTTGCGCAATCATGCGTAGGATATTACGGGCAGCGAGGCAGCCCTATCTGAGCGTCAGGAAAATGGAAACTGCGCCCGTCACCGATCAATGGATACGCAAACGCACCTGAAAGTCTGCGTTGCGGCCAGAGGAAATCGCACCAAATGCGTCCGCAGAGTCGCCAACGGCGAAGATATGCGGGTAGTCTGCACTGTCGAGCTGCAGCGTGCGCTTCACGCGCGCTCGCCCGTCTTCGGCGAGGAGGGTAGGGTCCAGAGAGTTAAGGACACCAGTGTTGGGCTTCTGCCCGGTGCAGATCAGCTAGGAAGGTGTGCTGAGAATGCGAGCAAGTAAAGCAATTACAGGTAACATACAATGAGGTCCGCCGCCAGCTTACGGCCGGACATCGTGCGAGCGATGCGCTCGCCTGCCTCATTGAGCATCTTGTCCTCAATGGTCTGCATATCAATACGCTCGCCCAGGATGACGTTGACCTTCAGGCGCTCCATCTGCCGCAAAACTGGAGCAAAGGCACGTCAGCAAGGCTGTCCCTTTGAGAGGTCATACAACACTCACTCTCATCGTGCATCTCCGGCATGAACCGCGGCAGCAACTGCGCTCGCGAGTGCAGCAGCGTTACCCCCTTGTCCGGATACACGTCCGCGATATCGGTAGCAAACTGAATCCCCAGCGCCCCGCCGCCAACGACCAGAACCGAGCGCGCCTTGCGGATTACCTGTTGCGCCGCCCTAAGCCAGGCGATCCCGTTGGCTTTCGAGCCGAGTTCCAGGGTCTGTGCTACGTTTAGCGAGTCGTCGCGGATCTCGGCGTCGAGGCGCGGGCCCCAGAGGTTGGCTGGGGCGGGGAGGGTGGCTCCAAGAGCGTAGATGGCGTACTCGAAGTTGAGCTTTGGCGTATTCATGCCGAGCTCGGGAAAGGTGCGATCCAGCGTGACTGAGTGAGTAGACAAGGACATGATTTGCGCCCTCAAGTTCAATAGGCGCTGAGACTTGTCGAGCGGCGTGCCACCGATGTATGGGATGACTAGAGTGTCCCGAGTGAGCATTCTATTATGAAAGATGGACCAAACCTACATGATTGGTGCTCCTGTCCTTCGACGACTGCAAAACGCGGGAATGCATAGACATGGTTGACGTGTCTATGAGGTGTTGAGATGCACAGAGATGCATTACAGTTTTGAGAAATGACCCACGTATTCCTGTCAATGGCAATAACCCTCCAATTGCCAGGGAGGTTCTGCAGACCTTCTGCCAGGTCCATAGCCGCGCATTGTCCTGCCAAAAATTTCAGAAATATTCTATGAGAAGAAAGGCAGTAAGAACAACCTCCATACGCCGCCCCAAGCACCACAATGTTCTTGTACTGCTCCATCTCCTTAGGCGGGTGTCGATGAGGCTGCACCAGCGCTAAGCGCCCGTTTTATCTGATAACGGAGGTGAGACATCTTATCTAATCCGGCGGCGATACCGGAGAGCTGCTGTACCTCCTCAGTCGCCTGGCCTGCGCTGGCGGAGTTGTCGGTAGGCTGGCAACCTTCAAAGAGTCGCTATTAATGTACATTGTATGCCACAATCTGCGGCTAGACACGGAGCAAACGTCGCAGCTGGACCCACCTCGCGGGTCCCCGCGCTCGGTGCTTGGAGCCGCAAGCTTGCGCCATCCGAACGCTGCATTGAGATATAAGTATCCCACTTTGCTGCTAAAGGCAATGAGCTACACATGTTTATTGGACGTCTTTGTAGACTCACGTGGCAAGAACAGCACATGCTTACGTGCTACATGACGGTTGGAGCGAGCAAAGTGAGGCGACGTCGTGGCAAGCCTTTCGCCGAGCCATTGTTATAAAGGCTCGGAGCGGCAGCCCTCAATCAGTGCTTGAACACGAGCGATGAGATGCAACAAGGTAGTCAACCTCTGATCCCTTTCCGCTCCCGCGTGACAGCAGACAGGCATTTTCCATTTAAGAAACCCACCGGATACGTACGTCGTACCTCTAAAACCTAAGAATGTCCCTATACTCGCATGTCTTCGTCCGACTGCACGTTCTCGTGTCCGAACAGCCTCCACATAGCCGCGCACTGAAGGTCCACCTCTCCCTTGTCGTTGATCACGATAGGGTCGTTCCCCAGCTGTGCAACCCCCTTGTTCTGAGTACTCTTCAGCCAAAAACGATGAGTGACGAGCAGAAAAGACACACCAGACCAAGGGTGACCTTGATCCCTGGAGGGTGCGGCTCATAAGGCTCGAGTGGCTCGTGCTTGGCTTCAGGCCGCTCTCGCGAGGCGATCAGCCGCAGGAGGTTCTGCGCAGCATGTACACCCTGGATATGGATCAGTACGAGCGCCGTGAAGAGCGTGCAATACCACACCTGAAAAGCCGCGTTGTGGCCCGCGCAGAGAGCGCCGAACGCGTCTGCGCAGTCCCCGACAGCAAACATGTGCGCGAAGGCAGGCGAATCAAGCTGCAGGGTGCGGGTCACCCTCACACGTCCCTCGTCGTTGAGCAATGCAGGTTCGAGTGCCCTCAGGGTCTCCGTGTTGGGCTTTTGACCAGTGCACATGAGCTTGAATATTGTTAGACGTTCGGGACGAAAAGAAATCCAAAAAATGAACGTACAACAAGATCTGCAGCAAGCTCTCGACCGGACACTGTTCGTACGACCCGCTCGCCTGACTCTGACGATTGCTTTTCAGCCACAGATCGTACATCTAGCCGTTCACCGAGCACGACGTTGATGTTCAAGCGGTTCATTTGCCGAAGGACTGCACTAAGTATTAGTATGGGCCAACGAACGCTAGTCAGATTGCATCGCACTCACTCTCGTTGTGCATCTCCTGGCTGAAACGGGGTAATAGCTGCGGGCGAGAGTGCAGTAACGTTACGCGCTTCTCCGGATGCACATCTGCGATGTCTGTAGCGAATTGAACGCCGAGCGCGCCTCCACCTACGACTAGCACCGAGCGTGCGTCCCTGATCACTCGCTGTGCAGCCTTGAGCCACGCGATTCCACTGGCTTTGGAGCCAACTTGCAGCACCTCCACCGCTTCAGCGTCTGCGCGCATCTTCGCATCCAGCCGAGGTCCCCAGAGATTGACGGGAGCAGGAAGCGTAGAGCCCAGGGCGTATATCGCATATTCGAAGTCGAGCTTCGGAGTAGGAATTCCATGCTCGGGGAAGGCGCGATCGAGGGTGACGGCGTGTGGGGAAAGCGACTGGGCCTGGGCCGTGAGGTTCAGGAGGCGATTTGGTTTTTCAGCTGGTACCATGCCATCGTAGCGAATAACTGCAAGAGATATGAGGGCAGCGTTATGGGTGAGAGAGCACGACGCACACGCTTGATGTTCACGTCCGCCCACGACCGCGAAACGTGGAAAGGCGTAGACATGATTCAGATGCCTGTTTATAATGAGCGCCATTCAGTAGGCGAAACGAAGTCATGCACACGAATTTCTATCAATGGCCACCACTCTCCAGTTTCCGGGCAGCTTTGTGACTCCTTCCGCCAAAACCTTCGCAGCACTCTGACCTGTTGCACTTCAGCGTAGACTCGATAGATGAATGGGCGCGACGCACCACCATATGCCGCACCGAGGACCACGATATTCCTGTACTGCAGCATGCGGGGCGTCGACGGGAACGAAGGCCACGCGCTGAGCCTCCATTTTATCTGATAAAGGGCCAAGGAATCTTATCTAATCGCAGGGCGATATTAGCCGGCCGACGTTATACGCAATGAGTAGACCTCTGCACCTTCTCATCTCCGTCTGAGTCAGTCGTTGACAAAGCGAGGGGTGCAAAGTATAGGCCCTCTTCTTTCAGAGCGCAAAAAGGTGTGACTGCCTTGTCGATATTCACGTCGATCTTGCAGGTCGTGAGCAGCGTCGATGGACCGTAGAGCTTGTGCAATAACTTGCGCGCGACTAACGGCGGCTGCGCTTCACGAGATGAGTTAGTTTCATACCGACTGCGCGAGTAGTAAGCTTACGTGGGCTTTGCGACGACAGTCGGACATGACCTTCGCGAATGACGGTAATGCACTAGCGAGCCCGTCGAGGTCTTGCTGCAGCTGCAGCATCCCTAAATAGAGTGGGGCGTTCGTCGGACGTCAGAGATGAAAGCGCACGCACCAAAGAGCAAGGGCGCCATTCGTTGGCACCCCTGTTATTGACTTGATCGATCCTTTCCTGACAAGGGCACAGACACTGCATACTAAATCATTCCATGTGCATACGGTAAGTCTATGATACAGCCAAGGGTATAACATGGCATAAGCAATAAGATTAGCGCGAGGGCAGCGAGCGGAAGGACGACGACACCATCACAACGTCGCCGTGGGCCGAGGCGTCCGTGTCTTTCTCAGTCCGAAGAACGGCGACTGTGCTGCGAGACGAGTCGTCATAGCGAGGAGAAGAGTAGTTCGGGAATGATGCGAAGGCGAGGTTACTGCAAGTAGAACTTGTGCACTTCACTGCTGGTGAACGTAAGGTCACAGGATGGACACCGGCGCTGCCGTGTCGTCAACCTCGCGTCTATGCAGTCCTTGCAGAATGCTAACACCGCGTTAGTCGGCGAAGGACTGAACGCAGGAAGGTACGCACTATGCATGCACTTCGTCAGGATGACTGATCTAAAGTTGAGTTTGCACGTCGAGCACTTCAGCATCTTCATTTGCTGTACAGGATGTTAGCCAGGCAACTAATTCACGGCGACGATCACGTACCATGTCCAGCTCGGCGGGGAGTTCGTTTCCGTTGTTCTGAACCTTCTTCTCCCGCGCCTTTACGCTCTCCTCCAGCGCCTTCTCCTTCGCTTTGACCTTATCCTCTGCCTTGGCCAAGGACACAGCCTGTTTGGCAGCCTTGGTCTGCGCGTCGACCAGCGCTGATTCTCTTTGCCGCCAGGAGTCTTCGGTATGTACAACCTTGCTCCTCTCGACGGCTAGATCCGCCTCGAGTTTGCCGATGCTCTTTGTCAGTTCGTCGAGCTTGCGACCATCGGCCTCGAGCTGCTTTCGAAACAGGCTGATCTGGTGATGCGCAGAGTTCTGCGAAGAGAATTTAGAATTTTAGGTATTTGAGCGCGATAAAAAGCAGGCGGACGTACGTTGGCCTCGGATTGCAGAGCCTTATCCTGTGTCAACTTCGAGATCAACACTTCAGCCTTGTCGATCTTGCGCTGCAAGGCCCTCTTCTCCTCGTCCAGAGCAGACTTGTCGCGCGAGACGGCGAAGTACTTGTTATCTGCCTTCGCTTTCTATATACGTGTCAGCCGGTTCAAGAAGGAGTGAGACAAGGTCAACGTACATCTTCCCTCGCTTTAACCAGCTTCTCCTCGACCCCGACGAGCTCGAACACCTTGTCATTGACTTGCGCTTCAAGAGCGTCCCAGGCGGTCGCGAGCTTATCCTGCTCCTCATACAGCATATTCATCGACTGGACGTGTTGCTCATTCTCCAGCTTCAAGCGCTTGAGTTCCTCTTCCTTCCGCCGTAATTCCGACGCGAGCTTGTCGAGTTCCGGAGACGAAGCAGATTCGCCATAGACGGACCGATATGCAGCTAGCTCGGCGTGCGCAGCAGCAAGTTGAGCACGAACATCGGCCTCGGAACGTTGGTCATCTGAGCAAGACTCTTCAAGGGCAGCAATGCGCTGTCTCGCGTCGCTAGGATGTGGTTCAGTGTCGATACTAACGCGAAACGGATCAAAGTTACCTCAATTCTTGCCGCAGGGTCTTGACATAGTCCGCGTCGTCCGCAAAGAAGAACTTCATCAGCTCTGCATCGCCCGCGCGTGCGGCAACATGGCTCCTGCATCGGCGGACCTCCGATTGCAGCGTCTCGACGCGTTCCTAGCACGAAATTAGAATATGCAGGTGTCATCCTACAATAGTGCGCACCTTCAAGGTCTTATTGAGATTCTTGACCTGAGTGAAGGCGCTCAGCTTCAAGCCATCCTTCTGTCTACGCTCATTGAGCTCCGCTTCTAACTGATCTCGTCTCTCGCGCAGGCGTATACATTCTGCGTCCCTCTTGCCAAGCTGACCTTTCAGCTCATTCACAGCATGTTGTTCAAGAGCCTATAGAAAGAGAGCGCTTCAGAGGTGCAGATCGTGCGGAAGACAACAATATTCTTACGTGATTGTCTTGAATTAACTTTTGCTCTTGGACATATCGCTCTTCCAGTTGCTGGGTATGCGAAACTGCATCGTCGCGCGCCTGGCCGAGTTCTACTTGCAGGCGTTCGACCTGATGCGTTAAATTCGTAAAGTACGCATTGGCGCGAAGATCTGTTATAGAGATGACTTTATTCTGCACTGGCATCAGGCTTGGGCTAGCAAGTTGAATGACATCACGCACACGGAATTTCTCCTGGGAGAGGGCAAGGCGCTCCTGCGCGAGCGCGTGCTTGAGATCGGCAATTTCCTGGTCACGACTATCGAGCAGCCGTTGGGCCGTGTCGACGCTCAGTTGATCCTCGCTAACTGGCGTCGGGGGCGTTGGCGTAGCCGCTTTGGCATCGGACTAACGTTGCGTCAGAGAAGAAATATTATCATGAGTTGAGACTCCCACCAGTTAACCGAACCACTCACTGCAGCTGGAGACGGTTCTGGCTTCAGGTGGTCCGTCCCTTCATCCTTGACAACGGGGGAGGGGATAGGCGCGCGCGGTATGGCGGGAGGGCCAGCGTCGTTGCGTTGGCGCTCCAGACGGGCTTCGGAACGTAGAAGATCTTCATGGTAGATGTCTCGTTGTGCCAACGCATCCTTGAGCTCAGAACGCAAAGTTATCTCGCGCGACCGAAGGACGGCACACTAGTGATATGGTGAGAGGGTGTACGTTTCGTAAGAAGTTGCGTCTCGCACCTCGGTCTGGAGCTTTTGGACCTGCTCCAATGTGCGCTGCTGCGAAGACCCAGTCATCCGGTCGCTTGCTTGGGCAATCTTGGTCAGTAGCGAGCGTGTTGTGGCAAGTTTGTCGTGCAGCGCCTCGTTGAAAGATTCGGGAACGTCTTCATCTTCGAGGAAGTGTTCAACGAGTTCGATAATATCTGGCCGTACGTCAACCAGTGAACCGGGGGCATAGTAAGGCCACACACCTGCTTGCCGATCACCCACTTGGGTCACGTCACCGTAGACTGAAGTGAGAGCGTCTACGAGCTGTAGGCTGAGTCGTGAGAGAAGTACAAGGGAGGGCGAGGGAGACGCACCTGTGACCAACAGGCAGAGATTGCCGCCATGCCGGCCTCTGTCCGAGACCGCCCTCTCTCCAAGTTCGCGATACGTTGCTGCGCGCGTTCGTATTCACGGGAGTAATGCTTCATTCGTCGGTACAAGGCCTCCTTCCTGAAAGTCTGGTAGACTCATTAGACCCCGGACGGGCTGCTATGTACCGTATACGCACTTCAAGATCGTTCTCTTGCTTCTCCTGCCGGTCGTCTGGGTCGTAGTCCACCGTACTTCCATTAACGTGTGGCGCGCCGTTCGGACCCTCAACAATACGCTTCTTGACGACGCCGGGACCTTCATCATTGTCGGTGAGATGGCGCTTGCGCGAGTCCATGTTGACGTCCAACATGGCTGAGTAGGAACAAATTCCCAAGTCCATGAACGCTGACTAATCGTGTCTATTTCCAACTCCGACATGTCACTCTCGTCACACCTTCGGCACTTGGATCTTGTACAGTCCGCTGCTCGCGTCGAGCTCAAGAATCTCACAATCGGACGCGTCGCCGTTCCCTATTTGCGTCTCAACGCATGTGAAGTCCATGGGCTGCACCATGTTGAGTAAGCGTCGAAATTTGTGGCACGGTTGGCTTACCTTGTCCAGCACCGTCATTGGTTGATCTTCATGAACACGGTCAGCTTCGATGTGCAGCGACGAGTAGAAGAGGACGTACGCCACACAGCAGTGTTATATACGATGCCTTGCGCTGCCGTGGCGACGAAGGCACGCAGAGTCGTTAAATCCGGCCGACCGTCTTTGCCGTTCTTCGCTACCGTCACCAGATACGCCACGCCAGGATCTACTAATCCCTCGCCACTTCCCTTACCCATAGGGATGAATGCCTGGTTCGTATATGGGTGCCTCTCTAGCACTTGGAGAGGCAAGACGCGGTCTGCAGACAGCTGCACTGGGTTGCAACGATACACGGACAACCCGGTGGTTGCCCCGACTGCTGGGTCGTACGACGACTCTAGAAGAGCTTGCTTATGGAACTTGCTCGCAGTTCCCGCGTTGGCAGGAGTGATCTTGGTTCCTTTCGGCGCAGCCGCATGATCGCCATAGGCTTGAACGACTTGACCGAAGGGTGCAAAGGCCTCTGGCGTGAGCGGCAGCGCTGGGATGATAGTCGCCGTCGAGTCCAGTTCGACAGGTCTTCGCGCATCAGCTATGCCGGATGGCACTCGAAGCGTCGCGGGCTGCGTCGTAGAGTTCGGCACATCGCCTGCGCGGTATCCTAGGACGCGGACGCGCTTCACACCGCCGTCGGGATGGATGGTCATCTTGACATGCGTGTAGATCTTGCCCTTGACGTTCTCCAACACGAAGTAGTGCTGGCGATGAGGTCCGACCTTAGATCGCGGGAGGATGAGCGTCCAGTCCTCCCTCTCGCCCTTCGTCGAGGCCCAGTCCACGTTGTCGTCCACCTTCAATGCATGAAGCTCAACGCTTTCGGGGAAGTTGCCCTTGAAATGCGCAGTATCGATCTCGACTTGCTCCAGGGTCGCAGGAGCGCCTCTGCGTACGATGAGCTGAGTGCATTGGCGGCAAGAGCGCACTTACAGTTTGATGATCACCCAGTCCTTGTGGCCTGGCTGACGGCTACGTTTGGTTTCCCAACCATCGCCCATGTCCTTGCCTCTGCCCGGCAAGATCAAGTTCGAGCCCACCCCGAAATGCTGGTCGGAGGTAAACTCAACTACCCCGCCAGCGAATACATGCGCCAAGTCGAACAGCTGGGAGGGATCGCTAGGGAATACGGGCGCAACTTTCCCATAAACCCGGAAACGCGCCTGCGAGGACGTCAACGACGCCGGTCGTAGCATAGGTGGACTCTTACAATGCCGCCATCCGGATACATGTTCAACTTGACGTAGTTCGCGCAAGTCGTTTCCGGTATAGTGAATAGGTGGCGAGCTGTTGGGCCAATTGGAACCTTGGGCAGTACTTCCACCCACTGGATACGCAGATCAGCACATGGGCAACACATCTTATTCTGATACGCACGCGAGGGTCGTTTTCCGCCGGTGGCTGATCCACAGGGCCATTGAGAATCTGTACGGAGACTTCCGGTGCTTCATTGCCTATATCGAGTCATGATGAGTACGATGAGATACATGGTTTCCCCGCACCGTTGAAATGGGTCGTGTCGACGTCGAAACCCAGAATGGTGCCGGATGTTCCCAATTTGATAATGCACCTGCAGGAAGTCTTTAGTGTCGCAGAACTGACTGCCTTTCGAGCAACACACCAATCGTAGTTGGGGTTGTGGCGGCGACTCTCCCAGCCGCTGTATAACGCTCCATTCGGACCGAACTGTCCTTTTAAACTAGGCGCAGGCTGATCGACCTCGTCAGCGCGTGAACCAAGTCCGCAAAGCTGGCGCACCTCTACAAGGAGAAGATGATACGCCTCCGCGAAAAACTCATCGGACACCGATATAACCTTTCCTCCGATGGCCACGCTCGAAAGCTCTTCGAAGGGTCAGCGTCTCGAGTTGACGAGCGCAGGGCTGGTACACACCTGTCAAAGACGAGAACTTCTCCGAGAACTGGTCGAGTGGTACACTTTCGTAGGCCATGTCGCGGGCTCGTCGTAGTCGATGGTTAAAGATAGGGGCTTCGCCTGCGCCGACTCATCCGAATCTCCATGATGCACACGCCGATAAGCTGTGGGTGCTTGTGGACGTGTATGCGAGCGAGACGTTGGTATATAGAGAGCGCTGCAAGGCTAGCAAATACTCATCGCTGTGGGTTCCTGGTCCAAAACCAAGTCAGGCATAAATGCTGTCGAGAAATAGACGAGATGCAAGTGGAAAGTAATCGACTTTCGCGACGCGCCGACGCCACCGCTCATTGCCGAATGACGCAATGTCACGTGGTGGGTGCCTCCATCACTTCCCAATCGGGATTTGGCCTTCTTATGCTCTGCCACCATACCGACAAAGACGACTGCCAGCGGGGAGTCCTACCTGATTTTTCTGAATCGTGTAGTGATTTGAAGTGGCAGAAGTCTATGTCCAGGTGTTGCATGCAGAATACCTTGACACAGCATGCTGATGTCCTGTCTATTGACACCTGTACTGGCCTTGCGGAAGACCTGCTTGGTCAGTATAGGTGTGAGTGGATGCTGTCACAGAAGCAGAGTTGCGGAAAGATTCTGGCCTCATACACCTTGCTTTCAAAGGTCAATTGGATGCAATCTCCGTCAATATGCACTATCTAAACTTGCTTTGCAGCATGTTCACACCCACACGAAGTTCATGAAGAAGGAGAAGGATAGGGTAAGAGCCCAGCTATCTTCCTTTAAAAGCCTGAACTAACCTTATGCTCAGGGATACATCCCATGTGCCTACAGTCGCTGCAGTCATCGAGCACCAACACAGGAGGACTTGTGGTATCAGCATGTCCTTCCGAACCACCTGCAAAGGATAGAGTTGCAATGTCCTGTCCAATGTGTGTTCTCTTCTTCTTTGTGTCCTTTTTTCTAGCCTGATGATACACAGCATGTACAACAAAGGCTGTGTCTGCATTGGTGGCTCGTGGCACTTCTATGGGACAGCACTTTCTGCATGCACATTCTGATTTGTTTGGACGAGAAATTCGCTTTCCCTCAGAATTCCTCCGCCCCTCTGCTTGTCCAATGCCTTTGGGTCTGGTCTTACAGCGTCCACCCCCACTACCCTATGGCCCAGTCCTCCCATCACTACTTCTTGCTAGTGTGCAACCTCATCCCTCGCAGCACACTCTTGCACTGGAGAACTCTGCATCCACATCCTCCCGTGCTATTGGAGTGCTCCCAACTGTACCTCAGAGGGCTCGGCGCAAGCAACTGGAGCCTGAAGAGGAACAAGTTGATCTATGCACAATCGAGTTCGATGACTTCGAGCCTGGGCAGATTTCCGTGTCCGACAACGCGAGTGGTGCACCATGTTTCCCACACCAGAACATTGTGACGCACCCAGCACCATTTCGAACGGAGGTGTCACGCCCGCCCGTCCTTGTCCAACCGCCAAAAGTACTCGAGCCGCCACCTAGTATCCTATACCATGCGTGGGAAATTGAGGTCAACAAGCGGCTTCCCCCAGAGCCTCAGGAAGAGGACGACGACGATGATGGGCCCTCGGAGCCAGACTCGGACTATGACTCGGAGGACTGCGACCCAACCCCAGCGCACATGCCGCTTATTGTGTCGTCAACCGGACCGCCCGCCAACGCAACTGGATCGAGTTTGACACCGTCTTCCAGCCATGTCGCCACTCAGGGAAACAGAGATGCCCGCTACGCAGATCGCAGCACGCGCAAGCGCACTGCCGGCTCCCCACCCGAAACTTGCAGCGCCAGGCCCTCGAAATCGCGGCGGACATCGATGCAGGATATCTCCGACCTTGCGGCGGATCTGCACTTGGACACGTAGCGGCGCACGCCTACGTCCAGTCGGAGCTCAGCAGCGCGGTGGGTCGGTTACTAGGCCTGCTTGCGATTGTGTTCCTGCGAGGGCGCAGGCGCGCGCAGCTTCCCATCGTCGTGGGATGATCCGAGACGATATGCGCCGCGGAAGTTCGCGCGTCCACTCTGCGCGTATGTACCTCCGACATCGCCCCTCTGCTACCATCGCGCGCAAGTCCGAGGCATCTCCTTCCCACCAACCGTATCCGATATCGCTGCTTCCCCCACCAATAGCACACGCCACTCGCGGACCGGTCTCATTACGGACCTTCACTCGTTGTATCCATACCCGAGGACGTTCGACGCCCTACTCCGCTCCCGCCGTCCACCGCCGCTGTCGTTATACATAGGCCTCATACACTACTTCGCGAACCCTAATGTACATGTCCCGGTAATGTACGCTTTCTTGGTACCCATCGACTCTCATCGCCTCCCATCGCGGGCATCTGTCCCACTCCGTCGTGCGCGGACGATGCGATATTCGGAATCGCGCGCCTGTCGTGACCTCGTCCGCAGAGGACAAGGGCATGCCCCGTACCTGTTCAGTTCCCGTTCGTATTGGCGGCTCGCGACCCCCGAAATAATGTCTTGGACGGAGCATGCGCGCCTGGATTGCGGCAGTCGACGCTTCAGAAGGAAAGCGCGTATGGGTGGCGCAAATGTCTCGTGCCACAGCGTATGATTTGAGGCCAAGGTGCATATGATTGCTACTCTTGCATGTGTTCTTGGCCTCCTACGCGGCTCTCCGCTGTCCTCTGGCGCCGATGCCTCACCGTCACACCATCCGAGCCACCATCGCATGACGCCCCGACGTCTAGCGCGACTGCCCAAGTTCTCAAGGTCGTGAGACTCGCCGCAAGAGCGTCCAATCCATATATAGTAGATAGAAATACAGTTGCATTGAGCCTGGTCTCTTGGAGACCTCCGACCAACGAGTACGTAGAGTCTGTATGACTAGGTAGCGAGTTATATAGGACAGCGATTAGCATGGAAAAGTACAATGCGTATAACGATAAGATAAAAGAGGAGGCTCGCCCGGCGCGGCGTCTGTGGGATGGGCACAGTAGCGCAGCCGGTAGCGTGTCTACAGGAACGTCATGACGACGTGCGGTTTCAATACCGTCGAATAGCATAGAAGAAAGCGAGACGTGACGTAGATATGTGAAGGGCCTTGGCCGTCTAGGAGGCGGTCGCGAATTTAGGAGGAATGTCATAGGGAAGGGTAGAAGGAGATGGTGATAGGATAGCGCATGGTCATACGGAGGATGCCTTTTGGTGTTATAATAAGGGAAGCCATTGTCCTGTGAGAGGATCAGGAACGAGACCAACGACGAGAGCGGTAGACGTACCGATGACGGCGCTAGGCAAGTCGAAGAGATCCCTTCGTATTGAGAAGCAGAACGTCGCAGGTACCGGGGCGCCCGAGGGCTTGAGAAGTACGCAATGCGAGTAAACGGATTGTGTCGTGTTCTCGAAAGCGTGCTCCGCAAAGTTCTCCCAGTATTCGACCACGGATTGGTTCTCGAAGAGCTGAGGTACGTCAATATAGTGTCCGATATGAAGCGCGATAGCGACGTACCTCATAGATGTACTTCTTCTGACCCATCAACTCCTCCATCGACCATTCAGTCAGCATGCAGAACTCTGGTGCGACGAGACATATTTCTCCCGTGCGGCGCCAGACGACGGTCGGCGTGCCGCTATACGAGATGAGCTTGTCGAGTTCCTGCGGGGTATGGCATCGTTAACAGCGGTTCGTAGTCCGGAGAAGACGGGAACACTGACCAGTAATGACCGTTGGAAACATCGCTCTACAAACACCTCATCGTCCCACGACAGAGGCATCTGCAGAGCGATGAGCGATGGGCGAAAGATCGCCAACGCTCGCACTACGCGCAGGATATCGTTCTTCTCAAACCTTCATGACCAAACATGGAGATAGGTATGAGTAGCGATGTCGAGGCACGGATATGCGGAGGGTGACATCAAGATGGTAGGCGGATACATAGAGCAGAAGAGAGCATCAGAAGTCGAGTCCCAGAGGATCTCTTGAATGCGCGCGACTGGAAAGTCGGTATGTATACGCACCGGGTGGTAAGGTGCTTCATGAGGAAGTGATACCCCTCCGTGTAGTCATACGGCGCCTTTACGCGGTCCGTGATGCTTTGCAGATGCGAACCTGGTCGCGGGAAGGGGGCCACCTCGTTCAGAGGCACCGTGGACGTCGCCGATCCAGGCGAATCCGTGGGCGGTGGCGACAACAACGTGCGCGCTGCGCTCTCCTTGTCCATGTAGAAACTCGGAGGCGAGGAGCAACGTCCGTCCCGCGTGTACTTCGACGCATCGTCCCCACATTGCAAGTCGGCGGGGTCGGCGGTGGACTGCTGCTTCGCTGTGCGCGCTTGCAGGTAGTTGAGACTGCCAGTCGACGAGAGCAAGTTGTCTGCAGAGATGACCGGGAGCACGTTCTCGGGGAACGACGAGAACGAGTCAAGTTGTGGCGAGTTGAAACTCAGGGTATCTGACGGCCACGGGTATGGTTGAGGGGGAGGCGACGTCGTGTCGGGAGGGCTGGGATTGCCGAGGATAGCGGAGAGGATGGTGTATTCGAGGTTGGCCGCCTCCGAACCGAAGGGGAAGTTGGAGTCGAAGGTTAAGTTGAACATCGGATCGTTTGGAGCGAAGGGTTCCGCTATATGTTCGTTAGCAATTAATGCAGGGGAAGTACGATGACGGCACGCACACGTCGAAGCGGGTATCGGAGCAGGGGCGGAGATGGGGACAGGCTGCGCCTGCGCCTGCAGTGAAGGTCGTGGTAGTGGTGCGGCAGGTGCCTGCGCCGTCTGCGCTGGTGGCTCGGATGGTTTGGGCTTCTCAGTCCTGGGCTCCGATTTCCTGGAGGGGACGGTGTTCTGTTTCCGCTTTAACTCTTCTGTACGTGATCGTCATGTACGGTCAACAATTGGGGAGACGCAGGCGTACCGAGCTCTTCATCGTCGAGAAGATACTTTGCTTTCTTGCGGTGTCCCTCGGTGCAGTTGTTCGCAATCCCTCGCTTGATGCAACGTTGGCAGGGGCGCGCTACGTGTCGTGTGCACCGATCAGTACGTGCTGAGAAGTATGTGCCACCCTGCCACTCACAATCGTCGCAAGTGAGATGGGCCTTCTGGCAATGGAAGCAGGCGCGGTTCGCCTTCTTCTTTTTCGGGCCGTCTCTGGACTTGCGAGAGGGCGTGTTGCTCTCTTGGTCGGTGGAGTCGTCTGCCGTTTCTGAACGCTTGCGCTTGTTGGCGCTGAGCGGGGGAGACTTCTTTTTCTGCGCAAGAGTCGAGGCTGCTTCCCCACCAAGGGTCTGGGCGTATGCAGGCGGGGTCGCGGTCTGGGGCAGCAGCTGTGCGGGGGGCACCGAGTGAACGGCGACCGGGGCGACGACGTGCACTGTCGACATGGCTGGAAATGGTGGGCAGGAGGTGCACGACGTCGCGGACGACGGCGAAGACGATGACGGAGGGGGTTTGGACGACGATAAGTGCAAGAATCAGAAAAGAGGGAGCGTGACCTACCAGCCTTTATGTCAGGCCGCTGATCAGTCGGCCACGCGGGCCGACAGCGTTGACGACACTCCAAATTTACAAAAACATGTCCAAGCGGCGGGAGATGTCCCTTGTTGCCCGTTCGAGCGCGCTGGCGACCGTCCCGCGCGCGCCGTGTGTCACAGAAAACATGTAGTCCGTGCGCTGTACAGACACACAAAATAAAATACGCGCCTGCGCCCCCCTCGCACGGATATAACATCACTCCCAGCACGTAGCGCCGGCCGTCATGCGGGATACATATGCCGTCGCAACTTAATTTAAACGGGGCCTCGCGCTCCCCCGCGCGGGGTCGGGCGAGCCTTGAGATCGCGAGACAGCGCTGCGACGATTGGTCGTCCGCCGCCGCACAACCGGCCGGGTGTCCGCTGCAGACCTCTACCGCCCGACCGCCCGCCGCCGCCGTCGCCGCCACCCCCGCTGCCGCCCTGCACGCCCCCTCCCCCAGACAACAGGCAAGCAGGTCGCAATGACGTCGGGCCAGTGCAGCATGCTTTTCGCGCGCCTCGCGTCAAACATTGGCCGGGCGCAGGCTGCCCAGGAATTGAAATGGCTCAGACAGCACGCATCAGGCGGGCACGCCCCCCTCCAGAATCTACTGGCAAGGCGCGTCGCAGGCGAACCGCTGCAGTACATACTGGGTAGGTAATCACCCTCCCGCTCGCCTACCGCTGCACACCCAGTCGCCCTTGATGCGGTCCTCCGCAGACCCCCTTTCGTCATCGCCGCTCCCCCCGCCTCGCCGCCGCTGACACCCCGACAACAGGCTCACAGCCCTTCGGCGACCTCGAGATCACTGTCCGGCCACCTGTCCTCATTCCCCGACCGGAGACTGAGGACTGGACGATACGCCTCTCCGAACTTTTGGCCAGGAAAGTGCGCAGGCGCGCGCCCATCACTCTTTTCGACCTCGGTACAGGGACCGGCTGTATACCTCTGCTGCTTTGCCACTTGCTACCGCAGGGGACGATCCGTGCCCATGGTTTCGATCTCTCGCCAGATGCGGTGGCGCTCGCGAACGAAAACGCGAAGACGTCGAACATTCCCGCGGTAGCATCCGGCCTCGTCAACACTTTCTCAGCCACCCTGGCAGACTTCGCCAGCGCACGCTTCCGCGCCGATACCGCACATGCCCTCCCATGCGACGTCCTGACGTCCAATCCGCCATATATCAGCACGTCCGAGCCTCTTCCAGCTGAAGTCAAGGATTGGGAGGACAGTCGGTAAGGCCCGCTTACGCTACCGCCGTCATGAACCGTACTTGACAGCACTCCTTCCAGGGCCCTCTTCGCTGGTGAGTCGGGTCTGCAGTGCTATGAGGCGATAGGAAAGCTCTTAGCGAGCCCCGGCTTCCTCGCGCCCGACGGACTCGTGGCCTTGGAAATCGGGCATACGCAAGCTCAGCCAGTGCGAGACATCCTCGCGTCCGCAGGCTTGAGGGAGATAGAGATATGGCAGGACCCGTGGGGCAAGGACCGGACGGTCGTAGCGCGCGGCGATGGTGCCGGGGGCGGCGAGGGCGGCGCTTAAGAACGTCGGCCACTGGTCGGGCGACGATATACCTCCGCAAAAGGCACGTTTTCCCGCCCTCCGGCATTGCGCAACCTTTCGCCCGCCGCCGCACCCTTGCCCTACGGGAGCTATCGTCCCGCCGGTATCGAGAATATTCTCCTGGTCAATATACTTCCACGTTATCTCCTGTCAGCGAGCGCAAATTCAGTGTCCTCCCCCTGAACGATTACGCCCTCAGCACGGGATCGCTGAGCTAACGAACGACGATGGATCAAGTCCTCACGCCCTCTTCGACCCATTGCGCGCTAGTTATGCGCCTCTGTGTCTCGCAGCGTTCTTGTTCCTCGCTACCGGACACTCATCTTTACGGCTCGCCAATTCGTCCATATCACGGCACATGCCGAGGCGAGCAGTACAGTCAAGTGATCTGAGGTTCGTGCCACCAATACCAACACTTGCCGGGCGGCGGTCCTAGATGGCCCGCAAACGTCCCGCGGCTCCCCGCCGAGGTCTGCAGACCTCTCCCCCGCTGTATACCCCAACCTCTCGGCGCGCGATCCATACCTCCCCGGTGTTTGATGCTGCCCTCCATCCCCAGCGCTTAATGTGCTTCATTCAGAGTCGCACCTGCATTCCCCGCTCATCACTCTAGGCCTTCCCGCCTCCCCGCCTGGGCCCACGGTTCGCCATTGGCCAATACCTGCGCGTACAATCTCTGCATACAATAGAAATTTACATCTGCCGCCCGCAATGCATACCTTTGTTTCGATCAAGACTGCCGCGAAGACCTCAGGTGCTCGCGGCTCGACCGACGCGTTTTGGCGCGAGCGTCCCGTCAGGAGGACGCTTCCCTTGTCTGGCACCCAGCGCGTCCAGGTCAACGGCCGCGAACTGATTTTTTTGCAAAGGAGGCTGATGATTGAACTAATGACTGGATTGCTTGATGCTTGCCCTTAGGGATCGCTCTAACGGCGAGCTCCAGCTCCGAAAGTCGTTCTCCGGCAGCCGATCCTCGTCGTCGTGGCTATCAGGCATTGAAAGGGTTTTGCCCAAGCAATTCTCACCGACGCGATTTTCATTGCGCTTTGCTCCAGGGGTCTGGTTGTTGAGGCCTGCTCGTCCTCCCGTCCTTCCTGTAAAATAAAAGATAAAGAGGTCGTTCAATGACTACCTGTGCCTAATCTTCGGTGATGTGCATTTTGCGCAAGCGCATTCCAGTTGTAGCTAAGGCTTGTCGCCACCATTTTTCGAGTATAGCAGGAGAATGACACCGAAAAGGACCCGCGGCAGTCCTTGGCCCAGAAGGCAGCTCTGATCAGCTCGTATAGCGCGATATGTACAGCGTTCGGCGCACGGACAGCGCGCCCAGTAGAGGTTGTCGTGGATGAAGCAGAGTTGCCACTGGGAGGTAGATCAGCAGTGACGGGTAAGGTGGGAACCTACCAGATCAATTGCAGCGCCATTGGCCGAAAGTCGAACGTCAAGGTACGGCCAGCGCGATCGCAAAAACGAGCTTCCAAGTTCCAAGCGCCTGAAGTCTCCTGCGAGGGGACGAGCCCCAAGATGCGCAAAGGCGTCAAGGGGTGCGAATATAATGAGCATAATGATAGAGCTGACAAGGTTAGTCAAACCTTGCGCCATGTCGGCGGAAAGCTCGAAGAGACTATGCAGCGGTAATCCACCTCGCCAACCTCTTGTTGTGTACGTTGATGGAGCGTCTTTGCGGCCGCGACGATTGGAAAAGAGCCAGGTCCATTGTCCGATATAGACCAAATAATAGTTTGCCTGTAACGCGACTATAAAAACACGGAAGCCGGTCCCGTACCTCACCCACTCGTCCAACCTCCGCATCGCTCAAACAGCACCCTCAACAGACGCATACTCGCTCTCGATGCCTGGCTCGAGGAGCGCAGCGTGCCCGAGGATAAGGACGCCGGATGCACCGAGGATCCAGAAGGCGGTGGCGAATGGCGAGGCGACAAAGAGCATTGGGATGCCGATCACGAAGAGGCCCGTGTAGAGGTGCTTCTGGGTGATCGTGTGCTCGCCGACCTGCATGGGCTCGGGGGCTGGGGACAAGGTTAGCTGGGGCTTCGGACTGCAAGGACTAGGCTACGCACCCCACTTGTTGATCGCCATGAAGCCTCCAACAAGGAAACCGACGGAGATGAGAAGGAGGGGATTCGTGATGCTGTATCGCGAGTTGAGCAGAATGGACGAAGAGGTGGAGCAACGCCCTTACACCGCATATACGGAGAGCATGGCAATGATAATGACATAGTTGCCTGCCGGAGGGTCAGACTCAGCGTGCTGCGCGGGCCACGTATACCACTCACCAGAGAAATAGCGCGTGTTGTAGGTTATGCGCTGAGGGGTTTTGTAAGCGGCGAATGCCTGTCATGCTCGGCGTACACACCTGCGTCGCAACGTTGAAGCTCTCCGGCTTAGAAACCCTCGTGTAGTCGAAGAACTCAGTCGGAGAACGAAGCGCGCTCAACCGCGTCTCCTGTAGCGATCGCGGATCGTTCAGGGCGATTTCGGCTTTGCGTGAGGAGGGGACGTACCCGGATGTTCTTGAGAGCATCCATGGCTTTCAGAGCAACCTCCATGATGGCGGCGGGGAGGAACGAGGGACGAGGGAAGGTGTGTGATGGCGGTATAAGGCAAAAGGCGTTTGTCATATGCAGAACACCGGATCCCACATTCTTGTCCTGAACCACGACTGCGGACACTGTAAGTGCTGTGCCCTGGTATTCTACACTGCCAATTGTACTCATGATGACTGCAGGGGCAAGATGATGCGAAGACAGCCCACCCTCATACCCATGTCGGAGTCCGACGTTCAAGAGGTGCGCGACATGGTCACGCAGCAGAAGGCGGACGCGGCGGCAATGGCGAAGTGGGAGCAAGACCAGAAGAAAACGGAGCAACCACCATCAGTTCCCACCGCAGCAGACAAGCAGAAGGAGCGCGCTAGGCGGCTCGGCTTGTAGGTTTGAATTACAAGTGCCACTTGCCCAAATGCCAGCCATCCTTGACGATCATATTCTACGCCATATACGCTGGCGCTAAACGCGAGCAGTGGGCAATGTCAATGCAATATATGTTCTATATATAAGGGAGTCAAAGAGTTTCCAGAGGGTCATCTACGCGTCGAAGTGCGAGCGGAAGCCTACAATCAAAGACACGCAGCAATGAGATCACAGGTCGAACGCATGACGGTCCAAAGCTATACCTTCGAGATCCTGCCGGTCGCAGAGGGTAGCCAGATCCAGCCGTTGCATATGCAAGCAAGCGGTTTTCAAGCTCCCCCAAAGCGCGCCGGACGTTACACCGCGTCCCTCCCCAGAACCAGCGGGGTCGGTGACGCCCTCACTATCCTGAAGCAAGAGCGCGTCGAGAATGTGGCCGGCTGCCTCTTTGTACCTCTGAAAGGGCCGGTTACTAGCTGCGCAAGACGGGCGGCGACAAACAACGTACAAAGAGGTTGATGCAGGAGATACCAAGGTTGTACCTCGCGCGAATGTACAGCGGGTTCAACTCCAAGGCCCTATAGTAGTAATTCAAGGCCTCTTGAGGGCGATTGCTGTTCGCCAGCGTGGCACCGACGCGATTGTACAGCAGCCAATCCTAGACAGAATCAGTACAGTCCCAAGCACGACAACGAGCAACTCACCTCGGGACGCACAGCGAGCGCCGTGCGGAAGCAGTCGCACGCCTTCACATACTCCTCGTTCGTGTTCAGCATGACCGCCAGCGCAATCTGCACATCCGCGTCGATCTCGCCAGACGCGTCACTCCGTATGACATGCATCAAGCACTCGACGAGGTCGGTGTACTGCCTCGCCGTCGACATCTCCTCCGACACCTCTGGGTGGCTGACGCGATATTGAGCAACCAGCGGCGCGAGCTTCTCGTTCCGATTGAGCCACTCGCGGATGGCGTTGTAGGTGCCGGCTCGGTGGTTATCGTTCGTGAAGGAGACGGCGAGAGCAAGCCAGGCGGGCATGTAGGTGGGGTCGAGCGCGACGGAGCGTTGGAGGGCGTGCAGAGCCTTTTGCTCGCGTTCGCTCTCCTGCTGCTTTACGCCAAGTTCGTACCACGCCGCTGCGTTCGTGGGGTCGCGCTGGACGGCAGCTTCAAGCTCGAGGATACTCTGTAATCTCAGTCAATGAGAGCCGCTCATTGTCGAAGGGAGAGCCGCACCTCGTAGGCAGTTTGAGCATGCATCCTATGATGCCGAGACGATTCGCCCAGCAAATACGGGTTATTGGGCTGGAACTGGTACTGCGGGACGGGCTTGATACCAGTCGCAGTCGCCTCAAATTGGTCCCAACTATCCTGGAGCGCAGCCCATTGCGAGTTCGTTTCCTGCGCGCGCTGATTTCGCGCCGCCTCCGCCGCCTCTCCCTGGTCCTTCCAATACTTGATGTAGTCCGCGTTCTCACGCGCAAAGTAAGCGTCGTTGTCGTCTATCTGTGCGTCCACCCCCTCCGCTTCAGCAACAGTGGCATCGTGTATCTGCCGTAAGTTTTCTTGTGCAAGTTGGCGGAAGCCAGTTGCCTGGATTTGCGGGCTGTGGGTATGGAAATGTGATCCAGCGGCTGGAAGACCGCCGACTGGCACGGCACGACCCTTGCCCTTTACATCGACGGCTGGTTGCTGAGTCGCTTGCTCGGCGGGAATCATGTCGTCCCCCTCGACGACGACTTCGTGGTCGCGGAGCTGGCGCATCAGCGACATGAACTGGCTCTTCTTGAACTTCTCGTTCCCTTCGTGTTGCACAGAGTCCAGAACCATGCCTGCCATCCGCGAGAGGTCATCGTCGCCTACAATTCTTTGCGCCTGGTTTGTCGTCGCCTGTTGGGAGGCTTGTTGGGCAGGTGTCATGAGCGTTTCTTGTGCCGCAAATGCAGTCTCCCACTTCGAAGAGTCTATTACTGAGAGTGAGCATCACTTCCAGATGGCAAATATAGCAGAGACGTACGGTCGACAGAATGCGCTGGCTGCATAGGCGCTGGAGCCTGAGCTTGCATGAGGGGCCCATTCACGCCAAAAGCCTGATACGGAGCAGGGCCCCACGTCGCGGCGCGCTGCGTAGGAGGCACGCCCGAGGCAGTGTGTAAAGGAGTCTGATGCTGAGCAGACATTGGTGCTTGCGGCGATGCGACCTGGACGGGGGAGGACACCATGGGCTGATCGAGCATGAACTCGGACGCCCAAGCCGCGGACGAGGGGCCCTGCATCTGAGGAGTATGGTTTTGCTTCTGAGGGGTGTGTGCGAGGTGATGTTGCGGTAGTGACTCTGCTAACGGCGCCATGTTGAAGGTCGTATCGACGGCGAGGGGGGCGGGGCTCTTCTGCGCGAAGAACCGGGCCGCATCCTGGTCTTGGACTGCTGAAGGGGGTCGGAAGGCCTGTGTTGATGAGGAGGCGGTAGAGGCAGAATATCAGGCGGACTCACAGATGGACCCGCCCGCGTCCCAGATCCTATGTAATCCTGCGAAGGATGAGCTCACCATCTTTCCTATACCGTATGCTTTACACACCTGGCTTAGACCACGATCGGTGTTGAAGCGCTTGGAGAGTTCCTGGAGCGCGTTCGAGGGGCCGCACTCCGCATTGTACATGAGCATTGGGAGCGCCATGGTGGTCGCGAACGATGAGCGAATGCGCACACGAGAGGGGGAAGTCGAAGGGCTGAGAGACCCACCGGGCCGAGGCTTGCCTTGGGCGCGGGCTATTGCCAGTGCCACGTGAAAAACAAGTATCGCGATCACGTGCGCAAGGACGTGGCGTTCCTCAGCCTCGAGCTGCGAAGGACTTCCGCGCGTTCACCATTGGGGGTGGGCACCACCCGCCACCGGATCCGGCATATTTGTACTTGTTTACTCCCCGCCACGCAAATGATTTCGGACGTTCCCGCATGTTCCCTCTTATTCCTCCATGGCGCATATAGCTACGCCCTCGCTTTGTAGAGCAAAACTGTACAGAATCTCTGCCTCGAACTGAATTTCCAACTTACAAAAATTCCCTTCGGCATGCGAATATTTTGTAAGGCATACATACGGTGGCGCCCTTCAGAAGAACTCGTCCCCCATATACTCCTCGTCGGAATCCATCTCGATGTCGCTATGAGTACCGCAGGGCTCGGTGACATCCTCCATAGGGCTCGGAAGTAGTGTGAGCATCTCGGATGCACCGAGCGCCTCAGGATTGGCTCTGGGAATAGTGTAAATACAAGTGAGCAGTGAGAAAGCTTTCGACGTACGCTCGGTAGCGTTCGAGAGCCGCAAGTACGGCCAACCGACGAGGAGCAAGAGTCTTCACCATGCCCCACTTGAATTGCTGCTTGTCGTTCAGTGTCGAGTCTTTGATGATGTCCTTGTGAATTTCTAGCTGCTCGCGCAACCCGACGAGTGTCATAGCTTCAACCGCGGCAACGTCGGTCACCAACCCTACTGCCTTCAAGCGCGCCATACGCTCCGCCTCCTTCCTCTTCTTCTCCGAAGCCTTGTACTCGTGATCTGCTGCCCTCTCGCAGTAGTCCGCCGCAATCCTCTCCTGAAAACTCGCCATCTGCTGCTTCGGAGAGACGGTACGTCCCTCGCGCATGACCCAAGACTCGAGCCCAGGGTTGTTGACCTTCGTGATAAACTTCTCGGTGTTATTATGGCGTATGCGTGCGATAGCGTTGAAGGCGACTGTCGTGCTGCACGGATTACGGCGTAGGAAAAGTCGCAACGAGCCAAGCGCGCCCTCGTTGTGGTCGTTCGTCGCCGGAATGAACAGGACAGAGCGTTGGAAAGGTGTAAGCTGATCTATGGGACCGCCAGGTGCGAATTCAGACGTGAATCTTCGCCATCCCTTGGCAGCCCCTCGGAACATAGCTGCAATAGCATCGTAGATCTCTGGCCCTGTCGAGAGCATCGCTTCTCGGCACTTCGAGATGAAGCGCTGGTTGCGAACAGGCCTGCCGTCGTGTGTACGAGCAGAGAGCGGAGCGTTGTCGTCAAAGAGGACTTGGGGAGCAGTGGCAATGTCGTCGCAGAAGCTTGCGATGCGGCGGTGAAGATCTACAGTCTGAAGGAGGTTGAGAGGCGCCCCATCTTTTCCAGGCTCGTGAACAGCAGCCATGTACGCCTGCGAGACGACAACCATGTAGAGACCCATCGCAATCAAGTCCATCAACGTTGCGTCGCAGTCCATCGCTTTGAGGACGGTGGACTCCATATGATTAGTGCCTGCCTTGGTCTTCGCCGCGCAGATAGTCTCGATGGTCCGGCGATACTCATAGTCGTATGTAACGTACTCGATTGCGGCCTTGCCTACTGATTGGAATCGAGTGTTGTTGACGTCGGCTAGGTTCGCGTGAGATATAGCGTCGTCGCCGTGGAGCTCGCGCTTGAATGACTGAACGAGTACCTGGCCAGCCTGCTGATAGCCTTTCTTGTCGTCCTTGTGGCGAAATATGGCGCCGAGCAAGGCCATGAACTTTGGACCACCGCTACTACTCATGTCCGTTGCCCGGAGCCGCGCGTCGACACCTGCTTTGTCGCCCAGAGCAAGGATGGAGTCGAAAGATTTATTAGGAAGGAGGATGGGTGGGGGTGTCTTCAGCGTGGACGACTGCCAAAGCTCCGCTAGTGCGTCCGCTCCATACTTAAAAGCGTTCAAATCTTTGTGACTGCAGCAGCCACCAAAGATGAACAGCGTGTGGAGCTCTTTCTCCTGACCCGTTAGGTTCGCATATGCCTCCTCGCCAAGCTGCGTCTTCAAGACGTCGTTAGCGATATCGCAGCGCTCAGCCCAGCGACTGTAATCATGTCAGATAATGATTACTTACGCACAAATGAAGATATATGCTTACACATCACTTGGGTCGCGATTCTCTCCAATAGCATGCTGGACGTCCGCTTCCGTAAGGGAGAAGACCGCGTCAAGAAGCGTGTGCATATCGACCTTCGAATAGGCTTCCTGTGCGAGCCGCTTCTTGATATCCTGCTCCTTCTGTGCCTCCGCCAGCGCCTTCTCCTTGATCCCGTCAGCAGCGTGGTCTTTGCTCTGACCCAGCTGCTTCACGGACCATTCATCATCGCGCATTTTCCCGCCGTCAGCGGTTGCCAATGGACTGCGGTTGTATACATCGGCCATCTCCTTCCCGAACTCCAACTTTCCCCGATGCTGGGATTCGGCGTCATGGCGCACGGCCTCCTTCACGCTAACGAATCGTGTCGCCTGGACCCACGTGCTGGGATCACTGTCGTCGACACCCGGCTCGTACGTCGGGACGGCGTGCGATATGGCCGTTGCCTCGTACTGAATTTTCTTATGGCTGGTACCATCGCTACTGCAAATAAAACCTAAAGAGCATTAATACGAGCCTCAATAGGCTGTAACTTCACACGTACCCATTGTATTCTTTACTTCTTGGGCCAACTGTAGTACAGACCAGCGATCTAACTCGCCCACGTTGACACGCCCCGCAGTTCGGCGTGACAGGAATGGTCCGCTGAGCATGATGCCGAAGAGCGAAGCGGTATCGGTAATCACTTGGTTCTGTTGTCCGGGAGGAACGCCACAGGCATTCAGTCGCCTAGAGATCCAGCGAGACTGAGTCGAGAAGTGGTTGCCGTCCTTCGGATTGAAGGTCAGTCGGTCGTGTAGCTCGAGAAGACCATTGCGTAAGCGTCGCAAGGATTCCAGACAGCGTAGTATCTTCTTGTCCTGTGCGTACTTCTCGCGGCGGTGAGTTTCCGCAGACTGGCGCAAGCGTTCGACCCGCGCGCAAGCTACTTCGAGATCGTGGCGTAGCGTGAGATTCTGAGCACGGAGAGCGTCAAGCTCGGAGGTGATAGAAGCGGAGAGCGTCGCGTGCTGAGTCTCAAGGTCGGAGATGTGCTGGGCATGCTCGATCTGCTGCTGTTCTTCCTGTCTGCGCTTCTCACGCTTGAGGCGTTTGTGATTCTTCTGCTCCTTCTTCAGATGCGCCTCCTCGGCACTAAGTGTAGCCTGTAGGGCCTTCTTCTCCCGTCGAAACTGAGAAACGGTCTCCTTTTCCCGCTTCAGCTCAGAGTCGAGGTCCAGTAAGCGTAGCTCAAGCTCGGCAGCTCCGGCGTGTAGTGATAAGTTCTCGTTGACGAGAGTCGCGTGCTGCACCCGTAGATTGGCTAGTTCCTCAAGAGCTGATGGAGTAGGAGGGTCCGGTCGTGCTCGAGTTGCTCGGCGACGATGCAGCGAAGGTGGAGGGACATTCTCGGTGTCCTGAAGCGGTTCGGCATGGTGAGTGTTGCGAGAGCTGGTGGCGGCTGCGAGAGACGCTTTGAGCGAGCGCGACAGAGAGACTTTGGAAGCCTTGGGCATTCTTGATGGTATCCAGAGCGCTTGAAGGTATGCGGGATCCAGAGAGGAGACGCAGAGGGCGCGATGGCTTGAAGTAAGTTGCGATCAATGTCGCGATCAGTAAAGTGTCTACCGGTGGACACTTTCCCGCGGCCGTTCTTCTTTGCATATCTCCTCCGTCAATTCTTCCCGGATTGTCACCGGATAAAGTGCGTTCGAAAGCTACGATACGGGGCTACATTCTGTAGCAAAGGCTAAGACGTAGCTAATTTATCGACTCTCAAAGTCGTCATTTTACCGGAAAGAACCCCTTTAAAGTGCTCTGTTTCCATCTTTGCTACCAGTTGTAGCCATCCTCATCCTCGTCTCATTGCACTTTATCCGGAGGCAGTGGCGGGAATAATGGAGGAGGAGATGCAAGATTACGGCGGAACGGACCCCGAAGCGTAGCACAACATGTACAAATATGCCGGATCCGGTGGCGGGTGGTGCCCACCCCCATCACCATTGGCACCCGAACGATAAAAAATCAGAGCACACACCGGGGCAAGTTGAGCTCACGGCCGATGAGTGCTTCGATAACATCGCGGCCAGCTTTATCACGCGCCAAACGATATGCATCACTGCAAATAATGTACTAAGAGAACATAGGTGACCAAAGCTTCCTGAAGGGCGAATAGATACTATTACAAGTACAAGGGGGAGTTGGAGACGTAAACACCGACGAACTAGACAGGAATATAGGATATCGACCGGTCCTTCTGCAATTACTGCGACGTATTAATGGACCTTGCCATATGTTACCAGTGTTGTACAGGTGTACTTCTCGTCTTCCGGAGACGTTAGTTTAAGATCCTCGATTACTTGTTCCGAGGTCGATGCTGGATTGAGAGCGGATTATACAGTCGGTGCGGCTGACGCTTGCATTTGTTTATCCCTGGCGATGATATCGCGGCAGTCCGAGCCGCCTTCGGAGCGTACTTGACTGGGGTCAACTGAAGGACCAGCACCCGGGCATCCTCCAGACTTACGGTGTCTCTGGGAGCGTGTGAGACGCCAAGCATGCGGGAGACATCAGGAAACATACGTTCAGAGCATCCAGCCGGCTGAAGGTCTTCCTACAACCTTGGCAAGTGTTGGCGTGGGCTTTATCCGATTGGTGTAAAGCCTGATGACGCCTGAACCGCGATTAGATGCTACACGTGCAGGGAATACCGGAGTCCTCACTTGCAGTCGTGCTGCCTAGCAAAACTCTTGTTGCAATCCGGGAAATTGCAAACGAAGGGCCTCTCCTCAGTGTGGGAGCGCAGATGACCTGCGTGATGGTCAGCGTCGCGTCCGATGGGTCATTATATGCGCTTACCACGGAGATTGAAGCGCCTCGTGAACGTGCTGCCGCACCCTGGCACCGGGCACACGAAGTGTGCCTCATTTCGCCGCCGGCTCGCGCTCGCGATCTGCGTCGCCGACGTCGTGACCTGCTGTTTCTCGACCTGCAGGATCGGCGGCAGGCGCGGCATGGCGCCTGCGGATGCGTAGTGGTTGGCGCCCGGCCCGCCGTCCAGCCCGAATGCGGACGGATCTTGTTGAGGTCCAGGTGAGGAGGAAGTGCGCGAGTGCTGCTGGTCTTGGAGCATGTGAGGTGGCGGCGCTTGCGTCCTCCCGTGCCGATCGGGACCACCGTTCGTCGTGTACTCGGGAATTGGGGGCGGTGGGGGAGGTGTGGACGTAGGCGGCAGCGAGTAGCCATGTGAGGGCGGTGGTCTATCGTATGCTAGCATGGGAATGGGTCCTGGGTGCATTGAGGGTCCATCGGCGTGGGCAGAGAAATCGGGCATCATGAATGGGGGAGGAGGATAGTCCTTGAAGATGGCGTCGTGGGACAGGGGAGGAGGTGTAGAGGAGTTGATGGTCGGTGTAGAGCTCCAGTTAGAGCGAGGTGCTCCGGGTTCCGCGACGTCCATTGTAAAAGAGAGCAAATAAGCGCTTTGTAAGAGTCCGGCAGTCAACTAGAACAAGGTCTTGTTCGCCGTGAGCCCAGTACTCATGCGAGGTAGATCTCGCCGTTCACCTTGATGAATGACGAGGAGAATGCGATGCAAAAGGCGAATCCGCGATGAACGAGGAGAACAAGCGCTGGTACCCGCCCCAATCACGTTGACTGTCCGCTTCAGGAGGCAGAAGCGCCCAGTTGCCTTTTCCGAGCGAAATGTCCAACACGTGTTTGCACCGCACTGGCACCGCCACTCCCGATTTCAATCACCTCCTGAATGCTGTGCACCTGCATTTCGCATCCGAGGTCCCGGCTCCGTCATCCGTACGTCGCGAGCTTGACCACTGGCACGCAAGACCAAGAGGTGAAGACAGGCTTCGGGTACTTCCTGAGGGCTCAAAAGATATGCAACGAACGCATCTATGTTACAGCAGTACAATACATTCAGTCCGATCAACTCGCCGACTATTCATTGAAGATGTGCGAGTCCAGCAAGCGCCGGCGCCTCAGCAGCTCAGACTCCGTGATCGTCTGACCCGTCGGCCGCGTCTTCGTGCCTTCTGGAGTGTCGTATCCTCCGTCCCCATCATCTGACAGCACCCCATAAAAGTCCATCTGAAGGTCAGGATGATACGAACCCTGGTGGGGGTGTGTAGGCGGGCTGGGGCGCTCCCCATCATCGTCGACCTTGGCAGGACGAGGTGGACTCGAGCGCGCGGGGCTCTGCGATACGCGCGGCTTGCTGTCGCTAGAAATTGAGTACGTTCGGGAGTTTGCGTACTTCTTTGGAACGAAGGTGATGGTCGAATCCGTGTCCGTCTCGGTCTCAGACGCGCTCGTAGCTGGAGCGCCATCATGTATCGTTGTCCCGCTTGTGTTCTGCATTGTATGATGCACGAACGTCTCGTCCATCCACTCCGCGAGCTCTTCGATGACCTGAATGCATAATTCAGCCCCTTCCTTGACGATTCTAACCTAACCGAGCTCACCGCAACCGCCTCGGTCATCAGCGCCGGCATCTGCAGATAGCCATGGCTCCAATCCGAGAACAACACCATCTGCACCCAGTCGTCCTCCGTCTCCGCCGCCAGCTTCGCCCGCTCGCGCTTCATTGCTGCCACGTCACGGTTGGCCGACGCCGCATCGCTCATGCGCAGGCTCTCGCCGAACCGCGCGCTCTTCCCTGATAGGGCGAGGTCGAGTTCGACCTTACGTGCGCGTTTCGCCTCGCGCACACGGCCGGCGAAGATGACCGTGTCGTCCACGAACGGGTCCTTCTCCCCGCATTGCATCAGCAGGGGAGGGAACTGGGCGAGGAGGTGGTCCGGCGTGAGAATGGGCGAGATGTAGTAATCCGTCTTGAAGTCCGGGTTGCGATAAGGGCCGATGTAGAGGATGGCCATAGCACGCATCTGGGAGGGCATTTAGCGGAGGGATGTCAGGGTTAGCTTCGGTCATACCATGCTGGGAGAGATGATACGGTCTTGGAAGTAGCCCGTGCGGCTGGTCATCGTCAAGCGAGTCCCTATGGGTTCGGAGTTCTTGCCAGCGCCGCTCTTCTTCTTGACAGAAAGGGCGGCCTGAACGTCCGCCGCTTCGACCGCCTGCGAAAGCTCTTTCTGATGTCTCTCGATGACCGAGTCCGACCGCCGTGGTACGGGGCGCGTCGCCGGCGCTGGAGGATACGGAACCTTGACTCGGTCCTCAATAGGGCGCTCCTCTTCAGGACATTGCCTGTCGTCCTCCGAGCTCTCCTCATCCGCCAGGGAGCCGTTCTCGTCTCCACTAGTGGATGTGGTACGTTTGGGAAGGTGTTTACGAAGCGCGGGGTTTCTGAGGGATGATGTGGACCGTCTGTGGCGAACGATGGTCTTTGTCTGGTTCTCGTTGCCGTCGTCGTCGTCGCCTATGGCGCGCAGGGTGTCTCGCCAGCTAGCCCGGCGTCGAAGCTTCTTGCGCTTCGGAAAAGTGGGACTGTCGCCAACCATGCTAAGGGGACTCTGGAGGAAGCAATATGAGTAGATGATCTCACTGCCGAAGTAGTCACGTACGACGTGCTTCAGGTGGTCTTTCTGGGCGACCAGTTCATGCAGGCCAGGCAGGTTGCCGGAAGACTGCTCCGAACGAAGAACCTTCAAGTGTTCTGCCGACATCCAAGAAGTGAAGTTGAAGTCTAGGGCCGCGTAGTTCAGGACCAAAGCCACAGGGATAGGCAGCGGCTGATGCGGCGTCTTCGCGTTGTGCTCTAGAATCTTGACCATAGTGGCGACCGCAAGAGTAGCACCCCTGGGTAATATAAGCGGCACGTTCAGCAACAGATGACGAAACGTACGCAGAGTCGCCACTGATGATGATGTTGAGTCTCTTGCCCGACATTCCGATAATGGTGCCGTCTGAAAACCACATTCAGTCGCGCTTTAGCAGATTATGGGTAGCGTTGCGTACTAGTCTCTACCAGGGCCTTGTAGAGGTCGAAAACTTCGTCTATAGAGAAAGGATACGGATCTACGCAGTGAGTCAGCGGTAGAACGAAGACTGAACTGCGGAAGGCTCACATTCGGGTGCTTTGCCATAATCTACCGAAAGGACAGGCCTCTTTGTCGAGATGGCCCAAAGACGCAACCTTTCTTGATGATGTAGCGGTGACATGGCCACAAATCCGCCGCCAGGGAAGTCCAATACTAGGTCGGTCGCCTCTGCGAGCTCCGTTGACGGCGGCGCAAAGAATAAATACGTGGTGATGGGGCGAGTATATTGTGAGCCCGTGGGTCGCTGAATGAGGACTTTACGGAAAAGCGAGACCCGGGGGAAGTGCATGAAAGCTTGTAGGATCGGGTTTGACGTCTTCTCCCAAGTGGCCCGCAGCATTTCGACTGTCGGCACCGCGCGGAATTTGCGCAGCTGGACGGTGGTCAACTTGGCGAAGGGATAGGCGAAGTTTATTGGGGCGGCGCACCTTCTCGTCGGCTTCGTTGGCGTAAATGATGTAGTAGCCTGAGAACAGGACGGAGCAGATGTGGCGGAGCCATTGGGGCTTGATGTGCATGGCAGTGGCGAACCCCGCGTCGAGTCCTGTGGCGATCCACGTCGCCCGATAATACGAGGGCGAATACTAGGAAAGTGTTGAGTAACGCATGTATGGGCAAGGTAGCGGCACATACGAGGCGCGCAAGTGGCTCGGGTGCTGGTGTGTATAGTATTAGCATCAAGCCTGACACGTATGTCTCCAAGTCCTCACCTCCGAGGCCGAGTATCTTGTCGAAATTGCGGATGGCGTATACGCCGGTCAGAACACTGACAACAAGTTGCCATGGAGTGAACCTTCGTCCTTACAAGGCAAGATATGAGCCATAACGTGTATAGTGAATGATACATGACCATACCCAGCCGCTCGTTGAGTCGCCGAATCAGTCGAATGCGGGGCCCCTTGCTACTTCCCCGCATAACCTGCCATATCCAAAAGAAAATGACGAGGAAGACCTTCGGGAACCTCAGAACGGATTGAGACGAGATTTTGGTGGCTACGCACCTGCGCACGCTTCCAAGAGGGATTTGGCCGCCCGACGAGATGGTCGATCATGGTGGCTTGAGACTGCAGCGCGGCCGACGAGCACAGGCCATGACGCGCGCTGTTCCATGTGATTGTTGGGACCAAGATGCTTTGTGGCGCGGGAATCTCATTCTGCCTCCGTCATGATCAGTTTCACGTGCGTGCGACACGGATTCCCAGATTGGGGATTTGTTGGACTTGCTTCCGGCATCGACCTCTACCGCGCGTAATCGCAGCGCTCGCCCTCTCCTCCTCGTCCATCTTACAGCAGTGTACTTCTGCTTGATTATCAGCGTTATTGCACGCTGGCCTCCTTCGCCGCTCAACTGAGGTACGCGATCCGCAGGCCGGGCAGCTACAGGGATAGGCTTCAGCGGACTTGAAGTACCACCTCAAAGGCATTCCCATCTTCAGGGGCTATCATATACGATCGATCTACTCTGCGCACCTCACAAGCTTCTGTGAACGTGTCTAGTGGAAGTTGGCTGATACTCACATATACGTCGACACTGGCGGCCGTCAGGCGCAAGCCGCACTGTTCCAATGCGGTTCATGAACTTTCGTTTCCGGTCGCCCCGGTGCCGGAGGGCGCTAAGACTGGTTCTCAGACGGTCTATCAGCGATTTTTTTCAGTTTTGCCCCCCCTGCTCTCACTGATGTATTGCTCAGTCGCTGGAAACATGTCAGCACTGATAGTTCGCGCCCGCCCGATTTTTGTGGGCCTTGGTGAGTCTTACGCGCAATGCCTAAGAGTCCATGTGTTGTTGACGTCTTATAGGTTGCCTTTCTCGCCATGTTCAGTAATGGGCTTCTCGGACATGCGATCATGGACGTTCATACAGTCGTCGACTCTGTACATACTCTTGAGCAACGCTAGCTCATCTCGCGTTGTGAATACTGATCGAAGCGTCATTCCTAGTGCGCCGCTCTTCTTTTAAGACCTCGCAACTTACGTCGACAGGAGGCGATCTACACTCAGCAGTCCCGTCTCCCAATCTCCTACGAAGTGCCATGGCGATCACTTTGACACATACGGAGCGTCGTTAACGCCAGCGCAGCCCATAGGATTTGCAGGAATGCTCGAAATAGTATTAAATCTATCGAAACCTTCCTATGTATCAAGCAATGAGGCTGCCCTCTCTCAAAATCCGCTCAATTCTTTAGATATCGATCCTTCGCACGCCTTCAATTTCCGCTCTTCGTTCCCAGACTAATTGAACAGGGTCTCTTCGTTGTGCCGTATACTCGCCGACGCGTCCCACCGTTCGCCGCATGAGGGCTTGGCCGGCAAGACGATGTGAGTCCGATGCCTCACCATCAGAACCCGTAGCTAACCTGCCAAAAAAGTATGCCCACGCGCTAGCTATGCCGTTCACCGATTTCCAACGGATTCGGTGGATGTGCCTTGCGTTGTGTACACGAATACGACGCACGGCTGTCGCGCCGCAGATCTCGATTGCACCAGGACTTCTGAACCGTACAAGGGCCTCCGCGCGTGACAAAACTGAACCCATGGGCGCTGTCGCCCACGCGTATTGGCTCACTTTAGCTCCAGTGAGGGGACTCGTGGCGGGACGACTGTGAAGATCGGGGCACGGGGTATTTATGGGTGCGACGCTCCCTTCATTCCCGTCCCTCTTCTCGTCGCCGTGATATAGGAGGAGCCCGCGCCTCAACGATCCTTCACAGCTATGGCTGCGCGCGATCCTAGTCCGACGCTCGAGGGCGTATATCTGCGGTGCGTGCCTCCCAAGGACGAGTTGCGATCATTCTGACGGGTATTGGATAGAAACGGGGAAGAGGCAACTCTTGTCCTTCATGCGACACAGGTTGCCGGCTTGCACATGGTTAGGCATCGGCTGGACCAGCGTGGTCGAGATGGTATCAAGCCCGGCAACGTCTACGTTTGGGAAGAACAAAATCAGCGGGGTCTGAGCGAGGTTGGTGAAACTTTACTGCTCGGCTTCCCCTGGTCGCTCATCGTAAGTTGTTCAGACATGCCTGGAACGCTGGACGGACGGTGAGAAAACTTCGCCGGTCCATGTTTTTCTGCGACTGAGGGCGTTGTAGGCATGCGTTGGGGCCCCTCTCGTGGTGGCGCTGATGGCTTCCTCAAGTACAACCAAAAGTTCGAAGAGGGGGAAAGGTACGTATTTCCATCCGTCATGCTACCTCAACTCATGTCGGGCCTCGTTTCTGTCTTCGCCGTTTTGCTTTCAGCGGGCCGCCTCTCATCAAGCGCACATACTCCGCCCTCATGCGTGTAGGCGGCGTGGAAGCACCGCGCAAGTGCTATATTGTCGCGTACTCCTCGACCTGCGCCCAAATCGACGCCCGGTTATTGGGCGTCGAAGCTCTCGCCTGTCTCCCACGACAGGTACCGCCCGGATGGTATCAACCGTGGCGGGCTCCCCGACGGCGCGGGAAGAAAACCCCGCAGCCGAAGGCCAAAGACATCAGTCTGTCTGCGTCCCCTGTCGCGCCACTAGCCTCGACGAGCGGGCCGCGCGACGTCCATCTCAGCCTGCGTTCTGCGGCATACCCTCGTCATGCATACGCAACCGCCCACTATGCTCAAGCGCCGGAACGACGACCCTATCGAGCGACCTCAGCATCTAGCTCATCCGAGGCGTCGGCGGCGTCTGTCGCTCCCCCTCCTGATACGTCAGCCTTGCCCATGTACACCAACGTAGCGCCGCCCGTCGCGGCACCACAGCCCGTACACCCTGGTCCTCGAGCCTTCCCACTAATCGGCGACCAAGATAGGGCGCTGTTACCGAGAAGTGGCGACGCGGCGCTGGCGGACGAGGGCGAGGGGATGTCCACGGCGTGCACGGGCGGCGCGACGAGCCAGAGCCTCGAGCACTTCACAGACTCCTCGCGCAGCTCTTGTTATGGACAACATCCCACCTGGGGTACCCCATACCAGAACGCGGCAGGCTGGCCACAGCACGCGTACGATCTGGAGCCCTACGGTGCGCAACAGGGCCGTTCTCAGATGCACAGCTACGGCCTCGCAGCGATGCAGGCAAGTCTCGATATGCCCGAGGCTCCTTTCTGTGCACCCCAGGCCGACCACCGCGATCATCTCGGCGTCGCGCCGGCCTATAGGACAACTCCTGCACGATACACCCCATACGGCGCCCCGGAAGAGTACCCACACCCATCTTCTCTGCCGAACGCTGAATATTACCCGTGGAAGATCGACACCCCTGGACATTGCTGCTCATGGCCAGCAGAAGCGGCGTACGCAGACCATCCAAATCATTACCCCTACACCGCCGATGGATACGATGAATGGAAGTCAACGCACTACCCCGGGGAATCTCACTTTGCGTTTACTGGCTCCGCATCCGACTATACACATATCACTACGAACTAGCTAGCCTTGGCCAGAATCTGAGTTCCCTCATCCACTCGCTTGTATATCGTAGGGCACAGACGGACAGCAACGGACAGCTGACGTCGCTTAGTTGCACTAATTTCTTGAGGCTACTGAGCCAATACATACCATAGCTCACCCTATTATCTTATTTCTTGACGCGCATACACGCAGCTCGGAACCCGAGCGGACCCATCGCACTCACTTCCTATAGCCAGCATTCATTATGTAGCGTAGCACGAATTGTCCATCGTCGCGTACATGAATATAAGCTATGTACCATAGCCAAGAAAGTCAAGGTCGTGCACTGTCATAAAGGTCTTCTCGCGGGAGCCACCAGCTCGAACTCGCTCGATTCCGTGCTCAAGAGATCGTCGTCCTTGAACAGAACGTCGCCTGGCGCATCCGCCCGTAGCCTATCAAGCCCGGCCTCGCCGTAGTCCTCTGCCTCCAGCGCGGGATCCTCGCGCACACTGCCCCCGGATGGCGTCTCCCCTTTCCGTATCAGCTCCCACTCAACGCGCACGAAGACCCACAGCCACCGCCGCACGATCTCCGCGAGCTCGAGCACCCACACTCCCATGTGCACCGCGTCCCCGAAGCGGGTGTGCGTCCCACCGTCGAGCGCGCGGTGCAGGTGCGGCGACAGTTTTGCGCTCCACGAAAGGCGAAGGATGAGGTTCACGATGAGGAGCGTGCCGTAGGTGAGTTTGGGCCGCGGGAAGAGGAGTGTGGGGCGCAGGCGGGAGACCAGCCATCCGCCAGGCGAAGCGGAGAGCGAGTTTGTACGTCGATGGCCGGCGGAGAATGTACGGGTGTGACCGTAGTTGCGAACGGCCTCAGGTGAGAGGGAACGACCCGCGTCGTCGATGAGCGGAACGCCGCTGTGTAGATGGGGAAGGACTAGGCGCCGGGGTAGACGCGTCGTTGGATCAGGAGGGGTTGGCTTGAGAAGGGCGAACCCCCAATCATTACTGACGTCCCACCAGTACGAGTAAAGTGAGTTTACGAGCGCTGCTAGAACCCTAAATGTAGGTCAGGCTGAGATCGCGAGTAAATGCTGCGTTGGACTAACCATAGACGGAAAAGCAAGTGCTCGCCGTGCCATGTCTCGTGCCCGACCTCCTTGCCCTGCTTCGCGGCGCCAATGAGGGGTTGCGCCGCGGAAAGGAAAAGTACGGGGAAAGATGAGAAGTACTTCAGAGCGTTGTAGAGCGGCCTTGGATTTGATGTATCCCCGGAATACTCGACCAGACATTGTCGAAATCGAATGAGGTAGGGGATGCTGAATAATGATCAGATAGAATGTTGGACCATGGATGAGTCTTACTTGCCTCATGATAGTCGGCGCGATCCATCGCGTCCACCCTGTCTGCGATGGAACGAAAAGCAAGCTACCGCCTGAGGCCAATAGCTGGCAGAGGCAAAAGTAGATGTCGACAAACACCTTCGCAAAGGATGTAAGGATATCGGCGAGGATGACGTCGGCAAAGTGTATTCGGGGCGCATTGTGGTACTTGGGCGCAGGGGGGAACATGATGCGGCGGAGCGCGCTACGTCCGTACAGCTTTAGTTCGTGATCGAGGGACAGTGAGTCCATGCACGCACCGAACGAATCGTGCTCTTTGAGTCTTCTCGAAAATCTCCACTGGCGCAAACAGTACGAGCAGCACTCCTAACGTGCAGAACGCCGGGATCCACCCGTACACGTCGACACGTACGGGGTCTCCACGCGACAGCGCATAGAATACGAACCAGCACGCAAAACACCAGGTCGCGTAGCTGACAAAGAGTCTATAGATGGGCGCATAGAGAGCCTGTGGGGGAGGGGGGTGGTCGTGCGTGGCGGGGAGCGGGCTGGCGGCACTGTGCGGGCGGAGGTCGAGGGCGGTAGCTGCGTCGATGCGGAAGTAGTAGAGGCCATGGAGGTTCGTCGCCCAGGCGAGGATGCCGACGCCAATGAGCAGCAGCGCTCTGAACGGCAGCGGGAGGACGAGAGTCCAGCCATCGATGTCCACGTCCATAGTGAACAAGTCCGCAGCCAAACCACCGCCGTGCGCCACCCCACGCGATCACGTTGTCCGCCATCAATATGTGGCGCTCCCGCGAGTTCGGTCCGAAAGTAGGCGCTCGTCCGTTGCTCCTCACCATCACCGAGTCCGGCCAGCTCACTGCACAATGGCCAGCAACGCCAAAGATACGGACTTTCGCAGGAAGTGGGATACGGCTGAGTATGCTGAGAAGGCCAAGAAGCGCGACGCTGAGGAAGCGGAACGTGCGAAGGAGAACGAGGAGCGGTTGAAGCAAGGTGCGTGCATCCACTTCGTTGTATACTACACCTCAATTGACCAGCACTTTTATGCACTTTCAGGCAAACGCCCACGAAAGAGCGCCCCCTCGAAGGACCAGCCGAAGCCGACGCAGCTGGCTCAGCGCCGCGAACATGATTTGAATCTGGACAAGAACTTGGGCAAGACCATGGTCGTACAGAACCTGTCGAACCGGGGGCCAGGACAACCCGGTTTCTATTGCGAGACATGTCAGAGGAACTATAAGGATAGTACAGGATATCTGGACCACATAAACTCAAGAGCGCGTGAGTGTGGCCTACCTTCCATAACTGAGAAGGGTGCTGACGAACTTATTTCCCTCCTACCTCCCCATACACACCCTTTACATCACACTCCCCCCTCTTCACACTCTACGCACCACTTTTATCACATTTTAAGATCTTCGTGCCCTTGGCCAAACAACAAATATCGAACGCTCCTCCCTCGAACAAGTTCGCAGGCGAATTGCCTTCCTCCGTGAACAAACACGCGCCGCCTCCACGCAGAAGGCGTACGATTTCGATCAACGGCTGGCCGAAATCAAGGCGAAGCAGCAGGCCGAGCGGGAGGAGAAGAAGAAGGCAAAGCAACAGGCAAAAGAAGCTGCTAGAATGCAACTGATAGAGGAGAGTGGCGGGCCGGACGATGAGATGGCGAAGATGATGGGCTTTGGAGGGTTTGGGTCTACGAAGAAGTGAGGGACAGATTCACGATGTGAGTACTTTGCTTGCGGACGTATCGACGATGTGCTGATTTGCCAAGGTCGACAGGATATCATGTCGTGAGCGTTCATGATGTCTCAAGCGCATCGCTCCGCCACTTGAGCTCGTATGTAGCCCGACGCGAGACCCGCCGATTTCAGCGTCATGCAGGCGGTACCGGGCAAGCGGTCACCTATACTCAGGCTGCGAGGTTCCAGATGTATCACACCACAAGCTGCATTGACAGTACGTCTGTCATCTATCACCTGTATAGGCTGTATTATAATGGAACTAGATGTGTCTATCGTCTATACTGGGTCGATCAATAAGTTATAATGCTGGTATGAAAACTAGCTGAAGTCGCCGCCTTACCATCGGAAGAACGACAGCACATCAGTTTCCCCGGTTCTGCCATGCGCCATCCAGGCGATCGAGCAGACCCTGCACCTCGCGCACGCTCTCCTTGCGCTCGCGCCGCGCATCCTGCCACTCGCTCTCCGCATTGATCCCATCGAGCCGTAGCAGGGACTGCAGCAGGAGCTCGCCGAGGCGGAGGTGCTCGCGGTCCATGAAGGCCTTGTTGTCGCCAGCGGTATGGTATTGGGGCAGCGAGCCCAAAAGGGTCTCGAGGTCGCGCCCGAGCGAGGACCGGACATTTTGCATCTCGGACTGGATCTGGTTGATGGTGGATTGCTCCGAGCGAGGCGGGGCGGGCTTGGGCTTGGCCTGTTGGGCAGGCGCGCTGGGTGGCGCGTCCGCGGTGCCGATGACGGCGATCGTCGAGTTTGGCTTGATGTGGTAGGCGGAGACTGCGAAAGTCAGCTAGAATACGTGGGGGACGGAGGCTGCGACGTACTGGGAGCATTGTCGTCTTTCATGACGACGCCCGAGTGGACGAGCTTGAATGCATTGGGCGGAAGATGAGTGTATTCGGCGATGCTCTGGCGGATGTCACCCAGCCTTGTGCTGGGGTCTGGGAGCTGAAACGAGAGCCTGACGCGGTTAGACGCTTTCCAGGGACGCAGCGCAGTTGCTCACTTCTCTCTTCCCCACTTGACGTGGACCATGGTGTTGGTGAAAGGCAGAAGGACGCCACGCGGGATGCAGCTGATGGTGTTGACATGTATTTGGGTCGCGAGTGCAATGGATGAGGTCATCCGCATCGCTTCTTCACTTTCCCCTCTGTCAGTGAGCAGAACGCCGTCGTCCGGCTGTCGCGCTCATCGTCGCCCACTCGCGTCTTTCCTCCGCCCACCATGTCTGCTCCGCCCCAGGATCCCATCCGCCGCCGCCCTCCGCCAGCCCAGCCTCCCGGAAATCGCCTTCTTCAGCTCAATCGCGCAGGCGCAGGCAGCAAGACTCCCGCCATCCCGCCCTCGCTTGCACAGAAGCTGGCAAACGTGCGCACTGTCTGATTGACATAATGTCGCATCCATCGCTGACAGCATGCCCACAGAACGCACAGCGCAACAATCCCAATGTCGACGCTACCACAGCTGCCCTTCAAGGCGTAAGCCTCGGTTCTCACGACGGCCTACATCCTGCTCTTCGCCCAGCCAACTCAGACAGTGTGGTCCAGAACCTTGGCCGCGGATCGAAGCCGCCTGGCCTTGCCGGGCGGCGCGCAAAGCCCAACCTCAACGTGCGCGACATCCCTCACGCCGTCGAGTCCATGTCTGGCGCCCTCAACGCCGGCCTCGGCGCAGGCCGTCCCACCCTTGCCAATGATCCGCCTCGAAAATCGCACATGGCCAGCCCCTTCGCGAATTTTTCGCGCATCGTGTGCGTCGTGCGTCCGCCTTCGCGATCGGCCGGCTACTTACTTCCATCGCAGCGATCCTTCTGGACGGCTCAATTTCTCAGGAAAGGCAATCCTCCACGCATCCGGCGTCAATTTCGCCAACGGATCCACGTACTCGATCAACATGGGCCAAATGGAACTCCAGGATGAACTAGGCAAAGGCGCATACGGCGCAGTCAAGAAGGTCCTTCATAGGCCAACGAACGTGACGATGGCGATGAAGGTACGTTTCGCCGTTGACGCTGTGATACGCATCGTGACATTGCGTACCAGGAAATTCGACTGGAGCTCGACAAGGCAAGATTAGATGCGATCATCATGGAGCTGGATGTTCTCAATCGCGCCGTCGCGCCAGAAATCGTCGAGTTCTACGGCGCTTTCTTCATCGAATCTTGCGTTTACTACTGCATGGAGTATATGGACGCCGGTAGCATGGACAAACTCGAGGCCGCAGGTGTGCCGGAAGACGTGCTGGCACGGGTGGCGGCTTGCACCGTGCGGGGTTTGAAGTTCCTGAAGGACGAGCTGAACGTCATACATCGAGGTACACGTTCCTCATTGTAGCTGCGGAAGTGGCGCTAACCATCTTGCAGACGTAAAGCCAACCAACATCTTGATTAACACGCGAGGGGATGTGAAGCTATGCGATTTTGGAGTGTCTGGTCAGTTGAATAAGTCCCTGGCGAAGACCAATATCGGCTGCCAAAGCTACATGGCGGTACGTGCATCGTAACTATGGCAGTCGTACGACTACTGACGCCGCGCATCGTAGCCTGAGCGCATACAGGGTGAATCACGAGGTCAAGGCGATGCGACCTACAGCGTATCTTCCGACGTGTGGTCACTTGGCCTGACCATCGTTGAGATTGGCATTGGTCGATATCCGTACCCTCCCGAGGCCTACGAGAACGTCTTCTCGCAGTTGACAGCCATCATTCATGGCGACCCACCAGAATTACCGGAAGACAAATACTCGTCAGTGGCTCGGGAATTCGTTGCTCGTTGCTTAGACAAGCACCCGAGCATGCGTGCAAGCTACACGCAGCTCTTGGTGAGTCCATCCTACTCCAGTCCGCTCACGATCCTCACGAGTCACCAGAACCACCCATGGATCGTCAACGACGCCGAGAGCAAGGTTGACATGCCAGCTTGGGTCACCACCGCTTTGGCCTACCGCGATGCTCAGAAGGCGCCGCCTTCACAACCCAACGGCGAGGAGGGCGTGCCGCACTCGGTGTAATTCGCAAGCTGTCTTCTACTGCATGCTTACTGCGGCACCTGCGAACAACGTCTTCTCGAACCTCTTACCCCTCCACGCCGATGGCTCGCGTCCTTGGCCTCCGCTGGTGGGCCTGTGTCGATGTCGTCCGTACGCGTGCGCCCTAGAGACTTGCCCCTCCCCAAATTCTCCGAGACGCGTGCGGACGCCGCCCAAGTGTGGCGCGTCTCCGTGCTCTGTGAGCGGCGGGGCGCCCCGGCGGCCCCGGACGCCCCAAGTTACCAAACTGCCTGCACGCTCGCTTCGCTCTCACACCGTCATCGTTACGTCTGTCCGATCGCACTACATACATCTACTGCGCCCGACGGCGCTCGCCTTGCATCCGGAATGCAGGCGGGTCGTCGGGTGTTCCTGCGACGCGTACGTGTATAATACCCTGTCTCAACCCAGTACATCGTCGTCGCCATTCAATATCCAATCACTTACTGTACGATTATCTATTTCCTTCTCGCTGCACTAGAGCAGGCTAGCTGATGACGGAGGATGGGTGCATACGGACAAACACGATTCGCGTGTTCTTCATCCTGTTGTCGGTAGTGATGTCCTGGCTTGGAGCAAATGTATAGTACAAACAAGACTTAGACCAGAAATTGTATACCATGTATGGCAGATTTATGTGGACTTCCGCATGTCAGAGACGAGTAGGACCAGGACAGGGCGAAAGGCAGGGTTGGTCATACATAAATGAGGCGTGAGAAGGCGATCGAGTCACTGATCGCACTGATCCATCTCGGTGCAGGCGAGTGCGCGCCATCGTCTCCTGCGTCCGATTACACAGCGATCGACATTCTGCGAGGTCACCTCTCGCCACCATGTCGTTTCCGGCGCATGACAGTGAGTACACTGCTTACTCTCACTGTGAAGCCGACTAAGCGCTCGCCTTTACCCTCAGTCTCCGCCCCCTTCGAATTCCCCAAGGAAGAGGAGAAGATTATTCAGTTCTGGAGAGAAATCGACGCGTTCCAGACGAGCTTGAAGCTCACTGAGGGCAAGCCCGAGTTCTCGTTCTACGATGGGCCCCCGTTCGCGACTGGCCTCCCGCACTACGGGCATTTGCTCGCGGGTACGGTGAAGGTGCGTTCGCCGTTGACTCTGACCCGCGATAGTGCTGAACCCAGTGCACAGGACATTGTCACCCGACACGCCTCGACGAACGGCTATCACGTCATTCGTCGCTTCGGGTGGGACACGCACGGTCTCCCCGTCGAGCAGGACATCGACAAGCGCTTCAACATCCGCGGAAAGGACGACGTGATGAAGATGGGGATCGACAAGTACAACGCCGAGTGCCGGTCCATCGTCATGCGTTACTCGAGCGAGTGGCGCGCGACAGTCGAGCGTATGGGCCGCTGGATCGATTTCGACAACGACTACAAGACGCTGAACACGACGTTTATGGAGAGTGTGTGGTGGGCGTTCAGCGAGTTGTTCAAGAAAGGGCTTGTGTACCATGGGCTGCGCGTCATGCCCTACTCGACCGGTCTGAACACCCCCCTTTCCAATTTCGAGGCGCAGATGGACTACAGGGATGTGAATGATCCTGCAGGTGAGCCAGCAGCGGACACGACTGCAACTGTATGCTGATCCAGTGTAGTCACTGTCTCCTTCCCACTCGTCGATGACCCAACGACGTCTTTCCTAGCATGGACGACTACGCCGTGGACATTACCATCCAATCTGGCGCTTTGCGTGCACCCGGATTACACCTACATCAAGATCCACGACCAGGAGCGCGACCAGAACTTCATCATTCACCAGGATCTGCTACGCACGCTATACAAGGACCCGAAGAAGGCCAAGTACAAGAAGCTCGGCGAGTGGAAGGGTATTGACTTGAAAGGCTGGCGCTACGTGCCGCTGTTCGAGTACTTCACCGAGCAGGTATGATATCTTCTTTAGTCTTCAGTAAATTGCTGACATGTTTCTATCAGTACGAAGACCGTGCCTTCCGCGTCCTTGTCGACAAATACGTCACAAACGCCGACGGTACCGGTATCGTCCACCAGGCCCCCGCCTTCGGCGAAGATGATCACCGTGTCGCCATCGCGCACGAAGTCATCCGCCCCGACGAGCTTCCGCCCTGCCCAATTGACGACGTCGGCCGCTTCACTCACGAGGTACCGGACTTCGAGGGCCAGCACGTCAAGGCCGCGGACAGCGCGATACAGAAGGCGCTCAAGGCGAAGGGCCGCCTCATTGTGCAGAGCACGCTCAAGCATAGCTATCCTTACTGCTGGCGTTCGGGAACACCGCTGATCTACCGCGCGATCCCGGTGTGGTTCGTGAAGGTGTCGCCAATTGTGGACCAGTTGGTGGAAAATAACAGGAAGACGCGATGGTGGGCTTAATACTTCGCGGTGTTGTGTGGCGAGATGCTGAAGAGATGACAGGGTTCCGCAGAGCGTGGGTGACCACCGATTCGCGAACTGGTTGGCGAACGCCCGCGACTGGAACGTGTCACGGAATCGGTACTGGGGCACGCCGATCCCCTTGTGGGCGAGTGAGGACATGCAGGAGGTATTTGCTCTAGCACTATTACATGGACTTTGCTAACACGTTCTTAGATCGTCTGTGTTGGCTCAGTGGAGGAGCTGGAGAGGTTATCAGGTGTCACCGGGATCACCGACTTGCATCGCGACAAGATCGACCACATCACCATCCCCTCGAAGCAGGGCAAGGGCGTCTTGAGACGAGTCGAAGAGGTCTTCGATTGTTGGTTTGAGTCTGGCAGGTCTGTCTATTTTTTATGTCTCCAGTACAGGCATCTGACTCGTCCTTACAGCATGCCATACGCCCAGATCCACTACCCCTTCGAAAACAAGGACCTGTTCAAGAGCTGTTTCCCGGCGCATTTCGTCTGTGAAGGTATCGACCAGACAAGAGGGTGGTTCTACACCTTGCTCGTATTGTCGACGCATCTCTTCGGTTCAGCGCCATGGCAAAACCTCATCACGCACGGCTTGGTGCTTGCTGCGTAAGTGTCCTTTCCGCTCGGACTATCGTACAAAAATTCAACGAACTTTGAAGCGACGGCAAGAAGATGAGCAAGAGCTTGCGCAACTACCCGGACCCTAACCACATTCTCGACACATACGGAGCGGATGCCACCCGGTAAACGCACAATCCGCTTCGTTGTAACTGTCTCCTAACACAAAACGTCAGAATGTACCTCGTCAACTCCCCCGTCGTCCGCGGCGACAACCTGCGCTTCCGCGAAGACGGCGTGCGCGAGGTCGTCTCCAAGGTCCTCCTTCCCTGGCTCAACTCCTTCCGCTTCTTCCTCGGGCACTCCGCCCTGCTCACCAAAACTACTGGCGCCGAGTTCAAGTACAACGCGCATGCGCCGCTGCCGAACAATATCATGGACCGTTGGATTCTTGCCCGCTGCCAGTCACTCATCAAGCTCGTGCGCGAGGAGATGGCGGCGTACCGGCTGTACACAATCATCCCGCGATTGCTCGGGCTCATCGACGAGTTGACGAACTGGTACATTCGGTTCAACCGGAAACGGCTGAAGGGCGAGAACGGAAAGGAGGATACGGTGTCGGCACTCAATACGCTGTTTGAGGCGCTGTTCACGTTGTGTCGGACGTTGGTCAGTCGTGTCGAGTTCCGAAGTTTGACAAGTTGCTGATCACAAAGCAGTCTTCGTACACGCCATTCATGACAGAAAACATCTACCAGGCGTTGCGGCCCTTCATCCCGGAGGACCCGAGCTTGCCGGATACTCGTTCCGTGCACTTCCTCAGCTTCCCCGAAGTGAAGGAGGAGTACTTCGACAGCGACATCGAGCGGCAGGTCAAGAGAATGCAATCCGTCATTGAGCTGACAAGATATCTGCGCGAGAAGAATAACTTGTCATTGAAGGTGCGCAGGAACAGCCTTTCATCGGAGTGCAGTACTGATAGCGTGTCTAGACGCCGCTCAAGGAGCTCCTCATCTTCCACCCGGAGACACAATACATCGAGGACGTCAAGCCATTACGAAGATACATCGAGTCTGAGCTGAACGTGCGCGACATCATCTTCAGCTCCGACGAGTCCCTCTCCGGCGTGCGCTATCGCGCCGTCGCAGACTGGGCCGTCCTCGGTCGCAAACTGCGCAAAGATCTCGGTCGCGTCAAGAACGCACTGCCAAACGTTCCCAGCGATGACATCAAGTCTTACGTCGAGACCGGCACCCTCGTTGTCGACGGCATCGAGCTCGTCAAAGGCGACCTCACTGTACAGCGGTACCTCGAGCTCGAGGGCCAGGGCCAGTTCGACACGCACAGCGACAACGACGTCGTCGTGCGCCTCGACATCCAGGTGCACCCGGAGCTGCAGGGCGAGTGGTATGCGCGCGAAGTGATGAACCGCGTGCAGAAGTTGCGGAAGAAGGCCGGCTTGCAGGCGACTGACGATGTGGAGATGTTCTACGGGCTGGGCGAGGGCCTGGGTGCCGAGCTTGTCGATGCGATAGGCCAGTATCCGGAGATGATCAAGAAGACACTCGGGGGCGATCTCGTCGATGTGAAGGCGAGGAAAGAGGGCAAGCAGACGCTCATTGAGGAAGAGCAGGAGATCGGGGACCTGAAGTTTATGTTGTATTTGGTTAAGCCCTGAAGGGCGTAGTGTTGTACTTACCATGATGCATGTTGTACATTAGTAGAAGCAAAGAACGATGTACTATCCAAAGTCCTTTTACTGAAACTTCTACTGCACATTGCGGTAGCCTTTTGCAGACTGGGAAAGCCTGAAGGAAGGGATCAGGAAGGTGATTCCCGCGCCACATGTCGGCGATCACCGGCGCGGCACCAGCAGACGAGGTTGATCTCAACCTCGTACTTCCTCTTGTCTTGCTTTGGCTTCGGCTTCCTCCAAGCGCCAGTCTCAAATCAGGACGAATTTTACGCTACAGGCCCTGTCCTCGGGTCATCGATGTGCTCCTACTTGTTGTTCCTCAGCCAAGCACGCCAAATACCACAGACACACTGACAGCTCAACTTTTCGAACCGGGGAGCCGCTCTTGGAATTCCCGAGGATAATCAGCCATCGGGATACAGATGCCTCGGTCCAGCGAGCACGGAGACAAAGCAAGATATAGAAAACGTCGCCGGGCCAAGGACCGAGAATGAATCCTTATTGTCTTTTGCCCTCCTCCGTACCTGGTCTCGGACTATTTCTCGATCTTATTGTTTTCGCTCGCTATGACGGTCCCGCTTCGTAAGCGATGGAAGGCACGCTCTACCGGTTCACACTACCTCTTATTGTCTACCAAGGGCCTCGGGTGCGCCTTCCGTCCCGCGAAGGCGACATCGAGAGCCCGAGATTTGACTTCGAGGGCGCAATATCACCTTTCTGGGTCTCGAGAACAATAGGAAGAGCGCGCGCCGTGTGCAATGTTGCCCTGTGGCTTCGCGTGCCGGAAGAGCGGTGACGAGTATATAAGCCCGACCGCAGAACCTCATACGGCAGCAGACATCCGTCCTACGTCCAGCTACCCCACCCGCCGTCTCACACAGCGGCCTCCTTCGGGACCTTCACCTCCGACTCCTCGTCCTTCAGCCGACCCCGTCAATCTACACCAATGGACGCTTTCAGCATGGCTGCCATCCCGGACATCGAGGAGATCGTCAATGTCCCCGAGGACTTCGAGAGCGGCGGCGGCACGACCGGTGTCTACTGCGTCGTCGCATGAGCGCGACCGACCCGCGTTTGATCAGTTCGTCGACGCGTTGAATGGTGCGCGCTACCCATCCGTCCCAATGTCCATGATCGCTGACTATCTCATAGGCAGACGTATATCCTATTCGTTCAACTGCCACCCATGAACTTTTTCGCGAGGAGATGCCGCCATGAACTCCTTGCCAGGAGCGGCGGAGGAGGGAGGGGCCGACACGGACTACCTTTACGTGCCCACTGTGCGCACGCTTATCTTATTCACTTCGACTTCTACCTTGGCTTGCTTTTTGGGGGTTAGAGGAAGGGAGACCGACGGATGACGAGTTCAACCTTGTATGCTTTTTCTGTACTATACGATGTTTGTTCCCCAATGTTGTGCGCGCAATGAATGTGTCATTCGAGTTTCACGCTTCACATGCAGCTGCTCCCAGTCCTGATCTATCCTTTTCAATGTAAATGACCGCAATCAAGCCATTGACTGCGTCCGATGGCGCTGGCACGTGGTAGCGCCTACTCTTCCCCCTCATCTTCGTCAATCCTGGCCACCTGTTGGGTCTGAGAACGAATAAGGTACGTTGGAGACACTAAGCCCGACCTGCTCTGACCACTCCTCACTAATAGTAATGCGACAGCCCTCGTTGACTCCTCGGCTTCAATTGGATGTCCAAGCAACGCCCCGAGAGCCGGGGACCGCATCTCCTCGTTTGCCATTGGAGATCCTGGAGCTCATAGTCGGTCTCTGCGACAGGCGGACGCAGCTCAACGTTGCGCTCGTATGCCGTGCGCTGATATGCGCAAGCCGCCAGCGCACCTTCGCTGCTGTGAAGCTCAACATGTTCGGCGGACCTGCCATTTCCCTTATCCCCTTCGCCTCTCTCCTGGACTCATCTGTTCGCACCATAATTCCTTATGTGCGCCAAGTCACTATTAGCAATGCTTCATCGCTTGGCACGGAGGTGCTGAGGGCCATCGAATGTGCGCAGAGCTTTCCGAACATCACGTCTTTGCGCTTGGAATGGACGGTTCAGACTTATCGACTGAGCGACATGGGACCGTACGTCTCCCGTCTGCCAGGCATCACCGACCTCAGCCTGCACGACGCGGCATTCGGCACCTTCTCAGCCCTCACATCGACGGTGTCCGCGCTGCCGAACCTTCAAAATCTGACTCTTGCCTATATCTTCGTGACCGACTTCGACGAGGCGCCACCACAGCAGGACGAGCGCGTGTTAGCAAAGCTTCGCTCAGTGGAATGCTATGATGGTGGATACAGCAGCAGCAGAGATCCCAGCGTTCCCCAGCGCTTATTTGGTTGGTTATCTTCGCTCCGCCGACCCCCGCCTTTGGAACACGTCGGTGTCAGCCTGCGCGTGGCTGACGTCGCCGGGACAACGACGCCCTTTGGCGACTACTTGTCCATGTCTGGCGAGAAGCTGACGTCGCTAGCGATCTTCCTCAACCCCCGGGACTTGGCCCGAAATTGTACGCAGAGACAACGCTCAATATGGCCGACTCAACTGATGATATATATTCTCAGGGACAAAGCTCGACTTCGCACATCTCAGCATCGCCAAATTTCGTTCAGTCCGTGTAGAGGGCATCGACGTCTCGTCGCTGTACCTACGCAGCATAGGAGAAGGGTTGCTGCGGCTTCTGTCATTCGTCCTCTCAGCGCCAGTACTCCGGACAATCACCATCCACGTCTTCCTCGACGCAACCGAGGATGAGTGGTTCGAGAGTTTGGATAAGAAGATGAATTGGGCCGCGCTAGAGAGGCTTATTGTGAAATCGCATGGGTTGGCGCAAGTGTCATTCGAGATCGACGAGTGGCACGAGGGAAAGAGGAAGTGCACTGCGTTCGCCCATAGGGTGCGCGAGTTGCTCCCCATAACGCGCGAAGGCGGCATTCTGCAAATACGGACCCCTGACGGCGAAGAAGTACGTGGCCATGTCGTATAGTACTTACATACCTACTGATAGCGGTCCTGACCCTACAGGTATAGGTAGCGCGGCGCGAGAAAAGAACGTACAATGCATTATAATAAATTGAATGGGGGAAATTCGACTGGCAGCTGGTCTTGACGCCAAAATGAGCGAAGCCAGATCTCGTCGGAGCGCGATAGAATTTCGCAGAACTGGAGGGTTGTCAGTAAGTGTGAACTAGGTCACTGGAGTGGAACGGGATGGAAAAAAGCCAAGGTCAGAACTATGACCCTCCCACCGAGAATAGCCACCCCGGTGCGCAGCGTGTCGGTTGTACGGTTGAGAGTCCGAATCGGGACACATCGACGTAAGGGCGCGTCAGTAGTCAGCAGCGTCGTTGCCCGTGTGTTGGCGGCGTCGCGAGGGTACCAGGCCGAGGAGGGCGTCGCCTGTCCCGAGATGGCCCGCCGTGAGACCCAGGACGACTTCGCGGACGCATGACCCGCCTTTTCGCCGCGTCCTAATGGAGGGTTACGGGACGAGCATCAGGTGGCTGTAGGCGCGAGTGTTCGCCTCCAGCTGGCGAGAGTCGGGTGACCAGCGATATTCGGGGGAACATGAATGCCGGGCTGGGGCCGGGAGCACAGCAGCATCGCATGCTGATTCAGAGAAGCTAGCCGGGTAAAGAGAGGCACAGTCGGCGGACAGCGGGTGGGAATAGGGTGAGCTTTCTCAGGAAGGGTGCAGAAGAGGTGGCGCACCCGGGGTAACTGAAGGTGCGCGCGTGCGCGTGCGCCGACATCGTCCGCGAGCGCGCCCGGTAAGGCAGGCGCGCGGTCACGCGACTTGCTCGACTTCGGTGGACATCGGGGCGCGTGCCTATTTTGGATTAGCGCATGTCATCATCGACAGCGCGGAAGCCTGTGGACGGGGCGGAAGCAAGCCTGGCGCGCCTCATATGACGGGCGTATATAAGGCGGGCAGGCTCCCCCCTCACCTCCATTCTCTCAACTACCTCTCCTCCACCACAGCCAGCACTCACCAATCATGAAGGTTCTCGCCGTCCTTTACAAGGGTCTCGAGGCTGCGCGCCAGGAGCCGCGTCTCCTCGGTACTGTTGAGAACCAGGTGCGTACCGCGCTCAGTCGCGTCGCGATGGGTCCTGATCACCTCCCCCAGCTCGGTATCAGCAGCTGGCTCAAGTCACAGGGCCACGAGTTCATCGGTGCGCTCGCATCGCGCGCATATAGCGTGCCCGGCCTCACCAACCTTCGCAGTGACCGACGACAAGGAGGGGCCCAACAGCGTCTTCCAGAAGAACCTGAAGGACGCGGAGGTCGTTATCACCACCCCATTCCATCCTGGATACCTCACGCGCGACCTCATTGAGCAGGTGAGCAATGCGGGCCGCTTCAATAGTATCTCCTCGCTCACCTGGTCATCTCTCCCCCATAGGCGAAGAACCTCAAGCTCTGTGTCACCGCTGGCGTGGGCTCCGACCACATTGACCTTGATGCCGCAGTATGTGGTCCCGCACTTCCTTGTCTTAGCTGCCCCTCCTGACATGGCTCTTCAATTCCAAGGTCGACCACAAGATCCAGGTGCTCGAGGTCACCGGGTCGAACGTCACCTCAGTCGCTGAGCACGCCGTGATGTCCATTCTCGCGCTCGTGCGCAACTTCGTGCCAGCGCATGAGATGATTGAGCGCGGGGACTGGAATGTGTCAGAGGTGGCGCGCAACGCGTTCGACCTCGAGAACAAGGTCGTCGGGACGCTCGGCGCGGGTCGCATCGGCCACCGCATCTTGCAGCGCCTCAAGCCCTTCGGGTGCAAGGAGCTGCTGTACTATGACTACAACCCGCTGCCTGCTGGTAAGTTCAGAACTAAAATTCTAGGTAGACACAGCTGACACACCGTTATAAGAAGCGAACAAGGATTTGGGCGCCCGCCGTGTCGAGGACCTGAAGGAGTTCGTCTCCCAGCTTGACGTCCTCACCGTCAACGCCCCGCTGCACCCCGGCACGAAGGGTCTCATCAACCGCGACCTCCTCCAGCACTTCAAGACCGGCGCGTGGATCGTCAACACCGCGCGCGGCGCCATCTGCGACAAGGACGCCATCGCGGAGGCGCTCAAGTCGGGCAAGATCAACGGGTACTCGGGCGACGTGTGGAACGTGCAGCCCGCGCCCAAGGACCACATCTGGCGGACGATGAAGAACCCGCTGGGTGGGGGGAACGGGATGGTCCCGCACTACTCGGGCACGACGCTGGACGCGCAGAAGCGCTATGCGGACGGGACGCGCCAGATCTTGCAGAACTACTTTGAGGGCAAGCCGCAGGATCCGGCGAACATCATCGTCGGGACGGGTAAGTGGTTAATCATTGCAAGTGTATCTAGAAGAAATGCTAATCAGAACATGCAGGCAAATACGAGACGAAGTCTTACGGTCAGCGCTAGGTAGTAGTCTGCCACCCTGTACTATTAGCATTGCGGAATCTGTACCATTAGCTTTGCAACACATCTACTTTTTCGTTGACATTGCCCGAAGGGTGACATGCCATTGTTCACAACATCGATGTCTGCAGAATGGCGGCAGAGCCTCGTATTACACAAGAGAGAGAATGTTCATATTACACGCACGAAGTCCGTAGAGATAGTCATAACCATGATGAGCGGGGAGAGGATGGAGAGTGAGAACGACCGCTCAGTTGCAGACACCGTTGTGCAAAACAGTCCCGCAACGGGTGCAAGTGGTGCGCCGGTCTACCAAGCACAAACCCACACCGAGAGGGAACCAGAGGACAGCGGCGATGATACCTGCATAAGAAGTTTAGTCGCTGAATGGGAGAAGGCATAGGAAGATGACGAACCGAGCACTCCGAAAGAGGTCCTAGTGATATGCTGGCCCTCGCGCAGGCAGATCATCTCGGGGTGATCAGGAGGGAGGAGAGAGGCAATCTGGTTGCCCGTCTGCGGGTCCATGTAGTAGTACACCTGGGGCTGGCTAGGTCCCGCGTGCGGGATATGTGAGGGCCCGGCAGTCATGAAGGGCACGGAAGATGACGCTTGCGGTCCCTCCGGGTGCTTCACGTCGACGGGAGGCGGGTCTGCAGACTGAGAGTGAGTAGTGGGAGGCATGCTAAATGTAGCAGACGCACTCTTGGGCGCCTCCTCCGAAGCGTACTCATACGGTGGCGGGCTGTCGACGGTCTTCATATCGGGAGTCTGAGCCTAGGCGATGGTCAGCGCAGTCCAAAGAATCATCTCGCTGCTCACCATGATGGTCAAGGACAAGAAAGGTACTGAGCGACGACGTGTCTCTCCAGTTGCCTTATACGCTCCCCGCCGCCGAGGGCTGCGTAATGCACTGCGCCGCGGATCCTGTCGCACCGCCCCATGGCCGCACGTGTCCTGTTCAGGATTAAGAAACAATGCGCCGTCCCAAAACGGGAATAATGCCGCTGATGATGGACTCCACGTGCGCTCGACTGATCGATCGCGGCGCCGACTTTGTTTTTTCCCGCGTCCGGTTTGGCAGATCGTGGATCGGCCGCTCACGCTCCTTGTTCCTGCCGCCCATCCCCCATCACATTTGCCAGCATGTCGAACGACCCGTCGAGCTCGAAGATGGACGAGGATGTCAATCCACAGGATATGACCTCGAAGGACTAGTTGCGCGCTTTCTACTTCCTCTTGATGTGCGAGTTCTGATGATGGTCGGTATACAGCTACGCGGACTCGTATGCCCACTTTGGTGCGTCTTGGGTCAGTATATGCGTGCGTGTAGGTACTGATATGGCCTACAGGCATCCACGAGGAGATGCTCAAGGACAGCGTCCGCACGGGCTCGTACCGGTCTGCAATCATGAACAACGGTCACCTCTTCAAGGGCAAGACCGTGCTCGATGTTGGCTGCGGGACTGGTATCCTCTCCATGTTCGCCGCCAAGGCGGGCGCGTCGCACGTCGTTGGTGTACGTGCTGTGGTCATGTACGGCAGTGCCAAGGCTGACCACCGTGCCTAGATCGACATGTCGAACATCATCGACCAGGCGCAGAAAATCATCGAGGCGAACGGGTTCAAAGATAGTGTGTGACTATCCCCCCCTCCCCTCACACGATGCTGACCTATCCTTCTCGCCAGCCATCACGCTCGTCAAGGGCAAGCTCGAGGAGGCTGAGTTGCCGATCAAGCAGTTCGACATCATCATCTCGGAGTGGATGGGCTACTTCCTCCTTTACGAGTCCATGCTGGACACGGTGCTCGTTGCGCGCGATCAGTACTTGAAGCCTGGAGGGCTCATCTTCCCCGACAATGCTACCATGTATATCGCGGCGATCGAAGACCAGGACTACAAGGATGAGAAGATCAACTGTGCGACCCTACGTGTTGAGCCTCATGAATAACATTCGCTAATTAGATGTTCACAGTCTGGGACAACGTCTACGGCTTCGACTACTCCTGCATCAAGGACATTGCGCTCCGCGAACCCCTCGTTGACACTGTCGACCTGAAGGCCGTCGTCACCGACCCTTGCGTGTTGAAGGTGCACTGCCTCATTGGTTTATCTTAAAGAAACGCATACTGACACGCGCTACAGCACATTGACCTGCTCACTGTCAAAAAGGAGGACCTCGCGTTCACCGCACCCTTCGAGTTGACTGCGACGAGGACAGACTGTACGTCTCGTGCGTTGAATGATCCTCTACTCCACGCAGGCCATTCATGCCTGCCTGCCGGAATCACCCCATTCCTTCCACTTGCCACTCTCATGCTTACTCTCTCTCTCCAGACGCCCATGCATTCCTCGCCTGGTTCGACATCGTCTTCCAATGTACACACAAGAAGGTCAACTTCTCCACGGGCCCGCATGCGCAGTACACGCACTGGAAGTAAGCATCGTCTCTCAGTCGCTCGAATGCCTACTGATTGTCGCTATCTTTACCCTTCCTTGCTCCGTCACTCTTGCTAGGCAAACCGTCTTTTACACCCCGCAAACGATCACGCTCACCGAAGGCGACAAGATCAAGGGCGAGCTGACTTGCTCACCAAACGCGCGCAACAACCGCGATCTTGACATCAAGATAAAGTACAGCACGACGGGCGAGCCGAATGAAGTGACCATGGAATATAAGATGTGCGTGAAGTCTTATTTTGCTCTGCGTGTGATGCTTTGTCGAACTGTACGCTGCTCGCAACCACTTGCATATCCTCAAGGGACCTCTGCCATCCCACCACTCCAACCCCCCACTTTTCTCCAGATGCTGACGGGCGACGCTACCTAGGTCATGACGAAACCACACCCTCCATCCCTCTGTCCTCCGCCTCCCCCCTCGCCTTACCTGTATCACTCACGCCCTCTGGCAGGTACTAATATCCGAACGCTGCTCTGTTGTAAAACCCACATCGTCGTGTAAACCCAGATTGTACCGAGGGTGCGATGGCGCAGGCTTGTGTGCTTCGCCATCCATGTACATCGCCGGCACCTACATACGTACATCGCCGCCACCTGTGTGCCCTCGCCCCCACATTGTAGCCTTTCTAGGCATAGATCATTTCTCCCGCATCTACGTACGCATATCTCTTGATCTTATACTGTAACCCTGTATTCAGACGTGTCGTCAAAGTGTTGTCAGTGAGGCCGACGATCTCTCAGCCATGTTCGCTGGTCAGTGTCAGTCTGCGGCACTTGCCGAAGACAAGATGCGGCCATTGTTCAAATCTCACTTGCGAGCCACTCTTCGGTCACATAACGAAGACTCTGTAATGCGTCCAGAAAGTCGCAAATGGTGAAAGAAAGGAAGGAAGAAATGTTTATTCACGCCGAAAGTGTGTGATCACATCAATGAGAGTTACTTGAAAAGGCGATCTATAAACGGCGCAAAAGGCGAGGGATAGTACATACAAAACGGACGAGGCGCGGAAGATAGATTGGCATGACTCGAAAAACAGAAGAGATAAAACTAGATAGAAGGGAAGAATCGTAGTTTGCCCGCCAGCTTAGCACGTAGACACCAAGGAATTGCTACAGTTGGAGCTATAGTTGCCATTCCCCGAGGTGATATTGCAGCTGCTCTCGACCGTCTTACCTCTAGGTTCCGCAGGTGCCATTAACTCGATGTCGTCGTCGTCATCGAGGGACGGGTCATCACCGACGAGGGACGGGTCATCATCAACGAGGGACGCGCTCCCAACAGAGAGAAGAGGGGCTTCAGGCGCTGTCGTGGGGCGCGTGTCGTTGCAGCCTCCGTACACCTCGACGGTATTGTTGTCGCCAATGATGATGGTGCCCGCGCCGCCGTATCCCGCGCCGCCTCTGTTGTTGTTGCCCCCGCTCCCAGCGCCTCCGAGGCCACCGAGACCGCCAGCTCCCGCGCCACCAGCGCCGCCGGCACCGCCTGCACCGCCGCTGCCACTAGCGCCCGTGCTGTTCCCACCCGTCCCTTCACCTCCGAAACCCCCCTCTCCGCCATAACCCCCAGTGCCGGCGATGCCCATGGCCCAACCGCCGACGCCTCTGCCGCCTACGTACGCTAGGTCATGCGGCGACGAGTCGTTGGACTTGCCACGCAATCTGATGGTCGAGTTTGCCAGGTCGAGGGCAAAGTCCAACGCATTTCTGCGATATGTATCAGGGACTGACCAAGATTCTATGGATGGATAAATTGATGTACCTGGGCGCGGGAGACTCGCTGGACACGGGAGGCTTGGGCGAGGTGGGCGAGGTGGTGGCACGCTGTTCGCCGAGGGAGGCGCCTTCATCACCGGACCAGATGCTGGAGGGAATCTTGAAGCTCGCAGGAATGGCCCACCGTGCCGGGGAGGAGGCAGAAAAGCCGCCCTTGAGTGCCCCGAAGGTAGACGCATCCCCGGCTGCAGCCGAAAGGCCTGACCTGGAAAGCAGAGTAAGTTATCGCGCATGAAGGGCCAAGAAAGCGCCTCACATCTGGACCTGGAGAGCAGAGGCGCTGGTGACGAAAGCGAGGATCTGCACCGGGAGCGTGGCCGAGGTCACGACGAACGCGAAGAACTGCACGGGAAGGGCCATTGCGGTCAAGGCGAAAGCGAGAAGGGTGAGGCGCCGCGTTTTCGTGTCGGGCGCAGGGGCTTGAGTCGTCGCGGTTCCGCCGGCGGGCGGGGTATTCTGAGCGGTCGTAGGGGTCTGATGAGTTGCGCTCGCGCCTGCTGCTGAATGTAGTGCGGTCGTTGGCGAACTGGCAGGAGGCCACAGCGCGAAGGCGAGAGCGATGAGCGCCGCTGCAGATATGACGAACGCGAGAATCTGCACAGGGAGTGCCGCGGACGTTACCGCGAAAGCCAGGATAGTGAAGTACGACATCGATGTGGCCCGCGGATTTCAGACGAGGCTGCAGGGCTTGCTTAGGGTCGTCGCCGGTGCGCAGTAAAGAATGGCGGAAAAGGACGTGGGGGTTTTATACCGCGCCGGGGGACTCTGCGCTCCGGCGCAGAAGGGTACAAGCTCGAGCTTGAGAGCTCGATGATGCACTTACTTACGGTGGCATTGCGCACAACGTTGGGACTTGTTTGCTGGAAAATCCATTTCGACTGTTCGAAGTCAGCCCGCTGCCTCGAAGGCCGAGCCGCTAGGCGCCCTTTTCTCGGATTACATGGCTTCTGGCCGTTTATCTCCTGAGTTTCCAGCTGCGTTCCTGCATACCCTGGTCAGCGTGGCTGTTTGAAGCTGCCAGCTGTATGGTGGGAACATCATTTTATAATCTGGACATACTAGTAAAAGGAAACACACCTATGTTCTGGGTCCGATCGAGTCGCTGTACTTCATCTGTGCCACTATTAGACGCTACTGCTTGCGCTGAACGTGGGTTTTGCTAGTACGCGAGCATCGGTAGACGGTATAGTCCGGGCGCCGCTTCTGCTTCTGTGAGGGAGGAGTCCAGCGGCGCTTGGGACACACCTATAGCCAGTCAAAGAGCGCATGCCCGAGCCGCTCTTGTCTCGTAAACGCAGAAAAGACGCTTTTCGGTCGAGCTGTAGGGGTGTGGCGACCGATGCACAATCGCCGGTCGAAATGGCGCTTGTAAGCCTGAAGGTGGTGACCGTGACGATTTGCGGTCAGCTAAGACGGGAGGTTTACACATGTATATAAGATGCAGTCGCAGATAACGCATATTCGTTCCAAGAAAGACTTCTGAACCAAACGAAGCACGGCTAGTGAGCGGCGAGATGATGGACGAAGTCAGCACGAGTGATGGTGCTTGTTTGCATATGTTGGCATTTGATTCCCCTTGTAGGCGCCATGCCACGCGGCTCGACTTGGGTCACCGTCGACAACGCCGACCGCTGAGTTCCGGAGTTTGTGTGTTTCCTCCTTCTGAGTTACTCACTATCTCTAACCCCTCGGCTCGAACGTGGCCTCGGTGCCTTCCATCATGTGGTCCGTTGACTCGCGCTGACTGGATCACAAACGTCTGGCCATAAGACTGAAGCTTCGACCCACTCACTTGAGAGTGAGCATTCACTGGCCCCCTCGCCAAGCGTTCATCGATAGAGTGAGATTGCAAGTATAAGGTGAGCTATCTTTCCTCAGCTGATAGATCAGAAACTAATGGGCCCGCTCTCAGCATGGAGGACATAAAATCATCGCAAGCATCTCTTGTCCAGGTCACTTCGAAGCGCCCGCTATTTTGTGCTCACAAAGAAGCGGTAAAAAGACTTCCGCCAATTTTCCGACTAGGCCCCTTTGATCAGTTGACGGTCCACTACTTGCCTGTCGCCGTCATCTTCGTCTACGACGCCGCCGATGCGGAACACAAGGAGCCCGTCTCGGCAGAGCGCCTAGAGAAAGCTCTCAGCCAACTGCTTGACTACTATCCCCATCTTACTGGTCGCAGGCGCATCAACCCTGTAGATGGGACTGCTGAACTCGACCAGTTAGGTTCCGGCGCCGCTCTGTACATCGCTGAATGTGGCTCCCGCCTCGACGCATTCTACACCGAATCACCCGATGGCCAGGCGCATCTTGCAATGAGTGACCTCCCCGGCTCGGGAGCGCAGTTGATCGCTCCCTCCGAGTCAACGCTCGAAGGCGCAGCGGCAGACCCCATCCTCACCGTCCAGTACACCCGTTTTGCCTGTGGAAGCGTCAGCCTCGGCGTCTGTCTGCAGCACATCGTGTGCGACCTGGATGGGTTCATGCAGCTGATGCGCCATCTTGCGGAGATCTACCATGGGATCACCGCTGCGGAGACAGCGGGCGGGACGCACTTGGATATGGTGCTCGAGGCGACACCGTGGATACAGTCGCACGTCCCGGAGAATGTCGAGAAGGAGTTTACCGCGGACGAGCAGGTAGAGAACTACACGGAGGATCCCAGCCCCGCGAGTCGCGCGAACCCCTCGAGCGCGCGTCTCGATCCGCCGCCTCCAGTCATCGGAAAGATCCTGCGTTTCTCTGGAGCAGAGCTCAAGGCAATAAAGGACGCCGCGACAGACGTGAGCGGTAGCGGCTGGGTCTCGACATTCGAAGCCTTCTCCGCTCACCTTTGGCAATGCGTGCACCGCGCGCGCACGCAACTGATGCCGGAGCGTGATGAAGGCTCCGGCGACACTCTGGAAACCTGCTCTGACTTCCTCGCACCCGTCAACTGCCGCCCGCGTCTGGGTCTGCCCGCGCGTTACTTCCCCAACGCAGTCATCTGCCCCTACGCCCGCCTGCCCTTCGCCACGCTTCAGAACGCGTCCCTCCCAAAGATCGCGCAGACCCTGCACGACGCCCTGCAAGCCGTAACGCGGGAGCGCGTCGAGGGCACTCTGCGCTATATCTCGGCGCGAGCTGGAGTGGTCAAGCAGCGCTTCCGCCACGGGCCCGATAGCTTCATCGTCACCCCATGGAACAAGGTCGACATGTACGGCGTGTACTTCGATGCGGAGAAGAGGGTTGCGCCGGTCCTGGTGTCTGCACCGTTCACACCGATATCTCTGGTGAACGGGCTGGCGTACTTCTTGCCGACTGGGCCGCAGAAGGACTCGGACGGCTCCATAGACGTCAGCCTCACGCTCTATGCGCCTGTCTGGGAGGCACTCGAAGGAGATCCGAACTTCAGGAAGTTCAAGCAGTGATGAAGAGCGGTGCTGTGGCAGACCTTTAGTACCGTTGTAGTGGAGACGCCTCGTATAGAGCTTGACAAGCATGTGTGGTAGTCACTTGGAACACTTGAGAGAGCTCTGGCTAGTCAGCGCTCTTCGCAGGAAAAGGCATTCGTTACCTGCCGATGCCCTACAAATATTTACATCGAGGGGCGTGTCATCGTCCGATGTATAAACAAATCCTATACAAGTCCTATATAGTAGTTCCATGTCAAGTGGGTCTGTGCGAAAGCGCGTGACGTCCTCAGACTGCCCTGTCTCTGAGCCAATCACTGCATGTGGTAAACGGGAAACCCCTCGTCCTTCCGACTCGTCATGGCCTCGATATTCATCAGCCATCTGGACCAGTCGCTCTCGCTGATGGATTGGGTGAGCAACCTTTCGGAGCATCGTAGACGTAGAACTTACTCCATTCCCATTGGCGCAGCATTCCACATCGACATTCCACTGGACGCCATGCTATTGAAGTCGAGATCATGTCCACTGTCCGGCCCTGATGACGCTCCTAACGGCTGCCGCGTTTGTGTCATGCCATTGGCGTCGAATCCCATACCATCGGTTCCCGCAAGACCGAGCAACGCAGGATCTGCAGCGAAACCGTCGAAGTCGTTGTAAGGACTCGACTGGTCGGAGAGGTGAGCCTCGGCAGTTGGGGGTACCGCGTCGCCCAATAGCATGGCCAGCTCGTCGTTGACGGTCAAGGGGCCGCCTCCCGCCTGCTCTTGCGAGTTGAGTAGTGTCTTGACCATGTCGTAGGTCGACTGTTCGGTGGACGGAGGGCTGGACTCGCTCCCTGAGGGCTGCCCACTATCAAAGGGCGAGAAGTGATATGTGCCGTTCGATGAGGGCCCAGGGAAATTCTGACTATTCATATATCCGCTGACGAAGTCATCGACGAGTGGATTCCGAGGGCCCTCCGTCGACGGTCCAGCAGTCCTTGCGGAGTCGAGCAAGCTCGCTGGCGTATCGGCGTAAGGTGAGCTGTCGGTGGAAGGGGCGTGTGTCAACGGTGGTGAAAACTCGGATGTGCCATACACCGGGGAGCTTTGCGGCGCGACCGAACTCGCGTCGCTCTCGTCTCTTCGCCGCTTGCGTGCTGCATCTCTTTGGGTTGGCCTCGGGCTCATACCAACGTCCGCAGCAAAGGTGAGGCCGTTCAGGATATCCCTGATCAAGACGTCAACTACAATGCCTCATCCGTCGAACTGTTTCACACTTACCATTTCCTGCCTGCGCCGTGCCAGCGCGCTTCGATACTCTTTAGGTTATTAGCGGATATCTGGTGCAACCTACCTTAGAACACACCTTCAATATGCCCATGCATATTCGTATGTCCTCCATATCTTTCGGATTGGGTTCTAACCCGGCCTGCCGACCCGTCCATATGTTCAGCAGCAAGACAAGCGCGGCATTGAAGACGGCCGTTTGCATGGGAGCGAGTGGTATGAGGCTGCGTTTGCTCTGGACCTCGACTATCCTGGCACATGAGCGCGCGGCGAAAGTGCAGATTGCCAACGATGGGAATGTGAGGGAGGTGACCATAGACTCTAGAGGCGTAATAAAGGGCTTGTGTACGAAGATTTGTAGATGGTGGTAGGTCACCATGAGGAGGGCGGATTGGTCGAAGAATATTGGATCCGCCCGTTGGGAATCCCATCGCACTAAGTGTCAAGGCGAATGAGCATGACATATGCGGTACGATTTGGGCACGTACGGTACTCTGGCACGTTACTCATCCAGGAGTTGAGCGCGGAGTCGAGCATCGCCATGATCTGTGCATCCGTAGGGCGTACGCAAACCAGTCTCGCCTTCCGAGTATAATACTGAAGGCATGTAAGGGGAGGCGTCATGTAAGAGGGCGCGGCAGGACGAACCACGGCGGAGAAGGTAGCGGTGTAGATCTCCATCAGTTTGAGGTAGTGATTGAAGAACTCGATCTTCGATGGATGGCCAGGCGGCTGCTTGAAAGCGGTCGCAGGGTCGCCCGTTTCCCAGTACTCGTCGTCGCATGCTATGGGAAGATCGAGATCGAAGCTGAAATGGGGCTAGTAGGTCAATGTTCTGCGTGACGGGACCCGTTAGACGGACGAACTTCTCGTGCTGCAGAGACCCTGGGAAACCAAGAAATGCGCTCAGGATGGTCTCCAAGCACACGAGAACCCTGTATTGTGATCACTTATAATGTATGCCGAGGAGGAAATGGTCTCACCAAAAGGCGCGCTTCCACAATTCAGACTGCACAGTCGGCACATCGTGTCGGCGTCGATGAGCTCCGACTTCCATGCACATGCGAAGGGCCAACCCGACTTCTATCCATACGCCCTGCGGTGCGGAGCTGGATTGATTGTAGAGGACAGACAACTGCGGGAGAACGAAAGCGGGCCGAGTGAGTAGAATTACACTTAAAGAGATAACATACGCAAAAGGACTGTATCTCAAAAAGTGTCGGCTTCTCGACCATGTTGGGGCGGATGACCTTAACCTGGCGAGCCCATTGCCACCCGGCCGAATGCACGTCATTGGACTCTTCGATGAACACTCGAGGGTCATCAGTATAGCGAGCCGCGCAGGCACATACTGATGGGTTTTTAGTACGGACGAGGGGGCGAAGAGGATTGCCTTACACAGCAGAAGGACGTGCGCGAAATAACGGTCAGTATGATGTTTCTTCTGATCGATGTAGCGTTGAAGTGTTGGCTTGGGAACATGAGCTTGACGCCGCAATTAGCGTGCTGAAGAACCCACCCTATGCAGCAGCGGGATGAAGAGATTGATCTTCTCGAAGTACAGGTGGACTAGCTTCGCGATCAAATCGTCCTCTGGAAACTCAAAAGGCGAGGCAGGTGGTTCCGGTGGACGAACTTGCCACGTTCGTGTGGTCCAAAATTCCGGACGCTTGAAGTCGGGGTTGCGTGGGGGAAAATTAAGCTTGCTTTTGACGTCAAGCATAGTCTTAACGAGCCTGCGAGGCAGTTAGCTTGCTGGTAAGAGCGACTACTACTGACAAACATGACAGAGGAACTCCTTCCGAAGTATCTGAAGACCAATGTCAGAGTCAACCGCAGACATTGAGCATCAGTTACACACCGATGGTCGTCTGGGCTAATTCTTAGCTTGTGGAATTTGGACAGTAATCTTGACTCGGGGGAGTCATCGTCGTTGCGTTTGAGCTTGGCAAGTCCCCCATCATCATCCAAAGTGGTGTTCTCGATCTCCTCCTTGACGTCTATGCCTGGGGCATACTGTGAAGGACCTCAGCAGGAGCGATGAAAGGCATGACGAGGACGCACTTTCTGGACGATCTTCTCCAGCTTCAGTATGCGTGTCTCAAGCGCGTCAACGTAGCTGGGAACGGTGAATGAGGGATATTCGAAGGATGGATGCAGACGAAGGGCGTACGTCTTCGCAGAGCCCAGGTTCTGAAAGGATAGCAATGAGCTACAGAAGTGCGGAGGCGGTTCAGCCACACACCTTGATGACCTCCATGTGCGTGCACTATCGCGGGCGCTGTGAGGAGATCAACATTCTACGACGATGGAATAAGCATACTTGCACCCCGTAGGATACGCATTGTGAACTAAAAAGGGGAGGGGAATGAGAACAAGGCTGAGAGGAAGACTGTACACGCACCATATGTTGTTCGGCATCCGACTACTGTCGCCTGTATGACCTCCATTGATCGCTGTCCACAGAATGAGCCCAAATGGACCACGTACAGCGAACTATGTCCTAGTCAGTGCAGGCTATCGCAGCAAACCTCAACTCAAACGCACTCTTGCGCTTCTTGCAGTTGTCGCAGGCGCCTGGGCGCCTCCGCTTCTTCAGAGCTGGCTCGTCGTCCATGTCGCGCGGTGGAACGATAGCGTACTCAGCAGCGTTTAGGGTAAAGAGGGGGGAGGGAGGCGATATCAGGGTGGTAAGCAATTCCCGCGGGCTGCGGCAACGAGGTGGCGGTTCAGTGCAGGAAGGAGCGATGATTGGTGCTTCATCATCAGCGATCTTGCAACTGAATAGGAGCTAGTCATTGCGACCTACCGCACCAGTCTGTGAGGCCTTTATATTTGTACACTTGAACATCGAGATTCGACAGCTGATGATTGTATATATACAGGATGATACTAACGTAGTACAACAACACTGCAGACATGGTCGAAGCGCTTCATGCAGCGCCCCGCGACCGACTATAGACCTGGACCACCAGCACACTACTCAGCAGCTTCACCATTCCCTTCTTTCCTGCTGCTTGTCAGCTCTCCGAGATTGGACAAATACTGGGACCAATCTTGCTCCCTGTCATGCATAGCGTAAGCGCCCACCGTCTCGCTCGTGTGGACCGAAAGATCGCAACTCACCCTAACCCCAACGGCGCATTCCACATAGACATGTTGATCCCGCCCACAGGCATGTTAAAGTCGAACTGGAAGTTATCGTCCACCAACCCTCCAAGACCCAGCGCAAACTCCTGCGTCGATGAAGAGGATGCCAGATTCGGCATGCCCGTCGTGCCCGCATTGCCGGTTGTTGTATACAAGGCATCCATGCCCAGGGGATTGCGTGACCCACTGAGCATGTCAACGTTCAACGCGTCCAAAGATCCACTGTTTAGAGGGTCTTCCGGCGATGCGGCCGACGCGCTCCCGGTGAACGCCGTTGAGGAACTCGTCGAGAGGCCCGGAATGGCGTTCATGAGCGACGCCTGCACATCCGAAAGGTAATTCGTCCCAGTCATGAAGTTCGTGATCGAGTCTAACCCGGCACTCTGCCCCGACGTGGAGATGCCGAAGAGATCAGTCGTCGCGCCGAGCATGTTGGGGCTACCTTGCTGACCTCCAGCGACGAGTGGGCCGCTGGCGAGGGAATACGTCGACTGCGGCGTGATCACCTCTGTCGAGCTGTCGGACGTCGACGGCGACGCGCCCTGCGACGACGACCCCGCACCGGACGAGGCCTCCTCCCTCCTTCGCTTCCTCGTATTCTCGTACGCCTCCTTCGTCATGATATCCACATCCGCCGCGCTCGCCAGGTCCTGCAGAATATCGTACTGCCGCCCAGCGCTATTCCACCGCGCGTCGCATGTCTTCAACATTCGCATGCACTTGTACACGTCCTCCATGTCGCGCGGATTCGGCACGAGGCCGGTCTGCTTGACCGTCCACACGTTCAGGATGAGCACGAAGCCCGCGACGGAGACGGCGGTGTGGACGTGCGGCAGGGGCACCACGCCGCGCTGGCATTGGGCGTCCATGACTCGGGCGCAGGAGCGCGCGGCTGAGGTGCATATCGCGAGCGAGGGGAAGCTCAGGCGGGAGTCGGACTGGAGGGGAGTGATGAAGGGCTTGTGGACGAAGATCTGAAGCTGGTAGTAGGAGGTGTAGAGGAGTGCCGATTGGTCGAAGAACGTCTGATTCTTCTCCTTCGGATTCCATTGCACTGGCAAACATCAGTCTGAGCGCCGTTCGAAGCTAATGACGCTTACTCACAGTGCGGAGGAAGTTCATTGAACCAGTCGTTGAGCGCAGAGTCCAACATCGTGATGGTCTGTTGGTCCGTAGGCCGTGCCGTGACGAGGTCTGGCTTCTTTGTGTAATACTGAAGGCACGTCAGCACCCCGTCCGCGCCAAGCTGACAAAAGCGACGTACCACAGCACGCATTGTTGCTGCCTCTATCTCCATCAACTTCACGTAGCGTACGAAGTAATCGAGCTTAGAAGGTATTCCGGCAGGCTGTTTAAAAGCTGTCTCCGGATGCCCCGTATCCCAATACTCATCGTCGCAAGCTATGGGTGGCTCTTGATCGTACATGTCAGAGGTCACGGCGCTTGGATGACCGTAGAAGGCGCTGGTGTGGATTTCCTGGCAGAAAAGGACCCTACGAAGTGTCACTCATCGTATGCGCACGAGTCCGGCTTAACTTACCAGAAAGCACGCTTCCACAATTCACTCTGCACGGTAGGCCTGCCGAGTGTACTTCGGCGATGCGCGCCAACCTCCATCGCCTTCCGGAGCCCGAGACCAATCTCGGTCCAGGAGCCTTGGGGAATTGAGCTGCCCTCGTTCCACAACACCGACAACTATAACGACAGTCAGAGGGACAGGCGAATGTTGAGCCGGCACGTACACTATATGCCTGCACTTCGAATAATGACGGCTTGTCCGTCATTGTCGGGCGGATGAAGTTCACTTGCGAGATATATTTCCAGCCCGCGCTATGCAAGTCGTTGGTCCCGTCAACCAGTACGCGCGGATCATCTGAGTAGCGCGACGCGACTGCGCAGACTGTAACAAACGTGAGCAGAAGCAGTGGCGAGACAACGGCTGCACCCACCGAGTAGTAGCACATGCGCAAAGTCGCGATCGCGGAAATGGGTGCCCTCGTCGATGTACCGCTGGAATGTAGGCTACGAGAGATGATATTGAGCATCATCGGGATCTTGCAAGTGACCAGGAGACTCACGCGGTGTAGCAATGGCTGGAAGACGTTGATCCTGGTGAAGTAAACCTCGATCAACTGTTCCATCAAGTCTTCCGGCGGGAACTTGAACATTGGGCGCGGCGGGTCTGGCGGTCGGGTTTGCCATGGCCGCGGCTCCCAGTAGTCGGGGCGCTTGAAGTCCCAAACCTTCGGTTGGATGCCGTTCTTGACGTTGTACTGATGCTTGGCATCCAGCGCTGCCTTGACGAGCCTATACGAACAAAATATTCAGCCTTTGTGGCAGAGAGGCGCGCGAAAGGGGAGCGTAGTTGAGCCAAGGTAGTTGGTGCAGTGGGTGAAAACTCACATGACGTTTGAACTCTTCCCGTAAAAGCGGTTCTCGTCGGGACGTAGTCGCATCTTTTGAAACTTGGACGCGAGACGGGCTTCAACTGAATCGTCGTCGTTACGGACGAGCAGAGCATCTTCGTCGTCTGCGTCATCAAGGGTGGTCTTGTCAATTTCATGGTTAAGGTCGAGCCCAGGAAGGTGCTGATGGCGAGGATTAGATGGGATGGATAACACGATTGGCTGCATAGCAAACCTTCTCAAAGAGCTTCTCCATTTTGGCCATACGTTGTTCTATGGCGTCGACATAGCTGAGCGAACGTTAATGGCAGTTTCTCGGGAAATGGGTCACACCATACGATTTAGCAGAGCCGAGGTTCTGAGGAGACGCATGAGCTGGGCTGTGCAGATATGACTAGAAGTCCAAACGCACCTTAGTCACCTCTACGTGCGTGCACTACATCAGACTGTCAGTGGCGATCCTGAGCTACGGGTCCAAGACGTACGGGCACCCCAAATGAGATACAATGTGAGCTGCAGGGTACATGAGCGACTCTGACTTGCAGTGAGACATGCCCGCCACGCACCATCGGTTGTTGGGCATTTCGCTGCTGTCACCTGTGATTTCCCCCGTCAATAGATGCCCCTTCACTTCAAACACTGTACACACATCTGACTACACAAGATGTCAGCTCATCTGCATACCTAGCTCAGGAAAGAACTACGCACTCTTCCGTTTCCTGCAGTTGTCGCAGGCTCCGCGGAGGCGACGCCTCTTGGTTCTCTCTTCTCCATCCATCGTGGGTGTCGTTCCTGTTCAGATGAGAGAAAACCAAGCTAGATGATCTTGCGTGTGGCTTTCGATAAGAAATCCTTCGGCCCTCAGCGAGTCCGCAGTTTCCTAGAGGTAAGGGGTTGGTAGAAAGCAAGAGAAACAACCGCAGATCATCAGCTAGAACGGAGTCGGGGTCTCGGACCGTATCTCCGGGCGGAGCGGGGTCTGGAAAGTGCCTCAGAGCGGCATGTTTGATGAGTCACATCTAGTCAAGGGCTCCCATCGGCAGGCGTACGCGCGTACACCGTCGGCACCAGCTTCGGAGCGAAATCATGAGGACCAGTGCGGTCGTCGTTAGAGGTCACTGCGACACCTGACCCGACACCAATCACTGAATCGTCCCTCGATAGTGACCGTCATGAATTCCAGTCCAGTCCAGTCCAGGAGGAAGCTGAGGATTACGATGCTGTAAGAAGTACGCAGGGTATACACAGAATAGAGTCTAGCAAGATGGAATGAGATTGAGCTTATACGTCGCCCAAGATCTTGATCAGCACATCCTTCACTGACCTCCCCTCCTTCCACACACCATCCGCCGCCGGCCATACGCCCACCGCACCATACGCGACACTCCCAAGGACCTCATCTTCAGGCCCTGCTCTCGTGCTCAGCCGATGCGAAACCACCCTCGGAAAGATGCGCGCCACATCCGCATCGCTCACGTCCAGCGCCCTATCCTCGTCGTCCTGGATATCCCTAAAAGGGTCCACCAGCGCCGCCTCCCCGCGATAGTCAATCGTGAGGCTCCCGCTGGCGCCCTCATCCCCGGCGTCCAGCGCCGTTTGCAGTAGCTCCATTCCGGTAAGATCCCGCCCGAGCACGCGGGCCGCGCGCGCGAAGAGCGCCGCCTCGGTTTGGCATGTCGCCGTCAGAAGCATTGCGTCCAGCTCGGGGTGGTGTCGTGTGGCGGCGAAGAGGTCCAGAAGGTAGAGTTCGAGAGCCGGGGAGATTGTCGCGCGCGCACAAGCGCGGCGCATCGAGGCTAGTAGCGTCGGCGGGAGGGCGGGTGGATAGTTGGACCAGTTCTGGGCATTGTTGGTCATGGATCGAGGTGTCGACGTAGGCGAAGTGCCGTACGCGGGAGTGGATTGCGACGGTGTACTCTTGAGCAGTTGTCTCGTGTTCGGATGTAGCGTGAGGTTGACGCTCATGGAGAACTTGTCCAGCTGTGATGCGTTCAGCAGATGATGCGTGCTCGATCGCGAAAGGACCTTACTAGGGAGCGAAGCAGTGCAGGCCGTTCGTACGGCTCCAAAGCGCAGACATAGACCGCAATGAACTCGTCGGGGCAGTCATATATTGTTTGTGATCCATGGAACATCGTCCCGGTAGGTGTCGACGACCTTCGGCCCCAGACTTCGGGGGACTCCTCCATTACCACGCGCTTCTCCGTCATAACGCGCTGCAAGGCTCGCTGTAGTGCAGAGTCCGCCGCCTCCAGCCCTGTAATCACGAGTGCCTCCGGCACCTCCAATGTCGCGCTCGGCTGAGGGAGCGGGTCTGAATGCGCGTGCGGTACGGGCCGTATTATCAGCGGACGGGAGTCTTTTGCTGCCCCTTTGCTGCGTCCGAAGGTCGCAAACGGATCCTCGGCAGACTGGCTATCAACATCATTCGAAGGGATGCGAGGCGGCAGTGCCACGCTATTCTTGAGCGGGGACTGGGGCGTCGGCGGACGAGGGGAGGCACGCCAGTGGTGCAGGCTGGGTCGCTGGCTGCTACTCCCACTCGAGCGTCGCTTCTTGCGGGCGTGGGCACGCTTGGTGTAGACGGTGTCGTAGTGAGTGCTCGTTCGTTGGGCGGATGGAAGGAACAGAGAGCGTAGGAAGGTCGCGGTGTCATCAGGTCCCGGATACGCTGGACCATGACGATGTGAAGCTAGCTTCAATCGATGGGTGGTGAGCCCAAAGATGGCCGAGAGTGTCTGAATGAAGGGGATCAGCAAACTGAATGGAGGCGGCAGGTCCCGCGAGATTGTCAGTACAAGATCCGTGTCCTTAGTGAGTGCCCATTAGCTACTCAGTGCAGCGGGACTGCAGGTGCATGAAGACATGCAGGAAGGTGGAGTTTTCACTGTGATGAACGATGTCAGACTCACAGCAACAGCGGCCTTTGCCGCGATGGATACATCCTCAGGTGCTGTCCGCAGAATGAGATGCTTGTTCCCGCAGATGAGACACAGAAGGATGGCCTGTATGATAACAGGATCGACCGGTGCATTCAGAGGTGCGGCATCGCGGACAAGTGAGAACAATGCCGGCGCGAAGGTGGGGTCGCCGAAGGGTGGCAGCGTCGGCCCTGGAGCCTGCTCCTCTATCATTGAGTAGGCTGCAGTGAATGTCAGGAAGCGGATGTCACAGGGTGATTGTGGCACGCCTCAAAGGTACCTGTAATTCGAGGAAGAACGGGCGTCCTTGCGCTGCGAGGCGCTGAAACGTATTCGAGTTCGATGTGGGCCGCGGCTGGGAAGGCGCGATAGGGTAGTCCAATGAGGGAAGACGCGTGCTTGTCGGGGGAACAAATACTTCGTTTGACCGTCTACCCGACGGAAGATGGGTGCAATTGCAAGGACGAGACGGGAGACCCGTCGCACATCGAAGTTCGAACAATAGAGATGTTCGGATTTGCCCGTTTTAGGATCTGCGACATGAGGCTGGGAGCACGTGAGGTCCTTCTCCGCGACCGTCGCGTAGTAATTACCGTCGCATCCGTGCTCACGCGCCGCCACACGCCGAGATGTCTGGTTATCTCGTGCCCAACCATCGTTAATTGGCCGTGCTAGCCCTTGCTTCTTACCATCACGTCCTTTCGCGACTTTCTGCCTCCCGGTGAGCACCACGATCGGTGTGAGTACGGCGTCTATCGTTCTACTGGCGCTCTACCTGCTTGAGTTGTTCCCGCGCGTATCTCGTGCTCGAGAAGTGGTCAGAGGCTTACCTCCTCTCCCCCAGATGCTTAAATGGCCAACGTCGTCTACTTCAATGTGGACGACACATCCCCACAGATCGGCTACTCCCCCTTCGCCGATACCCTCTCGCTGCCGGACCTCACAGGGGGCTGGAATCCCTACTACGATGACTCTGGATTTGCCGACGGCCTCGGCGAAACGGGGTCAGGAAACAGCGCGCACATTACGGCGCACGACGGAGCAACGATCTCCGTACGCTGGCGAGGTATGTCGCCGCTTCACGAGGTGTTTCACGGCGAGCTCACGCATACGCTTCATTAGGTACAGGCATTCAGCTGGTCGGCAATGCGACGCAGGCGTCTTACAGCATCGCGCTCGATGGCGAGCGCGTATCAGCTTCAAGTCGGAAGTCGGAATTTGCCAACGATGCACTGGTCACGCTGGATAACCTGCAAGACACCGACCACACGCTCACTTTTACCACCAATATTCAATCCTCCGGTACCAACTCCTCATTCATTGTATTCCGACGGTGCTTCGTCACCTCTCCATCCTCCACTTCATCCGGGTAAGCGGGCGTTCACTGCCCTCTCCTAACCGCCGCAGCACTCATTGTAATTCGCAGGTCATCTCTGGCAAATATGACTGTCGCGGATGGCGATATATCCTTTTCAGGTGGATGGGCAGATACCGATGCTACGGATAATGCGCCCGCAACGCACCAATCCACGGGTGCAGGGGATGCCGCCCAGGCAGAGTTCAATGGTCAGCCCCCTCGACGTGGTAAGCATAAACACGAGTTGCTAACGCCGCGCACCAGGTACTGCGGTCTTCATCCGAGGACAGACGTCCCCAAAGGCATCACGCTACAACGTAACTCTCGACGGGAATATGACCACGCAGCTGTCCGCGAGGTCCTCGTTCACCAATCATGATGCCTTGCTTTTCTATGCGACAGGACTGGACCCAAACGTCACGCACACGATCGACATCGTCAATGACCAGGACGGAGCCGTGCTTGCGTTGAATAGGGAAGGTTTTTCGGTAATGACTGTGATGTATGTGGATATCTTTGTGTTCAGGCAGTATGTCGTTTGAACGCTCTGCAGGCCGCCTACTGCTTCTAGCCCGCCCATGGGCTATGCCGGCTCGAAATCATGGTCTAAAGGGGCGATCGCCGCCTTCGCTCTTGGCGGCATTCTGGGCTTTTTGATTCTCACTGGACTACTGTTCTATCTCCTCGTCTATCGCCCTCGACGCAAGAGAAGGTCCGAGGCAAAGGAACGGCACCATACCTTCGAGCCACCAGAAAAGCCGCTGGACCCGGAACCAATCCTCGACATACGCCCTCAAGATATCCTCCCAATCGCGCCTATCTCACCTGTATACGAATTCGCGCGCCGCGAGAGTGTCCGAACGAACAAGACGGCGAAGACGGGCTTCGAACGATGGAAAGACGAAGTCGAGAACAAGGTCGCCCGGAGCCTGGGTAGTCTAGTATTCCGCCACTCCAGCCGCTCGAGTAGCCACAGCGGAAGCCTCGTATCGTCAATCATGTCCGATTCTTCCTCGTGTCGCAACAAGTCCAACTCGCCGAGCATCATCATCGAGCTGCCGCGCCGCGGCAGCGCGCAGCAGTCGCCGCAAGGGCCTGCGACGATGCTGCAAGCACCTCGCATGCAGCCCTCGACCTCTGACATCACGTCATTGGATTATGCATCGACACTTGCGCACCCCCAGTCCGTGCAGAGGGGACCTTCGGTCTCTAGCCATGGCCAAGCCGCATCGGCTCCGCTGGGTCAACCAATCATGCGTGCGCAAGACCGAGCTCGCACTGTGCCAACTTCTGTGCCAGTGTCTCCCGCGGACGACCGGCTGAGCCCTCTTCGCACGTATCCAACACGGACGACGGACTCGGGGCGCCCGAGAACGCCTTCATCCGCTGGGCACGACCGCGGCGTGTTCCTACTCGACGACGGCATGAGCATATTCGGGCGCGGCGGCGATGTACGACAGCTCAGCCCGAGGACGAGTGTTGCGGATGACGGACGACCGTCGCGGCGCGGCCTGAGCATCCTCATCCCCGGTCTCCCCTTTCGCTTTTTCCGGCGGCAGTCCGCGGGCACTCGCGCGTCGGATGACGTTTTGGAGATCAGTCCCTTCCCGCGCGGTTCGCGGTCAGAGGAGGGCCCGCCGCTATCGAACAGCTCGCCGCATCCGAGACGGGCCTCGCGAGTGTCTGGCCTTTCTGTGCACTTTGAAGAGAGTGGCGGTGGCGTGGATAGTGTGCGGAGCCCACTCGAGCCTGTGGCCTCATCCTCCGATGCTTCCCCTCAGGACGCAGGCCTGCGGCTCACCCCACCCGGTATCGTCCTCCAGATCGACGGGGCGTCAACAGCAAGTCCCGCTCTGTCGCAAAGAACAGCGTCCAACCGTTCGGATGGTCGCTCTGAGATTCCCGCCGACGAAGGCGGCAAGCCAGGAGCGAGCGAGTCCTTGGGCAGCAAAGCGGGCACGTCCTCGTCCGGCGGCTCCAGCGCCTTCCCATACCCCGTCTCCATCCCGCCTTCCACCCACCACCCCGCCGGCGCCATCTCCGACGCGCACAGGGAGGCCATGCGCGAGGCGGACGCGCCACCCTCCGACTCGCCCACCGACACGCTCCCCGTCTCCATCTCCGACGTGCACTTCCGCAGCCCCGCGACCGACTCGTCGTCCCGGCATAGCGAAGAGCTTGCGTCGTCGTGGCGACACAGCGAGGAGTTTGCGCGGCCGGCGCACCCGCCGCTGCCGCGCGCGGTGTCCAGTGGGCCGCCGCAGACCTACATGTTCCAGCGACTGCAGGGGCACTCAAGTACGGGTGCCTCGCTGCTCACGCCCCTCGGTCCGCGCACGCCTGGGCAGCCGCATGATAGGCGGACGGGTGGCCTGCGCTCGATGTTGGGGCGAAGCAGTACGACGCCAGAACCGAGCGACGCGGAGAGGAATGATGCCGCGCGCCACCAAAGGACCGGTAGCACGCCCCTTGGACCGCGAATCTTTGGCTCGCCGCATCGACGGAGCACCAGCGTGCCCTTCCCGTTGTCGCGGGGGCAGCGGTGATGGGCTTTGCGGGATGTCCTCCGTCAGGCGTCGTACTTGCTACCTCAGCGACTGCCTTGCTGCCTATGCGGCCATTTTGCTGCCTATTCAACTATCTATTGCCCTATGATGTATCGTTCATCTACTCTTGTACGCTGGACTGAACATTGTTGTATTTGTATCCACTAGGAGGTTGTCTTGCGTTGTGCTGTAGTAGGCCTGTGTTGTGTAGGCTTGCGTTGTGTTTGCATGATAGGTGGGCTGAATATGCCGTGTTGTACTGTGATCTATTCCTTACCTACTATCTTGACGGATCATATAATAATCGCTGAAGTTGCAAGGGGGGCTGAAGCGTTGCTGCCTTGGTGCGCAATCAGGAGCCGAAAGTTGAACAGTGACATGTGATCTTCACGTGATAACAAGTTCAACTTTTTAGCTGATTGGAAAGATACGAAGCGAGGACCAAGAAGGTTCAAGACACTGTATTTCTCGGGATAAACATGCCACGACGTTCTTCTAGGGTCTTCAGTATACAGGACATAGTCAGCGACCCGACTCAAGACTGACTCTTCAAACGCCACAAGACGTCTTTCTAATTCCGTCGGCCCCGCAATATTGAGGGTCGTCTTGTGCGAGTGACACGGTGATCTAAGTACAAAGACGATATCTGCTATGAGCGGGAAGCGACAACTTTAGAGCAGAAGCGAGTAGCTGGCGTCGGAGCGTTGACAAGCTTGGCTTGGCTTCACTGAAGCGATCAGTACTGCCATCTTATATAGACGAGGGGGTAAAACGACATGCACCCTGCTCCCAGCGCCATCGACACTCCCTCCAAAGTGCCCTAGACATGCGCACGTCCATTCTTTTGATTGCCCTCATTGGCGTCGTGGCCGGTACGACGGCTGCGAGCGACGCGTCGCTCCGTATGCATCGCAGGGTCGCCAGACGCGGCGACTGCGTTACGTGCCACAGGACGATCATCCCGACGGAGACAAACACGGCGATGGAGCTGAAGAAGGAGACGTTCCATAATGGGACGTTGATGTGCCAGTGAGTGGTATATTGCGCGCGGGATACCTATTTGCGTGGACCTTGATGCAGGTCGTTGACGGAGTTATAGGTACCAGAGCGTTGTGAAGAGCGATGGGTATGGGGATGGGGATGGGGGTAATGGAGAAGAGGATGGAGATGGTGAAAATGATTTGGAGCCGGAAGGAGATGAAGAAGATGAGGAAGGCGGAGAGGACGATGAAGACGATGAGGAGGATGAGGAGGACGATGAGAAAGATGAGGAGGATAAAGAAGATCGTGAAGACGAAGAGGACGGAGACAATGCGGACGAAAAGGAAGACGAAGACGAGGATGAGGATGAGGAGGATGAAGACGAAGAAGATGAGGACGAGAAAGATGAAGAGGAGTGCGACCCGAACGACCAGTACGAGAGGCGAGCTTTGGGGACTCACTTAGACGGCGTTCAGAGTCTGCGCGGCCGCGATGACGATTCTGAGCAATCAGATAGTTATACAGTAGAGTATGAGTGCGTCTACGACGTGGTAAGTCGCTCGGGACAGTTCCTTCACGACGCGGTACTGACAGGCCAATATTCACAGGCCAACGGGAATCTCTTGGAGGATCAAGCGAGGTCCTGCCCGCCTATCGTCTCGTCTTCTTGCTGATGGATGGAATTGTGAATGGGACACCTGGATGAAAACACAGTTGGTTGGGTACATGGACGTAGCGAGGTATACGTTTAGCTCGTACACTTCCTCTTGATGCACCGACATCAGCGCGGGAGAGCAGGAGAATGACGCACCATTCTTGTTGCCGAAGATGCCAGTTGTCCAGGACTCATTCGAAGCTTGACCATAAGCGAGAGACTCTGGAGCAGGCTGAGTGCAATAACGGCGAGCAATTGGCTACCGGCATTGCCCGGCGCGCGTTCGGCCGACAGGGATTGCGCCACTTTCTGATTATCGCGTGTTATCTTATCTTCCGAGGGAATCCGCTGTGACCGCATCACCCTGACCGGCGCGAAAGGCGGAGGCGATTCTGGTCGGATCGCCCTCCTGTCCCTCACCTTGATCCCGCCCACCGCCCTCCCCTCCTGCCTCGCCCTAGACGGACGTCCCGCCCTTACCCTCTTCCCCATGTCGACCGCCGTGCTGTCCAGCCTCTTGACGATGCTGCCGTTCAACCGGTTCCCGGTGCTCGCGCCACAACAGAGCGCGACGCGATCAGAGCTCCCGGAGTGCTCGAACTCCTTTGGCGCCCTCCCTGCTGATATTCTGGCTGAGATTGCTCTTTATCTGGACTGCGTGGACTTGCAGAGCGTTGTCGTACTGGTGAGCATCGTCGCCCCAACGCACCCCATTCCCCAGCTAACCTACTTCCCCAGTCCAACCACATCTATGACAGCGTCGCTCCCGTCCTGTACCGCCATGTCGTACTCAAGAGTTTTGAGAAGTGCCGGACCACTCTCAACATGCTCAGCCGAAGACCGGACATCGCCCGTCACGTTCGGAGCCTGCTTGTATCCCCTCGCTCCCTCCAACGCGCCAGGCACGTTTTCTCCGACAGCGCGGTCATCTCCGACATGGTTCGCATGCTGGCAGCGTCCAAGACGCTAGTATCGCTCAGCAAGTTCATTTGGGCGGACGAAGAGCTCCCGTTCTACGACGACATGTGGTTCGCATTGCGTGCGGGGTGCGTTCGCCACGCAGTCCATCGCGATGGTAAACTGATTATCAACATACCAGCTGTGAAGGGCTGAAATATGTGGGCACGACAATAGGCTCCTACTCACCGACCTCTCGAAGCAATGTATGTGTATTCACAACATCATCACGACCATCTGCGCGCGAAGCTGACAGCGTGCATTGTAGCTGTTCGATTTCACCGATCTGACCGGTTTCTCCCTCCAACTAGAGCCGAGTTTCTATAATGATAATCTGCATCTCTCCCTGGATCACTTCTTCGACAGTACGTTCTCCGCAGGTAACTTAAGTCTGTACGCTGACCTTACACCCAGTGGATTACGGGCTCACGCACCCTCTGTGGGAAATGCTGATGAACAAATGTCCCAACCTCGAGGAACTTCGTATAGAGGGTCGCTCTATATTCCCAGTGGACGTGAATCGCCTGACGGACGGCCGCTGGCCCAAGCTTCGCACTCTGGTTCTGGGTGATGTGTCGGCGGATTGGGCTCCTCGCGGCGCGCTCGTGACCGACGAACGTCCTTTCGCAGAGTTCTTGGAGGCCCATCCATCCTTGGAAAACCTAGAACTCTCGCAACACAGCGTCAGCATCTCTACGCTCCGTCGAGTTTCTCCGACAGCCGTGAAAGTGACGTCTTTCTGCGGGAACCTGGACCAGCTGCAAGCTCTGCCGCACCTGTACCGAAACCTTACGTCTCTCGCCTTCCGGGAGCCATTGCAGACGAGGGAGGTTACGGCTTTCAGCATCGCGGGACTTCTTCAGCACATGCCAAACCTTCGAGACCTGCGCGTCGCGTTCGTCCTGAACTCCAGCTACGACAGCCAGAACATATTACGCTCCTTGACCAACGCATGCCCAAAGCTGCAGAACCTAGAACTGAGATGCACGCAGAAGCAGGCGTTCTCGATGGTATGGGCCGCCATCGATACCGTGGACGCACCCGACTGACTGATCCTTCCCCCGCAGTCCGAGTTCTCCAAATCCATCCGCTGCTTCACCCGCCTGCGGACCCTGCGTCTGGCGGTCGTGAAGACTCCGGGGGACGACCTCGCGCGCAGCGCGGCCCAAATCGCCCGCGTCAACCCGCGTCTCGAGCACTTCACTCTGACCTTCCTCCCTCCCGTCAAGCGCGGCTTCCTCTCCATCTTCCCCGCCCTCTCCGTCGACATCCCCGCGAGCGCGACGGGCCGCTTCACGCTGGTGACGGACACGCACGGGCTGCCGCTGAGCCTCGCGGCGCACGAGCAGCAGTGCGTGGCGTGGCCGATGGGGCTGGGGGTGTCGAGTAGCTCGCGAAAGTACGTAAGCGACTTGAGGCCGGTGGGGACGCCGGGGAAGAAGGAGGGGTTGATGACGCTGTTGACGGAGAAGAGTGCGGCGGGTGAGGAGGTGCGGATGATCCTTTTCTGCACGGTGCTCGTGTGCCTTGCTGGGTATGGTTTTGCGACGGTGAGTGACGGGGGTTGTGACATGTCGGTGGCGCTCACGCATTCTTAGAGGTGACCATGGCAAGATGAATCTGCGCGTATCGCGTGCATTATAAATGGTTGAATAGACGGCGACCGGAACGACGATTGAGGATGAACGTTTATTTGCTTGTAACATTCGTATCGCGTACTGTATTTGTATTTAATCCTGATATGCTAGTGTGTAGAACAACCAGTAGTTTCTGCATGTTCGCGAGACGTTCCACAAGCCTCGCGAACGAATCTGTAAATGCTTGAAGTTGCAAGAACATGAAGATGGGCTCGACCGTCAACAACTTCGTGGGAACATGTCCCTAAACGATCACGTGTCCATCCGTCACAGTTCAGACGCGCTCTTTGTTCTCGACCACCATGTCCGGCCTATTCCAACTACCACAGGATGACGAAGATAACCTCAACGTTTACTCATCTATCTGTCCTCTGCCCAACCTTCCGACTGCCTTCTTTGTGTCTCGCCTGACTGAGAAGCCCCAGAACCCAATACTGGACGCGCTTAAGCTGGAGAGGCGGAATGCACAGCCTTCCTCACGCATCGGCGGACCATCACACGCGTTCGGAGTCAAGCCACTTGCTTTTGAAGTCGAGCCAACTGCTAGAGAAGTCCTGAACGAAGACAGGAACATATGGAAAGAGGCTCTCAAATGTCCGGATAGTCAGGTATGTTCATTTCGTGAACGCGGTGAGCCTATGCCAACCTTCTGTGTCCTCCAAGACGCAATTGCTATCCTGGGATCACTTGAGGGACACCCACTCCAAGCGAATCGGTCCCTCTGCCTTTCTGTCTGAGCAAGACAGCTACGTGTACGCTTCGGCGCGATACCAGTAAGTTTCTTGTGCTCTTCGCCGTCGCGAGCTTCATTATGCTGCAAGTATCATGCTGACGTCCTCCTAACCAGCGTCCTCCCACGACTGCAGAGCAGGGACACAGAGATCACATACGTATCTCAAGATGATATCTTGACGAGCCTGAAGAACCTCACTCTAGGCATCATCTCACCGTTCTTCCGGTGGAATAGCCTCGAGGAGCGGTTTGAGTTTCGGACGGTGGAGGGCAAACGAAGGTTGTTCATGATCGACGGGAAAGATGATGTTGTCAGTGAAAGGTGGGCGGCTCGAGTGTGTGATTGGCCACGAGCTGCGCTGATGGGCTTTGCAGTCTCATACACCGCTTCGTGAACATCGGCACTATGATGCGACGCTTGGAAATTTTTGCGGACGCGTTGAAGTCCAGGTCAGTTGGTCGCTTAGATATCTTGTATTCTGATCTCATGGGTGTACAGGCATGAAGATCCAACTGGATACGCGCTCCAGTATGCGATGCTTACAGTGTTGACCTACTTGCGAGATACCTCGGTGGACGCGAGTATCCCTGTTGGGGACGCGACCTTCCATGCGACTTGGTTGAGGTATGGCGATCTGGAAGCGACGCTCATGGCACTTACCACTTTCGTTGGACGCGTAAGCTAGACATCTTTCTGTGACTTCTCATCGTTGAGTATCTTTGGCAGACACCCGACCATGGCCCCGAAGGTTACGAGGCGGTGGATCTCAGGCCCATACCACTGCTGTCACGGCTCTATGACCATCTCAATCTACAGATCGACAGGCAGTCTCCACGCGTCACCCGCGCAATACTGGCCTTCCTGCTTACCCACGCATGCGTCCATTACTTCAAGCGTCTATCCGCGACCGTGGGGCTGGGCCTCTCATCGACTATCCATCAAGAGAACAACATCCCCGTTCCGAAAGAGGTCGACGATCCAGAGGACGACGGTGGTCCAGAGGAGCCCGTCACAGACACTGAACTGGATGCATATCCCTCCTTCGTTCCTGGATATTTGTCCGAGCTGCTACCCAAAGCGCGGCGGTCTCTGGTTCTGCTTCGGGCGGCAGATGCCAGTCATCCGATGTTGGTAGATGCTGGGGAGTATACCCTGACGTGGTTTTGGTCGATCGAGGACATCGTGGCGTCGCAAGAGGCCTTGGACGGCAGAAGGACTCAAACGGCGGCTGGGTCCAAAAATGACGAAACCAAGAACCTGTGCATCGACCCCTCGACTTCCTACAAGCCCGAGCTCTCCGCGTTCCATATGTTCGACCTCGACCCGGGCGCACACTTGTCAAACGCCAACCTTGTCACCACCTCCACCTCTCCCTTGCACGCCTTTATCTCCTCGTTCCCCGACTCCCTCCCGCCTTTGACCCCCACACTGGCGCATCTCACCGAACTCGTCCTTCAACCCCTCGCCGCCCGCGCCGAGGCCCTTTCCAGAGCCCTCCTCGGCGTCTTCTTCACCTCCTCTATGGATCTCAACTTCCGCGCCCACCTAGAGGTGCTTCGGTCGTACCTCCTATGCACGTCCCCCGCTTTCACTGCGCGCCTTACCGCTGCCCTGTTCGACGACGGACTGGACCGCAGGGGCACGCATTCGTCGCTCATGGTTCCCGGTCTGTCGGCCCGTACACGCCAGAAGCAGAAGGAGGAAGACCTGAAGGCGGCGACGGATCCGTGGGCGGTGGGGCTGGCGCCCGCGTTGCTGGAGCGAGGCAGCTGGCCACCAGTGGGAGCGGACCTTAGTTTCCTGCTGCGGACGGTCATTCTGGATTCTTTCGAGGCTACGTGCGCGATGGCGATCTCATTACCCGTAGCGTCCAAGGAAGCGGACGATGCTGGCCGTGATCGTGCTGTTCTGAAGTACGACGTGGATAATCGACTGGGCTTCGCGATCCGAGATCTACCGGAAGGCACTGGGAAGGAAGGGTGGATGAACCCATTGTGTACGTTCCTTTCTGGCCGTCTAACTCATGAAGCGCTAACGTTGTGCTGCCGCCCTTTGATCATGCAGCCATTGAGTGAGTGGTATGCTTCAATTCTCTCGCACATGCCTGATCGCGCTTGGTTGTAGGGCTTTGGACTTCCTGTACATGGAGTATAGACCACCTCATCCTCTCGACGTTCTGATCAGTCAAGATACCCTCACCAAATATCAGCGACTGTTCAGCTTCATTTTGCGCCTGCTGCGAGGTATGCCTGGACTCATCTATTTTAACGATATGCAGCTGAATCTCACACAGTGCAACATGCGATGTCGTCGCTCTATCGTATGAGCACCGACAGCGTTGCCCCCGTGTTCGACACGCTCGCGCAGGCTCGCAAAAAGCTGCTACATCTCCGCTTTGTCGCCCAATCCTTCGTAGCCGCCGTGTCCAGCTATGTCTTCGACGCAGCTATGCGAGGGAACTTCGATGCATTCCTTGATCGCGTGTCTCTATCGGCAGCGCAGCTCTCGGCCTCGGCCGAGAGCGAAGAGGAAGAAGCCTTCACAGATGTCTTCAGCCTTGCCGACGCGCATTCCGGCATGATGAACGACATTCTCAACGCGTGTTTGCTGCGCTCTGGCCAGCGTTCTGTCAGCAAGCTCCTCCAGCAGTCGCTCGAGACGATCTTGCAGCTGTGCGTCATGATTGGCGAGCTCAAGGAGGAGCGCATAGAGGAGTACAGAGCCGCCGCGGCTTTGGACGAGATATACGACACGTTCAGATCGAAGACCAGCACTCTCGTACGTCTTTTGTGTACTTCCAGGTCATTGGATTCTGACATGTTGTTAAGTGCAAAGTGCTGCAGGGAATGTGCGACAGGGGGCCGGGGACGGTCATGAGCCGGGACGGCACTCTGACTGCCAATGAGAAGCGCCCCAGAAGACCAATAGGTGGAGCCGAAGCTGTCACTCATCTATTACTTCGGCTGGATATGACAACTTGGTGGTCTAGATATTGATCATAACTCAAAATTTCCGTCTCACATGCTCTAGGGGATTTGTAGGCCGGCTCCATGAGCCAAAGCACCGGTGAGTCCACAGCTTCCGTACAGTTAACGCGCTTCGATGCATGCTCGGTGTCTTGCCGGAATCGAACAACGCGGCGACCCGACGGGTACGGCAAGGGCCGCTTTCGCCGCCATGACGCTTCCTTCCTACGCTCAGCGTTCTCTCCGCAGTCCCAACTCAAGGTCTTTCTCTCGCCGTCAAAGCATACACTCCCAGTACGCCGGATAAACGAACACTGGTTCCTTTACTGAACTATGCGCAGATGCATCTCTGCTTGGCCGTGCCCGAAATCATGATCCTAATCTGCGATGTTATACAGGAGAGCGGAAAGTACGACGGGACTCTGGCTGCGTTGGCGACGTGCTGTCGTGCATTCTACATGCCCGCGGTGTCAGCGCTCTGGAGGGACCTGAATACTTTGATGCCGCTCCTCTTGAGCCTGCCACACGATCTATGGAGCACCGAAAACGAGGGGCACAGATTCGTATGCGTTCTTGACATTCCTGAATCAAATACTTTACTGACCTTGGTGAAGGTTGCATCCCGACCGGTGAAGCCAAAAGATCTCCAGAGGTTCTTTCACTACACATCGATGGTCCGAACGCTGCGGGTCTCCTGGCTTCCGGACGCAACGTGCCACGCCGCCCTCGAGCTTAGCTGTCCCACTCCTCTTCTTCCCAACCTGCGCCGTCTCGAATGGGGTCTCGATGCTTCCTCTCAGAGGTTTCATCAAATTCTCTTCTTCCTGAGTCCGACCATCGTCTGCCTCCACCTTCACATACCGTCCGCCGTCCACGCGCTATCGTTGCTACCCCGTTTACCCATACTCTGCCCTGGCGTCAGGGATGTACGGCTCCAAGGGATCATGCGTAACACCGCGGAAGATCAGCTCGATCTGGTGTCCAACGCCGTCTGTCAATGGGAGGGCCTGCAGGTTGTCAGCATGCCACATTTGAGCAACGAAGACCTGCCGCGCCTTGCTTCTGTCCCTGAACTAGCGGAGCTGACGCTATATTGCCCCCATTCGGGTGTGCAGGAAATCCCACGTGTTGGCCGTTCCGCTTTCCTGGCTCTGCGGTCCCTCTCGATCTGTCCGACGTTCATGGAGTACGGAGTGCTCCTGATACGTGCCATACCCAAGCTGCGCCTACATCGCCTCTCGATCACATTCTTCGACACCAACTCATGGCACGAATGGTCGTCAATCATCGCGGCCATAATATCGACCTGCGACCGCACGACTCTCAGCGAGCTTGACATTGATGAGAGTGCCGAGTACGACATTGAGCAGCTGGTGGCCGCAGGTGACACAAGCCCGTGGCCCCGCGCTTTCGACTACAGAACTATGCAGCTTCTCGTGTCCTTCACCGCCCTCACGGACCTGAGCCTCGTGTGCTGGGGCGGATTTCTGCTCAATGACGCCGAGATCCACAGCCTCGCTCAGGCCTGGCCCCAGCTCGTATCTCTGAAACTGCGAGCGGGACGCATCATGCGCCCTTTCGCGTGCACTCTATGCGCTCTGATCAGCTTTGCGCAATGCTGCCCGCACCTGCGTCACCTCGCTCTAGATCTTGACGCCTGTTCACCGGCGTACGAACAGACGGACAAGCATGGTGCACGGCAGCGCACCCTCCGCTACCTCGACGTGGACCGCTCTCCAATCAAGAGCGCCATTGCCGTCGCTGCTTTCATAACCACTGTCTTCCCGGATATTCAAGTCCTTAAATTCGCTGATACCAGCCTAGATCCTGAGGTTGACGACCCGGAGGCAGAGGATCTAGACGAGGAGGTTGAGGAGGTACGGGCGACAGAATGGGGGAAGGTCGAGCGTCTGCTCCCTCTCTCAGGGTTCAGAACCTCGTATGAGTAAGCAAAGTCTCCTGGATTTGAGCCAGCGGTATACATGCGCTACAGTATACTATTTATTGTGGGCTATCAGATGCTCGAGATGGACAGCTTTGCGATGAATCTCAGGAACTATATCGCACCTTCGAGTCATGGGATTATTCAACCTGAAGTATACAGAGGATGTATCGCACATATACGGCTGCGTCTCATTCTCTCTATGGGCTTTATGATACACATGTGGGCCTTCTCCCATAGCACACCGTTCCCATCACAGCGTCACGCACCGGAAGTTGAACATGTCACATGGGGCGCGGGAACCCTTCGGCATTCGCCGCTGAACGTGTCGGCGCCTTGTGCACGTTCCCCGCCAGGTGCGCCTTACGTGCGTCCGAATCAGACTCTATTACCTTCTTCCAAGAACCTCTCGCGCTGGGGATGGCTGAGGATTGGCGAGCGTCTCCGGCGTCAAGCGCCGGCAAGAGTGAGAGCGCCAATCGCGAGGTTGCATTGAATTGCTATCTCAAAGTCAGAGACGAGCTATGTGTGTCTGCGCTGACCGTGCCTCCGCCGTACAGAGACGTGATGGAGGTCCTACCGGAATTGCTCTGCACCATCGCTGATGACCGTTCCATGGACGTCGACTCTGATGTGGAGCAAGCCTTCACAGTCGTGGAATACGACGACGAAGGAGAGGCCTCGGCTCGATTTCCGATGCTGGAGCCAGTCGAGGTCACTATCCCAGATGAACTGAGGGTCGAGCCTCACGCGAAGTATGAAGCAGTAGCGCCTTCCTCAACCAGTGTCCAAGCAGAGCACAAAGACGATACCTGTCCATTCAACATCTACGCCGACTATCCTGCATTCGATCACGAGGCCTTCGCCAACTCGTTCGACTTACGGGCCTGGGAAGTGTATAAGAAGCCTATGGGTGGGCTAATCCGCGTCTTTCTGAGAATGACAACTTACCTGCGCTTGCCAGAATACCACATCACGGAAGAGACGGCACGACGACTGCATAACGAACACGGAATGGACTACAACGCGATAGATAGAACTGGAATAACGAAGCCATTCGTTCTTCACAAAGACCAACGATCAGGCCATGTATCGCTGCGGCACGAACTGTGAGTACTTTAGTAGACTTATCGTTCGTCTCATAGATTCTCGTAGCGACCTGCGTCCCTCGCGTTACTGGCGAGCCCTTCCAGAAGCTCCAGCGCCGAGGGATGAAGATTCCATCCTCGACGACATACAGGAAATGTTCACAACATTCTGCTCGCTATGCATAACCTCTGGTTGCCTGCTGCACCGCGCACCTCGTACGTGATATACTATCTTATGTCTGACATTCTCCACCTCGCGCGCTCATGCCCACCTCCAGGTGGCGAACTCATCAAGCGTAATCCTCCCCTGATGGCCAGAGAGCCTCTTGTGACTCAGGGCCAGCTGAAGAGCTTTGAAGCCAATCTACGCCAGTTCGGCAGAACCCGAAGATGTGGTGAAGAGTGCTGGAATCACCCCGATATCGACGTGTGCCGCTTCTACTTCCTGTTCCTGCAGACGTTGAACGCATACTCTACAGGACGAGGCGCCACTACCTGAGCTCTCCCCCGCAGATCACCGCCGCTTGGAATCGGTTCTGGAATGCCGCCCGGACGAATCAACGTGCGCTCTTGCGATCGTGGCACGTTTACCGTGCTTCCTGGTAAGAAGAGGATATATCTAAGAACTTCTATCAGCGCTGACCGAAGCCCTCCTAGATATATCAATACCGAGCTCAGAAGTTTACCTCCAAGTACATCCAGCAAGCTAAAGAGAGGTCGGATAAAATCCAAGGCAAGAGAAAGAAGCAGACCAGAAGTGAGTAGTTATCTAAGCATGCGACCATCGTACTCATAGGTTTCATACAGGACCCAAACTTCCACCAAAAATGTCTGTCTTTCGAGGCGTGCTGTCGCGTTGAATGCTGATAGTGAATATGGCAGCGCGTTCTACCCTTGTTCTCACTTGGGATCATGCAGCAACAATCTGAAGTGCCGCTGCTACGTGAACAGGGTCCCCTGCCGGCTCAGTTGTCGGTGCAAGGATAGATGTACGTCTCTCTCCACGGCACTTCGTGCTGCACCTATGACTCATACCATCCTGCAGGCCAATCGCGAACGCAGGACGGCTGCGAATGTACGGGCCGATGTACGGAGAATCCCAAGTGTCCCTGTTTCTATGGTAGGGTCGAGGAAGATGATAAGGGCGTCGACGACGACGGTGCGCCGAGACCCCCGACGTACGCCGAATGCGACCCGCGACGGTGCAAGAGTTGCGGGGCGAGGTGCGTGCTACGAGTACATCGAACGTAAAGACTAGGCCCGGGAAGACTCAACGCGGTCCTTTCGCAGCAAACTCGACTACGATCGGTGTGGCAACATGCAGATGCAGGCAGAGCGCGTGGCGGTGAGGTAGAATCCATTCCGTGTAGGGTGCGCTTTCTGATGTTCCTCGTGGCAGTCCATCGAGGTCAAGCCCTCGAAATACGGCCTCGGCGCGTTCGCGATGCACGACATTCGGAAGAATCAGGTTATCGGAGGTTTGTGGCACTCTGTACCCATGAGCAATCCACCTCACTGAACCATCCACCCCCAGACTACACCGGCGAGATCTGCAGCCGTCTATACATGGATAACATGTGCGGATATCTACCCCCCTTTTCCTTCTCTTTTACCTACGCCATACGGTATCGCTAAACTAACCTCTTTCCCATTCAGGCACGTCCGTGACGGCTTCGCCATCAGCTATATCTTCGAGTTCCAGCGGCAGCATCGCATGACACCCGTCATCGAAGGCGCCACCGTCGGCAACTCGACGAGATATATTAACCACGCGCCGAAGGACCTGGAGGCAAACAAAAAATCTGGCCTGCCCCTTGAGTATACCGAGGACGACCCGACGAAGGCCATTTTCGCTACTTGTGAAGGTCGAGGTGCGTTAGGGGGTTATCTCTCCTTGGCGTGAGCTGACACGGCAGAACGCAGAAACCATCGTCGATGGCGACCTGAGGATGTTGATCTACGCATGTGAGCCTTCTCTTCTGCACGGGATTGGGAGCGCTTCGCTGACAGCGTCTGAAGGCAGCGATATCCGTCTCGGCGAAGAACTGCGCTTGGACTACGGTGAAGATTATTGGAAAGGTCATACGGAAGAGTCGCTGGAGGACACAACGTCAATGGACGTGGACGAAACCCTCGAAACAGTCGTCATTAGACAAAGGCCGGCGCCAGCCTCGTCAAAGACGCGCAGAAAACCGGGGCCAGGACGCGACTCCGAGTACATCCCCGAACTCGAAGATAATGACGATGGTTTTTGAAGGTCCTGCACATGGCTCTACCAGCAAAACGGTATGATTGTCCGGAGTAGAAGCATTATACTTATCGATACATTGCTATGGTACAGTGGTCGTAGGGGTGGGCGTCGAAAAGCAAGCATAGTCGGACGTAAGCCAAAGGGCCCCTGCGAGGTCTAGGGGTAGGAGAAGCGAAGGGATATACACTTAGATATAATTCGTGAGAGCGATAGCTTGGAAAGTCCATCATCCGCTGCGGCGATTCGTGCGGAACGCGCTTAGTACGTGCCGGAGGCCTCACGGCGGCGGCGGTAGCTGCCGAAGATGCCGCAGGACGAGGCGCAGAACCCGATGAGGAGGGCGCCGAATGCACCGAGGCCGATCCAGTTGGCATTGCCCCACTTGGCGTCGATGTTCTGGTCGTGTAGGCGCGACTTGACGATGCCGAAGAGCACCATGTCAATGACCCATGCGACGAGGGTGACGAGGAGGGCAAGGCCGGAAAGCAGGGACATGAAGATGGTCCCCACGCGGTGGTAGCCCGCGCCGCACAGGCCGAAGAGGAAGGCAAGGCCAGATATGCCGGCAGCTGCGTAGAGTTAGTAAGTGTGATACGCAGGGGAGAGGAAGTACGCACCGATCGGGTAGAGGATCAGTACGTAGGTCAGGTTGTGGATGATGTTCGTGTTGACTTTGCCAGCGCTAGAGGTACGGTTAGCGTGGCGCTAAAACGAGGGAAGGGGTAGACGCACTCAAAGTTGTCGATCGCAGGGTTGAAATCATAACCGATGTGCGTCTTGCTCCCTGTGTACCCGAAGACACCAAATCGCGTCTCTCCGTTGGATGTGGGTACGTTCAGGAAGGAGATCTTGTCCCATGTCGGTACTGATACGGAGACCTGCGCGTGGTGAGCAACCCGAACTAGCCAAAGTGTATGGCGCACTCACAAAGATCAGGAGCACCATAGCGGCAAAGCAACAGAAGAGTCCTGGCAAAGCTGGTCCTGCGGCCATCTTGATTGATTACGTCGAGAGGGATAGAATGTGTGAGCGACTCTGGGGACAAGGTCAGTGGCCGCGACTTGAAGACCTTCTAAAGAACGTACAATGGGGGCGTGAGCGGCGTGAGGGTGGGAGACGAAGACAAGAGGTCCGGCCCTTTATTTGGCTGCGCGTGCTGCCTACATCATCGCCCCCGGCTGTGGAGCTGACATGACGTTGGTCCATATGTCTTGGAAAACCTGCGAAAAGGGGAAAAGGCACCTCGGGGCCGGCCGGTGGCGGTGCACTGATTAGCCTTTTTTGAATTCTTCCGCTCTCTCGTGTTCATCTTCGTCTTCTGCCTTTGCCACTGTACGGGCACGCAGGAGGTCGACGACGTATGATTGTGCTCTAATGACGATGCGTGCGCAGCTATAGACCCTTCCTGATCGTCCACACGCCGTCTGTCGAGCGGAAGAGCGGTCGACTGCTTGTCCAGAATGTCTTGGAAGAGGCGATGTTCGAGGTACCGTATCTTCAAAACCTATCCGTGTCTTGAGCACCCTTAATCTACCGCTGAAGGGGTCCCTACCTCACAGCATCCCGCAGTCCTCTCGCCGCTACATCTCCCACCCCGTATGCATCTTCACGCGACCTTCGGTACGCCGCCAAGAATCTTCGTCGGGCTATGCTGGCAGCCTTCCGCACATGTCGAGTCCCCGAGCACTCGAAGACGCCTCGGATCCTTTCTCCCATAGAGGCCATTCAGATTCCGTACAGGCCGAGCACGCGATAAGACACGATAAGACACCTTGACCCGTACCATGACCGCGATCAAGCATCGCGTCGTCGTCACTGGCTTCGGGGTGCGTCCGACCATCGCCTCAAACTTGTCCTCTCGTTATGCGACGACCCAACTAACCGGAACGCTGCAACCCAACAGCCATTTCGCCAGTACACGGAGAACCCTTCCTGGCTGGCAGTGCGCACCCTTCACGATACGGTGATCTATACCCCCGCTGCGCCTGCGCACCATCCGCACGCAGCACCCGAGGCCGTCCATATCACTGCGCTGGAGGTCCCCGTGGTCTACGATGCTGTGCTGTCGACAGTCCCCGGCCTTCACGCAGCGCCGCCAGTCCTACCACCTGGGCTTCCGGACGACTTCCCGCCTCCTCCAAACGACGGATACTCTCTGATCGTTCACGTCGGTGTCAGTCGTGCTGGGCCTCTCCGACTGGAGACGTATGGCGACAAGACGGGGTACAACAAGCCGGATCACGAAGGCAAGCTCGCCGACGTCGTAGACCAGACCAGCGCTACGCGTGGGTTTGCGGACGAGCGATACGCATCTCTCCCGGAACGTCTGCCTATACGCATTGACCCGGATGGACTCTGCGAGCGATGCGCGAAGGACGGGGTTGTGAGTTATCCCCATCGCCCAAGCCTGATCAACGAGGCTCAATTGCGCTTAGAACCTTGTCCCGTCTTCCGACGCTGGACATTATCTCTGCGACTTCATACTCTATTGCTCGCTAGCAGAGTCTAGCCTGTCAGGGAAAGCGACACCCGTGCTCTTCATCCACTGTCCGCCTGTCAACCAGCCCTTGAGCACATCGCAGGTGACTGACGGCTTGAAGGCCATTATAGCCAACGCACTTTCATGCCTACACACATGAACCCTACTACGTAGTACGCATGTCACATGTACTGTTTTTATGCCAGAATAAACCGTCTATAATCCAAACGGACCAGGAGAGCGCTCCGCGGAACGAGTTGATGGCCATTTGTGGACTGTTGTGGGTGTCGGTGGAGGACATCGATGCTGTCACATGACACCCCGGTGCCATGTGTCACGCCCAAGTCGAACGTAGCGTCAGCGTACCCCCAGCGATTCGCTTTACATCTCCATCCCCTAACTGGCTCTCAAAAGAATCATATCACAATCAATCAGAAATGCTGAACCGTCCTCATATGCTGGGCTCACGGAAGATATACTCAAGGGAAAGATGTGATTGCTAAACGGGAATCCGGTGAGTGGGCAGAACTCACCGGGGGCTTCAGTGACACTAACCCTGAGCCTGACTTGCGAAGGCTCCCACATATCAAGAGGAGCACTTGACGCAACCAGAGGACAGAAACATCCTCCTCAATCCATATGTCGGGATTCCTTGATCGGACAGACTCGCCTGTAGCGAGCGGCACTTTCGAAGTCGGACAAGCCCTATGCATTGAGTTGTATATCAAAATGCCCTCTTCAGTACGCCCTATGAGCCAGCTTCCTGCTTCGGATACTCGATCATAGTTCTCTTACAGTCCTGACAACGTCGGCTTGAAGAATGCGCGCGAAGACCGACAGAAATCTCACCTTGGTTCCCTCCCCAGCCTCTGCGGCGCGCGTTCCCCCCATCTGCGTCAATCCGAGCTCATAACCACCAACACCGAGAGAGTCGGCGCGCCTGTCATCGGGCGTCAATTCACGTGTGAAAGAGTGCGGAGCGACGAACCTAGCCCTCGTTACCTCAACGTTAGAAGAGATCTGGCCCGTACCACAGGTCCACCGACACTCCAGCGGCCATGATCCCGTTAAAGCGGTCCACGCAAACTCTGTTATCCACGATATTCTCCCCAGATGTGCAGCCCATGAGTATGCCGCGCAAGGCGTGCACGCGCCGGGCCTCGTCCACCTCCCCGTCCTCGTTCAGCGGCTGCGGCGGATTGACTCGGGACTCAAACACATCTAGCCAACGCAGGACGTCCTCCTCAGGCAGCGGGCTGCTCGCAAGCAGCGTGGTACGCTCCAACTTCGGCAGCAACACACTTCCCGGGTCCTCCGGACGCACCACGAGCGCGTCCAGCAACCTCGGCTCCGTCATCGACGTCCCGTCGAACAGCGTCAGCCGCTGCAGGTGCGGCGTGAGGCGGAACAAGCCCAGCAGATTCCCCCTACACTTGAAGGTGACGACCAAGGTGAGCGCCTCGATACGGCAGTCTGAACGCTCAATCAGCCGCCGCAAGGTCTCGATGCTCTCCTCCACGTCGCACTCCACCTCCAGGTCTTCCAGCGCGGGCAGCGTGAGATGGTCGAGCAGGTCTCCCGGATGGGCCGGTGACCGCTGACCCTCGGAGACGTTCAACGTCAGCGCGCGCAGCCTCGCAAGGGTTATCATGATCCCCTGTGTGGGGCCCGGTGTATGCTCCGGAGGCTCACGCCCCAATTTGAGGTCAGCGAGGGCAGGCATGAGTGGGAGGAAGCGCAAAACGTCGGCCGGGTCAATGTAGTTCGCCTCGAATATGCGGATCTGCTTCCATGGAAGGGCGAAGTTTAGCTCGAGCGCGTGTCCGCCGAGCGAGAGGGTGTCGAGCTTTGGCGCTATTTCGAACATGGTAGGTGTTGTATTCGTTGGCTCGCCGATGCGCGTTGGAATAACCTGCAGGGACTGGAGGGCGGGGATGCGGCCACGGATGACGGCGAAGCGGGGAAAGTCATCGGGGTGGGCGAAGAGGAAGAGGTAGTGCCAGCGCTCGCAGGTGTCGACTATCGGGTTCAGGATGTGCGCCGGGAAGCTGTCCTCGCTCATGACGGTGATGTGCAGCAGGAGCGGGTACGATCGCTGCAGGTAGTTGCGCAGGAGGTCGCTAACGTCGGCCAGTGATCGCCCGGACTCCTCGAGAGCGTCGACCGATATGCGGATGGTCGTCCAAAGGCTCATCGTTTTGCACGCTAGCTCCCTCCAGATGCCGCAGACACGGGTGAGGAGCCATGGGCACTTGGCGGTGTTGTGGAAGAACTGGTTTGGCAGCGAGGCTTCTCGTGCGACGCAAAATTCGAAGATAAGGCCGAGAATTTCTTTTGGTACGCTGTTGGTGACCTTCGGAATGCAGCTCGATATCAATGGATTGGCACAACTCCCTTACCGATCCATGGGACTATCAACGGGCTGATGTGCGCTGGGTTCGAGTGCTGGATGCTGCGATGCCTGCTGGTCGGCGATGCCCTCCTTCGGGGATTCCTTGTGGGATATCATGGTGGCGTTATATCAAGAGAAAGAGGGTCAGTGGGAGATGCACGAACGATGGATTAGAGCGAAGCATTTTCGAGGGCGTGACGTGGAAAGGCAGTTGTCGATATACTAATTGCCTTATATGTAACTAAGCGTCATTATACCAGGTAATTGCACGTGCGCAATGTTGATTTACGGTTCCCCTTACTTTGGCAGCCAGATCACCTGGAGCGTGCACGTGTGTTTGTTGCTACTTATCTTAAATTCAGTAGCGCCTCTGCAGAAGTTTGGCGCCTGACATATGGACGGGGTACACGGTATACCATGTCGCCAGTCGTCGTACTTGCGCATGTAAGTATCGGGAAGCGGCGGGTCAGACCTGTGGCAGACCTGTGGCCAAGATATACTGAATGTGGCCAATGACGGGCTAGTGAAGTGGATGGTCGTTCGAGTGAACAGACATGTCTTCACTTTGCCCTTGCGGAAATTCACTTCTCTCTTGCTCGCGCTACGGTAGTGGAGGGCGTGAACATGGCAGATCATCAAATATTCATTGAGCGTGAACTAGTACTACAGTAACATCAGAAATGCAGAAGACAACGAGAAAGGCAGCAGATTCATGGAACAAACAGCCTGGGAGTAAGAGATAAATGAAACATGCAGAACAGTATCGACTCGCACAGATCTCATCCAGGGCCATGAAAGCAGCGTGGATATTGCGTTGCATGGCGAATAACCTCGTACGTGCAAAGCCTCTACACATGGGCAGCGGTGCCCATCTCGGCATGCTTCGCGTTGCGAGTGGTGATGGGCGCATCGTACGCGCCCGCATGGCGACCGTCGTACTGGGCGTGCATGGGCTTGCCGAAGCCGCCCTTCTTGCTGCCGAGGATGGCGCTCGCAATGACGAGGAAGGTGATAATGACGAAGCCGGACCACGCAATGGCGGTGATGGCAGTGAGGAGGCGGCAGCTGAACTGATACCAGCAAGAGGATTCGTCGCGCCAGTGGGACTGCGCGGTGGCGTTAGCAAGGCGACTGAACATGTTTAGGAGGACTACTCACAGTCGCAACCGCTGCGCCGATGAGCCAGAGCAGCCAAAGGGCGAGGAGGGCACCGAGTTCATGGGCGAAGCTCCTCCCGAACCCAGTGTCGATGCGGCGACGGAGACTATGGATGCTGTGGCAATCGTCAGTAAAGCGGCTGTAGAAGTGAAAGAAGACGTACGCATGGATAGCCCACGGGATGGTCAACAGACTGGACGCGAGCAGCTCGGCAGTAACCTTGTCTGTAAAATTGTGAGAATGCCGTCAATATGATCTGCACCAAGACGCTTACCGTAGGATCCGCGACCAGGCGGCCGGACGGACTCGGTGTTGACGATGCGAGTAATCGTCAGCCCGGCGAGGGTTATCGACAACAGCGTCTACGTGGATGTCAATGGCGAAACGATGCTTTTGAGGCGCAAGGCTCACAAGCAACGTGTAGAGCCCCTTGCGCAGAGGCGAGTGGTCGTAGTGAACGGGCGCGCCGTAATTCCTAGCCACCCCGTTATCGTGGACATCTGTGGCGGTGGTGCCAGTGTTAACGGTGTCAGCGCGGTATGCCATAGCGTGAGTGACTGCGATGACAGTGGAGTGCTGGGAGACCAAAGGTGGGGAAAGGAAACGAAGGAGAATTATTCCTGGACTCAGGGTTTTAAAGCGAGCAGCCAAGGGGCGTCGTCAGATCGTCATCCGAGTGTAGAGCCCATGGAATGCGTAATGCGTGAAGTGTACCCAAGCGCGGGGTCTATGCGTTTAGGTTCCACGAAGGGGATAAGGCGCGGATGGAGTCATGCTCCCGCTTCCTCGAGGACAGGTGACGGTTTAGAAGTCTTCAAAACCGTTCCGAGATGTCTTTAGTACGATGTCCGCTTGAACGGTGAGGAGGGCCATGACGGCGTGCTGTAGATCCGGCGAAAGTCCCTAAAGAGGCAGTTCTGGAAGTCAGTTGTGACATGTGATGACGGAGTCAAGGTCGGCAGGTGCCGTGCAAGCCTGAGTTAGGTATTCCACGACGGTAGAGTGCGACGACCTCTGGTTCTGCCATGTCAAAGAGCCTCACATACGAAGCCTGGGTACGCGGAATACTTCGCGCCGGTGCTTGGCAATGGCGGTGGCACACCAGCTGAACTCATCGGTGGTCGCGTACGTAAGAACACTTTCCGGATTAGGCCGCAGTGGGTTGTCTGCGCCCGCCATGGTCCTCCCAAAGGCCTCACGAATGCTTCCCGCGACCCTGATACTCGCAGGCGCTGCCTTCGCTTCCGACCCATGCGCGGAGATTGCAGGAAAAAGCTGGGTGTTACCTTCCGAAGCACGCGCTTGCCTACGCTCCTTCCCGGTCGACCCCGTCGTTAAGGCTAATGTGCGTTTCGCCTGCCACCTACACGCCTCCGCGCTCTTCGATGCTCTGAACCTTCCGTGTAATTGACCCGTGCTTGTGGCTAGGTCCTTGAAGTCGTGAACAGGACGCTCGCCTTTCATACATCGACGAACTACCAGATCCGGGCGCCTGAGCCTTTTGCGGACCAAGTTCATGAGGACCTTGTACGCGACTTGGCCAGGATTGGTGCCCAAGAGTACGCTTCTGAGTTCGACTTCCATCTCGATGTGTACAGGACGTTCAAGCTCGTCAATGACGGCGTGAGTGCTTCTGCGAACGTCTCTGTTCTGTGACTGAATGAATTCACCCACCATCCCATTAGCATTGCGGCGTGTATAATCTATGTTACGACTGTGAGTCTGCGTGGCACGGAAATGGAAACATAAACTTGAACTAACGCGTGACGGACCAGCACTCTACGTGACGTACCTTCCGACCCCTTTGGTCGTTGTTGATGGCCAAGACGTCCACATAGCCCCCGAGGCCTTCGACGTTGCATCCGCCGAATTCGGGGAAGACATCTCATTTTGGCAAGAGGCTCTTCCGGGTGATCTCAAGGGCAAGCTGCACAAGGCACGTCTTTAGCCTTTCCGGAGGCAGGGTACATCGTCGTCGCGAAAAGTCTGACTTTGCTGCAGCTTTCTGGGGCTAAGGTCCTGGCGATCAATGGAGAGAATCCGTGGGTTGCGGTCAATGCGAATGCTGCTGTTGCTGGGGGCTATCAAGGGTTTGCCACGAGGCAGAATGGGTCAGTTGCATCGCTTGCTTCGCCGTGCGGCGCGTGCTGAGACTTGGCAAACAACATAGGTTTTTCGCATCTTACCGCGCATCCGCGAAATGGGACTACATGATGGGCAACTTTGCCCAGCTCACTCATCCGCTCGTTGACTCTGTGGACCTCATTGTCCAATTGATGAACGAAACTCAGTCGATAGCTCTGGCGGTAAGAAATAACCCAGTTCGCTCGCTCGCCCCTCACTCAGGATCGCACAGCTGCCCTACCGCTCTCGCTTTAGTTCTGCCGCGGTGGACTTCACCGACAGCGCGTCATACAGAGCGAATAACTGCCTCGCCACAAACCACACGAACGGGAGAGACGTCTACGAAACGGATCTAGGTGAGACATCTGCTCCTATATGTCGCCCTCGCAACTTGGGCTGACTGAGACTAACTAACTTAGTGGAGGCGGAAGACTACGTGCCTGCGTCGCTCGCGCGCGTTCAGCAACAGCCCGCGCTCACTGCGCGCGATCGACGTCGGCACGCGGTCAATGTCATCATGGACGACGCGCCGTATGCCGACGTCGCGCTGCCGGAGGGTATACGTCCGACGGGGCCCGCGCTCAATGAGAGCTACAGCGTCGCACAGTTCTACATGCTGAACGACTCGCACACTGGCGTGCTAGCGCTAGGGAGCTTCTCCGCGCCGAATTTCACTGCGTTCCAGGGTAGTTTGCTCAATGGCCTGGTTGCGCTCAAGGCGAGAGGCGCGACGAATCTGATCGTCGATGTGGTGCGTGGTACTTGCCCGGGCGAAGCGGGGTTGGTAGCTCATGATTGTCCCTTCGTGTCTAGACCAACAACGGCGGAGGTAAGCACGGGCTCAACGAACCACTCCACGACGTGCTCCTCAGGCTGACGATCGTTCTCAGGATACATCTGCATTGCCCATGTGAGCCATCCTTTTCATAGCTGCGGCGTTGACTGACTTCATTCCTTGTGCAGTGGCTGCATCGTATCGTACGCTGTTCCTCGCTCTACGCGCGCAAAACTACCTCACGAAGTATGCTTGCAGATCGTCGGCCCGAAGCCAACTTCTGAGCCGCAGGCCGGGCTTGATACGACGACTAGAGCAGGCCCACTCGCTCAGCTGATCGTCAGGCGTATCGCGGAAGGCGCGGACCCGGAGGTACGCAGTGTTCTCGCATATAGTGCTCCCCTGGGTATCCAAAGTCAACTCTCACTAACGCCGCGAGCAGGAACAGCTCTTGTACAACCCCGCTCTATGGCGGAATGCGACGCACCAGCCCTTTCCCGTGGAGTCCGATTGGTTGGAGCCGAAGAAGGTCGTCATCAATGGGCACGAAGACGCCTTCAGCCAGAGGTTAGAGGCCTACCTTCGCTCGTGGTGTACTCGTGGCTAATCAATGACAATGCCGATCTCAGGATGGGTCAGGAGTGCCAGCCCTTTGACATGGACCCGCCTTCCGAGGCGCTTTTCGAGCCGGAGAATGTTATCATCATGTCGAACGGGCGCTGTGCCAGTTCATGTTCCCTCTTTAGCGTGCGTACGGTCCTCGCCTCGTCTGACAGCTGCGAGAGGTTGTGACGCCTTGCGCAGATCACGATGGCGAAAGCGGAGGGCGTGCGCACCCTCGTATACGGCGGCAGAACGGACACCCCACAGCAATACTGCGGCGTCGTGGGTGGGCAGTCAACGGACTTCAGCACCATTGATTCGGAGATTAAGGTGCGCCTCGTGCGCGTTAATTGGGAGCGCAACTCACGCTATGGTTACAGAGCGTCAAATTGAAGAATCACACGCTTGCGCCGCCGGACTTGTACGTTCTGTCTTCTGGCGAGGGTCGACGTCCCGCTAACCCTGTCGCAGCCTCTCAAACAGTATCCAAGGTATAACATGGCGGCTCGGGTATGGCATCGACGACCCCAAGCAGCCTGAAGGTAAATTAGGTACCCTTTCCTCTAGTATCGTAGGGCTAATTGTATGACTGCGTAGAATGGCAGGACCACCCCGCAATGATTAACCTCCCCGTGAGCTACGAGCTGTACGCAACTTTCCTTACTTCGTCTCCGTCCACTCATTGGCATCGTGCGTGCTTCAGGGTCAACAAGCCAGAACGCCTCTGGCAGCACGTCGCGTCGGTGGGGTTCCCTGCGAAGCATCTTAGCTTTGTGGCACAGCAACCGTCCTGAGAGGTCGAGTACTTTGATGGGCCGGAGCTATGTTGCTTCATCCCCGAGCAGCTAGATGGAATTTTGAGTCGGAGTACGATACGGCGTCGGCGTTGGTCTCCCAAATGCGATTTCGGAAATGAATTTGCTGAACGTTGTCCATCTTCGTCGCTACTGGGAGTGCACTTCCATTCATATGATAGGCTAGTCCCGCGCGCTAGCGCGCGGCGGTTTCCGCGGATGAAGATCTAGTACAATACAGGTCGAACTCCGTCAGAGGGCGTGCGCGAGTCACCAGGCTGCACATGATGACGGTTGATACGCGTCACGCTCATTCCGGTTACTACATTGCTCCCAGCGTAAGTTCAGCATTACTTGGACGTGTATACAGTCTTTCGAGTATGGGTGGGACCATTGCTCGCTCCCCGCCATTCAGTGAGGAGGATCTGGATATAAGCGGTACGTCGAGGCACCGGAAGCTCCCATCGCGCTCAAAGACGACGAGGCGGCAAAGGATAACCTTCGGTAGTTCTAGGCATACCTTCTTGTGTCTCAGAACTTCGTTGGTCCTCCTACTGAGTAGCGCTTGTCAGAGGCCTGCTCGTTCGTAGCGAGGGCAAAGGGCAAGGCCAACATCCCGCTCTTCTCATCGGCCTTCCCAGCACCTTGAGGCGGACGGAAAAGGCGCTCAATGAGCTATTCGGGGAGCCCAACGTCCTTCGCTACTTCCCAGACGCATTTTGGGTGTCCAGACCAGCATCACGAGCCGAGAAAGCATTGGTGCGGAAGCGATGGAACGGTCCCATCCTTCATCCACCGCCCCGCTATAGCCCTGCTAAGGCCTTCGTGTCATCAGGCTCGGCAACGAGTTTGCCTCAAGGTAGAGGTTGTGACTGAGTATCGTAACGTTTACAGACCGAGGCTACATATAGGGTGATTTTCGCGCTGGCGAGAGAGGCAGTCAACGACACTAGACTACGCCCGCCGATAGCATGCTGACCTCGCACCCCACTGCTCTTCACTCGCACTCACGAGCGACAGCCAAGCGTGCGGCCTCATAGTCAAGCTGGATCAGCAGAGGACTCCAGGTAGCTACGGGTGTGTCTGCACGAAGTCAGCCATGGACTGACCTATGTCCATATAGAGGAACATATTATTGAGTCGTGAGCGGCGATTTTGCATTCGTGAACCAGTTCTGAAATTTGAGCAGAGCGACAACCATGCAGCCGTCACACTACGACGCCTCGACATGGGCCGTGTACCGCGCGGCAGCGAGCGACGAATCCATGTCGCAGAGCTCCATCCGAGAAGGGCGGCGGTCGAGGAGGCAGTATTCGGCCGTCCCCAAGGCCGAGTACACCGAGCATGCGATGCCAGTGGGTGGCATATGCTACGACCGCTCCAGGATGTATGAGCAGGAGCTTACCTCGACTCGGGTCGCTCACTCCAATCCCGACGTTTGCTACTCGCCGTGGGCGCGAGATGATGAGAAGCGGCAGACTGAGAGACCATGTAGGCATCTTTGTTCGCCTCTTGCCCAAGTACTGACGGCGCTGCCAGATCACGGCTACTACGATACTCCAGAGGCGGTCTACTGGGAAAGCAGCGAACCAATTGCAGGAGGAAATAGCAACTCGCCTGAGATGAGGGCGGCGCAGTCACGCTATGCGCAGCCCGCTATGTACGACTACAGCATCGTGCCTTCGCAGCGCCAAGGTCTTTATGGCCCGTACGGCTCCGCTAACAGCGTCGGTCACGACGGTCGGGGACAAGGTGGCGGTAACCCCGGCCCGCTGAGCAGAAATCAACTGCTGGCGCAATACAGCACCATCGCCGACGCACTCACCCCAGTCGTCAATCATCACCTCCCCTGCCACTCCCCCGAAGCCCAGATCACCGGACTACCATACTCCGACGATCGCGAGCCGTGCGTACCCAATGACACTACCGACACTTGCTCGGCCGGAGAGACAACGTCGAGGAAGGCAGCGTCGAAGCGACATATGTGCACCATCTGTCAGAAGTGTTTTCCGCGGTGAGTGACGGTGTGCGATGGGCGGGACTTTGCGAGACTCACGACGTATCCAGGCCTGGCGGCTTACAAACCCACATGAACGCGCACAACAATGTAAAGCGTGCGCGATCGCTACCTTCCCGCGTTCAAGTTGATCATGCTGACATCTGCCTTAGCGTTCGAATGCGGCCACGACGACTGCTCGATGTGCTTCTCGGTCCAGTCCAACGCTCGTAGACACAGACGCAACGCGCACGGCATCGGTTTCGCCGAGCGCTACGAGGACGCGCAGCGCCGCGTGTCCGCTCCCCCGCCCGATATCACCTTCAATGAGCCTGTCGTGAACGAGCAGGCCGACTATCTTGCCGTCCCACAGCGACTCATGTGGATGCCGCCCAACGACTCCCTCGATGGCTCTCCGCGCAGGCAATAGGCGGCGGTTGCGTGCCCGCATAGTCCTTGCTGATGATTTTCCTTTCTTGACGTACACGATACCATATAGCCTGTTTCCTTACTTCTTGAGACGGTCCCAGTAAGTCATAATATGCCAGACATTGGTATGGTAATACACATGTAGCTTGGAGACGCACGATTCGTTGAAAATCGTGGAGGGCACGAGTCGTTGAAGATCGGTCGCTACAAAATCGTTGAGATCGTCAAGAATCGCTCCGTTGAAGGTGTCACTGTCAATCACTGATGTCTTCAGTCACAGAGATGCGGGACTGAGAGGGACCGTACCTCTCATCTAGTGCTTCCTTGGTGTCAGATCCAATTCCTCTTTGGCGGCAACGGCGCTAGCGCTACTGCTCGACGGATGAGGTCTGGAGGTGCTGGTACGCAGGTCGTCCATAATTTCGCCCTGCTCGGCCTCACGCAGTCCGCTGGCCTTGTAGTCGTCCAGCCAGAAGTAGACCGCGGGAAGGGCGACGAACAAAGCGCCAACAATGTTGCCAAAGAAAGCGGCAAGCAACGATCTAGGCCAAGCTCATTAGCGCGCCTTCAGCAGACAAGAATGTGATGAATCGTACTTGCGAATATATTGGGCTGTCGTCATCTGTGTTCCTCTTCAGTCAAACAAAGGGACGCCTAAAAAGGAAACTCACGTCCGCGCCAAGCATGATGCCAAGTGGGATTGCGAACATGTTTGCCACAACTGGAAGGACTTCGGTGACAACGAATATACATCGACAATACGACATACCATGGTCGAAGGAGCAGGCCACAAAGACCTATACTACTCTCAGAGATGGACACAGGCGCGCGCTCGGTAAGTGACCTACCCAGATGGGGATCCAGATGGAGAATATCTGAGCAAGTCATCAGACCATTTGTGGCACCAAGTGTAGGCTAGGCCTATATACCTTCGAGATGGTCTCTCGCGCACCCGCGGCTTGCTTGGGAAATGTTAGAGCGCTAATCTTGCGAAACGATATGCACATGCGTACCCAGACCGCGACGCATACTAGCCAGTTACACCCTATCCCACGAAGAAAGATCTGGTGCCACTCAGGATCTGCTGCTTTCATTCTGCCAGAAGACGTCAGTCGTTTGTCTAAGAACTAAATCGGGACCTACAGCGCGAACGTCTGGGCATAGGCGTGGTACGGCTCTGCGTCGAAAATTCCGCTATCTGCGGAACCGGTCAGCAGATCTCATGAGCTCATCACGGCGACGAGGACGCACATTTGACCAGTATAGCAGCGAAGAACAGGCTGCCAACGAGATTTCCGACGAAAACTATACGCGGTCACGCGCTAAAGTCAGCGGCACTATGAAAAGCTAAGACTGCATACCGATGATCCAGTTCAGAGGCAGCCCCCACCACGGTACGGCACGCTTCAGAATAGCCATGGGATACACCTGACGCGCGCGCCGCACTCAATGTCGTCCGCAGACAGGTAAACGGCGTCTGCTGACTCACCATCATGTTGCTCGTGACAAGCTCATGCCCTTGCAGTACGATCCTACAATCGACGGAGATCAGCCGAGGTGCATTCTAGCGATGGTCTACGTACATGACGAGGCCTACAGGGAAGACGAAGCCGCTGAGCGCCTTGACGAGCCCGGGGTTGCTCTCCGTCAGTCCAGGCGAGCCGCCGCCCACAATCTCGCTCAAGAGACCGCCGAACGAGAGCATCACGCCTGCGAGGACCTATTGCCATAAGGGCTCAACATGATCTTCTGAAGGTGAGCCCACCTACTCGTACTTACCGCCTTGAAAAAGGTCGTATCCAAGCGCTCGGCATGCTTCGCGACGCCGTGGTTCACCATCGCAAGCGCGACCTCGGCGGGCTTGAGTGTGCTCGGAGCCTCCATCGTGGGCGCGAACCAGATGAGTAGTGGGCACGAATGAGATAAGGACGGTGGTGGCGGAAGACAAGACGTCGTCGCGCCTTGTCGTAAACTTCCACGAGCCTCTTATAGTAATGGATCCACGACTCCGCCGTGTTGATAGTCGGCATCAGGGCTAGGGCCGCGGGCGCGCCACACTCTTCTTCATAGTCGTTGTCTCGCGCGCGCTATAGGCAGACTGGCAGTCCTATCACCCAAAACTCTGTGGTCGATACGATGACCGAGGTAAGGTGCAGACCGCTTGTCAAGATTGCCACCGTGAGCCTAAGGTAACGTGGGAATCTCCAGGCCTCTGTTTTGCTTCCACGGATTATCGGAGTGATCCGAACGTAACCAAATTCAACTTGAACCTACATACACCTACTCAGGCTGCGGGCCGCCTCATCTCGCGCGAGCGCCGGCAGATCTCGCGAAGCTCAGACACACAAACAATACCATTAAATAGGAGCACAACAGGCCGTATGTAATCAACAGAGCAATGAGAACAGTAAACCAGAGAAAGTGAAGAACAATTATTCAATACCGAGGGCAAACCAACAGGCGAAAGCGGGTGCAAGAGAGTACAGTACACTTCGAGGAGGAGAGAGTCAAGCAGGAACAGGACCGGGTCGCGAGCGAAGCTGTGATACATAAGAACATACAGGTAGGTCAGTATTCAGTCAGTATAAGCGTACGTGTCCGACGTGAGTATGTGCGCGAGGTCCTATGCGACAAGGACGATTAGATGCTTTCACCGCGGCCCGCCGCCTTGAGCAGACGCCGACGGTTGCCCTGCGCGGTCTCCAGGCCCTCGCCCGGCGTGTAGAGCGTGCGGTTGAGCGAGCTGCGCTCTTTGCGCCGCAGGTGCGTCGGCTTCGGAAACTCCTCCGGGAGGCCTTGGTTCGGGCCGAAGGAGTGGAAGATGCGCGGGCGCCAGTTCTCCTTCACCTCCATAATTCCGGAGTTTTTGAACTTCTCAACGAGGGCCTCCTTGCCCCTGCAAGCCGGTGAGAAGGTTAAATGCAAGCAGGAGAAACGACGCACTGGTAGTTCGCGTAACACATGTGCAGCACCTTCTCGGAGTTGTACATGTTCCTGGGTGGTGTAAGATTTTGATGAAAGACGTGGAAGTCGCGGCCAGCTTACCACTTCTTGCCCAAGCAGGAGCGGGCGAAGTGAACCAAGTCCTTGACGTCGATGAAGTTGACGCAGGCGTAGCCGACGTTGCAGCCTAGTGAGGGAGTCAGATGAAAACCGAAGAATAATCATGATAGGCAACGTACCGTTCGAGAAGTCCACACGAAGGTACATGAAGTCGATGCGACGCGGGCAGACCTTCGCGATGAAGTGCTGGAGATCGCTGTCCGTCATCTTGTTAGGGATGTTCTTGATCATGACGGTAGTGCGCGTATCAAGCCCCTGCTCGATGCGGTCGAGGTTGAGCATGTTGTGCTCGGCCGTGACACCGGGATCGCGGCTTCGCGCGTTGGGCCCCTGCCGACGGCGCAGCCCCCGCGGCGGAGACGAGCGACGCATGTCCTCTCCCGGGCCTGCACCCGAGGTCGATTCGTCGGAGTAGGGGTACGTCAGCTGCGCGGCGTGTTGCGGCGGCGGCATATACCAGAGGTCGTCCGGAACGAAGCCATGAGGCGGCGCGGGCATCATTGGCGCAGGCGGCGTAGCCTCCCAGTACTGTGCAGGTTCGGGCTGAGGCGCTGGTCCGGGGACACCGGGAGGCGCGTAACCGCCATAGTAGGGCATGGGCTGTCCGTATTGGAGGCCGGGAGGTAGCATAAAGCCGGGCGCGTGCTCGAACGACATGGGCGGAGAGCCCGTAGGGCAGTGCATCCCGGGCGGTGGGTATGGCGCAGGATGGTGCGGATAGAACATAGAGGGGTGAGGGACCTGTGGCGACGTGGGGACGCCTTGGTAGAACGGGGGGTGCTGTTGCTGAGGATGGGAAGGCAGGGGCGAAGGTGATTCCCCATACGCCTGCTGAGGCGCGTGCTGGAAACACGGCTGCATGAAGGCGCGTAGGTCGACGGCGTTGGGGTGACCATGGTGCGCGAGACGCGGGTCGGAAGTGAAACGGTTTTCGTTGGTGTTAACAGGCGGCTCCGTGAAGTGCTGAGCAGGGATGAAGGGTCTCGGTCCGCCGACGCGTCCTTGCGGGATGAGAAGAGCCTGAGGGTCCGCAGAGAGATCTTGGGGGACGAAGGGAGGAGGAAGCTCGTGTCGCGCGCGAGGTGTGAAGATGGGCGACGCGGACTTGGACCCGTCGGCGCTGTTCGCTTGCAGATGCGCACGCCAGCGCATGGCAATGTAGTCTTGGTCCTGTGTGGCATCGAAGTGCTCGCTGCTGTTCGTCGCCTGCGACGAAACATCAGCCGGTGCGTGCGCAGAAAAATGCACTGTCTTACCACAATGGCGCGCGATACAGTGTCCGCGTCTTCATGCAGTACATCCTCGACCTCTTCATCGGTGGACATGGACCCGAAGCTCGTGGTGGTGCGCAGGGTTGACGAGGGGGTGAGAGGAGGGGTGAGGAGGGCCCTGTTCCGCTCACGCTCCCCACGAGAGTCTTGACGCGCCTGCGCGGGGGCAGCGCGCGCAGGCATGTTCATGACCGCGTCCGATATCGCAAACGACGCGTCGCGAGAGTGAGAGGGGCTTTCGTCCATGATGATAGACGACGGAGGGGACGGAAGGGCGCTGCAGGAGTGTGGTCGCTCGGGGATGCTTTGAGAGGGATAAGATGGCGGTCAGGACCAAGAAGGAAGCACGGTGGATGAAACTCGCGGACTGACTGGATATTTGGCAGCGAAGCTGCCTGCGGGACGTGCCGTCGTGTCGGCTTCGGGAGCCTCACAACGATTTGCGGATCGGCGTCGCTGTCGAAGAAGAGGCTCATGGTGGGGTAAGAAGGCGACGTACATGGCTGGGAGCAGGGAATATATACCTATGTGCCTCCTCCTGTGAATGAGATCAGTCACATATGCGGCAAACAAAAGTTAAAGACGGCCGACGCACCGTGCACGAGCCAACGGAACGGAGACTACAATGAACAGGCGAAGGGGTAGCGCTGCGTTTGGCAACTCTTCTTCCATGTCTGGATGGGGAGCCCATTGGCCGTGCGCGGGCGAAATGCGGACGAGTCGGCGGAAGTTCAGAGCGCCGCCGCGGTCGACGCGACAGGAGCGCGGATCTTGTGCTAAACTTTCGAAGCTCCCGGTTGCTGGGGGCGAGGCGATTAAAGGACCGAGTGGATGCAGAGGATCTTCCGGCGTCGAGAAAAGAAAGAAAAAGAGCACAGGCGGCGGGGACGGATGAGGAGGGCGAGGTCCGCGCATGGTGGTAATCTTCATAAGTCGCGACCGCCAGGCCAAGGCCAAAGCCTAACATGGGTTTACTGAATTGAGAAACCCTCTTCCATTCGCACGCTGTCAATGAGATGGGATCGCCTCCAGGGCGCTGGTATCATGCCGTTATGCCTGATGCCCGCTTCCGGAGTACGCATTAGGAAGCGCAGCTGCCAGATTGTCCCGCGCCAAAGCACGTCGAGTCTTCGAAGGTAATCCCTGTCGTAGCTATCGTCATAGTCTCGCGCGGCGATGAGAAGATGAGGTCCTGGACGACGTTGAGGGTGGTGGGATGGTCACCCTGAGGGCGATGATCAGGGAAGAAAAGATTAGCTGTAGTCATAGAGAAGACATCATGGCGATGCAGGGCCGCCTGAACTTTGCCCGAACTCACGCAAGCGCCGCCACGCCCAGAGCCCGAGGGGGCGGCGCATCGCCGTCAGTTCCGTGAAGATGCCACGCGACGAACCAAATAGCACCATGCAGCGCATCGGTTGTGTCGACGCTTCCTCGGCTGCTCGCGTCAGGTTGCAAGACAAAATGAGTGCATGTACAACCTGGGCAGAGAATCAGCAAGGCAAGGAACAAGATGAAGACGCCCCCTCACATAGCCAACTACGATGCGATGCTACACTGGGTTAGACGCGCATGGCAATACTCGACATTGCGCCTTGCTTAAACGGATCGGCGCCCCGACGTGGAATAGCGTCGAACGTGTATACCATCCGCAGCGCCCTTACGGCATCCGGTCATCCTGCACTCGCCCCCTCACCGTTTCAGGCAACAATCTCCAGCCCAGAAGAGCGCCCGCGTAGCGGTCAAATCGCGTCTGTCCTGTCGTAAGGAGGGAAGAATACAGTTCGTTTCGCGACAAGCGCGATGAATCGATAAGAAGCGCCCGTGCGCGGGGCGCGTGGTAAAAAACCATGGCGAGCTTGCAGGACGCCGCCGAGCTCGACGGGGATGGCCTTTTGCATGGTGGTGAAGCTGGGGTATCCGAATGTGATAGATTACTGTGTTGTCATGACAGGAATAGGAAGACATACCGGCGCTCTCCAACGGCCCCACCCCGCGCGCGTACATGGAGCGGCTTACTCGGTGAGCGGGGCCAAGTCCTCGAGGCCGCACAAAGGCGGTGAACTCAACATGCAAGCGACAATGTCCGTCGATCAAGTCGATCGTCCATTCATTATAGCAGCGTCGCGGCTGCGCGTGCAATTGAGACTTGTTTCGCGAGGACCACCCTACAGGGTATTTCTCCAATTCGTCGCCTCGATCAGTGACCTTCATCATGAGCCCCAGTACAGTACGCGAGCGGTACAACGACATCCACCGTCGTCCTCCTGAGCATGCACCGTCCGCCTCGAGCGGTAATGAGCTTCGCGATCTCTATGAACTCGGATACAAGAGACATACCGGAGATCGATACGTTCGAGCATGCGCCCGATCCCTCCCATGGACGCCCACTCCTCGAGGAACGGAATCCGGTACCAGGGAGCACAAGGGGAGCGCATGTGCGCTTTACGCCAGCCCATGGAGTTTACGCCGGCCCGTGTAGGTTACTATGCGCTGGCGAGCACTCTTGCTGCGGACCTCGAGAATAAAGTTCATTGAGCAAGCATCTGCATGACGAAGGTAAGGAGGATAGAGAAACGGAGATTCCGGCCGTTAGGTCCAGTAGCGTGCGGGGTTCTCGGGCAGGGGCGATCGACGATGGATAAGTATGTTCGATGGGCGGGGTAAGCGCCTATGAGAATGATTGAGTACCGCCTGAGCAGGAAGGAGCGAGCAGCTTGAGATTGGCGGGACGCTAGGTCGCCCTATAGAGCGGGGACTGCATGATGGCGAGATCGGGGCGACTTCGTGAGATCGTGAGAGTCGGTGAGGTGAAGCTGAGGTGGATGCGCGACAGAGAGATTGTTCCCTGCTTCGTAGAGGGATCCGCAGGGACGTTGATGCTGGGGCGGTGAATGGGAGGCGCTTGTTGAAGGATTGGCGCCCAAATATACTAGCAACTCGGCGTAGCGCCAGGCAAGGCAGTCACCTATAGTATACCGATGTCACGCAGCTGATTGTCGAAGCTGGGTCAGTGCTATGGAGGATGAAAGGTAATAAAGCGTGGCGAGATAGGTTCACGATTGGGGGCAGCGGCAAGAGACTGGTGGGATCAAGGTCGTCGAAGACAAGTCACGGACGGAAGATTCCGAAGCGTGTCGCGGAGCTCCGGCCCGAGAAATACACTTGTCATTTGTGGCCAACCATCGCCTGAGGTGGCAACATATTTTGAGGCTGTATTCGAGGACATACCGGGTCTCTATCCGAGAAAATTCTGATCACAGTAACTAGGCTCCTCCGTATCCCAGGCGACGAACTAGAGGAAGACCGAGGCAGACAGTGATCCAGGCCTGGTGCGCGAACAAACCTTACGGTTTATCATAGGGGAAAGGGAACGCACATTGTACCACGCGCAGGACCTCCGGTCAGCCTCTAGAGTATGATCCCGCAAGAAAGAGACCGTAGTCGCGACCCCGAGAGCGTACAAGAGCACGCCGACGCCCGCGTGAGGCAGCCAGACGTGCAGGAGCAAGGCAGACCATGCAATGATCAGAGCACCCAGGGTCCATCTGGCGATTCTGGACGGTAATATGATAGGGAGTGTTCTGCGTCCAATTTTGAGATCCCCGACTCGGTCACGGAAATCTTGGGCATGAATCTATGCGGCATAAGCATGGTGGATGGATGGCCAATTTCACAGGCTTACGGTCGTGGTCAAGAGTAGAGCAAAAAGGAAGAGGGTCTCGTGAGATTGTGGAGGAAGCGGCAGGTCATCGGCTTGAGATGATCACAAAGGCACGATGGTAAGCCTGTGAGCTCTACAACGGCTATAACGACTTACCAAAGCAAACAGCGGCACCCCAGCTGCACATCATGATACCGAAACCGGTCATAATCGACTTCAAGGCCCAAAAGCGCGAGAGATGGCCGTCGTTGTAAACGGTCGTGCCCAAGACGTAGACAGTGCTCAAGGGTAGAGTATGACGTCGTGCGCTAAAGAACAGCAACACGACAACGATGCCGCGGTGCAGGTGGATGGCATTATCGAGGGTGATGCGTCCAGAGGCAATCGGTCGATCCGGCTTGACGAGGCGGTCTTCCTCGACGCCGATGATCTATATACCGTGCTGAGATCGTCTGAGCTACACGACCCAGTATGAGAGGTACCTGATTCCTTACCTGACGCCCGAGTACGACGTCAATAAAGGCGCATTGTAGACTAAATCAAAGGAACTTACTACACACACTAAAACGTGCAAAGTGACCCAGATCAAGCCGTTCAGAAGCTTCAGCACAGAAGAACATCCAGAGATGCCTGCGGTTAGTAATACCTGTATACCGAATAAGCACCCTTCTTGTCAGGTCAATGTGTGGACTCAGTATGTACAGCGGGGAGTACGGAGCAGAGGAGATCCGACTTGACGAAAAGCGCGAGAACATTGCAAGATTCGCGCAACTGCTTGGGCGCGGTGGAGTCGCAGAAGACGAGGATAGGACGGGAGAGTTGCTTCGCCAGTAACATAGCGACTACCCTGCGCAAATTAGCATCCCTGCGCGAGTCAAAATTAAGCGTCGTCGCCACACCTGAGCTCGTAAGGATCAACGCTTATACAACGACGACTCGGCGAAGGAAGACATTGAATAGGGCGTAGACCCCTCCCTCTTATAACGGGATTCGAACGTCGCTCACGGGAGACCTGCATGCTAGGTGTCGCCAAGCCCGAGGGCGGAGGCTCGACGACCGCGTCGTGCGTCGTGAGCAAATCCGAGGAAACACGGTGTTAGAAGCGAGTGATAGGTTGCCCCAGAGTTTTCGCCTGACATCGAGGCAACGACCTTTCAAGCCCTGAAAAACCAGGGGCGCTGTGTAGAGGAACGTCGCCAGCCCAATCGTCGATCTAATTTCTAGCTGCTATCGCTCTTCAGAGAAATTGCTGCGTTTGCGGAAGATTGCTTGAGAGCAGATGCAGTTTCCCGTTGTAACCACGATAAGCCTGTCTGCATGATCATCGAGAGTCGCAGATGGATGTCGGCGACAAAAGCTGGAGAAAGCCGAGAAGCAACCCGGACACTCGGACCGTCCCGCCCGACCACGTGCGGCGCACACGATCGCGCCCGCCTCCGTTTTCCCGCCGCTCACCTTGGGCGACGACACCATGCCTCTCTACCAGCTGCTATGCATAACGGTGCACTCCCCGGAATATGTGCGTATCTTCTTCTGCTCTCCCTGAAACCTCGGTCGCACGTCTCAGAGGGCGCTCGAACTGACCAGATTCCTTCGCGCGTTACTGAACATGACTGACCGGCCTTCTGCAGAAACATATCAAGGAGCTGGTGCGCCAGTCCGCGCAGCATGTTATGCACGCTGGCGGCGTCGTGCGGAGTATCGACTCGTGGGGGACGCGTATGCTGCCTCAGCGCATGCGGAGGCATAGGCAGGCGTACAACTACGGAGAGTGCGTGGGCTTGTTTTTTTGTGGAAAGGGCTGTATGCTGAGCGACTTTCTCCCTACCTCCTTGCGCTTTCTACACCGCTCGTCTGTACAACGCTCACTCGAAAACGCTGCACTTCCCATGAACCACCATCCCTTCGGCGCGATCACAGCTATTGGACATTGCACTTCGACACCGCGCCACGGACGCTCAGGTCCCTGAACGGCATCATGCGCCAGGACCCCCGTGTCATTCGCTGGTCGGTGCTCAAGCTAGCGGAACGCCCGGAGGAGCTCGCGACGGAGGGCAAGAAGGTCATGAAGGGCTCCAACCTCACGGCGGAGGACCTTGTCGACCCTTAACCAGTTCCTCAACTTCCCTCACCAGCCGCTCCGGGATAGAAGTGCTCGCGTCCCGGTTCTATCATTTCCATTCATGTGTTGCACTGCACGTACCGCTACTACTACACGACATGGATGCCATGCTAGTCGCCCCTCGTTTGCCCGAGCTATGCTCCCAGCCATTTCAAGACACCCTGCAAGTTCTGGATGGTCTGCACGCCGTCCAGGTTTTCGCCTTCTTCGACGTGCGCTTCAGTGTCGCCTGGCCGGCGCAGCAACAATGCGTGAATGCCAGCAGCCGTTGCGCCGCGGTAGTCGCTGCGCAAATCAGGTCACGGAGTGCACGTATCAATCCAATGTCCGGACGTACGCTTCGAGCTCGTCGCCGACGTGTAGGCACTCCTCAGGCTTGATAGATGGGTCAACGTGACGCATGGCTTCGAGGAAGATATCCGCTGAGGGCTTCGCGATCTTGGCTTCTTCACTGAGCACAATGGGGCCCAAGTAAGGTGACAGCTCGAGGTCGCGAATGGCCATGTCTGAGGTGCAGGTTAAGCGCGTCAGGTGGTGCAATGTGTGGGTAGGGCACTCACGCATCCGGGAGTCTGCATTGCTGACGACGGCGGTGCTTATGCCCAGTTCCTTCAGACGCGTCACTGACTAGTATCAGCCTCGCTGCAATCGTACCCCAGGCAAGACTCACGGACGGGCAGCGCGTCGTCGAAGGCCTTGTATCCTTCGTGTGAGCTGAACACCTTCAGCAAGCGAGGTACGATCTCATCCAAGTGTTTGTCGACATCTGACCCAAGTCAGTCAGACTTCCAGATATTGTGAAGCGCTGCGCCTCGCACCTTGTGGATCGGCACCTGCATCCAGCGCCGTCCTCTTGATGACCTCCCCCCACCATGTATGACTTCCCTTGGCGTACGTCAGGTCCGACTTGTGAATCTCCTTGAGTGCTTCACGTACGTGTTACCAGCGTGTCATGTACACGATACTTCCTGCTCACCCGTCTTGAACGATCGCTTGAGCGCATCTGGATCGAGGACGCCGAGATAGGGCGCGAATGTGTTGGAGTACTGGACGTGGATGGGAGCGCGGGGTGTGATGAGGGTGTGCAGGGCGTCAAAGGTGACGAGCCGTATACCGCGGTAGGCACTCATGACCGTGCGCAGGACGGAGGGTCATCAGGATACATTGACTCTGAGTGGTGCGGATCGCGGGCCGTGAAATGATTTCGTCGACGTCATCGGGCGCTTGACGAGTTGCGAACGCGTCGTCGGCGCCTTCGCGTCGTGCCTTCATTCGCAGCTTGTCCGCAACCACGACGTCCTACAGTCATCATGTTGGGTTTTCTCTGGCGGCACCAACCTTTCAAAGCGGCATACATCCTCTGGAAGCTGTACGCGACAGGCATATTTTGGGTTCCCCTTTGGACGACGATCGCGCTCGTACCGTAAGTGCTCTAGCGTATGTGTATGCCATCTTGCGCTAATGCTGCCCATGCAGAGCGTTTCGACCGCGAAGGTCCTGGAGTATATTGAAGACCATCAAGGTTCAGCTCATCAGGAGACTTGTCGCAGTCAGTTCCGTGTAAGTCGTGTTCAGCGCAGTATTCATTCGTCCGTCTAATCCCCCTGCGCAACAAGCACCGGTCCACTATTCTCAGAGCCGAACCACAACAACTTCGTTCCGACTTTGAACGGCGCGGGCGTCTGGGTCAACGCCGCACCTGAGTTGATTATTGGACCGGTGAAGCTATGGGCATCTATGACTGGCGTGTTGCCTGCGCGCATACCAGGATATTGGATGCACCCTAGAGGGTCTACCAAACACATAGGATCACGTCCAGTCGCTGGTGAAAAGGTCCTCTACTCCCTACATGGAGGTACGTGCTTTGACAACGTCCATGTCGGGTAACGCAGTCTGACGTCCCTACTCCCAGGTGGCTTCACTGTGGGCTCCGCTCACCCGGATCACATCTTCTCGAACGTTGCGCGGCGCATAATGGACTATTCAAAGACAGTCCGCCGCGCATTTGCTGTCGAGTACCGGCTGTCCAAGGCGTCGAACGGGGTCCGGGAAAATCCGTTCCCCGCCGCTCTTATAGACGCTCTCGCAGGATACAAGTACCTCATCCAAGTCGTCGGCTTCGCTCCGGAAGACATCATCCTAGAAGGCGACTCCGCTGGCGGCGGGCTCGCCATCTCTTTGGTCCGATATCTCGTCAACCATCGGGACTCTGGCCTGTCACCGCCGCCCGGCGCCCTGCTCCTGCTCTCACCTTGGGTTGACCTCGGATGCTCTCACGAAGTATCACCCCCGCCTTGCAGAATATTCGTTGCCGACATCGATCCCGAACCCACTGGCTGGGACGATTGCAAGGAAGCGTACATCGGACCCGCGCTCGGGCAGGGTTTCGCTGACATGAACCCCTACGTCTCTCCTGCCGCAAAGCACCCCGCCGCAGATGCGACCTCCGGCAACTTCCCTCGCACCTTTATCGCCGCAGGCGGCGCCGAGAACTTGTTACCACAAATTCGACTCCTCCGCGATCGTATGGTACGCGATCTTGGTACAGAGGGCGGTGGTGGGAAAGTGGCATACTATGAGGCGGAGGATGAGCCGCATGATTACCTGGTCTTTGGCTTCGAGCCAGGTACGAGGGACACGTTGGCGCGGCTGACGAAGTGGCTGGATGCATAGACATTTTACTCTGAAGTGGCACTGACACGGAAATTTCTCACTTGCATCGAATGTAACTTCGATGATATCTTTTCTTGCAGTTTGGGTTACGAGAAGTGGTTGATGTAGGTAGTCCTTGCTCATCGTCGCGAAGACCCTCAAATATCTGTCTCAATCGACCCAACGCCACGATTCATGTAACGAAGCTTCGACCTGAACACCTCGAAGCTCACAGCCCTTCACCGCTCTAACAATGACAGGGCAATTCGAGCTCGAACTGGAGTGATGTATGCTGTGTTGCCGGATTTTCGCTAAAAAACAACGGCCTCAGTCGAACATATCTCTCGAGAAAAAACACTCGAGTATGAATAGCCATGCTCATGTGAGTGGGCGTGGCTACAGAAAATACTGTAGAACGAACCAAGACCGAACCAACTGGCGGGGTTACCCGAGTCACGTGTATGGTTCGACTTCGGAGCCGGTCGGACGCAGATGGATTCCAAGGACGTCTTGTTGCATCCTGATCCCCTTCTCTTTTGTCTCCCTTCGTCTGACTGCGCCTCTTTCTTTGCCTCGATTCCTACTGTAACTCTTCTGCTGAATGGAAAATCACTGGAAACGCCTTTTAGCAAAAGCCCTAATTTTTCTTCAAGCTACAGCGTCCAGCGCACCGTAACATGCGGCCCTAAACAGGACATCATGTGAGGGGAACCTAAACAAGCACAGTCACTCTAGCTGACCATCGACATGTGAAGGGTTTGGCATGGCTTGAGCGCAGGCGGCGGGATTTGGCTGGGGACAATAGAGCAGCTGAGCGCTCAACGTTATCCGGCCCGGACTGACGGCCGCCGACATCGATGTGTGAACTGCTCACCCAACACACGACCTTCGCTGGACTATCCCGCGCACGTTGACCTTAATGGCAGCGCCCGTTGCGCACAAGCTAAACCCGCCGTTCCGAGGCGATCACAACGGCTCGTTCCTGCGCCCCAAGGAGCTCTTGGAGGCCCGAAAGCAGGCATACGAGGGCAAGCTGTCCCCCGAAGACCTCAAGAAGCTTGAAGATAAGCACATCGCTGAGCTAGTCAAAAAGCAGCAGGATGTGGGCATCCGCGCGACCACCGATGGCGAGTTCAGGAGACAGTACTTCCATCTGGGTACGTCCTTAAAGTGGGCGTCATCGTGCGAGGGGGTAACAGCATCGTTCAGATTTCTTGAAGAAGCTCGATGGTGTAACGGTGACCGGAGCAATCAGGTCCATCGAAGGCAAGGGAGGTATGATGCCTCCCCAATTGTCTGTGACCGACAAGGTGCGCGATCGAAGGCGTGCGTCTGGATAGCGTGCTCATCATTCGCCCTAGCTCGGCCTGTCAAAGCCTATCGTGGTCGATGACTACAAGTATGTTCAATCCCTCATCGATCCGTCGAAGGGATATGTACCCAAGATCAACATCCCGTCGCCAACTATGGCTCACTTCCGGGGTGGCGTGAGTTGGACCGGATCTGTGTGCACTTGGTGGCGCATTGACGCCATCTGAAGCGGGCCGCGATCAGCATCGACGCGTACCCTGACTTAGATATGTTCTTTGAAGACTTGGCCAAGGTCTTCCGGCTGGAGATCGACGCGTTATACGCAGCTGGATGCAGGTAAGGGCGGACCTCCTTCGAAAGAGTTCAGCTGTTGACGGATCTCCAAGGTACATACAGCTCGATGATACCAACCTAGCCTACCTATGTGACCCCGAGATGAGGAAGTCAGCGGCTGACCGTCACGGCGATGTCAATGCCTTGCCTCGTCAATACGCCAAACTCATCAACGCCTGCATCGACCATCGCCCAGACGACCTCCGCATCGCCATCCACCTTTGCCGCGGGAATTACCGCTCGACCTTCTTCGCCTCTGGTGGCTATGAGCCCGTGGCGGAGGTGTTATTCCGAGAGCTGAACGTCGACTGCTACTTCCTCGAGTGGGAGAACGAGCGGAGTGGAGACTTCAAGCCTCTGAGGTTCCTGCCGCCAGGCAAGGTTGTGGTGCTCGGCTTGGTCTCGACGAAGGAGTCGGCGATGGAGAAGAAGGAGGATATTATCGCTAAGATTCACGAGGCGGCCAAGTACGCGCCGCTGGAGCAGCTTGCGTTGAGTCCTCAATGCGGGTTTTCGTCCACGGAGGAAGGAAACAATATTTCGGAAGAGACGCAGTGGGCGAAGATGAAGCTCGTGCTGGAGATAGCGAAGGAAGTGTGGCCGGACGCGTAGTAGTCCCCAGCTCTTGAAGGACCATGTATACTATGTTTTCTTGGATTGCTGAGTACGGAAGGGCCTTACTGTATGTAGGAAAATAACGAAGACACACATTGACTGCGGCAACCGAGCCGGTTTGCAGTGCCGACTCAGTTCGTCACCGGAACGGTGGCGCGGACCAAACACGACAACACACGTCTTTATAAGGGCATCGCGCTGGGCTGTGCACTCACACTTCTCTTTCTCGAACCAACATCATCTTCACGAGCCTTTCTCCCAGTAATGTGAGTAGCCTGTCCCTAGATGCGTGCCCGCTGGGTTTGGCGATCCCACGGACATCCAAGGGCTCGCTTAGTGTCGTTGCAGCGCGCTGACGGTTCAACAGCATGCAGATCTTTGTCAAGACCCTTACTGGCAAGACCATCACTCTCGAGGTTGAGTCCTCGGACACCATCGACAATGTCAAGGCCAAGATCCAGGACAAGGAGGGGTGCGTGCCTATCATGTCTCACCGTTGCGCCTTGCTTATCATGCTATAGCATTCCTCCCGACCAGCAGCGCCTGATCTTCGCCGGCAAGCAGCTCGAGGATGGCCGCACCCTTTCGGACTACAACATCCAGAAGGAGTCTACTCTCCACCTCGTGCTCCGTCTCCGTGGCGGCATGCAGATCTTCGTCAAGACCCTCACGGGCAAGACTATCACCCTTGAGGTCGAGTCGTCGGACACCATCGACAACGTCAAGGCGAAGATCCAGGACAAGGAGGGCATTCCGCCCGACCAGCAGCGTCTTATCTTTGCCGGGAAGCAACTTGAGGACGGGCGCACGTTGTCCGACTACAATATTCAGAAGGAGTCGACGTTGCATCTCGGTGCGTTATCCAGCATCGTCCCTCGTTCTGCATCTGACTCACCATGTCTTAGTCCTCCGTCTGCGTGGTGGTATGCAGATCTTCGTCAAGACCTTGACCGGGAAGACCATTACCCTCGAGGTCGAGTCGTCGGACACAATCGACAACGTGAAGGCCAAGATCCAGGACAAGGAGGGCATCCCTCCCGATCAGCAGCGTCTTATCTTCGCTGGCAAGCAGCTCGAGGATGGCCGCACTCTCTCGGATTACAACATCCAGAAGGAGTCGACTCTCCACCTTGTCCTACGTCTTCGTGGTGGTATGCAGATCTTCGTCAAGACGTTGACGGGCAAGACGATCACGCTCGAGGTCGAATCCTCTGACACGATCGACAACGTCAAGGCGAAGATTCAGGACAAGGAGGGCATTCCCCCGGATCAGCAGCGCCTCATCTTCGCCGGCAAGCAGCTGGAGGACGGTCGCACCCTGTCTGACTACAACATTCAGAAGGAGTCGACCCTCCACCTTGGTACGTGCTGATCTCTTCTACCATATGCCTCTTTGCTCACCTCTTTGTAGTCCTTCGTCTCCGTGGTGGTCTCTGAATCCTGGGTTGACCCCGTTGTATTACCACTAGCTTTACGACCTCGTACATGACGGACTATGATTTTAGTGTTGGTTTAGAATGACTAGCTGTCACACGAAAGCTGTCTGATTGTCTGAGCATCACCCAAGACGTCGCCCGAGTGTCTTTGCCGTCATGGTCGCGTCGCGTCTCATCGGGCCGCGTCGCGCACAGTGCCCACGTGTCCCTTTGCTGGCGTACCCGTGGACTTCACACTGCGCCACAAAAACTGCTTGAAGTCAACGTCCTCCTTTCATTTTGCTGTACTCCAACGGATATCTGGCATCTCCATCTAACCATGTCGGGCACATTCAAGGCTGTACGCCAGATGCGTTTTCATCGCGGGAAATCTTGTCTACTGACGTTCCCTCCCCGCAGATCGTCAAATGTGATTTACTTCCCCTGCTCGTGTGCAGCGCGAAGGCTAATGCTTGCTTTGTGTAGCTGTCATCTCTGGGGACTCCCTCGTTCTGCGTGGAAAAGCTGGTCCGCAAGGGCAACCTCCCAAGGAGCGGTGCGCATACCTTGTACGCGCGCGCAATGAACGCGACTGATCGTAACGCGTCTTCTCAGCATTGTGCATCTTGTAGACGTCGTGTCACCTAGGCTAGGGAGCGCAACGAGGGAAGATGAAGTGTGTGGTCGTTTACGCAGGTGCAGCAGTCACTGATCGCCCGCGCCAGCCTTGGGCCTTCGAAGCACGCGAGTACCTGCGCGCCGCTGCTGTAGGCAAGGAAATCACCTTCACATCCACGCACTCGCTACCGCCGAACGACGAGACCCTTCGCGACCTTGGGACGGCAGACATCGGCGGGCATGATCTGTCCGTGGAGCTCACCAAGGCAGGCTGGGCGACTGTGAAGGATCACAAGGGCGCAGACGAGGACCCTCGTACAAAGTGCGTGGCATGCATTCCTCAATTTTACCCAATCTGATTTCCCCCTTAGAATGCTTCGCGAGCTGGAAAGCGAGGCGAAAGCGGCCGGCAAGGGTCTTTGGAACCCCCATGGCCCGATGGTGCTTCCACTCTTCCCCTCCCCTCCATTGTTTCCCACTCATCATAACTCCGTAGGCCCGCAAAGTCCACTACACGATGCCGGAGGACTCCCAGGCCTTCCTAACGGAGTACAAGGGCAAGCAGCTTGACGCGATCGTCGAGCAAGTACGCGATGGTACAACCCTTCGCGTGCGTCTGTTGCTCGATGGCGAACACCAGATGGCAAACATCGCGCTCGCTGGCGTGCGCAGCCCTCGGACTGCTGCGAAAGCCGGTGAAGCTTCTGAGCCCTTCGCGGAAGAGGTGCGCACTCAGAACCCTTCTCAGGGGAGTGCAGCTCATAATTCATCCTATTCTTGACAGGCGAAGTTCTTCGTGGAGTCCAGATTATTGCAGCGCTCCGTCCGTGTCCAGATATTGTCCTTGCCAAGTGCTGCTGCCATGCCTTTGCAAGGTAACGCGGCGCCGACGACGGCTACCATATTCATCGGCACAGGTACGTTCATAACACCAATTCCTTCGGTCGTCGAATTGACAACTCCTTCAGTGCTTCACCCAGCTGGTAACGTCGCCGAGTTCCTCGTATCCGCCGGCCTCGCACGCATCGTTGATTGGCACGCCGGCATGCTCGCGCCCAGCGGCGGGATGGAGAAACTTCGTGCGGCAGAGCGCACAGCAAAGGAGAAGCGCCTGAACCTCTACGCCTCGCTGCCTGCACCGTCTGCTAACAAGGCCAACGGCTCAGCACTCAATGGTCAGCCGCGCAACTTCGAGGCGACCGTCGTCCGCGTATGGAGCGCAGACCAGCTGAGCTTGCTACCGAAGGACTCAAAGACAGAGCGCCGTGTCCAGCTGAGCTCGACTCGTGGGCCTAAGTGAGCTCTCACCTATAAGCTATGTTTACCGTTACTGATTGTTTGCATAGACCTTCGGACCCGAGACAAGCACCCTACGCGCAGGAAGCTAAGGAGTTCTTACGGAAGAAGCTCATCGGCAAGCAGGTCAAGGTCACCGTCGACTTCATCCGGCCAAAGGAGGGCGACTTCGACGAGCGCGAATGCGTCACCATCCGTTACGGGAACCAGAATGCGTACGTCTCTTGGGCCTGACTGTATGCCATCTTGCTGATAACGTACCTGCAGCAACATCGCCGAGCAGCTCATCGAGAAGGGCCTTGCGACTGCGTTGCGCCACAAGCGCGACGACGAAGACCGCTCTCCAGACTACGACAAGCTGATGGCCGCGGAAGCAGCGTGAGTGGCTCCGGCTCTGTACCATTCTCTATCCTAACGTTGACTTTTCCAGTGCAGTAGGCGAGACGCGCGGCATGCACTCAGGCAAGGACTTGCCGCCCCCAAAGCAGCCTTTGAACATCTCCGAGGTGAGTAGTCCCACCACTGACCAACTTCTCGTCGCTTATGTTTCTCATCAGTCTGCCCACCGCGCAAGCCAATACGTCAATGGCTTCAAGCGCCTAGGCCGCGTCCCCGCTGTCGTGGAATACGTTGCATCTGGCTCGCGCTTCAGGTAAAGCCATTCGGGCGCTTCGCCCAATCCTTTGCTCATGTATCCCCCAGGATATTCTTGCCGAAAGACAACCAGACGCTCACCTTGGTCCTCGGCGGCATTCGTGCGCCTCGCACTGCACGCAACCCTAGCGAGAAGAGCGAGCCGTACGGCGAGGAGGCATTCGAGTTCTCCACGCGCCGATACATGCAGCGTGACGTCGAGATCGAGGTCGACGGCGTGGACAAGTCCGGAGGCTTTATTGGCTCCTTGATTTTGAACAAGACGGAGAATGCGGCAGTCGCGTTGGTTCGGGAGGGTTTGGCAACGACGCACTCCTCGTCGGAGGGCTCGTCCTGGGCAAGGCAACTACAGGAGGCTGAGGTGATTCAAGTTCGTAACCAGTTTCTGCAGGTACTGATCGATTTACAGACAGAGGCTAAGGAGGCCCGCCGCAACGTAGGTGCTCATCCGAAGGTTGCTAGGCTCGGATTGATCGTTCCCCAGATCTGGCAAAATGCTGACGAGAAGGTGGAAGCCGCACCGACAGTTGACTCTAGCTCAGCGCTGGCACCCGAGTACCTCGACATTATTGTCAGCGACGTGCGCGCAAAGAATGACTTCACCTTCTCCGTGCAAATACTCAACACCGAGGGTGAGGAAACACCCTGCACTTCCTTCCGTCCGAATGGTGCTGACTGGACGCTTCGCAGGCATCGCATCCTTGGAGAAGCTCATGCGTGACTTCTCCTTACACCATCAGGGCGCTGTCGCATCTCCACCGGGTTTCGTACCACGGGGTGGTGACCTGGTGTCTGCACGCTTCTCCGACGGCGCCTGGTACCGCGCAAAGATCCGTCGCGCGTCGCCTGTCAAGAAGGAGGCTGAGGTTACTTTCATCGACTACGGCAACCAGGACACCATACCGTTCTCTGCGATACGCCCGCTCGACCCGAAGTTCCGCTCGCTGCCTGGTCAAGCACACGATGCACGCTTAAGGTATGTAGAGGCTTCAGTAAACCGGTCAGATACTGAAGTGGCACCTCAGCTTCATCAAGCTCCCTGCCCCGGACAGCGAATACCACCCCGAAGCCGTCGATCGATTCCGCACGCTCTGCGAAGGGCGCAAACTCATCGCCAACATCGACCAGCGCGAGGGTAACTTGTTGCACCTGCGCCTCATCGACCCCACGGACCCACAGTCCGCTGAGGACCCCCTGGCATGCATCAATGCAGATCTCCTGCGCGATGGTGAGTACTCGCGTCCTAATCATTCCAACCTAGTTATTGACAATCCCGAAGGCCTTGCCACCATCGACCGCAAGGGCTGCCGCTATATCAACGCCTACCCGCAGATCCTGAAGAAGCTGGAGCAGTCGGTCAACCTTGCGAAGCGCGAGCGCCTTGGGATGTTCGAGTTTGGTGACATCGAGGAGGATGAGTATTAGTGCGTTGCGATTTGTCGTCGTAACCTGCTGGGCACGCTACTCTTTCCTGAATAACACGAATGACCGGGGCACGCAATCTCTGTGCCCCCACTACTCACTCAATGCTCAATTGTGCGAGACGTGTTAGGAAACTTACAAGGTCGCAAAAACCACCGCTACCCAGACGTTGAGGCATGTCGCCCAAGAGTACAGCGCGTAAGAGGCAGGTTGTGCTATCCACCAGTGCACGTAATCACTGCCGCACTGCCCTTGGGGACGCTCGAGGAGGAAGCGGTATGGGTCCAGTCTTTCATCTGCCGGTCGGGAATCGTCGCCGTCGGTACAACTCCGTTAGCAGGCGTAGCGGCGAGGGCCGGTTCTGATCCCTGCGTCTACGTACACGGTGGTGCCTGCGTTGATTGAGTCGCTCTATCCTGATACAGGTCCATCGGAATATCCTCGTCAAGCTCCCGCGCACGCAATGTTGATGGAATGGTCCAAGATTTCTTCAGCACAAGGAAGCAGCGTCGCTGACCTTCCTCAAACGAGATCCGACTATGCCTGGCGGTCGGGCGAATTGGTCCGGACGAGCAGAATTACTGCGTGGGAGGAAGGCACAACCGGTCGATCTCCTTCCAGCGGCCTATCCAGCGAGAGTATCTCCTTGAGCTGACGGACATAGGGGATTCAAGCCGCACCTATGCGTATCTCAGTCTCTCACATCAATGAACTCGAAGATGACGCATGCTACAAGACGAACATGGTAGGGGCCGGTCCAGGTACGTCCTCCCTCGGGACCTGTGCCCGCATACAGACCCCGCGTCTGCAGTGCAGATCAGCCACCATCCCACCTCTGGGCGCTCGTTGCCCGTCGTTCACGATGTACCTTCCCGCAGAGCTACATGCGCTAGCTACATAGGCCTCTCGCCGTGTGGGTGATCAGGCGGTCAGCCTCAGCCTCGACGCTTTTTGGGCAGGTATAAAAGGCAGAAGTCCTTCAGGTCCAAGTTCCTCACGACTCCTGGTCTGCAGCACCTGCGTCGTATCAACTCTTCAAGATGAAGCTTCAGTACTGGGCCCTCGCTCTGCAGGCGTTCTTCGCACTACCGGCGCTTGCCACGCCTAACCCTCTGTCTGGCAGCTGTGAGTAGCTGGCTTGCCTTCTGAGTTGTCATCGACTGACAGCGTGTTTCCAGCGGATGTTGTCGTTCGTGACCCAGCTATCTGGTACAATTCCAACAACAAGGTAACCGGGTTCGACCTTTCATTGCAGAAACATGAGGCTCACTACGTGAACAGAAATACTATGTTTTCGCGACCGACGAAAAGATCAAGATCTACACTTCCAGCTCACTCACTGGGTACGCTCCACACTTCTTAAATGAGACCTTCAATCTAACTACACTCGCTACAGTCCGTGGACGCGTCAGGGCTCTGTCCTCCCTAATTGCTCCAGCATCCAACTCGATGGCAGATGCGCGCTCTGGGCCCCTGATGTCAACTACGTTGATGGCCAATACGTGCTATACTACTCCGTATCCAGCGTTGGCAGCCAGAACTCTGCCATCGGTGTTGCGACTTCCCCGTCTATGGACGCGGGAACCTGGACAGATCTGGGTGAAGTCATTCGGTCGAACCCTGGTGACGCCTTCAACGCCAGTAAGTCGCGCTACGAAGTCGTGACGAAAGCCTTCTAATGATGCTTATAGTCGACCCGAACCTCATCGATTCCAATGATGGCGATGGTTTGAACGGATTGAAGCTTGCCTTCGGCTCTTACTGGAACGGCATCTACCAGGTTGGCCTTTGGCCGGACGTCAAGACCCGAGCATCTGTACGTGGTTTCATCTATGTTCATGGGTTTCACTAACGCCCTTGTCAGGCCCTCCCGGGAACCCATTTGGCTGGTGCCAACGGTCGTCCGGCAGAGGGCGGCTTCGTCTACAAGCCGCCTTCGTCGCAGTACTACTTCATGTTCTTCTCCGACGGTATCACGCCGTTCGACGGGGTAAATTCACCTGACTGTGTCCTTCTCAACATTGATTCTGACGCCCACTCCAGGCTACCTCCAAGCCCGCCGCTGGCAAGGAGTACAAGGTTCTCGTTGGCCGTGGCGCGCGCGGCCTTGGCCCCTTCTATGGCCAGCTCGGCAACGACCTGACGCAGGACCTCAATCCACCCACGGGAACGCTCGTGCTCGGCTCTCACGACAATGTGTACGCACCGGGTGGCCAGAGCATCTTCCATGACCCTGTCTCCAACCGCGATGTTATGGTGTACCATTACATCCCCAACGACAAGTTCGGCGGCCCGTCTTACCTCGGTATCAACTACCTCGACTTCTCTAGTGGGTGGCCGGTCGTTGTTGCATAGACGACGACGAGGCAGCACGCTTCGATTGCGGTCATGGATGGCTGGACTGTACAAGAGACTTGGGTTATTTATATGGATACGGGAATGGCGTAGTACTTATATGTCCAGGCGTGAATAATGGGAATTAAAGGCAAAGAGAATCGTCGAGTGTGCCTCAGAAGGAGCCGTCATCCAGTACAACGAACAGATGGTTGCGAATATAGTTTCAGGTTTATACCGGACAGCCTCGAAGGAGCAACATAATTACTTGATCTAGGGGCAGATGGCGATCACCCATGTTTATGACTTCCAAATGACTCGAGATGAGTTCAGCGTACCACGATCGACCGGGCTAACGAGAGCAACAGGTCATCTTGCAGAGCATCAGAAGGCGACTCCGCATGTTGAAGTTGGTGGCGTGAGAAAAGGAGCTTCGGTCACTGCCGGAGCATTGAGCGCGGTACTTTTTCGGTGTTCGCCGTTCGGTGACTGCTGAGGTCTTCCTTGACTTGCACAACGCGTTGTGGGATCTCTGGTTCGACGTTAACAATGTCAAACGTTTTCATTTTCCCCCCAATATTCGCGCAGCCGGAGCGCCGTCTGCAACGATGACCAAGATGCCAGGTGACCGGACGCAGACGACTCGGAAGCTACTTATCGGGATCGTTCGACCCCGACCTCGGTTCTTCTTGACACTGACCTATCTGCGATGTCCTCTCCTTTGCGACGCGTCGACAGTCTGACGATTACCTTCTTGGTCGACAACGCCATCGAATGGTACCGGATGCAGCGAGAGATCGCGTCCTTCGTAGCTGATACGCGTTCAGGATGACCAAGTTGCCCCCGGGCTTCACCCATGAGCTCACACAGCATGTAGCTCATAGTAAGGTCGACGATTTGACGGGCGTACCGACGTTTGACTTTGACCACTTCTGCTGCGGTGCGCAGAACTCTCTCTTGCGCCAAGAGCTACACTCAAGTCGTTTCAGGCGCTCATGGGTTCTCTGCCTTGATCGTATGTCTCTCAGGTCTGGCAATATTTTTCAATAGGTACACATAACGCACGACAGGAGACCCGTGTTGGCGAAGAGCCTTCACAGATCACTCTCTTTGACACCGGACCGGACACGCTTTCCCTACCCCGCAATATCCGCGCTATGCAGATCAATCCTAATGCCATTTCCCGCGTCATCACCTCCCACTGGCACTCTGACCACACGGGTGGCCTCCTCTCCTTCCTAGGCCTCCGCTCCGATCCAGGCTGCGCCGTCGACGTACATCCTGATCGCCCCATCGCTCGCGGGATCGCTCCCGGCCCCGACTTCGACAAGGTTGTCTGCGCGCTCCCTCGCGATCCTACGATCGACGAGATCGAGAAGGCGGGCGGAAAAGTTGAGCAGCATGCGGATGGGCACGCCGTCGCTAACGGGACAGTGTGGGTGAGTGGGGAGATCCCCCGGGTGACAGAATTCGAGGGCGGGCTGAGGGGCGGGATGCGGTTTGTAGAGAATAAGTGGACGCCGGAGCCACATATCATGGATGAGAGGTATGCGGCAATCGACGTGGCAGGCAAGGGCCTTGTCCTTTTCAGCTCGTGCTCGCATGCGGGCATCGTCAATGTCGTGAAGGACGCCGTGCAGACGCTCAAGAGGCCGGTGTACATGGTAAGGTGTTCCGCTCTAATATTGTGATCTCAACCGGTTCTAACCGTCATTGTCAGATCGTAGGCGGCCTCCACCTTGCTGGTGGCGAGTTTGCTGCTCGGATACCGCAAACGGTGGACTTCCTTGCGGACCGTCTGCGTCCCAGCCCCACCTACGTCTTGCCGATGCATTGCTCTGGCTTCCAAGCAAAGATTGCACTAGAGAAGGCCCTTGGAGAGGGTTGTGTACCCGCTGGTGTTGGTCACAAAGTCGATATTGTCGGCAATCGTGCAGATGACGAGAGGCTGCTTACACCTGTATGGTCTTCGATGCAATGAAGTCGTTGTGTACAAAGAACTCCCAATAACCATCAACACCACTCGCTGCAGGTCAAGTCTCGATGTGGTAAGGAATCAAAGTTTGTCCCCCCGCCTTCTCGATGGACGAGCCGCCGCAACAACCTGGGTGCCACAGCGCGTCGGAAACCTCCGGCTCACGTGGCTTTAGGGCCATAATAATAATCCGGCAACTTCCGAAGCCAACTTCCGAAGGCAGTCGTTTCTCAACGTCCATCATGACCATACACAACAGAATGAAACAGTAATTCGGTAGCGATACACAGCCTTTCTCCGCATCTAATGTCTTCTGACCTCTCTCCCCTCGCGTGCGGGCCAGGACGGTGATGAGTATTGAGTCTATTGACTGATAGGTTACGCGGGTTCAACTCAGTGGGGCCGTAGCTCTACCTCTTGGACGTGCCCAACTGCGCTCGAACACTGATGTGCATATTTACCGGGAGGGTACTGAGGTAGCAATCAACAATTCACGGGGTCCGCTATGGATCATTCCTTTACAACAGATCATCACCCGCTCACCATCCTCTATCCCTAGCCCCTTGACTCTGAATTAGCGTCTGTGCATGAGATCAGTCCATCGCTGATGTCGAAGTTTCTCTCTGCGTCTGCGTGCTGACTGCTCTTTGTCCCTCCCATCTCGCTTGCACGACTATGCCGTGGAACCTGACCATCGACGACACTAGTCCTTGGCTTCTTTACGATGGGAACTGTGAGTGTCTAGACTAGCCATATATTTGACGCTCATACGTTGACTGCATAGACTTTGCGCACACGGGCTGGAAGCAATGGTATAGCGGCACAGGCTACGTGGACGGTGCACCAACCCGGGAGGCAGCCGAGGGCAACTCTCTCCATGTCCGCAACTCGACGGGCTTTGTCTCTCTGACTTTCAATGGTGGGTTCCAGAAGTCAGCCATCGATCGTCAGAGGACAGCGAAAGCTCCTGGCTGACAAGTAAACTCGATGCAGGAACCGGCGTACAGCTATACGGATCGAGCAACGCATCGTACGCTGTGCAGCTGGACTCTCAGAACCAGGGATCTCGATTGCAAGGAAACGACGGCGAGCTATTCAGCACGCAAGGGCTCGATGCTGCCGAGGAACACAACATCACCTACCAATGTCATTCTTCCGAGGACAGTCAGCTTTGCGGCTTTGATCGCGTGGTACTGTTCAACGAGGAATACGACGGGTGAGTGGCTTTCTATACCTCCCTACAACACTCTTTGCCTCAGTGTCATGCCTCACAATCTTTTCAGCTTGGACTGGACCGTCGTTAGTAATCGCGACCTGGACCGGCTCATGTACTCCGGGACCTGGACGGTCGACCACTGGGACGGCGTGCCCAGCGCCACGACAAGGCAGACCTTCTCGTGGTCCAATTCGCCCTTCGCGTCGGTGTCAATGAAGTTCACGGGCGCACAGGCGGTCGCGGTGTATGGCTCGACAACATTCGAGCACGGGATCTATTATATTGTGCGTGCAATTGACTGTCGTTGAGCTTGCACTTGAACTGTGCTAAATATGTGTGCAGACCCTGAATGGTCAGAAGGTGAACCGCGACGCGTTTTCCTGGCGGCTTTTAGGAGACACCTTGAAGTATTTTCGCGACGGCCTCGACGAGAACGAGGAATATACGATCACGGTCGGGCCTGATCAAAGCGCGCGCTTCGCCTTGAATTCGATGCGTCTGCTGGGAAGCTCGGTGTCCATACTTTCGAGGTGAGTAAGAGGTCATCCTCTATTGAGGGAGGGCTTGCGCCTGGGAGCATACACGCTAGTCCGGGCGAGAGCTGACGCCATTAGCAGTGCCGATGCCAAAACATCCACCTCTTCAAAAACGACATCTAGCCCGCTAGATTCGACGTCCACTTCTCCAAACACGACATCCACAGGTCCAGACAAGCCTTCCCCACGCACGAACATCGGAATCATTGTCGGACCCGTCGCTGGAGGATTGGCTCTACTCTGCATCGCCGTCGGCCTCCTTGTCTACCGCAAATTTAGAAGAGAGCGACGCGAGAAGCAGCGACTGCCCACGCTGGTGTCCACACGCGACATGGCAAGACGACATGGCGTGGACCCGTATATAATGCAGACGTCGGCAGGGATCATGTTGAAGGGAAGCGGTGCTCTTGTGTCACCTGCGAGCGACGATGTACCGCCTCCATCGTACCAGGAAGAATGTCTACGAGACTCGGACTTCGGCGGTAAGAGATAATTTACTTGCAGTTTAGGGTACGGATGCAGATTCGCGTTGGGACATGCCGGAGGACGCATATGGCACATAGCACAACCTATCCGAGCGACATAGTGAGCCATTCAAGGGGACAGCAGACATAATTACAGCAGATGGATATATTCCGAAAGTCCGTGCAAACGAGGGTTTAACCTATACGAATCAACCCAGATACTTCCATATCAAGAAGAAGCAGCCGAAGGTCACCACGCAGCCAGCGAAGAAGATGTACATATCTTGCGTACTGTCCGTTGGTCAGTAACTGGGCTGCCAGACATCCCGACATAGAACGTACCTCCTCCTTTCAATCCATCCAATAACATCGCGGCTTAAGCCTAGTGTGTTGGCCGCATCGAGAAGTCTCCGTTGAGTCCCCTTGAGCATATTGCGCTGATCGACAAGGTTGTCGAGCACGGCCTGCCCTTGCGCGAGGAATTCGTCGAGTTTGGAGTCTGTGTCGCGAATGAAGGAGTGCTCGTCGAGGGCGTGGCGCTCGCGATTGCTGTACATGGATTGTGGGGTGGCGGAGGCGGAGCGGAATGGGGATTCGGAGACGGTGTCGGAGGGCGTGGATGTGGAGGGACCAGCGAAGCGTCTTCGGGCAGCATCGGCGGGATTGGGAGACAGGAGGGAGGCACGTTCCTCAGCGGCTTTCTGAGGGGGGAGAGCGGTCAGCGGTGAGCTTGGGGAGGAGCAGAAGTTTGGTCTACCTGTTGTGCTGCCTCTGCTTTTAAGCGTTCGAATGTTTGGCGTAGTTCGGAGTAGTCTTGGCGGAACTTCTGGACACGCCTGCAATGCAGGTGTCAGGAAAGTACCGTAGACAGTATACCACGTACATGAGGGCCTTCTCCTGCTTTGCCTTGATCATCTCGCGCTTTGCCATTGAATCATAGTCGTCAACCGTGCGTTGCATCGCGGCGAGTGACGCGGATATCTGCCCTAACAGGACGGTGTGAGCGCGCTATGAGCATGACGATGGGTGGCGTCCACAAGGGAGAGGAGTCTGCAGTAGAGCCAGCAATAGAAGCCGATGATCCCAAGGATAGGCCACACGCCGCGAGCGTGCCACGCATGCACCACGAAGGAATAACACGCACCCAGAAGGGCTGCTGAAGTGTCGCCCCCCTTCATCCGCTCCAAGTCAGCCTGTATCGAGCTCGTCTGTCGGACGCCGGAGGTATAAAGGGAATTCATGGTGGGCGTCAGGAACAGTGGTATGGCGGGGAAGGACAAGGTCGAAGAGGCGCGCACGGCGTGGGACAGCGCACGTGGACCGCGACGACGCGATCGAACTCGACGCGCGCCTCGTTCCCCACCGCCATCATCATGGCCACCTTCTCCCCAGCCCCTGCGCACCGCCGCGCTTCCCTTATGCGCACCTCCCCGAGAGCGGGGGGCAGCAGGAAGCCCTCACGAATGAGTTTGACGCCGTTCAGCGACGCATACACCGAAGAGACGGGCATGGATGTTGACGAGGGTTCCACGGCACCAACAGAGACGGCGGTGAAGGCAAAACCGTCGAAAGAGCTGCTCTACGCCAACTCGAGAGAATTCAAGGTGTCTTACTACGCTGGTCTGCCATTGGAAGTCAAGACAGCGCTTCAAAAGAACAATAGTACGCGCCCTTGTTCGCATGTATCTGAGAGAGACTGATCAGGGACAATAGACTTCGAGTACGATAGCATATACTCGGGCTCAATCGATGCGCAGACTGGCTTTGCGCTCGTTGCGTCTGCAGAGACGTGCTACGTGTGGCAACACGCGCAGGTACGCCTCAATCCTGCAACTGCTTCCCTTCGAAAGGCTCACTTGCGCGAAGGCTGTCTCTGGCATTCCAACATGCTATATCTTCGCATGCCCTGTCAACCCAGACGACTACATGACACCGCCACTTCACTCTCTCATTCCGTACGGCGTAGGCCGCGAGCCAGGACTACTCTTGATGAATCACGCAGGCAAGGTTCGCCTCTGGGACAGCATCAGCATCGGGCTCGCTGGTGGGGGCAACTACACGGAGGCTTCACTCAACCTTGGACCCTACGAGACTGTCTCGCACCTTGTGCGCACACACGTACGCCCTTTTTGCTGTCTCGTCGTGTCCCCTCTAACGCATTGCATCTGCCTACAGCCCCAAACCTTCGTCGCCTCGACCACACAGGGTCAGTTCTTCAAGATCATCCACACTGCTGTCGGCGGCAAGCACCACATTACCGTCCAGACATTCTCTCGCCCCGCGCAGTCTTCCTTTGCCCGCTTCACCTCTCTTCTGCTCGCTACGCAGACTGAGGGAATCTTGATTCCTGAGACCGGACCCATCGCCTCCGTTGCACTTGGCCGCGACTCTTCGTCCGGTGGTCAGGATATCTGGGCCCTTGTCGGTTCGCACATTCAACGCTGGGACATGAAGCCGGACGGCTGGGAGGAAGCGCTGCTCGACGCGGATGTGTTGGAGCTCATATGCGACGCGCTGCGTGAGCGATTTGGTGCTGCCATCCCCGATCTGAGCCGCGACTTGGGCTTGGAATGCAATGATGTGCAGATGGATAGGTGCGTTCAGCTTGTTCGCTCAAATCAAACGAGTTCGCTGACGAGGTTAGCGAGGGAAAACTCATCGTGCTGGTGTCTTATACACCAGTGGATGTCAGCGGGTCAGATATGGCGATTGATACGGGTAGCCACGTCAAGCGAGTCTTCTCGCTCATGAAGTTGACGTATCTTGGGGACACCTTCCGCGTCGACGACGTCCGCGTGGTGCCATACCAGAGGGTGCGTCTCAACTGAATGATTTAACGAAAGCGCCCCTTAATCTATCCGTCTACCCATAGAACAAAGAGTCCGGCGCTCCCGTCCAACCGCGCCTGAAGCTTGTTGCTGGTGGCGAAGTCGTGGCCATTCAGTTCGGTAACGCAATTGCCTTTTGCTCTTTAGGTGCGTGCTTCCTCCTTGTCCGCAATCGTCCTCCATCTAACACACTATGCCAGTATCTGAGTACTGCGACCGCCTCGAGCTCTACGGCGTCACCGACCGCGTCCTCGGTATGGGTGTACCGGAAGACTCAAATACAGTACTGGCGATGACGGTGGGTATTATGATCAAGACGACAATCGATTTGGAAGCTATCAGGGACTATGACCCTTAGTAAGTCCAGTTTCCGAGCAGGTATGGGCTATGTACTGACCAATGTTGCAGCACCGGCCGCGCCGAGCTCATCAAGTCGACCATGATGCAGGCTATCTTGTATGGGGCAATGCCTGAAGTGAGTATCTCTGTTAAAGTCAAAGCGACATTGCTGACATCGAGCGTCAGAACCCTTTACGATTTAGCTTCCCGCCCGAGGTCGACGCTGACAGCCTGATGCAAGGCGCGATGCAGCTCAGTAGAGCCGTGTTGCGGTCGGGTAAGTTCAATGTTCCCTCTCATCGCCGCTTCCCATACGTTGAGTGCACCCGGGGTACTGACGTTAGTCCTCCAGACCCGGACATCATACGCAAGAACGACGACCTCACAGCGCAGCTCTCCGAGCAAAAAGCGCGCCTAAATTGGCTCATCACGTTCATCAACTCGAACGGTGTTTTGCTCAAGGTCAATAGGAGACATACTGAGGGTACTGATTTTGTGGCTGACCGGTGACTAGATGTCCCAAAAATGCCGCCAGATACTTGCCATGGACGCGGAGAAGTTGAGCGCCGGTTTGCAGCTTTGGCAGGTATATGACGACCTTGTGGGGTACGTTTTATAGGTAGTGACGATATTGTCTTATCAGACTGATCACACCTCCTGCCAGGACACGACAGTCATACAGCGTCATTCGCGAGACAGTGCGCGTGACACTAGAGGCGCTGGACGAGACGGTGTACAATGACTCGGCTCGAGCATTCTTTGGGCAGTACTTGTCGGATTTGGGAGAGCTGATAGCCCATGTGCCGGAAGTATTGCAGCATGCCGACTTGACGTCGGATGTAGTACTGCTCGAGACGGCGAGCATGGTTCTGGTAGGTTTCTCGGACCTAAGTCTTGTCTTCTTCCGTGTCCGTACGAAGTAGTGCACGGCTTGCTGATTACATGCATAGACCATCATCGCGGCACCTGTCACGTTCCGAAAGAACAACATGAACCTGTACAAGCTCGAGCTGCCCATGCAGGATCCGTGGACGAGCCAGCCGGCGGTCATCAACGTCTTGCGCCAACTCTTTGACGCGTTGGAGGCAGCTATGGAGGGCACGAATGCCTGGTCCGATGGTAAGGAGCCACTCGCCGATGTTGCGGGTATGCTGCTGCACACGATTGAGGAGCGGTTGGCATGGCTGGGCAGGTGTGTGCTATTCTAGGCTGGTGTATTCGCATACTGAACGTCGCCCCAGCCCTGCGGCTTTGGACCAGCCCTCTCTGCAGAGGGAGCGCAGCGAGTACCAGCTGCTTTTGCGCCAGGAGCGACCGCGTATGCTGCATAGTCTGCGTACGGATCTGTTCTTCGCCCCGGCTTTCCGCGTTCTCACGATCTTCCAGACAGACACGGCCTCCCTCTCGACGCCTACCATCTCGCGGAGCGGTATCAGGACTTCAGCACGCTCGTCGCACTGTGCAATAAGGGCCAGGTCTTCCCGCCGGAGCAGAACCCTGAAGCGGACAAAATCAGAACGTACGCGGAATTATACAACACGAAGTTCACGAGGGAGCTATACGAGTATTATATCCAGAATGGTGCGTCCCATGGGAGGCTGCGGTACGATCCCTTCGCAGACTAATTTTCGCGTGTGCAGCCGAACTACGCGTGATCTTCGCGCTGGATGATGTCCATAAACCTTTCCTGGAGGATTTCTTCAGCCAGGGGCCTCGGCAGAATATCTCGTGGCTGTACGAGCTGACGAAGGACAACTTGAACGTGGTCCCGCCATTGTTGTTGGACGATGCGCACAAGGCGACGAACCTGGAAGCACGGCATCTCATGCTGAGTATCGGCAAGCTCGCGCAGCTGGCCGTTGTGCAGGAACAAGGAAAGACGTTGCCCGCTGCGAAGGATGTGCTCGACAGTAAGTGCCACGGGTATCGCTTGACATCACGTAGCTCATATACGGTCCCTTTTGTGCAGCCTTCCACGACGAGCTCGACTTCGTCAGCGTGCATGAGACCATAGTCGCGGACCTTCAGCTGGCGCTCTCGACGCAACGGGGGAGGCAATCTCACGACGCGCAAGCGGAGTATATCTTGAAGACGCAGGCGAAGCGGCTCAATGGAACACCAGCGTTCGCTCGGGTATGCCCAAGTTCCGTCGGGAAGTGCAGGTCCTGAAACTAATTATGACGGCCAGATCTTCCGAGAATACGTTCGGACTTTGTTACAAGGCAACGTGCTTTCGGTCGAGGACATGGTCGACGTTCTCTCAATGCGCGACAACTCGGAGTCTCCCGATGATTATGTGATTGCACTGAGGTTGCTGTGGGGTTCAGACGTACGTCTAGCCTCTTCATGTCGATGATGCGTGGTCTCATATCTCTTTTGCAGGATACCCCCCAGAGCCGCCGCCAATCTGCCCTGGGCGCCGTCTGGCGCAGGATATATCTGCACGACGAGTACGCATTCCCATCATCCCTCTTTGCTGCTAGCTCATACCTTTCCAGCTGGAACATGATCCGTGACACGGCCAACGTATCGGACGCAGAGCTCAACCAGCGGTATCGTGATACAGCTCTGTACCGTACATTGCGCGAAGTTCGCTCTCGAGCGGACTACGTCTCACCGGACGAGGCTGCTGCTGCACAGCCGACATCTGCAGAGATTGCGGCGCGCTGGCCAGGACTCGCGAACGATCAGGTCGACTCCTTGCTGGACGACTACGCGACCGAGGGGCGGGTGCTTGAGGAGTATGACCTAGAGAATGTGTGCGCGAGGATTGTGACGCTGGCAGAGGAGGATTTGGATGGGGAGTAGAGGATCTGTACTATGTAGTGTTGTGTAACGATTCGGGACAATTCACAGTGATGGAGACCCCAAATGCTTGGTTTGTGAAAGGTTCACAAATAGTCGACCGTGAAGCTGGTCCGGGAAATGCGCGCCACGTGCGACTTCGGCGCGTCGAAATGACCGCGCATCACACGCGCCGCGCGCTGCGAGCTCACCTCGCTGGTCCCTGGACCTCCCATCACTGACACCCCTTGCCCCCTTGCCCCCTTGCCCCCATCGCCACGGACTTCGCCATCCCCTGTACACGTCCATTTCTCCGTAGTCTACACCAACCACCACCATCGGCCTGTGTCCCATCTGACGCCAGCGGCTCGCCATGGCTCCGCTCTCCCCCCTCGCCCTCCTCCTCGCCTCAGGCCTGGCCTACCATGGACACCGCAAGAAGTCCTTATCCCCCTCCGGATCCGTGACTGCCTTTGTCGTGGGCTACCTCATGCTGTCCAGCACAATCTGGGCGTTCGGCGTGTCACTGATCGCATTCTACCTCATCGGGAGCCGGGCGACGAAGTGTAAGTGGGATGTAGTGGTTTTTGTGTAGTCCTGCGATTACTGATGTCCAATCTCTCCTTGAACCTCCCTCTGCACTCATTCCCTTCGTTCTACACCTTCCCTACATATCTGTCCAGTCGGCAAAGCCACGAAGCGCCGCCTCGAATCCGCCTACCACGAATATGGCTACCGCACCGGCTGGCAAGTCATCTCCAACTCCTTCTCAGCATTGGTAGCTTGCGTCCTCTGGAACGCGATATACGCTCCCGACAGCCTCCCCGGCTGGGTCTTCGGTTCGCTCCTAAGGTCCCCCGAATTCACCACGCACCCTGCTTTGGTGCACGCCCCGCTGTACACCTCCCCCGCGCACCCGGAACCTAGGTGGTGCCCGGCGACGCCGTATCCTGCGCCTACCGGGTAGGTTTCTGTCACTTTCCTCTCATTCGTACTGCCAGATGCTGATTACGCCTTAGCCCCACGATATTGGTGTACCCGCGAAGCTTCCCGCCTACTCTCTCGCGCCCCCTCCTACTTCTTGCCCTTGGGCACTTTGCATGCTGCCTCGGCGACACGCTAGCCTCTGAGCTTGGTATCCTGGCGAAGGGGAAGCCCAGGCTGTTGATTGGGCTGAAGGCTAACCTGCCTGAGACTACAGGGATCAGCTCTTCTTCATCCTCTCCCTCCGCGTCTTCCGCCAGCGCTCGATCAAGCTTCCTCTCCCGCATCTCTTTCCTCACCCCGGTTCCCCCGGGCACAAACGGCGCTCTCTCCTTCCCGGGCACCTCAGCCTCCCTCGCCGGCGGGGCCATCATGGGCCTCGTTATGGGCGCAGTGTTGATTCTGGAGAACGCCGTCTGCCGCCGGGATGCGCTCGGTGTGGTGGTGGAACTGATCACGATTGGAGGACTGTGCGGGTTCGGAGGAAGCCTCGTAAGCCGCGCGCATAACCCCCAGTGAAGCGTCGCTAATGAACCTTTTCCTTTTCCTTCAACCTTTTATTCCTTTCCCTCTCAGCTTGACTCCGTCCTCGGGGCAACGCTGCAAGAGACGCACTACGATGCGGATAGGAAGGTGGTGATCAGCGATGGGGAGGGGCAGGCGGAGGTAAGTGGTCGAACAGTGAACTCGTTGGGAAGAAGGGGCTAACACTCATACCAGCCAACCTCCGCCACCCATCTCCTCGGCCTCCCACTCCTGTCGAACAATCAGGTGAATGTGGTCAGCAGCGTCTTGACGGCGAGCCTGGCGGCGTATCTGGCCTCGTGAAGTAGTGAGGGAAGTTTGTTAAAGAGGGATGAGGTGGTGTAAGAGGGTTGCATCCACCGATGAATCTGCTGGTCATGTACTTAGGAATGTGAACAATTTCTGCCTGTGCTTGGGTTGTCTTCGAGCATAACTGCACAACTTTGGACGATTCTCATCGAAGTCAGACACCAGGATCGAATGCAAGTAATCCAATGTAGTGTATTCAGCCGACGATATATCACGCGCGTCGAAGGACCCAGAATTGTGTACTAGTGACGAAACAGCGTCAGATACCGTAGCAGTAGGCGTATGTGTAAGTCCATTGTATGCAGATAGATGGTCAACGAACGTATTGAACGTTTCAGAAGTCTCTCGCAGGCAGTAAGAGGAAGGGCATCATCCAATGAAGATTTGATGCCTCGAGAAAACCGTTACAGGCCTCGAAGACGCCTCACAGGCCGCACGAGCCCGAGCCCGAGAGCTTCGACTTCGGATAGAGCGCAACCGGCAGACCGCCCTTGATCGTCACCTGCGCATTGCCATTGCCGTCCGCCGTAAACTCCTGGCAGCCGAGCGCGTCGTACACGGTCTCGCCTGAGCCCCAGCCGCCAACGGTCACGGAGCTGTCCGACCCGGAGCCCGTGTTCGCGAGCAGCACGCGCAGGCCGCTCTTCTCGATCTGGAGCACGTTGTTCGAGAGCGCGGTGTACTGCGCCTTCGCGCTCGCGAAGCCACCGTCCTGGACGAGGAAGTTGCGGAGCGTGTTGAGCTGGCCGAAGTAGGAGTAGAGCTTGTCGGAGCCGGTGGCGTAGCCGCTGGTCCAGAGGGCCTCGCGGTTGTTGGGGTCGGAGGCGCCGGTGAAGACTTGCTCCTGGCCGTAGTAGACTAGGGCATCGTGAGTACAAGGCAGTGTCAAAGAAGACGAAGGTTTACCAGTCGGGACACCGCCAGAGAAGACGTTCATGGCGGCGAAGGTCTTGAGGCGAGCCATGTCGGAAGTGACAGCACCCATGCGCGCGTTGTCGTGGTTCTCCATGAAGTTCGTGAGGACCGTGACGTCCTTGCACGTCGACGCGAGCGAGTTCATCGTGTTAGCGAGGTTGGAGATGGAGCCGTCCGACGACTTGAACGCGCTGACCGCGATGGGCTGCATAACGTAGTTGTGCACCGAGTCCTACGCAAGTCGCGTCAGCAAAGGAGGCCAGCAGCCGATACATTGGTAACTGACCATGTATTCCTGGTAAGGGCAGAGCTCGTTGACACCGTTGAACCAGGCCTCGCCCGTGCAGTAGACGCCCGCCGAGCCGCAGAAGCCAGGCCAGAAGTCCTTGCGAATCGACTTCGCTGCATCAAGGCGAAGACCGTCGATGTTGTACGTGCTGACAAGGTTCTTGACGTAGTCGTTAAGCTTGCCGACAACCTCGTCGTTCTCCGTGTTCACGTCCGGAAGCGGCACGGTGCTGTCGCCCATCCAGCACTAAATATACCATCCGCTGTCAGTCTTCGGCCATCACCCGCCTACGCGACAATTTACGCACCTGTTCGGCCATGTTCTGGTCCGCCCAATTGGTGATGTAGCACTTCTGGTGGAAGTACTGCTCGCCGTTGAGCGGGGAGAACGTATCCCAGGGGATGTTCTCGCCGAAGCTGGCAAAGTGGTTGACGACGACGTCGACCATGAGGTACATGCCACGGTCGTGCACCGCCTGGGACAACGCCTTCAGGTCGTCCTCACTTCCGAAGTGCGGGTTGAGGTCGGTGTAGCTGGTCGGCCAGTAGCCTACAAAGCGCGTCGATCACTGAGCACACTGTCAAGGAGGATTGACGTACCATGGTAGCCCTGCCCATAGGCGGTGTTGTTGTCCAGCGAACGACCAACGGGGCTGATCCAAATCTGGCGAGCGGGCTCAGTACGCCGCTCGGGACGGAGAGCAGACTACTCACGGCGGTGAAGCCCATGTCCTGGATGTAGTCGAGCTTGTTCACCAGGCCCTTCCAGCTGCCTCCGCAGAACTCCTTGAGGTTGCAGTTGCCGCTCGAACTGTCTTCTTTGGCGAAGCGGTCGACAATGACCTGGTAGATCGACCGGGTGCGCCACTCGTCGGCGCTGGCGGCGAGCGTGGCGCCGGCGAGTGAGAGTGTCGGAAGGAGGGACTTGACGAGCATAGTAGCGGGGCTTCGAGTGCGGTAGAGTGTAGTGGTGCTGGTTGGGCTATAAGTAGGCGGACGGAATTAGGACGCGTCTAGGCGAAGGGATAGTAGCGAGAGGTCTAGAGAGCGAGGGAAGTTGTACGTGGCTAGAGTGCGAGAGAGGATCGTGAGGGTTGAGGACAAGATGGAAATGCGACGACACAGCCTTTTGTAACGGACCCCGTTTTGATGCACGCGCAGCACGCGTCCGTCTCGGCGGCAACCTGGACTGCATAATTGAAGCCGCACGTGGTCGTAATTGAGAACAATGACATCCCCGCATTCAGTAACTTGCGTTTGCCTCCGCACTGGATCGGCCTCCTGTCTTCTCTTACCCCGTCCTTTCCAAGACGTGTACAGACGTGTACGAGGCACTCACCTCGGGACCACAGGGCACGCTTAGCCGCGACAGCCTTCTGCAGGGCCACGCATCCTTCCATCCAGCCTTCCACCACAAGAGATTGGTTGATATGCTCTCAACGCAGGGCGCGAATCGTAGTCCAGGCTATCCTATACGTGAAGTTATCTCTCATGTGCCTTTCATATCCATAGCAGACGCCACGAGTGCGGCAGCGTCCCAAGGTCGACACTGCCGATTCGGCCCAGGGCTTGAGGTGAAGTCGTCACTCGACCAGTATGGCCACTCTTCCATCGTCAAGGATCCAGCTTGAGAGTGCTATAGTAGACATTCTCGCATGGTGCTAAGCACGACGATAGTGCCTCCAGCGCGATGACTGCCGTGCGCTGAGCTATCGGGGTCAAGAAGCCGGCGGTAGGGCAGTCAACGCCGCTTCTTGTTTTTCTGAGCGCGCTTGCCTCCCGCCAGCTCCGCCTTCTCCGTATGCCTCTTGCGCTGCTTGGCCGTCTGGGCCTTGCGCGCGGCATTCGTCTCGTACTTGATCTTCTTCGGCTTCATCGCTTTCTTAATTGCAGTTTTCTTCACGGCTGGCTTCAATTTGGCGGGTAGCTTTGACGTAGAGGCCGCGGCAGGTGCTTGTCGCTCGCGAGCTTCGTCGGGTGCGCCGTGGATGAGCGTGTCGGGGTCAAAGTCCTCGACGACAGTGACAGTCGCTAGTGTCTCCTCGTCCTCGAACTCTTCTCTTTGCTTGCCCTTTGCGCGTCCTGACGGTCCGAGGGTAGGCAGCTCATCAGCATCTTCGCCATCTGTCATATGCAGGTCAGTGGCGTCGCCGAGTACGGTACGTACATACGCACTTATCAAGGCTCCGTATGCGGCCTCAACGTTCGCCGCATTTTCGGCGGCTTGCTCCCTGAGAATTTGCCGTTGCTGATTGCGCGTCAGCGTGCAGCGATGATGGAGGCGGCCTCATCGCACCTCGCGTCGCGCTTCCAATCGCGCCTGCTTCTCCTTCTCCATCGCCTTCTTGCGCGCTGCATCTGTCCTTACCACTTTTCGCTTGTGGAAGCCGGTTAGGAACTCCCTAGCAGCTGTCAGCGATGGCGGCGCCGCCGCGGAAAGCGCGGGACGTACCTGCGTGCGGCATCATCGAAAAGTATCTCCTTGACCTGATTCTTCTTGGCGCGCCGTTTGGCTGCAACGGCCTGGTGAGCGCGGGTGAGATGGTCGAGGTTGGACATGGTGGCGGGAGGGGAGCAGACAGGCGGGGCCCGATCACGACGATCACTCCCCTGGTCGTCACGATCACATGTGCATTTACGCCGAATGGAGAAAACGAGCCGAGAGGGGCTGTATATAGGGGCATGCATGTCGACCGCGCCCGCTTGCTCCTTCTTGCCTCCCGCCGTCATGCCCGCCGCGACAGACGCTTTGCTCGGGGCGCCCCCGCACCGGCTGCAGACCGGTCTCGAGCTTCCCCACTTCGTCAGCCCATGGCACGCCCATCTGGTCACCCAGAACCCGTATCCACCACCGCCACCTCCCCCGCCTGTCGCCCACAAGGTGTGGCTCATCGATTGCAGGACCTGCGGGACGTTCCTTACCAATCGCGGCATGAAGGTGCGCCTGCCGCTCACTTCCCGCTGCTCGCGCTTACATCGCCTTAGGCGGTCCTACTCCTCCGACCGAACGTATCGCTATACTCCTCCGACGCCCTTCCTGTCAACTGCTCTGCGACCTCCACGCCTAGCACTACCCGTCCCCCAACAAATACACGCGCTCAGCAGCAGCGGACATGCGAGTGTCTTACCCAGAGCCTCTGCTGTCACGGCTGCGGCAATACGGTCGGCTACATGATCGTCATTCCCGTAGGTCTTGAATCGCGCATGTCTGGCCTCCATTATTGACAGCGATCACAGTGTAGCCGGTGTACATCCTCTATTACCGCCAATAACCGCGCGACAAACGGCCATCGTTTTGTGTTCCACTCGATGGAAGTTGTCGGCTCGGAGCGTCACTACGTCCAAGGCGAACCCGGCGTCGTTCCATACGATCCGATCCCCGTCCATCTTACGATGCCCGTTCATCCCTTCATACCTCAGCCAGTCAGCGTTGCCATCGCCCAACGTAACCAAATGCCCGGCAACCATCCGTTCCCACCGCGTCCCTACGTGATCCCTGCCGAATCATTACCTACGCCGCCGCTCGAGACAGAGGACGATTTCTCGCCGCCATCGTCAGCCTCACAGTCCCCGGTACACCACTCTCCAACCGAGCCGTTGCACGATTCTTCAAGTCTACGCTCTCCGCCACCACCTGCTCCGGACACGCCGCCGCCGCTTGTCGACGCATATACCCTAGAACCCTTCGTCGAACATAAGGAGCTGCCACCTCGTCGTCAGCTGAAGCCAGGTGACATCGTCCACTGGCATCACCTCGCGCGACACGGTGAAATCCCGGCGGTCATGGACGATGAGCGAGCGCGTCGCTCAGACTCTGCTTCGGACGCCGAGGACCAGGTGTTCGGAATGGTTGTCTGCGGACGCTGAGACTTACCACACGCCTTCCCTACCACACGACACGACCTCATATGACCTCTACGCTATTTCTCGATCCCTGCTGCCCGCGTCATCGCTTGTCTTCCACCATTGTCACGAACCCCTCTTTTACTGTGTTCATTCCATGGCTCACACATGCATCAATTTATTGGTATTGCTATCTCAGGGCCTTGCTAGCATTGTACATATATTACTACCCCCCACTGTCTTCTCCATCGCCGTCTCTGTTGTCCTCTTGTCTTCTTCACGGCTGCCACTCCAATGCTCGCCTCTGATTCTGGGCATCGGCCATGGAATATGTGCACCACAACATATTGTTATATAATGCATTCTACGGTTGATACCCACCACCCGCCCATACTTCCGACGATCGTACACACGTTCAGATATGGCACATACCCCCATTGTATCCTTCTACATCACTGGCAATTGTACGCGTCTTCTGCCCAGAAATCAGCCAGTATCGGTTTGATGGCGGTTATCCTTTTTCCAATTACCGCGCCGGTAGATCTCCTCCTTCGATCTCGATCTCCCCCCTCGCCGCTGTCACTGTCACCCTTCCTAAAATCTGTTTTCCCATTCGAAACCAAAAAGAAAAACTATTTTTGGGTCTCTTTTTGCGCTACTTGCCATTGGGTCGCCCGGGCCTCTTCCTCAGCCTCTTCCTCAACCAGCTCCAGGAGGTACAGCTGCAAAACCTACCAACAGCAACGTAGCCAGCATGCAGCCCTCAGTGACCTGCAGTCAGACGGATGTGGAACCCCTAGTACTGCTGCCATAGACACCCTCACCAGATTGCCCGCATCCGCCTCCCGTGAGATCTCGTGCGCAGCAGGCAAAGCGCGCGCCGTCCGCTACGTGCTCGTCTCGCGCATTTCGCGTGTCTCGCGGGTTCTCGCGCATCTCGCACATCTCGCGCCCTTTGCGCGCATTGCACTTCCCGCATTCATCTCGCTGTTTAGCGCGCCAGGAAGGGTATCCAGATCGCAAGTCTGTGGTAAGTGCTGCCGCTTAGTGCTTGAATGAGGCTCTCGCCTGCATCAGAGGCCCTCTGCGACCGACAGGGAACGGAAGACCTCATCTCGGCCGAAGGAGATGAGCAGACACGCCTCCGACTCGAGAGCGCTAAGGTCGTTGGTACCTGAGACGCGTACAAGTGGTGTGCGAGGGAAGCCCCCTTTTCCAGTACTAACCTGCCTCCCAGGAGCATTCACATCGCCGCGATCAGCCAGAGCTTGAGTGCTCACACACGGAAAGACGGCACGAGAGTCGCACTCGTACGGATCGCCACCACAGCTCGCGCGACAAGGAGTCTTCGCGCCACCGACACCGCGAGGGGCACCATCGCTCGCAGGCCGAGAACGAGCAGCACCAGCGACGGCACGAAGGGGACGGACGGGGGAGGGCTTGTTTGAGCCCTCTCAGCACAAGCTCAAAGCGTACAACAATAAGTGCGGGCTACTAGCGCCCGCCTCACCCCCGGCCGTGGGGGCGAGCGAGGGTGAGGGAGGGGCGCGGTCGCCCCTTCGGTGAGCCCTCTTCTAGCGCGTCGTAGCTCTTCTCTTTGAGAAGTGCGCATATATACGAGACGAAGTCGCGCGTGCGCGCGTGCGCGCGCGCGCGTTTGCGCCCTCCCCCTCGCCGTGTGCACCCTACGATCCCACCCTTTTCCTTCCCTCCACCTTCCCTTTGCCCAAGCCTTTTTCGCCACAAACCATTCCATAGCGACAAGTCGCAACGACAACGAGGACCCGACAAATCACACGAAGGAGATGACGGAAAGGCTTCCCCCCTTTCCCCCGCCCCTTGCGCCCCCTCTCCCTCCCTCCAACCTCATCGACGATGCTAGACGTACCGCGCGCTAACGCATTTCAAAGCAGCTGCTTACAACGACGGTAACAACACGAAGAACCCCGCGAAGGCAACGGAAAGCCCACCTCACCCACCCTCCGTTGTGCCTCCCACCCCCGTCCTCTCGTGCGTGTCTTCTCTCTGAGTGCGCTACGAATGGATGAGCGATGTGGTAAGCTACCTGCGTTGGGCCGCCCTCCCTCTTGGGTGAAGGGAAGGCGAGGAGGGGGAGGCAGGGGGGAGGGGGAAGAGGGAGAGGTAGCGATAGGTGGGGCGGACGATGCTGTTGGGCGACGGCACACAACGGACGACGTGTGGTGATGGGGGAGGGCAGTTGAAGGGGGAGAGAAAGAAGGGTGGGGCAAAAGGGGAGGGGGCGAGCGAAGGGGAGGGGCACTCCCCGAGCTGCTTGTTCGTAGTCGTAGCCATCGCCGTAGTGAGCTCGTGATCAGTATAGATAGATAGATTGGATTGAGATTTGTTAGCTGAATCTTGCGTGAGAGGGAGGGGGGTGGTGCGGTGTGTTCAAGGAGGTGGGGCAGGAGGGGGAAGGGGGATCGCAGCGGCTCGCACATTGATTCTGACTGTCGCAAAAATGAAAGGCTTCGTTAGATGCATAGCTAGAGAGGTGTACAGAACAATGGTAAGTAGCTACCCTTCCCCCTTGCTCGAGAGATACAAGGGAAAAGGGTACGAAGTTGTACTTAGTCGAGTGAATCAGCCCCTTCTCGAGTTCCTTATTCTAGAGCTCATCAGGGCTTGCACTGATCTCCTCCGAGGCTTCATGATCGGAGCCCTCTCCAACGGGGGCGTGAATCGTCAGCAGGCACGCACAAACCCCACAGCCCCCTACCACCGTCATGGACGTGCTGGGCACATATTCCTTGAATGAACTCAGGACCATATGTATCACTGAGATACGAGTATATGGTATCTCAAGTCATATGCAGACTGTGGGAAGGTGTATAACCCTCTAACATCTGTGTATGAGCATTTGTACACCTTCAGAGGGGACGCGAACATTGCGTAAATTGCGTGGAAGGCGCGGACGGCGCGGAGGGCGCGAGACGCGCGAGACGCGCGAGAGAGACGCAAGACGCGGGAGAGAGACGCGCGAGAGAGGCGCGCGAGAGTCGAGACGTGCGAGATGCGCGAGATGCGCGAGACGGGCGCAATGGCGCGAGGACTACGAGTAGCACGGATGACACGGGGGGCGCGATGAGCGCGAGACACGTACAGGGTGTGAATGGCCGGTCTCGCGTGCAAAGATCGTACAAGCTTGGATGGCAGGTGGTGTGTGCGGCTGGAAGTTACTGACGCTTGATGGAGGAAGGCTCGGGGAAAGCCGATACGGCAGACCTAGATAGGGGCGCGCTACTGCACGACTAGCAATGGCACGGAAAGCCTTCGAAGGCGCGAGGCATGTACTTGTGCGCATCATGCGGTGGAAGAAGCTTGTTTTGAAGCAAAAGCAGAGTCCGCATAGATTGTAAAATGCACGCCAGTGGCGGGGAGCGCGAACAGCGCGACGTGAGCAACATGAGCGATAATGACAACGTGGACGGACTACTACATACGTCACTGCATTCAGCGCTCCGGTTCTGGGTTTTGTTTATACCCCACGGAATTGAATTTCCGTGTGGAGGTTTCCATCATTTTGTAAAACACACGGTGCTAGGCGTGACATTGGAAACGGATATGTCAGCGATCGAGATACCGTGGCAGTGTGACAGGGGTAACCGCCGCGGTATCACACCGATATCATAGGTGTTCTCCTTCTGCCCTGGGTTCGGCAGCCGCGCTCGGGGTAACGAGGAGGTCAGACAAGCTGCCAGCGAGGGCTTCGCGTGAGTAGCGCTCTCAGGCAGGAGATCAACGGCATGGGAAGGCGGGTCGCCTCGGCTGCCTTAGCGTAAGTCGACGTATATGTCTGCCTGGGAGCGCGCCGCAAGGGACCTACGAATGTTCCTCAATTTTCATCCGAAGATAATGTAACCCTTTCAGTGCTCGAGCGGTTGTAACCGTCAAGTAGGCCGCTCGCTTGTCTCGTCAAAGCTGGTCTTCGCATTCAAGTTGGCCAAAAAGGCACGTGGTTTTTGGATCCGCCGCTTCGGCAGTGTCCGACCGGGAACTCCCACGGTTCGTCCACTGGCGTCACCGCACCACGCCTTGACCTTCTTCACCACATCTCCAGCTCGCTGCTCGCAAACCCCGATACTGATCCTTGCAAATGCATTCAAATGCTCGCGTCATGGTTAGATGGCCTTGGAGATGGCCCCCAGGCAGAATATCGAGGGATTGTCCGTCCTGACGCGCAGGGCGCTTTCCGTTGCCCAGAGGCACCCGGCCTCCACAATCGCGCCAATCCCTGGAAATACTGCAGCCGCGTCATGGCTATGTCATTCTGTTACAGGCTGCTCGTGCTGTATAAAGCCAGCAAGGACCTAGCGCCAAAATGGAAAGATGTACGACCCATACGCCAATCCCAACGTCCACAACTCTGTCGGTATTCCCTCGCAATCCAAAGCGACGGGCTCATCTCCTGCCATGTGGAGTAACGAGCAAGGCGAGTCATTCGTGGATGAGAGTTTTCTGCACTCGGTAGCCTACTGGGACGCGGACGTCGAACTTGGCAAAATGGCCGCTGCGGCGGTAGCCACCCTCCCCACTCCGGCGGCGAGCGTCTCGCCACCCGGCGCTTCGGAAGAGATCCCCCGGATTCCTTCACCCAGGCCAGTCATCAGCATGTCCACTGCCTTCACTAGCAGTGCGTGTCATGGCGGCGTCCCTCCGGATACCGTCCTTTCGTCCACAGATGGCATCTACTTCTATGTGTCCCGGTCCATCCTAACGCACGCGTCATCCAATAACTTTGGAGGACTCTTACCTGCGAAGGGCGTCTCCCCGGATGGTCTCCCTTTCGCGCAGACCCCCGATCCGGCAGACGTGCTCAACGTGATCCTGCACGCTGTGCACGACATGCCGCCCGCGCGGTACACACCAACTCTAGCCACCCTCGTCGCTGCGCTCGAGCGACTGCCGGCCTACGGACTGAGCCCGGCGCGGTACGCTACTCCGCCGCGCGCACTGTATAGCGCGCTACTGGCGCAGGCGCCCCTTGCGCCCCTCGCCGTGTACACTGCGGCGGCGCGCAGCGAGCTGCACGACCTCGCGGTGGCGGTCTCGCCCCATCTGCTGTCGCTGCCGCTACATCGTGTGACAGACGAGCAGGCGATAGCGATGGGGCCGGTATACCTCAGGCGGCTCTTCATGTTGCATAGGAACCGTATCGAGGCGTTGAAGGAGATCCTGGCGCCGGCGCCGTACCCGCACCCGGAGACGCCCAGTTGCAGTTTCGCGGACCAGAGGAAAGTAGCACGGGCTTGCCGCGGCGTATTTTGTTACAGAAGGCCGTCCAGGTGCGTTGCGGAATATTCAGGTCAAGGCTTGTCGCTGATGTATCCGCTAGACATGTACCCCAGCATGATGGAGTCCACCGTGAACTCGCTCCTCACGGAGATCGCTTGCGAGGACTGCAAGCAGATGCTCGAGAGACGCTTGCAGAAGGCGGTCGTCGACTGGACGATGACACCGGTGAGCATTCTTTCCCCGCCAGCCTGCCAGTCCCGTACTTACCTTTGTCCAGCGCTCGATATAGCGCGCCTCGCGCCTCGCTGAACCCCGACAACTACACCTCAAGCTTGGTCCCCCAGTCGCGGCGACCAAGTTGATCTGCGGCTGGTGCGTGACCCACTCAAATCATCTCCGAGACAACCAGAGGGCAGAGTGCATTTCAGGGTGTATACCTACATTGTCCTTTCCACCGAAGCATCACTCCGCGCTGGGCGTCAGCCACCCAGCGGTGCCAAGGTACGTATCGACTGACCTATCTACGCTGTGTGAGTGTCGGTATATCACTGACCTGCCCGGACTATACCCATTGCCTTGCTATTTAGCGCATCAGCGCACATCTGTATCTCTTCCTCCCTTGGTTTCGACGCGCAAGAATGCTTCGACACACAAGGGTTCAACGTTCAAGCCTTCAACATCGTCACCGACAACATGGATCTTCCGGGCGTCTTGCAAGGATAATAAATTCGCGGTACTCGGACTAGGTAGTACTTGGTATTGAACGAAGTACTATAGGGGAATCTGTCTTTGATACACAACGCTAATGATATTTGATTTTGTGTTCGTGTAGACGCGTGCAGGCGTAAGTACTTGGTGGTCCCTGATCAAAGCAGCAATATAAGTAGAACCGTCGCGTTCAGGTCTCTTGCGAGCAAACGTAGCAGGACTGCGGTTGTCATCTACTATTTCTCTTCGTCTGTCGATGTGTCCGGAGCTTCTGGCCTTTAGGGATCGCTGATCACCTCGCTGCTGCTCACCGGAGCCTCAATGCGCCTCCTCTCTTCAGCTTCGCCATCGGCGCACGCCGCCTAACGCAACGATTTCATTGGTATGTCGTACTTCCATGTTTCGATAGACTGGATCTTACCACAGCCAAGTACGCGAAGCTCTGAATGCAGCAGCTTGTCGCTCGACTAAGGTCTCAAGAGCTGGCGATAGTTAGATACAACAGTGATACATTCTGGCCATATAGAAGGTCTCCACAGAGACTTTTACCCTACATGCGGTGGCGCAAGTTGACGTGAACCGCTTTTATGTCGGTGTAGCTGGAAAGGATTGTGTCAGTCACATCACCAGAAGCAAGTCAGGACACTCACTTGTCCAGCGCGTATTCTCCCAGCTCACGGCCAATTCCTGACTGCTTGAAGCCGCCGAAGGGAACCTGCGCGTGCAATTGGTTCACGCAGTTGATCCACGTGGTACCAGCATGCAGCCGATGCGCCGTCTCAAGCGCAACAGTCACGTCCTGCGAGAACACCGCCGCCGCCAGCCCGTACACCGTGTCATTCGCCTGCCGCACTATATCGTCCTCGTCCGCGAACTTCACCACGACCGCGACCGGCCCGAAGATCTCCTCGCGCACGATCTTCATGTCCGGCGCGGTGTCGGTGAAGACGGTGGGCTCGATGAAGTAGCCTTCGGAGCCGACGCGCTTGCCGCCGGTGTAGAGCGTCGCGCCCTCCTGCTTGCCGGAGTCGATGAAGGACATGACGCGGTCGTACTGCTGCTGCGAGACCTGCGGGCCCTGGTCGATGCCGGTGCCGAAGGGGTCGCCGACCTTGATGGCGCGCGCGCGAGCGGCGAAAGCAGCGAGGAACTTGTCGTAGATTCCCGATTGCACGTAGATGCGGGAGCCGGCGGAGCATGCTTGGCCTTGATTCCAGCTGTGAAGCATGTCAGAAGTTTCGCTAGTCTTCCGAGCCTGCGAATGCGCACAAGATTCCATGGGCCGCCCAATTTACGGCCTGGTCCAAGTCGGCATCATTGAAGATGATGACAGGGCTCTTCCCGCCGAGCTCGAGAGTAACCTTTTTCAAGTTCGTTTTCGAGGCCGTCTCCATGATCTTGCGGCCGACGAGCGTGCTGCCGGTGAAAGCCACCTACTGGACGTCAGTCCGATTCGGGGCTCCTTCAGCACCGCACACACCTTGTGAATGTCCATATGGGAGCTGATGGCCTGCCCGACCGTGTGCCCGTACCCGACGAGAACGTTGACGACACCTGGAGGGAAACCCGCTTCGCGAATCAGCGAACACATGCGGAGCGCCGTCAGAGGGGTGAACTCCGAGGGCTGGAGGAGCCCAATGCGTGATCAGATCGATGACAAGCCAGGCGCAGAAGAGCCGAACGCACCTTCAAGACAACTGCGTTTCCCGTTGCGAGCGCTGGACCGAGCTTCCAGGCCATCATGAGGAGGGGGAAGTTCCAGGGGATGATCTGGCCGACGACGCCGATAGGCTCATGCCTCGTGTATGTGAGCTTCGACTCATCCGTCTGTGGGTCGCGAAAATATGAGTGTAACGTGCGAAGGACCAACCGATGTACGAACCTCGATAACTTTGCCCTGGATCTTATCCGCCCATCCTGCGTAGTACTTGATAGTCTGCGTTGCGAAGGCGACATCTACATTCTTCGCCCAGGTGAACGTCTTGCCGTTGTCGAGGGCTTCGAGCGCAGCTAGCTCATCCTTGTTCTCGTCCATGAGGTTGCCGAGCTTCCATAAGAGGTCGCCACGGCGCGTCCCAGAGGCCTTCAGCCCCCAGGAAGTTTTGAACGCTTGCTCCGCGACCTTGACGGCAGTGTCGACGTCGGCGGCGGTGGCCTCGGAGACCTTGGTTATGAGTTGGCCATTCGCCGGGTTGATGACACTACAGCTACTTAGAGAAGGGAGACGGTGAATGAGAAGACAGACGCACTCGATCGTAGCCTTGTCCTTCCCGTCCACGAACTCGCCGTTGAGAAAGACGCCTGTAGGGAAGCTGACCTTGCCCTTGAAGGACGGAGTGTTGAACTCGTAGGTGAAAGTCGTCATCGTGATTGGCGGCTAGAGGGGAGTAGAAAGGTGGCAAGCAGTGCAGCAGGTGCGCTTATATAGCAACCCGCACAGTACTCGTGGGCTCGCTCCCAAGCGATCATAGGAGCATCGACGATGGTTATGCGGGGAGACCAGATTGGAGGTGGATGGCGTATTCGTCATGGAGAGCTTCGTGAGATTGGGGTGCTGTCTGGATCGTGCCGACGTGCGGGGCTCGACTGATCCCAATGACGAGCGCTTGGTATCGTCCTCATTGGTGCGACGGTCGCTCAGTTGGAGAAAAAGGCTGCAGGTACACCGATCCTCGTTAACATCGCCTGTCATGTGCTTGACCGGGGCAAGAGCTATTCATCATTCTGTAGGCTGTAGTCGACGTCCTGTGAGCTAAGGACGATAATAGCGGTGTCTGTGAGAGCGCAGAAGCTTCGATATCAACTGATAATGGCGGGAGTGCCGCAAGGGCCGCCCACAGTACGGAGCAGCGGATGCGAGCAGCGGAGCGCCGTGCTCGATGCGGGATGCTGAAAAGGCCATTCTGTTTGGCAATGGCAGTACGAGCGCAGCTGCCTATCAAAGATTAAGCAGCGATCTTGATGCGCCGTCGACGACAAGTCCGAAGTCAACAAGTGTGACCACTTCGCGGTCACGCCGAATATGAACTTGGCACGTGCGCTTCGCGCTCCCATCGACTGACAGTGAAGGCTTCCCCGAAGGACGTCTAGACCTTCCGCCTGACTCTGTAGCTGGTCATAGCGTCCGCGAAGAAGACCGCATGATGGTCCTTCATGAGCTATATGCTGCGTATCCATGTGGAGCACCTCGAAAGCACGATGATGCTCGCAGTCGAACCGGTCTGAGGATATACATTAGCCAATCTGTGTACAGTAGCGAGAACCGATTCGTCCCGCTGGTATATGACAAGCAGGTAAGAAAGCTGTCCTGTCAGAGTAACCTGGTATATAGTGAAAGTACGTACACCGGAACATTACGAACATTGAATGATGTGATCCCGAAAAGAGGTAGATAATGATAGAGACCGAGACTCGCTTCCAAGAGCCAGTGCGTGTATGATGTGGCGAAGTTCCATCTATGTAAGCAACAAGACTGTTTTTCCGTCAGTACAGAACGAAGCCACGGACTCTGATCAAGGAAAAGGCGATTTACAGTCGGCTTGACTGCTTGTTGTATGGGTCCGCAAGACCTGCACAGCCCTCTCGCTTCATTGTTGACGATATTGACCCTCTTTAGTAGCCTGAACTCCATTGTAGGACGGGTTCTGCGCCGGGTCCGAAGGCGTTGTTGATTGCCATGTCGTTGAAGTGGGCATGGCTCCGGAGCTATACGTGGTTGGCGCCGCCATCGGTACCGCCATGTCCTCTGTCGTGCGCGGGATATCCGGGTAATGTCTGTACGGCCTCGTCGCCCGGTTGGGTACCATCCACTGCACATTCATTGGCCCCGAGCTGCCCTCGCCGACCTGCTGGTTCACGATGGGAGGGTTGAAGACGGCGGGCGGAGGTGGGCGCGCTGCGGCTTGCTCCTTCTCCTGCTGCTCGAGCGCTGCCACAACAGCCTCCCCATGCGTACGGCGGTGTCGGAGCATGTTCGATCGCGCGGCGAACTTTGCCTTGCATCCCAACGCGCCACAGGCGAAGGCTTGTGGTCGTTAACAGCGAAGGGCGAGAGGGGGGGATTGCGCACGTTTTTCGCCGGTGTGCGTGTTCATGTGCGTCTCAAGGGCGCTCGGCCTGTAGGTAAACATGAGGCCGATGACACAGCGGAGATCAGAAATAGGATGGGAGGGGGCGGCAACGATGAGGCGGATTGAAGAGGATGTATGGCGTGTGGGCCGAAGGTGCGGCGGCAATGCCAATAAGGGAGCACGGACAAACCTTGTAAAACGTTTCCCACATTCCCTGCATTGCCGGTCGTCCAGCCTGGATGAGGAGTCTTCCCCGGTTGTAGTCATTGGGGAGGTTGACAAAACCGCTGACTGATTCCCCTGCGTCCCAGGCCCTGCGCCGGCCGCGTCAGGCATTCCTTGCGCCTGCTGCGCTGCAAGAGGTTCTCCTCATCAGTCAGATCCTAGAGATGGGCAAAGGGCAGCCATACGCGGGTTAGACGTAGCGGTGTTGGGATCCTGCATGTTCATCCAGGACATCGCGGATTTTGATTTCTGAGAGGGGCGCAGGGTCGTTTGCCAGAGAGCACCGATCCGAGTCGACGCCAGAGATGGCCGTGAGGTTCAAGAGATAGACATAGAGTCGGAAGCAAGCACCAGAGAACGGGAGTCGCTGAGGATTTGCGCGAGTCCTATATACGTATAAAAGCGTGACAAGCCGCTACTAGTCAGCGCGTGCCGAGTGCCTGCCGGTCTTGCTTGTACTCGTGTGTATTCGCAACCCAACCACAAGCTGAGACCAGAGCTATGCCCAACAAAAGCGCGCAAATTGACGAGCATGACAATCACGTACCACCTCGCCGCCTTGCATCGCGATTGCGTGGCACAGGAAGACTCGGAGGCGAAGTCGGGACGCCGACCGCGCGAAAATTGCAAGCCTTGCATTCGAAGACGAGTAAGTGATATGCTTGATGAGGTGGACAGGCATTTGGAGCTGAAGAGCAAGGCCATAGGTCGCTCACAGGTCCAGCAGGGCATGCCTTCGCTTAGTGCAATGTCGCATCATCGTCGACCGAAGAAAACCGCAGATGATCGCCGGTTTTGCCAAAGTGCGTATAACGTGCTCAGTGCGAGCAACGCCAGCATGTGGCTTATGTCAGCAGAGGAGATCCGCGCGGCTGAAAGCACTCGGCGCAGAGCCTACCCTCCATACAGCGTATTCGTTTGGATCGGGGTACGACGGGCACAAGAGTTCGCAAGGTAGACATTCACTTCATTGACTCGAATGTCAGGTACGACGATGATCAATTCTGATATACGTGCTAGATTACTCAATAGTTCTCTCCAGCTGAGGCGGTATGTAGGGGTTGTCGTCGAGGCTATCCACATACTCAGCGAAGGTACGTGGTTTGATGTCTGGGTAGAGGTCCCTAAAGTCAATGGCGCCATTCGCTTTCGCATTCGCCACCGTGTTGTCGCCCCGGATGAACAGGCTGACCCAGTATTCATACACGTAGCGCATCATCATCTGCGAAGGACCGCCACTCTTCACGACCTGCAGTGTCTTCAAGATATCCTCACTGGGATGCTAGGGAACGGTCAACACCTGCCCCGATGGTTGACGTAGAGAATGGTGCGCACAGTTTTCTTCTGCTCGAGGATACCCTTTCCGTACTTCTTCACCGCGAGGTTCCACGCCTGGTTCTGCGTCACCTCGTCCTCCCAGACGAAGACCTTCTTGTTCAGCGTACGCTCGTCCTGTATGATGCGCGCCACGTAGTCGCCGATGTGGAATTCGTCGACGACCGCAAAGGGGACGTCGCCGCTTCCAATCAAGTTGCGCACCATATCCGCGGTGGTCGACTTTATGTGCGCCGGGAAGATGGCACTGATCTGCATCCACCAGCCGATCTCGATGTACGTGTGGCCGAGGCCGATGGACTCGATGTACTCGTGGATGGCGAGTTTCTGAGGCAGTGGTCAGTGGGCGAGCGGATCGGTGTGAGAGAAAGCGTCACTGACCCTGTCCTGAAGATTCATTACGCCCTTGGGGCAGCTGGGGCCAAAGTCGTTGGGTACGAAGCGCTTGATGCCGACGGCTTTGCCTGCGTCGGCGATCTTCTTCTGCGCATCCATGCAGTTGGGGAGGAGGGATGCGATGACGATGTCCGCGCCGGCCAGGATCTCCTCGAGCCGCTCCTGCGTGACGGACAGGAGGTCCGCCTTGTGGATAGCGACACCCTGGTCGGCAAATCTGGAGACGGCCGGCTTCGCGAGATCGCGAGCGACGATGGCGATGCGCTGTGAGGCCGTCGGCATGGTGTGCAAAAGGTATGGAGATGTGAACTCACGAATGCTTTGCTACGAAGCAGGCCTTCGACGATGCGCTGACCCGTCTCTCCGGTTGCGCCGAAGACGACAGCAAGAGGCTTAATCGGCGTTTGCGACATATTCAAGAGAGGATGTGAGTGTTCTGTGTTTTTAGACTCAACTGTGGGCATTCCTCTCCCTTTTATACTACCTTCGAAGATTATTCAGCAGTTCAACGCAGGACCATCTTTATCATTACTAACGAAGTACCTTCCAGGACGATGCAGTCGAGTTACAAAGCAGATACCAACTTGCTTCGGTTCTCTAGCCGGGAAAAATTCTTCAGTCTCGAGGGTCAGCGCTCAGCCCCAACCTCGGTTCCTGCGTTATGGATTGTGCTTGATCCCAACCGGAACGTCCCCGCGGACATCAAGCGTGCGTTCATGGCTCGGTTAAGAGGCTGCTGACGGTATCCTTTTAGACCTCAGTATCCTCGGAAAGACCGCGAAGTCTCAAGAGCGCCGTTGGACTCGATTACGGCCCCCTTGTCGTCCTTCAATCGACGATAGACGATCATACGGATATGTCCTGAATTGGTCGACTCGACTACGCGCCAAGCACCAATGTATGCTTCTCTGTAGCTTTTCCCTCCGATATGTAGATGTACCGAATACATTTCTCAGCTCTCTTCGCAGACTTTCTATCGCCCGGCTGAAGATTGCGAACAGGCTGAACACAGAACATCGGACCCTATTTTGCCATCTCCCTCGTCGCGACTGCAAATTTAATCGTAGGCTCCCCGTCGATGTGGGACACAAAGCTCGACGTTGACCGTTGAACATCTAGATGGCGCTTACTCTCCAAGATGCAGACTCACAGCGCTCAAGAGAAGATCGCTTAGAATGATTTCAATCGCAGACATCAACCGCAAATGTCGCAGTGGCCGACAGTGCCAGCGAAGTGAGCAGTTTGTGCGCGTAAGGAGAAAACATCCGACTAGACGCAAATCATCATAGCACACAGAACTATAGGCTCACACAGAGGCAGAGCAGCCCATGAACAACATCGTCATAACGGTAAACAAGATCGTGAAAGAGAATCGAAACCAGGGCGGGAGGTATCCAGCGGAAAGCAGTCGACAAACTCGTAGCGCTACAATACATAGAAACGCAAGAAGACCAGTAGATAACTCGGGTAGATCGTGAAAGGTAGACAGGTAGATCGTAGAAGGCAGACAGGTAGAACGTAGAAGGCAGACAGATAGATCGTGTAAAAGAGATGTAGAACAAAACAAGAGCCGAAGGTTCGGAGGAAGCACAGATTGTGGCACAAGGTGATAACTTGCTCGAGGTGAACAACCAAGGAAAGCGTCTACAAACCCAAAGCAGCGCCAATGGACCTCGCCGCGGACGCGCGAGACATAGGAACCGCAGATCCCATGCGCGAGGGCGCAGCAGAGCCCATCCTCGACGGAGCCGCGGAACCCATCCTCGACGGAGCGACAGACCCCATCCTCGACTCCGCCTCAAACTCCGCCTCCGACGGGGCGACAGACCCTTGCCGTCCAACCTGCATTTCCCACAACCGCTCCTTCGCCCGCACCTCGATATTCTCAAACGGCGCCGCCTGCTCGACCCGCACGCAGTCCCTCGTCGCCAGCACGAGCAGCTCGAAGAAGAACGCGGCCGCCGCGCGGCGCGACGCGCCCTGCGCCATGCGGTTGAAGCTCAGCACCTTGTCCTCGCCGGCGTGCGCGACGGGCACGGGCGCGTCAGACTCGGGCTCGCCCTCGGCGTCGGCGTCGCCCTCGGTCGGCCGCAGCTCGCGGCGGACGATGGAGAGGGCCTTGAGGGTGTTGCGGCTGTAGCCTTTGCTCTCGGTCGCCTCCTGCTGCGTCTGGCTCGCCGAGCGCGCATCAAAGGCGGCGATGGGGCATGAGGCATCCGCGAAGGTTTCGCCTTCTTCCTCGAAATTGAAGGCTGGGGTTGAGAATCGGCTGGACCGGTGCTCGGAGGGTGCAGCAGAGCGACGGTCAAGAGTCTCATGCGCCGTGGGGAGGTCAGGCACCTCGAGCTGGAAGTCGTCGAGGGGGAGGGATTGGTCGCCAAACTCAAAGGGCGCCGTGTCATCTCCTTGCGGAAGCCCGAAGCTAGGCGCAGCGCTTGCATCGCGACGACCTTGCTCAACTTCCTCATCCTCGTCAACGCGAGCGCGTTTGCTCGATGGGCGTCCCGTCTCCGCATCACGAGGGCGCTTCGCGCCAGACAGCGGCATAAGGAACATGTCCGCGAGAGCGGCTGGCAGGCCGGGCGGCGCACAGGAGAGGAAGGTGCCATCGGCGGTTGTCTTCGTCGGCATGAAGTGCGCCAAGGGGTCGTCATGCACCTCCTGCAGACGCATCATGAGGGTCGAGCGCGGGAGGAACTGTTGCTCGGTGAGGATGTCGCTGACATCGACGTCGGTGGGAGCACCGAGGCCGGCGTTGCGCCCACGACCACCCCGCGCGCCCGGGCCGCCTTCGAGTTCGGTAACAGAGTCGATGATCTGCTTCTTCTCACGGGGCTTGCGCTGCTTTTTCGCTACAGGGGTAGTCGGGTCCTCGGCGTTGTTGTCGCCGACTTCTGCCTGCGCAGGCGGAGTAGGGGGGACCTCGCTGAGAGGGGAAGCTATCGAAAGTCAGGACTGGCTGGGATAGTCGGAAAACCTTTACGTACAAGCTCGGGATGACTCTCGCGTCTGGCCAGGGGTCTTCTCGTGGTCATCGCTAGCAAGGGGAGGCTGGTCGTCGAAGCCAACACCGAGATCGCCAAGGTCGACTGCACCGAGTTCAGGCATGTCAATGTCCATGTCCATGTCCGCCACATATGGCTGCTCAGAGGGGTCGCGCGAGCGGCTGCGGTTGGACATGAGGTCGATATTGGGACCACCCGGACCGAAGCGCGAGTCCATGGACAGACGCGACGGCGCCATACTATCGCGACGGCCTACGCCGACGCTACCGTCCATGCTCATACTATCGTCTGCGTCGCGCCCTTGCTCGCCCCCGAACTCATCGCCCCAGTCGATGCCAAGGTCGACATCGAAGTCCTGAGAGCCGATACCGTCGGAGGGGCCGATGTCAAGGTTCATGGGGTCGCTGAAGTCAACGTATTGATCGGTACGAAGGGTAATATCATCGCGGCGCGCCTGGTGCTGGCCGGTAGCGACCAAGGGGTGAATTTCGAAGTCCTCATCCCTATACTGAGCGTTAGCGGGATGGAGCAATCAAAGGCGCGGGTGTGCTCGCACCAGTTGAAGTCGGGCAGGATCGCGTCGAGGTCTATACCGCCGCCTTGCAGCGTGATCGCGTTCTTGTTGACGGTGAGCTCGCCCTCGGTCATGTCGACAGCACCAGGGCGGAAAGCCTATGAAAGGAGGGTGAGGAGCAGATCGCGCATAGTCCAGGGGATGCGCACCATTTTGATCTTGAGCAAGGCTTCATTGCAGTCATCCAGCAAGTACTTGGCTTTCCGGCTGTATATACGAACAACGCCCAACAACAATTGGCCACTGAGACGCAGCGCCATGACCTCGATCTCTTGGGTCATGATGGCATCTACACTGAGATTAGCGGGGGAAGGGGTGATGGCGAGCGTGCCACGCACCAACAGATTCCCCTATATCTGTCTGAATTGTCTGGGCCTTTGAGAGCTTTCGCTCCATGTGTGCCGCGAGCCATACCCTGCCAAGGGGCCCGCGACGCGACAAGATTTCTTCAGAGTAAAACTAGAGGCGATTAGATGCGCAGACGGGCTGGGCGGGGGACTTACCATGGTGGGGGAGAAGCGCGTCGCGTTTCGCGCGTGACGGCGGAGGACAAGGTGACGGCCACCGTGTCCGGATCCGGCGATCAAAGCGAGCTGTTTGCCTGCGTCATCCGGGCCAAACACGGTCTCCGTCCCGAAAATTAGCGCCGTGCCCGCCGACGCGTGCCATGTTGTCCTCGACGCGTCTCTGCCTCAAGCGCGCGCGCCCACGCCTGGTGCTGCGCCGCTATGCCTCGGGCAGCACAGAGCCCGTCTCCGCGCTCAGGAGTCAGCCATGGCAGTTTGACGCAGAGGCGAATGCAGCGTCCAGGCCGGGACAGGTGGGAACTACCTCCCAGGCGCGGTACAACCTATCGCTCCAGGACCACCTCATCCGCAAAGATGCTGCTGGAGCGCTTGCGCTAGCCGCGGAGATGAAGCGCAATGGGATTCCCCCGGACCAGACGACCTACGACGCCCTTGCACGTACGCTCGCCTCCAAGGGACTGCACCGAGATGTCTGGGCATTGCTCGAGGACATGGAGGCACTCGACGTCAAACCTTCCCAAGCCCTACTCACGGAGATGGCCAAGGTGCGTTACACCCCACCCTCCTCGAATGCGTCGCTTATTCCCCCTCCTAGAACGCAAACACTTTATCCTCTGTTCAGTTTTGGGACATCTTGGACGTGATGAAGAAGCATGACATTCGACCCACCGCATCGACATGGACCAGTGTTGTCCAGCAGTTTGCACATGCAGGCAACGTTGAGCTCGCCCTCGAGTCCCTTTACAACGTCCGCAAGGATGGTCTCGAGCCCGAACTGCCCGCGGCCGAGGCCGTAATTGCACTCTTGAGCGACAAAGGCTTCATCAACCTAGCCATGGATGTCATTGAATGGTTTGAGGGCTTCGCAATCCGGCGTGTGGGTCCCGAGACATGGATGCGATGTCTAGAGGGCGCAGCCGCGGAATGTCGAGTGAGTGCTGACTTCAAACCCCCTTATTCGCATAATTGAATGCTGTTAAGATGGACGCAATCCTGAAGAGCTGGCAAAAGGCTGTCGTGGAATACAACCTCTCGCCCTCCGAGGGACTCTGCCTGGAGATCCTCACCGCAGCTGCCCGTCACGGACAGGCTGAGTTCGCCGTCTCACAGGTCCTCACGACCCTCGTTAATACCAACATTGCCCTTTCCACGAAACACATTGCTCCCGTCATCGAGGCCTATGCCGCAGCAGGCAACCTATCCGACGCCTTCACCTTCCTCCACAGCCTACCGAGCTTCAAAGTCGAGGCACCCGTCACCTCACTGGAGGCAATCGCTGCGTACTGTCTACCGGACATCGACGCTATCGACAACGCGTGGAAGATCGTCGACCAGCTCCACACTGAGACCAAGGTCACAACCGCTGCGCTCAACACCATCATCATCGCTGCCGCGAAGCACTCCGACCTCCAGCGCGCGCTCGGCGCCTACAAGAACTTCCCCACCTACAACATCCAGCCCAACACCGACACCTTCGACATCCTCCTCGATGCCTGCATCCCCACCGAACACCGCCAACTCGGTGACGCGCTCCTCGCCGACATGAAGACCGCGAACGTGCCCCTCGCGCGCGGCACGTACGAGCGCCTCGTGCGCCTGTGCCTCACGCAGCCCGAGTACGACGACGCGTTCTTCTACCTGAACGAGATGGAGGCCGCGGGGCACGTCCCGAGCCTGCAATTGTACTCAGCCATCGTGCGCCGGTGCGCGAGCGAGGGGGACACGCGGTACGAGGTCGCGCTGGGGGAGATGAAGGCGCGGAAGATGGCGGTGCCGAAGGAGCTGCTGGGCCAGGTGCGCGCGCTGACGCGGCAGGCGAGGAAGCTGCCGGAGGTCGAGGCGGCGGAGAAGGCACGGAAGGAGGGCGGGAAGCGGGCGTCTGAGAAAGAGATGAAAGTCAAGGAGGTGCGGCGACCGGAGGTGGATGAGGAGAGGTATGTGGAACCTTCGGGGGTCGAGGAGGATGAGACGATGGGTCGCTCTTCACGACGGTAGCACAGATGATGACCTGCTGTGCACTGTGGCATATTCTATACACCCCTCACGAGATCCCTGCCTGTTTGATCACACGAGTCTAGTTCGGAACGATGAAGGACGACCGGCAAGGGCTCGAAGTTCATTGAAGTTGAAGTGTGCTGCAGTCGATCGGCCATGATCGACACGTGGGTGAACCCCGCATCGTTCCCCGCGTTCCCAGCGCCGATAAGTGCCCGCTGACAGAAATTCCAGTTCGACTCAGGCTGAATTCCAGTTCTTACCTAACGTCGTTAGTAACACAACAGCGTCGAGATGACGCTTTCGACCACTCAATTCCAGTTCGCTATCTCCGGTGACGCTCGAGAGGTGGATCATCTTCGGTGACGCTCGCCTGCCCCCGCTGCATATAAGGGGCCGAAGACCTGAGCAAGAGAGTCCTGCGTAGCATCACGCCATCCAGCGAGATGGAGAACATCGAATTGTCCAGGGTCTCCACAATCGTCGAGTGCTCGCCAAGCGCGGAGAATTGTAGCTTGTCGGGACGAGGGGGAGAGGTCAGCAGTGCTTTGGAGACGGGCTTGGGTGCGGCCCAACACCATATCGACGACTTTCCGTGCGCTGACGGGCGATTCATGATCAGCGAAAGGAGAGCAGGGTGTACATCCTCCGGCACCAGTCCTTTCGAAGCCGATCATATCCACGCCTCCTTCAATCCATCACGAAATTGCACCCCCAGCAGACAGCGACAGCCCTGGCACCCCCACGAGAACACCCAAGCAGCGCCGTGCGGCACTGACCTACTTTGGAATCTGTTGCTTCGTGCTTTTACTGCAAGGATGGAACGACGGCGCCCCTGGTGCCCTCCTCCCCACCATGCAGGCGCGCTACAATGTGAGTCTTCATCATACACGCAATATCGACCTATACTGATGCCTCTGTAGATTGGCTTCATCACAGTGTCTATGATCTTCATATCGTATGCCGCCGTGAGCGCCAGGACTTCGTCAAGCTACTAGGAGTGCTCAATCGATATAGGGCTACATCGTCGGAGGTTTCTCCAATGTCTACCTCTCTGACAAGCTTGGGTTCGGAAAGGTGAGCTCGCGGCTGCTTCGCGACTACGAGCGTCTTCTGACGCCTTGGACAGACCATGTTTCTAGGTAGCGAGGCCACTCTGAACGGAGATTTCTGACGCCCATGCATCGATCAGGTTCGGTTCTCCAGTCCATTGCATATATCATGCAAATCCCTGCACCCGTCTTTCCGGTGTTTGCTGTAGCGTTCTTCTTTGCGGGCTTTGGCCTTTCTCTGCAGGTCGGTCGGTATACCTCGAAATGTACTCGACCCTTTTCATCTGACACGTTGCTCTAGAACGCTGGATCGTCATCGTTCGTCGGCGGTCTGAAAAATCCGTGAGCGGCCTATCGCTACACTTCTGCCAATTTCCGCGGCTAATTAGGCATCTCAGCTCGACCATGGTCGGCATCATGATGAGTGCGTACGGGCTCGGTGCTTTTCTCGCGCCCCTGGTCGCCACGCAATTCTCCAAGCTGGAAAAGTGGTCATATTTCTACATCATCACCCTCGGCCTGAATTGCGCCAACGCGGCCCTCATCCTTGCCGTCTTCCGGCTGCGCACGTACAATGGTACGCCTCTCGAGACATGCCTGAGACCGTCAGTGCGACTGACCACTTGCAGAACTCATGGCCTCGGCGGGCTACGAGCAGCCTGACGCGGGCAGCGCCAATGAGACGAGCAAATACCGTCAACTCATGCGTTTGCCGACTGTTCATCTTACGGCGCTGTTCTGCTTCATCTATGTTGGCACGGAGGTGACGCTTGGCGGTGAGTCCATCGCGCGTTGGTATGGTGCTGCGAGACTGACATGCTGAACAGGCTGGATCGTGACGTTCGTCATTGACGAGCGCGGCGGTGGGAGCAGCTCCGGTTACCTATCCTCTGGCTTCTTCGGTGGCCTCGCTCTGGGCCGCATTCTGTTGCTTTGGGTGAACAAATGGGTAAGCGTCCGCTGTGTAGGACGTGCTATGGCTTTTGACTGACAACATTTCCGCCAGGTCGGCGAGAAGCGCGTCGTCATGGTTTACACCCTCATCTGCATCGCGTACGTCCTCTTCTTCCCATTACACCTTCGCATCCACATCTCCACCTCCCCTCATACACCCGCTCACGTTCTCACGTTTCCCAGCCTCGAGGTTACTGTCTGGAAGATCCCTTCCCTCATTGAGAATGCCGTCGCCGTTGCCATCATCGGCCTCCTCCTTGGGCCCATGTACCCCATCATGGTCAGCCAGACGCGCAAGACGCTTCCGCCCTGGCTCCTCGCCGGCGGCCTCGGGTGGATCGGCGGAATAGGGCAGTCGGGCTCGGCGGTGCTGCCGTTCATCACGGGCGTGCTGTCGTCGAAATTTGGTATCAGTTCGCTGCAGCCGTTGTAAGTGTCGGTGTCCCATTTTATGCTCATTGTGTGCTTGGGTTGTGGTGGTGGTGGTGGTGCTTGGGCAGTGCATATGCTAACGAGAGCCTTCGCAGTGTGCTGTCGATGCTGGTGGTTATGGGCGGGACGTGGTTCTCCATTGCGCCCAGGGCGACGCTGCGGAGGCTGGACTAAGACAGTGACATGCGAAAGCTCCAAGTAGACAGAATGCGACTGTTCCCCTTTCCCTGCGACTTGGCCTTGCTAAATCTTTGAAGCACTTATGACAGAGGACCAACTACGTAATTCCCTTTGGCCAAAGCTTTGACACTACCTAATCACGTACAAATTTACATATGAAAACAAAGAGCCATCCGCTGAAGTCACGTAGAAATGCGCCACTAACATCCTTCCTTTTAAGGGTGGCCTCGAACGGGCTTCGGCACATAGCTAGAGAAACGCGTCAGCGAGATAGTAGCCCACGTAAAGCCGAAAGCGACTCACGGCTCTTCCAAATATCTGGCTTCCTCGTCGGTCAGCTCACCATCTACGATGCCCTGATCAACGCGCTTGATCGAGTTGAAGCCGACGATAGGGCTGTCTACGGTGCGCGCAACCCATGCGAGTGCGACCTCCAAGAGATGTCAGACTAAAAAAGTACAAGATGGTGGAAGATGAACCCATCAAGTACGGACCTGAGACATAGCCCAGCCGCGCTTCTTTGCGACCTCATCGACCCGCTTGATGATCTCGGCGTCAATCTCGTGTTGTGTGTTGACCCCATAAGCATTGAAGGACTTCCAGCGGGGGGTATCCTCGGCATTGAGGGGACGGGCGAGCGCGCCGCCGGACAAGGGCGACCAGGGAATCAGGCCGATGCCATGGTACTTGCAGTACGCTATCATCTCGCGTTCCTGCCAATAGATCGCGTGAGCACTTCGCAGACAAGTGGTCCGGAGCATTAGGCGACCCACATCCTCGCGATAGAGCAACGAATATTCACTCTGCATGCTGACGAACTTCGTCCAGCCGTGCCGCTCGGCGACCTCGTTGAGAAGCGCGAACTGCCAGGCGCGCATCGAGCTTGCGCCAATGTAGCGCACCTTGCCAGCTTCGACGAGGTCGTGAAGCGCCTTCATCGTCTCCTCCGGTGGCGTGTCCGGGTCAAAGCGGTGGATCTGGTAGAGGTCGATGTAGGACGTATTGAGCCGCGCGAGCGATTCCTCGACGGCGTTGAAGATGGCCGCGCGGGAGAGGCCCATCCAGTTGACGTACTCCCTGCGCTGGCGCCAAACCGGGATATGCGAGTGTGTGAAGATATCGTGGTCCGCGCCCTTCGCAGTGAGGCCATAGCACTTGGTGAGGATGAATATTTCGTCACGGGGAATTTGGTACTGGGATTATTTGGTGAATGGCGTCCTGAATGGGAAGGAAAGGAGGGGAAGGCATGCCTTTTCAATGAACTTGGCAATGACGCGCTCCGAGTCGCCGTTCGAGTACACGTTGGCGGTATCAATAGTGCTGCCGTGCTGTCAGTGATATCCCTGCCAGATGAAGCCAAGGCCCGCACTTGATCCCACGATCCCATGCAGCCTTGAGGATGGGCAGGGCGCGCTCCTCGTCCAGCACCCATTGTGTTGACTCCTCTGTCGCCTTGGGTTCGAATCAATGCTTGCTTGGAAGTCTCTTTACCGGCGCCTTACCGCCCATTTGGGGTTCCCGTAGCTCGCAGCGCCGACCTGGAAAACAATTGTCGGAGGGTATAAGTAACGCACACACCGATATGGTGGATTGGAGAGCGTACAATGGGGACGGAGATACGCAGACCGCTCTTTCCAAGCTGCACATATTTCGCCGAGGGTGCTGACATCGTTCAAGTGGAAAGGGCGAAGACGCGCCGCGATGCTTTGTTTCAAGACAGCGCAGTCTGCTGATCCCCACTTTATAATGGCTACCTGCCAGTGGTACGGTTGGCTACCCGAGGCATCGATGTGAGCTCTGACTACAGGGAGTATGTTAAGCCCAAGGTCCCGTAGATCGCAAGGGCGTGAATGCTTGCCTGGACTGTTATCACGATGCTACCCTGCGATTGGACCCTATTGGACAGCAAACGAAGCAGCAGTGTTGGCACTGCTGTGATGGACTAAATCACGCAGAATACGGGTCTCTACCGTTCTCCGTTGCGGAAATGCGAGTTATGACGGCTCCTGTCCGACGGCTGAGGATCCGGGGCCGGACAATCAACGATATCGTCAACTTGGATAGCAGCTCAAGTTCATTGTGATGGTCAGAAATCCTTGATCGACCACACAAACACGGGAGGACAGCGAGCTGAGTCCGTTGTCCATGCAGGAGGAAGTACGCGCGAACTTGCTAAACAATGAGAGTCAGGTTCGAACTTTGATGCTACTGTATTCGACCGTGTCCGCAAATCGCTCACCATGACCGCGCTCGGAAATACCCGTATCTGACTTCAACACAATTCAGCTTCTCGGAGCGACAGAAGCAGAACGTATTGCGAGACTAATGGTACAGTATGATGATGCCTCCAAGAAAACTAGCAAGAAAGATGTCCGGAAAGCCCCCTCAAAGCGCAGTGATCACCTTCTTCAGCCACTCGTTCCCTTCTATCTGCTCCTTGTGTGCGTTGACGATCTTCTTCAGCTCCTCCAGCTGCGCCTCGGGCGAGTCATCGACGTCGGCCATCTCGACGTCCTCGCCGTCCGGCTCGCCCGCCCACTGCTTGAGCAAGTCCTCGACGATCTTGAGGCCTTCCTCCGTCACCTCGGGCGGAGCCTCTGGTGCAGAGCGTTTGTCCTCTGCAAGGGTGGTCAGTACAAGGCTATGCACAGCACATACAACGTAAGCAACTCACCACTCCCAAAGTCCTCCAACTCGTCTGCCTTGCGCTTGGCCAACTTCACGACGTTCTCCGGGAAGTTCGCCAGGCGCGCAACGTGGATGCCGAAACTTTGGTCGGATACGCCCGGCTCGACCTTGTAAAGGAGCGTGATGTCGCTGGTGTCGCCGGACGAGTCCCCGCTGACGTGCGCGACGACGTGAAGGTTGGTGACGTGTGGGAGTTGTTGGTCGAGGGCGGTGAGCTCGTGGAAGTGGGTGGCGAAGAGGCAGAAGGCGTGGATCTGGGAGGCGATGTGTCTATAGAGGGTTAGCCGGTGAGGCCAGCAAGAGAAGGAGAGTAGCCATACTCTGAAATCGCCCATGCCAGACCGAAGCCGTCGTAGGTTGACGTGCCGCGTCCGAGCTCGTCGATGATGATGAGCGAGTCCTTGGTGGCTGACTACCCAAGAAGTCAATGTCTAGGCTCAATCGGGGAAGTGAAGTGCACCTACCCGCAAGATCGTCGCAGTCTCCAACATCTCTGCCATGAACGTCGACACGCCCTTCAACTGACTGTCACCCGCGCCCACACGACATAGCACGGAGTCAAAGATCGGCAGCGTCGCCTTATCGCACGGTACAAAGCACCCCGTCTGCGCCATGAGTGCGATGACGCCCACCTGCCGGATGTACGTCGACTTCCCTCCCATATTCGGGCCAGCTATGTGAGGGTCTCATTGAGCACCCTATCGAGCACATAGATAAAGCGCAAGTGAACGCACTGATGATCTGGAACTCGCTCTTGTCCTTGATCATCTCGACGTCGTTCGGTATGAAGTTGACCTCGTCCTGAACCTCGAGACACGGGTGGCGCGCCTCCTTGAGGATCAAGCTGCCGTTGCCGCGCTCCACGACCTTGGGCTTGACGTAGGTGACGGGCGCGTTCACGGAGACGTGCGCGAAGCTGTGTAGACGCTCAGTAGTGCACAGGCGGTAGTGACGAGCTTCCCCTACCTAATGATCACGTCCAAGTGCGCGATGACACTATCCAGGGATTCCATGACCGAGGTATATGTGGCTGCAGAGGTTCGCTGAGCGGTTTGAAAAGCGCAGGTCGACCAACACACCTGCGATAGCCACGATCTCCTTCACAAGCCCGCTCTGCTTCCTCGAGTACGCCTGCGTTAGCTCCTTGTGGTCCGCCGCGGCCGTCTTCAGCTTCTTCGTCACGAAGTACACCCCGCTCTTGTTCGTCGCCAGCTCGATGTACTTGTCCTTCTTATTCGTGATGCCTTTGGCGTCCTGGCGGGAATGTCAGTCTAGTCAGAAGGGGTACTGAAAGTACATTTAGGTGCTCACGTTCTTCGTCAACCGGAAGCAGTAGCCGTACGTCGGGTTGTTCTCCAGATGAAGCTTCTTGTCAAGCTCGATGTTCAGGTCCTCGCCGACTCTGCGATGTTCTTGGTCGAGTTTTTCGGTCGCCTGGTGCGCAAGTGAACATGGCAGCGCAAGCCAGTATGAGCGCATCGCGGGCGAAGACACTCACCTCCTGCAGCTTATTATGCAGCTCCTGCAGCTGCTCGTCATAATCCGGCTTCACGACGTAGTTATGGTTGTCGAGCTGGTCGAGGTCGAGCGTCTGCTCCACCATCTGCGAGTACTTGGACAGGCTGGCTTCTTTGTCCTATACAGATCAAAGTCAGTCTTAGCGGTAGGTCGGTAGGAGGATGAATGGATGGAGGAATGGGTGGATGGAGAAACGGGTGAATGGAGGATGAATAGACGGATGAACGACGAACCCGAAGTTCCCTGAGGTACGTTTCCTCGATCAAAGCTTGGTGCTCTGGAGTCTCCGTCCGCACGGCTTCCAGCGCCTCTATCATGCCGGGTAGCTGGTAAGGCGGTCAGCGACGGCGCACTGCAGAACGGAGGGTGTACCTTACCTTTAGGATGACTTGGTATACGCGCACGACATTCTCCAATGTCGCAAGCCCCTTCTGAAACCGCCGTCCCAGACGGTGCATGTCGGGCATCATCTTCAAGTACTCGTCCTGACCAGACAGATCAGCGAATACAAAGATCAAACGCAATTGGGCGAACCTGCAGCGTCTGCCTCGCATTCGCGTCATCGAAGAATATTTGTACGAGTTCCTGCCGTTTTTCTGCGTGGGTTCAGAGATGGGGATAATGCCGTGAAGGGACCGACTCACGAATCTCATGCAAGTTGACGAGCGGCTGCTTGAGCCAAGTCCCCAGCATCCTAGTACCCTGCGCTGTCTTGCACTTGTTGAGCAGGCCTAGCAAGGTCGTGTTCTTGTTGGACTGGCCCTGTAGTCGCTGTGAGAACGATGGGTGAAGACACAGAGAGGGCTACGCACGCTTTGCCCAGTCATATCAACCAGGTTAAGCGCTCGCAAGGCGCTTGCGTCTAGCTTCATGTACTGCTCCAGATCATGCGTACGGATTGTCCATGCGTTGTGGTTGGCAGGGTCGGCGAGGAGGCTGAGGTAGCCGAGCAATGCGTTCAGTGCGCCTTTGGCGTTCGGCAGGCTGAGTTCGGCTATACAACAAATGTGAGAGGACGGTCAGGCGCTCATCGTTGTACTTACGAATGGTTGCAGTGGGATCGGCTGTTGAGGTCCCGGGGGTTGCTACCAGCAAGCGCGGGACATCGTCCGCAACGTTCTTATCCCTGAACTCGCCTTGGAATGAGAATGAGCTTTGATGTCAGAAGCAATATGCGGGACGCTTACTGGGCTTGCGCTCCGTGATCACGACACCACATCGGTCCAGCACCGACCGCAGCTTGTTCAAGTCTAGGTCGCGCTCAGACGTTCCACTCGACGTGCCCATAGGGATAACAGCCTCTTTCACGCCAAGCTGGATGATGAGGGACTCTGTATTGGAGTAAAGTTCATTGTCCACGAAGTCAGCTACACCGAGCTCCCGCAGGCTCGTGTCGGCGTAGGCGACGCCGACTGTCTTCAGCTTGGTCTTGCCACCAGCCGCGGGCGTGCTTGCAAGGGTGATCGCCATGACGATAGGGGCAGTTGTCATGTCCGAGTTGGTGAACAGTATGTCTTCGACTTGCTGCAAGTTTCCTGGGGAGGCCTGGATGCGCATGAGCGACGGTTCGTTACTTATTTCGAGCGATCGCGCACCTCCTTGTCCAGATGGAACTTTGTCGCGCGCTTGCCCTGGCCGCTCTCGGGGACGTATATCTCCACTTTCAGTTGCTTCACGGTGAGCGCATCTCGTAACAAGCTTTGCGCGACAGTGGTCTTCAGGTGGACCGTGGGTAGGCCGGTCGCGCGTCCGCCATGGCCTAGGTATTTGATGACAGAGTTGGTGTGGAAGACGTAGTTTGCGACGAAGAGGGCGTCTGGACCATAGCAGGAGTAAAATTCGTCGGGGCCCTGGCGATGGAAGAGGCGGAGTGTGCCCGTCTCGGGCGATTTCTTGGGGAGATGTGAGAAGAAGGAGACGAATCCAGGGTCAGTAGTCGAGTCTAACAGGATACTCAGTCAACGTTCCCTGGAATTCGGTTGAGGGACACGCACCTGCAGCTTCCTGGTCGTCTTTTCCCCTGCCGTACATGATCGTCGCGTAATGAGGTGCACGACGCGTCGCGTCACACACCGTCACGCGTCCTTAGCGCTCGGCAGTTGCCATTCGCGTCACTTGTCTTCGACGTTCATGTTCTCCTGCCGTTTTCTGGAAATACAATCCTGCTCGCGGCTTCTACTTCCATGGTATACATCTGCAATCCCGTGGATATGCACACATGACGTGGCCAAAGCGGCTTGCACTGAGGGGGCGAGCCGGAGAAATGAGAGTGCGTGCCGATACCTACCTGAGTGGTCTGCGATCGCGCTATCCGTGCCGCATACTGTACCGGTATGTATGGAGGCAACCGGTGGGGGGTGCGTTACGCTAACAACCCTCCGCTAATAGGCAACTGACCCTACGTTAGGCGTTACGGTTAGTTGAATAAGCAACCAGTCAAGGCAAATTTGAACATTTACTAGGCTAAAGTAGACGTACAGCAGCAGGAAGGCTCCGATGTGGCACTTACGACACATATAGCCTGTTTCCCGAGCGAAAAAGACCGTCTGGGCAGCGCCCGGGAAATATTCGAATTTTCGTCGATTTTTGCGCGATGGCAACCACCCCCTCCGTTACGCGTTACTTTCTTCGAAATAGCCAACTGTTTGGGCCCGCGTTACGCGTTACGGTTGCCTCCATTCATACCGGTACAGTAGTCGCCCACCTTCTTACGTCGCAGAGCTACTGGCTTTATTTTTTTTGTTGCTGGCCTACGCAACGTATATCATTCTTTCCCGCCCCCGACACATAGACGCCGTTATATCCTCTGTACTGCACCAAACCTGAGCCTCGAACCTCCCAAAGCGTCGCAGACCAGAAGGGACGCGCGTCGGTCTCCTCCATAGACTTTTCCCCGCATTCGCGGGTAGTGTGCTGAAAATGCCACCGGAATGGCCAGCTAACACCGTCAGGCCTCACGAACGTCGCAAATGGCAATCCTTTGCCGACTACATACCCGCTGCTGCATGTAATATTCTCAGGTGCGCCCTTTTGACCCGACATCGAAGCTGAATATCAATAACATTGACAATGCATTGTTCAGTTCAGTACCCATGACACCCTGCGGCTTTCTCTGTCTAGACCTTGGCGCGAAGAGGAAATCAGGGCGTACCCGCGCCCTGCAGTGCATGACTATAGCAGCTAGCTCCAGCAGGCCCAAAAGGACGGCCTCAGGGATCCTCATCAATCCCAGGCGATGGAATCTTCGACGAGGAAACAGGTCAGCCCTAGATCGTCAGTACGGCATTACATCTTGCTTTTAGCACCAACCTCCTCGGCTGGGATCGGTAGGAGAAGCAGCTATGCACTGTGTCTGTGGCTCATTGTGCCGCTGCATGCAGGGCATGCTCCTCAGTAGCCGGACGTAGAGAGGCGCTCGTGAGTCACACCTACCTACTCCGAACAATAACTCACCGCACGTGGTAGCGGCATGCCACGTTCTTTCCATTATGCGTCGGTTCCGTCTCCACTGCATGAATGTTGAACTCTTCAGTGAATCAAACGGGCGAAGTGCGCCTGGCGACCGGTCCTCCGGCGGTCGGGAACGAGTTGTGCAGAATTACCTGAGCGGAAGCCCTGATTTCCGCCTTCCTAGGCTGGGGTTCCATACCCAAGATGCTTTTGAAAGCCGAATAATCAGGCGAGGCTTGAGTTTATGTGGCAGATAGCAGTCAGTCCTCCTCTGCTGCGAGTGCTGACCTCGGGACCGTCCCTTCAGCTTCCCACCATCGAGTCACAGCTCTCGCATCGGACAATGGGTGCACAGTATAGTACTTCATTTCCGCGGATGACTACCAGCTACACGAGGATTACATCCGGCCTTTGGAAGATCCCCTGCGTCACGCACGAGGTCGGTCGACCTCTCGCTTATTCTGGACAGAAGGCCAGCCGCTAACGCGAGGTTAGATCGCAAACAAGGTCGTGATTCATGGGAGTGCGGGTCCGTGTCCCGGTGCACGCGCCTCGCCATATAAAACCATCCGGGCCTCGCGTCGCTGGCCTTCTCTCTCACCATCGACACCGACTTGTCCTCGCCGCTCGTTTCGCCCGGCTTCTCTGCTATCGATAAGTATGCTCTCGCAGCCCTCACCCTCGCCTTCGTCTTCCGCTTCCACCTCTACCGCCGCCTCGATCTCCACCGCGCCCAATCAGACCGACATCGATTTCCTGGACCTCAGCGATGACGAGGAATCCGAAGAGATGTACCCCTTCAACTACTATCCCGACGAAGTTATGCCACGCCGCCGACACGCCTGCTGCGCGCGCTGCACGAACGAGCTCCAACCATTCGACTTCGACGATGACGAGTCCGATCGCGAGGTAGGCCTCACTCATCCTAAGGCTACCCCGAGAGCGCGACGTGCTGATGGACTTCCAGGCGTACATCAACATCCCTAGCCCCTCCGCCAACTACCGCATCATCCTTGACATCCTGGTAGGTCATTTGAGCCGTATCTATGGCCATCGCATCGCTAACCGCACGCGAAGGGGGGCGTTAAGCGAGAACCCGGGCCCGCCGAACTGCGCGTGGCCGTCGACCAGAAACACGACCTTTCCGCGCCCCGCCTGCGTCGCGCCAAGAGCTTTTCCTCCTTTTCGTCCCGAGTGGCGGTACGTCTGCGATGGCCTGAATTATGTCAACCAGCAGGCTTATCACACTCGTCCAGGGGCTAGCCCATACCTTCGCTAAGAAATTACGCCCCAAACGCATTGTCGCCCACTAGGGCGTCTCGTCCCCCTTCACACCTGCTCATCGTGCTTCCCATCCCATACCATGCCACATACTGCCTGCATCTTCCCACTGATTTCTTGGACACGGCACTTCTTGGCTTAACCACACGTTTCCTTTCTTGCATGCTCCATGTACTCACAGGCCCACTTTTGTTTTATGTATCATACCGACCGCTGCCAACGATGTCTATGCCACTGGATTGGCGGATGCACTCATTCTCTGTACCAACATCCAATTTCTCGCGATTTCTACTTTACCGTACACACTGCTACTCATACCACAACCAATCTTTACTGCTGTCATTTACATCTGCAATTGATGTTCGTTTACAAGGAATATTCAGAGTGGTATATGGCTCGCTCAAACGGGGTTGGATGGCCCACTAGTAATTCATCGATGGGAGATGGGGGTCGCCGTCGTGGTGTGTGCTGTCGCAGGAAGGTGGGTGATGTCCTACTCCAATGTCAGGTCGGTGACTATGTCTCTCGCAAGGCTGCCACGCACCTACGGAACGCGCCGACAGGCGCTCTAACGTGCAACATTAGTCAACTTTCCAGCGGTCCAAAGGTCGACACTCAACGCATTCCGCCGGACATACAGGCTCGAAACGTCCGGTCGTGAAGGGCCCTCCGTTGTCATCGCCATGCTACGGTCAGAGAACCACGCTACTGGCTAGGGCCACTATGTTAGGCGGTATATAGCGGTGAACGTGCATGCTTACTTTTAGCGTGGGTCTTTATGGGTCTTATGTGCGTGCATTGTGTGGCAACAGGGTCGAGCTCGCCGAAATCAGAGGAGGAGGTTGGGTGGAAGCCCCCCTGGCATCGGCTTTTATTACTTCACATGAAGCGTTTTTGCAGAGGATAGGAGCGCCCATTAGGAGGACGATACTTGCGACCGCTTCATCTAGATCTTGGATGAAGATCAAGTTGCAGCCTATGCGCTTGGACGAACGGAGAGCGGAGAGCCGCGAGCAAGATTCTACCGCACTGACGCCCAATTAGAAGATGAATGGAGAGCTTATGATAGCCCCAAACACTTACCTGATACCGCACGAGTCCGAGTCCATGGTATGCAATACTATCCCAACACGCTACACGCGTAATGTAGTAAGTCGCCGCATACATGGTAGTAGGCCACGTCACTATTTGGTGAACCCACCTACTACTGTATCAGGCGACTGAGCCTTACCCAACCAAAGCCCAGACCTGTTGGATGAATCACCGCTAGCATACCTGGCGAGCTCGATGTCCGTACCGTTAGGGTGAAAGGCCCCGTCTGCCGTACGTTGTCGTCCAGCTGTCGGCATGCCGACAAGCAGGCGGGTATGCGGCTCGACGCTGGACGAGATGGCAGCGGTCGAGGGATGATGGTCTACGTAAGACGCTTGCACACCCTGAGGTGGAATGGTTGACCATGGGGGGCATGCTGAAAATCAACGCTGACGGCACTTCCTGACGCACTTGATTGAACTGCACGAGTCTTTTACCGAAGTAGTACAGTGTCTGCCAGGGATTCCGGTAATAAGTCCACAACATGTCGAAGACAATATTCCACCGTGCGTCCGGCCATTGGGTCTGGAGATTTCGCAGATGGCAGGTTACGAGAGTGATTCAGGTATCATTGAAGGAGAGACCGAGCTTCGCTGAGGACGTACGAGGCCAGCCTGAGTGAGGGCGATGTACGAGTTCTAGAGACAGGAAGTTGCGTAGAGGAGGATTGGGACCAGACCGATGGCATATGCGGCGCTGCCTCGCGCCAGGTGCGACAAACAAGCGGCAATGACCAGTACGGAGCCTTGTACTTGAGCGCAAGGAGTCGGTTTCCTACGTAGATGCGAAGATAATATCGAGTAGTTCGTTTGAGAGCACATGCAGGAGCCTGGTGAGAGAGAGCGCATACGGAAGGTGGTTCTGTCTTCGCAGTCATCATCTCGTCTGCAGGCAAACGATCAAGGGCGGCTGAAAGGACCTAACTTGCCATTGACTACATGGAGATTACCTCTTATGCGCCTCAGAGTCAGAATGTAGACCCACCGAAAACATGTAGTAAGGAACACTGACAAGTAGTGGTGGAGGTCGGCACTCACAAGAGATCCGTCCCGTTTCCGGCAAAGTCGAGTTATCGGCAATCGCCGGCATACATATCCGGTAATGACCCTTGCCACCTCGAGTCGGCGATGCGCCTGCACGCGCGCTATCCCCCTCTTCCGCACGATGAACTGGGTAAACTTTCGGGGCTCCAGCATGCTCCTACGCATGCCCTACGTACCCTCAGACTAGCAGCTCGAAGGACCGGAAGGCCCAAGGATGCTGGGCACTGGTCAGCGCATGACGTCAGAAGCATCACCCGCTCGGAGTCGGTCAAGCGTCTTTAAGGCTCGCAACGGCACGCCTCTCGCTGAGCGCATCAACTCGGACGCCCACGAATTTCGCAGAGATCATGGGAGGTGCGTGGCCAGCCAGTCGCGATCTACCAACCAACTGACATATTCGCCAGCCGTCTTATCTTGCTTGGGCTTCACCGCGTCCGCCATATTTGCAGGAATAACGGGCTTCATCACTGCATGTGCCGGGGTGCGTCGCAAGTCACTATCCATGCTACCCATCCTGATCCCCTCTTCAACAGCTCGCCATGACCACCGCCATGTTCTTCCAGGATCTCTTCTGCGGTTGCCGCCCAGGCGAGCACATCCGAGAACGGAATGAGAAGCGGAGACACGTCCGCGTTGTCGAGCACCCGAACCACCCACTCGCGATCGCACCACTGGAAATGGCGCAGAGCCCGAAACAATAACTTATTTGTTGTATCTTCATACCCTCTCATAGTGTACTACCCGGTTCTTATAGGTCATCATCTGTGCAATGTACCATAGTCACCCCACAACCATAATACAGCGCTTGCCTTCGACTTCCCTCCATCCCTCATCCCGCTGCCTGATACCATGTCGTCTTCTATTCGCGTCAAGCTACCCACCCCACTCAGATATACAGCCCAGTCCAGCCGCTTGACTCGATATACAGACGGTCCTCACCCTCCCGATCGCCCGCATAGTGCGTCCATCGCGGGTCGGACGGCATGCCACCCTCACCACTCCCTTCCTCTACCCTCGGCTGCTCGATCGCCTGCAGTGCGCTCGCAGAGTATGTCTTCGAATCCAATTGCACCAAACCCTCGAAATCTGCGCTGCGATAATCCAGACGCACGTCTCCACCGCGCGACGAAATGTGCGTCCCTCGGATCGGCCTGTGCTCAGCCGCGCTATCCCCTATCCATGTTATGTTCGTACTTCCCTCTCCGGTCAGCGTGCTAAAGGAAACGGGGTCGCCGCCGCGCGGAACAGGATGGGCATCAATGTGCAGGTGTCCGTCTCCTCGCTGAGTCTTCAAGCTCGCCTTGTCGACGACTGCGATGGCGCCAAGGATCCCACCGCTGTATACCTCGAGCGATATCGCGTCGGCCTGCAGCGCTAGGTCGGGGAGGATGCGGTTGCGTGAGTCCATGTCGAACAGCGTCACGAACAGGGTTTCTAGACGGATTTCGGCGCCTGGGGCGAAGCGGACGTGGGTTGTACTGTGCGACGCGACGTGTAGCTTCTTGAGATTGGGCGGGACGCGCACGACCATGTCGAAGCGGGCGCAAGAGGTGTCGCCTTTGGAAAGGGGGACCGTAGTGAAGAGCATGCGATCATCACCGAGTTCAGGTTGTGGCCGGCGGACCGAAACGAGGTCGAGGAGTTGGGTATTATTGGTGCGCAAGCTGAGTTCGTACATAACCTCAGTTGCGTCCGCGTCACCAACGGCGAGTGTTATGGATCCGGCAGCATCGCCGTGGACGTCGAGGGCGTGGGCCGCGTCTTCGCCCAGAGGTACGGCGTACCTCACGACCTCGGAAGACAGGTAGAAGGAAGGTACGTCGAAGCAACCCAAGGCCGTTCCGAAATCTGTCTTATCATCGAGCACATTCTCTTCAGGCTATTACAATAAAGATCAGCCTCGAATCGCAAGGCTTTGTTTTCACTCACCGAAAATCCCCAGTCCATCACCCTAAACAAGATGTACGCAGCACATGCCAGCATAACGAAGGCGACCGCCTTACAGTACGGGCTGCGATGTGAGGGTCGTTAACCTTGACTTGATCTGAGTTCAACATGGTAGAGGAAAAGGCGCACAGTCTTCCGCGACGATCTTGGTGCTTGGTGCGCAAGAGGCCGTCGTCCAATAGCGCTGCAGACGGGCTGTCTTCCAAGTCATAGGGGTACGCGCTCGTACGCCTGCAATCCTCATCGTCGTATGATGATAGTTGACTATCTGGTCCTTCTCAGCTATGATGCAAGCGTAGTATAGATAGAACTCACAAGGATTCCGCTTCATCAGCCTCACCGTCTCCAGCAATGCCCTGAACGCGGCGAAAAAATCCAGTGTTTGTCCAGGACGGTCATTCAGGGCCATGGCTGAGTAGGAAATGAGGATGGCAGTTGGCAAGGAGAAATGAGCATGGACCTCGTCCAGCGCGCAGCACTTCAGAAATATATAGAGGGCCGACAGTCGCATCCGACCATCGCGGGAAGGTATGCATACCTAAGGGCCAACTGCCAACTGTACCCGGATGAAAGGTCGTGACAGAGTCGTCAGGGGTTCTAACATGCGAGGGAAGTCAACCATTCGATGCCTCGTCATTGAAGGAGATGTATGCGCTGGACTCGCTAACGGCCGGCCCTTGCGACAAAGGACTGATAGGCCGTGAAGCTGAACGAATGTCATTTTCATGGTATGAGAGTGTGATGATCAGACTGTTCGACACAGAAAGAGCCATAGCGAGGCCGGTGTAAGCAGTCGGAGGAGGACATTAGAGTAGAAGAAAAGCCTGGGAAAAACATAACAGAAGAAGCAACCACGTGCTTTATACCCCATTGGTGCCTTGCCTTCGACGCTCACCTGCGTCCAGCTATATTCACCATTGGGCTTCTCTGTATCACTCTATTTCTGCTCATTGCACAAAACACGCGACTTTGTTGAACGCCACTGACCGGAAATTTACAAAATGGCATCGGCGTCAGGTGAGTAATACGCCCGTCTTCAGTTGGAGTGCTGAAAGTGATATATCAGCTATTGGAAAGCTGTCTCGCGAGGAGTACAGGCGCCAGAAGGACCTCGATGCAGCCCGTAAGGCAGGAACAGCGCCAGCCGCGCTCGACGAGGAGGGCAAGCCCATCAACCCCCACATTCCCCGTGCGTAGCATGATCCCATTATGCATCGCACCTCACTCAACTTGGGACAGAATACCTCGCACAGGCCCCATGGTACCTCGACAACGGAGCACCGTCCCTCAGCCATCAGCGCCTGCATAGCCCTCCACCCAAGCCCTCCATCAACGACTGGTACGACCGTGGCGCGCGCGCCGGCCCCGCTGCGAAGAAATATCGCAAGGGCGCATGCGAGAACTGCGGCGCTATGACCCACCAGAAGCGCGACTGCCTCGAGCGCCCGCGCAAGAAGGGCGCCAAGTTCACCAGCAAGGACATCCAGGCGGACGAGGTCATCCAGGACGTCCCCGCGGGCTACGACGCGAAGCGCGATCGCTGGAACGGGTACGACCCCGCGGAGCACAAGAAGATCTACGACGAGTACGCGGCGATCGAGGCGGAGCGGCAGCGTTTGCGCGAGGAAGAGATCGACAAGCAGACGACGACGGACTTGGCGGCGGTGCGGAAGGTCGCGAAGGCGGGGAAGAAGTCCGACCCGGACTTCGGGTCGAGTGACGAGGAGGATCTGGATGAGGACAAGTATGCGGATGCGGCGGACGCGGTGGGGCAGAAGATGGACACGAAGACGCGGATAACGGTCCGCAACCTGCGTATCCGTGAAGACACTGCAAAGTACCTCATCAACTTGGACCCCTCAAGTGCATACTACGACCCGAAGACGCGATCTATGCGAGAGGCGCCACGAAAAGACATCGCTCCGGAAGACGTGCGTTGCATACTTTATGACCTTGTCTTTCCACTGACACCCTGCCCAGGCTACCTTCGCCGGCGAGAACTTCCTACGATGGTCCGGTGATGCCCCAGCAGTTCAGCAACTGCAACTCTTCGCGGCCCAAGCCGCCTCCCGCGGGAACGACCTCCACTTCAACGCAAACCCCACCCAGGGCGAGCTCCTGCACCAGGAATTCAAGCAGAAGAAAGAAGAGCTGCGCGACACCACCAAAGTCAGCATCCTCTCGAAGTACGGCGGCGAGGAGTACCTCAAGTCCGCACCGAAAGAGCTCTTGCAAGGCCAAACGGAGAACTACGTCGAGTACTCGCGGTCAGGGCAGGTCATCAAGGGCCGCGAGCGCGCGAAGGCGCGGTCGAAGTATCCGGAAGATGGTGAGCATCCGAAACCTTACTTCTGCAGGATAAAGCGTACTAACTCCTCCCCCCCCCACAGTTCTCATCAACAACCACACCGCCGTCTGGGGCTCCTGGTACGACAAGGAGACCGGCGCCTGGGGCTACGCCTGCTGCCACAACACCGTCCACCTCTCCTACTGCGCGGGCAAAGCTGGCATCGAGGCCACCGAAGCGTCGACCGCGAAGGCCCTCCTCGCGCAACCCGCGTACGAGCCCCCGCCACCGCCGCGGGAGGACGAGGCGGCGTCGAAGAAGAGCGAGAAGGAGCGGTACGAGGAGCGGAAGCGGAAGATGCGCGGCGAGCTGGAGGAGGACGAACAGTGGGGTGGGGCGAAGAAGCCGAAGGGGACGGCGCTGGATGGTGGGAAGGTGGATGTGACGGAGGAGGAATTGGGTGAGTAGGGTTGCGTGTGTGCTTGAGGGTTGTTGCTGACGGTTTTGATAGAGAGCTATCGGAAGAAGCGGCGGATGGCAGAAGATCCGATGGCCAACTATGTCGATACGGGGGACGATTTCTGAGTCGCTTGACTGTGACATTCTTCCTGGAGGCTGTACTTTGCGGCTTGTTGTGTATATTGGGCGTGTATGATCACCGTCCTTTGGACTCATCCGCACATTCATCCTATTCCCTTCCGCGAAACCGCAGAAAAGCAGCTAGACCCAACATCTGCACGATTCCGTCTTGTGTCCGTCTCGCAGCCTGCTGCACGGGCGCCGCCGACGCCTATAAGGTCTAAGTGATCGCTGCGCAAACTCCTCCGCCCAGTCCTATCGATCTTCTTCGTAAATGGAGGTGATCGTCCCAGCATGTTGTGAGCACGTCCGACTCGAACGCATGGGCCTCCCTTGATTCTCATTGCCGTGTAGGATCGCTACCGTGACTGACGCTCGCAGCCACTTCTCTATCGATATGAAGCACTACGAATCCTCCAGCCAGGAGGCAGCGGACTTCTGCGTGTCATTTGAAAGATATAGCCCGACATGAAGGGCTTCTGCCCAGCAAAGCCTGCATGTGAAGCGGGACGCCAGCTGACTGGTTCTTCTCTAGGGTCTTCTCTATCTCTCGCGGCCGACAGTAAACAAATCGTGAGCCTCCAGCTCCTCAAGCTCAAGCCTCCTTGCGCCAGTTGCCCACTTGAACATAGATCGTCAACATTCGATACGTTGTCGATAGCTACAAGCGCCAGAGGAGCTGGACCACCCCGAAGTACGTTTACCGATCCGTATTGATAGGCTCAAGATGTTCATCTTCACCTAACCCTCAGATGGGTAAAGGACCTATGCCCGCGGCAGGCAGCGCTGACAAGCGCTTCGTGAGAGGTGGCGCGAAGGGGAAGCCTTTCTGCTCTGCCTTCAATTCGACGGGCGGGTGTAGAAAGCCCGCAGGAAAGTGCCCACACGAACATCGGTGCTCGACGTGCAGGAGCGAAAAGCACAATGCAATGTCGCATGGACGTTGGGCCGCTGCCTGAGAGCGGTAGTTGGCCATAAACACCGGGACTCCGTACTTGCTGAGGCGATGGAAGATATTAGGCCTCCGGCAATGTCTGCAATCTGACCGGTACCGTTATGATCATGTCTACACCTCGCTGCAATGTATATCAATGCTCTTGCTGCCTTCCGGAACGGTGACCTCCATGATACCCAGCGGACTCCAGGCGGGATCGAACTTCGAAACCACGGCCCCTGCACGGCCCGCAGCGGGGCCTCCCCGGAGGGTGATGCGCCGGACGTCGAGCGCGCTAGGCGCCCCTGGCGCATGTGATATGGCGCAAGCGCGACGACGACCACCTCCTTCCCCGCACCCACTCCCCATGGCTTATAAGTCCGAAGGCGCCGTGCAGGTGGTATCACATCCTCTTCTTACCCTTCATCCACTCCTCCACCCACTCCTTCGTCCCGTCCACCCACCATGACCGCGACCCCCACGCCCTTCAAGATCCAGGTGTCCGACGAGAAGCTCGGCTGGATCAACGAGCGCGTGCGCACAGCGAACATCATCCCCGACGTCGAGCACGCCGAGGGCAAGGAATGGGAGGACGGCGTGCCGTCGTCCGTCGCGAACGAGTACGCCGAGTTCTGGCGCAATGGCTACGACTGGCGCGCGGAGGAGGCGCGCATCAACGCGACGTTCGACATGTTCACCGTGCCGATCGAAGAAGGCGGGGAGACTATCGAGCTGCACTTTGTGCACAACCGGAGCAAGCACGCGAGCGCGGTACCGCTCCTGTTTGCTCACGGATGGCCGGGGAACTTCATGGAGGCGAGCTCGATAGAGTTAGACGAGAAGCGAAGTTCTGACGCGTCTTGCAGGTAGAGAACTTGCTGAAGTTGACTGAGCCGGAGGGGGACTTTCCCGGATTCCACATCGTCGCGCCCAGTATCCCAGGCTTCACATTCTCTTCATCGCCTAAGGCGAGCATGTCTCGGCGTTGTACGCTTGTTAATTTGCTTAAGTTGCACTCAGTCACAATCCTTCTCTCTGGGCAGCGTTGCCTCGATTTACCACAAGCTCATGAAGATCTTGGGCTATGAGCACTACCTCTTGCAAGGAGGTACGACCCCTCACTATCTTATGCTTGGCCACCAGACTAATTTTGACCTTCACAGGTGACTGGGGTTCCCTCATCACTCGTATCATGGCCATCCAGCACCCTGAAGCCTGCGTCGGCATCCACCTCAACTTCCTCGTCGCCGGCCTGCCCTCGCCGCTCTCTGAGCCCATCACGACCATCCGCTTTGCCACCGGCTACTTCGCTAACACCCTCCGCCTCGAGCTTGGCAAGAAGTGGCTCATGGGAAGCGAGTCCGGCTTCTCGAAGATCCAAGGTACGCTTGTCCTTCTTTCCTTGTGCTCTACCCACCTGCTCACATGCCTGCTAGCGACCAAGCCCCAGACCATCTCCTACGCCCTCCTCGACTCCCCCATCGGCATGCTCGCCTGGATCCTCGACAAGCTCCGCGCGCTCTCCACGCCCGGCTACGAATGGGACAAGACCCAGGTCATTACCTGGACCATCACCTACCTCCTCTCCGACAGCTCCGGCCACGCGCGCATCTACAAGTACGCGCGCCGCAACATGGAGAAGGAGGTCCTCGGCAAGCTCATCCCCGCCGAGGTCGCCTTCGGCGCCAGCGCGTTCCCCCACGACCCGGCCTACGCGCCGCAGTGGCTCGTGAACGCGCGGATAGCGAAGAACATCGTATTCTACAATGACTCGCATAAGGTCGGTGGTCACTTCCCGAGCGTGGAACTGCCCGACGTGTTCATTGTACGCTCCCCTTTCATATCGCTTCGCCAACATCTGCTGATTGGCTTCTTTGTCAGGCCGACTTGAAAAAGTTCGTTGGCAAGGTAAAAGCCTCGAGCCGTTGGGGACAGCTTGATAGTAAATAACTATCTTATTTGGGACTGGACTTGTACGTCGACCGTACATTTATATTTATGTATGCAGTGCTATGGGGAGGGTATATCAGTTGCGGACAACCTATTAGGATGAGAGGGTGCGGACAACATCAGACTGTACAACACAGGAATAGCGAAGAGAGAAAAGTGCGATAACAACGACGATTACGAAGGTAAAGTTGTACGTCCATTGATGAAAAACAAGCGAGTGAACCAGGAAATACTCGATATACAAACAGAGCGGCGACGACGATGGGAGCGAAAAACACGAATGACGATGTTGGTGGCAAAACACTGCAAGCGAAAGGGACATGAGGAAAATTAGCGTGATACCAAAGTGATTACTTGTTTGCTGCCGCCTTCTTGCTTTTGATCTTCCTACCCCCGCGAACCTTCTTCTTCGGCTTCTTCACAGGCTCCGACGCTTTGTTTTCCTTGTCGATAGGCGCGAGAGGTTCCTGATCGCCCTTAGACGATGATGCTATCGAGCTGCTACGAGACCGGTTGGTCATAGGCGTAAGAGGGACCCTCTTCGAGTTGTCGCGGTCCTGCGCAGTGCTTGCCGGCGACGGGCCCCAACGGTAAGGGTCCTCGTCCTCCTCTACAAGCACGACGCGCCTGACCCGCGTGGGCCCACGGGACTCCGTCTCTTTCGGCACCGGGAACTTCGTCTTGGCCCTCCAAGAAGGCTGCGCGGAGGGCGGCAGAGGTTGGCGAAGGACGGTGCTCGCATATGTCGCCCTGACGGGGCGAGAGGGAGGTGGAGGCCGTTCGTAGTGGAGGGAAGTGTCTTCGAGCTCCTCGGGTACGGCCGACAGCCGACGCTGCATCAGTCTTGCAAGGGGGACCGACCGAGGTTGATGGTGGAGGTCGGCGGCGTGCTGACTGGTGTACTCCTCCGCAGGGTCCTCGTACATGATGTACTCCTGTAACACCCTCCGCGGCACCCTGGCAGGAAGGGGAGGGAGTGGTGTGTTCGGAGGGGGGCCAGGAGGTTTGGGAGAGCGATGACTAATTGGGCTGCGAGCTGACGTAGGGCTGTGATGCACGTCCGATCCATACTGGGCGTAATGGACATGTCGCGAAGCGTCTGGCGCGTGCGCATACTCGCCCGGAACGGACGGCGGCTGCGGGTTCATCCCATGGTCCTCGCGAGGCTGTTCGCGATGCTCGCCGATGACAGGCGGCAAGGGGCGCCTTACGACGATAGGCGACCTGGGCATACCAGGCTCACGATAATGCTGGACTTGAGCGAGTCTTTCGGCGGCGAAATATATATCCTCGAAAGTCGGTTCACGATACGCGTCTTCGGGCCCATCAATGCGTATGGGCGAGTCCGGCTTCGGAAGATAGATGTCGTCAAAACCGTGACGAACAGGCCGGGAACGACTCGCGAATGTAGGAGGTGCAGAGATCGGCTCTAGATACGGACTGAAAGTCCACTCCGGAGTAGGAGAGCGCTGGGCGAACGCCGGCTGCAGTTGACTCTGGCGATATTGCTGAGCAATCTCCATTGCTGACATGCGACGAGCGGGGGGAGGTACAATGGAAGATGGAGGAGCAGAGCGTTCCTGTTCGGTAGCAGAGGGACGGTGCAGACCAGGTGGCGACCGCGGGACAAAGGTTGGCGCCGACGGCTTCAGTACGGCGTTGACAACACCGTTCCCGTGCGCAGACGGCGAGGATATAGCCGCTGAAAGTGCAGACGCTGACTGCTGACGAGCATCGCAGGCAGAATGCTCATCCGACTGCTTAGCCGACGCTATCTGCTGCCTGGAGACGCCACGGCCTGGGTCTCCTTGGACTGGTCCGCTCCGGTTCGCCGCATCTACATTGACGGCCTGCGGCCTTTCAGCAGATGTTGTACGATGGCGGAAGGCCGCGGTAGATGGGGTACGCGTCACTTGATCGATGATCCTGTCGGTGGCGTCCCCCTCGAACTTCTCGCCAGCGTCCAAACCCCATATCATGCGGCTGAGGTCTTCCCCTTCGACAACAGTGCCCTCCGCACCTCTGTCTCCCGGATTAGAAAGGCAGGACGAACAGCAAGATAAGATCTCTTACGAAGGGCATCTTGCATACGGAAGAGAAGATGGTCCATGGAGAGCAGGAATGGGCCTGGGCGGCGACGGCGGCCTCTCAGGCGCTGGGAGCAATTATCAGCAATCTCGCTCTCGTATAGAGCTTAGTCGCATACCATACGTCTTCGACCTTGCCTCGTCATGCTTCGAGAGCATCTTCTTGTCGCAATCGCCAAGGTTGTTATTGATGATGAAGACCGACTCGGGGGACGACGGCGGCGACGGAGTTTGTGGCAGATCAGACGGAGGAAGGCGAAGCGAGTCTGACGGATGGTAGTATGCGGTGTCGATCGAGGTCGACGTAGTGGACATGTCGCTGAAAGTCGTGTTGCGAGAGTGGGCAGCAGACGAGAGCCGAGCATGGACGGTCCTCTGAGTCGGCGTCGTGGCCTCGGGCATGGAGACCACACGCCTGCCGGCGATATTGCGAGCGATGTTGCCAGCGCCAGCAGACTGATGCGTCAGGGATACTGTGCGCCTCTCGACGATGCGACCAGGCGGCGGAGCGTTGTATCGAAGCTGAGCATACTTGGTAGGCCGAGTGGGCTTGAGGAGAGGCGGACCAGGAGATTGATCGACAGAAAGGTGGGTATATGCGCGCTCTTCAACGAGCTCGGTGGTTCCATAGTCCAGATAAGCGGGTTCTTGAACAATCGAAGACTTCATGTGCTGGATATCGCGAGATACGAAAGCGGAGGGTTGCGCAGGACGATATTCGACTTTGCGAAAGTTTCCAGAACGGACGCCAGAGGCAGACTGAGACGACGACATCTTGAGGCGAAGAGCGAGGACAACGAGAAAAGCGAACGGGAGGAACACGACGGTAGAAGACAAGAAGAGATACCTACTGTTATTCCAGAGGCTGATGCCTTTGTGACCAACAGTCAAAAACATGACCACACACTTCGCCCCTATCTCGCGCGCGCCGCGCCACGCCTTGTGAACCGTAAAGTTGAATTCAAACGTCTATGGATTATGCCGGATGTATAGTACAAGGAATACTTTGTATAACAATGATACGGGTACAAACGAATGCGAATTCGACGACTGCAACATCAATGCCCGGAGAAGAACGTCTGGTCTGGCATACCACGATCCATAGCGGTTGATTTTGGTTGGTCTAAGCTCATTATATATGATTCCCATGTTTGTGGGCTGAGGAGTTCAGTTAGAGCTGGCCCGATAACCCTGGATCGAAGCGTACGCACTCGATGGTAGATGGCAATTGTGACCACATGTTGAAAACGTCGTCCACAGGAGCTGGCAGAGAAGCAAATTCGGCTTCGGACAACCCCTCAAAGTTTGATGCCTGCCCTGGCTGCTGGAAGGTGGTTTGCATCTGCGACGGGTCGGGCAGCGAGACGAAGGGATCGTAGCATCTTTGTTGTGCAAAGCCCTGATCCTGCATAGTCGAGCGCGAGGGCGCTGGAGTGGGGACGTTCGGAGGGAAGAGTAGGTTGTTGACGTTCCAGTAGGTACTTGAATCGGTCCTGTCCCATACATCCGGTTGAGCGCCTCCTTGGCTGGCGCTGTCGCTAGGTGTATGCTGTGCGGTGGTAGGCGGGCCGGAGGACATCGTGTCTGAGGGTGAGGATTCGTATTCGTCTCGAGGACGCTTCTTCGATACATAGTCTGGGTGGGCTTGGGCGTCATGGATGTTCACAAGATGACGGATCAACCCCCTGGTATCTGTCAGTCCCGACGCAAGACACGCACGAAGATCAAACTCACTTGAAGCGGCCAGCAAGAAGCCACTTCGCCTCGCACGCTTCTAGGTATCGTATGCAATTTTGCACGTACTCCATCTCCCGCCTCTGGTCGATTGTCATGCCCATCTTACGTCCGCCCCACATATTCATCACGCAGGACACGGCACTCATAAAGGCGCCGACCTAGTCCAAGGGATAAGTCACCTCCGCCAGCCTAACATGACATAGAAAACACTCACCAGCAGCTCTGAAGTGACGATAGGATTCCCTCGCTCTACTTGTGCTGCAAAGACGCGAGAGCACGCCCGGGCGGCATTACAGCACATTGCGACCGAAGCGAAGGTCACAGGAGAGGACTTCCCAATGAAAGGGCGATGAATCGTGTTTTGCACATGATAGTACGTGACAAACAGCACGGAAGACTGGTCGAAGAAAAGTCTGTTCTCTCGCTTTGGATCCCAACGCACTAGGCGGGACGCGTGAGCTGATGCGACGTTGTGAACGAGGTAGAAAGACACACGATGATCAGGTAAACCCTCCAGCCATTCGTTCAGCTCCGAATCCAGTTCAGAAGCGACGCGTCGCTCCCATTCAGGTCCAACGTTCCCTGCTCGTATGCGAGACTTGGCCGTCGTATAGAGGGCGCTGAGAGCATGCGACAGGATGTCCGTCACCTTGACGTAGTGGGTGAAGAAGGCCAACTTCGACGGTATTCGAGGCGGCTGTTTGAACACTGTGGCAGGATTACCGGTGTCCCAGTACTCATCGTCACATTCGACCGGGAGGTCAGCATCGATACTAAACCTTGTCAGTGTCTGTCAGATCGGTTCCCGAGACAAACATACTCATCGGCGGTTATACACGGTTGTCTCCCGAGCGTAGAGCTGATGAGGCGATCGATAGCAACAAGCGACCTGGGAATGTCAGCCTCACATCGCAAAAGAGTGGGACGTGTTCGACTGACCAAAATACCCTGGTGTAATGCTCGTTATGAACGAAGTGTGGGTCCGACGACTTCCGATGGATACCCAGCTCTTGACAGTAGCGGAGACTGACGCCGATCATGGCCCACGAACTCTGTGGGGCCGATGTCCCATGCACGCAGGTCAGGGCAATCTGCGCGAAGGTTAGTGAGGGATGGAGAACATGTCGTCTCATCTGCTCACAGCGTAATATTGCAACTCATGCAGAGACGGCAGCATCCAAAGGGGTTTCTTCCTGATGAGGGGCAGCTGGCTGTACCTGCGTATACATATTAGTCATACGCAAGTCCACTCGAAGTGACTGAGACTCACCACTTCCACCCCGCGCTCCGCTGATCGCTGGTGCCCGGCAGAAGTACGCGAGGATCGTCCGTGTATCTTGAGGCAGACGCACACACCATCAGGACCACGGCGCCGAAGTACCAATCACGCTTATGCAACCCCTCGCGCAGCTCCCGCTCGAAAGTCGGGCGATGTAGTACGGGCAGGAGATTGTTGGGGATCTCGAAGTATACGTCTGTTAGGTGGCGCAAAAGATTGTCATCGGGAAAGTCGAGAGGTTCATATGCTTCCTCTTGCATGATAGCGTGTTCCCACTGGTCTCCACGTCAATGAGTTAGCTGGGCTGGTATGTTTCATCGAGGGGCAGAGCACGTACAGGCATGATATCCCAGCCGAGTGACTCGATATTCTCATGATACCGCTGGTAGACCTCAGGTTGCCTAGCTGGATCGCCTCGAAGCTCATCGCCATTGGCTTGAGTGGAGAGAGCGGTGCTGACTAGGTGAAAGGTGCTGGCTGGCCCGAAGTAGCGAGTGTAACAATCGGTGACGCGCACGCGGTTCATGTTGTTGACCAGCTCGGCCTGCATGCGTTCGTACTCGTTCTCGCGTTCGACTACTTCGGGGGAGGCATGCGATGGTGGAGTTGTCTCATGCGACGGCGGTGAGGTGCCATCGGTGCCAGTTGTCGAAGTAGGTGCAGATGTACCGTCCGCTTCTGTCAATGTCCTTTGGGCATGCTAGGATGCGCATCAGTGATAGTACGAAGGGCATATGCGCGCCACACACCTTCACCAACAGGTCTTCCATCATCTTGATGCGGCCCTCGAGCGCCTCCACGTATCCCTTCTGTGCATTACGACGCTAGAAAGAGATCAGAGTTGCGATGAGGACCGGATGGAAGGCGTACAATACCTTGGACGGGATAGTATGTTCGCAAGGAATGCCGAAGCCAGCACAATTGGTGCACCGGCCGTCTTTCTCCGCGCTATCGCCTGCTCGGAGTTCAGAGGTTGCGCGATCCTCTGTTATAGGTTCGTACACTTGACCTTGCGCTTGCGACAATTATCGCATGCGTGGGGTAGTCTTCTCTGCCTGGATGCCTTGGGCGGACCGCTGTCCTCGGATGAGGACATGGGAGGCAACAAGGTACGCGCAAAACCTCGGACGGCCGAATGAGCTGCGAAAAGCTATAGCCTTAGATGATGGCAAGAGCCAAAAGACGTTCCGCGGATGGCCTCCGCAGGGGGTCCGGGCGCTTGTGCGTCTGACACATCGGAGACTCATCACAGAGTTTACCCCATTTGTCCATTCCCTTCTCCAGGTTCCATCGGTACAGCACACCCGAAGACACACCGAACTGTCTATCCAGCGCCAATTCATCAGGCAACATTCTACCCAAGAAGTACACAAATACAAGTAGCGATTACAGAGTTGACGATCATAGAATCAGTGTCCTAGAAAAAGCGCCTGCTCCGGGAACCCGCGCGCGTTGGTCTTCGGCTGTTCTAAGCTGGATATGTACGAGTCCCATGTTCGCGTACTACATATACGCTCAGTGACCGTTTTAATACAGAGAGAAGAAAGACGCACTCGATGGATGAGGGTAACTGCTGCCACATGTCAAAGACATCGTCCATAGGAACCGGCAGCGATGCAAGATCGGCCTCCGTCAGTCCCTCCAGTGACGGTGCGTGCAAGTGCTGGGAAGCACCGCCGTGCGCCTGTTGGGGGTCGGGCATCGACACGAAAGGATCGAAGGGTCTTTGTTGGGCAAAACCGTGATCATGACCCATGGACTGCTGTGTAGGGTCGGCTGCATCCGTCTGAGGGAACAGCAAGTTGTTGACGTTCCAGTACGTATTGGCGTTGGGGTCACTGCCGTCCCAGAGGCCCGAGTAATTGGCATCCTGGCCAGCGCCGTCACTAGTGGTCGGTTGAACGGAGGAGGATGCGCCGGAAGACATGGCTTCCGGAGGCGGGGACTCAGCACGCGGCCTCTTTTTGGAGACGTAGTCCGGTGTGCCTCCCGCCTCCTGGATATTGGCGAGGTTCTGAATTTGCTCCCTACAAAGCTTGTTAGCGACCAGCCACAACTTTCAAGAGGCTGAACGCACCTGAACTTCCCCGCAAGATACCACTTGGCTTCCGCGACCTCCAGATACCGCAAGCAGTGGCGTACATATTCCATCTCCCGCTTCTGGTCGATGGACATGCCCATCTTGCGCCCACCCCAGATGTTCATCAAGCAGGAGACGGCGCTGGTGAAGGCAGTGACCTGGAGTGCATATGTTAGAACTCGAGTGGTGTTTTGAGAGAGATATGCGCGTACTAGTAGTTCTGACGTAACAATGGGATCTCCTCGCTCGATCTGCGCCGCGTAGATACGAGAGCACGCTCGTGCAGCGTTGCAACACATGGCGATGGATGCGAAGGTGACAGGGGAAGTCTTTCCGATGAAGGGCCGGTGGATGACATGCTGAACATGATAATACGTGGCAAATAAGACCGAAGACTGGTTGAAGAACAGTCTGTTCTCGCGCTTCGGGTCCCAACGCACTATACAGGCTTGGTCAATCCTATATAAACGGACGGAATGAAGGACGTACAGTGATCAGGCAAATCATCCAGCCACTGATTCAACTCGGAGTCCAGCTCGGACGCGATCCGTTGTTCCCAATCAGGACCGATGTGCCCTATTCGAATACGGGACTTCGCCGTTGTGTACAGCGCGCCGAGCGCATGAGAAAGAATGTCGGTGAGCTTCACGTAGTGCGTAAAGAACGATATCTTGGATGGGACACGAGACGGCTGCTTGAAGACCGTTGCCGGATTCCCAGTATCCCAATACTCATCGTCGCATTCCACTGGAGGATCTGCGTCAATACTGTCCGCTGTGAGTGACTGCATTGGAAACACAGAAGGGAGAAGCGTACTCGTCCGCGGATATGCACGGTTGTCTTCCTAGAAAAGAGCTTACGATTCGATCGGAAGTAACGAGCGACCTGGCCAGGATCAGTTTGTATCGACGCGCAAGTTCGTGAGTATTACTTACCAGAAGGCTCTGTTCCAATGCTCATTTTCATTGTTGACGAAGTGCGGGTCGGCCGACTTGCGGTGTATACCCATCTCCTGACAGTAGCGAATGCTGATACCGAGGATGGGCCATGCGCTCTGAGGCGCGGACGTCCCAAATACGCAAGTCAGAACGATCTACGATATGATTAGTGGGGAGAAGGGGCGAAGTAAGTGTATGCGTACGCCATAGTACTGCAACTCGTGCACGCTCGGCAGCATGAAAAGGGACTTGCGCCGAATCAGGGGTACTTGGGTTAACCTGGTTCGTCGCTATTAGTCGCTCTGACGAGCACCGTAAGTCTGCAGCGCTTACCATTTCCAACCAGCACTTCGCCAATCATCGATGCCAGGTAGCAGCACGCGACGATCGCTGGTATATCTCGAGGCGGACGCGCACACCATCAGGACAACGGCGCCGAAGTACCAGTCCGTCTTGTGTACCCCTTCTTTCAACTCCTTTTCGAAGGTCGGACGATGAAGAATAGGATTGAGCATATTCGGGATCTCGAAGTAAACGTCGATCAAGTGCTGTAGGAGGTCATCCTCCGGAAACTCGAGGGGTTCGTACTCTTCATCGGCAACGAGGGACTGTTCCCACTAAACTCCACGTCAGGTAGTTAGCTGAGACTGGTCTCGCTGGAGAGAAGAGCACGTACGGGCATAATGTCCCACGACAACGTCTGAATGTGGTCGCGGTAATTATCGCGATACTGGTCGTACACCATGTTCTGCTGGACTGTGTTGCCTTGGATCTCGTCGCTCTTGGCCTTCACGTATAGCGCTGCGCTGACAAGGTGGAACGTGCTGGCTGGTCCGAAGTAACGCGAAGAGCAGTCAGTGATCCGCAAGGTCTTCATGTTGTTGACGACTTCGGCTTGCATCCGCTCGTATTCGTCTTCTCGTTCGACATAGTCCGGTGATGAATGGGATGAGGATGACGCTCCTTCTGGTCCTCTCGCGAGGGCAGACGAGGGGGATGATGTTGTCGAGGCCTCTGAGCCATTAGAGGCCTTTACCGCCTGCTTTGGTGCGGGTTGAGTACAATGCAATGCCAGCATGCACTCGGGGATGCACCTTTGTCAACATATCTTCCATCTGTTTGATACGACTTTCAAGAGCCTCCACATATTCCTTTTGGACACCACGACGCTATTTCTTGGTCATTAACGCAGCGAAGACGAGTAGGGAGCATGCTGTACCCGAGAGGGAATGGTGTGTTCGCAAGGAATATCGAAACTAATGCAGTTCGTACACCGGCCATTCATGCGCGCACTGTCACCTGCCCCAAGTTCAGTGTTGGTGGTATTCCCCCTCGTCGACATACGTACACTTGACTTTGCGCTTGCGACAGTTGTCGCAGGCGTGCGGCAGTCTCCTCTTCTTGGATCCCTTGATGGGAGGGCTGCTGTTGTCCTCGGATGAAGACATACTAATGGCTAGCAATAAAGCTGATACCGGGGGGGATTCAAGCGCTTGGTAGATGGTCTCAGAGGATGATCGTAGGGAACAGAAGGTGGGCCCCCGTTCGTGCCGGGCGCTTGCGACGCCCGGCATCGCGGGGTCAGGCCATCACGGCCCGAATTTCCAAATTGGGAGTTTTCCCCATTTGTGTGCTGCCTTTTGAATTGTCTGCATTTGTGAGCGCCAAGCAGTGGCTGCGACTGAGGACGGCCACTCCGAGAGACACTCGGTCCTTGGACCATAGCAAGATTCCGGCCACGCAATTCATTCCAGACTAATAAAGAACGCTCCTAAACTCCGTTATCACGAAGCGCGATTGCGTATGTAGACGGAACCAGCCCGCGAAGAACGATCATGAACATCCTTGCTGCTGAAGCTCACAGGCAGTGCATTCCCCTGGGCGTGCAGTACTTTCAGTGCATGACCGTTGCTTCTATGACGAGATGAGGCACTCGCACGTCCGAATTGGCATCCGATAAAGCGCATCTTCGTCTCATTTCTGCTTTGATGCCTAGACTCTGTGGTATCGCCCGCAAAGTGGAATTTCCCTGCATACGCATCGCGGCGAGGCGCTTGATATATATACATGTAAGACGTGCAAGACTGCAAGTCAGGCGGTCCAAAGCATGTCCTGGGCACACCGTCAGCACCCATACAGTTGGCGCCATACAGAAGCACTCACGGTCACCTCCAACCCCGCATCTTCGCCACGGCTTGGAACACATCGTCCAGCGCGTCCTCGGCCAGCTTCTTCTGCCCCTGCGTATTATCCATCGCCACGTACTGCTTCCACCGTTCCAGCTCATCCGACGCTGCGTTTAGCGCGCGGAGGATGTTCGAGAGGTACTCCAGGTCCGACACGAGCTGCGCCGCGCCGGCAGGCGTCAGCCTCGTGATCCTGGGCAGCACGTCTGCGGTGAGGTATGCGGCAAGGGTCTGCCCAAGAGAGGCGAGCCACGCCGAAGAGACAGCCTCGGGGTCCAAGGTAGGTGGCTTCGGCGGCGTGGCGACAGAGGCTCGACGCATATGGGACGAGGGAGGCTCTGAGGCGGCTGGCGTCTCAACGAGGCTCTTCAGCATCTCTACGTCGAGGTTGGGGAGCGTGGCGAGAGAAAAGGACAGCGCGTCGTCATCGGCGTGGACTTCGAAGAGCCGCGGGAGGTTGAGCATGCCCTCGGCTACGCGCTGGATGGTATCGCTCGGGGAGGTTGAGAACGTCGGGAGCTGGAGGTCAGTCCCGGTAACGGTCTGGGGAGCCTTGGGATCTCCAGGGGCACTCCAGAGAGAAGATGCTGCGTACGCTGCCAAGTGCTTCTGTAGTGGGGACAAGATGGTGCTCTGCAGCGCCGTCTGGCATGCGCGCGCTAACGAGGCGACCGAAGCTCGCGCTTCTACGAGGAGCGGCGCTGGCCCTGCGGTTAGGGGTGCTTGGCGGAAACCAGGTGTCGGTGGCGGCTGTAGGTGATCATGACTGCTTTCGGGGTCGACACGTTCCAGTAGCGCACGCAGCTCTGCCGAGTTCAGCGTCGATTGTTCCAGCAGCTGCGCTTCCCCTTTGATCGAAGTCAACGGGAAGTTCACCGGGTCCTCTCGAGCCCGCCGGAACTTCGTCGCGATCTGCACCAACTGGGAGCGCAGCTTTACCTCGAAGGCCGTTAACCGTTCTGACAAGGCTCGAGTCGACGATAGGAGATGCAGTATGGTTTGAAAGTAATTCCAGTCGTCCTGCGAGTAGTCCAGATCTGCGAGATCGCTTTCAGACACGGTAGTCTCCACAGACCGTGTCTTCGCAGTGTCGTTCTCGACGTTGGCGGTCCACATGTCGATGAAGGCCTGGAAGTAGCCATCGAGCGCTTGCACGAGTCCGGTAGCACCGTACCCATAGGTGAAGCTAGTGCACCGGTCGACGCTCTCCTCCGCCACGCTCAGCACATCGACGGATCGCTCTCGTAGCAGACGCGCCTGATCCTTCTCCTCGTGCGTAGGTTCGCTGGTGATGAGTGTGCGTAGAGCTTGGTCGAGCATTCGCCGTTCAAGCGACCCATACTCTGTCTGGAATTGCAGAAACGGCTGGAAGAGCTCCTGATCCCAGTCAAGGTCTTCCGCAGTCATGACCTTCGCGAGACCCAAGCTCGCAGGAGCTTTGGCACCTGGCCTCCACGATATAGACATGCGGCTGGAGCGTCGTCGATGCACGCCGGAGTTGGACCTGGTTGGAGGCGGAGAGCTCGTAGGGTTCGTAGGATCCGGTGACGCATCGGGGGTGGGGGTATAGCGGATCTTCTCGAAGACCTTCTCGACTTTGACGGCAAAGTCCTCCGTGGCTTTGAAGACGATGATGAGTTCCCTCAAAGACGTATCGCCGTAGTGCGCGACCATGTCGGACAGGCGGTTGTAGTAGGTGGGCTGCAGCGACGCGAGAACGGAGGTGAAAAGACTGGATAGTGATGGGGCAGGGTCGGGGAAGATGGCGGGTATTGTGGTGCGCTCTTGCTTGAGGACGGTGAGGAAGGTCCCGTACCACTTCTGGAGGAAGGCGGCCAAGGGGACAGCAGCCGCATCGTTCTGCGCGCCCTCTTCGCAGTCCGAGATCTTTGCCTCCTGCCACACGCTCGTGAGGGGGGTGCGCTTCGAGCCGTTGTAGTAGTTCCGGAACTCTGACTCGCGCTGAATGTGGGCAAATATGGAGAAGTACTGGCGGCATGTCGCCAGGTCTTGCGCGTTGATCGCGGAGACGAGCGCAGAGCTGAGGGATGCCTCGAGCTGATTCTGCAGGTTGACCATGAGGGCACGCCGAGGATCGTACTCCGGTGTATTCTGGAAGACGACCATGCTCTTGTTGGCCTCTGACAGGCGCTCCGCAGCCTTCGCGTAGTTCTGCTCAGCGAGCAGGGATGTGACCTCCAGCTCCAGCGTGCTCCAGCTCTCCGCCTCACGCAGCACCTCCCGCGCTTCCTCCATATTGCGCTTGATCGTGTCTAGTGACTTCAGCTGATCCAGCGCGGCTCCCGTAGCTGGCGCCACCACATTCTTCGATCGCTGCCGGACTTGCAGGAGAGAGCTCTGCAAGGAGACCGCGCCATCGCGCATGAAGTGCAAGTCGTAGGTCAGGCGCGGTACACCGCGCGACACATCGTCAATGACGCGCTCGAGCTGGAAGGACGTGTCTTCACAGGCGATGTCGAGCGACGCGACGAGGCCGGTGACGCGCTGATCGAGCTCGGTCAGCCCGAGCGCGGAGTCGTCCTCACCGTTGTCGAGCACTTCGTTGACCCAAGACAACACATCGTCGTAGTCTTCGAGTGAGGAGATGGTCTCAGGTGCCGCCGCCGCCGTCGACATGAAGGTGATGAGGGGAAGTCGCGTCCTCGCGCCGAGGTTCCGACTATAACGCCACAAAGTGATCACCGGGCAACGTTCGAACTCCTGCTCTCATTCACTCAGTGATCGTACTCCACAGACCCGATGAAAGCGAGGCGGACGTTGCATGTTACAAGAGCTCCTCCTGCGGTGGGTGCAGACCGACCGCTGGCTGGCGTTGTCGAGAATGACCTCGGCTCGGGGTCACGTGCTCGGTCATTACGCATACGGCCGGACCGCGACGTGTCCATTGTTCTCCTCCACGTCTTTCATCTCCCTCGCTTCGTAACTTATTACTCACTCGCTCTTGTATCGCTATCTCCCATCATCTGCTGGTCAATCCTCCTCTAATCTTACCAGCCACTGCGCGCACCATGGGATACTCACTCTGTCGCGCACTACGCGTCACCCTTGCTCTACAAGCGCTCTCCCTCGTCGCCGCCTCCTCGCCTTTCGGATCGTCGAACTCCGGGTCCTTCCTGACCGACAACCTCGTACGCAAGGATCAAGTACAAAGTGTGCTCGAGCACCAACCCGCTCAGGAGATCTGCGAGAACGCAGTGGTGCGTCCCCCGCCCCCGATCACTCTTGGGCCTTGGTGTACTGATGACCGATCAGCCGACAGGACCAATAGAGACGACGCTATGCGACTACGAGACTGTGGAGAGTGTCACCGAGCAACTATACTCTGACCTCCACGAGTTGGTCAGCAAGCCTTTCTTCAAGTACTTCCGGGTTAGTGATGATCGTATCCCTTCGGGGCACTGTACTGAGACTCAGTAGGCGGACCTATATCGGGAGTGCCCCTTCTGGCCAGATGACGGTCAATGTAATGAGGCTGGTTGTGGTATAACATCGCTGGATGAGGTGCGCTCGCTTGCATCGCATCGTACACGCCTCACTGACCATTCCATCAGAGTGACGTGCCCGAGAAGTTCAGAGCAAAGGCGCTAAGTCAGGTATCATCTGTGAGCGAGGTGAGTGTCATGCACATCATCGCCCAGCAGGTGGCTGACCTGTTATGCAAGGTTCACAAACTTCCCGGGTGTTATTATCGCGACACCGATTTCTGCTACCTGGATGATGATACCGGTACGCGGGTTCTACCTATCACATTGGCGAAGCTTACCCTCGTTTGCAGAGGGCGAATACTACGATTTGTCGACAATACCCGAAAGGTATACGGGCTATGCCGGTCAAGACGCACGTCGCATCTGGCGCGCAATATACGAAGAGAACTGCTTCGGTCTCTCTGAGCTCAACTTGATGAAGTCCAAGAACCCTGCGCCCGTCACCCTCCCCGATACCATGACCGACCCGTTCAAGAATGAGAACGACGAGGTCGACGCGTCAGAGCAGTGCTTGGAGAAGAAGGTCTACTACAAGATCATCTCAGGTGCGTCTTATACCCCTTGCGTACCTGGATGACACTCATGCAGCACAGGATTGCACGCTTCCATTTCGACGCACATATGCTACGAGTCCCTTGACAAGGAGACTGGCGAATGGGTACGTCTTCCTGGCCATGCAGTGCACTTAACAGACTGATGCTGGTTGCTTCAGGGACCGAATCTCCCGTGCTTTGTCGCACGGATAGCCTCGCACCCCGAGCGTCTGCAATACATCTACTTCAATACCGTCCTCATGTTGCGTGCTGTCGCACGTCTTGGGCCATATCTCGAGGCGTATGACTACTGCGCATTCGGGAAGCACGAAGACGACGAGGAGACCCTGTCTAAGTTGCACAATGTCATCGATATGGCGCAGACAGTGGGCAAGTTCGATGAGACAGTGCTCTTCCGCGGAGAAAACGCCAACGTAAGTCATAGATATGCCCTTACTCGATCATTGAAGTAGAAGACTCACTATCCCCCTAGGTCTTGAAGGAAGAATTCAAGAGCCACTTCCGCAATGTCACTCGGATCATGGACTGTACCGGCTGCGACAAGTGCCGCCTTTGGGGAAAGGTCCAAACGATGGGTCTGGCTACCGCTATGAAGATCCTGTTTGAGTTGGACGAGACCGCTCTCGAGTGCGTGTGCTTCTGGTATGCCCACGGTATTCTGACTGACCAACAGCAGCCCCAACGCGAACGCAGGTCTTCTGACTCGTCAGGAGGTGGTCGCGCTCATCAACACTCTGCACCGTTTCGCCGAGTCTTTGCACGCTACCAATGTCTTCCGTGAGATGTGGCAGCAGACCAACGAGGACGAGTCGGAGAAGCTGATCACTGAGGCCGAGCGGGCAGCCAAGGTGGGTGGTGTGGGGATAGCCGACCCTCGGGCTTCATTGACGCTTCGACAGCCCCGAACATCGCCCGCTGTGGGGAGCGAAGCACGTTTATGGGAGCAAGCGCAATTGCGATTTGCAGACATTTTCCGAATCTGTCGAGATGGGACGATGGGCTGCATTGGATATATCGCTGGGATGTGGCGGGACGTTGTGCAGGCGATGCAGTCGGTGTTTGCTCCAGGAGCAAAATCGCAGGGACCAGGCTATAGTACAGAGCTGTAATCGGTGGTAATCGGACTTGGAAGAGGTCAATGTTATTTGTAGGTATTTATGTCAGGGGGTCGTGAGACCTTACTTCCTTCCCAAGCGGCGATCGGCCTTATCACTGTTCCCGTTATTGAATCCTGTGCAAGAGCCGGTCTTTGTTTGTTTTCTGATTCCTCCCCCGCCGTCGTCGCCGTTGTCGACCGTGTCCATGTCTTCATTGCGGTTTCGCCCCTTATCATGATTATCCTTGCCCCCGAAGACCAGCCCCAAGTCAAGAACGATCCCCATGCTTCCCGCCCCACTGTCCGATTGCCAGAGCCGGCTGTCCCGGCAGGACGTAGCAGCACGCCCTCGACGCTGCCGGACTACGAGACATCCCAGGCACAGCAGCTGCTCGAGCACCACTTCCCCTCACGGCGCCGCCGTGGCTGGCACTGGCCGCAGGCACCCCTCAACCTCAAACCCAGGAGCTACAAGGCGTTGCTATACGGCCTGGCCCTCTACGTGTTCCTCACCATCGTCGTCGGAGTCCCCCTCATCGTCACGGTACGTAGCCTGCTATATGTCAGATACTCTGAACTTATCATGGGGAGTAGCAATTGCGAAGACCGTTTCCGCGTCACCACCCGCCCCCCTGGGATGACACGGAGGAAACCGAAACATCATCACTGCTCGACCTCGCCCGCATTGGCTTGGTCATGGTCGGTGACACCGGGGGATTCATCTGCAACAACTGGACAATGTCAGAGGACCCGGATACGAATCGCTACCGCGCCAGGTGCGTACTGTTGGCAGTGACAGTCCAGCTCAAGTTATTAAATCATACATCCAGCGTCTCGCACGCGTTTTCTCCCAGCGGCTCCCTCTCGATCAGCTCCAATGCTAGCGAAGCAAACTTCGTGGGCATGACCGGGGCTCTCTGGGTGGATGTGAATCCTGACACGTCGGTCTCCGATATCGTGCTCACGGTGGACGTGGTCGCATCGACCGACATGCTTCGACACATGGTCCACGTCTGCTTTGGTGACTCTGGCAATGACCGAGGAGCCGCGATCTATGTATGTTGAGGCACTTCTGCCCGCTGGCCGCAGTACTGACAGCGCCCCAGGTTCCCAGCCACCTTCCCTCATCTGATTCGGTCGACGTGCAAATTTACCTTCTTTACCCTTCCTCCCCCTCTCTCGACATCAAGAACCTTGTCACATCGCTACCGCTGTATACCCAGGCGTTTGACGGTTTGAGCCCCACGGTGGTATTCGATACTCTCAGCGTCTATGGGTCGCGCGGAGATGTCTGGTGCGATGTGAGTCTTGTGGCGCCTTTCCTGCTTCCTCTTCGTCGACTGACATCTTCTCCAGAGCGTGCAGGCGCGCAAGGTTGTGATCCAAAATTCACTTGGATCCATCGGCGGAAATTTCAACGTAACACAGCTTTTGAAGCTGGATACCATCGAGGCGTACGTTTTGACCCACTCCTTGTCTTTGCGGGTACTGACTGGCGCCTAGACCTATCAAGGGCAACATCACCCTCACGTATGTGGACACCGATGATGATTCAGGGACAAGCAGTTTGGCCATGTACACTGGGAATAGGTTCGTCCTTCTGCCACGTCGTCCTCTCATTTCGCTGACAGTTATTCATAGCGAGATCAACGCGAATGTGACGCTTCACTACAGCGGATCGAGCGACCCGTCCCCGGAGTACATGATGGATGTGAAAACCTTCAATGACACCCTGACTCTCGACGTCGCGTACGATACATCGACCCCCAATGCCCGATTAGACTTGCGTGCCCAGAACAATCTTGCTCAGTCAACGGTTCTGATCGACGAGCAATTCACGGGAACCTTTGATCTGCAGACCAAGCTGTCCTCAGCGGAGGTGCTGGAAGGGGACACCTCATCCCCGGACGCGTATCGCGGACCGGACCGACGGACGTTTATATACGATACTAGGTCCGCGACGCGAAGAAAGGGATGGGTGGGCTGGGGTGCTCGCCCGGACAAGTGGCAGCCCGACCAAGGTCACATCGACCTCGTCTCCTCGTACAGCCCTGTGACTCTACGCACTCGTCCGAGTGACCCATGACGGGGGGCCCGTGTTATGTATTCCTACCGAGCGCACTGGGCATATGTACCACTGTATTATACTATACTTATTCACTAGCGGTAATGGCAGAGTATCTGGAATTCGTATGGCTTAGGGGGCCATCGCAGACGTCTGGGCTCGCTGTTGTCGAAGCTTCTGGAGGCTAGCGCGGGCTGGCCAAGTGAGGTGTATCGTTTGCGGGGACGTGCGGTGGCGCAGACTGTTGAGGGAAACACCGACTTACACCAGCGGTTTATGGAATAAAATTCCATAAACCCCCGTTTAATTCCATAAGCCGCTGACGACTCGTTGCGTCGGAGGACCAGGGGGTGCTGTGCGTATCTGTGGGGCGTTACTGGCAGAGGGAGGACCTGCGCGTCGATTGCCAGCGAATGGGTGGTACTCGGCCAGCAAGACAAGTCAACCACCTGCCAATTCGTGGCAAAATTCGGAATGGACCAGCAGAGCGCGGGAAAAACGAAACGCAAGTCACGTTGCCGGGAAGTATTGCGGCGCTGATGGCTCTCATCCCGCGCTCCATTGTTGGCTGACGCCCATGTCCCTGGTGTGGCCGCACTACTCTTCCGTGCCCTGCGGCCCAATGGCATACACTCAACTTTCGGGAATACAGCAACCTTTGCGTCGCCGCATTCCAATTTTTACGGATCCGCCTCCTCATGATGGCGTGATCGTGACCCATCGCGCGCGGTATATAAACCTGCCCGCTCACAACGACTATTCTCCAGTTCCCCCAGCCTCCTCATCTCGATCAGAGTCCTTCTCCCGCCGCACAGACTACAGTAGCAATGGCTAACGCTCCTCACGGTGGTGTCCTCAAGGACCTGGTTCTCCGCGACGAACCGATCGCCGCTCAGCTCAAGGAGGAGGCCCTCGGCCTGAAGGACATTGTCCTCACTGAGGTACGTTCGATCGAGCACACAATCCGGACTTGTACTGATTCCCCTTTAGCGCCAGCTCTGCGATCTTGAGTTGATCATCAATGGTGGCTTCAGCCCGCTCGAGGGCTTCATGAACGAGAAGGACTACAAGAGGTGCGTTCCCCCTCTACTGCCGAGTCCCCCTTGGCGTTGCTAATGGACTCTGTAGCGTTGTGGACACCATGCGCTTGGCGGATGGCGTGCTGTTCCCCATGACCATCGCCCTCGACGTCTCTCGCGAGGACATCGACAACCTCTCGATCGCGCCCGGTGCGCGCCTCGCCCTTCGCGACCCCCGTGACGAGGAGGCGCTCGCGATCATCACCGTCGAGGACGTATACCAGCCCGACCGCGTGAAGGAGGCCGAGAAGGTCTTCGGCGCGGACGACCCTGCGCACCCCGCTGTCGCGTACCTCCGCTCGAAGGTCAAGGACTTCTACATCGGCGGCAAGGTGCAGGCGATCCAGGCGCCGCAGCACCACGACTACGTCGCGCTGCGCTACACTCCGACCGAGCTCCGCAACCACTTCAAGAAGCTCGCATGGAGGAAGGTCGTCGCCTTCCAGACGCGCAACCCGATGCACCGCGCTCACCGCGAGCTGACTGTCCGCGCTGCCCGCCAACGCCAAGCTGTGATGAGCATCCCGTTATATACAGTTAACGACGATAGCTGATACCCCGCCCAGAACGTCCTGATCCACCCTGTTGTCGGTTTGACGAAGCCGGGTGATGTCGACCACTATACCCGTGTTCGCGTCTACGAGGCGATCATGCAGAAATACCCCAACGGCATGGGCCACCTTGCCCTCCTACCCCTCGTGAGCGCAATAGTAATCCCTTGTCTCGCTCTTTTCTCACAATCGAATAGGCTATGCGGATGGCTGGTCCTCGCGAGGCCGTCTGGCATGCGATCATCCGTAAGAACTACGGCTGCACGCACTTTATCGTCGGCCGTGATCACGCTGGCCCGGGCAAGAACTCGCAGGGCAAGGACTTCTACGGCCCGTACGACGCGCAGGACCTCGTCACTCAGTTCCACGATGAGCTCCAGATCGAGATGGTGCCGTTCCAGCAGATGACCTACCTCCCGTCCACGGACGAGTACCAGCCGGTCGACTCGGTTCCCAAGGGCGTGCAGACCCTCGATATCTCTGGCACGGAGTTGCGTCGCCGTCTCAAGACCGGCGCCCCCATCCCTGACTGGTTCTCTTACGAGTGCGTCTCCTATCTTTCCCGCCCATTCACTTTGCAAACGTACATGAAGGGCTGTCGTCAAGACCCTCCGCGAGAGCTACCCGCCGCGCACGAAGCAGGGCTTCGTCATCTTCCTCACCGGTCTCTACAACTCCGGCAAGGAGAAGATCGCGAAGGCGCTCCAGGTGACCTTCAACGAGCAGGGCGGTCGCAGCGTGTCCCTCCTCCTCGGGGAGGACGTGCTGGAGAAGGAGCTCGAGTTCACGCCCGAGAACCGCCACCAGAGCACGCAGCGCATCGCGTTCGTCGCCGCCGAGCTCACCCGCGCGGGTGCAGCGGTCATCGCTGCCCCGATCGCTCCGGCGGAGCACTCGCGTGCTGCCGCGCGCGACACTGTCCTGCAGCAGGGCGGCTCGGGCGGCAACTTCTTCCTCATCCACGTCGCCACGCCGCTCGAGGAGTGCGAGCGCACGGACCGCAAGGGCGTGTACAAGGCCGCGCGCGAGGGCAAGCTCTCCGGCCTCGCGGGCGTCGATGAGGAGTACGAGACGCCCCTGAAGGCCGATCTCACCGTCGACACCTCGAAGCAGAGCGTGCGCGAGATCGTGCACCAGATCGTGCTCGTACTTGAGACCGGCGGGCTGCTGTAGATGCCCTCCTGAGTCTTGCTGCTGCACATACATACACGCCCTTTAGACGCGCAATGAGTCCAAGCTATGTACTATCTATATATCCTCGGGATCTGGTTTTGTTGTAGAATTATCGCATGTGTATTTGTGTCGAATAGTAATGCTAGCATCGTACAACATCTTCGAGTCTGACTCTTGAGTATGCTGAAGTCTCTGAAGCACCTGAAGGGGCTGCGAAAGTGGAGGCAATCGAGAAGCTGAACAATGGTCGGGATCCGGGCCGGAAGCGCGAGATGGATCAGTAATTTTGAGGACATGGCGATTGTGATCAGAGTGCGCGGCGTCACTGCTGCTTTACTTTTACGATGGAGGAGACGCTGGCAAAAATTCGAGTGCACACGACATCGGCAGCACCGGCGCACAAGACGCCAGCGACGCTGCTCGTCGCCGTCGAGTCCACCATCCGCGACCAGAAACTCGAACCGACACCCACCGCATACCTTGGCCTCCTCCTCACGACCCTCAGCGGCACCCTCGAGCGAAAAGATGTATCATTCAATGAAGGGGACACACTACCAGCTGAACTTTACCTGCTTGCCCTTGTCGCGCCCTTCGTCCCCCAGCCCGTCGTCCGCGCCAAGCTCAGCACGATCATCTCCCTCACCGCACCGCTCTTCCCCCACCTAACCCCTCACGCTGCTGCTCTTCGCCACCAACTTACGATCTACGATGTCGTTCTGCAAGCCCTTGATCGCTCACAATTGGACGCTCAGGGCGTCCGCCAGGTCTTCGCCTCTATCCTGCAGCTCTGCACCGATCCCCGGCCCAAAATTCGCAAGAAGGCGGCCGAAGTCGTGCGCAATGTGATCAGCCATCCCCCTACGCCGCTCTTGCAGCATCCCTACGGAGAGCGCGTTGCAGAGTGGGCGAAGGCGCAGTTGACTGAGACGAGCACGAAGCCTGTGTTCCACGGCAAGGGCAAGCAGACTGGCCCCGATCCGGCAGACGCAGCGATCTATGTGCTGCAGGTCCTGCGCCCTGTCATCCCCTTCCTTCCTTCCACTGTGCGTTACCTCCCACTTTATCTTCAACATATCGCTGACCCGTCCCACAGACCCTCCCCGAGCTCACGACCCTCGTCCTCCATCTCCCCATCCTCGGCAACAATTTCCTCTCCCAAGCCGCCTACCACACCCTCGCCGAAATCTTCCGCCTCCCCTTCGATGACGACGTCCGCGGGGTCGGCGCGCAGGTCCCTGATGTTCTCGCCGCCGTCCTCGCCTCCCCACCCCCGCGCACCAATTTTGGCCTCACATCTGCTTGGTTGCACGTCCTCGGCAGCGGGATGCGTGCCCTGCACGCGACTGCTCCATCAGCGTGCGCGAAGGAGCTCACCCATGCTTGGAAAGTCGTCTGGCGCTCTCTCGAGTCCGACGACACTTCCGTGCGTCGCTCCGCCGCGCAGGCGCTCGACGATCTTGCCGCCTGCTTCTCCCCCGAATTCATCGAGCCGGCCCTGTCTGGCTCACCCGACGTCGCCCTCCGAAAAATCGTCACCCAGGCCGAGAAAGCACTAGACAGCATTGCCTACGCCAAGGCAATCCCGGAAGTGCTCTCCATCGCCTCCTCACTTTTGGTCAACCTGCAATACCGCCCCGCACCTGGCGCACCGACGGCAGCGCAGACGCTCGTGATGCCGATGATCAAGCACATTGGCGACCTGCGCACGCAGAAGAACTTCGAGTACAAGGAGGCAGCGGACAGCACGCTGTCGACTGCGATGCGCGTCTTGGGGCCGCACGTCCTGCTCGAAACCCTTCCGCTAAATCTGGAGCCTGAGGATCGGTGCGCTTTCCTTTGCAAAGCTTCTCTGACCACTGTCTAACACAACTCTACAGCTCCGCCGGCCGCGAGCCGCGCGCCTACCTCCTCCCGCTCCTCAATCAGCCACATCCTTCCCCCCTCTCCCACTTCGGCAGCTACTTCGTCCCGCTGAGCGAGCGCATGTTCGACCTGCAGCAGAAGGCCGAGACCGCCGGCCGCTCGTCCGAGGCGAAGGTGTGGAGCGTGCTCGTCGCGCAGGTGTGGGCGGGCTTGCCCGGCTATTGCGCGGGTGCGACGGATTTGAAGGAGGGTCTCTCGCAGCAGTTCAGCGCGTTATTATCGCAGCTGCTGTATACGCAGAGCGAGCTGCGTCCGTCCATACTTCGCGCGCTGAAGACCCTCGTCGAGTCCAATGTCTCGCGCGCGGATAGCGAGGAGTCTGCCCCTGGCGCGATCTCGAAGGAGGAGGCGCAGGCGAACGTCGCATTTTTGCGCACGCAGGCTGCCAGCTGGCTGGCCGTGCTCTTCAATGTCTTTGGCAGTGTGCAGCCTGACTCGCGCGGTATGATTGGCGATTGTATCACCGCCTGGGCGTCCATCACGCCTGAGAGTGTACGTCCCAATATGTGAGCACAGGGGCACTCACCGACTAACGCCCTTCATGCAGGACATCAGCACGGCATTCGCAAACGTCTTCCAGCTTATCAAGGCCAACCTGAAGAAGGACGCCAACGTCGTGATGGCCACGCAGGATATTGTTGTCATTCTGTTACCCTACCTGCCCAGTAGCGACGCTGAACCCCTGTTCGCTTTTTGCCTGACCGGCGATGTGTTGGGGCACTCGGAGACGGGCGTACAGAAGCGCGGGTACAAGATCCTCGCGAAGCTTGTTGCCGGAGGCAAGGTGGCCATTGACGCTGAGGCAGTGCTCAAGCAGCTCGATGAGCAGGCGGATCTGTTGGCGCCTGCAGCGAAGAAGGTAAAGAGATCACATTTCCAGTGCACCGTACGCGCTGACCCTGGCACTAGGACCGCTTTAACCTGCTCTCGGGTCTCGTACCGCTGCTACCCCCGACTGCTATGCACGCGATCCCTGCTCTCATACCCGAGGCCGTGCTTGGAACGAAGGAGCCATCAGAGAAGGCGCGTCTCGCCGCGTTCGATCTCGTCCTCGCCATGGGCCGCAAGATGAGCGAGGGCGGCGTGGTCAAGCGCAGCCTGATTGACGGGATGGACGAGGATGAGGCGCCGGATGCGAAGGCGAGCATCGAGGAGTATATCACCATGGTTGCTGGTGGGCTCGCTGGTGCTACGCCACACATGATCAGCGCGACCGTGACCGCGATCTCTCGGCTGGTGTTCGAGTGGAAGGGTATGTGCTCATGACCTTTGTGAAGGCCGGAACTTTGCTAACTTTCTTGCAGACCAACTCTCCCAAACCATGCTCGACGAGCTGCTCCAAACCCACATTGTCTTCGTGCGCTCCAACAACCGCGAGATCGTCAAGAGCGTCCTTGGGTTTGTCAAGATCGCCGTTCACACCTTTCCCGTCGACATCGTCCGCCCGCATCTCCCCGAACTTGTCCCCGCGCTGCTCTCCTGGTCGCACAACCACGCGAACCACTTCAAGCTCAAGGTGCGGCACATCTGTGAGCGCATGATTCGCCGCTTCGGCTGGGAGGCCGTGTACAGCGCGGCGGGGCAGGAGGAGGCGGCGAAGGTGCTCGTGAACATCAAGAAGCGGAAGGACCGGGCGAAGCGGAAGCGTGCGGCAAGGGGCGAGGAGGGCGAGGAGAGTGAGGACGAGGATGCGGCACCAAGGAAGAAGACGGGCGATGCATTTGAAGATGTGGTATATGGGAGTGAGAGCGAGATGGAGGACAGCGATGAGGAAGAGGAGAGCGGTGCGAAGAAGGGCAAGGGCCAGAGCGGGAAGGGCGTTCGGCTACGCGTGGACGACGACGAGCCGATGGACCTGCTTTCTGGTGCTGCAAGTCGGGTCACGAGTGAGTGTATATCTTTCTCATTCTCATTCTGTCGTGGTGCTGACGTTTTCCGAAGGCACAGCCGGCAAGAAGCGGAAGCCCGGAAAGGACGCTGCTCAATTCAAGACCGACGAAGAGACTGGCAAGATGGTCATCGACGAGGGCGCAGACGAAGACGAAGAGGCCGCTGGCGACAACGTCGAGGGCGCCGCGTACAAGGAGTCCCTTACCTCTGTCGACGGCTTCACCCGCGGGCCTAACGGGCGCGTCAAGTTCAACAAGGACACCAAAAAGCGCAGGAGGGAGGAGGCTGCGGACGAAGACGTCGAGATGGCGGACCCGGATGCGGCGCCAATGACGAACAAGAAGCCGCGGAGCAAGAAGCAAGAGAAGCCGGTTGGACACGAGTTCAAGGCAAAAGTGAGTGCCTCGATAGTTGTCGTTTATTGGGTGTTGATGAAGATCTTCAGAAAGCAGGAGGCGACGTCAAAAAGCGTGGTGTGGACCCATACGCGTACGTATCGCTATCGCAGGCAGCGAAGAAGAAGGGCAAGATGGGCATCGCTGGCAAGAGATAGTCTTGCACATGCGCCTCGCCATTGCCTACCTCTGTTTACGTGTTGTATTCTTACCGCTATATGAGACTCGCTTATTCGTTCCCGCTTGCCCATGCTTCGCTTTCATCATCCTTTGACTTGCAGACATCGAAAGCAAAGGTGCTTCCGGCACTCCCCTCGCTAATCGTCAGATTGCAACGCACCGCGCAAAAGGTCATCACTCTCTAACGAGGCGAGGCTGCGAGTCAGAACAGAAGCGGACTGCTGCCGGCTTCGTCTCGCCGCGGCCCAGGCCACGCTCCAGGTGCGCTTGTCTCTGCTTGTGACTGTCTGGGGGTCCCCGGAGGCCGCCAAGACCATATCCTCGCTGGCTTCGCCGTGCAGCCCAACCTGGTACATCTGCGTATATTCGTGTTGCTTTGACATCTGATCGAGTCCTTCCCGATTGCTGCCCGAGCCAGCGCCTACGTTCGCCACGCTCAGCTTCCCAAAGAGTAGCCCGAGGTAGGGAGCATCGCTGCATCTGCATGACCCGCCCAGCACAGGTCAATGAGCCACTATTGATATGCAAGGGGATAAATGTAGCGATGACCGGAAGCCGCCGATCGGGCATTTGATTCCGTCTGTCACATAGCGCGGAATCTGAACAAAGCCTGACAGGATAGGACAAGGTGGCCACTGGCTACATACATAGGCAGCTAGTCCTCCTCCCTCCTACCTTCGACCCTCCGTCAGCACCTCCCGGAGTCTCGGTGGTCTCGAACCCCTGCAAGGTGAATAATCTCCGATGCTGAGGACCTTCACGGACGCCGCCCGGAATGGCGCCATCGTCAACGCCGCGGCGCGACGGGTGGACCTCCAGACTACTCCGAGGGCAAATTGTGGCTTGCCTTCGACCATAAAGGACGACGTGAGTCATATCACAAGGGCGGTCTCTCAGGTAATACAGCTACAGCAACGAGGGTACTCGAGACCCTTCAAACGTTTCGTGGCCTGACCTCGACCCTTTACGCTTTACGACTCATCTCCACTGCTCTTGGCACCGTCCGCATTGTTTTCCCGAGTCTCTCGGAGTTCCCGTGCATACTTTCGCCAGTCTACCGCCATACGCTGAACGTGGTACGCATATCACGCCCGTCTCGTGCACAACTTGACAGTCCTCAGGTCATTCCCTATGTCAACACCACCTAAAGCCTACATCCGAGAAGCCAAGCTTCCGCAGGAATTCGGCGAGCTGAGCACCACCGCTTCACGAGCCTTCGCCTCGCATCCCCTCAACACCTATTGGTCAAATCAGAAGGTGGCGGTGCACCTCCAGGAGGGCAAGCAGAAAGAGAAGAGCCTACGCGAGTTAGCCCGCCTACTGGAGAGTACCCTGCGCTTCGTCTGGTTGACCGGTGGTCGTATCATGGTCGTCGCCGTGCCCGACGCTGACGGCAAGGAGCACCTAGCAGCAGGAGCGGCGTGGAGTGGGCCAGATTCGTCTGAGAAAGCGAGCCTGCTAGCCGTCCTTCGTGCCAAATTCTATCGTCCGATCCTCGACTGGGGGCTTGCCCCGTTGAAGGTAAGATTCCGAGCCCACTCCGCTTGCCCTTGATGCTCATCTTAACCGACAGAGAGGCCTTGGAGAGTACCTTCCGGTATGTGACAGACAGCGAAAAGAGGCCGCTCGCAAGTACGGCGTGGAAGAGGATGGCTACTGGTACCTCGAGTTGCTCTTCACCAATCCAGACGACGAAGGACGCGGTTAGTTGCCTTCATTCCTGCGTGGCTCGCCTCACCGACGACAAATGCAGGACACGGCGGCAAGCTGCTCAGGGAGATGGATGCCTACGCGCCGGACAAGATCTTCATGCTTCATGCCTCGACGGAACGGACGATCGCCATCTACAACCATAAAGGGTGGAAGGTTTGTGCGCAAGTTGGACAATACCCAGTATGACCCTAACGAGGGTGCAGACATGCGGCGAGGACACGATTGGCGTCGGGAAAGCCGCTGAGGACGGGACTCGCGCTAGAGGGGAGAAGGCCAAGGGAGTGCGGGTTGTACTCATGCTCAAGGTAAGTTTAGCACGTGCCCTGTGGTTTCCTGCACTCACCGAAGACGATAGGAGCCTGCATCGAGATCTTCGTAAAGGTCGCTCACTCGGACTCTTCGTATTCCCGATGCCACAACATCTTAGGCGATACGAGCTTGGACATGACCCTACGAACGCGCGCTGTACTAATGTAGAGGTACAACCATTGTTTTCGAAGGGGATAGATGTGATGTTATGGTTTGGTTCCGCATGTCATAGAAGGCGCGAATCAGGACAGAGTCTGACAGACCATGGGAACCGATTCGGATTGACTGGCAGAGAATAGTATTCACGTATGATACATATAGGACCCTTGAGCCTGATACAACTACACAATAAAGCAACGTAGAGTATACAGCAGGAAGTACTAGAGAAAGAGATATTGTACATTGCCATCTTCAAGCATTCGTATAAATAAGCCTTCTTTCTACTCCATACGCGCTAACGCCTACGCCGGGACGTCTACGGCAATGTGTCCTGGAACGGCCACCACGCCCCACCCGGCGCAGCGCGCTCCAGCTCCATAACCAGCTGGGCATCGAGCCCTTGTCGGATACGCTCGAGCTTCCTCTTCGTGCGCTCGTAGCTCGCCGCATCCACCCAGCCGTACGGCTGGATCCCAAACGAATCATGGAGGTACTCCAGGAAGTCATGCCACTGCACGTATCGCTCGCGCTGCTGCATGAGCCCCTGCACTTCGCCCCGCGTGAAGCGCAGCGGACACGGCGCCGGGTCCGCCGGATCGACGAGCTTCGGCCAGTTCGCCGCGACGTTCAAGAGCGCGAGCTTCAGCGGCAGGATGCCATCCTTCCACGTCCTCCCTGCCATCGTCACCGGCGTCGTGCGCAGCTCGCGGTGCGTGCCGTGATAGGGCAGCAGCTGCCTGATCTCGTACAGCTTCTGCAGCACGACCGCCTTGTGGTTCTTGACGAGGATGCGCTGCGCGGTGGGCGCGTACTCGTGCAAGTCAGAGGGAAGCCGCGGCATCTCGAGGCCGGAGGGCACTTCGACGTTGCGGCACAGGAGGAAGGAGGGGACCGTCATCTGGAGGTACGCAGGCCCCGCCCAGCAGCCCTGCCAGTCGATGATGGACGTGATGGAGTGGTTTCCGGATGGGTCGACGAAGATGTTGCCGAGGTTAAGGTCCGGGTGCCAGAGGACGCTGCGTAGCGGCTTCTTGTCTGGACCGCGAGGGGCGATGTGGCGCGCGACGGCGCGGAACTGATCCAAGACCGCGATGTGTTCCTCGGGCAGCTGTGGACCGCAGATGGCACGGAAGGGGTCATCGTGGATGTGCGGCTTGGCGTAGGCGGAAATCCACGCTTGCTCGCGAGCGGCGACGGAATCGAGGTAGTCCTCACAAGACGACCAAGGACCTCGGTCAAGCTTCATAGACGCGCGCTCGTCCTCCCAGTACATCCTCGAGCAGATGGGACCGATGCAGAATTTCTCAGCCTCGCCAGTCGCGCGTCGACCGTCGGCGAAGAGGGTCGGCGCTCGCAAGGCCGGATGCACGTCCTGCTTGTAGTACAGACTGCCATAGTGGGAAAACGAGGCGTTAAGCAGGCGCTTCTCCGTCGCGATAAGGGAGTTGACGACATCCTTCCGCTCGCCTGCGCTGAGCGTGTGCCAGATAGTCGAAAGCTGTACACCGCGAGCGATGTCCATGATGATGTACTCGCAGCCTATGCCGTTGTAGTCGGCGTGCGAGCTCCAGTCCAGGACGCGTGGGACCGGGAGCTTGAGAACGGTGCGGCAGAAGTCCTTAATGGCGACTTCGCTCGCCGTTGTGTAGTGGACAGGCCCTGCGATCGGATTCTGCGAATAAGCGTCATGGAAGAGCTCAGAGACGCCGATAGCGTTACGAACCTTGACCCTGACGGCCACTTGCCTCCCGTCGCGCAGCGTCGCGACGAAAGACTTGTTGAACACACCCTCTTTCTTATTCCATTCAGCGACTTCCGCACCGCATACTTCTGCGATCCTATCGCGGAGAGCGTGGACATTAAAGGGTGTATAGCGCTCCTTGAGCTGATGTTGCTCGTTGTAGAGCCATCTTCCGGACGTGTAGCTGAAGACGGTATCGTCTATCTGTTCTGATACGAGATGAACAGACTGGGTAAGTCAGAATGCGGGTCACGTACCTGGCAGCTTCCAAGTAGGTGGAGGCGGCGGCAGAGCCGGGATTGGGTTGCGAGGTTGTAGGGACGCCTCAGTCGCCAAGCTCCGGATTAGGAGGGGAGCGCGCCTAAAGGCGTGTCGTAGACTATTCACCGCTAGGGAAGTGTGCCTTCGTGAAGACCTCATAGCGCGGCATGCAAATGCTATTGCAAGAGGTAGGGATGGAATCAGAAAGCAAGTGGCGCAGTCCAGGTCGTCGCATTTATATACGCGCTGAGCGGTGGCGCCGCAGATGACCTTTTCACGTTTGCGCCGTTGCACCATGCGAGTATCAGTCGCGCTGTACTGTCCGTCGTGCGCACGAGAGTGGCTGAATGTGTCCGTGTCATCGTTTCTGGCAGCTCTCCACCGTTCATCGTCACATCCGACCGCAGAGCTGCTCGGAGGCTGTCCCCGTGGGGCCCTCCATTTTGCGCAGCGGTATTAGGTCCGGAGGAAAGCAGGAGAAAGGAGGGGAGACAAGGGCCATCAACGCCCCGCCAAGTCACCCGCTACGTCATTCACGTTGCGGTCATTGCCGAACAAAGGTCACGTGAAATGTTGAACTGTGACCACCTCTGTGACCCTTCCGCTTGGTGACCACCTCTTTGTTGCGGGGCGAGAGCTGAGCACAGATAGTCACGTAGGGCTTGATTCTACAGCAAGATATAACAAATAGCGACAAGTACGTTACGCTATCCCTCCGGAGTCTGCGATGCAAGGCCAGCCAGAGGAAGTAGCTCCGCTAAGCCCTTCATCGAACTACCGATCACAGGATCTTGATGGGCGTGCAGTTGACGTTGACTAGACCATTCTGATCGAAAGTGAGGGACGAGCGTAGCCACAGTACACGAGAAGCATACCTGGTAGCTCTTGCTGCAGCACACAGACTGAGCGCTGCACTGCGCGCCGCTGCCGACGCCAATAGCGGTGATCGGCGTGCAGGTGAGCCCACTGATCATAAAATTAGCAATAGAGCGCGACATGACAAGAGAGATAAGACATACACCAGATCATGGATGCTACCCGCCGTCACCCCGACCAGGGAGAGCTGCTTCTGAATGGACTTGTCGTTGTGCTATAGGCCCAGCCCAGTCAATAATGTCAGAGGAAGATATGGCACGAGGCGCGTACGTCGACGGTCTTGTTGCAGCAGTACACGCCGCCACCGCTGCAGCTGGCCGGCGTACCGGTGGCAGCGACGAGCGCCGGAAGAGCGAAAACGAGGATGGAGAAGCGCATGATGTTGCGAGAGCAGAAACTGAGGTAGCAAATGAGGGCTTGCAGGTTGTCCTGAAGCTGAAGTATCACCTCCCCACTGTCGCCTTTTGTACTCGAGAGCACTCCTCCCGCCGCTGGGGATGAGCTTGGTGGACAGAATGCATTTTACGCCATATTCCGTAGCTGGTCAAACCCTCATTCAACCTCCCTTGACAGACGAACATCCTTGCACCCACGCTCAGATAGTCTCCGTTGCATTTACAATCCTTCCTGGCGGCTGCAATGCTCGATAGAGCCCTAACAGGGACATCACAGCCTCGATTAAAGCCTGCCCATGATCACTTCCCGCCCACGAGCACTTTCCGCGCGACCGAGTAAACCGATATGAACGAGCGGCCAGTAGATGTTCAGGCCCGTCCGTTGAACATGGCAGGCACTATCGAAAGTGGAATGACGCAGACGTCGACGGCGTACGAGAGGATGCTGGCACAGATCGTTCAAGTCCTCGCTAGCCTGGGATGCGCAGGACATGAAATATCCGCGAAACTGCGCACAGGGAGGCCACTGAGCACGGGACTTAAGAAAACCTCAGTCATTCAATTTGTCAATTTGGATTTGTTTTCGGCTCCATCGCCTCTACAAGATAGATACTCGTAAGTACTTGCAGAAATAGGCAGTTTCATTGCCCATTCTCAGAGCTGCGCAGCAGACGTTACGTGCTCGTCAGGCCCTTCCCGCCCATCACTTGGCTGAACATCTGCAACGCAGCTTGCCCGACCTCCAGCGAGTCCCACTTGTAAGCGGGCACCTCGTGCCCAGCGCCGTAGACGCGGACGTAGCCGAGGCTGTTGCCGCCCGACGGGTCACCGACCTGCTTGTACTTGCCCGCCTCGACGCCGTTGACGGTCCAGGCCTGGAGGTCCTGGCCATTGAAGTCGGACTGGAGGGTGGAATTCAGGGCCTCGAGCTACAGGGAAAAGAAATGGTAGTCAGCCGACGATGCGCAAACGGTATATAGTGGAGTACGCACCTCAGCCTCGATGCCCGGGTAGTTGAGGATGAAGTCCGCGTCGCCGACGTAGATGAGGGTGCGCACGCCCGCGTCAACGACCTTCGCGAGGTCGATGGCTGAGTTGCGCATCCAGTCGCCGGTGTAGGCGAAGTTGCTGTAGACGTCGTAGTTGGTCATCGACCAGTTGGACTCGGCGCCGATTGTGTTGGCAACCGAGGCCAGGTAGTCGGTGATGTCGGCGGGGTAGGGGTCGGGATCCTTTGCGAGCACGTAGTAGACCTGGCGGCGAAGTTAGTGGAGGTCAAAGTAATGGTTGATGGATGCACGTACGTCCCAGTCACCACCGAGGGGGCTAAGGATGTAGTTGTTGCAGTAGCTCTGCGCATCGCTGCATACGTCGTTGGATCCGTTGTCGTAGCAGGCAGCAACCTTCAGGTAGTGTTGGAGACGACACGACAATTTATGACTATATATCAACGCGCACCTGATCCAAGCACCCGCCCTCCTTCGTCAGAGATCTGTTGGCGGAACTGATGACGCTGTCATTGACAAGCTGGTGGTACGGGTTCGCCGCAGCGTAGGTGACATAGCCGGGGTACTGGTGAAGAGGATCCTGAGGAGGGATGAGTCTCGGACTGGTGAAAGTGAGGGAAGTCACGTACAGTAAGACCATCACCAACACCAAGGACCTTGAGGTTCAAGGTGATGCCGTCGACGCTGCCGGATGAGATAGCATCGTTCTGGTCGAGGAAGTATGAGGCAAAGGTAGGACCGTAGTGGCCACCGTAGCTCTCCGTCCAGATAGCGAGGTCGTTCTTCTGCAAGTGGCTGAAGTGATCGTCCTTCAGCCAGATCTGGAGGAAGTCCCAGACGTCCGAAGCAGCCTCCTGGCTCGTCCCGACCTCGGTCTTCCCATACGAGAAGCCGACACCGACAGGCTGGTCAATGAATACGACGTTTGCGTTGTTGTTCCACGAGTAAGGGTTCAGCGATACGTCCGCGGAATCGTTGTTGATACGGCACGGGCCAAGCTCCTGCAAGAGGCCGATCATGGAGGAACTACCAGGCCCGCCATTGAACCACAGCACGAGCGGGTCGTTCTCGGGATCACTGCGGGATTCGAAGAACCAGAACCTGCAGCACCCCAGTCAGCGCGCGCAAGGCGCCTATCCCGATCGCGCACGCACCAAATGTGCTCGTCCTCGGACAAGTCGCCATAGCCGGAGTACTGGTTCACGCCCTCCGTCGTCTCGCAGATGCCCGAGTTCTCCGTCACGCGCAACGCGCCAGGCGTCGCCGCGGAGGTGCTGTTAGTGGCGCTGGACGACGCGTCGGTCGCGTTTGTGGCGGCGGCTGCGATGCGCTGGCCGGACCGCGGGGGGACCGCGCCGATCGCGCCATCAACGTCGGCGAACTGGCCGGCGCGCGCAAAGGCGGCGGCGCCGAGCGCGGCGACTCCGAGAGAGGCGAGGGGAAGCATTGCACAGGGAGGGCCGGCTCTCGTCCATATCACGTCTTATATATGCGACTCGGGCCCATGCTTCGAAGAGGCGCCCGCGTGGAGCAGCGCTCTTCGGCGCATGGGATTCTGTCGCGAAGCAGCATTGTTCGTCGCTATATCCAGAAACAGGCGGCCCGCTAGCGCGATGTCCCCTTGGATCTCACATGGGATGGACTGTTTTGTATTCCCCGAGGGAAGATGAGGTCGAGGCGGTGGGGGGCGATGGGAGATGAGGTGACCGGCGGCGCGTGGTCGACTCAGGTCTGACCGTGAAGAGCAGATGGCGGTGACTGGGGAGGTCGTGTGCGAAGAAAGGCTGTATTGTCCATTTTCTACAGTAAGAACGGAGAGGGAGGTCCGATGTACACCATGTAAGCGTCCTCAGTAAACAATAAGCAAAGGGCTGATGGCAGTACACCAGGTAAGAGAAGACAATAGAAATTCAAACGTTGTTCAGTCCGTTGTGGGAAGACGGCAAGAACACCCAACGAAAGATGTAGTCAAAGCGGGGAGGTGCGGTGCGCTGGCTACAGCATGATGGCCCCGAGCACTGCGGCGAAAGCCAAGGTTCCCACTGAGACTCGCTCGCGCAAAGCGCCGTTGCTCGAGTCGGAAACAGCACTGGCACTAGTCGAGGCCGTACCGCTCGACTTCGTCGTTGTCCCGGTCGAGGTCGTGTGCGTAGAGGAGGCCCGAGAAGAGGTGGAAGTCCTAGATGCCGATGCAGAGGCTGAAACACTCGACGAGGGGTACGTCGATCCGGATGCCTTGATCTCAAAGGAGTCTGAGGTAGCGTAGACCTGGGTGCATCGTAAGTATTTGGGCTGCAAGCAATAAGATTGGCAGTCCAGTGTGAGTGACTCACGCTAGCGCCGTCGACAGAGGTCAGCTCGATGTAGTAGCCCGTGCCAGCCGTGTAGTTAGACTGCGAGGACTCGATGAGTTCCGAGCAATCCCAGTTCGAGACGTTCGTGGCGACGGTGGATGCTTCGGCGAGGAGGGAGGTATCATTGTTGAGGATTCTATGAGACGATGATCAGCAAGCCCATGCGATCGATGACGGACGGAGAAGTCGGGAAGTATGTAAGGACCACGTACACGATATTATAGTAGCTATCTGGTGCTTCGTCGTTGCAAGTCCATTGCACGATATTCTGATTATCTGCAACTGCAGAGCAGTCAGTGCATCGGTGACAAACATCAGAAGGAGCCCAAGACGCACCCCACCAAGAGTCATCCCCGCCGGGATTTTCGATCGAAAAGGTGGCAGAGGCGGTCGCGGCAAAGACTACGGTGGAGAGATACAGAAGAAGGGCACGCATGGCTTGAAGTGAGAGTGGTGGGTATGGGAAGAAAGCAGAAGGAGAGTAAATCAGGATGGAGAGTAGTCGAGCGGAAGCGAAGATGAAATATAAAGTATACCTCGCGTACGAAGGTTTGTGGCCCGCCGCAGCAGGGCAGACAACGTCTGCGCACGCAGCTGGAAAGACAGGAAATGCTGCGCAGGCACCGAAGGGCGTACTATGATATGTTTCTGCCTGCCAGTACTGAAAACTCCTCAACGGAAAGTATGCTCATCGTCGTAAGAGATCATATGGTGAACTGGCCCCAGGCGAGAGAGCTACCGCACAAAGAGTACCAGCCAGCGTGGATGAGCCGCTGCACAAAGTAGCGCTTCACAGTGGTGTCCGACTGAACGCAGTCACGCGAAGCGCTCGCAGCAAGGCCCCTGCTGGGGAACAAACATTCGTCAACAAATTATCCTTCTCGTCCGTCCGAACGCACGCACCGATGCCTCATATAAGACGGCTCAACTTGCAAGAAAGCGCGCAGCCCACAGCCCCCCTCGCTTATGACTTCACGCGCCTCCGACTAGACGTACTCACCTGGCTATGTACGCGCGCCGGTTCAGCTATGTGGGCGCGCCGATCTAGTTGGCGTTCCGACGTCCGAGCGTCGCGCTCTCACGGACAGACGCGAGAATGAGGATAGTTAACGAGTGGAAGTGGTATATCCGCGACCTAAAACATCAACAACCCTAGACAGAAGAACGCCAGCCAGTCAGGCATGTCCCAGATTGGCGACCTCCTTTCCCCATGTTCGAAGTCCGCATGTCCTGCGACGAGGTTGGCGGACGGTGTAGACGGCGTTGAGATTGGGGGAATGTGGGCGGATGTTGGCGTCGAAGGAAGGAGGGTGGATGACGGCGTCGGGAAAGCGCATGTGGGGGATGCGGTCGGTCGCGGGGGTGTGGTCGTAGAGTTCATGCATGTTGAAGGGTAGCCTGCGTCCCTCGACTTGATCTCAAACGGTTCGGACACGGCGTAAACCTAGTGCAAGCATCGTGGTCAATTTCTTCCTTCAGCGCGTTCCAGTCCAAGCTCACCGTCGCGAGGTTCGCATCAGCCAACTGGAGGTAGTAACCTCTTCCCTCCGTCAAGTTGTCAGGCAGGTCGTTGATGACCTTCACGCAGTCTCGATGCGAAACGTTGTGCGCCACCGTCGTGGGCTTCGCGAGGAGAGAAGTGTCGTAATTGTGAAGACTGGCAGAGGATGAGTATCATACACACACCGGGATGCGGAAGGCCTGGGACAAACGAATATGCGACTTACACTAAATCATAGTATTCCGCCGGCGCGTCCGCCTCGCATGACCATCCTACAACGTTTGGTCTGGAGGACACTGGAGGAAAGTGTTAGGGACGAGTATGACAAAGTTGGTGCAGAGAAGGGGAAGTGCCACTACGACAGCTTCGTCGTCAAGAAAACAGAGCACTTACCCCACCAATATTCAACGCCACCAGGATATTCTATCCTGCAAGTGGCTAACACCGCTGTGGCGTACACCACAATGCACACAAAGAAGCGCGCGGTATACATGTCAGTGGAGGGAGGAGCTGGACGGCGTAGCGAGTCTGTACAAGGAGGAAACGTGAGCAATCTCTGACATCTCGAGGACGCACCCCAAGAGAATATAAACCACCACCAAGACACCCACGATGCATATCCGCAGCTAGATGGAGAAGTATCTTGGGTCTGCACAGCCTACATCTGGCAGTGCCGTCAACGACTGCGCAGACACGGTCAGCCCATGCCTCGACAGGCAAATTCTTGGCAATCGCTTGCGCATCTCCGCGCCGATCACCTCAGTTGGGAATAGACGGAGGGCGAAATATAGTTCGGCGGGGGCAGAAAAGAATAATCCGGAAGGGAGGGGGCGGGACGGCGGTCCGATTCCACCTTAACTTGGGACGCGAAGGCAGGTAATTGTCGAAGGAGCTGATGGGCGCAGCAGTGGCCCAAATATGCTCTCCACTCGAGGGCGTGTATCTGGTAAATATAAACATGTATCTGCCTCTTGACTATATCGAGAACAACGCACCTGTTGCTATTTTTTTCTCCAGGCGAGCCAAGATAAAGCGAAGTACGTACCAGAATGCTCACCATCTTTGAATCGCAGAGTAGGCGCTCGGCTATTGAGTCGGCAGAAGATGTGCAGTATGAGGGCATAGTCTATCATCAATAGTAGTGTTGTACATTCCGATCTCGAAGCGGCCTTGTCAGCGGCACTATTATACATGTGTTGATCACTCGTTGAAGAACTCCAGAGGCTTGTCGGCCGTCTGAATCGCGTGGTATTCCGTGGGCGGGGCCTCGGGATCCGGACGAACTTCGTCCGTCCATAGGGAATGGAATATAATGTCTTCGGTACCCTATCAGTCGTCAGTATAATGCGTCAAAAACCAACAATAGATCTCACCCGATTAGGAGGGTCGTGAATACTACGAATAGGATAAGAATACGCGTGGAGCTGTGGTGCCAGGCACTCACCGAACGTGAACAAAGCCTTCTCCTAGGTCGTCCTTGATAGCAGGGAGACGAATCTACGGAGCTGAGTCTGCCAATCGACCCATCGAGATACTCTTACACGCTTACCTTCCCTAGGATGATGGTTCCGTATGTTGTCGGGCCGCTACTGACCAAAACGAGGTCATCCTGTTCGGCTGGATGAGCTCAATGGAAAACAGACCCGTGCGCGCCATGATCACCTTGAGATTGAAGTTGACCAAGTCGCTATCTGACACGCCCTTCGCGCGAGACCACATACGCGGCTCGTGCTTGTCCCAGTGGTGACGCAACTCAATAATCGCCGCCTTGATCTTATCTTCGACGGCGCCAAAGGCCTCGAGGGCGTTCTCAGCTGGCGCGTGTGGCTCGTTGAAGTTGACTTGGTCCTTGGATGCTATAGATACTTCAGCGCTTGATTGACTCAGTGTTCGATGAATGCGAACCCATGTTAGCGGCTGTAAGTGGGAAGAAAGCAGACGATGGGCGTCGAACGCAAGTCGAACAATGGACGTTGCCATGGCACCACGTGGTCTGGAGATCGGCAATCTCCGACGTCGGACCGGATCAGATCCCGGAGGATGATCTCATGGCCATCTTAGGCCTGTCTTCCATGGCATCGCAGCGCGCCTCGCGCCTTGTTGTAGTCTCTTACGTCCTGCTATCTCGTTCTTAGCGCTTTCCTGATCATTTGTCTCTGCTCTTCTCCGACGATCACGGATGCTCTCTTGCTCTTGACTTTCATGACCCTCACGCTCAACGCGACCCTCGCTCAACGACCCTCTCTCAACCACTCACAACGACCTCCCGCGATGAACCCGGATGCATTCAGCTCGTTCCTGGCCGCCACCTGCTCCTGGGTCAAGACTTCTCGTCCCGCTGACGCGCAAAGGACCGTCGTCACACTGACACCTACGGACCCTATAACCCTCGACAAGCCTCCCCTCTTGTCTCAGACCGTGCCGGTACCAGACTCTATACCTCATCGCATAAAGCGCAAGCCCCCTCCTCGCATCTTGGAACTTACTTCGACCGGCCCAGAACCACTTTCCCACAGCTTCAAGGTGCACACCGACATGCTCTTCCCCTCGCCAGATATGCGCCCTCCCAGCATCATTCTGTCCACCAGCCCACCTCCTCGATCGCATCCCACGAGATATGACTCTGACTCGACGACAATGCTAGGCCATACAGACCTCTCGAGTCTGAAGGCGCGCCCGACGTCGCTTGCCGGCAGGCAGGATCCGCAGACACGCCCCCGCTCCTTGACGTTACCCGGATTATCTTCGACGCTAGAACTAGGAAGTCCTTCATCGGAGACGCAGGGGAAGTCAATGGCCATGCATAGACCGCGCACTTCTCCCAGAGGCCCGCGACCCAACGCCGTCTCACTCCCGCGCTCGCCCTCGCGGCCTCTTAGGGGCACACGATTCATCACCGACGCCGACGAGCCCGACGACGACACGCATCCTCATACTTTCCCGATCCGCGCCCTTTCGCCGTCTGCCGCGAAGCGCGGCTTTCTCAGGATCGTCATCCCGCGGAACCGGTTATCATTCGAGCAGCCACCACTCGGAACCTACAATCACCATACCTCGGGCGCAGTGACATGCAGCTCGACGTTATCCTTCGACTTCCCTCTCCCTCCTCCTGTCATCGTCCTGCCCGACCTCGGCAGCTCTGTATCGTTCGTTGAGAGCACCCTTGACGCCCTGTCGCGCGCAGGAATGGATAGCTCCAGCGATCTGGATCTCACTACAGCGCCGACCTCTCTCCGGACCTCTTTCATGGACTCGGACTCCTTCTACACGGTAGCGTCGACGACTTGGGACGCTTCACAGGGAGGAGAGGTCGTACAGAGGAAGAATCGACCGCTACCCTCAATACCTTCGCTGGCTTCCTCTCTTCATGCACCTCTGCGCATTCGGTTTGCCCATCCTCCCGCCTCCGATATCATCTTCAAGGAGAACCGGCTACCGACGCCTGAACAGCTCGAGCGTGCCGCGCGTCTGCCGGTCATCTCAGAAGATGGGTCGGAGGTGCCCTTCTACGACCTATGGAAGGACCAGAAGACCATCGTTGTATTCATTAGGCACTTCTGGTGCGTGCTGGCGTTTAGTGCAGCGTCCATACACCCTGACATTCTACGCAGGTGTCCAATGTGTCAAGATTACATGTTCTCCATCTCTCGATCCGTGTCTCCCAAAGCCCTTCGTCAAGCCGGAGTCGAGCTCGTCGTTATCAGCAACGGCTCCTTCAAGATGATTCCGTCCTACCGAAGTGCGTTGTACAGCCTTCCTGAGTAGCGATCTATTGACTGATTTGATTGCTTGCAGAAATATTCCGCACGCCATTCGCGCTGTACACCGACCCGACTCACGCCGTGTACAACGCTTTGGGGATGACAATCCAGAGCCTCGAGAAGGGCCCGCGATCATCATACATCAAGCACGGCATGGCGGGTGGCATCGCCATGGTCGTTGGCAATGCGTTCAAATCGGGCATGCCGCTCTTCGCAGATGGCGGAGATATCTCTCAGCTAGGTGGAGAGTTCGTCATGGGACCAGGGTGCGTCGTCCGCATACGTCTTAGCCGTTCGTGATTGACGTAGTACGCAGCCTGACCTGCACCTTCGCCCATCGCATGCGCTACACGCGTGCGCATACGAGCATCCTTAACGTCGTGGCGGAGGCGGGCGTCGATATGGTCGCGCATGTGGAGCTCGAGCGCGGGGCCTCATCAGGGCGAGCCCTTGATGGTATGTCGGATGCGGAGGCCGCCTCGTGGATGAGCAGCCGACGGAAGCAGCTCAAGGCGCTGGCAGCGCGTAAAGCGCGGAGGAGAGGCGGCGAGCGCTATTGCGACGCTCAGGACGTGCGGCTGCCGTCTGAGTCTACGCATGAAGGGTCTGCGGGGACCGCCGAGGACATGGAAGCCAGTGAGTCAGGCTGCTCGAGCACGAGTATCGCCACCACTGGGGAGATGGACTCTTACGGATACCTGCGCTCTGAGTGCTCTGGAGCGTATGTGTGCTCTGACTCGCTATGTTCTGGTTCGCCGCGTGCCAGTATGTCCATCTCCATAGGCACATCCTCATTGCGCTCTTGGATGGACCGAGATTCGGCGCTCTCGGAGATGAGAAGTGCAAGCAACACTACTGCAGATACCATCGTTTACGAGGATGTGGATCGTCGCACGTGTACAGGAATCGCTTGTTGAAGGGCCAGAATATCACCGTACATAATCATCAGTCATTGTATGTGGACGAGCCTACTGTAGTCACCCATATAGTTCCACCTTCTTGCTCCTCGCAGTGAATTCGCATCTAATCGGATATTTTCCTTGGTTCCAAATCCGTGGCTTCACCAATGGAATGGGGCGTCTTTCGCTAGTGCGACAAACCTGGACAAACCAGTGACCGTGAGATGTTCGGCAACCCCCGACCAGAAGCGTGCGAATCGAACCCAGGAAGGTGATACACGTGCTATCGCGCCTTGACAGCGACTCTCACGAATTCGTTTGCCTTCCTTGGGCTCTCGCTGCTTCACTCCACGTTTTCGCTTGTGCCAGCCTTTGAGACTGTCCTCGACTCTTCCATACCACCCCTCCGCACACGCCGAAAGCACACATGGAGTGACAATCACGTACTGCAGATCATGGGATGCACCCCCTGCGGTGTATCACTGCCCCCGAGCCGAAGTGCCGGAATCGAGAGCCTCCCAGTGGCACCAATTCCCAACAGTTCTCCTCGTTCTATCGATGAATAGAACTGATGCCTCCTATCACGTCTCGGACTCAGCGCCGGCTTCTAGCTTCGAGAGGGCTTTGAGGTTCAAACCTTTTGACTTCGGCGCTGATGATACTGTATCTGGGTCTATCTGGGGTTTCCGACTCGGAATTTGGAGGTAATGGGGTAGATGATTTGGCCCAGAAAATCGTAAGAGGTAGGTCGTACCGTGCACTGCTTTGATTGAGGTTGACAAGCTCAAGGTCGTTGCGAATAAGCCAAGAAATCGGGCGGTGCGCCCTCAGAGACATGAACGCATTGCCTTCGGATATGCGGCGGCGGGCCTGTCTTTGACAACGTTCCAAGGGCTTGGTGATCGTCCATTGAGCCCACCTTACCAATGGCTGATCAAGATGCTGCGCTAGCGACCTACAGCACCGCGTGTTCTTCTGCGCCAATGACGGCGCTGAACCTGTTGCCATCTGGGGGCTTCTCTTGCTGGGCGCTACGTACGCACTTCCGGCTGGCTCTAGCGTGGCCTTGGATATACACACGCACCCCTACTGCGTGCCATCCAGGCGCGGTCGGTCTAACGACCGAATGAGGAAGTCGAGTGACTCCAGAAGATCATGTCGACGCTCTACACTCACATCATGACGCAGAGGTGAGGGTTGGTTCTCGTACAAAGGAATTGTCATGCGGCTCACATGCGCAGGACGGTAGCTATAGCGGTACATGCCGCAAGCCAAGTATTTAATTGTCGATGCACCGCCCACGCCGTAGGTGGGCGCTGAACGTGGGTCAGACGTTGCGCTCGACGCCTGTTTTTGGTTGTTTCCACTGTCGTTGAATGTAAGAAGAATACAATAAATCGTGCTTGTCGCAATCGCCTTGAGGAGACTTACCTTGCTCATCACGGTGCAGCCGTAAATGGTGTTGTACATCATGCAGGTGCATGACCGCGCTGCACTCGAGTCCTTGAACATCGGAAAGAAACCCAGTCATCAGGACCGGTCTCACGCAGCCTGAATACCGCCTGGCCTCGCGAGTTATCCTCGTTAAGGAAGACATGATAAACTGGTGGTATACTTCCCGTCACCGAGGACCAACTTCTTGTAGCTAACTCTGATACAATGCACCATGCGTTGTACGAGTCGTTGCAGCCTGTGATACTTACCACTGTGTGCTGGTTAGAGCACGCGCGACTGTCAGTGGCCAATTCAGATAACATTCACTGTTCGGCCAACTCTGTATCCTCTTACATTGTTCATGGTGCATACGAATGGCAGGGGTATTAGTACAGTACATAGTGCATAGGGTATCATGTACAGAGAGGCTAAACAACACATGAGGTAGTGATTAGGGCATCGGATACGTTCTTGTCGTATGAAGGTTTCGATAAATAACGAATGACAGCGGTGAGGACAGACATGCAATAAGATGGGGCAGGCGACAGGATGCGGCGTGGACTAATACTGGTAGTCCGGGGGCGAGTAGGGGTTGATCGTAAAGCGTCGAGCGGCATGGACAGGAACGGGGTGGTACTGCACGCGCTGGTCAGGCCGGTACACGTCGCTGGGGGTCGCTGCGCTGCGCACCAGATCATAGGGCTTCGTGGCGACCGCGTCCGGCACAGCCGCGTCGAAGTCACCCTCCCACGGCGCAGCTAACGTGCTGCGGCCCAGGTCGGGGGGCATGTTAACGTGAGGCAGGGTATAATAGGGGTCGAGATGAGAAGAGGGCCCGTAAAGCATGCCTTCATTCGGCGCGGTGGCAGACGAGAGATTATAGATCGAGTTCGGGGGCCCATTCATGTACGGCGCGTAGTCTGCCATCGAGTACGAGGGCAGGCCTTCACCGTAATCGGCGGCGGGACGTTCGTTCGAGGACCGTGGCCCTGACACGGCTTGGGAGGCACGTCCCTGAACCTGGACGGCGGTGGGGCGTGCGGAGGCCGGGGTGCTGCGATAGTCAGTATACGATCTCATGAGAATGAAACACTTGACAAACCTAGGTGAAGGCAGGGCGCTTTCCATACTCGCGCGCCGAGGCTGCCTGGGTACAGCGGTGCTGTTTGAATGGGCGCCATCAGCAAGTAGTTCCACCTCGACTCATGCATCAACGTACCTCGCAATGGCGGTTTGACGACGAAGCGGCGAGGTCGACGTCCGTATCGGCGGCGTCGGGGGCTCCGACACGGGTGGAGAGGAGCTTGCATTCGACGAACGACTGTCGGCGGCGTCGCTTGCATCGGACGCCTTGATGGCTGACTGGCGTGGATTCGGCCATGTGCACTGAGTGGTTGTCAGCTGGACGGAAAGCGTGCTAGTGGACGATCGTGTACCTCGCGTTGGCCGTGCGCACACCGAGTGCAGACGGGTTTTGCTTCATCGCACTGTAGCTACATTAGCATGCTTGATCCACTCAAAGTGCACAATCGCGCGCACCTTGACTTTCTTCGCGCGGCAAGTCAGGCATCCAGTCTTGCTTCTGGTGTACTTAGGGCGCTTGCGCGGCGCCTCGTCCAGTCGGTAGGGATGCGATGCAACGTGTGGCGACATCGAGTAGGGATACCGAATCGGGCCCAGAAAGTCGCTGGCCGTGTTACTGAACATAGTTAGTCATCGGCGTACAAAGACTACGATGGCTACTCACCGCGACATGGACCGTGAAGACATCGAGAACGGGCGGCGGCGATGAAAGGACCGTCAAAGTGGGGGAGAGAGAAGACGCGAGGTTGGATGAGGTGCTTGATACATATAGGGCGGCGCTATTCGTGGAAAAAACCAAAACCCATCTCCGATCCCATCATTAGACAATCAGATTTCGGAGCACAGAACAACATGTCATACACACCTTGAACATGTAACGGACCGACCTGAGCAGAGGATTACGCCGCGGTACACGGCTCTCACAGGGATACGCATTGCTACAATGACTCACGCATGATCTCCCCATCGTCGCGCAAACTACAGGAGCACGGACTGCCCTCGGTAGTCCGGAACCATAATTAACGGGGCCCGGAGACTAGTTCCTCGGGTCCAGCCCTCCCGTATCCCCCGGCATCAAAGATTCCCTTCTTAAATCTTCGAAATTTGATGAAGAATAATATTGGTAGGTTCTGAGAGGTCTCCTGGACAAGTTATGGTCGACGGCGCGCGATATCCTCCCATTGCGAACGCATGTAGACCGATCACCCATCAATGCATATTGCCATTATACCCCCACGCTCGGGGCATGCGACCCCACGCACCACCCTGTGCGCAGGGTGGCGGCAGTCGAACTGTCGCAGCGCACAGGGCCCTTTGAAAGGCTCCTCGTCAGCGTCCCGCGGATGGTGCGCGCTGACAAACACGCACCGTGTTTCGCCTGATTGAGCAGATCGCACGACGCGCAATACAACGTCAGACATGGCGGTGTGCATCGCAGCGCGGCCGCGACGATCCTACAAGTCGACGGTAGTGATCCACGGAAGGGTTTCTGTGACCTGCAACCAGCTCGAGGCGCTCGGGGCTTGGGATGCGCGCCTCGGCGCGCTCGGCGTAGCACCGGTTATCCCTTTCCGGGCACGAGTCGTTGTGTGTGCAAGGCAAATGGCGTGGACTAGCTTGAAAGGCTTGGAAATCTTGCGGTCCAATTCTTGACACAGTTCCTTAATTGAATTGGCATCGTGATAGGTAGGGGCTATACGTGGCGCGATCAAGGCAAGACGCTGCTCTTCTCGAACAGTTGAGCGGAGGTTCAAGGAGATATGCCCGACTGACGTACCTTCTAGGCAGCTCGGCGCCCGCCCGTCCGCCTGCAGCGCACATGGAAGACGCCTCCTCCTCCATCCTTCTTGACAAATATCTCGATGGATATCCGGGTTTCAGCGAAAGAGTGGCGCTCCTGGAAGCATGTTCGGAGAGCGAGGGCACCACCAGCAAGGCCTGAGCGAGCAAGGCAGCAGCGCGGCGAGGTTAAAGCCGGAAATCGTATGTAACTCGGAAATGCGATGAGGAGAGGTGCGGGGCGGACTGGCGCGTGCTGGACGCGTGAGCAGAGAAGGAAGCTGCCGCATTGATCCATGATCGACGCCGTCGATCAATGATGGGTGGCGGTGCTGGCTTCATTGACAGGTGTCACGAGGCTGGCACGCGGAAGAAGTTCAACTTCGGCCTTCACAGATGGGTGCCATTGCGCCCGTCAATGACCAGGGCAATTCACTGAAGGAGTTCATGCTCCGCCGGAAGGCGTCCGGGCACATTCAACTCCGACCGTCTCTGGTCTATGAAGCCATAATGAGTAATAGAGCTCTTGCCTGGAGTCTGCCTCGAGGAGCCCTCGAGGCGCGGCGTCCAAACCCGGCCCATGCTAAAGCAGGTTCTGCCACCCGGAGGACCCCGATAATCGACGGTTCGACATGCAAGCCCACTTTGTCCGGAGCTGCCTGGCTGCAGATAGTGCTTCTAGATGAGTCACTTCGCCCCAAAATATGCTTCGCGGGACTCATGCGCTCCTCCTGGCGTTGACTTCTCGACTTCGCTGCATTCTCAGGGACTAGCTTCCTCCTCCTCCTCTCATGGCCGAAATGCCGCGCTCAACATGCCTTACTGAGTAAGTCGGTGTCATAGGATAAGGACTTAAAAGTGCCGAGTCTGCGCCATGTTGAAAAGTCTTACAGTCCCTGTACAGCGAGCCGCGAGAATGTTCCCTTGCTTTGTTGCAAGCCCATGCTTGGGGCCAAGGTGTGGCTGGCACCACGCTCATGCAAGAGGCGTGAGGTCAGGGCAGCATTAGGGGCGCCGGCCGCCTGCCAGTTGGTGACGCTGGCGCTACAACATCACCCCAAGTCGTGGCCAAACGCCGGCACGGGCCGCATAAATAACAATTCTATCTATCCAGAGGTGTATGATACCAGCCACAGGCACCAGCCTTGAGATGCAAGCAAGGTGTTACAAGCGTCCGCCAAAAATGTAGAGAACCGGTCCTGCGCTGCGTAGGGACAGTATGAATGTGAGATGAAGGTACAAATTGTATGGATATCTTGTATGTGCATAGAGTGGAAAGCATTGATAGACAGTAGGTGACAGCGCAAAGTACACGGGTATATCCGCAGGGGGACATGGAGTATTGATGGAACTTTTTGACGATCGAATTTCGCCGGCGAGAAGCGCCCTTGACGCTGAGCATACCTAAGCAGAACTTAGGCATCGTAATCTTGCGAGCTGCGAGACCCGGCGCGCTGCCTCGAAGATGCGCGAGCACCGCTGCCCGTTCCGGGGCGAGAACTGTTGGAGAGGTTAAGATGATTCGCTCTCAGCGCGTTGAGGGCACCCACCCTTCTCCTGACTGCCTCGTGGGCCGGGACCAACCCCAAATTTTCCTTATCCACTTGGCCATGTGAACCTCTTCCCGCATAACGTTCACAATCCAGGGGTGCCGCAGGAGATCGCGGGGCGTTGGACGCTCCTTCCCGTCCACTATGAGCCTAGAAGCCACCCTCAGACGTGGGTATGGAAGGTAAAAAAATAACGCACGACTGCTTGATGAAGTCCTTCATGTCGTCGCTCCAGACGATCCCATTCTCGTCCTCGAGTCTCGGCGGCTGCGGCGGTGTGAGTGAGTAACTCAAGGGACGAGCGTATAGTACGGACCTCGCTGGCAGTGATGTACATCATGAGTTCGATGGCTGGCAAGTCGGCCGGGAATGGGAAGCGGTTCATCACGAGCTCCAGTAGGGTGATACCCATAGACCAGACGTCGGATCTGATGGTGTATTCGTGGCCCGATATCCGCTCGGGCTGAACAAGATTGAGTGCCTCTTCGAACAGTCAAAGAACGATCACATACTGCCATATAGAAGCTGGTGCCAGTGAACGTGCCCGCCATAGAGTTCACAAGTTCTCCGGAAACGCCGAAGTCACACAACTTGACTACGCCTTGCTTGTTCAACAGGATATTTGATGGCTTGATGTCGCGATGAATAGTACGCTTGGAGTGCAGGTAGTTCAAGCCAGCCAGAACCTAAGAGCAGAGCAGCGTCAGTGCATCACGGGCCGTAGAAGAAAGCCGATAGACGCACCCCTTCCGCCAGTCGTCCAGCGATTTTCTCGCCCACAACCGCGTTCATCTCGCGGATCTTCTTTCCGACGCTTTCCAGACTCCCGCCCTCGCAGAACTCCATCAGTATCTTGACCTCCGACGTCGAAGGAGACATGTAGGCGCCATGGAAGACAATGATGTTGTGGTGCTGCGTAGAGGAAATGATGGATAGTTCGCGCAGTAGCTGCTTCATGGGGGCCTCGCGAGTGGTGATGGTCTTGCGCGCCATGATCTTGCCCGTGCGCGTATCGCGCACTTTGGTCACCGCGCCTCCAGTTCCCTCGCCCAATCTTGCGAGCTCCTCGAGCACGTCGTCTGACCAAGGCGGCGGCGGCGCGGCTGGCGAGCCCGTGTCGCTGGGCACGGCGACCTCCTCGGTGCGTATCGCCTCGAGCTCGTGCAGAATGCCGCGTATGTCGTCTAGCGGTGCGGACGGCTTCACGGGGGGACGCATGGTGGACGGGACGATCGTCTCGGGGTTGTCGAGCGCGCCGCTGGATTGCGGGGCGGGCGCGGGGCCATCGCGCGTGCCATAGTACGAGTTGTCGTCAGCGAGGTTATCGGTCGGAATCGCAAGCTTGATCTTGGGCTTGGGCGACTTTGAGCGGGCGCCGGGAGGGGTGGGGATGGCGAGTGAAAGGGAGGGACCGCGGGGATGGCCGTTCGCGACTGGGGATGGGGACGGCCTTGGTGCTCTACGGATCACGAGGGGCGGAGTTGAGGACGGTGCTAAAGACCCCGGGGGGCTGCGAGGGCCAAGGGGACGGGGGTGAGGGGCCTGCATCGTCGTAGGATCCAAGCCTGTGCTGGTTACTACCGTTAGATCTCCGCTGCAGCCATCCAACAGATCCGGCCCGGCAGCCTGCGGCCGCGCACGTGCACCTCAGCTCAAACGCCCACACGAGTAATCCGCGAATCCTTGGGATCTCTTCTAGTAAGTCACCACAATGTGCTGTGACCTCAGAATCGTCTTCGTACCACGCAGAAAATATCCAACCCGGTCCAGCTACTGGCCGGGTCTCAGCGAAGGGCATCCGCGGTCCCGTGTGCGTAACTATTGCGTAAGCGGGCAAGGCTACTGCGAGTCTGGACAGCTGGAATATCCGTCCGTGTACCGTCTTTGACTTCATTAGGAGAAAATGCCAATCATCGTCTTTGGAAAGCTCCCCAGATTCAATTGCCTTCAGAAAGAAGTGCCGACAATCTACCCTTGACCCCATCGTGCGCCGATATGACCATGAGGCATGTTTCTCTTCATTCCTGCGCTCATCATCTCTTCCAGCAGCGTAGCCTGAGTCATGGATCGCTTCGATGAGGCTGCTAGCAAGCATGTCCAGGACCACATGCTCTTGCAACAAGGTCTTCCCAATACGGGCGATGAGGAACGCCAAGGTCTACCCATCTCCAACGACCTCTTGCAAAAGTACGTGGCAAACCCTCCCCCAGAAGGTCTTTCGCTCATGTACTCAGAATACCCGCTGAGATCTATGCGCTCATATTCGAGTTCCGCGTGTCTATGGACGCGTTGTCCTCGTACAACTTCTTTTTCGACGACACGACGAAAGCGCCATGGGTTTTGGGCCAAGTATGCACCAGGTGGCGTAACATTGTCCACGATGCCCCTGCGCTTTGGACCATAGTGCGCGTATCTACGTGCCTTCTTCAAGAATGTCCGCAACCTGAGGAGAGTATTGTCGAAATGCTGAAGTGCTACCTTGGGCGATCAAGGGCTCTGCCCATCTCGCTCTTCCTCCTCAGTGAGGAATACTTCCCAGAACCCATCCTCAAACCTCTCCTAGACTGCTCCGATCGCTGGCGCGACGTCTTCCTATTCCTCCATCCCGACCACCTCCCGCGATTCTTACCCATACGTGATCGCCTGCACCAGCTCCGCACCATGTCCCTGATCCCGACGGTGCCCAATAACACCACAGACTACATGCGCGATATGTTTCAATCCGCGCCGAGCCTCGAGTCCCTCGCGCTCAACGGACACTCCCTCGAACTCGGGCTGTCCTTCCCATGGGCGCAGATCCGCATCTTCGAGGCCAACTACGTCGACCCTGCAGACATCCTGCGCATCATGCCCTGCATGCCCCGCATGCTACGCCTCCAGCTCGGCCGCGAGCCACCCGAGCACATGGCAGAGGATACCACCAACTGGGTCGTGCGGCACGACGGCATCCGCTCCTTCTCACTCGACAGCGTCGATGAGCACATCGAGGGCCACCCGGCCGACCTCATCGATCACCTCGACCTCCCCGCTATGTCGAGCCTGAGCATCCAGTGCGACCGGCCGGAGAATATGGAGGCGATCAGCGAGCTGCTGCAGCGCTCGGCGTGCACCATCCGAGAGCTCAAGCTTGACATCCGCTTCGACAACGCGGACCGTCTGCTGCGCCTCCTGCGCACCCAGCCGCGTCTCGCGCAGGTCCAGAAGCTTGCTCTGCACGATGGAGAGCCCATTGGCGGCCTCGGGTTCACCACCGCGCTGAGCGTGGCAAGCGACGACCCCGCGAGCGCGATCATGCCCATGATGGATGAGATGGATATCCTGCTGAGCACGGACGAGCCTGGATCGTTCGTACAACGATGGCTAGGTGTCTTCGAGTCGCGCGTGAACCCCGCTCAGCCGGCCGATCCTCAGTTGCCGCGCGTGCAGTCCCTGAAGCGCATCACCATCGGGTGCAGGTCTGGCTCTGGAGTCGTGGACGATTCCACCTGCATGAATCGCTTTAGGGCTCTTGTGCAAGCAGGCGTCCTGCTTGAGCTCAATTGCGGGGTGGGTGTTGAGGACTGAAGTTGACACCGGGATAGAGGAAAGGTAAGTACTTGTAGGCGGCACCTTTCCGAAGAAGGACTGACCGCGAATCAAGCAGAACAAGTGCATGCATAAAACCGTGGCCCGGGTCATAAGTTTGGTAAGTGCCTTAGACATAAGCTTCCGTGGGGAAGATACGACCTCAAAGGAGTTTGAGTGGATTCAAAATATCATGAGAACGTGGTCGTTGTACTTTAGTTAGGCGCCCGTCGGCGAATCATGCTGGAATTCGAGAGTTGTTGTCAAGAATTGCATCTGCATATAAGATATCCTCCAACTCTCAACGCAATTGAGTCAATGAACACACTTTATCAGCCCACGATCTGCTTTACACAGACTCAGGCAAGGGGCAAGGTCGACAATGTCGAACAGAAGTGGGCGATCAACACGAAGGTTCAACTTGACGATTGTCGCGTGATGCTCTGCTTGTATGTCAATAGCGGTCCAGTTGCATGGTTGACAGTGATGCGCGCTGTTGAACATTGTCCGAGAGGTCCGGACTAGGGTCTGCAAAGATCTCTATGACCATAGACGTTACCCCAGCGGTGCCCTTGTAGTCCGAAGCCCCTAGACTAATGACCCGACCCACAAGAAGACGAAAACGGTGGTACTGACCGCCGATTGCCTGGGGCCGGGTGCCACAAAAGGCAGACAGTACGTGAATCGCGAGAAAAGATGTTCTCAAAGATGTTTTCGGAAGACTTGCCGATCGCGGGCTCTGGAAAGGATCTTGAATATTGAAGAGCAGAGCAGAAGTAGCGCTCAAGTGTAACACTAGCCACAGAGGTCGAGGGTGCACGGCAGTGCGGCTGACAGCCCGTTGCCCGACAATGAAGGATGGAGTCGCTTTCGAAAGCCGACGACCTAGCCTGAGATGACGAGCTTCGCGGAGATCGTATTGCTGCTGGAAGAGGTATCACCGGTGCAGCACAGAGAACTCGATGTTTCACAGTCGTGACTGGTGATCGTAAGCTTGTATTGCGAAATCTTTGCATACAGCGGCGCCGACCATATCGCTCCCTCGTTAGTTGACTTGAAGACCTTGAACAGGTTTTCTGCAACGTCCCGTGTCTCGAACAGCTTCTGTAGAACATCGAGGGTTGTCAAGGTCCGGTGACGCTCTTGTCGAGACGAGTGAGGACAGAGGTCGCCGAGCTCCACGGTAAAAGTGGCCGAGTGAGCCCGCGCACTTCGTGGCGCCCAAGTCGCGCATGGGTGTTCGTTGTCGGACATTGGCAAGAGGAGTTTTCCGATGGGCATTGGGCAGCGTCCCGAGGTCGTTTCGACGAGTTTGCCGTCCACGTCGCACTGTCTCGCTCTCTCAAGATCCCTGTATTGAGAAGACACTCTTCGAAATGTACGCCTCGATTTCGCTTTCGAGGCGCAAGCGCGTTGGCATGAGCCGCCATGGTGGGCGAAGTCAAGCGCGACTTGCTTGTCGACTGTCCGGCCCGACACCCCGACCGGTGAACGCCGAATCGATCCACGTGCGCTGGTTCAATTCGGGCGCTCGCGTTCTTGCTCGCGTTCGTAGCGCCCCTCGGGCCTGCTCTCGTCTCGGCAACTCCCAGTCTGAGACAGCCTCCGGTCTTGTCTTCCAGGCATTTGAGATGACCTCGCGCGCACGGGCATCGTGCGACGCGACATGGGCTGTGCCGCGCTCGCCAGAGTCAACTTTAGGTACGGCGGTAAGTTGAGGACCTTCATGAAGGTGGAAGCTCGGCGGCTGCATGGCTAATAAGCCTGTAAGATAGTTTCTGTCATACGGAGAGAGTCCGACATCAGCTACTTGGAGATACGGATGGGCTAGGCAAAGAAAGTGTAACCTACAGGTCTATGATGGCGGCGAGGCCATTCTTCAGATTGCGTCTGTACCTCCGAAGAATGTGGATCTACGCGATACGCGAAAATTACTCAAAATGGTGCTCCTTATATAAAGGGTGGAGCATCGGGAGGTTTCCCCGATGGCATTGAATCGCGATATGTTCTTCCTGGCACCACCACCGCCGAAGGGATCATCAGCGCCCCCACAAACCCGCGGCATCCTTCAGCAGTATCGCGGGAGAAGCATCCAGTGATAGCACACCTGCCTCTTGAGACTGTGGCGGCGATGTAACCAGCGCTTTCCCCGCAAGCCTTAATCCATACATGGGATCGCTTGATGATCAAGCTACTCGCGCTGATGGTCAGAATCGGAGTTGACGCGCCTGGCGCTGCAAAGGCGGAATGCGATGCTGGTAAACAGGGTGGAGAGCAATCGCAAAGGAAGGCAAAAGATCGGGTCTTACTTGCAGTTGTGGGTAGCGCGCTGGCGTCTAGCGCAGCTGGTGCCTGTAACGAGCGCGTTATGTATCACTGCGACGATGGTCTTCGTAGTTCTGCCGAGGGCCATCATCGCGATTGCTGGTGTACCCGCTATGGCACGTTCGGCGTTCAATGTCGCTGAGTTCGGGGGGCTGATGCCGGCGGGGTGTGGGAGCAGGTGCGGGGTATCTTGCAGGAGACTGTGATTCATCTCGGGAGAACGCGAGGTGGTTGGCCTGTCCAACGTCCATCTTGGTCCAATCCTGCACACATGACTGTGCTATCGGGACCCTCATACGCCAAATACTGTCGCGGCGTAATTGGCGATCCGCAGAGATGAAGGGACGTCAGGGAGGGTTGTCATTCAGTGGGCGCACCACGCCTACGAAGACATACCTTGGCAGATAGCAGTCGCTATCGTTGATAAACAATATCGCTGAGCGCCAGTTCGAAGTCAAGGCCTCATTGAGGTTCACCATGGCTACAGACGCCGGATGTGAAACGGCAGAACCCGCGCACTAGCGTTCACCATCGGAGGACTGAATGCAGACATCCGCCGAAGTCCGATGCATTGTGGTCGTTCCAGTGCTGAAGGTGCACCGGAAGATGAAGATGAGCGAAGGGTCCGCAATGACGACGTCGACCCCGATATCGGACGAGCCGGGCCAGTTGAGCCAAGGGCGCGTCAAAGGGGAGAGTCGAACCTATGGCGGCGGATGCCGGCCCGAGCAGTCACAGGGCGCGCAAACAGCCGCTCCCCTCGCCCGGCGCGATCGACCTTGCCATTGACTGCCATGCCCGCACCCAGTCCGCGCATCTCGTTCGCGCCGCCGACCCCGAACAACCTCGGCACGGTCCGGAAGCTCAACTCTGTTCTCTTCCCGATAAAATACAGCGAGAAGTTCTACGAGAGCATACAGAGGCCAGAACTCGAAGATTTCTGCAAGCTTGGTGCGTGGCGCGCGCTAAGCGCCCAATACACGATCACTGACCCGCCCGATCACAGTATACTACAATGATGTCCCAGTCGGCACGATATGCTGCAGGATAGAGCCAGAGGGGAACGAAGCGAAGTTGTATATCATGACGATGGGCATTCTTGCGGTGCGTGATGCACGCGTCTTTGCTTGTGCCCCGCTGAATATATTACCCACCCCAGCCTTACCGCTCACGAGAAGTCGGCTCGAAAGCCTTGCGATCAATCCTCGATGCCGCGAAAGCGCACACAAAGCCCAAGATTACCAAAGTCTACCTGCACGTACAAGTGAACAACGAGGGCGCGAAACGGTTCTACGAGAAACACGGGTTCAAGGAGACTGAGCTACAAAAAGACTACTACAAGAAAATCGAGCCACACGATGCCTGGGTCCTTACACTAGAAGTATCCTGAGGGCGCGGCTGAGAGGATATATACATACATAGGTGCGTGAGGGGATAGTGAAGGGGACATGCATAATGGTGCGAGAGGAGGACTAGGTGCGGAATAAGTTATTGTTCTGCCGATCCAGATGTGCAGCTGATCCTCGATTAGGTGGCCGATGTACTGTTACTCATCATGCGGGCGTGTATATTCGTTACGCGCGACGTACTTGGCCGGCGGTCGGGGGCCTGCATGATTGATTAATGTAAGATCAGGATGTCATAGCTGCGCGGAACGCGCCCGCCTCGCTCGTATCAGCGTACCTCAAAGTCTCGAGTTGTCAAGCTCCGCTATAGGCGCCGGACGCACCAGCCTTTCGTTTAGGCTTCATCGATTTTACCGCAGCCCTTGACGAGCTAACGGGGACGACGTCAGCGAGCGGCATAGCAGCAGAGGAGGGCCGCGCACCTGATGCCGCTTCAGCGCGTCCTTGCGCGTGAAGGTCTTCCCGCAACCTCCGTTGCAGAGGTAGGGCTTCTCCCCGGTATGCGTCTCCCGGTGTCGCTTGAGGTCGTGCTGCCGATTGAAGGCGAGCTGGCAGATGTCGCACGCGTACGGACGCGCCTGCGATGCACCGAAGGGGGAGGACTCGCGCGCGTCGGGGTGCCCATACTCGTCCGCGTAGTCGAGCGCATAGTCGTCGTGCGGCGCCGCCATCCCAGAGGATGAGTGGAAGCCGGAGCGGTGGTGGTGCATGGGGGGTTGGATGTAGGCCATTCCCTCCCCTGTCGGGGAGCGCCCATAGACTGCGGGATCGTAGGTGGGTCGACGCATGGGGATCGGGACTCCGCCGGCGCGCTGAGGGTTTGTGGACGGCGCGTATGCATCGACCGATTGTGACGCGTACGCCGAGGTGGAGGCGTAGCCTCCTGACGATGCTGATGCGGAGTATCCTGGGTATCGTGCGCAGGGCTGGCTGACCGCCATGGCACCCATGCTGGCGGTCACGGAGTCGACGACGGGGTAGGCTGCTCGGGGCGCGGACTGCTGCACGGGTGATGGGGACGCTCCGTACGGGTTTGTTCCCGCGTAATATGGATCGGTGGCGTACATTTGGCTCCCGTGGGCGTCATACGCGGGCATGGACTGCTGTGGTTGCTGGTATGCGGTGGATGGGTAGTTGGCGGGGGGCGAGGAGTACGGCGCGTCGGTCCACTGGGCAGCGTACTGGTCAGTGCGCGTATACTGGCGACGGGAGGACATGAGGGGGCGGTGGGGGGAGGGCGAAGGAGGAGAGACTTTAGAGATCGCTGTTTCATTAATAAAGGCATTAGCGCTCGCCTGCCCCGTCACGAGGCAGTGGCCAAAGAACAGACAGCCAGAGGGATATCTATTGGGAGATGCCCGGTACGCATAATCAGACCGTGCCTGATATTTCGAACGAGCGCGAACCGGTTGGCTTCGCTGACAGTTTTGATGCTGAAATTGCAATTCCCTTGCGTAGTGTTCGGATTCACCAGTTTGGCATAGTCTGCAGACCTCCGCAGCCAGGATAGCATCCCAAGACGCGCCCGACAAGGCTAACAAGCCGATCTCCCCGATATATTTCAAGGGAACAGATCATGTACCGAACGACGACGCTACGATCGTGCTGTAAGCGTTCTTTTATGCGTTTCCGTCGAAAAGTATGTAAGTAGGAAGCCCGTAGGAGACCCTGAACTGGTCAATAGCCTCAGAAGAGGGAGGGTGTCAGCTGACCTGGAAGTTGAACTCCATACAGACCTGAGGATTGCAGGGGCCGATGATTACCTGCCTATGATAACACATTCATGTTGTCATTCAGTAGGGATCGCGGTTTTGAACCCGGTCAGGCGAGAGTCAGAAGACGGGGAATACCTATGAGCGGGGCCGCTGCACAGAAGAGCGGGTCGCCCGCGCTGGGCCCGGAAGTTGCCAGCAACGCGCCTCGAGGTAGGGCCTGTACTGCGTTGGACGCGCGACTACGTACGCACAAGCGCCGGTGGCCCGCTGCAACCGGGCACGACGGCGACCCGACGGCGCCGTCGGACGTGAGCAGTGAAGAGTCGGGCTCAGAGCGCTGTGATGAGCGGATGAGAGATGGAAGAGCTCGATGGACCTTATTTTCCTCCTAAAAGTCGGGAAGAAGGATATTTGTACGTGAATATACGATGGTCACTTTGGAAGTTTCGCTTCAGTCGATGCACCTCGCCGTCCTTCGGGCGCACTTGTTAGCGAGACGAGGGGGTTAGCCTTGGTATCAATTTGTTGGCATGTTCCCTTACTTGTGGCGAGTAGCCGGCAGCTTTCGAGTTATCTGCGATGTGCGAGAAAAGTACTCAGTGCATGTACAGGAAGACTAGGAGGCTCATGTCAGAGCATGGCGATCGACCAAGGATGCGCTATGCGAGCCGCCGCTTTGCTATCGTGCCAGGAAAGTGGTGTGAATGCGTGCATAGCCTCGTCGCCATCACATGTGCCCAAGACCACCTGGATCAGCCTTTGTGGAGGATGGTAGTCAGGAGGGTGGGAGAGCGGTGGTTGTAGGTCCGGACCAGGAAAGGCAATTATTGAGTCTCGTGACGTCATCACGCTCTTTCCGAACTTCCACCTTGATTTGGAATTTGGGTTTGATCATCAGGCGGTTCGCTCGAGCACCTGAACTTGGGGGAACCCCGAATCGATTTCATCGGCCTGCCGCCGCCCAGGTGTCCTTGCGCCCACAGACATGCCGGCCAAGCGCTCTCGCGATGCCCCCGAGTCCCCAAACAAGCGGCAGAAGGGGAAACAGGCGCGCATCGACACCTTCTTCTCCTCCCCCCGCACGCCCGCGCACGCCCCCTCGCCCCCGACGGCCACGCACGAGGTCATAGAAATCGACAGCTCCGATGACGCGAAGGAACCCAAAGCAGGGCCTTCCAAGGCGCCTTCTCACGCTTCCCCGCCTACTCCTTTCGTTCGGACCTTCTCGCTCAAGAATAACCACGCCCCGCCTTCATATCCATCGCTGACTACGGATTCGCTCTCCTTCGATGTCGCCCAGGTATCGGCGCAGTGGACCGCCGGCAGCCCCGTGCCCTATTCCTTTCTCGCCCATACGCTCAAATCGGTCTCCGAGACCAAGTCCCGCATTGCCATCACAGATGCACTCACCAATTGTCTTCGCGTTGTCGTTCAGCACCACCCGGCCTCCCTTCTCCCGGCCGTCTATCTTCTGTCGAATACCGTTGCGCCATCCTATGAGTCGGTAGAGCTCGGGCTTGGAACCTCCATCTCCAAAAGTATTCAGCAGATTTCCGGTCTCTCGTCAGCTGCTCTTCGAGATTTGTACAATCAGCTAGGCGACGTGGGCGACGTCGCCTTCGCGGCGAAGTCCAAAGTGCGGACACTCATCCCACACCCACCGCTCCTTGTACCCGGAGTTTACAAGTCGTTATTGTCTATCGCCCACTGCAAAGGCCAGGGCGCCGTCAAGGAAAAACAGAAAATCGTTGAAAAACTACTCATCGCGTCCAAAGGCGAAGAGACTCGATTTTTGGCCCGTACCCTGACTCAGAACCTGCGCGTCGGCGCAGTACGGACGACCCTTCTCATCGCTCTGTCTCGCGCCTTCGTGCTAACTCCTCGGCCGGACGGGCGACCATCGGGACTGCATGCTTCAGAGAAATTACTAGACTCTGTCCGCGCCTTGGGTTCACCACCCAAAAGCCCACAGAAGAAGAAGCGCGCTGACTCGGACGACGATGCGCGCGAACGGATGAAGGCCCTTTTCTCGCAAGCGGAGAGCCTAGTCAAACAAGTTTATGTCCGCCATCCCTGCTATGAGGACATCATCGAAGCTTTGGTTACGGAAGGACTCGACGGGCTGGATCAGCATGTCTCCCTTGCTGTAGGTGCGTCGAACGGCTGACCTCGCATAGTGCGTGAATTTCTAACAATCGTCTATAGGTATACCCCTCATGCCGACTTTGGGGTCGCCGATGAGGTCCCTTGACGAGGTCTATGACATCTTGCAAGACCACCCCTTTGCCGCGGAGCTCAAGTATGATGGTCAGCGCGCGCAGATACACGGTCGAAGAGATGATGAGGGAAATACTAGTGTCCGCATCTTTTCCCGCCATCTCGAGGACATGACGACGAAGGTTCGTCCTGCATCATCTTCGCTTCTCGGGGCTGACATCTCTCCTCTCAGTATCCAGATGTCGTCCACATGATCCAGATTATGTGCGGTAGAACTACAGGTCCTACATCCTTCATCATAGACTCTGAGATCGTCGCGCTCGACCCCGAGACCGGGGCGTTGAAGACCTTCCAAGAGCTCTCCAACAGGGCACGTAAAGATGTCCAGCTGGCGGACGTGCGCGTGGCCGTTGGCGTCTTCGCATTCGACTTGATGTTCCTCGACGGGCAGGTGCGCAGAGGCTTAACCGGATCGACCGTTCATTTTAGCTGACGCCCGGTTCGCACGGGCTGCGTAGGAGCTCATAGGCCTGCCGTTCAGAGAGCGACGCGACAAACTGTACTCGCGATTCCCGGCCTTTGTTCCCGAGGAGAAGGCCATCGCGCGATTCTCGCACGTTGATTGCTGCGATAGTCAGCTCGGGCGAGATGCTATTGAGGGCTTCATGGTGAAAGCGACGGAGAGCCGATGCGAGGGGCTGATGATCAAGGTCGGAGAACTCATTTCGGCGCCAAGCTGCGAGAGAGCTTATTTTCCTGCCGTAGCTTCTCGACAGCTGCGAGTTGGAGGAGCGGGACGCAAAGAAGGCGAAGACGCGGCGCAAGCCGTTCCCAGCCACGTACGAGCCGGATAAACGCACCGCGGCGTGGTTGAAGCTGAAGAAGGACTACATCACGGGCTTAGGCGATTCCTTCGACCTTGTTCCGGTGGGAGCGTGGCACGGGAACGGGCGCAAGGCCAAGTGGTGGTCGCCCATCCTACTCGCCTTGAAATCGGAGGACGGCGAGCTTGTGGCCGTCTGCAAGTGCATGTCCGGTACGTTACCCCTCGCGCCCTTCGATGATTTCGCACACACGAGGTTGACGGGTCCATAATGCGCGCGCAGGCTTTACGGATGTGTTCTACAAGGTTTGGCCGCTTTCCCTCTTCTTCGGGCCGCTTATAGCCAACGCGCTCCCCAGGCATTGAATGACCGCTACCCGTTGACCGAACAATCAGAGACATGCTCAAAGCAGCCGCTCTGGGGCGGTGATTTCGGTGGTTCGTAGGCACCTGCTCACCCACGGTGCTATGGCAGTTAACTCGCTCTCTGCTCACAGGCTTCAGGCCCGAGGTCTACTTCAAGCCGCACGAAGTATGGGAGGTTCGCGCTGCTGAGTGAGTCTCTTGGATCCGCTCGCAAGCTTTCGGTCGTTTGACTGACTGATGACCCACAGCATAACCGTCTCTCCTGTCTCTGTAGCAGCCAAGGGCCTCGTCTCTGACTCGCGGGGCTTGAGCTTGCGTTTCCCGCGTTATATCAAGACGCGGGAAGACAAAGGCATCGAAGAGGCGACAACTGCCAGTCAGGTGGCGCGCATGTACCAGCAGCAACAGGCGCGCGGGATAGACGGTGGAGGCAACGACGAGGGAGATCTGCTGGATGTTGATGTTGATGAGGACATTGAGGAGCATTCGGATTCAGCCGGCGAAGATGATTCGACGTGAATCTGGGATCTGGTTCCTTCGCACGTGTACAGATTAGATCAGATCTTGCTGTTATCAGTCGATAAGATAACGCAGCTTGTTTCGAACGACCATCGTCTCACGCCGCACGCAGCTTAGCGGAGACGCCCTTCTCAACGCGGCCGTAATCATAAGGACATTGAAGGGCAGCATGGTTTTCTCACTGAGTCTTCTCTACTTTGTCCTTGCTCTCTTCGCCTGCCTCGTACAGGGTGATGAGACTTTGCAAGAAGCTGGTTCGTTTCGCATCGAACGCAGGCCTCTGGCAAGTCCTGATGCGTCCATCTCAGCGCGTATAGCGCGTACACTCGTAGCAAACAATAACATTGGCACTATGGGTACCATTTACCCAGCAAGCCATGCCCTCGCAGGCAAGTGCATGCGGATCACCCAGTTCGCGCCCCCTCAGAACTCAATGTGGCCAACACTGCCCTCCAGGTCAGCCGCTCGCGCTCCAGGAGTTCCACGCCAGGTGCGCTCTGTCAATGCTTCTAGCACCCCTCCCCATCTCCATCGCCACGTCTCCCCCTCCCCATCGCCCGCGCCCAATGGAGGATTGACGAATGAAACCATCGATAAGCTGCTTGCGCAACGGCTCCCTGACCCTCATAACCTTCCCCATCTCGCAACACACCATCAACATCCGTGATTCGGCGACGCATTCTGCGAGCGTGGGCGTGTTTGCGAATCCTCCTGGGGCAAACAGGCCGCGGATGTCGCTCATTGGGAATGTGACGATTTTCGAGCGCGCGGAGGATATGCCTGAGAGGGAGGAGATTCGCGACTGCTACCTGCGCAACCACCCAGAGGCAAGGTGGTGGGTGCCGGGTGAGGGAGGTTTGACGGTGAGCTCTTGTTCGCCAAGTTCATTGCGAAACCCTCTGCTGATGTCCTTCAGTCACATTGGGCTCGGTTTGATCCAGAGGTACGCAAAGAGCCGGTGTCAGAGTTCGCAAGCAAGGACTGAGTTTGACGAACAGGCTGTCTACTTCGTAGGAGGTTTCGGCGGGTGAGCGCGTGCTGTTCCCATCTTTCACAACTTATTCATCGCGCACCCTACTAGGGCCCACTACATCGGCTATATCCCGCTCGACGTTTACCAACAGGCAGAGCCAGCATCAGCCCAATCACTTCTCGTCCAGGAGTGAGACAGGAAGGGTTTACGTCTGCATACACTCGTCGAGGTCATTTGCAAGATAATGTAGGATGGACAATACAATCGGAAGCTATGAATCCAGACGCAACAGATAGGATAGGCCTTCGCGATAGGGCCGTCCCGTCTCACCGCGTCCGAAGGCCGCGTCTACAGCCTTCCGGACGCTGCCATCGGCTGTTGCCAGCGCCCAAGGGGTGTCTCCATCCCCCGTCGTTGATCCTGGTCCCTGTAAATAGGCATACGAGCTGAGCAGCTCGAACTTGACGCGACAGTACGCGTCTAAGTCTGACAGTATCTGCTTATCGTACGTCGTTCGCTCGACCAACTGTAGCAATTCCGAAAGCTCGGGCAGGGGAAGGGGCTCAGCGCGCGGTATCGTCGACTCGCCCTCGGGCTTCGGTGGTTCTGCGTTGGCGGCAGCAGCTCTGGAGACGTTGGACGTGCGCGGGCGGGCCCGTGCTTGCGGCTTTGGACGCGGCCCCCTGTTCGCCTGCCTCGAGCCAGCGAGCAGGTTGCGGCAGAGGGCGACCTTGAAGCGCGCCACACTCGTCGTCGCTGGGAGGCCAGCGAAGAGCCGCGAGAAGAGTGTCGCCGGCTTTGCGGCAAGTCGAGATACCACGGCGCTCGTGAAGATGCCCCCGTCTATCTGGCCGGCCGCCGCCAGGTTCGCCAGCTAGAAAGCAAAGCAAGCGGGTCAGCTCGCCTGTGACGGTGGTACGCATAAAGGGGTGCAGGCACGTACGAGCGTCATCAAGCGCAGACCCACGCGAACCCGCCGGTCCTCTGCCTGGTCCAAGCAATAGAATACAATGTTGAGTGGCGCATCTGTCTCCCAGCGAGTCATCCCATTTGCTTTCGGCGGGGGAATCTGCGTCAGGAGGAGGGGGGCGAAGGGCGCTAGGGATGAAGGGGATGATCATCAGGGGTGTGTCTATAGCGCGCGAAATGAAGGGCGGCGTACGGGAACCGGTGTGCTGGGCCGCTCCTTGATCGCGTTCCAGGAGGTCGACGAGCCATTCGAGCACGTCCCAAGACTCCCGGCCGACGAACTTGGGGCTTTCGTCCGGGTCATGGTGCCCGAGTTCATCAGCCTCCACGACATATCGCGTGCTTGCGCGGCGACCCTTGCCCTTCTTGGGTGATGCGAACGCAGAGAGCCGGCGATTGGTAAAGTCCTCGACGAGGAAGGACCAGCAATCTTTGCATTCCAGGATTGATAGAGCTGCTTTGCCAATCATGCTATAGATATCGTCTTCGTCAAGAGCAGACATGGAAGTAGAAGTATGGTATCCCGGGAGAGCATCGAAGAGTTGTTCAGGTGTATTGGTGACGCTGAATGAAGATAGCAGGCGTCGCGCACGGTATATAGCTTCTGCAGGGGGTAGTGCCGGCGCTTTGATCCGCCTTGCGGTCTTGGTAGGTGACGCGGATGAGAGTTGTTCGGTTTGTTTCTTGTCCACAGGAATAAGAGACATATAAACCAGCTGCCGAATCTGCGCTCTGCAAGTATGGTCAGCTAAAGAAGTATACAGACATCCATTCAAGTCTCACGGTGGCGGCCTATAGTTGGGAGAACGCAGCTGGTCCAGCAAGTCGAGCGCGCCGTCATACTGTTCTTCTTCAAGATTGGACTCTATCATGGTAACCAGATGGTGTGGCATATCCGCAACATCAGAGGTTTGGGATGAAGACATGGTCAGAGCTGGCATGAGTCGACTAGCGGTGATGGTACAAGCTCTGTGGCGCGCTGATCAGTGTTGGAAAAACGCGGGCTTGTCACAATCACATGACTGTGACTCAGCGTGTCTCCGGCTCGGCGTTGGCCGAAGACAGGGTCATGAATTGTGACGTCCATTGGTTTCTTGGAGATTCTGCTCAGGGTGATGGATGCTATGATTGACAGCTCTCTGTGCTTGTATGTGAGGATGGAGAGAGTTCGACATGAATAGTGGACGGCCTCATACGGAACTTTGCAATTGTTTGTCCATGTGGGCACCTGCCTAAAGAGGCAATTCTTATTGATCCGTCTGTTTGTTGAGCAAAGTGAAACTTGTACCGAAACGATCACCTTCGCTTGAACGGCTGCACTCTCGGCGGGTCGCTTCATATGCTCGTCCCCATTGCACGCCTTCGCGCATCGCTGATCTCTACTAGTTTTCGTACGATGTCCTCTGCGTCGCAGTCGTCCTCGGGGCCCATAGAAACCGCCATCCGCCAGAAAGTAAATGATGTGCCTCGGAACGCGCTCGGAGCTGACAAGCAATGCTCATCTTCCAGCTGACGGGGCTGCTCCAGCCACAGACCCTGTCAATTACGAATGACTCCTGGAAGCACAAGCATCACGCCCCCATGCGGGCTGCAGGCGGGGGAAACGGCGAGACTCGTAAGTTTCTGGTACTTTGCCTGCAAGGCGGCGCAGGCTTGTGCGGCTCGCTAACGTATACCTCACCTCCGTCGCACAGACTTCTCCATCCAGGTTGTGTCCGATGCGTTCCGAGGAAAGGTGTGGGTTTCCCCATCGCAGCTTCACCGTTACCTCATTCTACTTGTCTAGACGACCATCCAGCGCCACCGCATGATTCACTCTGCCTTGTCCGAGGAGCTGGCCCAAGGTTTGCACTCCATATCTCTGAACACGAAGACAGCAGAAGAGGCAGAGAAGGCGGCAGCGCAATAGCGTGTTGGTCGGCGTACGCTGCCAGCGCGCAGCGTTTCAGCCTGGCCCGATGAAAGCGGGCATGCCTCTGCGATCTGCGCATCCGTGACTTAGCGCTCAGTACGCCCATTGTCGGAGCGTCTTATACTGTCGCTGTACTCCCACCCCAATGAAACGGCCGGGCCGCTGAACCGGATGATCATGTTTGACCTCGGACAAAGGCTGGAGAGAAGGTGCGCCTCCCATATGCGAATTACATCCCGCCGCGCGAAGCGCTTGCTTCACCGCCGTCGCACGTATGATGCGCGAACCTGTTGTTTGTTGCCACAGTGCAGCCGGTCGTCGTGCTCTTTGCGGATCCGTATGGTTTTGGAACAACTCATAGAGCGCCCTGCGAACATCAACGGGCCTGAAGCGGCGACTGATGTTGCAGACGACTGATGAAAGCCTGATGCTCACTGATGCTGAGAGCGCTGAATGCAGATGATCATCCACAGGATATTCACACTGCGACGCTGTCGTAGCTGTCGCCCCGCATGCCTGCGACTCCGCCGACGTGGGCGTTGTCCTGAAAAGGGGAGACCTTTATGGCGGTGCTATTCATTCGCTAACCCCATTCCCAATATCAAACCTCGTCGTTGCCACCTGCTGTACTGCGGCTCTTCCCGAGACGCGTATATATATAAGCACTGTGTCGCATCCTGCTTCCCTTTCATCACCCGCCTTGCAGAGCCGTATATATGAGGCATGCTCGCGCCTCCCCATCCACCTCATCCTCCGCCCAACATGTCTGGCTCACCGTCGAACTACGCTGACTTTCAGAACGACCGCCCTACGCTGCCGCCCATTCGTGACTTATTTCGAGGTGGGCTTCTGGCATAGTGGCGCGTAGTCAAGCGCTGACTCGGCTCAGAAGAGCTCTCTCGTCCTTCCGTACCCCTTGAACCGCCATCCAGCATCCTCGCCCGCTTGAGCGTCGCGGACGACGACCACGACGTCCGCCGCCGAGGTAGTAGTAGCGTGCATGGCATCTACTCCCCGCCTCTCCAGCAGCGGTCCTTGTCTGGACCTAAGGTACGCCTCTTGCAAATGCATGTCACTCCAATGATACTCATCGCAGCCTTTCCAGCCTCCTCTCCGACCCTCTGACGCGGCAGCGAGCCCCACCTACACGTCGTCGCTATTGCCGCCGACAGCAAGCAGCTCGCGATATGTCCCCTCACGTTCCATGTCCTTTTCCGCTCCGTCCTCGTCCAGGTTGAGCGACGCGCCCGCAGGCCTTCGCCAGAATCTACCCCATCGTAACTCGATCTCCACCTCCACCTACGCGATGGATAATCGCGGGGAGGAGCGCACCCCTATCGCGCGCTATGGACCGCCAAGTGCGCGCTTCGTGGTACCCGGTGTCCGCGAGGGGGCCCCATGGGCCGGGACCATAACGACATCCGTAGACAGAAGCCGCCACGCGGAGGATGATGAGCAGACGCCCGTCGCTCGCACGCTCGGCACGTCTTCACCCCCAACGGCGTTCAGCCACGTCCCGCTACAAGCCCCGCCAAGCGTCAGCGGCGCCAAGTACGAGTGCACGTACTGTGGGAAGGGCTTCAACCGTCCGAGCAGCCTGAAGGTGAGATCCCCTCGTCTTACTTCACACCAGGGCTCACCCCACCGCAGATCCATCTCAACAGCCACACCGGAGAAAAACGTTGGTCCTGATTTCCGCCCCGCCACGCATGATACTGATACTACCGTAGCTTTTGTGTGTCCCGTCGAGGGCTGCGGGCGCAGCTTCAGCGTCTTGAGCAACATGCGCCGGCACGCCCGCGTCCACAGCAGTGGCGACTCCTCCGTCAAGGCGGCAGACTCGAGCGACGAAGGGGGCGAGCGCGGGGCGTCCCCCATGCAGGCCAGCAGCTCCGCCTCTTCACGCGGCTCGGTCGATTTCTCAACATGGCGACAACAGCGCCGTCGTGATAGTATCGCGTCGGCTACGTCTACGACGAGCTCGCGACGTAGTAGAAGCGCGTCAATAGCGTCAGATGACGAAGAAGCCGCACGGCCTGGCAAGCGGCGCAAGTAGAGACGGGGAAGGACGTGGGGGTGCGCGCGCCGCCTTCGAGCTCGTCTTCTCCCGCGCCATGCACGAGCCCTAGGGCTGGACACCTTGCCTTCGCATTCTGATTACTGGGGTTCTGCCGTCTAGCTATTTATCCCGGTATTTATTCGCCATGCACCTGTACCACCGCTCCTTGTAACGTCCTACATTGGCACCATTATTCCTGTATCACGCCTATTCGCTCTCTGGTTGGTATTTATTCTGCATCACTCCTATCTATCGTGCACTCCATCGCATTGTTATTGTAGATACTCTCGCAAAGTTTTGTATTCGTGGACCGCTAGGCGAGAGAGGTACAGCAGGACTTCCTACCAGAGCACAATTCGGGTAGGTCTCAATTTGTTTTCGAGTCGGGGACTTCAAAGAGCGGTCAGTAGCAGTCAGTACAGGAGTACAACATCAATGATCTTCCTACACCCCGACTCAATAGATACGCTGTCGTGACGGTCGTCAAGGGTATACATGTCCTGAACCAAGCAACTGGAGCAGTATAAGGAGTAAATGAAGCAGATGGGATGGGTGATAGAAAGCTGTGTCCAGAGATCGTACATGCCATATACGTGTAGATAGAGAAGGTGAAACCTGATCACATAGATATCGCACGACCGCGACCGACGTTGCTTGGTTGTCTGTATGGCGAGCGGCCTCTTGTGAAGTCGTCTTCGGGCATATAGGTTTCCTCGAGAGGCTCTGCGCCATATGAGTCGGGCTCGGGGTTGAAAGCCCTGTCAGCCCGAACGTAGGTGACGGCGCGCGGGCTCTTGTGCGTGAAGCCTGCGAAAGCGAGCTTCTTGCGCACGGAAAGAATCTCCGCGCCGTGGACCTTGTCCAAGAGCATGGGATCCTTAGTGGCGTCGGCTGGGGCACCGTTGGCGGGGGCAAGGGGCTGCAACAACGCAGTGAGCACCTTCATCAGGAGAGTAGAGATCGCGTACCTCAGGTGGAATGTCTGGGTCGAAGTGTCGGGTGTCCTCCGGGTTGCGAAGCTCTGGCCGGTAGGGAGCAGGGTACCTGTGTATATTGTACCAATCGATGCCGCGGAACCAAGGGTGAGCCTGCGACGTCGAGGTCAGGATGATAGCAGTCTCATGTCGCGTCTACACGCACCTTGATGATGTCTGCACCGTCAGGTCCTGAGTGCGTAGCAGGCGCGGCGAAACCGCTCCGACGGGCTTGCACGATCATCGAGTCCGGGCGCGAGACTGAAGCAGAGGCCTGCGATCCTAGCCGATCCTCTGGTTCACAAAGCAAGGCTTGCATGAGCTGAATTCCCTCTTTCGATACGGCGGGTTTGCTTGGGAAGCGCAGGGTTTGTTTCCAGTTAAGAATCTTCTTCCGCGTGATATGCCGCTACATGAGAACGCATTCGTGAGCCTTCGGTCCGCTATAGGAAAACAAAAAGGGGCTCACCGAGTTGCTGACGAACGGGGGAAAGCTATATAGGGAGAAATGTATAAAACCACCGAGTTTAGCAACAGAAAATCCGACGACAGCGAACACGCACCCATAGAGACACTCAAACATGATAACCCCCAGGCTCCACCAATCACACGAGTACGTATACCCCAAGCCGCGAATAACCTCGGGAGACACTTGACAAGCCGGTCATTGCGCTGGCCATATAGTCGGCGCGCGGGGAAGCACTCACTGTACGAGTTCGTGCCGCACCTATGAACGTGCGAAGCATCAGCGGAACGGTCGCAGAGCGAAAAGGCGCACACATACACGGAGTATGCCAACTGCCGTCGGGGCAGACGTATGAAATCAGGCCAATATGGCGCGGAGGCACCCGAGAACACCATTAGCAAGGCGCCCAGAGGTGCGGGAGGCGTCGAGATTTAGTAAAGATTGGCATGGTCGGTGGAAGTAGGCGGGGAAGGCGAGAAAAATGGTAAGCGATGTATCGGAGAAGGATCAGGTGGAACGAACCTTGCGACGATTTTTCTCCCTCCAGGTAAATACACCACCCTGGCCGTCGCCACCCATGATCTGCTCGACATCGCGTCGCTTCATTCGATGCGTCTTCGTGCCGTCGGCGATCCCGTTACTGTCTTCCAGGTCGATCCCATGCTTATGTAGCAAATGAAGCCGTTGCTGCTCGTAATCTGTATTCGAGAAAAATAACAACTGATCAGCTCCAGTTCATCTTGCGCCAGAATCTTTCCCGCGAAGCCCTTCGGGCAGCGTTAAGCGCGCAATTGGGGTGAGATGAAGGGGAGGGCTCGCACGGACACGAGCATGACGACGGAGAAGAGCCTATGAGCCCCATACACTGCCAAAAATGCACAACATGAGATGAAGGCCCCCACTCACACGAAGTGTCATGGGCCCAGTGCAGATCCGTCCTATGGCAACGTCAGTACGGGCTGGCCAGCGCGAGGCCTCGTACGCACGCCAGGCCAAAGTCACTTAATTTGATGTGACCGTTCGGATCGAACAGGAAGTTCTGGGTGGCATAGTGAGCTCCGAACAGTGCGAGTGGTCGCAAAAAAATACTCACGTCGGGCTTGATGTCTCGGTGTATGAAGCCGTGCTTATGGCACGACTCAATAGCCAGAATCATCTGTTCGTGGGCGCGCAATAAGTCACCGTACAAAATTCGCATAGTTAACCGCTGAGAAATTCGAAGCGCACCTCAGCGATGTAGAACCGTGTGAAGTCTTCCTCGAAGACGTCGCGTTCGATAAGCAGGTTCAGAAGATCGCCGCCGCCCATGTATTCGAGCACCTGGGAGACAAAAAGATGTTAATCGACGTTGGTAAAGCACGTATCGATATGAAATCAGAAAACGGAGAACTCAAAGCTCGGTCCATCCCGCAAGGTCTAATCCCAGAGAGCCCCCAGTTCTTAGCGAGAAGCGAAGCGCTCAGAGCGCCGCATAGCATAAGCACCATAACGTCCGCTGAGGCGGTAATGACGGACGCGTACCCGGGCCTGTGCGACCTACGCGAGCGCCACCAGATCCCAGCACAGCCATCGAAGAAGCAGATACGCACCAGATACAGGTTATCCCTATCTTGGAAGCTGTAGTGCAGATGTACGATCCACTCCGCGCCTCCGGGCGACGACACAAGCGACGCCGACCGCAGGATATCGCGCTCAGCGCGTACGTGTCCCTCCTGCCCTTTACGTAACATATCCGTCTTGCGGAGCTGTAGAACAGGTCAGCCTCAAATGCCACCGACAAAGTTCTCAGAGATGCGGCAGTCAAAGAAGGAAGTGATGTGGGTGGAGAAGGGTGACGCGAAGCAGGGTGAACACGCTGCAAGGAATTGGCGTTGCGTCGGTGTCATACGCAGTATACCGTACACCGAGGGGAGGGCGCAAACCGACAAGGCGTGTAGGGTGCAGAAGATGCTCACCTGTTTCATGGCGTAGAGGTTCCCCGTCGCGCGCTCTTTGACCAACGACACAACCCCAAAGGCGCCTTGGCGCGTAGTCAGTACTTGCACAGGACGGCTCAATCAAGGGACCCACCGTGTCCAATGGTCTTGAGCTTCACGAAGGCAGTCACGTCCACCTTCCGGCGCTTGTCCCGCAGGTAGTCCGTTTCGTTCTGTCGCCACCGTGCCCGCAAATCCTCTTTCTGGGCAGGCGATAGGCCCATCTCATTCATATCGCGTTCCATAGCCAGCCGCCGCTGCTCGCGCGAAGGCGGTTGCCGGAGGAGCGGGAAGTACAAGTTCTCGAAGTAGATGCGGCAGGCTACGGCCTTCTCCAGCGTCGCAAGGGAGGGTGTAATCACACGTGGAGGCGGTGGCACGTTCTGTACTGCGTCCGCGGCCGGGGCCTGTTCGACGGGTTCGACAGGATGCTGAAGAACTTCACGTGTAACTTCGACGGGTGCAGGCAGGGCACGCGGCGTTGCCTCGTTGCCTCGCGCGTAGTCCTGTAAAGCTTGTGCGTGCGCTGCCAGAGGGTCGTGCTCAGCATGCTCCTGCTCTTCAGGATGTACCTGAAGAGGAGGTCCGTTGAGACCGGCGCCCCATCGGATGGTAGAGTTTCCTGGACGGCCGGTACCAGGTAGGCCGTCTACGCGACCGGTGACTGATACATTCTCATGCGCGGCGGTGGTGAGGATGGACGAGGCGGCTGTTGTCTGGCTGATTCCGTTAACGACGCGGAGCTGTCCTGGAATAGCTCCATAATCGTTTGTTGGAAGGGTGACGGACGGCTTGAGCGCATTCACAACTTCATTGATTGCGCGCGCCTGGTTTGTCTGTCGTACGCGATTCTTAATGGGGTTTGCCCATCGGGGGTCTGGAGGGAGTGTTGGAAAGGAAGGAGGAACTCCTGGTGCGGCGACGTACCAGCGAGCTTTCCCTGACCGTCAGGACCCCAGCGCCTGAGCAAAGCTTCGTACTGGTCGGCGTCAGAGGCGTGTACCAGATGCCTACAGCGGGTGTTGAGCATGCACAAACTTTGTTTGCTTGGAACACGTAACATACACGAAACCAGTAGGATTGGAAACCATGTCCTTGCTAATTCTGCGCCCTTTGCGAGGAGTCGCTGGGCTGGGTGGAGGCGAGTAGGCGGGCGATCGTGGGGCGGGTGCTGGTGGCGGCATGGGTGGCTTCCCAGGCCTAATCGTCTCATAGCGGGGACCTGCGACCAGTCGATCAGAGGGAGGAGCTGGAGGAGGGGAGCCTCCGGTCGCGCCAAGAAGGAAGCGGGACGGCGACGGGGTGGGAATCATCGCAAGCAAATCGTAGAAGCCTTTGTGGAGGAGGGTCCCTCCAGGCAATGTCGTCTTGAACTGGCTGGGGCCTCCGAACGTTTCCTGATCATAGTGATGCTGGGGGAAGAACGTCGATGGATACGGATACGGGCCAGGGCTGTAGTATGGACTGGCTGCCATGAGATCAGGCGGGCTTGGAGGTATGGGAAGAGGCCTGCGCGCAGCCATCTTAGTTGCAATGTTGCTCGACGACGGGCTGGACGACGCCAAGCCAAGCGCGACGACGCGGACGACGACGACGACGATGGCAAGGCACTTGACGATTGCCGCCCGGATTTGATCAGCGTATGTTGTCACCGTTCGCACGCGGTTATCAGTTTGTGGCGTTATGCGCTGCTTGTCTCCCGGACCCGTCCAGCGCGTGTCCGATGCATGTTGGTATGCTGGTATGCTGGAAGCTGGGATGTAGGCGCCTATGCTTCGACTCTTCTCCGCGGACTTTGAAAGATGCAGCTCTTGGCTGCGCGTCTCCGGGCGCAGGTCGCTCGGCCGCCTGGTATGCTCTCTTTTTGGCCATACAGGGGGCGCAGAGGCCAGAAGGCGTCCCCAGCGCTTCAAAAAGTGCTGGTGAGACTCACGTATACGCAAAAGGCAGAGCTCTTCCTGTTTTGACCCAGGGGGTAGGTGGACCGGCTCTTCTCTGCCGTCGCACGGCCAAGCAGGATCCTGCCCGGCCTCGACATGAGGTCGCCCACGAGGCGGCGAGTTGGCAGCCTGTGGCCCTGCCCGGGATCGCATCTGCGGCAACCGGCTGAAAAAGGTAGCCTGTTGGCGCAGGAGTGGAGAATTCGACAACCGTATTGTCCGTGTCCGGATATCGGGATCATATGCCGTGTCTTTGTGTTTCTTTTTGGGCAGTCTGATTCCATTTTTGTTGGTTTTGACCCGTTCGGCGATCCTGGGAGACAATAGCCATACGGTTTAAAAGTCTGCGAAATGGCCAACGCTCTCCTTTTCGCCTATACGAACCGCCGAAACGCCTCGTGCAGCCGTTGCCAGTCGAGACGGCCACGACCCGCGCACCCCACGCCCCCACGCCCGGACACGCACGTCGCTTACGAGTCGAGATCTGTATCGACTAAAGCTGTCGCTCCTCTTGCCTGAATCTCGATTCACCGATCGCAGCGCACGACAACAGCAGCAACCCACCCTCTGCCCAACGACGCGGCCTCGCGTCGTCTCGCAGTCGTCGGCATTGCCTCTGACGCAGGACGCCTGCCTCGTGCTGCACAGCGTTCCTGACTCCAACCCTCACCATACGCGTGTCCTCCAGTACTTATAGGCCGCCCAGTGCGCGCTCTCCCTCTCTCTACACTTCTCGTTTTTCGTTCTCCAACCACTACATCACCTATTCATTAATTATGTCGGGCCATCACAGAAGCAGCGACCGCTACTATTCGCAACGTGCCACGCCGAGCTTGGAGCACCAGCAGGGTTACCAGTACCAGCATCAACCCCATGGTTCCGTACAAGGTAAGCGCCCCGTTCTGCTTCCGACGCGATGGCCATGTTGATCCAAACTGTGTCACGCTCTAGGTTCGTGAGATGAATGCCGGAAGCGCCCAATTTAACTGTACCTTCTTCTTGCAGCATCCAGCTCGTACCAATCGGCGGGTTACCAACCGGCCGGGCACCGCGGCTACCCAAGTACTTATAGCCAGTGGCCTGCGAATGATGCTCGTAGGACCTCCCATCCTTTCCTCCCTCGCACCCGTGCTCACACACGCCTGCAGAAATGTCGTCGACTACGTATTCCAACCTCTACGACTACCCGTACTCGGCGTCGGACCGCGTGTCCTCGCCGTACGGCACGACCACGACCACCAGTGACCGCCGCCTCCCCCCTCTCGACGTATCCGGCGGCGATCGATGGTCGACGATGGGGTACGGCGGTGGTTCGACCACGTCGGGCCTCGAGACGTCCATGAGGTCAAATCCTACGTCGTACACGAGCTCCAGCTACGGCGGCACGTACCACGGCCACCACTCGTCCACCGCCAGCGCCGCTAGCGGCAACTACGCATATGCGCACGGAGTCCCCGACTCCACGTCGTACACGAGCAATGCGTCCATCCCGCGCCCTAGCTCCGCCGCCGTCCGGGTGTCCGCTGCCTCCAGCCACCACGCGCCCATGAGCTACTCTCCGCCGCCCCCCATTTCGCCCGCCTCCGAGGCGGACCAGAGCGGTACCGTCAAGAAGAAGCGCAAGCGCGCCGACGCCAACCAGCTGCGCGTGCTCAACGACGTCTACATGCGCACGGCCTTCCCGTCGACGGAGGAGCGCCACCAGCTCGCCAAGCAACTCGACATGTCGCCGCGTAGTGTGCAGATCTGGTGCGTGCTACCTGTCCCTTACCTTACCCTGACACTGACGCGTCCTCTGCAGGTTCCAGAACAAGCGGCAGGCGATGCGCTCGACTAATCGCCAGACGCCAGCGCACCTAATGCCGGACCCTGCGCCTGCGCCGCCCCAGTCAACCGCGGGCGGTGTCACTCGCACGACTTCGACGCGCCGTGGTCGGTCCGCGTACTAAGATGATGGCCCTTCATTCCCCTCCCCGCTCAGTCCGTCCGTTCTCTATTATTTTTCTTATGCCGTTCGTGCTCATGTCGCCGCATCAGTTCTTGGTCGTTCAGCGACCACACGTATTTAATATCTTACTCCGGTGATTAATATCCTTAGCTACCTTACGTACCTCGCATGGACTTACAAGAGACTGGAAACCTCCGCCGGGTCGCCGTGCCCCGCCGCCGCATTTGTACCATTCTCATATGCCTCAAACAGACTATCAGCCCACTAGCTACTATGTATACATATACCTAGGCCCAACATATATGGCTTTCCTGTACTTACAGCTTTTCTTACTGTACCGTCCTAATATGACCCTCAGCTCGCTGAGCGAGCGTTGGTCAAAATTCTGCCCGATCTGCCTAACCCGGCCGCCAGGACCAGCCAAGGACCAGCGGCTGATGTCGCCACGATCTTCCGACCGACTGGGGCGCAGTAAAGGCCTACACACGTCAACCACTCTCCATTCCATACGAGCCCCGTCGGGCATCCGGGGTGAACTCACGAGACGTCGTGCCCTGCGGGCCTGGTTTAGCTGACCACGCTCGCGCATATCCTGATCGATAATCAGAGCTGGGCCGTTAGCTGGCCGCCTGACGTGCAAAGAGAAGGTTTATCATCATCGCTATCCATCGCTCGACTGCCATGCGCAATCTCATCAACCCAATCTCAGCCGGCCTCTAGACACAGAAGGCATGCGGGAGGCCTCCTGCATCGCACTTCAGCCGCATGAGCCGCCAATGAGCCGCCGGATGTCACGCGTCATACCTTCGAAGCCTTCGCCGATCCCGCCAGCAAATTGCCATCTGGTCGATACAGAGATTCTTCCATTCATCTCCGTGTGCATAGATGAAGATCTGCGGAGATAAATGTCATGAAATCGAGGCGCGCGGTGCCCCTTCATGTGCTGACAGGCCCAGATCTGCAAAATCAGGCAGGTATCCCTCCGCATGTATTGTATGGGCGAGCGGAGGCAGACGGAGGCAACGGCGGAGGCTAAAAGCCCTTCGATGTTCACGACCGCGGATTACGAGGGTGGCACGGTGCCGGCGCGCAGCAGCATGGGAGGAGAGCGACGTGTTGACATACACTGATACAACGTCGTGCGGTAAGGTCCGGGTGCAATCGCCGGAGTGTAGTGGTAGACGATGGCCCGGGTATGGTCTGGTCAGCGGTTGTGAATAGAGACGAGGAGCACACACGTACAACAGAGCGGAACAGATGCAGACGGATATGGATAGGACATCGTTCGCGCTACAGTCAGTCAGTCCTCAAGGGAAAGCGCCGACAGCGCGACTAACATGAGGTCCAGTCATGTTGACGTCGCGAGCCTTATTACGCGTAGGTGTTGATGGCGGAGTCTGTACGCACCATAGGCCCTTCAAGGTTCATGTGCTGCATATGGCCATACCAGGGAGGTCCGTGTATATCGACCTCGACCGGACCTACGCTTTCGGGATGTGTTTCGCCAGCAGGCTCTGGTGCCTCTTGCGCGAGGCGAGGCAAGCACCTCGATATCACGCGTTGACCTGCTGGATCTGTACGTTGGGCTACGCGATTGAATGGACCCTGGTCGCCTGTTCACGACATAGAGCCTAGTATATTAGACAACGCAATGACACGCCGGGGTCTTCTGCCATTCAGGCTCGCTATCGTCACAGTCCCGTTTACTAAAGAGCGCAATGCACTGTTGAGCAAATTGTTATTCTCGCGATAAAGTTCTAGGAGCGCTCGAGGTATAACGTACCAGGACCCGCTGAAGCACGCGTATATGGCACAGGTACACGCGTATCGCGCGGTACAGAGGCTTGACTGTAGTGCGTGTTGCGCCGCCACCGCAGAGCTGCACATCGATGCGATTCAGTCGGCTGAAGGAGTTGCGCGTCGGAGCTACGCTCAGCACCGTCAAGCACGCTCGAGGACCGGAATAGCTATCCAGAGTTCTGGCAGACTGAGGGCCCAACATCAAGACTCGGTTGCGTCTTAGCGGCGTCAGCGGTCGGACAAAGCCCGCACCAGCCAGTACGTGACGAGGGCTTCTGAGTTCTCGGGAGTCGGCCCCTCCAGCTAGAGTGCAGTAGGCCAGGAAGATGTGCAATCCTTGGCGAGCTCTTTACCTCTTCATGAGATCATGAAGAAGCGCCACCAGGATCTACTCAGTTAGACAGGCTCATGAGGGTGGGAAACAAGGTCGATGTTGAACTTCGCAGAATTCCCATTTGGAAGCATCACGTGGTGGATTTGGACCCGGCGTTTGCCGTTGCTGGCGAGCTTTGTTCGAATCCCGATCTCTAAGTTCAGCTCGACCACGGTGCTCGACATGGGCATAAGCGTGCATGAACTGCAGTCAAACATAGAAAGGCCAATGTAAACATTAAGTTAGATACATAAGGAAGACCAGAAACGAGACGCAGAACCTATAGTATACCCTCTAATCACTATCCGTATCCTCGGGCTTCGGCCCACCATGTGTAAGCCAGGCCAACTTCCGCAACCTTCGCCGCTCCTCCTGCGCCTTCTGCTGGTTTCTGGTCATCTTTTTCTTCTTCTTGGGCACGCCGCTGGGGCTCGCTTTGCCGTCTTCAGCTCCACTACCAGCAGGCGTTGCCGCAGCAGACCCAGCCGGGGTCTGCAGACGCGAGCGGGCGGGCGTGTTGGCGCCGCTGCCCTTCGGTGACTTGGTCTCCAAGAAAGCGTCGTCAACCGTCGCGCCCTTGCCCTTGTGCGTCATGCGACCGCCGTCGACGTACCATGTCTCCGGGCCTACAATGAGTCAGTCCAAGTTCTACTGAAGGGGACGGAAAGTACGCACAAAGAGCAGAGACAAACTCGTGGTTATGCGAGATGATAACCACAGCGCCAGCCCAGTCGCGAATGGCGACAGCAAGACCGCCAAGGGCCTCACGGTCCAAGAAGTTACTCGGTTCGTCAAGAATGCAGACCTGCGGGTTATTCCACAGGCAAGCCGCGATGACAAGCTTGATCTTCTGACCACCAGACAGACCCGCGATCTCGTTGTACTGCGCGATATCGCCGTCGAGGCCGACCTGCTCGAGGTGCTGGCGGACGAGATGCGCGGACGTGTCGCGGGTACCGGCACCCTCGCGGGAGGACTCCATATCGTCGAACTGTTGCACGAACTTCTGGTAGCCCTTCTCCATAAGCGTGTCGCGCGGGACCCAGGTGTTGAAGCGATGATCGAGTCCCTTCCACTTGACCTCGTACTGGAAGGTCTTCTTGAGCTTTTGACGACCCATGATCATCTACGAAGGCATCAGCTAACAGCGAAGGCACCGTCAGCAAAAGCAACAAACCTCAAGCTTCCGGCGAGAGCCATCCCGCCCAACCCATTCCTGGTCAAGCAGCGCCTTCTCCTCGTCCGTCAAGACGCGGGTAGCCTTCTCCAACAATTCGCGATCGTGACCATCCTGGAAGCGCCACTGGATGTACTGCACAGGCGTCTTCTCCAAGTGCCGCTCTGCGGGGCGAAGCAGACATTAGACCCCATAAGACCCAAATAGCCCAGACCCGCGTACCGATATGGTGCGTGGCGTGCTGCGCCACATACCCCACACGCAGCGCCGGGTGCTTATACACCGTGCCTTCCTGAGGCACCGTCTCGCCGGTCAGGAGCTTGATGAGGGTGGACTTGCCTGTACGCGACTGTCAGCGAGCGTTGCGACCAGTATAGCCTCCATACTTACCCGCTCCGTTGGGCCCGATGACGCCGACGCGGCTTGACAGCGACAGCGCGCAACTGACATTGAACAAGCTGGGCGTTGAGCGGCCCGGGTAGGTGAATGTGCAGTTCGTCATCTTCAGGATCGCGCGGGTGTTACTGCGCACGCCCATGAGAGACCCAGGTGGGGGGAAGGCGAATTTGACGGAAGTGGCGGCAAGGGTGTAGTACGACTTCGCTTCAGGATGCTCGGAGACGAACTTGGACAGGTTGCCCTTGTAGTAGACGAGCTAAAGACAAGGTGAGTAAGGACTACGTCCGGAAGAATGCAAGGACGGACAAACCTTCTTGGACTCGTAGTGGATAATGTCAGTAGTGACATTGTCGAGGAACCCAGAGTCGTGACTGATGATCAAGCAGGTAACATTGTTGTGAGCAATAAGATACTGTTCCAACCACTTGACGGAGGCTTGATCCAACTGTGCAGGTCGTCAGTACGTGATCGAAGCGACAAATTTTATCAGGGACTTACATGGTTAGTAGGCTCGTCAAGAAGCAGCAGGTCAGCGTTGTAGAGCATGGCACGAGCGAGTTCGAGCTTCATCTTCCAACCACCAGACAAGCCGGCTACCATATCCGCCTGGCGCGCATCGTCAAAGCCGACCTCGAGCAACTGCTGCCTGATCTTCTCGCGGGGCACGTCAGCAAGCTGCTTGTCCGACGCCACGAAGTCCAGAATGGACAACGACGTGTCCTCTCCCTGCAACGCGTGCTCGACCATCACGCAGCGGAGCTGGTCCTGCGGCGGGAAGTTCTCGACCTTGCCGTCGCGCAGTTGGCGCATGAGCGTCGACTTGCCGGACCCGTTGGTACCGAGGATACCATAGCGACGCCCGCGGAAGAGGCGCAGCTTCGTGTGCGAGAGCAGGAGCAAAGCACCATACGCCAACGAGAACTGAGTATCGCACAACAGCTCGCCCTCCTCGTCGTCCTCCACCGCAGCGGGGGCGTACTTCGCCTGGTCAATCGCATGGAAGTGCTGCCTGACGCTCTCAGCGTACTGCTTGCCGCCCTTGACGTCCAGCCAGGCGGAAATGTAGACGCCGACGCAGCGCTGCCAGTTCTCGGTTTCCGAGAAGATGCGGTTGTAGACGAGATCGGCGACGAGTTCGGCCTGGAACTCGAGGGACCGGGTGAGCAGCGGGTGGCGAGGGGTATGGGGCCCGTTGGGCGACTGGGCCGAGGCGATGACCAGCTCGGAAGGGAGCAGGTTGACGAGGGCAGCGAACACCTCGCGCGTCTCGGCCTCTAGATCGCGACGAACGGGTGGGGGGCCGGACGACGACGCGCCAGACTTGATGAGGGTTTGAAGGGCAGCTTCACCGAAGGCGCGAACCTGCAATAAGAAATGAGATCGTGATTTAGATGTAAGACGGGGAAACGTACCTCAGGGAAAGCCGCGCCCTTGGCGATCTTCTCAACACCCTCGACGAGAGGGCTCAAGTAGATTGCGGCCACGTTCGGGTCGCGAACGAGCTTGACGAGGTTGTCGATAACGACCACGGTACGGCGCTGGACCTCCATGCTCCTGTCGTTGAGTGCGCGCAGGAGTAGAGGGACGAGAACAGCAAGAGCCGGAGCCGTGACTTCCGCGACGAATGTCGTGTTGGAGAGGGACTTGATAACCGCGGGCACCGAGTCGGGGTTGGCCATACATTTGACCAGAGCAGGAATATGCGGTGCGAGATCGTCGTTCGCGAGAGTAGTGCAGAGGGCGTTCGCGCACTTGTTGGCGGCAGTAGAGACCTAGTAGAGAGGTGTCAGCACCCGTGTACGCCGGAACATGCGTACTACACACCTCAGACTTCGTGTCGTGCATTGCTGCCTCAACCTTGGGGATCGTGTCGCCAAGGATATTCGCGACAAAGGTCCTGGTATTGGGGCCGACCCATGTCCTCATCGTATCCAGGACGCCTGCATTCTTCGATCAGCGCGAACATTCATCAAGAGAAAGGACCTTACTGACCAACTTTCGTGCGCCATTTTCCTGAATCGAGGATGGGTTCTAGGGTGCGGAATAGTATGCGCGTGGCCTCGGGGGGGACAAGCTTGACGATCGCCTTGACAGCGGTAGTCGCAGCAGTACGGACGACATCGCCCTTATCCATGTAAAGATCATACTGCACGACGTGTTAGTAAAGAGAAGAGGACGTGTAGAACGCTATGTGCGCACCAGAGCAGGTAGGCAAGGTAGCAGAAGGGGTATCGCAGGAGCGCCGAGGACATGAGCCAATGATTGGAAAGCGATTGCGCCCGACTCGCGCTCATAGCCAGATTTCTTGTTGGTGGCGAATCCGAGGAGGGTTTTCAGGACTTGTTGGTCCCTGGTGAGGACGTGAGTTGACGCCCATCAAAGATTATCAAGGTACATACTCCAGGCTCTCTATTCCATGAGTCTGTACTTCCTTCGCTAGTTTATCTGAAGCAGCCTTGGCATCTGCAGCATGGATTAGTCTCTGAACATCGTGCGATTAAGGTAGAGAGCTCACCAGGCTGTGTAGGTGCAGTCTTAAGGGCTTCCAGGTGTGCGGCGAACGGAGAATCGGACATGGCGGTCGTTGCTACAGGAGACATCTATGGGGAAATGATACAGTGCCGAAGTAATGCGGACGAGATGCAGGATACACAGAGAGAGCGAGATAGATTACGAGAATCCCTTAAGTGGTCTATGTCGTCGCCGGCGAGGAGCGGGAGGACTTTTTGGTGCGCGGTCGACGTGTGCCGCGATGGGCAGAAGCAAGCTGCAACACCGGCGCCTAAAATTGCGATCGGTGTTGGGTGATCGGATTTGATTGCCGGGCACGCGGGGCAACAATTCGCGCCCACGTGCGTCCACCGCCCGTCGTCGTCGACGAACGAGGTTGATCTGCGCGTCCATCCAGGAAATCGTCCAAACCCTTCCCTCTTCCTTCTCGTATCCAATGATCTCTGCTCCGACAAATGCGTTTGCAAGACGCTTTCATGCAGGTCCCGATGCAACAGATACGCGGCGCGACATCGATAGTAGCGTCAATTGTTCGCTCCGACGGCGATGTCAATAGCAACCTTCATGTCCGCCTCGTCTAGCCGTGTTCCATCCTATAGCAACGGTATAGGTCCATCAGATGTTCGATTCTCCCAAGGCATGGCCGGAGACTCATGTTCGCCTCGTCGCCGCTCCGCCGATGCTCGGATGTGCCAGAACAGCCCCAACAATAGGTATCGTGTGCTGCCGAATATTCGCGCAGCCCTATACTCTCATGTCCCTGAAGCTTTTGAATGGACAAGCGAGCTGCTATCCCTACAGAAGTACAGGATCGCTCGCAAGATGAAAGGACTTCACTTCCTTGGACAGCCAACGATTGCAGGTCCCTGACGACCGGCGCCCTCAAACGGTGTACCGCCCCATCCTTACGCCTACCTCAAGGCCTATTATCTGTACCAAGACGATCAGTGACGACAATGGGAACCCCAGTGCGGCAAGTCATCTGCGTAGGGCGGCCCGTGCACGCCTCGAGGTCACCTCATGGCCGCATGGCCGCTCATGAACCTATATAAACGCCGACCTCTTCTTCGCCGCTCTTCATCTCGTACAGCTCACGCCGTCCGCTCACCTCTATCCGTACTCTGAACACACGCACTTCTAATATGGCCATCTCGTTCGACCTCCCGCCCATCCGCATCGCGCTCTACACGCTGGTGGTGAGTGCTGGTACTTGACATCATAGCGAAATCCCCTCAGGCTCACTTGGCATCTAGACCCTTTTCTCTATCGTCGTCTTCGGTCTCTCCATTGCTCGCATTGTCTACACGAAGGGCCTGTCGCCCTGGGACCCCTTGAACCATGGACAACCGTACTATGGTGCGCCGCCTATCGAGTGCGTCATCGCCACGGCGCTAACGTTCCCTCCCAACCACAGACCCCATCGTCGCCGAGCTGATAGTGTCAACAATTCTCACTGTACCCTGGTCCATCTTCGTGTGCGTCGCTTTCCCTCTTCGCCGAAGTCACCGTCTAATAGAGACCCTTCCACAGCATGCACACCATTCACAAGCGCGTCGAGCGTCGCCGTGTTAGCACCTTCCGCTCAGAGCTGATTGGCCTCTTCATCATCTGGGTCTTCTGGCTGTGCGGTGCTGCCATTGCTACTGTGCGTCCTTCCCTCTTATCTTCTCCCATACTTCCTCTCTTCTCCCCCCCTCCCATTCCATCTTATCCCCCCTCGTGCACCAGCCACCTGCTTTACCTAGCACCACCTATCACGACCTTCTTGCGCTAACACCGCCTCCAGGTCACCGAAAACCGCGGCACGCCCGGCCGCTGGGGCGACCTCTCCTTCTGCTGGGAGTACAAGCAGTGCCGGATCCTCACCACGCTCCTCGCCTTCGCCTGGTCGACGTGGGCCATCCTCACCTTCCTCCTCGTCATCAGCCTCATCTTCGTCACCGCGAACCGCGCGCTGCTCGAACCGATGCACGGGCGGTGGGACCCGCGCGCGAGCCACTATGGCGCGACGCAGCCGGCGCCGATGATGGGGTATGCTTGAGGTGCTGAGAGATGCTGATGTGGCGACGCACGCGAATGACCAAGCATACGCCACGCCACCGAGACTACGACTAGAACGACTCGCCCGGAACGTACGACTTCACGTGGACGTACGTCTGGCACGGACATCCATCTACAATAGGGCTTGTATCCCATCAATGTCTTGCAAACGGGACACGCCTCTACGAAAATCACGACTGGAACGACGGTTATCCCTCTTTTCTATGTATATTGATACTGTACCTACTGTGCCGTTGGGATTCGGAACGATTTATGTATGTTTGTAAGTAACTAGTGATTGTTGGAACGTCGATAGATTGGATGGGTCGTAGCTTGGTGTGCATCCGGGTCTGATTGAAGGCAAGGGAAGTACTAGTGGCGCGCGCTTGTCAAGTTGAGCATCCCTTTCGGTGGCTATATAGAGCTAACACTGGCTCTAGTCGCGAGCCTTAGCCCTAGCCATGAGCCCTAACTAGCCTCGCACCAGGTACACCCATCATATGCATAACCAAAGCTAATCGGATACAAATACAATGTGGTATTCACATTGACTCCTTCATCTTCGTCGCGTCTTCATCAAGAAGTACAACCCTACGCCGGCGTCGTCACCGCCTCCTTCGCCCGCACCCAGATCCCCCCACCCGCGTATATCGTCAGGTGCTTCTTCGGGAAGAACTTCTCCCTTGCCTTACGGGGAACACTACCATCCGCCCCCCTCGCGTGGGCCCACCCGGGCGTGGGACGCATATCGGGCGGGGTAGCCTCGGGCACGAGCTCGAAGTCGGAGAAGTGCTGGAGGAGCTTGACCATCATGTACGACATCTCGTTGTAGGCGAACTGGGGCAAGAAGAGGTGAGTTTGGTGAGTGAGGGAGATTCGATGGGCGTGGACTAGTGATGGGAGGACGGAGGAAAGAACTCGCGCACCTGCTGCCCAAGGCAAATTCGAGGCCCCGCGTTGAAGGGAAGGAAAGCGAAGGTGTGGCCCAGGTACTGATGCACCCGCTCGTCGAGCCAGCGGTCGGGGTCGAATTCCTCAGCTGGTGGAAGTGGGAGTGAGCTACCTCCTCTCAATGTGAAGGAGACACGACACGCACCATCAGAGCCCCAGAGGTCTTTGCGACGATGCATCATGAAGACAGAGTACGGGGTCCTGCGAGCCCAGGGTCAGGTCAAGTACAAAGCCGCTACAAGGTCACTCACTCCGTGCCCGCTGGAATGTAGATGGGCGGCAAATTGGGATCCGGCGAAGGCCAGATCGTCTCCTTGATAGACTCCCTGCGTCCAAGTGAGCGATGTGGATACGCCTGTGGCGACAATTAGAAAATAGAAAACATACCGCGTATTGAAGGGCACAATAGGATAGAGCCGGAGCGTCTCGTTGATGACCGCGCGCATGAACTTCATCTCGCGGATGTCCTCGTATGTCGGCGTGCGGTGAGGGCCGACGACGGTGAGGACCTCTTCGCGGAGGCGGGAAAGGGCCGTTGGATACCTACAAGTGATCAGTGGGTTTGCAAGGATGTAGTAAAGGTTTGAAGACGTACTGCGTGAGGAAGTATAGGATGAAAGACAAGGTGCCTGCGGTCGTGTCGCGGCCGGCTTCACAGGATATCAGTGGCCAGCACTTGAATCAGATTTCAGGTCAGTCACCAATCATGATGTTCAGCGTCTCGTCCTTCAAGACGGTAGGATCTGTGGAACAGCATGAGTGGTGCCCGACCAGCGCTTGACAACGCTTACTCACCGGAGGTCATCTTCACGAGATGGCTCAGAAGCGTGTCGTCGTCTTCGACGTCTTTGCTCTCCTCCATTGCCACCTGCTGCGTCTTGACGTCCGCACTAGGAGCGCGGGCCTTCTTGCGCTCCTCTTCGCGCTGAATGGCCGCATGGACGATAGGTTCGATGTACGAGTTGACCTGCGGATGAACAGTAAACCTCCTTACACGCAAGAAAGAACGCGAATGTGATCGCACTCACAATCTTCATGGGCTTCGTGGTGTTATCCTGCCATATCTCGCCTAGAGGCCACAACTTGCCTACAAATTCGCGCCTTGCGACAGCGAAGAGACAATTCTGAAAGGCTTCAGCGAAGGCATTGGCGGCGGCTGCCTCGGGATGCTTCGCCGCATCGAAGGTCGGTGGCGGATTCTCCTGTAGCACGCTCTTCGTCAGCCACGGTCGGGCGCTCAGATAGCCCTCGAGCGCTTAAATAACCCTCGAGCGCTCAAATAACCCTCGGGCGCTCAAATCGCACATGAGAACCCAAGGACGCACCACGTAGTACGGATACGCCAGCCCACCCGACAGACTATGCACGTTCATCCCGAAGAGGAACTCGGTGGCGGAGTCCATCGTGAACTTCGAGAACAAGTCCTGAGCTAGGTGTCAGTCTTGGCGAGTATTAGCGTGACGCTGGGTTTGAAAAGCGCACGGCGAAGTCGACCGGGTGGCCCTCCCGGAGGCGCTGCTTGACGAGGGCGATGGCTTCTTCGGCGTGTCTGTCGAAGAGCGCGAAGTGGCTGATGCGGTCACGGGTGAAGAAGGGGCGCGTCATGGAGCGGTGGAATCTAGGGATGTGTGATAGGTGGCGTCAGAAAGCCAGTTCCTTGAGAAGCATGACCGGAGGACTGACTTCCACATGTCGCCATCCGAGTTGAAGACGCCTGTACCGAGGACGGAGCGCATGTTAAACCTGAATCTCGGACCCTGAGCGTAGTTGAGATGCGCTGTTCTAGTTCACCATCGAAAGTTACCAACCTTCTCATAATTTGCGAAGTCGGTGGCGAGAATGAGCTTGATATGTTCCGGACATATCGTGAAGTACTGCCGTTGCCACAGGACATTCACGTTGAACGTAGGCCCATACTGATCGACAAGTTCATTGAGTCCATCCCCTAAGACATTTACATGAGGATCCTTGATGGGATTTCTGACGCCCACAAACCTGGATAGCCCTCGCGAATGAGAACCAAGTTGCGCTGCAGGAAATCCAAGTTTCCAGGAAGTTTGGTGCGGACTTCGGGCATAGGCCGTGCCCCCAAAGCTGCTGCACGTCGTCTGATGCGGATGCCATAGACGACGTTCGAAGCAATTGCTAGCGTAGGCGATGACAAGACTGCGGCCAGAATCAACTGCCACTTGGCCAGATGCAAGTGCAGGGAGGATGCGAGCAGACGTAGGATGGCACCAGCGAGTCCTGCGCGACAAGAAGCAAAGAAAGCATTGCGCGCGATGAAGTCAATTCCCGGTGTGATGACTGCCATGGTGAGTGTGGTGGTCAAGAACCACTGACCGACTCGTTGCGAGGTTTATAGGGTGGAGCGCCGGAACCCATGGTCACGCTTATCAGCCGAACATTAGTCGCATCCGTGCGACCGCGCAAGACAGCGCATTGCAGCTGACCTGCCCCGCACAGCCTTCTGTATAGGCCGTTGAGCAGGCACCTGAGCGGCTGCGAGCGAATCAACATGAGGAAGTTCGCAATGAAATGACAGTGCACGCGCGTGGCATCCCGAATTCCGGACCGACAGCCGCCGCTGTCGCGACAAGTCACCTCACGTGCACAGCGTCACAACCTTCCCCTCCTCAGACATTGGGCGTTCTCGTCGCTTATCCCCCCTCCATTATAGCTGGACCAGCCCTTAAACATGTCCTCGGAGCATCCGGTGAAGGGGGAACATGAGCCGACTGTACCTAGCCCGATGGAGGGCGTGGAAACAACGCAGCCCGGCGATCGAACTGCCGAAGTCGACTCTAAGCCCGGCGTAGCTGCGGTACCCATGGATGATGTTAAGCCAATGGCACCTGTGTCAACAGAAGAAGACTCAAGCGATGATGAAGAAGAACCTCCAGTCAGCAATCCATCAGCCGACATATGCGTGAGTACGCGTCAATTACCCCGCGTCGCGTCCGTCTCACGTTCCCTCAGGGTGACCTGGAGAAAGCCTTAGGTCGCAACTTAACGGAGACGTTCAAGGGCTCCTTCTCATTTAGCAAGACATATTCTGATTCGCCTAATCCCGGTCTCAACCTGCTGGCCAATAACATTGGCAGGATCGGTCTACCGCTCAACGAACGCGAAGCAAAAGTCATCATCTCCGGATGCAAGCAGGCCCCCTTCGGCAAGGGGGAGAGGACTGTCGTCGATACTCAAGTGCGGGATACCTGGGAGATGGACGCCAGCGAAGTGAGTGACATACTTCCCGATCGCGCGCGTCTCACCGGTTACCTTCTCTATTAGGTTCAGTTCATCAATCCCGAATGGAAGACGTACATGCATAAAGTGCTGACGGAGGTCTGTGCTGCGCTCGGTGTGAATATGGCCGTCAGTCAGCCCCGTACCGAGTTGTACAAACTTTTGCTATATGAAACAGGCTCTCAGTGAGTAAATATCTGCATGTTCGGTGTCAGGTTCGCTAACTTGTACTTCCCAGCTTCCTACCGCACGTTGAGTATGTGCTCCGCATATCTCTCGCCTGTCCGGTACTCACCTACAAACTTGCAGTACGGAGAAGGTGGACACCATGTTCGCTACCATCATTGTCGTCCTCCCCTCGCCATTCACCGGCGGCGCGGCCCACCTCTCCCATGGGTCCTTATCCGAAGTCTACGACTGCGCCCCCACCAGCGACATGAAGACCACAGTCCTCTCCTGGTACACCGACGTCACCCACTCCATCAAACCCATTACATCTGGCCACCGCCTCGCGCTCGCCTACAACGTCTACCACACAACCAACACGCTCCGCCCCTCCCTCCCGGACACGCACTCGGCCGTGGAAGCCCTCCGACACGTCCTGCTGTCGTGGAAGCAGACGACCAACCCGGACGCGCCGCGCAAGATCATCTACCTGCTCGACCACAAGTACTCGCAGGCGAACATGAAGGGCAGCGCGTTGAAGGGCGTAGACGCGCACAAGCTAGCCATTCTCCAGCTGTTGGCGAAGCAGCACGACTTCCGCCTCGGCCTCGCTAGCCTCGAAACCTCGCTTTCAGGCTATGCGGACGATAACGGGTGCAGCTACGGTCGAGGCCGCTACGGTCGCTATGGGTACTACGATGAGGACGACGAGGACGACGATGAGGATGTGGATTTTGCAGAGGTCGAGGAGACGGAGACGAAGATCACGAACTTGGTCGATGTGGGTGCTTATGGGTGTAGCGTCATAGTCTTCTTGCTCATGATTTACAGCTTGAGGGCCGCATGCTACAAGACGAGCTAGAGTTTGATGCGGAGGGCGACGAGTGCATCCCGGGAGATCTCTCAGAAGCGGTTCAGCAAGGAGACCATGACGGTCAAGATTACGAAGGTTACATGGGGAATGTCAGCACTATCCTTGAAATCTCATCTTTCGCGATAACTAACTTTGCTCTCAGGGCGCCGGATCTCTCTCGCGATGTAGGGCGGCCTGTATAATCGGCACACATCCCTCTGACGCTTCCCAGGGTACCGCCGCACCGTGCTCGTCATCTGGCCAAAGAAATTCGGCCTCGGCATGACCTTCGAAGACGACGTCGAGGACGCGATCGACACGCTCGTCAACGTCTCTGAAAAGCCGCACAAGCGCGAGCGCAAGCTCGTCAACTTCCTCCTGGGCTTCGCCAGGGCGCGCGAAGGCGACAACAGCGACATCGCGCAGAACCTTACGCATGTCGCGTTTATGTGGTCCGACCGCAAGTTGTTCGTGCAAGCTATGGAGGCGTGCGGTATAACGGGTGTCGAGACCTTATCAATCGATGATGTTATCAATGTGTTGGGGGAGTTTGGGATGGAGACGGTGCAGCCAATGTACGTGCATGTTGTCGCTTATTTTGACCGTGAATTTCTCGTTGAACTCGCAGTCTGGAGAAAATGATGCTTGCCGAGAAGCTCAACGCTCACCGCTTCCAATTCCTCGACGACCTGGAGACTGCCTGCTCAAGACTCGAGGGACCGGCAGAGGGTCAACTAGTCAACTGGCTGGCGGTCCAGCGCAAGTGGGCCCTGGAGCACTTGCAACCACCGCGAGTGGAAGACAAGCAGGAGTTGCTCGACATTGCTTACAAGCATGGTGGACTGCCGCTGTTGCGCGATACGTACGTTTGCTTCAACTTCGCCGAAGGTGGATATGAGCGCTGATGCTCACGTAGCTTCGTACCGCAGCTCAAGAACATGCCGATCCCCGGCTGTCTGGCAACTTTCGCGGTCCTCTTGTACACGCAGAAGATCACGCCAGACACACCAGACGAGGAGAAGACAGCTCTGAAGCAAATTGTCACGGACTTACTCGCTGCCGCCATCTCGAAAGCCAACTTTTTCGCCGCGACAAAGGCAGTGGCGGCCCCGCCGCGTCCCTCATACATGTACGGCCTACCGGCGGCAGCGCCGACGAAGGTGGCAGACCCACAAACAGCGGTCACGTATATCGACTACTGCCTGGCTACTGGAAACGAGCCGTTGGTCGAAACTATCGTCGAGCGCCTAATCGACAGAACTGGCCTCTCGCCAGCAGAGTCGCAGGCCTGCGCCAAGACGATCCTCCTTCCCTTGCTTCCCCTTGTTGGTGCGAAGGTCAGGGCCCGGCCGGCAAATGCACCCGACGTTCCAGGAATTCGGCAACTGTTCGACAACGCCATACAGGTCTATCTGAGCGCCTTACCGCAAGCTGGTCCTTCCAAAGAAGATATCGCGTCGCTCGTCCAAGCTTGTATACTCGAAGGGGGAACACGCCTGCTCATCAATACGTGAGTGGAGTGCCTCACCTGACTACTCGATCTAAACCTTCCTTTCAGCATTTGGCCTGCGCTCAAGGGAGCGCCGTATCAAGAGGCTACTATGCTCGCGTTCCTTCAAGAGGTTCACGCGAAGCGAGCTGAGATCCCTGCGTCGAATGGCGCTCCGTCCGTTGACGCCGTCATAGCTGCCGCCTTGAAGCTCGTCATCTCCAAAGCCGCCTTCAGCGCTGAGTCCGGTCGGCACATCGGCTATTATCCATACTACGGCCGGAGCGCCGCCCAAGGAAACCGCACCAAGACCATCGAGCTCCTCAAGCTCTGCTTCACCTACCGCCAGATCGGCCTCTGCAGCAACGTCTTCTCCCGCCTGCTCGACAAGTCCTACCTCAAGGCCGACTACGTCGAGCACGTGCTCGTGCCCTTCATCCCCGAGCTCCGCCAGTTCCTCATCAGCAACGGCACCGCGACGCACGCGGAGCCCTTTGGCGCGGTGTTCACCACGATCGTCAGCTTGTGGGCGCGGCTCGTCTTGGGCCCCAAGCCGGCTGACACGTCGGGGGGCCTGATTGCGCGAATGGCGAGGCATAGCTGTCGGTGCGACGCGTGTACCTCGGCGTTCAACTTTTTGACGGTGGGCGAGGGGAGGACGCATACTCTGGACCGCATCGGCGCGGTCAAGCGGCGGCACGTCGAGAAGGAGCTGGCGATGTACGCGACTGGCGCGGCGACATGGCATATGATAGGTCGCTCCCCTCAGGGTCTATCGGTGAGTATTCAGCCTCCTCTTCAAGTCTCAAAGCCGGATTGCTGAAACCGTGCAGATAACGAAGGCCGATGCGATCTACCTGCCTGTACAATGGAGAGCGAAGCATGCGAAGGGTACGGCCATATTGCAGTCGGTCTCTAGCAACCAAGAGGAGCTACGACGGATCTTTGGCGCGAGTTACCAGATGATCATGGACGAACTACAAGGGGTGGCCCCCGTCAAGGCACCTCGAGCGCCTCTCGCCCCGGCTGCGCCTGGTCCCGCCGCCGGACCTAGCAATGCAGCGGCCGTACCCACTCCTGCAGCGCCTGTAGTAACTACTACCACAGCGCACGTCCCTCAGCCTCCTACTCACGGAGCGCCAGCACCGTCGCGAAAGCGCAAGGCTACGTACGATCCCAACGATGTGATTGACTTGTCGGAGATGTGAGCTGTACTATTTGTCTTGCTGCCCCTTCTCTTGTACTAGACGCTCTACTTGACTCCCCGTGTTCTGCCCTTCCCTGCCAACTTTCTTGTACCTCGCGCTGATTTATTGCTATGTAATTCTACCATACTTCTTCTTATTTGCTTGCTCACTGTAATGTATACTATGCCTCTGCCATGTAAGCTACTTCTTGGGTTTCTTCGAAGGCCAAGCCGCCCGGACTTGCGACGCGACCTGTCACTTCACGTGCGCCGTGACACTCTTTGGCAGTATCCATCTCGAGGGCATCCGGCGCGTCGAAGCTCGAAGATGCCACGACAGACGCTGGGATGCAGTCCGCCTGCTGCACATACGCACACCGACGCGCCCCCTGAGGATGTCGACGTCCCGATGGAAGATGTAGAAGGCACCCACGCTCAAGTTCAGGCTGTTGCCCAGGACGCAGCCGCGGACAACGACTCGAGCGACGATGAGGAGCCACCAGTCGTCGATCCGTCGACAAACATTTGTGTGAGCTCCTTTGACTGAGATAGAATGAAAAGCTCGATTGACACAGTCTCAAGAGAGATCTGGAAGACGTGTTGGACGGAGAGCTCTCAGAGACCTTCAAAGGCTCGTTCGCATACGCAAAGACATACTCAGACGCCCCCAATCCCGGACTACACCTACTCGCGAATGACATTGGCCCCATTGGGCTCCCCCTTCATGATCGCGAAGCGAAAGTCGTCATCTCAGGTTGTCGGCAAGCCCCCTTTGGCAAGGGAGAGAGGACCGTAGTGGACATATCCGTTCGGGATACATGGGAGATGGATGCTAGCCAGGTACGTGGCGACGTTATGAGATCTTGTCCCTCAAGAATGATACATCACCAGGTTCGCTTCACCAATCCTGCGTGGAGTGGCTATGTGCATCGCGTCCTGCAAGATGTATGTGCTGCTCTTGGTGTCGATATGGGAATCAGCAGGCCGCGCTGCGAGCTCTACAAGCTCCTCTTGTACGAGACCGGGTCCCAGTGAGTATCGTCTTCGCTATCGTTTGCCTTCGTAATTGACGGTCATTCATTCAGCTTTCTGCCACACGTTGAGTACGCTAGTCACTATCCTAGTCCCGTCATGCCATTGACAATCACTCCTGAAGCACCGAGAAGGTCGATACGATGTTCGCTACGATCATAATCGTCCTTCCCTCTCCATTTACAGGCGGAGCGGCCCATCTGTCTCATGGCTCGCTGTCCGAAGTGTTCGATTGCTCCGCCGAAAGCGCCCACCAGACGACCGTCCTGTCCTGGTATACTGACGTTACGCACTCCATCAAGCCAATCACCTCGGGCTACCGCCTCGCCCTGTCCTACAACCTCTATCACACGACCAACGCACTCCGTCCCTCCCTGCCGTCGACGCACTTTGCCGTCAACATGCTTCGCCACGTCTTACTCTCGTGGAAGCAGATGAACGAGTCCGATGCGCCCCGCAAGATCATCTACCTCCTCGACCACCAGTATTCGCTGGCGAACAAGACAGGCCGTGCTCTCAAGGGCCTCGATGCGCATAAGCTTGCTATCCTCCAGATGCTGGCGAAGCAGCACGGGTTCCGCCTCGGACTCGCCAGTCTAGAAACACGTCTCGCAGGACCCGCAGACGACAACGGAGGATATGGTCACTACTACAACCGCAATGTGAACTTTATGGAGATCGAAAGCCGGGATACGACCATCATGAATCTCACCGACGTATGCACACCATTGCTGCGTCTGCCTGAGAGTGTCTCATGCCGGTTTTGCAGCTCGATGGCAATGACTTGCAGGAGGAGGTGGATTTCGACGAGGAGAGGAACGAGTGCATTCCGCAAGAACTTACGGAGGCAGTGGAAGAAGGAGATCACGACGACGAAGAATACGAGGGGTACATGGGTAATGTAAGCACAATGTCTTCTTTCTGCTTATGCAAAGGCTCATCGTTGTGCATAGGGTGCTGGATCTCTTGAACGATGTAAGTCTCGCGGATCAACTCGCCGTTCATGCTCAGACGATAACACGCTGTAGGGTACCGCCGCACCGTCCTCGTCATATGGCCGCAAAGGCGGAGTCTGGACATGACCTTCGACGACGACATCCAGAGCGCGGTTCAAGCCCTGCTCAAGGCGACAAACAAGCCCCACAAGCGCGAGCGTCGGCTCGTCGACTTCCTCCTCAAGGTGGCGAAGGCGAAGAAGGGAGATCGTAGCGCTGTCGCGCGGGCCCTTTGCTTCGTCGCCGGCCAATGGTCCGACCGCGCTCTATTTGTCCGGACCATGGAGGCCCGCGGCATCTCCGGAGTCGAGGTGCTCGCGCTCGATGACGCGCGAACAGCTATCAGGACCTTCGGCTTTGATACTGTCCGACCTGTGTGCGTCCCATAATCAACATAAAAGCCATTTATACTGACCCCTTGCGACAGCTTGAAGAAGATGGTGCTGGCCGAGAAGAGCAACGCGTGTCGCTTCCAGTTTATTGAGGACTTCAAGGCGGTGTCTTCTGGCTTTCAAGAGCCGACGAAATCCTTGGTGCTTGGCTGGCTGGTGGCGCAGCAGACGTGGGCGCTGAAGCACTTGCAAGCGCCCTCACTGGGCGATGAGAGAGAGCTGCTGGGACATGCGGACAAGTATGGCGGTCTGCCATTGCTGCGTGATGTGTATGCGTGCTCTCACCTTCTTTGTATCGTCTACTGAGTTCCGAACAGATTCGTGCCGCAGCTCAAAACCATGGCCAGCCCGGCCTTCTTGTCGGCCTTTGCGAAGGTCCTCTATTCGGAGAAGGTACAGTCTGACGCTTCCGTCGATGTGGAGAAGGCCGCGCTCCGCTCAATCATCACCGACCTTCTCTCAACCGCCATCTCCAAAGTCGACTTCTACGAGCCGACCAAGGTGATCACGAGGAGACCCTCGTTCTGGAGCGGCCCGCAGACTACAAGGGAGCCCGAGCCGCATCTAGCGGACATGTACATGGACGCGTGTCTCTCCACTGACAACGAGGCGCTGGTCGGGGTCATCATCGGGCGCCTGATCGATACCTCCGCGCTCACGCCTGAAGTATCCCAGAGCAGAGCGAAGACGGTCCTTCTACCTCTCCTCTCGCTCGTTGGGGCGAAGATGAAGGGTCGTACAGCGGATGCACCGGCCATCCCTGCCGTGCATCAATTGTTCGAGGTCGCGATCCAGCTTTATCTTGCGTCTCTGTCTCATGCGGGGCCGACCAAGGAAGATATGCGAGCGCTCGTTCAAGCCAGCGCGCTTCACGGCGGCACTGGCCTGCTTGTCAATACGTGAGTATGGCATGTGCCCTGCCCCAGCTATTTACTGACCGACTACCGCAGGATCTGGCCGGTAGTGAAGGCCGCACCCTATCAAGAGGCGGCAATGCTCGCCCTTCTACAAGAGCTCCACGATAACCGCGCCTCGATACCCACTTCGGCAGGCGTCGACGACATCGACACCTTCGTCTCCCGCGTTCTCCATTTCGTCATCGAGCGGGCCGCTTTTGCTGGGAAAGCTGGCACGTCGATCTACTACAACTACGATCCTGGCATTCAAGAGAACGGGACGAAGGCGATCGAGCTCCTGAAGCTGTGTTTCGCTCACGGGCAAACTGGGCTTTGCAGCTTGGTCTTCACTCGCCTGCTTGACAAGACCTTCCTGACGAGCAGCTACATCGAACGCGTTCTCGTGCCCTTCATACCTGAGCTCCGCCAGTTCCTCGCTGGCCAGAATACGCCTTGTCACGCAGAACCCTTTGGTGCGGTGTTCACGACTATCGTCAGCCTGTGGGCGAAGCACGTCCTGGGGCCGAAGCCGCCCGACGCATCGCCGACCATCCTGACGAAGCTGTCGCGGAATGATTGCCGATGCAGCGAATGCGTGCAGGCGTTCAACTTCTTGCTGAGGGGGGAGGGAGAGACACTGCGGTTGCAGTGCATAGGCGCACCGAAGCGGAAACACGTCGAGCGTCAGCTGGCGTGTAATGCCTATAGTGCAGCAAATTACGGTACGATTCGCACCACTCCTCAAGGACTTGAGGTACGTTGTCTGTGTTGCTGGTCGTCTGAAGCTTTACTCAAGGCACGTAGATCACGAAGACCAAAGCTATTTACGAACCTGCGCGGTGGAAGGCGATGCATGCCAAGGGGTCGGCGATATTGCAATCCGTGTCGAGTGAACGGGAGGAGCTGCAGCGTGTATTCGGCGCGAGGTACATGATGATCATGACTGCTATGGGGCAGCCGGTGAATCAGCCATCAACGGTTGCGTCGAACGCGGTCGCTCCTGCCAGAGGCCCCGGTCTAGGATTGAGCACCGCCATGGATCGCACCGGTGTACCCGCAATGCAGGCTCAGCAGCAGGCAACAACATCCACGTCTACAGTGCAGCCGTCAAGTCGAAAGCGGAAGGCAGCGCACGATCCAAGCACGGTGATAGATCTGTCCAATCTGAGTGACTGATTTTCAAAATTTCACGCGTGATCTACCATATGATTTGTTGTCCATGACATTGTTTTCTGACTGCTATGTACACTCGTATATATGACATACTGTACCACTTTCGTACTTAACCCTGGCCGTCGACGCGATCGGCGTGACTTCGGGTGGACGCCAAACGCGACCTGTCACTTCACGTGCTTTGTGACGTGCTGCCGTCCGCGGCGGTTACGATCGCCTCTGGCGTCCGCTGTCATGTCCGACCTCGAGGGAAGTACCGAGAATGAAACCTCCAGAGCATCCTCGTCCTCTCCTATGGAAGACATCAAAATGTCCCAGCCTTCTGACGAGGACTCGGATGCCTATATGAGTGATTCCCGAAACGACGTGGCAGAGAACGTCGACTCGCTTGAAGAGACCACAGCATCCCAGGCGAGGAGCCCTGCGGGCGACGCGTCGAGTGATGACGAGGATGAAGCACCGGTCGAAAATCCCTCGACAGATATCTGTGTGGGTGCAAATCAGTCAGCTACTTATATGCGAGGCTCATGATGTACGAAGGGAGATCTTGAGAACGCGTTGGACGGAGAACTCTCCGAGACGTTCACCGGTTCCTTTGCATATGAGAGAACATACTTGGACGCTCCTATCCCGGGCCTCAACCTTCTCGCAAATGATATTGGCCCAATTGGCCTTCCCCTCAACGAGCGTGAGGCAAACATCGTCAAGTCGGGCTGCAAGCAAGCCCCATTCGGGAAGGGCGAGCGAACCGTCATTGATAAGTCCGTGCGCGATACATGGGAAATGGACGCTAGCATGGTATGTAGTTCCTTGCTCATCCAGGACTGATATCTCACGTTCGCCTAGGTTCAGTTCAACAATCCCGCCTGGAATGACTATGTAGGCCGCGTCCTTTGGGATGTCTGCAATGCTCTGGGTGTCGACATGAAGGTCAGCAAGCCTCACTGCGAGCTATACAAGCTGCTTTTGTACGAGACTGGCTCACAGTAAGTGTCAACATGTGAACCAATTCTCCGTCGTGGTCACTGAACTTTTCGTAGCTTCTTGCCGCATGTTGAGTGAGTGTGCGACGTCTTTCACATCCCTCCCTCCCGAAGCTTATGCGCCATTAGCACAGAGAAGGTCGGCACCATGTTTGCCACCATTATTATCGTGCTCCCTTCGCCGTTTACCGGAGGCGCGGCGCACCTCTCGCACGGGAATCTGTCTGAGGTATTCGACTGCTCCGCCAACAGTGCCCACCAGACGACGGTCCTCGCCTGGTACACGGACGTCAAGCACTCAATCAAACCCATCACCTCGGGCTACCGCCTCGCGCTCTCGTACAACGTCTACCACACAAAGAACGCCCTCCGACCGTCCCTGCCCACAAACCACTCCGCCGTGACCGCCCTCCGCCACGTCCTGCTGTCATGGAAGCAGATGAACCGCCTTGACGCCCCGCGGAAGATGATCTACCTCCTCGACCACCAGTACAGCCAGGCGAACAAGAAGGGCAGCGCGCTCAAGGGCCTCGACGCTCACAAGATGGCTATTTTGCAGATGCTGGCGAAGCAGCATGGGTTCCGGCTCGGGCTCGCGAGTCTGGAGACGTACATCGCCGGCTCCGCGGATGACGAGTTTGGTGGGTATGGTGGGTATTCGGGGAGAGTGTCTTTTGGGGACGTGGGAGAGCAGACGACCAAGATTACGAACTTGACCGATGTAAGTGATATCGTTAAGTGCTTATACTGGTTTGCTGATGAGGTGCTTAGCTGGACGGTCATTTTATCAAGGATGTGGTCGATTTCGACGAGGAGAACAACGAGTGCATCCCGAGGGAGCTGACGGACGCTGTAGAGAATGGGAAGGTAGACAAGGAGGAATATGAAGGCTATTCAGGCAATGTACGGTTTCCATACCATATGGCTGCCTACCAAACTCACCTCTTGCGCAGGAAGCAGGCTCTTTAGAGCGATGTAAGCCCTCATCATCGGTGGCTTCAGCACTCAGTAATGATACAATCATATCAGGGTATAGGCGCACCGTACTGATAATATGGCCCCTCAAATTCGACATCAACAAGACCCTCAACGACGACGTCGAAGACGCGATCCAGCAGCTGAACAAAGTAACTACAAACACGGCCCGTAAAAGCGATCGCCATTTTGTCGAATTTCTCTTCGACTATATGGAGGCAGCAGACTCCAAGCATAGTGGTATTGCGCCGGCCATTTGCCACGCCGCTTGCCAGTGGTCTGACTGCGACTTGTTCCTTGAGGTGCGCGAGACGTGTGGCATCCATGGTGTGGGGTCTATAGCTCCTGCAGACGTCGCGTCGGCTGCTCAAGCATTCGGCTTGGACACGGTGAAGCCGTTGTAAGCATCCTTCCTGATTTCCATTCCATCGACGCTGACGCGGCGGATAGCGTAGAAGATATGCTGTCAACCGAAAAGCTCAACGCGCGACGTTTCCAGTTCCTCGATAATTTGGAAGCGACGTGCGCGACGTTGGATGAACCGCTCAAAAGCCAGGTACTCGAGTGGCTCGCAGGCCAACGCAAGTGGTGCTTCGAGCATCTGTTGCCATTCCAGAAGGACGACAAGCAGTTGCTTCTCGAAACCGCCTACTTGAACGGAGGCTTGCCTCTGCTGCGAGACACGTACGCTCACGCGTCCGGTTGTTACTCCGTCTCGCTGACCCATCGCCAGATTCGTGCCCCAAATCAAAGCGATAGCAGGCCCGTCCTTCATCTCCAGATTCGCCATGCAGCTGCACGCCGAGTTGCTCAAGGCCGACACCACAGAAGACGACAAGGCCGCGCTCGCGCAGATCGTCAGCAACCTATTGACCACGGCCATATCCAAAGTCGACTTCTTCGCGAAGACCAAGGAGATCGCCCCGCCACGCCCATCCTATACATACTACAGCTCCCAAAAGGCCTCCAAGGTACCGGACCCCCAGACGACGATGCGATACATCGACATGTGTCTGCGTACCGGCAATGATGGCCTGGTGGAAGCTATTGTCGGGCGTCTGACGGATGTGGCTGGGGTGGCTCCTGCCGTTTTATACGAGCGGGCTGATGGCGTTCTTTTGCCCCTTCTCCCACTGGTGGTGGCGAAGATGGATGCGCGGCCGGCGAATGCGCCTGTCGTACCCGGGATGCAAAAGCTGTTCGACCAGACCATACAGATATACTTGGGATCTCTGTCCCACGCAAATCCGTCGGAAGAGAACGTTCGAACGCTCATCCAACTTTGCATTTTGCGCAGGGGGACAGGGCTTCTGGTCAATACGTAAGTACTCCTTTTCGTGTCTGTTCCTGCGATCTGACGTATCTTTTCGCCCCTCAGCATCTGGCCCGCGCTGAAGCACACGCATTCGAGCGTCATGCTCGCGTTCTTGCGGGAGGTAAAGGAGAAGAGAGCCCAGATCCCCGTATCCGAAGGCGCCGCTAGCATCGACTGGCTCATACTCGACATCGTCAAACGGATTATCAAGAAGTCGGCAATGCAGGGGTACCAAATAACGCGGTCAGTGATTGACTTGCTCAAGCTCTGCGCCTCGAATGGACATCCAGAGCTATATGGGAGCGTCCTCATTCGCCTTATGGATAAGACCGCCATCAATGCCGACAATATCTCGAACGTCCTTGTCCCCCTCATTCCTGCACTTCGTCAGTTCCTCTTTGATCACAAGACACCGATTCACGCTGAACCGTTCGCCTCATTGTTCACGACCATCGTTGGTGCATGGACCAAGCACATCCTAGGGCCCAAGCCTGCGAACGCGACGTCCAATTTGATCACCCGACTCGAAGGGCACAGGTGCAGTTGCCGCGAGTGCACTTCCGCGTTCAATTGGCTAGCAAACGGCAGCGGGAAGTCGCTCGCCCTCAAAGGCATAGGTGCAACCAGCCGAAAACACCTCGAAAAGGAGCTTACGGCCTATGCGACTGGTGCGGCGACGTGGACTATGCTCCCCGGCAGACCGCAAGGATTGAGGGTGAGCGCTGGCATTGACGAGCGAGGCGACTTAGCTAATGGAGCGCAGGTGGTGAAAGCTGACGCGATCTACACGCCTGTTGAATGGCGCGCGAGGCATGCGAAGGGCGCTTCGATACTGAAGTCTATATCCAGCGACCAACAGGAGCTACGACGCGTCTTTGGTGCGCACTATCAGGTGATCATGGGTGCGCTGGAGGGCTCGCCTGCCCTGCAAAATCAGGCTGCGAATCTGCCTTTCAAGGCACCTGCAACTCCTGCTGCACCCGCTGCTGCTGCTGGCCCCAGCACTGGCGGAACTCAGGCAGGACAACCCGGGACGACGAGCCAGCATGCCTCTTCGTCTGCTCCTCCGACGCGGAAGCGCAAGGCGTCGTACGATCCGAGCACTGTTATCGACTTATCAAATGATAGTCCTTAACTTCTGGTCAACGTCTGATGTTCAGAACGTTCGTCCTCGACATCTTGATACAGTCAGGCATGCTCATATCGTATCTTGCTCTATATCCACCTTCGGGCATTCGGGATCTTTGCTGCATCCTTATAGAACTTCGCCACAACTTACTTATCTCGCAGCTGTCAGCCTGCTCCAAGCCATCCATTTCTGAATCGCAGGCACCACACCACTTGAAGTTGCCTTGAAGGCGCGATAGGATCCGCACGATTGACCTGTTGGAGGTGAGAACTGCACCGCCTCTTTCTCTTATGGGTACCGTGTTTTCCTGGGATCCTCATCTGGCCATAACTTTCGCTGAGTTACTGTCGATGTCTGTGTACTGTATGCCAATTGCCGCCACGCGACCGGAACCGAATACGCAACCGACGCGACGAGTCACTCCACGTGCTTTGTGACTTAATTTAATTCTACACGCGTCGACCGCAAAACCACTGTCTTGCCGTCCGCTATCATGTCCAGCTCTATGGAGGCCCCCGGAAAAGGAACCTCAAGCGCACCTGCGCCAGACTACCCTATGGAGGGCATCACAGCATCTCGATCTTCTGGCGAAGACGTGGACGTTCCTATGAGTGACTCCCGCATCGAGTCGAGCACCGCGAACGTTGAGCTCAAAGAGACCGCTGATGAAACGGTGGGCAGCTCTGCAAGCGACGCGTCCAGTGACGACGATGACGAGCCATCGCTCGACAATCCGTCGACAGACATCTCTGTGAGTAGCAGTCGGCTATCTGTGACTGCTCAAGCTCACCAAATACGAAGGGGGATCTAGACCGTGCTCTCCACAACTTATCCAGAACCTTCACCGGAGAAATCGCCTCTCACAAGACCTACCTTGACGCGCCGATACCCGGCCTCAACCTACTTGCCAATGACATCGGGCCGATCGGCCTCCCACTCAATGAGCGCGAGGCTCAGGTCGTCAAGGCCGGATGCAAGCAAGCCCCCTTTGGCAAGGGAGAGAGAACTGTTGTCGACAAGTCCGTACGTGACACGTGGGAGATGGATGCCAGCCTGGTACGTGTTGGTAGGCCGACGCTTGCGGACCCTTTTTCATTGTTCATCGCAAGGTTCATTTCAACAATGCTGCCTGGAATGACTTCAGGCAACGCGTGTTGAAGGACGTTTGCACGACCATTGGCGTCAATATGGCGGTCAGCAACCCTCGCTGTGAGCTGTACAAACTGCTTCTGTACGAGACGGGTTCGCAGTGGGTGGTCTTCCCGACCTGTCATTAATTGAGTTCATTGACGCTTTATATAGTTTCCTGCCTCATGTGGAGTGCGTGGCTTACGCTCTACGCACCTGTTTTCCCCTCACCGATCGCTGACATTTTCAGTACCGAGAAGGTCGCGTCAATGTTTGCCACCATCATCGTCGTCTTGCCATCCCCGTTCACCGGTGGAGCTGCGCATCTCTCGCACGCGAACAAGTCGGAGGTCTTCGACTGCTCTGAGAACAGCGCACACCAAACGACGGTCTTGTCATGGTACACGGACGTCACCCACTCAATCGAGCCTATCACCTCCGGCTACCGTCTTGCGCTGTCCTACAACGTCTACCACACGACCAACGCCCTCCGACCCTCTTTGCCTACCACCCATTCCGCCGTGAACGCCCTTCGCCTAGTGCTGCTTTCGTGGAAGCAGGCGAATGGCCCCGACGTGCCGCGGAAGGTGATATACTTGCTCGACCACCAGTATACCAAGGCCAACAAGACGGGCAACGCTCTGAAGGGCGCCGACGCTCACAAGCTCGGCATTCTTCAGGGATTGGCCAAGGAACTCGGCTTTCAGCTTGGCCTTGCTAGCCTGAAGGCGCATGTCACTGGCTATGCGGACGACGATGAGTATACCCCTCGCGCATACGGCGTCGCAAACTTTATGGAAGTAGAGGAGAGGGAACTCGAGATCAGAGACCTCACAGATGTGAGCAAGCTATCCCTCTTGCATCGCTTGAATGTTCACGGGCGTGCCTTGCAGCTCGACGGAAACCTGCTCAAGAAGAAGATCGACTTCGAAGACGAGGGCATCGAATGCATTCGCGCGAATTCACGAATGCGGTTGAGAATGGAGAGTTTGACGATGAAAACTACGAAGGATACCAAGGAAATGTGAGGATATACGTTCGCGTGTAGAAACTTCAAAGGCTCACAGCACGTACAGGAAGCAGGGACCCTCGAGCGATGTACGTCCCGTTGTCGACATCCCCCGATTATACTGACATTGTACACAGGGTATCAACGCACTGTCCTCGTACTATGGCCGCTGAAGTTCGACATCAACAAGTCCTTCAAGGATGACATCGACACTGCGATCCGAGTGCTATTGCACGTGACGCCCAAAGCCTACAAGCGCGAGCGTCGGCTCGCCGACTTCCTCATCAACGTTGCGCGGTCGGAATCAGAGCCAAGTAGACGGCTCGAGGTCACGCACGCTGTCTGTCACGCCGCCTGTTGCTGGACCGACCGGGCCTTGTTTCTTCGAGCGACCGAGATCTTCACCGAGAGTGGCGTAGAGGGCCTAGGGCCCATGGACATCGTCGCGGCTGCTCAAGCATTTGGCATGGACTTCGTCGGGCCCGTGTAAGTCACTCCATCATGCCAGGATACACTACTGACCATTCGTGGCAGTGTGGAGAAGATGCTGGTCGCCGAAAAGCTCAATGCGCGCCGCTTGCAGCTTCTGGATGAGCTGCAGGCATCGTGCTCGACACTTGAGGACACGGTTGAGGTCCGGGTTCTTGCCTGGGTGGCAGAGCAGCGAAATTGGGCGCTCGAACATCTTCAATCACCTCAGGACGACGATGCGCAAGTACTCTTAGACGCTGCCCGCAAACATGGTACCCTCCGCGTCCTCCCGGATGTGTATGTTCTAACCCCAGACTTTGCCTTCAACGTGTCTAACTCCATCCAGAATTGTTCCGCAGATCAAGGCGAACACAACTACCTCATTCTTGACCAAGTTCGCCACTCTTTTGCACACCGAGAAGGTCAAGCCCGACACCCTCGACGCCGACAAGGTCATCCTAGAGCACACAATCAAAGATCTCGTGGCGACAGCAATCTCAAAGGTCGATTTCTTTGTACCGGTACCGGTTTATTGGAGCTCGTACTACTCAAAGCCAACACCGCGACCGGGGCCGGCGGTGGCGAGCACGTACATCGATCTCTGCCTAAGCACAGACAACGAGTCTTTGCTTGACGACATCGTTGCGCGGCTGACAGACGTGTCCGACCTACCCGTCGCGGAGTCGTACAGCCGCGCCGAAAATGTCCTCCTGCCGCTTCTCCCGCTGGTGGGAGAAACGGTGAAGGCGCGAACGAACGGCACGCCTCATCTTCCTGGTAGTTTACAGCGGCTCTTTGACATCACTTTCCAACTGTACTTGAGCGGCATGTCTCAGACGAGTCCATCGGAAAAGAACGCCCAAGCGCTCGTCAGGGCATGCACATTCCATGGTGGAGCGAAACTACTGTCCGAGAGGTATGTTCACGCTTGGTTTCGCGGCTTCGTTCTGACGAAGTTTCATTAGCGTTTGGCCGGCCGTGAAGGCTGTGACCTACCGTGAAGCTCCCATGTATACATTTCTGCGCGAGGTCCAGCAGCAGCGCGATCAGCTCCCTGTGTCGGAGGGTGCTGCCAGCGTCGACCGGCTCTTAGCCGACATCCTGCAATTCCTCATCGCCAAAGCGTTGTTTAACGGATCCCAAGGGGATCGATCGACAGCGATTGATTTGCTGAAGCTCTGCGCCTCGTGCGAGCACCACGAGCTCTATGGCAGCGTCCTCGTCCGCCTTTTGGACAGCACCTTCGTCGACGGCACCTACATCTCCAACGTCCTCGTGCCGTTCATTCCCCAGCTTCACCAATTCCTCAACACTCAGAAGATATCGACGCACGCAGAGCCGTTTGGCACATTCTTTACCGCCCTTGTCGGCTTGTGGACGAAGCATGTTTTGGGGCCGAAGCCTGCGAATACGCCCAGCGACTTGTTGGCGCGGCTGAGGGGGCACAGCTGCAAGTGCAGCGAGTGCGTGAGGGCCTTTAACTGGTTGACTTCGGGCCCGGGCAGGTCTTTGGAGCTCATCCGGATTGGCGCTCCCAAACGGAAGCATCTTGAGAGCGAGCTTGCGAGCTATGCGACTGGCGCAACGCAGTGGGAACTGATATCTAGGTCTCCTCAAGGATTGAAGGTGAGCACCCATTCAATCGAGTGTGGGATGATGTAGCTGATATGATATATGTAGATCACGAAGACCGAGGCGATCTACGAGCCAGTCGAGTGGCAAGCAAAGCATGCGCAAGGCCAAGCGATGCTTGATTCCATCTCGAGAGATCAAGGGGAGCTGCGCCAAGTATTTGGCGCGAATTACCAGGTCATCATGGGGGCGTTGCAGGGTCTGCCGACATTCCAGGAGCAAGCTGCGACCCTGACCCTTGCGTTGGCCGCGCCACCTGCTGCGGCTAGCGCTTCTGCAAGTCAGATGGAGACGACGAGCCAGCACCCCTCCTCATCTGCTCAACCTACTACGCGAAAGCGCAAGGCGTCGAACGATCCGAGCACTGTGATTGACTTGTCGAACGATATTCCTTGATCTCTTTCGGTCGTCGTCTTGTGGACCGCCCGGGCATCTTGTTACGAGACCTGCTTGACAGGCTCGTCTTACACCGGTGGACCGTCAGCAAGATCAGACGTCCAAGCGGTCGATCAAAACTTATCTCCGGATGTCAAACGGTCAGTCGTTCGATATCCTTCTTCATCGTCATCCTTTTCGTTCGGAAAAATTCAGACGTAGTCTTCTGTCCACATCAATTTACTGCCTCAGGTCTTAGCCTTTAAATTGCTGTCAGTGTGAAGCTTTGGCCAACGCTCATGCACGTGCAGCCCCGGCAATGTCCGTCAGCACAGCCCCATCACTCGACGCACAGCCACAACATTCGACAGGCGAGTCTTTAGCTGTCCAACCATAGTCTAAATTTCTAGAAATATTTCAGAGCGTAGATCCTGTAACTTCAAGTCCTGCTCTACCTTTTTGTAGCTACTGACATTGATCAAAGTCTCTGTTCGTGCACTTCGCTGGTGGAACGGCTCGGTCGGGCCGATCTTACCGTTCGTCAAATGCCTGCTTGGTTCCGTTCACGACAGCTGAATTCCTTTCCCTACCCCCTGCAGCTGGCTCCTGCTCTTCATCCACCACTTAACCTCCACCCTCACCCGTATTAGGGGGGTCTCCCTGCTCTCTACCCTCAAGAGCGACCTTCAAGATGGTTGCGTGCGGATCGCAGGATGATCGGCGCGGGAGGACGAGCGCGAGTGCGCGTAACCCAGGTACGTGGCTACGCCATCTTCCGCGGCCAGTACTAACTTCTAATATAGGACTACCATAGCAGTCGAGGGGATAGTGCAGCCAATGCTCCGCAGCCCTAACCTTGGGTTATCACGGCGCCTCCCATCCCATTCCTCCCCGTCCCTCTCCCGTCCCTCTCCCGTCCCTCTCGCAGATTCGCACGACAAAGCTTGCGTGCGCGAATGCTCGCGCATGCAGGCTGTGCGATAATGGCGCTTCAACGGACACACTGCACGTCTTCTTCAACGTTCCCCATTCCCCCAACCTGCCCTACTTGATTACCCTTCCCCTTCCCTCGACCGCCCTAGCGCCCGTTATACGGCGCGTAATAGTCCTTCCCACCATCATCTCGCTATTTCCGCTCCCTACGACGCGTCCGGACGCGTTTTCGACGTGCGAGAGGCCGATCGCCCTCGGGCGCGATGCGCGTCCCGCGCGACCTTTGGGTTTTGTAGCTCTGTCCGGCATATTCCATCCCCTTTCCCTCCTATCCTACACGATTTTTCGCAGACTCGAGACATTCCGTGCTCCCCGCCCCCCACGGACCTGGCCAACCCTCTACCCCGACCCTACCCTTTTCCCCTTCCTCTCGCAATGCGTAGAGCCCGTGTACTGCGCGGCAAACTCCTCCTCCTTCTCACCAGCTCGTGCGATTCGATTTCCCGCCTCCGTTTTCGCTTGTTCGCGCCGCCTGCGCGCAGCGAAAATTCGCGGTCGTGCTTCTCGACGCTTTCTCACGTAGTGCTTCCCCAGTGCGTGTTGGGAAGAGAGATGGCGGGGTTTTGACGCGTGTTCGATGCGATTAATGCGTCGTGAGGGGAGGTGGGTCGTGGTTTGGGGGGGAGGTTGGTTAGGAGCGCGGTGGGCGAGGAACGTATAACGGATCACGCGCGAATAAAAGCGCGTAGATTGGCATGGTCGAGCGGCAAAGAAGATGGGGCGCCCACCTGCGTAGCGCGCCCCTCGACCTCGCCCTGACCGCGTTCTCCGCGCGCATCAAGCGCGTTATGGCGCGCTTCAGAAGCGCGTATAGCGTCATCCCCGATTGTGTTTGGTCAATGGGTGTCGCTCGACACGATCCCTTGCTCACCAACTGTGCGTATCACCCCCTCCCACCATTCTTCCCTCTGACACCATCTGCGCGCTACTTAGCTGTAGCAATTGTGTTGGGCGCAGGCGATAACTCCCCCTAGCGTTTTTGTACATTTTTCTACGTTTTATCCCTTCCCTCCCCCATGCCCTAGAGTATGTAGATACTGGATACATGTCTTTACTAACATTTCCATCGTTAACGATGCACGGAACGGCAATATCACGTGCGCGCGATGCGTGTCGAGGGCGGGCACGTACAATACTATATCCCCTCGTATGTACGTCGGCGGCTTCTTTAAGATTGGGCATCTTCCGAATGCGGCGGGCTCAGCGAGACTGCGCCCTCGCAGGTCTCGTGCATGCCGAAAGGCCAACTTAACTAGTTCCACTGAGCTTTTCGAGATGCGCTATGACCGTATCTTACGTGCTATCTACTACCTTAGAGCGTTCGAGTTCATCTTGCTATTTCTTTATGAAAATCTACATCAACCTGTGTATGTGAATGGCTCCTCCTTCTGCTCAGCTCGATTTCGCGACGACGCGTCGTCAATAGACGGCTGGTCAGGTGATCGCGTTCCTCGGCGCGATCACGCGTGTGCGCGCTGATGCGTTGCTGTCGAGATACCTCCCATGGAGGGTACTTCTACGAACCACAATGGCCGCACGAGTGAGAAGGGTGTCCTCCGATCAGACGAGCAGGGACAAAAGAAGGGGAGTCCTGACGCACCGAGCGCGGGGGATGGCGGGGAAGACGAAATTCCAATTGAAAACCCTTCGACGGACATACGAGTGCGTGGTGATCTCTCGTGCGCTGAACTCAGCCAACGGCGCTCGCCAGGGTGATCTAGCGCAAGCACTGGACCAAGATCTTTCCAATTGCTTCAAAGGCGACTTTGCGTTCTGCCGCACATACCAAGACGCGCCCAATCCAGGCCTCTTCCTCCCCAACGATGTCGGCGTCATCGGTCTCCCCCTGAATCCGCGAGAGGCGCCTGCCATTGTAGCCAGCTGCCAGCGACAGCCTGCGCTGACAATTCAACGCGAGACCGGTGTGGAATGGCTGCAGCAGCCATGGGAGCTTCCTGGATCGGAGGTGAGCGGTCGCTGTTCGGGTACTGGTATGTTAGAACTCACGGTCTACGACGCAAGATTGGTCTAATATATCCGGCGTGGGGACAATTCACGCAGCGTGTCTTGCACGACGTGTGCACTGCGCTCGGGATCGATACCGCTGTAACCAAGCCTCGTTGCAAGCTTCGAGAGCTGCTGCTTTGCGAGCCTGGTTCTGTGTGAGTGCCGGCCGCCTCTGGAGTTGACGGATCGCTGACGGATCCCTGCAGCTTACTTCCAACGCGCCCGTGAGTCTGTCTCGACGCCGGCTCGAACGCAGCTGAGGTCTTCATAGGACAGATACCCCCGACGGTCTCTTCGCCACCATCACCATCCTTCTGCCCTCGCCCTTCACAGGCGGCGCCCTCGACCTTACGCACGGGCTGCTCTCCAAGGCGTACGACCTTGCCGCCAGCAGCTGGCACACCACCGCCGTCGCATGGTACGCGGAAGTCCAACCCTCGCTCACGCCGGTCGCCTCCGGCTACGCCTTCGCGCTGTCCTACAACGTCTTCCACGGCGCAGACGCGCCGCGCCCCGTCCTGCCCGATAATCAGACGAGCATCGAGAGCCTGCGGCGCATCCTACTATCGTGGAAGCAGGCGAACAGCCCGGCGGTTCCGAGGAAGCTGGTCTACCTGCTCGACGAGACATACCCTAGCGACGGTTTGGGGGGCGGCGTGCTGCGGGGCCTCAATAAGCAGAAGGTCTTCGCCTTGCGAGCGCTGGCGACGCAGCATGGGTTTTGTCTCGGGCTCGCCAACGCAGACGTCTGGCTGGTGGGTGAGGCCGATGACGAGGGTCCTCCTCGCCGCAAGCGGTCCCCTTCCCCGCTCCGTCCATGGCGGGTGTATGCGCCAGAGGAAGAGTATTACACGGACCAGGACAGCGACGACGGCGGCGGCCGACCTGTCGACTTTGTGAGGGTGGACGAAGTCGAGATGGAGGTCAGGAAGCTCGTCGACGTAAGTGTTGCCGCGACCCTGGTCATGACCATTGCCTGACGAGCTCGCTAGCTGGACGGAAACTTACTCAAGGACGAGGTCGCGCTCGGAAAGGGAGAGCTCGAGAAGTGCACTATCCCCACTGACCTTGAGGATGCGGTGCAATCTGGTGATCACGAAGACGAAGAGTACAGCGGCTTCCACCATCAAGTAAGTTCGTGGGCTATCCATGCGTCTCATATCCTAGTTCTAACCCTATGCCAGGCACCAGGAACCCTGACACGTCGTGAGCTCACCGTCCTTAGCCTGGCGCCGCTCGTTGGTCTCTGACCCTTTACATCCGTAGGCTATGAGCGAACCGTCTTGGTCATCTGGCCGCAGGAGTTCGACCTCGACAAGACCTTCGAAAAGGATATCGAGGAAGCGATCAGCACGCTCGACGGCACGACCTCCGCGCGGCCGTCCCAGCGAGAGCGCAAGCTCGTCGACTTCCTTTTCAACGCGATCAAAGCCCGCTACGCAGGCTGGACTCAGCAGATAGCGCGAACAATCTTCAGCCTCGCGTGCAGGTGGACTGACCAGGCGCTGTGGATGCGCGTTGTCAAAGTGTGCGGCACGGACGAGTCAGCGGCGGCGCTGGATAAGTCGCGTGTATTGGCCGCCATCCGAACCTTTGGGTCGAAGACGATGATGCCTGCGTGAGTTCAGGTTTTGCTCGTTTTTTGATCGTGAACTGACAAGGGGTACAATGTAGTCTGCAACACGTGTTGCGGTCCTTGGACAGCAACGCGGCGCGGTTGAGGCGTGCGCAGACGAGACCATTCGGAGCGACGCTACTTTGCCGCTCTGGCTGGCCGAGCAACGGACGTGGGCGCTCGGCCATCTGACGACGGTGTCGAAAGAGGACATACCAGCGTTGGTCAGCATCGTCAAGGGCGCCAATGGTGTCACACTCCTGCGCGAATCGTACGTCGGACTTCAGACTGTGTGTACTCACGTACTTACCCACGTCGCTTGTAGTCTGGCGCCACAGCTGAAGGCATACGCCGAAGCGGAAGCTCTGCTGTCATTCGTGCTGTGCTTTCCCCGAGAGGAGATCGAGAAGTTCAGAGCGGAGGAAAGACCGGCGCTCGTCTCCACGGTCGCCGATTTGTTGGGGTTCGCCGTGTCGAAAGCCGACTTCTACGCACCTGCGAAGAGCGAGGGAGCGTCGAACGCTCGCGAACCCGCTCCAGATACAGCTATTGCTTACATCGACGCTTGTCTGCAGACGGGGAACGAGGCTCTGGTGGCCGACGTCGTCTCCCGCCTGACCGATCTTTCTGGGCTATCGTCCGCCGACAAGCACCTGCGCACGACCAAGGTCCTGCTACCGCTTCTGTCGTTGGTGGGAGAGAAGGTCGGCGCGCGACCTGCCGGCGCTCCCGTCGTCCCGGGCATCAGCGAGCTCTGCGATTGCACCGTCAAGCTTTTCCTGTCTGACTTGTCGGCTGAGAACCTGCCGAGCAAGGCAGATGTACGAGCGCTGGTTCAGGCTAGCGTGGTCCATGGTGGGACGGACCTTCTTGTCTATACGTGCGTTCTCTAAGCCTTGTTGTAAATAATTGCCTCTGACGTCTTCATAGAATATGGCCTGCTCTAAGCGCCCTTCCATACCGCGAGGAGACCATCGTCGAGTTCATTCAGGCGGTTCATGACAACAAAGCGAAGATCCCCGTCGCCGACGGCGCGCCGACCGCAGACACCCTCCAAGCCCAAGCACTGCAACTCGTCATCGACAACACCCCATTCACCGCCTACACCCAAGTCATCAAACCCTCCAGCTCCAAGCAGACCGCCCCGAACCCGGCACAGGACAATCAGAACCGGGCCATCGCGCTATTGAAGCTCTGCTTATCGACCAGCCAAAAAGCGCTTTGCACCTCCGTCTTCGCGCGCCTCTTCGACGAGGCGCTGGTCACGCCCGAATACGTGCAGAATGTCCTGGTCCCCTTCATCCCCCAGCTCCGGCAATTCCTCATCAACAACAAGAAGCCGCCCTTCACGGAGCCCTTCGGCGCGGTGTTCGCGGAGATCGTATGCCTGTGGGCGAAGCACGTCCTAGGCCCGAAGCCTGCTGAGACTGCGACGCTCGCGCTGCCGGGCCCGAGGAAGCACTCATGCCACTGCCAGTTCTGCGAAGACCTGTTCAAGTTTTTGGAGAAGAGCGAGGGGAAGGCGCATCGGTTTGAGAGGATCGGGGCGCCGAAGAGGAAGCATCTGGAGAGTGAGCTGGGAAAGTTTGCGCGTGGCATCGCGCAGTGGTCGGTGATCAACTCGAGTCCGCAGGGCTTGTTGGTGAGTTCTTGGCTTCACGGGGGGTCGGGTGGACTAGAGGAAGTGACGGCGTTTCCAGGTCACGAAGGCGGACGCGGCGTATGAGCCGCTGAGGTGGAGAGCTGTCCGTGCGAAGGGGGAGGCCATCCTGCAGTCGGTGTCGCAGAACCGGGTGGAGCTGCAACGGATCTTCGGCGCGAGGTATCAGAGCATCATGGATATGTTCTACGGCGGGGAGGAGAGAGCTGAGCAGCCGCCACAAGCGTCATCGAGCTCGCAACCCTCGAGCTCGCGGCCTCCAAACTCGCAGCCTGCAAGGCCACAGCCCGCGTGGTCTCAACCCGCAAGGACGCAGCCTGCGTGGTCGCAACCAGCTAGGCCGCAAGTCGCGTCTACTCAACCGCCTAGGCAGCAACCGGCGTGGTCACAGACTTCGAGCTCCCAGCCCTCGGGATCCCAGCCGTCGTACTCCCAGCCGTCAACCTCTCGGCCACCAACCTCCCAACCAGAAAACTCCCAGCCATCGGCCTTCCATCCATTCACCTCACAGCAATCCACGTCTCAGCAATCCACTTCACAGCAATCCCAACCACCAACCTCCCAGCCCCCGACCTCCCAACCATCGGGATCGCAACTACCGAGCTCACAGCCAGCGCACTCGCAGCCAGCGCACTCGCAGCCAGCGCACTCGCAGCTCCCGAGCTCACAGCCATCGCAACCTGCACCGTCTGCGCAGGACGATGACATAGAAATAATCAGCACTCCGCCACGACGCCCATTTGGAAGCGCTACTCAGCCCAACGTGACGCCTACAGCATCCGCTCCTACACCTCCGCTCGCTTCACAAAGCACCCGCAAGCGCAAAGCAGCGCAGATAACTGGGGATGTCATCGACTTGACGCGTATGAGTCCTGGCTGAGGCTGCGCTATGTACTTTTTCTCGACATGTCTACTTCATCTACTTACTATCTACTAATCAACGCTGACTACCCTTCTTGGCTTACATATCCATGACTTGACGAGTAGAGGGTATGTATATATGTATACGATGTATTCTTGTTGGCGCCTCCAATATAATGTTCAGTCGCGTGTCGTCACATCAGGTGACCGCGTGCATCACGACCACGTCGCGATCGGGCCCGTCGCGACTTATACTGGACGCCCATCATTTACGCACGTCCTCAACCGCGATAGTTTACTCAACTCCCCGATAATCTCTGCGTATCTTATAGCTGTGATGTCAAGCCCACAGGTCTTGCTCAACCCCCCTGAGGATTCGCACAACGATGTCGCTGCAAGCGACGACGTCGAAGAAGATGAAGAGATACCAGTAGCAAACCCTTCTACAGATATACTAGTGGGTTGTCATGTTCTCAGACTATAATCAACTCAAGGAAGCGACATTCAGTATGATCTATCCAATGCTCTCAACGAGAACCTTTCCGAATGCTTCAAGGGTGCATTCTCATTCTGTCGGACATACAAAGACGCCCCCAACCCAGGCCTCTTGCTCGGCAATGACATCGGTGTCGTGGGCCTTCCGCTCAGCTCCCGCGATGCCGCTGCCATCAAAGCCGGCTGCCAAAGAGATCTGCCAAAATATGTGCAGAACGTCGACGAATCATGTCTTTCTTGGACGTTAACTGGTGGCGCGAAGGTAAGCGCTCACCCTAATATTGGCGTCTTATTACCTACGCATCCTCTTCAGCTTCGGTTTGTATATCCGAATTGGGACACGTTTGTCCAACGCGTCGCAAAAGATGCTTGCTCCGCGCTTGGGGCGAATATTCCCTCAAGCAAAGTTCAATACATACTTCAGGGTCTTTCCCTGTATGAACCCGGTTCATCGTGAGAGTCCACCACCCTTAGATGAATTGGAAGCTGACTTGATCCAGCCTGTACCCCTCGAACATGTAGGCTCCTCAGAATATCAGGTATCACCGCTCTGAAGCTGACGTTGATTATCACAGCAAAGAACGCTCAGAAGCGACATTCGCTACCCTGACCATCCTCCTCCCATCTCACTTCACCGGCGGCTCCATCCGCTTTACGCATGGCTACCTCTCCGAAACGCACAAGCCCCACCACTCCAGCTGGCACACGACCGCGCTAGCCACCTACACCACCGACCAAACCTCCACAACGGCCACCGCCACCGCCACCGTCCATCCCTCCGCCAAACCCATCACCTCTGGCCACGCCCTCGCCCTCCACTACGACCTTGTGCACACCGCGGACACACCCTGCCCCGTCCTCCCGGACAACCGCGGGCCCATCGAGCGCATCCGGCACGTGCTGCGGTCGTGGAAGCAGGCGCTGACCTCGCCCTCCGTGCCGCGGAAGGTCGTGCATTTGTTGGATGGGAGTTATCCGGCGCAGAAGTTGAGCGCGAGCGCGCTGAAGGGTTTGGATGGGCAGAAAATTGAGGCGCTTCGGATGCTTGTGAAGGACGAGGGGCTTCGGAGGGGCAAGGGTGACGCGCCCCGGATAGCCCACGAGCCCGCCTTCAACCTCGCCCTCGCCACCCTCAAAGTCAAACTCACGGGCATGGCCTCAGACCCAGGGCCCAAAAAGAAATTCTACGACCCCATGCACCCCTGGCGGACGTACGATGCGAACGGGAGCGACTCAGAATTCGACGACGATGACTGGGAGGAGAGGGATATCGACTTCGCTGACATCGACCTCGCGGAGTTTAGTGTGGAAAGACTGGTGGATGTGAGTGGGATTTGTCGATGAGTGTGCGACTATAATGGCATATGATCAGTCCGCCTTTCACGCCATTTACTGACGCCCCACCCTAAGCTCAACGGCAAGCTCATCAAGGACAAGTTCGAGGTGTACGAGGAGGATTTGGACGAGTACAGCATTCCGTCTAGCTTGCGGGAGGTTGTGCAGGAGGGCGATTTTGTCAAGCAGGAATACGGCGGCTGGCAGTGGGATGAGCAGGTAAGTGCACGCGTCACTCCCGCTCGGGAGCTTGTCTTCCATTCGAGATGATGTCGAGTATGCTGACTCCTCACCGCAGAAACCAGGCTGGCTCGAACGACGTGAGTCGTCTCTTTATACACCGGATATGTCCCCGTACTAGTATGCTGATCGGCCCCTTAAGATTACGAGCGCACTGTCCTGTTAATTTGGCCCGAGGCCTTCGACCTTGATAAGACAGTCGAGGACGACATCGACGACGCGCTGAAGGAACTCAACGCCTCATCTTTGGAGCGTCCTGACGCCTCAGCATCGCAGGCACTCCAACCCCAAACACCGAACCGACCGCACCCTCGCGAGCGCAACCGCATAGACTTCCTCTTCAACGTCGCGCAAGAGGGCCCGCACCATCGCCTGCGCGACGTCGCCCGGTGCTTGTTCGCGATGGCGACGGGGCGGCGCGACTTATCGATGTGGCTTCGCGTCACTGATGAGTGCGCGCCGAATGCGGCAGGGGAGGCGATGGACTATGCTTTGGTCCGAGATGCCGTTCGGGCGTTCGGGGTTGAGGCGCTGTACACGGCGTGAGTTATAGCATTGCCCGGCGGAAAGGTGTCACTAACGCCGACAAACGCTGCAGTTTCGAGACGATGGTGCGGTCGCTGGAAACCAACGCCCCCCGCTTCAATATCCTGAAGTATCTGCATGATGTATCGATGGAGGAGGATCTCAGCGCCGAAAAACCACAGCTCTCATGGGTAGCTGAGCAACGCCAATGGGCTCTGGACCATCTTGTGCCGCCTTCGCACGAGGACGTCCCGGTTCTCGCCGGCTTCGTGGGCGGACCCGATGGGCTGAGGATCTTGCATCATAGGCGAGTCTATCCAGGAGCGCACGCAATTAGCCTTCTGACTTTGACTTAGGCTATTGCCGCAGCTCAAGCCTGTCGCTTCCGCTGACTTCATGCGATCTTTCGCTGTAGCAATCTGGTCAGAGGCCGCCAAAATCCCCGATGAAGCAGCGAAATTGGTACTCGCCTCCATCATCACCGACCTACTGAGTGTGGCCATTTCCAAGGCCGACTTCCTCGAGCACAAGCAGCCTGAGCCCCCCAGACCTTTCGGCGTGATAGCACCTCCGGAGCCCAACCTGCAAGCGCCGTGCGCCTTGATATGCGCATGCGTGCAGACGGGGAACGAAAGTCTGGCCGATGGCATCGTCAAGCGTCTGTTAGACCTGTCCAAAGTAGAGCGCTGTCACCGGCAAGGCATAGTCAAGAACTTCCTCCTTCCCCTCGTTTCGCTGGTGGGCGCCCAGTTGGACGGACATCTGATTCGAACAAAGCCGGTGCAGAGGCTGTATCAGGCCACGGTGGACCTCTTTCTGTCCCACATACCCGCGACACCGGGCCTGTCGAAGGCGGATGTAGAGTCCCTCGTGAAGGCGGGCGCCTTTCAAGGGGGCGCGGCGTTCCTCGCGGACATGTGCGTATCCCAATCGGCATGCCCAACAACCCTTTGAGCTGATTGTTCTACAGAGTGTGGCCGTCACTCTGCGCCCTTGAGGATCGCGGATCCATCATCCTCGACTTCGTGCAGGCATTGCATGAGCACAGAGACGGCATCCCCGTCGCCGATGGCGCGCCCACGATAGATGCGGTCATAACCCTGGCTCTACAACGCATCATCGACAACTCGCGCTGCGAGCCCTACTCGCACACGCAGTACCCAGGGTACTATGGCTACTCCAACGCATCTCAGCGGAACCAGGACTTGACTCTCTACCTCTTCAAGCTCTGCATCACGTATGGCCAGATACCCTTGTGCAGCTCCGTCTTTGCGCAGCTATGCGATAGGACCTTAATCACGCCGGCCTATATACAGAACGTTCTCGTCCCCTTCCTCCCCCAGTTGCGACACTTCCTCGACCAGAACAAGCTGCCTGCGCACACGCCGCCATTCAATGCCGCCTTCACGGAGATTGTCGCGTTATGGGCCACGCACGTCCTGGGTCCTAGGCCTCCGGACCCGCCAGCGGATATGATAGAGAAGATGAGCAAGCCCTCGTGCCACTGCCAGTCCTGTGTCGACGTGTTCACGTTCCTTAACAAGAGCACGGACAGGGTCTGTCGGTTTGAGAGACTCGGAGCTCCCAAGCGCCAGCACCTCGAGCAAGGGCTGTCTGCGCTCGCTCGCGGCGCTGCGACGTGGCAGGTCATAGGCGGTAGCTCGCAAGGCTTACTCGTGCGTGACTTTGTTCTCCGACGTCGAGAGTAGCGTGCTGATTCCTTCTTTCAGGTCACAAAGACCGATGCGGTGTACAAGCCCGTACGCTGGAAGGCCCTGCACGCCCAGGCCGGTGCTATCCTGCGGTCGATATCTTCAAACGAGGCAGAGCTTCGACTCATCTTTGGCCCGAGATATCAGGCGATAGTGGACATGCTGCACGGCATGTTTTGTGATACTCGTGGCCAAATTCCTTCAGAGTCGACTCAGCCGTCGGCCGCGTCTGCAGGCGTAGCACCCCTTGCTAGCGCATCGAACACGGCGCAGTCAGCGCCCAGTGCTTTGCCAGAATCTCGCAAGCGCAAAGCAGAGCACCTCACTGGCGACGTGATTGACCTGACGCACATGGAATGCTGAATTCATCTTCGCACCATTTGCCCGCGCAGTGACCCCAGCAGCGCATCGTTCAGTCTCAGAACGAGTATAATATATATCAACAATGTTTCGAATAAATGATAATTAGTGCTACGCTCGATAGATATCGCAAGATTAGCATACCACCTTTGTCTACTAGTAGTCCTCCGCAGGATAGTCCACCTTATCATACAGCCGGAGCGTCTCATTCCAATCTCTTTTCCTCCTTCGCTTCAGCGAGAAGTACCTCGCCTTCGCGTCCCATTTACCCATGATGCGCCCCTTCTCCCTCCCGCCTGCACTCCTGAAGTGCTCCTCCGGATCCTCCGGCAGATCGATCTCCTTCGCCAGCCACATAATTCGCTCGTGCAGCCCCGCCCGCCGCTCCCGCATCGCCTCCAGCGTCGGCTTCCCAACCTTCAGCAACCTCAGCAGCGCCGTGAACGCCCTAAACGACGCCACCGCGTCCTCGAACCACCGCAGCCCCATCCACATCACCACGGGCACCGCGACGAAGGTGAGCGCCGCGCACGGCAGCGTGAGCAGCACCGCGAGCGCCCAGACGCCGAGGCCGGAGAAGAGGCCGTAGACGAGCTTGTACTGCGCGATCTCGTCCCAGGTGTCGAAGATCGGGCCCGTCTTCTTGAAGTTGTGCACGGCGATGAAGGTGGCGAGGAAGACGGGGAGCCAGAGCGTGAGGCCGGGGAGGCAGAGGAGGAAGAGGAAGAGCGCCCAGGGGAGGCGGATGGACATGCGGTAGAGGATAGTATGGCGCGGTAGCGGGCGGCGGACGCGATCGTCCTTGATGCCCCATTGGACGAGCTGGTCTTGATAGAGCTGTAAAGAGGTGAAATCACGAAACGGCGTGAGAAAGAAAAAGTTTACCTTGAGATCATGTTGCAGGTCGTCGAGCTCATCGGCCATCACTTCCTTCGACTTGAACGCGTCCAAAAACCGCTGTGTAACGCGCACGTACTCGCCGAGGCTCATTTGCGTGCCGAGCGGCGCGTAGATGCGTGCGGCAAGCTTCGCAGTCCGTGCCATGTCCCATGACGGTGCATCCAGCGTGCCCGAACTGATGGTGTTGTGCAGCTTGGCGGTAAGCTCCCGGATGTTGGTGAAGTCCACAGGCGCAAGCAGCTCAGGGTCTTCCTATACATGGTATCAGGCGGTGAATCAGGGAACGATAGTAGGCTAGTTACATTGGGCCGGAACGTCATGGGCTCGTGGAAGCTGACCAGGACGTCCGAGCGGAAGTGCTGCCGATGCCTGAGGCTGATAAGCACAACAGATAAAGAGGTCGAGTACGACATACATGTAAGTCACCGAGCAAGGGAGGATGGATATCTTGAAGTCAGGATCATCGCGATTGCGCGACAGTACGTCCGAGACGAGGCGAGCGACTGCGACGCATAAGACCGAGATCTCACTCAGAAAGACACGACGCACCTCCAGTCTTCATAGGCGCGATCGACGGATGATACCGACTCATACCCTCCGGGAAGAGGCAGACGGCGTCCCCCGCCTCAAGCGCCTCCATCAACTTGAGCATGACCTCCGAGTTGTCGACCTTGCCGTCCGGGTAGTCCTTAGCGCGCTTGAGAGGGACCGTCCCAGCGGACTCTATGAGCCAGCTGGTGAAGGTACCGCGGCCGAACTGCGTGGCCTTGGCTGTGAGGCGGAGCATCTTCCGCCGCTGGATGCGTCATGAGGATGAGGTGGCGCGTGTGGGGAAAGGAAGACGAGCCTTGCGCGGGACGGACGTAACCATAAGCCTGGAAGTAAGCTTGAGCAGCGTTTCCTTGAAGGAGAGGGGAGTTCATACAGTGCATCCGTGAGGGAGTTGGAGTGGTTGGCGGTGACGATGCTGGAAGGGCGTCAATACGGCGCAGAGTGGTAGTCAGTGATCAACGCACCATGGATGCCCGTCCTCCGGTATCAGGTTGGCATTCTCTATGACGATGGTGCCGTAGAATATCTTCAGGACGAACTTGAAGAGCAACCTGTCATCGTCGGCTTATTTGGTACGTGCAGCGAGAGCGCCAATGACAGACCTTATTAAGATGTAAGACCACGTCGCTGGTGTTCCAGCTGACATAGTTCTAAATTATCGTCGCTACGAAGCCGAACGGAGCATGGGCAGAAAATGCTTCTGTGTTGGGTGTGTTGGAGAACGTCGAAGTCAACAAGCGCCCGCCCTGCCTCATCAATTCGACGGGCCGCGGCACCGGTCCGCGATCCGCTCAGCTAGCTTGCCTCCTCCCTTCATCGCAAAACGGCTTTCTCAATGTCTACGGACGATGCTACCGGCCGCACACCTAAGCGCCAAAGGACGGAAGATCCTCGGTCTGCATCTGCTGCTACGCGTCATCAAGAGCACTGGTATCGCGACGGGTCCATCGTTCTCCATGTTCAGGACATGCTCTTCCGCGTGCACCAGACGGTACGTGGTCTGTCAAGCGCATTTCTATCATAACTCAATAGAATTGCGACGCAGACGCTAGAAAAGCTTTCTGAAGTCTTCAAAGACCTTTTCTCAGTTCCGCAACCGTTGGACGATGAGCGCATAGACGGCTGTCCTGCAGTCCGTCTGGAGGGTGACCATGGCGTGGATTGGGTTCATCTCCTCGATGCCATCTACGACCCGCTTCAGTATGTGCACAAACTCATAGGGGATTCTGAAGTGGCTAATCCTTCAATAGCTTCGATGAACTGGCGTCACAGCGGCTAGAGGTGCATTTTGTGCGCTTATCCAGTATCCTCCGCCTATCGACCAAGTACCGCATCATCTCCTTCCGACGCAAGGCCATCGCCATATTCTCTAAGAACTTCCAGTCAGGCGATACGTACATCCCCGACGAGCAACGAGAAGCGTCCATTGACGATGCCTGCGCGATGATTGACCTCGCACGCTCCACAAATGCCTTGACGCTCTTACCCTTCGCTTTCGTGTCACTCACATGGTATCGACGCCAAGAGCCTATAGACGATGCGCCTATCTCAGATCACGACAAACTCGTCGTCTTCCGTGGGATGCTGAGACTGCTCTTCGCGAGGAATGACGATATGTTCCCGTTCGCCTACTCCTTCGATTCCCCCGACGGCTGTTCACGATCCAATTCCTGTGTTACTGTCATTGGGGATTTTTTCACGCGCCGCTTCAGAACGTCTCCACATAGCTCGTTCTTCTTCGCCTCTGACAAGTTCCCATACAAGTTCTCAGAGCCTATATGCGAGGCTTGCCTAAACCACATTCGAGCCGTCTTCCGGGACGGAAGACAGAAGACGTGGGAGCGGTTACCTGCCATCTTCGACTTGGGCAAGGACTGGGACGAAATTCGGCGTATTGAAGCGTACGATAGTACACCATGATGGTACGCGGTTGTTCACCTTCACTATGCAATGTGCTCATTCTCCCTTCAATATCAGACTTCTCTATCTTCAATCATCTATGTACCAATACGATCTATGTTATCGTTGCAAGTCAGCGACACTGTGCTGCATGTCAAAGGCAATCTCGTCGCTCTTACAAAGTCGGCTATGCAGCATTCATCTCAGGGTATCTTTATTCAGGTGAGGTTCTCGATTCCAAGCTTCAGTCCACCCGGAGCCGGTGCTATCCGGCCCTCAAAATTCCGTGCTAGATTGCACCGCAATCAAGGCCATATGCCCCACCCCCGGCCCTCGAAATCTTGCCGGCGATCGAGGGCTGGCTCCGTACATAACTCCGTGCGGTCTGATGCTTCCCCCCATGTTAGACGCATTTGTTTGCGACGTGGCCCTTTGTTTGTCACTTGACCCTGTGTTTGTGTCGCCTCGTGTGACTCTCGTGACGAGCGCGTGGCAAGCCGAGGACGGGCCGGGAGGGTACATAAGGGCGGAGTCTTTGCTTATCTCCCCACATCCACTTGTCCCTTCTGCCCCCATCTCACCCACCAGGTGGCATGCGCCTGCTGTGGCGTGCTTGCCTTTCGCTCTCTCTTCCTTCTGGCCTGCTCTAAGCTCTTCCATACACGGTCATCAACGTCACCGCCGGTGCAGCACGCATCGTCTACCTCCGTCCGGCGACCGCTGAAGAACTTTGTTGATGTACATCGATGGCAACGCTTGTGGCTCTTCGGGTGTGTGACAGTGTCTATACTATTATACTTTGGCTCATGTCCCTTGTAGCTCATCGGCGCCACTTGACCATCAATAGCAGCCCTAGCCACTACTTCAAGCGCCACCATTCTCCCATCGCTCCTCACTCCGGCTCGGCGACTCTACAGGTGCATGGATTGCTGTGACACTCCACTCAACACGGACAGAACCCAATTCCGATTGCACCAGGACCAATCGTTACACTTGACCTCTTATCGCTTGTTCGCGACAAAATGATCAAGACCCCTTCCTCTGCCAGTCCCTTCGGCACATGCCAATTTTGTCATGGCATTTTCAAGACTAGGAGCCACCTTAATGGACGACCTTTCCCCCATCGTCTGTCGAAGTTGGGACGTCTCGGCGACTTTAGCGCATGATCCGCTTTCGATATTGCAAGACTTCACACCCTCAGTGTTCCTTCAAACGCTTCGAGTCCTCGACGCATATGGACTCGGAGTAATAGACGAAGAGACAAAAGCACGCGCATCACTACATACAAGATACGACTTCGACGTACTCAAGACGTGTGCCTCGAGACCATTTGCGATCGGCGTTCCGTCCGTCCACAGCGCACTGGCGCCAGGCCTTACCGCAGTCCAAGGCTGAAGCTCACCTGCTTTGCGGGTGATGATTATTTGGCTTTCTGTTCTTCTTTTCCAACATGATGCGGCCTCAAAGCTCTGCAAGACCTTCCGCTTCAAGATCTCCCAGACTTAAGTCCTTCAAGACACGACCGGGCATGGTCGATGCCGAGCCAAATCGAGTTCAGGATACGCAAGACGCCTCAAAAATTGACTTCCTCGTACCTCTCCAGCACGCCGTAGAATCGCTCCGCTCTGCCGCGCGAGCTCGATGCTACTACGTCTCCCGTCTTCTCTCGCCGACTATTGCTGCAATTTCCAGCAAGTTGTCAGAAGACCTAAAGCACCAATGTGCACTCGTCCTGAACCATTACCTTGACCAAAGGGCACACTGATAAGCTTACGGCTCATTGTCGCTCGAAGCTTTGGTTCAGCGAAGCCAAGGAGCTCAATGTGCACAACCTCAAGCGCAAATTTCCTCGAGTTAACAAATCATTAGCCTAGTGTTCGACATTTGGATAGGCTCTAAGGCGCATTTTTTTCTTTCCTGAAAAGCCCTGAAAGAGACCCCTTGTAAAGAGGGCGCGAGTCATCCCAACCAGCCCACGGAAAGTCGAACATTGGGCACGTGACGTCTCGGAACCAAATTCGGCAAATTCCGATGCTCCAAAAGCCTCTCGGCCTTTGGCTGCTACCTTGACGATCCGGCCCTACGCTCACCGACGATGCTTCCGCATTCCGTAAACAAGGAGGTCTGTGCCCCTCGGGCGACCGGGACGACGTTGGGAATGCATCTCAGACCCAGAGCCGAATGCTTCAAGCTGGCGAAGAAGCTTGCCATCGGGCGGGTCATCTCTGTCCGGGTGACAACTCGGACGCCCAAAGCCCGCCAAACGTGTCTCCTTGTCTCCCGCCGCCATCTTCCCCGGGGCCGCCGTCGCCCTCTGTACATATACCACACGCTCTTTGACCCGCCCATTCCTTTATGCCCCGTTAACCCTCGCAAAACACACCGCCATGAGCTTCAAAGCTTCCGCCAGTCTTGAGGTATGTATGGGTTATGCAGCCTTGGCGCGAGCTTTTGGCTGACTCCGACATAGAGCATACCATCGACTCAGTCTCAAGACGAGCTGCTCAAAGGCTGCGCTAGGCAGCTTGTCATAGGCGACTTCGGCATTCTCAAGCTGCTCGGAACTGGTCGCACTGGAAAGGTCTTCCTTGCGCGCCACAGGGAGACCGAACAATTGCTTGCCCTCAAAGTCATTCCAAAGGACTCCTTGTCGCCCAAGGATTTCTCTAGCGCTCTTCGGGAGCAGCGCATACTCAAAACCCTTGCCACCGCCGCAAATGGCCGCCTGCTTTTCGTGCGCGTGCTCGCTAGCTGGCATGATACGGAAAACTTTTACCTGGCGATGGTGCGTGTCGATCCTTCAGTGCATTGAGCACATCCTGAAAACTGAACAGGAATACCTCGCCGGCGGAGACCTCGCCATAGAGCTTGGGCGCTGCAAAGTCTTCGACGAAGAACGTGTCAAGGCATATGCGGCAGAAATTGTGCGTCCCACTCTGGCTCGTACTCGAAACTAGGCTAACCTGCTCACCAGATCACCGCGCTCGAAGCCCTGCACACCCGCAGCATTGTCCACCGAGATATAAAGCCGGCCAACCTCCTCTTCCGCCCTGACGGACACATCGTTCTCGCCGATTTTGGGCACTCTCTCGCCTTCTCTACGCATCCAGACCTCGCACAACCCAATAACACGCAACCGCGCTCTTCGTGCGACTCGACGTACAAGCCCTGCACGACGACGGAAGTCTGCGGGACGCCCTTCTACATGTCCCCGGAGATGCATGCGGGACGGCAGTATTCGTACGACGTCGACCTATGGGCATTGGGAGTCGTGATGTATCGCATGCTGACTAGGCGGGTGAGTGTTGGGCGCTCGTTCACTCCCATCTTGACCTTGCTGACGATTCTTGCAGATGCCCCTCGGCGGCGACGCGACCCGGAGCGAAATCGCGGACCACGTGCAACACGACCCGGTGCTCTTCAAACCCGAAGACGCGGCTTCGGAGCAAGTCAGAGAACTCCTCCAGAAGATGCTCTCAAAAGAACCGCGCTCACGTCCGGATCTGCTGTCTCTCAAACAGGATCCCTTCTTTGACAGCATGTGAGTTCGTATCGATGACCTGTCTTCCTGTGCTAACATGTCGCCAACAGTGACTGGGACGAGATCAAGGCGCGCCGCAATGTACCCGCCTGGACGCCATTCATCCCTCCGGTACCCAAAACTACGAAGACGACGCTCGACTTCCGCCAGGGAGAGCCTTACGACGCCTGCGACGACCCGTACCCGGACTTCGCTTTCATCTCGCCTTCTTTCGCGACAGCGGACGAGTTGGCGCGGGCAGATGTGCTGCCTTCCTCGCCGCACAGCCCTCCACGCAGTCTCTCTCGGCTCCGCAAAGCGGTCAGGCGGATATTCCACTGCTCGAGGATGGCGCGGCCGGCGGCCCCGCCGCTTATCGTGCAGCTGCCCTCGAAGGAGGATGATAAGCTCTCGTTGGAAGAGTCGATGGAGTTCTTGATCGCGCTTTGAGGTTTGGGGTGCGGAAGGAAGAGATCGTTGGAGATTATCATTATGTCTTATTTACTGTGTTCGTGCTTCTTGTAGCGCTCGGTCTTCTCCTGTACTTCTCTGTCGGTCGATCCAATTCTAAAGCATGCGTGTCAGGAATGATCAGTGAGCTTGCGGAGCATGTAACTTGTGAGTGCAAGCGTCACAAGGACGGTGGACTCTTGAAGAACGAAAACAACTCATAATATATGGCATGGGGAAATGCTGCGACATACGTGTATAGCCCTTTACATCGGAGACCGTTTCACGTGTCCCTGCTCCAAAAGAGCGTTGACGTCCCCCCAGCTCCACTTCCCTCGATAGGTCGAGTACTCAACTTCGTGTAGCTGAGGGAAGACATTCCTGAGGAACCGCGCGACGTCCGAAACGTTTTCGGCTTCTAAGCGAGAGTATCCGACACCCAGGCGAGTGAGCGGATGGCCTGCTGCGTGTGACGGCATGTCCGCAGGTAATTCTGGGATAGGAGGATGTGCCAGCAGGGGCAATCGCATGTGTCGGAGACGAGGGCAATATCGTGCATAATGTATGAGTGCTTCGAGAGACGCAATGACAGGATCCCGAGTGTCATCATACGATTCTGTAACAAAGTCGATGAATTCAGCCTCGGGCCACCATGCCGCCACCAGCGCGTGTTCACTATCTGTGAGCGATAGCCCATTGGCAAGGTCGATGCGTACTTTGACCAGGCGGCGGAAGACAGCGAGCGGCTTCATATGCACAAAGAAGAGCGGTGCAATATCGGCATAGGTCGTTTCGACGTAGAGGTCCCTGAGTGCATCGTGGGCAACGCAGTCATGGACGGCTTGGAAAAATTCCTGCAGTTCGTCGGGATGGTCACAGTCGACTTGGCTGGCGGAAAGGCGCGTTAGAGCGCGGAAGTCCCAGGATCGCAATACGGCTGCTATATCCAGGCAGAAGACTGCGTGCAAGCCCAGGGTACGGAGGGAAGCAAAACCAGGTGTCAATGACGCTGGCATGATATCGGGCGTAGCCGGGACGTCCCGAAACCCCAGTTCCAGCGACTGCAGGGTGGGTATCTGAGAAAACATGGCCAACAGACTAGGGTTGCACCTCTCGAGGTCTAGGTTGACCGATTTCAGATGACTCCATCGGGTTACCGCAGTTTCGGCCAGCATAGCCGCGTGTATCTCGCTTTTGTAATGCGCAACGCAACTGCAGTCGTAGCTGAGGTCTTCGACCCGGTCGCCGATAACGGTGGGGGAAAGGAGCATGCTGAGAAACGAATCGAGGTGTCGGCCTTTGTGTAGACCTGATACAATAGCGACGCGTAGGCTACGCAGGTTTGGCAGTAAGCAACGCGACGGAGGGCATGCAGTTATTGTTGCCACTGCTCGCCGGTCACATTCCGAGTACGTGGTTGCATAGCTCGAATGAATCTCGAGGGACCTGACAAGCGAAGCATGCTGGTATACAAGCGCCCAGTCTTCTTCCAGCAGTCGCTGTGTGATCGTCTACATGACGTTGGTCGTTCTGTGAGATACGTAGACATATGAGTGAGATGACATACAATACATTCAGCTGGATCCCCTGATTGCCGCGGGTATTCATACTGTATTGGTTCACTGGTCCATTTGTCCTCCGGGAAGAGCTTCAATAGAGGAAGAAGGCCGGGAAGCTGCCTCCACAGTACAGGAGTGGCGACATGATGCCAGTCTTTCGATACGCGTGCCAGAGCCGATCGATCATGCTGACTCAAGCACGGCGAGCTGAAGACTTCGTGTAGAAGCTCGTTGGGAAGCCTCGGGAGACAAGACATATGCAATGCGGGGGCCTTTGTGCTGTCACTGGCGTCAGATACCTTGGGGCTTTAGCGTCTAGCCCAGGCGCCCTTGAAGGAACTATCGTACTTACCCAATGCACGCAAAGACTCCACGCAAATTGATAACGGGAAATTCGAGCAAGAAAAATCCTGTGAAGCAGCGTTCCGGGGAATGTTTGCGGATGCGGATGACGGTCAAGAGTGAGGCGAGTGCGGTTCCGCGCGTGGCGGGCCGGGCTCACCGAGAATGGATAGGGGTTCGAACCCGGTACCTGCCAACTATCTGTAGCGGTATTTGCTGGGTACTGACGAGGGCTGGACACGGGGATGGTGAATGAGATGAGGAATTTGGGGTTACCCAAGTCGACAACTTCAACTTCATTCAATACGAGGCTCAGAAATAGAGAACCGCAAGAGGCATAGGCGAGTTCAAGCCTTCTATATACTATGTCGTCGAGAGTCAGAGCAACCACGATCTAGCTGCGCCTGATGATTCCGATACTCCAACAGTGCGTTAACGTGCTTCCATGCCACGCTATACCCTCGGTCCAAATATTCAACTTCTTCTAGATGTGGAAAGACACCCACGAGAAACTGCGCGACTTCGGCAGCATCTTCCGCATACAATGGCGCGTCTCCGATTTCCAGATCATAGAGCGGATGGCCTGAAGGCGTGTCTGCGGGTACGACCGGGATAGGTGGGTGTGCCACGAGGGGTAAGCACAGTTCTTGGAGACGCGGGCAGCACCGCGCATAGTGCGTGAGGCAATGGAGAGTCGCAGGCGTGCAGAGGTTGGAGATGCGGCAATGCGATTCTGAATTGAAGAAGATGTATTCGGCCTCCGGCCACCACCCCGCCAACTGCGCATGATCGTCATCTGTAAGCAACAGGCCTTCGTTGACGTCGATAAATACATCGACCAGGCGACGAAAGACGGCAATCGGGCGTAGATGTTCAAGCATGGGCGCCGGTCCAGTGGTGAAATCCGCCTCAATGGAGAGGACTCTGAGCGCGTCATGGGCGATACAGTCGTGAATGGCTTGTAGGAGGTCCTCGGGCTTGGCGCAATTATGAATGCGTGTGATTTCAAAGCTTTGCAGCGCGCGTAGGTCCCAGGACTGTAGCACGGCTGCTGCGGCGTCCGACGCCACTGCCCCCAATTCCAGGCTGCGGAGCGAGAGAAAGCCGGGTGTCAGGGATACTGGTATGATATCGGACTCTTCCGCGCTTTGTTCAAACGCCAACTTCAGCAACTCCAGGGCAGGCATTTGGGAGAATGTGGCCAGCAAGCTCGGTCCGCATAGCTCGACCTGGAGAGAAACCGACTTCAGGTGAGTCCATCGGGTAGCTGCAGCGTTGACAAGCATGGCCGCGTGCGCTTCGGTTAGCCTGGTGAAGCCGAGATCTTTTTCGAAGCGGAGGTCCTCGACCAGATTACCAGTAATGTTGGGGGATAGAAGGATCTCAAGCAGCGAGGTGAGGTGCGTGTTCGTGTGGAAGACATGACGTAGATTGATATCCAAGTGCAGGCTACGCAGTTCTGGAAGAAGGCACCGCGACGGAGGGCATGCGGCTATTGCTTCAAGCGTTTGCGTGGTGAATTCCGAGCACAAAGGCGAGTAGCTTGCATGTACCTCGAGGTCCTTCACAAGCACAGCACGTCGATAGACAGGCGTCCAGTCCTCTTCTATGAGTGGCCTTGTAATCGTCTACAGTGATTTTAGTCATTACCAACGAGGTTAGAGCCACAAGGATCACGCACGATGCATTCGATCGGATAGCCTGTCAGCCGTTCATCTTCGCATTGTATTGGTATAATACTCGACGCGTCTTCCGGAATGAGCTTTAGAAGAGGAAGAAGGCCCGGAAGGCGACGCCATAGGATGGGCGTCGCAATGTTGTGCCAGTCTCTCGATGCCCGCGCAAGAACTGATAGATCGAGCTGGCTCAAGCATGGTGAGCTAAAGATCTCGTGAATAAGCTCTGCGGGAAGCCATGGGAAACAGGACATGTGCAGGCAGAGAAGCGAAACTGAGGCAGTGTTCTGAGGACAGTCGGGGGGTTTGTTTGGATGACGGTCAAGAGCAAGCTCAAAGGGGGCCACCTTGCCCTTCCGCGTACGACCACGTGACTTCTTTTGTCGACGTCGGCAACTGCCGCGAGGGTCGTTAGGTGTTGCAAAGAGGATGGCTCGTGCGCCTATCCAAGCGCCTTTCTACCATTGTCAAAGTGACTCCAGAGACGCAGTTGTATTACTATGGAATTGCAAGCTACCGACCCTTAACGGGGTTTGCAACACTTTCGGAATTTGGGCATTTTCTCGACTGTTTCGCTTTTATAATCTCACGAGACTTGGTAGAACTGTCCAATACCATATCATGAACGAATCCTGCAAATTTGGTGGCCTTCAGGGAAGAGGAACCCAGGAAATTATTGCGCAACAGTCGCCGATGCACGATGCAACAGTTTCGGCATTTGCCGAGAACGTCTCCCATTTTCTATCTGAACGGTCTGACCTCCGTCTAACATAAAAATTCACAGATGCTATGAGCGCAGCGCGCTCTACTCATATGCCAAAAATCTAAGCGAACGGAGGATGAGCGAGCTCGGGCTGGGGTGTTGCATTGCCCGGCACCTTTTGCCGCTTTGACCGATTTTGTTGCAAACCCCGTTAAGGGTCGGTATAGGCTGACCGGGAGTCGTCCTCCCGCCACTCACAAACTGCGCGGATTCGCATTCATTTCGCCAGAAGCGATGAGGGCACCCGGCGCACACAAGAGCGAAGGCGCCCGGCAGTCGTGAGGGCGACTCATTGTACTAGCGCCCTCGCCGAAAAGGTGAATGCACTGCTTCATCTGCGATGACGGTCAGCTCAAGTCCATGGTTCCTGGGATATAAGGGGACATGTACGCCGGCGGACTCACGAGATGCAAGTAGACAGAGCGCATTTCTGGAAAAAGTTGCAGTAGCTGCGAGCCGTATCAGTGGAGTATCTTCGACCCATCCTGCTATCTGCAACCTCAACCTCAGCTATATCCAAGGTTCCTACAGTATCATATACCCTCCCGGCGGCGTACGCTCTTCGTGCGGCGTACACCCTTTGAGCGGCTTTCATCTCGGCCTTTTGGCTAAGTGATCAGAAGGGTCCGAATGCGGAAAGATATACTTGACATGGGGCATAGAGCGGTGATAGGGTTTTAAGGAGCATGAACGCCGAGGACCCGCCCCGAGGCTGACTCCGGACTCTGAGGCCCTAAGCAAGCCCTACTGACTTGAGGCGAAGGATCGGAGTACTAGTACCACTAAAGAGGGATTGGCGAAGAGAATGTATGCACAACTAGTAGCGCATATTTCCATTTCTCGAGAGCGTGAATGCGATGAAGCGAAGCCCAGTGCGACGCAGCCTGCCGTGAACGGGATGAACAAGGAGGGTCTTGTTGACAGCTATTTTGGTCCTCTCTGCACGGCAATGTCCGGACTGTCTGATCCGTGTTCCGGTCTTTCATCTGCCTCGTCGGCAGCCCATACCTTCGCCCATAATCTGTCCCCTCGAACAGCAACGAAAATATGCCTACCGCTGCCTCATCACTCCGTCATGAGCCTGGGGCTTTGGAGCGTCTCGAATACGTGCCAGTGGTCCCGAATCGCGAACAACAAGGTCACTCAAGCGCCCTTTTTGCCATCTCTCTCGTATTCCCTGACAGTGTGGATTCATCTCAAAGAGAACTAGTTGCCTGGGACCATGCTCGAAGAGGTTGTTCCCGCGGACCTCACATCATGAAGTGTCCCTTTTGACCCACCTTTGCCGTCTCGCTATACTGGATCCAGTATGAACGTTCGTCCAAGGTATCATTACCCTTCGAATCCGAACCTACCTCTACGTCTCTATGATGTACTCCGCGGACTCTCTGGTTATCGATGGCCTCGTCTCTCGCTGGTAGCTGCTTGACTCCGCACTAATTTCTTGACTCGCACAAAGGGAGACGATGGTGCCATAACCTGCGCTCCACCGAACACCCATAGAGACTACCGTTTTGCCCCTCTAGCCACTATCTCGAGGGCTGGGGTCCTCCGAAGTGCTCGAGGCCACTTTACCGGCTCGCACAACTGTGCATGCGGCGTTCGTGATCAACGGGGCCGCTCCTCCAGGCCTCTGAGAAGTCAGGCTCGTCCTGCAGCGGTCCCGCGCTCCACCCGCAGAACCCGCACTTACAGTCGCCGCGCGCGTTCCCTCACATTCAATGGCAACTTCTGCGTCGGTAGTTACGCTCATCGATGGGGCGCTTTATTGGAGCTCTCTGCGCTGGTACATCGTCTTTCAAGTGCTACACTTGCACTACTGGATAATGCCCGATGAATCGACCGATTCGTGAGATTTCGTACGTGTGGAATACATCGCGATGCCACAATAATCGGTACCGACCATCGCTGGACAAGTAATGCTCGCCCACGACACTCACCTTTGACAAACATCGGCGTCCAAGTAATCCTGACGTACAACAACACCGACACTGGGCCATGCGGATGCAGTCTCCCGTCTATCCGCTCGTTCTACTTGGTGCTATGAGGCCCCCATGCCGTTCAACACGAGAGGTCGCCAGGCTGAACAAGGACGGACCCCAATTGAGGCAACAAGGCCTGCCATGCTTGCTTTGATCCGCCGGTCTATTAGCACTGGCGTCCAGGCTCTTCTGTTTGCGCATGTCGTGCTAGCCCGTTCGGTAACGTTGTTGCTCTCGACGTCCATCTCTGTGTCACTGCCGGCAGTCTCGCACAATAAAAGCACGCGAACGTTGACCGTCGTCGTTGGCGCTCTGTCCTCCCTCGTTCTCCCTCAGCTCGCCTTTTGAACTTCTTCCTCTACACGACATTCGCGACGATGAAGACCTCCACCTCCTCCATTATGATGATGATGCTGGCTGGCCTGGCTGTCATCACCTTCGCCCACGAGCACGACGTGCGCGATGCGGCCATCCATGCGCGACACCACCATCGCGACTTTAAGGTCGCGGGGGACGCGCAGGCGACGCATGGGCACCGCGGGTTCGAGAAGCGCCACCGCTCGCGCAAGGGCCACCCGTCCAAGGTGAGCGTGTGCGAGACTTATCGGTGCGCTCGTTACTGATGCTTCCGAATCTTTAGCACGCTGGGGTCGCTGTCGCCTCTGCCCCCACAGCTGCCGTCGCAGACACGATTGTCGACGGCGTCATCCACGTCAAGTCGAACTGCGGGAATATCGGGGCCACTAGTACGTCTACCCGGCTCGTCGCTCGTCACAAAGCTTCAGCTAATCGCAATCTGCAGAGGAAGTCACCGCGACGAGCGGACCCAACGGCAACATCGACTGGTTGAACTGCGGCGTCAACAACGGCGGCTGGAATCCGCCCTTCGTCACCGTTCATGATATCGTCGCCAAGGATCTCGCTGCTGCCGTCAAGACGTCGAACACCCCCTTCTCGGCTTGCTCTGCGTTCACCGCGATGTTCGAGAAGTACGGCAATGAGCACAGTATCCCGCCTATTATGCTGGCTGCGTTCGCCATGCAGGTATGTAGAGCGGCTGAAGACAACTCGTCGCTGTCTGACACACATACAGGAGAGTTCGTGCAACGCCAACACGGTCGGTGGCGCGGGCGAGCAGGGCTTGATGCAGTTGACGCAGGACAAGTGCGGCGGTGCCCCCGGCGGGAACTGCAGGGATCCCGTCAGTCTCGGGCATTTGTCCCTTGACCATTTTTGAACTGACGATGCCTTCCAGGAATTCAACATCCGCAAGGGTGCCGAGTACTTCAAGGGTGTCCTCGATGGCAACGGTGGTGACCTGCTGCTTTCCATCGGTGCTTACAACGGCTGGCAGAGGGGCATGACCTACGTGAGCTTCACGCTCCTCTTCATGTACCTCAAAGCTCACCAGCTATTGCAGGGGGAGGCGACCGCTGCGCGGTACTCCGGCAATTGCCACTGGCAGAACAACCTTGACTAGTAAGTCCGTTAGCTCCATGCCACGAGCCTCCTCTCATTGTTTGCAGCCTCCATCAGTTCCTGAACGGCTGGGTCCAGAACATCGATGCCTACAGTCATGTCCCGCGCCTCGGGAAGTACTTCAACCTTGATGGTTGCAATTGATCCGTTTTAGGCAAGGGAAATTTGTACTTTGGGAATCCGGGATGTATCGACCTAGCTTGTACACTGTATATCTTCCGTCTGTATGGGTAGACACACGAATCTCCGCTGCTGGCATGTATTCTTACTAGACTTTATGGGCGCGTTTGCGCAAAAAATGGTCGTTTTGCTTGATGACGAGGTTGTCGCGTGAGCCTCCCTTCTGCCAGTTTCCGCGCGCTTCGGCGTCGAGACTCAATCTTCCTTTTATCTTGCACGATGAGTGACACTGCGACGACCTCGTCTGCGTCGACGCCGCCAACATCGGCCCCGCCCTCGCCTGAGCTGCAGACCCTGTCCATCAGCGACAAGATTGTGACGGATGAAGATAAGGCAGAAGCAGCAAAGCTGAAAGCGGAGGCCAACAAGGCATTTGCTGGTGCGCGACGGTGCCCTTTCCTTATGTCCGCTCTCTGACATGACCATCGTGCTATAGCGCACGACTTTGCGAAGGCTGTCGAGCTCTACTCAAACGCTATCGAGAAGAACCCGGGGGATGCGACGATCTGGTGCAACCGCGCGTATGCGCGCATGAAGCTCGAGGAGTTCGGCTACGCGCTCAACGACGCGAGTGCGTATGTCCTGCTGCCCACCGATGCACCTCGCTAACATCCCCTTGCAGCCCAAGCCGCGACCATCGACCCGAAGTACGCGAAGGTGCGCGACGCGACGCGCGGAGGGTGCCCCCGATCACTGACGCGTCTACCCCGCCCCTCCCCAGGCGTACTACCGGCGCGCGACGTGCTACCTGCAGACGCTGCGTCCGCAGCTCGCGGTCACGGACTTCAAGCGCGTGCTGCAGATCGAGCCGAAGAACGACACCGTGCGCGCGCAGCTCACGTCGACGCAGAAGCTCATCCGCAAGATCGAGTTTGAGAAGGCGCGTCGTACCCTGCACCCCTCACATCCTCCCATTCGCTGACAGATACCAGCACAGGCGATCGAGGTCGAAGGGGAGAAGAGCCCTGTAGAGCGCTGTCGGGAGATCATTGCGGAAGGTGAGCATACGAACTGCAGACCGACGCGTGTGCGGTATGCTGATGACCTATGCACAGGTGGCTGCGACATTGACAAGGGGTACGCTGGGCCCAAACTCCCTCAAGATGAGGACGGGAAATACACGATCACCCTCGAGTTCGTCCGCGCCATGATCGAGTGGTTCAAGGATGGCAAGGCGTTGCCGAAGCGCTACGTTTGGGAGATCGTGCTTGCCGTGAACGATATCTTCTCGAAGGAGGACAGCTTGGTGACGCTAGATATACCCGAGGACGTTACCATCGATGTGATTGGCGACGTGCACGGTTCGTCTAAACCGTCGACATCCACACACGTGCTGATCACTCTTCGCCAGGCCAGTACTACGATCTCCTGCACCTCTACTCGCTCACAGGAGAGCCATCCGAGAAGCACTATCTCCTCATGAACGGCGACCTCGTCGACCGCGGGTCGTGGTCCATCGAGGTCATCCTGACCGCATTCTCGTTCAAATGGCTCTACCCGAAGTACATGTTCATCAACCGCGGTAACCACGAAGCAAAGGACATGAACCGCTCCTACGGCTTCGAGGGCGAAGCGAAGACAAAGCACGGCGAGCAGAGCTACAAGCTGTTTGCGCATGTCTTCACTACATGTGAGTTCTACCTTTGAACGCCGACATGGGGCTCTACTGACAATAATATCAGTACCTCTCGCTACCCTAATATGCGCCTCGAAGCCGCCACCGAGCCCTGGGAAGGCTATTCTATCATCAGACGGCAAAAAGCGGTACTTTGTCGTGCACGGGGGCCTCTTCAGCAAGGACGGCGTCACGCTGGAAGACATCCGGAAGCTCGACCGAATAGGAAAACAGCCTGGGACGGAGGGCTTGATGTGCGAAGTGAGTGAAACTTAAATGGGTGCTCACGGCGTTGCTGAGCCTTCTTAGCTATTATGGACCGATCCGCAAGCACAACCAGGCCGAGGACCAAGCAAGCGGGTACGTTATACCATCCGTGTGAGCGGCCCCCAAGTGGCTAACTTCCAGCGCTTAGGGCGTTGGCATTGCCTTCGGGCCCGACGTGACCAAGAGATGGTGTACGGAGAACGGCGTCACCGGCGTCATTCGCAGCCACGAAGTTCGACAAGGTGCGTACCAGTGTATCTCGTACGGGAAAGCAACTAACCAGGCGTTTGTCACCTTCCTGTACTTCATCCTTTCAGATGGCTATGAGGTCGAGCACGACGGCCTCTGCACAACCGTGTTCTCTGCGCCGAACTACGTCGACCAAGTGGGCAACAAGGGTGCATTCGTGAGTAGCCCTCCATCGTAGTGCTCGTGCCTCTCACAAACTCACCGTCCCTAGATTCGCATCGATGCCGCCGGCTCACAGGAGTACATTCAATTCGAGGCGCGGCCACATCCCCCGATGCGACCCATGGCCTATGTGCAGGGCGGGTTGCAAAATCTGATGATGATGTAGGGAGGCATCTCCCTTGAGTATGTCGATATCGGTATCTCGATTGTCAAATATCCTTGCTTGTATCACTGTACGATACCACTGCTTGTATGCATCACTGCATTTCTATTGAACATACGTCTCATCAAGTTGTCCGGAAGACAAGAAGTACAGTACTGCTTTCCTTGTTTTGACGAAGGGGCAAAAACACTCGCTTTGATTGCGATCTGCCCCGGAGAGGCTCGAACTCTCGATCTTGTGATTAGCTACAGCGTAACAGTCACACGCCTTAACCATCTGGGCCACGGGGCACACGGTTACACATCCCTTGTTATTGATAATGTGCGCTGAGAATACATATACCACAGCGCAGACCTCAATCTGTCGTATGCTTCACCCTGTCCCTCGCTCAGCTTTTACAGGAGACATATATGCAAATGCCGTCAACATAGTCGGTGTACATGCCCTTATTCCTTCCGCTGTAAGTACTGTATATGCAAGATGTATGCACCGATCAATCCCTGCGACGGCCGCCCCGTCCTCCATTGTCAGACACTATACGCAGGATAGCGTCTTTCGCTGCAACGATGTCATTCTCAGAACCTGCTCAACATGATTAGCGATTGCAACAACACGAAGGGCGATGCACTTGCCAATGATGACGATCGTGTTGTTTTCACGGCCGACAGTGATGTCGGCCCCCGTCTCGTTGCGCAGGCGCGCAACCGTCGAGCCCTTTGAGCCAACAATGCGCGGGAACACCGAGCGATCGGGCAGCGTGAGGAAGCCGACGTGCGACATGCGCTCCGCTGCCTTGATGGCATCCTCGACCGCGGCCTTCGCCTTATCAAGACCCTCCTGGTCCCGAGCCTTCAGCGTCCAAACCGAATCACCCTCCTCGGCGTCCTGATAGTTGGTCGTGACCTCCCACTGGTAAGCCGGGGCCTGCTCGTCCTCGACGGCGTCGTCAATGCGCGCGTCGGAGGCGCCGCCGTTGGCAGGCGGACGCGAGGGAACCGCTGACTTCTTCGGGTTGGCAGACTGGTCAACCTGAACGCCGTACGCACGCAAGCCGCGGAAGAAGCCACCCTGCTGCGAGATGGCATGGTGGTACTTGAGCGGTACAGTGATTGTGTCCGTGATGGTCTCGACGGGAGTAGGCGCCTTCCTGACCTGGCTCTGCAAAACAGTCAGACTTCTGCTAAGCGCAAAGGAGTAAACGGACCTTGAGCTCCTCGACGGCCTTCTCGCAAGCCTCCTTGGACCCAGAAACCTTGACGATGTTGGCCTGATCGACGCCCTCGAATTCGGACGCATTCAATGGCTCGCCAACCTGGTAGTATGACCTGGAGCCGGGGAACTGCACCTGCGCGCCGGTGCGGTTCTGCAAGTCGTTGAGGTGCTGCCCCCCACGACCAATGAGCGCGCGGTGCTGGGCGGCCGGAACCTCCACAGCCAGGACGATCCGCTCGCTCAACTCCTTCACGGCCTTCTCGAGCTCGGCCTTGAGCTTGTTGACGAGCTTAGGGTCGCCGCGAATGCGGACCTCGTCGCCAGTCTCACCAGGGCGAGGGCTACGATGAGTGTGAGTAAGAAATGGGCATACTAAGAGAGGACCACTGACAAGCGAATCAAGCCAGCCTGAAGCTTGGGATCCGTAGGGCCACCGGCACGCGCGACCAGGTCCCGCAAGCCTTGACCACCCCCACCAATCAAGGTGCGGTGGTATTTGTTCTCGATCGGCACAATCACCGTGGCCTCCTCATGAACCTGGTCAGCAATCTCGAGGATCGCCTTCTTGGCCGCGTTGATATTCTCCTTGGTGCCACGGATGGTGATGCGCGTAAGGCTACCATCGCTGTCGTCGGCCTTGTCGACGTCGATCTGGGTGCTGGTCGAGTCCTTGATGTCGTTAATGCTGGCACCGCCGCGCCCGAGAATGCGCGGCACGGCGCGGTTAGGCACGGTGAACTTGATGACGTTGTTTGACTCCTTCTCGAACTCGACGGCCTGACCGTTGTGAGCAAGGTCACACCATGGCTGCAAAGTGCGCTTACATCGAGAAGCTCCGACTTGGCCTGGGAGACACCCTTGCGGCCACCCTTGACGAGGACCTCGTCGGGCTTGAGCTGCTCACGCGTCTTGTCGCCGCCCTCATTATGGCGAGGGAAGGTGATCTTGACGGAGTATTTCTCCTCCAGACGGATGGCGTACTTGCCGCTTGACCCGATGAGTGCCGAGTGATACTGGGTGGGGATCTTCAGGATCTCTTGCGTCTCATCCGCCTACAAACTTCCATCAGTGACAGGGTTGGAGCGAGAGAGCGGCCATATTCACCAGACGCTCGACCTGCCCGAGAATCCTCTTCTTGGCCTCGTGTACATTCTCCTTGCGACCGACGATCTGTTCTTCGAGTCAGAATACGATGTGAATATAAACCAGGGCAATAAGCGTACCGTGACTTTGGCCTTTTGATGGGCTCCTCTCTTCTTCTTACCCCCGGCACCGTCCTTCTCGGTTTCCTCGTCGGACACGTCGACCTTGACGCCGAGAAGATCGCGAATTTTGTTGATGCCGGAGCCCTGCGACCCAACAACGCGCGCGACGAACTCACGGTCGATGTCGAACTCGGTGGACTGCAAGGATATTGAACAACTTGATGTAGACACGCACGCTTAGGACTTACGTAGCTGTTGTCGATCTCGTCGTTCTTCGCGTCCTCGACGATCTTGCGAATCTCCTGAACAGCGCGGTCCACGTCGGCACGCACACCACGAACAACGATGACGTCCTCCGTGTCCGCGTTGGCCTCTGCGCCGACCTTGATGGACAGGGCCTTGTCCTCGCCAATGATACTGAGAAGTGTAAGACAATATCTCAATTGAGTTAGAGAGGGCGACGTACGCATTCAGAGTAGTCCGGTTGACACCGAGCACAGCCGAGTGCCAGCGCTTCTCTACGGGCACGGTCTCGCTCTTCACATCGGCGGCATCGCGGGCGAACTTCTGAAGGTCCTTGCTGACATCGTCAAGATGCTTGAGGCGCTCATCCAGGGAGACGGAGAAGTTGGGCGACAGCGGGTCGTAGACAAGGAGGACAGAAGACTTCTCCTGCGACTCGGGCGGGAAGAAGACCTGAACGTTGTGCTGCTCGTGGAACTGCTTGATCCTATGTATTGCAGTCAGACGAAGTTCAAAAATACAGCCTTGACAGTGCTTACTTCTTAGCGTTCTTACCCTGTATGATGCGGTGGAGGAGCCAGTCGATGGGGAGTTCCTTGGTGCCGTTGAAGAGTTTACCCATCAGCGCCGATACCTGACCGATGACACCGTCGACGGCGGGCTTTTCGCCAGCGATGACGATGCTCAAGTTCGCAGCTTCCGGAGACGGGAGGTAGACGGAGACACCGGGGTGGGCAGCCTTCAGGATCTTGGGGTAGCCAATGCGCGTCATGTACGTGACGACCTGCTTGGCAGTACCTGGGCCAGTAGAAGGGACCGGGAAGTCGTGGATGTACTTCGAGTTGGCCTGGCTGAGCGCGACTTCCATACCCTTGGAGAGGTCCGTTTGCTTGCCCCAGACGGTGATCTCGTCCGTGGGGTCTTCCGGAGCAGGGACCGAGATGGAGCACTGGCTCTTGATGAGGATCTCTTTAGCAAAGTCACCGCGCAGAAGGACGTGCTGGCGCTTGGGCAAGTTGAGCTTGAACGACGTGAGCGCAGTCTTGTAGCCTTCCACGGATGCCTCGACGCTTTCAATGACAGCAACAACAGCCTCGCGATCACCAGAGGCCGTGACCTCACGAGCCTTGAAGTCGAACCCGAAGGACAGCTCGGTACCATCGCCACCTAGGCTCTTGTAGTAACCCTCACGGATAGCGATGAACGGCAGGATGTGCGCAGGAATGTCGCGGACGCGCCTCGTGATCTTGGAAGTCTTCGATGCGATGATCTGGTTGAGGAGAGCCTTGGCTTCGTACACGGCGGTCTCGGGACCTTGCACGGTGATGGGGATCGTAGGTTCCTCGTCCTCGTCGTCGATGGGAGTAGCCTTGCCAGAGGCATGTCCGTTCGCCTGACCGTTGGGCACGTTAAGAGTCTCTTCGCGACGCGGGATGTCGATCCTGACGTTGGTCTGGTCGCGAATACCCTTGAGAGTGATACCTAAAAACACGCCATGATGAGAACATGAGTGCGTCATGCGGCTTGCTACGTACCCTTGGGACCGATGATGGTAGGAATGGTAGAGGCGGGGGCGTCCACGACGATAGAGATCTTTTGAATGTGAGTAGACGCGCTAGCTTAGTATGCGCAGGACGTACCACCGGGCTGAGGGAAGCCAGGAGGCTACGCTTTCCCTTCTCCAATTCCTTGGGGCTCTCGGAGCGCAGGTAGAAAGTCTGACCGCCCTTCTGACCAGATGCGTCGATCCTGACCTTGTGCTTGGCCATGACCTGCTTGAGGACCTCCTGTAGCGAGAGCGTCTTGCCATCCTTGTTCGCCGGGAGGCTCACGCTGGTAAGCGTGAACGTGTCCGTGTACGTGGGTGCCTTGACAACAGCGGGCTTGATGCGCGGACCACCCGCGCCCCAGGCAGAGCGCACCGGGGCCGGGGAAGGGGACTTCGGAGCGAGGGCAGGGAACGCGGACTCCGTGTCGAGCTCGGCCTGAGCCGGCACCTTCTTGTTCTTCGCGGGCTCATCCTTGAACGCGGGGAACGGGTCCGGGGCACCTTCCAGGTTGTGGCGCTTCTGCAAAAACGGTCAGATGCACGTCCGGAAGCGGCGCACGGAGGGGACGCATACGGCGAGGTCAGAGGCGGAGAGAGCCATGATGACGGTGTCCGAGGAACGATATAAGCCTTAGACGGGGGGTTTAGACCTGATTACACGACGAGCAAGCCGCTAGCGACGAGCCCGACGCAGACAAAATTAAGAGGAGTTGGCGGTTAGGGAAGAGGCTGATGGTCTCCAAAGTCTGCCCACAGACCGCCACGACCCACCGCTTGCCTCCTTTGGGCATAACGCCCCTGTCTTCGCGCGCGGTGACATACGCGTATATGTGCGTGCGCGCTAATCAAGGAAGGAGAGACTAGCAAGCCAAGAAGCACACAAGGATACACATCAGATACATGTCCGCACAAAAGCATCTCAAGACAAGGTCATATCGACTTCCATCATCATCCTGTCCGTAATCCCGCCGTCCCCATAATCATCATCCTCCTGCCCTTCCACTTCCATCATCATAGACTCCATCTTCTGCTTCGCCTGCGCCTTCTCGATGTCTTCCAGAGTCCACAGCGAGATTCCCGTCTGGTTCTCATTGGGGTTCTGCGAGATTGTGCGCATGAAGATCTTGGAGAGCGTGATCGCCATATCGGTAGACAGGTTCGACGCGGTCTCCGTGATATACTGGTTGATCCAACGCGGCAGCTTAGAGCGCTTGTCGGATCGTCCAAAGCGCTGAAAATGGTTCAGCACGGCCCATGGGTCAACAAGCAAGCTACGCACCTTGTCGGCGAACACCATGAGACCCCAATCCGTCTTACCACGCAATACACGTCCCACACATTGCGCGGCGTTGCGAATGGCGTCGAAAGACAGGAACTCCGACTCGCGTATACGGTATGCATCGCGGAGGTATTCCAAGCGCGCTTTGAGGATGCGGCTCTCGGTATACTGGTATGGAACACTGCATTGAGGTCAGCGAGAGCAAAGCAATCCATGGAAGCCACAGACGCACCCAAACATGATGACCGCGCGGCCATAGTTGTGGTCAAAATCAATGCCTTCGGAAACCTTGCCACGGGCTACGGACAACAAGACGGCACCTCGGCCATTGTCGCATGCCTTTACGCCGGTGAGTCTCCACAAAGGCGCGAGCGAAAGTGCGTACTCACCCTGCGATAGTTCTCCAACGCTATACTTGTCTCGTTCGAGTCGGGCGTCTCCACAAAGATCAACTTGTGGTTCCAAACCTCATTCAAGATACCCTGCATTGATTCATCAGCTTTCACGCTCCTACAAAGAAGTGAATTTTCACCCACCATATCATTCCATGCCGCCACAATCGACTCCATGTACAGATAACTCGGGAAGAACGCCACGATCCCATCGGGCACAATCTTGCTGTACTCGATGAGGATGCTCCCAAAGTTGCGCACCACCGCAGGGTCGTTGCGCACTTCGAAGCGCGAGCTGATGGCCACCTGGTCGCTGCCGCGGGTGATGACCTAGGTGCAAAGAACAACGTGTCAGAGATAAAGCTGACAGAATATAGAGGTAAATGACTGACCAACGGCAAGAACGAATTACGCGTAAGCGTCATCGGATACGACTCCTGCACCACCGGCGTAAACTGCAGCATCTTCGGATACATATCAAGCGGAGAGATGGTCCCGGACGTGATAACAACACTACTGAAGCGCTCGAAGACGGGCTGGATGGCGAGGGAGGGGTCGAGGCAGGCGAAGTGGAAGATGGGATTGGGCACGGTAGCGTTGTCGGTCTCGAAGGGCTCGAGGATGAGGATGAAGCCTAATAGATAATCAGCATAGGTGATGGGATGGATAGGTAAGCGACACACCTCTCTCGTACGTCGAGACTAGCGTTGCAAACGAAGCGACCTTCTGCAGCGCAGAGTACTCGTCAAGGCGGGATAGTTCGAGCGTCCGGATGAGTGACTGGAGTCGCTCGGCGCAGAATCTTTGTGCAGGGATAAGCAAATGGTCTCTTTAGAATTTAAAGACATAGCATACCTCAATGGCCTCCGCTCAATATAAGTGATGTCCTTCAGATGTTGCAAAAACGACAAGGGCGTCTCCGCCACGACGTGCAGCACGCGCATTCTGGTCTGATGGTCGTCACTTGCAATGTCCAACGCCGCCAACTGGTGGACTTTACCTTCAAGTACTCCACGAACCGCTTCAAGAAAGCAACGAAGTGCTCCGCCTTGCGGATGTTGCCCGGGACGGCTTCGTTGAGGAGGTCATCGGGGAGAACTGTGACAAGGCGGGGCTGGTGAGGAAACGAATATGGACCCTGCAGGACAGCGTACGTGGATTTGACATGAAGCCATCTGCATCGTCGGGTCTGTCGGAGGCTTCTTGGAGGCCCTCGACGAGCCGGGCGTATTCGTCTTGCAGTTTGGCGGCGTCGGTGGTCTTGATCCTTGAAGGTGTCAATAAGGTGGCGTCGCGGCACTCGAGTAAGGCTTACTCCTCAATCTTCTCGCCTAATTTCCCGACACTTCTTGCTGCAGAATCAAGCATAGGGCGCGTCAAGTCGATACTCAAGGACTCGATGCAGACGTTGTCTGCGAGGATAACTTAGCTAGGCTTCACATGTACATGATCTAAATAGGACTTTACCGATGTTATGTGCCTCGTCGAACACGACGATGGCATCCTTCGAAAGCTCTTTCGATACTTGATCTGCGACCTTGGGATCTAGCAAGTAGTGGAAGGAGTAGATGACGACATCGACGAAGGGCATCTATAGGGAATCGTTCGGCATGTGGGTGGGATTAATGGGATAGATTGCGCACCATTCGCCGGACCAGGAAGTAGGGGCATATGGTGTTGTCGCGTCCATATTGTAACACGTCCGCCAGAGTCCAGATGCCAGGTGGTATAAGTTGTCCAGGCTCGCGCTGTCCAAGGTTCTGTGCTCCCTTGGTCAGCGAACGGGGCTTCTCCTCAAAAACGATTCACGCACCTCATGCCATTCACAAAGCTCCACCGACCCCGGATCTGCCCTCCCCTTCTCGCAAACTACCGCATTCGTCAAATCCCGACACCGCGCATCGACCACCACCCCCTTCTTCTCCTTCGACACCTCCGGGTGGATGCACAGGTTCTTCCGACTCGTCAGCCCCAGCCCCGTGAACGCCTCCTCCTTCGCCCTCTGCTCCGGCGTCTCGGCGCACTGTATGCGGTACGCCATGAGCCGCTTCAGCTCGGCCAGGGCCTTTTCGATCTCGGGGACGGTACGGGAGCAGTAGATTAGCTTGCGTTTTGTAGGGTAGAACTAGGGTTTATGTGTCAGTGAGAGGGGGGGAGTTGGAAGAGGGGGAATCGTACTTGCTGGTATGATACAATGAGGGATAAGAGGGATACCGTCTTCCCGGTTCCTGAGGGCATTTCTAGGACGCAATGGCCCTGTATAGGGTGTCAGAGGATGCTTATGCGGGAATGCGGGGTATAGCTCACAGTCGCGTCCAGAGTTCGCTTGAGATCGCACATGTATGCATATTGCTCTTGGTTCAGTGAGAAAATGGTTGGAATCCTTTCGCGATGTATAGCTACCTGGGTAGATGCGGTCATAAGGGAAGACAATCTGGACGTAGGTGAGTGAGACTGCTTGTAAGCCGAGCATGTTCGCGCACCGGAAGGTCGTCAATGTTAAACTTCATGATGAACTAAGATGGGGATTCAAGTAAGAGATGTATGAGCTGCTCGTAAACTTCGTCCGACGCAGCAGGCGGCGTCGTGCACTCGTCCGCGTCGGCGTTCAGGACAACCATTGTTTAGGCGCCCAGGGTGTCTAAGAATAGCTCGATCGCGCTGCTGAGGTCATTGGGCCTGCCACGCGGTCACCCACTTTGGTAAACAAGCGCAAGCACATAACTTGACTGGCACCCCCACGACAGGGGAGCTGCTCAGGATGCCTTCAGAAACTGCGTGCGGTACGAATGCAGCATTATCTGTGACTGGCGGCTTGGGGACATACGTTCGGCCGATGCAGAAGCTGCAGCGGCAGCGTAGCGGCAATTGTTCGGCACGACGAACAGGTGCAGTAAATCTAGGTGGGGTATCTGCACCTATCACTCCAGGTCCTCTGGAAGGTATGTATTGCTTTGACTCGTCTGTCCTGCACAACAAGACCGTTGGTATCAGTGGCGCATGGCCGGGATCGGCGCGGTAAGTCGAATTTACTCCAATCCGCGGTGGTGGCACTTATCATGGGCTCTCCTGGACGGTGTAGGCTACAGATGTGCTGACTGCGAAGGTAAGCAGAACTGTTGTCGTACTTCTTTGATAACTGAGCATGTACTTAGACCGGCCCGTCGCTCGACGTGAGAATCTTTTGCAAAGATCCATAAATTTTTCATGAAACAGGCGTGGACGCTGGGGGCGATTTTATGAACGTCAAGCCTGACCCTTCCGACCGCAACCGGGTTGCTCTTCTTTTAAAGAAGGGCCCTAAAAGCCCTCGTGAGGCGAACGTCCTGGGTAGGCGTCACGGTTGGATCCTGTTGATCATATTGTTGAAGGTCACCCACTCCAATGAGCAACGCTAATCTCGTCCTTGGCTGGGCGCATGTTGCGGGATTGCCGACGAGGACGTGGTCATGTTCTTCTCTCGTGTAGTCACAAGGCGGCTGAACTCCGAGCGCCCTCGTCAACGACCTTGACGCCCTTGCGATTGCGAGCGGGCGAAATTCTCCGCCTTGGGACGTACAGCGTGAACGAAGACGCTTCTCGCGCACGCGACAAGCTCCTAGACTGGCAGGTCTGTAGATCCCCGCCCGGAATTCGTTCCGCGGTTAGCTACCAGCTCCCATGACTAGCTTGTCGGGCTGAACTTCATCAGCGATCCTCGTGAGCGCCTGCTGGTATAGCTATAAAGACCTGAGGATGAGCACAGCGACCACCCACCACCAACCCACCGGCCACAGCTTTCCTCCAGCATGATCATCAACGCCTTGCTCGCTGTCGTCGTACTGTCGCTCATTCGCGTAGCCTGGGAGCTCCTCCGCCGCTTCATCTTCAGCAGCCCGCTGGATAACATCCCTGCGCCGCCATCGCCGTCGTTCTTCACAGGTGCGTGTGTGCTAGTCGTGCGTTTTCGACCTCGAGCTAACGCCATCGCGCCGTAGGAAACTTTCTACAGCTCTTCAGCAAAGATGGCTGAGGCTTCCATGATAATCTGGCGACTCAATGTAGGTTTCACCCTTCGCGCAAGCGGGTCTTGTAACTCACGCCAGATATTTCCCAGATGGCTCCGTCATTCGTCTGAGGGGCCTTCTCGGAGTATCTTGCGGCAACATATGAGGCGATATCAAGCTGACCAATATTAGGAGAGGCAGCTCTATGTGAGCGATCCGAAGGCGCTGCACAATATTGTGGTCAAGGTATGCATCTATTTCTGTTCAGGTTCCCGGCAATACATCAACGACAATCTCTTTCGTAGGACCAGCACATTTTCGAGGAGCATCCACAGTTTCTATGGTGAGCTTAGCAGTGGGCCCGGCGCGCCATGAACAAGGTATTGACAAGTTATTTGTAGCTCTAACAGCATCATATTCGGGCAAGGGCTTCTGACGACCATAGGTGCTTGAACACATACAGTACTCATCGCCTCTATTGACGCTAGCGCCAAAGGCGATCATCACAAGAAGCAGCGCAAACTCATGAACCCGGTCTTTTCCACCGCGCACATGCGTAACATGAGTGCGTCTGCAGTCATGTATTTATGCGCAGAGGATCTGATATTTCTGTACAGTTCCACTCTTCCAGGACGTCGTTTCTGCTGTAGGTGTGATTCTCACGATCTGTGGCACGGTCGCTCATCGACCCTGCAGCTTCGAGCGACTCTGGAGAAACAAACAGAAAAGGGCGCCAAGGAAATCGACATGCTTCACTGGACCAGCCGGACTGCCCTAGAGCTCATCGGACGCACCGGTCTCGGCTACTCGTTCGACACACCCGCGGCCGACGCCGTCGCGCACCCGTATGCAGCAACCCTGAAGGAGCTGGTGTATGTCCCTCTGCCCTTGCACCTTCACCGCTTTCTCACCTCCTCAATCAGCCCTGCCGTGTTCCGCATGTTCCTCTTCCGCGTCTATGTCATCCCCAAGGTCTACAACATCGGTCCTGCCTGGTTCCGCCGCGCGGTCGTCAACATGATCCCCTTACGCGACGTGCGCATCATACGCGATGGCATCGACTTGATGTGGCGGACCTCGAATGAGATTTATGCGCAGAAGAAGGCCGCGCTGGCGGCTGGAGACGATGCGGTGGCGAAGCAGGTTGGCAATGAGCGCGATATCTTGAGTCTTCTCAGTACGTGTAATTCACATCGAACGTCCCCGGCGCTGATCGCTTAGACAACTGCTCACAGTGCGAGCGAACATGAAAGCGGAGGACCCTCTCGATGAGTATGAATTGCTCAGTCAGATGTCGTAAGTCATCTCTCATCTCATTGCATGGTACGGTCTCATACCCCACATCCAGCACCCTGATCTTCGCCGCCATGGATACGACAAGCTCAGCGCTCGTGCGCATCATGCAACTCCTCGCCGAGCACCCTGAGGTACAAGAGCGTCTTCGGGATGAGATACGCGCGGTGAAGAAGGAGCATCCAACCTTGACGTACGACGACCCCGAGGCTATGCAATATCTTGACGCGGTTTGCCGGGAAACCCTTCGCATGTTCGTTGCTACACCCTTTCCGCCGATGTTGGACTTACTGAGTTTGATTCTGAAGGTATCCTCCGATCCCGCAGCTGACGCGCATGTACGACACCCTTGTCCTTTACCTGACTCGCATACTGATGTTCACCGTCCCTCAGGACAGGCGAGGACGTCGTGATGCCCCTCGGTACGCCCGTAACAGGCCTGGACGGACGATCATTGTCCGAGGTTTTCGTACCCAAGGGCACACCCATCATCATATCCGTCATCAACACCAATCGTAGCACCAGGATATGGGGCGCGGACGCGAAGGAGTGGAAGCCCGAGCGCTGGCTTGCGCCGTTGCCTGAGGCAGTCGCGGACGCTCATGTGCCGGGTGAGTTTGCCTGTCGCTGGCGTCGGGCTTGACCTATGCTCAATTTATCGTCAGTAGGCATCTACAGCAACCTCATGACCTTCCTCGGAGGTGGTCGATCCTGCATGTACGGCGCTTCATTTCACTTTGCCTGTGCCTTGCTCATCACTCTTGCTCGCAGCGGCTTCAAGTTTTCTCAGCTTGAGATGAGTAAGTCCTCGTCGCCGCCTTTCAAGACTGTCACTGACGCCCTGCCAGAGGTCGTCCTGACTGAACTAGTGGACGCCTTCCAATTCTCGCCGAGCAAGCAAAGCGTACAGTGGCGGATGAGCAACATCGTCTCCGCCTACGTCGAGAGTGAACCCGAGAAGACCCAACTTCCTATCATGGTGTCCAGGGCGCCTTGAAGTTGGTGTATCGGACATCGTGTACTTCCTTCTCCTGGAGAAGTTCGTCTCCCCCTATATACATTCAGATTTGGTTGCTATCGTTCAATGGCATTTGTGGAATAAATATCCGGCCAAAATTGAGTACAGGGAAAGAAAAGGCACATTTTTGTGCTGTGGAGCCTAAAGCATACACAGAAGGTACACTCAAAGCTAGTCGCTCTCGTCCATAGGTTCGCCATCCGACAGTTCTTCTGGCTGTCGGACCCCCTCCGTATTCATCATCAGCTCACCGTCTAGATCGTCGCCTATAGGAGCCGCCATGAGTTCACCGTCGATGTCGTCGGCAACAGGTTCGCCGTCAACATCTTCAGCCACAGGCTCGCCGTCGATGTCGTCGGCAACAGGCTCGCCGTCAATGTCATCAACCGGTTCACCGTCAATGTCATCGGCGACAGGGTCGCCATCCAGGTTGTCCTCGATGGGCGCCCCGTCGACATCGTCCGCTATGGGTTCGCCATCCACATCGTCGGCTGCGCTCGAGTGAATGTCCATAGGCACGCCGTCTACGTGGTCCTCAATGGGTGCGCCGTCAAGGTCATCATCGACGCCATGGTCGGCTGTCGCGTCAACGGGGACCGTCGCAGGCTGGAATGCGCTCGCTTTGAACTTCGCCGGCAGCGTCTGCGCTTCCGCACTCTCCTCTACCACCTCGTCCTCCACATGCTGATCCGGCCTGACCTGCCCTTCCAACCTCTGCCTCAGCTCCTGCGTAAAGTCCTGCGGGAACATGATCCAGTCGTCCCACACATCAATCACAGCCGTAATCTGGTTTTTGAACGTCTCCGCCGTAATCTTCCCCGGGAACGAGTGGTAGATGTTCGCAAGATGGTCGAACACGACGCCCAGTCTGCCCTGGAACTCGCCGCGGTATTTCCAGGCGCTGGGCACGCTGGCAGCGCTGTTGTGCAGGATGTCGCAGATGAGGTGGAGGCGCGCAACCTTGCGAGGGACAGGCGTGCCCTCGACGAGCAGCGATGCGACGATGAGCTCGGCGACTTCGTGAGCGGCTTCGGCGTGCTCGAGCGCAAAGGCCATGCAGCGCGCGATTTCGCCACGCTTTCCAGACATTGCACGCAGCATCGCAGAAAAGCGTTTGGCCGCCAGCTTCCCGAGGGCGCCCTTACGCGTACGTTCCCGTTCAGATTCCTCGGCAGAGTCAGTCGAATACACAGAATTGTATCCCTGAGGCATCATGAGCAAACACGACAGCGACGACAAGCAGTAAACCCACGTCGTCATCGAACTCTGGCTCAAGAGTGCGCTCCGACTCAACGAGACCACGGTAGAATGCATGTCGACGATGCTGTACAACATTAGCCAACAAGGACGATTGCCAGCATGTCTTCACTCACCCCGCGGTTGGTCATGAAGGCGTACTTGGTATTATTCTTCTCTCGCTCTTTGAGGTTTGCTTCGTAATCAGCGCCATGACCCTTCACTTCGGCGGCGACAGCGCGTATAAACGAGTCCGTGACGATCTCGTCTCCCAAGACAGGTGATGATTCACGAGCATAGCGGGGCGACAAAGCGCGTCCGTGGGCGTCCGCGCCGCTTCGGCGAGGTGAGTGCGACCTTTCGCTGCTGAGAGAACGTGATCGCGAGTGATGGTCCCTTGGGCTGCGACTTCGTCTCGAGGGTTTGTCTGATGTTAGTGTTGAAACTGCAGTAATGGTGAGTAGAGGGCGTACAGAGTGAGAAGTACAACGCACCAGACAGCGGCCGTGGTGCGACTGGTACGGCCTTGCTCCATCCAACGCGAAGCGTGCTCCCTCCCCAATCATAACCATCGAACTGACGCAAAGCATCTTCCGCATCTTTGCGCTTCATGAATGCAACGAATCCGCTGAGAGAGTTACCCTTCAGCTGGCGTATTCCAGCGGCACCAAAGGTAGGATCGTTGCGAGGCCACATAATTTTGACCTGGACCATGTTCAAACTCTGACAGACGGCGCTAGCAGGACACATACCGATCCCACAGGGCCCGCCTTCGCGAAAAGTTGTCCAAGGCTCGGCTCAGTGGCATGAGGGGGAATGTTGGCAACGAAGAGGTTGGAGGTCTGGGTTCTATGTGAGATGGCAAATGACTGAGATGTTCGTTGACGTACCAAAGGGTCGCCTCTGTCTTTGCTGCCGCTCTGTCCTTCATATGCTGTACCCTGATGTTAGATACTTGAGGAGACCGAGAAGCAGACCACGCACCAGCCATAGCCGTAGCAGACGATCGGCCTTGCCCAGAGCCTGTTTTACTGTTCAGTCAACGTCTATCGTCCCCCTTGACTTGCACACCTCGAGAAAATCGCGCTTCTCGTTCTGCCTGATCTCTGTATGCAACATGAGCATGCCGAAAGGGTGTAAAGGCATGATTCCGCACCTTTTGATCTCCTCGAGGAACTTATCCATCGCGCGCTTCCCCTTCGGCTTTGGCGGTGCCAGTGGAGGCGGAGACATTGACGGCTGAAGGGACGTCAGGGTTTACAGATACATCGTAAATTCTACAACGCACTAGTCTGCGGCCAGCAGAAGGCCCTGTGGGGATAGGCTTTTCGCTGGGTGCCTGCGGAGGTCGTTCCCCGGCCCTCACGAAGGCATTCGTGGCTGCCTTCCTGGACGGACCCGGCCCATCGAACGCCTCGACAAACTCTGCGTAGGCCTTCTTCGTGTTCTCCTCTTCTTCCTTCCGCTTGGCCTCTGCCGCCTCCTGCTCCTTCTCCCTCTTGGACTTGCGCAGACGCGCGCTGAGCTTGGCCTCGTCTACGGTCTTTTGCTACGAGTGACGGGATTGGTGAGTGAGAACGGAGGGGAAATGTATGCGCCGTCGCACTGAGAAGGTGAAGTCCTCGTCATCGTTGTTGAAGAACGCGGCAAGTTTCGTCGACCGCGGGGGCATGATGGTGGTTCGTGTCAAGTACAAGGACCGACTTGCGGGGATAGCATCGATCACTTTTCTCACACTCGGTGTCACACAAGTTCAACTTCGAGAAGCGTTGTCCAGATCCCAAATATTTCCCATTTGACCATGTAGATATTCTGTTACACCAATAGATATCGACCTTCACTTTCCCTTCCCTTCTATATATGCACGGTCTTGCCGCTGATGGAGATATCCGCGACGTAGAGCTGGCGGGTGTCCGCCGTCGTGCCCTTGTCTGCGTGGAACAACAGATGGTCGGCGCCGCGAGTGACGTCGGCACCACCAGGCGAGTACAGCTGCGAGTACGGCGTCGCGGTCTTGAGGAGCCATGGGCCCTTGGTGTACGGGCCCATGATGTTTGTCGCAGTCGCGTACGCGACGTCGTAGAGGGAGCCAGCGTAGCAGTTGCTGGAGAAGAAGAGCACGTAGATGCCCTCGGACGTGCGCACGAGCGAGGGTGCCTCGATGAGAGGACCGTCGTTGGCGTCGCGGTCCAGGATCTGGGTGTGCCCCGTGCCGGGGTAGAAGGACTTGCCGTCCGCGCTCATGCGCTGGATCATGATGGGGGTCGACTGGATAGGCTCAACGCCGTTGTTGCAGTTCCCGCCATGACCGATATTGTTCCCGTCGACCTTCCAGAGAAGATATAGGCTCCCGTCGACGTCGGTGAAGACGTGAGGGTCGATGGCGCCGCCAGAGCTGGTCGGCATGCGTTAGGCGCTTGTGCAGTAGGTCAGAGATCAGACGCATACCTCACTGGACAAGCAAGTACGTTGTCGATGGGCGTGTAAGGCCCCTGTATGTTGGTAGACGTCGCCGCCGAGATACAGTGCACGCTCTTGTTCTCCTTGTACACCGCCGAGTAGTACATGAGGAAAGTCCCATCCGCCTAGACTATGATCAGCATCCTCCGTTCAAGCCGAATATGACATGAATATACCAGCTGTGTGACGTCGGGAGCCCAGACACCACCGTCTGCCCAAGCGCCAAGCTTAGGCAGGGCGTCAGTGCCGGTAAGCGCCCAACCGACGTGGATATCGCCCGACGTGGCGATAGGTACGTTCTTGCCGCCAGAGGTAGTCGAGAATGCATACCAGCGCCCATCAACCTGAAGGACGCTGGGATCCGGGAAGTTCGCGTCCATCATGGGGCCATAGACGGCACCCTGGGCGATGGGAAGGAAGGCAGCGAGAGGGAGTAAAGCGGCGAGTAAGTAAGAAAACATGGCGTTGCGCGAGGGTCAGCCTGAGGGATAGCGCAGTGTATACCCTCCTTATATAGTGGCGTGCCGTGGGGCTGGTCCTGACCAGGGAGTGAGAGGGCAGGCACCGCCGCATTGAGGCCGGTACCAGATTCGCTGTCCGCAAGGTGCAGAGTGAAGCGCCATCGTTATTCTAGGACCTTCCTGGCCGACACAGGGCATCGTCGCAGTCGTTGTGGGTACGATCATGGGGCATCGCAGGCCTACCCTCGAGCATGGTCGAGGAAGTTGAGCAGAGAACGAGAGAGTACCCATCATGCAAGCGACTACATCTAGAGACACTCCTTGGCAAGAGATCTGCAGAGCAAGCCCACGTCGAGCGAACGTCCATCTTCGTTTTGTGTGGACGCGCGCGTAAGCCGACGGTAGCATTCGGCGCGCCAGTCAGACGATCTTCAGGTACACGGAGGAAAGGACACGGTTTCGTTTGGAGAGGGCATGCACTCGGGCTGAGGGCGCAGGCACCGAGAACGGCCGCATCTCGAGGGCAGATCAGCGGACTCCGGAGAGGTTAGTCGGGCAAAGAGCCAAGATGATCAACCGACGGCTGTGTGTGATGGGATAAAGGAAAGAGCTTGCCTCAAATCTGAAGCCGGCAAATGCCGGTCCTCACGTGGACCAATGTTCGACTTCGCCAATCTGGGCGTTCGCCAGTAGCTTAGGATTCCGCGAGACTTGAGCATGAAAGACTCAATTGAAGTGTAACTCCTCCTGAATCAGTACCGGAGACGATGAAGGAAGGTAACGATGCAAATATTACTGCAGAGTCATTATCGTAATTCGTGGTTATCCAAGTCAATCGTGAATGATCACAGCGCAAGCATGAGCGCTCAGTCATGAGTTAGTTTGAGCTTGCTCTTACTCCTCCTCTTCCTCCTCCTCTCCAAGCGGGGCAAGATAAAAGCTATGCCTCCGACTACTATGAGGCGTTGTAGGCGACTTTGCGGGCGGGGTGTAGGAAAACGCATCGCTTTCGACCACCCCCGCGGATACTTTGCTGACCCTCCCATTCTCAGATGGATTCAACGCAGAGGTCTCGGCAATAACAAAAGGGTTGTCCTCGGGTACTTTTGGCAGCGGTGTCCTGGGAGACGCAGGTCCAGGCAACGGCCAGGATATCGGCTGAATGCTGCGCAGCTGAATGATGCGCTTTGCCTTCGCCTTTGTAGGGCTTTTCTTGAAGGGACTCGGAGTAGGAGTTTTTCGAGGAGAAGCGGCGACACCGTGTAGAGAGCGGACGTGCGCAGCAAGCGAGCGAGGGTTTTGGGCGATGTAATCGCATCCGGGCTGTTGACACCGGTTGCCCGCTAGGTCGCGACTGACGTGTTGTTAAGTAGGCTCTCCTGCACGCTACTGTCACTTCTCGCTTACTGGAATGAATTTACATGCACAAGGACTTTGCTCTCACTGGCGCTAGCATAGGGACATCCACGATGGGGACAGCGGAGCTCGCTGCTTTCAACGTTCAGTATTCAGCTAAAAAACCAAAGACCTTGCAAGGCGTACCCCTTTTCATTGACTACGTGCCCTTTTTCGTGTGTTCTCCTCTCCTCTTCGGTGTGAAAACTCTTGCCACAAGAGACGTGTTTGCAGAGGAATACCTAATAACTGTCCTTAATATGTAAGCGAGAAGCTTGAAGGCAGACACATACGGAAGGGCCCTTGTCGCCCGAGGGCAACGCTGAAGACTCGCCTGCGCGAAAGCTCGTCGTGGCGAAGTTCACTGCCGAAGGCAACGTGGTACTCATCCACGGTCGTAGCTCGGAGAGGTTCACTGACGGCCGATGCTTGTCGACCTGCAACAGCGTGTGCCCAGCAATGAAAAGCAGTGGGCTGGGCTAGAGAAGACCCGAGAAATCCGTAGTGCGACGAAGCGAACAGGCTGACCGTCGAAGGCAAGACTCACACGTGGTGCATGTTCAAGTTCAGGGCGGAACTTATTCTGACACACGTGGCCCGGAACCGTGCTGAGCGCATCACGTGGGGTAGGTTCATGCCAACCACAGTGACAGAATGTGGCGGCGAGACCGATGTATCCCATCCGATGAAAGATATCAGCGAAGATGGAGAGCGTGATAAAGACTTTTGACATTTTTGAGAAGCTTTTTCAACACCGAAGGGCTCTGTACGCGGGCGGCGATCTGGTGTATCGACATGAAGCAACACCGTAATGCACATGAGCTTGCTTCCAACACTGTTCACTTGTTCGCTTGCGCATGAAGCTTCCGTGACATCTCGTCGATGCTCACGCTCGCCCCATAGGCCGATATAGGCAGAGAGACGTCCATGGCTTGTTGATATTTCTTGACTGCAGGCTGTCAGTAAATTGCTCAAATAAAGTCAAAGACGAAATTGCTTACTCGCTCCCGCGACGTCGGACCATTTACTCTCCAGTTTCTTCTCGTACATATGGGCGATGATCGGGTTCGCCGAGCCCACATCCGTCTTGACTTCCTCCAACATTTTAAAGAAGTCCTGGGCGAAACTCTGCCACACTCCTTCCATTTTCTCGACGACGGTTATGGCTGGGCCAATGATATCCAACAGACTCTTCAAGTCTCCCTGTAACACAGTGATTTAACGAACTGACGCTGGAAAAATACAAATGCTCACATCGATAGCTGTCAAGTCGGCTATAATGGAACTTTCGTCCTTGAGATTGCCTTCGTAGCGAGCTAACTCGTCCTTGAGCTCGTCGATGCGAGCCGCCATATCGGCTGCCTTCTTGCCGTACACACCAGCGACAGTAGATGCCACAATGAGCCCGATGAAGCCCAGCCATGCGTAGGAAGGGGTCGTGCAGGCCACTAGCTTGTCTGCCGACGGCGCTATAGCCACGCATTGCAAGGATGTGCTAATGTACGCACCGTGCTCGTACTCCGCCGTATCGGCCTTGATCTCCTCCCGACATTCCTTCACCTTTCTCTGCAGGTTGTCGACGTCGTCGAGTTCCTGAGCCGTCTTGTCGTGTACCAATACACTGCACTGAGCTAGTCTGGACTGATATTCCCGTGTCTGCTGTTCGAAATTGCGGAGGTCGTCGGCGCAGGATGATGCTGCTACCTGAAGGTCCGCGGCAGCGATGTATCGGTCAGAGAGGCGGGCAGTCAGGTCGTCTTGCAGGCGTTGAATTTCTTCCGGGGTGGCCGCGGACCCAATGTCAATGATATCCTGGAATATCGGTCCTGGCGAGTATAATGAGCAGCCGAGCTCGTAACGAGTGCGCTTGACTTACCGTAAGAGCCACCAGCGGCATCCTGAGCATAGGCAAGAGCGTCGTCGGTGAGCTTCGGCAACTTGTTCCTGAACGTGTCTTCGTAGAACGACTGACAGTGCTTTTGGGCCTGGGCGGCATCAGTACGCGAACCCACAGAAACTGAACGCGCTCACGGTGCCATACACATCAACCAGTGGCTTGATGACTTCTGAGAGCTTGCTCGCTGTGCGATCCGAGATGTTGAGCCGCGCTTGGTACTCCTCCTCTGTGGTGGGAAGTAATACACCGGACCATACATACTTCTGAAGATCGTACACATCCTGATGCTGCAAGATGTAATTGTCGGCCGAGTTCATCAGGTCCAGCGGAATAGTTCTAGAGAGAAGGTCGAGAACGGTCATGACGATAGAACTGAGAGGGCAGGAGGATGCGCGTCTGCGTGTCGATGTTCACGTTGAGTCGATTCTGGGTCGCGGAATATATACCCGGGGCATGGCAAAAACGTCAGACGATCGGCGCCCAGCAATAGGAATCAATCTTACCTGTGTGGCAACGAATGTACGTTGCGGCTCCCTCTTAGGACGTCTGGTGGTGGTCCTGCAGACCATCTAGTGAGCCCCTGGCGTCCGCATTGTAGTCAGAGCCGCTTATAATGGAGGCCATGTTCGCAATGTGACCAAAGCTGACGTACCCTTTCGTGGTAGTCCCTCGATGAGCGGTGAAGAGGCGAAAGTTCAACCTACTGCAAGTGGGCGGCGAGCGGCGCTGGAGTCAAGGGCCGCAGCAAGCGTCACTTCTAGGACCTGTACGGAGCTGGAAGGGCCACTTGTGAAGTATAGCTCTGGTCGAGCACCAGGGCGCGATTGCATAAGAGAGCCGCGCCGAAGACAGGCAAATCATGGGCGCCGACTGGTTTGGCTGACTGAGAAGTATCCAGCGGGGACAATGAGGTCGAAGGCATGGCTATGGATTGAGCGAAGCGAGACACTACGAAGGGTTACGCTACGGTCATGACAGCGACGCGGGGGAGGCACGGAGGAGTAGACGCGCCGTTTCGGGAAGTAGCTGAGGGCGGCGGAGAAAGAGCACGTGACTCCGTCCGCTCTTTCCTCCGCCCCTCATCTTCGATACCCTCTCTCGTAGTCTCTCGCATATCACCCATCCCCTATACTACTACATCACCACGTGCTGAATAGCCAGCACTCACGAATCTCGAAATGATAGGACAAGACAAGGTAACGGCACGACTGGGGCGTTACGCGTCGGAATGGTTCCCACCACACCGGACATTTCCGAGAGCGCACGTGACAAAGTTGGACTTCATGCAATCGCCCGTTATTGATGTGGACAACGTGGAACAGGCTTCCGAGGGCATATAGTCATGCAAATAATCTCTTCCAGGTCAGCATGAGATTTTCTCTCTTCATATCACCATCCTCAAACCCACCTCCTTCCCTCCTTCCACAGCCTTTCATCTTGAATGCGGGCCCTTCTGACCGTTATCTTCAGCTGTTCAGCCTATACAGATATTCGATAGCCTACTGTAGAATTGCTTGACTTTTTCCTGTCTCCAAGTGCACCGCACTCTTCGCAACCTTCTCCCGTGTATGCGCGAACTCGCTCTTGTATTTCATCTCTCGCATCTTGACTGTCGTGCAAGCTCCCTCAATGTTAGATAGCTACCACATTGCTCCGATGAGACGCAAGAAATACACACTCTCCTGATGTCAAGGGGTCGGACACTGAAGCACGTTCCCGAACACTGGCAGTGTCTTCAACTCCTGGTACCGACGTGCAGTCCTTACCACCAGCGAGCTACGACACGCCTTTGCTGGGAGTGATGCGCGTCAAGGGGCGCGCTGTGCTCGCACCGAGGCAAGCCGACCTGCGAGGTCGCGGATGTCAGTGGCAAGCCATCAACGATATCCCAATTAGGGTTGATCGTGAACAAGACTTGCCATATGCGGGTTGTCTGAAACCACCGAGGTCCGAGGCACCGCGACGCGAACCCAGACGATGGGACGACCGTGTACTCCGTGTACAGCCTTCATCGCATGCATAAGATGTGCTCTATACTGTCAATGATTATATCCCCTTTCTCCCCCTCCTTCCGTCATGCCTCCGCATCTTCATCGTCGCGCGACGTACCATATGTACGATCCGGAAGGGCTCCCCTCGTACCATGAATCGCAGGCCGCGGAACACGATGGGAAGGGCAAGAAGAAGGGTCAAGAGGGGGACATTGGTGCGTGCATCTATCCTCTTTCCAGTCCGCTACTGACTCTGCTTGCTAGACTATGCGGAATGGAAGGCGGACGGCAAGGGCCTGTCCTCTGCTGCGCGTGTGGCGAGGGACGGTCGCATCAACGTATCTCTCAAGCTCAAGCGGAAGCTCCCCGATCTACCTGAAGACTACGCGCCTGTCGTAGACGAGTTTGCCGTTGATAAGGGCCGCTGGTTCGACTGCCCTCCTCTGAGCATCGTCATCATGATCGTCGGTAGTCGAGGTGCGTATTCCCCTCAACCCCTGTGCAATAGGCCCTTACTCAGTGTATTTGTAGGTGATGTGCAACCCTACGTCGCCTTGGGCAAGCGCTTGAAGCAAGATGGGCATCGCATCAGGATCGCCTCGCATGAGAACTTTCGTTCCTTCGTCAACGACAATGGCTTGGAGTTTTACGGCATTGGCGGCGATCCCCATGAGCTCATGTCATATATGGTCAAGAACCCTGGCCTGGTACCAGGTATGGAGTCCTTGACGAACGGGGATATTCCAAAGAAGCGAAAGGTGCGCTCTGAGGAAAGCCTGCAGCTTGCATTTGTCTGACCTTCTGTCAGATGCTCGGCCAGGTAAGACGCTGTTTCAATTGTGTCTACTCGGGCTTCACGACTCACGCACCTCGTCAAGATGCTGCAGGGCTGCTGGGACTCGTGCTCCAGTCCGGATGAGACGACTGGTGTCCCCTTCATGGCCGATGCCATCATCTCGAACCCTCCCGCCTTCGCGCATATCCATTGCGCCGAGGCCTTGGGCATACCACTACTTCTTAGCTTCAGTGCGTACTTTTCCCCTGCTTGTGGATCTCTTTGCCAACGCATTAGCAGCTATGCCATGGTGCGCCACAGGCGCTTTCCCTCACCCTCTCGTCAACGTCAAGTTTTCGAACGCGGGAGAGCGATTGACCAATCATATGAGCTATGCCGTCGCTGACATTCTCACTTGGCAAGGGTGCGCAAAGCCTCACAGCCAGTATGCACGAGTGGCTGATGAGGTCCTATAGCATGGGCGACATTATCAATAAATTCCGCAACCGAGCACTCGGGTTACCGTCGTTGTCCGTACGGTCCGGCCCAGGCTTGGCAGACCGCTTGAAGGTGCCGTGGACGTACTGCATGAGTCCAGCACTGGTGCCGAAGCCAAAGGACTGGTCGAACCATATCGACGTCGTTGGCTTCTACTTCTTAGATTTGGCGGCGAGCTTCACGCCTCCGGACGATTTGGCCGCGTTTCTTGCCAGCGGAGAGACGCCAGTCTACATTGGATTCGGCTCCGTCGTCGTTGATGATCCCGGGGAGATGTCTCGCATCATATTCGAGGCGACGGCAAAAGCGGGCGTTCGTGCAATTGTTTCTGCAGGATGGGTGAGTCGCCGATCTGCCGCATCGCCTGGCCCACCTCATACGGCTTTCAGGGCGGTCTCGGTGGCCTTGAAGTTCCACCGCATATCTACATCGTCGGCAACGTCCCTCACGACTGGCTTTTCGCCGAAGGGCGTGTCTCTGCCGTCGTCCACCACGGCGGCGCGGGTACCACTGCCATAGGCCTCTCGAAAGGACGGCCCACCGTCATCGTCCCCTTCTTCGGGGACCAGGAGTTTTGGGGTACGTTGTTGGGTGCATCGCTCGCTCTATGTTGTTTCTCATATTTCGCCTGCAGGAGATATGATTCATCGCGCTGGCGCTGGCCCGGCACCCATCCCGCATAGGAAGTTGACGGTGGAGAACCTGGCTGATGCTCTTGTGTACGCAACGAGCCCGCCTGCTCAGGAGGCCGCGACGAAGATGGCGAAGCAGATCACGACTGAGGTACTTTCTTGCCGACTTGTCGTGCGAAAGTGTCTAGTACTGAAAACTCTGCTCAGGACGGCGTAGCTGCGGGAGCGGAGAGCTTTTACCGCCATCTACCACTTCTCAACATGCGATGCGATGTCTGCCCGGACAAGGTCGCGGTCTGGTGGTCCACGGATCAGGTGTGGAGAAGACGCCTGCCTGACAATGATAGAAAAGCCTGACACTAGTCTACTAGTGCCTGAAGCTCAGCGCGCTCGCCGCGCAGACATTGATCGAGGCTCGCGAACTGAAGCTAGAGCACTTGGACTTGCATCGTTCGTAGTTTCTTTACCATATCGTTAACTGGGTCTCATTTCGTTGCAGGGACAAAGGAGTACGAGTCACGGAAAAAGTTCCGAGACCCTCTCACCGCTGGCGTCGGGGCGTTTTTTTGGACGATATTGCAATGCGAAGCCGGTCTCGTCGAGCTGTTTACGTGAGTGCTTCGGCTGCCGTGGCTGTCGCCGAACTCAGTCTTCCCTAGTAAGAATCCTGCAATGGGCCTGGTGCATACTACGACTGCCATCCCCAGAGGTGCGCGAGTCATTACTCATGGCATAAGGATCTCTAATTTGCTTTCAGGTGCCTACAAGATCCTCAATCATCTGCATGAGGGCTTTGCCAACCTACCGTCTCTCTACGGCTCTTCGGTGCGCCACCAAAAGAAGGTTACTGGAATCGGGACTGGCGTGAAGGAGGGCGGGAAGGTGTGTACTGTCATTGCTCCAGTCTGCGTCGTGCTTAACTGTGCTAGGCGTTGTTCTGGGGTGTAACAGACGGTATATCCGGGCTTGTCCTGGAGCCCTACGAAGGCGCAAAGAAAGATGTGAGTGCCCTAAGCACACCTTTGGAGCGCTCTCCTGATTTATTATCAGGGCACTGTCGGCGCTTTGAAAGGAGCCGCTCGTAGTGGTAAGCGTCGCGCCCATAACAGAGGTCCGGTCATAACTGACTTTCGTACCAGTTGCCAACCTCTATATGAAGCCTCTCGCTGGCATGCTGGGCTTCGTCAGCCTACCGCTTCAAGGCGCCTGGCGTAGCATTGAGTCGCCTCGCAGCCAGCAACAGGAACGTCAGCAGCGCCGCCTCCGTGTCGAGGAGGGAGAGGAGGCCGCGCGACATCTTTCGGTCTCCGAGCGCCAAGAAATCGTCTACCGCTACTACGTGCTCAAGCGCGACACGCATGTCCGGCGCCAGCGGTTGGCCGCCCTGGCGGAGGCGAAGCTCAAGGAGGACATGCAGGAGGGCGCGATGGAGGATGCGGTCTTCGCCGATAGGACCTCGGGGACGACAGCGAGGTCGCCGGGCACGTCGCAAGCCTCTAGTTGCCGGTCTAGCATCTCGTCCTCAAGTACGACTACTGCCCCTACGAGCACGCGACCATCTTTGATGAGGTCGTCTGCGAGCGAACCAGCGGTCAGACATTCCGAGAGCGAGAGCGAGCTGGAACGCAGGTACCAAGAAGACTTGAGCCATGCCATCCGGGTCTCTATGTCGGTCTCGAGACCCTCAGAAACGCGCAGCAACACGCAGTAGGGCTTTCGATGTGATACCTCTTTGATCCCTGGACGGACCTGCCTGGCAGAGCCGTATGTCGATCCTGACTAGCCTCAGCGATGTTTGTTACACTAATTTATCGCGATACTAACGCATTGCTTACCATAGAATAGACTCCGGACTTATTACTTTTGATTGGGGCCTCTGTTGGCCCGTCATACAGTACTGTACTTATGTCCATTAGACTCAATTCTCTGCCACTCCTGCGCCATCCAAGTCAAAGTTCTTGTTGTATTCTTGCTGTTGGGAAGACCATCAAGAGGGCTATTTGTCGCTCTATTGTCGCGACCCGGTCCAGATGTCACGCCGATGTCACGGTTCAACTTGGGCGCTTTTTCGTGATCAGCCACGAAGTTGTCTCTTCTTTCCCTTTGCGAGAAGCTGTTCGCTCTAGTATGCATTATCATCGGCTAACCCCACCTGAAGGCCTGGTTCATTACCGACACTGTCATAGAAAAGTCGAACCGTGAGAAGGAAATCACGTGTATCTGTGCAGTGACGCGTCGCGATGTACTTACGATCCTATTGACCTCTTTCCTATTTACCACCATGGCCTTCGCTCAGCCACCCGCGAATATCCAAGGAAAGATCCTTATCCTTGTATGTATGTCCGTCTACTGCAAATTCTGCTCATGAAAGAATTTCTGTAGCCTATCGTCTCCACCGCAAATGTCTCCCAGCTCGCGGTTGATCTTCTCATCGCGACGTTCGGCCTGAGGAAACTTTCTATCTTGGACCCAAAATACCTGGTTCCAGTTGCTGGCCCCAGTGAATACGACTCATCTGAGCTGGTAACACCCATCGAACGTACGTGACCACTTACCTCCAAAGAAAGTAGTAGATTGATGGCCAAGCAGTGTATGGCGCCGATGATGTGCCTTTCGTTGTCATTCAACAGAGGTCGCCGGTGCTGAAGGTTTGTGATATCAACTGTGTCTTCTACAGCGAGCTCAAGCATGAGTTCAGACGCACAAGCAAGACTTCGTCGAGGCGGTCTTGGAATTTGCTAGGCTATCAAGGCCTTCCGCACTCATAACCCTGTCCGGGGTGGACATGTCGAACCGTATGGATGAACAGATGATGTTAGTGCGGGACCTGTATATATGCGAAATGGAGCGCTGATGGCATTCTAGGATACCTACGTACAATATCGTACCGAAGGGCGCATTCGATCTTCAAAATTCGCCATTACGCGCTCTTGCTGATCTACCGATCCCGCCGTACGCATCGCCTGTCCCTCAGTTTCTATCGCAAGGATCCGAGGGTGCAGTCCCCTTCATACCCGGCGGTGGCATAACACGGCGCTTCTTGTCATCTCTCCCGAAGGACTGGGCGATACCGACGCTAGCCCTGCTGCACTTCGTTCTTGAGGGTGACAACAGGAGCGACGCGCATCTTCTCGCCGCGGTGGTGTCTAGAATAATCGGTGTGGACGCCGGAGGGTGGAAGCAGCCGCCAAGCTGGAGCATGGGACTTTTCGGGACGCCACAGGATCAGACGCTGTTTGGTTGATATTTACCTTTGCTGTAGAAAGTCCAGTGTGCGTCTCAATCGCTTGTAACTCGTCGTTATACGGAATCGTAGGTAGCGCGCCTACATATTCCTGCTCAGCCGTTTCTGGCCCCGTGTTCTATGGCTTCAGAGGAGTATTGTGACAAATGCATTGCATACGGAATGCTACCAAACTCGAGAGGAGAGTGCCAGTCGAGCAAGGTCTAACATAGTTGGTGGCAAGCCACGTGTTGCTCGCTGAGACCAAGCGAGCAACACTGAACACTCATGTGGAAGTTGAGATGCCGCACCCATGGATCATGCTCTGAAATCCAAGTCTCATGAGAGAAAGAAGGAGAGAAGAATTGGTGCTCTTTGGTTCTCTCCCTGAACGCAGGGGGTTGAAAGGGGTATCAATGCGCCTGCAATTACGCAGGCGGTTGATGCGTTTGTCGGCATCGTGCCATCGAGACCGCGAACGAGGTTGCTTGCAGCGACCCTCCATGTGCTATATGGCGATACCATGCCTCGTCTTAGGCATGGGACTGTGGTCATCGTGATACACAGCGCTTTACTGCATGTCTAGGGTGGGTGGGTGATTATGGGCGCGCGTCACGCCACGCACGCTGACGCGTGACTGCGTCGCGCGCGCGCCGCGCGCCTGCTGGCGCCCACGCTATGACATCACTTTCCGCGATAACCACTTTTTGTACTTGTTTGGTCGGGGAGGCAGCCCTATTCTCGTGGGTTAGTCAGTGTTGCTCGCTCCGCCTTTCCCTCCCTCGCAAGCTCGGGGGGTCCCTAAGGCGTCGCTCGCAATGATCTAAAAACAGTCTTTTGACGGTACATGAGGCGTATGACTTCTACGGGGACCGACAATGCCGCCCTCATTGGGCAGAAAGGATGGTGGCGTGAGACAAGAGTGCACGTGGGATTTATCCCAATTAGACAGTCTTTAGGATGTTTCCGCGCATGCCGCGGACCCAAAAGTCAATTGCCCTGCAGTCGAATTGGACCAGGAAGATTGCCCGTGAACACGATCGATACAGATATACATAGGAAGCCTACTGAGCTGCGTAAAGATCGACCTCACAGAGCGAAGAAAGTGTCTAAGGCGCTCCTACTGATGCGCGAAGAGAACGCGCCCCAATGCCCAATCCTCGTTCATGGAATCTTGCCTTCATATTCTTCGTCTATCGATGCTATGAAGTCGAGAAGCTGCATCGACCCCCAGTCAGGGCTACTGTTCAGAACATGACACTGTTAGAGGCTTACCACCTGGTGCCGCCTCTCGCCCATAGCTTGTCCAGGGGCGGTCTTCAGGCGGTCCTTGATATGGACAAGTTTATCGTGGAAGTGCTGAATTGCCGAGCTCTCGAGGTTCGGGTCGTCTGCAGGTGTGTAGAGGGGGCTGTGGAAGGGAAGACTTCAGTCAGCGACCAGCGAGGTGAGGAAGCACTACCTCGCTCACTGATTGGTGCTCGCATTGAATGCGGCGCAGCGCAGGACGCCGAACGCGCCGATCGCGTCAAGTCGGTCGGCGTCCTGAACGCAGTGCAGCTCGAGGCATTGGTCATGCCATTCGGTCCATTGACCGGCGGCGCGCAGCTTTTTCTCGGTCGACCATGAGACGTTGTCGACGATGCGGGTGACGGTGCGCGCCCGGCCGTCGGTTACGAGGTCGACCTGAGGATGTATAAATATGAGCGTCAGAGAACATTGATGGTGGACGGACGCTGTGCTTTTCGGCCATCTCCTGGAAAAAGGGAAGGAAAAAGGCGTAGGGGTCTGCGGCTTGCTCGGCAGAGACGTACTTCTTGTCCAGCACGTCGTGAAGGAGGGCCGCTGGGGGTCGAGGGGGTCGGTACAGGGAGGTGCTTGAGGTCAGAGGCTCGTACCCAGCTCAACCGTCAGGAAGTCGGGCGGAGTGGGTAGAGCCTGGGCGAGGCGCAGTGCCGTGCGACGAACACGCTCGACTGGAGAAGAGCTCAGAGCTATGCTAGGTGTATTAGCGAGACTCCATACCATGGTAGGCGTCATGCGAGGGATCGTAGCGGGCCATTGTATCCCGCATGATTTTCTCCGCTGCAGCGACGACTGCCTGCTCGTTGGGGGTGTAGTTGGCCATGATCTACAGAGAGAAGGAGCACTGATGATCATGTCTATTGACTCCTCTGACTCACAAATGCTCACCTTGGTCTGCGGCCGTATCCGAATGAGTGTAGGCGCCCGAGACGCGCGCCTGGCGCGCGCGTCGTGGTGGCGGGGCGCGCATCACGTGGGGCGTCCCCACCCCTGACGCACGGCTCATGGCTTCTGAGCCCAACGATGACCGCCCGCCCACCGCCAGCCCGCCCGCATCTGGCCTTGCATGCCTCCGATTTCGGCCGCACGCCCACAGACTGGGCGGAGGACGATGCCTGGGACAGCGCGTCCGATGACGGCAATGACCGCCAGCCCACCGCCAGCGACGCCTGGCCGCGCGCGGAGTCTTCTGCGCCGAAGCCCGTACCGACTCGCACGACGACATCCGAGAAGAGCTCGTCCTCGTCTACATTAGCCTTCTCATATACCCATGTCTCTGCTCCGAATCCCAGCTCCTATCCCCCGCGCGGCGAGCAAGCTGCGCTGCCGGCGCGTAATGGTTGGACGATCGTGCATACCGAACGCTCGGACGCGGACGATATACCTGAGGGGCGCGAACACCATGCCTCACGCGCCGATGATGTCGAGGTGGAAGGCGACATGATCCTGGGCGAGATGGATCCCGATCCCGCATGTGGGACCAGTGAAGGTCATTCGCAAGTCGCGGACGAAAAGACTGGGAAGGCTGCGATACGGGAGGATGCAGAAGCTGTCGCTGAAGGTGCGTTATAGTGCTACACTAGAAGGCCTATTCCAATGAAATGCGCTAGATCCCCTCCGCGGCGTCAAGCATCGCCCAAGGCGACCAGAACGCGCACCCACATCAGCCCCAAAAGATCCTGCCCTCACCAACCTCGAGCACTCCGAGAAGCTCATGCGCGAGCGATCCATCAAGTCCAATCGACGACACAAATTCGTCGACTGCCTCTCCGCCGAGGATGTCAATATCGGTGCGTCTACCATCCTACTCCCGCTCTACCACCCCCGCTAACCTTGCCCACATTCAGCCGAGCTCCGTAAGATAGCCTGGGCTGGCATCCCCCAAGACCTCCGCCCGATGGCCTGGCAGCTCCTCCTCGGCTACATCCCGCTTGCCACCCCGCAGCGCACCGCGACGCTCCAGCGCAAACGGCAGGAATACCTCTCGCTCGTCGAGGTCGCCTTCGCGCGCGACCGCCAGGGCCTCGACCAGCAGATCTGGCACCAGATCGAGATCGACGTCCCGCGCACGCGCCCGGGCGTCCGCCTGTGGATGCACGCGGCGACCCAACGGGTTAGTCTCCCCCTTGCTTTCCTTTGTAACGCCAACGAGCCCGCACCACTCACGCTGACATTTTCCGGCTAGTAGAGCCTCGAGCGCATCCTCTATGTGTGGGCAATCCGACATCCGGCCAGCGGCTACGTGCAGGGCATTAACGACCTCGCCACGCCCTTCTTCCAGGTCTTCCTCTCCGCGTACATAGACGCGGACCCGGAGAACTTCGACCCCGGGCTGCTCCCGCCATCCGTGCTGAACGCAGTGGAAGCGGATACCTTTTGGTGTCTGTCGCGGCTGCTGGACGGGATACAGGATAACTACATCTTCGCGCAACCCGGCATTCAGAGAAGCGTGAGGAGGATGGAGGAGCTGGTAAAGCGGATAGATGGTGGGTGGATATATGGGTTGTTCGATACATGTTGCTGACTAGCGTCCTTTGACAGCCCCGTTAGCGGCCCATCTCGCCTCGCAGAACGTGGAGTTTATGCAGTTCGCGTTTCGGTGGATGAACTGCCTGCTCATGCGGGAAATCAGCGTGCGGAATACAATTCGGATGTGGGATACATATCTGGTGAGTTCGCTCGGTGCGCTTATGAATGCTACGTACTCAACTTTCTTCAGTCTGAAGGGCCAGACGCGTTCTCGCAATTCCACCTATACGTATGCTCCGCTTTTCTGGTCAAGTGGAGCGAGAAGCTGCAGCAGATGGACTTTCAGGTGCGTAGTCCTTCGCGGATCCCCTACCTATAGTCTGACGTTGAACCCAGGGCATCATCATGTTTCTGCAATCACTGCCGACGCAGAGCTGGGGCGACGCCGAGATTGAGATGCTCCTGAGCGAGGCGTTCGTCCTCAACTCGATATGGCAGAATGCGCAGAGTCATTTCAACTGAGCACCTAGCGAGTATGGCCTCCTTACCGAGAGTGGCTTCTCTGCTGAGGGAGGTATCCTTTGGAGATCTTGACGATGATGCGTAGTGCCTGTACATATCAGGCTGGATGATGGAGGATCTTGCCAGGTCGCGCCGCAGGCGAGCGCGACTTGTGGAACATCGTGTGTGGAAATATAGATTATCGCATTGTATCAGTATGGCCATGGATACGCATGCACATTGACAACATTGACGTAGCGCCCAGTCGACCTTGGGCTGAACGACGAGCTCAAAGGCGCATGATCTTGCGAAGGCTGACCTGATTTCGGCGTATGCCGAATGTGCGAGTTACGAAGGCTTTCTTCTGCTTCGGAGAGACTGGTGTATAACTATCGAAGCGCGATTTTGCTCAATCGGACGGTACATGCTTGTTATACATTCTGATGCTATAGTACATTGTTCGTAGATATATCCTATTTGTGAAGATTGCCGAACAATTCACTGGGCCCAAGGCCACGGGCTATTCTGCGCACCCTGCTGCCGCAGGATGTTTTCATATTCAGCTGCACTCGCGTTCCCTGCAGTCAGGTTGTGTGCTGTCCCTCCGATGATTGCGCCGCATTCGGGGCACCGTGAGACTTGGTTCGCTCCGCCGCACTGTAGAACGCTGGTCAGCCTTTTCGCACAACAGACATCAAGGAAGGACGTACATCGTCAATCACGAATGTGTGTCCGTTAGGACAGTTGTACCAATGACCTGTGTGCGCTATATGCACCGTCAGCCTTGACCGTCATAGTAATAGACATTTGTCTCACTGAAGTTGAAAGCCCGGACGATTGCAGTTTGCTCGTCCATGGACAGCGGCTGGTAGAACGTGTCCATCCGCAGGCTTCGCTCAAGTTTCTCCCACTCGTCGACAATCATGGCCGCAGCGGTCTCGAAATTGACAGACAGCCACTCGCCACGGTCTTGGGGTAGCACCTGCAGGTGCTCCTGCGCCGTCTCCTTTGCAAGCCCCTGCGCAGCGCTACGCATTTCCTGCGCCTTCTCCGCGCGCTTTCCGCGCTCTTCCGCGCCCACTGACGCCCCACTCAGGTTACTCAGCTGGATGTTGGCGCGGAAGATCTCGAGGTGGGAGCGCAGACGCAGCAGAATTGAGCGCGTCATCTGCTTTCGCGATCCCGTCTTCTTCGCGATTGCGAAAGCGATATGCGTGTCCTTCTCCGCGCTGGCGAGCAGGAAGCGGATGTAGACGTCCCACTCACGGCGCTCGTCAGCGGGAATGCGCGGTCCGGCTTTGACGCACTCCTCGAGCCATGCGATCGCGAGCGAGGCCAGCTGGAAACGCAGCTGCAGCGTCGCCCAAATTGCCTCGACGATGAAGCGGCGGTCTGCGAGGGGCTCTGGCTGCCCGACCTTCATGCGCGCCATGCGCATGGCGTACTCGGCGGGCCGTCGCGGGGCATGCGCAGGGTCGGAGACGGCCAGTTCCATCTCGGCTTGGTAGAGGTACGCGAAGGATGCCTCCCAGGCACTCGTATGTGCGCTCCGAGTACTTGCGAGCTGGAACGCATCTCGATAGATGGTGAATAGCGGCTGGACCTCCTTCTTCCAGGAATTCGCGGAGAGCTGGTTGATGTCGAAGAATTTCTTGTTCGTCGGCAGGATGAAGTCAAACGGCGTCGGCGTCTCGCGCTGCTGGTTCAGGACGCTGTTGCGGGCCTTTGTCGCGGTCTTGCGGGCCTTGATGTTCTTTTCCTTGCCGCCCACCGTGAGACGCCCGACGAGCATGGCGAATCTGCCCTTCATCGCGTCGATTGCTAACCGTTCGATGCCGCTCTGAATACGCGAGAGCTGGTCGCTCATTCTCGAAACGACCTTCTTCTCCTGGACGTCGAGCTGAGCACTTCTAGTCGCCCGACTGTACCTCGGCGACGTGATGGGAGCTCGGCATGTCGGGCAAACGGGTAGGGGTGGTTTCTCGTCGCCTGCCACTTTCAAGGCCTTCCACGAGCCCGACTCGTCGTCCCTCTCGTAGAAGTAGCTGAGATGCAGAGCGCCATCGAGCGTTTCGACGGTGAATGCGTGACCGCACTTCGGGTTCGTGATGATGAGCTCGTCGAGCGTGCCGGCACTTGGATCAAGGTCTGCCAAGGTGCGGTACATGATCATGTCGGCGACGTCTTTCTTCTGTTCATCAGACGCGCATTCCAGGCAAAGTTGCTTGAAGCAGTCCTCGCCGCATACTGCAGACCGGTGTCAACAAGCTTAACGACGAGATAGTCGTACTGGTCGGCTCACCAGATGGACACTGATGGCCGCATGGCATCTCGTTGCGACACGGCTCATCGCAGGGCAAGCGGATGCAAACCTGAATGAATTAGTCACTGAGCTGCTTGATCAATCGGGGGACGTACAGAGCCGCACGGCACCGGACAAGCCTTGTGGGCGCATGTCCTGCAAGCCATTGAGTATAGAACATGTACATCAGTGGTTGTGCATACCAGGTACAAGCCTCTTTGCAGCTAGCGCATGGCGCAGAACACCGCAGGCGACATTTAGCGTGCGCGCACTCTTGACGACAATCCTCCGAGCAGGACTTCGTACAAACGTGGTCTTGAGCGCAGGGCAGGGGGCATGCATGTCCGCAGAACAGAGGTTTCTTGCAAGGATGACGCGTATGCTGAGCTCGCGTCACCTTTCCGTCGTCCGCGCGTCGATCTTGGTTGAGGCTCTGACAATCGGAGCAGCGTGACTGGCACGTCCGACCACAGCACCCCATGGTTCCATCGCAGGGCTTGGTGCATATGTGCGCCTCTGCATCCCACGAGCACGGCATTGATGCGGAGTGCTCGCACGACGGGAGGTCCTTCTCGACGATGACTTCGCACATCACGCTCTCCAGATCGTTCATGAGATAGCTATCAGAAAGCGCGTCAAGCGAGGGGCCAGGAATCAGCAAGAGTATTTACCATGGTACTTCTGCCTTGATGTGACCACACGGCAGTTCGACATCATGCTGCATGAACGTGCATTCCCCACACTCGCGGTAGCATTCCTTGTTGCAGGGATGCCCGAACGGACAAAGGCGCAAGCATTGCTGCGAGCAATGCACGGTGATATGCTGCGGATCGTCCGAATGACACTGACAGAGTTGAGCTACGAGGGCCTGTCATCCTAACTGCCCGTACCTTGTAGGGGCATACGTGGCCGCAAGGAAGCCTGTAGTCGCATGGAAGGAGGCAGCCACCTTCCGAAGATGTTAGGCGCCACTCAGGACAAGCAATCCAATTTTCCGGCTCACCGTCAGGAGCGAGTTGACGCAGCTGTCCAGGATCTGATACCAGCGTAACATTATGTGGATGCCGATGGCAGGCAACTGGGATGCCCGGGCCCACGCAGCCGTCTTGCTCTAGCTGCTGTATGACATCGGCCCACATGGGACTGCGAAGCGCGAGCTGAGGTGCGTTCCCAAGTATATATAGGCCTTCCTTGGCACGCGACAGTGCGACTTGAAGTAGATAGCTAGTTAGTGGCCGTGAAGCATCACAGTGGGTTGAGCTTACCATTGATACGATTTTCGGACTTGCAGCAATGAGTGATGGAAGTGATGGTCACGGACGGACCAGACTTACTTTGAGGAAACCAATCTTCGTACTGCGCCGCGCGCCCGTTACCTCGTCCACGGATCCTGCATTCCGCACGGTGGAAAGAATTACGATCTCCAGAGGTCGTGAGCACTTCCGTGATTAGTTGTAGCGAATCCATACCTTGGCTTCCTCGCCTGGTGATATCTGTTAGTGTCATGATCTCTTCGAAATCTGCCTACGCACCCTGGAAATTGTCGACAGTACGTAGACGAACCTATTGAATCGTAAGCACGTTGCACTATACATAGCCATCTGTATACACTGACTTGCTTCGACACTTGTACTTCCCTGGCCGCTGCGTTGCTCTGCTCCAACTCGTCCTCGTCGACGTCCTCGTGCGTCGCAATGTCTCGTGCGTCGCGCTCGTCGATCACGACGACCACTTCGCGCGAAAGGGCGTCGCGCAGCTTCACCAGCTGACCCAGATACATGCACAGAACGACGATATCGCCGTCCTGTGAGTAGCATCCTTGTCTGTACTTCGTTAAGTCCTATGCAATGTGTCCGGCAGATGGCCCAACGCACCGAAGGAGATACAAGACTGAGTCCTTAATCATGGAGACCTGGTCAAAGAGTAAGGGAATAGGCAAGTAAAGCAACATTATATGCGTGCCTCGTATGTGTTGTGCTTGCTAGCCCCTTCCTCTGATCCTCCGCTCTCTGGGTACTCGTGTGACAGGAAGAAGACGTTCTTCGCCATGCCGTGCACGTCGTCGTAGTCCTTGACGCGGTCGTTGTCGACCAAAGCCGGGTACAGTCGATGCCTGACATAGCATCGGTATGCAGAATATTCGGTGCTCGCGTCGTGTGCACTTACCTGACCAGATTGGAGATCTGTGGCCTCATTCTCCGTTGGACATTGATCTGCGACATGGGAAAGCCGGCCTTCGCAAGTCTTTCCATCAAGGACATGTCGAACCTGAACAGCTCGCGACCGCGCTTATTGTCCATTGATAGAGCTGTACGCGCGAGTCAGAAGGAGCATGCGGCGACTGTCTAAAATAGTTACCGAAGTTGTTCAGCGTCGGACGTAGCTGAAGGGGATCACCGATGAGGATGAGATGCTGCACCGAAGGCACAAGACTGCCGATGACGTGCGTCTCCAGGACCTGACCCGCTTCTTCTACCACCATGACGCGAGGTCCAAGGCCCTGAGGGGAGCATCATTAATGATCGTTCTTGTATGAAGATTAACAGCGCTTACATGCAACAACGACGTCAGTTTTGCCGCGCCTGCGTTCTGGATGAGCTTAAGGCGCGCGTAGGAGATTCAATGACCTACCGGTCGTAGTGCAACCAATGATATCGCATGACTGCAGCAAAGCACTCCTGCTCTGTGTGTGGCATGAGGCGCTGCGATGAGGCGCATCAACGGTGGCCTTACCTCGTCCTTTCCTTCTTGGTACCGCTTGAGGATATCCGCGTGACGCTGCTGAAGGGCGGTGAAGGACTCCAAGTGGCTGTCGATTCTCGTTTTGCGTATTTCGGCCGTCCAAAAGTCGTCGAGACGCATCCGCTCTTGCATCGACATTGACCACATGTCCGCATCTTCCAGTAGGACTTCGACAGGTCGCTCGGATATAGGGATGTCTGACGGAGCAGTGGATCCTTCAAGCTCATCTTGCGGGACGCCTTCTTCATTGACTTGAGCGGGTCTGTTATCCGCATGAGGCTGCGGCGTCGTCGCGCGAGGAGTGGCGGGGTCTGCAACCGATTCTGCGACGACAGATCCTACAGACGATGCGTCCCAAGGCCGATTGGCAGGGTCTTGTGCGGTTGGCATGCCGGCTGCCCAATCAATCCGGAAGAGGTCTGTCAAGTCGTCGACATCCGACTCGTCGTCACTATCAGAAGCACTGTCATCGTCCTCATTGCGAGCGCCGTCCTGCTCGTCGTCATCGTTGTCATCGCCACGATCCTCCGTCGGCCGAGCAAGTATGGAGAACCTGTTGGCAGAGGGGTCCTGAGGGCGTTGTTGGTGCAGGCTCGACAGCGCTGGCACATCGGCCGGTTCGTTGGCGTCACGAATATAGTCTAGATCGCGACCCTCGGACCAGTAGGCATATATACTATTATCCAGAGCGCCAACAGGCCCGCCCCTGCGAACGCGCGTGTACCCCTCCTCTTCGTCTGCTTCATGCTGCTTTCTGATGGTATTGATCCAGGCCGGAGGCGTCCCCAGAAACTCGTTGTGCTCCGGATACATCAGACTCAGGTGCTGCTGCTTCTCCTGCGACGAGACCTCCGTGCTGAGGAAGTTGCGCATGAGCTGCTCGATCTCCTTCTCAACGTCCTTGAGCTCGTGGTAGAAGCGGTTGGAGACGCGGTCTAGTCGAGACTGTCCAGCGACCAGCTCGAGGGTCTCGATTGAGTACTTCGAGATACGTTCGTCTGCGGAACGAGAGCCCAAACGAATAATTTTCTTTGTGAAGCCGGCATCGAGAGCAGAGCTCAGCAGATGGTCGAGTGCATGGTTGGTGAAGGCGATGAGTAGGATGGGCTTGGCTTGTGCGGCCAGCAGGACACGGAGAAGCTCGACGCCGGTAAAGGACTGGACGTGCTTTAAGCATGATGAGCTCGACTAGAAGACATATGCTTACCTTCCCGGTTCCCGGTGGACTACATGAAGAGCAACTATCAGCGATACAAAGCCGTCATTGTGGCGCAATACGTACCCTTGCACCAGCGCAACCTCGCGTGTGAGTGTGTCAACGACGGCGTCTGCTTGACTGGGATCGAGACGGCTACGACGGAGTTCTCGACGACAGAGTGCAACGGATCCCTTGTCGGTTGCGTCAAGCTCAAGGTGCTCGTCGTCGCCCTCCTTGAAGAGTGAAGAAAGATTGAAGCGGAAACCCGGTGCACGCGCGTAGTTCGGAGGCGGGACGACCACGTTCTTGAAGTGCCCAGCCGGATGATGCACGATGTACTCGCCGAAAGGGATCTCCGTAGGTTCGACCGTCTTCAGTGCCTCCAGGAACGGCCGAACCGCTTCATACATCACAGGCGCCTCAATGAGCAACTTGAGCCCGTCCCGCGTGTTATCGCCCAGCTTCAGCACATTCAGGATACGAAACTGCAGGTCCGAGTCGAAGAAGTGGATCTTCACGCTGATCCTGTCCGCGCTGCGCTGCGCTGCATCCGAAATCTCTTTCACGGTGCTGCCGATGAGGCCCAGATGCACGGCGACCTCGCCGCCCTCCTTCCACGCGAGCGCGATGAGGCTGCCTTGCATCAGTCGCTTGCCGCTGTTTGTCTGCCAGTACGTCGCGCGCTGAGCGGGACGGGGGTTGCGCGCCGGGCCTGGTGGCGTGTCAAAGTTGAGCTTGACAGCGAGGCCGCGGCGGTCGGGGGTGAGTGTCTCGAATTTGACGCCGGTGTAGACGTTGAACAAGACGCTGTCGAGCTCATCGTTCGCGCCTCGGTATTTGCCACCTCTGTTTTCGAGGATGCCCGACAGCTGCGTCTGCCCTTTAGTGAGGAGGTCAGTCCTAACATGACGCACAGAGGAGCGAATGGGCGCGCTGCGCTCGAGTATCAGTAGGCGGACTTCGTGTCATTGACCAACACCTACGTCAGTTCCTCTCGCAGAAGACGGAACCCGATATCGAGATGCCGGTCCATGGTCCCGACCGGTAGATGATGCGGCGCGCCGTAGATATTTGCAGGAAGACAAGGCGCCTGCGTACACAGCAACTCATCGTGCGTCGGCGCCACACGAATCTGACCGATATCTTCATGATCATTATCATGCCGACCACCCGGCGGCACCCAGGTTGTATGCAGAGCCGCCGAAAGACCTTCGTCGCGATACGCGTCAACGACGCGTTGCGTTGAGGCATCGCTCGGCTTTTGGGAGGCATCGAGCTTGGCCTGCTCGCGCTTGGCGACGAGGACTAGGCGGGTGAGCTTGCCGCGGATGTGGGCGATGATGTGGTCGCGGGCGGCGGCGCTGTTGTTCGCAAATGCATCGTCGAAGGTGGGTGGCGAGGCTGTGACGCCCGTGCTCCATGTCTCCATCCAACGATCCAGCTTGTGGACCAGGGTGAGGAGGCCGGGATGTTCGACGGGGGCGGCCTTGAAGCGGGATAGACATCTGTTCATATCCCAGTGAATATAAGATATCTATCCTTAGCGACTTGTTCTTACTCGAACAGAACTGTGGTGAGCGTTGCGAAGATCTGATGACCTTGAGGCGGCTTGGTTTGGTTCGAGCCGAAGCGATCCTTGAAGGACCGCGCGGAGATCATCTTCTCCATGCAGGTCTCCACCGTCTTCGCAAACGCGTCGAAGTTGTCGAGCAATACACCGTATAGGGCGCTGCAGACCATATGAGTGATATTCAGGTCAATCAAATATGACTTACTTGACGCTGGTGTGCACTGTGCTCTTGAGTACAGTGTCAGAGGCGAGGAACTACATAACTTCCCTTTAGTAATGAGTTGCTGTACTGAAGAGGAACGCACTCGAAGCAGGGGCAAGTAAGCCCGCTGGAAGCTGAGGATGAGCTGCTTTTGAGCGAAGCTTGACTGGGTTGAGACTTGCGGCCATCGTATGACGTCTCCTATGCGCAGAATGCCATTGCCTGGTACGCGCGCGAAGTCGAGAATGAACACCTTTGCGAGCCATTAGTCTCGCAAGCCTATCAATGCACTTGTAAAAGCGCACCTGGCGATCTTCAGCGGACTAATGCATGGTCAGAAACGTCCTCTTAGTTAATGGGAAGATATGATGCGCACCCACAACGGGTTCTGTGTGTTGACATTGGCCAGACAATTGACGAAGGGATAGATGAACATTGCACTGTGAAAGCGGTAGTCATCGGTGAAGTACTTGCGCAGGACACCGTTCGTCTGCACAGGGGGCAGCCACGACCCGTCGACTCCGTACAAAAGATCGATCCCTCCGATCCCAAGCCTCGCCAGCTCTTCGTTGGAGAGAGCTGGCTCGGTCCCACTGCGCGCCCTCGCTACGTCTTCTTCAGACACATTGGTTGCTGTGTGCGCATAGCGGCATCGAAATCCTGATCCGCGGTCAATCTCCAACCAAGGGGTCATTCGAGTTCCTCACCATAGTCGCACGCTCCTGTGTTCCAGTAGGCCCTGCATATTCCATTGGGTGCAAGGGTGAACGAACGAGTACGGGATGGCGAGGGTCCATTCCCCTGTCCAGGTACATCAGCGGAGGCGTACGACGAGGTGACCTTTTCGTGTCTGTAGGTGCAGGAATCGCCTCTCCTGCAACCCGATGGGCTGTTGAAGAATCGACACGGATAGGAAGCCATCCTGGTCAATCTCTGGTGCTCGCGATGGTTGTAAACAAGAGCAGGATCAGTGTGTAAAGCGAATTTTGCTGTTAAGCGCCTTTGAATGCATTCGACGCTGCGTAAATAGACGCAATCCTAGTACAGTCTCGTAATGGGGTTGCAATCTGAGCGCGCCTATCGATAGCTGAAGGTCTCCTGACGAAGTGCGCGTATAGAGCGCGCGTCATGCTATGCATTGGAAGTCGAAGGCGTAGCTGACACCCATGCTATCTGGACATGCTGCAGCCTCCACTCCTGCTTCGCGTTGTCTAGGCCAAGAAGGTCGGGTATCCTGAGATGTGTGCTGTGCGTGGAGGTTGAACGCATACGTCTTCGCAGAAAGTTGGAGTATCACATTTGGATGTCGGGGAGATACAGAATACAATGCAGTCAGGATGGCCGGAGGTAGGCGCTTTGTGAGTGCAGGAAACAAAGGACATGGACGCGTTTACGGCCGAATGACCGAAATCGGGAGATGCCGAGGGGCGGGCGGCTCCTCGTTCCGCGTGATTGCACTGAGTCCTGCGTCTGCCCGTCATGCTGCGAACGCGCCTCCTCCTCTGCCGGCCATTACTCGCGCGTGGATACGCGTCCGCAGTGTCTCCGAGGACCCTCGTATTGCTCGAACACCGTGGCGGAAGTCTGGAATCGGGTTCTTTATCCGCCCTAACGGCAGCTAGCCAGTTGGGCGGGGAGGTGACCGGTCTTGTGTTCGGCAGTCCTGAAGAGGTCCCGAAGATCGTCGAGGAGGCGAAGAAGTATGTGGCCCCTATAGTGATGTAGACAAGTACTCACCGAAGTCAGGCTGAAGGGCTTGAACGCCGTCTGGCATTCCGCTTCCCCGCAATATGCGCAAGCGATCCCGGAGCTCGTGTCCCCTCTCCTGCAGAAGGTTCTCTCCGACTCCAACCCCTTCACCCACGTTGTCGCCTCCCACTCCTCGTCAGCGCGCTCTATCCTGCCGCGTGTAGCCGCCAAGCTCGACGTGCAGGCAGTATCCGACATCACCTCCCTCGAGCATGACGCCTCCTCCAACGCCACCACCTTCCAGCGCCCCATCTACGCCGGCAATGCTATCGCGACCGTCCGCGCACCCTCATCTATCCCCGTCAAGATCTTCACCGTCCGGTCGACGGCATTCCCCGCTGCCGTGACTGAGGATGGTGCCGCAGTGGAGGACAAGGCGATCGACCCTGTGGAGGTGTCAGATGCGCCGACAGAGCACCTCAAGACGACGATTACCAAGTCTGACCGTCCCGACTTGAGCACCGCGAGCCGTGTCGTTTCTGGAGGTCGTGCGTTGAAGAATGCGGAGACGTTCGAGAAGACCATCTACCCCCTGGCCGATGCGCTCGGTGCCGCCGTCGGCGCCTCGCGCGCGGCTGTGGACGCCGGATACGTCGACAACTCCTTGCAAGTCGGGCAGACCGGCAAGGTCGTCGCGCCGGAGCTGTACATGGCTGTCGGCATTTCGGGCGCCATTCAGCACTTGGCGGGCATGAAGGACTCAAAGATGATTGTTGCGATCAACAAGGTATGCATGAAAATATATGGTCAAAGTGTTGTCGTGCTGACTCCCTATCAAGGATCCCGATGCGCCCATCTTCCAGGTTGCAGACGCGGGCCTTGTGGCGGATCTATACGAAGCCGTACCCGAGCTGGTGCAGAAGTTGAAGCAGTAATACGCGTTTTCCTCTGAGTTCCAGCCAATGTATAATGCGTGCACGTCTCTGATAATGTGTTTGCATGTCCTGACATTCCGCATGCAAGACCAGAGATACTCTTGCCAAGTCCGCTCTACCGTCATCCGATGAATAGACGATCGGGGGAAAGGAAATGTCCAGGACTTTATGGCCAGCATGTCACCAATATGTCACCCTCCTCGGGCGTTCTCCGCAGCGTCATATTTCTTGGGCAACTCATGCAAGTACGCGTGCATCCGGCACCTTACTCTGCCCCACACCAGCCCTTTTGCGCAATATTCATGACATGCAGCCCCGCGGGAGACATCCATGGTTCTGTATAAGAACCCAGTCCGTCACTTGAGCTCACTATCATAATCTTATCAGATAAGATGTCCTCCCTCACGCCCCTAATCGACCTCATCGTCCAGAACGCCCGCGTCTTCGAGGCTGCTTGCGCCTCCGCAGGTGATGGAGGCGCAGATGATGCAGGCCCTGACATCCTCGACCTTAACGCGCCCTTCAACCCCGCGTCCGAGGCCTTCCGGAAGGACCCCAAGGCGGCGGAGGCGGCGAATGTGTTAGCAGCGGCGGCGTTCCAGCTGGCGGCGACGGTGCTGCCACCGCCGTCGACGTTGTTGGGCGTGGCAGAGGCGGTAAGTGAAGGCGATGGAAGAGGAGCGGTAGAGGGAATGACGAATGACGATCATACAGTACCTCAAGCCAGCCGCTTTGCGTGTCGCTGTGGAAGCCGGCGTGGTGGAAATGTTACGCGAGGCGGGGTCGGAGGTATGCCTCCTCCCTCACAGCGAAATTTTCAAGTGTGTTGACCGACGCTTGCAGGGCATGCACGTCAACGACATGGCCAAGCTCAATGGGCTGGACCCGCAGAAGTTAGGTGAGTTGTCTCCGTCGCCCTTTAGGTTCATCTGAGTGTGGATTGATCTTCCATGCAGCCCGCTTCCTCCGTCTCCTCGCCTCAAACTTCGTCTTTCGCGAGGTCGCCCCCGATGTATTCGCCAACAACCGCATCTCCAGTATGATTGACACCGGGAAGTCAAGCAAGGAGATCCTTGCCGAGTAGGCGTCTATGCTTTTTGACCAACAGCTGAAAAAGTTGACTGACTTGGCAGCCCCGAACACAAGTACGACGGTACCAGCGGTATATCTGCGATATGCGCCTTCATGTAAGTCCCCCCTTTCCTCCTCATATATCCCTCCCCCTTGTAGCAAAGAATTCACGCCCCCTTCAGCACCGACGAGCCCTTCAAAGCCGCCGCCCAAGTCTGGGGGACCGTCTCCGACCCCGCCGACGGGCTCTCCGGCGAGCCCGACGCCACTGCGATGGCGCGCGCCTTCGGCGTCCGCGAGTCGGTATGGAAGATCATGACGCGGCCGGAGAATGCGCATCGGTTGCGAAGGTTTAATATCGCGATGGCTGGGAGTGCGGACTTGCAACCGGCGAATGTGGTGCTTGGAGGTGAGTGAGGTTGAGGGGTTTGTCGAGGTTGAGAGAGGACGACGATGGCTGACGACTGAGTACTCATGAATGAACTCGCAGCCTTTGACTGGGCGTCGCTACCCGCGGGCGCGCTCGTCGTTGATGTGGGTGGCGGGATTGGGAAGTCGGGGCGGGCTATTGTGGAGAGCATTCCTTCGTTGAAGGTCGTGGTGCAGGATCTTCCTGAGGTGATTGAGGACGCAAAGAAGGTTGGTGCTGATGTCGTCTCCGAACCCCGCCGTTGCTGACCACCTGCAGTGGTGGGCTGAGAGCAACTCCAAGGCTGTCGAATCAGGACAGGTCACGCTCGAAGGTCAGTCGTTCCTTCATGCCCATGGTCGCCACGCATTGACTAACTCCTCCTTCCTCCTTCCAGCTCACAGCTTCTTCGAGCCCCAAACCCTGCGCGGCGTCGACGTTTTTCTCCTCAAGCAGATACTCCACGATTGGTCCGACCCCTACTGCGCCAAGATCCTCACACATCTGCGCGCCGTCGCCACCCCTGGAAAGACCAAGCTCGTTATCATGGACAGCTGCTTGTCCCTCGCCTGCCGCGAACCCTTGGACGACCAATTCAAAGACATCCCCGGCGCGCTGCCGCACGAAGCGCCGGAGCCGCTGCTCCCGAATTATGGGCCTGCGAACGATAGTGGGTACTTGCAGGATTTGGTGGTGAGTGGGAGGATGATTGTTCTAAAGAAGGGGGCTTGAGGCTGATGGAGAATGCAGATGCTCCTGTCGTTCAACTCGCAAGAGCGGAACCTGCGGCAGTTCGATACGCTACTTCGTGGCGCGGGATGGAAGATCACGTCGGTGAGGAGGACGCCGGGGCTTTTGACGAACTCTGTGGAGGCCGTACCGTTGTAAAGTGTCAGAGAACGCGCTCAACCGCCTGTGCAAGTACTTGTCCGAACATCAAGGAAACGCCGCAAGGAAACGCAAGGGGTGGTCGATCCTTGGATCAACCACACATCAACTGCCACGAGCGCGCTCCACGGCAGGCGTCGGCGGTCGACGGCAAGGTCGGCAGCGGTGCGGGGATGTGACGCTGCGTCACATATCGGCGTTGCCTTGGCTGGCGCAAGGAGGCCGTACATCGTTGGCAAATGAGATATACTGATTGTGAGCACTCTTTAGCGCTTCTTTATGCTGAGTAGTACCCGTACCGACTGCTCGTGCTTCATATCTTGACTTCGACGTGCGATGCATGGAATGATTGCAGCACGTAGCGGATAATTGAAGGACCCGGATGTCAGTACTGGGCGAGCCAGGAGCAAAATACGGCGGGAAATGCGCGTCGGCGTAGGCACTTCGGTGGATAGGTGGGTGGAGCGAAGATACCGAGCGCAGGCTTGTATTGTACATCCTCACAAAAAGGCTTGCCTTGTGAGCATTCAAAATATGTAACAAGCGCGCTCTGCCTCTGCGCGCGATGGGCGAAGTCAAGCCGTGATGGAGCATCACATCCCCGCACCGCTGCCGACCTTGCCGTCGACCGCCGACGCCTGCCGTGGAGCGCGCTCGTGGCAGTTGATGTGTGGTCGATACAAGGATCGACCACCCCTTGAGGAAACGTGACCTCCGCTTCAACGCTAGACTACTACGTAGTATGGTGCCCATTTCCGCTCAAAACATTGTGCTCTTTGCATGTCTGGTGTTCCTCGTCGATAGCCCTCAGGACTGTCCTATTTCGCGGCACGCATGTCACGTTACCGCGGCTGATCAACGGGCCAAACCTTGCCATTCGCCCTGGCTTCCTGTTTTTCAGGCTGACTTCGGCGTCACCCAAAACATCTAAGTAGTACCAAAGATCGACTAAGTAAGTATTGTAATTTTGCATTTCTGCCCAAAGCCCTCTAGATACCATAGTGGCCGGGCCGTACATTACCACATACAATCAACACCACCACATCGCATTACTCCACCTTCTTCTCGTCCTTGACCTGTAATAATGGGTCGAACTTGTGGTCTGGGTGCATGTACGAGCCGCCCTGACGATCTGACCAGGTGAAATACTGCCCGTAGTTCACGGTAAAGTAGACATGGTGCAGGGTATGGTGCGCGGGCCCGTTGATGAAGTTCTCAAGCGGGTGCCCGGTGATCATATCAGAGTCGTGGATCTGGGGGAGGTGTTAGGGTGGATACATTAAGAAGAGGTGGCTTCTTACCAAGATGGTCCAGAAATTGACGGCAACGAAGAGTCCGAGGTAGGCGAATCGATGGAAGGGGAATACGAATACGAAGAGATGGTAAGGTATTGATTGGAGGTAGCCGTCAAGTGGGTGGAAAGCGAACGACGCCCATGGTGTAGGAACTGGAAGTATAGGTGAGTACGGGTTAGATACGGGATGTCAGGGGACTTACCGATCCACTTGTGATGCGGCTTGTGCAACCGCTTGTACAGCCACGGAATGTGCAGCCAGCGGTGTATCCAGTATATACAATAGTCGGTGAAGACGAGGAAGCTAAGGGGGGAAGGGGAGTCAGTACATGCGGACACGAACGTCAATAGACTACGTACAGGACCACCGAAAATATCAAGTATGGCCATCCATATGTCGACACATCGTCGTACAGCCGACTATAGCCCATGACCTCCGCCTGGAACCACGGTAACGTGAGGAGCATCATCACCGGGAATGCCTTCAGACTGGTGATGATCTCCAATCGAACCTGGTCCTTGAGGAACCTCGGATGGCGCATCATCCGCTTGTCGAAGATGAAGGTGTACGACAGCCAGGAGAACGCAAAGTACAGCAAGTGAATGCCGACTAGCGTAAGCACCGTGAGCGAGAGCATCTGGCGCGGGACATATTCGCGCGGCCAGGCGGAGACGACATCGTACGCGTTCGCCTCGGGTAGCGGTGGGTGGGGGAGGTGCGAGACGAGCTGTGACCACTTGGAGGGCACGATCGTGCTGTTCAGCCCCGCATACGCCTCGGGGGTGGGGACGAAGGCGGAGACGGGGACGAGCCTGGCCCAGACGCGGTCCAGGAGGTACTCGTCGGCGACGGATAGAATGAAATCCATGCTGCTGGCTGTTCCGCTGCTCGACTATTGAGGCGCCCAGTGATGCGCTCGTCGGCGAAGGGGCGGGGGGCGGGGGCGGGGCTGAGCAAACGCATCGTCGCCGCCGCCGTTGTTATATTGCGGGGACGAAAGTCAGGCCACTTTTCGGGCCTTGGTAACAACTTGTAACCGAGCTGACGCCACATCCGATCCCCCCACGCCGGTCCGATCACCGATGGACAAACTGTCACGCATCTGTCACGCCCGAGGTTGTTCAAAACCGTGTCACGTCGCAGCCGCGCTCACATACGCCTACGCTTACCAAGTTCCCCCTTTGCGTCTCTGAATGATTGCTGCGGACTCAAGTCGTCGAAACAAGTATTCGGTATTTACGATTCCCCACACAACCCACCTGCAAGATTCAGACGAAGCTAGAGGCAGTTGCTTTCAAGTTCGCAACCTCACGCGACCTCGAACCGCATCTGTAGCTAGGACAAATGCACAAAATAATATCTGAGCTACCTACCCAATGGAAGCTATCCGACGCAGGTCAGCACAACTTACACCGGCTGATTCACGCTTGCTCTCTCGCAAGCGAGCTCAACAAATTCGGATCTTCGAACGTACGACTCTGTCGCTCGTCTTGCAAGTAGCGACACACAACTCTTTCATTCACATTACTGCGTCAGACATGACGCCTGTCCTGCAATTATTTTCGCACTCAATCGGCTTTAGTTACGCATGACGCCCTGCACCGCAGAGTCCCCGCGTATCGAGCCGCCTGCTTCGTCCCTGAGTCCACCAATATTAACTTAATGCACTTTATAACACTTGCCCTCGCCAAGCTCTTGTCACGCTTTGCGGACGAGCCCATCGTCTGCATCACACGCTCACCTCGCGGGGTCCACTCCTGCAGCTTCATCGCTGTATGTCAGGACCATTCTGAGATAAGGCGGCATTCAATGGGAGCTGGAAGGAGAGGGGACGTTAACCATACAGGATGGGGTTCGTCTCAAGTCGTCTAGCTAATGATACTCTATCTCGCATGCATACTATGACCCTCTGTTCAAACCTCCACTGGAAGCCGGCTCTCGCCCACAAGAAGCTCGCTCCCCTCACCCTCTTCGACAACTACTCCACAGAACGCCTGCCCGACATTGCCCACAGAAATTAGCGGGGCGTTCGTGAAAGCGGCCTCGCGGTGTGCGCGTGGAAGCGGGACGGCGCGATAAAGCAGTGCGGGGTGAACTACCGGGGCAGTGAAATCGTGCTCGATGAGCGGAACACGCTGCCTGGTGCGATGCCCAATGCGTATGACTCGGGGAATGGCCTACTAAAGGCAGGCGACCGAGTGCCCTCGGCACCGGTGCAGTGTGCGGTGGATGCAAGGGCGCAGGAGTTGTTCAATGTGTTCAGTTGCCGGCGACACAGTATCCTGGAAGAGGAGGTGGCGCGCAGGTCTGTGGAGGCGATTCGATCACTTTCGGAGGGTTTGTCGGAGGTGTTGGTCGTTGCTGCTCTTGAAACGGTGCAAAATGGTGATAAACTGACGGTACTTGTTTTCCTGTCTTGCACGGTTTATCTACCAGGTTGATCACGATCCTACCGTTGTAATAGTCCGTCCAGAAGGGATGATCGGGGCCCTTGTACTGGAGATAGATGGAATCAGGCGATACTTTGAAAAGATTTTAGATTGTGCACATATATCCAGGGAGTCCCGACTGTAGACAATTGCTCCATGAGTATCCTACGTCGCCCAATAGTTATACGGGAAATGCCGAGCATTATGGGTCCACCCCACGTGGTCACGTTTGTGACGCATGTGATTATCAGCGCCTGTCCCCGGACCGGGGCCGATTGAGTGTGATGAGGCGGGGGAACGCGTTCAGCGCTCCGCTCCGTCCTCCATCGCGCCTTGCTCGCATCCACCATGTCCTTCTCCAATCTGATCTCAGGCGCTGAGTGCGCGCTCCCCGCGAACCCACTGTCGCAAGTCCTGAAGCACACGGAGAGCGATCGCAGTCTTCAGCAGGTGCGCTTTAGGTTGATCACGACGAAGGAGAGATCGCTGAACAGTACGACTGCAGGACAGAATTGCTGGGCCGTCGGGGTCTAGGGTGCGTCGAATCTAATACAGAAGAGACGCCCGCTCACATGGATCTCAGCTTCAGCACCTCCCAGGCGCAGGGCCCGCCGTTAGCGAGCAAGATGCAGCTATGGCGCGCCAGTTCTTCGAAGGCGGCGGTCGCGGGACCCCCTCACTTGGAATGCAATTACCTACCTCTTTGCACATTCCCACAGGCCTTCCCAGCGCTGCACCCGAACTACACGAACAATGGACGATGGGCCAGCCCCCGATGCAGCAAACCATGAACCAGACGGGTTGGTCAGCCGAGTTTGAGGCGGGGTCCACGCAGATGCGCGCGCCGCCTTCAGCTCAGCATATGGCGAGTGGGCCTACTCAGAGTATGGGAGCAGGCTCTGCGTCTTGTGAGTTGGCCGTTCCGCATTCACGTTGTCGATCGTAGCTAATGTGCGAGGCTATGGCAGACCAGCAGCCGTACATGGGCATGTCGTCGTACAGGTCCCCCATGTCAATGTATGGAATGCAGATGGGCGCGGGTGGAATGCCGATGGGCGGTATGGCGCAGCCGATGGTAGAGGGCAAGGGTAAAGGCCGCGCCGTAGACTTTGATGCTCAAATGGCGAAGGCGTTCGAAGCACTATCGACAGAGGAGACGCAGTCGGCTAGGATTGCTGAAGTGGACGGTCAGGCTGTCGAAAACGCCGAAAAACCTGAGACCGCAGAGGACCTGCGCAAGTACGTTGGGTGCACGTAAGGAGAGAATCCTTGGCTTATCCTTTCTGCAGAACTTGGGAGGAGTTGCGCTCATCAGCCGAGCCACCGTCGCAGGAATCCATGGCGAAGTGGGAAGCCGAGTTCAATCAACTCATGAACGGTCAACGAGACGAGCTCGAGTTCGACTATGCCAAGGACATGCAGAACGCGTGGGAGGGCGGTCTGGGAGACTTCGATGGGTCCATGGCTCCCAAGCGCATCGAGTTCGACGAGTATGGTATCCCGAAGCTTGAGCCGTACGAGTTTGGTAAGCTCCATATTGCGCTGCCAATCGAGTGGTGCTCACTCAAACATGACAGAACAAAACAACCCATACTTGGACGGTTCGAACCAGGCGCGGTCCGCACTCGAGGAGGCGAAGGCGCTGCTTGAGCACAATGGGTCGCTGGCGGAGGCCGCGCTTCTGCTCGAGGCTGCGATTCAGAAGGGCGATCTGGGGCAAGGTAATTACGAAGCGTGGATCCTGCTCGGCGAGACGCGGAACATGGACGAGCGCGAGGAGGCTGGGATGCGGGCCCTCGCCGAAGGTGTTCGCATTGCTGAAGAGACTGACCAGTCTGGGGCTGGCATGCTTGTGCGTATTGTCTCCTGCTAATGTTCATGATCTTAACCTGACTTTCTACTAGTCCCTCGCCATCTCCTACACCAACGAATCCTACGACCGCGGTGCGCACGCCATGCTCGTCCGCTGGCTCCGCGCGCGCTTCCCCGACCACCCCATCCCCGACTCCACCATGGAAGCCCTCCGCAAGCACACTACCTGGGACACCCACCAGCGCATCCTCGACGTCTTCCTCGCCCTTGCGCGCGCGCAGCACGCCGCCGGCGTCATGGACCCCGACGTCCAGATCGCCCTCGGCGTCCTCTCCTACTCCAACTCGGACTACGACCGCGCGAAGGACTGCTTCGAGAGCGCGCTGAGTGCGCGACCGCGCGACTATCTGTTATGGAACCGCCTGGGGTCGAGTCTGAGCAATGGGAACAAGCCGGAGGAGGCCCTGGGGGCGTATCGGGAAGCGCTGCAGATGCGGCCGACATATACGCGGGCGATTTATAATGTGGGGGTGGCGTGTTTGAATATCGGGGCGCACAAGGAGGCGGCGGAGCATTTCCTGTCGGTCGTGGCGATGCAGGACTCGGGTGCGGCGGAGAAGAACGAGCAGGTGTGGTTCTCGTTGAGAAGGGCGTTATTCGCCATGGTGAGCTGAAAAGAGTATTCCATGTCGAATGAGATTGACTAATTTCATCATCAGGACCGACCAGACCTCGCAGAGAAGGCGAAAGCGGGCGCAAACTTGCAGGAATTCCGCCAGCAGGGATTGGACTTCTAGGAATATCACACATGCCGATGCACACAATTGTTACTGTACAAGATGCGTATTTATGCAGGAATACGACTGTATCGCCTACCTATAGCAAGTGAACGAACCCATTTATTACGTGTCCCATGCTATCTTCGCCGTCTGGAACGCCTTCAGCATTCCCACCGGAATGAGCGTCTCCTCGACCATCTTGAATCCCCCAAACATTTCGAAGATCTCCCTTGCATAGAACGCCACAATCCATCTCTCCACCTCGGACCGCCCTCTCCAGCGGGCATCGTTGTGCAGAAGCCCAGTCTTGACAGGCGACTTGGCATGCGCTGTCTCCTGCAGCTGCGCCCACGTCGTTCCCCAGTGTGGGATATACGTCTCGCGTCCCTCCGTAAACTCGGCGTATGTCAAGAACTCACGGTCGCCCGTAGGACCGCCCGCCCACTCATACCGTCGACCCTCGTACACGCCTTGATCGAGCCCCATAGCCGCAGCGAACTTAGCGCTGGGATCAGCGGGAAGCTGCCTGCGCACGGACAAGAGCGTCACGACTGGATTGGCGATCCCGAGCCCGCCTTCGGAGGAGGGGAGAAAGCACCAGCCGGCGGGGATGTCGGTGACGTCGAAGCGCTCGGAGATGAGCTGCCTGATCTTGCCCACGACAGACCCGTTGGTGTCCGCAAAGACGGCGCGCTGGATGCGCTGAAAGGTCGAGATGATCTCGTCTGCGTGGGCCATGCCAAAGCACTGCGCTGGCTGCGCGAAGTTGCGGCGGAAGAACTCCATGTACTACAGGTAGTACGCGTTACTTTTGAGATAAATGGCGCATCGCGGAATATGGGGACACACCTTGTTGAAGCAATTCACATAGCCCATGACGGACTTTGCAGCAGCCAGTTGTCGCGTGAGCTCTGCGATGTGTATATCGACAGCCTTTTGGTCGACGACGAAGCGTCCCTTCTCGGAGTCAAACACCAAGAATCCCCAAGCCACGGCACCACGGGGCAGGCTGGGCTCAAGCGGCGCACCAACACACGCGCCGCCCGTTTTCTTCATGTTGAACGTGATCCCGACTAGGTCGGCGACTGTCTTCATCTCGCGCCATGCAGCAGCGCACTTGCTCGCATCGTGGCTCTGGAACCAAAAGTCGTCGTAGATGCGGTAGACGTACAACCCGTCTGCTCTCTGGTTGACTGCAAAATCCATAGCGAAGAGGATTGCTTCGCCGCACAAGACCTACCCAAGGTATGAGCGTTCGCTTTGACTAGGACGTGGATGATATAAACGTACGGACAGCGCATGTGCGATTGGTACCCCTCTTTTCCTGATCTGTATTTCGGACCCCTCGAAGCGCATCTTGGCACTCAGCCACTTCCGGAAGAAACCAAGCCACTTCTCAGGAATCCCAAAGAATTCGAGCACCGTGAGGATACTTTGATGCGGTATGGAAGGGCCGAACCTGGGAATCGTCAGTGTCTTTGCATGCGCATCGGAAACACGTCCACCCACCACTCAAGATCCGCACGCATGATTGTCGAGCTCCCGTACAGAGTTCTCTGAAGATGCGTCTCGGTGGCCACCAGGCGCAACAAAGCCTGCTGGGCGGAGACGCCATGATTGTACTTCTCCCCCGCCTTCGGCTCCTCATCGTAATCTGCTTCCTCCTCAAATTCGTCCGGAAGTTGCGTGCAGAAGAACTGGTTGAGACGGATGTCACGACGTCGTCCTTGGATAGTCTGCGACGACCCACGGGTCCAGTCCAACATTTGGCACCGACGGGCCTCTTCTTGCTCTGAGAGCAGTGATGAGTCGGGCTTCCATGCGCGCGACTGGGCAATTTTCTTGAAGCAGTCCTTGAGCTGGGTGCTCCACTTGACACCGATGTACTGGAAAAGAAGCGCCTGCATGATCTCGTTGTCCATATAGGCCCTGCGCTGGTGATAAGCCATACAGGAGATGAGCAGCAGACACCATCAAACCTATATCTCCCCGCAATATTCCGCCGCATCTCGATGGGGACGCCGTCTGCAGGCCAGTCCCAGTCGTCCAAACTAGCCAACATCATGTTCAGAACGCTAGCCACCTCCTCGAGGATGACCTCGTTATTGAGGAAGCTCTTCAGCGTTGCAGACTTCTCGGCGGACAAGAGGTCGCGAGCGAGCAGGGACTGCATCAAGGCAGGCATTTCGTCGGCACGGAGTTTGGACGTCGATAACACATCGCCATAGTCTTGAACATGCTTGCGCAAGTTGGTGAGCGCGGTAGTCGCCGCCGACTCAGAGAACAAGTCGTCGAGATAGGCCTTGATCGTGTCAACATTAACCTCCTTGGCTTCTGTGATGAGTTTCTGTATCTGGGCCTGCTGCGTGATGCCCTCTGTAAAGACACGATTGAACAGTAGCAAACCTGACAAAGCAAAAGTGCGCACCCTCTCTCTTGTTGGACCTGCTCTCGACAGCCTGATCAGAAGGTGACGACGTCGCAAGAGAATCGCCACTAGTAAGCCATTCGGATAGGAGGTCGCCGAAGAGCTTCGCATAGTCATATCGCCGAAGCGCCTGTGCCAGCTCCTTTTCGAGTTGTTCAACCATCTTCAAGATCTCCGCATCCGTCACGGACGGGTCGCTGTGAGCTTGCCATAGCCAGCTGTAAAACCATGCAGGCGTAAGCAACCACGATGAGAACACGAGGAAAAAAAGCACGAGGCTGACCATTCTAAATTCTCGTAGTCGATGTCCTCGCCTACGAGGCGGCCGACTCCGGTCCAACTGCGTATGCGACGCAGAAGAGTATCGGCACGCTTGTACGGCGTCGTCTCCTCAGACGCAGCTTTCAGTGTCTCTTTGACGTACCCCGTACACGCGCTACGCTGGCGCTCGAGCTCAGCAAGTTTAATACTTGTGATATACTGGAACGTCTGGCCGAAGCCCGAATCTGCGAGCGCAAGGATCAGTGAGCATAAAGACAGTATGAGCTGAAAACACTCGCTGTTCGTGGACGCCATAATGTGCTAGACGAGGGGGGCTGACTTCCAGGTACTTATAATGCGCAAGGCAGTGTCTGACTCGCGATGTGTCAACCTGCTTCGCGAGCGCCCATCGCAGTCGTTCCAGTCATGGGTCATCAACGATCATTAGCCTACATCGATGGCACGGACCAGCCCAGTATCGAGCTGTTCTATATTCTTGTCGAGAAGCCAGGGGTATATGACCTCATGCTCGGCAGTGTTGGTATGTCAAAGATCAAGTTGGATGTACGCGTTATATGCGAGCGAAAGGTACTGAAGCAAGACAGCGGTAAGGCGCCGACAGTGCACCTGTCTGCCCCCCATCCTTCGACAGTCAGCACTTGTAGCGACGTGAGGTACGCACCTCGGTCAGAACTGTACGCATCGTGTCGGAATCCTGCGTTTGCCAATGCATACATAGCAGCATGTCATTATACTCGTCAGTCCATAGCGCATGTCAGTAGTCGGATACCAAGATGGGCGCCCATAACTCGCTCATACCCTCCTCCTGCGTCTTCAAGCACCCTCCTGTTTCGCCTTCACGAACTCGATCTCCCGGTTCAGCGCGGCCAGCATCTCCTGCGCCTCGCCCTCCGACTTGAACTTGAGGTTGTACGTCTTTGAGTCACCCTGGTCGTGCCCGACGAACGAGACAGCGAGCTTGTTGTTCACCTTCGGGTTGAGGCCGCCGTAGAGCTTGAAGTTCTGTAGAGGGTAGGTGAGTAAGGTGCAGGTGCAAAGGAAGGGATACGAAGGAGGGTCGCGAGGAAGCCCGTAGGAAGAAGGAGAAAGGGAAGGAAAGGAAGAAGCTTACAATGTTGATCTTTCCGGTGCTGCTGTTCCGCATCAACATCCGCCTGACCTCGCTCGTCTTGTGCTTCTTCAAGCGCACCATGCCTATCATACACCGTCAGCCTAACCATCCCTCAACCTCTATATGCCCGCCATAACTCACCCGACCCCAACTTCGTCCACTTCCCATCGTCGAGCTTGAACGCCGCTGCGCGCATGACGTGCGTCGTCACCTCTTCTTCCTCGCCGATCCCCTCCTCGTCGTGCGGGTTCGTGCTGAGCAACCCAAAGTTGTTGGCATCGCCGTCTGCCGACTTCTCGCCACCCTCGACTGGCTTCTCTGCCTCTTCGTCCTCCTTCTTCTCAGAGGGCTTGGACCCGAAGGCAGAACCTGAGCCAAACGAGGACCCCGAGCCAAAGGAGAACCCCGAGCCAGACGCAGAGCCACCGCCGAAAGAGAATCCAGACGCCGGCTTCGTCTCGCTCTCTTTCTTATCTGCCTCGCCCTCGCCTGGCGTCCGCGGGGGGCTCCCGAAGCCGAAGCCAACTGGGTTGCCCAGAGAGCCAGCACTCGGGGGCTTGAAGCCGAACGCACCGAAGGCGGACGGCTTGGCAGGTGGTGTGGCGGGTGGGGGAGTGGGTGTCGGGGACGCGCCGAACAGGCTGCTCGTCGACGCGGCGCGGTCGGGGGCACTCCCGAAGCTGAAAGAGGGCTTGGAGCCCGAGCCGAAGGAGAATCCAGAGCTCCCACTGTCCGTCTTGGCGAAGGAGAAGGACGGTGGTGCTGCATCCTTGTTGTCCTTCGCTGTGTCCGCCTTCGCGAACGAGAATGGGTTTGCCGGAGCATCTTTCTTGCCTGCATCTGAGGCAAAGGCCGAGCCATTGCTGGTTTCCGCAGACTTGCTGGGCTCAGCAGGCTTGCTAAATGAGAAGCCAGAGGACAGCTTGGGAGGCTCCTCAGATGCTGGTGTGGGCGCGTCTGGCTTGGTCAGAGAGAATGGCAGGTTTGAGGCGGCAGTGACGGGTGGAGGAACGGGGAAGCTGAACGGCGACGGTTTGCTGCTGGCAGTCTCTGTGGGCTTGAATGTGAAGCCACCACCACCAGAGCTTGCAGACGGTGTCGAAGACGCCGCAGGCTTGGGGAATCCCGCGAAGGCTGCCGGAGGCGCAGGCATGCTGACTTTCGGCGGTTCTGCCTTCGCAGGTGCAGCTGCGGGGGTGTTCTCCTTCTCTTTGCCGGCGTCATATTGCTTCTGCACCGAGATACGCAGCGTTTTGTAGTGCTCTGCGAGCGCCGCAATATCCGCGAAGGGGTCTTCCTCGACCGCGTGCGTGATCGCGGACACGAACGAGACGTTCAGGCCGCGCAGTGCCGTGTAGTATGTCAGCGCTGCTGACGGCTTCGAGCTGGTCGTAGGAGTCGGTGTGGGGGCTGCTGCAGGGGGTGCAGCTGGCTTCGGAGGAGCAGGCGCAGATGTGGCCCCCAATAAGCCCGCGAATGTCTTGGTGGCATTGGAAGCAGAACTGGACACCGAGGGCGCGCCGAATGAGAAGCTGCTGGCGGGGCTGGTCGTTGTGCTTGAGCTATTCGAGGGGCCCGAGCCAAATCCACCGAAACCGCTGAATCCTGCGAACTTTGGCGCGGATGAGGGCTGGAGGGGATGTCAATGCATGCTTTGCACGCGTCTAGCACGTCACGCACCGCGTCAGTTGTAGCTGCGGGGGTGCTCGACCGCGAACGCTTGGGGAGACCACGTATTCTGGTTCATAAATGAGACCCTTGACGGCATGTAGGAGAGGGGATGTTTACTTTCGTCCCGCAAGCGTAGCCTCGTCCGCTTTCTTCAGACCCTGTCCCGGTTCATTGTCCTATTCCAAAGACTCGTCAGCCATTGTTCACTTGTCCAACAGCGCACGCACATCTCCGTCATTGTCCGCATCATCCCTCGTTGCTTGCCTCTCCGCACCGCGCTTCATGGTGCCGCAGGCTTTTTGGAAGGGAAAGGTGGTTGAAGTCGAAGACAGAAAACAAGCGCGTGCCGAAAACGGAAGTCGCCACTCGTTCAGTGGTCCAAGCGCGTTCCTCGCCACCCTTTTATTGAAGTTCACATGGATTACGCAGGCTAAGCCGGCGCTCACAGCGGCCTAGGTATACAGAAGCACTATGCAAATGTGTATCTTAGCGTACAGACAAGGGGTTTATGACAGGCGTATCCTAGCTATACAACGGGATACTTATACTAAAATCCTCGAGCATCACCGATGCATGTTTATGAAAGAAAGGCAAATAAAGGAAGAAGTGCGGACGAGACCCCCCAAGCAACAGGTAAGTAAGTAGGTGACGGTGAGCAGTATAGATACAGAGGGAGTAGTAGAAGGAGAATGTCCAAGAAACCGACATCTAATGCCGCAGAACGGAAGGAAGAGGGAGCGACGCTGTGAACATTTGCCATGCGAACTGCACTCCGGTGAACATGCCCCAGATGATGGACATGAAGAGGATGGGCAGCCAGAAGAGGACGAGCATACGATCCTCTGAGAAAAGCGTGAGTTCGGGAAAGCTGACAGAACAACAAACAACTCACGCTTCTTCTGCAGCTTCTGTTGTTGACGCGCCGTTGGCTGGTATCCATACGAGTCGACCTCCTTCGCTGAGACCTGGTGGATGTCATACTCTGCACGCCTGCGCGAGCGCGAGCCCTCCGCCTGCTCCGGCCCATTCTCCACCACACGTCGCGGCGTGTATGCCGGAGGTGCAATGTCTTCCTCCGCCTGCTGTTGCTGTTGCTGCGCCTGCTGCAACTGCAGGACCTGGGCCAGCCACTTGTCGCACTGGCTGCGGAAGTCCTGCGCTGCCTTCACCGCGTTCGCGCCGACGCCCGCAGGCTCTGCCTCGCCGTTCCCGCCTCCGCGCCCCAGCTGCGCCCAGTTGGGCATCATGGGCACATAGACCGGGAAGACGGGGATGTTCTGAAGCACTCCGGGTAGCTGGGGGAAATTCGGAAGTTGGGGTAGGGGCAGCTGCGGGAAAAATGTCTTATGGATCATCTCGACGAGCGACGCGGCCTGCTTGTCGTCAGGGACGCCCGGTAGCTTCTCGGGCAGCTTCTCCTGCTTGCCCGCCCTGCTCGCCGGACGGTCCTCCGTCAGCCTCGCCATGCTGTGCTTCTTGACCGGTGTCGAATGACCAGACGGGCGGCGCCTCGTTTGTCGCCTCCGCCTCAGCAGGTGCTCGTCCTCGGACTCTTCCTCTGCGTCGCCCCAGTGCGCCTCCTCTTCCGACTCGTAGCGCACGGTCTCCGGAGACTCAGTGCGGATAATGTCGTCAAAGAAGCCATCCGCGGCGACCTCCTCGGCCGTCTTCCCAAGGGCGTTAACAATTTCCCTGTCTGCGCCAGCGTTGAGCAGGCATGCTGCCACCTCCTTCGAGCCGACGAGGGCAGCTACATGGAGCGAGGTGTACCCGTTGCGGTCCCGGGCGTCGATGTCCGCACCATGATCGACGAGGAACTGGGTAAGGCCAGCGTACTTGAGGAAGGCCGCGAGATGCAGGAGCGTCTGCCCGCTGGCCGTCGTGTACGCGAGAGCGTCGGGAATCGACACCTTCGCAGCGGATGCATGCTCGACGGGCGTGTTCATGACCGACAGGAAGTTCGTAATGACCTTCTCGAAGTCGGCGTTCTCGCCCACCTGCTGTAGCAGGAAGGGACGCAGCTCTCGCGTAGCGAGCTGCATCGAGTTCGGCGCAGTGCCTGTCGGCTGGTCGGAACCGTCGCCAGTGTTGCCCACAATGCGCATGGCAACATTCTTCGCGTCCTCAATCTTACCCGTCATCTTGAGACCGACGACTTGCAGAGCAAGCTCCATGCTGTAAGATAGTCAGTGTCAGCGCCCTGCAGAAGGAAAAGTGATCAGCGTACAGAGCACGGTCCGATTCATCAGAGTAGGTGAAGAGGGAGGTCGGCATGACAGATGGATCATCTGCCTTGGGGAAGCCGTCGATCCAAACGGCGACCACCCCAGGTGTAGCTCGCGGCGGGAGAATGCACACGAGCGTATTCTCGCTCCACCTCTGCGTCGAGCTCGCCACAACATCGCCGAACACACAGTGCAGCGCAACATTGGCGTGGAAGTTCGCGCCCAGCACGGTCACCTCAATCCCACCGTGTGTTGGCCCGGTATTGGGGATGAGGCGGTGGATGGTCGGGATCTGCAGAGCTGGCGGGGCAGCAGGTGCTTGACCGAAGTACATAAAGGGGTAGGAATCGATAGGAGAGGAGACCATGGAGGTCTGCTGCAGTCCATTCGTCGTCGGTGTGAGCATCGGGTTGGTTTCCTCTTGCAACACGGCAGACAGCATTTGAATGTCCGGGCTATAGTCGAGAGGCGTTGAGGGCCCATCTGGCGACGACTCGGACTCGTGCGATGAGTTCTGCAACGACGGAACCTGTGAATGCGAAGGTGGTTCCGAGCTTGGGTACGACAGGCCGGACGGAGGTGAAGGGGATCGGGTTAAAGGAACGGAGGAGGTCGACGACGCTGGGGACGGCGCGCTCACGACGCTCGATTGCCTGGCTTGGCGTTCAGGCTTGCCCGCAGAGTCGTAGGGCTTCTTTTTGGCAGATGCATCCGCCAGCCGTCTCTTGCGCTTGAGTGCCTGGTCGGCGCCCCCCTGAGACCAGTCCGAGTCCATGACCGGATAACCATTCATGGCATCTCCATGGCGTGCACTGCTGGCACTGGCCGTCTTGTGGTCGTCGGTGATCATGATGGGTGGTGAGGCACCTATACCGACGAGACGACCGACATGATCGACTAGCGAGAAATTCAGCCTGAAGCCAACTTTTTCCCGGTGGTGTCGGCAGTAGCAGGTGATGCGGATGGGAAGGACAACGGAGCCGTTGGAAAACTCGATGGTGTCTGCGCAGTTAAACTGCAGAATGCTGGTCGTGTCTTCCTGCGTCTTATCGTCCATGGCATCGCCGTCTGACTTCTGAGGCTTTACACGAGCGGCGATCTTCTTTGCAACGCGCTTAGCCTGCAATGCATGTAAGTAGATGAGATCGGCGGATGACGAAAGGCGCACTTCTCGAGTCCGGCAGCTTGAACAGCTGATCACTTGGCTATGAGGCGGAGACGCGCAACTGACGTTGGCTGTCAGGTATAGCGTATCCTGCGGGTCGGCCTCTAAAGCCCAGTCAATTTCTTTGCGAGTACATGAATCCTCGCAACGCACCAACTTTGCCCTGCTTGCGTGTTGGCTTCTTTGTCGCCGTACCAGCAGGCAGCCGCAGCCACTTCCATGTTCCCACTCGATCGTACCGACGGGACTCTGAGGTAGCAGTTCCATCTGCGAGGTCCATCGTAACGCGAATCTGCGTCTCCACTCGCGACTTCGTGCCGCTTTCCGGGATCGAGGGGAACATGACTGGCAGGCTGCGCACACGTCAGACACGCATCGAGAGGGGGTCGAACATGCGAAGGACACGTACTTGAAGCAGGCTTCCTTAGGGGGGTATACGACCTTCTGGTTGAACATGTTTGGATCGAATCTCCGAGGGAGGGGAGCGGGAGGGGGAACGGGTTTGGTAGATGTGAGTGGTGCAGCCGGTGCGGTCAGGAAGTTTGACTCGGGACTGTAACTGGTAAGGACAGGGACCATGTCCATGGGCGTAGGAGCGGGTGCTGGAGTAGAGGACGCGGTTGAGGAAGGCTGCACCGATGCCATATCCGATCCTGCTTGAGAAGGCCTATCAAACATGTTAGCAGTGTCCCACATGGTGTGATGGGAGCACGCACTCGTCGTAGGCGTTCTCCTCGAGCAGCTCGTCCAGACGCAGCATGCTCTGATCATCGACCTTTTGCGGGTATGCTGATACGCCGTCTGCGCCAGCCCAGGGCATCTCAGACATTCTCAACTTCGGTGACGCGAACCAGAATTCGCTTGGGACGGCGGTGGCGGTATCGTGGGCGGCGGAGGGCGCAGGGGTTCGAGGTGATGGTGAGCGCAATTCCGACGCCGTCGCAGACGACGAGGACATGAACGGCTAAGATAAGGAGGAGGGTATTGAGCGGACTGGCTGCAGTTCAGCTTGTGAGAAAAGAAGGCAGCGTGTATAATTGGCGCCTTGAGGTGCGTTCTCGGCTTCGGCCGCCCTGCCGACCGGCAACTCCCGCCGGAATGACGGTCCGTCCTGACTCGGCGCGATTGACAAACGTGTCTCGACACAGCCTTCTATCTCGTTTTATGGCCAGTTTGCATGACCTTGCTCTCGTGCTGAAATCCTGCTGAATCCTTGCGCGCCCTACGCCCGGATACGGGCTATCTCGGAAGTATCCTCAGTCTCGGAACACCGTCTTGTCCCGCTGCATTCGCTAACCTTTCACTCCGCTCTTCCGGGTCTCAATCTCTTCAAAATCGACAAGGGCCTTCTTCATTCACTGCCGGCCAACTTTGGCAGTTTTATACTAGGACTGTATAGAGCATTCGCACGGCTTGTATGGCTGGCTTCGCAAGGTGTCTTATCTTGCTCCTTCCACGCAGTATTGCGACCCGATCACCCTTGCAATGCTCCCCCTCGCTGCCTTGGTTTTTACGTTCATAAGTCGCGCCGATGACTTACTCTCACTCTCATACATGTTATCTCCTCATCTCCTCAGGTTTCAATGAAACGCCATGCCATCAATACAAACATCCTGCTCGAGCCTTTCTCGCCACCTTGCGGTCATGTACTGTTCAGTGGCCTTCGACACATCAGTGATACAGACGTATATTTACGAGCTGCGAATGTCCAGTACAAATCTATCTAGGCCTTGCACTTCAGTTCAGCCCCGCTCACCACGCCAAGCGCAGCGCCCAAGCACCATCCCAGCTCCGTCCCCTCGATCTGCTTCCCGAGCTGCACATCACGCTCCTCCGTGAACTCGTACCCGAGCGTCAGCAACGAGTGCATGAAAGTGAGGTCGAGGCACCACTCGGGGCGGTCTTCAAGCTCTTTCATGACCTGAGGAGGGAGGTAAGACAAAGGTAGAAAATACGCAAGAAATAGAACGCACATCAGGTTGCGCGCCCCATCGGTCGAGCCATGCGGAGCGACCCATGCAAACTGTGGAAGCAAGGTCCTTGATCGAGCTCACCGTCACCTTGGACTTGTCCTCGGGGATCAAGGGGTGGATTCGATCGTAGAAGTAGGACAGGAGGAGGACCTTCCCATCCGAGAAGGCGTCTAGCAGACTGGGCTGGTAGACGCCATCGAAGGAGCAAGGCTTCAACTCGCAGATACTGTGAAGATCATTTTAGCAACCGACTCGCGCACGAACGAAACGTCCGCTTACGCGTCCTTCGCCATGACAAGCTGCATCGTGCGCGAGCACGACTCAAAGCTGCCGATGCCTTCGCCGTCCATGATGACCGAGCGTGTAACGCCGTTGCGCTCGTCCTCAACCTCGACTGAGCGCTGCGTACCCTGCGCGAGGCACGGGTTGGAGACGCGGCGATCCTTCTCGATGAATGTGCCGCCGCCATTCTTCCCGCGGAGGGAGTCCATGAACTCGATGAGCTGGTGGACGTGCCGCCTTGCGCGCATCAGACCATAGCCGAGGTACGAGTGCTGGTAAAGGACGTGGTCCTTCCCACCGAACTTGAGCTCGTACTTGTGGTCCCCGTCAGCCATCTCCGCGCCGTTGGGGAACTTCGGCTCGAAGACAATCTGGGTTGACGCGCCGCCAAGGTCAAGCACGGCGAACGTCGGCGTGTCCTTCGGTGTGTCGGGGCGGATAGTATTAAGCAGGTAGTTGGCGGTAATCCAGGCGTAGACGCCCTCATCCTTGCCGTCCATGATGACGATACCGTCCTCTCCGTGGATGGGGAAGGGGTAGGCCGTCTCGAGGCGTTGACGTACAGCGTCCAAGATGTCCGCACTCTGAGAGCCAGGAAGAAGACGAAGACCCGCGGTCGCCTTTACAGCGACAGGCGTGCACTTGCGCAATGATTCGGGGACCACGCGCATCGCCTCGTCCATGAGCACGTCAAGAGACTTGGCCGCCTCCTCAGGCCTGCCGGCGAAGGAGGACAAGCCCGGCTGGGTCATCTTGAATACTTCATACTCGAATGAAGGGCCCGAGTTCGGGTTGCAGTTGTTAAACTTGTATACGTGAATGCGCGAGCCGGTCGATCCAGCGTCGATCATAAGTGCATACTGCACGATGCGGTCGGCGGTGGTCGTGGTGCAGTAGGTGGTGTGAAGGGGATCGGGGTCGGTCTCGAAAGACGTGGGATGCTCGCCCGGCTTCAGCGTCGGCTTCTCGTCAGAGGGGCGTGTAGGTCGCGTGGTCTCTTCCTCCTCGATGACGGGGTTGTGCACGATGGGCTCGGCGGGGTCGGTGAAGAGAGGATCGTCGGTGACAGTGTCCACGTCAGTATCATCAGAGTACAGGTATCGCGGCGAAGGGCGAGGGCCGAAGAGCACGATCAATCCAATGACCGCCGCGGCGCCGATGGCGTACTTCTTCCAGGCAGCGCCGCCCCTCCGCGCGCCACGGCTGGGGCCCATGCCGCCCTCTAGTCTGTCATACTGAGCGCCGTGAGAAGAGCCGAACTTGAAGAAGTTCATGGCCGAGGACCGTAAACGAATGTCGTACGCGGTTGCGGTGTCGATGCCAGTCGAATGTGCTGCGCGTTCCTGCAGGTTTGGAGTTTTGGGGCTTTCACGACCGTCCTCGTCGTCGTCGCCGTTTAAGTGTGCGCTCCCGGTCATCGCGACAAAGCATCCTTGATGCCGTTCCGGCGTGCCGCGCCGCAAATCCTACACGTGGAGGCCATCAAGCCCTGGACCCACATTTATACACGCGCACACGTACTTTTGGGATCAGAGAATCCGCCACGACTTATTGTTTCCATAAGGGACTATTTTGAATATATATTTGTGCGCACGAGCGAGACTGTTATCTGTACAGATGAAGTTACACAGTCATTAGAGCCAACATAGAGTACAATCCTAGTACAGTCAGTTCGTAAAGCCACACAGTATATGCAACGGTCCATATCCGGTCCGCACAAAAGTCCGAGGCGTTGTCGACATATTAGAGAGGTGATTAAAGCCATTAGATCTTTCCCGCAAGACGCTTTCCCGCTGCCACCTTCTCCTCATTGTGACCCAGCTTGCCGGAGATGATCTTCGCTTCTCCCTTGATCTTGTCGAAGAACCGGCTCTTGCGCGGTGAGCCGCTGCTGCTCATCGACACCGAGGACCCCGTCTTCTTATGTCCGGACCCCCGTCCTGCTGTGCTGCTCGACTCTTCGTTGTGGTGAGCTGAAAAGACGGCATTGTTTTTCTCCGGGTGAGTGACAAGCTCGCCACGGTCCAGGGATTCGGGGTCGCGATCCAGCCTCTGCTGGCTCTTCTCGTCCAGGGGCACGCCATGCCACTCGGCACCTTCGCCAGCGAGCGGGTGCGTCCGGGCCGCTGTGTTGGCAGTCGGTTGGTCCGCGTGCTGGAAAGCGTCAGGAAGGGACCAGCGCGGTGACATAACGTGGGCCGTACCTTGTTAGCCGCATCATGAGCAGACGGCGATAACGACGTCCGGCTCTGCGAGTTCTTCTCCGTACCCTTCTCTTCGACATTGTCTGTTGACCGATGGCTCGAATGCTCTTCGGGCTCGGCATGCTGAGATTTTTTCTCGTCCGGTAATACCGTGACTGCCGCCTCAGAGCTTGATCCAGGAAGGTCACCCACGCCAGCGGGTGCTGGGGCACTGATGCCTGTAGAAGATCCCTGCGGTTCTGGAGCCGACGCCTTCGCGTCTGCCTCCTCCTTCCCGGCGAGAACGGCTTTGGCTGAGCCATTCTCATCAGACGTGGCGGCTGGATCGTAGTCAGTCATACGACATCCCGAGAGGATATCAGCCCGCGTACCCGGCTTCATATCAGGAGCAACTATTGCTCCAACGCCTTCCGTCCACCTTTCATCCGGCAACTGTGCCACCGCGGCCTCTGTTGGCGCCCCTGGAAGAGCACCAGCGCCGGCGGTCTTCCCAAGCGATTCATCTGCGGTCTCCTGTGACGGCATGTCCGCAGCGGTTGTGTGCTCAGCCTGGCCGTTCGGGGCGCCCTCTGTATTCCAGCAATGAGTCAGCGACATAGTTATCTGAGGGAATGGGGCAGCACGCACGGAAGTAGGAAGCCACGGACTGGGGAATCTGCGGCAGGTAATCCTTTGCAGTCTGCAGAAGGCCAGTGGCGCCTGCCGTCAAGCCCGCCCCCATTCCGCTCGCGTTCTCGGTGGAGTAACTTCGAGGGTAGGCGCCGGGTATACCTGGCGTAGACGCGGCAGTCGAAGGCGCAGCGAAGTTGCGTTCTTGCTCCATATCGGTGTTGACTGCCTCCTTTGACTGCGCGAGGGCGTTCTGGGTGCTTGCTGCCCAGTCCTGAGCTGAGTCTGTAGAGAGGGCCTTGGGAGGGTCGATAAGCGGTGGGTTCTGCATGGTTATAGTCAAGGACAAGGTGCGATACAGTTCATGGCGACCTGCGCGTCGCGTCGTTGCTCATCGACGTCATCACTATGAGCCGCGTCGATGATGATGGCCCTGGACAACACATTTGTGGCGCTTTCATGTTGGACTCGTGAAAGGCACGCGTCGCACACGCACAAGCAGTACTTTCAAATTACACCTGAACTCGCGTTGTCTAGGGCTGTATTGCAGGCATATTCCCGGAAAATGGGGCAAATATGTGGACAAGTTACGCCGAAGTCTTCAACATGCCCGGTCGGATTCTGTTTGCACCAGCATGGCGAATTTGCTTGGCTGCCATAGAGCACAGTGAGGGCGCATGGTGTTGGTGAGGACCAGGAACCTTGACAATGACATGGACTGACAGTGACGCTGCGCAGCGATCCCCACCAGGTCCACGGCAGGCTTGACGAGCGCCCTGTGGCTTTCACGTCATGGAAACGCGGAGTGCCTCGCAGCAAAGCTCCATCCCGCGAAGGCCGGTAAAATTGGACAGGACTATCAATCGGAGTTGCATGCGCGAGAGATAACATCAGCGTGCATAATTGACCAAAGAGAGACAGGCTGTAAGCTTGTAATTTCGGGTGACCCTCGTTTCTGTTTTGCTATCCTTCGTCTTCGCCTAGCTCGTCGATTTCCCCGTCAGAGGCCCCGTTGTCATAGTTGTCGTGCATCGTCCAAAAATCGTTCGTAAGCTCGCGCCAGTCGTCAGCCTCCAAAAAATCGATAGAGCTTGCAACGGTCGGTCGTCTTCGCAATCGTTCCAGGAAAGTTGCGTATTTAGAGAAGAGCCCCGCCATCGCGCTGGATGTGGTGAGGAAAGATAGGCAGGACGTGACAGAGACTGAGTGAATGTCGTCAACCGCGGGGTTCTCGAGGAGTCGGGCATCGAAGATCGGAGGGAAGGATGATGGCAAAGGGTACCCGGCAGCTTGGTACCTTGTTCAATTGCGTGAAATAAGCCCAATGTCTGACTCGAAGGACATGCGGCGCACCTATTGACCACCGATTGAGCGGATGTGAACCGCGAAGACCAGTCTTCATACTTGGCAAGCGAAGCGTCATTGAAGCCTCGGAGGACATCAACTCGGGAGTAGGTATCGGCCTTCTGTGCGACATTCAGCTAATGACCGCCCGATGGAGCGAAGTGCACACTTTTCTATCCGACCGTCCCCCCAAGGGGAAGTTGTATGTGGCCTTCGCCCAATCCTCGGCACCTGTTGCAGGGAGAATCCCACCGAGCTGAGCGAAAGTCGTATGGCCACGCCAACTGAGGCTGGCGATCAACGACGAGAGGTCTGAATTCAAGTTGCGCTGTCTACGCAGAGTATGAGCGCAAGGCGTCGTATACACCGAGGTGACGTACCGCATGGGAAGGGTGATGCTCTCGACATGAGCGGAGACGATGGCGGATGAATGGTAAACCAAGCTCAGCTGCAGGAATAGACGGTTCAGATCCACTTTACAGGACGACCGAGAAGCTTACATCGGCGGAGACACCGGGGCTCGCCCAGCCCTTCCATGCGGCCGGATTTTGAATGGGAACTATCCCTGAGGCTACCTCACCCATCTCGCGCAAGTACAACGCATCGTTGATCGCTCTGCGCGTACCCGCGGTCTGCACGCAACAGATCGGATGCGGATTCTCCTAGCCATTGAGTAAGAGAACGCACATCGTCCACGTCGACATCCGCAGGAACTGCGCTCGAGAGTAAAGCAAAATCCAGCACGGGCAACTTCGGGTACTCGTCGCGCAAGGTCTCCACGAGCCCATGGGCGAATGCCCCGAATCGGCAGACGTCCGTTGTCATCTGGAATCCCTGTATGCCCGGTTAAATCACGAGAGCCGAATGTGGTCTACAGTGTGGAGCACCTGCGGATTGTCACATTCTTCGAAGAGGACGCGTACGGCGGTGTCGGTCACGTCTGTTTCCTGGGTGGCGCGCCGTCAATGAGGGTGTTGGCGCATAGGATAAGTTCCCACTTCGTTGAATCGTGCAAAGGTATCTCTGCTTGTACCCCAATCGCCGTCTCCGCTTCGACCGCTAGTATAGCTGTCAGGGACTGCTTGGAATGAATGGGCACCGAAGTAGAGACGGCTGAAGTCCGCCCAGTATCGCACGCTGGCGCCGCTCTGAACGCGCGGAGACGCGGCGTCTGGATTTGCATCGTCTCTTTCGAGCTTTGCGTGGTAGTCACTCTTGGGGATCGGGTCGCTTTGCTGCTCATCGACGGCACCTTTCCTAAGTATACTGAAAAGAGCTTCTTGGATCGAGGAAGGAGCAGAAAATTACCAGAGTGACGCCACAGCTGCCGTATCGGGAGACTGGTCGTTCTCCGTGGATGACAGGATGTTCGACTTGGCAAATGTCCCAAAGTTGGCTGTGGTGGGACGCAGAACAGGGCTATCAGCGGAATATTGAGTTAGCCGTGAGACGGCATGCTTACACTTGTGGTCAAAGATGAGAGCCCTAGGGCTGTAGCAGATCGCGCCCTGAGCATGCGTAGAGCCTTAGTATGGGATAACGGACAGGTGCGAACTGCCGTACTTTACCGCTGTCTGCCAGGGATTCCCTGAAGGACATACGTCGGTCGTAGGGGGTCTCGTCTTCGTCCGTCAGGTAGCATTCCTGTGTGTTCCAGAAGTGTGATCCAACGTAATTGGCTAGATTTCCGGACTGGATGTACACGATCTCCCTCATGGCGGTCGGAGGATGGATGTTTGTTTATCAAAGCGTGGGAAAGACGAACAACTGGGTCATCGTGTGAAACTACTAAAACGGTACTTGCCGGAAGCAGCGAAGTACACAACCCAGCAAGCAGAGGTCCAGCACCGGCAGTCTTCTGACTACAGGAGCATTTTGTGCAGTCAACAAAGCTGCAACATCCTCTGGAAGACCTGTCAGTCGTGAGAGGTCCACCTCTGCCTCGGCGCTCGTTCAATACTCTCCTCGCTGACTCGCACCGCCGTCGGCAAAATACGCTTCCCAAGGCTTCGCCTACCTGCTACCCGGACGCATCTCACGCCGAAGGGAATAGAATCTTGATCCAGAAAACTTCTTATGCGAGCAGCGACGTCGCCAGGTCTGTAGGTCCCCGTGATTCTACGTCTTCTGCCTCCTTCCGTCGGTCGGTCGTGAATCTTGGAATTCGATTCGGACTTTTCGCTCCTGAAAGCCCGTATACCCATTCAGCGATCTCGAGGAAGTGAGAAGTATGATTCAAGAAGAACTCTTCGCCCCAAAAACACATCGGATTCCTCAGCCACCAAAGGTGAATTCGCATCCTTAGACGGCAGGTGTGTCATGCACTCCCAGCATACTCTGATCCACCTCTGATTTGTCCGGGGCTATTCTCGCACCACCGAGGCCCCGCTTCCGACCGATGATATCCGATTGAAGGATAGCGTATGGCATGGCGGGAAGAGAACGACTTTACACGGTACGTGACGTACAGACGCCGTTCAGGTGAAGGACTGGGGTGCTGCCTCAATCTCCCTAACGTGTTTGTTGAAGGTCCGACGCCTATTCCATTCAATGTAATAGAATCAGTCGCCTTCGCAATAGATCTCGGCAAGTCGTACGGCGATGAACCCCGCTGGCGTGTACGCCCAAAAACAACTCGCGCCGCTCAACCTCCCGAAGTTCGAATGGACCCAGGTGCGATCTTCTTTCAGGCTATCCAGAGCTCGATGATTGCTTGTGGTGAATGCTATACATGATCTACGGTCTACAGTCCATATCTGATGTCCATCGCAAGCGATACAGTAATTGCTCAGCCCAAGTTTCCCGGTCATACCCAAAGTCCAGTAATGCAATGCTCGGAAAGAATTATAGTCCAAGACGAAATCTATCAAGCGCGCGACGGTCCTCCCGCGTCAGCGGCGCATAGCGCGCATCCGTGTTGAGCGGGTTGGTCAGTGGAGGCAGCAGGATTGGGCCTGACCTCGTCCGTTCGCCGTGGTAATACTGCGCAGAGCTGTGTTTCCCATCCCGAGGAGGACCATACGACGGCTCCGAGTTCGGCAGCGCGGGGCGTCGCATCTGCAAGGACACCGGCGATTCTGGCACGCTCGAAGTATCCTCGGTGTCCGAGAAGGAGGAAGATGCGCGATCGCTTCTGTTGCACAACTTGGTGCTCGTAAAGACGTTCTGGGGAACGCGTATGTCACGCAGGTAGGGATAGTTGTCGACGACGGGAAGATGGCGGTAGTCATCTCCCTTGAAGAAAGAAGGTGAGCTCACGTCGACGCGGATAAGCTGCACGGCTAACCCGTGTATAGGACACAAGATGCCACTTGCGCGGCTTGTGCATGCCAGGGAGCTGAACGACGGCGGAATAAGTCTGCTTCGTGAGACCATTTGGTTTTGTTGGTCTGTCCCTGCGCCTCGTCACCGGCGGAAGAGGCGTGTCCGGCTCGGCAACGCGTCGTGCTCTAATCACGGGTAAGCGGCGCGTACCTCCCCTATGCCACCTCATCGACTCACCTCCTCGCAGCCTTGTTCTCCCTCTCCTCCTGAGTTGTCTCTGCCTTCTCTTCATAGAAGAGGTAGTCGCCCCGCATACGACTTTGCGACCTTCGATATATATGTTGAAGGACTTTCGAATCAATGCGATAGACAACGTACCAACGGCGCCCGTCCGTCCATCTGAGCAACCCGCCATCGTGGTCGTCCTCTTGCCAAACGAACACGTTCCCCGAGGTGAGCATTTCCCGCTCTGGCGTGCCCAACCGTCGCGTAATGAGGGGCAGGATTTTCCTCCGGACCGCCTCCAAAATAATGTGCGCGTCTCGGGCGTCACGCATGTCTTCAACTCGTCAGCGAAAGAGCAAACAGCAAGATACGACTGGAGCTGACAGAGGGAAGGGTGCGTCACCCAACTTGAGGACTCAGAGTTGCAACCGGGGAATACTAGCGCCGAATGCATGGGCGGGGAGATACGACCTCTGCGATTGCGCCCTCGCGCCTATATATGACATGGTGATACCGCTCACATATCGAGAGTGACGGGAAACCAAGGGACAGGTACGGGATCATTACGCATGCCCGATCATGAGTCGCGCGTCCCACTTCACCGTAAGCCTCTTTACAGGCGCCTTTATGAAAGAAGAGGCTTCCTGGCTGGCGCGGCCCGCCTATGGGACGGGTCTCACGGTCGTCTGCCTTCGCATTTCAAACAGACTAGGATCCCTTCAGTGGTGGATTTGTATGTAAACCTCGGCGCGGGAAAGGCTTACAATGTGCGCAGGTGAGCGGTATCCGGCCTCTGACGCAAATTGATTACTTCGGGAATTGATTGTACTTCAAGGCAGAACCTCGGAAGGCCGAGGTTGCCCCCTGGGATCCGTTTGAGTTACGCCTCAGACGAAATTGACTGGGGGCGCGGTCAGGCAGGAAGATCGCCTTGGAGATGTGGCGCAGGTTCCCCGTCCGCTCGGGAAAGTCAGGAAGACGGGAACGTCAATGGCGAGATGGCTTCCTGCCGTTCCCACAAATCGTACCTGTACAACAGGGCTGCGTGACATGCGCGGGTATCTCGATGAGTGACGGACACTGGAGAAACCGCGGGACGCTCACGCATAAGGCAGCCGCAGCGCGCACGTCAAACTCAAGCAAAGCGAGTCTGGAGCGGCCACCAGGAAGGAGCAGATCCAGCGCGCTATATCATCTCAGTTTTAGCGTAGATGGGTCCACGATACGGGGACGGAATTCGGGAGAACAGTGGCACACAAGGGGCCAGAGTGGACCGTGTAAGGGACGTTCAAACAGAAGACGGGGTTCAATTCTCCTTCTTTCGTGGCCACAAGCAAAAGCCATACACAGCGAGGCGCGCCTTGTGCTGCTTGTATTTCGAGTACCATGCGGAGTGCAAGCTGTCGTGCTTGGAAGAGACCCTGATTTGCGAAGCAGCGTAAGCGACGCACTGATCGGTACACACGGAGACCTCGCGCATCGGCGATTGGCGAGGAAATAGACTTGAGGCACGTGCCTGGTTGAACTTGTTCGGCATCTGCCGGACCGGGGGCGGACCGCGATGGCCGGATCCGTCACAATTCGGGAACCGAGCAAAACGTGAGGGCAACATGTCGTTCTCGTCCACCACCACCTCGTCGGCGTACGTCTTGTGCAAGTATTCAAAGTCATATCCGACCTCCGCCGAGTCCAGCGCCGAATGGCAACACTTCGTCAACCCTGTCATCCGCCTCGTGCTCGACGTTCGAAAGAGATCCGATGGCGGCGAACTCGAGTCTGTCCGCCTCCGGATTCTTTGGTCCATGAACTCGGATGATGCAACAGGCGCTAATGATGTTGTTTTTGTGAGCCAATCGCTCTTTATGGGGCTCAATCTTATTGGCTCAATACGGAATTAAGGAGGACCTCGAGCTTCTTTCTTTTGCCTCGTTTCTTGCACGCCCCAGTCAACGGTCGAACCTCTCTCAAGGGCTTCCCTTGAAGGCCGTCTACCGCGACAACGTTGTGGGTATCCGCTATCTTTACCAACGAGACAATGATCCGACCTCGGTATTCGCAATTTCCTCACAGTAAACGTTCACCCGTACTGATGTTTGCTGCGAAGAAGTTCCGTCGCTTTCAGGTTACTTTCTCGTCGACGCCGGCTGCTATGCAGTTCATCGACTCCATTAGCTCCGTCTGTCCTTGCAAAGCCAATCCTCCGCCGGTTGGCCAGAGTCTGACGCGTCAAGCGACAATCATGTCAACACCTGCGCGCCCTAGTCCTTATTCTCGCTCTGCCAGCGTAACCCCTACTCGTGTCCCGCACGGCAATAGGTCTATTCATTCCGTCGACAAATCAACACTACAAACAGCTCCGTCCTTCGCGATCGAGACCGAAAGCTATACATCTCCGTCATTCGTCGTACCAACGCCGCCCTCTGGGCTCAAAACCCTGCCGGAAACAGGGTCTGCTCTCGGACCTCCGCCCTCGTCATTGCCTCCGAGTTCACCCTACGGCAACGCAGCCTATCTTAGTAACCTTTCTTCTCGCGCAACTTCCCAGCCCCCGAGCGCCCAAGATGATACTCTGCCTTCCCACTCTGGTTACGGCTCTCGAACTCTGCCTACGCCATCGCAGTCATCAGCACCAAGCTCGACGCCCGTATCTACTTCGGATTGTGAGATGATGCCCCCACCGCCTCCTCTTGCCGCGCCTTCGTCAGACTCCGCGTCCCAAAACCAAGACCGTCGAGACCAGCCCGCACCTCTTCTTGCTGCCGTACGCGAAGCGAGCGGTCTGTACGACATGCCCAAGGAGGAGCTCGAGAACATGCTAGCAAACATCATCAGAGAAGAGCAGTTTCTGTCCCTGGTGCGCTGTCTCGTCATGGCTGGCGGAGATGACATCTAATGTCCGTTCGTGCCAGGTTAAGAAGATAGGTTCTATGTGGCGCATCCAGAGTTATTTAGGCGCCTAGATAGTTCACTGCCCTTACGTGGGGTCAAAGCTTGTCTGCAGAAAAAGGGTGTACGTCGATGAATCATGCGATCTGCCAATGACCTTCATTCCGCACCAACCCAAGGCATACCGCTTATCTCGATACCGGGCAATAACAGACGAAGTGACCTGTATGTGTGGCGCTTCTTACGTGCCTACCTAGGGTCTGGCCTGCCTATGCGCTGTGTTCTCAGTTCCTCGCCCTCGACATGCTGCGAAGGACTCGAAGCAACCACTGTCGTGAGAGACGCAGAGAGGCAGGGACAGCGACTTTGTATGCGGCTGTAACAAAACCCGCACATCCAGCACTCAGAGAAGGTCAAGGATCTTCGTGCCGCCCTGAGCAGGTGTAGGTGAGACCGTGCAGGCATCTAGATAAAATAGAATCATAGAGAACACCTTCTAGTAGTGATATACGGTGCCTTTGTGAACGGGCACCCGTCTACCCAATGGGCGCGTTCGCATCCGTTCACTCGCCGCCGCGCAGATGCTGGAATCGCAGGTATCAAACAAATCCTATGCGGCATCTGCTTCTTGGGCAGACGCACCCGTCTGTACCTGCAACTCGTGAATGCTCTCCAGACCGACGCTCCGCAGGATCTTCCCCAGACCCTCCGTCTTTACTGCCTCCAGCTCCGGCTCGCTCTTGACGAGCAGCATACCCGCTGCACCCAGCGCGTTCACGCTCAGCCGCTCGCCCGTCGCCTTCAGCTCGTGGTGCTCGAAGCGCCGCGGGATAACGTGTATATGCATCCGCGTGAGCAGCACATTGTACGACGGGTTGCCCGCGGGGTAGTCCGGGTCGTGGCGCACGGTCGACACGGTCAGATCAAGCAGCTGGAGGAACGCGTTGCAGAGCGTCTCCTCCAGGTGGTCGGGCGAGCGCGACAGCAGGTCCGCGGGCAGGCGGTAGACGTGATTCGCGTAGGGCACCTTCGATATAGTGAACGGGCGATCTGCGATGCCGATGGTTAGCTAGTTCGCGCACAATCATAGGCGGGGTGCAGGGCACGAGCTGAAGTACGTACCCGGCTGCTCGAGCTGCACATCGCGCGCGAGGCGCTCGATGGGCGGCCCGACCTCGTCTGATGGAAGGGGGAGGAACTGGATGTGCTTGTGCGGCTGGCTCGCGCCCGATAGGTCGCCGCAGTTGTAGAACGCAAAGAGGTTTTGCCCCGCTCTGTACGCGGCGTCAAGGAGCTTGTACGTCTGCGCCAGCTCTGGGGGGAGGAGCGGGGATGATTGGGACTGGAACTCTGCGGGGATGGAGATGGCTCTGATTAGCTAGCTGCACCCTTACTCGCATGCGAGCACGCACCTTTCGTGACCATCAGGAAGTGGCAGGGGACGACGCTAAACTTGTTAAGCTGTCGCTGCCGTCAGATCGCGAGCATGGACGCCCAGCTAGTGCACTCACCAACACCACATACTGATCCTGCGGCTCCTCGCCCTGCAGCTCCCCCACGACCAGCTTCTCATTATACGGCGGTGCAAAGGGATCTGGTTTCTTCGCCTCCTTCTCTGGATCGGCGTCAAAGTGGGGGGTCGGCAGTGGGGGTTTGTGCTGGAGCGCCGGGCAGAGCCGGATCTCGTACTAGACGGGCATAAGCTTGCTGGATGGATGCGTGTCGGCCACATAGCGGTGATTCGCACTGACTGGGATCCCGAACTCGTCGACGTGGGTGTGCACGGTGGACGGGAAGAAGAAGAGGTTCCCGGTCGTCTTCGCGTCCTCGAAGGTTGCAGGGAGTCGCGCGAGGATTTCGGATGGGGTGCTCATCCTGGCGATGAATCTACGAGGGGAGCGGTAGGAGAGTTGGGGAGGACGGAAGCCAGCACGACACCTTTTCAGATTGCTGATGCATCGATGCATGACCGCTCGCGCGATGACGCGCGCTCGACTTCGCCCGACAGACGATGGGCGCTGTCAAGTACGTTCCATCTGAGCAGGAGCGTCGGCGCAGATGTGTATCGCACTTCACAAGCCGCACTAGGGACACTGGTTTATTGGTTGGAGGGTCAATTTCGCAGTCAAGAAACTACCAGTACAAGTCCGTAACAATCCTTCCCTATACAGAGCAACGAGAAAAGGGCGAGAGGAGATGGAGTAAGTATGTAGATGTGTTTGTTGTTTGGAGGATTAAGAAGAAAGTAAAAAGATGGTGAAAAGCCGACGGCCTTTATGGCCAGCCAGCAGGTGACTCTTTGAAGGACTTTCGCCAAGCGGGTTACGCCCGACCGCCCGCCCCTCTATTCGCTTTAGCCTCTTTCATTTCTTCTCCCTTAGCTATAGCTCTTCCGTAACAACCCGCAGCTATGAGCGAGTAGATCGCGGCATTGGTTCCCTGCAGGTGGATTAATTAGAGGCGTACCTCGCGCGACAAACATGGTCACTCACTTGATAGAACATGATGGTCAAGAACGCTTGGAAGAATAACAATACTATCCGCAAGACCAAGCTGCGATAGATGGCCGTGGACTTCAGGATGGGCAAGGGTGTTTCGAGTGCGATCAGCATGAAGCCGAGGACCATCGCCAGTATGGGGATGATCGGCGCCCTCACGATCAGCTGAATGAAGATCATGTCCGAGTTGGCGGGCCTAGGCATTGTCGGTGAGTACGGGCATGGGTACAGGACGAAGGGGGAACACACTGAATGCCTCCGGGGTCGCGCACTGTCCCGTTAACGAAGTCCCAGAAGAACTTGCGGTACAGGATGGCCCAGAAGGATGCCCATACAGCATCTGGGCAGTTAATGTATCAGCAAACACCGAGAAGGGAGGACTTGTCTACGCACAAACACTCGCGGTCACGGAGACCAGACGGCTATATTCGTGCCAAACCAGGTTGCCCATTTCGAACGAAGAAGTGACGGCGAGCTATTGACGTTATAAGAAGGAGCGCGCGGTTCAAGTCGGGAGCTGGTAATGGGATCGATGGGAAGGAGCACTGCTCAGAGAGTCGAAGGGAGAACAGCTGTCGAGAAAATGCGAGTTATGCAACGGAATCCAAGCCGTGCAATTGAAGAGGGTGAAGTCTAGCTTCGAAAGAGCACCGGAAGAAAAGAACGAAGAAAAAGGAGCGCAGCTCGAAAGCAGGCAAACGAACGAAGATGAAGGTGAAGAGAAAGAGAATGAGGAAACCCGAGCCTCTGGTCCGGAAGTCGTTGCCATCTTCCGGCACCCACGCGTTGCGAAGTCGCACGCGACAATACTATACCCTTGTGTACCCCTGTGGGCGTCTTGCTGGACCTCAGGAGTCGTTGGCAGATATTGTGGCATATACAGGCGCAAAGATGGCAAGTCCTCTGGCATTCGAAGGTGGTTGCAGGGGATAACCAATACTGTGACATCCCGACGCGCGCCTGCAGGTGCGCAGTCCGGCCGGATGGGTCGGTCCGGACGCTCAAAGCGGGCCGGATCACTTCAGGAATTCAACTTCAACAACGACCTGGTCTAGAGCCCGTTTATCTCATTTATGGCCCCGCGGAAGCCTCGCTGGGACTGGAAGGCGAAGGGAGCCGCCGAGCTCGATCTCTTCGACATACCTTTCGCCGCGAAGGAGTATCTGCAGGTGAAACGGCCGCGGGATTCGTAGCTCAACCTATTGACCAAGCTCCCTCCAGAACCAAGTCGGCCAGTTGCTGAAGGAGCGCAATATATACGCCTGGAATGACTGGACCCACAATGATCTCCGCGAGTCGACGCAGAAGGAACGGGAGGCTTGCAAAAAACAGTTAATCCAAGAGTATCCTGGTTTGCTCACTGGTCCGCATGGCGCGTCTCTACGCAAGTCGACGTGGCAGCCCATCTACGTGCTCTCCGCCACGGTGGAGAGAAACCAGCTCGTCCGGACACACTACTCGGACGCGCTCAGGATCTGCACTGTCGTCTGGAATGGGAAGAGTAACAAGGACGACGAGACAGTCCTCATGGGCCTGTCATTCTACAACAATCATCTCGACCGCAGCGCACACTTCGGCACTTTCGTCACGGACGGTGCTTCTACCAGTCGCAGGACAATCGCTGTAGGAGAGAAGGGAAAAGGCTTCATTCTCGCGACCCAGTACTTGCACGAGGAGATTGAGCGCCACTGCAAGGACCTCGACCCGAAGTTGAAGACCGGCGTCTCCTTTCGTGTAGGCAGTCAAGTCGGGGAGCTTACGTGGAAGAAGGAACGCACGATCTACTACGACGAGCGCGGTCGTCCCGAACCGCCGCTGCTACAGGTCGTGAAGGATGACCTGCAGCCGTGGGATGTCCATTCACTGGCGAATCACTGGGGTGGGTCATGCCATATTCTAGTATAATCACACTCTGAACTCCGCACAGCTCAGATGGTTCACGACGCTAAGAAAGCCGCCGCGAACTCAGATGAGTCGGATTACTACTCAGAGGGCCATCATGAGGGGTTAGCGAACTGGATCATTTCCCCCTCGCAGAGGAGCGCCGCCGAGAAGGCGGTCAAAGCGATCTATAAGCGGCGTTTCACCCAGAATCTGTCTACGAAAAAGCCAGGTCTTGACGGCGATGCAGCGGGGCCCCATCATGAGATTCCAAACGTTCGCCCAGACGAGGTGTGCATCACCGTCCTGGGTCTTCCTTCACGACCTCCCGAGGATGTTTTCTCCGCCATTTACGGTGTCGTTCCCCCTTCCAACGAGTGGAAGGCATCCAACGAGGTCACTTTCTTCAAGGCCCCTGGCGCCAAGTCATTGTTCTACCATCGCGACCAGCTCGTTCCCCACCCTCCTTCTCTCAACAAGCTGTCCATCAACTACCACGGTTCACTCTGCATTACCGCCGATCGAGCAGCTATCATTCAAGACGCCACCTATTTCGAGAGATACCGCCAGAGAGTAGCGGACGCTGCCAACGCTGCCTTTGGCGCGGACCCCGAGCTGGCGAAGGAAATCATGCTCGACATCCTGCAGGATGAGAAGCCGGATAGCGGCGCGACGGTCGGGCGCGTTCTGTCATCCGCTTTGGAGAGGGGCAAATGCGCGAAGACGAATGGGGACGCCGTCCGTGATGCGTTCAATGCGGCTTCACGCGAGCGGCACCCTGAAATTCCGGAGGACGTCGACCTTTACCCGCACTGTAAGAACCGCAGGGACGAGCGTGCGTTGATCACGGAACTCGGGCTGCACCCCGTCGTCGTCAGCGCGCTCACGGACGGCATTTTGAAGAACTCGGGCGCTTACGCGCCTGTGCATGCCCATGCGAGGCGCTTGCTGCTCGCAGCTGATACGCTGCAGCATCATGTTCCCGGTTTCAACCATTTGCGGCGCGCTATGAAGCACGTCTTCAGCGATCTCGACGACGCGCAACTCACCATCCGCGATTACCCATACTCCACACCTCGTGCAGTGTGGGACGGGGACAACAGTCTGTTTGCGTTTGCTCGGCCTCCACCCTGTCCGACGCACCAGAACAGCAAGTGCGTGTGCTTTGTGGGGCCGTACCTGAGCGTGGCGACGTCCAGTCGCCGCTCGCACGAAAAGAGGATAGCGCGGAAGGACAAGGAGAGTGACAGCGATGACGAGTCGGACGAGGAAGACGACGACGACGAGACCGCTGGGGTTTTCCAAGCCTTCATGCATGCCTTCAACGTGCCGAGTACAAATGTCGATCACCCGGAGCCGGACCCTACGCTCGCTGCACTCGGTGCGTTCCTTGGAAAACTCGCGGCAGCTCTCTCTGACCGAGTCTATCTCAGATGCCTTGGTAGATGCGCCACAGGCTGAAGAACCAGAGACTCACCACACGAAGCCGACTACTCGTATGTGCTCTCCTAATTGTGTCGAACTTGATCATTGACCAATCCACTTCTACAGCAAACCGACCACGCCAGACCGCTCGGCGGGGCCGATCTTCATTCACGGGATCTGGAGGGCGTATGTGCAGGCGTCAAAGGATAGAATCCTCCCCAAGCGATTCAGAAGGTGATCTGGCATCATCAGTGATATTGTATGTCACCGCTGATGCTATACATCCCAGATACATACCGGAGAGGATCTCCCGCCCGTATGTCGTGATGAACAGCTTGCGCTATCTTCAATCGTTGACCTTGTCCTCAGCTTCCTATGGAGGCGGCTTTGGCCACGCCCGCGGCGATGATGATGACAGCGACGATGGTGAGGAGAAACTGTCAATACGAAAAGTACTGAATTACATCTTTCCGTGATTGCAGATATGTACGCCAAGACCCCTACACCCGAGCCTGAAGCGGGCCCTTCGAATGCGGCAAGAGGACCGCCGACACAAACAGCGGCGTCTCCTTCTGGGCAGGACGGTGAGCACTTCGGTAGTTTGATATCGTCGATACTCGATTCTTAGCCATAACAGTCGAAATGGCCGACGCAACAGACTCTACAAGCTCAGCGGATCCGGCGCCGCGCTCAGCTGCTGCGTCGTCAAAGGCCGTGACCCCGACTCCACCCGCTCAATCCGCTCCTCTCGAGGCTCCTAGCCAGCCAGGTGCTCCCGAACCATCCACAAGCATACCTGGACCCAGCAACACCACAACGCTTACCATCCGCAAAACACCTGACGCCGAAATGACACTCGACGACTATCTGGCTGGTATCCACCGTATTGTCAATCAGCAGAAAGATGCCATAGCGACCGCGGTGCGGAAAGCCGAAGAACCCCTGCGCAAGGAAATAGAGGCGAAAGCGGCGCGAGTGCGAGAATTGGAGGCGCAGCTTGAGGTGTTGCAAGGGCAAGTGAATTCAACGCGGGCAGAGGGCGAGGCGAAGGTGCAGTCACTGAATGCTGTGGTCGAGGACCTACAGTCGCAGCTCCAGCTTATACACGATATCATACGCCCGAAGGAGACCGGGAGTAAGCGACCACGAGTAGATTGAGTTCGCTCTTCGTCTCCTACCGTTCCCACTGAACGACATTTATTTGAGGGAAGTACTACTGAAGTACTGAGTCATAACGACACCGCACTTTGATTCCATTCCCTCTTCGGACTAGTAAGAGCGCTGGGTTACGTATACTACACTGGGTCGCGTATTAAACATATCGGCGAGTGAGCCCGAAGATTCGCTGGAGTGCTGTTTGACGGCTATCCAGGACATCGCCATCCGGCAGAAGGATGCCGTCGAAACGACGCGGCGGCAAGCAGAAGCGCGTTGCCAGGAGGATCTCGACAGCAAGGGCAAGTAGATATAGTGGCTTGAAAGCTTTCGTTCCTCCTGCTCGGGCTGAACATGACGTGGCCTGATGGAGTTTCTAGGAAATTCCTTCTAGATGCGGGTATGCAGGTAGCTTCTTTGCTCCCGTATCCCCGTTGGGAACAATGACAATATCAATATTCATCGACGCCGCTGAATGTCAATTCTCTCATTCCTGGAGACTACGCCAAAAGCATACAGAAACAGAGTGGTACACGTATTGTCACTGATGCATTGAAATTTCCCTTACTAGACACACTCCATCGACTGCTCAATCGCAGTACGCGCCCTCACTCGCCGATGCCACATCCCTCGCATACCTGAGCAGCACCCCACGCTTCACATTCAACTTGCCAAGATCCGACTTCTTCCACTCATCCTCCCGACGCTTCTTCTCCTCGTCGCTGACCTCCCAGTTGATGGTGCGCGTTTTGGCGTCGATGACGATGCGGTCGCCGTCGTGGACGAGCGCGAGGGGCCCGCCGAGGCGCGCCTCGGGGACGACGTGCCCGATAATGAAGCCGCGCGAGGCGCCAGAGAAGCGGCCGTCGGTGATGAGGGCGGTTTGGCTGATAGTATGGTGAGTGCGTAACAAGGGAAGGGGGACAGGAAAAGAACGTACCCAAGGAGACCTGCGCCGGCGAGGGCGCCCGTGGGTCCGAGCATTTCCGGCATACCTGGGGCACCCTTCGGACCTTGATACCGGAAGATAACGACCATACCCGGTTTGATCTTCCCTGCCTCCAACGCAGGATAGAAGCCAGCGTCCAAGCTATACATTCCCGTTAGCTTCGCCCCATTCCCTTCCTAATCCCACCCCACCCACCTATCGAAACAAATCGCTTCCCCCTCAAACCGCAACCCCTCCTTCCCCGTCAACTTCGCCACCGCCGCCCCAGGCGCCAGATTGCCTCTCAAGATCGTCAAGTGCCCCGTGGGCTTGATCGGCCTTTCCAACGGGCGCACGACGTCCTGCGCGGGCGTGCCGTCGGAGAGCAAGCTGAAGTCGATGTCCGGGGCGTCCGCAACGTTCTCGGCGAGTGTCTTGCCGGTGACGGTGAGTTGATTGCCGTCGAGGAGGGTGGTGTTGGCGAGGAGGTATTTGACGATGGCAGGGATGCCGCCGATTTTGTGGACGTCTTCCATGTAGAATTTGCCGGAGGGCCTGGGGAGGGATGAGGAGGGAATATGATGAAGGAGGGGTAGACGTACATGAGGTTGGCAAGGAAGGGTGTCTTGTCGGCGACATTCTGGAAGTCATCAATCGAGAGCTCGACGTCGGCAGCACGCGCAATGGCGAGAAGGTGCAGAACCTGATTGATTGATCGTCAATCGTTATTGGTACGCAAGCAGTAACGCAGCGTCAAGAATGCATACCGCGTTCGTCGATCCGCCAATGACATTGATCACCGCGATGGCGTTCAAGAAGGACTGGCGAGTCAAGATATCCCTGTGCACGTAAGCATCCAATGAGAAACTAGCAGAATGCCTCCCACCCACTTTGGCTTGATATCCTTCTCCAACAACTTCTTCAGATACCCGGCCGCCTTCACACACTCCTGCACTTTCGCCGGATACGTCGCAGGCGTACTCGCCGAGTACGGCAGACTGATCCCCAGCACCTCCAGCGCCGAGCTCATCGTATTCGCCGTGAACATCCCGCCACACGCCCCGGGCCCCGGGCACGCGTGCCGGACCACATCAAAGCGCTCGTCGTCGCTGATCTTCCCCACTGCGAAGGCGCCGTACGACTCGAAGGCGTCGGAGATGTTGACGGTGCCGCCCTTCTCGAAGCCCATGCCCGGGCAGTCGACGTGCCGGGTGCCGGGCTGGATGGTGCCGCCGTAGACGATTATAGTGGGCCGGTTGTGGCGGGCGGCGGCCATGAGACAGCCGGGCATGTTCTTGTCGCAGCCAGGGATGGAGATGTTGGCGTCGTAGTGCTGGGCCTGGAGGGTGTGAGATTAGACAAAGCTTAGCTACACGCTCGACGGTTTGTGAGTACCATGGTCACCTGGTAGTGTAGTCAGCCAGCCATTGAAGATCAGGTGCAAGGACGCATACCGCCTCAATGGAATCTGCAATCAGGTCGCGACTAGGAAGGCTGAAGAGGAATTCACAAAGCGGCACGACTGCGGTCACATTCACACGTACGAATAGCGCATGCCTAGTCGCAGGGATAAGAAAGCGCTCTGACCATCTGTAACTTGGCTTACCATCTGTTCCCATAGTTATCGCATCGCTGTGAAGGGCGATGAGGACTTATTAGTCTGGTCTCGTCGATGCACTATACCTGACGCCGATGGTGTTGAAGATCAAGCCAACCATCTCTTCGTCCTCGCAGCCTTTTTTGACATGCTTGGCCAAATCAAGCTAAGCGGGGGTAAGGGTAGAGCTGCGATTACAGCAGGTCATCTTTACCAAGTGCACGTTGCAAGGGTTGCCTTCCCACCAAATGGGCGAGATACCGATCTAAGGGACGTTCAGAGGACATACAATCGCTGATATTATCACTAAGTATACCTGCGGCTTGTTCATATCCTCCTCTGTGAGTCCGACGGCATACACTGATTTTCAGTAAGCAAGTGGGGAGTTATCAGGATCGAGGGAACCTACGCATTGCTTGGGCGCCGCCGCGTATCTGAAGACCGTATGAGCGATGGTTCTAGGGTTTCCCGCCAGCGCACACCTTTTCCTGAGTGATTTGACATGAGATCTTGTTTAGTTTGGGTGTAGATGCAGGAGCGCTAGGGGATGCCCCAGAGACACTGTGGCTGCCGAGGGATGAGGAAACGTCTCTGGAGCGAAGGGGTAGCGTACATTTGCACGCCCGTATCAGCCATTGCTATCGCTGAGAGGTCTGGGAGGTTAAGAAGCGTTGAACGGAGTGTTCTCGCGCCGTTTATAGGGCCGCGAAGGAGGGGAGACGGGCCGTAACGTCATGAGGCCCGGTGGCCGCTTTCACTCGTGACTCGGTCCAGCGAATCGAAGTCGTCGGATTATCAGATTGGGGTCCATTGTGAGCAGCGTACGGGTATAAAAACAAGCCTAAGTCATAGGTCCGCTATGATGATGAGGGTTCGGGACAAGCGCGCCACCCACGCGAATGTGCCGCGGAGGTCCGAGGCGTTCCCCGCATTTGGCAAGCAGGCGTCGCCAACTTGCCTGTCTTGAACCATCACTGCTAAGTAGCTCACTTGTCATGCGCTGAGAGTGCCAGTCATGTCGTTGATTAGCGACACAGAGTGCGCATGTACCTGCTTAACTTTCGCCTACTTGCTCATTGGATCTCAGTTATCTCATCCATCGACTTCGGTTGTCGTACCTGCGAGACGTTGAGGACCCCTATGGGCCGCGTCTAATCACCTTCGACGACGCATACCAGAACAACCCCTACATCACTGCTTCTTCCCTCGCAGACGAAGAGCAATGGCCCGAACTCCTCTCGCCCCCAAGTCCTCCGCTTTCCGAAGACGAGGACGATCGCCCTTCTGGCTTCCCTGGTGCTCGCCGCCTCAAGTACACTCAAACCATAATGGGAGGTCGCACAGGCGGTCTCGGACTACGTGTCAATGGAAAACGCGCATCGACGTCGAAGCGCATGTCCAACATCCCCAAAGCGGCCGACGTTAGGAGCATCCTTTCCAACGACGACGATGACGAGAAGCCCCCTCCAGTCCCCGAGAAGCCTGCGCAGGCCGCACCGCCTCTCAATCATGCCACATCATCTGCGACCATGGTGGAAGACGCTGCAGCTGAAGACGAAGGCAAAGCTAGTGCGGAGGCGATCGATGTACAAGTGCACGAAGCAACGCCACCGCCAGAGGAAGAGCAGCCTGTGAACAAGGTCGTTCAGTTTATTCCCAAGTTCAAGGGCGCCGCCGAGATGGAGCGCAGAAGAAGACTCAGAATGGCCGCACGCCCTCGCGGCGTGCCTCCCGCCAGCAACGCGCCTGCCAAACCCCTCAGCTTCGATACGTCGTCAGAAGAGGAAGATTCATCTGAGGAGGACGATCTCGGCGTGCCGATCATGGACGAATCCTCATCGGATGAGTTCGATGTGGTGGGCGATACCGCAAGTCTTGACGACGGGGACGAATTCGATCCGTGCGTGGATATGAACACAATTACTGTGCGCTACGCTGACGCCCCTTCAGAGACTTCGCTGAAACACGCAGTCCTGGCATCACCTCCGACGACAGTGGTTCAGAAGCTCTCTCAATGCTCACTGGTTCCCTTTCTTCGTCAGCCGCCCTCTCCCCCACCACCGGTCGCGCCACCGGCCGCCTCAGTCCAGTCCACGAGACGCATTCCTCTACTACATCCTCTTCCCCCAACCGCATCGGCCCCTACTTCGAGATGCTTACCCCCTCGCCAAACACGCAGCGCGCCAACGACGCCCCCTACTACCCCCCGCGCAAGCTCGACCGCCCCGCCACCGAATCCGGCGACGACGCCGAGCCCGCTCCCCCCGTCGAGACACCTCGGCCTGACGATGGCATCCTTACCTTCACGCGCAGCAAGGTGCCCCCCGCGCGCCCGCAGCGCTCCGCGCTTACAGCGATGCTTGCGCAGGAGGACAGCTCGTCGAACCCGTTCGCGGAGCTGTACGCGGCGATCTCGGGGCGCGGGCAGCCGGGCGCGATGACCATACCCGTTTATTTCCCTCATGCGACGAAGCCGAGGGGCAAGCCGCTGCAACTGTGTATTCGGCGAGATGCGACGGTGGAGGAGGTTATTGGGTTTGCGCTGTATACGTATTGGAAGGAGGGTTGGGAGCCAAGGATCGATGCTGGGTTGTCGGGCGAGGACGATGAGCGATGGCATGTGCGGGTTAGTGCTGTTGGTTGGATTTTGCGCATGGCGGAAGAGGACGGCGAGCCCGACGACGACTTCCCTGGTGCGTGGCGCGCATCATCTTCACCTTCCACATTCTGACAATCGTCTAGCACCCGACCGAAATGGGAGGATCAGCAAGTTCATGTCTGACGCCTACGTCGTCATGGAGGCGAATCCGACACAAGGTAAACCCTCGTCATCCATACAATAATGTGACATCTGGCTCATATCGTGCAGTCCAACAGAACCTCGCCATCGAGGCCAAGATCCAACGCCGACCGTCGCGCGTCACCGCCAATCAGCAGAACACCGCGAAAGCGCTGGCCGCTCCCACCTCGCTCTCACTGCCTTTGGGGTCCGCTATGGCTGCATCTTCTTTTGGCTCGCTCAACCTTTCGACATCACTCGGACCGTCTTCGAGCCACGGCCCGCAGATCTTCCTGCGCATCCGCGTTGCCGATACGGCGGATGCGGTGCATATATCCACGACGATACCAGTGTAAGAGAATCTCGATCATGGGGTAACGACAATTGGCTGATAGTCCTTCAGCTCCGCCGGCATGTATATGCAAGAAGCGCTTGAACTCGTCTGCCGCAAGCGCAAGCTCGACAACCCGAAGGACTACGCCCTACTGCTCGCGGACATGAGCATCCTCATTCCGCTCGACCGCACCGTCGCGAGTCTGCAGGGCAAGCGCGAGCTGGTGCTTGTGAAGAAGAGCATGCTGCCGCAGCTTGGGCACGATCTGATACAGGTGGCGGGGAAAACGACGGACCCGAATGGTGAGTGGTCGTAGTGGTGCTGCGGTAATAGAGAAGGTTGCTAATGAAGGGTTTGCTTGCAGCGAGTATCTTCAAACGCATGTCGGATACGCCAGAGATGCAGCTGTCGTCTGCGCTGGACTACACGGCGGCGTACAAGAAATATGTGATCCACCGCAAGATGCCCATGTTGGTGACCCGGCAGGAACGGGTCCTGGCCATCGATGGAGGTTATATACATGTGCGTATAGGAAGCCTCGTTGCTCTTCTCTTCCTATGTCACATCGCTCTATGGCCCCAAAAAACTCACCATCATTCTCCCTCCAGATCATGCCGTCCACGAACAAGCCGAAGGCCGTATTCGACAGCTCGCGCACGGCGTCGTACCACATCAAGAACATCGTCGAGATCTCGCAGTCGCACAAGATGTCAAACTCGTTCAAGTTGATCCTGAACCATGCTGGGGGGAAGAAGCGGTACGACTTCGAGGCGGAGAGTGCGAAGCAGGCAGGTGAGTTGTCGGTGTGGGAGCATTGCGTATCCGTTCATGCTAACACCCTGCTTGCAGCCGATATTGTGCAGACTATACGCAGCCTAAAGACTGCTATCGACCGTTCGAGTACGCTCAAGTCGCGGCGAAGTCGGCACGTGGCCTAGCGACCTTGTTCTGTTTTTACATATTTGTGGACTCTTTCCAAGGACCTTCACTATCTCTGTTTTCCTATGGCAATCCGTGGCAATCCGCGTGCGGCACAGCGCAATTAATTCAGGTAAGTAAGTTACGAGTTCAGTACTGTCCACAAGATACAGTAAGTATAATACAAACAAACAGCAGGTAGTTGCAAGGTTCAACGTGGTGTTCAAATCACTCTTTCCGCGATCGCGTCACTTCCAGGCTGTGCTCCCACACCAACTCCTTCGCTTCCTCCGAGCCATAGTATTCCTTCATACCGATGTCCTCTCCCTTGGGATTGATCCGCGCGAAGCCTGGGCCACTCTGGTAGACAGCATACCACATAAGCTCCGCGCAGTCTTCGGCGGTGTTGCCGATGAGAGTTATGAAGGGGTCCATGATGCAGTGCAACGCCTTCAGCATTCCAGACGAAGCGTTCGACAGCAGATCCGTCTTCACTATGCCAGGGTACGCGTGTACGAAGGACACCTCTGGGTGGAGTTCTGCAAATTTCTTCGGGCAGAAGGTCAGTGGCAGCATCTTGGCGGATACAATGGTTGTACTCACTTCTACCATCAGATCTGTATATGTCGCCTGCGATTTCGAGGTGTGAATGAGGCCGTAGTTCTTCTTCAGTCCGAGGTCGTCCAGCTCGATAGGCCCACCGGCACCAGCCGCGAGCACCGTCAGAACCTTGGCCGGCTCGCCCGCCGCGGCCGCCTTCGCGAGGGCCTCCTGCAGCTCATATACAAACTTCCACCGCCCATAGTACGCGATCGCGAGCTTCTCGTCGATGCCCTCCTCCGTCTCGATGCGGCCCTCCGCGGGCAGCACGCCCGACGACAGCACGAGGTAATTGATCTTGTCGACGCCGTGCGCGGCGAGCTCGCGCGTGGCGGCGGCGACGTTGCGCATGAGCTTCATGTCGCAGGGTATGAAGAGCAGTTGTTCGCGGGCGGGGGAGGGGAGGGTGGCGCGTAGGTCCTCGGCGGCTTTCTGGTTTCGGCCGACGATGACGATGCGGGCGCGACCGTTGGTGTGGGTGGCGAAGGCAGATGCCATGGCGCGGCCTATACCGCTGGTGCCGCCGACGAAGACAGCAACGGGCAGATCCTTAGTGGTAGGCACTTGAGCGGCGTTGTAGGAGCGCGCAGCAGATGCAGACGGCATATTGAGAGGATGAGTAGTGCGTGCCAGTGTGGCTGAAGGCTGGGAGATGAAGGTGGTGAAGATGCATCCATGGCAGAACCCATCCTCTCTTATAGGGACCGCTGGGAGGCATACATCTTGCGCGTCTGAAAGGCCAACATGTTGATTGGTAAGGTGAAACGGCGGCTGCGCCACCGAAGATCGTCGTCGTCTTCCGGCAGCGTCGTGGAGTGTGTTCGCATCTGCGCGGCGTCGCGGCGGCTTATGAAGCAGGTGTCGAGGACAAGTTCATCATGATGCCGGCCTGCCAGTTGCGCGGCATGCAAGTGGGCCAGGTCTTAACAGCCTTCCCATATTGCCTAGCAGTGCACGATTCCTAGAGCTCTTGAGGAGTATCAAGCCTAGGGGATCAGAACAGACGGTCCTTGGTCGAGTTGAGCGGACCGGATAAGAGGTTGGAAGCGCGTAGATGATATCTTGGTTGCGAGTCTGACTCTGACGCCTGAAGATGCTGACTCAGTGTGACTTCCTCCAATTGGACCTTGGTCGGACCGCTTATCCGTTCCCCATCAAGAAGGTATTGTGTCCTGTACAGATACTCGCTTTTGATTTTCGATTGTGCCGACCGTTGCATGGGAGTCAGGCATCTTATGCCCAGGGGCACAGGAGCATGAGAGTAATACATGCTTGGAGTAAGCTGCTGCCTGCGAAGGACCATGATAAGTCAACTCCCAAGGATCTTGGGTACGCACCTCAAGTAGAATACAATATGCCGCTGAAGCGTTCATGACTACACTGGCAGTATAAGCGAAGCCCAAAATGGAGATAGCTTACCGCGAGTGTTAAGCACACAAATAGTGCTTCAGCTGTGCTATCCACTGGTGTACTGCGCGAAAGGGGGCTTTGATGCAGGACGGCGATGATAGATGACGAACATCTTGAGCAATCCGCAAGATAGACGATAGATGTAGAATGAGAATACAAGCAGAGCATAAGGATATGGTCATGAGTCCGCATTAACCGTAGTAATATATGGGTAGCCGTGACATTGTCAATTACAGGGTCGTGTCCGGGTCGGGAAGACGTAGGCTCTGATAATCGTCAGCAAGGAAAACAACTGCTACGGAGCATGTCACGCACACGAGGAAGATGGAGGAGCTGCAGTCTCTCCGCTCGAATTGCGCGGATGGCGGGGAGGCGGAGGTGGTGGCGGTGGCTTAATTGTCGTTGTTGAATGCGAGGCAGTGGGGGGACCGCAATCGAGAGTGGGTGCAGACGAAGATGAGGGACGTGGGGATCCTTTGGTCTTCTCCTCCTGCTCAAAGATGCCTTCCAGCCGGCCCTTCGCCCTGCTGAGCCCTCGTGTTATTCGTGGTTTCCTCAAGTCCTCCATCCCCTCGAAGGCATCTGATCCTGGTTTCGCAAGACCGGCCAGGACAGCGGGGTCAGGAGGTATGACGACCTTCTCCTGTGGGGCCTCTGGGCCTTCATGTGGGCTGAGAGGTACCTCGAGCCCTGCGCGCCGCTTGCGGTTGCGAATCTTGCGCTTCCAGCGCTTGCGGAAGTATATGGTGAAGCCGATGATCCATGCGATGGCCATGAGTCCACCGCAGACGGAGCCAGCAATCATGGGAGTCTTGGCATCGCCACTGAGAGTGGTCAGCCGAGACGTGAGCACACAGAACGTGCAACACACCCGCCGAGAGAGGGAACGGTCGACCCGGATGGCTGATAGTCTCGCGCAACTGGGGATCCGCCTGGAGCACGACTGCTAGATGGAGGAGCCATTCTGCGCAATCAGGGAGAAAGAGGGCAGCTTCGGCGCCGCTGAGCCTCCAGGGGTGGTACGGGAGGAAATAGGCGAAGGTCGTGAAGAAGACGATGAAGTCAAGGAGAGCGAGGTCCAGCATGTGGCGTCCATAATTGAAACCACGCGACGCACAGCCGCATCATCGTCCCCTCGGACCTCGCCGCTCGCGCCTTGACTGCAACAATCATCATTGATCGTTCTGAATACCCTTTCAGGTTCCAGTACGACTTGAACCAGGTCCTATAGCTCGCTCCAAGAAGGCTCCGTATTCTACGCCCAGCTCTTTCACCACTCCCACTTGTCTAATCCGGTGTAATCCACCAACTTTCCCCCATGCGTCTCCCGCGTTGCGATGTCCACTTGCTCGAGAACTCCTCTCGCACATACCTCGGGCGGCCCGAGCGAGTACCCATCGATGACTTTCTGCATCCCCGGATCTAGCGTCAGAGACACCTTGACCATATCGGTGTCGGCACCTCCCGGGGCGATGGGGAAGATGGCTGCATTTCAGGTGAGCTATGTGCTCACACATCGCTTGCGCGAACTCACTGATCTCCGGGTACTGGAAGTGCAGCTTCCGCGTAACCCAATTGAGGGCCGCCTTCGACGCACCGTACGCGTATACGGTGTTCTCGAGCTGCGTCCCCCCGGCGATGCTGCCGACGTGCGACGTGACTGCTGCGAACTTGGGCGCTTTACTCGCTCGCAGAAGTGGGTACGTCGCTTGGAAGAGGACGAGTGGACCGTTCGTATTGACCTAAAGGGCGGAGAGTGCCGATACGCGTGAGCAGTGCCGGCTGATTGGCTCCGCATCCCACTTGCCTCAAAATGTCTAGTCATCTCCTCGGGAGATATCGCCAGGGCATCCTTGAAGCAGTCGCTGATGCCAGCGTTGGCGATGACGACGTTCAGATGGCCCGCCGTCCGCTTTATTTCCTCCACGGCGGCGTCGTTGTCCGCGCGGTCCGCAGACACGAGCTTGACGACATGGACACGTCCTGGATGCGCCCGCGAAAGCGCGTGCAGCTTGTCGGCGCTCTCGGGGCTGCGAGCGCCAGCGAAGACGATGGCGTCTGAACGGGAGGCAAGTAGAGTCACTATGGCGAGACCTGGCGATGTGCTGGCGTGAGCACGTTCAGCAACGCAGGCAGGGTGCACCATACCGATACCGCGGTTCGCGCCGCTCACCAAGTACACTGTGGGTTCGTTGGAGGCGGCCATGGGAGCAAAGATTAAGGTGCGCGCGCTATTCCTCGTCACTTTATATATCCCTCCTCCCATGACACGCTTGACACGGCAGGATCTTCCCCGACGATAGCTCTTGGCTTCGTTCGTGACGCCTTTCACGTCTGCGAAGTGTGCGGTTTCTCTCCCTTGCCAAGGTTGAGTTTCCGAGGATCCTACTGCCCCTTGCGACCTTCCGGTACGTTATGGGTTCATTCTGAGTGCCGCCTTGCTATATAGCTGGGTGGCTGGTCTGTGGAGGTATTGTATGTGGCTGCACCACTCGGACGATCACTAGCTCAGGAACTATAAGGAGGCTTCTGTCCCAGCAAGTATAGTCAGCTCACCCCCAGTGCCATGACCAGCATCATATGAACCTGTCAATGGGCGTAAAGACAGCGCTAACCAGTCCGATGCGGTGATTACAGTGAGGTCAGTGACGGTCGAAAAATAATGCTATCAATGCTACCAATGTCCACCCTGCTTGTTCAGTTTCCACTAGTGTCTTGCTGAAGATCTATCGAGCAAGCATCTTCCAGATACATAGAAGAAGTCAATAATATGTGAAGAGGGCGATAAAAGGAAAATCGCTGCGTATATATCCCAAGAAGGAAGGTTTTGATCACCTTGTTCGGAGTCCCGCGGCTCGGCTGTCCGGACCGGTGTGCTCGGTGCTGGCTCGGTGAACAACGCCTCGAACATCGAGAGCGGGATCGTGCGGGAGCCGCTCTGCGATAGCTTGGAAATTCTTTCCTTATCCCCCAAGGGATTGACTGCCCTTCTACGCGAGGCCGCATACACCCTTCCCTCCCCTTAACCGTCACGACCCCCTTCCTTGCCTCTTCACGATGACTTTGATTCAGAGAGCTTTGGGACTTCGCGCGTGCAGGCAGTATGCGTTGAAGAGCGCGATGCGCCCGGCGCGCGGGTATGCGTCCGCGGCAGACGGTACTGTGCGTAGTTCACCTGGGGGAGCGTGAGCAACGATCTGACATGCATGTCCTCTAGCTCAGGAAGACCGGTCTATACGACTTCCATCTCCAGAATGGTGCTAAAATGGTGCCCTTCGCTGGGTACTCCATGCCCCTAGAGTACGCGGGGGTCGGCCAAGGTGCGTAGTCTTCCACTCGTGCCTTGAGGTTGCTCATGGACGTAAATAGTCGCCAGCCACAAGCATGTTCGCGAGGCGGCAGGCTTGTTCGATGTTGGGCACATGGTGCAGTCGAAGTGCGTTCGTTCCTCGCATCATGTACTTCATCCGTGCTAAACTACAGGTAGCTTCCGTGGCCCCACCGCAACTGCATTCCTCGAATGGATCACGCCCTCGTCCCTATCTGCACTCTCCCCCTATACATCCACTCTGAGCGTGCTCCTCAACGAGGCCGGAGGCATCATCGACGATACTGTCATCACGAAGCACTCGCAGGACGCGTTCTACGTAGTCACGAACGCCGGACGTCGCGAGCGCGATCTCGCATGGTTCAAAGAGAAGCTCGCTGAGTGGAACGCTGGCGAGGTCGCGAAGGAGGGCCCGGTCGAGCATGAGGTGCTGGAGGGGTGGGGGCTGCTTGCGTTGCAAGGTGTGCATGTTTGGCGCTGCGTCGTCGAGTACACTCGTTGACCATCCGTGCAGGCCCCGAAGCGGCTGGCTATCTCCAGACCTTGACGTCCTTCGACCTGCGTACTCTCACCTTCGGCAAGTCCGCATTTGTTCCAATCGACGGTGGCTTCAACTTGCATGTTGCGCGCGGTGGATACACTGGGGAGGACGGCTTCGAGGTACGCCCCTGTCGACGCCTTCACCTTCCATCATCGTAGCGACTCACCTCTTCCCCAGATCTCCATTCCGCCCGACCAGACGTACGACGTCGCGCAGCTGCTGAGCAAGCCCGATAACGTGCAGCTCACCGGCTTGGGCGCGCGCGATAGCTTGAGGCTGGAGGCAGGCATGTGCTTGTATGGAAGCGACCTTGATGAGACGACGACACCCATCGAGGCTGGCTTGGGTTGGGTGATTGGCAAGGAACGGAAGAAGACCGGCGGCTTCATCGGCACTGAGGGTGTGCTTAAGCACATTCAGGAGGGTCCGCCTCGTCGGAGGGTAGGCTTGATTGTCGAGGGTGCTCCTGCTCGCCGTAAGTACTACCCCTTGTCTGTCCTTCTACCTCTGCTTACACATCCTTCCAGACGGCGCTCAAATACTTGAGTCGCCGACGATGTCAGAGGCGATTGGTACGTGAATATGTGCATCTGCTCTCCCCCCGAGTTTGACAACCTGAACCAGGCGTCGTCACCTCGGGCATCCCCTCTCCCACATTGGGGAAGAACATCGCTATGGGCTACGTAAAGAACGGGTTGCACAAGAAGGGCACCGAGCTCGCGGTGGCCGTGCGCGGGAAGGCGCGGAAGGCGGTCATCACGCCTATGCCCTTCGTGCCGACGAAGTACTACCGCGGTTGAGAGCTGGGCTTGCAGACGCGTACTGGTGGTATGACATTAGGTGTTGCGCGTCGTCTAGCTAAGTGCTAGCTAGACATCTGATGGGATATATAGAGGGCTACAGACGTATCAATCGAATGCGCTTCAACAGCGGTGGTCATGTTGTATCACTTGCGTCCGACACCCTTTCTATACGGAGAGTCATGGTACATCATCAATGAGGTACTCTTCCTCCTCGTTCCTCCTTGCCTGGCCCTCCTCCCACAACCACCGAGGATGGAGCATGTCGTCTAAGGACAACGCTACGATGATGATCGCCGCATCGAAGATATCTGAGCCACTCGTCAGCCGTCGCGCTTCACGCATATATACATCGGACTTACTCAACCAGGCCTCTATCCTAACCATACCGCCCTCCTCACCATCAGCCAGGGCTAACATGCGCTCTATGGCGCGCACGAGGAGTAGCATCGTCGATCCACCGAGGAGCGATAGGCAGAGTATCAGACGGTCAGTTAGCGACCCTCTTGACGGCGATGCTTTCCGGTGCGCTTCAAGGGAGGACTGATGTGGTCTGTCCAATGCGTAGCGCCTAAAGAACTCTAGAGTGAAGAGCGCGAAGAAAGAGAGGACGGCGATGTGGAGGGAAACCCCTCGAAGCATAATCTTCCGACCCTGCGATTGGTGAGTGGTGGGCCAAGTCGGAGAAAGGACACCCTACTCGCTCAACGTCGCAACTGTCTATTGACGCACGAATCCCACTACCGACACCCTGAATCGCCGATGCGAAGATGTCCTGGTAACAATGTTAATATTCCACGCAGTTGACGGGCGAAGGCCGCCGTACACAGCACAAGAATAAGCCCGAGACTGTAGGTGTCATATCAGCCAAGCCCCAACAGCGCTGGCGAAGAAAGCTCACATAGACCAGGACTCAATAAGCTGTATGAGGTACCCAGTCGCCTCACAACATTGCTCATGATGAAGCAGTGGGCTGCGAAGAGCGGCGTAGGCCCTATTATCGTCGCGACAGACCTATGAAGACATCAGCGTGCATTCAGAGCGCGTCTCTCGGCTTCGCAGGTAACTCACTGAAGCATACGCGGGTCGTCGTGCCCGAAGCCCTCCCAATCATCGCGCCGTTGTGTCGCGTAGCCGAGGACTTCTACTGCGGCGCAGACGACGGCGGTTGCGAAAAGCCAGACACTCTTGTACGTGATGGACTCGTGGCCGTGGATGGCTATGAGGGAGTCAGTATGAGCGCATTGTAGTTCATCGATGGGACATGAGTGAAATATAAGATTCCAAGTCTACTCACCTATCGTGACGCCAAAGAGTGCGACATAGAGCTGTATGCATCCCCATTCGTTTGGCACGTCGCCATGCGTAAGTGGGAATGAGATATTGTCGAAGGAGGGCTCTGTCACCATCCTTGCCATGTAGAACTCAGCAGGCTGCCTGCAGGTCGATTATGTCGTGCAGGCGCCGTAGGATGAGGGGAAGAAGAATGAAGGTGGGGTAACACCAGGCGGTGGCGCGCCTTTGATCATCACTTGTTGCCTTTGAAGCAGATTATGCGATGCCTCGAGGACACAGCCTTTGTCCTCCGGCTACCTGCATGGATGAATTGACACATCGGGATTGTGGGGAAGTCAATGAAAGCACAGGCGATGATGCTTGCCGAAACGATGAAGTCAGAAGTTGAACTTCCCGACACGTGTACCCACGCGCGCTCAATTATGGACCCACAAGGCCCTGCATAATCATTCACGTTGCTTTCCGACGTTGCGGCACTGGGAGGTTTGAAGAAAACAGCACGGCATTCTCGTCCTCCACACACTCTCTAATCTTCAAGAGACTCTCTGACGTGCAATGGCTGCTCAGAGCAAGAACGAAGCCCAACTTGCCCTTGCGCGCAATCTCGCTCATGTTCCCTGGGGCGAAGAATACGAGCGCATGATTTCTGGAATGCTGTGGGCTCTTTTCTCCTGTGTTCCTTATTGTCGGTGCTTAGACCTGCGGGCGCCAAGCTGATTAGGTCGTAAAGGTATAACTCGTTAGTCCCCGAGCTCGAAAAGGCTCGGTTCGAGGCGCGCACTTGGGCGATGCGCTTCAACACCACCCTTCCGCCTGATTGTCCCACTGCCGACAGTCTTGCAAAAGCGAGGCTGAACAGTTTGAAAACGGTTCGTTGCCCTCTGCTCACACTTCTGCCCTCGGGCGTCGCAGCGTCAATGTTCACGAACCCGGATGTCAATGCTCATCTCATGCTCTTGTGCCTACTGTCTGCAATGCCTTCGTGACACAGAAGATTGAGTCACATTGACCAGATAATCGGCAAAATCGCAGACGACGAGGCCTACATCGAACCTCCCTTCTATATCGATTATGGCTGCAACATCAGCTTCGGCAAGCGATTCTACTCCAACTTCAACCTCACCATCCTCGACTGTGCTCTCGTTACGATCGGCGACCGCGTCATGTTCGGACCCAACGTCTCCCTGCTCACCGCCACACACGAGACGGAAGTGCAGAGTCGCCGCGAGAACATCGAGTATGCCAAGCCGATTACCATAGGCGACGATTGCTGGATCGGGGCCAATGTGGTGGTCTTACCTGGCGTCACCATCGAAAAGGGATGCACGATCGGAGCAGGCGCGGTGGTCACGAAGGATATACCTGAGTGGAGTGTGGCGCTGGGTCAGCCTGCCAGGGTGGTCAAGAAAGTAACTCCTGTGGACTAATGTGAGTGCTGTTTGGTGAACTTCCATCCTTCTTAAAAGTATCAGAAGACAAGGTGAATACTCATGGCTTCCAGTGCTTACAATGACCATCGCCAAACAAGACACACGCTCGAAGATCGCCAAGAATTCGCTATTTTTGTTCTCGGGAGCATGTTACTTTGTCCACAGCCTGGCATGATATGGAGATATTCTGCTGCTCTCAGCTTGCGCCAGACGAGCCATATCCCTGCTATGGCGAGTGTTGCTTGAAGCATCTGAAGTTCAACACAAAAGCATGTGGGAATCACGTGCAGGCCCCCACCTTAGCACCAGCAGAGACACGCAGACTCAGAAGGAAAGGGTGTCCCCCTTGCCTCTATAAGTCAAATACAGGTCAAGCTCTGAGATCCTCTAAGCACGAGGTCTCCTCCGTACAATCCCATCAAACACCAGACACGGTGGCCGCTTTCACCCGTGCGTACCTCGGACAGATGTTGGCAGTAAGCAGTCACCACCCACTCTCCGAGCAGATGCCAGTATCCCGGGGCATCGATAGGCTATATCGATGCACACGGAGTCCAGCTGCGAATAAATAACGGTTAAATAGGGAACGTAGATTAGTACAGGAGCGTGGGTGGTCGTTTCTCCGGCCGATGTGGGCCTCCTCGATAGGGCTGTCAAAGTTGTCAGCTTGTGCGGGCGGTCAAGTGAGATGGTGAACGCAAGAATGGAAGACGGAAGGCGGGAGAACAGGAAGACAGGACGTGAGGACGTCTACGCACCGTAAGTTGTCGTGTATACTGGTCAGCTTGGAAGGTCGTCGGGGCTTCGAAGGTAGCTGTCGCCGGTGTCATGTTTCCACCGAAAGACGCGCTCGATGGACTAGTATGACCGGGATAGAGCATAGGCGCGTTCGAGGCATATGAGCTCAGCGTAGTCGTGCTATCGGGCGAGAAAGCGCGCATGCGGGGAAGCGGCGTTAGGTTCGCGTCTGCGCTGAAGGATCCAGAGCGCTCCTTCTCGCTCTTCTCGCTCTTCTTCGTGCCACGTTTGACCTTGTCCTTCGCAGCTTTCCCTTTACCCTTGGCCTTTTCCTTCTTCCAGTGCCACTTGGCCGCGAGCGTCTCGTCCGACCAGCGCGAGTGGGACTTGGTGCGCATGCTGAACGACCGCATCATCGGCTTGAACACGCTCGACGGGCTCTCCGCAACGATAGGCAGACCAGGATTCGGAGACTCTTCATCCGACCCAGCGTGAGCGCGCTGCTTATGCCGCTTGCGCAGGAACTGGACGAGCAAGAAGAGAAGGACGAGCGCGAAGACACCTCCGCCGACGGCTGCGCCCAGGATTATGCCCAGCGGGAGTTCGTGCGAAGTCGACGCGGGCTTCCAGTTCCTGTAAGGAACGCGTCAGACGGGGGGTATGCGGGTAGGGGGACCGCAGGGCAAGGCATGCGGCGCGCGAGGGACGTCACACGCCTGTGGGTGCTAGGCGGGCGAGCGAGGGCGAGGTACTCACGCAACTGATGCAGAGCCGGAGGATGAATAAATATGGATGGCGTCAATGGCCAAGGTCTTCCCTGATGAGGAAGGGTCGGCGGCAATCTTTAGGGAGTGTTCGCTAGTTGGAAGTCCGGTCAAGAAGTACTTGAGGCGATGTCAGAGTTTGAATCAGATTTGCACTTGCGAGCGATCACTTACAAGTAGAACCTTTTCGGTAATCAGCAAGCTATGCAGCGAATCCGGATAAACGAAACGTACCCCGTTGTGCGACGTTGATAAATCCGTAGTGTTCGTGACGGGCATCGGAAAGGCATCCCCGTCGACGAGGGCCTGAACCCGGGTGTTATCCGAGGAGGCGGTGCCATAGACCGCGACAGCGTCGCCGTAGAAGGTCAGCGACGCATACGCCACCTCGGACGACGTCGTACTATCGAGATCTTTAGTCAGGATTGCTGCGATTTGTGGATGCGACGTACTGTCCGTCATCGGTAGACTTCCACTCGGAGGATGGATGGTATTCGACGCCACTGTCTTCGTGGCCGACGGACACCCTGTTGAAGGTAAATTAGATTCCGATGTCAAGGATAGCGGTTGACAGATCAGAAAGCGCACCCATCTGACTTGAGATCGGTAGACAGTACGACCCAGTCGATGTCGAGCAGCCCATCACTGTTGTTGATGAGCTCAACAGTGTGCTCGCCCTGATCGAGGTCGGAGACCGTGCCTAGCAGGGCCTTGGTCTGCGTCGAGTACGCCTTGCCATTGCCTGCTCCTACGAGGACGTTGTCGACATAAATCGTATAGGGACCGTAGTCGGGACCGTTGGCGCCGTAGATAGATATGCCGGTGCCTTCGGGACATGTCAGGGGAACGGCACCGGTAGCACAAAGGAAGTACGCTGACCATTAAAAGTGACGGAGGCGGACGCGTTCTTGTATGCCGTATAGTGAAATGACTGGCCTGAGTAGGGCTGCAAGGTAGCACTGTTCAGCGACCTCGCTATAGCAGTTGCCAGCGATGGAGCCCACCTCGGCGGCAGATTCGTCCCCATCCTTCCATGCACCTTCTGGATTGTAAGAAATGAGCGGAGAACTGTCTTCAACTACATCGGAGTCGCTGTGGTCAGCGGAAAAGCACAGCAAGACGGTATATGCTCACCGGAAAGAGAAAGGGTAGAAGACATAGCACAGCATATGCGAAAAGGATCGCGGGGGAAGAAGAGATACCCTGGCCCCCGGGCCTGCCTATAAAGGGCCTGCAAACGTTTCTCTATACGAGATGGGCGCGAGCAAGGGCCGATCTACGGAGGTTAGAAGGAACAGGTGTCGTGGACGAGTGTTACAAAGGGAACCTGGGATTTATGACATGCTATGGAGCATGGAAGGGGCCGTTTGAATGAAACTGATCTGGGGAGCGCGCGCTATACTCGACTACCGGCCAGACTACGGCCGTACCGCGCCGTTGTGATTCGAGGCGACACGCCACATCACGACGCCGAAGCGCAGCTATAGCGCTGTATATAGCTTGCTGCGAGAAGATGAGACATACAGAAGCATCGAAGACCTCGTTTGCCATTGTTCACCATGACCGTTCCTCTCAAAGGTTGAATGTGACCGTGACGCGTGGGAGATTCGGACAATGGGCCGGTCCAAGCGCGCTCTTTGTGCGGCGCGCGAGGGCCAGAACCATTTTGGCAAGAGCGCTCGTCTGTTTGGACCACAACCGCATTCTTGTCTTGGACGCCCACCATGGCGCCCCCATCGTCGTCCAAGCCATCGACGAAGGATCTCGTGAAGAAAGGCCCCTCCGCCCTCCAGAAGAGCGCGAACAAGAAACAAGATGCCGCGGAAAAGCCAACCACCCAACGCGCCATTGTTATCCGGAACGGCAAGTATGGTGCGCGTGGCACAGGCGAAGTTCAGCTGGTCACCAAGCTCGCCGGGCGCGAGAAGCTTGATCTGCTAGCAGGTGCGTGAAGCTAGATCGGCGACGATAATGCCACCGACTAACGTCCCCCGGTAGAGGACCTCATCGAACAGGCCAAACAGGCCATTGCGCGTCCTTTTAGGCTCGAGGACTGTATCACCATTGCCGAGGCTCAGTGCAGCGGTGAGTTATATGCGACGACGCATTCCTGTGGCGCGCTGACGCGTTCGGCGCTTGCTAGCTTTCCTGGACGACATCGCCAATCTGCAGGACCCGGACCTCTTCTACGACATCATCCAGCAGGAGCTCGAGGCCCGCACGCCCAAGGATGCCAACGGCAAGCCGAGCGCGATGCTGCGTAACCCGACCTACGTCGCGCAGGTCGTGGCAACCAGGTTCGTGAGCCCCCATGACCGATCTGTATGCCCGACTGAACATGCCACCGTCCAGAATCCACAATGCATATCTTCTTGCATCGGCTTGGAAGATCGCGTCCGATACCCTCGCTCTGCTTGCCAAGGAAGGGCTCAAGGATCACACGGCCAAGAATCAGTTGAAGAACAACGAGAAGATGCGCTCGCGCTACCTGGTACTCTTCGACATGGTCGGTCACCTCGTCGACATGTCGCAGGCAAAATTCGCCGTGTTGGCTACCAAGTCGCGTATGTGAATCATGTTGGAAACTAATATCGGCGCTAATGGTTCCGTCTAGCGCACTACGCACACTTCTTCAAGGAGGTCGAGGACAAGGAGACAGGGGAGAAGGAGGTTGTGTTTGACTATCGCGCTGGACTGCGTGAGGCTGGTCGTTCCTTCCTCGACTCGATCATCATCGAGCTCGCTTTCCCTGAGTCCATCTATCCGAAGTCCATCTTGTACAACATTCTTCATGATGCTGTCGAGGAGGCTCCTCGTGAGGCGAAGCGCTTCCCTCAAGCTCTCTGGGATGCTGTTGGCGACCTTTCGGTAAGGCGAATGTGGGATTCGCATGCGTACGATGACTCACATACTTTCAGGAAGCCGTTGAGCTGCAGCAGATCCTTGAGACGCCGCTTCTGGGCCCGGAGGGTCAGGAGATGCGCAAGATGCCCCGTCAGATGCCTGAAGAGTTTGAGCGTTGGGTCGACGCGTCCATCTACTCTCAGAAGGCGTCCGAGATCATCGGCAACTTCAAGGATGTCATCTTCCCTCTTGAGAAGACCAAGAGCAAGACGACACTCGAGAACATGTGGAAGTACATCAACATGGTTGGTTAACGCGTTTTCGGCGTGTAGCATCACTGACGGCCGCGCAGAACTACAAGAGCATCTCTGGGCAGGACATCAACAAGCTTTGGGGCCTCGAGGACGCGCTGAACGCTCCTCCTCAGTGGCACGCTTACTACGTCGACCCTTCTGTCATCCCGGAAGCGGAGGATGACGTCTTGACTATGGGGCATAATATGAAGAAGACCCTCCAGCTCACGGCCGGCGGCGAGGACAGTGAAGACTCCATGCCCGAGCTTCAGTCAGTGTCAAACTCTTCCGATGAAGAGAGCGACGACGAGTCCACGGACTCTGAGGACGATGAGTCGGACTGGGAGTCGGACGATGGGTACGATACCGACCAGGAGGATTACCTGCGTGAGATGTTGCGCGAGGCCATGGACGCGGCGAACGAGGCTGAGGCTGATCTTGGCGTTCCTGGTGTCGATCCTCTCGCTCAGGATGAGGACTACAGGAAGGGCAACCCCTTCTTGAAGTTGCTGGGCTCTCTCAGAGGTAGGATTATTGCAATCCTCGTCACGGTACGTACTGATAAACATTTAGGCCGCATGTTCCCTCCCAGCTCGAAGATCAGGAACAAGACTGATCGCCCGACTCCTCGCGGTGCTGGTGAAGACTTCCTTAAGAAGGCCACTGAGGCGCCCAAGCAGAAGTCCGCGCTCGAGCAACTGCTTGAGGAGGAGGAGGCTGAGAAGGCGGCGGCTGCAAAGAAGAAGTCGAAGAAGAAGCCCAAGAAGAAGAAGGCTGCCGGCGGTACTGGCACCAGCACTGAGGCCGCGGCGCCCTCGACACCGACCGCGCCCGAGCCGCCGACCTCTCCCCAGGCGAAGGAGAAGAAGGAGAAGCCCGCGCCGAAGCCGGCCGCCCCGCCCCCCGCGCCCATCTGGTTTGAGACGGGCGAGACGCGCGCGCAGAGCGCGCGTGCGTACCTGCACGAGAACAAGCTGCTCGACGCGGAGAAGAACAAGACGAAGAACCGTGCGGACCACGCGAGCATCTTCTCCGAGACGGGCAGCAGCAAGAAGGAGGAAAAGGAGAAGGGGAAAAGGGGCGGGATGTTTAGCAAGCTGATGGGCAAGGGCAGCGACGATGTCGACCAGAAGGAGGCGAAGCTGAGCTTCTTCAAGCGGCTTTCGAAGCGGACGAAGGGGTACATGCACCAGCTGTTGCGCACGTCGGAGGACGAGAAGCGCGGGCTGGCGCCAATGAAGTGGGAAAACTTTGTCAAGGTGGGTGACGTGGTGTCATGGTCAAGACTGCGGCTGACTCAAGTCTAGCTCATGGTTGAAATGGGCTTCGAGTACGACCCCAGCACGGCCGGCTCGAGCGTTCGCTTCATCCCCAAGGATCAGCGCGACAAGCCCATCACGTTCCACAAGCGTATGTCTGATTCCGTTCTAATCTACCTAATGCTAATCATCTCTATAGCGCACCCTGACCCGACCATCCACCCGGTCATGCTCAGGGAGTTCGCGAAGAAGCTGCAGCGCCACTATGGCTGGACGCAGGAAGACATCCTGGCGGCTGCCTAAGTGCGCGACGCGTTTTTCTTGGGAAACGCGCGGGCAGTGCGTCCGCTAACGATCAATGGATCGACAACGAACTGTTTCTTGTAACGATCCGTCACCAGTGTGTGCTGGCGCGGTATCCTCATCTGTCATGATCTCTTTTCTTGTAGCGGTTTAGTTCCCTCACTAACTGTTTTACTGGCTTGGTATGCGCATTGCACGAACGTTGTAGCTGTGTAGACAAGCACCCTCGCTGTATTTTGTATCTCCTGAATGTTGACCTCTTGCACAATCATACCCACCTTGACCTTGAAATGCCCTGCCCATCGCCAGCATCGTCCGGCTGACGGCCCGATATTCCGCCGCCGCCTTCGGTGTCATCATCCGTCCGATTCCCCACTTTGGTCTCGACCTCCATCATGTCCCCCACGGACGCGCTCTCCTCACGCGGCGCCCGCCGACTGCTGCATCGCGCGGGCAAGTCGCTCATGAAATCGCACCGCCTCGGTGCCCTCCCATCGCAGAAGCTGGGCGCGCTCTCCCAGCACATCCGCTTCCGGCCCGTGCGCACACTCTCCCATTCCCCTCTTGCTATCCGACGCTCAAGCACCCCTTGCAGTGGTTTCTCGTGCTGACATGCCTGGTCATGTTTGTGCTGGCCTTCCTCGGGTTCACGAATCTCTCGCACTCGCTTCCGCTCAACGACAAGCTGTTGCACTTCCTGTGCTTCATGGTCGCGACGGGCGTGTTCTACTTTATATTTGATGTTGAGGAGTGCGTAGTGTCCTCCTCTATTTCTGGGTGTATGGCTGACATTGCCCAGGGAGGCAAGACGGATATGGATCTGGCGACATGCAGGGCAGATCATGACCGGCTTCTTCTGTTTCTTCTGCGGAGGGATCTTGAGCGAGTTCGTTCAGTCGATGCTACCGGTGCGTACATTCCTTCTATCTGTTTACTCTACGCGCTCACCCGATCATAGTATAAGGAATTCCAGTTCGGAGATATCGTGGTAAGTATACAAGGATTTCCGCGCGCAAATCATTGCTCATTGTCCCAGGCCAACTTATGCGGAGCCTCAGTAGGCCTTTACCTCTCTTACCACCTTGAGAAATACTATAGGCATAGGCGAGAGGTTCGTCGGATTGATGAAACCACCTCGCATCCGTCTCACCGTCCTCACAGATCGCCCGCCTCTACCAACCACTAGATACCTCACAATCAGACCTCGAGGATGACGACGACGAGCTCGTCGGCGACCAGCTTCTTCCCACCCACACCCAATCAACAAAACCAGGGAAGGGGTCTGTCGCGCTGCAAGACGTGTGGGACGAGCGGGAAGAGCTGTTCGGCATTGGCGACAGCGACGAAGAGGACGACCGGACGCCGCGCGTTTCTAGCAGTCGCGCCGGGCCTCCGCCCTCGAAGACGAGTGTATGAGATGTGCGCTGAGGCGCGTGTACGAGGATCGCGCTCGCTCGGGCGCGGCCATAATAAGTATTAGCGTTTGTAACTGTAATACCACGCTTTGGAATAGTGAAGGGAGTGCAACAGGGTTGCATGGGAGTATGAAGGCAACAGGCGAAGGCTACGACTTCTCGGCCTTCCCAGTCCCCAGTGTCCTTGCCTCGGCCTCTAGGGAGCGTAGGGTCTCCTCTTGTCCGTCGATGACTTCGTGTCGCTGCTCTACGCGTCGAAGGAGCCCTTTGCACGCAGCGTTGGGGACGGCGCATACGCGTTCACGCAGTACGGTGTCCAGCGTCGTCTGAGCTACATCAGCCATTGTGGTTCATAGCTAGAAGTTGAGAACACTTACCGACAGATCCCTCTCCAACCCCTCCGACACCCTCTTCCAATCGCCCCACCAGCGCCGCTTCGCCTTCTCCCACCTCCCAATCGCTACCCTCACGCTCGCCAGCGCCAACAGCACCCCCGCGCCCGCCGCCGTGCCCGGCGTCAAGCCCGCCGACAGCAGGTTGCTCAGCACGCCCTCCGCGATGCCCAAGCTCGCGAACGACGACGCGATCGCGGTGCCAGTGCCCAGCCCTGCGCCGCCCATAGCAACCAGGAAAGAGCGCTGCGCGGACCGATGTAAGCGCGGGGTGGCGTAGTGGGTCATCTGCGCGCGGCGCGCGTGCACGGGGGAGGTGAGGACGGAGGGGGAAAGGGCGGTGGACGGCGCGCCGGCGAGAGCGTCCAGGTCGTTGCGCAGAAGGGCGGAGGCGAAGGCGGGGCCGGCGCTTTCGATGGTCGACACGGCTTGTGCGGTCAAGTCGGCGCGGGCAGCGGCGAGCTGGCCGGTGTGGTAGATGAGCTGGGTGAAGTTCGTTAGTGAGATGTAGATAGACGATAAAGTGAGGAAGAAAGCTCACATGCTGTTCGAGCTCCTGGCACCACAGCCGCTCGACGGCGTCCGCCACGACGACCGACACCTCGTCCACGCGCGCCACCATCCGCCACCATGTCAGCCGGTCGAGCACGTCGCCCAGCCGCCGTTCCGTGTGCTCCAGCGCGCGGCGGACATGCTTGCCGTCCTGCAGCACCGTGCGTGGCACTGTCGCCTTGTACTCCTCCGCGCGCCGCTCGAGCGCGCTCACCCTGTCTTCAACTACGTCACACTCCGCGCGCGCAGTCGCCAAAGCGTCCCGACACGCGTTGAGTGCGCCCAGGAGCACGCCCTGGGCATACGTCCGTCGAGCGTCGCGCCGCGCGGACCCAAGGCCCGAGACGCGCGCGCGGATAGCCTCGAAGACGGCGGAGATATTGGACGCGGCGAAGTCGTGCTGGTAGAGCTGAACAGCCGCAGGCGAGGTGGGGTTCGCGTTGAGGGTCGTCAGCGCGGTCGCGGCGCGGCGGGTGTCGACTGCGAGCGTTGTCGGATGGTCGGGAAGGGGGCCGCGGGGTGGGGCGTTGGCGATGAAAAGGCGGAGGGGATTGTGCGTGGGGACGGGGAGATTGGGGGAGGGAGTGGTGGCTGGGTTGCGCACGATGATGGGGATGTCGGCTTTATAGGCGGAGAGCAGGGTCCTCGCTTGCAAAGGGTCGCGTAGCTCCAGAATCTGCGCGTTGAGGGTGGATAGCCAGGGGGCATTGACAACTAGTTTTGGGACTCCGTCAAGCCTAGGATTCATGAGCATCGGACATCGCGCATTCAGGTGGGGAACGTACTGCGCCTCCGAATGACGGGCACCAGCATCAACCTCTTCCCATCGTGTCGCCGTCGTCGTTGATGAGAAGGGTTCCTCTGTCAACGAGGTGACCAGCTCTTGCGAGCCAGAGTCCTCCCCCAAGCCGCATACTGCGAAGTACTTCAGCCACCGATCACATTCTGAAGCCGTTTGACGCACCGAGGATATTCAACTGAGCAGGAGACTTTCCCTCACGCAGCTCCTTCTCCACGCCCTCCAGTCCCGAACGTGAGTGCTCGAGTAGATGTCGCCAGAACCGCTGGTCCTCAACAGTGCCCTCGATCGTTTGTGTTGGCAGGACATCGAGGACGAGAGCTTCAGCCTTCGTAATCAGAGTCCGGTACGACGCATTGGCATGTATAGCGGTGGCTAGCTCCTTGCTTATGGGCGCCGCCTTTGGTTCAGCCTTTTGCAAGGGGGGCGCATCCTGGGATGGAGTCTGATCGCTATACGCCCGAGACCGGGTTCGGGCATGCGTGGGTATTCGCGCAAGTTTGGCGCCATGATGGCTGTACGAGGTAGAGCCTGCGCGGCAGGCGGGGAGCCTGGCCAGCCCGCTATACCGACATGGCATGGAGGTAGGTTCAAGTCGATCTCGCGAGCCTCGCGCGTGGGGGAAGCAGGCGCGTCACGGTCCGGTCCGGCATTTCCCGGAGAATGCTTTATGGCTTTTTACTTGCTTTTCCTGTTGAGTTAGGGAGCGCTGAATCGGCGACTGAGAGATAGCTATCTCAACTTTGGGTGTAAGTGCAAGCGAGTGGGGTAGAGTGAGCCTTGTTGAGGGCCTTCCACCTCCACGGCCCAATCCAGTGACCTGTGAATCATGCAAACACTACATTTCGAAGGATCGTCGTATCATCCATAAACCGTCAACTATCTACCCTATTCAGTGTCTGCAATTCACTGTCCCGATTCACTGCCCTTGAGCACGGATAAGGGGCGCCCTTGACACTTTGCCTCTCCCCACTGCTTCCATTTTCACACAACCCACAGGCTCGGCTCGCTTCCCACCAATGCGTAGCCCCTAGCCACGCCTGCCCCCAAGACGAGGACTTTGAGTGGAGTGGCCAATTGCCTCATTTGGTGCTGTGCGAGTCAACTGATCAGGAGGATTGAAGTCTATAAAGGCTGGATTCGGCTCCCGTCTCTCTTCCGTTACCGCGATGACCTCCCGCAAGAGGTCGAGCTCGGGCTTTGTGCAGTCGCAAGGTGGTCGGTCCACTCGGCGGCGCGCGGACGCAGCGCCAGCTTACCACGGGAACGAGACGCACGGCGGAGAGATTGCGCTTAATTCAGTTGGAGCGACCGCAGCTGAGACGGCGGTGAGCCCGGGAGCAGGAGAGGTGCGTTCAATGACCCTGGAAGTGACGCTGAACATGACGACGGACTGCAGGCGATCTCCCCAGTGCAGAGAAGTTCCACGACTTCGTCTATCCCTGCTCTAGTCGCTACCCCCTCGCATGTTGGTCCGTCTGCCAATGGACCCTTCGTCCAGTACGTCCCAGGCTCGTCGAACAGGCCCCGCAACGGCCCTCCCCACGTATGCACCGTCTGCGATAAACACTTCATGAGGTGCGTATCTCCCGCATATCCATTACTCGTCCATCTCGCCCTCGCCGAAACTGAGGCTAATTATCCTAATTCAAGGCCCTCGACACTCGCTACGCATATGAACATCCACTCGGGTGCTACACGTAAGTTGCCTCGTTGGCTATTGTCGTCACTTGCGCATAGTGTTGACACCTTGTATAGCGTACATTTGCGGCTTCCAAGGCTGCCACGCGCGCTTCAACGCGCGGTCGAACGTGACGCGGCACCGCTACCTGCACGGCGCTGCGTTTGCGCAGAAGCAGGGCGATATCGAGACGGGAAGGGCGGCAAGAGGGATGACGGTGTTCGTCGAACCCGTCGTGGCCTCGCCGAGTGGGATTCCTATGGCTCCGCCGAATGGGCCGCTTGTGAGCACCAGGGTAAGTGCATCGTCGTACGAGATGGCGGGGGAGTTCGGTGCGGCGTGGTCAGTCGATGACGCGGGGAGTAGCAACGAAGTGGGTCCGTCGAGTGCTCAACAGCCTGCTGATCACGAGGTGCGTTGGATGCCGGTGAATCAGGTGTCCCGAGGGCGTACATCGTACTCGCCTATTGCGATGACAGGCAGCAGAGGGTCGAAGAAGCAGCACAGAAATGCAGGCCCTCGATCCGAAGGTTGAAAGCTATCTGGCGGGCAATACTCTACCATACACGCATACACTACTCTTGCCGTTTCTTGCTCTGGTCGGTTCGCTTTGTTCCATATCGGTCTGTTTAACCTTGTCTGTATATCGTCTATTTCCAAATAGGCATGTATATTTGTATGACCACATATATACAGTGCGACCCGCCACTTCTCGACTGCCTCTTTGGGCGGGACCATCATTTTTGACCAAAAAGCACAAGACATTTCCCCCCTGCGGCGGAGCACCTTGGAAACATCACCAATGAGCTTGTATTACCTTTCCCCACCTCCAGGTAGAATATCTAAGCTGTAGCTCAAGTTTTGGTTTTTGGACCGTCGGAAAAATGAAAAATCGGCCGAAATTCAATGGAAAAGCGAATATAATATTCATTTCTGGGTCTTTTCAGACGATTTTCTCGGATATCGGTAGCGCATGGTCTCTACACTGCCTGTGCTACTGTCTAAGAATGATGTTCACATCCATAAAGACGTTCTGAGGGATTCGACGATGAGAAGAGTACTTTTTGACCGCATATTTTGCCTGCTGCGCGTTCAGGCCAATCCTGCAAGGAAAATATGAGTCCAGGTCAAGCCACAACCACCGAGATACATACTTGTATGCATGCATATAGCGGTAGCAGTGCCGAAAGTAGCGACGAATATTTTCGACGGTTACTTGGTTGAGACACTCGGGAACCAGGCGCTTTGCCGTCGGAAAAGTGCCGTCCGAGAACTTTCGAAACCCTGCAGATGCGTCAGCTTGCAGCATCGAGATGATAAGGAGTTGACTTACGCGTTTTTGCCTGACCCCACACCATCTCTATAGGGTTGAACTCGCAATGAAACTTGGGGAGGAAAAGACATTTGTGGCCCCTTTTCTCGATGAGGACCTGCAAGAGCGGCTTCTCATCGCGGAAATCGGGCTGCGACGCAAGCAGGCGCTGCATACAGCAGTTGATTGGACGCTCCGCATCCTCCGCTTCTGCAAGAACGGCGGCAGCGATGGCCTCTCGGCCTTCGAGGCCACTCCCATCAATCTCGTCCTCCTTCGACTTAGCCAGCTTCGCCGCTTTCTCGCGCGCGGCGGCAGACTGCTTGCAGACGCCACACGTGCCGACAGGCTTTCGGCCTCCTTCCTGAAGCAGGGATAGCAAGCCCCGCTCCCGAAGTACCTGCTCCATTCCCTTCGGCTTGCCCGCCAGGGAATTACCCTTCGTGTCGACTATTTGGCTGTCTGCAGGAAAGACCATGGACTGCACCTTTTCAGTTCCAGGGATTTTCGTGTCGTGCATGATTGGCTGAGCGCCCCCGGGGTAACGGTTCATTTTGTGGGCGAGTAGCGCGTCGCTGGCGAAGGCTTCATGCGCGGATGAACAGTCAAAGATAAATACCGCTGTTCCCTCCGGGAACTTGACATCGAAGATGTCAATCGCGCGCTTGACCTAGGGGAAGTATTGAGTTTGTATCCCCGAAGGAGACAGAAGCAACAAACCTGTACGAGAAGCTGAGGCATGTCCCAATAGGGATCATGACCCGCTCCAGGATATATGATCTGTCTCGCGTCGTAGGTAGGGAGGCGATAGCGGGTGTGCGGTGCAGGAGGTGGTGGGGGTGTCCAGTCATCAGCCGCAGCAGTGGTTCGGTCAGTAGCGACAGGGATAGCGGTTGGGGAGGCCTTCGTTTTGCCTTTCCTGCCCTTCCCCTTTATCGCTTCGCTTGGGGTTGGCATATGCTGGGAAGACGGAGGGAGAGGTGGTGCCGGCAGAAGCTCCTCTCGAGCGATCTCGTCAGGTGTCAGCGCGAGCCGACCATTTTCTGACTTCTCGATAATGAAGTCAGAAACATGGACATTGCGCCCCCGGCTCTTTGAGCGGAGCTCCTGCTCTCCCTCCCGAAGCCAGAGGCTGTTCGTCTGGTCGTTTGCTTGGAAGCACGTCTCGTCGTGGAAGATGGGATAATGGATCTTCGTTCCCGCTGGAATAGTGGGGGCGGTCTCCGATAGCGACTTGTCCTCGTACTGATAGGCAAACGGCAGCACGGAGAGGTCCATCAACTCAATGAAGGCCTTACGCGCTGCGACAACATCCTTGCGCTCGTGACCGTCCCAGTATATTCCTTTGGTATGGCGAGTGCAATAAAAGCCGAGCCACTTCAGCCAGCGAACAGCCGTCGTCATCGAGATCGTCGCATCAATTCCGAGTTGAGGGAAAAGGTGGACATTAACGAAGTTGAGCAGCTTATCGGGTGTGGGCTATAGGTCAATAAGTAAGGTGATAAGGGGGGAAGATGAAAATGTACCCGATTCTTTCCTAACCCACCCTTGGACTCGTCGATCTCGCGGTCAGCCCACCTCTTCAGATGCTTCTTGACCTCCGGATTTTCGAAGTTCGTTGCGTGCACAGCGCCCTTCCCTTGACGATTCTCGGGGAGCTCGCCGGTGCGACGAACGTGCTCAGCAGCAACACGTAGCTGACGTGCAAAGTATACACCGTGATCGCGGCCCCTTGCGACATGGGCACTGGCCTCGGCTGCTGGCCGTATCTTGTTCGCACTCTTCCGCAGGCGGTAGCGAAGTGCACCTTGGGTTGTCTGACGAGCGCGTGCAAAGGCCTGGTCTCGTGCTTGCTGCCGCTCATCGAGTTTCTTGCTGTATTGTTCCAACGCACGAACACGCTCGAGCTCCCGATCAAGCTTTTCCAACGAGAGTTGAGGGCTGTTGTTCCTAATTAACTTCTTCCTAAGCAAACTCAGCTTCGCGTTGAGTGTGAGAGTACGAGCAGCCTCGTTAGTTGCCTCTTCATCGTCCACCTCCCCCTCCTCGTCCTCCGAGTCGCTAGTGACACTGCCCGCGTCCTGTAGATCACCTCCCGACAAAGTATCAACGGGACTCGTATCCCACTCAGCGCAGCTTCCGACGACATCCTCCATTGCCTGTAGCTCCTCTGGCTCTGTGCGCGCAGGAGGCGAGAGCTCGGGAACAGGAGATGTGCACGCGAGGGAAGGAGGTTCGGTGTCAGGGGATGCATGCAACTCCTCGCGGCTCGAACGGTCCTCCGCCATCTCGCCAGTGACTTCATTCGGGATGCTGCTTGTTGGCGGGTGCTCGTGTTCGTCATTGCCACCGTTCGGGTCCTGCGAGTGAGGTGAACTGATCATTCGATGTCAATAGGCTTATTTGCTTACGCATGGGGGCATGGCGTGCACGGACTGGCCGAGGTCAACGCGTGGTCGCTTTGGCTCCTTCTGAGCTGCAGTGAGGACAGAGAAACAAGAGAAGCGAGGAACGGTGACTGACATTCTTGCGAGAGAAGATACTCGCAATGCTCTTCTGCATGTTGATCGCGCGCGACTTCTTTGTCATGTTGTTGGCGTTCCGCCACATTGTCGTAGTGCTCTGCCCTCGGGGAGCCGGGGGCGGCGCTTCGGGATGTCTTAAATCTTCATTGGAATGGGTTCTCTTCCCCTTCAGAGCGTCGTGAGCCAGTAGCTTCAGTGACTTGTGCACGGCACTCACTAATACAGCCGTTGGGCATCCATTCGGTACCAAGTCCGCGTCGAACCTGACGATCATCCCAACATCTCGACCGCGCGCCCCCGGCGCGTCATCAGAGGGCACATCACCCATGCTGCTTGCGGGGAGGCGGTCGACCTGGTCACGACGATCGAGCTCGCCGAACGCGTTCACTTCGAGTGTGCTGATATCTTCCATTTCGCCTTCATCGCAAGCCATAGGAACCCAGTCAGGGTCGAGAGCGCGTTCTTGGGTGAGTTCACTCTCGCGTCTGCTCGCTTCTCGCCGCTTGGCAGCCGCGCTTCTTGCTGTGGGAGCCATCACGAAGGAGATGTACAAGACACGGCGCGTTCCCGTGCCTTCCGGAGGTACACCCATTTTCGTATCTTCCGGTCCGAAAAAGTGAAAAATATTCGATTTTTCGGGCCATTTTTCGTTCTCAGCGTCAAACGCATTCTTTTGGCCAGTTTCACGCCCCAAAAAATGTCAAAAAAATCGTATCAAAATTCCCTTATGCCAAAACAGACGTGTCAGGAAGGTGGCGGGTCGCACTGTACACGCGCGCACGCTTTTATATGACCGTCGGCTCCGGCCACGGGAAGTTCATCTTCCCCTCCATCCCCGCCGCCCGCCACACCGCCCCAATCACCGAAAACGGCAGCCCCGAATCCACAGGCTCTCCCGTCGACAACGCCGGGTCCACCAGCAGCTTCACCGTTGCTAGCAGCCACGCCGCCGACCACACTCTGCCTACCAAGCGAGTGGTGGCGTTTTCTTTGATGCCCAGGGTACGGCCCACGGCGATGACGCCGTCCTCGAATGTGATGGCGATGGCTTGGAGGAGGAAGAATCGGATGGAGCGGCCGACGGTGACGTCGATCTGGCGGTCGCCCCAGACGTGGGTGATGCCGGAGGCGAGGAAGCCGATGTAGAGCTGGATGTAGGAGGAGGCGTTAGTGCCGCGCTTGACGCCGAGGAGGTTGACGACGGCTTTGCCGGTGGAGGCGACGTACTGGATGGGGTGAGCTAGGATAAGGAATGCAATAAAACATACATACACGACGCATGAGCTGGTGCCAGACGCGGCTGAAAGTCCTCTCAGCGAGTTGCCCTGATAAACAAGATACTAACACTCACCCCCAGATCTTCCTCAACGTATACGCCTCGCCCAAATCACCCCACATCGGGGGCCAATCACGCGGCTCCTGACCCAGAAGCGCCGCAATAATCGAAAGCTCACTATACATCATCTGCGAGTTCGCCCAGAAGTGGATGACTGTCACGGTGATGGTGATGCACTGGAAGAGGAGGCCCTGGGAGGAGATGGGCAGCCGCTCGGCCGCGCGCCAGGAGGTGAGCGGGTTCTGCTCGAAGTATGTGCCGCAGCAGTCAGTGAGAAAGTAGAAGAAGGCGGTGTCACGGAGGCGGGAGACGATGAAGTCCTTTCGGGAGCGGAAGTGGGGCACCTGGGGGAGGTGGGGGATCTTTGGGTAGAGGGGGAAGGTTAGTTCGATCGAGAGGAGACTGGGACATGACTTACCGCCGTCGTCCACCCCACTCCGCGGCTAGCCCACAGCAGGCACGTAGCCCACCAAAGACGCTTGCCAAACGGCATGTCCTTCGCCGCCTGCATATCATTCCGGTGGCGCGTCCCATCATGTAGCGGGTCCGACAGGAAGTAGAAGTGCAGCGCGGTGAACGCCGGCCACCCAAAGCCCAGGCTCGCAAACTGGTAGTCCAGCGCCGCGTTCCCGAGAGTCATCGTCGAGACCGCATAGACGGAGATGGCCACCTGCGCCGCGAAGACCGCGACGCGCACCGCGGGCGGGGGCCGGGTGGCGATCATGAAGGGGATGGGGCCGATCATGCATAGCGAGCAAGCAAAGAAAAGGGAAGGATTGTGGTAGCGGTCCGGCATGGCGGGCGCGGAGGGGGCTTGTAGAGACCCAAGCAGCTATAGAGACACGATGTGGGGAAAGAGGCGCAAGGCGCGAGCTCGAGTGTTATATACGCGCCCCGGCGGCCGGGTCTCGACATGTGGATAGAGTCGTGGAAGACCCTTGGAGGACCCTGGGCGTCCGCAGACCGCCAGAAGCGCCCCGCAGTTGCTCACCGCCGAGACGATCATCAGTGATTGTAGGGAACTTTCACACATGGCTTAGGCGCCATTGAATGAGGGAAGAGACTCTGGATGCATGAAGCCGAGACATGACTGCAGAATAGCCAGATACTCCCTGCGAGACCGTATGGCAAGCATGGTCCAGCAGACAGAACCTAATGAAGTGATCAGGAAGAAGAACAAGGACCGGTGACTCACCTCAATTTACGCGCATTGGAATCGCCCGGCAAACGCCGAAAGTGGCCACCAAGGTCGAATCAGCGAGGTTGAAGCTGAGCGCTGAACGTTGGATTGTTGATCAGGCATCTACAGCGTCCCTGCTCAACTGTTCTGGTGCTCTGGCATGTTTACTCCACCTAGTGTCAAAATTCACACCTGCAGCGCCCCCCCGGGAATAAAAACGATGAGCTTGACGTCCGGCGCTGGCCGTCAACAAGCCTATCTTGAGGCGGCCACATACTGTGTATGACGAACCGCACCATTATGTCTTTATTTCTTCCCAGTAGGGAGCCTCCAAAGGGTACGCCGCAGAGACTTCCGTTCGTGTCATTGGACAGATCGAGTTCGTCCAGCAGAATGCGTCGATGAAACTCACCGCCCGCGTACATCTGCAATCTCATATTGCCATTCATCTCTAGCTAGATAGCATTACCAAGAAAAATCTGTCGACGATAGTGTACAAATACAAGCACTGTCTGCTTCGCGCGTCAGTTGCGAGCTTATGCAAAATAGTAACTGAACGTACGGGGCGAGATAGCGTAGGCATCCAAGAAATAATATGTAGCGGAGTCACTCAAGAAATATAACGTCCGTCGAGGGAGTTTGACAGCTTAAGAGAGCGTCTATGATGGTGGAGCTTTGCGAAGCTTTTGCGAGTAGGCTCGCGCCTTGCGCAGCGCGAGGTCCTGTACGAGGGTGAATAAGAGATGAGGAAGGAAGGGTGGAAGGCAACTGACAATGACTAGGGTGGAGAAGCGCTTGATTTTCTGCAGGCGGCCAGAGGCATTGCGCCCTTGGCCGAGTGCCTCTTGAAGCTCATTCGCCTGGGGCGCCCACGGGTCCTCGTCGAGGAACACCTGCGATGGGAGCTCAGTAAGCTGGTTTGCTTCCCACAAGCCAAATACGATACGCACCATGGTTCGCATGAGGAAGTCATCTTCGCCATTCGAGGACTTCGTAGTCCCCGGCTTCTGAGAATAACAATCAGCAAGCGCCCTCCTTAACTGAGGCTAACCACGCACCACGTCCTCTGAGCGCGCAAAGGATAAAGGCTGTCGCCCCCGACCTTCATCTTCAGGAGGCGGCTTGCGGACGCAGCGGTGACGACGAGCTGCGCGCCTGGGACGGTACTTGTCTTCGGGACGCTCGCTGCCGTTCTGAGCAAGAACGAGAGCGATGGAGGGGTAGTACGGTTCGCGGGAATAAGGACAGACGGACGGCCTGGGTCGGACAGGGGGGCTGGGTCGGACGAGCATTAGGACGTGGCAATACCGAGAAACGAAAGTAAGGGGATGGTGGGAGAGGGGGAAAAGGATGTTTGCGTTGACCCGATCTTGCTCTCACGCCGCCGCTTGATACAAAGTTCGACCCACCTTGTACTTCCCGGCCGAAACTGCTTGAGTCCTTCCTTTTGAGCCCTTAACTGCTATCTTCCTCTTCGCCATGCGGCGCCTGACTGGACGCCTCGCAGAGGCCTATCCTTGTCGACGGCTGTGAGTCCCAAGGCACCTCAAAAGCGGGAACTTTCTGAACCGGGAGTCGAACGGCTTCTAAGTCTGGTGATCGGCCCGCTCTACGAGCTCCTCGCGCGCCTCGCTGTCTAGAGGGTCTCCCCTGACTGTCTTTCTGGCCTTCGAGAACGTTTGACGCATTGCGTGCGATCGTCGATGGGAAGGCGTCGACGGGACTTGCACAGATATCCGGCTACTCGAGGGCTTGTCGAATGCTTCCCAGCTTCGCTCGTTCCCTGCCCTTACCATCATACCCGCTCGTCGCGGTCGAGCACAACGACGTAGATCGCTCTCCGTCTGGTCCCGAGGCCTCACCCCGCACAAGTTTTGGTTCCGCAATGCGGGGCCGGGGGACGGCACCGAGGAGAGGCGTGACTCGACGCGCCTGTCACGGTCACAGCTTATGGCACTGGTGAGTCGGTGGCGAACACATATAGAGCTTTTCAATCACTCACCGCTATGAAAGGTTCGGTATATCATGCAAATCATTGCACTGAATGGACTGAACTTCGATGTCGAATGATGAAGTGGACCGGCGGGGTGATTTGAAGACGACTTTCAAGAGCAAGTCCTCGAGGATACCAGGGCGCAAGCACACTGACGGAAGCAAGGGCAAGGGTATTCAGCGCTGCTGGTTGGCTGTCAAGGCGGGGCTCGTCTTCTTGCGGGGGCGCTTCTTCGTGGCCTCGCCTACTCTATAGACTCAGTGCAAGGAGCCGAAGATCTGTCGAAAGGACGCTTCTGGTATGGGAATTTCTGCGACGAGCGTGAGCGTTATACATGCGACCACAAGAGCCCAACGCACCTGCTTGGCGTCCCAGCAAACGACCCCGTCCAAGACCCAACGATGCAGCGGAGTACTTCGATTGTTGAGCGAGCAGAAGGTGTTCGCCTCAAAAGCTGAGCCTTAGCCCCCTTCCGCGGATGGAAATATGCTGCATCTGCACGCTGGGGTCGGCGATGCCTTGGTCGCTGGCAAGCGTTCCGCGCGCGTGAAGCCCTGCATGTTGTCTTGAAATCCGCGTGAACGTCATGGTCATTCGATGCCTTGTCGACGGACGTATGGATTTTTGCGCGTATGCTACGAGCGCGGGCACTGCAGGGAGCCTAGTTGGCCACCAGAAAGGTGCACATTGTCTTCGTCTGTCACTAAAGCGCCTGACCAGTCGCCGGTTTCTTTTGGAGAGCGCTTGCTACCCAGGTATGGCTTGCTGCAAGGTAAAATCACGGAAGGAGCACGTTGGCTCATATTTGCAGACGCGGAAGGCACATTGAACAGCAAGCAACATTCAGCTTCGACCGTGAGCGGGAAGACTTTAGGACGAAGAGGTGATGATGGTCAAGAACGATGCGGATTTCCAACATCGGACCGTTGCTCAGTCGGGGTGTGCCGATCGAACGACGCTTCCTCTTGACCTCGACCACTCTGCGACCCCTCGTCGACAAGAATGCTACGGAGATGCCAACATACTGTTTTCCCTCACGCATTATCCTGAGATCTATCGACGCGCCTGTGGCGAATTCTCTGCAAGAACAAAGGAGGTCGCGTCGTTTGGCAACGTTTGCATGAATCCGAGATGACGAAGCTGGAAACTTTTGGATGTGGTAAATGCCGCGCAACGTCCTGTAGCCAGGTTTATAAGGACGGCGTAGCCCCGGAGACGTTCAGACCACTCTACACTACGGTCCCATGGATGACTGGGGGATACACTGCAGGTGAGTGCACGGTTGCTTCCTTTGCAGCCCCATTGAAAGTACAGTTTTCAAGCTCAACATGCATTGTATGCCTCTACTGTGGTGCCACGGCCAGGCCCATGAGCCCAGTCAAATTATCCAACCTCCCCTTCAGCCGTCTAACATCGTCCGCCGTCGGTCGCGCCTCTCTCGAACCTCCTCCCATCGTCCCAGACGTCAGCCGCGCCAGTTGATCTTCCAAAGCCTCCATCTTGCGTTTCTCCAACAACTCGTCGTCCGTCACCAAATCCTCATCTTCCTCCAACTGCAGATGCTCCTTCGCGTGCGCCTCCGCCTCCAGGTCGCGCGGCGCGATGTCGGTGAGGCGGATGTGCGCGAGCTGGCGGGAGATGTCGCGGACTTCCGCTATGGCACCCTCGTTTACCGCGGGAGCTCCCTCGCTTTCTGCGTTTGCGGCTTGCGAGGAGAGGAAGGAGAGCAATGCGGATGCCATTCCACGCAGCAAGCCGAGCTCTCTTCCTAGCGGCGCGCCGACGTCAGCGAAGCCCGAGTCGAAGCCCTCTTGGAGGGCGGATTCTTTCCCGGCGGTTATTCCCTCACGGTAGCCAGCCTAGCAGGCAGAGGTAAGTCTTGGACATCGTCGGCGTAAAGCATACAACTGACATTGGTGAAGTCAGACGATAGCTTTGCCCATTCTGCGTCCCTTGTTGTCGTAGAGTCTGCAACCTCGTCCCAGGGTGAATCCAGGTCCATCTCGGTGGCGCGCAGATGAGCGTTGGGACAGATCGTGGTTATCTAATCTCGATCGCGCTGATAATGCAATGGACCCACAACGAAGTCACGGTTGTTGTCACGCATGTCGTCCTCCAGCTTGGCCAGTTTCAATACAAGCTGTAGACATCCATTGAATATTTTGCACTGAACTCCACAATACAGCCGCGTGATATGCTCCCGCCATATATGCGAACAACGTTGGACATTGTACAGTCGCATTTGCTGACTTCGAGCGTATTTCCGCACGTGAGCGCGCCTGAAGATGAACGTGATTAGCATCGCGGCGCGGCGCTCCGTCTCCTCCAGAGTACTCCCCAACCTGTTCCCAACTTCCATGACCACTGTACCAGCCCGCTTGAGACCGATCCTACGCGCCATGTCGTCTTCCTCACCGCGGACCACCCTCCTCTCCGAGTTCTCTACCTGCGAAATCAGTGATGCCCTCATCAAGCTAGGCGTTCCACACGGTGGGCTCCTGCCCGACATCCAGCTCAAAGTTCCATCGCAGGACGCTAGGATCTGTGGTCCGGCCTATACGGTCAGGATGGTGTTGAGCTCGGATACCTCTGCGCCGAAGCTGTCTGGCCATTTCGTAGACCAGGCGCCTGAGGGGTCCGTGATTGTTATTGATGCGCCTCCAGGTAAAGTTCGACTTCACAAACTTTGGTGCCGTCGCGCGTACTGAACGCCCATATAGAGACAAAGAACGCCGTCTGGGGAGGGCTCATGAGCGCAGGCGCGCAAGCAAGAGGGGCCCTCGGCGTTGTCATATCTGGCCGGTGTCGAGATCTTGCCGAGCATCGCTCGCTTGGCTTCCCCGTCTTCTCGCGCGGACAGTCCACGCTCGGGCAGTCGCCGTTTACGCGGCCCTCCGAGATCAACGTCCCTCTGACCATCGCGTCAATACCCAATTTCGGGAGCAGTGCAAACGTCCAGAGCAGCGAGGGAGCGGACGCATTCCCCGCCGCGGTCATCTCTCCCGGAGACTGGATCGTCGGCGACGAAGACGGCGTTGTGGTCGTTGCGCAGGCTCTGGAGCAAGAGGTGGTCGAGAAGGCGTTGAAAGGCAGGGAAGTGGACGCGAAGTGTATGGAGGATATAAAGGCGGGTAAAGGCGTCCAGGCATCGTTTAAGCTGCATAGAGGGAAGTAGGGTGCTCAGGAGGTAGCAGGATGTGCAGGTCATGGTGGATGCGCAGGGAAGGCCGTGATGCGATGGTAAATTACAGTGCTGAGGTATATCTAAAGTGTACACAATACAAATGCACAGGTAGAACTCATCGTCGAGGTTGGAACTTCGTCCGCGCGTTCGAATTCGGTGCCTTACTGCCAACGGCTGCCCCTGCCGCCTGATGCAGTTGGGTCGTCCGACTAGACTGTCTCTGTGCCTCCAGTATCGCTCCGCGAGACAGACACCAGTCTATGTGCTGGTTCAATCCGTCGTTGTCCGCCGCGAGTGTCTTCCCGCATATGGGACAGTCGTGTTGCTCTTCGGTGGGCGATGGCGAGCGTGGCGGTTTGGACGGGGGCTTAGACGAGGGTTTGGTTGAAGAGGACCTCGCAGCGGTGTAAGAAATTGGCTTGCTGGACTGCGCCGCGAAGACAGGCTTATTGGACGACGTTGACCGTTCCGCATCGTTTTCCCCATCCCCCTCCAGCCCAAAGTCAGCCGCACTGACACCCGCATTGTCGTCGTGCTGGCTCAGGCTCGCAATATCGTCATGCTGACTCAAATCCGGCTCGTTTTCCTCCTCTTCGTGGAAGCCGGGCATCGCTTCGTCGAGGTCGTCAACCGTGATAGGTGCTGATGCCATCCCTTCTGATTTGGCGTATGCACCCATATCGGACTCTGCGGACAGCTTCCTCCGCTTCGTAGGCGAGTGGCTCGGGGCGCCGAAAAACTAGGTGTGGATCAGCCTATAGCCTATCGTGCCCGACTATTGAGATGATATAACAAGGCTCACCCTCTTGATACCCCCACTCGGCTCCGGCGCACGCAGATCCTTGAGCTTCGTCACGCGCAGACCAATGAGGCGTAGGATGAGCGGCCATTCGGGGGCGAGGAGTTCTTTGCCGGCCTGTGACTGGTTAAGTGTCTTTGCACGAGGCCGGATGTGTATACAAGGCCGGATGTAGATGCCCTTTAACGCACCGCATACAAATCCTCCTTGCTCGTGATCCATCTGTCGAAGGATTTCGCGCGGGTAAAGACTGTGAGCAAGGTTAGCATCGTCAAACTAGACTTCACGCGGAGCTGAGTCTATCTCGGCTTGGGCAGCGTCCGAATCGCACCTTGATACGTATCCAGCTTAAACTTCAGCGTCACCGTCCGCCCCGCCCAGCCCGACGTCCTCATATCGTCCTCGAGCTCCGCTGCTACCTCGTCCAGCTTGAGCATGATCTTGTCCTTCTCGCTGATGGGGTTGAAGGTTCTGGACCGCCGGTCAGCAACACGTTCGACGACATCCAGGTTGTTAGGACATCAAGGTAGCTTATGACTAGTTCCCTCGTGTTGCATACAAAGGTACAATGAAGGAGATAGGAGAACACTCGCCTCTCCGCCCCGATACTCTTTCTCTCCTGCCTTTCCGGCGGCCGCACCGTATTCGATGCGATGCCGAGGTATGTTTGCAGGAGGAAGCGCATCCCAAAGTGTTTGTCCATGAGGTAGACGGTTGCGCGGTGCGTGTAGATGTCGCCGCAGGTCTGAGTGGTGGGTGAGTGGGTGAGCGGGAACCAAACAGATAGTTGAGCGGGAGCCAGACAGATAGTTGAGCGAGGACGAGAGCGATCCAAAGTGAGCGACTGCCTACCTTGATACCAATAGACTCCAACAATCGCTCGTTTACCCTCCCCACGCCGGGGATCTTGCGTATTGAGAGGTCGCGCATGAAGGACATGATGCTGGAGCGGTCGAAAGGAAGGTAGAATTGGCCGTTTGGCTTGTTCTGGTTACGGTGTAAGCGCCGGGATGACGAGGTCGAGCGAGGAGAGGAGATGCGCACCTTATCTGAGCAAATCTGGCACAAGGCATCAGTCAGCCAAGCATCAGTCTATCGAGCTCACGACTCATACCTTGGCGAGCATCTACGAGGGCAAGGATTAGAATAGACGGCACAGAGGTAACGATGTTCACCTTGTTCGGCGCTATCCCCGCACTGACGGTGAGGTCGCTCTCCTCGTGCACCACACGACGCATTTCGGCGACACATTCTTCGGGACCAATGTCGTGTTCGCGGCAATACTTGGTGATGCTGGCAAACGTCAGCTTCGCGTTTGGGCTCTGAGGTGTAACTCTGGAATGTCAGCTTACTTGAGGTATCCCTCATCACAACTCGCCGGGCACATCGTGGGGTCATATCGCCGGAAGATGTCCATCACCTGCTTCGACTTTTCTGAATAGCGTTCGTGGTTGATTTTGACGAGGATGAGGTCGGGGCAGAGCTTTTTGGCGATGAAGGCTGGGGTGAGGTTATGTTAGCTTCATCGGATGGAAGGGTCGCGAGCGTCACATACTAGGCATCCCGCTGCGCACGCCATATTGGCGGGCTTCGTAGCTGGCGGTTGTGAGAACGCCCATTCCTACCTGTGCAGCAGTCAGATACAGGCAGAAGTAAGGCTGAAGGCAGACTCGTACACCGAACGCCTTTCCCTTCACTTCGGGTTGGTATAGCATCTCAACGTTCTGCACATTGGAGGTTAGCATCAAGCACTGAAGTCGACGACGGAGGAGGCTCACAGCAAAAAAGGCATCCATGTCAACATGCACGATGTACTGAGACAGATCTCGCTCACTTTCCAACTCGGCAAGCTACCTCATGAAAACGTGGGTCGGCTATGAGGCTTGAACCACTTACAATATGGTCGACTGTGGCCTCAATTGCGCCTGTATTTGTGTCCTTCAGCAGCCGTGAAGCAGGCACGTAGGTTGAGCCTCACCTATATCAGCGCCTCTCAGCGCTTCATCCCGAACAGCGAGGATCTTTTCTATGCGCTGAGTAAGGTCCTTGTCTTTCTTCTTCTCATTCTGAAGTAACAATCGACTGATTAGTCACGCACACTTTTTCAGTTCTGCCATGCCTTACATCGTAGAATTTGGAACCCTTCGAGGCTTCAGCTATGATACGATTGATCTCAGTCTGGTCCTTGGCCAGCCTGTCCGCTTGGTAACTAAGCGTGCCCCCCAGCGGGGTCTGAACACCTTACCCAGCTTTGCCAGTAGACGGGCCGGCCAAGCGCTTGACAAGACTATCTGTTTGTTGGCTGGGCTGTTGCATCCCCATGAGACGTCTGAGTTGAGTGAGGAGAAGGCGCGACCTATATGGCCGCCACACTCGTCACAGTTGAGGACAAAAGACGAACAGCGCGCGTGGCGGTGAATCACGGGTAGTCACGTACACGTGATCGTGACTAGGAGTTTTGTCGGTGCCGAGGACCACGTGTGCATGGAGCTTGGCACTCACCTTCATCGTGTCGAATTCATTCTGTTCAAGATCGTCGTTCATTGTCTTTCTTCTTGACCTGCATCGCCGAGATGTCCGCGGATACTCACGGGAAAGCGGCTACGTCGGGCTCTGAAACTTGTGTGTGCTTCCATCAGCTCGAGCAATCTCGCGCGTAACTTCAAGGGGGTGCATCATCAACGGTATCTTTGCCACAACTCACATCCAAGGTGGGCGCTACAGTGCGGCCACTCACGGCCGCAAAGCCGAAAGATATTTGTTATCGTCCTCTGAACAGTCCTTCCGACGGAAATTCCCTTCTACTTTGGTTGGGAAGCACATGTGCGCTCACGCTCATCCTTGTGTGGGAGCTGCTCGGCTGGTGCTCGGTGCACCAAAATCCCGATCTACTGCTGACGATGCTGACATTCAAGGCATAACGTTCGAGAGGAATCATTAGGCAGCACCGCGGGGCACAGCATGATCGCGTCGGGAATTCCGGCATGGGGGCGTCGATTATCTCTCCCCCACGCTGGACAGCATGCTGGCCACCGCAACGGTTCCTGATGTCGTGAGCTGTCGTGCGCCATGCCTGTTGGTCTACATCCGCCTTGGCAGCGTCAACCGCGATGCGCTTAAAAGCGACAATCCCGCTTCTTCATCAGGTTCTCCTTCTTCTCCTTCCCCCGCCTTCAATTCGCCCAGCAGCCGGTCCTTGACCAGCTCACCTTCCAATCTTTACAATGTTTCAAAAGTCGCTCGTTCAGCTCCTCGCTGTCGCCTCGATTGCGTCCCAGGTCGCGGCGCAGTACGAGGTCATCCCTCCTTCCATGGGTCCCTTCGTGAGTTCATATCCTTGAGAGTCAGTTCCCTGTCGTTTGCTGAATATGTATGCTTTGTAGTTCGATGACGCCACTTTAGGATCTGCTGGCGACTACGGTTTGAACAACAAGGGCATCGACCCTGCCGCCGAGATCGCCGGTTGGTTCGACATGACCGATGTCTGGCGCACGGCCCAAAAGGTCCTCAGCCCTGCTGTCTGGAGTACGGTCTCCCCCTTGTACTCCCTCGTCTCGCAACTTACCCTCCCCCAGGTCGCGTCGCCGGAGGCTCAGGCCACGAAGAGAGTGCGTAACTTACCTTCCTCATCCCCACCCGCCAGTCTTGGAGTCCCTCTTTACGAACATGACTTCGCAGGCATGCGCTGGAACTCCCACATCTTCGAGTACATCACCTTCCGCCCCCGCATGGGCCGCGACCTCGGCAACGCGTCGCTCGCGACCAGCGTTACCCTCACCAACGGGGCTGGCGTCTCCACGAAGTTCGACTCCGCGTCGCCCTTCTTCGTATCGCCGTCCGGCTCGCACGGCGTGGTGAATCCGGAGGTGGCGGAGAAGTGAGTGGTTTGGTTGTTGTTCGGTGATGAGAATGGCCATAAACTTATGTGCCGCAGCGGAACCGTCCGGGCCGCCGCTGCCGCTGGCATCATTGCGGGCATCGCGCAGTACTCGACGGTCCCGATTGCCGACCTTGGCGCTATCAAAGCGGAGAACCAGACGTACTGGTATCAGGTAGGTGGGGAACCTCGCTCCTCGAGTTCTCTCGAAGTCATGAAGGAATCCTTGCTGATCTATGCTTTCTAGATGTACCCGGACGAGAAGTGGGACCCGGAGGCCGTGACGGCGCGCCTCGACGCCGCGAAGGCCGCAGGCTGCTCCGCCCTGCTCATCACCGTCGACACCACCTCCGAGGGCTGGCAAGCCCGCGCCTGGCGCGCCGGCGGCGACGAGCCCACCGGCAATGCCCAGCTCCACGTCCTCACCTGGGAGAACATCGAGTGGATCAAGAACAACACCGACCTGCCCGTTGTGCTCAAGGGGATCCTCTCCGTCGAGGACGCTATCCTCGCGCGCGACGCCGGCCTCGCGGGTATCTACCTTTCGAACCACGGCGGCCGGCAGCTCGACGGCGCGCCCGCGCCCGTGCAGGTGCTGATGGAGATCAACAAGTACGCGCCTGGCTTGGTGGACGAGATCCCGGTGTTTGCGGACGGGGCAATTTATTCGGCGAACCATGCGCTGAAGATGCTGGCACTGGGGGCGCGGATGCTGGGTCTGGGACGGCCGTGAGTGGCTTCTGTGGTTCTGTGGGTGTGGTAGAAGGAGCTGATGTGTGCGCTTAGGGTTCAGCTGTCGTTGACGATGGGGCAGGCTGGCGTGGAGAGGATGCTGCAGAACCTGCACGACGATATGCTGGTTGAGATGCGCCAGATTGGCGTCTCGAGTCCCTCGCAGCTGAATACCAGATATGTGCGTAGCCTCATCCTCTTTCACTCGTGAGGAATGCCCGCTAATGACCTCGTAGATCAACACACAGCGAGCTGCTGGCTTCGTCTACGATGGCGAGCTCCAGCAGTAGTGTGCGGTCATACACTGCGATAAGCGGCCCTAGGGCTCGTCATCGTCTGGTTGTACCCCTGTTGTACACACAGTCATTCTTTTGCATCTGGCAAGGCGGCTCTGTGGACGATCTTATTTATATCGTGTTGTTGTTAAGAGGTAGTTCATATGCTTAGAATGCCCTGACGCGAACTTCGACGTTGTTGTTAAAAACATCAGTGTCTCAATTGTTTTGATGTACAGTGCTACTTGAGGTCTGCGATTTCCGTGCATGACTGAGCTCTTTGAAGAAAATGCAATCAGACGGGGTCTGCGATCTCGCTCGACAGAGCCAGCGGCGAACCCAGGTTAGGGTAGCTGTTCGAGTCGAAGCTAACCCTATAACAATGTCAGCCATCGTAGATCGAAGCAACACAATTTGCAAGCTACTCACTGTTGTACATTCTGAGGGGCGAGGATGCGATCAGCATGAGCAATGAGGGCAATCCAGACTGCCTTACCGTATACCGACTCCCATCGCACGCGCCCGGGGAGGAAGGCGAAGCATGGTAGACGTTCCAGGTCTGGTCCCCTGAAGCACTCAGGAAGAAGCCGTTATGACCGGGCTGGTAGTTGCCATTCGCAGAGGTGAAGATGGGCTCCGAGGACTTGGTCCACGACGAAGCGTTGAGGGGATCGCTGCCAGTGAGCTCGAGGAGGCCGAGCTGGAGTGGGAATGGTCAGAAGGGCAGGATAGAGAGAATGTAGGTTTATCAGTATACCTTATAGCCGTCACCATTGCAGCTGGACGCGGAGAAGACGATGAAGGTGCGCCCGCCGTGGTAGAGACCAGCTGAGGACAATGAGTTGGTGGCATGTCGTTGATGGTAACGGACTTACCAGGTCCCTCGTTGACATACGTCCCAACCTTCTCCCAATCGTACGTAGGCGTCGCGATCTTGACCGTGTTGCCAACCTCAGTCGCGCTCGTCATTTGACTGCAGGCCAGTCAGCGACCAATTATCCTTATGCGCGGTCTCATGAGGCGTACCTAATCCAGAGGCACTGATAATCCCCATCCCAGCTCGAGTACACAAGGTACCGATTGTCGCCGTAGACGAGAACCGTGCCGTCGATAGCCCAGACGTCACGGTTCGGAATGACGATGCGGCCAGCGTAGCTCCATTCCGAGTCCCAGATGATGTTGGAGGAGCCCTTGAGGACGTGCAGCTTCTGGTTGTCGAGGGTGCCTGAAGTGCCGGCAGAGTAGTAGCTGGGAGGGGAATGAGCCTAACCTTGGATATAGGAGCAGAATCGCGTACATGAACCAAGCGCCTTCGTCGGGCATCCTTGACCTATCTGTTAGCAGTTGAAAATCACAATAGATAGACGTCTGACCAGTGAATCTCCGGAGCCCCTGCAGCAACGTTGAGTCATCATTGGAAAGCAAGTTAGCTCTACACTCACAGACGTTGCAGCAGCGATCCGCGTTCGTGTCCGTCCAGATCACCTTTGGCGTCGAGTCCTTCAATTCCTGGATCGTCGCGCCACGAGAGATCTGCAGGTTGGACCACGTCGTTGACATCAGGTCTATGATGCGGTTCAGCTAAAGGACACCATCGCTGTCTTGACCGAACTCACAGTAATAACCCTCATGATAGACCATGAACGGGTCGGAGCCATTGGGATCCTTAATCGGGTTCGTAAACGCGACTACAGAGAGCAGCTGCGAGGCGAACGAGATGATTGCTACAGCGAGCCCGAGGAGATGCATTCTGCCAGCTCTTCGGGGAAGGGGAAGGAACGAGTCTTCCTTAACCGCGCGGTCTCTCATAAGTACTCGACGGGTCGAACGAGCCGCGGTCCGCCGCTATCGTCGTCGCCAGGGTCGACGCGGTCCGTATCCAAGCATGACCGAAGTTGCACGCTGGAGGTGTAGCGGAGGCGGTTGCAGTCGAATCACGGGAGCCTCCTTCGGAGAATTGGGAGGAGTGACCGGCGCGCGCAAAGGGTTGGGACCATGCGCACGCCTATATGAGCTTGACGGGTCCTATATGCCGGTCAAGATAACATGGATTTATTGACACCGACAAGCAAAGGATAGAGATGTGGTTATAACGCAAGGCCTCAAAGTGGGAGACGAAGCTGACCGAGTAATAGGACGGCCGAGAACCCTATGTACGCAGGTGCAGAACCACTGCAGAGTGCCCAGAAAGCACAGAATGCAGCGATTGCTCGGACAATTGAGGCCGAGCCTCGTGCAGAATCTCGGCTGGAGGATGTCAGGCGGAGAGAAGGCATTCTTCCTCGTCATTATACCAGGCACAGAAGATCGAATACGGTCCGGGACACCGTTAAAGAGACTTGGATTGCGCACGCTGAGTTGTGTGAGAACACATTGTAGAAACCGAAGATGGAAGAAAAGGGCAAGGTTTTACTCATCCCGAAGGAAAGGTGAACACAGCAAGTTACGGACGAAGATGGGAAGCATGTGAAGTTAAAGACTCGGCATATGCCGAGGCGTTCACACACTCGCACCTTTGTGGCGTCATGGTGGCGCGCAACGCGCCTTGCCGCTTACAGCGAGGAAGCCGCTACATTGACGCCTTCGACGCCTCACCCTACAATCATGAGCATGAGTATACTCTGCCAGCAATGCAAGGAGCCCTTGCAGGTCCGTAATCCTACGAATGCTGTGTATGACGCCTGACGGTACCATTAGCTCGACGCATCGCTCGTCGACCTCGCACCCTCCGCGTATGACATGATCGTGTCAACGCTGCCTCAGCCAAGTGCACCCGCGGCCACCAAATCCCTCTCCGATGCGGAGAAGCTAGCGCAACTGAACGCGTCGCCCGCGATGAAGGCCGCTTGGGAACGCGCACATATCAACCCAGGATCCCTCTCCCCCCGTGCACAGGGCAAGCTCCCCCAGCGCGGCTCACCACTCCCCAATGAGTCCTTCGTCGTCCTCCAAGACAGTGTCATTCGGGCCATCCCCCCGCAGGGTGCCACATCGAACTCCCCTTCCCGGCGAAGGAAGACCAATGCGCAGGCGCCGGTCGATCCCCTCCCCTTGCCTGAACACCCAAATCCCTCTCCTTGGTCAGATCATCTGCGCTCGACGCAGAAGCTGTTTAGCGTACTGTCGTCGAGGACAGACGTCGATCATCCGTTGTGCGCGGAGTGCACGCAGATACTGCTCAATGCGCTTCAACGGCAGCTCGAGGAGACGAAACGGGAACGGGATGGGTACATCGCGTTCGAGAAGGAGGTGCGGCGCGAGAAGGAGCGCGAGGTGCAGGGGATGTCGAAGGAAGAGGCGGAGAGGAAGATACAGCGATTGAAGGAGGACGAAGAGACCGCGGTGGAACAACTCATGCAAGCCGAGCGTGAACGCGAGGAACTGGATGATGAGTTACGTCTACTGGAGGCGGAGGAAAAACAGTTGGAGGCAGAGGAAGCAGAGTACGTATACTATCGGAAATCAAAGGTCCCTTGCGTGCTCACCCGTCTCCCGCAGGTTTTGGCATATGCACAACGACCGCCTGCTCGAGGCCGATCAGCAGGCAGAGCAGCTCGCTACGCTCCGCGCAGCATATGCTGCCGATTCCGCGACGCTGGAGAAGCTCGAGCGCACAAACGTGTACAACGACGCTTTCTGTATAGGGCACGACGGCGCGTTCGGAACTATCAACGGCCTGCGCCTTGGACGAATGCCCGGAATTCCTGTGAGTGCCCGGATCTTGTAGCGACCCCACGCAGTGGCTGACAGCCGTGCTTGCGCTCAGGTGGAATGGGCGGAAATTAATGCAGCCTGGGGCCAGGCGCTCCTCCTTCTCTACACAATCGCGCGTAAACTTGACTATCACTTCGAGAAGTGGGTGCTACTCCTCGCACTCTGCCGTGGCGTACACCGCGTCTGACACTGCTACCTTGCAGCTATCGCCTCGTCCCGATGGGGTCCTTCTCAAGAATAGAGCGAACGACGGGTGACAAAGCGAGCTACGAATTATACGGGTCGGGTGACTTGCACTTCGTTCGCCTACTGCATAACAGAAGGTTCGACCTGGGGATGGTCGCGTTCCTGGACTGCCTAAAGCATCTCATGGAATACATTGGGTCGCAAGACCCGAGTGTGGACTTCCCCCACGAGTGAGTCGAACGTGTGCCTCTTTGCTCTTCCTCTACTGCTCTTTACGAATTGCTGGGAAATCTGGAATGTCGCTCCGCATCCGTATGGTCGGCGTGAAGCTGGAGGGTCCGAGCGAGCGCTGACTTTACTCAACAGGATCGTTAAGGATAAGATAGGCGACGTATCGGTCAAGCTGCAATTCAACCAGGAGGAGGCGTGGACGCGGTCTTTACGACATGTCCTCCTGGCGCTGAAGATCTGTTTGAAGTGGGCGACGAATGGGATTAACGGTTAGCGCTTCCAGTGGGTTGCCACCAAATGCCTCACTTGATTTTTTCGAATAAAATCTTTATGCCTCATCTTTTGGATGGAAGACCGACGATGCGACAAAGATAGTAAGCCGCACTTCGACGGTCGATTCTGCTTCGAGCCCAAAATATCTATGAGAAATGCTCTTATGGAGATTGGTTTCCAAATGCGTATACAATGCCGTTGGACTTCGCAGCCACGCGATTATCTACTTTGGTCCAATCTGCGCCTTCTTATTACGATTTCCCCTTGTCGATCCCCTTGAAATCCCATTCTGTGTCTGTATACGTCCGGTCAGACGCACGCCGACTTATGAACTCGGATTCGAGGCTACTCTTTTCAGTGAACTTCGTAGGGCGTGCCGGGCGTGCCGACTGGGAGTCTGTGATGGCGGATCGCAATCGATTCAGGCTGGGCGAGATGACGTGCTTATTCCCCTATGTGATCGCGACTGTTTCCTCCTGATACCTCCACCCATTGACTGCCGCCGGTATCCGTCTCAATCCCTTCGACGAATGCAAGACCCCTATTATTTCCTGCAATAGACCCCGCCGAATAAGGTCCTTTTTCATCCCCCATCTGCGCCTTCCCAGTTCGCTAACATCTCGACCGCAGAACGATCATATCGCCGTTAGCAAGCGTCTGACAAAGCCGGCCGGCTACCGAGGAATTGCCTGCTTTATAAGTACAATACATACGCCAGGAATCGCCATAACGCTTGCGACTTGCTAGTATCTTCATCATGGGTTTGCTCGCGCTCGGAACGCCACTGGAATGGGAGGAGGCCAAGAAGTATGCCGATCATGTTAGGTACCACGGCATTACCCAGTTTCTCAACACTTGGGATCGCTACAAGGACCGGTGCGGCGACAAGCTGCTATGGGGCGATGAGGTGCGTTCCATGCCTCGCTCTTCATCGTTCCCCCCACTCATGCAGGCTAGATCGAGTACATGGTCGTCTCCTTCGACGACGAGAAGAAGGCCGCTCACCTCTCCCTGCGCCAGTCCGAGATCCTCGAGAAGCTGTCCGCCATCGTCGATGACATCTCCACCGAGACTGAGAACCGGTGGGACTTCCTCAACTACCTCAAGAAATTTGTGGGCTTACCAAGTGCCCCCGCGCCGCGCAGGATCCCCGTCCCCACCTTCCACCCCGAGTACGGACGGTACATGCTTGAGAGCACCCCAGGCGCGCCCTACACCGGCTCTATTGCGGACTTGCTCTCGGTCGAGGCGAACATGCGCTACAGGTGCGCCCGGATCTCGCTACTGAGCACGCCATAGCTGACCCCGCGTTAGGCGGACTCTGGCGCGCAAGCACCTGAAGGACAACGAGTATCCCCTCACTTTCACCTCCTTCCCCCGCCTTGGCGCCCCAGGGCAATTCACGGACCCCTACTATCCCCCCGAAGACGCGGTGTCCAGCCATAGCTTCTTCCTTCCCGAGGAGATCACAAATCCCCATGCGCGCTTCCCGTAAGTGCGACGAACGTTCTAGCAGTTGGGCGCGGTCTCACGATGCATCAGGACATTGACTGCCAACATCCGGAGGCGGCGAGGCTCTAAAGTAGCCATTAACTTGCCTATCTACTCCGATGAGAACACGCCAAAGCCTTTTGTCGACCCGACGATCCCCTGGGACAGGCAACTATTCCCAGAAGACTCCAGTGAGTTCGCATCACCGTTTTACATCCGCCATTCTCATCACTCGTGCCAGATGCCAAGGATGGTGCAGCCCTGGTCGACCACATCTACCTTGACGCTATGGGCTTCGGAATGGGATGCTGCTGTTTGCAGCTGACTTTCCAAGCCTGCAACGTCAACGACGCGAGAAGGTTATACGACTGCTTGATTCCCGCCGGTCCTATATTGGTACGATATTCTTCTTCGTCGCGCCCCCCATCCTGATGGGCTGTAGCTGGCATTGACCGCTGGAAGCCCTCTTTATCGTGGCTACATCGCCGACGTCGACTGCCGCTGGAATGTCATCGCAGGAAGCGTCGACGACAGGACAGAAGAGGAGCGTGGCTTGAAGGTATGCTCGCCGGCCATATAAACGATTAGAAAAATACTAATTTCGTTATAGCCGTTGAAGAACGACCGCTTCGTCATCCCCAAGTCAAGATACGACAGCGTCGATTTGTACATCGCGAACGACCGTAACAACCGCCCCGAATATAACGACACCTACGCACCTTACGATGAAGCCATTTTCAACCGTGTGCGGGATCGCGGCATAGACGATTTGCTCGCTAAGCACATCGCGCACCTCTTCATCCGCGACCCCCTCGTCGTCTTCTCCGAGACGATCGACCAAGACGACGTGAACAGCAACGACCACTTCGAGAACATCCAATCCACAAACTGGCAGACCATGCGCTTCAAGCCGCCTCCAGTTAACTCCTCCATCGGCTGGCGCGTCGAGTTCCGCAGCATGGAGGTGCAGCTCACGGACTTTGAGAACGCGGCGTTCGCGCTGTTCATCGTCCTGCTCTCGCGCGCGCTGCTGCAGTTCGACGTGAACATGTACATGCCGATCTCAAAGGTCGACGAGAACATGCAGCGCGCGCAGCTGCGGAATGCCGCCGCGGAGCAAAAGTTTTTCTTCCGCAAGGATATCTTCCCGCCCGGGCACTCGCCGATGTCGTCTGGGGCGAGCTCGCCGGTGGATAGCGAGCCGCGGCGGAGGGAGCGCCAGTTGCGAAACTGCTTCGCGCGGGCGCCGGTGCCGGAGAACGGCGTGCCGCAGCGGCCGGTCGAGGAGGAGTACGAGGAGATGTCGATGAAGGAGGTCATGAACGGGAAGGTATGTCGAAGTGAGCTTGAGTATAACCTTGACAAATCGCTAACGACGCACGTAGGGCGATACCTTCCCTGGTTTGATCGGTCTCGTCGACTTGTACCTTGACACGCTGCACATAGAGCACGACGAGATGGCGAGGATACAGAACTACCTGGACCTCATCCGGCAGCGGTCCACCGGCCAGATAAAGACGCCAGCGACCTGGATACGCGAGTTCGTCCTCAACCACCCGAAGTACAAGAAGGACTCGGTGGTGTCGGAGGAGATCAATTACGATCTCATGCGTGCCGTAGACGAGATGTACGCTACACATCGTTTTCCTTTTCTTCCTTCCTGACGCTGACCTCTCGACAGTGAGCGCGGCGTGCGCGCTGCTCCCGACCTTCTGCCCAAGGGCTACAAGGGCGGGAAGGACGATGGTGGCAACCTTATCTAGAAGTAGAGGGATTTCGTGGCAGGCATCATTGATTGCAGGTATTATTGATTTATTTGTCTCGCACTCCATAAGTATATTCCGGTGTACTACATAGATACGGACTGGTCTGAGGTTGTTGTGCACATCATTATAGCATTGCAATAAGATATAGAGCTCCGATTTCGCACAAACCGGTGGGATTTGAGTGGGATATTTCCCAATTGGTGACACTTGGCGACAAAGCAATCGGACGACACAGGCGTAACAGTCATGACTGCACGTCGTCTGTCTTTATACTGTTAAGGGATGAGGTGGTGCGCAGAGTAGCAGAAGGTCTGACGCTCAGTCGCGCTACGCAAATTGAAAGCTAGTCTTTTCGGTCGTATGCTTCCTTCTGGACCCGTTGCTGAGTATCGAGGGAGATCAGTATAACGTAAAATAAACTCTCCTGATGCGCAGCTCCAAACAAGCAGTCCTGCTTGCCGAATAGGACGCATGCAAGTTGAACATGACGGTGTTGGGCGCCGGAGATCAGCGCACGTGAGATCCATCGGAAGAGGCCGGACTGGCCGACACATCACAGCAGCGTGACGTCTGTCACGCGTCTCGCCAAAATGTCCTCTCTCCGCTTCCTGTCAGCTGCTCGCCGTCTGCCGCGCTCTGCAGCTCCCTGGGGCCGTCGTGGCTACGCGGAGGCTGCGAGCGACAAGATTAAGCTCTCGCTGGTGCTTCCCCACCAGGTGCGTGCGCGTTCCGCATGCTAGGCGACCCGCAATTCTGACTTGCGGCGTCCGACTTCCAGGCCATCTTCACGTCCGCCGATGTAGTGCAGGTCAACATCGCCGCTGCGACCGGAGACATGGGCATTCTTGCCAACCACGTTCCATCCATTGAGCCGTTGCGTCCGGGTGTGCTGGAGGTTCTCGAGGGTGCTGGCTCGAAGAAGTGGTTCGGTGCGTCACTCCATTGATTGTTTATCCGTTCAGTGCCTAACTCTGTGATCGACAGTCTCTGGCGGCTTTGCGACCGTTCACCCGGGCAACAAGCTCACCATCAACGCCATTGAGGCTGCCCCGCTTGAGGACTTCTCTCCTGAGGTGCGTCATACCCATACATTCCATGAAACTGTCACTCACCACACATACAGGCCATCAAGGCCAACCTTGCCGAGGCGCAGAAGGTTGCGGCTGGCAACGGGTCCGAGGAGGACAAGCTGGAGGCCAGGATAGAGGCGGATGTGTACGAAGCTCTCCAGCACGCTGTCTCCGCGTGATTGACGCGCTTTAACTTGTACTCTGTCTGCAGTTGCATCATCCTCGTAGACAATGGATCCATCTTGCACGCATCCTTGACCATGTCGAGAGCAGTGACCGTCAACTTGCCAAGTTGTTGCACGGGCTCAGGAAGTTCTACGGAAGGCGGCCCGAGTTCGAGACGCTCACGTGGCTTCCCAGGCGCGTCGTGAGAGTGATCGCTGGGGTTCGGGGAAGCGAACTGGCGCCTTCCCTCCTCCCACCATGCCCTCTCACGACATTATACCCCTCCCGACCTGTGTGGCTGACAGAGAGCTCCTGAACGGCATCCTGGGGGACAAGATCTTGACATACAAACTGCAGATAGCCCAAACACAAACTCGAGAAACCCGCGGCAGAAGCAGTGGGCCGAACAAGGCTAGCCCGCAGGGCATGGTCTGGCAGAGGTTCATTGATCAATGTAAAACTCTGAAGGGATCGGTCAGTTGTGTCCAAGGCTCTGTGACACTTGTACAGTATGCTGAAGCTTTATTCACCTCCCCAGAAACGCGCATGCCGCAAATGGATGACCATGGCCTTCGACGTTGAGGGTCGTTTTGAGCTCCTCCACGCGGAGTGGACATTGTTCGCGCAATTCTTCTACAAGCTCTCGACCGAGAGCGAGCAGGCGGCAATGCTGTTCATGAACACCGAACGCCGCAATCGTGGTCTGGACACAAGCATCTTGAATGGAAGTGCGACTTCCGTTGCTGCGCAGGAGCGTTCATTATTCGCCGAGGAGAAGCCACGTCGCGCGCGAAAGCGCAAGCGGCGGCGCAAGGACGCAGAGGGGGAGGGCGAACGAGTGGCCAAGACGCCAAAGCTGTCGAAGAAGTCGGGCAAGAAGCGTGCTAAATCGCCGGAACCTGTTGCTCAGCCCTCGAGCCCACTATCGTCTGTATCCTCTCCGGAACTCCCATTAGCGGAGTCACATCTCGCGAACAGAGTTGTGGCTGAAGCGTCGAAGGATGGCCACAATCGACAACACTCGTGTCCTACGCCGCGGGATGTAAATTTACCCCCGTCGGTCACCTCTACTAGGAAGGATGGCATGGGCGCGTCAACACCCTCGACACAGCGTCTGACGACCCCCGCTGGTGTAGACGACCAGGACAAGCCAGAACCTGAAGACGCTACTATCCAGATCGATGTGTCGCTGAACGCAGAGCCTTCGACATCGAAAGCTCGTGTGTTCAACTCTGACACAGGCGAAGTGGCTTGCCAGTCGACTGTTTCAGATGAAGGTGGCAATGCCGACGAAGTCCAAGCGCAATTGAACGTCAATCATGATATAGAGCATCGCCATGGCGCTTACAGTTTCGTGGAGGTTGAGCCTAAAGTCGAGGACGTTGAGATGCGGTTAGCCACCTTCGAAGATATTCAAGAGCTCCCTGTTCCGCTACAGCTCTGCGACAACCTTCCCCTCATATCAGCTGCCTCTCACTCAGCAGTGCGAGACCAACCACCGCCCGTTCCGAAGTTGCCTCTGCCACGGAAGCCGACTATCTGGGCCCAGGTATGGCTGCGGATCGAGAGGCCACAAACGCAGCTTACGCTGTCTACAGACTCGGCAAGAGGTCTGCGAGTCTTTCCCGTGGTTCCGGAGCTTTCAAGGCGGTGTTTACCACAATGACAACGTCGTGAAAGGTACGCTATGACCATCGTTCACGTAATGCCGTGTCTGAACAGGCATTCAGGATATCTTCTCAGTGGTCATCCTGCCGAGTACGTCTCTCTCTTGCCCGGCGTTGCAGGCTAAAGTCTCACTTCTACTCCACAGACGAGACAGATTCGAACAAAACGGGAAGTTCATCATCTCGCATGGGTGCGTACCACTGCTCCTGATTCGTCTTCGTTGCACTTCTCATTCTTCTCAGAGGCGGAAAATCCGAGAGCATGGCCATGCAAGACGGCAAGCTGACCGTCGTCCCCGCGCAAGACCAGAGCGAGAACGACCGGTCGGTGAGGGCGCTCTTGCACACCTACCTCGAGAAACGGCCCATCGTCCTCCTTCTGGACGACAACTACCGACTCTTCCCATACGATCTTAAGGCGCATGGCATCGTGTACGCTGTGCTTGGGCTTTACTTTATCAAGCACGCGTGGGGTATGATGCGTTTTCGCGGCATTTGTAATGGGGTACTGAGTTTGAGTTGCAGCGGAGCGTCAGCCAGCCGGCCCTTCTACTCCAGGTGGTACTGTCGTACGGTTCAAATTTGCCTTCCAGTGGTGCGAAGGCCAGGATGCGCCGTGGTGGTCGCCTCCTCCCCTCGAACTTGGCTTAGTGACACCTAAGCCGGAGCGTGATACGCCGAGCTGCCCTATCGAACCCGCAACGACGGATGCCCGACGCCGCCCTCCAGTTCCCAAGAGGAAGAAGAAGAGAACGAACTTTGTTGCATTAGGCCAAATGTGCGTGTTCTGTCTACCATGATACGTTAACGGCAGATCCACTGAGATTCTTTCCACCTAGATGCCAACGGCCCGATAGATCATACCTCTGCCCGACCTGCGGGAAGCGGTCGACCCTGGTGTATCGCAGCCATATCTGCCTGTACCCTCAATGTCAAGCCTTCTGGCTCGTCGACGGCGTCCACCCTGTCGCGCCAAACAACTTGAAGGCTAATCCAGACCTCGCGACGCTTGATGATCCCTGCTGGGTGCCCGAGAACATGCGCGACGTTCGACCGCCCCCTCCCGTCAAATTGGACCTGCTGTGCAAGCCTGGGATCACGACCACGGAACCCTTCACGCAGGGTTGGCATTGTAAGCAGTGTGGGCGATTGTCTTGTCGGTAAGTGCGCAGGCGTCAGTCGTGGTTTAAGCTCACCAATCTCTCAGGACGTACTGGGACAGGTGGGAGTGCCCCGCGTGTAACGTGAGCTACGACTACTTTGAAACCGATATAGCTTGTACTCAATAGTGCAGGCACCTCCAGTGCCGGTGAACGCGCTTATACGGGACGCAAAAGACTTCGCTTGCCTGCCAACGGTTCGTCGCCAACAGATCTATGTTTGCTCATTCGTGGCTCATTGCGTCACAGAAGGTCAAGATGGACTGGCTTCACAGCAAGGTCTACTCAAAGGGTGGTGCGTTCATGCACAGGTCTCGCGAGATGTTAGCTCATATGTACCGGTCAGATATCGAGCGCTTGCCAATGCGTCCCTTCACCAACGACGAGGGTATCATCATAGGCAACTACCAGGCTTTCAAGTTCACCGACGGCTCGTGCGTTTGCTCTTTCCCTGCCATGCAGAATAGTTGATAATCAATCGGCCAGTGGCACCCTCTACCACATCAAGTCGACGACCATCGTCGGACAACAGGAGGCCCAACATGTATTCCGGCAGTACCAACTGGACGCCAACAGCGGCTCCCTCAACTTCCAGCGGCTGCCTCTTAGATCGCACAAGCGTTTGTAGGCCAACTTCTTGCAGATCTCTCGCTGACGTTAACGTCGCAGTACGAGGCGCTTGCCTGGCGCATTACTTCTCGCACAACAGTGAGCTTCTCCTTTGTCCCGGCCTCGGAACGCTCACGTTCTCTTACAGCCGGCAAGCCATATCATGTGCGTAGTCACGATATTCCGCGCAGAGAATGACTTACGAGTATGTAGTACGTCGGCGGTGGTGCCAACACCACGCCATGGAAACAGGCGCCTGAAGCTGTCCTGGCCGCGCGTGAGCTGATGCACAAGCGCATCCGACAAGCCCTTGGTCGCCAAGAATCGTTCAACGAGGTGCTAAGGTGAGTGGATATGATCTTCCTTCGAGGGGATGCCCGCTAACATCGGAACCACAGCGCCGCATACATGGAGAGCCAGAAAATGGCGTTCCACAGCGACGCAGAAGCCGGCCTCGGGCCGCTCGTCGCTGGCCTCTCTTTGGGCGCGCCGGCGTTCATGCACTTCCGTCGGGTTCCCAAGACGAAGGAGGCCCTTGACGGACAGAAAGGAATCCTTCTCTCGTTCAAGCTGGAGCACGTAAGGACGCGTAGTTCAGGTCTCGTTCGAACGCTGATAATCTGCGCGCGCAGGGCGACATCCTAGTCATGGACGGACCTCGGATACAACTACGATACCAGTAAGCCACTTCCATCTTTGAGCAGCCCCCACTCATAGACGACCTCATCAGACACACCGTCGTACCTACGAACTTTCGCATCGCAGCGACCGCGCGGCAGATAGGCGACTGAACGATCTCATTTACCAATCACCAGCGTACTCGTCAACCCCCAGCCTTGATTGACTACCCTACGACGTCTACTCTAGTATTACTTTGACAATGAAGACGCGCCGCCCAAGCGCTCAGCATCGACGCAGCGTGGCATGTTGACCGTTAACCACGTAGCGAGGGTGATTCACCTGGTTGGCAGCCATTGGCGGCGGTCGTTGCTCCTGAGGTCCAGGCCAAAATTCCATCGCACGATTAGCATCATTGGCCAAGTCTCTTGAGGCAGACACGTACCGGCGGGCCACCTTTCTCATTCTCATACTTCGAATAGAAGCTGAATAGGTCGGCGATCTGGTTCTGCATAGCCTGCCGCTCGGCGTGCAGTCGCTGGACGTCGTGTATCATGGCGCGGACCTCCTTCGACATCTGCTGCTTGAAGTCTTCGACTTGGGCTGCAAGGGTCGTGAGCTATGAGCACATGACGGCGGTTTGTAGACCAGAAGGTTCAGAGAGAGCAAATGAAGGTACGTACCAGTAACATTGAGAGACGTCGCCTCCTGCATAGCGTCGACGAAACGCAGACGCTCGTCCCGAATCTCCTTGGTGAGCTCTGTCAAATACGTCAGTAAGGTCCAATGCCAGTGTATACCAAGCAAACATACCCGACGCCAGCGAGCGCACTAGCACCTCCTGATTCTGCCGTTGCATCTCAAGGACCTGTTGCACGCCGCCGACGCCACCTGAAAGCAGCATCAGCGAACATCGTCGCAGACAAATGGCATGCACCGTACCCTGTCCACCTAGCTCCCCAAACAACCTTCCAACCGCATCGTGTAATGCGGCCGTATTCTGGTCCCGCGAGCGCATCTCCTCCGCCAGCTGGCGCATCTCGTCGAGCGGGTTCTGCCCCTGCCCCTGCGCACCAAACGCGGCACTGATAGTGGCCACATTCGCCGCCATCCCCTCGATTTTGGCTGTTCCGTCCGTGACGAATCCCTCGAGCCACTTGAGGAAGCGCGTCAATCACGGACAGATAAAGCTGAAGAAGAACACGTACCGTGTTCAAATCGTTCAGATAGCGCACGCTGTCCCCTTGCATCTGCGCCTGCGACTCTTGCTTCTCCGCGCTGGCTTGCAGCATCGCCGTCACTGCGGAAAGCTGGGAATATGTCAGCGACAGACTGCGACCGGATAGCCAGCCCACTTACATCAACCGTAGCCGCCTCGCCTTGAGGAGCCGGTCTCGCCATAATATGCTCCAGCTTCGCATGGACCTCCGACAGGTCTATCGGGATAGGCGCACCCTCCCCACGCCCAAAATTCCGCATCGTTGTCATCCCACCTCCGCCATCACTCGCATTCGCCCCTCCACAACCACCCGCCCTCGAAGCCAGCTCATCCAACCTCTGCAAAATCTCCGGCACATCCTGCTGCAACCGATCGACTTTCTCTCCAATATTCGCCAGGTGGTGACCGGCAGCGGTCTCAATGGGATACGGCTCCTGCCGCTGGCTGATCTGATGTGCCTGCCGCTGATTCGCTTCAAGTTGGTTGATCGCAATATCGTCCAGCTTCCGTTCGATGGACAGCAGCGTATCCGAGGTGCCTTGGGCACGTTTCTCGAGCGCGAGCACGGCGCGCTGAACGGCGCCGAGTTCGGGGCCGTCGCGAGAGGAGGATCGATAGGGCGACGGAGTCGGTCCTTCATCCTGCCTGGACATGTTGCCCAACTTCGACATGTTACCCAGCCTCGAGGGCAGGCCGCGAACGTCTGACTGCAGAGCAACGATCCGGTCCTCGATGGAAGTGAGGCGGTCCTGTTGCTTCGCGGCTTGATCGAGTACGGTGTCAACGACGGGTTGCATCTTTTCAGAGGTTGGCGGCTTGGTGTAGTCGGAGCCCGCAGGTTTTGCGCAGTCCGAGCCAGGGGGCTCATCATGGCCGGAGTTTGGCAGCTTGCTATAGTAGGAGCGCGCAGGTTGATTGTCCTCGAAAGTCGCAAGTTTGCCGTAGTCACTATCCGTAGGCCTACTGTCGCCCGAGCCAGCGTAGCAATCGAGTACAGAGTACTGAGACTGCGTTCGCGAAGGTGCAGAACCCATGCGGGGAGGGACCTGATTGCGCCGAAGAGAGGGACTGAACAAGCCGCAGGCGGACATCCTCGAGCTAGGTAGCGGGCGTGCATGTTGCGGTGGCGGCGAGCGGAGACCATTCGACGGCCAACGGAAGTCACTCGACGTCGGTCGTGTAACGTGCGATATCGGGCTCGGGGACTGTATCTGCGCGAGCCGATTCTTGACCACGGAGCGCTGACTGAGGTTCGCGATAGACGGGCTCTTGCACGGCGGGTCATGTAGGGTGACCCCGATAGGGCGTTTGGGCGTTGGCGAGCACGGAGCAGAGGGTATCGAGGAGAGCGCAGGGGGTATAGACGAAGGCGTAGGGGCCATAGACGGAAGCGCACGAGGTGCAGAGAAAGGCGCGGGTGACTCCATTGGTACTGGCGGAAGGGAGCGTTCGCTTCGTTTCGAGGACATACGAGACATGTTGGATTTTGCGGGTTCTGGGATACCGGGGTAGGCGGAGTCGGTGCTGCGCCCAGTGTCGCTTCTTGAGTACATACTCCTGGGTCGGCGTGATCCTGATGACGGTATGACAGTGTCCCTGCGCGTATATGCGTTAAACGAGGTCGAATGCGTGGAAGATGGCAATACAAACCAGATAGCACTAATCCACCGCGCTCTCTCCTTCACGGAGGACGCTCCAAAACATTGCTTGGGTTGACCATCGAAAGTAAGCTCGAAGATCCGCGGGTCGGCGCCATCGTCACAGTTTGGCAGCATATCTTGAAGAGCGGGCTCGAGCTGATCGATAGTGAGGGCGCATACATCCGTACAGCACGAGAGGTCGATCACTTGCGTGAAGGGGTTGCCCATAGTAGTATACCAAGTCGCCAAGAGCGCAGAGCCTTCGAGGGAGACGGAGCAAGTGGTCCACACTGGGAAGACGTCGCGGCATTCGTTTTCAGCGTGGCAAAGGTAGAGGAGCTGTCCGGCGTGGCGCGCATAGCCAAAAGAAGGGATCTCAGGTCGCGGAGGAGAGGCAGCAATGGGATAGGTCGACTGTGACAGAATCTGTTGCACGACGGGAGCGGCAATCTCGGGCGAGCCGGCGGGTTTCTTCTTGAAGGCGGCGGGAGACTTCTTCAAGACGGACATGAAGTTCTGGAAGGACCGCCGAAGGGGTGACTTGTCCTTCTTGAGCTTATAGTTCTCCATAAATGTCGAGCGAGCGGGTTTGTCTGGTGTCTGAAGGGACGAGCGGTCGTTTAAAGAACGTGTGGTAGGATTGTGGGTTGCTTCATAGCGGTCGATAATTCGTGTTGCCGACGTCGAGTCCTGCCTTCTGAGCGAGTAGGGCGGGTCTTCAGCATCGTGCATAAGATCGCAGGAGATCAAGGGCGATTGACACGGGTTCTAGCGTGCAGAGAGCAGTAGAATGTGGATGAGTAGATGGTGGTCAAGAAGGGAAGTGCGGGGAATTGTGACACATGTCACGGAAATACAATGACTGGCATATGCCAAGTGAATGTTTGAGGCAGTATAGGCCCTTAGTCTTACACGAGCGCGGCGTACAGATTGCTCCTGTCCTCAAAATGCAGAGACTTTCTGCGCTCTTCCTTGCCCTCCCTCTAAAGAGTAAACGAGATCACATGTCGAGACGCGTCCCAGTCTTAACGCGTGCTGTCACTGTCACACCCAGTGACGCGGGGGGATGCGATTGCGCCCTTGTTTCCTGCCTTCATGGCGTTCCCGCCTTCCAATCGGACCTTTATGACCCTTAGCCCCGATGCTCTCAGAATGTACGCATATACTACGATCTGGGGGCTAAACTGACCCTCACAGCAGCTTCACCAAAGCGCTGTTCTGCCTGTCGAAGTATGGGGAGGAGCTTTCCCTTCAAGCAACGAACGATACCCTGTCCCTTTCCGCCACGAACTCAGCAAAGTCTGCATACTGTCGCTTGAAATACGATAAACAGTTCTTCTCGAGATACAACATCGCCCGTCCGCCCGATCAGCCACTCGATTATGAACCAGAAGTGTTGGGACAGCTTACGGCGAGGGTGCGTCGTCCGCCCCAGTCCCACATCCCACCTTAACTCTCATCAGTCACTACTATCCATCTTGAAACATCGAACAGTCGAAAAGACTGTCGAACGCTGCGAATTCTCTATCGTCGACGGGGATCAGCAAGAGGATGCGGGGGAAGACCACGACGCGCTCGAGAGCAAGCTGATCATCAAACTATACTGCAAGCATGGTGCGTTTCCAGACCCCGCGCACATACCCCGCCCTTACTGAGGCACAGGCATCGTCAAGACCCACCGCGTACTCATGCTGACGCCGACGTCTATGCTGGCGCCTAGCATGCCGGATGCGGCGCTGGAGTCAAGACTTACGATTGGACCGCGCGGACTCAAGTACATCATCGAGCACTTCCCGATGCCGCGCGGGGCGAAGTCGGACCCCTCCCTCATTTGGAACTTTGGCGACGCGGACGTCGAGGTGAAGAGCTTAGAGTCGTCTCTCGATCCGAAGGGTGAGTTTGGTTCCCCTCCGCACGCGGCTCGAGTTGATCATTGCATAGCTCACGGACAAGTCATGACCGAGATGACCATAAGCGTCGAAGAGTTCGACATCTACGACATCGTCGACCTGCCCATAACCATTTCCTTCCACCTTCGCGAGTTCAACGTGAGTTCTCCCTTTCCTCCCCTTTTCCTCCCCTTTTCTCCCGTTCCCCCCTCCCTCCCGTTCCCCCTTCTTTCTCCCGCCAACGCCACCACTCACCCCTCCCAGTCCACCATCGCCTTTGCCGAATCCATGGGCCTCCCCCTCGACCTCCACTTCACCGACGCCGCCGCACCGCTCTTCATTGACATCGAGGGCGACTGCTTTGACTCGCTGTTTGTCATCTCGACGAGCACGGTGCCGGGGAGCATGGCGAGTCAGGCTAGCCAGCGCACGAATGGCCAGCGTTTGAGTCGGCAACGCACAACTCCTGCAACAAACGCTACCAACGGAAATGCCCGCAACCAGCAACCCGAGAACGGCTCGCCCGCCTCGGATCCACAACATGCGCAAGCGCGCCGAGGATCGTCGCAGGCTTCCCAGGCTTCCCAACCCGCCTACGCCTCGCAAGCCTCCATCCACCTCTCCCAGCCCCAGCCCTCGCCCCTCCTATCCCTGCCCACGCGGAAGCGCGCACATGATGGCGCCCCCGACTCGGCGCGCGGGAGGAAGTCGATGCGGGTGGTGCAGCAGACGCCGGTGAGCGCGAAGGGGAAGGGCATGATGGCGCCGCCGCTGCCCGCGAACAGGCACCCCTTCGAGACGCCGCAAGGAGCGCGGGGGCTGCGTCCACCGAACGCAATGCAGGTTCCGCAGACGCCCCAGGCTGCGCGAGGGCCGCAGATGCCGGTGAACCGCGCCCTTTTTGAGACGCCAGCCAACCGTCAACCCGGGGGGACGCAGGAGGATCTTGGGCCGCTGGAGACGCAAAATCCGCGGATGTATACACAAACACCGCAGCAGTCGTTCACGCCAATATTACCTCGCGGCCTCAGGGAGGAGCGAGAGACCCTCATCCGGCAGTCCTCGGGCTCAGGAAGTCGGTTGTTCGACGTGTCGCAAAGCGGGTCAGTCGAAGTGGGACGGAATGGATCGACGGGGGCGCCACACAGTGTGCCGAATGGGGCGCTCCGGCGGGACGAGTCGCTCGGGGACTCGCAGTACCAGTTCCTCAATGCCGATGACCATTCGTTTGACGACCACGAGCAATCCCTCATTGCCCAAGACCAATCCTTCGACCCCTCGCTCGACTTCGCGCAGCGGCAGTCCGAGACTGCTTTCGTCGACGAGGCAGACGAAGAAGTCGCCTCCTCCCAACAAGACGAAACGCCGGAAGAGCCGCTCTTCCTGCCAGGACCGTCGCAGTTCCCATCGTCCCAGCCGCAGTTCCCATCTTCTCGGTCCCAGTTCCCATCCTCTCGGCCCTCACGTCGACCCAACAAAGCGAACGAGACGCGGTTGGCGAACGAAACCTCGGGCGAGCCGCTCTTCCTGCCCGGTCCCTCGCAACTCGCGTCGTCCCAAGCACACGCACCGCCCTCTCAACCAGCCGCACGCGCCTCGCAAATCACGACCAACGACCCCGAGGCGCTCCGGCAGGTCGAGAGCCTGACGCAGGAGGAGCTGGAAGCAATGTTCGATATGAGGGATATCGATCTGGAGCTGGAGGACGATGATAGGACGTGGGATGATGGCATGCGCGGGGGGAGGAAGGCAAACGGTGGGAGGGGGAGGGTGGAGGGTGGTCGCAGTGGGAGGCTCGTGGCCGAGAGGAGTACGACAGCACTCAGCCGAACGCCCTCGTCCGCCTCGAATGACCGCCCAAGGACGCCGTATCGCTCGTATCCGACGGATGAGACGCAGATGCCACCGACGCAGTCGAGCAGGGATGGCGACGAGTCGGGGGTGAGTGGCCTTTGCAATCTCTTCGCGGTGCATATGCTGATGTGGATGGATGCCCCAGGCGTTCCATCCTCTTTTCGAGGATTGAGGACCAATTGCTATGTTCGACTTGCTATGTTCGACTTGCTACGTATGCTTTCGGAATGGAATTTTGCTCTGCTGTTGCGCCTCCAAGTCTTCATGGGCGCCGGCGACCCTCCTTCGATATACCGAAATGATACCCTGATGCACTACTCGGCGTGTACCGTCCGCTAGATGTAATCTGGGCTCCAGTTCGCTGAGCTGGGTCTGTACGTTCTGACTTTTTGTCAGCGGCTCCTCGCATTCGCAGCGCGAAGGCACTGCCGCAGACGAGGGACGCTCGGAAGCGCGACGCGTGCCCGAGGTGAGGGTGTTCCACTGAACGACAGCGCCAGCTGGGTCTCACGGTCCTCCGAATCGCGACTGAAGGCTGTAGCCAGGGTGCTTCTTACCATACAGCCTTGTACAAATGCTGCACAGATCCTGGTCGGGCTCATGGACGAAGACAGGGCAGAGCCTTCTCAAAACGCCTTGCAGGTTGCAGAAAGGACCGAAACCTCCGCTATAAAAGCTGGCCATCGACGTACCCGTCCCTCACTCAGCTCATTCAGCCCATCCAGCTCACTCAGCTTTCCACCTTTAGCCTCATTCTTCTTCGACTTCCATCCAACGATGTTCGCCCCCATCCTCACTCTCCTCGCCGGTGTCGCCCTCGCCAACGCCTACGCACTCAAGTCCGCCTCGACCTCGCCCTACGGCCAGTCGTCGGGCAACTGGGAGCTACAGAAGACCGCCTACGGCGCCCTCCTCGTCGGCGGAAAGGACGTGCCGCTCACGACCTCCGTCACCATCGAGGGCGGGCAGCTCAAGCTGGTGTGCCCGCAGCAGGCGACGGCCGCGCTCGTCCCCACTGGGTCGGACGATCCCAAGTATACGGTGCAATTCGTTAGCAAGACGGATGACCTGCCGAAGGGGAGCATCTTCACGGGGTGGACGACGCAGGATGATGGTGTCTCGTTGCCGGATGACTTGACTAAGGTCGTCAACACGGTATGCGGTTGCTCTTTTCCTCTGGGTATTGGAGCTGACCGCGCTTTTTGGCAGGAGGTCGGACTGGACGGCACTTACAACCTTGCGACGGTCGACGGTGCCAATGCGCTGACGTGGGCCAACAAGGGTCCTTCCAACGGCGTCCAGTGGTTCCTGGCTATTGACGAGGCCAACGACGTCCACTGCTAAAGGTATGTAGCCGCCCTTTTCAGCATCCATCAATATACTCATCTTTTCGTAGAATTGGATTTCCTTCTTCCACAACCATGTTGCTCGAGTACAATTATCGCAACGGAGTCCTCCAGGCGCATGATGTTTCCATACAGTATCCTTCTATAATTGTGACTCATTCTTTCGAATTGATCTCTTGATTTTTGATGCTATCAACATCACCCAGTCATTGTGTGTGCAGCGTAACTGATCACTAGGTACATTACCAGAGAAAGCTGGCCGTGAGCGTGGGAGCCGGATGCAACTTCAAGTGAGGGAATAACCGCATTTGGACAATGGAGCACGCGGCCTCTGCCGGTCCCGCAGGCCCGGCGGAAGTCGGCAGCAGCCACCTCACCTTGACCTTCACAACCATACGTCGTCTTCACGATGTGCATATAGCAATGTTGCCCATACCATCGCTGAAGCGCTGACGACTACTGTCGGCGCCTGTTTTGGCGACGCCGCGTACCGCATAGTACTCCCCGCCGCCGGCCAGTCGCCTGCGGTCCGCGGCGGGACGTAAGCTAGCTTGCGCAGGTTGGAAGACACGGTATACCGTGACTTTGGCTATAAAAGCAGAGAGAGATGCACAAGTTCCGTCAACAAAGCACCTGCTCGTCTTTGAAGCTAGTTGCATATTTCTAAAGACATGGTCGCCTCAGTTCTTATCGTAAGTTAAGCACAGTTGTCATACGACCTTTCAGAGTTGCTCATTGACTTTGCAGGTCGGCGCAGGCCCCACAGGTCTCACTCTTGCTCTTGCGTTGCTGAAGAATGGCGTCCCCGTTCGCATCATCGACAAGATGCCCGAGCCTCGGGTGGGGCAAAAGGGCAATGGCCTTCAGGTTAGTAATCAGGTCTTCGGCTACGCGAACCCTTCTCAACCCTTTCAGCCTCGTACCCTCGAGGTCTTCAACCTCCTTGGAGTCCTTGACGACGTGCTCGCCAGCTCTGGAACCTTCAAGCCGGTGCGCGTGTACAAGATGCCGGGTGGAGTCGAGGTGGCGAAGGAAATCATTCCGACTACTTTGAAGGATCCATTACCGGACAAGCCGTGGGTGCGTATGCCATCGCGGAACGTAGCATGACCTAAAGATCGACGTCTGTGGCAGCCTAACGCTCGCAGCATGGGTCAAGACCGCCTCGAAGCCATCCTCGCTCGACACCTCGAGGCGCATGGATGCTTTATCGAACGCGGCGTGGAGCTGCAAAGCTTCACGCAGAGCGACGACATGGTCTCTGTCCAGCTAAAGAAAGCAGATGGCAGCGTCGAACCCGTTGACGTCGAGATCCTCGTCGGTTGTGATGGTGCGCATAGCGCCGTGCGCAAGGGGCTTGGGTTGTCGTTTCTAGGAGAAACCATGGACGAAGACTGGATGATTGTGGGGGATGTATACGTGAAGGGTTTGAGTAGCGTAAGCTCCCTCGTCCTCTCACCTCCACTATTATTTTGATGGCCGTCAGGACTATTGGCACGTTTGGGGCGGTCCGGGAGGTGCGCCAGGTGGTACGCCTGGCAATTCCGACGGATTGTACGTAGTTCGGTATTTTTTCTCGAAGATGACCAACTTACCGGGTCGCAGATTCTTCAATCTTCGCACGGCTGATGATCCAGGGTTGTTCGCTGTCGTAGCCGGCGGTCCCAAGGCCCGAGAGCAACCCCTGGACACTCGCAATGGCCTCGTTGAAGCATTCTATGCGACGACGGGCCGCACGGATATCGAGTTCGGGGTGCTCAAGCACGCATCTTGGTGGCGCCCGAACATTCGGATGGTGAACAAGTTTAGCGAAGGCCGGATTTTCATTGCTGGAGGTGAGCGTCTACTATGTAGTCGTGGTAGCGGCTTACTCATCCGGTGCTCAGATGCGGCGCATACGCTGGGATAGCCTAGCTAGCCCAGCGAGGGGATCCTCGGGGCGACGGCCTGGTGATGGCTCGGGATGGGATAGCAGCTCGTCTACACGTGTGTCTACGCGGTGGTATAGGCGTGTGGCTCGGGCCTACGGCCCGGGATCCCTACTCCAACGCACAGTCCGGCCGGAGGGCAAGGCCTGAATTCCAGTGTTCAGGATGGTGTATGTCATAGATTACCCTTGCGACTTTATTCATACAGTATGCTGACCACATCACAGTTCAACCTCGCCTGGAAGATCGCCCTCGTGCACAAGAAGCTCGCCGCTCCTACCCTGCTCGCCACCTACACCGCCGAGCGCCTCCCCGTCATCGCCACCATGCTCCAGAAGACGACCGCGCTGTTCAGCAAGACGCTTGCCCTCTTCAAGCAGGGCGCCGGCGCTGCGGCGGACGATGCGGAGAGGGAGTGGAAGCGGACGCGGAGCGAGATGGAGCAGCTCGGGGTGAACTATAGGGGGAGCGACATTGTGCTTGACGAAAGGAACCCGCTGGCCGATGCGGTGCCGAGCGCGTACGGGTCGGGGGATGGGGTGTTGAGGGCGGGCGATCGCGCGCCGTCGGCACCGCTGAGGTGTGCCGCTGACGCGGGGGTGCAGAAGCTGTTCGACGTGCTGGGCTGCGAGAAGGACACGGTGCTTGTGTTCACCGCAAAGGGGGGAACGGCGCAGGCCGTCGTTGACGCTGCCAAGTCGCTGCCTAAGGGTGCGGCGGAGGTCGTCGTTATCACGCCGGAAGGACAGGTCTTTGAAGCCATTGACGCGAAGGTCCTGCAAGATGTCGACGGACAGGCATCCAGCATATACCAGGTGGACCACGAGCCGACCATCGTCGTCGTTCGTCCGGACGGGGTGATTGGGGCCATTGTGCTGGAGACCGGAGGAATCGGGAGATACTTCGTTAAAATTCTGGCTTGAAACGCTAGCATGACCAGATAAGGTATGATGTGTAGAGCAACCATGTAGGATGTAGACAGAGCAATCGCGATTCTCATGACCTTGGCCATAAAGTCGACCATTCATTTCCACGATCATGTGCCTTTCGGCAATCTCCGATGTTGAACTTCCCAATGACATAGACAAGTTCCGTTGCGCCCATCGACCTCCTCGGTCGCGGCCACGGTTCATATCAGGCTCGCCTTCGTGCTAGGTCACAAGCGCGCCTCGCCTTGGGAATGGACTTCGTGCTCGGATGCGCCGCCTTGCTGACCAGTCGCACCACCGACGTCACTGACGCTCCGTGCGCGTAATGTCGTGCGTTGAGCGGCTATATAAATGCTGAACATCGACGATCTTGTCTCATTCTCTCACCTCTCACTGAACAATCTCACCATCTTACTTACTCTCACCACAAACAACCTGACCACAATGACGAACCCGACGCTCGACCCCTACGTCGCAAAGGCGACGAACGACGACCTGACGCCGCAAGAGAAGATCGACGGTGCGTCGCACATTGCTATTTAGCGGCAGAGATCGCTGAACACTCTGTTTACAGGCGTGAAGAAGATCATTCAGGAGGCAAAGTTCGGGATGCTTACGACGCACTCGTCCGACGGACACCTATACTCGCGCGCCATGACGCCCGCGTCGCCGCATGATCGGAATGAGTTGACCCTCACCTTCATCGCCAACAACGTCTCGCCCAAGTTTGACGAGGTGAAGAATGACTCGAACGTCAACGTCAGGTGCGTTCGCCTCGTCTTCTTTGCGTGGATCGGTCAAGCTCACTCCAAGGCCACAGCTTCGCGCTTTCCAACACCGACTGGGCCTCCTTCTCCGGACAGGCGAAAGTCAGCCAGGACCCCAACCTCATCAAGAAGTACTGGTCCTCGGTGGACAAGTCCTGGTTCGGCGACCTCAAGGACGGCATCCACAAGGGCGACGAGACCGACCCACGCGTGTCCGTCATCCAGGTCATCCCCGATGAGATTCGGTACTGGACGGTCACGAAGAACGCTGCGGCGCGCGCGGTGGACATCGCTACGAGTGCTGTGACTGGCAATGCTGCGTCGCCAGGCGAATTGAGGACGATTACGAAGGCGGAGGTGAGTTGGGCGTGATCATTGGGGGCTGCGAGGTTGCTAAACGATAGCTACAGATTCAGTTGACGCAAGGGTTGACGAGCAAGTAAAGAGGGGAAGGACTTATGAGTGAACCAATGTACCATTAGTACTGTGCAACATGTAGCATGAATAATACCGAGTTCGTACCAATTCAACGATCCGCTGCCAACTGTCCCGTGCGATTGAGTTCATCCCGCACCTCCATGAGCGCTGCTTGCCTATAGATCGAGTCCCCGTCGGGTGCTCGGACTGCGCGACCCGTCGTAACTCCGATACTTACGTCCACAGCCGCCCCACCGCTTCGTTTTACGATGTGGGAGCCCATGAGAACCCATGGGAAACAGTCCCGCATCTCGGCAGTGGCGCGCCCGCAATTGACCTGCAAAAGGACATATGTGGCACTGATCTGCGACGCGTCGCTGTCGACGCTTTAATCCTGGCTCTGATCACGACGAAGTCGGACGATATGCTTCATCTTCGAGGAGCGCCGCTCCCCTTTCTGTCGGCCTCGAGTCATCGTACTAATGTGCATGACGCCAATAGCGGCTAAAAAGCTCTGAGGCTTATAAGCGACGACTTGAAAACGAGGACTTCGTTCTGTGCTACCCTCTCATCCTCCCCGTGAAGCTCGACGCCGATGGCTGACAATGGCGCGCTCAAAAAGCGGCACTCTCGTATGAGCCATGCCACCCAAGCTGACGATGCTCCTGTCACTGCCCCGACCCTCGTCAAGGGGATCACGCTCACCGCAGTATGTACCATCGCAATGGCAGCGAACGTGAGTCGTCCATCGTCCATACAGTCACAGCGAAATCAGGAAGCTAAGAGAGAGCTCACAGATATCGAACACGATGGCCGTCTCGATAGCGTTGCCCACCACCGGCGACGAGCTCGGGATCCAGCAGGACCAGCTGCAATGGGTCACGAACGCCTACGCGCTCAGCTCGGGGTGCCTGCTCCTCATGTTTGGCCGTATAGCGGACGTGTATGGCAGGAAGAAGACCTTCCTCGCTGGTGCGCTATGGCTCTTTGCATTCACCCTCGGGTGCGCCTTCGTCAAGGGTGCGTGTCGTGTCATTGCTGTCATCTCCTGTCTGGATTTTGACGTGCGGTAGATGCGCTGACGCTTGAGATCCTGCGAGGCGTTCAAGGCGTGGGTGGCGCTGCCATAATCCCTGCGGCGGTGAGCTTGACGGCATTGACCTCTATTTCCGTCGCTGACTGAACCATTTAGCTGGGTATCCTCGCGCACGCGTTTCCTCCGTCGCGAGCCCGTTCCATTGCTTTCGCCACCTTCGCAGCGGGCGCTCCTGTCGGCGGTGCATTGGGTACTATCCTCGGTGGAGCTTTCACTCAGTACACCAAGTACGTCACGCAGCTCATCTCATCTCTCTCTACTCACTGACGCCATACGCAGGGATACCTGGCGCGCCGTGTTCTACTTTTGTGCCGCCCTTGCCGGGGTGTGCTTCTTAGGTGGCATGTACGCCATTCAGGCGGATCCGCCATCCACGGAGAAGGATCGACGCGTTGACTGGCTCGGGTCGTTCCTTGTCACCGCCGGGCTCACATTGATCATCTTCATCCTTGCTCAAGGCGAAATTGCGGAGCCGAAGCAGTGGGGGACGCCTTGTAGGTCCCGCGCAGTGTGTACAAATGATTGTCCAACTGACATGGCATCCAGACATCATAGCACTCATTGTCCTGGGCGCCTTCTTTCTGGCTCTGTTCATCGCGTGGCAGTGGTCAGTGCGGCGCCTTGTCTATGATTTATCTGCTGATGTGCGCCCTAGGTACCTCGAGCGTGTTCAGGACGACCCCAATGCCGCTTATTCTGTCTGGACGCCGCCGCCGCTCATGCGCCTATCCCTTTTGTCGCGTGCTCACGGCCGATATGGCGTCCAGATGATCATTACATTCCTCAACTGGTGTGTCTTCCTGAGCTGGCAATTTTATGCGCAGGTGAGGTTGATTTGTGTTCTATCGTGTATTCGCGCAATGCTCATGTATTTCATCGCAGCTCTTCTATCAAGAGTACCAAGGCTACAGCCCCATGCTCGCCGCGATTCGCTTCATCCCCATGTTCATCACGGGCGTCTTGTGCAATGTCTTCATCGCCGCCTTCGTTGCGCATGTCAGCCTGGTGTGGTTGATGGGTGAGTGATCTTCACCTTGGCTGTGCCATCGACATGCCCTTTTCACCGGTCGATCTCTTGCTCACCCTCCACGCAGCCCTGGGCACAATTATCACCTCCGTGGCAGCTTTGCTCTTCGCGCTCATCGACCCGAACGCGCCGTACTGGGCCTTCGGCTTCCCCGCCGCCATCACCTCCGTCTTCGGCGCCGACTTCGTGTTCGCCGCTGGCACCCTGTTCATCGCGAAGATCTCGCGCCCACACGAACAGAGTGTGAGCGGCGGGTTGTTCCAGACGATGATTCAGGTATGTGCACGGTTGCTCGACATCCCTCTGATTTCATACCCATGCTCCGAGAACTCACGACCATCCTTCGATAGCTCGGCACCTCCATGGGCATCGCCGTCTCCACGGTTGTCTACGACAATGTTCAGAAGCAGCAGGGCGGCAGCTCCTCGCGTGACGCGCAGCTGCAGGCCTACCAGGCGGCGCAGTGGACCGCGTTCGGGTTCGGCGCGCTCGCGTGCTTGCTTTCGCTCGTTTTCTTGCGCGGTGTGGGCGTCATTGGACACAAGGAGGAGAAGGGGCTCGGCGAGGAGGTCGCGGATGAGGAAAGAACGGCCGTGAGCCGCCAGGACAATCAGGCCGCGGCGGAAGAAGTTGGGGATGAGAGCAAGCGCGACACGCAGGAGGGAAAGGAGGAGGCGAAGGAGACGACGACTCAGGTTTGAAGCGACCACGTATAGATGAATGAAGAATTGTCCCCGTAGACCCAATGCTCTTACGACCACTCATCTGTTGATAGCCCTTTTTAGCAGTATACTTCACAAATCACGGAACAGTAATGCGATTCAGAAGCAATCTCCATGCAATTCAGCCAGTCCAATCGTGACGATTATCATGAATGATGGTAAACTAAATACGAGTATTCCCAGCAGCGAAGGACGCTCCTAGTCCGAGGCGACTGATGAGGCTCATCTCTGCATGATTTAGTCAGCGTCTGAGTGTAAAGCGCGTTCAACAGCACACATACCAATTAGCAGTGAACGTCATTGGCCTCGTCAATGGCCAGGAACCACTGGACGCCGTTGGAAGGTCCCTTGTTGGACCACGTCAGGGCGTTGGCGCCATCGACCGTCGCGAGGTTGTAGGTACCATCCAATCCGACCTCCTATGAAAGACGTGGAGTCAGCTCTCGGGAGTTCAACAAAAGTGATAGCAACTACATACTGTGTTGACGACCTTGGTCAACTCATCCGGCAACGAAACCCCATCACTCTGCGTCGTCCACCCCGTAAAGATGCTCCCCTTCGGCAGGTCATCCGTCTTGCTGACGAACTGCACCGTATACTTGGGATCATCCGACCCAGTGCGCACGAGCGCCGCCGACGCCTGCTGCGGACACACCAGCTTGAGCTGGCCGCCCTCGATGGTGACGGAGGTCGTGAGCGGCACGTCCTTGCCGCCGACGAGGAGGGCGCCGTAGGCAGTCTTCTGGAGCTCCCAATTTCCGGACGACTGGCCGTAGGGCGAAGTCGAGGCCGACTTGAGTCCGTAGGCGTTGGCGAGGGCGACGCCGGAGAGGAGGGCAAGGATCGGGGCGAACATCGTTGCGAGTTGGAGTCAACGAGGAGTGGGAGTTGAAGAAGGATGAGGCTGATAGTGAAGAGCTGGCTGACGAGCTGGCTGGTTGAGGAAAGGGACGCTCGCCAGTCGCCCTTTATACAAGATTCGCGGAAGAGACTGACCGAACCACGAACCGGAGAAGCTGCATCGCGGACGTCTCAGATTTCTCGGGGCGGGTCAGTGACCGTCAGTCCCTTGATTTTTTCCCATTGACCTCCGGATCCGGACGATACCTGTGCAGCAGGGCTGCTTTGAAGCTCTGCTTACGGTCAGGGCATGTGTCCAGTAGAATACTCACCGTGTTTTTGAATGACATATTTGACGCAGGGCATTGAAATGGTAGATGGAAGAAGCCATATGTATCGGTATGTCGTTTATATATTGGCAGCCCGTCACTCGGACTTTGTTCGTCACGTTGAGCCTCTGGACTCCGTCTCTTGACTGCTCCTTCGTTTATGGGGGATAGGAAACGAGCGAATCGAACAGGAAGAATGACTGAAAAGAGGGGTCGATCTTCTTATTTCGGTCTCGAGTGTACAAAGCATTTCCGAGAGATAAGTAGAACCAAGCGTGAGGTGCAGACCAGTCATAGAGAGGGCGCGCATTAGCCCAACCGTCGTAGTTGTTTCCCGCAATAAAGTTCGCGATGGAAGTCAGAAGCAAGTCCGTTCTGGGATGACCTCAGCGACCGGAAGGACCGGTGCGGTGGCTGTGCGGTAGACTTAGCAAATTTGCAATATAATTTTGTTTGGTCCTTACGCCCATCCGCTGCTTCCCGTGTCGCGCTCGTCATCATGGCATCCCAGGACCACTCGAGAGATCCCTGGTATGTCTTTTGTGGTCTGACATAGTCACCTCCTCTGACCCTCGCGCAGCCCATGGGTCATCCTCAACGACTTCGGCGGCGCCTTCGCCATGGGTGCCGTCGGTGGTGGTATCCTCTACTCCATCAAGGGTGCGAGGAACTCCCCTCGGGTGCGTGCATATCGTCTTCATGAGCTTCAGTGTACTAACACAACATAGGGGGAGCGCCTCGCCGGTGCTATTTCGTCCATGAAGGCCCGTGCCCCAGTCACGGGCGGTAACTTTGGCGTCTGGGGTGGCATGTTCTCGACGTTTGACTGCGCCGTCAAGGGCGTACGACAAAAGGAGGACGCGTGGAACGCGATTATCTCTGGCTTTATGACTGGTGGATGCTTGGCAGCACGGAGTGCGTTGCGCGTCCTCGCGACCTGTTTTCTTTGCTTACACCGGCTTCCCAGGCGGTCCCCGAGGCGCTTTCGGCTCAGCAGTAGCTTGTGGTATCCTACTAGGAGTGTTCGAGGGCTTCAACGTACTGCTCAACAGGGTATTCAGCGAGGGCCAGCGGCCACAGATGGCACCAGCACCACGTATGTCTGATCTCGTCTTTCCCAGCTACTTCTTGCTGACCCCGGACTGCAGTGCCTGCACCGATGCCATCCTCCCAGTCATAACCCATCTAGACCTACATTGCCACCTCATGATTACTACACTATACGTCGCATGCTACCACACTGTGTCATTAATCCACCATTCTCTGCAAAAAAGCTGTATACCCATGCGATTCCCAAGACTCAAGGGCCTAAGACTACTCACAACAAGCATCCCTGTGGGGAATAGCTTGCCCCACATTGCCACTTCTACGAACACGGGGAGCCGGCCAGTAAGCTGGCAAGTTTCTAGAACGTTCTGCCAGTGCCCTCGACAACTCGCGCCACGCAAGTCAATGGGGGTAGACGGTGGGCTCGCCGCGGTTGCACGTTCAAGGTCGGATTGCGTTCTTTTAACCCTCAAGAAGCGATAGTCATTCTACCGGATAGCTGATGCGTATGTTACAGAATAAATAGATGCGATGCAAGTCGATAGCAAGGAGTCAGTCATAACAGTGTCGTCAGATACGTAGCACATCTATAGTCGCGAAGTTCGATCGCCAGCCTGTATATCAGGCGGCGCTCCTGCTTACTCTCGTCCCTTACGAGTAGAAGTTAGCACAGGGAATAGGCCTGAGGACCACAGTCAGCAACGCAGCATACACCAAGAGCAAGCTGCAGACTCACTTCAGCGGGACACCATTCCTCCCCGGAACCTCATCCGCCTTCACCTGCCAGCGCGTCGACGCAGCGAAGTCGAGGAGCCCCTTCACAAGAGGTCCGCACCGGTCGTTCGCCGACTCAGAACTCGCGCGCGCATCCATCTTCTTCGCGGCCTCCTCGTCCTCAGGCTTCGCCTCCGCACAGGCCTTCACCCACTCCGCGAGCTTCTCGATGTCCGCGGGGTCCGCGAACCCGAACCAACCCCGGGTCTTGCCGTCCTCTTCGTCGTCCTCATCTGTCGGCGCGCTCTCCGGCCGCTTGCCGTACACCGCGACGAAGGTCGACCACTTCTTGAGCGCGCGCGCCTCGTTGAGGTCCCGCCCGCGGCGACGCTTGGCCTTGACCATGCCCGGTGACGCCTTATGGGCGAGAAAGGCCAGCGCGAGGTCGCGCTGGGCGAGACTCGGGGCGAGGACATAGTACTCGCGACCGTCGATGTCTTCGCCCAGCAGTGTGTTGCAGCGGATGTTGTGGCTGAGTGTAATCTATGATAAGGGTGAGCGAGCTGTTTGGGAAAGAAGAGAAATGTCGACGCACCACTTTGAGCGCGTCCTCAATGTCCTGCACGTTCTGCTTGTGGGCCGTGCGCTTCCTTGCCTCCTCGGCCTTGTCTTTTCCGTCCATCGCCTTCCGCTCCGTATCCCACCGGTCGTTCTCGACCTTCAGCGCGTCTCGCATGTCCTTAATCGCATCTCTGATTTCCTGCGCGCTCGAGTCCAGCACGTCGCGCACTGCAGGACAGAAGCCCGCAGCCTCTGCCAACGCCGCAATGACGGGCACCAGCTGCGCGGTCTGCGCGACAACGATGCCGGACTGGTCCTTCATCTGCCGCGTCTTCCTCACCGTGCCCTCTGGGAGCGGCAACGGGTCAGGCAAACGGACCTTGGTGTACCTCTTCGGATCTTCCTCCTCAGAGTGCATGTATATGCCCGAGTCGGGCCCGCGGAAATACTCGCGCAGCCCTTCGAGGATGCCCCAGACCTTGCTGAGGGTGACCCCAGTCTGCTTGAGATCCTTGATGGCGCGCTGGAACCCCTGCGTAGTTGTAAGCAAAAGGCGAGGAAATCAGCAAATGTCAAGGTCCTCACCAGCTTAGCGTCGCCCTCGCGAGTTTCTACTATCATCGAGAGGAGGCCAATAACGATTGCCTTCGCGCATGGCTCGCTAATCCACGGAACCAGCGCGTCCGGAGCGTCTGTGAACGAGGGCGTCACCAGCATTTCGAACTCCTCTACTACAACCTTCGGCAGCGCGGGTTTCATTGCCTGGTGGAAACGGAGGGCAAACTCGCGGATATTCATACGAATCACGGCCTCATCGAAGTCAATGTCACCGGACACAGGCCTCCACGGTACCGTGCACTCTGGCTTGGTCTTGGGAGCAGTTGCCTTGGGGCGGGACGCGGCTGCCGTCTTCTTCGTGGCACGTTCAGTTGTCGCCGGCGCTACCTTCTTTCCCTTGACATCCTGGTCAGCGGCCTGCGGCTTCGCGGTTGGCTTCGGCTTCGGCTTGGTCTTAGCGGGGACCTTGTCCGCGCCACTCTTGCTATCAGCCTTCGCAGGCTCCGACTTAGGTTGCTTGCTGGGGCTATCCCAATTGTCAGTTGATCTATTCCATCCGTTATACACCTTCCACATACCCTAGTGGGTCCAGCCCTTTGGCATGTCGGCACGTTGAGCAAGCGCAGATATCTCGGCATTTGGGGCAACTGACAAGGACGGTCAAATCGGGCTCAGCAACATATCACTCTGCAACGCACCACCATGTATAGTCAGCGGACTTCAAGTGCTTATGATCGGCACAAGAACCAGAGGGTAGCGGGTTAAGCACGTCGGTCTTATAACGTGTGGTAAGGCATTGTGCACAGTAAGATGCGCTGCACTGCTTCTCTATGCCCTTCTTTCCCTGTGGAGGTAACAGTCGAGTGCAGCGACGGCTCCCTGTGCACGTATGAGTTTCCATTTCTAGTTGATGTGGCCACATTCGCACCTTCGACACTCCGCTTCTTGCGGCACTGATGACAATAGAACAGCTGGGTCTCAGCACCAGGCTGAGCATTCTCCGTCGGCTTCGATGTCTTGGCCGGTTTGGCAGTCCCATCCGCGGCCTTGGTCTTCTTCAACGCGGTCATGTCGACGGCCACGTTGGACGCGGACAACTTGCGCTTGAGAGCTGCGTTGGAGGTGTTGTCGACACGCGACTGCGTCGTGGCGTCGTTCGCGGTATCCATGACATCGATACGAGATTTGGGGGGCTTCTGCTTCGTGGCTGCGATAGGCGAAGGCGGTATCCCGGCGTGACTTGAGCGTTGAACGCCCTTGCCCTTGGTGGTGGATGCCTCGGGCTGTTCTCCGATGCGAGAGTACGAAGACAGCGCGAAGGGAGATGACGGAACCTCGATGTGGCTGATTCGCTGGATAGCGGGGCTCCGCGCCGACATAGTGGTGGTTGGGAACAAGGGATAATCAACGATCGGTCACCGCGGAGTTGGGTCAACCAATTAACGCGTGTCGTCACATCATGTGACCATGTTCATGCATGTGCCCGCCTCGTGTTCAATGTTGGTTTTGATGGCCAGTGTCATCTCACTCTTTATGGTGCTCACGCTCCTCAGACCAAGGCTGACGATCTGTTTGCTCTTCAAAGGATTTATTTTTGACCTTAAGTGACCGCTTTGCAGTTATTTCCGAGGCTCCCAGTCGCAAGAATCTTCTTGAGTGTAATTCACTGACTATTGAGCTCAGCATAAGCTAGCGTTGTTTCAGTGAGCCTGGTCCAGCCAGCACTGAGGTATATTTAATACGTCTAACTTCTTGCAAGCACATCGCCCCTTCAAGAGCGCACACGCGCCGATGGGCAGTCGGCAGACAAACATCTCCGATAAACGTGGATTAACTGCTAGGGGCCAAGATATGTAACGCATTCACCAACTAAACGTTTAGAGCATATAGCGCGCACGGGGGACGTCACTAAGGCAGACTTGAGCGCGGCGTTACAAGTCGGAGATGACCCTTGTAGGACCTCCCAACGCATGGTTAGGCAAGTACGGCGTACCGCAGGCGTAGCCCACTGCGCGTCTGATCAACTGCGCTAATAGTAGTCATCACTGAACACCGTAGTGTGGCCACCCACGCCATTGAGCACTACTCTCAGGTAGAGGGACAGGCGTAGGATATATCGGATCTGACCGCGTACTAGGTTCAGTAGTACCCGGACGACGTTCGGAAAGATCGATGTGGAATGAGAAACACGGTATACGCGGACTTCGCCGACTTGCAGATCTCCGCGCCGACCCAAGGCTCCATCAAGCCGCGCCGATGACCGTTGCTGGTGCTCAAGCATGACAGCTTGCGATGTGGCACTCGTGGCTGGGAAACTGTCGCAAAGAAAAATTGAGGTCTGAAACTGGAGGCTCGGACGAACGTCTATTTAGCAAGAGACAAAGTAGCGGATTGTCTGCAATGTCGTTGAACCGGAGTCATCGTGTTCATCTGGATCGAAGCCCTTGAGCTATGATCGGCATACAGCTATATGAAGCACCGACAGGATGGTCGCTACTTAGCTGGACGCCGCCTGCATACCCATGGACAGGCATGGGGCCGATGGTATCTCCGACCCTTCCGAAGCAATCCGCACCCAGTGGTCTAGTCTTTCCAGGAGAATGCTCGCGACGGCCGACCACCCTCCGCACGCCTGCCTATGGACCTCAGCACCATGCACCATGACAGCAAGTAGGACTCGCCTATAAAGTGTAGTCAAGCTGCGTAGTCGTCAACTCCTCCGTCTCCGGCTCGTTTCCCTTGGCTTTGCTGGCCTTGACATGTGTCGCTGGCGCCAGTACGTAGCCGGACACAATGGACTGTCAGGACAGCGCGGAGACTGACGATACCGTCCAGCGTCTGTCACGTCTACCTCCTTTGCGGCCACGTCAAGAACATGGTACGCACCTGAAAATGTCCTCAATCACTCAGACATCCCAAATTACTAACGGACAAGCAGCCGGCTGAGCTGGTTCGTCGCTATCTCACCCTTCGTAATCAGGCAGACTTCTGAGCTACAACGCACAGATCCAATGCACATCGAGAACCTGCAAATTCAGCCCGAATCATCCCCCTACGTGCGTGCCCCCGAGGTGCACGCAGACCTGCTGGCAGTAGTAAGCTACGTCGTTCTCTTCAACGTACTGATGCTGAATCATTACTCACATATAGTCGCCAATTCCCCGAGCAATACTGTGCGTTCACTCAGAGCTCAACGCGGAACGCAAACGCCAGGCTCACGTACCAATAGCGCCGAACGTCAATTCCTACTGCCCCTCATGTTCTAGCAGATGAAGTAGGTGAAGCTGTTACATCATGAAATCCATATTGATTGCACTGGGGCCGGGGTCATGCTCGTGAGTCGGAACGTTGGCGTGATAAACATATTGACGAGTACTACTTATTGGCGCGCTTGCTGAACAATAAGTCTAGCAAGCTCTTCATCGCTCTCAAGCATTCTCGGTGCACACATCCCGAGCCGTTCGGATATCCTGACCGCGAGTATGTGCTTGCACTGCAACGGGGTTAGTTCAGGTTCGACGAGAACTGCGAAGAGATTACTGTGATGTGAGTATCGTTCAGCAGGACACTATACGAGTATGCAGGGCATGTGCAGACGTGTGGTCTGCTCGAGTTCGGCAGGTCCAAGAATACCAGATACGTGGTGGGTGAAGACGAGGCGTTGACGGAGTATTCTACGTGACCCCAGGGCGTCGCGGTCTTAACAACTGTGGGTGTCAAGCTAAGAAGGGACTTAATCTCTGCGTAAACTTACTGCATTCCTGGTCTATCAAGTCGAGAGCAGAGAGAAGAAGCGGCTCAGAGAAGACCAGGTAAAGTTGCTCAAGAATGGCATCGGTCACTTCCGTGGCGTCTCAGTGAGGTGGTTGGATTGAGCCCGCAGACGCGTACTGACAGCTGTCTTGTATAGAGGCAATCACTTGATCAGCGACCCGTGCGTGAACAGCAGAGACCATGTCGGGGGATCGGCATGTCCGCGAGAGAAGATGAAGGGATGAAGCAAGGTGGAAAGGTCCCGACGGCGAACGCCGAGGGAATGTCGGTCCGGAATGGCACGCGCCGCATCACGATCGATCGGGCGCCTATCCTTGTTCTCAACCGCCATTGTTCTCCGCTAGCACACGATGAGCCGATTTCTATTCCAGTTCGCGCAGAGTCATGAAAAGTTTCGCATCCCCGAACTCGAGTCCATCGCCTCACTGTATGGCTTCGAGCTTGACTTTGAAGGGAATCGGGACTACACGCGACCGTTCATGGTCATTCGTCTGGCGCATCAGGAGCACGCGCGATTGCTAGCTAGGAGATGTATCTTGATCAAGTGTGTTCCAATATACAATACATCCAAGCACAAACTAAGGCATCCGAAGGTCCGTGCATGAGTTCTACGCGCAAGGCTCGACGTACGATGAGCTGCACGCCAATAACCGCAACGCGCGACCATTGTGGGAGAAATACGTCCCGGATACCTCCTTCAAGTTCGAGATCTCTGGATTCAACCACACGATACCAAAAGCGCGGCAAAGAGACGTGGTCGAGAGCTTCGGCTACATGGACATGCTCGGCAAGATAGACTTGAAGAACCCTGAGATCGTCATGTCCGTATATGAAGAATGTGCGTCTTCCTCTATACAAGCCTGCATTTGACCTCAGTGTCTTCTCTAGATAAGAGGCGTGATGATACCCCACGAGATCGGCTTGAAGGGGATGGTAACTTCATACAGGTCTACTTCGGAAGGTTGGTGCGTTGCCTTAACCGCTCAGTCCTCTATCGTATTGACCATCCCTTCTCAGCTAGAGGAAGGATCAGCTCGATTGTTAATACACAAATTCGACGTCAAGAAAAGGGCGTTCTTTGGGAATACCAGCATGGAGGCCGAGATCTCCCTTCTCATGGCTAATCAGACGCTGGTGGGTTCGTCTATACGACGCAACCCTCCTCCCAGCTCATCGCCGGAAGGCCTCGTCAGGAAAGCTGATGTACGACCCGTTCATGGGCACTGGGAGTATGGCCTACGTACGTCGTTCACGTATGTCTGACCCTTGTCGCTGACTGTACGCTTTTCAGCCTGTAGCGCACTTCGGCGCAATGATGTTCGGCTCGGATATTGACGGTCGTCAGATGCGAGGAAAAGGTCTGCAGAGTCCCCGTAGCTCTCCGTTGGCGCTAATCAGCTTCGTCCACAGGGAAGACCCCTGGCGTCTATCGAGCAGCGGAGCAGTACGGCGTAGCTCAGCGCATAATGGACTTGTGCACCTTCGACATGACTTGGAATCCGTGGAGGCGAGGTAGCCTCTTCGACGCCATCGTGACTGACCCGCCTTGTAAGATCTATGCTTGTTGTGTAGCGTCCCGGCTAACATCCTTCGAAGATGGCGTTCGCGCTGGCGCGAAACGTCTCGGTCGGAAGAAGGAGATGACGGAAGAGCGGAAGGCCCTCCATCTCGAGCGGCAAGCCGCTCTGCAAGAGTAAGTTGGCCTTTCTCTCAGTAGTAGCGCTGGCTCACCAGGTATCGCAGGGCCGGCAACCGCTCGTATATCCCGCCAACCAAACCCTACGAGCTGTCTGAGCTAGCTCGTGATCTCGTCCTTTACGCACGATACTTGCTAAAACCGGAGGGTCGTCTGGTGTTCTTCCTGCCGACGGTGAACGAGCACTATCAGGAGGTGGACGTGCAGTCGATGCTATGTCCGGGCATGGAGCTCGTGGCGAATTCGCTACAGGACTTCGGCGCGTGGGGCAGGCGGGTACGTACGCTTCGTCCTGAGCTCTGAGCCGTGAACCTGACATCATGGTTCGGCAGCTCATCACAGTGCGGAAGACCAAACACGACGAGTTCCCGCCGCCAGACTTCCTTGCAAGAGCGCCGCCGTCGGACTTGGGAGCGCCTGCGCATAAGGACTTTCGCGAGAAGTACTTTGAAGGATTTAAGAAAGGTGACGAGAAGTCGGCGTCGTCGAAGACATAACGAAGGCGATATGGCTAGTACACGTCGCTTGTAGCTTGTAGCATAGCTGTAGAATTAGGATGGCGCTTAAACATTGTTAAGGTCACTGCCGAAGGGGAGCCCAACGCTGATCACAATGACCTCGAGCGCCGATCAGCAGCGTGTCCATGATCGCGCTCGATATGGGCAGCCTGGCGGTGACGCCGCTGTTAATGAACTACTCGCGAACACCATGAGGCCAGATCACATACCGGGGTGCGCGTCCGTGCGCCATGGCTTCCTCACAACCCCCACTCTTCATCGCCCTCGACGGCCGCGATGAACGCCGTCCTCGGCGCCGTCGCCACCCTCCTTCTGCGCGTGCCCGCACTCTCGATGGCTAAGCCAGCCGGCGCAGTCCTCACCGGCGTCTGCGAGGGGCTCTACATGCACGAGGCGCTCGCCGATCCGAAGACGCCACACACGCTCGCGGTGTGCGCCTTCGGGCTGCGGCTCGCGGTCGACCGCGCGCTGGGCTCGGGCGGTGTCTATCTCGGTATCGTGTGCATTTGGACCGCGCTCGGCGCGCTGCTCGCCGAGCTCGTGAGCCCGACGCACGCGCACGACAAGAAGCTACGTCGAAGTCGCTCGAAGAGGCGCCGATACCGCACGAGCACGACAGAGGCGCTGACGCCGGAGGAGGTGGAGGAGCTCGAGAAGGCACACCGCGAGCGGATTAGAAGGGAGGAGCGCAGCGCGCGAATGCGCAATGAGCGCGTGCAGTTCATATCGCCCGTGCAAACGTCGTCGCTGCCGCCCGCCACTGAAGAAGTCACCCCGATTCCCACACCCACCACCCTCGAGAGCTCTGATTTCCATGTGTCTACCGACCCTACCACGCCTGTATCCTCACATACGGCAAGCCCTATACGCACCGAGCCGCAACCTGTCATCCCACCACGAATCACTATCGACCCAAGGAACCGATCCTTCCCAGAGCTCTCGCCAATCACTGCGTCTCCCACCGCATCCCGCTCTTCTTCGACCCTCACGCCACAATCCCCACATTCACCCTCACCACCACCGAGACCTATACCCGCGCCCCCTCCTGTTCTCGACTACCGCTTGGAAGGCCGCTCAAGACGACCTAGTCTCACTACCGTCCCCGAAGAGTCAACAGTGCCGAGCTCGTCGAATCAGACGCGTACCGACCCGGATATCTCGCGCTCTCACACCGACGACGACGATGAAGAAGAGCACATGTCCCTTCCACCGGACGAAGGTCTCGACGTAGGCTCCCTCGGACGCGTCAGGCTGGCCAAGAGCGGCCTCTTGCTCGTTCCACCGAATAATGCAGAACCACCTGAAGATAGTGGATCGCGAGCGCACACCCCCGCCGACCGCAACCTCGAAGTCGTCGAAGCAGACGAAGAGTCCGACGAGCTGCAGACACCGCAGACGCGATACCTCGTCGTGCGCGACGCTTTGACGACGCCGCCCGACGCCAGACAACAGTTGCCCACCGAGGCACCGCCCACCTTCTCTTCCCTCCCGCCGCAGGGCGTAAGCGTCAGTTACCCCCTGCCCGCGCACGCACAGTCCAGCACTGCCCCGACGGAGGCAGCCATCACCGAGATCGACGACACCGAGGCGACGAGCGAGATCTCGACGGGTGGGGCATTCGGCCCTACCATCGAGAAGGCCGACCGCCTGCGGGAGGAGGCGCGCGCGAAGTACGATGAGGCCCGACAGTTGGAGTATCGCGCGAGGACCGCGGATAGGCAGAACAAGCCCCGGGAGGCGTTCATTCTGCGTAGGGAGGCGGAGGCGGCGGGGAAGGCGGCAGAGAAGCTTGACGCGCAGGCGGAGCGAAGATATTTCCACGGTGCGTAGGTGTATGAGAACCTGAAGGTATGGGTCTGACGAAGGCATGCGCAGCGCACAACCATCGAACACGAAATCTTGAACCCGATACAATAGACGTGCATCGTTTGCGCAGAGAGGAGGCCGTCAAGAGGACCGAGGAAGGTACGGGAGCACCACTGCGTGACTTCCGAGAGCATACTGACGTTGGCCCAGCCTTCTGGGAGGTGCTCAAGCGAAATGGGCGGCAGCTCAAGGTCATCGTTGGGAGGGGCCTGCATTCAAGCAATGGGGTCCCATCACTGAAGCCCAGCATCATCAAGCACATGGAAGAGTAAGTGCTCAGCGGCTACAGATCGAGGTGAAGCTGACCCCGAGGCAGCAACAAGATACCCTGCCGCGTCCAGGAGACAAACGAAGGTGTTCTTGTACTGACAGCGCCGCCTGCGTAAAGCGCCGTTGCCTTGGAATTCAGGTATCGAAGCCTTGGACTTGGACTTTGAAGTACCGAGTGTAAGCAATTGTACGTTTAGCTAGTCACGATGTTGTACACACCCTATTATGTATGCGAATACCCAGTTCTTTTGAGAAACACCGAGAGCTCTTCGTAACACTACCCAGCCTTCTCTCGTCAGAACCGTCTGCCACCGCGAGCACCAGCAGATGGCGCAGCCTTGCGCTTCTTGAAAAGGCTACCTCCCGAGGGTGCTGGTGGCGGGGCCGCGGGCTCTTCTTCCTTCTTGACAGCGTCTGCACCAACCCTGGTCGGTGAAGGAGCGCCGTCCAGAGGTGTTGACGGGGCCTCTTCCTTCTTCACCTCCGCCGCGGGCCCTGCATCGACCTTCCCGAGATCCTCGTAGTCGACTGGTGTGTCCTCTATTGGCGCACCCCAAGAAGACTTCGTCCATTTGGATGCACCGTTGGACTGCGAAGCTTCGGGTGCTGGCGACTCTGTGGCAGGTTCTGAGGATGCAGTGGCTGCTGAAGGTTCAGTCGGTGCCTTCTTCAGCGATATCGACGTGAATTGAAGGGATGTGGCTGGCTTAGATGCGTCGACAGTCTCGGATGCTGGAGGTGCGGGAGACTCCTCCTTCTTCACTCTCGGCTTGATTGTGATGACGCCGGGATCGTAGACGTCGCCAAGGTTCACGGTCTTCTTACGCAGCTTGAAGCTGCGTCCGTCCTCATCCCCCTCCGCTGGCCGCTTCAAGTCGCTCACGACAGGATTTTCCTCAGGAGCGGGAGAGGCAGAGGCTGTTGGCGCGATAAACTGCCATTCGCCGACGACACCCTGCGTCTGCCGAGTCTTTGCGAGTTCCTCTTCAGGATCGGTGTAGCCGAGAGACTGAGCAGTGGTGTAATTGGCGAATGGGTTGGATGGTTTGGCAGCCGGCTTCTTGACAGCAGGGGCTTTAGAGGTGGATGGCAGACTCGAATCTGACATCTTTGCATGACCTGCGCCGACATCGTTGTGGAATGCTGCTTGCGCTGCCTACGAGCAAGTCAGTATAATGGAAGCAGAGTGACAGGATTTACGCACCTTCTCTATCCTTTCCATATCCCTCGCCTCCTCGGCGGCCTCCTTCTTGCGCTTCTCCCCCGTCTTGTAGATGTTGCGAATGAACCGCTCAACATTGCCCTTGTGCCGGAGGCCCCCTTCGTGCTGTTGACGAGAGGGAACATCGTCTGCGATGGAGATGCCGCAGTACTTGCACCAGTAGCGCTTGTTCGAGACCCAGTATTCACTCATGATGATCGCGGTTCGGGAGCAAGGCGTTGCGCGGCCACGTGCGCGAGCCGGAATACGCCCGGACTCCGCGGACCGATTGCGTCATGGGGTCAGCTCGAGCTTCGGACGGTCACTGTGATTATCTGTGTCCGTCTGCGCGTGTGCTTCCCATTCAGAAGTCATGCGCCGCGAGAGCCCACGCCGATTCTACCTTGTCCGAACCTGTCACCGCCCGCGATGGCCGCAACGATGAAGGGGGAACTGGTGGCGGATGCGGCGGACGACAAGCCTGGGTCCAAGTGCCTGGCCATGGAACAGCTTGTTGTCCAGTCCCAGTCTGCCGACAGCGATGCTTTCAACCACGACGACCAACCAATGTATGGACTCTACCGCCGGCGGTTCGTGGGCTTGGTGGCCATGGTGCGTCTGCGCGTCGTCTTTGAGATCGAGGCTTACATCTTCTCCAGATCTTGCTCAACATCGGGGCGGCCGCAGGCTGGCCGTGGTTCGGTCCCATATCTAACGAGAGTGTGTATGCTGGTATGCTTCTGCCCCTCACGCTGACGGGACGGCCTGGTAGCGGCTGCACGCTTTGGTATTACCCTTAATCAGGTCACCTGGCTGGGCAACATTGTCGCACTCATCTACCTCCCCGTCGCACTTGTACTTCCCGAATTCATCCAGAGGATTGGCTTCCGGAACTCAGTTCGTGTCCTGCCCTCCCTATCTCCCTCAGCATCTGCTTATCATGTGTCAGTGCTTTGTTGGCGCGCTATCACTCATTCTCTCCTCGTGGATAAGATACGCCGCAACAGCGGACGGACTATCCCCTAACGAGGCCTATGCGCTCCTTATGTTTGGCCAGGTACGCACCTTTCATTGCTCTTCCCCCTTTGTGCCTTTACTGAGCGACCTCAGCTCTTCACGTCCATCGCCCAACCGATCTTCCAGGTCCTCGGTCCGAAGTACTCGGAAACATGGTTCGATCTCAAGGGCCGAACGACCGCCACAATGATCATTGCAGTCTCTAACCCCATCGGAGGCGCTATTGGCCAGCTTCTCAGCCCGATTAGCGATCCAGCGACCTCCGTGCGTGCACCCTCTATATTCTACGTCACCGCATATACTCACCTTTTCCAGGTCCTAATACTGGGAATTCTGCAGACCGCGGTAGCACCCATGGTCTTCCTCATCCAAGATAAGCCACCGAAGCCGCCGAGTACGCTTCTACCATGTCCATCTCGGCTGGGATATCGAAGCTTAGTTCTCTCATGCAGCTTTTGCCGCGTCGCACGACACGCCGAGCATAATCACACTCCTCCGCGTGTGGGCCGGCCTGGCACCTCTAGAGCGCGATTGCAATCGCGCAGGCCGTGCCGATCCATATATGACCTGGCGGGAGCGTATAGACTTCCTCATCGTCGTCCTTGTGTTCGGTGTTTTGGTAGCTGCGTAAGTCATGCGGATGCCACAATGTTTGCGCATATTTACCGATTTTCAACTACAGCACCAACGCCTGGGCGATCCTTACCTCGCAGTATCTCGAGCCGCAAGGCTACTCATCGGACACCGCTGGCCTCATGGGGGCATGTCTCCTCCTTACCGGCCTGGTCGCCGCGATCGTCACTTCCCCACTCTTCGACCGGGTGTTTACGCACCATCTTGCACTGACTGCGAAGATCTTGGTTCCTTCCACTGCTGCGGCATGGCTCTCGTTAATATGGGCGAGTGAGTATCCCATGCTCCTCGAGTCGTTCACTTGTCACTCACCAAACCCCTTCATAGTCAAACCACACGACACCGGCGGCCTGTACGCCATCATGACCATTATCGGCGTCACCTCCCTGCCCATGCTGCCTGTCGCACTCGAGCTCGGCTGCGAGCTGACGCGTAACGCGGAGGGGAGCTCTGCGATTATGTGGTTCATGGCCAACCTGCTTGGGTTTGTGTTTATTATATGTAAGTACTTCCGTCCTTTCTCATGGTTGAGAATTCCTACCGGATGCTCGACCCTCTGCTTGATGCATGCGAAAGACGTACGTCGCTGACACTACCCGTGCAGCCGAAGACGCGCTCCGCGCAGGCCCGGATGCCGACCCGCCGCTCAACATGCACCGGGCGACAATCTTCAACGGCGTGTTCATATTCGTGACGTCGGCGCTGGTTCTGCTGTTGAAGGGACGCCAACGGCGACGGCAGGCGGATGAGACGCAGGGAAGGGAGCAAGGGCCGACGAGTGCATAGCGATCAGGTTCAGATGCATGGAGAGGGGCTCAAGACTTTGCGTGCCTTCGGCCACTGTGCATCTGTGCGCGGAGAAGTTTGATGGTATAGGAACGATGCAGTCTTGCGCGGCATAGATACGGATACGGACGGACACTGAACCGGAAAGGGTTGTTGTACTTTTAATGATTTTGACGAGTGTAGGGCTTCTCGCTCGATAGCTAGCTACTGTAGCACGAATGGAACTGTATGACGACTCTTAAGAAGACTTGGGAGTGGGACTCGAAAGCTTAGCAATGCAACAAAGGGGCTACGACAAAATACAATGTCGCGCTTTGCGGTCGCGAAGCTATCTCTTATCACCTCATGGGCTCAGATTCGAAGTTGGCACCCTAGCTTTGAATCAGCTATGGAGGCGGGGAATTCGAATGGAGGTCCGTGCTTCCTCGCCAGTATGAAGAGTCTCGAGTATCCGAAGGGTACAGATAAAGAGTCGAACGTCAAACGCAGCATGCGCTTCGGCAGATGCCGAATCGCAGTTTGCCTCCGCCATGGAATCCAGTAACGTGTATGTAAGAGGGAACACGATAGTACTTTGACGAAGGACGAAGAGGGAACAGCATTCAGGCCACCTGTATGCGAGCGGACTTGAATGACGGTACCAATTTCGGCGGTGCCATTCGTATCTACAGGCCAAGTAGACAAAAATCATTACCTATAGTCGAATTTAAAGTAGTGTACAGCTCATAAACAGAACTCCAGGAGTGTACGTGATGTCCGTAATCTTCCGTTCGTGAGAGAGAGATCGTCACAGGACGATACCAATACTGAGCGAAGGCGAGTCGCCTAGCTGTAGTGCAGGTAGTCGTTGAGGTTCTGATAGGGGATAGTATCGCCGGTCTTGGCCCAGTCGAGAAGTGCACGCCACCCGTTCTCGAGCAAGGTGTCGACGCTACTGTGAGAGGGTCAGCTCCTGTCAGGGTGCACCATACAGTGAATGTGACGCACCTGGGCCAGTCGCTTGACCCAATCTCGCTCAGGGTACCATAGATGAAGTCGATGTAGTTCTGCTGGGTAATAGGGCAGCCATTGTCCCAGGCACACTCGCCGACGATGCTAGCGTAGAGCTGGAGTACTGTGAGAAATCTAGTGCGCAAATCTGACTGGCGGCACTCACGTTGAAGTCGAGGTTGGGCTCCTCCCATTCGCAGGTCAGGTTTTGGTTTTCGCAGCTCGCCAAACCCTGGACGGTCACCGGCTAGTGGACTGATTAGACACGACAAAAGGGTCAGACGAGAAGATGGTGGCACGTACCCCGATCTTGGTGTCACTAATCGCGACAGCAACACATGCCTTGTAGCCCCAGAGATTACCAGTGCCGCCTATGATACCACCTACAGCACCGTCGTTGTAGCGGCAGGCATCCATGAGGTTGCCCTGATAGGGCTCGTATTGGATGACCCCGCCCCATTCGTGCACAGAGGCGTAGCAGTTGAGGCCGTTGTCGCAGACCTGCTCTGTGGGAGCAGCGAGCACAACCGCGGCGAAGACGGTAGATACAGCGAGAGCAAGCTTCATGACAAGGGGGAAGGGTAAGGTGAGTTGGGCGAAGAGTGTAAGTAGGGAAGTACTGGACGGGGGAGTACTGTGGGGAATGCGGCCAGCTTCGCCATGCACCCTCATATACGTGATCCCGAGGGCGCATTCGACATGCTTCCGTGCCTTCCTCGACATGGTCGGACACAAAGAGTCAGCGAAAAGCGGACGTGGGCAATGTCATCGATGGCCGCGTCCTCGTCTCATCGTGTATGAGGGAGCATGACCCGCGGCGAGCGGTAACCGACGTTCCGACTGCGTTGATCCTGCCCTTGACAGTTCTATAAGCATGTACCTTGCGCCGCACAGCCGCGTCGAGCGCCATTGAGGACAGAAGAATATCGGGCGCCCAGAAACGACGATTCGAGAAGAAGGCGGTAATGCTGACCGCATGAAGGTGAGGGACCTGTCGTATGTTTCAACGAAACACAATGCAGAAATAGCCGTATACTTGCCGAGGTAGATGGACTGCACAGCCTAGGCGTGGTGCTGAAAACGAGGAAGGGACCGTCAAGTGTCGTCGGCCAGCCATGGATACTGCACGCGATGCGAGAGTGTCGAGCGTCGGTGAGCCTCCGTCTCCGTCGGGCAAGGCATGCGTCGAGACAGCGGCGTAGTCCGAGGCCGGTCATGTCGGTTTGCGAGACATCGCCATCTTTCATGCAAAGCAGTCGCTTATCCTGGACTTTCCCTCTCTTCGCATCCTCGCGCTGTGTGAACATGAGGCGTTGAGCAGCGGTCAAGGTACCGGACTGTGCAAAAAAGGCGTGCCCCACGAAGTTCTCGACGTTGCATGACACCAGACGCTGGGCAGAGGTGTGTTCAGCGCCTCGAAGATTGCAACTTCGCCTAAAGGAGTGTATGCAATATCCAGCGACCGCTTGATGGTGGTGAGTACGAGATCACCCGCAATGGCTCGGCAATTTCCGTACGCCACGCGTCTTACAGCTTCAGTACTTCATGAATAGAGGCGGCGCGCATGGCAGCAGAAAATCGCAGTCAATGCCTGGTCAGAGGACGAGGTCGCACGACCGCCAGAGGGACCGTCTGCTTGGGACAGCTGGAAACCAGTGACATTGCCGCTGCTATGACTTATACTGTTGTTACACTGTACAGACGATGAGACGGTGAGCGCGACATCTAACAATCAAGACCAAGCTCACATATACATTACACGAAGCCACCCCCAATTCTTTAGCCCGGATTCAGGAGAAGATGTAATCGTACTGACTCAGGAAAAAATGTAGTCGTAGAACGACTCGCCGCGAGACGCCGCGGTCACACCCCGCCGCGCTGGAACAGTACGGCGATTATCCGCAGGCCGCATCCGCCGCCTGCGCTGCCTCCTCGCCGGAGAGGGTGACGAGTCTGCCCGCGAATGCCGGCTGCCCCAAGCGGCCGGGTGCAACGGCCTGCGCCGAGGCGTGCGTTCATCCGCGAGCGACAACGACTCGACGCTCGCAGCGAGCCCAGCATCGCTGGCGGACTCGTCGCCGTCCGCGCTCGCCGCATCGTCGACGATGGACCACGAGCTATCGGCAGGAGAGGCGGGACGGTCCTCAGAGATCGCAGGAAGGGCTGCTGGTGCGTGTCCCGCGCGACGCTCTTCGATGTCGGAGTCGCCTGCGTCGGAGGAGACGAGGTCGGACTCGCTGAGCTGGGAAGAATAGTCGATGTCGGTGACAGGTGGGGTCTCCAAGCTGAAGGCGCCAGCCGCGTCTGGGCGGAAGACGTTGGGACGCAAAAGGTAGGTCAGGCGTTCTCCGTCGACGTCCTTGCCTGGATCGCGGGTCAGGAATGATACAGGATGAGCGACGGCTATACTCACTGAAGCTCACAATCTCGTGGTAGCGCGCGCAGCAATGCACGACGTATCTCGCGTACGAGTCCTCCGATATCCGCCATACGAGCTGCAGTGGAGTGCGCGAGACCTCGACGACAGGCGTCTCCCCGATCTGACGCTCCGCCTGCTCGGGCTGGACATCATCGGGGGACATCATCGCGCCGCCGTCTGAAAGCCAGTCTGCCATTTCGAGCTCGACTACTCGCACGAGGCCCTGCGCGTAGCCGGACTTGCGCAGCTCGCGGCGCATGCCCTTCAGGCTGAGGGAGAAGCGGCCGGCATTGGCGGAGAGCGGATCGAGGGTAGGGGGAACGACTGAAGGCAGTTTGGCGGTGCGTGGGAGGGATGGCGGGAGGGGCTCGGGGAACGTGGTACGGACAGTAGGGGGTTCCAGGACAAGATCGCGCTTCGTGGCTGCAACGATGTGGGGGTTACCCGTGAACTTGGCTATTTCGTATGTCACTTCACTGCAGTCCTGCGTATGGAAAACACACACCATTCTCCTTCCGCCTCGTGCGCCGCTTGCCTTCGACGTCTTCCTTCCTCGCAGCTCGGCCGAGGATGCTGCCAGAAGGACGGACGTACGCTGTGTCTCGAAGTTCATAGCGGGCCGCTGGTACACCAGGAGTACGAAGAATAGCAGGGAAAGAGAGAGGCACAGGATCAATGGGGCCAGAAGACGGTGCTGCTACTGCCTCAGTCGGGACTGGTGCCGTCGTCGTGGTCTCCATCGGTGTCGTAGCATCGACGTTCATGGTCACAGGAATCGTCTCAGGAGCAGAGGGTGCAGTAGAAAGTACGTCCGCCATAGGAAAAGATATTGCTGCAGATGAGTCAAGCACCTCGAAAGAAGAGGCCAAGGTTAGCAGTCGGGGCCATGATAAGAAGTGTCACTCTGACGAGTAGCGGTACTTCGGGCCGATGATCCGGGATCAGCGCGGGGAGAGCAAGGATTTCTCCACTTTAGGACATCTCTTGTTCTGAGCGTCCATCTACTGCATTTTATCTGGTCACTATATTTCTCTCTCATAGATTCCTGCGATACGGCTCTGCGAGCTGGAAATCATCTTTGAGGACCCTTCTGGTGCGGTGAGAGCCTTTGGATGCGAAGGTTAATAGACGTACAATAACAGGCTGCTCCATTGGAGTCTCTTCGTACGACACAAGAAAGCCACAAGAACTAGCACCTCGTGCGTCTTCCAGTGCGGCAGCCTTTACACATTATGGATGAGAGCAATGAGATTAGTATGTTCATTGCATCGCTGGTGGTGGTACCGTCCGAGTCGCTCAAGTTTGTTTGCGTGCAACTGTGAATGTCATCCGGTATCCCCCTGCGACTGCGCTCTTCGCCATGAACTAGTATCTAATCAACGCTAGTACGCCTGTTAGGCCGTAATCAGCCGTACTGGATATACACAGCGATCCTCGCTGCGACGTCAGTGCGATCGAGGCTGGTTCATTTCCGCTTCTCGCTTCCCTCCTTCACGTTCTTGCGACCCATGTCTCTCGCTAAGATCCCTTTTCTTGTCTCCGTCATCTGGGGCATCAACCATGGCTTAATATCGCCTAACCGACCCTTAGCGTGCGACCGTCCATTATCTCGCCCTCTCGTCGAAAGGTGCGCATCGTTCAGCTGGTCTTTTGATGCAACGCTACAGGAACTTGTGTAGGTACTACGTACCGTGCATGGAGATAGTCCGAGTAAGTGGCCACTAGCCGGGCTCACCAAGGCAACAAGTGGCGTGCTGGCTCGAAGATACGCGCATGTCGACTGACGAGTAACAGAAAATCCTCTGCGCTATCAGCCTTATCGAGGTTGCCCTCATCACCAACAGTCACTTGCCCTCATCACCATTTGCCTCCTGCATCCCGGATGCCCTCATGCCTATTGGCGGATTGCAGAGCCTTCGAATCACGACGCCGTTCATACTAGGTACGTGTGTTGCTGCCTTCTGGATCTGATCGCGATGGACGCGCTGACACTCTCCTTAGGCTGTCTTCTCAACGCACTCGGAACCCTCATCCGCATCCACTGCTATCGGAAACTTGGCAGCGCCTTCACCTTCGAGCTCGCCATCCGCCGCGAGCAGGCGCTTGTCACCGACGGCGCCTATAGCATCGTCCGGCATCCCGGGTACACCGGTGGATATATGGTCGTCGCGGGATGGTTTCTAGCGCAGATGTCATCCGGATGTTGGGCGAGGGAGTACCCTGAGAAAACAGCCTCGCTGAGTGCGACTGCCCTTTGGCTAGGCCTTCTATTTCCTCTACTCGTCGGGACATTCCTGCGCATCGACGCCGAGGAGATGATGTTGAAGGGGCGGTTTGGCAAAGAGTGGGAAGAGTGGGCGAAGAGGGTACCCTACAAGCTGGTGCCGCGGGTTTGGTAAACTCCAAGGGCATATCTTTCCAAGTGCCAATTACAATTAAATGGCAGCGACGTGTGCCGAGAACTATAGATTTCGAAGGGCCCTGCTGAGAACGGAACAGGAATAATTTTTCTCCGTCGACAGTCCATTGACCTCTTGTCTCCGATCGAAACTGGGCATGCTCCTGATCCTATACGCCCCAGGTCTGCACCCATCTTACCCCCCTTCGGAGACTTCTTCACAGAACCGCCAATCCCAAAAGTGCGCCCCGCAACAACGGCGGCGAAGCCGCTCTGAATGTTTGCGCCGCCGAGCGCAGGATTCTCGTCGTCCCCATCGCTAGTACCCGAAGGCTGGCCGCTAGTGGACGTCTGCGTGCTATTGCCCGACTAGGTAGTGCTTTCAGAAAGGCTGCCCGTGCTACTGCCTGACGCAGAGGTAGCAGAATCGGTAGCGGTGGCGGAGGCGCTGGGAAGGTGTCAGCACTGGGTGGGATAGAGGGCAGAAGGTCTGTGTGCGAAGGAGGAATTCTGTACTCACGACTCCGTCATAACTGCCGACCCGGTGCTCGAAGCGGCCGACGCGGTGTCCGACCCTTGCGCGGACACGGAGGCCACGAAGGCGAGGAAGAGAGCGGCGGTGAGCTGCGTGAAGCGCATGATGAGGCAGGTGGTTGAGTGGTCGGTGGAAAGGATATGAGCTGAGGGTAAAGTCAGAACAGGATATTTTCTGCCCTCATCGTCTCTTCCTCGTCCTTATATACCGTTGCAGAAAAACTCTCATGGCATACCTCGACTCGGATAATGGATCTTTGTGCGAGAGAAATCGAGCGGGCTATGCGATAAGTGTGGACGATGGGTGCGGAAAGTAGGGCATCTATGAGAAGACGAACCTGGTGAGCGGCGAGCCTAAGCCCGTCCCCGGCCTTCGCAATCGTAGGGCTATACACCCTATCCGGACTGCCTTCTTCGGCGACTAGGGCCACTTATTGCGGCAATTCACTCCAGATCTTGGTCGTCAGTTCCGAGCATTGGACTGGGACGGTGAGGAGATGGACTGCCCGCGCTCGAAGGCCCTTGCATGCGCGCGCTGCCATAATCATTGCGAGCTGTGCCGGAGACTCACAGGGATTATTGTGAGATGATCTTGGGCATCCGCGCAAGCTCACCGCGTCAGCGAGTTTGAGCGAGCTTGTCTCGCTGGTGGGGACTCGCCTTTTGTGAGGCATTGGGCGAATCTATACCTAGGAGGCCGGAAAGCCGTGGTACGGGAATAGCCGAATCAGGCGGGGCCGTGTTTACTTCCGCTCGGCAATTCCCGTCATTGTGGCGGTTCGACTATGCACCTGCTTCGGCCTGCACAAGTCGATGTCCCCCTTCGACCAATGTAGGAAATCCTTCCTCATAATACGGCAGTGCGTATATTCCAAGAGATGCTGGTGCGTAGGCAGGCCAGCTCGTATAGATACGTAGAGTACTGAATATTACTTCGGCGGCGCGCCGGGAAACCCAAGAAAGGTGTATGGTTACACTATTGTACAACCTTCCGCGGTTGAGTCAGTGTTCACAGATACAGGACGTGTGAATTACTTAGCAGGTACGTCTAGCAATTGCAGTCAAGGAAACAGGGTTCGTAAAGATGTGGTGAGGCTCGTCTACGCCAAGGGTCCAGCGTCCTTGCTGAGCTTACGCGCGCATGAGCGGGCTTTGCGAAGGGCAAGATCCTGCAACGACAATATTCAGCACCTTGACGTTCACTATGGCAGTCGTGTACTAACAACGACGAGGATGGAGAAGCGCCTGAGCTTTCGAAGCCGCCCCGAGGGCTCACGCCGTTCTCCGAGCGCTTCCTGCAGCTCCGCGGCGTACGTCGCCCAGAGGTCTTCGTCAGGGAAGTACTGTAGTGCATGCTATGTCAGAAAAAAAATTACGTTGAGGGGGCTGATCACGCACCATTGTCCTCATGAGGAAATCATCGTCTTGCGGTTGAAGTCCAGCGTTGGAGGGCTGAAGAAGTGGTCAGTGTCATTGCCAGACGTTGAGCACACCATGCACCTGGTTGTTGTAGACTGCAGTCAGGGGACGACGTCGTTGGTGCTTATTGGGGGCGAAGCGGACGCAACGAGGGCGATGGCGAGTAAGTTGGAAAGAGCGGGAAGTACGCTTGTCGGACGAGGGCATCTTGAGGCGTGTAGAGTGAGCAATAAGGAATGATGGTGGGCGCTCAGAGAAAAGCAGCGAAAGCAGGCGGGACAAAATAGCTTGCGAAAGCGAAGATGGAAGGGGAAGGGAAGAAGTGGAAGCACCGATCACGATGCAAGTTGGACTCGCCCAGCACTCGAAGGGCCCGAAGCCTCGTAGCACGGCACTGGACGTCACTGAAAGACTGTCATTCGCTACTTCTATCGATGCCGACGGTGCGAACGGGTATACGACCTCGTCTGCCAGGCCATAAGGTTTCGGGACGCCGCATCTAGTCTCGTTCCCCCTGCCATTCGTTGCACAGCTCCTCGACTCTGTGAGCAGTTCAAGACATCCAGGGCGCCATCCGAAGGACACCGAGACGTCGAATTCGATCGACAGCATACTCGGGGGTTGCGGGACAAGTTTTGGGTCTTCCACGCCAGAGATGTCGCCCGTCCCAGATTCGCAGGACCATGGACCTCGCGCTAGTCTCACCCCTTCACCGACAACGTCGACAGCTTTTGTACAACGTCCAGTCCGCCCCACGTTCTGTCGCCGCGCGCCAAATTTGCTGCCGCTAGGCTCTGGTGCGGCACCGGAATGCGGGACCGACGGGGATAGGTGACTCCAGCCACCTGTCACCGTCACGGTTGGGTTAGAGACGCTTATACAGCCTGCTGCTCTCTACTCACCACCATGAAGAGCTTGCCAGAAGGCGGTACACCTGACGTGGAATAGACGAAGCCATTTTCACCAAGGACGGACATGACTGTCGTCTGGCGTGATCGACGAAAGCAAGAACAAGAGGCCGTGTCACCAACGCGAACGACTCTTTAGAGGAGCGTAGCAAGACCAAGTCGGCGAAGAACATAAAGCCATTGTCAGTGCTGAGATGACTGGCCTGCGCTGGACTTGAGGATTTGCGAGGTATCTTCGCGTCGATGCCAGAAGACCTTCAAGACGTCAAGACACTGTCTCTGCAGCTCCTACAAAACTCTATCAGAGGGTATCAGTTCGCGGTCGGTTCTTTGAGAATCACCACACACCTCTTGCCTCCCCATGCCCTCCTCGTTCTGTCCCACCCAGCTTCTTCAACTGTCTGATGACGACCGCTGATGAACTTCTTGCTCAAGCCCTCCACTTCTTCACTTCCTTCAAGTACTCCAGGGAAGGCATCTACATCTGCCAGAAGATGTAGGACCTCTTGGTGACTGTGGACGCTCGACCCTGCTGGCTGGACCGTATTGCCGATCGAAGTTGCGGTACCTTTAGCGCGTTACGAAGTGCTCTTCCAACATATACCGACGCATAGTCCTATTTTCTCGGGTCGAAAGACTCGGAGAAGGTGCGTCATCCCATCCTACGGTCCAGCGATACCGTTTGTGAAGGCTCAAGCAAACGCTGCAGTGGATGGTTCTTCAAGTCCGGCAATTTCACGATTGTGGCACGTCGCGTTGTTGTAGTTCATCGGAGACGCTATTGACATCGAAGAGAAGAAACAGCAAGGCATCCAGCAGTAAGCGACGATGCGATGGTGATGGTCAAGAACAAGGCAAGCGTTCTGCCGGAAATTCGGTTGTTGCCGCCGCGTTTGCCTCCGCCCCTGCGGCCAGCATCCACTTTCATCTGCCCGACTTTGCCAGCTGTCTCCTGCATTCTGCAACTCTTAGCAAACCTCGGAAATTTTCTGTAGAAAATCCAGGCCTTCCAAAAGGAAACGACGGCGAAAAGCTTCAACACGACCACGGTCTGGCTCGCTCGACGGGTAGTAGTCGCCCTTCAAGTCAACATCTTCCGCTGAGTGGCCCCCGTCTCCAACTGCTGAATCGTGTGCGCAGGCGGAATGGTGTCGAGCCTGACTCCAGAGCGCTCGTCGGCCTCCGCTTCAGCACCCTCATTCACAACGCCTGAATCTTTCCAGAGCAGCCCCCACCGTCGCGCCGCTCAGGCCTGCGACAGCGTCGTCCAAGTCCTCCGTCCCTTCAGATTTCTGCATTGCCGTCTTCATGTCAGTGATCATCATCCCCCCGCTCTACTCTCTGGAAAAGACGCCTACGATGACCCTGGGTCATTGCACGTCCAGCCCGATACTTCTGCATCACAACCATCTCGGACCTTCGGCTATAATGGAGACATAGTCTGCGTCGCTTGCATTACGCGTATTCGAAGAGGCCTACAGTCTCGAGCTACATATCCAGTCCATGACCTGTCCGAGAATAGTAACATACACATAGCACATAGCATGTCCATTTTTGTCCACGAAGAGTCTGAATAGCGATCGTCCTTTCCGTGCTGTAATCAACAGCATTCATCCAGTAATCAACCGCGCGATGAGATAGAGCGTCGAGCCAAAGAATCTCTGCGGGGTGCTCTTGATCAGCCGTCGTCCGCGGCAAGCAAGCGAGAAGGATACGCACGACTATGTTGGTGATGGCCGTGAAGGCAAGGATAAATACTAGATAGCTTTTTGTTGTGCCGTTCTCGCTAAGGCTCTTGGTAGGGTCGCCGGTACTGAGGATGAGCACCACGAGAAGCGCGTTTGATAATGTCCATGAAAGTAGTACCTGTGCATAGCAGCGCGTCAGCAGGGCCACCCAAGACTCCAGTCTGGTTGACTGACGTTGGTTCTGATATTCGCATAATAATCCTTCGCCATCTGCTCCTGCTCCGCCTCGCTCGGCTTCTGCGTCCCCTTCGGCACCGCGGGCTTGCGATGCCGCAGATTCGACAGCGCCTGCTCGTAGATGTTGTCGAAGTGCGACGGCTCGGCGATCTCGACGTCAACCTGCAGTTTGTTGTTCTGCACGACGGCGCCGAGGTCCTGCTCGACGATGGAGTCTTGTTTGGTGCCCCAGGAGATCTGTGGGTGGGGATTTGGGGTCAGTGGGAGGTAATAAAGGTGGGGGTGAGTATAACGTACGTCGTCTAGGTTAGAGAAGGCGTAGCTGGGTGGGCGATCAGTATGGCGAGTGTATAGAACACGGGGTACACACATGTTCAGGACGTTGATGTACATAGGCGAGAGCAACATATACGGTATGAAGCTCGTTAACATATGCCACGGGTCAAGCGCCAGGATACTTGACAGCGCGTACACTGTTCAATGGTCAGCGCGCACATTCACGTACATCTCCTCAAGCACACGCACAGCCGAACGTGATCACGACACTGAACAACATCGCGCTATTCTGCGACCCGCCCTGCTGCGCCGCCTGGAGCGCGGTTACCACCGACGCGACCAGCATGTAGACCATGAAGATGCTCAGCGTCACGATCGTGAACATGTACTTGAACTTCGCTCTGTGTGCTTCGCATCAGTCATGACTAGACGGCAGGGCGAAATGACCGACCCTTGGGGCTTATTCCCCATCGAGAAGACGAAGCACGCGACAATGGTGGACGCCAGGATGAACTGCGCGAGCTTGTTCACATACTTGATCCCCTCCGCATGCAACGACGGATCCTCCAGCGACGCCGTTAACACGACGAAGAACAGGTAGAAGTTGCCCTGCAAAATCCGCGTCAGCACCCATTTCTTCCTTCCCTACACCCGCTTGAACACCCCAACAAGTCACAACAGGACCACTCACAATGCTGAACCACGAAAAAATCAAGTTGATAATATTATACACCGTCTCCACCAACAGCATGATCCTTCGCTGCAGACTATGCCCCGAGCGCAGGATCTGCCCGACGTGCGCGATGGCGTAGGTGCCGGCGAAGAAGGAGCCGTTGAGCCAGCGGCGGCGCTGGGAGATGAACTCGGTGACGGCATCGGGGACGTCGGTCTCGCCGATGGCACCCTTCACGTATTTGAGGACCCTGGGGAGATGGTCAGCGACTGAGTAGGTGACCGAAATCAGAGGCAATGGAAGTGCGTACCAGCTGGAGTTGGCTTTCGCGACGAGTTCGAAGCAGAGGATACGCTATGACGAGTTAGCATATAAGTGCGTGAGGCGGGCGCTGGGTGAGCTCATACATCTTCCGCAAGGTCTGCTAGCACATCAGCGGACGCCTATACACAACGTTCGCTCACTCACACATATTCGACGTGAAGATGTCCGTATCCCGACCATGTAGGACCTCTCCTTTGAAGTACGATGCCAAAGGACCGACGCCTCGCTCGTCGTTCTGCAATGCGATGTACCGGTACGCCGAAAACGCGCCGGGCTGGAAGTCAGAAAACGGTCAGCCTTGGCGCGGCCTTCGCGTTACCGCGCTCACCAGAACGCTGATATACCCAAACATGGACTCCGTGGGCTTGTCGAGGATACCGCTGATCTTATACTCGAAGTTCTGCGCGGCGACTGGAGTCGTGTGAGCCAGTGATTCTCAACTATGAATACGGCGTAAGTTTACCCAGTGGATTGAGTAGCAACTCCCATCGAGCTCCCTTGTACACGGCGATCTCTCCGCACGCGCCGGCGACGCTCGAGTTCACGTCGAACGCCTTCCAGAGCTTGTATATGCTCGTATTGCCAGGCCTCGTCCCCACATCCAGCAACACGCACACATTCGGCTGTTCATTCGTCAACTACCCTTCCACTTGGCGCATCCACCCACACTCTGCGATGGTTCATCTCCCACTCACCTGCAACAACGGCGCAAACGCATTAAAGAACCACCGATGACTATTAATCTTCCTCTGATTCTTCTCCTTCAAGCAGAATATAATCTGCGTCGGCACGATCCCCTTGTCCGGGTACTTGAAGTGCACATTTGGGTCGAGGCCGAAGGAGGTGGTGTACTCGAAGAGGTGCGCGGTGACGGGCACGTTGTTCACGGTGTTCACCATGTGCTTCCCGGGCTGGTAGACGCCGAGGAGGGTGAGGCAGTCGAGGACGCGGGGGTGGACTTTTTTGCGCCCGTCGGCGACGATGCAGACGACGACCTGGGCGCGGTGGTGTCAGGGTGTGGCGAGGGGCAGGGAGTGAGGAGGGAACGGGTGGGGGAGGGGGGGAAACGCACCTTCTCCCAGGCCTTTGGACCCCAGGTTTGTGAGTTCTTGCGGGAGCAGAGGTGTTGGATGTTCTTCATGACGCCGTATAGGGTTCTACAGAATAGTACCTCGTCTTCCTATGATCTGGTCAGCTTCTGCAAGCTAAACGTGAAATGACCACGCACATTATACATCGTAATCACAATGAACAGCTCCGTCTGCCGCGCCATTTCGTTCTGTCGCAGGAAGAACCCGCTCCGCTCGAAGTCGTCCGGATCGCACGTCACCGCCGTATACCGCGTCCGCATCGTCTCTGGCACGCCCTTCCGCGGGAGCACCAGCTTGGGCGGTACGTCGAGGTCGACGACATAGTTTCCGTTCGTCAGCTGTACGCGCTTCTTCGTCTTCCGCCGCCGCACGATACGTCCACTTGGGGCGGGCCCGAAGTGGCGAGTCTCCACAGGCGTTTCTGGCTCTGTGGACTCGGACGATAGTGTCCCTCGATCTGCATCTGCGCCGGGCACGGGCGCGACATAGTCGTACCCTTGCTGGTAGGGCTGTTGATCGTACCCGAGGAAATACTCGGTCTGTGGGTCCGCCTTTTCTGGATCGGTGGGGTATGGGGGGTATTCCTTCTCGGGGCTTTCTCGATACATTGGGTATGCTTTTTCCGGGGAGTAGCTGACGGAGCCATCGGGCTGTATGTAGTAGTCATCGTCGAGGATGCCTGGCGTGGGCGACCGCGAGCGCGGGGGCGGCGCCTGATAAGCGGCGCGCGAGTAGTGCCCGGACGCGTACGCCTCGGCGTCGTAGGCGAAGTGATCGAGCTGGGTCGTGCTGGCGTTCGTGTTCGTAGCTGTGGCGTGCGAGTCGTCCGAGGCGGACGCGGGGTAGCCGCCATAATAGCCGCTCTGGGGTCGTGATGAGGTGGGCGTGTGCGTGTCGGAGAAGGGGTTCGTGTGATCGGAGGAGGAAGGCGTGTTTGCTTCGTCGAGTTGTAGCGTCTCCCCCGTCAATATTGGCTCGAGGTACTGGCCAGGCTGATATCTCCTGAACTCGGACGTGGGGCGGGCATAGGCGTTATCGGGATGCAGCGAGGCTCGTTGATCGGGGACCAGAGGGGCCCTCTCCTCGTCGTACAGGCCCTCCCCCGTCATTCTTGCCACCGCGTTTCGTATGTCTTCGTACGCCTCCGACAGTGCGGGGTCCGGTGCGTCCTGGGGAGCCGTTGTACGAGAGCTCGACGCATTGTATCCGGACGGGCTAGGATTCCCGGAGCGCTGCTGGTCCTGGGCGTCCTGCTGCGGTGTCCTTGAGCGAGGGACGGGCTTGCGCTTGAAGGCCATGGCGGACAAGGGCGAGCGCCTGACGTACGACTCGCTGGCAGTTGGAACGAAAGCGGCGGGTCTGCACGTGACCGCGTAAATGAACGTGATCGGCGCATGTGCACGTTGAACTTCCCCATCTCGCACAATTGCCTCGCAACAAAAGGGCATGCCTGCTGATTTCCTGCCTTTGTCTCATCGCTAGCCAGCTCAGGCAAGTAACACTCTAATTCTTGCCCCATTTTACTGCAAGTACCTAAATCAAGGATCCAAGGACCATCTGAACACCAAAACACTCGCGATTCATTGACTGTCATGTGCAAGTACTTCTCACGTAGGGCCTTGCACCCAAGCACTGCGCGGATCGGAGGTGCGTGAGAGCCACACAGACCCTTCACGGCCCAGAAAGCGGACATAAGTGGCCTGAGACGCCAACCCTGTGGCCATGCGAGCCCTCCGTGACCGGGCAGTCTCCGGCCCAGCTGTATAAAGGACAGTGGAGATCTCCCTCTTCTCCAACCAGCTCTCAGCCAGCCTTCGCCGTCAGCTCTTCACCCTCAGTCTTCTCCTCCAAATTTCGTTCTTCTCAGTAATCCTCTCGACAATGTTCGCCCCGATCCTCGCCCTCTTCTCTAGCGTCGCCCTCGCCAACGCCTACGGACTCAAGTCCGCCTCGACCTCGCCCTACGGCCAGTCGTCCGGCAATTGGGAGCTCCAGAAGACCGCCTACGGCGCCCTCCTTGTCGGCGGCAAGGACGTGCCGCTCTCAACCTCCGTCACCATCGAGGGCGGCCAGCTCAAGCTGGTGTGCCCGCAGCAGGCGACGGCGGCGCTCGTGCCCACGGGGTCGGACGAGCCGCGGTACACGGTGCAGGTCGTTAGCAAGACGGACGACCTGCCGAAGGGGAGCATCTTCACTGGGTGGACGACGCAGGATGACGGGGTCTCGTCGCCGGATGATTTGACCAAGGTCGTCAATACGGTATGATTTTTCTTCGAGGGTGGAAGGTCGAGAGCTAATTTCGACTTTGTAGGAGGTCGGCCTGAACGGGACCTACAACCTGGCCACCGTTGACGGCGCCAACGCTCTGACGTGGTCCGACAAGGGACCGTCAAACGACGTCCAGTGGTTCTTGGCCATCGACGAGGCCAACGATGTCCACTGCTAGAGAGTAATCTTCAGCATTCACAAGGTCTGTCCGCCCGTGTTTGTTTGATTGCCTTGCTGATTTCTCCTAGGCTATTGCCAAGTTTTACTGCGCATGACTGGTATATCGAATCGTATTCGTATGCCCCTCACCACCATAGTACTGGATTCCAATGCGTATAATATTGGCTCATACATAGCAATACCCCACTGATCTTACAACGCTCTCTACATTTACCTAGAATCAAGGGCATATTTATTTGTTTGCCGCAGTTGGTTTGCCTTTGAACAGGCCTCTCCCCTCTTTATTACCTCACCCCTAGTTTTTTGTTCTCAGAGGCGGGGCCTAACTGTCAGTGCGTGCGATGTTTCCAGTGGTCGTGAATTGAAAGTCAAGCGTGAACTACATCCATATACGTACACCGAACACGTAGAAGTACATGGTCGAGGTCAGAAAACGAAAGTAAGCCGTCTAGTGTCTAGTCAGCGAAGCTCGGGTCGGGTGCAGAGAAAGCGAAGTGCGTGCTAAGGGCAGTCAAGGATATCCTAAAGCTGCGGGATGGGTGCAGAGCGAGAGGAGCGTGCTCGAGTCCAAAGAACAAAAAACAAGAGAAAAGGCGAAAAACGAATGACTGTAGCAAAAGAGTGAGGTCCGCAGAAGTGCGATGCTGAATCCGCAAACATGCGATGCTAATGTCTGTCCGTTCCGGTTGATATTCCGAGTCCCGGGTTTGCGAGTATGCTCGCGAGTAAGTAATCGTGAAGGGGTGGTGGGTCGAAGGGTGAAGTGGGTATGTCAGCTGAGGGCGCGAGGGAGAATTCATCGCGGGAGGAGCGCGGTCTCAGCTCGGGACGCAAGCGAGGTCTCATCTGGCGACGTGCAAGAGGGAGGCAATGTTCTTGCTGACGCGCTTGACCCATCTATTGCCACCGTGCGGTGCTTGTGGTGGCACGTGTGGCAAAGGCGCGGACGACGTCGCGCGCAGCCAGGCCTGAGGATCTTGGATATCCTGGAGGAGATATGGGTGTCGCTGCGGCACACGATAATCAGCCAAGTACAAAGTTATGTTCACACTTTCGCTCACCCTCAGCTCTTCCAGCGACAGTCGGTCGCGCGGGTCCTTCTGTAAAAGATTGTCGAGGAGATCCATCGCCGCATAGCCCTCGCTGCCCTTGTCCGTCGGATGCCTCCCTCCCGTGGGAATACTCTCCACGCCCATGGTCTGCGCCGGCATCCAGTCCACTTCCCGAATTTGTTGGTACAATACGAATTGGTTCCGCTGCGCGTGCTGCATCTCCGAATGCGGCACATTGAAAGGCGTATGGCCGAAGAGCAAGCAGAAAAAGGTGACCCCGAGCGCCCACACGTCCACAGCTTTGCCGACACGCAGCGGCTGGTCGCTGGTAGAGGCCTTTGGGTCGCCGTCGTCGTCAGTTAATGTGCAGGAGGAGTCGTTTGTGGCGAGGCCGGTGCGGGCGATGATTTCGGGCGCAATGAATTTGGGCGTGCCGATGAGGCGGTCGAGGTCGTGAGGGGGGAAGAGGGCGGGGTCGTTCAAAATGGTGACGTCGTCCTCGGGGTCGTAGACTTTTCCTGCCGCCTTGCGTTCGGAGGCGTCAAAGAAAGCCACGCCGAAGTCAACTATCTTGGCGATGGTACGGTTGTCGGACCACACAATGTTGGAGGGCTTGATGTCGCGGTGAATGATACCTGTTTTCATGAGCACCTGTACATGCCATGCTCTTGAAGCATTACTAACCGTGATGATGAACTTCATGTAAGGATTAGTGAAGCTGGTGAGAAGCAGAGGGAAAGCACGCACGATAGTCCAGTCCGCAGCAAACGTCACGCATTATTCGTCGCGTCTGCGCTAGCGTCAACGTCGGCCGGGGATTTTCATCGCATGTCTGCCATTGTATGGGGCCGCCGGCAACATTTTCCATCACTGCGCGCGAGGGTTAGCCTGCGTTCGATGTGCGCGGGGGGCCGCGCACCTAGGTATATCTTGTCGTGTCGGGTATCATCTATCGCCTCAAACAGACGCACGATGTTGAGGTGTCTTGTGGTTCGCAGAATGGATATCTCTCGCCGCGCGCTGTGCTCGGTGCTCCCCATGAATGGTGTGGGGGAGCCCATCGTCCCATCTGACTGCTGCTGATGGCTCCTTCGCAGCATCTTCGTTCTGTCGCTCCTCGTTCGGCGCCGTACGCATTTCAGCGCCTGAAAGGGGGGATAAGTACGTGATGAAGGGAGGGGAAATACGCCACGCACCACCCAATCCCCCGACTTGCTATTCTGTCCTAATGTCACCGTGCCATGCCGTCCAGTCCCCAGCACCTCTTCCGTCATGATGTAGTTGTTGTAGGCGCGACGTCCGTCGGCCAGTCTCGATACCTTGAGGACATCCGCCAACGGCGGGCGCAGAGGCAAAGCCTCCGTCGACGCGGAGGCACTAATGGTTCCGCTGCACATCGTCCGCGGCGGTCCTCAGTCCAGAATCTCAGGTAGATCGCATAGAAGGCTCGTGCAGCTTTGTAGAGTGTGCACGGCGCGGATATGACGAGGCGGACGCGATGCGCGCGTCGCGGAAGGGGAGAAGGCGCTAATATACGCGCTTGAGGCATGGCAGCGGCAAGCGCAATTCAGGACCCGGATCAATCAATCAATTACGTCCGCTATCAACAGTCTATCTGGGTGTCTACCATGGCACGCTCGCCTGCGCCGCGCCTGACTGAGGAGCCTGCGTCCCCAGGGTGGACGGCAGAGCCGGGGGATCGACGACAGACGACATGTCATGCGTGCAGCACGCACAGCACCTGGCGCCCGGTCCCGCATTTGCGGGGACGGGGAATCAGTAGAACAATGGCGGCCCCAGACTAGAGCCGCCGCTCCATGGCGCGGAGCACATGCAGCGGTGCGGTGGCGCACCCAAATCTCGAGAGCCACGGGATACGTTTCGGATGTGGGTCTTTCTCCTTTGGTCGCAGTGTAGTCGGACACAGCACGTATCACCCGACGTAGCGAATCTTGATGCCACCTCCCAAGCGACTGCGCTGTTCCAACGCTGCAAAAAGGACGGGCGTGTCAGTTCCGCAATGCATCGGAAGTACAAGCGCTCCCCGGAGGCCTAGGGTGCACCACGCACCTTTCCACTCTTCGGCTTCTTCACGCTGCTCGTAGTCCAGAACCAAGCGCTTGAGGTGCTGCTGTTCCACCTTATCCTGCATCTGTGCGGTCCGTGTGTACACGGCCAGCGGCGACTCGGTAGGAACCGCCAGTTGCCGCGTCTAGATGGAGTTCACATTAGTAGAGGTTCCTGGCTGTAGTAGTGACGTATGTGCGTACCTGCTGCTTGTTGCCTCGTCGAGTGATGACAGTGAACTTCATCCCTTCTTCCTCGGGCGCCGCGCCTTCGCCGTCGGCCTCCTCCCCCTTCTTCCTCCTAAGTCCTTGAGGTAGTACCGCAGAGTCCCACAACGCGAGCGCAGTCTTCTTGTCCACCTTGCGCGACTCCGCCGAGGTGTCCATGACCATCTTTGCCAGCTCCTTTGCAAATTCGGCGTCTGCCTCTTCTGATGGACCGAGATTTTCGTGCGAGGTCGAGCCAGAAAAGACGACATGGTCATCATCTGGGGAGGGTGCGCGTTCGTCCGTCTGCCCGAAGTATCAGCGACAGCAGTGCAGCGAATAGAAAGCATCGGACTTACCGGCGAGTCGAGAGCGTCTGTGTCTTCCTCATCTTCCTCCTTATCTTCCTTCTCTTCTTTATCCTCGTCGAGGCCTTCCTCTTCTTCATCTCCGCTGTCCTCGCCACTATCCTCCCCATCGGTGGCTGATGTGCATTCAGCCAGTTATAGCGAGCATGGGACGCGAGCACCTCACCATCTGCCGGCCCTGTCTGGAATGCATTGTTTATCATCTCATCGACAGCCACCGCGGCTTCCTCCAGGGATTTCGCGAAGGTTAGCTTGGGACGGACAGCCTATAAAGCGGTGAGTGATCTGGCCAGGGCAAAGGTACGTGGCGCCGCACCTCCATTGAATCTGACAGCATGAAGTCGACGTCCATGGGTAAAGGTTCCTTGCAATGGACATAGTACTGAGAGAAGTTAGCCTTCGTATATCCTCCGACAACAAACATGCGAACCTGGAAGAACGTCAAGAAGTTGTCCAGCTTCTTCCTCTGCGTCCCTCGATCGAAGCACATGCCGCATGTGTCGAGCAAGACGCAAACAAGACGTATGCGGAAGAAATCGTCGGGCATGTCCAGAGGACATGGCTGGCGTGGTAGGGGCCGTCCCTCCGCTGCGACATGGTCAGCGAGATCGGCGAATTGCGCAACAAGAACGAACACGCACGATGCCCAAACGTCACCAACGACCACAACGTGTCGAACACGATGCTCGAGCTCAACAGCCGGTAGATATACATCTCCCCGAGATACTTCACCGTCGCCACCCTCTGCTGATTCAGCTTATAGATGTTGTGCTCCAGGCCCCTTCGCACGTCCTCCAACACCTGGTCGACGACGCCGATCGAGAACTCGAGGTGGTAGCGCTGCAAGTCGTACACGAGCATCGCGAGGAAGCTGATGCTCCCGTACTTCATCTTCCAGGGCTTCGTGAAGACCTTGTGCAGGGCGCGCACGACGGCGGGGTCGGCCCAGTCGAGCTTGCGGATGAGCTTGAGGACTTTGTCGATGGTGCGCTTGGTGAGGACGTCGTAGATGAGGTGCCGAATGAAGAGCTCCATGGGCGTGCGCTCCTTGACACGGATAGGTGCCCGTTCCGGAGGGTTGCACTAGGCCACTGTCAGGAATGCCAATAGCTATATGGACGAACCAGGCTGACCTGATAATAAGCATTCTCGAGAAGCAACGTTTGCCGCTGATCAAAGTGCTGCATACTCTGCTTGCGCCTCATGAGTTCGAGCTGTCCAGACATCAGCATACGTTGGCGCAATACGACGATCGCCATCACCATCGTCGCAAAGCGCTCTCTCGTATCATCGCTTCGTAGCAGAAAGCGCCCACAGTTCTCCAGCAGCAGGGCAATATTGTCGACGTTCGTCCCCGAAAAGTCGTCCAAGCAAACCTTGAACATGTGCAGGATGACATGGGCCGGTACCACTCGGAACTTCGTCAAGTTCGACAGGAACATGATGTTCTAACGAAGGAGGGTGACTGTCAGCGAACATGCACGCAATCATCCCCATTCTCACCCCAGCCCATTCCCCTACTCGCATAGACAAATAGCAAAGCATACCTTCAACCTAACCTCCGACAACTCCTTCACCACATTCTTCTTCCGCTGCAGGTATCGGAACTCCTCGTCGAGCTGCTCACCGTCAGCCACTAATGCACGCGCCCTCTGCATCACCCCGCACGCACAATCGACACCAGCTCCGTCCCGATATCCGGCATGTACTTGTTGAGCGTGGCCACGAGCCGGGAGTAGTGCGGCAGGAGGTCGGTCCTGTTCTTGGGTACTTGGGAGAGGAACTGATAGGTGTTGTGGTCAGTTTTGTTACGGTATCAAGGAGCACGAGATATGTGAGGAGCAAGCATAATGAACCTTGACGAGCCGCTTCCGCGCCGCTTTGGTATTGAGGAAAGCGAAGTCGATGGCCGCCTGGTCGATCATAGCACGGTTTGTGGCGTCTGAGAGTCTCGCGAGCAGTGCCGTCAGCATTTGAGACGGGCCCTGCGGAGCGACATGCGGCGACAAGGGCGGCGTGGTAGCCTTCGGTGTGCCTGGCGTGGGCGTAGCAAGCCTTCAAGACCTGAGTAAGCACATATGGCAAGCAGAGCATCAAGGGCAACCCACCCCTCATCATCCGGCTCATCATCCTTGCTCTCATCGTCCACTCTAGCAGGAGCTGAAGGAGCCGCGCCATTAACATCCAACTTCTGCAACTCCTCCTCGAGCTTCTTGACCTCCTCCTTCTCGCGCGCTTGTCTTTCTTCCTCGTCCTCCTGCTCTTCCTGCGACGCGTCCTCGCCCTCCTTCCCTTCTATGCCGAGAACGCTCTTCGGCACGAAGTCCTTGAGGTCCTGCACATCCTCGTAGAAGCGGCGCTCCTCCTCGTCCTCCCACTTCCCGGCGCTGGTGATCTCTTCGCCGCCGTCGCCGCCAAGAACGCTGCTGCTCGCACCACCGATGAGGATGGAGTCGGATTTTTGTGATGCGGTGGGAAGGGACGGCATGGGGAGGGAGAGCAATTCGGAGAGCCTGGGTAGCAGTTCAGTCAGCGTATGTGGCGACTAAGTTGAGGTCGTCGCACATTTGCACGCTCGAGAGCAGCTTCTCATAGTTCTTGGTCATCTTCTCGTACGCCTGCTGTCTGTCCTCAAAGATCTCGCCCGAGCGGATGTATGCTTCGTGATTGCGGCGGTCCTGGTCTTGGAGGCGCTGCGGAGGCAGTCAGAATAGGCCGCGCTTAAGTGGTATCAACGCACTTTATGCTCGATCAGCAGCTTCTTTGAGACACTCTCGAAGTAGCCCTCGCACATGCGGCGAAAGCGGTCGCGGATGTCCTGCTCTACTAGCTCGTCTGCATCTTTGGTGAGCGTAGGGAAGTCGGCAGACGCTTGGGTGGTCGAGGATAGATCGCCTGGCGCCGCTTCTGCGGAGGCTTGCTGCTTAGTGAGGGAGGAGGATGTGGATATACCGAGGAAGGGACGGGAATACGCCTTCAAGAAGGTCGAGAGAAGGGGAAGTGACGAGAGTGTGGGATCGTTGGAAAGCTAGGAGGATACGTTGAACATTCAGTAGGAGGGAAGTACACACGTCTACGCACCAATCCTTTGATTGTCTTCATAACCCATTCGCCCCCACTGCGATTGGGCGCATCGCGGATGATCCCAACGAGCGCGAGCTCGGAACATAGACGAAGAATGGGCCGCTGTCGAGAGATGCGCGCGGCATCTTCCTTTTCGCGCTGTTCGGGGGACAAGGATGACAGATATTCGCGAGAGGGGGGAGCAAGGGCGGCTGCTAGATCGGAGACGAGTGAGGGCGTAAAGCTCTCGGGGAAGCGCCGATGGAGGGCGGACACGATCTGAAGGTAATTTAGGAGAGTTTGCCAAAAGGGTATTGCGTAGTGACGCACTTCAACCGCGCTCCATACGTCCTTCTCGGTCTTGCAGCGTGAGATTCCCTCGAGCACTGCACTAGGCATCTCCTCAATATACTTCTCAAGTGTGAGGGTGTCGAGGTCCTTCATGATCTGATCCCGGTTGTCCGCGGCGAGGGAGAGGCGCATCCGCTTAATGAGGGCGGTATGGCGCTTGAGAGAGGAGTCGAGCTTGGAGGACTCTTAAGAGGTGCTTAAGTGCGGCTGATGGGCGGGGAGAAAGCCACTGACCGAGCTTCCCGGGGTTCACGTTGAGCTCCCGAAGCTTGAGGCGCCGCTGGTAGCGCGCATCCTCGTCCGACTTGCTCGCTGCGGGCGTCGCATTCGTGGCGCTGTCCTTCTCCATTGTCCGCTGGCGATGATGAAAGTTGAAGTCAAGCCGGGCCCGAGATCATAGATGCGGCGCACGTGCGCGTTCTACGCGACGCGACGCGTCTCGCCGTCTCTTGACTCCCACTTTCATGAGGCACCGTAAATCAGACAGAAATGAGCTCGGACGATGAGTTTGGATTCTCCGACTTTCCTAAACTCAGCGCCTCCCAGTTTGCCGCCATCGACGCAACCGCTGAAGACTACTACTCGCAGCTCCGAGATGCAGCGACCCAGCGAACGACGCCTGACCCGGCGAGCGCCCAGAAGCCGGGGCCCTCGAAGCCTACACTTGGCAAGCGCAAGAACACAGGCGTCGACGACATGGACCTGCTTCCCGACATAACGATCATCGATGGAGGGTACGCACTCGGCGCCCCGGAGGTCAAACGACCCCGCCATTCCCCTCAACAGGCCCAAGCTCGGAAGGCTGCCCTGGATGAGGAAGCTCGCAGGAAGAGAGAGGCAGACATAGAGGAGGCCCTGCGTCAGCGTGATCGAAGACTACATCAGAAACCTGCCCCGCGCCAGAAGACGCCTGCGCCCCCTCGACCCCTACCCCAGCGACAGCCCTCCAAACCAACTGTCTTTCGAGCACCCACCGTCCCTCCCTCCTCTCAGAATGGAACCCGTTCGAGGGGATCTTCGCCTATGCTTGTACACCATCCGCCTGCTCCTCCCCAGCCACCTCCTCAACCCCCATCACGAGCAACCACGCCCGCCTCCATTAGCGCCGATGTTCAGGACGAACTCGAGAAGTTGCGTGCGGAGCTGGCAATCGTGGGTCTGAACCGCTTAAAGCTCAATGGTGACAGTTGACGTGCCCGATAGGTCAAGCAGAAGAATGCGCAGGCGGAGGCCATACTTTTGGAGGAGAAGAGCAAGCGATGGGGCAAGGACGGCGAGATTGCGCATCTGAAGGACACTCTGAGCAAGGTGTGAGATATTCCCTGTATGCCGGTCAGCATAGCTAACGGGAATCAGACCACGGCCAACTATATCGCGCAGACCAACAAGCTACGTGAGGCGAAAGAGGCAGCTGAGAAGCAGCAGACACAGTTGCAGCGCAGCATGAAAGACGAGATCGAGCGCATCAAGACCCAGTTCCTGTTCAAGGTGAGTACAATCCATGATTCCCGCAAGCGCTCCCTCATGTCCCCTTGTAGCAACAAGAACTGGAATCTCGACGTCCGCCCATGTCCGTCAAGGCCAAGAAGACGGCACGCTCAACGGACTTTGTTGCACCCGTCCCCATGTCCTCGCAAATGCGCGGCTGGAGTAACGCCGGTGCGGGCACAAGCAGACTCGAGGAAGACGTATTCGGTGGCAGGTCCCTCACGTCCCAGCCACCAGCTTTCCCTTCGCAATCCGTGCGCCGATCACCGTCGAAGACCCGCTCGCCTGCAAAGCCAAAACCAGGCGCGCTCGGATTCCAGAACTCATTTGTCGCGTCCACGCCCTTGGCCAAGCGGAAAGGCAAGCAGAAGGAGAATGCAGAGCAGGAGCAGCGGCAGGGAGGTGCAGGGAGTCAGTTGCAAGGTTTCCAGCCAGCCTCGCAGCAACCAAGGACGCAGGAGGACAGGGGTCAGCAGCCAGCATGGGACTTGGGTCCGGCACAGGCGCCCTCCCAGCCGGGCTTCGACTGGACGGTGCAGAGTCCACCCGCAATACCCTCGCCGCCGCATAGTCCGACGCGAATGCAAGTGGACGCGCTTCCGCCTGCACCCGCACCCGATGGCGACGTCGAGATGGCGGACGGGGAGGAGATTGTGCCGGAGGAGTTCGATGCCATCGAGCCGATAGACTGGATGGGAGAGGTATGCTCGCCGGTTACAAACACTTTTGAGCATCTACTGATCAAATCTCTAAGCTCACCTATCTCCTCCTCACCCACCGACTGCCCTCATCCACGCGTACGACCTTAGAGACGATCATGCGCGTGGACGTCGAGGACGACATCTCCCTCCGAATATGCACGACCTGCAACCAGATTCTCGAGATCATCGGCATGCACACGAAGCCCGCGGATTATCTCTTCGTGGGCAAAGCTCTGGCCGTGCGACTGGTTTCCTTGCTTCAGATCTTTCTCGAACTATCCACCGTAAGTCATTTTGTCGTTCGCGCTCAAAGACTGGCTGACACGTCCGCCCGCCAGATCGCTCCTCTCATCAGTCTGCTCAATCTCATGACATATTTAATCTACTCACTGCCCGACTTCTCCTCCTTCCTGCTCCTTCCCGGCACAGACAACACCGAGTCGCTCATCCTGGAATCCTTGGTCGTCATCCTGACGCAGAAGCTGAAGGGCGTCTCCGACGAAGACAAGGTCCCCCTGGAGCGCGAGGTGTGCGAACTGCTGTCCGCTCTGGCCTGGAATACTCCGGACGACCTGATGCCTCGGTACGTATGTTCGCAAAGGTGTTTCTGACTTATCATTCTCACGAGTTCCCTAGACATCGCATCCTCACCTCGAATGACGAGATCATGCGCTACCTCATCAATCCCGAGGACTCTTTCGCCCAGTTGATCCTCAAGACTCAATATCTCGTTCGATTGTCGACGCGTGCGTCTATCAGTGATAGTGCTCGGACAGGCCTTGCTGACCGCCTCATAGACCGCACCCTTGCTTCCTCCTTGCTACCGCCCTACGATCCGTCACTTCATGTGGACGGGGAAGGAAAGCCCATATTGAAGGAAGGCCACGTCGACCGCCTCTGCAGGATAATGGTAAATGAGAAGAGATGCGACGATCCGGTGAGTCCACAGACGACTGTATTGTCACCACACACTGACTGCCCCCGCATCCCAGGACTTCGAGCTCAGGTCGCTCATCCTGACGTTCTTGTCCATGCTATCCGTCGGGCATGCAGAAGCGCTGCTCGCTCTGCAGAGCTCGGCGTTCATCGTTCCGCTCTTGGTTGACTTCACCATGCAGCTGGCCAATCCGATCTGGGAGGATGACGAGGAGCTCATGAGCGACCCGGCGAAGGCAAACAGGTACGTCTCGCTACCGCTGCGCCCACCAAGCAGGCTAAAAGACGTCGACAGCCTGATACGCCTCGCCGACCAGACCGTCTATCTCCTCTGGCACATCGTCAAGGGCCGCGAGCAAGAACTCGACCTGCGACGCAAGCTCATCCACACCTCGCATGTGATCGTCAACGGCCTCATGCACGTCTTCGTCGTCGCTTTCGGGCGTCTGAGCTACGCAGATCCGCCGGACTGGGTTGACAAGGAGGGGAAGGATGAGCTGCAGCTCTTGCAGGGTACGTGTATTCCCTACTATAACCCTCTAACTACATCCTAACCGCCTGCTCCAGGGTACACCGAGGAACTCCTCAACATGGTCATCGACGGGCCGGAGGGCGAAGCTGTTTGGGGAACATATCAGCCTGATCCGGAGAACAGCGAGGAGGCAGAGGAGGACGAGATGGAGGCGGAGATGCTGGGGTAATTTCTGTATGTTCTGTGTACCAACCTTGCTTCATTTTGGATCCGTGTACAATATGTACTGCTAATCTACCACGACGTTATGACGCTGTCGGACGTCTGTATTGCTGTTAGCAGGGGTGAGGTCGATGAAGGGGGATCTGCGACTGACCTTTGCGCAGAAGTCGATCAACCACCGCTGTTTGGCGGGGTGAGTGCGAACGCCCTCCTCCTGGCGTATCATGTGCTGCTTGGCAAATAGATCGCAAGTTTCCGTCCTAAAGCGAGAGACCAGCCGCGAACGTATCTTGCGCTGGACCGCACATCAGCGAGGGATACACCAAAGTCCACACGGACGTACGTCTGCAGGAGATATTCCTCGCACAACTGGGGCGACCGATGTCACATTCAGGAAATCTACGTCGCCGAATTGGTTCAGCCAAATATGCCACAGGCATTCTTTCCAGTCCGCCAGTCGATCACCGCCGTAGAAGAAGCGCTCGGAGCACCAGACAGGGTAGTCGCGTGAGAGAGCGATCGGAGCTGGCGAGAATGGCGGAAACGAGGATGGCGCGCGCGGGGTCAGCAGGATTGGTCGATCTTGCATTCGATCTTGCAATAGCGACACATGTACGGGTGACGTTGTGATATTGGCAGGAAAGAGAACGACGTTCTTCGAAGGCGCGAACAGCCGGGCAGTATTGAGGTACGCATTCGGCGAGGTTGGAGGCCCGCCAGAGTCGTGCAGGAGATGTAGCCATAGGCGTTGCGGTTTACTAGAGTCGGAGATACGAAGTTGGCGGATGAGCGAGGCGTGTTCAGGGGAACCGGGTGTCGCGCTGGTGGTGATAACGGCAGAGATGGGCCCTTGACCCAAGGTAAGCGGCCGTTATAAGAGAGCATCTAGGTTTTTACCTGGCCAGATAGAAGTCCACGAACGTACGTTGACCGCAGCATCGGCTTCAGTCGTCCAGAGGCATGCGGTTATCGCATGGATCGGCGCGTGCTGGGCTTCAAGTATGTTGGGCTGGAGCGACGCGAGCGGTGGCTGATGCGGCGCGGTGCGGGACAAACGCTGGGTATTACTGAGTTCATTGAGAGTCCCTGCAAATACGACCTTCGAAATCTAGGCTCAACGGGACTCTGAGCGGAGGACTGACTGTATCTTGACGTATGCAAGGAGTCGTGTCGGTATTCGCCAAACAGAGATGTAGACGCGTAGAGACAGCACCATATTGAGTAAGCCACGAGTACCCAGCGCAAGATGGGATTGGCCATAGGGCGTAGGTGGGAAGGCTCGACTTCAGATGACTTCCATGTGAAGAAGACAGGCAGAATGTGGCGCTTGCCCGTTGGGGTTTCCGGTCGTACAGTCGCTTCTGGCGCGGGGTCCGCCTTGCGATAGAGATGTGCGGCGGTGACTGTCACTGTTCGAAGCCGGCCTCGCGAGTGCGGGGACGAGAAGCGGCTCTCGATAGAGCCCACTGAGCCCGAGGTGGGTATCGTCGAAGACGTCTTCGAGCGCTTCAAGACCGGCGCGGAGGAAGAGGATGCGAGAGAAGCAGGTTTGACCATGGCGGGCGACAGGGGGACAGGTCGGAGAAGGAAAGCAAGGAGTGTTGAGGGGGACGCGCCACATCCCGCAGCAGTCGCGTCGGGCGATCAGCGGAGGCTAATTGCGCTTGAGGGTAGGCGTTTTCGCGACGCCCGAGCGGTGGCGCACGAGCCAAGTCTAAGTCTCAGTCGGCGTCGACCTTGACCTATTCGAAGCCAATACGCAGCAGGCGCAGCAGTCGCTTGGGATGTCGGCTATGTCACTGTGGCTGCGTCTCTTCTTGCCGCCCTCTGCCGCCGGCCCCTCGGAAAGCAGAATGACACGCGTATGCTCTTGTCCTCCATCCCAGTGGCGCGCTCTTCCCATTGAAACGCGCCCCCGCTCATGTTGGTTCATAGCCTTTCCCTGGCCACCACTTGCCCTTTCCTATCCCCTCGTCATGCTGCCGCGATAGATGCCGGGATCAGTGTGTAATGGACGAGCGTACACGTTGTGGGGGCATGCCCTTTCCAGGGACGTAAGCAGGCAAAGCAGGGCAGTACCGCGTTCATATAAAGCCCTTCGAGACCGTCCGACGCGCGGTATCAAATCCACGTATGTGTTGAACACGGCACTTCATGCCAACCGAATACCTCCTCCCCCAGGACGAAGGCTTCCTCTCAGGATGTAGCTCCCCGCAGCCCAGCTTCGAGTGCGTTCTCTTCCCTCGCTCTATCCTCGCAGACAGTCTCACGCATCACTTTAGCGCGCTTTCTATCAATAGATACGACGTTGTCCAGCACGTACGGGATGCAGCGGACTGTCCCTCCCCCTTGAACCTCTTCCTCCGGGACCCGGATGTGGTCGAGAAACTCACGAAGCCCTCCTCATCCTCAACCTCGACGAAGAAGAGTCGGCCTCCTACTCGTTCCCCTTCACCCCGCCGCAGGAATGGCGGAAGCTCGACTACCTCCACTCTCATGACGCTCGTGCTCGCTGAGGAAGAGCGCCAAGCCCAGCACCTCAAGACTGTCCTCCGCACCTCTTCTGAACGTCTCGAGTACGAAATGAGGCGCGCCGACGACGCCACATCTCGCGCACATGCTGCGGAAGTACGCGCCATGGAAGCGACCTCGAGGGCAACAATATTAGAGGCGGCGCGCCATCAGCTCGAGCTCGACCTCACACGCGCCGCCGAGACAATCAAGCGCTACCAGCTGCAGCTCGAGACAACGGAACGCGAGCTCAAGCGCGTGCGCGATGACTTCATGCGCGTGGATCGCGAGCGCGCAGACGCGGAGGCCCTGGCCGCCAAGGCGCGCGACACAGCGCGCAGCCTGCAGCAGAGCTTACGCGACTGCCACGCTCGCGAGGACGGCCGCGAGGAGACCTCACGGCTCGCGATGCATAAATGGTTCGACGAGGGCCGCGAACAGGGATACGACTCCGGGTTCGAGGACGGCTTCGCTCAGGGTCGAAAGAAGGGCATGAGCGAAGGCATCAAGACGGGCAGGAAAGAGGGCCTGCGTGAGGGGCGCGAGCAAGGCCGCATCGAGGAGCGGAAGAATGCGCTGGAAGCGTTCGACCGCTATGTGGCGGAGCAGGAGGGCGAGTTCGACGAGACGGTGAGTCTATACTTCAGGGTTACCTACGTCTGTTCTGACATCTTTGCAGCGAAGCGAGAGAACGCGCCGTTGGGCTGCATCTTTCTACCAAATCGACGACAACGAGAGCGTCGGTTCGCTGGAGGCGCCGAGTCAGCGAGGACACCATTAGGTGGACCTGGAGGGCAGATGATTGCTCTCCTGCATTCCTTGATACCTATTTGCCTATTATTTATTGATATGTCGGAGACTGTGAAGATGTATCTGGCGCATATAGCGCTACCACGGACTACTTGACTGAAACTAAGACGAGAGACAAGGACAACATGGCGGAGCCTCAGGAAACTTCCGAACTTGAACTTCCCACGGGCGAGAGTCGCGCGGCTCCGTGCCGACATCGTCGCGTCCCGCGTCCCGTCCGATCGCCATGGGTGTCCGCGACCTCTTCTTCCCCCTCGAGCCACCATTGCAGGACTCGTCAAGTCCTAGAGATGAGGAACCCTCCGAAGACTTGAAGAAGGTGCTGCAATGGCAGGACGAACGCTTGAAGCGCCGCCTGAGCGGGATGTATCGCAGCGAAGTTATGCACCTCAGCCAGCTTGTGCGTATGGCGTTCGTGGAAGTTCAGAGGCCTCCTAACCCAGCTCAGGTCAACGATAATCTGAAAGCCCCACTAAGGCTATCGTCTATCGTGGTCGAAGGCGCAGATCATACGCGCGACTCCTTCCTCCGCTTCCTGACCCGCCCCCACCTCGCCCGTGAACACGAAACCCTTGAAGACGTCCTTCACACAGGCCGCTACCTCTCCCACCTTTTGCAAAAGTCGGACGTTTTCAGCCATGTCGAGGCACGCCTCGAGGGCGCGCGCGACCTCCTTGCCGGCCCCCATGACGTCGATCTCGTCCTCCGCACCAAGGAGCGCGGCCGCTTTTTCCTCAAGACTGCAACGGAGCTCGGAAACAATGAGGGCAGCGCCAGCTTGACGGCGCGCGTGCGCAATGTCTTTGGCGGCGCGGAGATGTTCGACGCGAATGTTTCCTTTGGCACGAAGACGCGGCGCGCGTTCACTGCGTCGCTCACGGCTCCACTTACGCCCGACCTGGAAACTAGCGCGCTGCTTACGGCGTATGGCTTGCAACGGGATTGGACGAACTTCGCAAGCTGCATGGAGGAGCAGGTTGGGGCGAAGGCTGCAGTTAGGGTGAGTGGCAGGTCAGCCGAGCTGTCGTGTGCACGTCCGCCTTGCTGACATTCCTTTGCAGAGAGGAACACCCGACGAGGGTGCGCATGAGCTTGCGTATGAGGGTGTCGTTAGGCATGTAGGCAATCTAGCACCGACTGCGTCTCTTGCGTGAGTGTCTGCAGCTTTCGGGGTCCGGCCGGGCTAACGCCGTGGCAGGATGCGCCAGTCCGCCGGCGAGAGCAGCAAGTCGGCGGTCTCGTACACCTACACCTTCGACAGTCGGGATGACCGCATAGCCGCAACGCGGGGCCTATATGCCAAATTCGCGAGCGAGTTCGCTGGTCTGGGCGGCGGAGATGCGCGCTTCGTCAAGACGGAAGCCGAGGCGCAAGCCAGCCGAAGGCTGACTGACCATATCGTCCGTATACGCCTCCCTAAATACCATACACAGCACTAATGATATGCCTTGTCAGTCGCTGTCCATCGCCAGCAAGACCGGCCTCCTCTACGGTCTTGGCAACAGCCCGCCGCTGTTCCCGGACAAATTCCGTTTGGGTGGACCGTTATCCGTGCGGTCCTTCAAAGCCAGTGGCATGGGTCCACGAGACGGACGTGAGTATACTTTTCTTCGCGATTATCATATCTTTCTGAAGCACACTAGCGGACCATCTCGGCGGCGATTTCTACTGGTCGACGGGCCTGAGCTTTGTCTCCGACATCCCGCGCAAGCCACAATGGCCTGTCAAGTTGCACGGGTGGGTCAACGCCGGTCGTCTTGATGCCCTCGAGCTGGACACCCAGAGCCAACCCGCGTCAAAACCGGCGCCATCCTTGCTCTCGCAGCTGCAGTCGTCCTTCGCGCGCCCTGCGGTGTCTGTTGGCCTCGGCCTGCTCTACCGATTCGACCCCGTGCGCATGGAGCTGAACTTTGGTGTTCCGCTGGTTGCGAGCGAGAGTGACGCAACACGGAAGGGGTTACAGGTGGGAATGGGACTGGAGTTCCTGTGAGCAGAGAAGTAGGATGGGACGTACGCATGTTGTGATTCAGGTCTACTATACTAATAGTGATGAATCATCCCTCCCTTCATCGGATACGATGCGCCCTCAACCAAACAGCGCGCATGTACAAACAAAGAACTTAGCAAACAGGCGACAGTCCGATGTGCATAAAGTGTCATTCTCTGGGATAGTACAAGCTGCCCCGATAAGCGATGTTCTAGGTTTTAAGTTCTCGAACTGTGCGGAGGATCTTTCATAAATAGTAAGGCCATGTAGGCATAGAGATTGTTCGATGGTAAGTACACTGCAAACGAGGGTTCAGGCAGCTCATGGTGCTCCAAGATCTGACTCGGGCGTGCGCGGCTTGAGATAAAGCCAGATAGCACCTAGGAAGGTCAGGACGGATCCTATTCCCAGAGTCAAACTGGCGACCCAGATCCCCTGCGTCTGGTGGATAGCAACCAGCTCTTTCGAATAATCAATGACCGTATACGCCTTCGATCCCAGTCCGAGGGCGCTGCTGTTGCAGTAACACGAGTCATAGACGTTGGCGAACTGGAACGCGCAGGTGACGATGACGAAGCATGTGTTTGCCGCTGCGAGGATCTTGCCCGCTCGCCGGAGGGATTTCGCGAAGAGGGCTGGAATGGGCCGGGGAGTTGGGTCATCGCGGTATGATGTCTGCGCGAGGAGTCGAGTTGAGCTTCCAGAGTTCGATCGGTTATGGACCATCTCATACAGAGTGTCAGGCGGGCGCGTTGGTGTCGCCGTTGGGGCTATTGAATAGTGCGTCAAGATACTGGACAGAAGCATCAGGACCCACACCATGGTGGCGACAATGCCATAGAGCACGTAGGCGGCAGAACGACAGCCAAGGCCTGTATTTTGGTGAGTATATCTGCTGATCGGCAGTAAATGGTGACGTCTTACCTCTCGCGGGCGTGTAGATGATATCCAAGATCGCGGACCCCGTAGTCCCCCACTGCAGAAGCATAGCCAGGGCAGAAGCCACCGCAATACGCTTCCAGAGACCGGGCGTCCAGTGGGGAGCAGGGTTTCGCCCGCCGCAATATGCCTCAATCTCGTCGAGCGTTCCCTCTCGATTGCCCAGTGGGCGCGGGATAGTTTTACTAGGCATTTGGTACTGGCGTCCGTCACTCGAGACTGGCAAGTTCGCGTCGTTGTGCATGTCGGCAGCGGCAAAGACCCGCGCCACCTCTTCCACAATACGCGTCCACGAGAAAACACGTGCATAGTTGTATATCGGCGGGATCGCCAAATGATCCTTGAGCACCGAATCCAGGTCGCTCTTGTACAGAGACAGGGCGCGGTATTGCGACGATCCTACGTCCTTGACCTTCACGGGGTCACCGTCAGCGGTCGCCACCCACGCCATATCATTGGCATGCGTCACCGCATTTCGAAGCCTCCCCGCGTCGCACTTTGGTGATATACGCAGCCAGCTGATGACGATGGCGAGCAACCAGAGCCAGAGAACTCCGTTAGCCTGCCCATCGGAATTGACGATGGCCAGTTTGTCGTCGGTGGTGAAGGAGTTAATGATGGTGAAGATGAAGGCCACGACAACCCATGATAGGTTGGCGACCGCGGAGATGGACCACACATACGTGCTGGCCGAGTGATCGAGCCAGTGGGCAAGTTCCGACCACCAGTCGTCGTTCTGGTGAAGGACGGCGAGCGAGGTGAGCAGCTCGCCATCCTCTTGGAGGCGTAGAGGTGATTGCTGGAGGCCGCTGAGAATAGCGACAGCGTCGCGAACGTTGGGATAGTGGTAGGTGGAAAAGCGCTCGCTCACCCAGTGGGTATTGAGCGCTGTCACCGCGATACAGAAGGCGGCGAGGGCGGGGGAACCAACAGCGAGAATGACGGAATTGAGGTTCGCGAGGCGATCGTCAGCTCCGCAGGGTAGCTGGGACAAAAGAGCGAGCCATGGGAGAAGCCAATTCCCGAACTGCTGCGAGAAAGTGTCCCATCGAAATCTCTCCGAGCCAGAGCCGCAGGTATGCCAGCAGGCGTTGTATGTGATAGCAGTGACGAAGCAGAGGGGCTCGGTCTCTGCACAGGAAGCACTCAGATTGGCCCATGTCGTGGTGCTGTAGTGTATCGAATCACCGGTCCCGGTGGTGATGCTATCCTTAAGCTGGGTGAATAGCTCTGAGTCGTTAGCGGCCTCGTGAATGCGGCCTGCACAGACTTCGAAGTTCACATTTCCGCGACCACCCAGCAACTTGACGGGCCAGTCGTTACGATTCGCGCACGCGCCTGGAGGACAGGTAGCGAGAAATGCGAGTACAACGACAACTGTAAAAGAGTCAGCATTTGTTACGCACGACGAAGCGACCACGCACACTGCTCGACCGCCATTCTAGCACTCTAGTACACCCCTGATTGCCAGCGATAAATTCTGATACGCCGTTGTGGTAACGCCTGGGCGAGTCGCGCTGAAGACTATGGCAGTTCGATGGTGAAAGGACAACTAAGAGAGGGTCGTCAAGACAGCTGTCCGTGCATTCGAGTGATGAATATGTGTGGCTTATATCCTGCACAGCATGGAGCAGGGGCGGGTGTAGCAATGCGGTTACGACTTGCCGAGTGTACACGCGCCCGGTGTCCTGTTTTCAATCTCTGGTTTGCGAGGGCGTAGAATCTGATGCTGCGTTCTCTGGGAAGAGATATCAACGCTCTCTTCGTAGCTCATAGCTGACCGAAGATGTGGCTCGTCCATTCCTTCCGACCAGCAAACGTGCCCGACCGCAGCTATGCAGCACGTAGATGGTAAGCGGCGTTCTCCACGCGCCGTTTGAGTGCTTCCGGTGGCCTCGAGGAATTCGAGCACGGAGTCTGCATATAAGAAGTGGAGTCAGAGCAAGGAGGGTATTGAGTCGTCTGTGCAACCGCTGCTGCGTTCCCGAGTGACGGGCAGATATCAGACAGTGCCTTCTCTCACAAGCACGGCCTTGACAGCGAGGGATAATCATCACCATGAATTGAACTTGTCCGTTGACTTGATCATCCTTCTCCCCTCCGGGTGTCGCGCCGCTGCATTGATATAAGTTTGGAAACACCTTGATCTATAGTCGAGAACGAGTTAGCTCGGCGGTGACTCTGCGCCCTGGATCCAATTAGTGCTAGCGTGTGTTCGCCTGCTGAGGCGCGGCCTTGCAACGGTGGCGCGTCATGAGGGTAAACCAATTCAGGGCATAACAGATCATTCGACAGATCCTGTGGCTGAAGCGCTGAAGGGCTACGCGTGGACCAAGGACGTTTGCTGCATAGTTGAATGTCGAATGCAGGATAGCAAAATTCGTGATTGTCGGGAGTTGCACTGTTGATGAGTGTTGATGTGTGCTGACCATGTCACCGCGTACAAATAAAGTGACTGCATTTGCCGTATATGGAAACGCGCTACTCCAAAGCCAAACGTTGCTTCGAGAAACGACTGAGCTTCAGCGCCCTCTTTGTCTCGACCATACCGCTTTCTTGAGCTCCCCACTAGCTATAGTGCACGTCTCAAAACGCAGAAACAACCAGCAAAGGCCGTAACCGCGTCCGCTGGCTCACTTGACCTTTCCCCCCGCTTGTGAGAAGAGGCTGACTGGTGAGACTAGTCCGCTGGCTCGGAATCACCGCCTGTTTGCAGATCGACACGCTTGCGCGGCGGGCCCCTTCGAAGGCACGCACGGGGACCGTCGCACCTGGAATCCACAACCTCGAAGTGCGGACTAGTCGCCGATGGTCGATAGCTGTAAGTCTTGTAACCGCTTTCTTCGGCCGTATCAACCGGAACAGAGCTGCTTCCCCAATGTAACCTATGTCAACATCGCCACGAGTTCCGTCAATCAAAGACCAGCAGGAGAGCAAGGAAGGGATGCGGAAAGCGCTTCTATAACCGTGGTCAGTATACGAAATAGTTTGGCATTCATAAATGCGCGCTTACTTGGCTGTTAGACGTGCATGGGCTTGTTCGAAGGGGTACGCTGCTTCGCTTGTTCGGCGAACGTTCCCCGTTTGAACAACCCAGATGCGCATCTTCCGTGGGAGACGAATGAGACCATGGGCAGGTTGACTGGTGGGGGAAGGTGACGGAGACACGATCGAGAGGGTTGGGTTTTCAAGAGATGGTAAGTTGTCGACAATCATTGGGGTAGTGCGCATGTGCTGACCTTATTCTCCTGCAAAGTCCATGATATGGCGAAGCCCTGATCCTCAGCGCTATACAGCGGTTCGTTAGCAGGTAACCGAGCATTTCAGAAGCCGCGCACGCACAAGTTTGTACCCTTCAGCTTGCGCTCTGCCTGCTGCAGCTAGGTACGTCCGTTCAAGGATGCTTTGCTCGTGAACGCTGAAAACGTCTCGCAGCAGCGGCTAGCGCGAGCTTCTGCTTGATTGCCTAGCAAAATGCAGCGGCCACGGATTTAGGCGTCGTCGTCATTCCTCGAGGTTCAAGTAGCGTGTAGCAAGCCGCGGGAAGCAAGAAACGGTTGAAGACATGATTTCGAGATCGACAGGGGATGGCATTTCGTTGCGGCGAAGAGTACAAGCGCTACAAGGAGACACACAAGGCCAAACACGCAGCCTACATCCTGACGAATACTTCCATGTTTGGCTTAAGAAAATCGTCCTGGGGCCCATCAAGTCCTTCCGTGGCATTCTGGCCTTGCACACGTGATGCAGAAGTGACCGAACATCGACGTGCGCGAGGCTTTCGTCCGTCTGCCAGGTGTTGATGCCCGCCAAATATTCAACAGCTCCTTATACACGAGATAGGAGGATACGATCGACATGTCGAGTCGTCCAGGAGGAAGACGGCGAGGCAGGAAGGCGGCCAGGAGAGGCTCAAGTTCGTCCCATTTACGACTTAGGCAACGGAGGTTAACACCCCATCTCGACAGATCAATCATCAGCCTCAACTCTACCGACACTGTCCCTACAGAGCGATGGCTCAGCCTCTGCATCATCCTCTGCAATGACGGATGCGGATGCAGGAGGATCAGATGTCACGCACTTGTGCATGACCTGCGGCAAGACCTTTTCAAGGTGAGATATACAAAATCCCTTATACGCTAAATGTCCCTTCTATGTATTATCGTTGGCAGGCCGAGATTCTGACCTGTCCTACAGGCGCGGCGCTCTAGAGGCGCACATAAACACCCACACTGGCGCCAAGCGTGCGTTCCCTGCTCGCGTCGTGAGGCTTCACTTTCTGATCTCAATCCCAGCGCACGTATGCAGCTTTCCAGGCTGCCAGTCTGCCTTCGCTGCCCGGTCTAATCTGATACGACATCACCGCATTCACGGAGAGGAATTCGCCGAGGCAGCGAACAACCCGAAGGCAGAGACGGTTTTTGAGGCGCCTATCGTCAATGATCAGGTCGTCGGACAGGATCACGAAAGTATTCAATGGATGACCCCGAACCAGCCTTCGCGCGGCTACACGCGGTACAGCGTTCCCACCGACAGTCCCGAGGCAGGGCCGTCGTCGTCTGTCATGCAATCGACGTCGTCCGCCGTCGACTCTGCCCAACCTACAGACATATCTACCGCAAGCGAGAACGACTCGGGAGACGCGGTCGACACCGTCGACCCACGAGAGGTGACTAGTAGCTTGAGCCCAGTACTTATTCTTCAATCGGCTGAGATATTCACTCTTTCAGATTGCTGGTTGACGTTTACTTCCTACGGTCAATGATGTACCGCCGCGAGCCTGTCGCCTGGAACGCAAAAGCTGTACTGTTTATGTCTTCGCGTGCGAGAACCCACCCTCTATATCTCTGCGGAAGCGCGCCGAAATAGCAGCGCGGCAAGGTCAGTCTGAAGAACGCAAGGTCGAGGCACGAGTGACGCTGTACGAACATAGTTGCGTACATTGTAGGATCCTCACTTGTACACTCTCCTCCGCCTATATGGGCACGTCGATGTTCTCTCTCACTCAAGCCTGGAAATTGAACGGCTCTACACTTGGTTGTGGGTGGAGGGCCTCTGGGCTCGTACCCGTGAACGAAGCGAGAAGGTCTCTGATTTTCTGATGCACTTCCTATGGTCTGTGCTAATACTACGAGCCACAATAACCACGATCTTTTTGAAGTTTGCAAGTGACAGTGACAGGCTCAAGTGGTCACGAAGTTCGGACAAATAAGGCCATACAGACGCGTCCCGGTCTGGCGCATCGATCGGTAGACGCGCTACAGTAACCAGGCACGCGTTCTACCTCACCCTGTCCTTCCCGCCCATCTTCACTCGTAGGCTGTATCCCAACCTGGACATACAAGAGCACCTCAAAAGTCAGCCAAAGAATCATCCCTACAGCCGCGATAGCTGATCTCAAACGATCTCCCTAATACTCCAGCGCCACAAACATGTCTATGCACCCTCCTCGCAAAGGGCCCAAGGTCCCTCTCAAGCTTCCCGCTTCGGCCTTCTCTCCTCCCAACTCGGGCACCGGCGAGAAGTTTCCCCTAGCACCCAGCCCGTCCGCTCTTCGTCCGAAGGAGATCATTGACGCCAGCGTTCCAGTCGGGACGGATCTGTCCCTGAACGCATGGAAGGAGAAGGCCGCAGGCGAGCTGCACGACCATGTACAGGGAGCCATCCTGTTTGCTTCCGATGCTTCGGCAGCGAGGTGCGTGTCTTTGTGTCGCGGGTCACGCTGGTAGCTGATCCTTCGTTTGTAGCGCTGCTGCCCCATCATCGACGATACCCATTCTGTCGTTGGCCGTTCCATTCAGCCTCGAGGACACCGAGCACACCCTCCCCTCGTCGAGCCTACCAATGACTCTGCACACTGTGTACAAGAGCGCATCTCCGCAAGCCCAGGATGGCCTGCGGTGGGCGATGCAGCAAGGCCGCCCCGTCGTGATTGATATGGAGGCGGTTTTCGAGGACTCGGTGTGGGAAGGCTTCGAAGACGCGCTTGGGAAGTCTACGGCCGACCTCGAGAAAGTCCCGCCCATAATCCTATGTGCGTCCCCGACGTAATCATGTGGTGTCGCTCGCTAACAGCGATTCTAAGCGCACCTGCTGCCCCCGAAGCACGACATCGAGCTCCCCATTGTGAAGCTCATGAACCACCCCTCATATCGCGACTTCCAAGCGCAGGTCGCCGCGCTCTCGCTGTTCTCGACCGCGTCTGTGAACTTCCTTCCTCCGAATTGGGATGGCCCGACCCCGTACGAAGGTGACGCCGATGAGAAGATCAAGAGCGAGTGGAAGCGTAGAATCAAGATGTACTGTGAGTACACCGCTGATGATGATCTGTCCTTCGAGAACAAGTCTGATTTTCATACGCAGTGGGACCCGTTCTCGAGGCATTCGGCATCGAGAGGATCATGTTCGGGTCCGGCAAGTCTCCGTCGCCCGCGCTCTGGTATGAGATCGCGAGGGAGTCACTTGCTGAGCTGGCCATCGACCAGGAAGCTATTGACGCCGTGTTCTTCGGTAACGCGAAGCGCATATACGGATCTCTGTGATGACTTGTATCTGCTACGACTCGTGTCCGTAGTAACGTGGAATCTCTTTGTCATTGCTTGTCGAGTACTTGTACAACATAACATGATTGTGAAGTAGAAGGTCATGTACCGGCTGAGGAAGTTCGCCTGATTGTCTTGGACCTGGCGCCAAGGCCGATAGGACACGGGGATAACACCGAGTGCACGGTGAATTGGTGTCAGTGGTGCTGCAGTGGTGTGGGCGTTAGCGTGCCAGCATGCTGGGCGTGACATGCAAAAATTACCATGTTTAGACGCTGAAGTTACCAAATCAGGAACTTCCTTTCCTTAGCGACGGCCGTTCGGTGCCGACGAAATTACTCAATTTGGCAGACGCGCGGACGGAACCTTTCTGTCTCGTTCTCCCATCTTGAAGCGCACGAAAGGTTGCTTGCTCAGAGTCCCGTCTTCTTTTCATGGTCAGTGCCTTTCTCCTGCGATTTATCACGCTGACGAACGAGAAGCCAAGCTCTCATAGCACTGCTGTGAAGCTGTCTGTGGCGTACAAAGGCTTGAGTAATGGGTCGATTTAGCGACGGAAATGAGTCGTCGTAAGCCTAACTTCCTCTCTCATATTGAGAGCATGCTCAATCGTCCTCTTGTACAGAAGCAGCACTGAGTCGGGTGCACCCCGGGTAAGCCCTTTGTTCTTGCTTCTACCGAGAGGACATACGGAATGCTTATGCATTACCAGAGGCGAAAGGCACGCTCGTTCTCACCCACGTCCGACGACGACGCGGTCGTGAAAACAGTGGACGACGACACCCCACCTCCTCCGGACCGTCCTATCCTTCGTCAAGGTGTCTTCGGCGGAGGTGCCTTCGGATCCAGCGCGTTCGGTTCTTTCGGCAGCTCGAAGTTCTTCCAAGCAGCGAAGATTCAAACATATAAAGAGGACGCACCCAAGGATACCTCTCCGAAACCGCTGCTACCTGGCATGGGCGGCGCCATAAACGGGCAGACCATCGAATCGTTGGTACGGCCGCAACAGGAGGCGAGCACGTCGAGACCCACCTATTCGACGCCTCCGCCCCGAGCTCTTCCTCACGCGGAATCATCGAAGAAGGCAAACTCCATGCCGCCTCCGCCTCCGCTGTCTCCTCCTCCTCCGATTGCGACTATGACAATGAATGGGTTTCCCGAGCCCGGAACGCCTTCGCCAACTCACCCATCGACATCGCACGGATATCCACCTGCAGGCGTTCCCTCTCCGTCTGGCTCACCTTCAGTAGCACCTACTAACGCGCAACCCGGTCCATCATTCTCGCAACCCATCATGCCGCCTCATTCCATGCATCCATCCCTCTTCCCGCAAGCGCCACCGCCCCAGCAAGTGGTTTACCAAAGCTCTTCCATGACGCCAACGGTCTCCCGCAAGCCGCGTAAACAGCGCGCGCCCAATACCAAGCCCAAGCGTACCGGGGAAGAGTACAAGGAAAAGAAGGGGCGGTTCCGACTCAACACCTATAATCACGAAGTTGCGGTTCCTTCGCCCGCTGCTGCTATTCGGGGAGGAGAGATCGCGGACCTTCCCGATCAGCCGACTGTCAATGCCCCTTTCAAGACGCCGTCCATCAATTACGAGTTTGCGCCGCCAATTGTGCAGACGCGGCCTCCACCTCAAGAGACAGCGGCAGCTGAGAGGCTCAAGGAGACTGCGCTGCGAGAAAGCAAGCGTCAGGCGCTATTGGAGAAGAGTGCGCCGCCCTCGCTGCCTTCTATTCCGGCGAACCTGTTTCCGCCTCAGCAGAGCCATCCAGCGCCCCGCTTGATCAGTCGTGCAGCGAGTACTGTGCCTACGCCGGGTCCGAGTAGCCAGCCAGAGCCCCCCAAAGCGGCCGAGCGTGGGCCTGAACCTCAACCCGTGCCCAAGCCGGAGCCAGTGCTCAGCCACGCCCCAGTGCCAGAGCCCGAGCCAGCCCCAGAGCCTGAGCCAATGCCAGAATTGGAGCCGGAGCCGCAACCCCCATCACCTACACTTCAACCTTCGAGGCGGCCTTCCGCGCAGCCCACGATTGCAACTGCCAAGTCCCCATCTCCACGAGAAAGTCCGCGGGTTGACCCACCTTCTGCACAAGCAGCGAGCGTCGCGCCTGCCCCCGATCTCGCGCCGTCATCCAGCTCGCGTACGAAGGCGACGGCCAGTCCTGCACCTGCAAACCCAACAGAGCTTGCGGCAGCGAGCCCTGCGCCATCAGTCACTGCGCCTTTGGCAGCAGCGGACCCTGCACCGTCGAGCGCATCAGCGGTCCCAGCGCCAAGCCCTGCGCCATCGGTTCCTCCAATAGAGATAGCGAGTCCTGCGCCGTCCAGTACACCTCGGTCTCGTGCAGTCAGCCTCGCGCCATCCGCCCGCGATGAATTGGAACCTGTGGTAGCTCCTGCCAACGCGAAATCGCCACCCTCGAGAGAGGCAACACCCTCCTCCCGCGCGCAGCCGACACCTCCTCCCAACCCGGTACCTCCACCTCTGGCCACATCTTCCTCGACCGCTGGACAGCAGCCTTCAGCAGCCTATCCGTCGACGCGACCTCAGCCAGTTCCGGTTCCCAAGGGCACCGAGACCGACCATCTCGTACCCGCGGCGCCAAACCCATCCTACTACCCTACCGCAGTATCTAACTTGCAGCCCCCGCCCATCCAGGAGTCGGTTGGGAGCGTCAGCAAGTACTATCGCGAGCGTCCAAAGAAATCTCCCCCGCCACCCGAGAAAGCTAAGGCTACTCCCGCCCCTCGTGCAAAGAGGACTACCAACAAGCCCTCGGACCCAGGCAAGCTAAAGAAGTCGCGCGAAAAGCGCACGGACGCCAGCGATGCGCAGTACATCATGTACACCGCGCCCAACCCGCCGCCCCCGCCGGCGGTGTCGTCGGCGGCGAAGGGGGTGGTGAATGTGGGCGCATACGAGTCGGTGTTTTCGAAGGACGATGACTTCACGTCGACGCCGACGCTGACTTCAGCGACTTTTGACTACGACGGTAACACGCCCGAGCCTGGGGATATGCAGGAGCAGGGTGTACAAATCCTTGCCGCGCGAACCATATCACAAAGGCCGAGTGACGCACAAAGGCGGGGCAGTGACTCGCAGGCGCAGGGAAACGTGTCACCTCCTGGCAACAACCATTGGGGAGCTCAGAGTGGGTCGTATGATGTGGATATGGAGTCGCCGCAATCATCAGCACCAGCGGACCCGCCCAAGCTGATGCGAATTGTGACGCTACTCATAGAGGACATGCGATACGAAAACGCCGACAGCCAGCTCGCTGAAGTACGCGTTCCGCTGAAGATCGACCATGACGGTGGTTTCTGGGCAGATGCGAAAGACATTGTGAGTGAATGTGTTATGCTCGAGAGTGATCGTCTGTTGATCACTTGCAGTGTGACCAGCTGCAAGGTTCACCTTCGCGGATCGACGGTGAGCCCTTTGTTTTACTTGGTAGACTGACTTGTCAATATACGTTGCCTGTAGGTCCTGCAAAGGTCTTTACGATGCGAGGAAAGTACCGTCAAATCTTTCTTCGCGTATCCGACGACAATGTGGACACGTCCACCTCGATGAATGTGGCTGTCAGCCTGGAACGGACGATAGAGGTGTTCATCGAGCCTGTGCGTGCACTCTCGCAATTGTTCAAGCCAGTCAACTCATGAGTTCTCTAGCTCAAACCACCGATTCCACAGCCGCCCGCTAATCCGCCTCCTCCTCTTGTGAAGACGTCGAATTCGGAGCAGGTTTACTATCAACAACCTCCTCCACCTCTCCCGCCTAGGTCGTCCTGGGACGCTCCCTACAGCGAGCCACGACGCGGACAGTCAAGCCGGGACTATTACCCTCCACCACCTCCCCCTCATTCACATCGTCGACCTCCTCCCCCTCCTCCTTCTGACTACTATCAGCGACAGTACGCTGGGCCGCGCAAGCGCAAGCGGTCGCCGTCGCTGTCGCCGGACTATGATCCTCCTTCGGATGGTGACTGGTTCGGCCTGCGATACGAACTGCAAGGCAAATCATTCCCGGAGAACATCCAGCACTATCGGAACAAGACTAGCTACGACTACCATGCGCCTGGTCCTTCGCGAAAGAGGCGAACACCTGGTGGAGGAGATGACCGCGACGATGACCCGGGACCTATCTACGCTCGCGTGGCTCCGGTTCGGCATGAGTTCGCGTCGGATGAAGAGGAGGATCGGGAGTACGACTCGCCTGCGCCGGGCGATAGCGAGGACAGGCTGCACGAGAAGATCGCGTCCGCGGTCGACCACGAGTTCTTGCAGAAGGAGCCGCGGTGGAAGGAGTTCTTCAAGGCGCGCTCGCGGGCGCAGAACGTCAAGAACATCCTCGCCCAGTACGAAATCGCGCATGATATGATTGTGAAGTTTGTGGGTAGGGATGCTCCATTCCGGTCATGCAGGCACAAGGTTGAGACGGTACGCCGAGATGTTCGTTTCGAGGGCGATTCATTCACACCCCACAGACCCATATCATGGAAGCGCTGTCTATTGAGGACCCGCGCTTCCCTGTCGACTGCGCCGAGGTCTTGCGCTTGCTGCGGCTTTACGGACCCGATGGGAAGCGTTTACAGCATCCCAAGGTCATTGAAATGATGAATGACGACTCGCCGCCGGAGTACAATGCGAAGCCCATGAAGCGGTTCTTGAGGTTGTTGAAGGAGGTTGACCAGCAGTATAATGGCCAACGAGGATAGACAACCCCTAGGTGTGTATGATTTTGGTTGTTTATATGATGTATATGAAGCTTTCAATATCCATAGCTCATAACACTTGAAGTGCAGATTGTTCATTATCTGATCTCGCAAGTCTGCGAGGTCTTTGGGTTACAGATTTCCCCCTTGCGCGATACCGATGTGACTTCGGTTGGAGCTCTTGAACAACGAACTATAAGTCAGGCGCGCCACATGCGCGCATGGCCTGGACGGACTTCTCCGTCAACGGACAATTGAAGTCATCGCCACGGCTCGTTCCGTCGCATCTCCGACCGTACTCGCTCACTACCCAACCTCGCTGCTCTTTGCCGCAAGGCACTGCCGAAAAGCCTGTGAGGATGCGGTCGCGCTCTATCGACTCCTACGGTCGTCCCATCGCTTGACACCTAAGCGAAGGCCATGGCTCTGCCTCAGACTCATGATGGGACAAAGACTTAATCCCACGGGAACAACCCCTCACGTCGAGTGCACCCATGTACTCTCCGCGCTACTGACCCTGTGCTCGGCGAACATGGTAATCGCAATGACCCCATGGGCCGGTGCAAAGCTTCAGCAGAGGTGCCTCGCTGCCTTCGGCCTTCGGCCTACCCACTCTCCACACACAACACGCAAGAGATATGCCCGCAGACGATAGAGGGCAGGTATAAAAAGTCCTTCTTTGTGTTCGGTGGGCCTTCATCCTCGAAGCTCAGGCGTATCTTCCGACGATTCCACAGCGCGTGCACCCCCCATGGCGCTTGCTACCTCCGCTGCTTTCATGTATCTGCCCATCCCTTTCGTCATGGCTGCGCGCCCACCTCGAGCGGTCCGCGTCCTCCTCTTTGCGGCCCAGGTAATGTGCGCTAACTGGGCGACCACAACGCTTGCCGCGTTGGACGACACCTTCATCACGAATGTGATGGGGTGCATGCTCTACGGGATGCCGATATTCATGGCTAGCGACTATTACTTCCTGACCGATCCTCTGTCCGATGGCACGCGACACCTATATGATAAGCAGGCGGCGAAGGATATGCCCTTTCTGCAGCGCTTATGGTGGTCGCTGTGCTTCTTCTTATCACTACGTGGTGTAGGCTGGAATAAGCCAGTGTGTATCCTTTCTTTTGCTTTCCACCCTGCGTGGCATACTGATCAGCCTTTCCTAGGTCCCCCACCTTCGGAAAATCCCCAGAGACCAGACCAGAGCCTCCTACCTCGTCGAGCACTCGTTTTGGCTGGGAATCTACGTCGTTGTCTCCGATTTTGCCAATTGGTACTTCAGCCACAATCCCATCACGTCGTCCCGCGTCGCCGAGGGATTTCCCCTCACGTCGCAGGGACCGATATTCCAGGCGCTCAGCTCGTGTGTCTTCTGGAGCAACGCGTGGGCGGGGTTCAACATATGTTACGAACTGTTCGCTCTTATGGCCGTTGGGTTGGGCCTCTGGGAGCCTCAGGCGTGGCCGCCGATGTTTGGTAGCATCGGGGACTTGTCCACGGTCAGGCGGACATGGGGTCGCTTTTGGCACTGCATACTGAGGAGGGTGCGCCGTGCGTTGAGCCGTGTAGCGGAGCTTGCACGCTAACTATGACCCGTAGTTCATTGTCTCTCATGGCAAGTGGGTCGCCAAAGCAATCGGCGCGAAGCCGGGCACCAAGGCCTCCTCGTACGCCCAGCTCTACACGGCTTTTTTCATCTCCGGAATCATACACGAAGCGGGCGCTCGCCATCTAAATACCACGTTCGGCAGATGTATGTGCTTCTTCATGCTGCAGGCTATCTGTGACGCCTCGGCCTTAGCCGACGCCACGTGCTCTACCTTCACCTCTCGCGGGGGTATTTTCCTTTGGAGTTCCTTGAGGTTCTCCTGGTTTCTAATGACTCGTATATATACTCCGTGACTAGTTATGACTACTTACAGCTGTAGGTATAAAAGGGCCCTCCTCCAAGGGAGGAGGGCAAGGTTTTCAATCGAGACTTCGTTACAGAGTAACCTCGTGGGAATCTTCTTCATCATCTCCGTGAGCCGAGCCCGGCCCGCTCTCCGCGTCACCGTACTCGCCTCATATTTTTACTCTCTCGCTCGACGTCCTCGATAGAAACATCGACTTCGACTTCGACAACCAGCAACCAGCAAAGTTTTCACTACCTACCCCTATTCCCCCCGCTAAGGCAACGGACTTGATCAACCCGGCACCCTTCGCGGCTTAATTACCCTTTCTTCCTTGTCGACAATCTCAATGGCGCCAAAAGCTCAACCTCTGCGCGATTCCAGCGGACGTTTCCGCCCTCGCGCAGCGTCGGTTGACACCGGTGAGTCTCAGACCGCGTGGCGTGGTACTGACGACTCCTTCACTAGTGCACTCTCGGACAACGAGTCCGACTCGGGCACGGCGGGCGCTCAAGATGCGCCGCCTGCCACCGCCGATGACCAGGTCATCGAGCATGCGACGGTGCAACACGACGTTGTGCCGTCGTCGGGTGCTTCCGCCACGACGGTGGGGGTATCCCGCCAGGTGTCTGCTCTCGACGGAGCAGACCCTGGAGAGGGCGAGTGGTCGGCCGATGCCGCTGCTCAGTCCCCGACCCACGCGCATGCCGCCGACGGCCTCGTGCCTGAAGCTGGTGCTCAGTCGCGTGCACCGGGTGCTGTGGGCAGTCGCGCTATCGCGCCAGAGTCCACGGAAGTAGATAATACTACGAATAAAATTTACCCTCAGTATGATGAGAACCGCGAGCACGAGGCTCGCGAGTCCGAAAGCGTGAACGTACCTGAGAGCTCTATCCCCGGAAACAGTAGGGACCGGATGGATAAGGGTAAAGGCCCGGATCTACGCAATTTCGGTAATCTCGACTTCGACGAGGTCGAACACGATCCCGAGATTCAGCGGGACATCCTGGATGCCGCAAATCGAGCTCGGGGATCGCGGGCTCAAGTGCCCAATCAGGGGCCGAGGGTGTCCTTGGCAAATCTGGAACCCCGCGCCACTGAAAATAAGCAGATCGCTGACCTATTCGATGCGCTCCACCTCAAGACTGTTGAGGCCGCGGACTATGCCGCCCTCAATGCCAAACTGGCGAGACAGGTCAGCCAGCTCAGTGAGAGATACGACAATCTCGTCGAACTCCTCACGGATGGGTCTGGCGCCGCACGCTCGCGCGCTGCGAGCGTCGCACGTGAGCGGTCGGTGCCGAACGAAGTTCAACCGGCACGTGACCTGAGCGCAATCAAGCGCGAGACCGCGGAGGCCTCTGTGCCCCCCGCGGTGCCTCGTGAACGTCCTTCGAAGGCTTCTAGTCCCGAAGACAAGCTTCGTCCGAGCTATGTAGCTGGGGGCGAGTCCTACTGGGACAAGTACATGGCTATGATCAGAAGCCGTGTAGTCGGCCTTCCGAGCTCAGACTCGGATGACGACGGACAGTTTGACAGCGCGGGTAAGGCCAGCCGCCTTAAGCCGCAGCCTCCTGAGTCCTACGATGGCCGGGAGGACGATGAGGCCTTCTGGACCTTCGTCATTGATTCTCTTCAGTATGTTACTGATGGTCGAGTGGCAGCCACTCGGCAGGCCGACGTTGTCTCTCGTTGGCTCACTGGCAAGGCCAGAAGGTTCTACAAGCAGAACTACATGCTTAGTGCTTCTCGAAGCGCGAATCTAGACGACTTTTTCAGAGATTTATTTGATCACTGTTTCAGTCTAAACTACAAGGACAAATGTCGTACCCAGTACAAGTCCTGTACCCAAGACAATCGCGATCTCCGCGACTACATGCACGATCTAGAGCGCTTCTGGGTGGTGCTGACTGAGGAGACCAGCCGAAACCGGGTCTTGAAGTTTTGGGAAGGTCTTGACTCCTGGCTCGTGAAGCGCCTGATGGAGGACGGCTTCAGCAAAGAAGTTGATGAGTTAGAGCCTACGTACCGACGTGCTCTGCAGCTCTGGCAGGCTAGCTACGCTGCCCGAGCCCAAGCGAAGGGCAGGCGCCCTGACGACCATGGTGGATCGCCCCCCAACCGCGGAAGCGGTACAGGTGGCGCATCTGCATCGTCCCGACGTTCTGGAGGCGGGAGCTCTTCTGCTCCCTCCTCTAGGCCGCCAGCGAACGCGTCTGCTGCCGCTGGAACGCGCACCTCGAACTCTAATGACCGCTCGAGGACCATTGGAGGTAAATTCAGTGGACAGGCAAGGGGGTCACAACGTACCTCCGCGCCGAATGGAAGGAGCGCGAACGCTCGCGCCCCTCCTAACCGCAAGCCAGGAAAATCTCCTGAGCTCCTGAAGCGCCTCCGTGAAGAGGGGCGCTGCTTCCGCTGTGAGTCTAAGGACCATATAAGCCGAAACTGTCCCGAAGCGAACCACGTACCTTCGACGTCTTCTGGACCTCCTGGTCTCGCGATTCACTCGGTGGCAATCGAACAGGCACGTCTGCTCGACCAGAGACGTGCTGGCGTCACTAACACGACTACATTGTCAGTCAATATGGTTCAGTTCGAACCCTCGCACGACTCACCTGGGTCCAACCCGGACAGTACACGCTGCACGACGTGCTCACCGCCGTGGGCAACACACGTCCTCGCGGACTGTCCGCTTGTCTGTGGTGACGTTCCCGGACGCCCCCACCTCTACGTGCAGCCGCTCTTCGACTACTACACGCGAATTGCGCTGCGCGCGAGGCGCGAGCCTCCCAAGTTTTGCTCGGGCGACGACTTGCTCGCCCTCTGCGAGACACCCGAGTATGCCGACTTTATTGGTCGCGCCTGCGACCCTTCGTACGTTGGCGACTTGGGGCAGTGGCGTGTGCGTGGTGCTTTCGCGCTGAACGCCGTGCGCGCTTGGCCTGGCGACGGCGAGAAGCTGCGCGATGCGATGTTCCACGACCTCGCGCCGCTCTCGTATCTTCGCGATGGCGCGCCCGTCCGTTTCCTGCCAGTCCAGACCCAGGACGGTTGTGTCTCCCTCTTCGAGACTGTTGAGGCCGAAGCTGGGCGTCGCGAACTGGCTCCGCTTCGCATCCCGAATGCGTTCTTCATCCGCGAAGGCTTCTCGATGGAGGACTACGTTGCGCGTCAGATATGCGTCGACTTCGGGATGGACACCTCACAGGCTCGTCGTATGGCGTACCTCTACTCCACGGGCACTACCCTCGGGGATCTCGTGCCTGAGAGCGTCGCTTACGCCCTCAACTGGGCAGTCAGACGCGTAGTCGGCGAGGAGCAGCGTCGCGCTGACCTCTCCCGCTTCTACGCCTTCCGGCCGTACTCTGGGTCGCCGGTCATCCTCGTGTGCGACACGCTCCTGGGCGTGTCGTGGGGTCTTCGTCTCAAGGACATTGACGCCGGTATCAACGTCTGGTACTGGTACATGTATCAGCGCATGCGCTACTTCGTGGGTGGGCATCAGAACACGGCTCACCCGAAGCGCTATATGTCGCGCTGGTTCGAGTCGCCTGCTGAGGCCGCAGCGCGTCGAAGCTTCGACGTCTTCACGCAGCCCGACGGCGCGTTCCCCGCGCGTTGGTTTCGCGAGCCCGCGGAGGACCTGATTGAGTCCGGCGTGTTCGCACAGGCGTGGGCAACGATGGTGCGCATGGCGTCCAACGTGCCGGTACGTTTCCCAGCTTCGCGTCTTCCATGGCGTCAGCTGACGGTCTTCGCAGTATCGAAGGGGCGCTCCGCGCCGTTGGCGTCCTCGTCCGCACGCGTTGCGCAACGAACAGCCGTCTTCCCGCGGGGGAGCGGCCGCCGCATCCCGAGGCCCATCGTCCTCGTCGTTCGTGTAAGCGGGCATCCCTGCAAGGCGTTAGTAGACTCTGGTTCGTCAGTAGATCTCGTGAGCTCGGCTCTCGCTACTCAACTGCGCCTTCCGCTCATTGAGCACAATGGCCAGGTGTCCATGACGATGGCAGTGAGCGGGTCGCGCTCGAAATGTAATTTTCATACGTCTGTAGATTTTGAATGGTCAGCTATACACGAGCAGCGCGTCTTTGACGTCTTGAACCTCGCGACTTACGACGTTGTCCTCGGGACTCCGTTCCTGTACCAGCATTCCATCTCGTTCTCCATCAACCCGCCGAAGATCCTCATTGGGAGCGTTGAGGCGCTGCCGCTTGAGGGGCCACACGTCGACGACTTGTTCATGGCAAACGTAGAGCCCGAGCCTGGCTCGGACGAGTTAGAAGCTATTCGGAAGCATCTAGTCGAAATGGCCTTACCTTTGTGCAAGACCATCGCGGAGACTGAGCTCCCGCCCTTGCGTGCGATTAATCACACGATTCCCATCATAGACCCCGACCGTCGGTACCCGTTCCGTCGCTCGAATTGCCCTGCAATCTTTCGTGAGCAATGGAATGAGAAACGCGACGCATATATGCGCTCGGGGCGGTGGGAATTCACCACCGCCACGAACACGGTGCCGATGCTTCTCATCGCGAAGAATCAACGCGAGAAGACGAAGCTACGTACCGTCGTGGACTTGCGTGAGCGCAACGACAACACGCGCAAGTTGTCGTCCCCGCTCCCGGACCAGAATGCGATCTTGCGTCGCGTTGCTGCTGCAAAATATTGGTCAATTCTAGACGGGAAAGATCACTATGAGCAGATTCGCGTCTTACCTGAGTATGAGGACGTCAACATCATGGCGACGCCAGATGGGAACGTCAAGAGCAAGGTCATGCTCCAGGGCGACTGCAATGCTGTCGCGACGTGTCAGGCAATAATGACGCATATTTTCCGGCCTTACCTAGGTGTCTTCATGGATGTCTACCTTGACGACATCGTCATATACACGAACACGCTTGAAGAGCACGTTCGCGCCGTCAAGAACGTGCTTGAGGTGCTTGCACGCGAGAAGTTCTATTTGGGTGTTAATAAGCTGCACTTCCTCGAACCGGAAGTGCGCGTACT